ATATTACTTATTGAATAGCTAAATCTAAATCTACCTTCATCAAATCATTAGCCATAATCAGATAGATGAGTTATAACTATCAGACCTTTTCCGCTATCTCTAAGCTCAGACCGATCGCATTGTCAAGCTATGACAGCTATGTAATCACTTCGCTTATCATAAACAAGCTAATCACCTCCAAAGGGGTCATGGTACGTATTGACCTATTATGAATAACATGTAAAATGGAACTTGCACTCTAGACATACTTGAATGTATGAAACTATTTCTTTTTTTATTATTCCAGTCGCTTGGAATACGTGCTAGATAGCATTTAGATAGATGAATGTCTAAATAGGTATTGGGGTACATGTTAACCACATGACAGGCAACACTATATGACATTTGGCTATAGATACGCTATCTAACCCAATAACAAAAGCCAACACAAAATGAGATTACTAACAATGCAATGATTTCGTCATCCATCTCATTAAGTGACAATACATTCAAACAAACTTCAGAAATAGCCGATGATACTCTCACCGACAAATCTCGGTGGACAAACATCAAATGTAGCGGTGTACTTGGGTAGTTACATGGCTTATCCTCGGCAACCCCATAGAACAAACAAGTACCTTCACCGTCCCTTCTAACAGGATATGTAGGTAGGGCGTAGGGACCTGATGACCTCCTCTGACATCTTAATGGCAGCATAGAAAAATCCAGATCATCCGCATGACCGACACCCTCTGCGGCCCAAAATCAACCACCATGTCATCTTTCAGGGATTGTGCCGGAAGGATTAGAAACTGGACCAGGGGGGGTGTGTGGTCAGGTAAATTAATCTATTTTTCGCGCCTCCCCTGGGCCATTTTACCACCTACGTACAATCTTTTCATATTATGTTCCTTGTTTTTGATGTCTATAGCGTTTGTCTTAGTACTAACGTACTCTGTAGTCCATAATGGAATTTCCAAGACTGTTAGTCTTCACTGCGGACCTACGGATTTCAAAATAGCCTATGACATCAAAATGGTATGGCTATTGTACTTGTTTGGTATAGGTAGGAATCGATTACGGAGTATTCATGGATACTATTACTCTTTCGATACGTAAGCGTTTTTCAAGATTTGATTTCTAGGTATTGACTTGGATATGTTATATGTAACCTGAATATGAGATAGTCGATACGAGATATACAATAATATCGATTAATTCTTACAATATCCGGAGCAAGAGCATACATCTGTCTAATAGTCAATCATTAATAGCTTCTTCTTTCACCCATTCATGCAGAATTTATTCAGACATGTGATGTTAGATTAGGCGTCATACGGCGAAGTATATTTGCCTATCTACAGACTATGGCASGAGCCGATATGGAATTCATCCCACGCTTCGTGCTACATACAGCTTTGTACTACATCTGACTCCGTATCTTCATGTACAACAAAACTATCCAAACTCAAACTCCATACGTAGTCTGGTCTGAATCAGTACCACAATCCATGCAAACCCCTGCAGAAACCTTCCGAGACGAGTTAGTTCTCCCCTCACCATCAATGTATTGTATATTGTACGTTGTTATCCATTCTATTCGGAAAAAGAACCGACTAGCCCCTGGGTATTGATGTATGTACATGGTTGAAATCTGACTTGTAGGATTCGATCGGCAGGTCATGGCCGATCTCTTTCTTTTCTTTTTTATCTTTTGTTTTTCATGCAAAGGACAAAAAATGATCATCTTGAGACAGGAGGGAAGGAAAGTAACCTAGCCCTATGATGGACTATTGACAGGTGCGCTCTGACCGTTCGGACCCTTGATTGTGACCAGTTCTAGGCCGGTCCGAGGACAAATATTAATATACAAAAAAGGTGAATATAATATCATGATTGTGTTCCAATATTGCGAATACGACGAAAACGATGTCCATGTGCGTATATCACTGAAGAACAACTGAAGAACAAACGGCGCTATCGATCTATGCATGTCAAAATCTTTAAATTGGGGGAAATAAGAACAATACTTATCTCGAAGCTCAAGAATGTATTTGTAATACTTTTATCACTGACGAATAACTACAATCAACACTTTCTCCACAAAAGGTAAAAATTCGATTTCAATTAGGGCTGCAGCTGCCACCAGCTTTTCGCGCTCCGCTGCTCCCCGGAGAAGACCCATGCCAGTGTAACCGAATCGTCTGGCAAAGAGAAAAAAGACGATACTACATAAATCATGATTTAAACAATTCTCATGTGTGAAGAATGGGTATTGGTGCGGTATGTGAGTGGATGCTGTGGTGACACCCTTTGACCTTTCCCTATCGTTCCCCAAATGTACGGCCGAGAACAAGTAACACAATTGCCATTGATTGATTCTAGACAAGTCCGAGGCAGATATGTGGTATGTCAGTGCGCACCGGCCACCTGCATAGTGGCCATGGCCATGACCTCTATGGAGTAGTTCGGGCGTAGGGAGGGCACGGAGCACTGATCTGTGGTATGAACTAGAGTATATACATAGACTAGAATAGATACCTAGGCAAAGAGTACGTCGCATGCAGTGTGTCCATCACGTGCGGGGTGCCGGTTGCACCTGCTTGCTTACAGGCGGAAGAATGCTGGGTCTTATCGTTTCAGAATCGTTACTATCAGACACACAGATTAGTCAGGTACGTCAGGCTAGAAAACAGGGGTAGACAAACTGATATCTTCATCGGCAAGCTCATGACTAAGACCAACGCGCTGAGGTTGATGTTTGACAGAGCGTCCGTAGACAATTGCTATTTTGAACTGGTCGACAATGGTTTTGTGAATAGCATTACACTTAGAAAGATGGGCATCAGCATGAAGTTCAATGATTAGTAAAAAGGGTAGGACATACGAAATCTTCCACTGTACATGCCGTGCTTCTCAACACGACAGGTGCTGTATAATCAGGTTGTTTGCCCTTTGGTTTGGTGTAGACTCGTCGAAGGTTCAGCTTTTCCCACATCAGCTCCAGAAGTTCATCAATATTCCATCCGTGCTCCGAGCTGATTGGACAAGCATTGGGGATTCGGTATAGTAGATCCAACTCTTCGATCGAAATTGAATCGATTTTGTTCAGCGCATAAATGACGGGAATGTAACGTCTACTCTTTGCCTCGAGGACATCAATAAGATCATCAATCGTGGCATCGCATCTGATTGCAATTTCCGCGGATGTAATTCTATACTCACCCATGACCGCTCGAATTTCCTGCGTTTGTCAGCCTGATACATCGTTGGATGTGCAAGGTTCAAAACTTACATCATTGTCAATATGTGTTAATGGCACTGTACTCGAAATTGATATTCCTCCCTTCTCCTTCTTCCTGAAAACAATGTTCGGAGGCTGCTTATTGATTCGAATGCCGAATCCCTCCAATTCGTTCTCGATGACTTTTTTGTCCGTCAACGGTTTGTTGACATCCAAGACAATGAAAATCAAATGGCAAGTCTTAGCGACTGCAATGACTTGCCGACCACGACCTTTTCCGTCTTTGGCACCTTGAATAATACCGGGCAAATCTAGGATCTGGATTTTGGCTCCATTGTACATGACCTGTCCGGGGACCGTTGTCAAGGTTGTGAATTCATAGGCGGCGGCTGTACTCTTATCAGTATTTCAGATTCTTTGGAGTATTTTTGTCAGCTCTGAATCTCTAACCTTCGGAGTGCTGGCCGGTGAGCCTGCTCATCAAAGTACTTTTGCCAACCGAAGGAAAACCAATAAAGCCCCTGTATCACGTTATCAGCCAACTCCCACGACGCAACAGAACCAGGATACACATACACACTCGCAACGCCAGTACGAGCAACATCGAATCCAACTGTTATCACCCCAAGTCAGCAGTCTGCTCATCCGCGATTCCATAGATCGTTCCCGGGAACGTACCACCGCCACCACCTCCACCACCCGAAGGCGTCAAAAGTTCTCTCTTTAACTTGGCGAGTTTCGCTTTCAGTTGTCCTATAACACTACATTCAGTCCCTGCCGGCATTATACAAGACAAATCGTAGTGCGTACCTAAGTGAAATGACGTAGCTTTGTTCTTTTGAGTTTTGGCCATCTGCAAAATCGTCAGTTGTCTGTTCGGAGGCTGTCGTAAACATCGGTACGGCGAACCTCGGCCTCAATCTCTTTGATCTATACATTATAACGGTTAATCTTGGTAGCGACAATGGTTGGGAAGGAGTTGTCCAACCTTGTCCACTGTAGTTGCCATGGTGTCTCACGCCGCGGGGAAGCCCCTCCTGGAAGTTTGATAAGATTGCGGTGACGGGTCGATTTGCGCTGCAATGAAAACGGCGATAATTCAAAGGTGCTCGCCGCTGTTCAGTAGGTGGGATGAATTGAATTGAAGCAACTAAATGGAGACTGTGGTGAAATTGGGCATGGTCTACACACAAGAAAAATTGCCTCGACAATCGATTAGTGCAAAGGCGGTGGCAAATCCTTGCCTTATTATTGGATGGCCGACCAGCAATTCTTGGTGGGGTCTACCAGCGGCTGCCTCAGGCACCACGGGCTCTCACGGGCTCTTGGCGGGCTTGGCGGGCTTGCCAGTGGTTATCGACGGCTAATCTTATCGCGATAAGGCAATCACCGGTTGTCCTACTCTCGGCCAGCGCAACTACTTCTTTTTCCCAGTCAATTGATTCTCTGGCTTTATTTACGGCGTTCTTTCGCAATCGCTTGCAGAGATCTCGCACTCGATATTGTACAACGGTGTATGTTCACTGTACAACATCTTGAATAACGAGCATTGGATACAAGATCTTAGTTTCTATCCTTCGGCAACTCTTCCGAACGTATCCCTGAGTTATTACACGCAGCAGCCAGCTACGTATCTCGCATATCCACTGGACAGCTCAGCAACGAAGGCCCTTATCACTTGCTAGCTATCTGACCGACTTTTGTAACCGATATCCTTCTTCCAACTCTTTCCTTTCTAAATATTCAAGAAGGGGGCCTCTATACCAAAAAAGAGACAATGCCGTACCTCAAATCCGACCCCGAACAAGCCAGCAACAATGATAACGCTTTTGAAAAACTCGTCCAAGACCTCAGCGCAGCTTTGGGCCCCAGCTCAGGTCTAGACTCTGAAGATGTGGATCCTCATGACATCGAGCGACTGATGGAGAAATATGTTTCCGATGAGACGGAATGGGGGGTGTATGCCATGTCGGATGTGAGCCGGAATTATACTCGGAATTTAGTGGATGAGGGGAACGGGAAGAGTAATTTGGTATTCTCTCTCTGTCTTGTATAGCTGAATCATGGCCTGTGCTAATTATTGTGTGTTCGTAGCTCATTCTCGTCTGGTCTCCCGGTAGGGAAAGTGCGATTCATGATCATGCCAATGCCCATTGTGTTATGAAGGTAGGACTCTTCTACATACCTCAAACACGAAGAGATCAAAGACTGATACGAAGTGAATAGATCCTCAAAGGCTCCCTCAAAGAAACCCTCTTCTCATGGCCGGAAAAGGGCCAAGCCCCCAATGCCCCTTTGCAAATCACCAAGGAGACTGTCTATGGCGAGAATCAAGTGACCTACATGTCTGATAAGGTACTTCCCCCTATCTACGGACACAAAAGAGAATATGTCAACACTAATGACTCTTATTTCATTAGCTCGGACTACATAGAATATCAAACATGGATCCCAACAACGTTGCCATATCTCTCCATCGTGAGTACGCCCGAATACTTTGTCCAGTTGTTTTATACTAAATAGAAACCTGCAGTGTACACTCCTCCCAACGCCGCGAATTACGGCTTCTCGATATTCGACGAACAAACTGGCAAATCAAGTCATATCAAACAATGTGATTTCTATTCTCGCGGAGGCGAGAAAGTCTAATATCCTTGGTTCATTTATTTTGTTTGCTTAACGTGTACATGTGCTGAATTGGAAAGTGACGGCCTCGGGGTGGAGTCGACTTCATGGCCTGGATTTCGGGGGTATTGTTATGCATAGTATTAATATCACATCAATGAAGGTTAACTGTATGCAGATAAGATTCAAATCAACATTGAATGCTTGGCTTTTTCTCATGATGAATAATCAGAATATATACAAAGTTGCGCAATAGAGACAAGTGAAAGCAAAAATTAGGATGAAAATGACAATGACAATAGTCCGAATCGCTAGACATAAAATCACATAGTCGTACATGTAATGAAACAGTGTCCGTCGCTGAGCGATATGCCACCACGATACGTATGTAATGATGTTAGTTTGACAGTGACAAAAATATCTGCATGTTAAATCGTGTACGAAAGAAGAAATAATAAAATGCATGCAATAGATCGATAACCAATTACTTATCAGCTTCGGACGGCTGTTCAGTCTCGTCGGACGACTCTGTTGGCCCCTGAGGACTCGTCGTCATGAAAAGATTCAACTGACGTTGTCGTAGCTCTTCCAGTCGGTCGAGTGGGTTCTGTAAGTTTCCAGTATGAGTAGATTGCGAGCAGGAGTTGCAAAAACGCATCGGTCGTAACACCCACCCAGTCGCCCTGGTTTGGAACTCCTTCAGCAGCAGGAAACTCGCTAGATTCCTGCTGTCCATCTTGGCCTCCCCAAAAGGTACGGCGCATCGGCGCTGGCGTTACTGGAAGACTCGGCCTATCGACTTCCGTCGGGAAGTCTGTGATCTTGAGGCTTTCAGGTCTTTTAGCGCCACCTGCTTTGCCACCGCGGCCGTTTGCTTTTTTCGATCGCTGCTGTATAGCGTCGACATATTTGTTTATCTCGGGAACCTCATCCCATGCATTTCCTCTTGAGAAAGTCTCCCAAGATTCTGCTGGGGTGAAGTTTGGAGTGGTATATTCGAAAGTGGTAGCTGTACCCTTTGGAGGTTGCTCGGGTTGCTCGGGTTGTTTAGTCTGTTGGGTCTGTTCAGTATGCTCGATATGTTCAATATGCTCAACATGTGAAGTCTGTTCAGTAGACAAAGTTTGCTTGGGATGGCGCTCATGTTCCATGACACCGCTAATCGAAGGGCCACGAGTTTCTTCTTCAGCAAATACTCGAGTGGGCTTAGAGGCACGTGTTTCCCAGGGAAATATTGGAGCAAGTTTTCGAGGTTCTCGTTTCGCAGAAGGCACCTCGTACCACATATTCTTAGGAGCTTCAGGATACGATGGCGGCGGACGAAATAGATGTGTGTCCTCAGACATCGTATATGTTTGAGTTTCTAAGCTCAATGCTTCGGGTCGCGAATGGCGCGGAGGCGGTTCCCTAAACCTTTGTAAGTATAACCGCCTCTCCTTCCAGCTTTATGAACTCTTCCTACCTGGATGCATCCCATTCAGCCCTTGGCGGAGAGAATGGTCGTTCCTCTGGTTGTTGTGGCGGCGGCGGAGGTGGTGACGGTGCCTTAGGTTGTGTAATTGGGGTAGTCTCGATCGATGTTTGGTGTTGATGATACGGTTCAAATGCTTTCTGGGTTATGTATTGAGCTTTCAGCTCGGTGAAATTGTCAATTCCCCCGCTGGGTACCGTAACGTAAACCGACGATTGTTCTTCGCCGTGGACGTAGAGTGGAACCACGCTTCTGACTTCTGCCGCTGCTTCAACTGGTGCTTGGTGGCCTCGGAGATCACGGGTTATGGATGGGGGGTGTATGGGCTGGGGGTGAGCGAGAGCGGGAGCAGGAGTAAATGCCGGGGTAGTATCAACAAATCCATCAGAAATTGGCGAGTGCCGTAAAACATGCAAGTCTTCGGCAATTTGTGCGGGTCTTTCGTGATAAGTAGAAGGCGCGTGGTGATGATATTCATGCTGATGTGCCGTATCACCGCCTTGGGCTGGAAATGGACTTTCCTCCCAACTTGAAGTGTAGGAAGAAGCACCTCTGGGTGCAGAGCTGGCATTATATGATGATTGAGACTGAAAGGAAACACGAGCAGGTGCTGGAGGTAAAGATGTGGGCTAAAAGAGTACTGATTAGATTTAACACGGTATCGAACGCCAGATATACTCACAAGGGGTCGATAATGCCGATCATATTGGGCCCACCATCGTCCTAGCAGTTGATAGTATGGTGTACCTGAAGTAAAAGCATGTCGTGACTGTGTCCATGGTTTCTGTGGTCCAATGAAGTGGATGAGACTGATGGTGCTTTCAAAGTGCCTGTAAGCCGGCATGTACTGATAATTCCCGCTGGGTGTGCAGTTGTAAGTGAAGCTCAGTCTGTGCCATCTCTTGAAATACGTATTGAGTAGACCTTGGTCCCCGCCGTCGAAACTGGTACCACGCTCTGCAAGCGCGCGGAGTGCGTAGTAGTCCTGTAGATTAGGACGAAGGACCATGACCCCGCTGTTGAAAATATCGGGCCAGCCAATATCAGGCGCTGCGGCAAAGTCTTCTTCCAGCGATAGCAATTCATCGGGCGCTCTTAATGCAAGGACATCAGCATCCATATAGACGATCCTAGAGTATTGCGTCTGCCGCCAGAGCTCGATTTTTGTAAACGTGGAGATGAGATCGAGCCGATCCATCAGAAGGAGATTGGCCGGGGTGCCATTTGAATGAAGCTGCACGGGGATTATTTCGTCGTACACGGTCTGTATCGCTTTATTAGCTTGCGACTACCACATCAATTGCTCAAATTGGCGCCAAATACCCGAAGTTCTCTAACGGTGGACTCTTTCAATGTCTCCGGTGTAAAAAGAGCGACAATTTTCGCCCGTGTCCCATTATCGCGTAGCGAGTGAGCGAGCACAACGGCACCTGGTCGTTGTCAGTTATTGCGTTATGACGATATAACATTCCGGACGAGCAGGAGTGGGGATCTACCGGGAAGATACTGATCGGATGTGAGGAGCTAGATCACGCATCAATTGACCAGCCTTTGCTGTAGGATTACCATAATCTGAACTCACGGTGCAATAGACAGCGTCCCCGGGTGCTGCCATGTTGACGATAGACGACAGGACGAATCAAGCAGGAAAGAGCTACCGCAAGACCAAGCAGGATGTGGAAACGATGATGCGAAAGAAACGGCAAAGGTCCTAAGCAAGCATTCTCCAGTGATTAGCGACCAGTCCAAATACCAAAACCAAGTATTGTAAACGAAGCAGTCCGAAGAAGATTTGCACCCTGCTTTGACGGTCTGGGGTTTTGACCAGGGTTCAGACTAACAGACTCACCGGACGGATCCGCCGTGTGCAGCTCACGACTGAAGAAGCATGCCTGTTGCACAACTCGAAATTGTTGAAACGAATCGAGCAGCAGAGGAGTCAATGGGTTTGAGAAGGACAAAAACTGAGTGACAGAAAGCAGTGCATGTCTTAAGGATTGCAAACAGTACCCCACCTGCAGAGGAGAGGAGGTGGCATCATGATCAACGACGTTGGCCTCCACCTTAGCTTAGCTTTAGCTTCTAAGCAAGAAAGTCGGGGAAAGTAGCTCCACGATGATCATGTGATCAATGACATAACAGTGCATTACATTCATCTACAAGGACCTTCATATTCGACTCTGCTCTTATGGATCTACTCTTAAATCAGGATAGTTGAATTCAAAAGATTTCTTTCAGGATTGTCCTGACTCGGCTATCGAACTTGTCCTAATCTGAGAAATTTGTGTGGAACCTAGCCCTAACCCTAATCGAGATAACCCTTCCACCACCGCATCCATCCGTCTCCGTATTGCAACAGTTGCATGTGGAAAACAACTTGCGAAATTCTGACCAACATTAAGGGCCGATATATGCACCGTAAACGCCTAGATAATATCTGCCCGACTGTGGGCGTGGCTCTCGGATGTAACTGCCTACCCTCTCGTTCAGGTTGCAATCGGACCACGATGTAGGAAGGTGACATAAGGGGACCCGTATGCAATGTCCAGTCCGAGCCTTCTGGCCTCAATTGAAATCAATTAGATGAGCAACTATGTCAACACCACTCACTTCATTCTCGTCATAACTCATAAAACCCATCCAGGACCAGCGCACTTCTCAAATTCTAACTGTCACTGTTGCCCCAGGATAGACAGCGTTTGCAATCGAACCCACATCACCCTCTTCCCCAGCTACAGCCCACTCAACAACCTTCTGTAAAGCAACCAGACTCTCCTTCTCAACAGGCGTATGATGTCCCGCTCTTGGTAGCGTAACAACTTGACTGTCCCTACTAAGATAATCCGCGATTCCATCAAGATTGAGATGCGCATTTAGAGCAACATCCTCCATGCCCCAGACAATCGTGGCTTTGGCTTTTAATGAACCTTCGGGACCTTCGTCGAAGACGCCGGCATGGCTGGTCTTGCGTCCTATTTCACCTCCGTCGCTGATGCTGTAGAGTCCTGTGATGGTTTCGAGGGACTTTTTCCAGCGACCTAAACTCGTTCCATGTCTGTAGTAATGGGTCATGCTGACGAACTTTTCTGCGTCGGACTGTTTTACGACATCCTTGGAATATCTTTCAGAAGTGGATGTTTCCGTAGGTTCTTGTTTGAGTGAAGGTCCCAGACAGCCTGCCACTCCTTCGGCGATTTCTTTGGCAGAGGGTGTAGTGTTTACACCATGAGCCATTCTGTGGATTGCTCGTAAGAGGGCAGTGTTGCCACCGCTTCCTTGAATACGCACTATGGGGAGTGCCAGCTGTAATGCAAATATGTAGCCCGAAGCTACAGCTTGTCGAATGATGGGATTCATTGTTTGCAGTGCTTTCCTCAGCATTGGCCGTGACCGTAAAGGAGACCGGTAAAATAGCTTTAGCATCTTGACAGAAGATGAAATGAGTCGCTTAACATTGGATCGAACGAGAGAAATCTAAATATGACAATTAGCCTGTATAATCACCCGTAGATACAAAATTGACATACCAAAGGTCCATTAGTGAGAATGAATCGATCCGCCAGTTGCGGCGCATCCGCTGCCAGACGCATAGAAATAACGCACCCCCAATCATGAGCAACAATGATCACTCGCTGCTGCGCACCAGTGCTCGCTGGATTATCGATGCCATAAGCTTCTCGCAATGAAATAATGAATTCCGTCATCTTCTCGAGCACCTCTGTCGCAGAATACCGCTTAAGCAAATCCGAGCCCCCGTAACCCGGCAAGTCTAGAGCCACCAAATTGCTTGATTCGCGAAGCCAGGTTGATGCCATGACAGAGCGCCAAACGACCCAGCTATCGGGGAAGCCATGCACAAAGATGACCAGCGGTTTTGATGCAGGAGTCTCAGGATCTGGAATGGCGTTCGTGACGTAATGAAATTTGAAGCCATCGCGCAGAGTCAAGAATCGATGATGCAGATCGAATGGTTTCTTCGATAGATTCCAGAAACGATCTCGAGCTGCGATGGTCAATGTCTCGATTTTCATATTTGTTTATCCCCCGGGAAAAAGCAACTTACCTAGCGTCAATTCAGACCTGTACTCTGCTGTTGGCTTTTTGAAAAATTGACCACTTATTACTGTCAAGATAAAATAATATCCCATAAACATGAAGCCAATGGCCTGGATTAAGAGGGAGCTCAGGGCTCCGGGGTATTCTTTGTCCATTGTCTGTAGCTATAGTACTAGTGGCTTKGATGGCTGACTGTGGGCTCGCTCAGAGCGAGCGATGAGGAGACGAACTGATCAGTCTGGGACGATTGAGCAGGTTCTTTGATTACACTGAATTGAATTTCAAGTTGTCGATGTGCGAAACAAAGAAAAGAATCGATAGTGTAGCTATGCGCAAGGTCAATAAGGTGTAGCATTAGGCAGTGAGGTTGTGGTTGCTGCTGAAGCTCCCGAAGCTCCGATAAGAGGAGCCTTAATTGTAAGGGTCGCTTGACGTAGCTATACGCTAACCTCGGTACCTGCATGTGCGCACATGCCTGTATACTGTCCCATGTATCTGCTACTACAATGAAATAGTGAGAATAATATCATTATATACAGTCAATTTGTCTCTACCACCTACAGCTAAGTAGGGACCACCTCATTACCATGCAAAACGCCTCATTGCACGCTCGGCATGCAATTTCATAGAACTCATATACACAAACAACAAATGGTATATAGCTGGGTACGGGACCAAATAAATTCAACAAGAAAGAACAAGAATTTCGTTGACGAGAAGACGGGGAAATATATCATGGCATGTATCCAATGTTCTCGCGATCATCGTCAATCAGTCGCCCGTACCTTTGGAATTGTTAGTCTTTGAAAAAATAGACCCATGGAAAAAGAGGGAAGAGACTCACTCTAGTAACAGCCTAAAGAACCAAACTTCAAGATCTTCGTTTCGAAGCACCTTCTGTGCCCATTCTTTGCCTTGTTTGGCCAATCGCGGCGCCTGAATCTTACCTTCCTCTTCATGCGCAAAATAACGAACACTTTCCACCGCATCTGTACCCTTCATCCCCAACGGAACATAATGCACCCATGCATCAATCCACTCGTCTTGCCATTCGCGGAAAACGGCCATTTTGTAAATCAAGCTGTTGCTGCGTAAAAAGGCATGATAGCGTCCACTGAAGGCGTTCCCATCGATATCCAACAAATATTTATAAGCCCACGCGTCTTGCTGATCGACAGATGGGGAAATGTCAAAGTATTCTTCTTGTGCGCGACAGTCGCTTGGATCACACTGGCCCACATATGTGAAAGTCACATTGAAGAGAGACTTGACATCTTGGCGAGGAACATTGCTAGTGATCCATCTCCCATCTTCCATCTGGGTGAAAATGCTTGCATCCGCTGCGGAATTGATGTTTTTGACAAACAATTGTCGATGCTGGCGGCGCCATCCCCCGTCTCGCGAGAACCCTCCAGTAGTCGATCCTCTCCAATACATTTGATCAATTTTATCCTCCCAGACATAATCGCGTGACGCATTGTAGGTGACTTTCCCAATCCAGTACCAAGGACTGGGATATAGGATATCCTGAAAACTAGATATTTTACTCTGAGAGAAAATCGGGAAAAGATCGTGGACAATGTTGAAAGCATTCGGTCGGTCGAAGAATCCAAAAGTCTTTCTTAAAGAGGGCGACAAGCAAATGTCAGAGAAAGCGGTGGTGTTGTAAACAAAGCCTAAATCGCTTGTCGCATAAGGTTCCATATTATCCGCCACATTTTCATCGAGCGAGCGTGCAGGACTATCTACTGGGCAGGAGAGACGGGAATGAGTCCATGTAGGTTGGTGGGCGAATTTGTTGAATCGAGTCGTCCTGACTTCCTCAATCCGATCTCCTTTATTCAGATCCGCAGGTCTTGGTGACCACTTATTTTGTAAAGAAGTTTTCTCAAAAGTAGCAGGAACTACTGTGTCTTTTGCGTAAGATATCAATCTCTGGAGGTCGTCATGAGGGACTACCACTCGAGGCTCATCGTGGATATTGAAAGCCAAGTCCATATCAGGTAGATATTTCAGAAAACTCTCCAACATTCCAGCGGTGGCCTCCCGCTGCCAATGATAACCATCCCCTCCACCCTCGACCTTCGTCACTATACCATCCCGAATCAAAAGTCCAATCAGGGCATTGTCGTAGCCAAGAGCTTCGTGGACCCTACTTCGAATAACGCTCGGTGACAAAGCCCAGAACGGAAGTAGTGAATGGTATATTGTGTCGTATTCATCGATCAATTGCACTCCCCTCTTCTTCGCGAACGAAAACCATTTATCGAAATGCGGCGGCGGCGGCATTCCATAACGACGGCGATATTCCTCCACTGCCTCCGTCAGGGTCTTGGACTGGCGAGCTAGTTTCTCGTCGAATTTCGTGTTTGCATCGTTGATGAGTCGTGCGATCGGATGCGAATCCTCGGTCGTCGGTTGTAGTAGGGTTTCGAAGTCGGCGGGCAAGCTCTTTTCAAACGGGGCTTTCGGGCCGGTGTCTATGTCGGGTTTTCGGAGGATGAATAATGTGAGGGCGGCGATTGTGATAAAACACAGGAGATAGATAGTTCGCGAGACCCTCATCCCTGCGAAGTCGGTATTTTATATGACGGCAAAATGTGTGTAGATGACAGCTTGCCCATGGCAAGGGATGCCGGGCAAGCAATGCGCTGGGTGTACTGGGTATATCAGATACCAGACAATTGACACAGAAGCAAAGATTGGTGTTAAGCGTAGCGCACTTAAATGTCAAGTCGAGAATACAGATGTAGAAGAAGTAAGAAGTCTCATGCTGGAAGGAGGAGGGTCAAAAGACGCATTGACGTAACGCACGTGTTTGTGGAGCCGCACGGCGGCCAGACCGTTCAAGGAGTTGGCCACCTCCTTTTCTCATCTCCTTTTATCCATCTAATTTTACGAGGCTATATTATCTGAATGCATAAGTCAACAGTTGAACTAAGAAGATACGCTACTGTGAGGGAGTCTCCCATTATCTTTGCTGCGGTCGCGCTCGATACTTACAGCTAAAGGTCAGACGGAAAGCCGTCAGGGGAATGAAGTTGGCCTGGGCCACCTGAGAATTGAATCCATTATCGAGTAACTAACTAAGGGCATCCCGGATGCGAGTTCATTCGAGTGCTCTCATCTTCAGTCGTCACAATTTAGCTTGTCACTTGATTGAGAAAGGTTATACCCTTCAAGATCCGCGTAACTACATCCCCAGGACTGTGAGAAGGGCAGGAAATGGACGTAACACGACACTTGTATCTTGTGATATACAAGAGCTTGATAGAGATCTATTCGATGTTGATCCGACGCATAATCAAATTATAGCAGAAGCTTCTTCAAGGGCTATTGATTGTTATGACACGTACCTTGGATGGTTCCAACTCAAATGAAGATGGCAAATTCAAGGTTCTAGAGCTGATATATTATACCATACAATACCAGACAAGTGCTGGCAGTCTATTGCCTCGCCCTTACGATACAGCTGGTTGTTGTGTACGCGGTACCCACTTGAACTCGTCCTGGTTGAGGGAAATTTTCTCCTTTTCTGAACGATGAAAGATAGATCCGCAATGAGCATGGAAAAGTCCTTTTCTTGGATGCACAAAAGCTCGAGTCAAAGTATATTGGTATATACATGCCGGGTATATGGACCTTTTTCTTCGGTCTGTGTAAGCGTGCTCCTCTCTTTGATACTGAGTCAATATGTACAAAATAACCTACCTGAAGAGCTGACAATACACAGTTTCGTATAATTCTTCTAAAGGAGATTTTGCTCTCACAGGAAAAGGGCAGTGAGTTCAATGGAAATTCTCGGCACCCAAGGATGTTGCCAAAGCTTTTGCCGGAGTGCCTCCAGTAGATCGAAACGATTCCACTAAACTCTGGACAAGCATCCTCAACTTCGGCCGGTGGAACTTCGAGACAGAAACAAGCGAGTGCGGCTACAATTCACCTATCGGCATACACATGATTCGCTGGAAGTTGGTGCAATGGACAATCATTCCTGGTCTCGCCGAGCTTCTTGTTGCTATTGCACTGCGAACTAATTTCAAGATTGTCTCCAGATTTGGCCGCGGAAATTCTGTGCAATACAAACCACGTGAATTGGCTGCAATGCGCGATCCCAGCTATCGTACGTTTTGAAGAACTGTGATGGCGAATAATTTACTAAATTGTTAATACAAGTGACTTCAGAATGAAAGCGATAGAAATGATTTCATCAAGACAGTATAGATGGAATGGCAGAGAGGATTACCATAGGGTCAGGAACCTTTGCACGCTAAAGATCATCGAGTCAAGCAGGCGAGTCAAAATAAGTGTATCCGTTGCTCAACCTTTGATACCAGATCTACCTCTTCAGATTGCTTGATATTCTCGATTTTCTGGATTACAGGGACGTCTCGAGGTCAGGAATCGCGTTCTGAATCGTCATTCTAGATTGCTACTGGCGCTTACGAGCTGCTTTGGACTTAGTTGAGTTGGATGAAATCGTTGAAGAGCGCCTCAATTGACACTATCTATGTTTGAAATATGTTTGAAGTATGAAGCTATCTATGCAACCGACGAAAGACTTGAGTCACGCCGCTATATCCTCGATTCATTGAGCAACAGGATCGAGCCGCTATTTCCCCAAAAACTTGGGGTAAGAGTATGTCCGCATTTGAAGTAATCAATGAGTGTGTAGAGACGGTCGAGCGGCGAACTCATCAGCATGCACACGTTAAGTGCTTGGATCTTTAATGAGTAAGATTCCACCTTAACAAGTGATTCTAGTTTTAGATTAAATAATTCAAGATAGGTCGAGGGTGTCAAGTATGAATCTGGCGACAACATTTGATTGCTCTACGGTCATACCAAGGTATATCGGAAGGAAACAGAAATTAGAAGAGATCCAGCTCCATTTCATATTCTTAGTGCTTGTCTAGTAGAGTTTTTTTTAAATGAAAGGATTGATGAAGAACGAAAATGCTACAGTTGAAAATACCCGTCAATTCAATCCATCAATGTTCCCACGATACATCAAGCAATCTATCGCGAAGCCAGCAGCTTGCAACACGCCAAATTGACCACCGATGCCCCAATAGCCTCCACGACAAACGGCCGCGCATATCGCACATGAGAATAAGCCAAGCTAAAGAAAATCGCAACAAGCACAAAATGCACGACATAGAACAACTGCCGTCGCGATTCCGGCCTTGAGACGCTGATCAAATCTCGTAATTTCCAGACATTCGCACGACCGAGTACCAGAATCAGGATACCGAAAAATGTACCTGCTAAGCCGAATTGAACGTCTGGATCCCGAATGCGTTTGGCAAAGACCGTGCCGAATACGGGATGTGGCACCTGGACATAGAACAAGAGAAAAAGAGCTGCATGGCTACAGACAAGAGGCACAATGACGAATCGACCAAAGAGACGGTGATAAGCTGTCAACACTGGCTGCGGAATCGAGGTTAAGTAAGAGATTATTGATGGTAGAGTCGAGTTGGATGTAAAGATGAAAGAGGTAGGGGCCAGTAACACCAAGAAGGGTAGTTGAGATAGGCCAACATGACCTAAAGCCTTTGTCAAGTGAATGTAATCTTTGATGAATCATTAGACGGTCATTCGAAATTTGTACTGATACAAACTTACCGTCACCTGTCCTCCATATACTGAGACTCACAAGCCATGACAGCCACGATAGGGTCACGGCATATTGCTTGCGAGTCTCGCTGCCACCTCGAATAGCAGGTGCATCCCACCACGATTTTCCCCTATTTTGCTCAAAGCGATTCCCTCGCCCCAGGCCATATAGAAAGAATGCACCGAGAAGAATGAACCCGGAGATTTGAGCATAATGACCACGGCTGTCAAGGATATTGCGTCGGCGTTCAAGCTCCTCATCCGAAAGGGACAGGATGAAGCGATAAGGCCATGCCATTATGATTGTGTTTGAACTTAGGGTAGGGTTACAATATCAGGGTATCTGCTTTTGGATAGAGATAAAGACACGCTTTCGATGCAAAGTTTGATGGTCGATAGGTGTTGTTTATGAAGGTGAATCCGTTATCCGTAGTTGACGGAGAGGACAGGTATGTATGTATGTAGGAGCAGTACGCAGACCGCTAATGCATCATACACGCTTTATATACCGTTGCTCTCAAAGCACGAAAGAAAATGACACCTAATCAACAATGAATATAAGCCACCATACGCTCGCAATTTGTAGATGAAGAGCGGAATCTCGGCGTGGTGCTTACAAACAGTTCGCCTTTAAGAGGTCGAAATCGTTGAGTTTGTCCGAGGCGCTGACAAATTAACTTCCTCTAACTTAAGTTAGCTAGTTACTCAGCCACGTGCTTAACCCTGAAGCTAAAGAGCAAGGATATAAGCTGCTGAGCTATTCTCTTGATTGGAATTTGAGCGTTCCTGGTAGTTCAATGATTAACTTTGCACTGAAAATCAAAAGAGGCTGTCTAATTTCAGGGAAGTTTCATTGATACTTTACCTGGTCATATCCCTTGCATCAACAATCTATCTACATATGTAAGTTCAAACAAGCCGCTTTTGTAGTTTAAATGTGTTTCAAAGAGATGAAGTATCTATCAATCAATTAGGCTACTCGAAATAGTGTAAACATGTGTGAATCAATACCTCCACTCTACAACCACTTCAGATTCGAGTCTGACTAGTGTGCTGAAATCAGCAGCGAATCGTGTAGCAAGAATAAGGATCAAATGACTATCCAAATCAGAAATATATGCATACCAGACATATTGTCTGTAATAGATGCCATATAAGCATCATCTATTCCAGTGCGGCCAGTAGATGTATAGGTTGTTAAACTTGAAAGGTCTATGCTAAGGCCTGGGAGTTCAGCAGGTCCACCTATGCTTGCGAGGTCGAGAGAAGGATTGTAGGACAATGGTATCACACATGCTCCGTACGCATGTCTGAGCATGTCTGAGCGTAGACCCATTTATACCTGTGAGGTCAAGAGTGGATGATAGGATGATGGTAGCCCAAATGCTTCAATGTTATATTTTGCACGTAACCCCGATCTACCTTCATCTGGGACGTTGTATGAGGAATTACTGGCAAAGATGTGCTAAACCGAAGTATAATTGTATCCAGTGCAGAAGGCGTCCTGAATCCAGTGTTCAAATCTGCTGGCATCAAACCCGGCGTAGCGTACGCGGATGTCTGCGGCGCAGTATTCCCATTCACATCGAGAATAAGCTCTGTGCCATGCTCGTACATCGATAGCTGCCTCGATCGCGAGTCATTCCAGACCGATGAAGTGGTTGCTCATGTGTCCCTGCCAGGAGTTGATGATCAGAGGTGCCGGAGAGAAATTTTACAACCTTGCACGAGGTATACGTCCTCCATAGGTTTGACGTGTACCATTGCCCATACCGGAAGCTGCATTAAGCACGTTGAGTAAAAAATAGCCTACATCCCATAATGACAGATCGTTGCTTTTGAATGCGAACTGGAATGGGAACCCCTGGTCGTATTGCTCTTGTAGCTCCATCGTGGACGGTGACAATCGCAAACAAATGATTCCGATTCTCGTGTGAGCAGCGATAGCTGATTGCGTAATATTGTTTGTAGAACTCTCTATTGTATCAAGAGGTGCACCGCAGTCTCATTTTCAGTATCTTTAGAGCATTCTTCTCCACGCTTTGCTGATTGTCTGGTAGTGGATGTGATAGTGATTCTGGGAGGGCTTGATGTCTGTAGGAGTCAGTGGGATGCCGCAGCCTTCTATACACGCTCCCATATTGAGATCGTACTTGGTTCTCGGTAACTTTGTATAGATATTGACTGATATTGTTGACTTTGTTGTAGATGGAGACAGGTGTTTGAGTGTATATGCTGTATCGCATCGGGGCTGAATGGATCGAGAGTCAGAGTGCGCTGCATATTGCTATAAGGAGGGCCTCTGAAGCCAATCTGAGTCAGAGCTGCTCTCGCCTTTGTTGGAGATTTTGAATTTTATAACCACTAAGTTACTACTGTGACACACAGCCTTGATGAAAGGGTTGATTAAAGCCAATGCATATTTAACAATACCTAGTCATACTCTTTACATGGAGGTTGCGCAGTGTAAAAATAAAACCCCGTAGAACGCATCTCTTTTATTCCGACATGAATGCTGATTATGTTTGTAAGCTTGATTGAAAAGTCCCTCTTGATTAGTGCTTCGAAACTTCTGCGAATACAGTGATCCTCTAATCACTTGGATAGCCTAGTCTGTAAATAATTGCCATGTATGTTGATTGTCTATGGTGAAGTTTGCATGGCCTCGTCCTGTCCACCTGCAGCAGTCGTAGCAAAGTACCGAACATCAACATCATCGTCTTGCTGCAATTTCTCCAACTGGGGTATAATGCGTTGCTGAATAAGTTCTTGGCCATGAGGAGCCGGCGTACCTGACTCTCCAGCCTTTTCCAGATCTTGTAGAGTGCCTGACGCGGGAAGTCGTCGTAATGTGTCAACCAAGACTGCATAGGACTTTGCGACGTTAAATCGAATGTTAGGAATGTCATCGGTGACCAGTCGTTCCAAAATCGGAATGATAGAATTTTCGAGGATTTCGAGGTTAAGCACAGGCGCGAGGGTCTACCACAATGTTAGCACACGAACTATGTCAGAATTGCAACGAAAGCCTACCGAAACTGCAAAGCAAGTGGTCATTCGGTAAAGGTAGTTGGGATGTGCGCCCATGGCCACCACCTTGGGAATGATAGATTGATTCGCCCAGTCGACACCAAAGACTTCTGTGAGTTTCTTGAGATTCTGCGTGGCAGCTTCTCGAATCGAGAACACCGTATCACCCAACCAACCCATGCAGAGATCACTAAGCTGTTCATCGAAAAACTTGACGCCGAGTTGGCTTGCAAGAAGGGGTATGTATTCAATGATAGCCAAGCGCACGCGCCATTGCTTGTCCTCAGCTAGCTGCACAATAGCGGGCAAAAGCGATTGTGAAAGCAAATCGATTCCGATTACTGAAGTTCCTCGTTAGTAATCAATATGCTCCTTGATTTGTTCTTGCGCCTTACCTTTATTGACGATGTCGAGTTTCGAAATAATGTGTAAACGAACCTCTGGGTGTTCATCTTTCAACATTTGCAGGAACATTGGCAGAAGATGAGAGATAGTCCTAAGCAATTTGTCAGCTTGATAGTCCAAATATGATACGAGAAACATACTCCTCTTTTCCAAGGATCGGAGCCAGTCCGCTAACCTGAGTGGCTAGCGCTCCACGCACGTGTTGGGACTGGTCCGACACAAGATCTTCTATACTGGTCATAATTTCATTAAGGAGGGTATCACGATCGATCAGATTGCAGAAGCCTGGACAGGATTAGTTGCAAGGAACATATAGACAAAAACAGAAAGAATACGCACCAGGAATTTGCCCAGCAATGGCAGTTCGCACTTCCGCCTCTGTATCCTTCAAGAGTTTAACAAATGCTGGCACAAGATCGCGGGTCACGACTTCCTCATCTACAGCTTTTGCGATCTGTTTCATGCATTAGCGTTTGTCACATCAAGGGTAGACTTAAACCTACCTGCTCAAATCTATCCGCTACCATATACCGCACTCGCCAACTCTTGTCTTCGAAAAGACTACGCAGAGATGTCAACAAAATACCATGACTCGACTGCTGTTCCTTTGGTATCTCCTCTGCAATGGAAATGAGAATCTCCACCGTCAACAACCGTACGCTGTCTTGATCATCACTGGTTAGGTACTGGAAGAGTGGGATGATTTCTTCGATGATGACCGCGGGGTTCAGTTCCTTGACGAATTTAGAGAGGTTGTTGGCCGCCTGTCTCCGTACCATCGGAGTCTCATCGTGGACTAAACCACCAAAGTTCTGACGAAGGGTCTGCTGCACGCCAGCTGCGGCTTTGCGATAAGGGGAGCAGTAGAGGCCAGTGGCCGAGACTTTGGACGTGAACCAGTCGGCTTTGGAAAGACGAAGGACTAAGGGTATGAACTCGTCCTCGACCTGTTTTGAGGAGAGTTGATCGCAGATTTTGTTCAGAGATTCGACAGCCTATGAAACTTCTTGTTAAAAATTGCTGACGTTCTAAGTTGAAGCTGGGGTGTTCACCTTCTCTCGAACAAGAGGTTCTTCGATAGCTGCCAAATTCTCGAGGGGGGAAAGAAGCACGTGCCCATATTCTGGACCGCCGACATACTCGACGAAATTGCCCAATTCCTCACTTAATGCGGTCAGAACTTCATCTTCATCTTCAACGGAGTCTAACAGATATTCTCATTAGCGGCTGGCGAATTTCGAAGCAAAGCGATCGTATGTTCGCGTGACTCACCATCCAGGAAGGGGATGAGCTCGTCCCGAGTTCTTTCAGGACCGAGGGCTAGGGCAATTGTTGACAGACGGTGGATTGCATTTAATCGTAGGAGGACATCGTCGTGCTAGATTTGTAGAGTTTTATCAGCTCCCATGTCTTTCCCTAGCCGAAGTGATCTGGCTTCGAAAGTAAACATACCTTCAACTCATCAATGAGGACGGCGATGGGGTAGAGCTCATCGCTTTCGGCCGTCGAATCCATTGTGTTTGATGTTTGTATGATCGCTAGCCGCACGAGGTTGAGAATTAAGGATTGGATGCTCCGAGTCCAATAATGCTGACACTGGGAGGCGAGATTTGTACTTCAACCCAGTCGTCAAACAAAATGAGATAACTAGGTACTGTTGAACAACAGGTCTTGCATGGACGCTGTTAGACGTGGCACTGAATAAAAAGGTAAATCAGAGAAGTGATCTAATTTTCAAAATAGCGGAGGAGGAATGGAAAAAAGTGCAAGTGCACGCGAGGTTGGCAGCGAGTCGGAGAGGGCTGTCGAGGGGAGAATATCGTGGGGTCGAGGAAAGCACAAGCACACGGGAGGAATATATTGGTTTGATGGTGTTTGGGCGGGTAAGCCAGCCAGCGCGGGTGTACGCACCTAAGAAGCAGAAATCAACTTGGAGAGGGATTGTCGAGTGGAGGTTATTCGCGAGACAATTGTGGAGGAGAGCTGCTGAGAGTTGACCGTGGAGGAAGATATCAAAACGCGGTCTGGTATGGGAGCGTACTTAATTGCTGGAGAGAGCTTCTGGAGTTGGCAGTTGGCAGGCAAGGCGGGCACGACAGGCAAGAACGACCAGGATGATGAGGCTGTGGCTGGKGAGGGGCCACCTTCCTGCTGGGCTGTGGCGCCGGGCACATTGACGAGGGGTCTTCTGTGGCTGGTGCAGGCTGTGATGGTCCTCCTTAGTTCACTTTTTATTTTATGTGTCATCCGAGCCTTATCCCACCAGCTCACTACCAAGTCTGTCTACGGCATTCGTGTATGATCAATTGCTGTATTGACTTCGTCGCGAGTGATTAATGCGCATTTTTGTCATACTGATACTTCCTCGTCGGTCGCCAATCACCTCGCGAAGCGCTCTCTCTCGAACGATTACTCACAGTGCCATCCCACTTCCCGCTTCGGCTGTACAATCATGCCTACCGTCTCGGTGGATAAATATGCGCTCTTCAAAGAGCTTGGGCGGGAGTACGTGGAATGCTATTGTCTTGAGCTTGCATACGTCTTATGTATTAACGGCATTACTTTCTCGCAGTTACACTACGGAGGAATTCGACGAGCTATGCTTTGAGTTCGGTATGACTCAACTACCTTCCCGAACATAAGGATTTGCGACTGACCTTTTTTTTTTCCAAGGCATCGAGCTCGACGAAGATGTAAGTTTCCCACGCTATCACAACTACATACCGGCGCCAGGTGCAGTCTCGTTGATACCTTCCTAAGACCGAAAACCAACCCCGAGCCGAAAATGAAGCCCCGCAACTGAAAATTGATATACCCGCAAACAGGTACGTCTAGTGGAGTGGAGGATATACACAATTACTTTATACTTATAGGAGCTTAGATATGATCTGCTTTGTTTCGAGGGTATTGCATTGATGCTCAACGTTTTCCTGGGCCGCAAGCCATTCCCAAATTATCGACTAGTGCAACCTACAAGTGGACAGCTGGAAAAGATCATCGTCAAAGAAGATGTGAGTGGACTATACCGAAGCTCTAGAAGAGATTTATTTCTAATTCGAGGATCATGGCAGACAACCAAAATCAGACCTTACGTCGCCGGTGCCATTCTGCGAGGAGTGAAGTTCGACGAGGCGCGATACCAATCTTTCATCGGTCTACAAGACAAGCTACATCAGAATATTGCCCGCCAGCGGACACTTGTCTCTATTGGTACTCACGATCTGGACACCATCGAAGGCCCGTTCACATACGAAGCTCTTCCACCGAAGGAGATCCGCTTTACCCCGCTAAATCAGACGAAGGAGATGAATAGCGAAGAGCTTATGGCCTTTTACGATGTAGGATACTTCACGATCTCACCATATCGCAACTTACTGACATGTCTTGAATTTGCAGAAAGATAAGCACCTTGGTCGATACCTTCACATCATTCGGGATTCGCCTGTGTATCCTGTGATTTACGACTCGAAGCGAACTGTCTGCTCCCTACCACCTATTATCAATGGAGATCACTCAAAGATTACATTGGACACAAAGAACGTTTTCATTGAGATTACAGCCCTTGATAAGACAAAATTGGAAATCGTCAACAAGATTATGGTCACCATGTTCTCCCTGTACACTTCGGAACCTTTCACGTGAGTTGGCTATACTTCTTTCATTAGGGGTTCATGGACTCTGACAAATTTTCCAGTATCGAGCCCGTTGAGATTGTCTCGGAACACAATGGCGAGACGAGAGTGACCCCAGATATCTCGCCACGCACGACACAGGCCGAGCTTTCGTACATCAACCAATGTTGTGACCTAAACCTATCCGCGGACGAGGTATCTCGCTTGTTGACAAAGATGGCGTACAAGGCGCGTCCTTCAAAGACGTCCAGCGATCTCATTGATGTTGACATTCCTCCCACCAGGGCGGATATCCTACATCAAGTCGACATCATGGAAGATGTTGCTATCGCATATGGATTCAATGAGCTGCCACGCAGCTTCCCCAGCAAGTCGGGCACTATCGCTCAGCCTCTTCCGGTCAACAAGCTCACAGATATTATACGCATGGAGGCGGCGATGGCCGGCTGGTCTGAAGTGTTACCATTGATTCTTTGCTCACATGATGAGAACTTTGCGTGGTTGAACCGCAAGGATGACGGCAACACCGCAGTCAAGCTTGCCAACCCAAAGACTCTTGAGTTCCAAGTCGTGCGAACCAGCTTACTTCCGGGTCTATTGAAGACTCTTAAGGAAAATAGGATGCACAGTGTGCCTATGAAAATTTTCGAGGTTAGTGATGTGGCTTTCAAGGACTTGTCTCTGGAGCGTAAGAGCCGGAACGAGAGACATTTCGCTGCAGCCTGGTATGGCAAAACCAGCGGTTTTGAAGTTGTACATGGCCTGCTGGATCGCGTAATGGCGATGTTGAAGAGCGCATTCATTACTGGTGAGGAAGGGTTAGAGAACACTGCTGTGAACGATTCTCGCTACTGGATTGAAGAGCTAGATGGTAAGTAATTGGTTCTATCTGACAGGAAACGAACCAGTCCGCTAACATAGAGACAACAGACCCCACGTACTTCCCTGGCCACGCAGCCTCAGTTCATGTCAATATCGGTGGAAAGGAACAGGTTATCGGCTCCTTCGGAATCTTGCATCCCACAGTCTTGGAGAACTACGAGCTTAAGCTACCTGTCAGCACTCTTGAATTGAACATTGAGGCGTTCTTGTAGGGACGTATATCTTTTGGGTGTTTGAGAGGTAGTGGATTGGAATAAAAAGATAACTAGATGACGATTAAAATAAAATATCGCTAGATTCTTGTTGCAATGTGAAGATATTGAATCTCATGATATCATAATATATTCATGCTTAATTAGTTTCTAGCTATCAAATGACGTATCGTGAGGCTCGCTACATCAATATAGAACTTTAAATCTAAAGAATCATCCATACGAGAATTGGTCGGTCATTCATGTCATTTTCAAACTTTTTGTATCTAAGGATATAGGGGAGAGAAGTTGAGGAGAAGGTCGGTTTATATCGGACATTGAGGTAGAGAAAAAAGACATGATGCGACATGCAAAGCTCTCATATGAGAACAAGACGAAAGTAAATTCGTAGATAGACAAGGAACAGAAAAGGACGAACACCAAACGAACAGAGAATTAAACGTAAATTTACTCCTGAGCGTATTCCGCTGATGCAGCACCCTCTGCTCCCTCAGCCTCCTGCTGTTCTGCCAATCGCTGCTGCTCAGCGAGTTGCTGGGCGGCGAGAGCCTTGGCGCCGTAGTCCTGGCTAACGGGCTGGAGGATGGGTTGTTCTTCCTTAGGCTCAATGATGGTGACAGCGTCGGGAAGGGTCTTCTGAGGACCGGACTTGCCCTCGGGGTCGGATCCGCGCATGATCTTGACCTTGATACCGAGGACACCTTGACGGAGGAGGACGTGGCGGGTAGCGCTGTCAATGAATTCTTTGGCGGGCTGACCGGAGTGGATCATGAAACCGTCCTGTTCATAAATATGTTAGCGACTGTGCATTTTCCTCCATCGCCTTACTCAATCCCTAATTTCCAGCAGCTAGCGACCGGGCAGTATATACGTACAGTGAACTTCATGGACTTGGCACGAGCAGCACGGAGCTTGCCAGAAACGACAACCTCACAACCCTTAGCACCGCTCTCCATGATGAAGCGGAGGACACCATAGCAGGCTCTTCGGACAGCGAGACCGTTGAGAAGCTTGTAGCGGAGGGACTCGCACTGAGCGACAGCGGAGAGACCACGGTTCTGGACCTTGGCGGCGTAGAGGGAGACGGAGTTCTCGGGGAACTTGAATCGCTTCTGAATGAGGGAGGTGAGCTCGCGGATGCGGCGACCTTGTTCACCAAGGACTTCTTGGGTGTGGGTGGCGCGGATGACTGCACAATCGACCATCAGCATGAATTCGATACTCGACTATTTCCATTTCCCCATCGCTGTTCCATTCTTTTTCCTTCCTTCTTTCTCAAACTTTTCCTCAATTCAATTGATCCGATCACATGTCTTCCATATTCCCTAACGCCCATTTCAAGGTGGAAAACGTACTGATATCGGTCACAGTGGGAGTGACACGGACTTCGACGCCAGAGTAACCCTCCTCAGCGAGTTCGCGCTGGAAGAACTCGTTCAACTCGGCGTAGAAAACACCGTCGGCGACGAACTTGCGACGCTTGGAGATAGCACCCTGAGTAGCAGCCATGGTTGCAGAAGTCGAGATTCTGGTCGAGAAATCGTCGGGGTTGGTGGGTGGTGTTGGACGGGGTTGTCGTGAAGGCTCCGAAGAAGTTGGTGAGAAGACGGCACCGCTAAAGTGATGATATTAGAGGTTTAGTGGGGGAATTTTTTGAGGATAGGGCTTGGGGTTTGTCTCGCTTGTGTGTGCAATATTATTGGCGGGTCGGCGGGKATTGTGGATCAGCAGTAGAAGACTAACCTCAATTAGAGCTGTATGCTTAAAAAGGAATAGCGCATTTTTCTTTTCTATATTACCGCAGAACAACGGCCATGATCATGTTATTCATTCATATTGTATGTAGACAGTCTACTGCATCTCGAGTTCCACCTCCTTTTTGGTGCTATTGTCAGCATTATGACTGAATTTCGGCATGCTCAGATTCGACAGCTCCGCGGTGAGACTCGTTATCCCAGCTGGTAGTGGCTTKCTAGGGACATCACCYATAGTACTATCTGTGGTCTCAACGCCAGCGAGCACAGGACTATTTCTGCTCGTAGTCTGGCCGGACCGGTGAGGGAAGGCCGTGTTTGCAGTCGTTCGAGTGCCATTCATTTCGACATCTGTGCGTCCAAATGCTTCGCTCCACCAGCGGACCTCATCGATACGAGGGAAGATCAGCCGTTCATGGGTACGTTGTTTGTCATCAATCAAAGGATCATAATTTGGGTTGATGAACTGCTCCTTGCGGGCTAGGAAGTAGTCCCAGACGCTTCGTGTTTTGGTCTTCGCGTTGCAGTCTACACGTTCTTTCTCACTGTTGTAAAGGAAGGTTCCATATTGACACGAGTAGAGATGGTACAACAGTCTGCGAAGGAAGCGTTCATTAAACTCAAATCGATTCGGATGCTGATAAAGAAGCTGGTATGTCGCATCAAGGAATTGATGGAAGACAGGGCTAGTCTCGTTGACTTTGGTCGTCTCCTTTTCGCTGGTTGTTGATCGCGGTGTTGAGCTAGGCTGTTTTAGCGGACTGTCATTGTCAAGATTCGATCCCTCCCCATCGTCGTCAACAAGAGAGCCTCGGCTGGTGTTCTTTTGGTTGAAGAAGTTCTTGGCGCTGAGGAATGCGTTCTCTAGAGCTTTTCGTGGCTCACTACTTTCGCCAAAGGATCGATTCGTGTCGCCGCCTATTCTCTCATTCTCAATCTGGAACCATTTTTCACTGTTGAGGAGACCGGCACGGTGGCGGAACATGTGGCCAAATGACAGCCAATCTTTCTCAACCAGTACAATGAACCCTTCCAAGGTACGGTAATATGGATCAAGGCAGATCTGACTGAGAGCACTCAGCTGACTTGTGCGATCCCATCCGTCTGAGCAATGAATAAGAACGTGGGAATGCTGGAGTCCGACCTGGCGAGCAATCAGACTCGCCCCTTCGAGGATCACCGAGATATATTTCAGCCAGTTGCTTTTCGCAAGCAGTTCCTTATTCGGGCCTAATGGCGTCACATCAGATTCTTTCAATGCCTCGACCACTTTGTTCAACGACTCTCTCATCACATGAATATTGTCAATCCCCAGGTAAGCTTTCGTAGCGAACTTGTAGTTGTCCATATTCTCAGATCCAAGTCCTACTGCCTGCATTGCGTATGCATTTACAGTCGGCCGAGCATCGACTATGAGATTGCGCTGCTGAGCACCATACACCGATGGTTTTTCCGGCCCATCTCCGCGAGCGGCAGAGACGACTTCATCCTCCAGCTCTTCAGCATTCGTCAAATCAAATTCCTGGCTTTGCAAAGAGGCACCTTCTTCCCAGCTTGAATTAGTGGACTCTTGCTCTAAAGACGGAGGCGTGAAACCAGCCAGTGGCCGATCTGACTGAGAAGTAGAAAAAATAGCAGCCAGTAACTTCTCGTCCTGGATACTTCGCTTCTGTCGTACTCCCACTAATGGCTGCGAGCTTCTGGTAATTGAACAATTATTCACAGGATGGAAATATGTAAGCACCGGTATTCGCGCTCTTGAGCGGTATCTCCCCGCATAGTTGAGGGTATTATCGGATATGTTGCATGGGACAACCAGTGTATCGGGGTAGGTAGGAGAGAACTAAACTGTCAGTCTGCTGCATACGGGAGGAAATGGCAGAATATGATCCATACAGAGTAGTCGGCATTTATAGCCGAGATGCGCCAGTTCGCAGTACTCCCTTCCCTTCCCACACCCTGCCGGTACCATTCCTTGCGGGGATCGTACAACTGCCATCCGTCCAGTCCTTGCTCGGGAGGCGGCGGCTGATATGTAAAAGCATATAATTTTTCAACTCTCCCAATCTTGCATGTCCACTGTTTCAATGTGTCGTACACATCCCGCGCCTTGTTCTCGTTTGAAAAGTAGAAGCATACAAAGGTAAAATCGCGGCAGCGTAGGCGGATCGAAGAGGGATGTCTGGAGACGGTCGGCGCTGTACGGAGAGTGCAGAATGCTATTATGGGATATGTAATCCACAACTCGCGTGGACGGATGGGAGTGCCTGATGCCAGGGCTTCCTCGGAGACATGAGGGGTATGAGAGAAGATGAGGTGATGGGGAGTGAGATGTAGAGTTCCTGTAACCTGTTCACCCCTTCGTGAAAGGGTGACATCCTCAACCTAGAGAGAAGGAATCAGTTTAGGGACAATAGTCGTCACAAGACGAGGCAATAGACAACCAACCTTGGCCACTCGTGTCCTGTCCATGCTAGGCAGCTGTTACTAGATCAACATTGTGCGCGGGCTATGGGACAGCGACAATACAAGGCTGCACGTATTTGCGAAAAGGTACAGAAGACTCTCTAGGAGAAACAGAACAACACAAAGAGATGCTCAAGTCAACAAAGACGTGGCTAGGAATGACGGATGAAGCGCCAGTTGGGCTGTGGGACGCTCGCTACGTCAGATCATGAACCGCTGTGCACGGGCCATGCAAGATGGCTGATCAACAGACTGCGAAGCCTCAGATTCTCATCAATACGCTTATTTGCTAAAGGGATAGAATCTCTTGTATGAACCAGCTATTTGAATGATTTGGCATACATAATATCTAGTGAACGTATTTCGCAACTAATTGAACCAGCTTGTTCGGGGACACTCCACTCGCACTGTATAACTAGGGTTAGTGATCAATTACTCTGTTACGAGTTGACAACCCTTATGATCCAGTCCAGTGAGCTTGGCCAGGATGCTGACCATGTTCAGATTAAACATCATAAAGTATCCCTCATATGAGTCATAAATAATATTCTTATCAGGAGTCATGGACTCAAATCCAGCCCCTCCCACTGCAACAGACATCTTCCGCTACCGTTACCAACATGGTACGAATCTCGGCTCCATCTTCGTCCTGGAGAAATGGCTACACCCAAAGATGTTTGATAAAGACTCCAAAGGGTCAAGTGAGCTGGAAGCTATCAAACAGTATTTCTCTTTTCCCCTTTCCAAAAGGCTGATGGGACCTCGTAAAGTGACACTGAATTTTATTTCACAGATCCCTAAAGAAAAATGGACTATTGGCCACTCGACAGAAATGGGAACATCATTGGCAGTCTGCTCTTACTGAAGCAGACCTCATCTGGCTTACAGATACCGCCAAATGCAACTCCATACGCCTGCCAATTGGCTATTTTACGCTTGGTCCGCAATTTTGTAAAGGAACCCCTTTTGAGGGCGAGCCTTCACAGGTGTACATAAATGCCTGGAGTGCCGTCAAGAAGATCATCAAGGACTGTCATGATCATGGTATCGGTGTGTTGATAGACCTTCACGCTCTACCAGGTGGTGCGAACATAAACGCTCATAGTGGAACAAATACCGGCAAGGCAGAGCTATGGACATCCGAACAAAACCTCAAAGTGTCGAAAGACTGTATCAAGTTTGTTTTACAAGAAACCCTCTCTAATCGGCTCCCAAACGTGATCGGCGTTGAACTCTGCAACGAACCGTCTCGGGCAGCCAGTTCTGCAGTGTTCAAGTGGTATGAGGATGTCCTGGCTATGGTCAGAACCGTCGACTCATCGATACCAATATACATCGGTGACTGCTGGGATCTCCCAACTGCAATCAAATATGCCCTGACAAAGAATAACCTTGAAGATACTTCCAATCCCGTCATTGTCGACACGCACAAATACTATACCTTTGCAGCCCACGATCATGCCCAAGCACCACAGCAAATAATAGAGCGAGTCAAAAACTCTCTGGACGATATTGTCAAAAACCAAGGACATATTGCGTCGCACAAGACCGCACTTGCGGTATATATAGGCGAGTACAGCTGCACTATGGACGGCAAAACATGGAGCAAAGTCGACGCGGCTCATCGTCCGGCACTGACTCAACAATTCGGGCGTGCACAGACAGATAAGTGGCAAGATGTGACAAGTGGATCGGCATTCTGGACGTTGAAAATGAGCTGGATGGACGGAGGAGATTGGGGGTTCAAGAAACAAGTCAAAACTGGCGCTGTGACGCCTCCCCGTAGTCTTACCTTCTCCTTTGACGAGATCAAGTCCAAGTGCCGCGAAGCCAACGCTTGTGGAGAGCAGCTTCGAGCTGCTGCACTCATGCAGCATGCAAACTATTGGGACAAACAATCATCGAGCACAAAATACGAGCACTGGCGTTATGAGCGTGGCTGGAGTCTCGGGTTCGATGATGCAATGGCGTTTCTTTGTAGTCACCTCGATGGCAACCTACCACTTATTCGACAGGTTGAAGGAGGAGACAAAATTGGGGCCCTGGAGCTTTGGATCGGCAAACGTATGGTTGAGACTGGGCAATTGGGTAGCCCATTGGGATGGGAATGGGAGCATGGATACCGAAAAGGGGTTAAAGACTTTGAGAAGTTGATTTATACATGAGTTCTCTGCGTAAATTAGAAACTTGTCTATAAGATATATACAAAAATAGAAGGTAGCGTCTATCTCAGTAATGTCACTAATTAGAGCTTCTTCTTCAGTTTAGCGGCCTCCTTTGCCTTCTTTTCTCGCCTCTGCACAATACCTTCGGCGCCCACACCTCCAAAGACAAGAAGCACACCGAGCCATTGTCCATGCGTCAGAGAGTGTCCGAACCAGAACACGCTGATAATCATACTGAGCATCTTCCTGGTAACAGTCACAGTGACAAGGAGCAATGACGAGAATTTGGACAGAGTATAATAGATAAAAACCTGACCAACCGCACCACATGCAGCAAATCCCAAGACGTGTTTTAGGGCTTGCGGATGACGTTGCAAGAATGAAATGGCAGATGACAATTCCAGACCGGCCGAGGGTGGGATCTGGAATGGCAACATGGAGACGATGGGTCCGTTATCTGTCAAGTACGGTGTGAAGAGCAAGTACGCAGTTGTCAGCACAGTTGCGAGAAAGTTCTGCGCAACCATCATCTGCGGCCCTGTGTAGCGCGTATATCGACTTGGTGATGAAAATACGTGATCCTGCGTGGCGTTGGTGAGGCCATCAAGCATCAGATTAATAAACAAGAGGAACAATCCGTAAGCGGTCTGACCGCTGTGCGTCGAAGCAGCCATCTTCTTCGAAGTTCCGGGATGATACAGTGTGAAAGTTGCGACTCCGAGTGTCACCATCATGACCACTGCATATTTGTACAAGGGATATCGTTTCCGAAAGACGGTCAAGTGAAGAAGCATCACGGGGAGTAGTTTGCATGACTTGGCGAGGATGAAGGTCAGATAGTCAATGTGTTGTAGACCGGCGTAGCCGAAGGGCGATGCTAGCGAGGACGAGATGCTAACGAGGATCAGGGGAAACATTATCTGTCGATTGGGAAAGATCGATGGCACCGCCTGTCCCTTTGGTGTGGCAAGTAATAGATATAAGGAGCCCGTCACTGCCGCGAAGCACGATTGAATGGTATTGAGAACGATCGAGAATGTGAAGCGCTCGTTCGGCTCTGCTTCTCCTTTGGCGCCGTCGACCGGATAGGATGTAGTTGTGATGGCTTCCTGTAAAAGACCCCATAGAAGGCTACACTAATTAGTAAGACTGCCAGATAAAACAGAACATCACACCGAGAATAGCAAGAAGCCATACAAAGAAGCATAAATTCCGCCAACACAAATGGCCAACTGAATCAAGCCGGGACTATGCTCCTCGATTTCAGATGCTTCTGCCTTTGGGTTTGCGCTGCCATTTGCGCTGGAATTGGATGGTGTAGAATGACCATTTTGAATATTAGCATTCGTATCTGGCAGGTCACTCAGTCGTTCCATGACGTCTGACGATGGTGTCTTTTGCAGGGGGGCTCGTTGTTTCGTTCGCGCCATTTGTATAGAGTTCGTATGCAGTGCTATTTATTGGGGATACAAATCGCAAGTCAAATCCGACTATGGAAGAAACCCCGAAAGAAAGCAAATACCAAAAAAAAGCGAGTCAAATCAAAGGTAGACTCCAACCAAGAAGAAAGAGAGAAAGGACAGATTGTATATCCGGAAAGTGAAGGTAACAGTGGCAGAAGCCATGTGTTCATAACAAAATAAATCTGGAGGCTCTCGGCAGGGGCGATCTAGGCCCCACTCTGACTCTTTATCTTAGCTCGCTGATAACCCCGAACTTTTTTCTTCCTACACCACCTCTTGACCAGACTGTTAACACTCGACAATCAACACAGTCTTCAAAATGACGAGTTCGAAAGTGGAAGCTCCCAAAACCTCCGCACTTACTACCCTCATCTCCACAACCAGCAAAACCGAATCACCGACTCCCCTCCACGCACTCACAGCTCAGGTATACCACAATCTCCAACACCAACATATCTGGACATCCCTGAAAATCCACGACCCTTCAGAAGATGCCTCACTACCCAGTTTATCAATGCCATTGATCTCCGGCATTCCTCCACAGCGCATGTACACACACCCCGACGAGCAGCTTTATCTACTCCAGATCGGCCTCCGAGAAGAAGACCTCCCCTCTGAGCGGTTGTGGGTGTTGCCAAGCACACAAGGCCAGACATGGACTTTGGGAAAATTAGCGACTGTTTTTGATGCGCTTCCTTTGAGGACTACAGGGACAGAGAGCTCAACAAACGCTGGCGAAGAAAGCAAAGAAACCTTCGACAAGGGGAAAGAAGAGAAATTGGCAAAGTACTTCGAGAAAAAGCGAGAGGCAGACAAAGAGAATAAATGGGGCGGGAAGCGATTGCTGCTCGCGGTGGTGGATAGATTGGTTGGCGGTGATGGAACGGTTGTCTATTATGTTGTTCAGGATGGCCATGTGAAACCTCGCCAGAATTGATCGATCTATTGCATATCAATCCGCGAATCGAACAACGAATACGGATCCATACGACATCCTGCAAATTTCTGAGCGTGTCCGGAACTGTTGGTATATTCAGCAATTATTATAAGGGATATACAGGTATATGTACAATGATGTCAACAATGTCATCTACAGGCAAAGGGTTGGCACCAGTATGGTGCTGTACAAAAAGAGAGAGAGAGATCGCCACGAAGCCCAAGGTTAAACAAGCGGCGAATCCAGCCGCTGAAGTTCCTCATGACAGCTGGAGCAATACTCGTCGTACCACCGTTTCACATCCTCCTCATGGCCGGAAAGGACACTTTCGTTGGTGTTCAGATCACCTGTGTGCTCTTCCAGGATTCCTGAAACCCGATCGCAGCGCTGCGTCTCTCGACCAAGCCACCGTTCCCATTCGCCTTTCAGCACTTCATTCTCAATCCTATTCACGACTCGCAGGGCGACGACCAAGTCGTGCCGATACATACCAAGTCGTTGGCGAGTAGCCTGCAGACGCCGGTTGGCATTCCACTCCACGTAATCATCAGTTGGGATCTCTGATGCGAAAGATAGAGAATTGTTTTGATTGAACATCATTTGCTCATGGAACGTCGAGAAGCAATAGCTCGCATTTCCATCTGATTCTCTTACCCACACAGAATCTGTGAAAGCTGTGGCTTCTTCGAGGTCTTTCACGAATATCGCTTTGCTCATGACATGTTCGGAATGAACTCCAAGTCGAGTAAGAAGCTTGGCAGCATTGCGTTCATGCCACCAATCATATGTATCGCGTGTTGAGTAGAAGCCATTGATTAATAGACTTGAACCCAATAAAGCGAGTATCAGACTATGAGCGCTGCAAGTTTTCCATGTCCACCGTACAAGTGCTAAGAACCACATCATCAGAGATGAGATGGCACTCTGAAGTAAAGAAGCCGTCGATTCGAACATCAAGTAAGTCAGCGACCGTTGTTTCCGGGACTTGTGTGCCTGTGTGATGGCTCGCATGTCTGCCGCGGAGAATTGGAATACACCTGTTTCATGACCAATTAAGCCAAAGATGGTGATGGCTCTCTTAGTCCGACTGCGAGGGCCTAATTTTCGGACTTGATCACTGATCAAGTCGACGAGATCTAGGGCGTCTTGCTCTAGATCGTTCATAGCTTGGCGGTCAATGATACCTAAGCTACACTGTTAGTAATTGATATCTCGATATATCACGTCCACTCATTCACAGGACTCACTTTTCAAGACATAAGGCGACCACAGCCATTCGACTTTGGTGTAGATAGCCAACTTGCACTTTGATTTTGAAATGTACGTTATGACAATCTTGCTGACAAGTCTGAAATTTCTCCTGAAGGGTAGATGCCATGGTGTACGCTTATCTGTAACGACATAGCAAAGATGATCGTTGAGAACATCGATGATCTGGTAGTCTGAGACTTTCGTTTTATTTGGTCGACCTGGAACTCAATTTCAATTCATTAGATTGCAAGTCAGATAGTCGCTTAGTTGCTTTCTCGGGCGTACCAAGTAAATCATTCCTTTCAATAAAGTAATCAAAATCACGTCTCATGTGTCCGGAATCTAAAGTCCTCCATGGTCCCTGCTTGATGCCTGTTCAATCGGTTAGCGGAAGGCACGAAGTGAGGTGGTGGAGTATCAAACCTGAAGCCATTCTTTCATGTAATAGAGACTGCCACAACGCACTCTTGTCGCCGAATAGCACGTGGAACAAAGCCTTCGGGCTGATATCAAATACCTTCTCAGCAGCAACATGTAGATTCCCTTGTGGGACATACTGAACTGGCTGATTTGGCAGTTTGAATTTCTGAATATCCCTTCCGTTGCCGTTTCTTTCAAAATTGGCGCTCAAGTCTTTCTCCACATATACCGGAATTTTCACATCTCTATACCCTCCTGTTCCAGAACGAGAGCGAATATCTGTTGGGACATCCAATGACACATCTTCCCAGCTATCTAAGCTGACCGATCTCGGCAAAGACTCGTTCTCCATCTTCGTCAACGCCTTGAAGATCGTTTCTAGATCCGTACTCTCCTCTGACGTTGCTACCTTGATCATGTAATTCAACCGTTTTTGCAATACTCTCAGGGGCTCAAGAAACGTCTTTATAGTCACACGACCTGGTGTGTCAGCGCCGGGCAGTGAGATGATATGAAGGAACAAGAAATCGCAGTCTCTTCCAATGGCGGCAGTCACTTCAGTGATAGTATCAAGTGGTTGACTTGCTGTCAGAACGAGTCCGAAATGATGACTATAAAAGTAAATATTTCGGGTTGTCACAAAAGCACGGCCCGGAAACTCCTGGTTATCATTAGGATTCCAAGTCGCTCTAAAAACCATGACAAGGCTTTCCTCCCTTTTCACATTAGGAAAAAGAAGTCGGAATTGAGCATCCTGGAAACGGAGGCGGTAAGGGTAGTAACTGGGATACTCATGTGTAATGCCAATGATGGATCTTTGTAGCTTGCTAGCATCTCCGTCGAGACTGACTGTTTGTCTATGTCGAGCTGCTGCTGGTGTGGGTGAGGGTTTAGTATCGTCAGCTGCCGCGCTCGACGAACCCTGTGATGCACTTCCCTCACCCGAGGCTTTCGGATCTCGTAGTCGAATACCTTCGGTATGGAATGTGTTGACAAATCCCCAATTAGTACTGCCCCAAAGATTGGCCATCATTCCGCTTGGCATCCCCCCTGTGGAATCTGCAAGACCTACACCAATGCCACGCTCGTTACTCACTGCAACCGCGACCTTACTCATACTGGTCGGTGCTGGTGGATTAGCCAGAGTAACAGGGGCAAGCGTAGTTGCTTCATCACGGCCTGCTTGATTAGGATCAATTTCTGCTTGAGAGCGCGGCATAACGCCAGCAGGACTGTATGGCAATACACTGTGGCTGGCAGTGATGAGACTAGCAATGCCACCGCTACTGTTGCCCAATGGAGTTAATGGAGCCGGTGTAGTAGATTTGCGGTGAATGTCAAATTTCTGAATTATCCGGGATGCATGATCTCTACCGCTGCCTGCCTCACCATCAAGACCTGGTATACGTCTAGCAGAATTAGCGAAGTCACCGCTGGCCCTGACTGACGATGGATCGCGCTCAGGAACTGGTAATGTAGGTGTACGTTCCACGTTGGAGGGGTCGTCTCCAGCAGTGGAAGTCAAAAATTCAGTGCTGTCGGATGTGAACTCGGGCGCTGGAGGGTGAGAAATAGAGAAAGCAGGGTCTTGAACGACGAGCTTTCCAGCGACTGAACTCGCAGGATTTTCCAGTGCCTTTTGCTTTGCTGCCTCAAAGACACTGATCCATTCCATCAGGTCTTTTTGAGTTTCAGCTTGTAGCATGATGGTATTTTTCTTGGTCTTGACTTCAAAGCAGAATCTTCGCTCTTCCTGGAATGCTGGACGAATATTGCATAGTAAAACACCAATACGCTCTGTTTCTTCAACGCCGCCGGTCCTTGAGCTTTGTACCAGACACCCAAAAATTCCATTCTTCAGGAATGCCCATCGGTGAACCCACAGTGTCCTCGTAGGTTTACCGGTGGTCGTTCTTAGATACACCCAGCCCTGTTTCTCCGCTTTCGAGGGCTTCTCGCCGTCGGATTTGACGGAAAGAGCTTGTCCTAGATAGGGGACAGTAGAAACTGAATAATCATCCAATTCACGCGAAGGTCTCGTCCCTAGCTCCGCGGCATCTTCGATCTGTTTGCGCGCAGCTAACAATTCCTTAAGAGAGTACCTCTCGCTGTTTTCCATCTCATGTACCCAACCTTTGATTCGGTCCATATCCTGGCCCCATTTTGTAAAGTTCGTGGTGTTATGATCATGGATAAGCTTCGCCTCCCGCCACTGGTCGAAAGATATCTTCACCAGAAGTTTATCCAAAGTGTTGCGAACTTGCGGGGCTTGTATCGAAAAGTCCAAGGAGGCTTTAAGATAGGCTTTGCGGGCTTCATGTAGTTGAAACGCATCCTCCCGCAGCGCAGATGCCTCTTTTTGTTTTGCCTGTCCAGAATATCTTGACAGAAGGTGGTCATAATTCCTCTGGGTATGTTCCAATGTACGCCGTGTCTCCTTGAAAGTCCGCAAATCTCCTTGAATGAATGTCTTTATCGGGTCCACAATCAAACGATCCGCTTTCTTGATAGATCCTAAAAGCGATCCCCATGTATCCTTCATACAGTCTCCATGTCGTTTAATGGCTAACAGGGTATAGTCATGATCGATGACAGCTTCGGAAACGTTGAGGGGGTTCGTCATGTACGACATGAATGAGATCATCGACTGCTCAAAGACCCCAAGCTCTGATGCGAGCTTGCCAGCTGCTTTGGCATAGCCGTCGAGCCATCTTTCGACAACTTCGAGTTGATCGGCGAAATGGACTGTGGTCGCACGAAACGTGGGGGAGTCAAGAGCGGCTTCTTTAAGACCGACAGGTCTGAGTGATATCCATTAGCAACAAATCAATCATGCGCAATCACCGAAGGAACCTCCATACACCACACTAACGAGCTTCCCGACCTGGGGCACGGTAGTCGGCTGAGATGACGCCGCCATTTACAGCGAGTGAACAGCCATACAACGGGCTTCCGATCGCGACTTCTTCCTAAATGCTGTTGTTGATATAAAGATGATGTAAAACAAGAAAAACAGACGGCAGAGATTCCTAATAAACAGTAGCCCAGTCTTCAGCTGCTCCTCACGAGACAACGATGATGAAGATGAAGAATGACGCCAGGCAGAGAGATGCACTAGTCGACTGTGGGTCCTGGGGTAACAACAGAGCATCAAATTGGTGCCTGGGCGCCTGAGGCTTAACCTCTCCGACACTCTTGAAACCATAACAACTCTCTTGTCTACATCTCACTTTCCGGAGCATTGACTGGATATACAGGTGAAATATTGATCACTATCTGTTAAACACAGTCAATAATTTATGTATTGACCATTATGCCTCGTCATATGCAAGGATCATGGGTAAGGAGGACCCACCCTTAACCCGATCTTGTTAACATCTTGACGCTTGATTCAAGCTGCGAGGATTTCCGCATCTAACTCTATCTTATTTACCGAGTCTCGAAGACCTTATATGTCAAGAGGGCTTACATGACGCCCTAGACCCGTCTCAGCCATACTCATTTCATCACATGCTATTATGACTTCCCCTGTACCTTGCCAACCTATTGTCTCCATCACACAATGCCTCCTTCGTTCTTGTTGTCAATACCACTATGTTGTGCAATCTTTCCTAAGTGATAAATAATCATACCTTCAATTGGTTGCGACGATGGCTCCTCTACAGCTGTCGAGGAGGCAATGTCACCTTCCGGTTGCTGTAACCCTTATTTATTCACATGCTGGTCTCGCAGCCAATTATGAGTACAACTTAGGTAGCGAGAATGAGTTAATTGAAGTAAAACCAGAGCCTATACTGATTGTTCTACCTGGAGATTTAAGATACAATGGAGAACTTGACGGAGAGCCATATATATGGGACAGACATTTCGCCAATACGTCGACAAAGACTATGTGGTCTTTGTTTACAGTAAATTTATCCAACGCATGAATAAACACAGGAATTTAGCTCAGATATCATGTCAGAAAAATATCTTAAGGCGCTTAAATATACACTGGGGTATGTCCTGTAGAATTACTTCAATCTCTTCAATGCACCACTTTCATTTGCTGACTTAATGACAGTCATCTTGGCCGCTTCAAGGCGCTGTCAAATCGAGACAAGCCCTGCGAACGCGAGCATCGCCATTGTTAGCACTTTGCCATCTGGACTATCAAGCCCAACGGCATCTGAATGGAAGTATGTAAGTTACATATCATCTCCTGCGTTTGTCAGTGTCATATAACAGAGTTCACTATTATCAAAGTTTGGCTGGCTATACAGAAGCCGATTCCTTTGGTTGCGAGGTATGTTTGATTTTATTTGCCTGGGTCTCTCACCTGGTAACACTCTTCTCACATCAAAGTAATCACATCTCGTAGGGTACAGAAGATACCCAAGATGGCTGTTGCGGAGACTACAACCCAGGCCCACATGAGGTATGTAAACAGCTTTAAACTACACTCAAAGCTACTGAAAAGTCGAATGTTTCTGTTCAAAAGTGCGACGACCCGGATGATCCAAGCTGCTGTGACGGGCACTATGTGGATATAGACAGCGACTCAAACTGTGCTTCACGTGGACATCAGGTACATATCCCGTCATAAATTGCTCATATTTCTGTCACATAGCTTCCGGTGACGCCATGCAACTGATCTTATTGAGAAAGTGTTGTTACCCTACACCGGAATGCTGCGCTGGAGATTGTGTGAATACTTACATAGATCCGGTCAACTGTGGCGCATGTGGTAATGGAGTAAGTGCAAACTTTACGAATAGATTGGAACGAAAGGACGTATCTAACGATATTATGGACAGTGCAACCCCGGCCAACTATGCTGTTCAAAAGTATGTGCATCGACGAGTACTGGTAATTGTGGCCCATGTATTCTACCCGTAAGTTATGAATCTACGTTTCTTACACCAGAAGCATTTGAAAAGCAGCTAAAACACATCTCCTCAAGGTGTGTCACTGGTCAACTGTGCTGTGATGGAAACTGTGTAAATCCGCTGACAGATCCCCTTCACTGTGGCTCATGTGCGTAAGTTTAGTTATAAATTTAGTTCTTCCTATCCATGGACTTAACTCACAAGTCATTGACGGATATTTTTCTCATCTAAGTGTTATTTAGGCTGGTTGTGTCGTGGAGGATTGTGTATAGCTTCGGATAATACCCAATCCGTCTCACGCGGTGTGCCTGTAAGTTTATGCATGATTCATTTTTTATTTTATTTTTTGAAGCAAACATAGATCTGACGAGTCTGCCTAGTGCACCGGTGGTACGCAGTGTTGTAATAAGACCTGCATAATTTTCCTGACAGATAATAACAACTGTGGTGGTTGTAGGCTTCCAGTAAATACATGTACTGCATGATAATCTGATCTCAAATCCAGACAAAACCAGATAGCCAATACATACTTGCTCTGCAGTGTGGACCTACTCAACAGTGCTGCTCAGGAGCGCATAGGAATGTATTGACAGACCTACTAAGACTTTCTCCCGGGCTTGCCTTATGAAGCAAATGGGACATCAATTGATCTGACCCTGCTCTTGATAACGACAGTGTAATACTGCCACACCGAATTGCTGCTCTGGGAGTTGTACAAATTTCGAGACAGACGACGAAAATTGTGTAGCATGTGGTATTATCGTAAATTTTCCTTTTAGATCCATCTCCTAAAGGTTCTGTGTAAATGGCAACCATATATCGCTGACATGTGTAATCATGTATTACTAGATAGTGCCCATTTGGCCAACAATGTAGCAATAGCCACTGCTGCGCAAATGAGAATTTTTTTTGCCCGTTTACAGTCGGAACCAGTGGATAATGTGTAAGTGATGCTCACAGAATAGATCAACAGATATCTATTTAGTACATAACTGATATGTCAATGACATAGTACCCTGGACTTACAGATAAATGCACGATTCAAGGTTGCTGTAAAGCTGGAGAAGCTTGTCCTAATGATGATACCACTCCACCTGCCCTATTGACATGTGTAAGTCTTCCTGATATCGCGGGGTAACATCTGTTTTGGTATTTGCTGCTAAGTCATGTTATCAAATGTAGTGCTCCGCTGGAACAACTTGCAACCGCATTACCGGCCATTGTGCTTAGTAGCATAGACTTGAGCATCTTCCAAATCTTTGAATTTCAATAATGTTTTCGATGATCTTTATCTGATATGGTTTGATACTCGAGTAAAAGTTGTCATGATGTTAGGGATACGTAGGTGAGGTTGCAATTTCTCCTGCTGAGGAAGTGACATTGATCAGACTGCAATGTACTTCTGGTAAGCTTGTCAAATCTTGCTTTCATGATCTTAGGTAGGGATTGTTGGATCTTGCTGTAGAAAATTGTCTACTACTTCAATGTTAGACTACCTGATTCTGCTTAAATTTCGATTAGGTKGTAAAATATAGGCTAAGCTTTGCACCATTGACCATTCACCCTCTATGTAGGTAAGACTTGTATGAATCTTACTTAATAAGGTACTAGCCTATCATTGTCATCACTTTTGGCGTATCTCATAATAAAGACCATCTTGCCATTTAAATAGAAGTTAGGGCTTATTGAAGACCCACTGCTGTATTAAAGGCGGTGTGTCACTTCTTGGCACTTTACTGCCGCCCCACCAGTCCTAATTTTTTCGATAACGGGTCAAAAAAGTGATGGGGGATTGGAACTTAGTTCGGTCTCACACCATCTTTCACCTTTTTGCAATAAAATTGCTTCATCCATACAACATGGAGCCGCCTTCGAAGAAACCGCGCAAGCTCATGGAGGACAGCGACTCCGATAGCGACTCCGACAGCCAAGGAGGAGTCTCCGTGGCTCCCGGTGCGGACTTCAAAATCAATGAAGAATACGCTCGTCGATTTGAGTATAACAAGAAGAGGGAAGAACGGCAACAGTGTATGCTATTCAAATACTCAACCTCATGTCTAATCAACGTATACTGATAATCGATGCAAACAGTGGAAGCAAAATTGGGCAAAAGTTCAACGTCTCGCAAACCAGCCAACGGCGACGAAGCGTCCGACGAAGAAGACAGTTCCGATGAGGAAGATGAAGACGAAGACGGAGAACTCGCTACTGAAGCGCTCGATTCGGAAATTTTTGCAACGCTGAACGCCATTCGAACCAAAGACCCTCGCGTGTACGATAAGGACGTCAAGTTCTATTCAGAAGTGACAGAATCTGAGATCCCCGGTGCTCAAGAAAAGAAAACGGAGAAGCCAATGTACCTTCGCGATTATCATAGACAGAATCTGTTGAATGGCGATGCTGCAGAAGAAGCTGATGATACCCCGAAAACATTCGCGCAGGAGCAGGCGGATCTCAAGAAAAATGTCCTCAAGGAAATGGAGGAGGCTGCCAACGAGGCAAGTTCGGATGAAGAGGATGGCGATTTCTTGGTTGCCAAATCCAAACCGGACAATGGGGGAGCCACTCACAAAAAGCCGGAGGTCGAGGTTGATGTTGAGAATGCTGATAAAGATCCCGAAACATTCTTGTCGAATTTTCTTTCTGCTAGGGCCTGGATACCGACGAAGGTCTCCCAATTCCAGCCTTTCGAATCAGATGATGAGGAAGAGGAGAAGAGAGCAGAGGAACTTGAGGAAGCATACAACTTCCGATTTGAGGATCCCAACAAACTCAATGAGAAGCTCATGACACATGCTCGTGACACCGCAAATCAATTCTCTGTTCGTCGAGATGAAACTAGTAGCCGCAAGAAGAAGCGAGATGCGGAACGTGAAAAGAAAGAAGCCGAGCGCCGGGAAAGAGAAAATCAGAAGAACCGACTGCGCAAATTGAAAATGGAAGAATTAGAAGAGAAAGTCGCCAAGATCAAACAGGCTGCAGGACTCAAGGTGGCTGACTTTACGGAGGAAGAATGGGCACAATTTCTTGATGACAACTGGGACGATGAGAAGTGGGAGAAGGAGATGGCCAAGCGTTTTGGCGAGGATTACTATGCCGAGGATGACGCTGAAATAGATGAAGTCGAAGATGAATCTTCGGAGAAGAAAAAGCGAAAACCCAAGAAGCCTACATGGGACGACGACATTGATATCAAAGACCTTGTACCTGACTTTGAGGATGAAGAAGCTGTGCCTGGTATCAGCCTTATCGATGACGAAGAAGGAGAAGAAGAGGTCGATGCCGAGGACGGTGAGGAGAGCGGACGTGCCAAAAAGAAGAGTCGTACCCAAGAAAAGCACGACGCAAAGCGAGCAGCCCGTAAAGAGAAAAGGCGTATTGAAGAAGCGGTGGAGCGCAACCTGGACCTTGATCCAACTCTACTACCGGGAGCAACCAGGAAGAACGCATCTCAATTTCGCTACCGAGAGACATCCCCTCAAAGTTTTGGTCTTACTTCTCGCGACATTCTCATGGCTGATGACTCCCAGCTGAATCAATTCGTTGGATTGAAGAAGCTTGCAGCATTCCGTGACCCTGAGCGAAAACGTCGCGACCTAAAGAAGATGGGCAAGAAAGCCCGCCTTCGTCAATGGCGAAAGGACACTTTTGGCACTGAAGAAGAGCCGGAGTTTGTGCTTCCACAGGCGCCTGCTGTTGAGGAGGAGAATGATGATGATGAGATGAAGGTTGATATCCGCGAGGGCGGATCTCGCAAGAAGAGAAAGAGGTCAAAGAAGCATTAATTTGTTTTGTTGTTTGTCTATATGAATACTAGCGAGTTGTATATCTTTTTTACTATACACAGCATATCAATGTACGCTTCTGAGTTGATATTTGTTATGTCATATAGAAGCGCCTTAACCGTAAGGCATCCGAACAAAAAGAAGCTCCATACAAAATTTTGCATGCCAGACTCCGATTGGCCAATCATACAACTCGACTTCCGAGTGGGACCAGGGGAGCTCCATCTGGAACATCACAACATTGAAATTTGAAGAACAGTCCGAGGGATGACGTGTGGCAAGGGAGGGAGCAAAGTTTGCACAAGGAGATTGGATGATATTCAGTTATTGACAGGCTAACAGTAGTATCTTGGCTTTGGCATTGAAATCATATCCGAAGAGTTCGGCGTGGGAAAGTGATATCTACAAGGCTGGCGCGTCTGCGGCTCTCGCGGAAAAGACCACCAACAGTCGCCTGAGTGATGCTGCCGGAGTCAATACGTAGAGGTCATTCTAGAGAGACGTGCTCATATAAAAGAAAAGACAAGCGACAGAAGGCTTTAAGACACGCTGCAAGCATTGAAGTAGACACCCCTATCGCGGAACAGGGCTTCGGGAGATGTCGGCAGCGCTGAGAAATTTTTTCCCAGGCGAAATTTTGCTTGGCCGGTCATCCGCCCGAGCTGTTCTTCTAAGCTTAGTAGGGGTTACCTAGGTAGCAGCAGAAAACTAGTCGCTGCTGCTAGACTGGGTTAGCGCTGCAAAGTTCTCTTGCCGCTTTCCCTGTTCCCTTCCCTTCCCGCTTTAAAAATCTCTTTTCTCTCGGTTCTCCTTCTCTCCTTCTCTCTCCCTCCCCCTTCCCATATTCCCCCAGCAGTGTCTTGCTTTGCCTTCTAGACACCTGTGCTTTGTGTTTCTTGTTTTCTTTTCTTACCCCATCTCCTCTCATTATCCGTCGTAACAGACGTTAATAAACAAGATGGCTTCCCAAGGCGACAAGACCGTCTTCGGCATGCCCGTAAGTTTTTTTTCCGTTCTAACATCTATTGACCGACCATCACTCCGGAGCCCAGCTGCATCACCAACCCATCGAGAATCCATCGCAATGGCATCGCATCACTCGAAGGAATCGATTGATACAGTTAAATTCGATACAGCGATGGTTTTTCGTCGGCGTTGATGATGCCAGCTGGCGCGGCTAGTTTGGTCTGCTCGATTTCAAGTATCGTGTCACTAACGTATCACCTAATAGGGATTCGTTGTCGACTTTTTGAGTAAGTCTCATAAAACAAGCGATTTCTCCAATTGATTGGCTTTTTACCAAATCGAACAATTGGATGAATTGTTAGATTTTTGTTGGAATTGACACTAATTCATAATAGTGGGTGGTGTTTCTGCTGCTGTCTCCAAGACTGCTGCTGCCCCTATCGAGCGTGTCAAGCTCCTCATCCAGAACCAGGTAAGCTAGAACGCGCATTCATATGACCAATTTCGATCTGTCACTGCAAAACTATCGAAAGCACGGATAAAAATATTTTATCGGCAATTGATTGCTTGCAACACATCGACTGGTCAACTATTCGAGAACTAGACTAACAGTGAACAGGATGAGATGCTTCGCGCCGGTCGTCTCGACCGCAAGTACGCCGGTATCATGGACTGCTTCCGTCGTACCGCCGCTGCTGAGGGTGCTATGTCCTTGTGGCGTGGTAACACTGCCAACGTTATCCGTTACTTCCCTACCCAGGCCTTGAACTTTGCTTTCCGTGACACCTACAAGAGCATGTTCGCCTTCAAGAAGGAGCGTGATGGATACTGGTGGTGGATGGCCGGTAACTTGGCCTCTGGTGGTGTAAGTTTTTCTCTCGATGCTGTCTGTTCCATGCTAATTAGTGTAGGCTGCTGGTGCCACTTCCCTCCTCTTCGTCTACTCCCTCGACTACGCCCGTACCCGTCTTGCCAACGACGCTAAGTCCGCCAAGGGCGGCGGTGACCGTCAGTTCAACGGTCTCGTTGACGTCTACAAGAAGACCCTTGCTGCTGATGGTATTGCTGGTCTCTACCGTGGTTTCTCTGTCTCCGTTGCTGGTATCATCGTCTACCGTGGTCTCTACTTCGGTATGTACGACTCGCTCAAGCCTGTCGTCCTCGTCGGTCCTCTTGAGGGTAACTTCCTTGCTTCTTTCTTGCTCGGTTGGTCCGTCACCACTGGTGCTGGTATTGCTTCTTACCCTCTTGACACCATTCGTCGTCGTATGATGATGACCTCTGGTGAGGCCGTCAAGTACAAGTCTTCCTTCGATGCCGCTCGCCAGATCGCCGCCAAGGAGGGTGTCAAGTCCTTCTTCAAGGGTGCCGGTGCTAACATCCTCCGTGGTGTTGCTGGTGCTGGTGTGTTGTCTATCTACGACCAGGTTCAGCTCGTCCTCTTCGGCAAGAAGTTCAAGGGTGGCTCTGGTTAAACAGCTTAATCAAAATCAGCTGTGAGCAAAAACGGATGACGATGGGGACGAGGGGATAGAGTGTGGAGGTGGTTTCTTCAGGATAGAAATATGCATCTGGGTGAACTGGAAGCATAGAGCACTGGAAGTTTTTCTATTTGTTGTACTTTACTACTACTGCCTGCCAGCCTTTTTACTTTTATCCTCTGTACGTTCATACAAGATGCAATTGTTTTTTCAGTATTTTGCCGCCCCTAAACGCATCTGTAATGTAGTGGAAGAGCCACCTGTTAGCTTATCACGTGATATGACGTCGCGCGTGAGTTCATTCTAGCTTATCCCTAGCTGTATGACGACTAAAGATCTCAAGATAGTCTTCATCCTATACATAAATTGCTGGCAAATACTTGAAGATCGCAGAGCGAACAAGATTATCAAAATGCCACCGATCCGCACATTCAAATCGGCGCCTATCAATTCCCATTCAGCAGCTAATACACCTACACCAACGAGCGAAACTCAAGAACAAAAACAACAACACGACAATGATGTCGGCTCTGGAGAGACGATTGGAAATGAAGGAGCCCCGGCATGGACACCAGCGACACCAACCGCAGCGGCAAGTATAGGAGACACCAGGTACCCAGCAGCCAGACCAGGTGCGCCTGCAATGCCAGCGCCGACATCTAGTACTTCAGTGAACACATACACACCTACTAGAACATACCCAACCTCAACCTTGAACTCAGCAGATCAAACCTCATCGCCCCCAGCTCCGCAACCAGGATCCCGCCCTGTGCCGCCTACATCATCATCATCATCATCGTTATCTCCCTCCCCAAACAGAGCAACAGCGACAGGAGCGGTACCACCACCCCCCAAAGTCGGCGAAAAGGTCCAACCAGCATCATACTACACCCCCTCTCCCCTCCAACAGCAGCATCAACAGATCATCCCGAACTCCACCTCAACGCCGTACTTATCCACGTACCAACCTCCTAGCTCCTACACGTCCACGTATGTAGCTGGATCCGCGTCTGGATTGCCACTATCACAGCCCGAGCAGTCAAATAGTACTTCTGCAAGTAGTATATTTGACGGTGCGCTCGGAGAAGGAACGACAGGGCAGGATATATTGAATACGGCGAGGTCGTGGATGGCGTCAGCGGGCAATAAGTTGGCGGAGGCGGAGGAGGAGGTTTGGAAGATGGTGAATAAGAAGTCTTGAGTCTAAATGTCGAACTATAGCTAGGTGGATAGGTGCTACAAATGATACCTGGATAGATGATGGTAAATGTATTAAAATCTTGTTATTCGTACGTTGACCAACCTTGAAAGTAGGCAGGGTCGAACATGAGTAATATATATAATTGTATGAAGATAATATAGATGCAGTCACAACTGCCTGAGCAACTCAGTACTATCAATAAAGATGACCAAGTGCACTGAAACGAACAGACACAAATCCACAAAACAAGCGACTAGTTCAATACAGTCAAGATGACCAACCGCAAGTTGTTTTTGGTGAAAGAGAACGCTTTGTCTCTGTCGTTGCATTTTCAACGATGCCAACGCATCGAAAGACCAATAACCGAGGACACACCCCGTTCAATATCGTCATAAGTATTAACGCAACCAATAGGCAAATAAATATGCATGCAGAGTAGAAATCCAGACCGAGCATTCGACGCTTGCTTTCGCGTAGGCTCCAGGTCAAATCAAGCCAATAATCCCAACCAGAGTAAAGAAACCAGAACGCCACCGTGCCTTTATTAGGCAGAGATCCCATCCCAACCCAATGATAAAAAATTATGTATCGTACCAACGCCAGTCCAACCAAAAGAGTGATAAGTGGCCGGCAATGGTATCGTAGCGTATGTTGAATAAAGCAAATATTATCGCAAAGAGGCCAGCTCGTCATGAGAAACAAATGAAACTGTCGTTTTGGCCGGTCAACAAGAACAGACAACGTAGCCGACTGTTGAGAAACAGGTTACATAGAGCCCAAACGTAAAAGCGCCTCAACTGCGGCGCGTTCTTCACGATCACCGCCAATGCCGTCTGGTAATGAAAAACCTAATTGTTGAATCGTGATTCCGCCCGGCACAGACTTGGCCAGGGCAGATGATGCAGGACCGCCAGGGTGACGCTGCACACGTGTATGTACAGAATGGTTTGTATTTACAATCCCTCCTCCATTGAGGGATCGGGCACGAAGGGCATCGGCACCGATGCCGGCCCAGTCTTCTTCGTCGGTGACGTCGCCTTCATTCCATTCGTCGTCTGGAATGGCGTCTTCCGGTATATCAGACGAGGAGCAGTACTCGGGGACGTCGTCACCGTCGAGGGACATTCTATCAGCTTCGTGATCACCAAAGTCGAGATCGGAATGCGAGAAGATGGCCGAGTCGGCTACGCTGGTTCCGTAGGCTGGTCTATTATTCGTGGTTCGCCATTGCGAGTGCTGAGGTATCTGCATTCCCCCAGCAGCACTAGGGAGGCTGGATGGCGGTGACGTAGAAGCATAAGATGAATTATAGGCTTGCCGTTCCCGGGGCGGCTGGCCACTTCGACGAGCATCCCAGCGACCCCAGCCGACTTTCTCGAATATAATATTCCCATCAATGCCACCACCTTCGCCACCATTGCCTCGGCCTTCTAGGGCTCCAACGACCAATCTGCGGGCCTTGGCAGGAGGGATGCCTGCGAAACCCGGCACAGTGGTGGTAAGATGGCCCATGACATGGCGGATGGCTAGTGGGCCGTGAGCGAGCAAGATATCGGGCAAATGGTACTTGGCCAGCATCGCCGGGGTGATGGCACCCACGCTGTCGACGTTTTGAGCACTGTTTGACACATGAGGATGATGGTCCTGGCTTTTGGCATGGTCGACAGCGTCCTGCAAATCGATGTCCGAGTCGACCTGCACAGGAGCGACAGGAGGGGAGAAGGATAGGTTGCCCACATTGTGGTGAGCCTTATTCTTAAAACCGTGAGGCGGGAGAGTAGGGGAGATCGAGTTTGGAGGAGTAGGAAGCATAGTCGGCTGTCCTAGACGAGCAGATGCGACAGCGAAGGCGCCCCTGCTGTCCTTGACAGCGTCGCGAGGGATCGGAATATCCATCGAAGCGGATTTAGCAGCAAGCGCCATACCTATATTAGACACAGCCATTTGGGAAGCCATGATCGCGTTGAATATGGGTGCAAAGAACTGTTGATGTACCCGGGGGCGATGAGTCAGTGTTCGGAGTCCGAGTAAGATAAGGGGGGAACGCGCGCGATGCGACAGAGGCAAGGTAAGAACTCACGTCACGTATGTCGCGACTTCTGTATTGCTTTCTGATTTATCTCTCGTGAGAGATAAATGAGTTTATATAAAGCTGGCTGTTGACAGAAACCGGTCACTCAATGAAGCGATCGATGCAGGTACTGCTGCTGGCTGAGATCGGATGCGACGCGCTAACGGAGGTAGGACAGGCGACAAGCGAAAAGCAACTGGTCGGGCAAGTAAGAAAAGAAAGATTTTCTGACTGGAACGAGAGCAGTTGTAGATAGTATCGTGGCTATAGCGTTGTTCTTGGTGGTGAATAAGAGAAAGGAAGAAGGAGCGAAAGAAAGAGAGGGAAGGCAAGGACAGGCCATGGGCTATATCAGGCAGGCGTACTATCTATACAGATCAATACGGATTGTGACAGAATGACAGTACGGAACTGCGTAGAAGTACGGGGGTGGGGGCAATGACGGAGGGCGAACTCTAAGGACTGGGACGTAATGGCGATGTAGGAGACGGTAATTTACCCCGGTGTTCCCTGGCTCGGGTTGGTTTTTGTTAGGGCCTTGGGTGACTCAGGGTCTGTAAGTTACCGGTACGTTACGCATAGCCAAACCTGATCTGAGCCTGATCTGAATAATGAACGGGCAGAAACGGCGCACATGCTGGACGAGGGCGTCCTCGATAGGATCGCCCATGCCCGGTTCCGGATAGACACAGAAACAGACAGAACAAGAGCCGACTACGTATGGCTGACAGCAGCCAGAACTGCAGCACATGGCCACCTTGATTGGCGATAAGCCAGCGCGGGTGCTTTCGGACGACGGAGAGCGCGGATTGGTGCCTTGGAGCCTGAGGTCCAACCATCCAGCCTAGTCCACCACAGGCCTGGCTGGTCATGCGCACGCTGTGGCCTGATCTGATTTGATTGCATCTTATCAACTTATCAGCGCGTCTCTCTCACATACCACGGAGAACGTGCTGTCTCCGCTGTCGCCACAGGGACGCGAGTTACATTGCTACATTGCTGCATCTGCTCTCGCTTATCGTTGGATTCCTGGACTGAGGCATTTAACGTCCCAAGCCAGTCTTGGTTGCTGAAAGGCTAGATTCGGTGACTTGACTGCTGCTACCCACGGAGTACCTACTGCTGATACTACCACCACGCTACGGAGTAGGTAGTAGGTACGTCTCTCAACAGACGACTTGGCGCTCCATCTAGTGGCATTCCCCACCACACCGTGACCCTGTACAGGAAGTACTAGAAGAACAGTGCGATAATTACTTGCATAAGCGTCATGCCCGTGTGGCCGCGATACGCGAGACTCAGCTTAAGGAGGGGTGGCCGTCAGCTAGAATCATCCCGCACTAAACTGTAAGACGAATCCTCTGTAGGCACGTGGATCGATCTTGTCTTGTTGGGCTATGGTATTACCTCATCTCGAACCACTTAGTTCATTACCTACAAAGATACTTAGTGAATGGTAGCTACTAATCCACCGATTTTCAGGCACTTAAGGGCGGCGTTTCAGACAATTTCAGGGAATATTAGCTTGACACCACGCAACGTAGAGAGAATGACGTCTAGCTTCGTTTCGCATCTTTTGGTCGACACTTCAGAATTTCCCTTTTCGGCCGATTCAGACGTTGCTGAGGTGTTCCTCTGATGTCATAGCTCGTTGTCTCGTTGACGCGAAGGGCTTTGATGGAGTCATACAGGTAAGGCTATTTCATTAAGGAAGTATTTCGAAAGTTGAGATACAACGAGATACAACACATGCACGAGTTTCAAGTCATTGATTGTGCGATCACGATCAAAGCCCTAATCTAAGGTTTCGCGTTCCGTTCCTTCCTATTCGGGATCAATGACCTCAAAGCCCTATCATGGGTTTCCCTTGCCCGAGTCGAAAATCAATCCGATTCATTTCTTACTCTTAGGCAAACCGGCGCAGGCATAGGGTCCAGTCAACGGGAACTGCTTTCTTTAAAAGCATCGAACAAATCAATGAGTACTCGGTTTGTTATGTGTTCGGACCGGGACATCAGGAATCGGAACGCGGCTACACAAAAGTGGCGAAATCTCCACCTGAGCAGCATCCGACATTTCTTCCCCTCATTCATCTATTCGCTGTTCACTATTCACTATACCAAGCTATTTACTACTTATGCATCGGAAATAGATACAAATTTGACTATAGACAAGAAATATGTGATATTCGTCCCGAATATGGGCAAGCCAGGTTCAGGAGGCAATCCATCGCTCTTGGCACAGATCCGAGAGATGTCACCACATGGACACTTAGATTTCTCATATAACATGTCAAAAGTATCGACCCATTGATTCCTAAGTTGAGCTTTCTTAAGCTACATATATGCATGCCATCACCTTCGAAATGGGTTCAGTCAACGTGCCCTATTCTCCTACCAATGAAGCTCAACGAATTCTAGGCTTCTTGTGCAAACAATCGCAAGCCTTGAATTTGCCTGATGCGGTAGTCGAGAATCAGGATGCAGTCTCTTTCAATTCCACTACCAACTCTATCTATTTCCCCATTCCGTTCAAGGAGACTGAGACTCTGGCCGCGTTGAAGGCTGTGGAAGGGCTAGTAGCGGGAGAGATTGCGAATCTTCGATATGGAGCGCCATCTCAGAGAAAGAGGTGTGTAGAGATTAGCTTAGAGGCAGCCACATATTTTGCATGCCAGGCTTATATGGCCAAGGTTGGGGGTTTGGGGAAGCTGGATCCTGGTGTGAAGACGAAACTTAAAGGTGCTGGATTTGTCCTTATCTGGGAAGAGTTGAATATTGACGTTTTACAGATACCGATCTCCTAGCTGCTCAATCAAATGGGTACAGAAGAATGTCTGCCAATCTGTACAAGACTAAGGATGAGCGATTCTTCCACATTCATGGCTCCCTAGAAGCTACTACGACCCTCAATATGATCGGTCTGGAAGGCCATAGGCCAGAATTGACTGATTATGAGGAGATTATCAAGACTATTGAAGAAAAAGTGCAGAAATTTACCGCAGCAGAACTGGAAACCATGAATGCGGAACGGAGACAGGCTGGTGTTACGGCGTATAAATATGAGGATTTCGTCAAAACACCTCATGTAAGCACTCAGCGACACCTTGGAAATCCGCCTTCTAACCTTTAACAGGGTCAAATTAACGTAAAAGAGTCGCCATGGAGTGTCAACCCCCTCAAAGGCACCATACCCCCAACCAAATTTCCCCCTGCCCCAGCAGGAAATTACAAAATACTCAGAGGCATCAAAGTCCTCGAACTCTGCCGCATCATCGCCGGACCAACCATCACCCGTATCCTGGCCGAATACGGCGCAGATGTCCTCAAAATCACCAGCCCGAATCTGAGTGACGTGCCGTTTTTCCAGGTTGATGGAAACATGGGCAAGCATGCGGCTGATTTGGATCTGAAGACCCCCGAGGGAAAAGCGGAGTTTGAGAAGTTAGTAGCTGGCGTTGATGTATTTGTGGATGGATATCGACCTGGTGCTCTTGAAAAGCTCGGGTATGGTCCGGAGAAATTGGCTGAGTTGGCTGAGAAACGAGGAAAAGGGATTGTCTACGTCAATGAGAATTGTTTTGGGTATAAAGGGGAGTGGGCAGGTAGACCGGGATGGCAGCAGATTGCAGATTGTGTATGTCCCCTATCAAGCCCTCTTCTTCCACTAGAAATGTATCAGGAGGCTAATTGAGTAGGTAACCGGCGTGGCATGGGCACAAGGGCAATTTATGGGCCTCAACACGCCCGTCGTCCCTCCCTTCCCGATCTCAGACTACGGAACAGGCTGCATGGGTGCCATCGCAGCATTGACAGGTCTATACCACCGTGCAACAAAAGGAGGTTCTTACCACTGCACATCCTCACTTATGCAATACGATCTTTTGCTGTTTGCAATCGGACAGTATTCCGCAGAGACGCAGGACCAGCTACGAAAGGAACAATTACCCGAATTCTTTGCCTTAAGACACCACGACAGCGTCGATAGGATATCAGCCACGACGTTGCAGATGCTTCGAAAGCGATTTCCGGACTTGTTCGTTGCTGATTCTTCGAAATCGTCGCCGTATACGGAGAAATGGTTCGCGGAAAAGTATGGTGAGGAAATTGAAGTTGTCAAGCCGGTGGCGAAGATTGAGGGTGTAGAGAATGGGTTTGTTCGTGCTAGTCGGCCGAATGGGAGTGATAAACCGCTTTGGGAGGATTTTGAGGTTGACGAGAAGGACTACCGGATTTAGGCTAAGGTTTATTGTGTGGGCAGGATATGAGCCGTTTTGATACTCATATAGCTAAATAGAACGTAGAATCAGGGTGAATACAGTCTAGACTGCGGAACCTTACATATTCGGTACCCTATCCGATCGTTACAGTTCGGCTGTACGTCATACACCGCATTCTGACCTCGCAGTCACTGGCCTTGCAGTTTTAGGAAATCGATTCAGCCGATTAGGGTTCTACCTGTTACCTGGGTGTAGTTATCTATATCAACTAATTACCAATCACCCCTCCGCTCTCTTAATTTATATGGCAGATCACCTTCGGCTGAATCAATTTTTACATATGCCCCTTGCACTTAAAGTACCACACAACAGACACAAAACCCAAAGAAGAAAGAGACAACAGGAAAAATGGCACACAACATCCAATCCACAAACATCCCCTCCTCCGGCTCTTCCCCGGTAAGCAGCGAAAGAGCATCGACTCTGAAATCATTCATGTCCTCCTTCTACACAACGAGCGACAATCCCACAGCCCATGACGAATATGCAAACTTCTTCACCAAGAACGCCACCTTAATCATGGGCGGGAAAAGGGCGGATGGATTTGACGGTATTCTATCTTTCTTCCCCTGTAGTTATTGATTTCTGACGACTCAAGATATCCTTGCATTTCGCAAATCTATGTGGACAGCAGTCACCTCACGCAAACATGTCGTCACAAAGATCTTCTTTGGTGATGATAATGATATGATGCTTCATGGAACCGTGACCTATGTCATGAAACAGGATCCCCAGAAAAAGGATGTGAAGTTTGATTGGGCTGCGAGGGCGGAATTTGAGGATGGTCAGGACGGGTCAAAAATGAAGTATTATCAAGTTTATTTGGTATGTTCCTTCCTTTATTTCTGCTTGGATTCAGAATTTTTTTTGTTTCAGGCTAATTCCTGAGGAATAGGATACTGCTGCTCAACAGGCTCTTGCCGCTGCCGTGCAGAAATCATAGTTACTTGCGATTTGTACTACATCTTGACATGAAGAAAGTGTTTCAATCCATCTTCCAGATGTCCTTTGCTTTTGTACATAGATACACTGTCATACCCAAGAGTTACAGATAACTATCAATTCCATACATGGGTATATTTCCGGAATACAACCCCGTGTCCTGATTGAGTGGCCACAACATGTCGAAATGAATGACTTCCTCCAAAATAGGACCTGGATCAGGACCCAAGAGCTCCTCTGCGCCGGGAAAAACGAGTCCCTCAACATTATCCCCGAAGTGGTTGTGGTGATCACCAGATAATCCCGGTATGGTGGATAGATCTAGGCCTGCTGTGGTGGCTATATTGGGTAGAGTGCTTTCTCCAACCGCATTGTTGGCTTGAGGCAAAGAAGTAGCAGCCCGAGGCCAATCCCATGAAACCGGTAATTGTGTCGACTGTGTAGACATATCCGCGGGTGCCATGGTAGTAGCGGTAGCTCCACTGTTATTGCGCCCACGACGTTGAGAAAGATGCGCTTTTCCCGAGAAAAGATCTTCTATCGGATCCTTCATGGTATAGGGTTTGTTCGTGGTCTCCAGCAAGCCATTCATCGACCGACGATCGGCAATTGTCTTCTGGAATGATTTAAGAATGTGTAGGTAACGAGCTGCTAGTATATCGGATTCGGCGAAATGCTGATGTAGGTAAATGGCCATTTGCGCGATCGAGTCATTCTCGGGGTTTTCGTAGACGTTGAAGAATGAATTTGTCAGTACAATGAGGGCAGCGATGAACATCCAGTTTCTAACAAAGACAAGGAAAGAAATTAGCAAATAAACTGCAATAGGAAATTAGAAGGGAACATACATTATAAAAGGATTCCTCCGCGGCAAACATCCCTTCACCCGAATCGTCTGCACAGCACGAATCATATGCGTCGCCGATCGGACGCAAGCAGCAGAGTATTTTTTGAGCTCAGGGTTCTCAGCTACGCGTATCTCGCTAGGAGAGCTTGCAACTGTCTCCGATGTATCTGGTGAGTTGTGAGCAGGAGGAGGGTTGCGTCTCCGTCGTTCCTGAGCAATAATCTTTTTAACGTGAAGTAGCAAAAATGGCCGAGTCAGAAGAATGATAGTATGGAAGTATGTCATCCACACATGCAATTGACCTATGGCTTTTCCCGGGTTATCGTCTGGCATGGGCGTTGGACGCCATTGTAATATCTCCGGTAGTGATTGTGTCCACTCGTGGATCTGAACTGCCACATTTCGTGCAATCTTTAACGACACTTTGCGTGATCGGTAAATTTGATGCAGGATATTACCATGTATCTGAGCTGCTTGTACGGATGAAAAGAGGGCTTCGAATTCAAAGTTTTCCACGGCTCCTGGGGACAAGTTTGTGAACCGGTCTTTGTGAGGGAAAAGCTCTTCGGAAATTTCTTCGTCTTGGATTGAAGTCGGTCGGCCAAGGCAGGATGCTAGAAATCGATCCATGATATAGAGGCTACGCCAGAGGAGAACTCTAAGTTCTATCAGCATCATTCGTCAATAATCTGCATCAAGAATAAGAATCTCACCTTGGTAGAGACATCGAGTGCTTGTCTGTCTCATCATATACTCGTTGTGTTTCGGCCCTATGCAATCCCAGCGCATATGCAAGTCGTACAGCCATGCCTAAAGAGTCAGCCGAGAAAGTTATCGTATACTTTCAAAGCAACGTACCAATATAGGCCCATGCCGTGTTTCTCTTCCCCACCGATAACATATACAAAGTCATAATTAGCAGGGCTTGGATAGATGCGAAATCACCGTCCTCTATCCCTGAAGCAGAGTCTTTGAGATGCCTTGCGCCCAGGAAGAACATCTCACTGCGATCGACGTTGTCCGAAAGCAATCTTTTGAGAATCGCGGCTTCTTTTGGTGACGGTTGAGCCGGAACGCAGCGTAGTTGAAGGCCTACCGCAAAAACAAGGTATAAAATGCACATCCATGACTGGTCTGCTGCGAGGGGATTCAGATATGTGCGTTCGACGCGTTGTTTGAAAACTTGTTCGTCGAATAGATGCAGCATTCCTTTTGTCTTTATACAAGTCAATAGCTATAGAGACAAGGATGTAATTAAAACGACTTACGTTGGTAAAGAATGAGTCTACCAGATACAACGCAGCTTCACGATCTGGAAGCGTAATTGCATACTGAAAAGTAACAGGTTGTGCCTGCATCGATGCCTCGAGGATATTGTGCCGATGTGGATCGACTGTAAACATCGAAGTCCCCATCACGCTACCAACAAGTTGGCGAATCGTCTGTAGATACGATAAGGGAGCGGAATCTCCAATGTAAACTTTTCACATATTAGTTAAGGATCTGTCTTCTCCCTGGAGTTCAAACATACGCATTCTTCCCTTGCCGTCGTCTAGCATTCGTGACATTCCCTGTAGCTCAGCTTCGTCGGTCTCATCCGATGCCTCATCACCCGTAGTCTGGTCGACTTGCGCCGAGACTGCTGTGCTCATGTTAAGTAAAGAATCTCGATTCCGTTGTTGTTGCTCATGCTGCAATTGAGTCATATTCTGCAAAACCTTTGCCGCTCGGTCTGGCGAATACTGAGCAGTGCTACTCAGATTAGCCGTGTAGCCACCATGAGGAGGTTGATCATGGTTTACACCACTCGGTGTCGTTGAATATCCTGTCCGGTTCGTCGCATCTGTATAACCAGCCACGTCATCCAACTTTCGTTTTTTGTTATTGGTAGGCTGGTCTGATGCGGTACTGGCTGATCCTGGAGGTTTTCCAGTGGCAGGCACAGGAGCGACGAAGAAACATTGGACTTGACGCTTGCTGCAGTTTGCACAAGGAAATGTACCATTGCACTATTTTAGACCGAAAAAATTAACATAGCCCAGTGTTGGTCTACGTGACTGATCATTTTACAGACATGTATGATGACAGGGGTCATACTTTTTGTTTTCGTCTTTTGCAGTTTTCGCACGCCTGGGCAGTTCGTATGCGATTTTCTGGAGCGACCCTTCGACGGGCCATGACGGCCTTGCCGCAAGTGAACGAAAGCGAGTGAAAAAAAAGTCGTTAGCTCAGAATCGTACACAGTCGCTGTGCAGGTCTGGCATCCGACAGGAACGGCTGACGGGTCTTTCGGATCGTGTCGACCGAGCCTCTACTTCCGAGTGTCGCGTTCTGATCGAATGGATGCATGCATTAGCGGGCTGAAACCGGTCGGAGTAGTTTCCTCTGTTAATGCTACGCACAAAGGTCTTGAATACGCGCCAGCTCGGGTGAGGGATGCGAAAAGACTGTTCAATTGACGGTGGAAGAGCCGAGTTTGTCCCCCGCAATTTCGGAGGCGTGAGGTCTGAATAAAGTGAAAAGCACACGCTGTGATTGGTGAAACCCGAGAAAGTGGGGCTCTCATACAATGTATTTTCTTCTATAGAACGTGATGCTCGAGTAAAATAGTTCTACAGTTCATCTATACTCTAGTCTAACATAATTACCTCGATAATCGTACATATACGTGTATTGAGGCTGTCGAAGATACGGCTCCAACCTAATTCGCAACCAACTCAACATTGGATCGGAGAGACGTCAAGTATTCGTCTACATGACACAACTATTCGGTCTTAGCACTCGCACTTTGAAGAAATTTACCATCTTTCATATCGCATATCAAGAACCAACCGTGGCCATTCATCATGCCATACATTGAAGTAAACCAAAAACGTCTCAACTACTCTGACTCCCACCCCAACGGGCCTCCAGCCGGTGGTCTAACCTACATCTTCATCCACGGCCTAGGCTCCTCCCAAAACTACTACGGCGGCGTAATCCCGCACCTAACACCAAACCACCGCTGCATAGCAATTGATACCTATGGCTCCGGAAGATCCGCTTTTACAGGGTTGAGCCAGTCTATTGACACTATTGCGGATGATGTTGTGAAGGTCATGGATGGACTCAAGGTGTCAAAGACTGTGCTTGTTGGTCATTCAATGGGAGGTACGACGGTTTTGCAGTGTGCAGCCAAGTATAGTGATCGAGTTGATGCGGTGGTGGCTATTGGGCCTGTGCATCCGACAGCTAGCACGGGGCAGGTTTTTGAGAAGAGGATTCAGATTGTGTCTGAAGGTATGCGATTGTTTCTTGAATATTGCCGAAAATTCGCTGACTTGCTGGCTACTTGAATAGATGGAATGGAACCAATGGCTAACACAATCCCCAACGCAGCAACCGGCTCAAAAGCCACCGCGTTACAGAAAGCGTTCATTCGAGAACTCATTCTCGGTCAATCGCCCGAGGGATACATCTCGCTCTGCCATGTTATTTCTGAAGCGACTGCGCCGGATTATGCTGCGATTAAGGCTCCGTTATCGATCATTGCTGGTGCTGAGGACAAGGCTGCACCGTTGGAAGGATGCAAGCATATTATCGCGAATGTGTCTAGCCCTATGAAGACGCTTGATGTTTTACCTGGAGTTGGACATTGGCATTGCATTGAAGCGAGTGATGAGGTTGGGAAATTGATTTTGAAGTTTACAAGATCGCATAGAGATTAAAAAACTAGAAGTTTAGTCAACGTGAATACTATGAGCAATTCTTTACATGTAGTTCCAGCTCTAAAATAGAAACTGGATGATATGAACATTTTTAGTACAAAATACATGTCAATACAACATTCACAACTCCGCAAATGACAACATCCCGCCCATGCTTAATCCCGCTCAAGAATCTCTGGCAACTAGCTTCACATCATAGGTTAATTCAGTAGAGGCTTTGGGATCACCTTTCCGAGGAACAAAATCCACGATCAAGGAATCCTTCACTGCAAAAACAGAGTCGTTGGTTAGGTACGGGTCTTTTCTGTCGAATATTTGCGTGACGAGGGGCTTGTATCCGTCGTGTGTGGCCTAGTCTGGTCAGATTATTGCTGCTTTCTTAATAGGAGAAAAGTATACTTACGAAGATATGGATGTGTGCGGGACGATAAGGGTGTCTGTCCATGAGCTGTAGCAATTTTCCTGCCGGGCCTATATATTGAGATAAGTACCATGGCCGTGTACGTAAAAGAGCAAATATACTAACCATCGTCAGGAACAGGATACGGTGTCGGCCTCAGACAATAAAACCAATACCTCCCATTCTCATCAGTCGTAAACTTCCCTCGCAGGTTATGCTCAACTTGATTCGAATCTTGCTGTTCATATAATCCATTGGTAGATGCCTGCCACACCTCCACAGTGGTGCCCGGGATAGGTTTCTTGGTCTTGTAATCCACTACTTGACCCTGCATAAAGACCATTTCTCCGTCGTCGACTCCGGTAACGACGATACTGTCGCCGTTTTGTCGGACCATTGTGTCTGCCCGGAAAAAGGGGCCGAGGATGGCTGTTGCAGTTGGCGCATCTGCTTCGGATGCTACTTTGTAGGTGATTTCATCTACTAACCTTCATCCGGTAAGAGTTGTTAGTATAGTATGATAAAAGTAATATCTTTTGACACCGCAACTTACGATTCAAGTCCGATAACATCACACAAAAGTTGTCCCTCATTACGTTTGGCATCACTCATTTGTCCTGCCCAGTTGATCATTTGTACACCTTGCATCCACTCATCGACCGTCAATTCATTCTCTCGCGCAAAATCGTGAATGTGTCGAATGAAGCCGCTCATCAACTGGCGTAGACGTGGGTTTGTCTTGGGACCCATGGCGTCGATAACGCGGTCGGTAAATGTGGGATCATATTGATGACCAGTCATTTTGATATTATCTTCTATTTCTCTCCTCTTGCTATAACGGTATTTCAAAGTGATAGTAGAATCTGCCAAAGAGTGATGTCCGTAAAGAATTCAAGTAATCTGAGCAGTCTAATTACATAGGTTGATCCAAGCTGGTCACCAGCTAGTCCGCCAGCTATAAATAAACAAGTCAAGCTTATGTCACAACTCAACAAAACGTCTTAGACGTCTGCGAATCGAGCACCATCGTACGACTCGACGTGGCGGATGTGTCGGTTGTTGCATTGGAACAACTCGGGTAAAGCACCGTGTTCCCCGCTTCGGATGTTTTCCCCTCATTATCTCCCCCCACAAAACTTCTTTCACAATATTCACAATGTTCAACGTTATGCCGGCTGGTCGCGTTTAAGTTATATGAACTGATGAGTTTTTCGGCAGTGTGATAATGTAGCGACGGTAGCGGGACAAAGGGTGCAAAGCAAAAGTGAACCATATCCTTCGGTAGACAGAGTAGCAGGACTTGAAGACTTGAATGTAATCACTCTGAAACGGGATATTCCATATCACTGTCCCCTTCCTCTTCCTCTTCCCCTACCCCCTCCTCTCAGTGCTTTCGGATTCTTCTTCTCTGCCAAATGTGACGGTAGTTCTTGGACGACGCGTCCATCTTCCCACAGAACACCCAGACCAGCTCTCCTTTCAACAACAAGATCAAAGAATTCAATAGGAACGGTCTTTGTCTCGCCGTCATCACCAAGGCTCATCCCTTCACTGAGAATAACGCCATTTTCACTTCGATAGAACGGACAACCAGCTTCCAATGCCCTGCGAAGGTTGATATAGATCAAGATCTCCGCATCTGACCGCATTCCTGAAATCACAGTTGCTTTCGATCTAGGGTCTAATGTTGCTAGCGGCGCATCTCGACCATTTGGGAATACCGCATCAAGTGTTGGACCAGTTGCAAAGTGCACCTGTAGTCTGCTCATAGGTCGTAGACCCCCGGACGCGAGGATCAAAGGCCATGCGCCATGGTAAGTACCATGTACAACTGTATGCGGAAGCTTCGTTGTGGCATCATCTTCCAGGCTCAATCTCTCCAGGAATAGCGCCGTGTCGACAACCTTCATACTATGGCCTTGTGTTGCTCGAATAAGAAAATGTGAGGGATCATTATCACTGACAGACAATGCATGCGCTGTCGCATTTTTCTGTTTTTCTTCCGAGGCAGCAGTGGCCACTACCGCCTCTTGCTGCTCTTGGCTCTCCTGTTTTCCGGCTTCAATGGTTTCTGGAGAAATGTAGAAGAGTGAAAATCGCTGTTTATCCGAGCTAGAGACTGCTTGTATAATTTCTGGTAATGTCGCATTTAGAGATTTCACCTTTCTCGTTTCGAGCTGCATGCTTCGTCAGAGGGAGATTTAGAAAGTAGAGGGCGTATTACGCACTAGATCTGCCACATTCACATATCCCTCCTTGCTGATCTTTAGATTCTCCCTTTCTGCAGAGTGTCGGAGCAAATGTGAAAGTGCTTTGGAGAGTACCACCTCGCGAGGCATCGGCCTGCCACCCCCTCGACGAGACATTGTCACAATAAAGCTGCTGATATTTCGGACCAGGGATGTATCGTTCTCTTCAAAGACTTGAATTGATTATAAGTTCCAGGTTTTTCCAGATGCTACAATTTCTTAGTATAAGATCACAGCAGGTCTAAATATCCCGTATCAGCATTGCGAACCTAAGAGATCAGAGTCATCATGACTCATAGGGCATACCTCGGCTCTGTGGCTAAGCAGTCTAGGCAACATTAATGTACATAGTACACAGAATCGTTGGCCGTATTTTTTCAATAAACATAAATCAATAGTCGCCAATCAGTATCTCGCAGATTGGATGGAAGAAAATAAGACTTGTTGGGTGTGGATGGCGACAAAGTGGGCCAGCCCCACCGACAAGTATTTATTCGTCCATTTTCGCTCCCAGGAGTCGAGTAAATAGACATCTCATACATCTGTAAAATCATATTAATTGAAATATTGAGTTTGTCAGCGCCTTCCTAAGTCGAATCGCGATTTCAGACTAAATAAGTCAAAATGAGCCAACGCCCATCTAAAAGGTCGCGATTGCATGGGTCAGACAGCGCAACTTTATCAGATGCTAGCTCCTCGTCTCAAGATGACGAGTCGAGAGTGTATAAAGTCGGCTACGTTGCCAAACTAGCAAGTAGAGGCTGTTTCATGCGCCGGTCATTCGCTGGCCCAATCCAGGCAGACATTGCGCTTTGCGAGCGACTCCTCCACGAATCAGTTGACATCCCTCCGGGCGTTTCGTTTGAGGATGAGTTTATAGACAGGTTTCGTAAATCATCGCGAGATCAACCAAAAGAATGGGTTCTCACGGAAGTACATCCATTGCTCGTTCCGCCCATTGAAGAGCAATACGTTGAAGAGACGGTTATACTGGAAAAAACGGTTGATGTCTACTGTAAGGAGTGGCTCAACGTAGATTCAATCTACGGCCCTCGCCCTGTGCCGGATCAAGCACGGGGATTGAAGTGGTCGGTATTCTCAGATAGCCAGCGGCAAAAGCTCAAATATCATCCAGAGGAAACTTCCCCGTTCACGGCGCGAGAGGACATGCTTTTCCCATATTTGACGACACAAGTCGAATGCGGGAACCGGGCTCTGATGATTGCAGAGCGGAAAAACATGCAATGCATGTGTATTGCTATGCGAGCGTTGTGTAGTGTCGCCCAAACAGCCAATTACTTGGAAAAGGTGCATCGTAAAATCCTCGGGTTTTCTGTCTCATATGATTCGGAACGCCTCAAAATAAATGGTTACTATCCCGAAATTGAAGATGGCGAGGTCGCGTTCTATCAGTGGCCAATTGCATCGCTCGACTATTGGAACAAACACGATAAATGGGCAAGTTATCGTTTCGTAAAGAACCTTGATTGTAAATTCCTCCCTATTCACACCAAGCGAGTTATGGATTTACTAGCAGAGATCCCGGTACCCAAAGACTTTCTTGACGAGGCCGACAATGAGGATGATATTGATTCGCAAGAACGAAGCATTGCATCTCAGGATCTGTCGAATCTGCAAAACATGCTTCATACGCTGAAGCGGCAATCGGAGGATCGGGAAGCTCGACATGCGAAACATCTAGCCCAATTCAGTAGGGAAGTGATAGGAAATTTAGGGCGGCAGGAGGATTTTCTTACTCAACTACAGCAGCAGAAAGAGCGAGAAGAAGAGGTGCTCTCCCAAATCGAGGAAAATATCGTCGAGCGGAAAGCTCGTCACGAAAAGCTCCTTGCCCAATTTGCGCAAACTATGTCAGAGAAGAGAACGCTATGCCAAAACTTGCTCCCTATAGCAAATGAGAAAATGGCAGAGGCAATGGCACACGATGATTCAAATCTTGCTCATATGGAAGGGCAGGAGGAGCAGATGATACGACGAATTGAAACATCAAGTTAGCCCTTTATCTTTCTGTACCATGCTAAGATGCACGGTTTAGAACTAAACTATTCATACGAAATTTGGCGCATTTACGTTCTTGGTCATCAATGTTTTCTTTTTGCGATTCGTGGTAACCAAATTGGATTAATTAAAGAGCAGAGCTGATATACATTTTGAATCTATGTTACAGGTTTATTTAATGAACCATCCTCATTCGTCTTGGTCAAAAAGCGAACCATTTGTCCAGAGCAGCTTTCGCTGCGTCTATATCCGGTTTCTCATCATCTTCTATAGCCCAAGCAGCAAAACCATCAGGTCGAACAATCACAGCCCCAATACCGCGCCTATCCTTTGCAGACAAATTCAAATAATCGATTCCAGCTCCATACTGTCCTTCAGCCAACTCCTTGAGCGCCACGTTATCCTGAAAGTCAATAATCAGACCTCTTCCAGCAGCCATTTTACTGCCCAGCCTTGAGCCATCCTCGAATTCGAAATCCGGTACACTACTTCCGACGAGAGGGTGTACGGTCTTGCCGTCGTTCGCGTCGAGATTGTACCGCCCCGTCAGGCCCCAGAAGCGATCCAGGAACATGTTCATCCCGTCGGGTGTATCAATGATCTCGGAGATCAGATTGCGATTTGCCCTGCCAAAAGGCCCTGGTTGCAGTATCGAGACTTGAGCGCGTGTCCAGTCGAGTGCCCATGCTGCGATGGGATGACGTTCGGTTTCGTATGTGTCCAGTAAATCTAGGTTTGCTGCAGCATTATCGTTGCTAGCCTCATATCGTAGTGTTGCAGCTAGCTTCCAACCCAGGTTGAAGGCATCACCCAGACCCAAATTCAAGCCTTGAGCTCCAAGTGGCGAGTGAATATGCGCAGCGTCGCCAGCAAGTAGAATCCGGCCCTTGCGATAGGTAGCTGCTTGCATACAGCGGTCAGTGTACGAGGATGCATAGTGCACTTTTTCAATTTTCAGGTCCGTGATGCCTGTCACTCGGTTGAAAACTTCCTGGAGGTGTTCTCTTGTGATTTTCTGCGTGCGATCATATGCACCATCATCAAAGTCGAATAAATGCATGCTGTTCTGCCTGATGCTGACATACATACCATTTTCAGTAGGATTGAATCCCGGCTTTAATTTCTCCGGATGGTCAAGCTCGCAATGAACAGCATAGCCTGTGAATTTAGCTGCTGTCCCCTTAAAATCAAACCCTGCAGCTCTGCGAATTGCGCTTCGACCACCATCACATCCTACTAACCACTTGCCGGTAAATGATTCATGCGATTCTCCAGCCTCTACCGTAACACTCTTGTCGTCCTGTGCCGCGATATTTTGCACACCGTGGCCCCTGAGTACAGTCACGCCCAACTTCTCGGCTTGCTTGTTGAGAAGCATCTCCACCTGCTGAAGAGTCGTCGGGGKTGGCATCAACCCCGGACCCGGAAGACGATACTTCCAACGATCTAATTCGAGTTTGTTCGCGTTGAGGCCAATACCACCAAAATGACCACCGAATTGGAAACCGGCGGTTTTCTCGGGCCCTAAGGCCCGTTTGTCGAGATCGATGAGTTCGCCTAACAGGCCGCGGCGATAGAGGGATTCGACTGATGGTGTGTTCAAGCCCCGAAAACCTAAGGGGGCGTCTTTGAATGGGTTCTCGAGCTTGGTGTCTTGCTCGAGGACTAGGACGGAGGCGCGTGCTAGACCTAGTTCGCAAGCCAGAAAGAGGCCGACGGGTCCTCCGCCGACAATGATAACGTCGTAGAGTTTATTCATGTTAAACGTTTGATAAGCAAAAACAAGTATATATCATTTTGATCATTTTTGAATAATGTCGGGGGACTTGGACGTCCTTTTATAATTCCATCCACCCTGGCCTCCTGTACCTAGGTAGGCAACCAAGTGAATGAAGCCATTTTGACCCACCGCGCTCGACTTCTCATCAAGTCACGAACTTGGTTCTCTGTCTAAAGTTCGGTGATTCGAGAAAAAACTACTTAAGAAGGATCTGGCACAGTCCGATTTTAAAGACTTCGGGAGTTGATAACTTCCCGAGCGCGCAGCCGTTCGGGTTTTGGCGGACCCCGAATGAGCCACCAACTGTTCTGGCGTCTGATTGGACAAGACTGTGCCGTACGTTGATGAACAAGCCTGTTCAGTAAGAACCCTAGATATAATCACGACGCACATTTTATTTAATACCGCTAAACAGACTCCAAAGCCCAACCCATAAGCTGCTTAAGCAAGTCCCGAAACGTACCATGTTCCTCCAACTCCGCCATGATCAAATGCAACATCTTCATCGCCACCCCCCTCAGAAACCAACAAAACCGTTCCGCCATCGCAACCAGTAATAACCACTGCGCAAACACTATTAGCGCAGCGGGACTCTTCTCAGTCACCAAAAGCTCAGTAAACCGACCCGATACCTTTTCCAACCACTTCTCCAGTCCCATCCAGGCGCTGCCTGCATCGTTTGCGTCGTAGGTTTGACGGCAGCAATCGATAAGTGCGCCGATGGCAGACATAACAGCCAGAAAGTCGATGGGTGCGTTTGGTCTGCCGAGTTTTTCGGCCATTTGGTAGGGGAGATTAGAGAAGTGCTCTAGGAGGACGCCCCTGGAGATGTCAGTGCGTATTACAGCATTTGAACTTGCGAGGTGCGTTGGGGTTTGCCTGCACGTATCCATCATTAGGGTATCGTTATCAACCATTGAGATACGTATAGAGTCCGGATTGGCACAACCCCGCAGAGTCATCACAAAGGACTGCAGAGAAATGGATTCAGGTGCAGAGTCAGACGTCCACATACATAATCGTTGTATGTAGGTCATCCGAGCACCCATTCCTATAGTCTCGACGGCATCACTCTCACCCAAGCAGGCATTCTTCATATTGCTCCTTCCGGCTAGAAATCCTTGATAGAACTGTATTGAACGTTCTTGATGTATGCTTTTGACATCCTTGTCTTCTGAAAGCACGGCCAAATGGCTCGCAGAGATAGATAGTAGACCAAACATCAACCAGCGCAGGTTAAGAGCTTGTGATACAACATCTGTCTGCCAATACTTCGCGGGGTTCTGATCTCCGGCGGGAAGTGTGTGACTTGTCGTGGTCATGAAATAGTAGAAATACCTCAGTTTCTCCAGGTCTAGATCTAACCCTGAACCTGAATCGGATATAACAGGTTGCATATGAAGTCCCGGCATAATCACCGAGTTTGAGCTTTGATGCCTCTGTGCTCCATCACCAGGTGGTGATTTTCTTAAAACTTCAACATACCTAACCTTCGTCCCCCGAAAGAACGTCTGCATATGCACAGCGGAAGCATAACCCTCCGGCAAATCCGTCAGCCCGTGACTCTCACTCCAATGCCTTCGCATGCGCTTCACACTCGCATACAAACTCCCACAACCCCCCCTTGCCGTACATTTATACCCATCAATGACCGGCAATCCATCCACAGGCTCACACGGCTCAGTCGGGAAACGCACACCACCCGCTTCCGGAATCTCCAGCTCTGAAATTGCAGATAAGAGTTGCTGTCGCTCTCCGCGATAGATTTTGTGGCGTAGTAGGTGGCTGTCCACGGCGTGTTTTTGGATTGCGTATTTGCATTCCAGGCAGATGAGGAGTTTGTGCTGGGCGTTGTAGTGAAGTAAATCACCCGCGCCGACGGGGGCATTCATACTGTAGAAATTGCGAGGAACGCATAGTAGAGAGGCGAATCAGACCTCTGGTACCGGGTTGAATGGGAAGTGGAATATTATATGTGATTCGATCAAGAAATTTTTGGATGACAGATACTGGATATAGAAGATTGATATGAGTGGGTCTTTGGTAAAAAAACAGCGGACACGAAATACGAACGAATACGGAGTGTTTGCGCCAGAAAATCGGTAATTCTAGATGCGATACGTATCGTATTCACATATCTTTCGGAACGGCATATGCGGTTCCAGCTCATCCATTTGGAGCAATTATCGTAGAATCGTGGAATCATGAGAGAAATGAGAATTATTACTAATGATCGTGTGCTGTTTCATGATGGCTTTGAAATATACAGAGATGGATGTCAAGTATAAATATACGGTTTACACACGACAAGTAATCATGTAGAACCATCGTTTTATCGCAATTCCTTCTCCAGATAACTCCCATCAAAGAAAACCAAATGGCATCAAACAAAGCTGCATGGCTACACAAAGCCGGCACTTCCCTGGAGGTCGGTGATGCGCCTATGCCAATTCCAGGCCCGAATGAGATCGTTGTTCAAAACTCTGCCATTGCCATCAATCCGCTAGATACCCATATGCAGGATGCTGGAGTTTTCGTTCAGCAATGGCCTGCTATCTTTGGCTGTGACGTGGCTGGCACAGTGTACGAGGTCGGGTCGGAAGTAGAGCGTTTCAAGAAGGGTGATCGTGTCATTGGGTATTTTCTCTATGCAAGCTTTGTTTGATTGGTAATAACGATAGTATAGGCATGCAATCAATCTAGTAACTGGAAAGCCTCGAGACGGAGCGTTTGCTCTGTACACAGCTGTGCCAGAGGACAAGGCTGCTATCCTTCCCGATGCCATTTCTTTCAAAGACGGGGTAGTAGTGGCTTTTGCTATCGAAGCCGCCGTCTGCGCGCTCTCAGTCAAGCAGCCCGGTGTCGCAATGCCTGGTGTATCTACCCCTGCTCTCGGCCTACCGTACCCATCTCTGGATTCCGTGTCTTCGAACAAGGTCCTTATCGTATACGGTGGTTCCTCCTCAGTCGGTTCGATGACAACCCAATTAGCAACCGCGGCAGGCATAAAAGTGATCTCAATCGCAAGTGAGCGCAACTTTGATCTCTGCAAGAGCTGCGGCGCGACTGAAGTGTTTGATTACCATGAGCCTTCATTCGTCGAAAACGTAATCGCAGCAGCTTCAGAAACTAGAAGAGAACTCGTGGGTATCTTTGATGCTATTTCTACGCCAGAAACGTACGCAAACGATTTTGTCATACTCGAAAAATTGGGCGGAGTCCATCTGGCCTGTGTCCATCCTCCGCCAGCAGATGTTCCAGCAAACCTCAAAGCAGGTATGATCTTTGCGGTGGATAATGTTGCTACTCCGGTTTGGAGAGACTATGTCACCCCGGCCTTGCAGGCGGGAAAACTCAAATGCCTTCCACCCCCTACCGTTGTTGGTAAGGGCTTGGAGTATATTGACGAGGCTCTCAAGAAGTGTAAAGCGGGTGTTAGCGCGACGAAGTTGGTGGTTGAGCTTTAATCTCTTCATGTTATAGTATAATTATCTCAATGCCATTTAGAATGAAACGATTTGACATATACACTTGTAAAATGTCGGCATATCACGCTTAGTAAAGCAAGGATATCAATATGTCATCGTCGCAGTCATAGATCGTCATCGTCTTCTCCCGTTCGTGTTCGTCGTCGTTACCGTTACCGTCGCCTGCTGGAAAACATATTTTCGACACGCTTCTTTCAACATGTCAATTCTTCGCTGCGTTTGAATGAACACACCACGGTACATATCCAAACTTTGCTCAACCACTTCTGCGCGTGTCCTAGTACCGTTGCAGATGTCACGCATCAGTTGTTCCATTTCTTTGCGCAAGTGTGGCTTGCTCAACGATGGGCAATCAGCGAGACCCGCAACAACATTGTCGTATCCTTCAACTAGAGCGACGCCTAGTCTTGTGGGTATCAGTTCCTGGACGCCGGTATTGCCACCGGTATTGCCTGCCGCTGCTCGACCACGACCTCGTCCTCTACCGCCTGCTTCATTGTTGGCCCCGCCAGTGCGAGGACGTGCTGCAACGTACTGTCGCTCTTTGATCTTGTTGATATGTTCTGCCATTGTTGCATCGGTACCAATGCCGTTTGCATCCATAAGCGCAATAAGTTCTGGCTCTGTCAGGTACGTGGGTGGCGTAGTCTTTCCTTCTGTGATTTTTGCTTCGGTTGGCTCAAAGACTTCACCAACCTCGAAATGGGGCAGCTGAGTGCTGCTTTCCCATTTGTCGTAAACATAAATATCCAAGTAATTTCTTTCAAGGACAATCAAACCCTTGGCATGAAAGTACTCATCGCCATACTGAATCTCCACCTCAGAAGTTTGGCCCTTGGCGTCCTCTGAACAACATGCAAGAAAGCGGCGGACTACAAAGTCAAATACTCGCTTCTCGTCATCTTTGAGAGCTGATGGCGATACTGCGCAAATGGGGTGGATGGGCGGGTGAGCTTGATCATTGTTTTTACCTGCTCGGGGTGTTCTGAAATTCCCGTCCAGTAGACTTTTGTTCTTAGCTTTGATTTATGAATTGTGAGATGGTGGACCTACCCTTGCGCATATTGTCCCCAAGTCCGGTCTGATACTTGCTTTTCAACAAGTTTTTTCAAGTCAATTGCTTTGTCAAACTGGTCTGTTTCTGTTCGTGGATAGCTGATGAACCCGCGCGTATATAGTGTCTCCGCAACTTGCATCACTTGATGGGAAGTCATCCGCAGATACTTACTGCCCATCATCTGCAGGTCAACAGTGGTTAAAGGTAACGGCCGCCATTTGCTCGTCGGTTTTTGGGTCACCTTGGTAACCTTGGCATTCTTAGCACCTAGACATCGTTCTAGCATGACAATCACGGCTGGCCGGTCAAAGAGGCGCACTCGACGCCAGTTGAAATTGACGTTGATGTCATCGCGTTTGTGAATGACCGCAATAGCCCAAAAAGGCTCCGGTTTGAAGTTTTGGACTCGAAGATACCGATCGACAACAAACCCCAATGTAGGGAACTGGCATGAGCCTATCACAGTCAGCATCTGTCAAAAGACAACTGAAAACTGATAAATACCGTAACTGATAGGCCCACGATCTAGTGGACTTCCGAGTGTCTGCAGTTGAAGTGTCTGCAGACGTGTAAATGCAGCCCCAACTCGCAGATCTAACTCAATTCTTGCAGCTACAGCATTTGCTTGCTTATCGTCTAGTTCTATCGGCTCASGAGCCGCTCTCAACACATGACTAGATAGCGTTAGTTGAGCCGTGAGCTAGATCCAAGTACTTGCATCTTGCATTTGCATGAAGACGACATACGCTCTCTCGGTGTTGCTAAACCTCGCCCTCTTGACCTCAATCCGAGCGTTACCAAGACGAGCCTGCTTCTTGACTTCGGTTCCGATATGCTCCCCTTCTCGATCGCAATCGGTCCAGATGAACAGGGCTTTGCAGTACTGTGCCTGCTTCTTGATATTCTCGGCAATGCTTAGTTTATCCTGTCAATTATTAGTAATGGAGTCGTCTAAAGAGCAACTTCAAAGAAGGCCTTACTATGTCCACATTCTCAAAGACTGGCACTTCAAACAGCAGACTAGGCGGGCACGATGTCCAACCTTTGTACTCTTTGCCAAACTCCAAGCCTGTCAAATGGCCAATGACACTGGTCATCGTCACTTCGCAGTTGCCCCATGCTCCCCCAAAGTTGAAGCTGAAGACATAATTTTTCACATACTGCTGGCCATGAATATTCATCTAATAAAACATTAGGATGGTATAACCTTTTCAGGATGGGATGCATACTGTCTGAAAAGAGCCTCCGGAAAGATGCTGAGCAACTGCCTTGGCGATGGCAGGCTTCTCTGCCACGCAGAGGATTCTATTACCCGGCATGGCTCCGATATCAACCACGGCCTAGTGTGTAGTAGATTTCATACATCTTGCCAGGAGCTGAATCAGCTGGCGATCAGCTGACGATGGAGTATTGGAAATAATCGATCAGATACTTTGAGCTAGAGAGATTCGACGTTCATTGGATGAAATCGAAAAGGAAGGAACGCGTGGGACGCGTCGCCAAGACATTGAAATGCAAGCCTGAGATATCGGGCACCCAGATCGCTGCGAACCACAACGACGCTATGATCTCATCCTAAGTGCTGGATCACCCCGATCGATGCCCATGGATAGTTGCATCGATTGATGCTTTCTTCTAAATGCAGCCTCAGATCTGATATTCACTAAACCGCCACATATAAAAGCCGGAAACTCTCGATTCGCGACATCTTGCTGGGCTACGTCGTTTGTTGCAACGGCGCTAGTCAACTAATTTAACATAACTTAGTGTTGGTGGCTGATGTAAACATTGGATCGACCTTTCTTACTCTACACATCCCTCATCCTGGCCAGGCCTACTTAGCGACGGGTTCTGAATCACGTCCTTGCAACATCGATTTTTCTATCGGCATATTGAATTGAACGAAGATCATGGCGCTCCCTCTACCTCCAATCCTTTCCCCCCAGGAGGCCGCTCAATACGGCCGGACCCTCGCACCATACGTGTTCTCGTCGCAAATCCTCGAACTACCGTCGCGCGTCATTGACGCCGCCAACAGCACAGATGTCTTACACAGCTTCCAAGAGCTCTACCTAGGGACAAACCCGATGTTGACTGCGATCGCATTTGCGCTCGCTCTCTGCCCCTTTTTTGTTCTTGCCGCTGAGATTCGCAACAATTACTCGCAGGTGGATTGTTGGTGGCCGATTTTGCCTTCGATTTACAACCTGCATTTCTATGCATGGGCGTATGGAAATGGATTGCCGACTGATCGGCTGCAAACCGTTGGAGTGATTAGTGTTTTGTGGACTGTACATTTCCACCCGCCCCCCGCTGCTTTAGCATTGTGCTCACTGACTTGACAGGTCCGCTTGACATACAACTACTGGCGCAAAGGCGGGTACAGCTGGGGCGCCGAAGACTACCGGTGGCCCATACTGCGCGAGCAAGTCAACAATCGCTTCCTCTTCTTCTTGTTCGACGTCACATTCATCGCGCTCACCCAATCGCTATTATTGTGTGCTGTTACCGCGCCGACTTACCTCTTCACTCTGCTCGCCCAATTGCCCAAGACCGGCTCAACATTCGATGTCGCGGATCTCGTATTTTCGCGCCTTTTGTTCTTCTACATCTTGATCGAGATCGTTGCAGACGAGCAACAATGGCGCTATCAGCAGGCTAAGTATAAATACCGCGACACCGGCATCGTCACCGAGGGATACGACAAGGAGGACCTCGAGCGCGGTTTCGTCGTCTCTGGTCTATGGTCGTATAGCCGTCACCCCAATTTCGCCGCTGAACAGGCCATCTGGCTTACTTTATACATTTGGTCGGCATACAAGACCGAAACGTACGTCAACTGGGCTGGTGTCGGTGCGCTGGGCTATCTGGCGCTGTTTCAGGGTAGTACCTGGTTGACAGAGAAGTTGAGTGCTGGGAAATACCCTGAGTATGCGGAGTATCAGGCTCGTGTCGGGAGATTCATTCCGCGGTGGTCTGTGAATGCGAAGGGGCAGAAGAAGGCCAATGCGGAGGCTAAGAAGATTGAGGGAAAGAAGAAGGAGTAATCTATGGTTGAGATGTGTAAGATTTTCAGTTTTAATTTTCGGTGTGTCATCTAGGTCTGTGGTTGGTGTTGTGCGCTTGGCAGTGTGTTTGATTGTTCTTTAGGTTAATCTTTTAGTTGGTGTATTATGGAAATGCTTTTGCAATATCTGTCGTTATCAGGACAAATGATATAAATGTAGCCTATAACCAGCACATCAGAACCAAGCCTTTTGATCAACTATCATCCGGGGGTGAGAAGCATACCAGTCCTCCAAAGTCTCCGAATTATCCAACATATTAGCGATTTCGACCGCTTGCGCCGAGCCCATTTCTTCACCTAACTTACGAAGACAATCCCGGGCATGTATTTGCATCGACACGGGACTCAGTGGCGATACTGCAACCACGGACAAGGGCCAGATAAGCCATCTGACTGTTGACGATAATGCAGAGGAGGAAGAAGCCTCAAGCGATAAGATCAGGCTGCAAAAGTATGGGACACTGCTGAGGATATATTCCGCCATGAGTACTGTATTAGAGGCTGCAGTTTCAGGAATGTGTTGAAATTCTTGGCCCATTTCTAGAAGCTTTTCTTCTTTTTGCTGCTGTTGTTGTTCAAAGACTGCCTTTTTATACGCGCGACAAATCCATTTATTTAAATATAACCTCAACATGCGCAACAGATTCCACAGCCGGGCACTCTGTGGATTATCATAATCATGTGCCAGCCCACTCCATCTCCAAGCCCCTGAAGCATCAGTAGGAAGAACCCGATATGACTGAATGCTCCAAAGCTGCCGACTCAACTCAGAGACCTGAGAATCTAAACGTAGCCCTTCGAGGATGACAGCCTTGTAATCGTTACAATATACTGCGCCGGTTTGCATCCCAGCCACGAGCCCGATAATGTTGTCAACGACATTCCCCACGCCGATTTCGAGGATACCGTAACTCAACGGCGGAGAATCCTTCTGCAGCAGCGTCTGTAACAGGTCCTGGATTGGTGCAGGTAGCGCGATGCGGCGTTGTGCGCAAGAAGTGCGAATATTATTGACCGTATCAAGGAATAGTGCTTGCCCAAGAACAGACTTGAATTGATCATTGCCACGGAGTCTAATCAATTCCACAGCACCTTCGATATGCGTTGTCCAGTCTGTTGGGGGAGAGCGGCCTTGAAATGCTCGGGCCTCGAACAGAGTGAGGAGATTGATGGACATAAGCGTGCTATCCCTGACAGCGTGCTGGATGGATGTTAGGCGCAGACCGGTATCTGCGATAGCGGTTAGGTAGTATCTTCGCGCGATGTACATGAGTGATGGGCGCTTCTGTTCATGCGAGAAGATTGCAATTGCAGGTGCAAGCACTGCGGACAGGGATAGTTGGCTGTTGGCATCAGTGCAGGATAGCACGCTTTCCAAGTACGTGAGCCAGGCTGAGGGACTCGATGGCGCATACACTCTAATAAAGAAGTTAAGTGCTACATTTTCCAGAGATAGCGATGGCTTCGCCTTGACTAATTTTGGAGATTTGTTTTGTGATGATGAAGCAATCGCAGACTGGGACCTTTTGGCATGGTACTTTCGCACAGTTACCTGCGTCAAGTCTCTGAAGATCTGGCTCGACATATCCCGATAACCCGGACACAGGGCTCGCTTTCTGGCGCACTGGCTGCATCCTGGTCGTTTTTGGTCACACTGAAATCTTGATCAGTACCTTATGATCAGAGAGCCCTACAACGTACAAACCTTTCCCCTTTTGCTGCGACAAGCATGGCAGGCGCCTGAGGGTTGACCACAGTAGACCATTTCGAGTCTTAGCTTGCATCAGTTGACTTAAAAAATGAAAGAAAGAAAATAAGAGGATCAATAAAAATGCATGAGTCATTGTTAAAGTGATGTCTCTCGACAAGGTGGCCAGAAAATGGTCTAGGCGGACCACAGCCCTATCCTCACTAACCCAAAAGGGCATCCAGCTCGAAATGCTTCTACTCTGACCAATCAGAATGACCAATATGCGATGTCTTCGACAAGAGTATTTAGGAACATGAGGGCTGAGCTATTCACTTTTTTTCGAATTGTATACTCAGTCCAGTGAAGTAGGTAGGCGATGATTTTTTTTTGCAGAAGGGGTACTCTTTTCCTATACTATATAAGGAATCCTGAGATCCAACATGTTCAGCCACTTTCATGAGTTTCATGAACAGTTGAGCTACACACCTATTTGCAGAATAGGACTATTAGTCCCAACCGGGCGCTGCTATCTATCATGACTCTCGATGCAAACCAGATCGTTTCCATTGTAGAAATCGTGGTCTATGTCCCTGCCCTCGTTCTATCACTGATTGTCTGCAACCGACATGGTTTCAGTCGAAGTTCGGGGTACGTACACACCTTTGTACATGTCAATATAGACTGGAAGATTGAGATCCATGCTGATTAACTCGAATGTCCCAGGTGGTATTACACATTCACTCTAAGTCTCATTCGCATCATCGGCGACGTGCTGCTGCTCCTGACATACTCGAATGACTCGACCGGCCTCTTAATCGCAGCTGTTGTCTTTGATCATATTGGCTTKACTCCMTTGCTCCTCGCTACACTGGGGATGCTGTCGCGTTTGTACGATCTCCCGTTACCTCCTAAAAATTCAAACTTTTCTCACGATGTTCCTCCCAGAGTCGACCTAATCAATGCCGGCACACAAACGTCCATAACTATCAAATACTTCCGCCTTGTCCAACTCGCAGTCCTCGTAGGCGCAATCCTCGGCATAGTCGGGGCAGAACAAGCTCAGTCTTCATCCTCGCCCTCAACAATGACGTACATCGCAGTACTATGCTACGTCGCCGCCTACGCTGTCATTGTGCTCATATTCTGCCTTGCCCTCCCTTATACTCGAGACTACATCCCTGACTCCAGCGAACGAGCGCTTGCGCCGGCAATTGGAGTTGCGCTGCCGTTGGTGCTTGTAAGACTTGCATATCAGGTACTTATTGTCTTTGTGCATCGGGGAGTGTTCAGCCGGCTTGGTCAGGGCTCGGTTGGTGTTCATGTTGCGATGGCTGTGGTGGAGGAGATTCTGGTTGTTGTGATTTATATTTACTTGGGGTTCAGGCTGGACAGACTCGAGGTGAATGAGCAAGGGCCCATTCTTTCGCGGCCGTGGAAGAGGTCAAAGGGGGGTCGGCGTAATAGAAGTAGAAGGAGGGGCAGGAGTATGAGGGGAGAAAGGGATGGGGGATACACAAGGGGAACGCAGCTTCACTTTATTGGCGTGGAATGATGCCATTACAACTACCCCTTTGGAGGTTTGTATGTATTCCGGCTTGACCTAAGCACGCCAATCGACGATGCTTTTGTTACAACAGAAAAGGCTTTCAGAATTATCAACGAGTTATTGAGGTGATTTGGCGAGTTGACCCTAGTATATTACTCAAACAAACACTTCTCAAGATGTATGAGACAATGAGTCAGATTAAAGACAATTAACATAAACTCCAGTATTAAGACAAGAATAGATAAATCAACACCGATAATGCCGTATTCAAAATGCATTGACTCAACGTCTCGCAAGAACAACAATCCAAAGACAACATGGATGCCGCTAAATAATACAAGAAGAACTAAGAAGCAATGCCACAACTCCATGCGAGATGAAAACGACTCATGCGTGAACTATCATCATGGTCATACAAAAAAGGACTCGCTTGTAATGGACGGACGTGACTCGTATCCTCAATATAAGTAGCAATGGTTCATGCATATGCGCTGGATAAGATACATCGATATGTAAATATGTTATATGCATCGTGAAAATGTATGGACATGTCGTTAACCTTCTGTGGTGAACATATTAATGGTCGTTGCTCGTGCCGATTGTCGACGGGCGAGTACGCAATAGTCGACGAGACCCGAGGGTTTCGTTGCGCAGACGAGGCTGCTGTATGGCAGTGTAGCTGGTAGCCATCTTGCTAGACGGAGTTGAGATCCGTGTTTGTGGTAGCCCTGGGGAAGGAGAAAAGGAATCACTGGTCTGAGGAGGCTCTGACGAGCCGCGTTCAGAGAGCCCCGTAATTGTTGATGCCCCATAGCGTCGAAAACCTGGTTGGATCTTGAGACTTGATGCGGTCGGTATTCCTGTACCTGCACTTGGAGGTGTTGCATAACTGCGGCGCTGGGTTATGGAAGATACAGATGGTGACACCTTTGGTTGGTGCTGAGATAGTGTTTGTTGATAAGGCGTGGAATAACGAGATGAAGGAGACTCAGTGTAGCCATTGACTTCTGTCATCGCACGTCCAGTGAGCGTGCGACTGAATACGGAGCTTCGGTCTTCCGAGTCATCTTCTCGCTTGATTCGATGAGACCCAGAAAGACGATGAAGGCGAGAAGTGGGTGCGGTTAATGAAGGGGTATGAGGCGAGGAAGCTGACTCGTCGTGTGACAATCTTTCCCTGCGCCCGGTGGACCCGAGGTTGATAGTGTTGGCTCTGTGACCTTCAAATCGACTGAAGATTCGAGCACCAGAATCCGGTTGAGCTAGATCTTCCGGCTCATGGCTCATGCTTCGACGAAACCGAGTAGATATTGAAGACATGGCATCACTAGTGTCGCCTGTCACGCTTGGTTGACGTCGACTCCGTGGTCGTATCTGTTCTTGCGGTTGCTGCTGGCTACTTGGTTGGGTCATGGTCTGTTCTTCTGATAATGCGAGACAAACCTCGGTCAATCCACGACATAGGCTATCTGCTTTGCGTTTGGCCTGGCGCTCCGAGAGACCGGTTCCAGTCACAGTTGATGAGTTCCCAGAAACTGTGGTTGCTGCAGTAGCCAGCATGTTAGTCAAAGTCAAGGCGTCTGTCGCTGTTGCTTCGAGCGCATTGTAGACCTCTGGGCCGACTGTAGCTTTCGCTTTGGCCAATGCAGATTGTAATAATGTCTGTATAGAATTGGCGGTTGCCGTGGCAGCTAATACTTCCGGCGAGATACTAGATTTGCGGACGTGCTTTTGTTTCGGTGACGAAGACAATGTTGTAGCTGTTGTGGCTGCCGTGCGAGGTCGTTCGCCCGAGACGCTCGACATGGCAGCAGCCGACGACGACGGGAATTTGCCCGTCAGTTCAAGTTTTTTGATACGAGATTTGAGGTCATCCAGTTCATCCCACACAGTCGAAGGAGCAGTTGTAGATAACGTCGACTCCGTAGTCCCATCGTGTTTAGCCTTTTCTCCATCCAGTCGTGCGCGCTCTGCGGCATCCGACATGGAGGCTTGTCGCACGGTTCGTGAAGAATTGTTTGATATTTGAGAGTATCTCAAGCGCGCATCTGCGAGGGATGCCTTGAAATCGATGTGCGGCAGCTCAGGCGACGTTTCCTGGTTATATCGACTCCGTGGCACGCCAACAACAGATCTGGAACCTGCAGTGCTAGAGTGGTGGCGAAGACGAGCGCTTTCATCCAGTGGATGGGCTGATGTCGTAACAGATGCTGCGTAATTAGAGTTAAACAATGGCGACGCATGTTGTGAGTAGAGCGGACTGCTCTGATATTTCAATTGCTCAGGAGAAGGGGTCTGCTCTTTCGCGAGAGAGCTGCGAGTTGATATACCCGACAGTCCCAGTTTCTAGATACATTCAGTGAATGACTTCAAATATCAATAGGTCAACTTACCCTTCGCCGATCCAACGAATTGCGCCGGCTGTTCACACTTGACTTCGCGATGTTAAGAAAGACGTCATCACTTCTGCGCGTGTCATCGGTGCTGTATTCTTTCTGCTCGTCGGTATTCGAGTCTCCATACGCGCTACTACCACTTTGGTACCGCTCATCGACAGCCAACGACCTCATGTTGCTCGCGGTCGCGGCGCTTCGGGGAGACAGCGGGGTGGACTCTCGGCGACGTCGCGACGGAGATGACGCCATGTCGGTCGAAGAGCCAACCTTTTTCAGGATGGACTTGTTTTTCAAGACGGCATCTATGCTGGGAGAATCCTGGGAGTTGTTGAGTCGCGCAGTCTGAGGCGTTGTTGCTTGTTTTGGGGTCGGGCGCAAGAGGCGATCGTTGAATGCAGTACTGGTTGCAGATGCCGGGCTGGTTGCAGTGGCGAGGCGTGAAGATGGGAGCGGGTTTTTCGTCGTCGATGAAGAAGTCGACGATGGCGGTATTAATTCTGAGCCAGGACTGGTCTGGGGGAAGTAGGAAGAAGAAGAGTAGTTGGAATTGGGTGTCGCAATGGAAATGGGCGAGAGCGAGTTGACGGCGCTCGTGGCAGGKGCATTAGTTGCCGCGGGATCACGGGGTGCAGCGGCGCATGGCTCGCCGCCAAGATTATTATTGTTATTGTTAGAATGCTGGCGATAGTTCTCTGCGTATCCGTCAGTCGAGCCAGCCGACAGTCGTGCTGCGTTGTACTTTCGCGACGGTATCTCGGCCAGCGCCGGGTTGGACAGTGCGCTCGCACTCAGCGACGACCGGTGGGACGATGTCGATGTTCTCTTTGTTGGCGTCACAGTGGCACTACTGGAGGCCGCCGACGTGTGGGTGATGCTCCCGCTGGTACGCGGTCTTTGGTCGGCCAGGGGCGACGAAGGGTTGCTGTAGTTGCTGCTGTGACTATTATTCTGGAGGCTCGACACATCTGCGCTTCGCCGTGTAGCCTGGCGAAGTAATACAGATGGCCGATGAATTAGATCCGGGTTGGTCTGTCGTCGCGGTCGCGTCCAGTTGGGGTCGTTTTCCAAGTCTAATCGCATGACTGCCAGAGCCGACGGCGACAATGCGGACATTGTTATTCTGCTGGCATAAAGTGCCGGTTTTTGTCGTTAAATATCCTTTGAGCGACTAATGAACAGTCGCATTGTTGCTGATAAGAAGAAAGAAAAACGTACACAAACAAAGATTGCTGTGGATACTGGATGACCGACGTGTAAAAAATAAGATTTACGAGTGAGTTGACCATTCAACCTTTTCAACGAGTGTTGGGGGTTCTTTTAGGTGGTCGAGGCCCAAAGCGCTTGGTATAGTACGCTTGTTATAGGGAGTACAGCACACCTACTCTACTAGGGTGCTACTACAGCTGCCACTGATAGGCGCTTGCTCAGGCTAAAAGACGGTGTGCATCATTACATGCCGCCATCACTCTTGATGTTTCGCGACTCCGAATACCTACCACAATCACTGCAGCGCATGTACTCTCTGAAATAAAATAAAAAATTGAATTCTCGATGAGGTCTCGATGAGACACTCGCTTTTTCAAACTTGACACTGAAATCAACGGATCATGAGTTTTGATGTTGGTGGAGCCAACAACCAATTTCGCAGTTTCAGATAACTATCTGGGTGGAGATAACCACAGTTGACTGTGGGAAGATAGCAGCACTTTAAAAACGCAGATTCTCGAGACTGGGAGAATAAATTGGCTCTACATGGAACTACTGATGTATCATGTATGAAGATGAAAACTAGCAACAGCGACCATCTTCGTGATAATCAGCTGACCTGCCGCCGACGACTTGCATCTACGAGTGGGTACACAACAGACATTGAGGACGCGCAGAATCCTCCTTTCGAGAAGATGTGAATCTATTGAAGGATTCTCTTTCCCCATACATAGTGATCCTTAAATGATCAGCCACTTTCGACGAGCGGTGAAGTCGCTCTGGTCACAAGCATCCAGGCAGTCGCCCCGCGAATTCGTGCCGATGCATGTTTGATCTGGTGTTGTACAGATGCATGTCGGCCTTGTGACGGATCATGCAGATTTAAATTCTGCTCGATGCACCAACTAATTTGGACGATTGACGATGCAGTTCCGTGCCAGCTCAGAATCCATCTAGTCGAACTGCATTGACAATTAGTCGATCTAACTGTGGGGAGACAGTTTGCGAAATGACTACACTGAGTCGTGAACATGAAAGGATTTGTAGACTTCCTATCACGTCGTCAATTATTCTCTACATACCAATCTGTCTCCCACCACTTCGGCTCTTGCGCATGTCAAAGACATAGTGTTGTCGCCTTGGTGAATACAGTCCAGGTATATATACTAGATGAATTTTCATCTGATGCCCAACAGATAAGTAAATGATGACATCAATGTCACTTAATAGTCACAACCTATCAGCGTTTCATACGTCTCGCCTGACATGACCATGTGTATGACGTATACATAGCTGTCACTGTCAAACGAAACATGAAACAAAAACCTCATCATTGTCATCATGTAGTACGAATCTTCCTGAAACTATCACGATGGTTTCATATGTACGTTTTTTCCTTACTGGCAGTGGAGGCGGTACGCACTTCCAAGGCTAAAGCTGTCATGGCAGGAAGCACTACTTTTGAAACGAATTTCTGACAGATGGACTTCTAATTTGCTAGGAATAGTTCTCGGTTATATCAATTGATCACCAATGTGTACTCCGTCGCTGCCTCAGGCATAGTATCAATCTAGCCCTAATCTCATATTGTCGTCAGCTCGTTGTCCTGGAAATAGGTACGTATGATCTCTTTACCTTTTCCAGGAAGAAACCATGGAACTTCGAACCAAAGTAGGGACTAGCCAAATGGCCAATTATTCTCACTTATTTACCAACATTGAAGATTGAACATGATGAAGGTCAAAGTGGTCAAAGCTACTGAGAATGAAAGAACTATGTAGAACTAGCGGTGAAATCCCACACCTGTGCGTATCCGTAGTCGAAGGATTTGCAAATGCTGACCCAACACCTGTATCACCAAAACCTAGTACGTACTACGCACTACACAGTACTAGACGGGATCGTGCCACGTGGAAATCGTCGTCAAATACAGAACAACATCTTCGTAACACGGGGAATTTACTATGGCGAACGCATCCAGCTTTAGCAGCGTGCACAACCGCCTTTCCGAAAATGACCGGATTGACAATCATGGTACAGAACCTGTTTGGTTCAATCAAAACAAGATGATTGCTTCTTCAGACAAGGATGTTCCGTTTCAACTTCCCGGTAAGCTGTCCGCTGGTTGAATCCTTAGCTCTTGATCGAGCATTGTATCTTTCACATACGGCGTTCTCCGTGGCAAATAACAGAACGTACCAAATTGATTCTTTGCTTTTTCTTCTCAACTCGTTCAGTGCTCCGCGACTCCGCATATCGAAAAAAAAAAAAAAAAAACCACATACTACGTACGGGGTACATAGCATATCAAGCACAATCGGAGGATTAGTCGATCTCTTTATTGTGATAGACATGCTCATGCACCCGTTTCAGACTTAGTCGATTTAGCACGAACCTTTTCTACTCCGTACACACAGAAAGAACTCGTAAAGGGAAAAAGAGAAGACAAAAAGGAGAAAGGAAGTCAAGAAGTCTCCGACCTCCGTCCCTTTTTCGATACGAAGAATAAGCTGTTCTTTTCAAGTTCGTGATCCATGGCCAAACTCAATTCGAGCCCGACTTGTCCTGATTTATATTAGATTGAGGCACTGATACCGTTTAACGGTTCTGGTTTCTCAGTAGGTCTACTGTTCGTAATTGACTTCTAATCGTCAGCATCGCACGTCCTCTACGCTCGTTTTGGAATATGGATCTGAGGACTTCGCTCATTGGTTATCAGGGATGAATAGTACTTGGCAGTCGGAAATCGGTACATAGTTGATTCGTTAAAAATCAAGACCTGAGTAAGCTGAGCTGAGGATATTCATAGACTCCATACTGATGGACTAATGAAATCAATTCAGGAGTTTGATGTCGTCAGATGACGTGTCGATACTCGATACGCATATCTGATTATATTATGCTTGTTATATGGCTGGTCGGAAATTGGTATCTGTACATCATCGAGCGGCGAGTACAGACTTTTGTTCGATCAAGATCTCAAGGAGGAAGCTACTGCAAAACATTGTTTGATGTGCACCGAGCTCACGTGACCCCAAAGAGAAAGCCGGCGCGTTTCAGATTGTCCCCACTGGTCCACCCGGCGTATTGCGAATACAATATTACACTACAGATAAATAAAGTTGTCTCCATACTGCGTATGAAAAGTGCTCCTGGCATCTATGTAACGACGTACATCGTACGTGAATAATTACACCCTTGAGTTTTAGGACGACGCTATGCAGCCTTAAATAGATTGAAGATTTCTATGAAGGGGCTCGCTTCATCAGTCTCTGACTGATTATCGCCTATTAGCCGACTACTAGCCCTGCATCCGCCCTCATGCCGCATTGATAATATCACGCATAGTGTTCGATGTGGCAGGKAAAGTAATAGCAGTATATTATATGTATTGCTCCGAACATCGTACAAACCCGCTTGTCTTGATCTTCACTGCTTTACATGATACATCAAAGATTAAAGAGGAATGTATTTCACTTGTAAAAACATAGGCTGATCACTTGTTTCAGATCCAATAGTCAAGGTATGGTTTCCGCGAGGGCTTGCACCGACTATTGATCGATTCAACCAAACAGGCAGGGATCGCATCTATTGTCTGTGCGTGGGAACCCCCTAGTGTGCTCTGCAGTTCGCCCTACTCTTTGCTGTTTCATTTTTGTTGAAGTGCTTGTTTCAGGATATAATTCGCACGGAGTAATACTTCAAACCGATGTATAACCTACTGTTTGTGGTAAGTACGGTGTGTTTCATACCAAGAATCATGCACGATGGTCGGTGTTGATTGGTGGAAGGAGGGAATAAATGGTAAGCCAATGGCAGGTCTCAACAAGCACAAATTCCAGTCAGCCAAAGACTCGAATTTTCATGATCGCTTAAACTTCCACTGGGTAAAGCATGTCAAAAAATTCTCGTAGTACTCTAGAAAAATCGCAAATTCTAGACTGCCATGTCAGCTGTCGTCTGGAAGAATGATCAGTCGATCTTCCGCAGGTCCATCGATACTGCCGTACGGTAACCAAGTCCCGCGATCGGCCAATCATGGGCCATGGAAGCTTTTCCGTGCTTCCCAAATTCTCAGTCCAGGACGTTGCATTGACGAATTCTTTGAATGTCGAGGGTACATGATGTAGTAGTAAGTGCACATAGTTGATGACTGTAAGAAACGCTCCTTTCTTTGACTGTTGATTGTAGAGACTACTATGTAATATCCTCCGCACTGCTTTCACCCCAGGCCTCGGGTCAGCTTCCTTTGTACTAGGTAATAGTGTACGGACCGAGTGTACTCCGTAGTAGGCAGTCAGTACACAGTACTTGGTTGTAGTTACCAAGGACAGTAAGTGACAAGCGTGCATCAAGTCCAACGGGCCTCTAACGACGCTGGGATTGCCGCCCGTCGCACTTTGCAGGCATTACATTTCTATGTAATACACACATTACATAGTAATACATGTGCCGTACTAATACGCTTAGCGTGTCGCAGGGCTAAATTTAGAGCTTGCCCACCCCTGCCAGACGATGCCGCTAGCAATTTCAGCGCTCTGATTGGCTCAGTCCGTACCACGGCAGCTGCAGCTCCACCGGCGATCGGCCCTACCATTGGCTCTGGCAGGGCTTAGTCTCTGCGCCTCCCCGTCTCTGCTCGTACATAGTAAATCCAAAACCACACTTACATACACACGACGTAGTTTTAGCACCGCAGTGTAACAAATCCTCCTGGACGGAGTATTACCACCACGTACTATGACAATACCAAAGTCTCCGGCGGCCCTGCCTGCCTTCCCATTCGGCATTCATCTCATCTCTTCGTCCATCGCATCTCATCTCTATTTTTCTTTCGCCTTCATACCGTTTGTCTTCTTATTTTCGCCTTGACTGTGAACTCGTCAACTTCTTTATCTTCCTTTCTCTTTTTTTGTCGTTCTTCTGTTGAGTCACGAAGGAAGATAATCTTCCCGTCTCCACCTATCCAGGGCAAGGGTCCTTGTATCATCTCAAGGCTGAGACACCCGTCTTTTTATTTGCTCCGCCTCCAGACGCCCTCCCGTGCCGCCGCCAGCAATTTCACCCATCCTCGGCGGCTACGTACTTTTGTCTCCTCTTCAACCACTCTCTCCTTCACCTCATATTTGTCTCATATTCGACGACGTATCGTTCCCTGGAGGACCGACTGTTTCAGCCCATTCTCGATTGTCTTGTCATCCGCTTGGTCCTGCCGTTGCCAGCACTGTCATCCAAAGCAACCTCGCCCGCCCCCGCCTTCGCTCACGTACACACAACAACAACCACCACCACCTGTGGATCTCCCAGTTTCGTCTTCTGCTTCTTCTGACGGCTGTCATCCTGTGGTTGAGAACTGCACAACGCTTCTCACTCGCGGAGCAGTTGTTTATTTTGGTATGTTTCACTGCTTGCTCATATCGAGAACATCAACTCTCTCGCCGAGTCTATGAATGCGCCTTATACCCCTTCTCTCTTTTTCTTCAAAAAAGCCTAGCTGAGCGTGGCCATGCTTTACGTCTATCCATAACTTCTACCTCGCCATAATCTTCACAACCTGCCACAGTTTTTGATTCCCAGAACACAGACCGTTATCACCGTTGTCATTCGTTATATACTCGATCATGATGGATACTGACCGCATTCATTCGAAAAGATCCTTTGCGCAGGTAGCAACCGCAAATACGAATCTTTACATATACCGTCACCCTTCCGGATGCCACAGCTCTTCTGCTCTTTGTGATCGAACGCAAAGAGGTGCAAGTGACCGTGGGCGGGCGCTGTCGACCAAACGCAGACTGACTGCTCTTTCGACCCTCAAGATGCCCGTCCAAACAGGTCCCTCGCTAGTTTACGCCTCGCTCCCTTCCTTTGCCCGAGACTTTAGTGACTCGGCCAATTACACTTCGAACAACTCGCCGCAGCAAGAAAACCGTTCGCTCTTTACACATTCGTTGGGGCCTGCTCAAGAGAACAACTTTGCTCCCACAACTGAGCATCCTATTTCCTTCGAACATCGTGAGAGCGTATCGTCTTCGGGACTTTCAGAGTCAACTGATTCTTCACCTACGACTACAATTTCTACCTTTGACACCACATCCGTGACGGACACATCGCCGAGCTCTTCGCCTGAGTCGCCCTCAGCTTTGCAATTGCCCTACCCGAAGTCGATCAGAATACCGGAAATCACAGAAAGAATGGCCATGTTTTCAGAGGCGCCAGCTTCTGCCTTGGCTCCGCTGCCATCAATGATCGCTTCTACTACTCGGCCGGTCTCACCGGGAAGACGAGCCCGCAACCTCAAAAATCTTTCTTTGAAGATGCCATGTCAAATATCACGACCAGCGATTTCTACAGCATCGGTAGTCGAAGCCACGAGTCAGAATTACTCCGCCCCTCCATCACCCGTTCACAGACCTGCAAAGACCGCTCGTCGAAAACCCGCAAATCTCACAATTCGCACTCCCGCATTCGATCAAACCACATTCGCTCGTGACGTTACAGACATTATTCCCCCTACTCCAAGCATTCCGCAGCGCTCTCTTCGACATTTCGAATCATCACCTTCATTATCTATCTTTTCTCCGACCGCCGCCCCATTGAATGGTATGCAGCTACCTAGACCTGTTACACAGGATGGCACTCCTTTGATGCCTGGCAGCTGGCAAGAATCTCCACATCCTTCTCGACAATCACAAGCTATTTCTGGTACTAGTCTGCAGCAAGTGACGGAGGAAGATGATTATCACCTCGATTCACGAGAATCGACCAAACGTACTGAACAAAGTTACCCTGATGGACCAATAAAAATCTACGACTCTGGAGTCTATCTATATTTGGAACCTACACGAGAAGAAGCTTCAAAATTTGATGTGGTTATCAATGTAGCCAAGGAGGTTTTGAACCCCTTTGCTGACGACATAGAGGCTAAACCAGAAACTGTCGTCTCAACCCTCAGACGGCCTGTGTCTCTTGCCAAGAGGCTGTCGATGGCCGAGCCAATGACTGCTATCTCTGAAGAATCTTTTCATTCTGCGTTTGAATCTTTACCCTCGGAATCCAACAGTCCTACCACACCAAAGGTCGAGAAGAGTTCAACACCAGAATACATACATGTGCCATGGGATCATAATTCAGAGATTCTAGAAGACTTGGCAACATTATGCCAATTGGTTGACAGTCGAATCAACCAGGGAAAATCCGTCTTGATTCATTGTCAGCTAGGAGCAAGTAGATCGGCTTCTTTGGTCATCGCATATGGCTTATATAAGAATCGAGACCTTGATTTCAATGACATGTACAGCATTGTCAAGGGCAAGAGTCGCTGGGTTGGACCAAACATGAGTTTAATCTATCAGTTGACTGATTTCCGATCTCGAGTACAACGTGACGAACCAGTCAAGGCGCCAAACCCAGACTGGTTCAAAACACCACATTTGTCTCGGCCAGTTCAACAGGATTCGTTGCCTGCATCTGTTGAGAAGGAGACTTCTGAGCTAGCACCGGTACAGCAAGTCGAAAGTCAGGTACAACCGACCCCGTCTACGATATCAGAAATGATTTTTTCTCCGATGCAAACCACCTTTACGAAACCCTTTGTCAAACCATTTCCTCCACTGCAGAAGCAACATAGTTCCAACGGTCGGGGACTATTACCACGGCCATTGCCGCTTCGAGAGAAATACCCGAGTTCCGAGTCTTTGGCCAAGCCTGTCAACAAACATGAGACACGACAAGTCTCACATATTCGTTATCCGACAGTTCAAATGGATCTCGTGATGCAAGACGTTCCTTCGTCGCCGTCAATACTATCTCCCCGAGCGGCTCCTTACATGTGTTCATCCATTTCACGGACTCTTGCCGGAGACTTGGCAGGAGACGCTCCTGTGACGTTAGGGTTTGGGCAGTCATTATTCGATCCTCGATCTCCACCCCAGCGACAAGAATTATTGATTACACGAAGCATTGACGAAGTTTTATAATCAATCGCTTCGTCCGACATTTCCTTCATTTTACTTATCTCCTTTCTCATCATCTCAGGCTTATGATCAAAGCGGGCTTTGCGTGTCTGATTTTACATTCTTATTGGACATTTTCATTACTTCAATTACAGAGCTTGACTTGGAGCTCATCGATTCCGACATATTTTTCATTGTTTAGAACTCACGCTAGCATTTCCATGGCTGAGCATGATCTGGGACATGTGGTCACAGGCGTTATGGTGCGGACCTTTTTTTATTCTTACTAGTGGCAGGCTGGTATTGGGAGGAACTTAGTTGTAATATTAGTATTATTACCCTGATTTGTTTTGTTGTCTTCATTTGCATATTTTCTGTTGGCCGCTCGTCATGCGGCTTACATATCTAATGCATTGATGAAGATTAGAGTGGCTAGATACCCGCGAATCAAAATATCATGGTACTATTCTCACATACTTAAAGCACATTTTCAATTATAGAACAGTTGAAAAACCACCTAGATAGTTTCATTATCCTGGAGCCCCAATCTTCTCGTCTGATTCTGATGTGTTCCGACTTTGCGTCAGCTAACTTATCCGTCTGTTACAATACTGACATGACAGAGGTGCATGCGCAGTCTCTGCAACATATCCTACATTAAACTGGCCGCCGTCATATGACCCTTGACCGAGTCATCGCCAACCTTGTCCCTCAGAGATTCGATTCAGCTGCTCGGATCTATACATGGGTTTCATCAGTGTGCTGGCGCATGAGGGTATCTGCCCACGGGTTAGCCTCCACATAGCTTGGTCGTGCTATAAGACTTCGTTGAGTCGAACAATAGCGGACATTCCGTGCACGCCGCCATCAACTATCCAAAGCATCTGGAACTCTTAATTCACCGTGCATCAATAATGGTAGCGACAAGTATGTAGAATTCCACTTTCTGAAAGCGTATCACTCGGTCCTTCGTCGAACATCTCTATCCTCAGTCTGTGCGCCAACGCCTCTGAGCGCATCTGTAACCAAGGCGCGTAATTGGTTCTGCCCTGCTTCAGTATGAAAGTCTTCCCGAGCCGCCAATTCGGCAATTCTCCTCCTGAACTCTATGTCAACTTCGCCGGCCTCTCCGTCGACATCCTCTTGAGACATGGTGCCCAAATTAACGCTGATATTGTGCGGAAGAGGTGGCGGCGGGTGCACATCTCGTAGCGCTTGCAATTGCGCTTCGGATCTTGTGTTCCCAGTGACTTCTCCCAGATAGGCTGCAATATCCATAAACGACCCTTCGCTCTCAATCATTTCCTGAGCCGTGAATCCCTCGTCATTTGTGTGTTTAGCGTCAACGCCGAGTTCTTCCACGAGACATTTCGCGATGTCCAACTGTTCCGTCACGAAAAGACATGTTTCGTTATCTTCGTCGGTCAGATTGGGGTCTACGTGGAACTCCTGCACGAGCGCACGGAGTAGCTCGATGTGTCCGTAGGAAGCGGCTGCGTGGAGAAGGGAGTACCCATGTTCGTCCTGGTTTGAAGCGCGCGATGAATCGGATCGCAGGTGGCTGAGGACGGCCGAGGGGTTGTCGGCGGCAAGGATGTAGAGATTCGGTTGACTCATTGTGATTAATCGGAGAGTATGAGTCACAATGAGAGAGAGGGATTAGCGCCAGCCAAAGTTCTTGAGGCGCAACAGAAACAAAGAGTTATTGGAGGTTGTAAGGTGTAAATGAGTAGGAAAGGCAGATTTGATGAGGCTGAGCACAAACAAAATCAAATTCAATTTGGGCAGGAGACACCCGCGCTTTTCTTTTCGGACGTTGCCCCGCGGCCTCCTAAAGAGGAAGGATCCACTCTCTGTGCTTTCCAATTTTATGTCATTCAACAATTCTTCTCAGGCAAATATAAAAGAACCATTTGCGCATTTCAACATTCTCCTGATCAGTCACTTAAGGAGAGGAAGAATAACAATACCGACAACTTTCCGCACTGGCAAATCGACCGTCCCGCACCGATAGCTACACCCCAGAAAGGTGCGTCACCATGGTGGAACAAGATCCCCATGAAGTTCGCCAAATGGTGCAAAGCCTAGATGCCGCAACCAAGAGAAGCAGAAGCGAATCGAGGAAAACCTTTAGCTGCAAAAAGTCAACCTTTGTTGTTGCCGGATCCCAGAACATCTCTGTGCATTCATGGCGGTTCATGGATTGGGATTACAAGAGATCAGACTTGCCCACCTACGCTCGCGGTCTGTTTACTACGAAACTCAAGGATGGGCGTGATGAAATATGTATTCGGGGCTACGACAAGTTCTTCAACGTGGATGAAGTAAACGAGACGAGGTGGCGCAACGTCGAGACCAACACGCGGGGCCCTTATGAGCTCAGTGTCAAAGAGAATGGATGCATTATATTCATATCAGGTCTGGAAGACGGCACGCTTCTGGTTTGCAGTAAGCATTCAACCGGCAAACGGGCTGATACACCAATCAGCCATGCTCAAGCTGGCGAGCAATGGGTTGAAAGACATCTCAGCAAAGTCGGCAAGACAGTCAAGGAATTGGCATTGGAGCTACGGAAGATGAATGTTACTGCTGTTGGCGAGCTCTGTGATGACCGCTTTGAAGAGCACGTCCTTGCGTACGACGAAGATGCGGCTGGAATTTATCTTCATGGACTCAACTACAACCTCCCTGAATTCACAACACTGCCTGGTTCAGAAGTACACAGATTTGCCGATGAATGGGGCTTCAAGAAAGCCGAATTCGTTGTCATGGAGGACATCAAGACAGTCAAGGACTTCCTGGACAAATGCGCTGAAACGGGATCATGGAACGGTCGAGACACCGAAGGCTTCGTTATCCGTTGTCAATTAGGAGACGGCAAGTCAGACGGTTATAGAGATTGGTTCTTCAAATACAAGTTCGAGGAGCCATATTTGATGTACCGACAGTGGCGTGAAGCGACAAAGGCGGTAATAGCAGGGAGAGTACCCAACATCAGGAAGCACAAAAAGATCACAGAAGAGTATCTGATATACGCTCGACGACAAATGGCCAAGGACCCCAAGATCGCCAAACTGTACAACCAGAACCATGGTATCATTTCCATGAGGCAAGGATTTTTGGATGAGAGAGGACTGAAAGGTTCAGAAATCATTGCCATGGAGAATGAGGGGGATCTCGAATCGGAGATGCCAGCTAGGAATTTCGTCTTGGTTCCCGTTGCATCGATCGGATGCGGCAAGACAACGGTTGCTTTAGCATTGGCTAATCTATTTGACTGGGGCCATATCCAGAACGATAACCTGGTCCAACAAAAGAATAAATCCCAAAAGTTCGCCTTGATGGTAACAAACTCATTAGCAGCCCAAAATGCTGTCATAGCGGACCGGAACAATCATCAGAAAAGAGAGAGGAAACAGCTCATAGATGATGTGACGAAAATCATTCCCGATGCCAAGTTCATTGCGTTACACTGGGTCCATGAGCCCAAGGGATTGTTGCTAGATGATATTCGGCACATTACCAGAGAACGTGTTCTCACCCGAGGAGACAACCATCAAACTATCCGAGCTGGAAGCAAGGACAGTGGAGAGATTATCGGAATAATGGAGGGGTTTTTACAGCGATTCGAGGCAATTGATACAGATCGAGAACCTGACATGTACTTCCACGAAGTCATCGACCTAGACGTGAGAGATTCATCTCGTGAGAATCTGGAAAAGATTGTTACCAGGTTGCATTCTGTATATCCGACCCTCGTCAAGCGAATCCCCGATAGCGCCGAGCTAGATGCTGCTCTTGCATCGGCACTGAACGATTACCGCGTCGACACAGATCTTAGCTGGGGAACCAGCAAAAAGACAGACAAGAAGGCAGAAAAGGCGTCCAAGAAGAACGACACCGCCATCAGCGCCAACAAAGCCCAAGATCCCATGGTATCGGCCAAGCACATTGAGTATATCGGAATACTGGTTCCTCCTACAGATATTCAGCAAGTTCTCACCTCGATATTCAACGACAACTCCGGCCCAGCAGAGCGAAACAAGCTGTACCACCACCTCAAGAACTCGCGCCGCATCCAGCCCAGTTTCCATGTAACTCTGATCCATCGTGCAGCCAGCAGAGAACAGCCGCAGATTTGGGAACAATACACCGATCTGTACATCAACCGAATGAACGAGCGCGTCTCTCAGGGACTACCAATCAACCCACCCACAAAACTAGCAGATGCCCGCGTACGCGTTGAGCGACTGGTCTGGAATGACGAGATCATGGCTTTTGTCGTGCGTATTCTGGTACCTGAGGGAAACAATAACAGCCAGGAGAAACTCCCTTCATCGTGGCCCTGCGCCAACGCCGTGCCACATATCACAGTGGGTACAGCGAATCCGGACGTCAAGCCCAAACAGAGCAACGACCTACTACAGAAGTGGTTGGAATTCGGGTCCGGCGGTGATACGGGGATTTGGGAGGCGGAGATTCCTGGTGTCAAGGTGCTGGAGGGTAGTATTTTGCCTGTTATGATGAGGGGGAAGTAATCAGCAACGCCTGGATCATTGCGTGGGGGTTACCAAAGTGAAGCTCATTAGTTGCAAAAAAGTATTTGAAGCTTTGAAAAAATAGTCTTCTCATGGTCTATTTATTAATCACAAGTAGTATGATACAAGAATCGTTCGCACAAACGCATACATTCATGAAACTTCCCTCCCTTTGAATCGAAGTAGGGCGCAAAATACACATCAGCAATATTAATAAAGATATACAATCGAACACAACTATATATTCGTCGTGCCTTACTCCAGTCGCCAGTCCTCATATACACTTGCCCGTAGGGCATGAAGGGGGTGTTAACCACTAACCCAAGCCGCGACCCTCTGAACCCCAAACCGTCCCATAAACTGCAACCCGGTACTACCCATAGGAAAGTAACTGACCAGATACCATACCAGCGCGACAAGTTGGAATATAGCGGCGAACAAAGTGAGGAAGCTTTTTTGTAACTGTATGGTACTCATCAGCATATCATCTCAGGGATAGTGAGGGCAAGGGAAAGACGTACGCCTACGGCAAAGTATAATGTCATTGCGATAGAGCCAAAGTAGGCGGCTGTGAAGGGTAGTCGGGGTCCGGAAAGGAGATGGCGGATGTAGGTGATGGGGCCCATGAGGACAGCCCACGAAGCTAGGAACAGAGTTGAGCCGACGGACCATCTGTGCATCCATCAAAGGTTAGTTAGTGCGTCATATTATCAAAGAAGAAAGACAAATCAGGAATGCTAGAGCTATGCATGTGCACGAAATGAGACATTGTTGGGGCGCAAGTTGTGAAGACGAAAAGGAATCAGGCGCATTCTTCCCCTAGAAATCAGGGAAAGGGGATATCATTTGTCAAGCCACAGGACAGGTGCAGAGCGCATGGGACGGGGAAGCTAAATCCATGTACTAAGGTGGCTTGAACCCTCGTTCACATGCCATTGGCGATCATGAGTCTGCATGTGTGTCACCCATCCAAGTCAAGTCACTACCACCTTGACCAAGCACCTAACGAATCAAAGACACGGGTTCGACTAAACTGAAAAACGGAGAGACGGCGGATGGGGGAGGCAACTTACAAAATGGCAAATTTGCGGGGTTTCGTTATCAAAGCCGGCCACAGAACGAAACATAGTAAGAAGCAGACAGCAGCTCCAAGGTTACATGCACCAAAGACAAGCATTCGATCCCAACGACTTACTAAGTACGCATGAACAATGGTTAGTCATTTTACACCTATCCCGGATAACATGGAAGCCTGTTTTTGTTTCTGCATCCAATGCATGTGAACCCGGGAGAACGCAGGAACTGAGTTGGTATCACCCGGGCTCGCAGCAGTAGATCGAGAAAGATAATCACGAGCTCAAAAGCAGGAAGACAATAGGCGGGGAGAAAAGAGAAAGATGTCAAGAAGACTGAGTGGAGACATACGCGCAAAGAAACTTTCCTCTTCCTCTCGCCTGGACGGCGCGGGTAAAGGTGCCCCGGGTTCTTGAGTCGGAAGTCGAAGATATCCCTCACCGCTACCGAACGGATTTAGAGACCGGAGTCGGGATAGGATGGGCGTATTTGCGTCTGTTCGCACTGGCGTATCCTGGTCTCGCCGTGACCAGCCCAGCGAATTCATGTTCTCCCGGAACGAAGCAGAAGCCATTTTGCCCTTGTTGAATTGTCGTGAATGTTCGATATGCACATCAACTTAGGTCCGATGATCCACAGATAGATAACTAGCGTATACCTAAAGCCGTCCGTTGCGGATATGAGGGGTGCAAGCCAAGAACCTAATCGCTTGCTAATTGTTGATGCAATGCAGATGATCTGCTATAGTAAGTACACTAGCGCAATAAAACCGGTAGTCGTTTCGTATGAGGAAGGCCAGGTGACAATCCGGAGAACCCTACGGGAGTATATCGTCCCTCGTCCAGTTGTACCGGTCAAACTTTTCTCTTTAGTGTGCTGCTTTCAAAATTATAGAACTGATTCAGGGCCGTTGCCACCTGATCAAGCAGCAACAAACGGACGAAAATAGGTACGCAGTAGGCGCAGGATATACAGTACGATGGATGGGACAAAATGACCAATCGTAGCCGGAGATAGCAACTAGGAAAAATAGGCGATATGTCAATACAGATTACAAAAACAACTGGAATCTTTCCGAGCGGGCCGATCGGCAACAGTGAGCGAGCAATACGAAGCCGACTAGTCATGGAGATGGGAAGGACAGAACGTTGGGCGCAGCGGAGGTAGACTGGCGGAGGGGGGKGTGCAGTGTACGTACTGAAGAATGGAATATACGTACTGAAGAATGGAAGMGCCTCTTTCCTCCAGTAAGACGCGCGCAAGGTTTGAAGCACCGACACAAGCAGACAGAATGTGTGTGTGTGTGTATGTGTAAGAGTGTGGGTGTCGACCAATCCGGAGTTCAAGAATTAGGAGTCCTCTTTCTGCTCTTGGACGAAGGAGGAGGGGTGGTGGGCGACTCGTAGCATCTAGGGATGTCAGATGACTTTTTAGGTCGATGCAGAGGCCGCTATCATGGACGAAGATTATCCGGTTGTCTCAGAAGGAGGAGCGACGATGAGACAAAGAGGGAAGAATGACGACTACAGAGGATCAGAGATGGAGGGCGATAAATAGGCTGCTCGTCGGGAGAGTGCGGATGGTGATATGATGTTGTAGTATAGGCAGCACGAATTGTCGTAATCAGGCAGGCAGAAGCTATAGCAACAGAGGCAGCTAGCTGTGCTGGAGGCTGTGCTGACGGTAGAGAGTGATGGGTGTGTGTTCTGGTAGCAGTTTGGTTAGAGTTGACGTTAGCTTGTGGAGAAGAGCTTGGATGACGGCAGCCTCAGGCCATTATTAGTAGGGGCTTGGCGCGACGGGTCAGCCGCCTAGCCCAGTCAGTGCTCAGCCACGCTTCTGATTGGCTGATCGATACTTTACGGAGCAAGTTACTCTACAACGAGTCAGATCGGACTCCAAGTTGGAAGACTCAACTTCTACTTTCCACCACCCATGACTATGTACACGACCCAAAATCAGACCAGAGCAGAGGTCTCAGTCATAGCAAGACGGTCAAGCCGATACGTGCAACACCGAGAACCCCGAGACAGACAAAAAAGCGCATTCTCTATTCTGCTTGACCTCAAATGGTGGTGTGTAGCATCCACCAATTACCAAGGCTGTGTGGAGGGAGAGGGGAAGATGTCTCGATTTTGGGACTGTGCATAATTCCTCTTCTGGCGTGCTTATGCGCTATGCTCAATTATTGATAGTGCGCGCATCTCTTAATCTATCTCTCTCGTTAGTACGTCCTAGGAGTACATGCCTGGGAGCTATCCGTTGGCGATCCATTTAGTCGAGTCGATCATGCACCAGCGCTGTGCAGAAGTATATCTTGATTTTATTTATTTTGATATCGGTTCTGATACGTATCCTCTTGTAACTTCGACTGTGTACTATACTGGGGAGCATATCCATGGATGTACAGACGTGGTTGGCTGGGTGAGTTATCCGCGGGGTCTGTTCTCTCTCTCTCTGAAGGGTCTGGAAGATGTGGAAGATGGGAGAATGATTGGCGCATCTTGCAGGAGGAGAACCATCTGCTTGCTCCCGTCGATGATGTATTGATGCATACAGACATCGCAGACATCGTACAGTATACTACGTCCTGTCGTACAAGACAAAGGATGTGAGGGGTAGAATCAAGATGGTGGAGAACCGATTAGGCCTCCCGAAGTGTGGATGTCGGTGCGCCGAACAACAAGAGCCGTGGCGATGGCCAATAGAAATCACAACAGCCGGTGGTAGATTTCTCCTTTCACTGCTAGTACTGCCCATTTGTGATGTCCAGCAGGGATCAATTATCAGCTCTGTACCACACAGCATCAGCATGAATGTACATAGTAGAGGAGGAATATAAGATAGCAGATACCCCACTTCGCGCAACTGGCCGAACCGCGACGGGAAGACGGCAAGATCGCCTTATCATATCCACTGGCTCCCACCGAGTCAACCTTGGAAGGCTGCCAAAAGGACATTCTCTCAGTCTCTGACCCGGAAAGATACGGAAGACCGACTCTCGCTTATCCTGCTCTCATTCCAGCTTGGAGCTGGAATGCGGGCCCGCACGTTTCATGAATCGGCACCGTATGGAGTCTTTATTTGCTGCCACGACAGAACCTTTGGTCCAAGATGCATGGACACGACGTATTTATATTCAGATAGACCTATTCATTCTATGTGATGAACAGCTCAGCACAGACGCGAGATAGACCTGCAGGTGTCACAAAGGCCCATGTGTTCCAGGGTTTAGGCGAGACGGAGGGCACAGGTACAGTGCTTACATTCTGAGCAAAGCGCCCGCTGCAGTGCTAGGATGGCGTAGCAAGCCAGACCATTCAGATCGCTCAAACCTTTCATGCAGCACCAGAAACGGTCCAAGCTTCCATCGCAACTCGATTTCGCTGGTAGTACTATGGTTAGTAGTAGTATGTAGTAACTTAATAGTAGTAGTAGTAGTATTGCTTAGTGATCTTCTCATATTAGAGCATGAATACTACTATCGTCGCTTGCCCCACTAGTAAACTACTACATCGACCTAAATCAGTCGCTACCCAACTCAGAAAAGTATCATAGATCAGAGTAAAAACTAGAGCCAAATCGTCCCCCCCCTTAGTCTGAGTAGGGTGACTGAGTGCCCTCACGCTGCCTGGTCAGCTATGTTTGACCCATGTCAAGCTGCCGGGCCATCTGATACATTCTAGACTTCAATCAGTGCTATTTGCCTTGCCCTAAGCTTCGCTTGCGTCTCCGCGTGAGTCATCATTTCCCTGTTTGGCTCCGGCTTGATGATCAAGATTCCTACCTTTCCTTGTTCATGGGACAGCAAACTTTACTATTAGAAATACAAAAGCAGTCAGAATCGGGCTGTGCGACAAGACAAGATGCCCACCCACACACACACTTTTTGTAAAATATTCCACAATCTTCTAAGATAGTGTAGGCTTCCTCGAAATCGCCGGCATCTCTCGTCTCACTCCGCTCCATCCCACCACCCTATTCGCCCTTTTACCTGGGTAGCCCTGCCCACGTTGACACATTCGAGATCAGTAATCTAGAAGAAAACCGGAAAGCGGTTCCATCTGATTACGACAGAGCTTAGTGTGTGTGTGTGTGTACTACTTCGTAGCAGAAAATAAAGCCTTGTCCTCAGAGCCGGCCGATCGACGTCCTGCATGACCCTCGATGTCATAGTATCAAATGAGAGATGCAGGACCCCCCCGATCTGGCCTGGGATTTTGTTTTAAAAACAGACGGCGTTCCCTCTTCGGAGACGCGGACCCTGCAGTAGAGTTTCCTCCCTGACTACGTGTTCGTCTTGTATTCGCACACAGCTATATCTTGGGTCCCATCCGCCTCGATCGACTCGATCTACTCATGCCCTTGCCATAGTAAGTCGCTAAGTAAGACACATATCAGCACCAGCACTCAGGTAACTCTCCACCTATCGCACCAACAACGTCCAACTTGTCTCGACGGGTACCTTGCGTTGTTGTACGCAGCCCTACCCGCCAAAGCAGTGGGTACAGATAGGTAGCCATCTGTCTTTGCTGTTCATCAGTGGTATGTATGTCTCTTAATATCTTCGGACCTTGCCGAAGTCCATCACTAACTGGCGCCACGTGGAATGTTCAGACAAGAAATACCTCATCCCATCAACATACTTCACCAAGGTAAGTGTATATTGATATGGCACATTTGTTTGAACGTATCCTAATTTCATGCTAGACCTTTCATCATTCTTAACCAACACTACCTTGGACTATAACCGGTAGGTGTTTCCATCTCCGTGCACTGCCTGGCCTTGTTATTCTGTCTTCCTTCTCTGCCTACATCCTTGTCTCATACCTCGTGGGGGTCGGAAACGGCGCAGGCAGGCAGCAGTCGGACTGGGTCACTAAGCGGGACTGTCGAGATCGTGCCTCATCTGAGCCAGTCTCTCAGCCCTGATTGATACGTCAGCCGCAGGGGCCCGAGGTCTGAGAGCGCTTCTGTGTAGAGTCGCGACGAGATTCACAAGGGAGAACAAAAAGAGATAAATTAGGCGGTGTCTGTCCAGTTGTTGGGCGTACTCGGCTCACCGCTCTCGGCCAAGCCGCCAGCCAGTCAGAAAACATCCACACCGCCGCCAAGCCACGCCTGCCCCGTGCTCTCCTTCTCTCCTCCCCCAGTTTTGCTGTTCCTTCCCTCTTCCTCCTCCTGGACAATCATCAAAACAGACCTGTTCCTGCTATACTTATCGTTATCTTTCGCCTCGTGTCTCAGCTTATTCTTATACTGACGCTCGTCTGCTGTCATTCGTCTTAGCTCGTGTCAAGGACTCTCTAACGAGTACGTTGCTGACTGATCCGCCACCCCTCTTTTCAGCTACCCCCTCAAGTTCATCCGCCAACTGCCGTTCTGTTTGAAATCACTTTTATTTGGCTTTGTATCATGACGAATGGGCTGACATTTTCATCTGATAGTTGCGATTCCCACTTTCTTTTCAATTGATCATCGACGCGCAGTACTCTGACTCATTTCGGTCACCGAAAAGATTATATCACTGCTGCAACTAAACTTGAATGCGATCGTAACTTCAGCAGCCAACACTTGAGACTATCGCCAATCTTTTGCGACCAGCTTGGTACCTCTTTTGGGTAAATTGCCATTGATATTTGATAGTGCATGGTAGAGGCCAGCCTTGTTCGCGATAAGCACCACTTTGCACAAAGCCTTGCATGAGACGATGTCTCAGTCTGGATACACTATGGCCAATCAACAATTCGACAACCACTTCGGTAACATGAACGGCAACGACGCTGTCGACCCGTCAAATCTCACTATGCAGAACGGAATGTTCATGCCCTACTCCTTTGGATCTCAGCAAAACATGTCCGCCAGCTTCAACATGGGAAATTCTGGAATTGACACCGATGAACTGCTGGACCTTGACCTCAATGGACAAAATGGCATGTCACGCGCCGATGGCATGAACTTCATGCATGACCAGCGACAGAACCAAGGTCTCTCCATGAGTCACCAAAGCCAGATGACCCAAATGTACTCACAAACACCCGATGGAGCTCCCATGCACAGCCCTTTCTTGCAAAACAGTTTCAACTATGATCAGTTCCAGATGCCTAATCAGGGCACCCCGTCTCACCTGAGTGCTCCCAACCACTTTGACCATAGTTTCCTCAATGGCAAGACACGCCCCAGCTTGCAAACCATGGATCGTTCAAACTCTGACAGGAACCCGATGACTCCCAAGACGCCAGCCATTGGTGCTTTGAACCTGAATACACCAGACTCTGGAAGCTTCCCATCGCAGCCTATTCGTGCCTCCAATCTCCAACACAGGCACCAGAAGACCCTGTCCAACCAATGGGATGGTACCCCAGGAAGTGCGCAGTCATTTATTGAATCACCAATTGCCTCACCCAATCTCCACTCTCATCATGCCGGCATTTCGGAAATTCTCAAGTCCGGGAAACATGCATCTCTCCCTGCCAAGGTGGACAATCCCAGTGCTCAGGCATTAGAGTCACAAGAGGCAAAGCGACGTAGGCGCCGAGCTTCCCACAACATGGTGGAACGACGACGCCGTGACAATATCAATGAAAGAATTCAGGATCTTTCTCACCTTGTTCCTCAGCATCGTCTGGAGGACGACAAAGTCCGCAAGCAACTTTTGAATAACTCCACTTTGTCTCCACCAGGAGGCAGCATGAGTCCTCCTAATGCCACTTCTTTGCTGGCTGGCGGTAACGGACGTCGGGCAACTGCAGGCAACATCACCATGGGACTTCCAATTGAAGAGAAGGAAAAGGGACCCAACAAGGGAGATATCTTGAACGGTGCTGTCGGCTGGATGAGGGATCTCATGTGGGCTCTACACGTCAAGATGCAGCAAGAGTCAGAATTGGCCGAACTCATCTCAAATCTCGGCGGAACTTGGCCGTTTGAACAGACCGAGGACGACAAGCGGATGCGAACTGAGCTTCTTGATGCCATGGAGAAGAATGACCCGAACACGTTCACTTACAGCCGTGCACCAGGAAGTGGACTTCGCGTGCCTAAACACACAAACATCGCTGGAGAAACTGTCCAGAACGGTGCAGGCCTCAGTCCACAGAGTCTAAGCCCTGCTTTCCACAGTGGTGGCAGTGGTACCAACAGTGGCGCGGGCCAGCCAGCATATTGGGGCAGCTCTAACAACATTTTTAAGGAAGAAGAAGAGTACACGATGGATATGTGAGCTTTCTTTATTCTCGTTGAATTCATACACGTGACCGAATCAGTTGCATAAATGGCGGCGTCAATGAGGAACGGACATTGGTTGTAGAATGATTTGGCTTATTATATTTCTGTGGTTGCATTATGGTTGGTTTCTGTTTCTGATTATTTGAGGTTGCAACAACGCTGTGTTCATGTCATTGACTTTGTTTGCATTCTGAGAAGAACCTGATTCTCTAATATTAACGCTGTTCTGTATATGGCTTGTCGACCACGTCGAGGACTCATTGCAATCAGTGTAATCATTTGTTTCGTTTCGTTTATTCTTCATATCGATACCCCAGAGGTCCATTGTTTCCTCATTTTATTTCTAACACGTCTTGAGTTGCTATTGTTATATGTATCTCCTTATTATCTTTTCTATCTGACTCATCGAGAGTGTTTCACTTTTATGTTTTATCGTTACCGGTTTCCAGTGGAATGGTTGACTATTTTGAATTCGGGTACTCAAGGATATTTTTGTTTGTGTCATTCTCAGATCGATTATGCTTCCTTTTGGAATATGAATTCTTTGATTGAATTACATGATACACATGTATGATCGACTTGCTTGTAATCATATAGCTACCTACCCGTCGACGTAGTACGAAACATATCCCCGTTCCCCAAAAATTTTCAGATCCGAATACGACCAACTGATCAATATATCTAGTGGATATTCGGAATGGGTACGTAGTCGCCAAGTGTTGATCTCAAACAGACTAGTATTTCCGCCAACCATCGTATAAAACAAGCTCGGCCGAATCTGGGGGACGCGCGGATCCGGCGCTCTATCCCAGAAACCCGAGCCTTGATCTGCAGATTATGGATATAAATTTACGCGTCCTCTATGATGATATCGGCGTGAAACAAAAGTGGCCGACCTGTCACTGCATTAGACTTACGAGTCATATAGCACTGTGGTTAAATCCTTTTCCACAGTGTCGCTGCATAGTAAGGGTCATGAAACTATTTAGCTGCTTGAACCCTCTCTCGTTTGTATATCCCATATGCACTACTCGCTCGCATTGGAAGCAAGAACAAGCTAAGCTATTCTCAAATCAGCATGCCTTCACAGGCTGCTTCAGTTTCAGCCCTTCTGCTAGGCCTAACCACCTGCGCCTCGGCAGCTCTATATGACCAAGTTATCCAGACTCAATATGGCCCCATTCAAGGCTATGCAGCATTCAACAGCCCCTTCACCGGCAACCTAACACACTGGAAAGATATCACCGTCTGGAAAGGTATCCCCTTCGCCGCCACCACGGCTGGCGAGAACCGCTTCAAACCACCGCAACCGGTGACGGGATGGACCGAGACTTTCAACGCCAGTTCATGGGGTGATATATGTCCTGATTCTTCGTCTTCTTCAAGCTATACCGTCTCCGAGGACTGTCTGAGTCTCAATATATGGAGCGCAGCAAACTCGACGGATGCAAAGTTGCCCGTTGTGATGTGGAGTTATCCAGGCCTGTCCACTGCGGCTGATGCTCTGTTTGACGGTGGTGGTATGGCAGATCAGGGTATTGTGTATGTCAACTACAACTATCGCGCGTCCAGCTTTGGGTGGCTTGCTCTTCCTGAATTGTCAGAAGAACGATATGAGGAAACAGGTTACAATAGCTCGGGAAACTGGGGCATGCTGGACCAGTTTGCAGCGTTGCAGTGGATATACGAGAATATTGCGAATTTTGGCGGTGATCCTAACCATATAACTGTCATGGGCCAGTCTTCCGGTTCAGCGGCGACATACCACATCCTGAACAGTCCGCTTACAAAGGGGTTAATTAAAGGTGCGATTATCGAGAGTGGTGTTCGCGATCCTCAGGATCCGCTATGCACGAGTTTAGCAGAGAGTTATACCCCTCTCAATGAAAGCCTGCAGGCTGGCAAGGAGTTCATGGCTAGTCTGAACGTGACCACACTCGCTGAACTCCGCGCGCTGCCCATGGAAGACCTCGAAAGCAGCCCGAGCAACCCGGGCAGCATAGAGTTTACTGCGACATTAGACGGCTACGCAATGCCAGCGACATACTATGATACATTGGTCCAGGGACTAGCCCACAACGTCCCCATAATCACCGGTAACACCAAAGACGAAAGCGGAGCGGCGTACGGGCTAAACATCACCGTGGACACCTACCTGAGCGACTTCAACTCCACTTTCAGCGGCGAATGGCTCGACAAATTCCTCGCGCTGTACCCGGCTGACAACGACACCGCAGCAAGTGGCGCCGTGAACTCGCAGTGGACCGATAGGTCGAAAGTGGGCACATGGCTTTGGACACAGATGTGGCTTGCGTCCAACGTGACTACTGCCCCGGTTTACAACTATTATTGGGACCATGCGCCTCCCGGCATGGATCAGGGCGCTTATCATGAATCGGAGATTAATTATGTTCTTAACAATCTTTATGACACGGATCTGTCCTGGGAGGAGGAGGACTATAATATTGCGCGCCAGATGAATGGGTATTGGGCTAATTTCATTAAGACGGGGGACCCAAATGGTGAAGGACTTACGACCTGGGATCCGGTCAATTCTTCGCAGTTGGTGCAGCACGTGGGTGATGGATGGGGTGCTATTCAGGTTGCTCCAGCGGCCAAGATTGAGCTTTTTAAGGCATGGTTTGCGACTTTGGAGAAATATTAATGTCAGGCTGCTTCAGTTTCAGCCCTTCTGCTAGGTCGAGTACGACCAAGTCATCCAGACTCAATTTTCTATGATATATCCGTGGCGTTTTATTTCCAAAAATTATAATAGTAAGCCAATGTAATCGGAACATGCTATCGAGTTGCGAATCGACCTGCTCGGCTTTTGTAATAGTAATTCGTCTACTAACAGAAAGAAAATCTTCCAGGAGTCGATGAGCTGCGAAAGACTTCTAATATGGTATTGCTGGCGGGAAGCCAACTTCCCAAGTCCCATTCGCCTTTTGTTTGAATCTGAAGTATTCAGCAATGTGCATTATATTTTCCCTCCAGGAACTTGTCTTCTGACAGGTAAGCTGAGATAGGATAACTTCGCACATCGTCTGACATCGACAATGCGCCCACCAGGCTTCACTGGACAACGTCAGCCAGACACTCGCGTAGAAGCTAAGCAGAACAAGTAGTGCGTCTGGCTCCCCCGCGTTTATTTGACTTGAAAATTCTCTAGGGGCCTTTGTTGGCCAGGTCAATGAGTATGTCATGAACGAAGGCATGAGGCCGGTCGTATCTAGCCCAAGACTAAGTGAGTCGACAGTGTAGAAGATTGGATCGAGTCGATCCTCAATTCTAACTCCTCGACATCCTCCTTCTGGAGCTACATTGTCTTGTAGCTTACCCGCCGACGCAGGGTGCCTGAGAAAGTTTCCTTCGAAGTCGTACGAAAGGCAACCAGCAGCGCTTGCAGTCCTTTCGCGAATGTCAGATAGCATTTTCACATATTCTGGTATGGCATAGTCTCGGAAAATGCCATTATTCACATTGTCTTGGGATTGTATCTCGTATGCAGTGGTGATAACCTCGCTCAGACCGGTGGCAAACCAGAGCAGACCATCAGAATCAATGCTCCGGTTTGTGTTGTCCCTCTCAGTGTTGAAGAAAGGAACATACCATGCGTAGTAGAGCAAAAGAAACCCACATGCAATAACTGCGTCGGAATCTTGTAACGATGTCATGGTACCAATCCCACACCTAAAGCCAGGGAGAGCGCGACTGAGATAAATACTCATAGCTCTCTTATATTCGGCCTGCTGAGGTAGAATATGATTCAAATGTGATGCGCTAATAGTAAGCACGGCATGCATTAAATAATCGTACTGCATGACTCGTTAGTCTAACTTTCGGAATTTCAAGACTCTGGATTACGAACATGTAACGCAAGGGGAAGAATTTGGTCTCGCCAAAATCGCCTCCCGAAGATCAGCGTGTCTGATGTGACGTGTTCAAAGTGATACATGAGATGTAGTGACTTTAGTTCTTCACTTGATGTTCCGACCTGACGGATGTTGAGCGGCGGATCCCGACGAGTCCCAGTTTGGTATACGAGGCTATGTGCTTCGGAAAAATCGAAAGTCGGGTTTGGAAATACATTCCGGCTGCTTTGATGCAATCTTATTAGGCCCGCAGCGTTTGAATCCTCAAATATGCATTCCTCCCCTCGTAGAGAGCACCTCCGACACGTAGGCCTACCCTCGTCACACTACAGAAAAATAAGCTCATGATACAAGTGGATTTACATTGAATGTAGGCATGGAACGGGAACGGAGGAAAGGATCATACCTTGATCTTTCTTGACTTGCATTTAATGCATCCATGTCGAGACTTATGGTGACGTTGGCGCTGTCGAATCATCCTGCCGGTATCATCAACACCCGGGCTGTGCACCGATGAATTCTCCGGCGAAGCAATGGAGAAAACTCCAAACCCTTTCCTAGTAGCCATTGCTAGATTACTCCATCTTCAATCTTCTGAATCGGTTGGACTTGTGAACTGAAGTAAGATCGAATGCTCAATTTTCTACTTCTTCCCAAGTGGCTGAGTAATAAGCAATTAGGGTGGAGGATGCAGGCATGATCGGACAGAGCCCCACAGTGGATCGCTCGTATAACGTTTTGGGATATTTCCTTTTCGGGAGATTCTAGGACTCTACATGCAGTTGATTTCCAATCTGACATAAACCGTAATTATCGCCAAATAATTTGAGTTGAAACAAATGAATAACATCATATGCACCTCGTAAGCTGTTTTTAGTTAAAATGAATTTCGTATAACAAAAGTAGTTAGAGGTTTGATTGGCTTCAAGGTACTTAAATCATTCGGAGTGCCCTTCCTTTTGAAATTATCATCATCTTCTACTCTAGCAAGAAACGTGAATACTTCTTTCAAAATGGCTAATATTATGACTGTTGCCCCTGTGCCGAAGAGCTTGCTTGGCTACCACCGTCAGCTAGCTCCAAATGCCGCTGTCAAAGTTAGCCCACTGTGTCTTGGTTCTATGGGTTTTGGAAATAGCATGAAAGATTTGATGGGAGAGTGTGACAAGGACGCTTCTTTCAAGATCCTAGACTTCTTTTACGAAAATGGTGGTAATTTCATTGATACGTATGTGTGACCCTTAAACATTCTTGTCTAAAACTAATTTACTTCTGATTTAGTGCAAATGTATATCAGCACGGCGAGTCGGAGCAAATCATTGGCGAGTGGATGAAGATGCGAGAAAATCGTGACGAGATAGTTTTAGCAACTAAATACAGCTCTGCCTGGCAGCTAGCGAACCCCAAAGTCAAAATTCAGTCTAACTTTGGCGGTAATAACAGAAAGGCCCTGCTTGTAGCTTTTGAGGCGAGTCTGGCAAATTTACAGACAGGCTACGTGGATATCGTAAGTCCAGAGAACCACTCTATCCGCACGGTACCTGCGATACTTACAGCTGACACAATTGGTCTTTTGTTGAAAGTTTTATGTGCATACTTGGGACTTTACCACCAGCCTCGCGGAGCTCATGCACACCCTGCACGACCTTGTATCGTCTGGAAAGGTGCTCTACCTTGGAGTGTCAAACACTCCAGCTTGGATTGTTTCAAAAGCGAACGAATATGCGCGGCAACAAGGATTAACTCCTTTCTCGGTCTATCAAGGCCAATGGTCCGCCGCCGAACGTGACGTTGAGCGTGATATCATACCAATGTGTAATGATGAGGGCATGGCCTTTATGCCTTACGGTGTTCTGGGATCTGGATACTTTCGAACATCCGCTCAACGAGCAGAAGAGAAGCAGAATCCAGCAGCAAAGCGAGAAGGCCGCAATATCGCTTTTATTGATAAGCCCGAAAAGGCCATCGCTGCGGATACCCTGGACGTCATAGCTAAAGCTCGAGGCACCAATATCACGAGCATTGCATTAGCATGGGCAAGGTCCAAACAGCCTTGGGTTTTTCCAGTCATCGGAGGCAGGAAAATCGAACATTTGAAAGCAACCATTGATGCGTTGAGTATCTCACTTACGGAGGAGGAGATACAAAAGATAGAGAATGCTTTGCCTTTTGATTTGGGGTACCCTCAGACGATTCTTGGTGGACCAGGTGGTGCAACAAAGCCTGCAGATGTCTGGCTGACCAAGCGGTTTGGACATTTCGACTGGGTTTCGACACCACAGGTAAGTGACCTCCTTCAATATATGTTATTACCTATGTCTAATTCTTTCTCAAGGCACCGAAGTCACATCAGAAGTAATGTCGCTCTCAGCTGTGCAAGTTCTCAAATCAGGACTCAAAGACAGGCCTGGCTGGATATTATGTTTTCTATCGTTCTTATATAAATTAAGCTCTATAGATCATGAAGTTCTATTTTTATCTAGCTATTCATACATGTTCTTGTTTCTCTTAGTTGAATGGGATCCGGTCAATTCTTCGCAGTTGATGAAGCATGTGGGTGATGGATGGGGAGATATTAAGGTCACTATATCGGCCAAGCTTGAGCTTTTCAAGGCATGGTTTGTGACTTTGGAGAAGTATTAATGTAGGTTTGAGGTTGAGCACATTCAGGGCTTTACGTATCACGTGACCTTGCTAAGACACTCGATGTGAAGTACTTTCTTATAAGCTACGAGGAATATGGTCCCAATTTAAAAGGGTGCTTTCGGTTGTAAAGAAGCCTCGTTGTGTGTATCGAGTGATGGCAGGTTCATGACAGGCTCATCTGTTGGCACAACGTAATTTACGGGTAAATTGCTCACACGACTTAAGTTGCTCACCCAACAACAACTAGCTCAGCTTAGCCATACAAACTGCATATAAAAAATAAAAAAAGAATAAATTGTTTAATTAACTATCTGGCTAGATTCGGATATTGGTTGCGCCTATGTCCTAGTTCCCAGTAATTACTACACCTGTGACACTGCCTTGAAATTCAACTGAGTGATTATGAAGGTCCCCGGATCACGACTAAGTTGAACTTTTCAGGCAAAGCCATCTAACTCGTTAACTACTTGTATGAAATTGAAATCGGTGGTCCACGGATGACTTGGCTGCTTGTTCGATTACAGAGATTGGCCAGTAAGAAGTTGGTTATATTCAGTAGCATGAATTTAGCTACGTACTTCTAAAGTGAAACAGGAAGTACAGTCCACTGCCGTCACCGAGGGGTGACAATGTTACCTGAAATCTCCCATCATTAATCGCCAAATGAACACTCGTATCACCTACAGTGTCCAAACAAAAAGACATGACATATATTGTCCAATGTTTGCTATCATGGATTACATCAAGTATAGGATTATCTTTCCCCCCAACCACGAGGGTCCCTGACGATCGGCGGTCAATCCGTCCCACAAGGAATAAAATCTTTATCTCAAGAGAACTGTCTCAAGACAATCTTCTCGCACCACTCTTTACCATAAGAAGATCAACGTGAGACGGCACTCCAGCCAAGAAAATCCATCTCACATATCATTTCTGCTATAAGAACGAGCTCACATGAAATCTTTCACAAGAATGGATTTCCAAAACCCCACTACAGTCCCAAACTCTCTTCTGGTTTCTACGATCAAGCTTCATGTTTCGCATTCTGGGACAGATAAATAATTTTTCGTGAGGATCTCTCCACCATTTTCTATTATATTGATTTATAAGCATTTCTCACAGCACGGCGGACAGACTACGTCGATCGACCAAGCAGCAGCCTTTCCAGATCATTACGCTCCTTATTTACCGCGTAGTTCAGCGGCGTTTGGTGGACGAAAATGCCGTCCTTTGCATTGATATCAGCGCCATTGTCAAGTAGGAGCTTTGCCACCTCCTCATGCCCATTCCTTGCCGCCTGGTGTAGCGGCGTTCGGAGAGAAAAGATGCCAGCTTTGACGTTTGGGTCGGCACCCTTGTCGAGCAGCACTCTCGTCACTTTTTGGTGGTCATAAATTGCCGAAAGGTGCAGAGGCGTTAGGCAAGAAAAAATGCCATCTGTTGCGCTTATATCGGCGCCCTTTTCGAGTAGCAGCCGTGCTACTTTCTCATGCCCGTTCCTCGCCGCGTGATGTAGCGGCGTTTGGCGAGAGGTGATGCCGTCCTTTGCATCTATATTAACATCTTTTTCGAGCAGTAGTTCTACTAATTTCGCGTATCCATTTTTTGCTGCATAGTGTAGGGGTGTTTGGCGAGAGAAGATATCATCCCTTACGTTTGTGTCGGCACCCCTTTCGAGTAGTAGCTTAACCACCGCCTCATGTTCTTTACCGTACCACCCCGCTGCCAAATGTAGAGGGGTCTGGCGAGAGAACATGTTCTCCCTCCTGTTGATATCGGCACCGTTGTCGAGGAATAGTTCAACTACAGTCTCATGGCCATGTTGTGCTGCATAATGCAGCGGTGTTTTGCCGTACGGGCCATTGTTCAAGCTGCTGGTAGCACCTCTTTCAAGGAGCATTTTGCATATCGCTACGCTCCCTTTCTTTGCTGCGTAATGCAAAGGTGTCAAAGAGGAGAAGGGTAAGAAGGAGTCTTTTGCATTAACATCGATGCCTTCGTCAAGCAACAGCTTGACAACCTCTTCATGTCCGTATGCCGCTGCATAATGTAGTGGTGTTCCATTAACATATTCTCTGAAGCTTATAGGCTCTGAATGGGCCCTGATATTAATTTCGGCTCCCCGATTCAGCAGCAGTTTGACAACATTTTCATGTCCGTACTCTGCTGCATAGTGTAGCGGTGTATGACTATGGTACTCACGGTCCTTTAGACTGACTGGAACGCCTTTGTCAAGGAGCAGCTCGACTACTTTTTCATGACCGTACATTGCTGCATAGTGTAGCGGAGTCGGACCAAAGTGCCGGTCATCCTTCAAGTCGTAGTACCTAGCGCTCGCATTGCCAGGCCGAACGTACCGCACGTTCTCATCACCCGTGTAGAAATCCGCACCATTGTCAATCAACAACTTGACTATCTCCTCATGACCCCAAGATGCCGCATAATGCACAGGCATCCGATTAGGTCCTTTCCTTTCTCTAAATTCCCTCGCATTGACGTTAGCGCCTTTCTCGATTAGCAATTTAGCAATCGCTAAATGTCCACCCCATGCAGCACCATGTAATGGCGTATCCATATTTCCCGCCCGACTGATCCGAACGTCGGCGCCATTGTCAAGCAGTAGCTGCACTGCTTCTTCATGCCCGTTTCCCGCCGCATAGGATAGCGGTGTCCCACAAGAGCCATTATAGATGCCCTTTAGATTGACTTCAGCTTTGTTGACGATTAATAGATTGACCACCTTCTCATGCCCATTCTCCGCCGCATAATGCAGTGGCGTCCGGTTGGAAGATTCTTTGCCATCCCTTATATTGACATCAACCCCTCTTTCAAGTAGGAGTTTCACCAACTCCTCATGCCCGTTCTCTGCTGCATAGTGCAATGGTGCCTGTGCCTGACCATAGCCATTTTTGCTGTCTTGTATATTGATATCAGCGCCTTTGTCAAGCAGCAGCTGGGCTATTACCGTGTGCCCTTTCTTAGCTACATAATGCAACGGCGTCCGCTCCTGGTCATCTCTTAGGTTGACATCGGCATTCTTGTCAAGAAGCACCTCAGTCATGTCCTTGTGGCCGTTATTTACTGCATAGTGTAGTGGTGTCCAATTGGAGCATTCATTGCCATTCCAGCTGCCGTTTTTTGAATTCATGTCAGCACCTCGATCAAGCAATAGCTTCGCCAGCTCCTTATGTCCATTTTCTGCTGCATAGTGCAATGGTGTTAGACCAGAATGTCTGTCGCCATCTCTTGTATTAATATCAGCATCAGCATCAAGTAGCAACTTAGCCACTTTCCCATGTCCATTCATTACTGCATAGTGCAGCGGCGTTCGACCAATGTACGTGTTTATGTCAACTTCGTGGTCTTTTGGTGTCTGACCAAAGTAGATTTTGCCATCTTTCGCATTGACATCAGCGCCCTTGTCAACCAGTAACTTGGCCACGGCTTCATGTCCGTTCGCTGCTGCGTAGTGCAGTGGTATGTGGCCGAAATGTTCATCACCGTCTTTCACATTGACATTGGCACCATTATTGAGCAGAATTTTAGTTATTTCTTCATGCCCTCTCTGCGCTGCATAATGTAGTGGCGTTCGACCGTTCTCTTCATCCCTTAAGTTGACGTCAACGCCCTGATTGAGCAGCAGCTTTGCCGCTTGGTTATATCCCTTCTCTTCAAGAAGGATTCTAACAGTCTCATTGGTGCTTTTGTCTTCAAGTAAGAGTTTGACTACCTTTTTGTACCCTTTATCTGCCGCGTAGTGTAGCGCCATCCAATGCTTGTCGTTATCTTCGAGACTGACATCAGCGTACTGGTCGAGCAGGAGCCTAGCCACCTCATCAAGCCCGTTCATTGCAGCATTATGGAGTGGCGTCCAGCTGACCTTTTCGTCTTTCAGCTTGGCATCAGCATTCTTTGCGAGTAGCAGCTTGACTACTGCTATGTGCCCCTTCACTGCTGCAAAATGCAGCGGCGTCCAACCGGCTTCATCTCTTGTTGAGGCAGGATCACTAACAGCTTTATTGAGTAGTAACTGAACTACTGCAGCATGTCCGCTCATTGCCGCAAAGTGTAGCGGCATCCAACCAACCTTGTTGTCCTTTGCATTGATATCAGCACCATTGTCGAGCAGCAGCTTAACTACCGCCTCATGCCCTTTCTCTATCGCATAATACAACGGTGTCCATCCCACACTGTCGCAGGTGTTAACGTCAACACCTCTGTCAAGCAACAGCTTGATTACTCCTTGGTGTCCGTACATTGTGGCTGAATGCAGCGGAGTCATACCATCTCGACCCTTCGAATTGACGTTTTCCTTGTCGATTAAGAGGGCAACGATACTACCATAACCCTTTTCAGCTGCGATGTGCAAAGCAGTATTTCCATCCTTGTCCCGCAAATTTGCATTATCCGCGGTCTTCAGTAACAACTCGACCAGCTCTTTAGAGCCTCCCCAAGCAGCGCGATGGAGCGGAGTCTGCCCATCATACGTACACCTCGCCTCATAATCAGCTCCACGGTGTAGAAGCCTTTTGACCATCTCAAGGTCCCCTCGTTCAGCTGCAAGGTGTAGCGGTTGCTGTCCGAGTCTATCATTCAGGTTTACATTCGCTGTATTGATAAGCTCCCCAAACAGGCCTCGGTGACCTCTCCAAACAGCATAGTGAAGGGCTGTCCAGGAACGTTCATCTTTCACGTTAGGGTCAGATAGTTGACCTAACAAACGTAAAGCCTCTTCTTCAGATCCATTCGCAGCTGCTAATAGCAATTGTTCCAATGTAACTGCATTTCTTTCCGTTGAACGTGAATCTCCAACATGTTTCCCTAATAACTTTGTATTGAAATCATGCTCAACTTCTTGAGGCAATTTGAAGTTGTTTGGCTGGTGGAGTTTCCCCCTGAGCGCCATTGAATCCAGCTCTTTAATACAATCCCAAGCTTTTCTTTTCAGCTGGTTCATCTTATCTGTATCGCCAATTGTTACTTCCCTTGTTATCCTTACATTCCCAATTTCTTGTTCCGTCAGTGGTGGGTGAAAATATACTGGCCCAACGAATCGATAAAATAGCACTGTAGATGCATCATTCTCCACCATTATCTGTACTAGCAGGGCCTTGTCTATTAGCTTCACGTTTGGTTCGGCTAATAATACACATGCGTCTCGGCATTCTAGGGCAAGGTCAACTCGTGCCTTCACCAGAGGATGTACACCTCTCCAAACGTATCTCTCATGGCTAATGCGGTCGAGGCAAATAGGTATCCACATGCCACTGACATTGCCATTTGCTTCAATGCGTAGAGAGGCCGGTGAAGAAGCTATAGGCATACTGAACAGGCTAGTCGGACACCAACTGAATCCGTGCGACATGGTGGCCGAATTGTGGAAGAGATGCTGGTGAGAAATTCGTGGTATTTTCCTCAAAATGGCTTTGTAGATGTTTTGTTGCCAGACATCACGTTCTGCCTCTTCGGGGACTATCTCGACACCGACCAAAAGCCCGGAAATGACAGCTATATCCTTCGGCCAAGAGGTGTATCGTGGACCAAGTACTGTCAGAAGGTCGTCAATTTCTTTGATTTCGGTGTCACGGAGTTTCCTGATTATTTCAGATGCCTTTGCATGAGCCTTGAAAGTTGTTGTGTCTCTCTTTAGGATCTCTTCGTCAAGATCCTTGATGAGTGGTCCATCGGGTCCTCCAAAAACGACCTTGACCCTACGCGACTTTGCTAACTCAAGCGCAGTCCAGCCTCGACTGAACCACGGCGACATAAGAATAGCAAAACACGCGGCTTCGGCGCCAGTCCATTTCCAATTCCGGAGGAAACAGTCATGGACCAAGGTGATTTTCGAGTCCTGATAGTTGCTCTGAATCTTTTTGATAGCCTTATTTCGCGCAGACTTTTCTCTAGGTATACAGAGAGTATCCCACCAGATACCTTTACATTGGAACTGATTGGCGATTCCGCGGAAAAAGTCATATAGACATTTGTTGACTTCTCCCTCAGACCAAGACCCTGTTCCAGTCCCATCGGACCAAACATGAGATATGGCCATATATGGTTGCGGGAATGTGGTCAGGGATTCCCCGCTCAAGTTCCATGCCGTCGACTCGCCAGCCTCTGCAGCTCGAGTCAGTGTATCCCTTGGAAACATGTACTTGAGTTGAACACATTCTCTTTTATCTAAACACTCATGGCGTTGCTCGACAGCAGTAAAATCGCGTCGCGAGTATTCACAAAAATCGAAAGTACAGTGCTCGTGATTGTCAAACTCGGAATTATCCTGGCTGCCACGCCATGAAACTGCATCGTCGGCTGGGATCAGCGTAGGTAGTTCTGCCTTGGCAATTGCCCATACACGATTTGGGCAGAGTTTGAGATTAGCGGTCGCCTTTGTGAAGGCATTTAGGATGTCGCGGTGGGAAGCTTCGATATTAATGCTCATAGCTTGAATTGTCAGCCGGACGCTTTCCTAACCTGACGCGTGATAATATGTGGTTTGATAGGGGTGATTTCAGGAGCGAAGTTGTCTACGCAAGAGAGCAAATGAAGCAATTCAAACAGCTGAGCCCCACAGCGAAGGCGATTAATTTGTATTTGAAGATGGAATTGATATTAAGCTGGGTGGGTGGACTGGTTGTGCCGCGCCTCGTGCTAATTTCCGTATCCTTGCTGGCCTGAAGATCAGAGTCAACCCTAGTCTGGATGTAGGTACTAATCGAACTGGCCATCTTAAAATATGTCTCAAGAGCTAGTCCACTCAACTAGCGCCACTAATATGTAAGACGGGTATCATAAGCTCAGCCTTAACAACATGCTGAGCCCGCTGACTCTCGCTTCCACATAACCCATTTTGGGTCGAAGGTCACGACCCTACAGCGGACTAAAATTGTATGCTTTTTGGTGCGGTGGTTGGCATCTCACAATAGGTTTTATATTTCCAGGTTGATATAATCTTTTGACTAAATCACTTTTTGATAGAATTGTAAGGAATTAATATTATTAGATTAGAAGTATTAGTATATAGTTTATAAGTATAGATAGTTAATGTTTCCTAAATCCAGTATAGATATTAGAAAGACTATATATATATAATCAAGAAATATCTCTTCCCTTCTCACAAATTATCCCATGTCAACATCCTCAGCCTGCAAAGCTGTGCTACCCTACATACTGAATTGGTTAAACCCCGGTATTCTTAGGTACAGGTCATTATATACAAGTCTGTTCGAAGCTCAGAATCCACTGATCCGTTACTGCTTCTTCATAGTCTGCTTCTTCTTGGACTCCGAACGCTTGGTGATAGCGAATGATGAGCCACCAATCGTCTTGTTCGGACCTTTTCCGTGGGCCTCTGAATATTCCTTGAACTGCACAGGTCAAATTACTATTAGTCACTCTTTATGATCACATATTTCCAAAAATCGGGGACTGGGTTGAACATACCGCTTCTTTCCATCCTTTGATGGAGTAATCACCATTATCCCTAATTGCCTGCTCATCTTCATCGGAATAAAGCTCCACAATCTTTGGCACTCCCCAAGTACCGTGGTCAAACCGGACTAGCTTCTTCTTTTCTCTTGGTTTGTTCTCCTCATCGGGCTTGAATAACTTCTCCGCTGTTTCATGGAATTTGTATGGCCCCTTAATATCGATGCCGTTATCTTTGGCTACCTTGCCAACTTTCGACACCCATTTTGTTTCTCCATAGTGGTCGCCACCTATGGTGATCCACGTATTGGCAAACCGAACGAATAAAGCGAGGACAGTGGAAATATTTCTGATTCCACTAGTTTCCTCGGGGTTATATGGCTTGAACAGTTTGTTGGTCTTTAAAATCTCAATTCCCGCCAAGAGAGCCTTGCCGACAAGGGCAAGCGTTTCAGCAAATCCGTGACAGTCATCGCCGCCTGAAAGGACATGTAAATCAGTACAAGATGACCGACAAAACATAATGAGAATGACTTACTAAACCAAATATCGATATAATCCAGCTGTAAGAACCACGAGACAGCTTCAAGTTCGGCCCATACCGTATAAGGGGTCTTAGATCTTCGCGACACCTCTCTATGGAAGCCTTTGAGCTGTACGATATGAGCCGATGAAGACAAATTAAAGAGTTGAGTCAGCCTACCCAATTGTCAACGACCTCATTGACGCCATACGCAGTGAAATCGTTGTACATGTAAACATTGTGGTTGTCCTGATCGCGACACTCAACCTGTTTTATCAGCTCAATATACTTATCTATAGCCGACGAAGACATAGTCCAGGGCCATTCAGGATCGAGTTCATCTTGGTTGCGTAGTGGGTTAGGTGCCTCGGAGTATTCTGTATCATTTGATTCCGAATTATCGTCGTCATCAACTTCTTCCTTGTCATACGCCTCTGCCCTAATATCCCAGTTCGGTCGAGCTACAGCAATGAACTTTGGTGCCGCGGCATTGGTCTTGTTTCCCCCGTTCGGCTGCGCATTAGATGCGGCATTGTCCGTGGAGCTGGTTTCCGTTGTTACTTTTGTTCTTTTTGCATTGGTGGGTTCTTGGGGAGTGGTAATGTTAGGCTCCACCCCGGTCAAGGCGCGCTTCTGTCTAGGCATGGTACTCGCCGAAAATGGATACACGAAGTTCTAGGATGATGGTTAATGAATGAATATCTACAACGGTCACCGTTGTGATGTGGCTACTAAAGTAGAACGCGGTACGCGCAAACACGCGCCGCGCCTCACATGAACAGGGGTGCAGATCTGGAGCTAGCCCTAAAATGTTTACAGGCTACAGTACACCATGTTGGCTCTTGTCTGGATACAATGATCAATATTTCACAACGTGTTTTTGACGTCGTATAATCAGGATATTCTTAAAAATCTCACAGATCTTGTCTCCGAAGATGTTGCCGTTCTCCCCTTCAGACAACGGCGAATGTGATGACGATCTCAAGTAACAATTCACCTTGCCAATCAATCTATGATTGAACTCATATTGGCACCATGTTTCTGCAACTTAGTTGATTATGTTGACGATGCCATACTTCTTGCGCAATATGTCCTCAAGCCCGGGGTCCGCTAGACTCAAAAGACGCTCTCGTTCATTAATAGCATCTATACCTGCGTTCACAAATAAGTCTATTTGCAGCGGGTCATTAAAATCCAGATCTTCGTCTCTTTTTTCAGAGACTCTGCATGTCACGAAGTCGAAAAATATATCAAACTCATCCCAAAAAGGGTCGTGATTGTCATCTATTGTTTCGAAAGAAGATAGGCCATCTGGAAAGCGAGTAAACCACTGCTCGCCTGTCACTGTCACATAGTAATACTGATACCGCAGGTCAATATCGACGCTCAGACGGGGTACCTGTCCTCCCGCCATCAAACACCTTAGTGCATGGCCATAAATGTATCTTCTCGCGGTGTAATAGAAGCCGAAATCTATCAGACCGAGCTCGACGGGGAACTTTTTCATTAGTCGTAGGTTATTCTCTTCATGTTTGTGCTCATACCAATGAACAAATCGATCGAGACGAAGCATATTCGCGGTTCTCCCTGGAAGCGTATCCAGTCTATGATGTAAATAGACACTGAGGAATTCATTGCGTAACCCGCTATACTCAGGGATCTCCGGTAGAAGATCGAGTATTACCATAGGAGACTTGCCGTAGACAACAGTCCGAGCGCTTTTGAGCATGTCGCTTGAACAAATTAGCTTCGCTGTGTGCTTATCCAAAAGCACACTCCGAACATTTTCAAGCGTGTAGAATGGAAAAATAACTGCGTCGACATCTGATCGAATGTAGGCTAAGTGGCTCATATCAGGGTATAACTCTGTTAAAATGAAGTCTCGTTTTTTCTCCCCTTCGTTCAGCCATTGATCTGCATGGCCGAGGCAAATGATCAATTGGCTTATTGGCCGCTTGTTTATATATTGCAAAAGATCAACAAGCTGTTGGACTCGTAGGCTTGAGCAAATTAACTGCCCAGGATCGGCAGGGTCCGGTGCCTCAATATGAATCACACAGGGTATTATATGTAGTGGAAGATACTGAAATCCTCGAGACAAGGCATCTTGGGCACTAGAAAATGTCCACTTTGGCCAATCTTCACTCATATCGTCATGTTTGCTGCGATGCCTTATGTCCCGCATTTCGAACCCAAGATAGCTAGGATCCTTATGCCGATCAAATTCTGGCCGGATAGAGAATGTAAACTCCTTGATGGTCATGTGTAAGTGACCAAGGACCTCTGCATAAAGCTGCTTGCTTGCGCGAAGAATCGCAAGATCAGTCTTGTGTCTCTGGGATCCTAAAGGACATAGTTCGTTCCATATCATCAGTCGTATTTCTGAAGGCAGGTTTGCGAAAACCCCTAGACTGGAAGCGGACATATCGAAGTAGTCTTCAGACCTTAAGGAATATGAAAGCTGGAGATTATGAGAGTACGTCCAGTTGATCTTGATCCTCCTAGGCAACGATCGAACATGTATCGCTCACTGGGACCGCACTGCTGTTTTTGGCAGGTGATACCTTACAGGGGAATATGAGCACTCCGCGCACCTCATATCAGGCAACTCATAGAACACAAAAGTTAATACTCGATGGAGTAATTGAAGAAAGAGTCTGAAGTGGCTTACAAGGATGTACGACAGAGTTTGGAGCTAGTACTTTGTAGACTGATTAGTTACCTAGTACAAAGGAGGACTAGTGCACTGAGGGGTTGTTTATCAGCTTTCTCCAAATCCTCCAAGAAGACTCGACCTAAAGACCCATCTTTTATATTTTCTCTCAGCGCAATTCAGGCAAAATGGATGCACCCGATCTGGGTCTCTTTGGCGGGCTTCCAGTGGCAATACCACTCTTAATATGGGCGGAATTTTTCCTGTGGTCATAAGAGGCAAGACAGACCTTGCTATCCTCCGCACGAGCGAGCAACATCATGCCAAAATTAGGGCTTACATATACAAAGGACATGGCAATCTTGGCCATTGCTGTGAGGTGTGTTTTGATGATGAAGAAGACGAAGAGGGCTTAAACATCAATCTCAATTATTATCCTGCGCTGGCGACTTGAAAATCATCGACTCTGACGTGGGCGCAGCGATGTTCCCATTATTCAGAGTTGGCAATATAGAGATCTTTGTCTTTGATGCGACTTTAGCAACTGTTGTCTTTCCTGACAAGAATATACCTTTCGCACTTTTTCCAACGCTCTGCTTCAATGCATCCCGAAAAACGTTACACGACCTTTCAAACTTAGGTTGCCCGTAGTCTTCAAAGACGGGCTGCATGCAGACCTTACAGGATTGAACGATATGTGTAATTTTCAAGTACATTTCAGACTAGAGGCGGCCGAGGGGTATATCACAAGTCTACTTCGCCGTGACCGCTACGCCCATTAGAAGGAATGCAAGTACGACGAACTATTTTGACAATTGCTGAACAAAATATCCGATCCAGCTTGATATTCTAGATAGATCGGGCTTAAAGGTATGATAATGAGATACATCCATGCCCACACACTTCGACATCACTTATACGGAAAACAGAGTCTGGGGGATCTTGTCCCAGATGTACCACCTGATCAGTGGAGACCCAACTTCAGAGTCGGCTTACCCACTTTCAACAACTACAACGCTGCTGGTCATCCTTATGTTCTGCATTTTTGGTTGCCGTTCGAGAACTACGCCAGTGAATGGATTGCAGAGCAGGAGGGGTTGCAAGCAGCACAGAAATCATCGCCTGATCTGTTCGTGCCTTTAGGAACGTTTGCGAAAACAAGTGCGGATGCTCAGAGCGCATGTGATCGACGATTTGAAGAGGACCCGTATTATGAGGATAGAATGGTGAAGGAGTTTGGTATGAGGTTTGGCGAGGCGGAGGATGAGTAAGTCATTGAACCATTAGTGAGCGCATGAGAGCCTTTTTTTCAGCCTTGGATCAACAGGTAATATGTTGGAACTGGATAGCAGGAGATAGATATCTCGATTCGATAAAGAGGCGGGATGGGATGTAGTGACTCTCCTATTCTTTACGTCTGGTCAAACCTGCAAAGCCCTTAAGACTAGTGTCTAGTCTATATATCGTACATACTGTGCATACGAGTCTACCTGGGCCTGATTACAACTAAGATGAGCCATAAGTAATAGATATATCCCTGAGTCATATTGTAGATTACCTCCTAAGTAGACAGAAACTAGCTACCTTCAAGCAGGCTACTTACAGCCAGTACAGATGTAGTTGATGTGGATGCTAGATTAACCGAATACGATCCGTAGTCTCATCCCAGTAATTCCAGGCCACCACCGCCACCACCACCATCGCATAATTCGATAAAAGAAGCCTAACTGGCCTCGATGGATAAGAACCTGCTAGCCCTCATTGTGAAATGGCCAGAACAAATCATCCGCAGACACAGTTGACCTCGCTGATCATTCATGGCTGTGTCTGAACCACACGTCGATAGTCACGGAGCCATACGCAATCAAAATAATACTGAAGGCCTCCACGGATAAAGATTCGTCTTGTTTATGCCATAGGCAAAAACCCTCCAATTGATATGGAGTGCCTCCAGGAACAGATATTTGGATATGTCTATACCATAAGCACATACCATCTCAATGATAGCGAAGGCCTCCCAGGATAGACATGGGATAAGCTCCAAGACCTGCCACGTGTTTCGAATAATAGTGAACAACAGGCCAGTATGCTCATTTAGCGTCATCTGAGGCTTCTGTAGCACTGGTTGTTGCGGCCGGCGTTTGTTGACTTTGAATATGAGGAGGCGGGGGGCCCATTGGGCTATAGTTGTTTGAAGGGCCACGATGTTGATGGTGGGGATATTGTTGCGACGGGTGGGAACCAGAATTATATTGTGGCTGTTGTGGATATCCGCGATGGGGTGCTTCCCCGGTGGTGTTAGCTGAATCATCCAACAGGATTGACTGAGACTAAAACCTACCATGACCACCAGGCTGCTGCGGTGCGTACACAGGTCCCTGCTGGCCTTGATTCATGTACATCATTGGCTGTGGCGGTTGACCGGGTTGTGAGCCTTGATGCATCATCATGGGAGCGCCTCGACTGGGACTGGGATAGCCACTGTGGGGTTGAGGAGGAGGTCCTCCGTGCTGCGGATATGCATAAGACGGGTTCGGGGAATACATTTGCATTTGAGGGTTGTAATGCCCGTTCATTCCTTGTGGAACCCCCATATATGGACCGCTAGATGGCTGCTGAACCATCATAGGTGCACCCATCCCGTTTTGAGGATTGATAAATTGAGGTCCACCGGGATACTGACGCATATGGCCGGGTTGCTGGCCACCTTGATTCATGTAGAATTGTGGTACGGGTTGGCCGTAAGCCAATTGAGCATGTGGAGCCATAGGCGAAGGGTAGGCATGTTGGAGTCTCGGCGATGGGAACATGTGAGACGCCGACGCAGATAATTGCATGCGATGAGGATCTTCAAAATGAGAGCTCGGATGCTGTTGGTGAAGATGAGGAGGTCCATGAATAGGGCCACCTGCAGTATGAAGAGTTGGCGTGTTTTGTTGAGTATTAAACGGATGTTGCGAAGGGTGAGGAATGTGTGAGCTCGACCCAGATCGGCTTTGAGGCGAAATCGATGGAGGAGCGCTCTTGAACATGTCTTTGTATGTTTTTTCCTCATTACCAGGAGCAACGTCCCATGTTGGTGCGGTTCGGTATGGTGGCGGAACTCCTCCATTGAAGGTGAAGTCTTTGTCCTTTTGCTCGGCTCCTTCTTTCTTCAGGCGCTCAATAGGGGAGCACTGATTCTTGAGAGACGGCCGTTCAGCCGCAGGCACGGGCTTCTTGTTTCCGAAGAACGCTGACGGTGTACTCGCACGAGAGACTGAGCGTCCACGCGAGCTTAATTGTGGACTGGCAGCAGCACCAGAGCTGCTGCCAGGTCCACCTGGCGTAAATGTGTTTGCAGCTGGATTGGGTTTGAACTCCATAGCCCGGACATTGAACTTAGTCGAAGTAGGTGTCTGCAGTTGAGACTTGACCAGGTTGTCTCCGGAGGGTCCTGAAGGCGGCATTCGAGAATCGTGGATGGGAAGAGGTGCTGGAACTGTTCCAAGAGCGTTCTTCTGCTGGCGGAAATTGTCTGCTAGGCGTGTGCTGAGGTTTCCTCGGCCACCATGGAAGGTCTGCACTCTGCCGCCCATACCAAAGTGAGGTCCTTGGGGAGGGTATGGTTGCCGTCCACGGTGGTGAGTCTGGCGATCGGCAGGTGCGGAGGGAGGAATATTTGCCGGTGCGGCTTCCGAACGAGGTGCCGTCGTGCGAGGGGTAGTGCTGCTGGGCTTCTGCTCTGTCACAGGCGCAGCTGGCTGTGGTACCGTCTTGATAGCCGCCTTTTCATCCGCCTGACGTTGTGCACGCTCTATGATTTCTTCCTGCTTACTTGGATCCTTTGCGAGTATGGGTACAAGATCCTTGGGCACAGGGGTAGCCAGTTTGAAGTTTTGCGAGAATTTCATGAGCTCATTGAGCTTAACAGTCCGGTCATGAGAAGCTTGATTGCGTCGACGTTCTTGCATCCTCATTTTCTCATTGTTTGCAAATTGTCGGAAATGGTCCAAAACCTCTGTTTCAACATTCGATGTCGCATTTTCGGCCGCTCCAGGACGTTTGACTTGTGCGGTCGCCGTTGTCGACACTGGTGTCTTCTGATCAGAGACGGGAGGAGCAGTGTTTTGCTTCTCAAGTGTGATGGTGGGCACTGCCGGCTTCGATGAGACGGGGACCTCTGGTGCCGCCGCCGGTTTAGCCAGTTGAGCGGATATAATGGCTGGGTCAGTTGCTGCAGCGGATATGGTAGCTGGCTGTTGAGCGGCTTGCTGTCGTCGAGCTGGTGGTGTATATTTATTCGGCTGTCCCGTCTGTAAGGGCAAATAGTTTGCGTCACGGCGAACTCCACTGTATCTCTCCTCTTCATCATGGCCTTCACCTTCAGGTGCATGACCACGTTCTTCCCTCAAATGCGGGTTGTCGGTCACGGTGCCTTCAATCTCTCGAGCTATCCGAGCAGCTTCGGCTTGCTTCTTCTTGTATAACGGGTCATTACGGTTGATTTGAGTGGTGTAAATGTTCTCGTCATAGCTGGTTGTGGCTCCAAAGAGACGCTCATTGGCTTCGAATTGATCCCAACCAGTCGATCCTGAACCTTCCAAAGACATATCCACACTGGGATCAGCAGCGCTAGGCTCCCAGCGCTGTAGATTTCTTTCGCGCATGGCAAGACTTCCGGAAATATCTGTGTCAGTGCGAAACCCGGTTTGGGGCCCTATGGATGGTCAACGGTTAGTATGTTCCGGAGATACGAGAGCAAAATGACCTCACCATTGGTATCCTTGGCGACCACTTCAGCGGTAGACACATTGTTCACGACGATATCAGTGATTTCGTCAACTTTGAATTTCATGCTATGATCTGGGGTCGTTCCAACGAAAAGAGTGGTGGTTTCGCTTATCCCATTGGCATTGGTATCCGCCGAAGCCACACGTTGCACCATTTTGAGCAACACGGAGGCGTTATCGGATTCAAGTGTGGAAGACGAGAATATACCACTGTATTTCTCACCGTTCTTAATAGTAATGGTTGCTGAGAGACCCTGATTGTCTGTTAGTATTGTTATACATCGCAGCGAGTATCGTTTAGTGACATACAATAAAGCTGGTCATCAAAAACACAAGCCGACCATGAGCATTGTGTTCCGAGGTGCTGGTAGTAGGCTTCGGCGACGGCGTGGACTTCGACGGAGCGTGATTGCCGTTTGGCTGGGAGGAGGCTTTCTGGGTGATTGGATTTATACCCTGAGTCCAGGCTTTCTGGGAGCTAGAGCGTCTGCAAGAGGGTTAGTCATTGCAATACATCGATTTAGATAAAACAGTCACAATGTCGGCAACGAAGACAAAAGAGTCAGCAGCAAAGGAATTGGAGAGATAAGATGAGATGATCGGGTCAATTAGTTTTGTGTTGCGCTGGCACCGAGAGCTTCCCGTCTGCGGCACGAGCCATATGTCTGACAAACAATCAATTGATCACGTACCTCTGAGCACCATCACCTGGGCTTGCCGACTGTCGTCGAGTGGCATCGGCACCCTTGAAGCTTGTGTTTGTTCGCAGAGATTGGCGGGCGCCGTTGTTCTGTGAAGGGTTCAAGTTATTGCCAGAAGCCCGATTGGCAGCGGACACGGAGTTGGCGGTTGAAGCCATTGGAGAAGCTCGGTCGTTGCGAAGACAAGCTTCGGGTGGAAAATCTAATATTTTCCCAGGTCGGCCAGAGCTAGGGTAGATTGTAGAGTGATGGAAGGACAGAAGGAGGCCACGACGCACGCACACACCGCCCGCTCGGTGGGAATGAGGCTGCCTCTTTTTTTCTCGGTAGTGAGGGTGGGCAGAAGAGCGCACTTGTTGTGTGTCGGAAGTACGTGTGCCCTTCAATCAGACGGAAAAAGTATAAAAAAAAATAGTAAAAAGGAAAAGGAAATGCAGAGCTGCAGAAGGGAAGGGGAGAGAGAAGAGCGATTAGCTGCGCAGGAGAGCTCAGATGGAGACAAAGCACAGCAGCAGATGTCAAAGGGGAGACGAGAGAGGGTGTGCTTTTTGGCTTTTTGGGGATCGCAGAGTGAGAGAGGCAGAGCGGAGCGACGTCGAATGGGGATTAGCGCGGTTTTACCGGGAGAGCCACTGCTTAGTGTCAGATGGCGGCCCACTTACGCTCTCTTCTGTGACACTTTGAGAAAAGAAGAGATGCTCAATAACTTCTACTACATAGTAGTTAATTGCTAAATTGATGGCTGATCAACAGCGATTCTACTGCTGACCGAGACTATACGTAGTAAGACAATCATCGGTAACAACATTCATGGACTCTCTTACGGGATCGGAATTGGATTAGTTATTGGTTGCGGTCCTAGTTTGGTTCTCTCCATCACACCACACCAGCGCTTATTGTTCCTCTTCTTTAGCCTCGCTATCAGTGAGGCTGGCCGGTCCAGTTGGTATAGTCCATGTATGCCAATGTTGGCTGAGTCTGGTTGGCCTTTCGACTCGGGGGTAGAGTCTGGATTAGCGATCGAAACCTTGCATTAGATATGTGTTTAATGGCGGAGACACCATTCTATCTATCGGCTAACTAATTAAGTAGTCGATAGCTGCTGCTTAGCGTACTGTAGTCCGTACTTGGGCAACAGTAACTACTCCGTAGTCACTACCACCGGTTACTATACTAAGCAGGGCTATCAGTTCGCCTCGTTATGTAAATCAGTATCACCTGGATCTATCGCTCATACCGCACCACTCGCTACTTGCTCTCTGACGCTGAACATGTTAGGTATTCTTGAATCAACCTCTTCAAGAGATGAATTAATGCATCTAGGACCTAGGACATGAGTACGTACGTATTCATGCGACAAGAGATCCACCTTTCACCATAGCAATTTAACCCCATTATTTGCCCCATTTAGGTTTGTATGAGCAACTTGAAACAAGTGGAGAGCCTCCTATGATGTGCTTAGGATCTGGCCCAGGAAGACAATTGAACAGATGCCCGAATGAAACAATGCCATAATCTGCAAGTTTAAGGCCAGCCATACAAAGGACTGATTGGCGGGGACTCACTCGGAGTGCCTCCCCAGCCCGTCAGACCCGTGACCCACAGCTTCCCGCCCGACCAGAGAGCAGCCAGCCTCTTGCCAGGGGGGCCACAAGAGCAACGTCGACCTCTGAACCTCAAGGGAGAAACTTGGACCACCGCTTTCCAGACCCGATGGCCTTCTAACAAACCCATTCGTCTCCAGACCACAGCCAGGCTGTTTCAACTACCACCGGTCGAGTCTCCTTCATTATAGCCAGCCCACCGCGTCAGTCTTCTAGAAACCGCACAGACGTGCTTTGCACCAGTCTCAGTCTACGCCCATGCAGTCGTCACATTCCTTATCGCGTTCCACGCAACGACCTTCGAGGGCCGAATCCCCTTCAACTATTAGCAGCAGCAACGGGGCCAGTATGGCGTCACAACCATCTGGTCCTCGGAGCTCGTCAGGGTCTGCCCAGTCTCATGCATCGCGAAGTGGTGTGGTAAGCTTACTCTCTTCTTTCCGAGCCCATTCCTTAGGCCTTCAAGCTGCGCATTCAATGCTCAAAGCTAACTGCAATGTCTCAGCCCGGAAAGCAAATATCGCAAATCGAAGCCAGCGTCACACACCTCCTAGTCGCAACGAAACAACTACTCGAGACTTTAACCCAATGGTCTCGACGAACCGCCACCGAAAACGAGGTATCGGATGTTTATGTGCGCTTAGGATATGAATTCAACTTGGCTTGTCGTGCCTTCGGTGCTATTGGCGTGGATACATCAGACCTCGGCCCTGTGCCTGATTTACTGCGGACGATTCTGGAAGATACATTGAGTCAGGATGCATCTCCTCAGAGCCTGGACAGATACTTGCCTCGTATACGCGATATCATAATAAATCTTTTACACGGCTTGAAAAAGAAACAGGCTCGATTACGCTCGCGACAACCTCGAGATGGGATGCCACCGAGACAAGCCAGTTTTGGTAGTCTGGCAGGAAGCGAGGCTGGTCCGTCACAACCCGATGAAGGCACACCTTCGTCGCCGCAAAAACGACCTTCTTCCGCCCGCCGTTATGGCAGCAGTGGCTCATTAGAGGACCAACCGCCAATGCCGCGTGATAACGCGGTTCCTGATCGAGAAGCATCACGAAGGGATGCCGACAGAACCCTGATTTCGCCTACTCCGACTTCTTCCTTGTCAGCATCAGCACTTCAAGGGCAATCTTCACAAAATGATAAGTCCACAGTACCTCCATATTCGACTCCCACGCCACCTCCACCACCTCCGAAACAAGATGATGCATTGGGAGCTTTGCAAAGAAGCGGCGAGCTGGAGCGACGTGCCTCGCGCAGATTTTCGGCCTACCAGATACAGAAGCACCTTGGAACATCCTCCAACGGTGTCCCTGTGCTACCGACTCAAACTACACCTATACCCAATAGAGGCCGGGATGTGAGAGAATCCTTGAACGCTGTCCGGTTGCGAGGGTCCTATCATGGTAGGCAAAAATCAGCGAATCGCCAGGAGTCATCACCCAGTAGGACAACGTATCAGCGTTCCACTTCGGTTATTCCCGAAAATGAGCCAAGTCAACCGAAGCCGCAAGTCGTCCCTGTCAGTGAAATGCCCGCCAATGACGACAGTCCCATGTCCAGAACTCCAACAGATAAGCTTCGGTCCGCGGTAGAAATAGATGGGCCCGATATTTCTACTGCTGACAGCTCAATCTTGTTTCCTCAACCTGGCCAAGGCCTTCCTGTCTCTAATGACATTGAGCCAACGAAGACTCAGCCCACCGACGCTGTTCCTAGGACGCCCAAGGCTCAAGAACCTCCCATCACACTTGGCACGCCACCTCAAGTCCAGCAGTTTATACCAGAACAGTCTCCATCTCCAGGCAAGGAGCTTACCTTGTTCTTGCAATATAAAAGTAAAATCAAGAAATATGTCATCCCTGAAGGGTCTACTGGCCTCACAATCGGGCGTCTTCAGCTCGCATTTATTGAGAAATTCGCATGGAACACTCAACAGAATGGTGTCGATCTTCCCGAAATATATATCCAGGATCCCGTTTCTGGGGTACGACATGAGCTTGAAGATCTAAGTGATGTCAAAGATCGATCGGTCCTCGTGCTGAATGTTGAAGTCCTTGACGAAGTGAAACGCCATTTCGATGATGGTATTGGAAGCATTCGTCGGCTGATTGAAGGCGTCAAGAGTACAATTGACGGCCAGGAGACCGCAATGCAGCGCGTCTCAGAGAGGCAGCTGGATGCTGCCAAAGAGATGGCGCGTCTAGCAGCCACACCACAAATCACGCTCCCACCAATTGCAGATACTACCAGGAAAGTACAGTCTCCTGTACCTTACGATGGTAGCCGGGTTGCCGAAATCCAGAGCCTGCGACGTGATATTGCTGTTTTGCGCCAAACATATTCCAACTTCTCCTCTGATATTGCAGCCTCTATGAGCAAGATTCGCGCCAAAGCAAGTGGCGTCAAGACCGCTGCAGCTGTTGCAACGACACCGTCATTCGAAGGCGATGCGGGACGTGCTCGTATCAATTCTGGAAAGAAGGACCTTGGTGATGAATCGGAAAGACTTGTTGGTCGGGTTGATGATCTTCAAGACCTTGTTGAAGACCTACGAAAGGACGTTGTACAACGTGGCGTACGTCCACTGCCTCGTCAGCTGGAGGCTGTCAGTAAAGATATCAGCACGGTGACCAAGGAGGTCAAGAAGATGCAAGACTTCCTCAAACGTGAGAAACCGATTTGGACCAAGATCTGGGAGAAGGAACTTCAACTTGTCTGTGAAGAGCGTGATCAGCTTACCATGCAGGAAGACCTGGCTGCCGATCTTGAGGATGATTTAGAAAAAGCCGCCCAGACATTTGCACTTGTTGAACAGGCTACCCGACAGCAAAACGTTCAAACCACAGACGGCGGACCTGTACTGCGCAGTACATCTCGCACTCTAGCAATCGACCAAAGTATAGACCCCATCAAGGCAAAGGACGGCGTGCTTGGTGAAGTTCGAGCTCTTCAGCCAAATCACGAGTCTCGACTAGAGGCTATCGAGCGTGCAGAAAAGGCCCGCCAGAAGGAACTAGAGTCTCGGCGTGTGGGTCTTTTCCAGAAAGAGCTGGGGTCATTTGTGGAAGAAGGGAAGTTGAAGAAAAGCGGCGGATTCGAGGAGACAGAACGCTTGCGTCGGGCGAAGGATGAGCGGATACGTAAGGAAGTTTGGGAACGCCAACAAGCTCGGGCTGCAGCAATGGAGGAAGCGGAAAAGACGGCGCCTGATGCAACCTCGCCAGAAGGAGAAAAGGGAACTGATGAACCTCCTGAGGGTGAAGCAGAATCTGCCCAAGAGGACTTTTCATCACCACTTGCTGCTGAAAGCACAGAAACCTCAACACCGAACGAGCTGGAGAATGGTACAACGGAAGAMCCCCCCGCCGAGCCCAATGTTATATAGGCGAGCACTACTTCTGCCTGAAAAGTACCACCTCTCTCCCATCCGACATAACTGACATAGCTTACTTGGTTTCTTGTTCTTTCTTATACGAATTGTCTTCTGACATCTTTATTATATACTCCTAGGCCATGACTCTCTTTGGTTATCGTTTTTTATACTTATTATGTCTCTTCACTGCTTTCCTTGAGATGTGGAATTCTTATGAAGTTTCGAGGATACCCATGAACGTCATTGATGTTGTTAGCCTTTGTTTTTATTTAGGTGCATTATATTATTCGTTATACAGTCCGGTATTACTGAGATAGTTAATTGAGGTGCTGCGATAAGAAAAGATCAGCTGCGTAGCAACAAGAGGCCCGTGCACCCAGCTTTATTTACTTTTGCCCAACTCTACTATGAGCACCACTGATGCAACATATAACGAACAACGAATGATGATATAAGCCGACCATGAAGATTCATTGAACTGTAATTTTCTGTTAATAAGGTCAATATGAGACCAACTAGGTCGTCGTACATACTCTACGGCGTTTTAGTGCTATTGGCATCCACAGCGGCGTCAACGTCAACATCAGCCGGAATCAATAGCACCGACATCAAATATGGCGGACAATTACCGTCCGTCATCCGAAAGATGAGCGACGATGAAGGAGAAAAGTTCTATTTTGACTATTGGAGTTGGAATGATCCGTTCTTGCCATCCGACTCTTCACAAAGAGAGGTTGTCAACACATCAGTAACAGGATTGGTGGAGCCTCAACCGGCAATTTTACTACATACCAGCACTGACGCAGACTTGCTGTCGTCCACTGAGGAAGAACGGGATTACGCTAGATCTGCCAGAAGGGCTTTATTCATGCTCTTGGGACGAGATTTTCAGTGTCCCACGGGTACGTTTAGCTGCACCTCAATTGGGCAACCCGATAGCTGCTGCGGGGACGGTGCTACTTGTGTGATAGTGCAGGACACTGGTCTTGGTGTTGTTGGTTGCTGTCCTGCGGGGGAGACATGTGGTGATACTGTGAGTTCGTGTGGAGCTGGGTATTCGAGTTGTGCGAGTAGTCTGGGAGGTGGTTGTTGTATTCCGGGGTATACCTGTGTGACTGGTGGATGTAGGCAGCCCTTACTCTTTACTTACGTGGGTTTGACTGATTGATTAGGTGCATTTGTGTCGACATACACTGTGACAAGACAGTCGACGACATTCATTTCGTCTTCTACAGTTTCTACAGTACCAACTGTACCAACTTCGGTCTCAACTACTTCATCTTCTACCCACACGACGATAAGCACTAGCACGACATCGTCCTCCTCTTCCTCACCCACCTCAACAGAGACTACCAGCACCGTCTCCCCTACAGCCCCAGTACGACCTACAACCAGTTCCCAAACCACCATAACAAGCAGCGCCACCACCACATCCAGCACCACAGTCTCGACCTGCCCTACAGGCTTCTACGCCTGCTCCGCCGTCTACGAAGGCGGATGCTGCCGCACAGGTCGCAATTGCGACACTACTTCTTGCCCAGCAACGTCATCCACGACACTCATCAACACAGACGGTATCACTATTGCTGTGCCGACGGGTAGTGCCGCGACGACCGCTACTGAGAGCAGCGGTTCGTGTGCGACTGGCTGGKTTAGTTGTGCTGCTTCAGCGGGCGGCGGGTGTTGTCCTAATGGGTATGTCTGTGGTAGTAGTTGCACGGCGTCGAGCTCAGGGACTGCGACGGCTACGGTTGTGAAGGAGCAGCCTGGTGTAGCGGGGAGGTATGTGGCTGATGTGTATTTTAGCGGAGTTATGGCTGTATTTGTCACGGTCTGGGTATATTTTGGGATTTGATGTGATTATATATGACCGCATGTATATAGAGCTATGAAATATAACATGAATGACTATCCTACAATATTGTTCATCTAAATAAAATATAATAGGCTAATAGCGCCGGTGAGCAAACATCGGCTAAGGGCGCTCTCCAACGTCTCCACATTCTGCCGGCCCTCTCCACATCTCTCGCCGAAAACACCGACTCCAGTGCTTCTCCTCCTCCACCCGCTCTCTCGTCTTTATTTATTTCTCTTGATTGCTCGTGTGATATCCATTCTTTCCATACTTTACTTGGACAGTGCTGTTATATGTAAGTTGCAGACGCTCAATCTTTGGTCTGCGCAGTCCTCATGCATATTGCCGGGCAATAAGCTGACTTTCTGGCTACAACAGTATCGCGACTATCGGATAACAACCTCAGTCAATACAGCCCACCATGTCGTCCTCCGAGAAGCCTCTCCCCTTCGCGTACCAATTCGCCGCCGGTGCGATTGCAGGTGTTTCCGAAGTGAGTAATAATTCGGCAAACCATCTATACTGCTGTACGTGCAACGTATAGATTACTAATGACTTCTGCTTAGATTCTTGTCATGTACTTCTTCCGAAATCCTTTCTGCTCGTTCGTGACGGACAATTGAATTGACAAATGCGCTAGGTACCCATTGGATGTCGTGAAGACGAGAATGTACGTTGAAATTACGCAGACAGAATGTATGGTCATGGCTAATTCGGTGTAGTCAACTCCAGTCCGGCGCTGGTACCGGCGAGGAAGCTTATACAAGCATGTTGGATTGTTTCCGCAAGATCGTCCGCAATGAGGGGTATGAACTCTTGCTCCTTGCTTGCTGACAAATGCTAAATTTTCCCAAAGAGCATCTCGTTTGTACCGTGGTATCACCGCCCCTATCTTGATGGAGGCTCCGAAGCGTGCCACCAAGTTCGCCGCCAACGACAGCTGGGGTGCCTTCTACCGCAACCTCTTCGGTGTCGAAAAGCCCACTCAGTCCCTGGCTGTTCTGACCGGCGCCACGGCCGGAGCCACAGAGTCCTTCGTTGTTGTCCCCTTTGAGCTCGTCAAGATTCGTCTCCAGGACAAGGCCCAGGCACACAAATACAACGGCATGATTGACGTCGTCTCCAAGATTGTCAAGGAAGAAGGTGTCCTCGCCATGTACAACGGTCTCGAGGCCACGCTCTGGCGCCACATTCTCTGGAACGCCGGTTACTTCGGTTGCATCTTCCAAGTCCGCCAACAACTTCCCAAGCCTGAACCGGGCAACAAGAGCCAACAAGTCATGACTGACATGATTGCCGGTGCTATCGGTGGTACAGCGGGTACCATCCTCAACACGCCCATGGACGTCGTCAAATCGCGTATTCAGAACAGCCCCAAGGTTGCCGGTTCCGTGCCTAAGTACAACTGGGCCTGGCCCGCTGTTGCGACTGTTGCGCGCGAGGAAGGATTCAGTGCTTTGTATAAGGGTTTCCTGCCCAAGGTGCTTCGATTGGGTCCTGGTGGTGGTATTCTTTTGGTGGTGTTTACTGGTGTTATGGACTTTTTCCGTACTCTGCGTGCGGAGTGAGGTCTTTTGACTGAAAGAAAAAACATCGAAAAGCAACCCAAATATTACGATAGAAAAGAATCCGAAGAATGTGCGAGGGCACTTGATACCCCTAAGTAGAGTCCGACGGCCGAGAGAATCGAAGCATGGGCAGAAGAGAAGAGAAGAAGAAAAGGAGGTTTACAAGGCATGTGTTGAACATTGGTTGTCATCTTCATGTTTAGTATTTCATCATTGCTAGCTGTTTGGGAATATTGTACAGTCTGTCTGAGCTAGAGTTCTTCCTCCTTCCATTTCCTTGAAAATGTACCTGTTTCTCCCTAGATAGAGCCATCTCAATAGAGCCTGAATCTGATTGTTCTCCAGAGTTACTTAGAACTCGATGCAAGCCTATCAACACGAGTTAGTATGCTATATCACTAACAATCAAAAAGAAATGTCATGAACAGATCTCAATCTCTCAACTCCTCAGGTCTTTTCAGTTTATTATTTGTAACAACATGTCCCATACCTCCAGCCGAACCAGGGAGCAGAATAGAGAAGAAAAGGCACAATCATAATCTCGCGGTGCCATTCTCACAGATCAGACGTCAAGCAGAACAAGACAGACAGACGCAGCGAGACGAGGGCCAGAGACGGAGAAGAAGGAATGTCTGCCGAAGCCATTGATTTGTTTTTCCATCTTCTTTGAAAATAAGATGGAAACCCTCATGGAGAAGGAGCGGGTAAACAAACCCCAATATGCGGCAGGAGTCGTGATGACATAACTTGTTGTGTATATGTAGGAAAGCAGATTCAAGTAGATTTCATGGAGCCGAAGCAAATACTCGAATATATCCGCGTTGCATACCAGTGGTATTATCCCAGCTCCTCGACTGTGGTCTTGCTCATAACCCGGGAATAGCCCCTTCGAGGTATGATGTTCCTCTTCTTTTCTTGCTCTTCTGGTTTGTCGGAGGTATGTTTGATGATCTGACCTTTTACCAAGTTCGCATCATTGGAGGAGAGATTGAAATTCAAGAAGGGAGGGTGGTACTTCGATGTTGGTAACCATCTTACCTATATAGCAGCTACATCAAGCTGTATGCTCGAAATAAAGAGTCGGCGATGGTAGAAAGAGAGACAGATCAAATGCGAAGAGGAAGGTGGATCTGATGGCGAAAATAAAGCTAGTCCCCAAAAGGATAAGTGGGGAGCTGGCTTTGAGTCCCACCGTGGCAGGCGCTAGGCCCAATCGGCGATAAGCATACATCACTTATTTGTTAGCTACATCGAGGGGCATCTTGCTACTTTGTCTTTATGCTTCGAGGGTGTTAGTTGTCTTGTTTGTTCTGCAGTTACTGCTTTTCGAAGAATACGATAAGTTACTGCGACGAATACAAGACAAGACAGAGCTAGCGATATTTGGACAGCATGGGAGCACTAAGACGTGCCATCTTCTCCTTCCCCTGATCCTCTCGACCGTCTACAGCCGACTACAACGCACGAGCGAACTTGATCGTACCAACAAACAAGCACTATAATTACTATGGACTTCCTCAAGTCTGCCGTTGCCTCGGCGATCTCGAAAGGAAGCTCTCTTCCCTTTTCCCTCGGGGACCGTGTCGATTCAAACGAGTCGTTATGGACACTACACAATGCGACCAAGCGGGTGCGCGCCTCTTTTTCTCCAGTCCCTCGTTTACAAGAATCAATACTGATCATGCGCGCGAGCAATAGGATGACGGCTCCAATTGCAGCGTTTTTACCTTTGACGTCAACGCAAACAAATCCCGCCTTCCCCTCGCCAAAAATGCGATGCGCAAGTTCCGGACATTGAGACATCCCGGCGTAATACGAGTTCTGGATACGATCGAAGTAAGACACTCTCGATTCAGGCACATAAAGTGGACATGCAACTGATCCTGGTATAGACGGAATCGCATATCTATATTGTTACTGAAAGAGTGACGCCTCTTTCCTGGGCGGTGAAGCGCAAGAGCATTACGGAAGAGACAGCGAAATGGGGTCTATATACTGTAGCTGTGAGTTGAGTGGTTCAAACCATGAATGCGCTAGATCTAACATGTTTCGGATAGTCGACACTCAAGTTCATCAACGCAGACGCTTCCTCCGTACACGGCGCTATCCGAGTATCTTCTATATACACAAGTGAAAGTGGGGAGTGGAGGTTAGGAGGATTCGATATTTTGAGTTCCATGAACGACGATGATGCAGTCATCTATGTACGTGAATGAGTACTGTTGTTTCGAAGTATTGCTAACATGAACGCGATACAGACATACGGCAGTCTGGTACCTGATTCTGCACGCTACGCGCCACCCGAGATCAACAAAGGAGGATGGGAAATCATCAAGCGGAACCCGCTGGCTGCAGTAGACTCATATGGATTGGGTATTTTAGTATTTGAAGTCTTCAATGGCAGCTTTACAGGCCCCGATCAGGTCGGAAAGACGACCAATATACCGCCGAGCATGCACCAGAGCTATCGAAGATTAAGCGCTGCCAACCCTAAGTTGCGACTGAGTGCTGCCAATTTTGTTGACCAAGGTAAAAAGATCGGTGGTTTCTTTGAAACGCCTCTGATTCGATTAACCGACGATATTGAAAGTTTGGGATTGAAGAATGATGAGGAACGGGAAGAGTTCCTCAAGTGAGTGCACATTCTCAAGTCTTATGGAACGATACTTACATTTTCAGTGAACTCGATTCCATATCTGAAGACTTCCCCGAAGACTTCTTCAAGATGAAGATACTGCCTGAACTCTTGAAATCGGTAGAGTTTGGTGGTGGTGGTCCCAAAGCCCTCACTGCCGTCGTTAAAATAGGAACTAAACTCACGGATGATGAATATTCGTCCCGATTGACTCCAGTCATCGTTCGATTGTTTGCAAATCCCGACCGGGCTATCAGGGTTAGCTTGCTGGATAATCTTCCCTTGATGATTGATCGTCTACCACAGAAGCTTGTCACTGACAAGATCTTTCCACAAATGGTAAGCGAATCCTATGCCTCTATCTGATGCGGAATGCTCACATGTATAGACTTCTGGATTCACGGATGTTGCACCCGTTGTTCGAGAACAAACTGTCAAGGCAGTCTTGACGGTGATTGGAAAGCTGTCTGATAGAGTAATTAACGGAGAGTTACTTCGGTTTTTGGCTCGTACTGCAAATGATGAGCAACCTGGTATCCGAACAAACACGACGATTTGTTTGGGAAAGATTGCAAAGAACCTTTCGCCGGGTGTAAGTATGTCTCGCAGTTCTCATGAATATTGTACTAATTGAGTCTAGACCAGATCAAAGGTGCTGGTAGCGGCATTCTCGCGCTCAGTGCGCGATCCTTTCGTGCACGCACGAAATGCAGGATTACTGGCTTTTGGAGCAACGATAGAATCGTTTTCAGAAGACGACTGCGCAAGTAAAATCATGCCAGCGTTGTGTCCTGCATTACTTGATAAAGAAAAGTAAGTTGTGAAGCGAGGTCTAGGTTTATTCTATCTAACTTGTCACAGGCTTGTTCGAGACCAGGCGAACAAAACCCTCGATTTATATCTACAACGTGTGCGGAAACATGGCAGTACCATGGCTGACACAGTATTACCACCACCGAATGCTGTTGACCCGGCTGCACAGAACAATCCTAATGCCGCGCGAATTGGGACTTCTAATGATACTTCATGGGCCGGATGGGCCATCTCTTCATTCACCAACAAACTAACCGCCGCGAAGGGCGAAATAGAGCCTACGAGCGCCAATAACGCACCTGCCGTTACTGAATTAGCTCGACCTTCTTCCGTACCCCAACCTACAACGACTCCTATGGCCGGACCCGTGAAAACAGCTTCAAGGTTACAGGTCGAGGCCCCTGCATTAGTACGAGCTGCTTCAGACACAGCTGCGCAAACAGCAATAGACACCCTAGAACCATTAGACGATGACGACTGGGGCGCCGACGCCTGGGACCAAGGCGACGAGGACGCAACAAAAGCCGATGAAGATCAATTTTTCGATGCTGGCAGCAGTCCAGCTCCAACATCTCCAGCTACTACTTCAACGTCGGCAGTGCCCTACGATGACGGCGGCGAACCGGATTTTGCAGGTTGGCTGGCAGCACAGTCGAAAGCAAAGACTAAGAAACCGTTGCCGAAGGGATTGAATAGTAACAAGACAAGTGCAGCAAAACAGACACTCCCCGTTCGTTCGGCGCCTGTTTCGCGGTCCGCCTCGTCACGGCCAGCTGCTAAACCTGCAAAGATTATTGATACGAAGCCTAAAGATGAAGGTGAAGAAGATGGTTGGGGAGATGCGTGGTAATGGCACCAGGATTCTACCAGTTGGCTTGTATGACTTAGTCATTGCATAGTAGAAAGTTGACCTCCTGCTTCAATGATCAAATGTCGATCGTCGAGTAGCTACATAATCGTACCGGCTAGTGGCTTTCAGTACAAAGCTTGACCAAAATATTTTTAGGCCACGGATTGAGTTCTGCCACGGGCTGACACAGTTCTGTGATCTCATTGGCTAGATTCTTACTCGATACGCTCTAGCAAATCATATCAATCTTGTTAAATTATTCAGCTGTACGAGAATGGCGTAGTTCTGGGTCAAACGTGGGTACTAATCCTCGAATGATTAGGGCTGAGGCTTGGGGATACGGGCCAAGCCAACCGCGTTCCAGATTAATAAATTCCTCGCAGGCTCCAGCATTTGACATTGCTTTCAATCATCACTTTTTGCATGTTCATCCACACAATCAGTCAGGAGTATTCAATAGTTTAGACACCGACCGGAGCGCAGCCCTGGACGATCTCTGCGGCAGTGTCTGCAGTGCCGCCAAGCCAGTGACACCTCGCCGGCTGTGCTGTCAGGCATCAAGATACAACTTCTTTAAAAGTGTCAATTGAGTCTGAACTCCAGGCTCATTGCTGAATCGAAGTAATTAGTTCATTCAATCATTCAAAATGGATCCCGATCATCCACATGAAGCTCCTCCACCTTACTCTGCAGTTGACCCTATGCAACTACAGGAACAGGTCGATGGACATAACGAGGATCTCCCCCCTCCACAATTAGAGGCCAGCGTCGCTTCGCTAAACATCCAATCTCCATCGCCAACATCTACATCCATTGTTACTCCAACAACAGAGACACCGGAAATTTCAATCACAGACTCCGGGCCATTATCCGAACATCCCGCGCCAACAGTCCCGGCTCAATTCGCCTCTGCAGCAGGCTACTTCGCTGAACGATCTCAGCCCGTCTCAGTAACCGAAGACGCCAAACGAGAACTGCTCATTCATCACATGACAATCTACGCCCGCAGTCATGGCAAGGATTTCCCCCGCAGACCACGCTGCTGGAACAGCCGAACCAGCGAAGTCAATCAACATGATTGGGACACATTTCTAAATTTCTTGTTCCCTTCTCATCTCAACCCAGCAGCGTCATCGAACAGACTTCATCGTCAGATACGCGCTGAGATCGAGCGGGATCGTAAGGATCGTGCTCAAGAGACCGATGAGCAGCGATCAGCGCGGATAAAGGAAGTGATTACGGAGTGGAATGATCACTTTTTCGCTATTCGTGCAGTCCACATAACATGGACATATGTGGCAGATTTAGAGGAAGGACCGACGTCGTCTTTATGTCCAAATTGCTATCCCCAAGCAACTAAAGTCTCTCGAGACCGCGGACTCGGCCGAAATGACTCGACAAACGCGCCGATTCCAGTATCTACGGAGCAACCAATTAAACAAATCATAAAACGAAGACCGGTAGCACAGAACAGCTGGGGTTCAGACTCACAAACATCAAGTGCTGGTGTTGAGCTTTCTCCCGTCGTCGTATCCGGCGGATTTCTAGGCCAAGGAAGAAACCAAACCCGAATGATAAACCCCGAGAGTTATCAATCGTCTGCATCGTGGAAATCGCATCCCGTGGCTTGGGCTGCGCAAATGACTTCAATAGCGCAACAATACGCAACCAAGATCAGCAACCAGGCACAAGAATATGGTCGAGCGATGGAAGAAAGTGCATTGGCCCGTTCGCGGCAGGTGGAAATGTATAGTAAGAAGGTAGAGCAAGACGCATTGGCGCGCGCAAGGCAGATCGAAGCCATGACAGTCGCCAAGGGACAGAGGATCGAACAAGCTGGAGATCGGATCGCCAGTTGGGCGTCTAACATGGGGAAGCGTGCCGTCAATCCGCGTCCTGGTCCAATGCCGAGTGATCATTCCTACGATCTTTCAACATACGACTTCACCTACAACAATCTGATCAGACAGCAACAGCCGAGTTCCCGACGACAATCTACGGCTTCTGATACATCGATCTCATCCGTATCGTCTATCGACACTGTCTCGTCGGTATCGGATCTAGAACCAGACGACCTCGCATCCATCCGAGCGCAACTTTCATCGCTGGATGACTACCACCATCACGAACTCTACGATGCTGCGGTCTCCCTCCGTAGTCAGCTCGAGGCTATGAAAAAGTCCCGCTGCACGGGTCGCTTCAGGTCGCACCATCACCACCGCCCCTGGGGCCGATGGGAATCTCCCGAAGAAAGTGCCAATAGGGAACAGCGACGGGTGGCAATGAAGCAAGAATCAAAACTCTTGCGAGAGAAATTCAACGAGATTGAGCGTCGTGCGAAGCGCGAAATTCATGATATGCAGAAAGCGAGACGGGATATGAAAAAGAGGCAGCAGCGGCAGCAGCAGCGGCAGCGGCAGCGGACGTGTGGTTCAATGGTGTCTGAACAATCGCTGCATGTAGAGCCACCGCGATCTCGTGGGATGCCTGATAGGACGGTGTCGGATACGAATACCGATTTGTACAAGGAGGTTCATATGGGACCGCCAGAATCATTGGATCGTACGATCAGCGAGCCTATTACTCAGGTTATTAGTAAAAACACATCCCCGTCGATTACATCTTCAACAAGCACATCGACCGCATCTGCTACTACCGTAGCTGTCAACCCGCACGAAGCAGCAAAAGCGTGGACCGAAGCACAACGCCTACGCGTAAAAGAAATCCAAAAGGCGAACAAAGAGCGCATCAAGGAGATTCAGAAATCGTACAAGGAGCATGAAAAACAACAACGCAAAGCGATGAAGAAGCTGTCCAAGCAGAAACATACGACTACTTCTACGTTTGGCGGAGTTTATTCGTCGTCGACGGCGAGTTTGGAGACGGGGACTGCTAGGATGGGGTCAGGGCAGGCTGTTGAGGATTTAGATGATGTTGCAGTAAAACCACCGCAAGAAACTGGGACTGAAAATTCTGCCGTGACAAGAGAGATGCCTAGTCAGGAGAGACCTCCTAGCGAAATTGCTGGTACATTTATAGCGGAGCTGGATGGGACGTCAGTTGAGAGGAAGTAGCCATAGCACTTGATAGATGTATCCATATTGTTTTTACTAGCGAAATATAAGCGTGATCCATCAATCACATATCTGCGCTCATGTCTATAAGCTTAACACATAATCCACAAGAAGAGAACTCGCTTTTATTATATGTCAGGTCGACCGAGAAGATTACCGACCCGCCGCCTCATTCCTTTCCACCAAATCTCCCACCCCGAGACCCCTCCCAACCTTGACCCGGATCTTCTTCTCCTTTTCTTTTGCGCCGAGATCACCTACAGCTTCACCCTCATCGGCATTTTCATCCCCTTCTTCGACTGCTTTTTTCTCTTCAGTGGTGTCTTCGGACCAATCGAGCCACAGCGGCGTGAGATCGTGACGCATGGCATACGCATCCTCGTCGTCGGCGTAGTATTTGCTTTCAATCTTCTCCACTTCAAAGCCCAGTGTATCCCTGTATAAGTGTAGGGCAGCTGTGTTGGAAACTCGCACGTGTAGAGAGACGTAATGTGCGCGGTGGGACTCGGCCATTGCTCGTTCTACTCCTCTATTAGTATGCGGTATATACCCAAGATCGAAACGTTAGGGACATACGACTCATCCTCATCAACCTCTCCGCAATACCCAGCCGTCTATGCGTCCTCATCACACTCAAACTCGTAATATGACCATGCGCAACCCCATCGGACGGCTCCTCCTCCATTTTCGCAAGTACATACCCCACGACTTTGGGGTAGTCATAGTCCACCTGCCGAGCACCGGTTTTGGAGGTTCGCGGTCGCACGACGGCCACGAAGCTGAGTTGCGGCCATGTGAGGGCGTGGTAGAGGTAGTATTTGAGAAAGTAGTTTTCGGGTAAGTTGGTGATGTTGCATGTTTGTACGGCGGGGAGGAGGKTCATGTACGAGGGGAAGGACGAAAGGGGGAGGATGTCGACCATTCTGATTGGCGGAGGTGTGAATTGATTGGATCGTTTTATTTATAATGTTGACTTGTCGCGCAATGGTTTTATCCTTAGGAGGAAGGTTGTCGAAAGTGTTTCTGACGGATTGAAGATGAAGATGAGGGACTCGTTTGATGTGGGTCCGCTTACTACTCCAGCTTAGCTTGTCCCTCCTTCTACTACTACAAGTTTACAACCACCATCATCAACTTATCAATGCTTTCAAAAATGTCAACCTGATGTTATATATAGAAAGCTAGATCCGATATAACGACTACTTGATTATGTCTCTAGTCAGAATGATGGTCGCTGAATCATTCTGACCTCTTCCAGCACATGGTCAATGTTAACAACCAACATGAAGCGTTACCAGTCCATATGGCTGACTTTGCTTTTCAATACGCGGAATCCGTTCGTTTGAAGTTATGGCAAGGAGTTCGGTACCATTGCCATGAATTCCGATATGCTGGTCCCAGGCTTCGTGATGATCTTCAGGGGCAGAGCAGGCAGCTCGGAGGGTCGACCAACGCCGGAGGATCAAAGATTGATCGGATGATCGAGGAATTTACGGATGGTGACAGTTCTTACAAATCACAGAATAGCTGCTCATTGTATGAACGAGAGTATATATATATCACTCTGCAGTCCTTCGAGACGCAGTGTATGCAACCAAATCAATACAGTCAGCCATTAAACTTCTACTCTCCTTAAAGCTCATTTGTGCATACATATTCCATAAACAATGGATCTTTTCACTCGAGGCAACGACGCTTTGAACGTCAACCCAGCCACCGGTGTAGCAGAAACCCTCTCCCAGCACGGCTCCGACTGGCTCTGGGCCGTCACCGCAATCTACATCATCGCTTTCGTGAGCCCTTATCCCCTTTCCCCAGAATCGACAAGTATACAAAGCTAAGTGTTAAACAGTTCGGCACATTGATCCCCTGCTTCACAGCCCCTGAAAGTGACCGCGTCTTCCACTACCTCCTCACAATGTCCCTCCTCGTCGGCTCAGTAACCTACTTCGCGCAGGCCTCTGACCTTGGCTGGATCGCTCTACAGGACGCCGCGCACAACACAACACGGCAAATCTTTTACGCAAGATACATCAACTGGACCGTCTCATTCCCTTCGCTTGCGTTAGCGTTGGGCCTGTTGTCTGGTATATCATGGACGACTATCATCCTCAACGTATTCTGTTCCTGGTTCTGGGTCCTGAATTACCTGGTGTCTGCCCTGGTGACGACGGAATATAAATGGGGGTTTTTCGCATTTGGCACATTTGCATACGTTATTTTGGCGATGAGCACGCTCAATGAAAGCCGCGAGGCTGCCGAGCGTTTAGGCATAGCGCGCGATTACATGACCTTGTCGCTGTTTGTGAATGGGTTGTGGATTCTGTACCCAATTGCATTTGGTCTGAGTGATGGCGGAAATGTGATTCGCGTCACGGGTGGATTCATCTTTTTTGGGGTTTTGGATGTGCTTCTAGGTCCGGTGGTGTGTGGGTTGTTTGTGGTTATGACGAGGAAGTGGGACTACAAGAAATTGAATTTGGCGTTTAGTGAGGCTAGACATCCGGTTGCTGAGAGTGTCAAGGAGCCTGCTTTGGTTGGGGGTGAAAGAAATGAGGCCTGATTAGTGTCGTGTTGTAAACTGGGTGGTTGAGAAGACTGCATGTGACTAAGTGAGGTTGGCCAGGGTGTGAGGATTACACATAGTATAGAATAGTAACAGGGTGATCTAGTAGACTAGTCTTATTCAAATAGATTTGATAATTATGTTATTGATATCCTATGTTCGTTGTCTGATATACAACACCTAACTCCAGCCAACCCGTCTAACCCAAAATCAAGAAACCCCCCAGTTACCTATCATCAATAAAAAAGGAAAGCACCGACAGCCATGATAACCCACCAGTGACCTGGAACCTGCAGCTTCAAAGCCCCCGAAGTCGTCGATCCACAACAATGACCGTTATAAGTCACATTGTTCATATCAGCAGCAACCTCAAACACTGATCCGGGGAAACTGCCATCATTGTAGTAGTCGACAAGTAGGAAGTTTGGAGGTCTGCCCCAGGTTGCTATACAAACAATTTCAGCCATACTGTCTCGCTTTAAGACGAAGAAAGAACTTACCAGTGCAATTATCAGCCATCAACCCCAGACTACGATACCCAGACACACCATTAGTCTCATTCAAAACAGCCGTGTTGGGAATCAAAATATCCAGTCCTGAGAAAGAAATCTCCACATTCAGGTTGTGGTTGGCCATGTACATGATCGACTTGGCACTCTCCTCTGACAAATTCGGAGGTCTCTGCGTCGTGCATGGAAAATCAGGATCAGTCGGAGAAAATGGCGTTTCCCACATTTGTGTAAACTCGTCCAATATGTAGGGAACCTCGGTCTGATTCGCATTATAGTCCATAAATATTATAGCCCTCTTCTGCGTCAGGATCAAGTCCGACAATAACGGCCAGTCATCCAGACCCATAGGAATCTTAGGTGGTTGATATGCATATTTCGAAAGTCCGGAATTGACAATTGAGTCTGTAAAGTTGCCTACACCGATCAGGTCGTAGTTCCCCATCAAGATAGTGATCACCTCGTAAGGATTGTTGTTCAACCATTTGTTTACGGTCGTGAGATAGTCTTGCAGTGTACCCGCATTAAGGAGGTCGCAGGACGTATGGCACAGATATAACGTTCCATTCTGAAGGTGGACCTGGAATTGCAACATGCGGACTCCGTCGTTGAGTTGGGTAGTTACCGGATATTTCTGGTTTGAGGCGATATTGCCCTGTCTGTCAAAGGGACTGTTGTGCGCCGCGACGTAGGTGACGTTCGAGTAATTGCGAGCGCAAAACTCGACGTAGCCGTTGCATGGCTGCGTGTTTGTCGGTAAGGGCGTGGTTGAAGTCGTGCTCGTCGTTGTGGTACTGTTCCTCGAGGCAGTGGCATTGGGCGCTAAGGTGGTTGTGCCCTGGCTGCCCACGAGCATGGTCACCGTGCCGGAAGTGGTTGTGTATGCATCGGTTGCATTTCTCGTCACTGTACCTGTCAGAGTACTTGAATCGGAGGACAGAGTGACGGTCGTTGTGACGGAGGGATAGGTGACTGAGCCCGTCGCTCCATCGATGCTGAGGGGATCAACAGTTCCAGAAAGGGTTACAATGGCAGCTGTCTCTGTGTTTGAAGCAGAGGTCGTTGAAGATGAGGAGGATGTTGTTGACTGGGCCAAGGCGCCTGTCAACAGAGCCACTGCCATCCATAGCGAGAGCATCTTCAGTCGCAGTGTGCAGTTTCACCAGAGTGGTGATTGTTGTTTCAAGGTTGAAGATACTTGCAATAGATAAACGAGGCAGGAACCGTGGGAGATAATCCACTGGGTCTCGACCGACACGAAACCCTGTCTGCGGGGATGTGATTGGCTAGGAGTATACAGATTCAGGATGAATCACCAGGCTATGTCAGTTGACTCAATTGTGTACTGACAACACTACGAACACTAAGAATACGCCTCTACAGAATGACAGTGGCAGATGACGTGTCGAATCGTCCGACTGGGTCTCTATTCTCTTTTTTCCTTCTGTGATTGTTTATCAAAGCCACACAGTCATACGCAAGATGAGACTGCCGAAGCCCTCCGAGTGGACTCTATGGATCCCCTGGACGTCATTAGGGGGGCCTGCAAGCCAATAAGCCGCCTACTCAGCCCCTAGCTCGGCCCTAGACCAGCCTCTAAGACCGCCTAAATCCCCTTGAGTCTCTAGCGGCTACTAATCGCAAGCCACACCCGCCACTAGCAGACGATCTGGACTCTCCCGCCGCAGAGATTACCTCAGAGTTCCCCATCTCGGTGTGGTCTTCTGCGATGATCACAATTGTTGCTATCTTTTTTTGGGCATGATCACTTGAATTCGTGTCCCCTGTCCGTTGCCTTGCAAGTTAGTCAGTGCCGACTCGGTCAGACATTAGGTAACTACTACCGCTGCCTCAACCCTCATTCAGACCTAGATTGTGTGCTTTTGTCTGTTCCTGCAATTCTTTTAGAGGTGTATCCTCTTCTACCCTTCTACTTGGATATTGACTCCGGTGTTGCTATCGTCATTGTCAACTCTAGCTCACCGACAGAATGGCATCCGAGAAGAATATCCAAAGCTCCAGGCGGCACTCAACCGTCGTCTGGCACCGCCTAGTCCGCTCTCTCATCTACCTACTCGCCTGGATCTTCCTCCTGCTGGTAATGATTGGAAACATCTCCAACAAACCCGTCCTACGCGAGACATACTTCCTCAAACTCGACACAGCCAACGTCATCCCGCAATCAATCCCCAATGCCGTCTTTATCAACAGTATCGCTCGCTCCATTGGACTCCATGATTTCTACCAGGTTGGACTCTGGAATTACTGCGAGGGTTACGACGATAGCGGAATCACGAGCTGCTCGCATCCAAAGGCCTTGTACTGGTTTGACCCGGTATCGATTATCCTGAACGAGCTTCTTGCCGGTGCAACCAGTGCGTTCCCCCCGTACCTTTAATATATCAATTATCAAATATTCTTCAAACCACTAACATGTATGACTAGTCGCCCTCCCCACTGAAATCACCGACGCCCTCAAAATCGCCCGCGTCGCATCGCACTGGATGTTTGGCCTCTTTATTTCTGCTACAGTCCTCAGCTTCATCGCCATCTTCCTCGTCCCCTTTGCAACATCCAATCGACCCCCGCAATCCATCTCCGCAGATGAGCACATCAACGAAACCGTGCACCCGCACCGTCGACCAACATTCATCCTCTTCCGGGCTTTACCCATGGCCATACTCACTTTCCTAATCGCGCTATTCACCGTCGTCGCCTCTGTAGTCGCGACGGTGATGTTCGTCATTTTCAAAAATGTATTCATGAACAACACCGCTGATTTGAATATCAAGGCCTACCTCGGAAAACCCATGTTGGCATTTATGTGGATTGCGTCGGCGTTGACGCTGCTCGGGTTCATCGTGCAGGTCGGGTCGTGTTGTTGTGCTTGTTGCGGTGGCCGAAAGGCAAGGAAACAGCTCAAGGCGCAGCGAAAAGCGCGGCAGAAGGAGCAGAGTGTGAGTTCCGCGGGCACGGATGTCAATGCTAGGAGGAGGTTTCGATGGGGGAGGCGATCGACTTGATTTGATATATACGTAGGGAGGATTAGTGGCATGTTTACTCGGGCTTTTGGTAGATAGACAGATTTCAGCGTGCTTCATGTATTTTATTTCTGGCGGAATCATGTTCATATTGATGACAGTTACGAGAGCGACGACGGTTTCATATAGATTTCTGGTTACACCTACTCTATATAAATAGAACCAGCCTAGCAAAATATACATATAATGTCAACCAGTTGATTAGAGACTGGAGTCAAGAAATATTAATGAGCTAATATTATTACTACATTCAAGGTGACTGTGTTTTAAGGATGAGATTTAACTGAATTTGTATTGTTTATCACATGACCTATCGTAACATCATCATACCAACAGAAGCAGCATTAGACACGGCTCTAGGACATATGTCCTCATGTCATCTTCCATCCTTGACAATCAAGAAGCTAGCCTCAGTCCAGCTGGAGACAGGACCATACCCAAACCCGGCCCATAGACTCCCGCTCCTTGTAAGTTGTAATCAGGCCAGAAAAATAATTATAACAATTTATCGAACATAAAGGGAGTAACACAATGTAGGAAGAAAGGAGATGATCTTGATCAAATATATATTAGAAAAGAAGTTGAAGTGACAGGAACGGAGGATTAATTGCCCTTCTTCTGGTTGCCAGCTTTCTTGGACTTTGAATTCTGACGTTTACCGCCCGGATTCAACGACACGATTGCAGGTGGAAGAACTCGATCGCGCTTCTTGTCTTGATTCCGCCTAAAGCTGGTCACTTCATGCGTGGTCTTTGTAGAAGTCGTCGAAGCTTCGTCGTCCTCAACCTCGATGTCGTCTTCGTCTTCCTCGTCGTCATGGCCATCATCAGATGATCTGGAGCTAAAGTTGTCCGAATCTGAAGCTGCTTCAAACTCGTCGTCCTCGTTATCGCTGACCAGACTGGGTGCCTGATGAGACTCCACGGTGACAGGACTGAGGTTGTCATCCATGTGCATCAAATCCGTAGCGCCCGACTCTTCCAAAGGCAACGCACTAGGCAAGAAAGTCTGATACTGCACAGGTGCATGAGACACTTTCGTAGGCGTGGAAACGTCCATGTCCCGAGACATGGGCATCTCATGTCGCTTGCTACTGGTGGGTCGTTGGCTGGCAGCTTGCGGCATGGTTGTGCGAGCAGGTAACCTTGCGCCTGTACCAACTTGTGGTTCCTCAGAAGCGTCCTCGTCCTCGGATTCGCCTTCCGACATGAACTCGCTCAAGTCGACTGTAGTCTTCGCATCACCAACAATCTGATCCAAGTTTAGCTTTGAGCCAAGGTCGGCTAACATGGAAGAAAGATGAGGCGTAGCAGGTGAAGCTTTAAAGGGAGACGAAGAAGTCGCGCTGTGGCCCTTCTTCAGTCTCGCTACCTTTGGCGTCTCACTGCACAAAGGAGCGACTGTCTTCTCGATAGTATGTGCCGTTCGAATCAGAGGATGCACAGACCCAGGGTTGACAACAACAGGCGGTTCATTTGGTGTAGTACCGCCGATAATAGCTCCAGCCTCGTCGACATCTACCGGCTCTCCACACGCCTCGGCTGCGGCATCGTGACTGGCAAAGGTACGGCTATGCGCTATACGGCAGTGATTGATGAATCCTTGGGTGCTGGAGAAATCGAAACGTCGACAGTCCAGACACACCAGCTTGACTTGCTTGTTATCGCTCTTCCGCTTGATTACCATCGGGCCGGCTTTCTCCTTAACCACGGGATAACCATTCGGTAAAGCCGCGAGCCTAGTGCTCATACTGCCGCGCTGAGCCCGTGATTTTCCTGCCACATAACCGTTCTCGGTAAACGTTCCGCGAGTGTAACGTGATTCGGCAGACGAGGCGTTGGAAGGCGGTAAGTCGAGCGATTCGCCGCCATCAAAACGAGAATCAGGCAACAACCATTTGGCGTAGTGTCGAGAATAAGGACCGTCAGCCACACCCCAAGGTGCAGGAGAGGCGGGKGGCGGACCAGTTCCTGAATAAGGTACTGCAAACCCTGAACCATTGCTCACAGACTGCGAAATGCCGTTGACACTAGAACCGGGATAGGGAACCTCAGCACATCGACGAAGTTGCTCCAACGCCACCTGGCACTTTGCGATTTCCTGGTCGATAAGACGAAGCTCGTTATGCTTCAAGAGAACCTCCAAACTCAGCTGGGCATCCAACGACTGGCGCAAGACATTTATATCTATGTTCGCTGGTTTCGGAGGAAGACTGGCGCGTTTGGAAGGGTTCTCTTGTTCGTGGGTAGTTCGCTGCGTAGTAGTAGACTTTGATGCGACATTCGTCTTTGAAGGTGCCGAAGGTGCCGACTCATGACAGGCTTCATCTTGACTAGGCGGCGTTGGCAGGTTCGCAACATTGCTCCCATTAAGTTCGGTCAGCGGTGGTTGATTAGACGATTGGAGACGTTTCGCCGAAGGCTCGTCAATAACGGTGAAGATCTCGTGATTGTCGCTTCGCTTGCGTTTAAGCAACTGAAGAGGCGCGCTCCCCATGACAGGCGACTTATGCGGTGCTGTACTGACTAGCATATCGGGTGCTAACTTATTGACCCCCAAGCTCGAAGTCCACGGTAGCAAGCGGAAGACGCCATGCGACAACGCCATCTGTGGATATAAGTTCGCTTGCACGAGATTTAAAATTTATGTTGTATTAGTATGAGTGGCTAGATGACCCATCAGGTTTAGTCAGCGTCGACGCTGAGACTGTGTCGAGAGACCGATGGAAATTTGAGAGGTAATGTATTAGGCTGATTGTTCCACAGTTGGGCGGCAGCGACCAGCACTCCAGTGGACAGTTCAAGGATTAAATTCGGTTGAGTTGCAAATAGTAAAATATAAACAAACGCGACCGTAAAGAGCAGATAATATAGTACAAAAGGAGGGGCGATGCGAGGAAGGCTGCTTCACATGCGACGGGTGGGAGGTTGAGATGTATCCTGGTTCAGAGCCGGGATAGCACGGAATAGTAGACAGGCTGTAGCTGGGTCTGGGTACCGTAACTGAAAAGAGGTAGACCGTGGGTTAGAGGTGGCGAGTAGGTGACTTGTGAGATTATGAAAGCGTCCAGCCTGGGACAGTTTTCGTGGAAAGTTGATATGAGGAAGAGAATCTGAAAGTAAGAAGATATGAGAGTAAAGCAGGAGTAGAGGGAGTATGAGAGTGAGTTGTTACGACGGAAGGAAGGAGAGAGAGAGGAAGGAGAAAGTAAGGGGAAAGCAAGAAGCACGGACGCAGGAAGGCGCTGCGAGGTGAGTTGGGGAAGGAGGAGCCCGGCCAGTCTTTTCGTCCGTTGACGCTAGGCTTGGCATGTTCTGGAATAGACTATGTGCTTAATCAGACTGTGGGCCTGCGACTAATTATTTATACGCTACGATGTACATAGTACATCGTACTCAATTGCCACGGCCCACTCGGAGTCTGTCTGTCTGAATATCAGATGTGACACGTCTACAAGTAGACTATTGTAGGTACTACCATGCAGATACTATGTAGAGAGCGATCGGAAGAATGCACACTGGAATTCGATCGGGGGTATGCGAGACAGGAAGCCAAGAGAAAGAAAACGGAGGATATGGAGAGATAAAGAGATAACTGTTACATGTAAGTTTAGCTAGTAAAGGATGAAGGATCCGTTGCCAGCTATCATTGGGGCCAGACAACAGAAACAACGATGTGTGACGACAAGACATACGAAAGTCAAACCGTAAAGGGGTGACAATCATACAGATCCTCTCGTCTTCGTAAACATTGGCAGTCAGCGTCCAAATACAAAAGATACGTCCAGTCCCTACGTGGTAATGCGATGATTCAAAGGAATGCAGGGTGAACCCGTGTAATGCATCGTATTCTGGCCTAAGATCAACTAGTGCATAGGCGGATCCACACTCAGCCCCAGTGTGTCGAGTCGCAAGCCGCCATTGGCTGGCCATTCTTGCCTCAGAATGTTCCGCGGGTACCGTATTGGCGTGTTCCGGCGAGTCGATAACGCAATGACCAGAGCACGTATCGCCTGTTTTTTATGGACAAGCCACATAGCCATGCAGCACTAAACAAGACAAAAACAAAACAAAACACCACAACACACAATATTGGGCAAACGCTACATCGAGCGCATATACTATGTATGTATACTGCGACGTACGATGTGGTATCGTGCGACGTCGACTGATGTACGGAGTCCCAATATGATATGATGCAAGGCTCAATTCTAGCGCGGGTCCGATGCACGTCTCAGATCTCAGCCGGTGGAGCACTGGGCGTCATCATCGGCAAGCATCACTCAAAGACCGCCAAACGCCATTCCTCATTGGGAGATATACTTATCTTACGCAAGTGCTCCGTACTTTGAGTGTATCAGGAAGAGAGAGTCAGGTCAAGGTACGTATTATGCAGTGTCGGGATATTTGGGTAGGATACGAATACATACAAACAAACAACCTTGGTACTGCGAGGTGTGTGTGGGCCAAGCATATGTATTTATGACTTGGAATCCTGCTGCCTGGTTCAGGTTCACGCTACCCTAGTACGATCTCCATACACACGACTATCGCTAGTGATTGGTGTGCCGGATATAGCAAGATGACGAATCTGATACATAACATATTGTCCTGTCAGATCATGGTCTTACGACACTAACTAACTAGTCACTTAATTATCTACTCCGTTAGTACTTAATGCTTTGTAGTAAATATTGATTACGGAGTACTTAAAACAAAAAAACATTCATATCTGTATCTATGCTTGATTGTGTCAGCCAATGAAAGTCAACTACGGAGATATACTATGTACTACTGAGTAAGTAGCCTGTCAGATGACGTCCAATAGAATCGACTTATCGCTGGATAACGTGCAGACGGTCGATTAGTCTGGTCGTTCCGGGCTTGAAGTATTTCTGGAAGCGCTATCTTATCAGGCTACTACTGATAACATGAGTCAATCCACTCTGAACCCATTTCTCGGCCAAAGAAGTTGGATGAACTAGAACAATGTGAAAGCCATGGAATCGTACTAGAAGCATATCAGCTTACCAAGTTGCACAAACCAGAGACTATGGTCAAAAGCACCGAGACTCATCATGTGACCGTGGTTCAATTTATCTGTGATATGATCTATAATTATCCGCAAAAATGTCACCTAGATAAACGACATAAAACATGACATAAACATCCGCACATCCATAACATCTAGTTCAAGAAATAGCATCTAGCAAATGGCAATCGAGACGACCAAATAACGCCTGCTTGACTTTTGTACACCGTCGCCGACCTTGACCTTTGACTGTTTGTACACGTTCAATAATACTGTCAAATCCGAGTCGACCGCCTAGGCCTTATTTGTCTCCCGAATTCTGAGCACAAAGTTGACAATGACAGCAGCCAACAATGAAATCGCAAGCAACGAAGGACCAAATCGATCGTCGAAACCGCTCTGTCCACGTTTCCGAATACTCTGGGCCCGCCAGTGGAAAGTGAATAGTGCATAGATCATGGCTGCCATGGCGATGATGGTGAAGAGGCCGGCGGAGATGCGGCCAACGCGATCACCAAAGTTGAGGAGACCGATGGCGAGACCGCCGAGGATGACGGTGAAGTTGAGCCATGAGAGAAATGTTCGTTCGTTGGCGAAGAAGACTTTGGGCTCGACGCGAGTGGGGAGGGCGATCCGTTTGCCTGGGTGATGTTAGTGAGGTCGATGCATTGCGTTGCGTCATTGAGATCCGCTAGCGGCTCTTGCGCGTGCAATTGACTGGCAATTGACATGATAAATGAGTACGAACCTGGAACTGTCTGGAGAAGAGGTTGTGTCGACATGATGAATGTTAAGCTTGCTGTTGGCTACGCTATCAGCGTCGTCCAGGAGCTTCAGACCAGCCTCCAATTGCAATGCCAGCAGAAGACTCACCTTTATATCAATGCAGTCGATGCAATGGTTAATAACAATAAAAAATGAATATCGATAAGCAATGCAGCTCACCAAGTAGTTGAGGTCAAAGCAAAGTTGAAGCTTCGTCCAGAGAATTACGTAGCCCCGCTCGCAGCAGCAGCAAAAGATCGTTCCGGCCATTCACGTGCGTCGAAGCACCGCCGTTATTGGGAACGGGAACCGTAGGTAGACCGGCCTCCGGAGAAACATATATTCCAGACACTACACCTGTTCCGGTATAGAGCTCCCGGAGATTGCTCATGGTCAGCCGAAGGGGTAATTAACTCCGACTCTCGCGCTGCACTATACCCGAAACAGGCTAGACGGTGCTACGTCCGACGTCGGTTGGCGGCGCGGACGAATGACGATGGCGATAAGCTGCCACAGCAATTCTTATTATTATTGTTATGACTACACTAACTACGTCGTAGTAAACTTGCTCCGTACAACACGAGACAGAAACCTCTCCATATTCTACGCACCACACTACCTGCACTTTAAAAGTTGACACAGCCTCGCAGCTTCAGCACATTGAACCCGCGTCCAATCCCAAGGTACGTATGTAGCCATCATCACCGAAACCTCCGCACGGACGAGGCGCTTTGGTCGTCGTCCGTTTTCCATCTTCCTCTTCCTCTGCGGCTCACGTTACTCCGTACAACCCCCGCAACTACCATTGTTCACGTCCATACAATTGTCGGGTCGACGGTACAGCATACTGATCCTCTACAGACATTGCGCCATCGCCAAAAACTCCTTTCAACTCTTCAATAACACGACCGTCTTGCAACATGGCAGTCGAGCCTACACCTTCATCTTTCGTATGTCCGCATCACGCGTCTGTTTGACGATAGCTAGAGCTTAGAGTTTGCTCTTGCTCAGCTGCTTTTGAGCGCGTTTGACTAATGTTATGAGATGCAGCCTCTTCCTCCTTCAGAGCTCTCAAAGATTGCGACCGAGGTTCGTTTGTCCAAAAGCCTATAGTCTGCTTCGCCGTACACGCGAAATGCGACATGCGCCCACTGCGTGCGAAAGCGAAAGCGAAACCAGCACTAACGTCGTTCAACAACAGGCATGCGACGGAGCTCTCCTCAAAGCGTCCAGCTATGACCACACACAGGTCGCAACCTGGAATTCCAGCATCATCGTACGTTGCCAAGACTGCGAACCCGACTCTGCAAAAACAGAAACATTAACGCCTGCAAAATACAGAACTCCGTCCTCAAAGCGCTCATCGTAGCCACAACTCCCGAACAGTCATCCACCACAACAACCACCCCCACAACACCACCCTACCGCTTCACCGTAAACAGCACCATCGTCCAACAAGGCGTAATCGACAAAGCCGCTGCCGGCAGCTCCGGAGAAATCGGCAAGCGCGGCATGCACTCGGCTTCCGGCGCGTACTGGGATGTGAACCGGGACGGTATGTGGACGTTCAAATACCCCGGTGGTGAGGAGAGGGGGTTGGATGTCGTTGTTAGCGTGACCTGGTTTGCGATGGGTTAAGCCACCAAACAAGAACGGAGTGTAAGAGGAGAAGAAAAATTTGTGGGAATGAAAGACGCCACGGAAAATGGGAGGATGAAGAGAGAACGAGTACAACGACAGACAACTACAACATGGAACCCGCCGACTTTGACTGAAACAAAGAGGCCGATGTTGTACGTATGATTCGCGACAAGGACAACAACACATCCAGATTGATACAAGAAATCCCGTCGAGATGGAACTTACCTGAACCAATTCCATGAATGTATAATCAACATTTATCCGCGAAACAGAGGGCAGAGAAAGAGCACCAAAGAAGGGCGTTGATGAATCTCGTTTTTGTTATGATATCCGATGGTGATGAGTATTTCTACTACTGCTAGTACTACTGCTTTCTATTTGTTGTTGTTATATTACTTGATTTGTTTCGGCTTCTGTTATCATTCTTCGTTGTCTATACTTACGATAATCGATACCTCAAATCTCCCCACTACCTAGGTATTTTGTCGAGGGTTGTTTCGTAACTCGTAAATATTCCTATCAGATTCACAGCTGTCATACAAATATGCAAATTCAGCAACGCCCATACTCCATGCTAATGCGAACAACCAGACACAAAAGGAAATTAGCGAGGCTCCGAATAATCATTCAACGCAACACAAACTGCGCCTCGATGATGGCCGCTATACTGCCTAATGATCGTGCCAGAAGCCAGTTCCCACAATCGCGCGTAATGGTCACTAGACACGGTGACCAGATACGCCGAATCGGCGGAGAAGGCGCAGTCCCATACCCAACGCTGATGGCCTGAGAGGGTAGTCTCTAGGAACGGGGTGCCGGTTGACGGATCGATGGGTGGTCCGTCGGGTTGTGTGGGAAACGGGTTCGATTGTTGTTGCTGCTGCTGACTCTGGCCTGGGCTGAGGAGCGGATTGAGGCTGGCGGCGCTGCTGACCATGCTGAAATCGCTGGCTGCGAGGTCGGTGGATGTGCTTCGTGTGGGTTGTGGGATTGTAGTGGCTGAAGATCCAACGCCGTTACCGTTGGGTACACCGTTGGTAGGAGGTGTGGGAGTGGCAGTTCCGTTGGCGTTGTTGGGACGAGAAGCGGCTGTTTCTGCAGCGGCTACAGCAGGTGGATAGGCCTGGTCAAGATTCCATATTTTGGCGGTATGGTCTGCTGAGCAGGTCGCTAGGTGTTTGACGTCTGGCGATAGTAGTACTCGTGTAAGGTAGTCTCTGTGTGCTTGGAACATTGCAATGGGTACAATGCGAGTCACTTCGGTGTCTTGGATCATGCGCCAAATATATACGTTTCCCTATGTTTTTTTAGTCATTCCTGCCCTTCTGTGACCTTCAGGCACTTTGACGGAGTATTCCATACCTTCTTGTTACCAGCACACAACAACGAACCATCGCTTGCAACGCTCACGCTCGACACAGCAACATCATCCTCCGGAATCAATTGATGCGTACACACACTTTCGCCCAAGTCCCAAACACGAACGGTTCCAGCGCGATCACCACTAATCAACTCTCCCTGATTCGGATGAATGACTACATCATTCACCGGAGCCTTGTGCACATAGTTTCGTTGCAGACTGCCCGATCGTGTATCCCAGACCTTGACGGTGCCATCTTCAGAACTAGTAACCATCCACTTCCCTTCGCAGTGAAATGCAACTCCCGTGATATTATTCGTGTGACCTTCAAAGGTCATCACCGGGTTCGGGTTGGAGGATTTGATGTCGAAGAGTTTGACATTGGTGTGGCCCGCTGCGGCGAGGTAGCGTTTGTCCGGGGTAATGCACAGACGGTTGACCTGGGAGTCGGGATGTTGGAGGGTGCGCGAACAGATTCCAGAGAGGGCTTCCCAGAACCTATTTTTTGTTAGTTGTCGTGCCTGCGATTTGGCCTGATGGAGAAGACATACCGGATGGTATGGTCATACCCCGCTGTATAGTAATGTTAGCGATAATCTCAACGCATCCATTATTCCTTGAAAACTAACCTGTACACAGGATAACGCTCATGGTGTCGCACTTTCGCTTAGATAAGACAACAATTGACTGCAAGCGCGTTGAGTGATTATGTCCAGATCCAAGTAGTATGAGGCTCGAGAGCTGCTTAAACTCCGTGCTGTATGCGCTAACACTAGTCCTGATATGTACTAGTCCATATATTTGGTCCCATAATTGTTTCCTATCGCGGACTGAGGACGCGGAGAATTGGCTTGAAACCCTCTTTGGAAGCTACGCTACGAGAGATAATGTTAAAATAAATTCAAGATGGAGGACAATAAGTCGACATACCCATCCTTTGCGCCAGGGGACATTACGCCTGCCACCTTCACGCAACTCCTCGATCTGTACCCAGCAACCCTGAAAGAAAGCTATAAGCGCAAACTTGTCGCAACCCACGCACGAAAACACAGAAAACATCCGGAACGAATGAACAAGGAAGATCCTATCTTCGACAAACAGACGGATGAATATTTCAAATTGGATGAATGGAGGTATCAGACCATACCGCGAGTGTTGAGGGATAGGGAAGAAGGAAAAGAGGATGGCGAGGAGAAAAAGAAGAATGGAGCTATTCATTTGAAACAGGGAGAGAGCTATGGCCCGTTGTTCATGCACAAGGATGAGCTCGTGCAGTTGATGGAGTGGAAGCTGTAAATTTCTCCCATTGCAGCGGTGTACGCCTATACTAACGTTGCTAGTAAGCACGGCCAGTACCGTCCTGCTCTGGCAGGTATGATCAAAACCAACAAGCCCGATGTCGTTCGCAAGACAACATGCGACGCCTTCAAAGCATTCGTCGATAAGACTCCGACCCGTGATACTTTGGAAGAAACATTCCCCAAGAAGAGTCAAGATATCCTCATGAAACCCCTTCGCGCCGTAGGTACAGCAACAGCCTCTTTAATTCTTGCCGTAGCTACAGAGGGAAAGCAGAACGAAATCCCTTTCTACAGTGATGATATCTATTGGTGGGTATGCCTCGATCTATTCCCAGGCTCGGAAAAGAATCGGTACAATTACAAGAAAGCTACAAACCGGACGAGAGATGATGGACGGTTGGATGTGAAATACAATATGGAGGAATATCGAGAGTTGTATGAAGAGGTGTTCAAGCTCAGGGATCGATTGAATAATGGTGAAGATGACGAAGACAGCAAAGAGGAGCGTCGACAGTTCAGTTGCGCTGACGTCGAACGAGTTGCGTACGTGCTGAAGAATTTCGGTGTTTCTGGCTTCCCCAATGCGGCTGAAATTCTGGAGCAGTATGAAACTACAGTGGACGAAGCGCGGAAGGAGTTTGACCAGAACAAGCATGGCAAGAAGAAGAAAAGCCGTGACGATGACTCTGACGAAGAACATACTCTGGGTGTTGAGCCGTCGCAGAGCAAAAAGCGAAAGGCTGGTTTTGCGGAAACTGGCAGGGGAAAAAGAAATAAGGCATAGATCATCAGCGATGTCTTGTTGGATTGTAATTCTAGCATCAAAGCAAGTGTTTTTTGTCAACATTATCAAGCTTTTTCAAGACGAGGGTATAGTATGGCCTTTCGCAGCATTGACAGCACCCACCATTGTAAGCGCACTGATTCCTTGCCTGTATCCGGAGACACCAAAGTAAAACAATGGTGGGGATTTCGGACTTAACGTCCTCTTTCCTGGAGGCTCATTTTGAACTCATTCCACTAATATATTTCTATCAGCTGGACACACGATTTTCCTGCAAATACTTCCATATTCGATCTATGATCATGACAGATCAGACGTCTCTTTGACTCTTCTGATGCTCGTCGAAGTGGCGAAACACTGCTAGATTGGGAACGCAGACTCGGAGTCTAGGCTCGCCGTCAACACTCCACTACTTTTCCATTTAATTCAGCCGTTGACCTCACCGATTTTTATCTATCATTCATTTAATCACCCTTCAGTCAAGTAACTATTCTCAGCTGACTTTCCTTTCAGCTTTGCCGTGTAACTTGCGTTGACGGAGTTGTCCTGATTAGCGTTCTGCTACTTTCCACAATGGGACGAGCTCTTGCCTAGACGACATATATACACTTCATCTCTGTCATCATCTCCATGCACCTCTTCTCTCCTTGCTAATAAAAACATGCGGCTGTCGGATTTTCAAGCCTCAGCACAATCACTTTGTTGTCTTTATTTCGACTCTGGACATTGAACGTCTGACTACTTAGAGTCCTCCGCTTGTCAATCAAAATGACGACCAAGCCAACTCACTACTCTCACCCCGCCCCCGCCCCAGGTCAAGGTCAAGGTCAAGGTCAAGGTCAGGGTAGACATGTCTCCTTCATCATCCCAGTCTACTCCTACACCCACGGAACACAATGGGGCTTTAACCGGCTCATCCCAACCCATCCAGGCATCAGCCAGATGGACGATCCTACCCTAACTCTAGCCAATACATTAGCCTATCTCGACGGCGATACTGGAATTCCACGATCGTTGCTGATGCGTGCCGGCCGTTCACAGAGACGATGGAATCTAGATGGAGAGCCAGAGGACGTATCGCCAGAAGAGACGAAGATTGCATCGGACTTGGTTGGAGTTTTGTCTGATGCTGACCATCTTCAAAATGCTATCGACCAATTATGTTTCCGAGGGGCGCTCGTTCGTACCACGTACCCTGGTCATGGAGATTGCGATATTTACAGGATGGATGCTGCGACTCGCGCCATGTACAAACAGAGTAGTCTTGTTGACCCGCAACATGGGATGCTGCAGGCACTGCTGCTTGTTTGTCATGCATTTCCAGTGGATATTCACTTGGATTCTGAGTGAGTCGCTCTCGTATTGTAGCTTGGTGTATAATTAGGTTGACTAACGATATCAGTTTTCGCGAGCTAGGTTCGGCATACGTACCCCAGCTCCAACATGTCGTTTCCCAACATTACGATGCACTACAAGCTCTAGGCGCCCTGACAAACGACATGAGAAAAACCTTGGCTTATGTTCTGGTCCACAGCTCTTGTCTGTCATCAACCGCATGGCGATTAGAGGCCATCGAAAGGGCGGGCAAGATTGCATCCAACTTGGTAACACCGGACAGATGCCTCGAGAGAATGATTCTCTTGCAAACGATTATTCAAAATTGCTCAAATATGAGCTTTGAAGACTACAGTGAATGCGCCGGTTTCTCTCATGCTAGCAACAAGCTGAATGCTCTTTCCGGACAGGTCTTTCTGGCCCGTTGTAATCAGCATCTGCGAAACGAAAAAGGCATCGCGGCAGCCTTTGAACTATTGTTGCAGATCCGCCCTATCAATTTGAATCACATATCGACAATGGAGGAGCTCGTCTTACAGCATAAGGCTCTTGCCTGGGGTCGACTGTTGCGATTTCAAGGTCATTTCGAGGATGCTTGTGAACTGCTAGAAGCTGTGTACGATGCGCGGGCTTACCCTGAAGGTGTTGTATCTATTGGGGACTCCAACTGCGAGTTGCTTTCACAGATAGCAGAGACATACTGTGAACTAGAAAAACCCGTCAGAGCGGAGATATTAGTATCGGCGAAATTGGAGAGTATGCGTGAGAAGAGAAGCAACGAGACCAATCTGGGCCAATGCAAGACTGACATCCTGAAATTGGCTTTTGCTCAAGCAGAGGCAGCTCTACAACAGCGCGAGTACTGGAGAGCCTTTGACTTATACCGAGATATGAATCGATATATTTGGAGTACTCGCGGGCTCCAAAACTGGGTCCGGGCAGTGTGTCGCATGCACATAGGCCTCGCGAGAGTACATCATCTTCAGGGCGAATGGGCTTTGGCATTGAAGTACTGGGAACGTGCGTTGCGCATGTTTGAAAAACATCCTGGTTCTCAGGACTTCGGAGCTGCAGTCACGTATGCGTCGATTGCTTATGTGAAGCTCCGGTTGAATGATATAGATAGTGCGAGGTCTTTTGCCACCAAAGCCCAAGACCTGTTCAAGATCACAGGTCGGCAGCACTGGTATACAGGGTTGGGATCTAGGTGGTACGATGAGATGCTCGCTGGGTTGAAGGATGTCTTGCAGTCAGTCTGATTCGTGATCGTTCACAGCATGTTGCATTTATATTTATCATCGTCTGTGCTTATGTTGTATTTCTCATATACCCTATAGTTGTTTCCAAGTGCAATGAACGTGGTGCCTTTTTTCGCCGTCGCACTGTCAATCAGTTACTTGATGCTTTTTATTGAGATACATTAGGTCCTATCTCCAACCGGATGGTGTCTGAATTTCATGCTCATAAGCCAACAAAGCGATATATCGATCCATTTCAGACTAAGGTAGGCAAGTGGGCATCATTCGTAAGTGTACTTTTCTTGTATTTGACTATGAAACTTTCTACTGAAGATTTGCTTGCACAGTATCTTAGGAAAAGTTCATCGGTCAATTTCGTCCGGGGTATTCGGACAAAACGGATACATGTAGTATCCAAGCCCTAAGCCACAATGGGATGACCTACTATGTATATAAATCAACACTATAACGCAACCAGACCTCATTTTTGCATCCTTCACTCTATATCGTCCATCTTTCTATGTCAAACGCAACATGTCCTCCACAAAACCTCTTCTAGTCGTCCTTGGTGCTACAGGAAACCAAGGAGGTTCCGTCGTTGCACACTTCCTTTCCCTGTCATCATCACCATATGCACTTCGTGCCGTCACTCGAGATCCATCCTCTGCCAAAGCCATTGCACTTGCCTCCCAGGGAGTCGAGGTAGTGGCCGGAGATTTTGATGATCCTAATTCCTTAGATGCGGCTTTTAGGGGTGCGTCGGTCATTTTTAGCATGACCGATTTCGCCCAATCCATGATGAATCAATCATTACTAGAGAAAGCTGCCACATCTGCCGTAAGCCCTGGACTTTATATTAGAGACTATGAAGCCCAACAGAATAGGAACATCATCGACGCTGCTTCTAAAGTTAGAACATTAGAAAGATTCATCTATTCCAGCCTTCCCTATGCGGATAGGTTGAGTGAGGGAAAGTATGCCCGAGTGTACTATTACGATAGTAAAGCATCCGCGGAAGAGTATGGCAAGTCAACATACCCAGAGCTTTGGGAGAAGACCAGCATTTTCTACGCTGGTTTCTATCTCGAGAATTACATCTGGGGGACAAAAGATCTTTATTTTTGCCCTAAATGGGTATGTTCTTATTTTTCGACCTAGAATCCTACACTAATATATCTGTTAGAACAAGGGAAAAGACAGTCTCATCGCATGGGGTATGGAACCTCTCACCACTTTCAACTGGCCTTGGTACTCTGTCGTGCAAGACACCGGCCCACTGGTGGCAGCTTTGATTCGTGCTGCACCTGGCAAGAAGCTTATCGGCGTCAACGAGTGGCTCAGCATGAAAGATATCTCTAAGCTCATAGCTCAGATATTAGGGAAAGATATCGAGTTTGTTGATAGTGGACCCAATTTTAACCAGGGCGATCCCGATTTCCAGCGCAGTCGTCGGGAGATGGTTGGGTTTTCCATGGAGTTTGGTTATTACGGAGACAAGGTTGACACGACGGTCCTGAAGCCGAGTGAGCTGGGGGTTTCAGTGCAACTGAGCCCCGTGAAAGAGTGGATTGAAAAACAGGATTGGGAGAAAGTCTTGCCAGCCGAGTAGGGGTAGAGATGATCGCGTGGAACAAGCATATGATTGTCAGGCTTAAATCAACTTAGATGCTATCAATCATGAAAACTGCTTGCAGTAATCAAATGGTAACAAAGAACATGTTGTTCATCTCGAACTTTTCCATTGAGCCTCTAAGGTTCCAGTAACTATCAACTCGAGCGGTTTTTATAATGGGATCTTACAAAAAATTACGGTTGAGTGAAACTTTGGAAATATTGTTAATCCGGCACTTTCCGATCAAGGTCAAGGTGAAACATATCAAACAATTAAAGTGAGTAAAAAGCGTGCACCGTTTTTGCAAACAACTGTATCGACGTGACCTTCACTCAAGACGCCATGCACAAAATCAAAACTCAGACTTCATCACAACTCAACCACAAAGTAAGACCCAAGGTACGCCTCCGAGAAAAAGGGAGAGCATCTCAGACGCTGATTGCAACCGCCAAGTCACTTGTTCCATTCGTAATAATAACATTTACTGCGCCATACTATGCAAACAATCCGTTGATGGGGATGCTAATCCGCACCAGACTTTGGCATGTTGGAAGACCCCCCGGAAATGATCAGTGGTCCTCCTGATTGATTATGTTGGGAGGCACCATTGTTTGGAAAAGGCGTTGTCGGTGCGGCAAGGTTGCGTGAGGGAACCTCGGATGGGGGCGGCTTGGGCGGAAGATGAGCCGGAGTCCCCCATTTAGCAATCGAATCGTTGGGTATGGGCTGTGTAACACGAGGCATTGTCGGACTGGTGGCATTGCTATTGGAACGGCTGTTGTTCGGATACGGCGATCCATATGCCATCGATTGACCGCTAGGGTCTCCCTGACCCGACCATTTCTGCCGCTGCACATTCGACTGGGGGTTGTTGTATGCTACTCCACCTGTATGGTTCACTCCTTTGGCGGCGTATCGACCTGTTGTCGGGTTTCCGGTTGGCACAAAAGACCGAGTTTGCGGGTTGAACATGGTCCGGTTGAAATTGCCCATCATTTGATGAGAGTTGTGACCTTGAGGCGTCGGGTATTGCTGGTTAGGCATCTGTTGGCCGTAAGAATATGGATTGGTATTGGTAGCCATAGGGTGTGAGGGGTAATTAGGCCAATGCGCATTACGTTGAACAGCTTGAGGATAATTGTTTTGATACTGCTGACCTGTCCAAGGTGTTGATGTGTTAGGGGGGTATGCTGCTGCTGGATTAGGGACAGGATAGTTGTTCATGGCTGCCATTGGGCCTGATTGGGTTTGCTGGCCCATCATCGTCTGTGGCTGGTTGAGAGCAGCGTACCCTTGGTAAGGTGACTGCTGAGGTACAGCAGGGCCTTGCCATGTATGGGCCTGACCCATAGGCATCGTGTTCATTTGATATTGAGACACGTTGTTCTGGTAGACGTTCCCAGCAGATGTGCCTTGTGGGTAGTTCATAGTGGGCGAGGATACATTCGGMCCACCCGTGTAATGGTTTTGGCCGTAAGTCGCTCCGTTATTCATCGGCGCTGGTGCTGTGTTATTTGCATAGGACATCCCAGGATAATACGCATTGAACTGAGATCTTGCTTCAAAAGAGTCGTCGTGGGGGGTTTTCTGCCTGAAATTCTTCTTGCGGCCGCTGGTAGAACTTGAACGAGAGATGTTCGCGCTATTGTCCCCAGCAGATGAGTCCACCGACTTAGACTCTGGGAAATCCCGGAAGATTCTTTCTCTTGCTTCTTGATATTTGGCCTCACGCTCTTCCCGGGTCATCGCCGACCGATCTTTCGCTGGTGTGGCTCCTGCAGATGATCCTCCGCGGTCTTCATCGTTGCCACCCTCTCCATCAGCTTCCGAAACGGGTTTCGAGGGGCCTGAAGAGTTAGTTGTACCATTCTCTCCTACATTTCGGTCATCGTTACGGCGCATAATCTTCATAGCCGGTGCATTAGGTGGAGGTGTGTTGTGGGATTCGACAGGCCGGAGAAGCGACAAAGGCGTCGGACTAAAATTGGTGAGCATAAAAGATGAGGAAGTGGTGAGAACGTATACTGACAGTCTGCAGAAAGGCGTCCGGTGTAACCGTACTGATGTGACGTTATTGTCCACAAAATGGGTCAGGTGATAGTAATCTCCAAGTTTGTGTGCAAGAAGACGTCCAAATGCATTGGAAGGTGGTAATTCAAGTGATTGTTCTCTGCGCCAATAGAATGAGTACGAGTTTTGCTAGACAATGATTAAATATGACACTTACTTTGAGTCTTGAATAAATTCACGAATCATCTCCTCAAGCTGCAGCAGGAACAAGCGATCTTTGGGTGACCCCATAGCCTCAAGGAGCTTCTCATCAGGTTCTAAAGCATACCCATTGAGAGACTTTCCAGGCACAAAATCAGCCTGGTTGCTAACAATGAAGTTATTAGCCACGGAATCAGGTGGGATGGCACCTGTGACTCCAATATCACCATCAGGATATCGTTGTATGGGCATAGGCAATACGCCTCTTGGTCGCTGAAGGATACCATCTTTGATGTTATCTCGATACGCCCTCACACCAGCGTCAGACCCAGTAAGTGAATTAGGGGCACCAGACGCAGGCCCAGACAAAGAATCATCTTCATCAGCTGCCTGGACGCTTGCACTATCATCAGGGCGCAAAGAATCCTTTTCATCCATTGCAAATGTGGTGACTGATGCCATACTCTTCGAGTCGAAACTTGTTGGCTTTGTGGAACTGTTGGATAGGTGTGTTTGGTCATCTTCGAAGGATGCTTCTCTCTGAAGCATTCCAGTACCACGGACTTCGTCAGGAGACTGAGAAAACTCTAGCCCGTGTTTTTCAGTCATTGAAAGGCGTTCGACACCGTCCTCAATGCCTTGTACGTAAGCGTCGAGAGGTACATCGTGCGATTCTCCTAAGCCTAACCCTGTTTGCAGCGGGTTTTGGAATTCTGCGTTCATGTGATGTTCTGACTCGTCAGGATGGTCTTGTGATTTGGGCAACGCGGGCATGGCCACAATCTAGGCAAACGGGGTTAGTATGTAAAAAATTTGGCCCAGATAATTGTAGACGTACATTCGCAAAAGAGGGACGGTTCAAATTACTTCCAGACGCCTGTGAAGCCATGATGTAGCCAAAAATGCGATGGGCCTTGAACGAAAGTATTTAAGCGAGAGATGTTGCAAAAACCAGACTTCAAGGGAATGACTGCAGTACTCGCAACGTGTAGAAAGATCCAATAACTTTTATTTCCTCGTTTCACAGCTTGAAGATGTTGGAGACATCTCTTTCGAAAGTAACGTGCGCCATAGGGACCAAGCTTTTTTATTTATTAGAAAAGCTAGGAGAACAGCTGCCGTCTTGATTGAGAGGCGAACGAGGTGTATTCGAGATTGCCTCTAATTGTAGTGGCGTGCAACGTCCGTCGAACGCTGGATAGAGAGGCTAGTTTGACCCTGAATATCGATTATTTTTCCGTTAGAACAGTGATTCAAGATTGCTAAGAGCTGTGGAGAAATGATGATCACATACTCTGCAGGACCAACGAGGCAGTTGAATGGCACAAATGAGGCTGAAGTGAGCAGCCAGACCGGGGAGTTGTGAGAGACTAAGGAAGTTTGGCTTTGTGATCTTTTCCTCCGTGGGGTTTAGTCTGGGTCTGCCCTGTGCTTGCCGCGCGCATAATTTCTGAGCCATAATTCTGATACTATTAACTGTTTTTGAAACTACAGCACCATTATTCTTTCATGTATTTTCAACGATTTCTATTTGGAATCGCACTTTTCTTGTTATTCCACTATAGACGCTATCTACTCGACTAAAGCCCTGCATATGAATCGATATAGAAACGTCCCTGGCCAGCGCGGCCCAACTAAGGCAACTGCCAGCACGCTGTGCCAAAAATGCCTTAAACGAGATGAGTTTTTCACTGTGTCTCTCTCAAATACTCACCGCTGACTTGGATATACGACACTATAGCTATGAATGCAAGTCGACAACCCAAGATCGACCCTACGTATCCAGGCCTTCGCGGACGCAGCAGTTGCAAAATCCCGACCTGGTACCGAAATTGAAGAATGAGACGATGGTTGATATGACGACAAGAACGTACGGCACCTCTGCCATATTTTTTTCCCACGAAAATGAGCTAACCTAATCATTTAGCACCGGCCTTGCAGATGAGATTATAGCGAAACAAGAGCAAGAACGGGGCAGAAAACGGGATCTTGATGACGAGGAATATGGTCAATCGTCCAAGCGGCCTAGATCTCTGTCTTCGCGCTCATCGATTTCCGTATCAACTATTTCGACGGACCGTTCTCGATCAGGATCTCCAGGATACCGAACCAGATACAGCCGCCCAAGAGATGAGGGGCAGGATCAACATTCGCCAGTGTCCATCACAAATAGAACCCGTCAACGCAAAAGACGCTATAGCGATACTCCTGAGTCAGATTCGTCAGATTCGGTTGAGCAGCCGCGGCGATCACGAGATGTGAGTGCGGATGCGGAGCGAAACACTCGCAGAAAGCGACGAGAATATAGTCCTCCCGAAAGAGGTCGGAAGAGAGACTCATCTACAAACCGGGGAAGTCGCAGGTATCAGTCGCAAAGTCGAAGTCAAGAGCGGAGCCGCATTGTGCGAGAGAGACGCTCAATGACACCAAACACACAGCAACGTCAGAGGTCTCCTCACCCTAGCGATAGGGTGGCGCAAAGAGGAGAGCCACACCGGGCGCCTCGAGACAGGAGTTTGAGTCCATTTAGCAAGCGGCTTGCCCTCACTCAAGCTATGAACATGGGCCGATAGTTCAGACTTGACGGTCCTTCTGCTTGTTACCTGTAGTTGTACTTGCTGTACTTATATTACTGATCACTTAGCGTATTGTTGCATTTCTGGCTACAACTGATAGTACATCCTCCCTTTTGCTCAATTGCTCAATAGCTCAATAAAAAGGAAACCCCAAAACGCCGTTTCGTCTTCAATGCAGTTCGTATCGCTCAATCCTTTTCTTTATAAGGGGTATCAAGTCAAATCTCACACCAAGTCCTCGTCCTCTCGATCATCAGCCGCCTCCTGTTCGCGGACATGAATACCTTCAACCAATGCTTCGCCCTCAATTCCAACCTCTTCACCCTGATCCTCCCCATTACTTCGCCCCTTTTTAGCCTTCTCTTCCCTCTGCGCATTCTCAATTCTCTGCCTCACCAATCTCGCAATCGCATTTTCCGTCCTCACATTCAAGACCCTCATCTTTTCATCGAGGTGCCGTCTCAAATCCCAATTTGGTTTTTTAGGCTGTAGCTTGAATAAATCTATAGGTTGCTCTGCGGCCTCTTCTTCTTCGCGCTTCGTTTGTTCGGCTGCTATCCTTGCGATCTCTGATGCTTGTTGTTCGAGTGTGATTTGTCCTTCGATGGGTGCTTGCTCAAAGCCGAGTTTTGGGCCGCGGGTTTCGGCGTCGTAATTTCGTCCGGAGAGGTATGTCTTAGTTATATTGTCGCCGCTTGCTTCCTGCAATTCTTGTTGGTCTTTTTCTGCAAAGACCTCGGTCAGGGGTTCGGGTTCGGGTTGCTTTCTTTTGAGAGCTGCGAGTTTGGCAAGTCTGGCTTTGCGTTCCGTTGCCGCTGCCTCGAGGGAGGCGTTATTCGAAGACATGGCTGTATTTTGTGATGCGCTCGTCTGCTTTAACCGGTACTTGTGAGTACTGTAAAAGTGCGGTCTGATGAATCTCCTAAGACGTTGCGCTGTTTCGCATTTCTAGAAATATAGCGGGCGGATAATAGGTCATCAGTCTGTGAATTTTAGCCGCGCTCAGCCGCTCTGGCCGCTCTGATTGGTCTGTGAGGAGCTTACCCTACATAAAGATCCACCCAGAGACAACATGAATCAAGACGCCCTCACATTTCCAAATCCGTGTAACCGCTAGCCACAATAATTGCTCCTAGTACAATGCTCATGGACTATCTGTCATAATCCATTATCCTTGAATCCATCCTCCTGGATCTTTTTACTGCCTGGCTCTATACTGGCGTGAACGTGATCGAGTCCTTCTCGGACATACTGGTCGTGGGCAGGCCCATCAGTAACGATACGTAGTTTAGCTCGTCGAGACTTGCACCTTCCAACAGCCTGTCGTACTCTCTTGACGAAGAGAGCGGCGTAAGAGCGTTTCGGGCATATCATTACGAATCCCCGGTCAACCTTAATGTCCGGGGAGGATTTTAAGAAAAAAAATATAGCTACTAGGAGTCCTCGCGGCATCCAGAGATGGTGTGTGCATGTGTATGGCAAAACCAGCATTTGCAGGTGTGCTCACTTGATCCCAGAATACAGGGCGCATGGATTCTCGAAACAGACATAAATTGTTTTGATAGAATACAATTCCAGCTGGAAGTAATCAACACACGCAGCCAAATGATATTTAATGTACATATAAATCTCAACACAACCCACCCAAATTATTTAGCCCGTCTACCTTCACCCTTATCCTCTCCTCCCTCCTCTTCGTCTTGATTCTTCTTGTTCTTCTTCTTACCCGCCTCTAGCGTCATCTTCTCAATCTCCTTCTCTAGCGTCTCGACACCATCCTTGCGATACCTTGTCACTTTCCGCACGTTCAGAGCAGTCAATTCATTAAGTGTCTGAATTCCTTGCTCGCGCTGACGAGCTATGGCTTTGGCTGTGATGGCGAATCGCATGTCCTTGGGTCCGTCGACCAGCTCGAGGATTGCGCTAGGGGCTTGATCGTCCTTTTTGGGCTCTACCCTCAAAACGCGGGTGTAACCGCCTTGTCGTTCGGCGTAGCGTTCACGGAGGGGTCCGAAGAGTTTGGGGAGGAGGTCGTGTGGTGTCTGTTAAAAAAGGTTAGTCATTGACAATTGATAAGACACAATGAGATAACCTCTTGAGCATTGTGCAGGCGAACGCGAAGAAATGAGAACGAAGGATTTCTAAAAACATACATAAAATATCGACTGAGCACGTCTCCGAGCATGTTCCGTATTCCTCTTTCCCAAAGTAATCAATTTTTCGGCCAGGCGTTGCGCTTCTTTTGCCTTGGGCCATGTCGTTGTGATGGATTCATGTTTGATGAGGGATGTGACGAGATTTCGCAAGAGGGCCTGTCGATGAGACGAACTTCGGCTGAGATGACGGTATTTGGCTGCGCCTCCAGCCATTGTATTGCTGTTTTTGAGGTTTTATGGTCGGTGAAGGTCTAGGTGGGTAGACTAGGTGCCGAGTGAGACTAGACTCAAATTTAAGGAAAGCACAATGTTTGAGTGCCCAATTGCTTTCTTTTATTGGGCGGTATGTCTTATTCGTGTTGTGCTGGAGTCGTTTGCCAATTGTGAAATAGATAGGATGTCGAAGTCTAGCAAAGAAAGATTCCCGTCGCCGTTCCCTGATCTCGAAAATCGGCCAATCGGAGACTGTCTTGGCGCTAGCTAACTCCGCCGGCCGAACTAGTTATCTTGACTTGCAACAACTTATCCATCAAACAAATTCAGTGTGAATTGAGATGAAATCATGATTGCTATCTTGTGAAACATATCAAGATAGCGCAAGAATATATTGGTCGGAATCTTAGATTGAACTGCAGCCTCTACAAGGCTAGACATGCTGCCAGTCTCTCATCTCTCACTGTCTAATTATTTCCTTTCCTAGCCAAGATGGGCTTCATGGCTGGATTTGTATGTCCCATTTTGATTAATTGGCCATATATGCAGCTACTGACTATCTAAAAAGTTCGGCGGCTTCACCCTGACAGCATCAGTCCTCTACCTAAGCGTCCAAGTCCATCGCTCAACCCGCCTAGCGCAACGAGATGCCATACGTGAACAGGTCGAAATCTTGAACGATATCTCCTCGCCTTTAGGTGCCTACTATCGCAGATTCGGCCAAGAAAACGATTTGCAAAAGTCAGCAATCGCGCCACTACCACCACCACCACAAAAGAAACCTTCCGCGGAGGAACTACTCAAGCAACAATGGAATAAAGAAGTAGAGGCATTGGCGAAGAAGACTGTCACTTTACGTTGGCAGGATGTCACCAACACGGCCACAGAGGTGGCTAGGGTGATATCAGACTTGGTGAAACGGCAATGATTCGTTGCAGCCCTAGCCTTTAAATTCACGATAGGTTGTCGAGTTGAGGTCGTTCTTTGAGATCAATAACAAGCGCAGGCGTCTGGTGTTATTATATGGTTGTCATAATGTATGGGTATCTTGTGACGGGTTTCTGTTGGGCAAGATTGGCCGACAGTATCCAATAGCGTGTTCAGATTATGTGGACAGAGTGTGCCAGACTGCGACAAATTTGTCCTTTTTAGCGAGATCTCAAATATGTGAAAATTCTCTTGTCCACAATTGAATAGCTTTAATATCCTTGCTTCGATCCATGTGTCGCAGCATGCTCATCCAGTTATCGAATCTGCCGTTACGTTTAGACTCTCACTTGCCGTATCGTTCCAAATGTCTTCACTTTCTTTTCTCACGGCACGCATCGCCTGCGCAACTTCCTCCAAGCTCGCAACAACATCCAAAACACCATTATTGACGCGATCGAAATACTGATCATTGGCTAGTCGCCTCTTTCGAGCTTGCTGTAGATCTTTCTCGGTTTCTGCTTCCAGTGCTTTATAACTCGCAGCGCCATCTGTAGTCGTCGTAGTACCATTATCATGGGGCACAGTACTTGCTTTCTGCGACTTTGTATCTGATGGACTATTGGTCTCTTTGCTTTCGTTTTCATCCACTTCATCTGCCTCATTTCTCGTCCAAGTTTGAGCTAACTTGAGCTGCTTCAAGCGTAATTCCTCTAGCGCTCGTGAATGTTCTTCACCAAACACATGCTCTCCCTTGAATGCACTGAGCTCGACTTCACCTAGCGTATTCTGCATTTCTTGCCATAAGATTTCAGCACTGTCGGTTTCCCGTGGTGACTGTGTTCGGCTCAGGAACGGCGATAAGCTTCTATTGCCATTTGGCGATAGGCCGGACATTCTGGATCTGGCCCTTTGTACACCGGGCCGTTGAGCTGATGCAGGGTCTTGGTTTCCGGGCAGTAAGCCCACGTGGACTGAAGCACTCGACTCATTGCGAGATGGAGGTCCTTGGAATAATGAAGGGGGAGGAAGTCGTTGAGAGCTGATTCGCGAGGCGGGTTTGGGCCTCGGTGCGAGCGACATTGTGATGAATGGTGAGAGAGCTACAATCTACAATCAGCCCTTCAAGCTTATGTATGTACTAACGTAGTAATCAAGAAGCTATCATATCGATAACAGACAATGCCAAGAGGTCGGAAGTATGGCCGAGGTTGTTCCGACACTAACCCTTTCTGGTGCTGGTGGCCCGCACTTCGCTTAGGGCACAAATCCACATTTTCACTCTACGCCTCGAGAACGGGTGCACATCGACGACCATCTTCGACTTTTCGACATCAACGACCAGCCATTAGGCATATCCATCTAGTCGGTAGGTTCACCATCCAGCTCGATTTATACGCACGAAACATTCCCAGAAGAACTTTTTGTTCTTTTTTCTTACTTCCGTTATCCACCAAATCATCGAAGTTGCGCACCGTTCTAACTCTACTCTCCTCTACAGAATTATCCAAATAATACCGCCAAGATGGGTAAGGGAAAGCCTCGTGGTTTGAACGCCGCTCGCAAGCTCAAGGACCACCGCCGTGATCAACGATGGGCCGATTTGGGTTTCAAGAAGCGCCTGCTGGGAACAGCCTACAAATCCTCTCCCTTCGGTGGTTCCTCTCACGCCAAGGGTATCGTCCTCGAAAAGGTCGGTGTTGAGGCCAAGCAGCCCAACTCCGCTATCCGAAAGTGTGTCAAGGTCCAGTTGATCAAGAACGGAAAGAAGGTCACTGCTTTCGGTATGTTTTTTCCAGTACCAGAATGATGATTTAGGTCTCTGTGCTAATTGTACATAGTCCCCAATGACGGTTGTCTTAACTTCGTTGACGAGAACGATGAAGTCCTCCTCGCTGGTTTCGGTCGTAAGGGCAAGGCCAAGGGTGATATTCCTGGTGTCCGTTTCAAGGTCGTCAAGGTTTCCGGTGTCGGTCTGTCCGCTCTCTGGAAGGAGAAGAAGGAGAAGCCTCGTTCATAAACGAACAATCGCGCGAAACGAAGGCTGGGGTCGAGACGACGGCAGGAGGAAAAATACATGAGAACGATTCCAATGACTTGTGCGAAAAGAGAAGGGGCTTATACGAAAACTTGCTCTTCTCTGGGATCGGAAAAAATTCAGCCATCATGTTGCATCAGGCATAGGAATTCTGTATGCACAAGAATTTTCTCTTTTAGAAAGGTTTAAACGTTTCACAAGGATGGCGTCATGACTTGTACGGGATGGTTGAATATCTGCTACATATCAAGTGAAGTTGATGTTTCCTTAGTGTAGTAGCAGTTTGACTGCCAAAATACCATTGATTATTGGTTTTTCATATACTGTCTGGTTGTAAATTTCTGATATTACTCGTGAACTTGTTTTATATTTTTGTTTTGTACTATCTATTTCATTAGAAGGATATATCTTCTTTGCGATAGTGGTCCGAGACGATACGGTAAAGATATGACGGAGCATGACCACCCCTGTAAGATACAGTTAGTAAGATCATTGACGTATAGCGTGGAGAGGCTGAGGGAACATACAAGTTTGTGATGTACAAGTCAACCAATTCAGCAGGTACATAATCGTAAAGCGGGTTTTCAACATCAATCTTGTCGACTAAGTCGCCGTCTTCGAAAGGGATGACATTGCTGGCGTCACCGTACTCAATGAGAGACTCAATGTCAAATGGGTAAACAGGACTGAGCTTATAGATACCGCTGACGACAACGACCGGGGTTTGGTGGACTTTCGCCGCTCTGGCAATCACTCGCGTACCAGCAGCGGCGACCAGGCCACCATTAGCCAAGACCGAATGGGTTCCTAAGATGACTTTGTTAACTCGGGACATGATAGCGAAGACAGCAGAGTCTGGAATGACAATGACTGTGATTCCCAATGCAGTCAATGGTTTCGTGAAGTTTTCGGCACTCAGACTTTGATCGTCATTGTCGTTGTTGCCGCTGACTCGAGAATGAGTCGCAACGTGGTTATTGGGGAAAGACTCGGCATGGATGACAGTGAATTTTCTCTTGGTCGCGGCTTTGAGTAAGAATTTTTGAACGGTGGTGGATGAGGTGTATGCCAAGATGACCTCGTTGGAATGTATGTGCTCCAGCGCGTAACCTGCGATCTGATCGTCTACTTGCCCGAGTTCGTCAATAATCTCGCCGATGCCGTCCAAGACTTCGGCTCGTATGTCTTTGTGCTGGCCCTGTCCCTGGAATCGGCCTGATGGGGACACGGTGCCTGGGGAACTAGGTTGAGGTGAATCTGCTTCGGGGTGTTGGAGGAGACTAAACATGGAAATGACGGGAGGCGCTTGGGATGGTGTGGAGGACAGGGGAGGTCGAGATGAAGATCGCTCCGACCCTTCTGCACGAAGAGATAGAAAATCCTTATCATGCACAGGAATTGCAAGGTCGTCTGCAATATGTGACCGTGGAGGAGAGTGGCTTTCTACTCCATGAGGGGTATGTGGTCGGCTATCAGATCCGGCTTCACTGGCAAGGAAAAAGTCTGCGTCCCTTTCGTCCTCTGCTTCATCTCTGATAAGACCTAGCACACGTCTGACAATATTTCCAACAACTAGTTCCCTCGGTTGGGCGACCATAAGCCGCCTGCCCACACTCTGTACTCGTTCAATCAGTTTGGTGGCATCCGTGGTTCGAAAGGCCGACACGACTCGGAGTAGAAGGTAAGCGGTTGCTATGGCGCATGAACGTGATAGGCGAATCTGTCGTCGTTTCAAAAGACTGCATCATGTTAGCCTAACGGTTCGCTTATGCTTGACTTGCATATTGAACAGGAAGTCGTACGATACGAGGTTATCAATTGATGTCTCGATGGGATTTGTTTTAAGTGATTTGAGAAACGAGGACAACCCCGGAGTCAGAGCTGCCGAGTTCGAGACCATCTTGATGTGTCTATATCTTTTCCTAGCTTTAGCTAAGGCGATTTTCACTGCGAACTGGCGAAGAGAAAAAGTTCAGGTACTGCGGGAAAATTGTATGTAGCGGCCCCTCTTCGACTGGTGAGTCAGACAGGACGGTCCTGTTGTTTGGCAGGACAACTATTGCTGTAACAAGGCTTGCTGTATCATGGAAGATCAAGCATTGCAGAATTAAAATCGCATCGTATTTTGTAACAAATATGTTGTTGAATGAAGCCAATCGAATGCGGCGTGCTTGACCTGTGCGATCAAGGCTAAGAGACTAAAAAGAAAGACGGAGTCCGCAGCCTTAGCAACTTGGCCCCAACAGGCAACTGCCTCCCCACATCTCCGTCATCCGACCCTGCTTAGTTTGAGACTGCTACTGTAAGTCCTAACCACCGAGGATAGCCAACGGTCCAACACGTCCAGCCCATCCTCTGCACTTGCATGGTTTAGTGCCTCTCCGGTGTCCTCTCCTCTTTTACGTGTTACCCCTCCTACACCTCGAACTGCTTTTCTCGCCAATCCGTCTTCGATCTCCAGCTCGGCTCTCATACAAGGGCAGGCTGGTCTTACAGCCGCGGAATCCGACTGAGCCTGGCTGGTGCAATCGGCCAATTTCACAGGGTTGTCAGTTAGCGCATAGTAACTGGTCAAGATAGGCGCAGGTATTACTTGTTCTTGCAATGGAATTGATACTCGATGTTGTTCGGTCACCTAGGTACTGACTGCTGGCCAAGATTCCAGGGCCGCTTCCTCATACCGCCAGCTCGTCCTCATGGCCGTTGCTGAAAGATGAACTCCCTGAATATCCTGTCTTCCCGAGTGATAGGACAGGCTCCCAATTCTAGTACGCGCAGTCGCTCTCACTCACAGGGCGAGGCATCTCCCGCGAATCTCCGGAATGATCTAGCCAAGGCTCGTTCATACAGCGAACAGCAGTTTCACTACACCCTTCCGAAAGACGACAAAGAGATCGACGCTCGTGGATCGCCAGCGCAAGGATACTCGTATGATGGTACGATAGGATATGACGAAAAGACGCAGCTGCTTAATCAGTTGCAGAAGACTGCGCCAAACCGGTTCTTCCTAGTTGCCCAGAGACTTTTTGATGCTATTTACGAGACAATCCAGGCTATCCTTTCCACAATCGCAGCTCCAGGTGTCTATGTCGCGCAAACATTTCGAGATGACGATGGTTACTACTCGCCCATTGTTCCTTTTCGCAAAGTTACCCGATATGTAGCGTTCCGCAATGCGGAGAGTGAGCATTCAAGATCCAAGAGGACTACGCTATCGCATCGCCATAAAGATAACGAGAAATCTCGGCGAAATGGTGGTTCGACTCGAAGATTAAGAAGCACCGCTTCCCAGTCATCGATTGCATCGTCTCAATCGGAATCTGATGGTGATCATGACTCCGCCAAACCAAGCACTGACAAAGAAACCCGTGGCAGCAAAAGTAGATCCCCGGACAAGGAATCCGCCGCCACAGACACCAATAATACCCCGAGAAGGTCTATTCGCATTAAACTCAATAATGATGAGTCTCTGAAACGCCAGAAGAGAAGGTCGCAGTTAAATGAAGCTCCCCATGATTCGACAGGTGGTGAGAACACATCACCAGGTGCAGTCATCACGGCAGAAAGCTTGAAATCACCAATGTCGCAATCTGCTTCTCATCACCGGTTTACTAAGTATCCTCATGCCCCTGCTCCTCCACGCCCATTGGTCCCTGTTCGACAGCCTTCTTATACAATGCGGACAACGGGACGTCAAGCACCAACCAGAGTTCCTCAAAAGACCCTCGTTCTTGATCTGGACGAGACACTCATTCACTCTCTGGCCAAAGGTGGTCGCATGTCCAGCGGTCACATGGTAGAAGTCAAGCTCGCAGCTCCAGTATCGACAACTGGAGACCCTACGACTACACTTGCACCTCAACACCCCATCCTCTACTACGTACACAAACGACCGCATTGCGATGAGTTTCTACGCAAAGTATGCAAGTGGTATAAACTCGTTGTCTTCACAGCGAGCGTCCAGGAATATGCCGACCCGGTCATTGACTGGCTCGAGCAAGAGCGCAAGTTTTTCCAGGCTCGTTATTACAGACAACACTGCACTCTGCGTAATGACGCATTCATCAAGGACTTGAGTTCTGTGGAGCCGGATTTGAGTAAAGTCATGATTCTAGACAATAGCCCAACGAGTTACATTTTTCACGAAGGTGGGTCCTTTCCATCGTCCTTTGCTTATGAGTCAAAGCTAACAAGACACAAGATAATGCTATTCCCATCAAAGGCTGGATCAGTGATCCTACCGATAATGGCTTACTCAATCTTATCCCCATGCTCGAAGCTCTGCAGTATGTGACCGATGTCCGTGCATTCCTAGCATTGCGAAGAGGTGAGGCCGAGTCATAGCTTGCATCCGTCAGATCTATAAAGTTTTCTTAACATTTTGAATAATTCTCTTCTTTTTTGTGTCTCATTTCTTGAACCCCCGACCTCTTCCGCTCGCGGAAGAGAAGGAAGGGTCAAGGCTTAAGATTCAAACAGCCCCCTTTTATCTCCTATAAATGCATTTATTTCATGTCTTTTTTTCAGCATTGGTTTGTCTTCCTTTTTTTTTTTGTGCTTTGCATTGATTATTGTCTTGATAGTCATATGAACATACCCCTCAATATTACTCGCTCTTCCCTTGTGGAAGAGACTGTGCTTCTGCGATTCTAGTATATGATCTATCGTACATGCTAGTAGTTTGTTCTCTGCTAGTTGAATAGGTATGAACTGACTCTCGACGTCCGGATAGTTGACTACGATGTTTGATATCATTCTTAAGTAAATATAATTGACTTATCATGCATTTATCGTCTAATTGACATATGCGATTTTTTATATAAAACATTCTTCTTGTCCAAGATAGAAAAGACTACAGCCCCTTAGCCTTCTTCACTTCGGCCCACGACTCCTGCAACGCCGTAATGGCATTATCAATATCCTTCCTGTTAGGATCCGTCACACTAACACCCATATGTCCAAATCGAATGTATGTAGGCGCGATAGCCTTGTGCAAACCACCCGCAAACACGACACCACGCTTCAACAATCCCGGAAGAATGTCAGGTGCTGTGACGCCCTCCGGCAAGCGGATGGCTGTCATGGCATGTGCTTGGTTCTCAGGTTTTGTGGCGAGTTGAGTCAATCCTAACTCTGCAACGGCGGCTTTGACTTTGTCTGATGTCTTGGTGTGGATTGCGAATCGCTCGGACACTGGCTTGGCCGTGATGCTGGTCAATGTGGTGTGAAGAGCGTGCACAAGTTGGGTTGGCGGGGTAGCGAAGTATGACGGTTTACCGGCCTCGTAGTTCTGCATTATAGGTTGCCAGTTGGCGATAGAAGCGTAATATGAAGCGGGGGCTGTCTTGCGGGTCTTGAAGACATTGATGGCGCGGCCGGAAAGCATCAGGATACTGAGACCTGGTGGGCATCCGATCGCCTTTTGGCTGGCAGTCAAAACGACGTCGAGACCCCAGGCATCGAAATCGATTTCTTCGCAACCCACACTGCAGACACCGTCGACAACAACTAAAGTATCCGGGCTGACGCGGTGGACGAGTTCGGAGACGGCTTTGATGTCACTCAAAACACCGGTAGATGTGTCCACGTGGGTGATTGTGATCAGTTTGTATTGTTTCTGCTTGAGCGCCTCTTCAATCTCGGCGAGCGATGGGCGGTCACCAATGGGTGCTTTGAGTTGCGTCGCTGTTGCGCCGTATGTCTCCAATGCAGTAGCGAATGAATCTCCAAAGTAGCCGGTGTGAAGGACCAATGCTTCTTCTCCACGCTCGATCAGGTTACTGGCGACAATGTCCCAGCCCAATGTTCCGCTGCCGGAGATGATGAATGGTTGCGATGCGGGGTCGCTGGTTTGGAAGAGTTTGCGGAGGAGGGTCAAGCTTTCGCCGAATGTTTTGACAAAGGCAGGGCCGACGTGGCTCTCTCTGTAGTAAATTCATTAGCATTAAGGACGGCAGGAGGGTTAATGATCTGTATGCTTACGCATAGTGGGACATGGACTGCAGGACCGCATCGTCGAATTCAATGGGTCCTGGGATGAGGAGTGTACTATGAGCTGGCTGCGAAGACATTTTGTGCCTGTTGTCTGACTGCTTGGGGATAATATCAGAGTCAATCGATGGAGGGGTGCGCTGGATAGGTTTATATTCCAGATCGTCGGGCTCGACAGACAGTCTCTCGGACGAGAACGGCGTGTTCAGTTCAGGCAGCGGCAGCCGTTGGTCGAAATGCCTGGCAATGAGGGACAGGCGGGCATTACTAGCAGTATTGCCATGGCCATTGCCATTGCCCCGCCCGGAGTGTGACGCCAGTTTGGCTGCTGGAGGGACTGGCAGCCAAGGGGAGCGTTGGCCGCGGGAAATGCGATCTTGCAATTAGACCTCGGGTGTTCAGGCGATCTCGTGGGCAGGCAGACTCCAAAGGCCGGGGGTAGCGTAGCCCTGTAGGATTGTCGATGTAGATGCTACGCGTTTGCCTTATTCCGCAAAGAGTAAACTATCCGCTTTCTCGTCCCTGTGTTGAATTTGGTGATAGTAAGTACGGAGCGCTACTTAGTTAGCAATCATCCTTGAATCTTTGCTTTCTGTCCTCTGTCCTCCCATAGAGCAATAAATCGGCGCCGGCTCCGGGCCCGGTCATCGGCGTCCTCCTGGGTAGAACTGAGATCAAGCCCAAACAGGAAGAAGATTAGGGCTAGGGCTGCCCCAATCTTTTGGACATCGACGCAGCTAAGCATAACAGGTTAGACTATCGTCGTTGATTACATAACGGAGCTAGCTGGAGCTTGATATGCGGCGCAGTCCAGATCAATACGTAGACCACTGACGTTCCCCCAATTGATGCTTTGCTCTAGTTGCAGCTCTTTGATATAAGCTGGGAATGGGCTATTAAGTGTCATATGGAATCAAGATGACCTCGCGTCTTGTGCTGGTCATTGGAGACCTATTTATTCCTGACAGGGCTCCAGTATGCTTCTTATCCACCCCGCCCGCAATGTTGCGGCCTGCTGCTGTGTATACAAGCTAACTTGAAGCTCAATGCTGCGTAGGATATTCCTGCACGAGTAAGACACCGCCAGTGATCCCGCCAAACATCAATTCATTTATTAACTTATTAAATTGCGCAGTTCAAAAAACTCCTCACGCCAGGAAAGATCGGCCAGATTCTATGTCTAGGCAATCTCACAGATCGCGACACCTTCGAATTCTTCCGACAAATCGCACCCGACTTACAGCTCGTCAAAGGTGATTTCGATGTCGACTCTCCAAATCTTCCCTTGTCCAAAGTCGTGACGCATGGAAGTCTCCGTATCGGATTCACCCATGGGCATACCATAATCCCGCCCGGGGATGCCGATGCCTTGCTCATTGCGGCCCGGCAGATGGATGTTGACATTCTTCTATGGGGCGGCACACATCGCTTCGAGGCATTTGAGTTGGAAGGTCGATTCTTTATCAATCCGGGCAGTGCGACTGGTGCTTTCAGCACGGGCTATTTTCCAGATGGGCAGGAGCCGGTGCCGAGTTTCTGTTTGATGGATGTAAGCTACCCCTGATCGTTATGAGTGCATTTGAATATGTCGGCTGATTTGATTAGGTCCAAGGGGATGTGTTGGTTCTCTACGTATATCAGCTCAAGACTGACGCCAACGGCGCCGAAACGGTGGCTGTCGAGAAGGTGTCATTTCGCAAGCAAGGTGCTACCGCATCTTGATATCGCTTGACTGTGTTTTGTTATGAATAGATACCTACGTTCTCCAATTTATGATTCTATTATGCTTTTAGTATAGCATATACTATATACCATGGCCCTACAATGAATCAACGGGTCTCCTTTGAATGACATAAAACCACGAGTAGATTTAGGGATTCTCAATAGCCTGACAGTAAACCTGTAGACCATACATACGCCTAACAGAAACATGTAAAATCTTAAGAAAAAGAAAAAAAAAACTTATCTTAAAAAGATCAGAAGAGAGCCTTTGATAAGAATAGCTGCAGTATGAGGAGTCACCTTACTAAGCCCAAAATAGCAGCCCAAGTTCCGCCTCATTGGCGTCGCCGTTCAAGGAAATAAAACTACGGACACTACTAAAACACAAACTTCATTCAACCACCAGCGGCGTGCCATTCAGATTCTGTTCCTTTATTGAAACTTCACACTTCTACTCGATCCTAGTTTCATCTTCCTACTAGCGACAAAGCAGACGCTCCTACGCCGCGTTGCGACCTTCCGTTTCCCTTGAGGGAAAAACCTCTCACCTATCCCACCTTCAAGAGAAAAGGGAACGGTTTCCGATTCGCAGTTTCGCTACATATCCCCTTCTCACGGCATTTAACCAAATCATATCATAATGGCTACGGAGGCAGCAGATATCCCAGAGGAGCAATTGAATGCTCAACCACAGGGAGTTGAAGATGAGGTACGTCGGACGTTATCTAGGCTGAAATGCGCCTGCCTTTTTGGCACATCACCAGGCTCCTTCCCTCTCCTAATCTCTGCTGCAAAGCTTTCTTGAACTCAGTCTAACACCTTTTGGTATAGGAGGACATCGCTGCGATGAAGAAAAGAGTCGCAGAAATGGAATCCGAAGCAGCCAAACTGCGCGAAATGCAACAGACCTTAGACGCTGAATCAGAAAGCCTGCGAGAAGATAAAGAAGATATTGACGCTCGAAGCATATTCGTCGGAAACGTGGACTACGGCGCCTCGCCGGAGGAGATTCAGGCGCATTTCCAGAGCTGCGGGTCGATTAATCGCGTGACGATTTTGTTGGACAAGTTTACGGGTCATCCCAAAGGGTGTGTTCATTCATTTTATTGTCGGCAATAGACACGGTTGATTTTGTCTTCGGTGTTATACTAAGAGATATGATAGATACGCATATGTCGAATTTGCAGAGCCCAGCCTGGTTGCGCAGGCTTTAGTGCTGAACGAGAGTGTGTTCCGCGGACGTAACCTGAAGGTGAGTACCTGCGACTTACTGTTCATTCCCAGCACTAATAATCGACAGGTCACACCCAAACGGACCAATCTACCAGGCATGGCCAGAGGTCGAGGCCGAGGCCGTGGTGGCCGTGGCGGCTTTGGTCGCGGTGGCTTCCCACACCGCGGCGCCTATCGTGGAGGTGGTTTTCGTGGTCGAGGCCGTGGATATGCGCCTTACTAGTGCCTCGCAATTTTCGATAAGGTTGCATATCACTTAGATTAGGGACTATTATGGCGAGGAGGACGGACAGGAATACATATGCTAGAATGGCACAATCGTGATTCCGATATCGCCCTCTCCTAGTGTCCATGGTCGAGATTTCGGAGTTGAGGGTGTAAGATATACATGCAGTTATCTAGTACCAAGCTGTTTGAGTCTGGTTACACGGGCGAATGGGAATCAAAAGTTGGGAATTTCAGTGCTATCTTTACAAGATCAAAGATTCAAGCTCATTGATAGATCACGTGTTTTAAGGATGAGGAGCATCGCTGCCCCGGTACAAACTTGCTCAACTAGTTTCATGTCTCTTATAAATAGACACGATAAAGAGATGTATCTCATGTCAGTATGTCATTGCATTACAAATCCATACCATATATTGTACCATGTGAGGTGTGGTATAGTCCAAAATGCTTGGGGTATTGGTAATCGTAATACGGTATTTACAGTTCTAGATTATAATCAATATCCAACCCCTCACCACTCTCTAACTTCCTCCATTCCTCTCGAGAACTTTTCGTCAGGCATGAAATTTTCGCTTTAATCAGCCATCTGAAAATCCGACTAAATTTGCCATCCTTAATTTGTGGAGCTTTCAAAGCCACACTAAGTGCTTAGCACACTGTTCGAGTTTTGCCTTGAGACAGCAAGCCTGACAAGTACGTATCGGAAGCATTACCAACCCCTCCGCCATGGTTATTGGCCAGAAGCCTAGAACTCGCTCACGTCAAGTCTACTCAGCCCCGAACACCTCGAACATCAGAACAACCAAGCCACGACCGTCTCCCATTATCTCCTCTCTTTTCGTTCAGTTCAGTCAACCCGGTCGACCCAGCAATCGATACCTAATTTCCGGGACAGTTGGTTTTCTAGAGATACCGTCAAATACCCTCCTGGGTGTGGATGTTGTTAGGCTTTCTTCTTGACTGGCCCGGCTCCTAGGTCGCATCCCGCTCTGCCCATAGGGCGACACTACACGAAGAATGGGATCAAATCTTCCAGCGTAAGTGATGTTGATGTTGGTTTATAAGTCATTGTTCGCGTGCTGACTATCATCGTGCTTTGCAGTCAGCCCAATCTACGGCTTACAAGTGAGCATCCGGATACCCGCTCAGCCTGTTTACGAGAACACGAGACCAAATGCTAACGCACTTACCTACACAGTCATTGCCGCTGACGGTCTATATAAGCGCGATGTCTTCCGTATGTGTCGTTCCGGCTATACCAACCTACTACTAAGCTTACAGGTGTGATGTTTAGGATTCCCTGATCCTTTTGCTGTTGCCACCATTGGCGGCGAGCAGACACAGACGACTACTGTTATCAAGAAGACTTTGAATCCTTACTGGAATGAAATTTTTGATTTGTATGTCTTATCGCTCCACTCGAGGAGATGTAGTTTCTGACTAATTGGGATACAGAAAAGTCAACGAGGACAGCATCCTTGCAATTCAAATCTTTGACCAGAAAAAGTTCAAGAAGAAGGACCAGGGCTTTCTGGGAGTCATCAATGTGCGCATCGGCGATGTGATAGACCTACAAATGGGCGGCGATGGTAATTGATTGAGAACACAGCAGACCCTTTATCGATGCACTGAGACTAACGCTCAATCACTCGCAGAAATGCTCACTCGCGATCTCAAAAAGTCGAATGATAACTTAGTAGTACATGGAAAGCTGATCATCAATCTCTCGACCAATCTATCTGCACCTGCCCCGAATCAGAATGGAGCCAATAGGCCACAGCAGCCGTCAGCAAGCCTGTCAGGACTCGTTCCGCAGGTCCAGACACCACCCACTACACAAAGTCAATCGTTTGTCGACGGACCAACCCCTGCGTCTATCGCAGCAAGTTCAACAAATTCATTCACACCAACCCGAGCTTCGTCAAATGCCCGACCGACGAGCGGCTTATCAGCCCCAACTGAGCCGCAGCCTAACGGCCAAGCGACACAAGGATCGAGAACAAATTTGAGCTCATTCGAAGACAATCTGGGTAGACTGCCCGCAGGATGGGAGCGTCGTGAAGATAACTTGGGAAGAACGTACTACGTGGATCACAATACAAGAACCACAACTTGGACTCGACCTTCGGCAAACTACAATGAAAGTGCCCAGCGGTCACAACGAGAGGCCAATATGCAAATGGAGCGTCGGGCCCATCAAAGTCGAATGCTCCCTGAAGATCGCACAGGAGCAAGCTCGCCCAACTTACAAGAAGCTCAACAGTCGACTACTCCGCCTCCAGGCGCCAGTTCTGCATCTAACGCAGCTAATGCTGCTTCGATGATGGCTACTGGTGCTACAACTGCTGGTACCGGTGAGCTTCCAGCTGGCTGGGAGCAGAGAACAACACCTGAAGGAAGACCATACTTTGTTGATCACAACACACGCACTACCACCTGGGTCGACCCACGCCGACAACAATACATACGCATGTACGGACAGAATGCCACTGGAGGTAATACTACTTTCCAACAACAACCAGTTTCGCAGCTAGGACCTCTACCTAGCGGATGGGAAATGAGATTGACCAATACTGCCCGTGTATACTTTGTCGACCACAATACGAAGACTACCACATGGGACGATCCACGACTGCCTTCGTCTCTTGACCAGGGTGTCCCGCAATATAAGCGTGACTTCCGTCGCAAGCTGATTTACTTCAGATCGCAACCAGCATTGAGAATCATGTCTGGTCAATGCCACATCAAGGTTCGCCGTAGTAATATATTTGAGGACTCATATGCCGAGATTATGCGACAGAGCGCCTCTGATTTGAAGAAACGACTGATGATCAAATTTGACGGCGAGGACGGTTTGGATTATGGTGGACTTTCTCGGTACGTTTATATTAAATTCTTGGGTCTCATACGCTAACCGTGCTCTAGTGAATACTTCTTCCTTCTCTCTCACGAAATGTTCAACCCCTTCTATTGTCTTTTTGAGTACTCCGCACACGATAATTACACCCTTCAAATCAACCCTCACTCCGGCATCAATCCCGAACATTTGAACTACTTCAAGTTCATTGGACGAGTTGTCGGATTGGCAATTTTCCATCGACGATTCTTGGATTCGTTTTTCATTGGTGCATTTTATAAGATGATGCTCAGAAAGAAGGTCACGCTTCAAGACATGGAGGGAGTTGATGAAGATTTCCACCGAAATTTGTCGTGGACACTGTAAGCCTCGCCGTTTTGAATTCATGGATGAAGCTAATTGCGTTATAGTGAAAACGACATAGAAGGCATTGTTGAGCTTACGTTTTCGATTGACGACGAAAAGTTTGGCGAACGAGATACAATTGATTTGATACCCGACGGAAGGAATATTCCCGTCACTAATGAGAATAAGCATAAATATGTCGAGTAAGTTGAGCTTTGATTTACTTTGTGGCCTTGAAGTTGCTGACATGGGACAGACTTGTTACGGAATGGAAGATTCAGAAACGTGTAGAGCAACAATTCAACGCATTTATTTCAGGCTTTAACGAGCTCATCCCTCAGGATCTCGTCAACGTCTTTGACGAACGTGAGCTGGAGTTGTTGATTGGCGGTATTGCCGACATTGACGTGGACGACTGGAAGAAGCACACCGATTACCGTGGATACCAAGAATCCGACGAGGTTATCCAGAACTTCTGGAAGATCATTCGAAGCTGGGATGCAGAGCAGAAATCACGACTACTCCAGTTTGCCACTGGTACTTCTCGTATTCCTGTCAACGGATTCAAGGATTTGCAAGGATCAGACGGACCGAGACGATTTACGATTGAGAAGTCTGGTGATCCTAACGCTTTGCCAAAGTCACACACATGGTATACTTTTCTCATTTCCGCTTTACAAAGAGGCAGACTTGCTAATGACATTAATAGCTTTAACCGTCTTGATCTACCCCCTTACAAAACGAACGAGGCTCTTCAGCAGAAATTGTCCATAGCCGTCGAGGAAACACTAGGTTTCGGACAAGAGTAAGCTGGATAGACAATGGTATAAACCGTTCGGATTGAGGCATCGTGTCAGCGGAAAAGAAAGGACACCAAGCGAGGCGCATGTCCCTTTTACGGCCTCTGCAGATAATTACATACTCCACCGCCAGAATGACTGTACGACAAGCATACTGTTTTTGACCACGCTTTTTACTTTGAGTTCTATTACGTACTATTACTACCCCGAGAAGATTCCGTCGTCCGTTTCATCATTACCGTTGATGTCTTCTTTTGTCGTTGTCTCCTCTCTATATCTCCATTTGCTTTTTCTATCCTATATATAGTATCACATCGCTATACTTACTTACATTCTATCTTTTTCAGCTTCTGATTGATTGGGAAAGGAAAATTGCCATTGTCATTATTATACATTATCAATTAACTTTCTTTGATGCCCAACATGGAATATTACGCGAATTGAGAATTACGACCATATGAATTGGTAATTAGAAAACCAAACCCAACCCCAGAGCCAACGCAGCAACAAAGCCACCCTGAGCGAACGTTCCAGCAGCAGCGGCAGCAGACTGTGAAGACGTCGTGAAATGTCCAGTCGCAGTAGAGGTAGAAGACGAATGGCCGGACGTCGCAGTACCCGTTTGAGTGGCAGATGTCTCTGAGCCGGTAGATGAAGCAGACGAGGACGCCGAGGCTGTTGCAGAGCTGCTGGCCGTGCTAGATGTGCTGGTGCCATAAGCCTTTGCGGCGTTGCAGTAGGATGTCATTGTCTGCTGAGCGCCGAATTGACCGTCGTCGCCGGGGCAGTTGTTGTAGCAGCTTTTTATCCAGGTCAGATGTGAGATGCATAAGAGTAAGAAAGGGACATACGTGAGGACATTGTTGCTTTGCTCGCAAAGGCAATCCCAGTCAGTTGCTGCGCAGCTTGAAAGTTGAGCATTTTCTGTGGCGAGACATGCGTCGAGGATGCTGTGTCAGACGAGATGGGTCAGTGTGTGTCAAACGTTTCGTCAGGAATGGGCATGGACTGACTTCTGAGCAGCACAGGTAGCGCGGCGAGAGTGAGCAGCTGCGAGGCCGACGGTGAGAAGGGCAGCGATTGCGGTAGAGAGACGCATTTTAACCGATTTCTTGCTGTTTTGGGTGAGATAGGGATGCGTTTGACGAGAAGGTAGATTGAGCGAGCTGAGCAAGTGAGAGGAGCGAGGAAGATTCGAGCGAGTGACTGATGTTCGTTAACGAGAATGAAGAAGGTAGCAAAAGAAGGAGACAGACGAGGTCTTTTATTCGAACAAAAACAAGACCAGGACAACAAATGTCCCAAAACGGACATTCACGTATTTCCAATACATATACATGGTAACCCCTTCTTTATCATCGATTCCCATGCAGGATATGCTTCTACTTTCTGGGTAATCATACACGTCATGTATTGTAAGGTACCTTACAGATTGGTAGTACAGAAGGACAGCCACCGTCGCCCTAATCGAAATTTTACCCCTTGTTTCCGGATTCGGAAATATTGGAGATATATCACATTTGATATGCCCCGAGGGCTCGTCCAGCCACCTTTCTTCCTCCCCCTTTGACATGACTTGTTTACATTCTTTGCAATAACTTTATCTGCTGTATACATGCGAATTGATCAGTTGTTGATTCTGGGCTTCCATTTTCGTCGTGTATCCTGATAAGTATGCTGTAGAGGTGTCCTCTACTGAAACCGATGAAGGGGCTCGTACGGGCTCGAAAAGGATTCGGGGCTAGACAGGGAAGAATTCTTCCTTGAAGATACATCCTGTCTCTCCTATCAATCATCTCACGGTCTTGGACCAGTCTCTCTTCATCTTCATCACCATACCAAAGTCAGCAGCTTTACATGCACGGCGAGTACCGTACCTAGTCAGCGCGATGTACACGTGGACATTCGACAATAGTACGTTGTACCTACAGCAAACTGACTTGACCGGCGGATTGCATTCCATGATCGACATGTCTTTTGTATGCGGCACCAGCTTTTCCATTTGAGTATATACCCCATAAGTAAAAATTGCCAATTGTTCCTGATAGCTCTCATTGCCCTCATAGGAACCTTACTTCACGCCTTCTCATAGTGGAAGCCGTTTGGAAATGGAAAAATTATGGTCTGAGACCCCAAAAAGCAGAAAACAAAAAAGTAAAATGCATGACTAGTGTGAGGATTGAACTCACGACCTTATCCGTAGACGTCGCAAAAAGGACCCTTGTAAAGGATACGCCCTAACCACTAGGCCAACCAGCCATTACTACATATCTCACAATATTGCTATATGGATATTTTTTTATAGTCAATTCTTTCGATGCTACGAAAACTCCGCTAACTTCTTCTATTTCAACTCGTTACTTCAATATTTTCATAGAGACAAGCTCACAACGCCACCATTCTCTCAATGTCCGACTCCTGAATGCCGAACTTTCCCAAGACCCTCGCACGCTGCGACATTGTAGCACAGCTTTCCACTTCCTCAAGAGGGACTTCACAAAAATGGATACCGAAAGGTGTTGAACCGACGAGGAGGGCGCCGGGGCCCTATACAATTACACCCGACTTGATACGGACGAATCGTACAATTACCAACGGTCTTGTCTTGTCATCCTGTCGCATTCAAGAGACGCGGCGGCTTTCTAGTCATGTTTTGCGACATCTGATTCACACACAATCTTCGCTGTCAACAAGTCTAGAAACAGAGAGTTCCGAAGATAATCTCACGACGAATATACAAAACGATGGCTTTCAATTTCATCCTCTACCAATCCGCCAGGTCAAGATCGATGCGCCTCGCATAACAAGGTACGAATCGCAAAGTATTGAGAGGATAAATCCGAAACGTCAAAAGGCCGCATTACAAGTAAGAGAGAAGAAGTTTCTCTGGGTCGACCCGAAGCTTGCGTTGAAGCAAATCAAGAACCCCATGAAACACTACACCAAGGAAGAGGCTGGCATTCCTTTCAAGGTCAAAGATTCTGTCAGACGTGCGGAGTTAGCACTGCGAAAGCAAGGGAGGTTCATCACAAAACAAGCTTTCGACCATGATATCAAAATTAGGCTGTCGACGATGTTCTCCGTCGAAGGAGTTCCCAAAGTATGGATTTCTTACTTCAACTACCTCTTTCAATGCAAACAAGACGGGAAGATGGACTCCTGGCAACCGCCACCAGTCATCGATACGGGCACCCACCAGCTATTTAATCTTTTACGGGAGAAAGGTCTGGAGAGTTTCAGAGAACAATGGGAGGTATATGGAGAGCGTGCCAAATATAGGCAATGGCCTCTTGTTGCCCTTCATATATTGAGCACTTGCCCTTCCCTGATGCCGGACTTTTTGATAGGCACAGACTGCGCACCATACCCACCATTTGCAATGGTAAGCGACTGTATGGTTTACATGCATCTGTTCCACAAAGAAGTTGATCACAATGCTCGCAAAGCCGCTATTCTTCGCTGCATGGATCCGGACAGATGGCCGGTCGTGAACCTTCCACAACGTGGCGTCAGGCTATACGCGATGACTGCGGGCAAGGAAAATGCTTATAGAGCCATGGAAATCATGCGTTCACGAGACTCGCAGGTCTCAGCTTACACCTTGCTCGCTTTCATGAATGTATGTACACAAGCTGGGGATGTCGACAAGGCGCTGGAGTGCCTCCGCGCGATTGCCTTAGTAGAGGATCGGCAGGGACTTTCAATGAATTCGGAAGGTATACTACGCCACTGTTGCAAACTTCTTGAATTGGATGAAGTCGTGGATGAAAACGGCGTACGCAATTTCAAGATCCTGCCACAAATTCTGAAGCTGGGAGTGACTCCATGTCTCGAGATGATGAATGTGGTTCTCTCGAACGCTTTCAAAACCGGAGATCCACATCTTGGTCTTGACATGTTAGACTACATGAAGGAACAGGGCATGGAATTCAGCTCCTATACATACAATATCCTACTCACCGATGCTGTGGCTCSCCMAGATCGAGATCGGGKTGATGCTCTCCTACATGAAATCAACCTACATCCAGAACTCAAAGATAATCGATTTATTGCTTCCAAGGTATTCCATTCTCATTACGTCTTTGGTGCCAAGGATGCCTACCGCTCAGATAACCCGGGCAGACATCTTATGGATATGTTGGATGTTTATTGTCGCTACTACGACCCTACACCACTCAAAGAACTTGGGATCATTCCAGAACGATTCAATACGATGGATATCCCGGCAGAAGACCAACCAAGCACAATCATCTTAGTGATCATGATAGCAACGTACCTAAGATGCAACCCGCGACATGTGGCAACGATGCGGCTTTATAAACGATTTTGCGAATTAGTCGCCCAGAGACATCCCGTTATCGCACCACTTGTCCAACATCCACAAGTATACAACGAGTTTATCATCTCTTTTCGCCCATATGGTTCGGATCTGAGGGATTGTGTCTCGATAGTGGAGGACATGATCTGTGCCGAACCTTTTGAGATCGACGACACTGTCATCCACCCAGCGAAGCCGAACGATTTTACATGGAATACTTTGATGAGTGTATTTGTCTCTCACCGCGATATGGAAGGTGTGGCTTCGGTTCGGGAAATCATGCGACAAAGCGGCATCAAATTTACCGATGTAACCTGGGCCACGATTATCAACGGAACAGTGAGAAATCAGGATAYCCCCGCCACGATAGCTGCGTTGAAAGAGATGGATGAAGGCGGATTTGCGCCTGACAGCTATACGGTCAAAGCGTTACGTCTTGCTCATGACCCGGAGCGACTCCAGGCTGCAATCGAGGCTCTTGATAAAGAGACAGAACAGCTCGTGGAGCAAGAAATGAAAGTCATAGAGCGTGAGAATGATGAATTGATGGATCGGGGGCTCAGGCGTCTAGCACTTGCTTCGAAGAAGTATTAGCTCGCTTTCATCCCTAAAACATATTACTTCTACTTTTACTGTTGCATTTACGCGGGATGTTCATCTGTGGGCTGCATTGTACAAAGACGTCAGAGGCTGCTATATTCATGTATATTATTTGGTGTGGGCGTTCCAGGTTGTAAATAGGGGGACGGGCAATGAAGCATTTTGTATGATACGCTCTTCATCTATATTATTCATAATGCATTAACACGAATATAATCAAGTACATTACTTCTCCTGATTAGTCACCGATGAATATCGAGATCTAAACAAGCACAGTTAGCTTTCGACCTTACTGGACGTGGCTAGGGTTAACTTACTGCCATGATAACGCAACATATACTAACGTAAGGACTCAACCGTTCGCCTATCCTCGCACATTTCCAAAATATTCCAATGAAACTATTGACGATAAGGCATATCCGTAAGCATCACAACGGCCAATCTTATTCGAGAATGTTGTAATTGGTACGTACCCATGTTGATTGCGATCCATGATACCGGGCATCATCGAGTGGGCATATGCACTCGTGCAAATGGTCAAGAGGAAGACGAGGAGGAGGGATTGGAAGTTGAAGAGGGCGGCCTTGCAAAGAAGAGGTTAGTGGTTTTGTTCGTCTTGAAGTGAGGGATCAGATATAAATGGCACACGACGCACCATGATTGTTGTGCGGCTCTCCGCGTTGCGTATTTGACGTTCAGAATCGAGTAAATTACTGCGCAAGATTCTGAGTACGTTTTATTGTTTGGTTCTGTCCGGTAAAAGATAGGCTGCTTCAAAGGATTGATCTGACTAGAACAGCTTGAATGATGCCAGCATCTCAACGCTAAAAGGACGGACCAAATAGACGCGCGCCAAGACTTCCGCTTCAGATGTCATAGGCTCCACTCCAGCCTGAGGCGCTTAACATCTACTTTCTTTCAATGCGATCAATCAACAACTCTGATTGTGTTCATCTCACGCCACGTCCATTGAGCTTTCGACAAATCACGGAATTTGAAGCTCTACAACATTCATATGGTTTGATTGAAGAACCCGCGAGGGTCTCCAGTTCCTGAAAGACTACTTTGCGCAATCTTCAGTGATTCGGCATTGTGCTTCGGTTCGACGCCGCTCAGTTTGACTTCACTTATCTCGAACGAGACCTCATATTGATACTGTGATCAACTGTCCTTACACTAGAGTTATCGGACACACAACACAGCGAGATGGCAGAACCCCGCGCTCGTGCCGCAAGGCACAAAGGACAGATGAACTTTGCCAGCGACTGTACGGACCCCCTCTAACCTCAACAAGAATAACACTTGCTAACCTCTCAAAAGTGCGAACCCTCCTATCCGGCTACGGAGACCGCGATGCTCATCCTTTCTGCGCTCCAGGCCCCTTACCCGAGACAGTCCGTGTCCTCGACGAAGTCGTCACCGACTTCATTCTAGAAATGTGCCACGAGGCCGCCGCGTACGCTAGCTATGCGCGGCGCCAAAAGATCAAAGTCGACGATTTCCGATTTGCGTTGCGTCGCGATCCGCACAAACTCGGGCGTGTTCAGCAACTTCTTCAGATGGATCGAGAGCTTAAAGATGCGCGGAAGATTTTTGATCATGATGATGATCAGGTTGGTACGGGGAGGAAGGTTGCTGAGGAGTTGGACGTTAGTGTTGATGGGACTGTGGCAACGGGTACAGGGAAAGGGAAGGGCTCGACTAAGGGGAAAGGGAAACGGAATGCTGGGAGACGGGGGTCGGACGCTACGGAGGAAACTGTTGCGAAGAAACGGAAAGTCGATGGTTGAGGGGTTTACTTGGTCGTTTTGAGACAGAGACGGATCTTTGTATCAACGAATTTGCATATATGGCGTTTGACCGGAACTTATGGCTGGATATCATTTGGTTCAATTCAGTTCTTCATGGATTAACGGCTAATCTTTACAAATCAATTTGACGATAATGAATGCTCAACATCACTTACCCTAATGACTAATCTTCAGAAATTTACGCCCCCTTCGTGGATTCCTTTGATGTCACTCAATCGAAGCTGGTTACAGGAAGGACGCCGAAAGTTTAATGCATCATCTAGTTTCATTTCATTTCATCGAAGAACAAGCTAGATGGTCTCTAGCTCACTATATATCTTTATAAGTATGAATGTCAACTGACTATGACATGACTGGATACTCCAAGACGCCGTGCCCTTTTTCTTGATTCTCATTTCGTCTCCTCTGCATCTCAGAGATTCTTGAAACGATTGGGAACTCTAGCAGTCGAAATGTCCAGAGCGGAGGAGACAGATAGGAAGAACCGGATGACAAAGACGGAAAAAAAGAATTACAAGAAGGTTTCCCTCTAAATAAAACAATGGTTTATGAAAGAAAAGCAGTAGTCAGACATGATCGTGATATGTGCATGGCATGGCATGTGCTTCTTTTCTTCGTAAAGATTTCTCTCTTTTTCGACTTTCCTAAGCGCGGGCTTCCTCGGTATTCCTCTCTTGGTTGCGCTGTTCGCGGCCTCCTCGACCACCCTTGCCGCCTCGCTGGTTGCGTTGGGCACCTTCGCCAGTAGTGGCACCTTCGCCTCCTCCGAGGGTGAGTTGGGCGGTAGCAAGTCTGTTGGAAAGTTCCATTTGTGTGCGGATAGTGTTGGCCAAGTAGGAAACAACAAGGACATCTTGGATGTGGTTGTTACTGTAGAATGTTAGCATGTAACCTTCATATATGCCATGGTGCAAGGACGTACAAGTCACGTTCAATATCTGCAGGCTCAACCTTAGGAGCCAATGCAAGCGCATTCAGCAAAAATTGGCCAAGCGCAGTAGATGCGGGTGCCTCCTCATCGATGACAGCCTCGACGTATTTCGATACTCGGTCGATCATTCCAATAACCTCCTCAACAGCGCGCTCCAAAGCCTCAATATCAGTGAAGATACTGGCCTGTCGGTCCTCTGCATCACGTGCGTTGGCAATCGCCTCCAAACCGTTCTTCTCGGCCTCTCCATATCGAATCTCGTGAGGAACAGGAATGAAAGCAGCGCTGTCAGCGGCGCGCTCAACGGTAACACCGACAGGAGCAGAGATATAAGCACGGGTCTCAATATCCTTTCCAGGCTCCGTCGAGACAGTAAGATGCACTGCGGGGTGTGGCCATGTTCCATCGCTCTGGCCGTAAAAATTCTGAATCAAGGCGGAAAAAGTGTTCAATTCGGAGGATGTGGCGTACCAGCCCACGAGGACTTCCTTGGGGTTCGCTTTGAGGTGGAGGGCGAGCATTTGTTTCTGGTATTCCATGTCTACTTCGACTTGGTCGGTGGTCTCTGTGTGTCCGACTGCGAAACAGCTTCGAATTTCGACTTCGGTTCCATCTTCACTTCGTGTTCCCAAGAGCGTTCCAATGACTCGGTCCTGATCGGCGTTTCGGCGCAGCGAGTGGTCGAGGATAGAGAAAATGGCCTGTATCAAGTCAATAGCCGCCCATATAAACTCCTAGCAATATGAGATACAAAGACATACCTGAGGTTGAATCACCACATTCAGAGGGGCAGTGGTTGGTGCAGACCCCACAGTCACTGGGCCCAAAGGCCGCGCGAGGTGAAGGAAGGAATCGGTCTCAGCCATATTGAAGCGTGCAAGACAAGCCTGTCTCTCGGGTGGTAGAGAAACAGACGTGGTTATCAGTTGTCTTGTAGAGAGAAGTGGTTGAAGTTTTCTTTCGGTTGTGGAGGTGGAGTGGCTCCTTTGTCCCGCCGTACTCTGGCTCTTCTCTGGTGATGGCGGTTGTTGAGGCGCCAAATTGTGTGTGCGACGCCGAACAAAATTTCACGCTAAGATAAGATAAGCCTCCCGGCCAAATCGCATAGAAAAATGTTCGACATACAAAACACCTTATAACTATCAGATTGAAAAGATTCATTTACAATGCCACCACCAAGGAAAAGAGGCAGGGGCTCTTTCAGAGGTTCTTCTAGAGGTGCTAGAGGTGCTAGAGGTGCTAGAGGTAGAGGGCATGCTCGCGGTGGACGAAATAGCTTCCAAACATCTCGAGTCGATGAGAAGAGGTAAGACTGGAAACATCCAGTTAATGGTAGATGCTAATGAACTGCCTTTGATTATAGAGAGCTAGAATCATCTGACGGTGAAGATCAATTCAACGGTTTTGAGGATGATGTTTCCAGTGCCGACGAGCCGATGCAGCATGAGGAAGTAGCCAGCGAGTCATCTTCGGAGGATGAAGAGCCTTCGACGGAACGTCCCTACAATTCCTTACTTCAACTACTCAATGCCAAATCGGAAACCACTCATGCGCGTAAGCGACGTAAACTCGACCATGTTGGAGAAAAACGGGACACTACCAGCCGCGAATTGGAAATACAAGTAACGACCGAGGAGCTTGAGGAGCTAGACGTTCTTGAAAACCAGGAAGCTTCGGATGAAGAAGATAATGTCGGAGCGGACAAAGCGGGCGAGTCGGACGACGAGGATGAAGACGAGGATGGTAGGATAGTGTCACATTTTTCAATCGTTTCTGTATGCTGACCATATACAGCGTCAGATCCATTCGAAACGCACATTTCCAGTCCGAATGGAACCGAGACAGCGAAGCGAGTAAAGGAAATCACAGCAAGCAAATGGCGTTCGATTAAATCGACTCTCCCGGAGACTTTCAGATTAATATATAGCATACCGGACGGAGAGAATGGCAGCTGGAGTATGCCTTCTGCAGTGAGAAATACTCGGAGTCTGAAGGTAATTCGTCCGTCGCAAATACTATGAATAATATTGACCACTTTCAAGCTCAAGAAGAGGCTGGTCTCAACAGCTGCGGAGCGTATACCAAGTTTCCAAGGTGTTTATCAAAATATTGCCTCTTTGGTTTTCAACTACAGCGACGTTCTCTTTGGCGACAGATCGCCCTCAAACGCAGCACAGATGCGGGATATCTTGAGTCTGCACGCCCTCAACCATGTCCTCAAGACTCGTGACCGAGTCATTAAGAATAACGCTCGCCTATCAAAAGATACAAACGAAGATATCGAACTACGTGATCAGGGCTTTACAAGGCCAAAGGTCTTGATTATCCTTCCGACAAGACAAGCATGCGTCCGATTCATAGAATCCATCAGCAAATTCTATCAGCCAGAGCAGCAGGAGAACCGAAAGAGGTTTATGGACGAGTACAACGCTGAAGATAATGAATCATGGGAAAGCAAACCTGACGATTTCCGGGACCTCTTTGGTGGCAATGACGATGACATGTTTCGGATTGGGTTGAAGTTCACAAGGAAGACGATCAAGTACTACTCGCAATTTTACAATTCGGACATTATTCTGGCGAGTCCTTTAGGATTGCGAACGATTATGGATAAAGAAGAGTATGTATATCGTCCTCTGTATGCTTTAAATAGGGGGTTAACAACTAGCAGTGAAAAGAAACGGGACTACGACTTTCTCTCGTCAATTGAAATCGCCATCGTCGATCATGCCGATGGGTTACTCATGCAGAATTGGGAACATGTCGAATACATCTTTGAGCATCTCAACCTACAACCCAAGGAAGCTCACGGATGTGACTTTAGTCGTGTCCGAACATGGTACCTAGACGACCGCGCACGATATATACGCCAAACCGTCCTATTGACATCATTCCTCACTCCCGAAATCAACTCTCTCTTCTCCCAACACATGCAAAACATTGCCGGAAAAGCCAAGGTTCTCCCACAATACAACGGCGCAATCACCGAGGTGTCTCTTCCAATCACAGTCAAACAAACATTCTCTCGTTTCGACTCCACGTTTGCACTCAAAGATCCGGATTTGCGGTTCAAGTATTTCACCACCGCGATTCTGCCGGCTCTTGCACGATCAGTGACGGGTAAAGGAGAGGGCAATGGAGCAGGCACGTTGATCTTCATCCCATCATATCTAGACTTTGTGCGTGTGCGCAATTTCTTCTCTACCTCTTCACAAGCAACCAACATATCCTTCGGCGCAGTCTCCGAGTACACAGAACAAAGCGAAATGAGCCGGTCACGCAGTCATTTCATGAGCGGACGACTCTCGGTATTGCTGTACACAGAGCGAGCGCATCATTTCCGACGATATAATATCCGGGGCGTCAAACACGTCATCTTCTACGGTCTTCCTGAGAATCCGATCTTTTTCAGGGAGATTGTGCAGTATCTGGGTCTGGATCCAGGTGCTGTTGCTGGCAGCGAGACTCTCGATGTGCGGGCAGTGTTTTCCAAGTATGATGCCTTTAAACTTGAGCGTATCGTGGGCACACAGCGTGCAGGGAACATGCTCAAGGAAAAGGGGGGAGATACTTTTCGATTTGTATAGATAGCATAGCAGCAGCGTATGTAAGTATGTAATTATGTATTGATCATACCATTTTAACCGCTTTTGTACGAATCTATGCGGGGTGTTCAGCCTATCAAACCTTAAGGGTACAATCGACCAACCACAGCCTAGAACCCCCACCAGGATGTGTGCCTTGACGCCCGTAAGATACGGGGAATCGGTACGTAGTCGATACGCAGGCAGAATGCTCGCGAGATCAGCTGCCTAAATGATACAATTCTTTCTTGTACTTCTTATCATCTCCGCTTTGAGGCCATCACTGAAATTAACACAGCGCTCTATAGATCGATTTCAGACGACATTGATAGATTGCCCGCGTTGCCGATTCGAATTTCCTCTTACGGCAGAACATTAGGGTTTCTCGCTCGGATTCGATTCTTTGCCACTCACCGACAGTTGCCGGCTTTACCGGAGGTTTCTTTTGGCTCAAGGTATATATGATTTTTGATCACTGGTCCTTTGTTTCTATTTCTCCTTGCACTTCTATAAGTACCTGCATATGTGGTTGATATGGTTATACTGACTTAAGTGATATAAAGATGGGGGACGTCAGTCGGACGAATGAGTCTGAACAGTCAGAGGTCGAACGAGAAGATCAGACGACGACCGATGAGTCAGAAGTAACACGAACAGATACCATTTCCAAACCAGATGAGCTGCAATATGAAGAGCCCGGTAGTATATATTTGAATGACCTACGCCCTACAGCTGATAGACTCTTTGGCGACAATTTGTCTTTATATGCAGGCAACGTCTCAAATGGACAAAGCTATGGTCAATCACCGACACAGCCAGGACCATCACCGACTTCCGTTCCCGAGTCGCAGCCAGCTTCCAGATGGAAACGTTCCATGGTCTACAGAGTATGGATTCAGGGAAAAGGCATGCTGATGGTGGTTCTTTCTCAATTCTTCGGGTCTTCTATGAATGTGATGACCCAACTTTTGGAGAGGGATGGTTCGCATGGAAAGGCCATGCATCCGTTTCAGGTGAGCCTTCTGTTTTCGAATGACGGAGTTAAAGACTGACTGGAATCCAGATCCTCTTCTCACGCATGATCATCACCGTCGCAGCTAGCTTCTTCTACATGTGGTACGCGCAAGTCCCGAATCCATTCGGATCTAGAGGGATCCGAGGGCTACTGATGCTCCGAGCTGCTGGTGGCTTTTTCGGCGTCTTCGGCATGTACTTTTCCCTGTTGTATATGCCACTATCAGAAGCCACGGTGCTTACATTCTTGTCACCTATTGTTGCATGTTATGCATGCTCATTTTTGATGCCCAATGAGCCGTTTACACGCAAACAGCAGCTCGCTGGAGTTATATCCCTGCTTGGCGTGGTTCTCATCGCGCAGCCATTTTCAGGAGGGAACGTCGAGAATCTTGCCAGTGAAATCGCGCCTTTGGCTGGCGATGGGAATAGCACGCTCGCGGAGATTGTCGGTGGTGAATTATCGGATAACGACATGGCGGACGGAGTTAGTGCAATACATCATCTCATAGCAGTCGGATTCGGAATCATTGGTGTCTTTGGCGCAGCATGCGCATACGTTACCATCCGTCTGATTGGGCCAAGAGCCCACCCCTTGGTCAGCGTCACCTACTTTTCTGCGTACACAACAACAGTCTCTCTCATCGCCATGATTGCGATCCCATCAGTCTCTTTCCGACTCCCAGGGAATCTGATGGAATGGGGCTTGCTTCTCGGTCTCGGGGCCACCGGTTTCACTATGCAATATCTACTTACAGCAGGACTGGCATATCAGCCACCATCTATTGGAGGCAAGCAGCCTCAGAAAGGGAACGGGACACGGGCGACATCCATGCTGTACACGCAGATGTTGTTTGCCTTGTTCTATGATGAAGTGGTCATGGACAGTTCGCCTAGTGCGATTAGTTGGGCTGGCTCGGGTTTGATTCTTGGTAGTGCGTTGTATGTCGGCGTCATTCGCGATAGCGGCAGCAATAACAATACTTGCAGAAGCGCAGGTCAGGATATTCCGCAAAGCCAAGGTGGAGAAGACGAGCCCGACACCGGACGAGTCAAGGATACTTCATCGCGAGATATACGGGATGCCGAAGAAGGTCGGGCTCTTTTGGCCGAGTCGGATGATATAGATGCCGAAGCTTCTTCTTCTTCCTCCTCTTCTTAGACATAGAATCCCTTAATGCATCCGAGTATGATGGCGACGGGCCAAAATATAAAGGAAAAGAAATCCCCACGATGAAGCAGACGCCTAAAATGGCCATGCATCGCCTATGAAGCGACAGAAGTCATCGACACCGCCGTCACCATCTCAACTTCATCCTTGCGACGGCCTGGACGATGATCGACAACGTTTAGGCCTTTCAGCAACACATCAAAGCATTAGGACTGTACAACTCGATCGAATTTTACGTTAGGTGTCGGTAATATAGATATAAAGAGGTCTTCGGATTGTTATAGATAAAGAAATTCAACATTAGACAAGTACAGCTATCTCAATCTTAAAAGAAAAGAAAGCCCCATATAAGAGCTCTAGTAATATAGAACAGTATCCAGCCTACGCTCCTAATTGTATCATGACTCGCCGCTTAAGCTCTTAGCTCTGTGAAGCATTCACTTGGATTCGCTATGAGGCACTAGATTCCCGCGTTCATCAAGGTGCCATATACCTATTTTAGTCATTCCCTAGGTTCTAACATGATCTGGAAGAACATGAACGATTCGTCGTGGCTGTATTAATAACACTCTATTGGCTAACCGCGACCCAGTACATGAATGTGTTGGCTGAGTAGGGTGCTGATGGTTCGCGGTTCTGATCAAAATTGGTTGATATTCTTCTAGGGTCACACTAAAAGAGTGATCACCGTCATCTACCTAGGTATTAGCTAACATTCGTGATGCTGCAATCCCCCATTTGGAGATTTCACCACCAACACCAAATGCCGGAGTCGCATTACTCTGCTGCTGCTGATTACTAGACTCAGACAGATAGTGCTGTTGCCTGCTCCCATAGTCCCTAATCTAATTTCGTCACGTTCGCCCTGTCAACCGTGATCGCTATGGGCCGTGTCTCCGACATTAACGAGGCAAGATGAGTGGTTCTCATATGACTAGTTGCCCCTGTAGTAGTATTGAAATTGTCAGAATTAACTAGATATTATATAGACCTCGACTCTGGTTAGAACGACCATCACTTAAAAGGTGCGTACAATCTTCTCGTTGGCGCTGTTAAGAGACAGCGCTCTGGCGGCGTTAATTCAGTCTCCCGTATTGGATCGCAGAGCTAGATATAAGATAGTAAGCATGCAAGTCAGTAATTGACTATGGTTTCACAACTCTACCCCTGAATACGTAGCTGATTACACTAGGTTCAGCTCTCACTAGAACAGAACTATTCATGTCACACGCTTTTTTTTTTTTTTTGTTTTCATCGTCTTTTATCGACTGTCCAGGGCATGCTGTGTTTAACTCGACCAAAGACTATCTTTCGCCTGGAATTAAAATGTCACCTGTTTATCCGGGCGAGACGTGTGGTAGTTGGTTATCGTCTGTCATTCAAGTCTTCAGCGACAGGTCTGAGCCATCTTCCCAGTCGACGGTTCCACCGACGACGGCCAAGAGACGGTTAGGTACTTTGCACCCCGTTGGCATCAGTGCTAGAGTGGATAGAGTCTCACCACGAGAATACGTCGAAGCCATTAAATTTTACTCTAAAGAGACCATTCAAGACACGCTGTACCCGGGAAACATCTTCGAGGATCTGGGTCTCTACCTGAAATCTGGGGTACAGAATTTCGGACCATCGAGCAACATCCAAGGGACCTTGCACACCATCCACAAACAGGGGGGACGCAGTCTTGATGTGTACTCTGATCCCCTGCGATGTGCCCTAAAGCTAGAAGAGGGTAAAAAACCCATGAACTGCCAAATTCTCTTTCTACATGGGTGCCCTTCTCCACAATGGATCAGCACAATTGGCGCTCTCTGTCGAACTGACCCTCAATACTTCAATACGCATCTACGATTTCAATGTCGGAGGGACTACTACTCAATTCCAACTTTATTATCAGATCTGGAAAATATCATAACGCTTCGATTCGTCACCCTAGGATCGAGAGAACAGAGATCTGGCAGGTGCGACCAAGCGCGAGTCGACGCATTGAGGCTGGATGGGGAGAATGACATGGACAGATATGAGCATGATCTTCTGTTAGGCAGCGGACTTGAAGCTGGAGACTCTATAGTCAGATCATTTTCGGTTCTAGATGAGAAGAATTTTGTTATTGAGCAGGAAATGTCTATATGTATCCATAAATACGGGGAAGGCTGGATAAGTACGTCTCCAGTCGGTTAGCTTTTCTACCAGTCTAATGATTTACTGCAGTATTAGTAGCTATCGACGCCGGCAGCGATCTTTCGAATGGGCCACAGGGGCCATGGATAACACCAGAAGATCGTCGTTCATCCTCACCTTGGACGATTTTCGCCCCAACTATCCGGCAAAATCCTAAGATCTGGATGAAGTCAAATCCGGCAAAATCTGCCGCTTCGACCAGATTTCAAGAAAAGTTTCCACAAAGCGCCCGATTATTAGCACAGTCTAGTGGTGAGGCTCTGGACACGCAGACAATGGTTCTTGATCCGTTCTATGCTATCACTGATCTTTTCCAGTTTTGTGCATATTCAGAGAACCAATTCATGAACTTGATGGAAGCGAAGATTAAGGATGACACAAATCACAATTCACTGAGGAGAGAGAATCCAACATTGTCAAATCTTTTATATTGTCAAGAAATTGTTCAAAAGCACTTGACCCATCTCCGGAAGACGGTGAAGATCATTGAATGCTCAGGTGGTCCCTTGTGGCCACACGTTGAGAAAATCCATCCGCACCAATACCAAAAGGCACATAGAGCCAAAGACACATTGTTGAAGGACTATGAGCAGTTGGTTGAGCGAGCAGAAGTCATCCTCGAACGCTGCTCGAAAGGAATGGATGTCATCATGAGCAATGTCATGCTGGCGGAGTCTAAAAGAGCTATACTACAAGCACAATCAGTCGCAAAGTTGACCTTGATCGCGTTCTTCTACATCCCACTATCGTTTACCTGTTCGTTTTTCAGTATGGATATTGTGAGCTTTGAGAAGACAATTGGCCAGATCTGGATTTGGTTCGCTGTGTCTGTACCCGTGCTTCTAATCTCAATCTCATTCCTTTCTTTAGATCGTCTCAAATTGGGGAGAGCTTGGTTGACAGTCAAGAGCGTCGGGCGTGGAGCCGAGAAAGTGAAGTAAAAAGTCATATATCTCATGAGTGGGAGTCAATTCTCTCTCAGACTCTTCTGACTCTCGTTCTCCTTCGGCAAACGTGACAGTTCCTGGTCGCCCTGAGGCACGGAACTGGTCTTCATTGGCTTTCACAGAGGTTAATGACTCTATATCCGAAATCTGCTGGATTATCATAAGAGACGCGGAGACACAGTCGGAACTCAATCCGCTCCCACTTCTCTTCGAATAAAGCTGTTGGAGGCTGTCGCGAAACGCAGCTACTCAGATGATAGCAATAAGTAGCAATTCAGAACTTCTCTCGCAGCAGACACTATCTGGGTAGTACAAACTCTTTAATTGGCTAGCATACCAAGACCAATCACAAGCACAATCAGAGTCAGTATCGCAAATTAGCGCTTGGACCCATGCTCGTCGTGTAACAAAGCCACCATTGACATGGAGCGCTTAATTATTTCCAGCATGGTAATGGTCGAACAGCGACTGCACGAACAGGGTTCTAGAGCTATTGCCTTCTGGTGGTTTAGAGCACTGGGGGTGGGGGAGTGTTTCGGTCCTCTTGATCAAGGCCCTCTGTCCCAATCTACGGATTGTTGAACAAACGGATCTAGCAAATACAGCACATTTCAACATCTTTCACATCGACTCTCGTCCAAAAGACCGAGAGAAGCTTTGTCGAGCTAGAGAAGCTCAATTAATCCGTACTTAGCCTTGACGGACTCAAAAGGCCAAGCGGAAATGTCAAAAGCAACAAAGTTGTCGCAAATACATTGTGGCCCTAGAGTTCGAACTTTGTAGGTTCAATGATCTGGTCGTTAGTCACAGTAAAACACTGATAAGAAAAGGTTTGTGGCAATACCAGGTGTAGGCACATCTCCCCCAGGCGAATGGAGCGATCTAAACAAAGACATCTGGCCGAAATCTATGCGGGCAGAGTCTGCTCCTGACATTGGAATTTTCTCTTTTCCAAATGAGCTTGTCACAGAAGATCAGGGTTTCTCTTGGGAAACGGTCGAGACAGCTGGCGCCGGTTTTCTTAGGGCCTTGGAAAGCTTCATAGAAGAGAATGAGGTAGGTATCTTTACGCCTCTCACTTTGTCGCTAATATTGACTCAAAAGCTGAATGACCGTCCGATATTTCTCGCCGCGCACAGCACAGGTGGCATCATTTTGAAGCGGGTAAGTGAGCAAAAATGCTGTCGGGCCGCGCAGTCTTTGGTGACTTAGTAGGCTTTGTGTATTAGCTACAACAACCCTCAACGATTTCGACCCCTTCTCCGAAACATCGCTGGGATCATTTTACTCGCATGCCCTCACTCAGTGTCAGATGATCCCGATGTGTGGTCCAATATTTCTTTGATCTTCAAAACCTTCCTGAAGTCGAAGATGAAACACGTTGTGACTCGACAGGCATCTGTTGGTCTGTCAAATGACTGTCTCACCTTCGAACGGGTAATAGGCGAGATTTCAGTCTTGAATGTATTTGAGACAGCGAAGACTCGCACTGGAGGACTTTTTGGTCATAAAGTCACGGTTCGTTGTACTTCAAAACACTGCCTTTTACCTTGCTGAATGTTAATATTACAATAGCTTGTCGATCAAGCCTTCGCCAAAATGAATAGAAAAAATGAACAGATGCTCCCATCCAAATCAGACCATGCAAATATATGCTGCATTGCGATTGGTAGCACCGAGTCTACCGCCATCATCTCTTTTGTTGAGACAGCTGCGAAGAAAGCTAATGCCGAAATTATAAGAAAGTTTCAAGAGTGTAAGTTGGTTGATTGTGTTACATGGGAATCTCTTTGCTTACATTCGCAGACGTAGGGCCCATCAGGCTTGGTGAACCTACGGTCCGCAGCAAATCAAGCTTAGGATCTCTCGAACAGGAAAAGATAACGTCGCCCGACACAAGCTCCTCGGCTCCCATACACCTCTCAGCCGTTACAGGTCTCAAAGGAACTGCAGGATCCACAATTAGTAGCATTCAACATTTACCTACTCTCACGGACTTTTCTGTTGATAAAGTTGACCCAAAGTTGCCTTGCTTTTTAATGCCCTTGAGCCGGAACCATATATTCACTGGACATGCGGAAGTTTTGGAGCAAGTCGAACGATATTTATCGCCTATGAGTGATGATTCTTCCTTCTCTGAAGAGCCGGAAATCGGTAGTCATCTACGGATGTTCGCACTTTGCGGTCCAGGGGGCATGGGAAAGTCTCAGGTCGCAGCTGAATTTGTGTATAGATCTAACGAGTCGTTACTATTTGATGCCATCATCTGGATATCTGCGGATGAGCCAGTAAAACTCGCACGGAGCTTTGATCAAGCGGCAGTTGCTCTGGGGTTGGTGGAGGCAGAATCTATAGAGTCCAGGGACCATATCTTGACCCGAGATGCTGTATTGGGATGGCTCGCAAACCCTATTAAGTCGTACAAGCAACGCGAAAACGCCCAATCCAACGAGGCGACTTGGCTATTAGTATTCGATAATGTGGAAGATCTTGAGATGCTTGACGAGCACTGGCCAGCATATGGCTCTGGTTCGATCTTGATAACAAGTCGAGACCCTCTGGTGAAGTCATACGGCTATTCTCTCAAACGTGGATTAAGTATGCCGCAACTCGATACCAGCGATGGAGAAAAGCTACTCATCAAATTAACGGATCGAAGAATGCTGAGCAGCGAAGAGCAGGCCAGTGCTACGGCGATAGCTGAAGTTCTCGGTGGTCTTCCCTTGGCCATCGTCCAAATGGCTGGCGTAATTACACGCCAAGACCTAACTTTCTCTGAGTTTCTGCTCAGGTATCAAAAGGAAAGCTCTCATGCAGAACTATTGAACCTCAAGCTTGGACCTTCGAAAGCTCGTGTAGGCTATGAACACACAATTGCCTCGGTCTGGGCGTTAGAGCACTTGGAAGAGGGCAGCCAGGCCCTGCTGCAAGCTATGTCCCTTCTTGATCCAGATAGTATTCCCGAGTACATCTTAGAAGAAAACCCAGCTGCAGGTACATGGTCCGGCTATCCATTAACGAGTGCGGAATACCAGAACGCTCGCACAGAGCTAATCCAAAGATCCCTTATTGTTCGCCAGAAGGACAAGAAGACGCTCAACATACACCGTCTTATACAAGACGCAGTGAGGGCCAGAATGACAGATGATGAGTTCAGCAAAGCAATCAGTTCCATGCTATCTTTTGTCTCAGCTGTTTGGCCATATGAGGAATTCAGCTTTGGGAATGAGATATATCGGTGGGCTCGATGTCAAGAACTCTTTCCTCACATCCTCAGACTTCAAAGCTTATTCTCCAGGTTCAAGCTGCCAACAGAGTTAACACAACATCACTTGGATGGTCCAAAACTCTTTATCGATACTGCATCGTAAGTTTCTTCTACAGCTAGAAATTTTCGTCGTTTACTTACTTATCCCAAGAAACACCAACATGTGGGGTCGCTTTGACGACACAATCCCTCTTCTCTATCTAGCAGAATCGATGTGCGATGCCTTTGGTGATGAGAATGAAGAAGATCCGTCTAAACAAAATCTAAACAAACAGCTGGTCGTACTCTACCGAACCATAATTTATGAACGTGGGGTTCGAGCTCTGCATACTAATGATCCAGAGGGAGCTTTACTGAATATGAAAAAATTCAACCAGCTTGTGCGAGATATTTATCATGACAAGCCCCCCGGTACAGACCAGACGCTAGGGGTCTCCTGGAATGAGCTCGGTAATGCTTACCTCCAGAACAACAATGGCATTGAAGCGGAAAGCTGTTTTCTCAGTTCCAAAGAGGCCTTCGAGGCCCTGGACGGCGCAACACGAATAAGTATCTCGATGCCCCTGATCAACCTTGGCTTTGCAGCTTTGGCTCAGGGTCGGGAAGGTGAGGCGGATGAGATCTTCTCTCAGGCGCTGGCGGATCGAGAGAAGGAATATGGGCGCGACGACAAGATTTCATTCGTGTAAGGACCATATTTTCAAATTTCCTTGAGTATACATGCTAATGTACAATGTATAGGACGGGTAAGCTTCTTCTAGGCTATGGTAATGTAAAACTAGCGCAAGGACAACTTGACGAGAGCTTTCTGCTACATCAACGCTGCCTTCAGTAGTACAAATCGACGGTGGGAAGTAATCATCACCGTACTGCTGACGGCTGCGTGAAAGTAGCTTCTCATTATGTGCGGCTTGAAATCTTCGAGTCAGCCTTGTAAGCAACCCCCCAATTGACCGACAAAAAATCCTAACGACGAGCAGAGCATTACTCGATCAGGCCATCAAGATATACTCCGCGGGCGATCGTCCGTACTTCATCACGGAGCACACGCGCGCGCGCCGAAATCGTGGGATGTTACTCGAACGCCTTGGAAAACTGACCGAAGCGAAAGAAGATTTGGATATGGCAAGGGAGTTATGGAGAAAGATGTGTCCGGATGACCTGAGGAGGTTTGAGGATTTAAACGACAAAGATTTTGATCAACGTATCATATTTTGGTCAAGGTGATGATGGCCATAGCATAAAAACTGAGGTGCAGGGAGTAAAAGACAACATTCTTAATTCTTTGTATGATGCTTTTCGAATGTGAATGATCTCCTCTATACAATATCTTTAGACCTAAAATGTACCTTTAAGTGCCAGAACTACCAGAAATGGTCGTTCTAGGACCTCTATTCGCGTAGCGATGGCACCGCTTAGGCATTACTCACTTTACCTAACAGCAGCTTACAAACCCCCTCTCCCCTCCCTTCTCTTGAGAATACACATTAACGGCTTTTTCTCCCACAACAGGAAAGACCGCTGTTGTTCCCACCCCCTACTTTCGGCACAAAGCTCCAGGTCAAAATTCCACAGAATGCGCGCCAGAATCATCCGCGTCTCCGCGTTCGCCAGGTTCCGCCCGATGCAGTTGCGCGGGCCAACAGAGAACGGCTGTAGTACGTCCCAGTTGTCGGTGTAGAAGGGCGACGAGGGGTCTTTCTTTGCGGGTGAGAGCCAGCGTTCGGGGAGAAACTCATCGGGGCGGTGGAAGTTGAGAGGGGAACGGTAGGCCGCGGATTGGTGGACAGATACTTTGGTCTATTTCATAAAAGCATTTGTGAGTCTGGTCTGCTTGATAACCGTGAGCGTTGCGGAGAAGGATGGGGGCATACTCCAGGTGGGATCATGTATCCTGAGATTTCAACCGGGTCAGGGGGAAGCGTTATGCGTTCGAGGCCCCCAGGTGCAGGGGGGTATACTCGGAGGGCCTCGTTAAGGCAGGCGAGCATGTAGGGAAGGTGAAGGGTAGACTGGAATGTGATATTTGATTCGGAAGTCATAGATGAGCGGACTTCGTGGGTAACCTTGCGGAGGGCATCGGGCGTCCGCAGCAGCCAGTATGTGACCCCGGAGAGTAGCGTTGCGGTCGTTTCGCTGCCGGCAATAATTAGAATATTGGCATTGGCTTCCATCTCCTTATCGGTGAGTTCCTTCTCCTTGTCGCCGCGGTGGCGCAACATGCTGTCAATAAAGTCACCGGGGCGATGGATGGCGCTCTGGAGGCGCTTCTGGACCACCAGGCTGCTGTATTCGATCTGTCTTTTGCGGGCCTCCATAAGAGACTTCGAGCCCAGGAAGGGTGATAACACGCGAAAAACGAGCGGGTACGCGTCATGCAGCTTGACAAAGGCCATGCCCTGGACGGCCTGGAAGACTGTCGTCACCCAGAAGTGGTATTCGGACAAGTCCAGACCTCTGAAGGGTTCTCCAAAGGCTAGGTCCCCAATGATGTCGAATGTGGTCAGGTTGTACCATTTCACCATGTTAGCCTTAGGGTTAGGCGATGCAGCAATCTCACCCAACCGCTGAATCAGCTTGTCCATATAGCTGCGGAGGATCAGTTCCTGTGCCTGCAGGCCCTTGTCGGAGAAGGCATGCGCCAAGGCCGAGCGGAAGCGGCGGTGGTCTGCATTGTTGGCGCTGATGATGTCAGATGGATTACTTGTTGAGTGAAGTACTTTGGGAAGCTGCCGGTCGCCGTGGCCATGGGCGTATATGTCCTTCCATGCTTGAGAGGTGATGAAGGAGACTTCGTCTGGACCAAAGCGGACGACCTCCCCATACTTTCTGTGAAATGCTCTCAGGTCAACATCCAGCCGTCCTCTGACCAGAGAGATATAGCGAAAGACGGGAAAGGCGATCCATAGCTTGGGTCCGGAAAACCCAGCTAGTGGATGAAAGAGTAGGACCCAACTAATCGAAAGGAAAAGCCAGAGAAGAGAGCATGCTGCCGAAATGGCAGCGGTGTAGAACATAGCGACGGACGCTTCTTGTTTCTGTCCTACGTGCGCAAAACACGAGTTATCAAGACGGAGTACGGGTTGAACAGAGTGAGGATCACGCAAATAATGCTTGTTATACCCAAGGAACTTTCTACTGGGTCCTCTGTGAAAGGCTATTTTACCTCTGTTAGAAAGGCGGTTCCGATCGGCTCCGCCGTGCTGGCTCCACTGGGATCGAGGAGAATGTACCAATTAAGTGCTAAAATCGGACGTCCAACACTCAGAGAGAATATCCCCGTACCGGGACATGATCGACTGTAAAACCGCAGCGGCCGCCTCGGACCCGCCGGCGGTCACAGTCAGGGAGCTGAGACCTTTCATGATAATGTCGATTTGCCGTTGCCGGACAGGATCCATGCCGAGTGAGTTTGTTGCACAAGATTCCAATTCCAAATTCTCCGCGTGAATCAACCTCTCGATGGTCTTTTGAAAGACTGTTGCCGTCAAGCTCGGAGTAATGTGGTAGGCAAGGATGGGAACCTCGGCGTCGAGACCGTTTTCAAGGTTGAAGATCTGCTCAGTTGGTAATGAGAGTACACGCTCTACGGTGTTGGCAACAGAAGAAACCACTTCCGCTCGGTGCGCATGCATGTTTATTATGGGGAGGTCATGAACAGGATCATTCTCCCTCGTGCAAGAATCCAACGACTCGTCCAGAATCAGGACGCTCAACTCCCAAAATAAGGCAATTGAAACTAATAAGAGTTCATTAGTAGATCGAAGCTTTCGCAACTTCCAAGACTTACCAGAGGATACTCTGGAGTGAATAGAAAGGCACTCCAGGTTGTCAATGCAGTGGTTGATAAAAGGGCGAAACAGCTGGTTGAACTTGCTGACCGCCGCCACGGTCGAGGCGATAGTCTCAAGGCAAGCAGAATGGAGACCTCTATGTAAGGAATTCTTGACTTCGACGATCTGTCTCCAGAGAGAAAAGGCTTCAGCAACTGCTTTTTGGCATATGCTTGGGATTCTGGCATCCAGGTCAGAAGGGAAATTTTGAGGCTTTAGGCAGTCAAAATCAGACTCCATGGTGAAGAGCTCTGTTTAGTCTCAGCTTCACAGCTCGGTCTCTTGGTTGAGCGGAGCCAACTTACCTTTACCATGACACGAAACCGGCGGCAGTGTGCATTGACGGTATGTTGTGAGCGACGCCCCGATATCACGGATGTATCCCCCCCAACGCACCAGGGTCATGCTGGTTTCCAATAGCATACCATACGTGGAGTGTACTCCTAATGTAGTGCAGTATTTTTTCACAAGCGCATCCAGCAACCTTAGCGTTTGGAGACCGATGTCCAAAAACTCGTGCGGTGACCCGGCCGAAGCTTCGGTCGGCGTGGCAATACCTTCGAAAAGCAAAATAGCATACACTATCCTGAACGACCGGACAGACTGTACATCTCTGAGGAATTCTCGCGCCTCAAACCAAGAATCGTAGAACGCATTTCTAGATGCGTCACGTATAGAATTAGGGCCCGGCATACCTTCGGACGTAGAGAGCCACTGGAGCGAAAAGGTGCGAAGGACAGCTTTCAGCGCAGCATCAGACTGCTTTCGTGCGGCTGGGCTCAGTTGGTTGCCGTAGAGCCCACCAAAATGATCAAGAAACCGAACGGCGCCTATTGCTGTTAATGTGCAGGCTACACCCGTCGGTGCCACTCCCAGATCCGGTTGGGGGGAGCGATCCTGCGTGCTTGCTCCATCCCAACCTTCAATTCGGTAGCGCGATGCTGTTGCGAACAGATTACAGTTGTAATCCGCAAACCGCGAGGCACACCCTGTGATAATGACATTGTGGATCCTCACTAGCCGGTCATCCAAAATCGTTGCGTCTAATTTGGAATTGAGCAGCCGAATGGGGCTACTCGGTGAACTGCCAGGGAGAATTGGCGTAATTGAGCGCCCTCTGTTGAGCGGCCTGTTGTAGAGTGACAATTGGGCCTCGCTTAGCGCCTGGGCTGGAGGGACAGTATCCGACATAAAGAGATCTATTAGATCTAAGCCCACGTTATCATGGGAGTTTACCTCATTACTATGGCCCTCGTCAAAAGTAACCCACGGGACCAGGGTATCTGGGAACGTCAGGGGGCCAGCCTCAATCTGGCTCTTGGAACCGATGGAGAGTCCATCGTCTGCGATTTCCGGCAAGGCATTCCTGTTAATCGACAGGTGAGAATGGGATTGGCTCCGCCTCAGCCGCTCTCTCATGGCTCGCCGGGATTTGGCAAACTCAAAGGTACATGCATGGCCCAGTCGCCGGCAATTGGTGCACATATCTCCCTCGCTGGGACCCGAGAAAAAGCAGCGTCGCTTAGAGCGACGGCAGGAGTCACAGCTGGAGTATTGGCGGCGTTGCGACATTGTATCACCAATCCTGATCACTGACAGAGAGTGCAGACATCTCCGACCCTGACTGATGAGGTTGAATTAAGAGAAAGATCATCCTGACGAACGTCCCGTTGATAATGATCACCTGATTATGGGACCCACCACCCCATGGACAGAACTACGTATCCGAAGGGGTTTCAAGATGTTTGAATAACGACCTAAACAAAATTATTGAGGTTGCTCAAGCATTTGTAAAATATAGCTGTTGCATCTACTTTTTTTTTTAAGTAGGCTCATATAGCAGGATTAGGAGGTAGAGGAGCATTATGGCAACAAGGAGTTGCAACTCTCTCGGCCAGCCATTCCTAAGCCCTCCTCTGGTACTTTGCCCTAAACTCAACTTCACTTTGATCGTTGAAACCAAACAATATCAGAGGACGACGATTCGCGTGTCCAAGGAAGCCCCACAATTGAGCTCATATTGACACTTCAGAAAGTGGGCTTTGGCAGGTGAAATATCCATGGATTCAGGGTCTGTCGGTTCCGATGAGCTCGGCTCCGCAGATCACCTTGTGGCTTTAATTCGGTCATCTATTCCCTCCCTTTCAACATCACAAGAACTTGACTGCACTCTGCACCGGTTCAGGAGAAGCCTCGAGAGAAATAAAACGCCAGATCTTCGTTTCCATTAAAATCCAGTCACACGGTGCAATGTCCAATTCCCCGACGCTCGTGTTTATACCCGGCGCCTGGCATAGACCTACGTGCTACGACAAGGTCATCCAACTCCTCCAAGCGCAGCATGGATTGAAATGTATCTCGATAACCCTCCCTTCAACAACAGGAAGCCCAACAGCAACCTTTAAAGACGACATCGATGCTGCCCGCAAAGCCGTATCCCAAGAAACAAACCACGGGCATAATGTAGTTGTCATTGCGCACTCCTATGGTGGTATGGTCGGCAACAGCGCCATCAGAGGATTCACGCAGCCACCAGGCACAATTTCAAGCCAACGATCACAGACTACGGGTTATGTTATCGGCCTCATTCTTATAGCCTCTGGCTTCACCCTGACGGGCCTCTCCTTTATGGATCCACTCTTCGGCCATCCACTGCCTTTCTTCAGGATTGATAATGTAACTGGCTATGCAGAGCTTGTTACATCTCCCCGGGAACTCTTTTATCATGATGTGCCAGCAGAAGAGGCGGAATTCTGGGTTTCGCAGCTGACGGGCCAAAGTCTCAAGTCATTGTTCGAGGGCGGTGAACACGCGTATGCTGGTTGGAAGGACTTGCCTACCTGGTATATTGGAACCATCGAAGACCGGGGTCTACCTGTGTTGGTGCAGCGAATACAGGTGGGTATGGCAAGAGAGATGGGTGGTAGTGTCGAACACAGAGAGCTACAGACAAGCCATTCACCATTCTTAAGCCAACCGGAGGAGACGGTGGATATTGTTCTGGAGGCTATCCGGGCGTTTACCTGGGAGTTGGGGGAAAACCAATCCTTAACTAGTGGGCGTAGCGGTGCGGTGGCAGTGCCGAAGACCACAGTCTGGCAACCTTCCACGTGGGTTAGATACGGACTACCGTTAACTTTCGGTCATGTAATAGGAAGGTGTCTCCTCTTATTTAGCTGGGTCAGGAGGCTATTACGGAGGTAGTGACCTTTCCAGATAAGAGATCTATCTTCGACATCAACTCGACCCAAGCTTGACTTTTGGAATAAGAAGCACCACCAACCGATGGTGCCTTATATCCGTGTTAAATACAGAACCTATGAGCGCCTTTTTCCTATACCAAGCTGGACAGAAGTCTTTCTAGTAAGAGATGCTAATGCCCTGAAGTGTTGGTTTATTGTAAACTAATCAGAGTTACTTTTTAAAAATTTCAGCAAAGTTTCTACTCTTCTATATTTAGTCCACTTTAACCCTTGTCTAATGCTAAGTTTTCCTGCTCACAAGCAGGTGGCCTAACTATCTGATGATGGCTTCATCCGTCCACCAGAGCTTTATCTCCAGTCCTATCCGATGCTTTGATTAGGGCCAGGGCAGATCTCTTCCAAAACAGAATCGAGGTCCCGAATCTTGACAGTCCGCCGTATCCCTAATCCGCCAGGAGTTTTACGCGTTTTCGTAAATTCTTAGACCAATAAATATATAGTTCTCCGTATCCTATCATGGTGATAGATGATAGTAGGGATAAATTGTGTAAACCTTCATATCCGAGTTAAAATCCGTGTTGTTGCTGACTTGCTTGCCACTGGTATGACCGTCACTTGATTGTAGAACGGAGCCGAAGTGGCTTGTATATGCGGGAACGGAGCAGATTTACCTACTATGAAGTACCTAATGTGAAGCTGGCCCATATTTGATTTGGCCGTTCGACCTACGCTGGGCGCTTAATTATCATTAGCGATGTGGACGTGGCCCGATTTCCTGTTGCGGCGACACCTAAAGGTAAATTAGAGGATTTCATACTACATAGTAGATATTAAGTAGTGACCCCGGGAGTAGTGAACTAGAAGAACTCTATTGATACCCAGCTTGCTAGGTTCTGGCATAGACCATTCTAAGTCCGACAAAAGTCTGGAAAGACAGTTCCTTAGATAGGAATATAGTAAGAATTTACTAACATGCTACATTATAGAGACTTCTAACTCTCTTTGCTATAGCTGCACCAGAGCCTGCTGCAAATAAAGAGGGGCGGTAGTTCACCATACCAAGAAAATCCCTAGAGTCTTGTAATATGAGGTTTAGAAATAAATATTATTGCTCCAATATGATTTACGATTGCTACTATGAATGAATGCCATGATTGTATATACCATTTCCTGCTGTATTCGTTACTCCATAGGCACATGAACTCCATAATCTCCATACTGCTCGGTTCGGCTGACGATCATCAATATTGCGGAGTATGGGTACATGTAAATAGATGCGGGGTTGACGACACATCCTATATCTGCTTTCAAGATCCTGAGCCTGATCATCAGATTTAGAAGGACCCTGGAGGGAATGTTGGTGTACATGGACTTTCAGAGTGTGTGAACGGTGGATCTCATCTCAGGCTAGGGTTAACGATATGTGTGGCATGCAACACCGCGGAGGACAGTCCTGCGAGAACATATGAAACAACACGCAAATACGTAGTAAATTAGATCGCCGTGCCAGTCTGCATTGCATAAAGCCACTTCCGTTCAAGTACATAAGTTGTCTGAGCACGATGCACGCTGAAAAAGAAACGAGAAATCGCGCAATACTTTTAGTACTAGTTAAGTAGTACTCGGGAAGGAGTGCTTCTCATGTGCGATGTCGTCGATACGGTCTTGCCCTGCAAATCCCTAAGATGAGATGACCCACCAAGCTGATGGACATTCTCTAGCGCTGGATGAAGGTTGCAGATGAGGATGGAGAATATGGAGATGATCTGGAGCAGAGTACTCCGGATATTAAAGTTGTCGGTTTCGAGATGTTTGTTCGTTCGAAGGTTCGAACGACTGATGGATGAGATGAGCTATCACGGAGTACTCGAGGTTCTACACAGACTCATGACAGAGAAGAACAGATCAGAGAAGGCACAGTATTGTATTCCTTCGAAAGCCTCCCTCTGGTAAAGAGTCTTACTTGAATATGCTTACCGAAACATCCCGACACTGTGTCGCGACTCAGCCAATCACCGCCTCCAAAAGCGGAAATCAATTCCCCTGGCGGTCTGCGCCAATGATATCATCTTTTCTGCTGCTTGCATTTTAATATTTTTATTGATCCTCTGAGTCTTTTGATTGTATATAAGGGATTGGATCCCCGGTGCGATTTCTCGTTTTTAGTTTGCTGATCTTGTCAAGTGAGGCAGCTATTGTTGTGATATCTCGTTCTGTACTTCTATTAGGGCTACTGGTTGATCTAACTAGCGGTTCTATACTTCGAGTTGATCTCCTCTACCACTATATCTACCATATTGAATACAAAATGAGACACTTTGACGCCTGGATCCTCCGCGATCCCTACTCCATATGGCACTACTATTCCACCGGTCGACGCTGGCAAGAATCAGTCCGCGACATGATTCACTCCCGGCAAATCTGCGCTCCCCTGGTTGACAGCAGCAACTCTGCCCCAGTCGACCCTCTAGCATGCAGCATCTCCTCTCAATCAAACTGCCCCTTACTTCAAAGACTGCCGCCCGAGATCCGTCTCATGATTTACGGATACGTCTTTGGCGACGAAGCGGTGCATTTGGTGCAACTCAAGGGCAAGATCCGTCACGTGCGCTGTTTTCAGCACAAATCCGCCTCTGATATCCCGAGTCATCGACAGTGCTGCCCTGAGACGATGGCTCGATGGCGTTCTTCCTCTTTTGCTGCTGCTGCTGGCAATAGAAGCGATAGCCATCTCTACCCCCACACCCACAAATCCCTACCAGACAAACTCTCAAATTCATCTCTGTCATTGCTTCGAACATGTCGCGCAATCTACCTCGAAGCAGCAGATATACCCTATCAAACCCTCTCCTTTGACGTAGACGATCTCCACACCTTTATCGCCTTTTCCCTGACAATCTCTTCTGAGCATCTGGCGCGCATAAAACGGTTGACTGTGCAATGGACACCCATCTGGCAGCCCATGACCGGCGACTCATCCTCTTATTCTCAGACTGGAAGCAACAAATCCTCAATATACTCGCATACCCACAACGACCATCTATGGAAAATCTTCTGGACCCGTGTTCAGGCACTCGAGGGTCTGCAGGGGCTGCATCTCAATCTTGATCTGGGTCGGTTTATGGGGAATGCCATGAACACCGTCCCGGGTGCACCGGGTAGTGTGTTGCAGGGAGGCGCAAACAGTACGAAAATCAGCCTGGATGTCGCTGAGCCATGGCTTCAGCCGCTAATGGCTGTGCGAGGATTGAAGGAGTTTGATCTATGTGTTTCTGCGCGCTGTGATGCGTCGGCTCGGAACTCGTTGGTGGAACAGATTGGCGCTGAGGCGGTGGTGTTGAGAGATTGTCTCAGGGAGGTTATGTGTTTACCGAGAGAGCCATCGACGACAACTGGGTGTACCGTGCCGGTGTCGTTTCTGAAGGATATTTCTGCGTCGTGTGGGATGGACGAATATCTTTTGGAGGGGAATGTGCAGAGGCCGCAGTTGATGATTACGGCTGCGTAGACGAGAGGTCGTTCCACTTTTGATAATATTGTACTGATTTATAGATACCCTTTTGTTACTTTTCATTTAGACTAGTCTACGAGTGAATATGCATATAGACCGAAAGATTCCGACCTACATCAATGGCTCCTGGCAGAATCATTAAAAAAAGATGTAGTTGAGACTTCATTCATGTCAATCTATAACTCAGCACGCAACAGCAACGATCTATGCAAGAATCCGAACACGCCTCAATGCCCAAGAATTAACCCGTGTCTCCCATGTTTCTTCGAGACACTCTCAACCCACTCATTTTGTGTCCACAAAACAGAATATTGTGACAAGAATTCAGTAGATAGAAGACTAAAAAAGTAAACATGATGAATGCAATATCGATTATTAATACCGTCAACGAAGTTCAAATGGCTGACCTTTGCACGAAGGCATCATAGAGTGTCGCCGCGCAAAAGGCTCGGTCGACGTCGTTCATCGCCGCTTTCGAGATATGAAGGTGCGTCCCTATCGTCGTCGCTCGCGACGGGCGATGTCGGTCCGCTCAGATATGGTGTTCGTGTTCGGGACATCTATTCCAAATCAGTTGACGTTTTCAATAGAAGAAAAGGGGGTGGACAAACCCAAGCTCTAACACCACCAATCAATCCCAAACTATACCCCGTCGCAAAATCCTCATTTCGACCTGCAGGCCCCGGACTCTCAGGACGACCGGTAGGACTCTCCAACCCGCGCGACAAATGTGTCTTAGAGATACTGAAACTCGAACGAGGGCTGTGCATGTCCAAACCGTTCTTAATACTGCCGCGCGAGGGGCTGTTGGAGCGACTGTTGCCCCAGAACTGACGGAATTCCTTGCTCAATTCTTGACCGGTCATGTTCCAGTTGTTGCGGATACTTTCACGCAGCTCGACGACGTGGCGTTTGATTTCGAGTTCGTTCTTTTTGAGCCAGGAGACGTTGAGTTCTTGTCGGGATGCACCTCGCTTGAACTGGCGGGCTATGTATTTGTCGTAGTCCCGGACAATCCTGACCAATTAGTTTCAGACTTTCCTCTTCCGTACCTTGAATGACTTACTTTGTGATGATCCCAGTGGTACTAACACCCTCCGTCCGTTGCGTAACCAAGAACTTGCCCTGTTCCTTGATAGGTGCATAAATATCATCTCCCTCATCCGCCTGATACGGCAAGTCGTCGTGCGCAACATAATCAATGCGGTGTTCCTCCAAAAACTCCGGCGTCACGATCCATGGACAATTGGGGATGACCTCGTCGACCCATTTGCAGTGTCGGAGGGTCTCTGCTCGCTCCGCTCCAGACAGTACGGTCAGACCTTTGCGTTTGTGGGTTTCTTCGTCGCCGGTTACACCGACAATGAGGTAGACTTCTGGGAAGGCTTTTTTAGCTTGTTCGAGTTGTCGCATGTGCCTACATATGTTAGTTTCTTTGTTTCTTCGTTAAGAGGAATTGGCCTACCCCAAGTGAAATAAGTCGAATACACCATCGGCATATACTCGGACAGCCCGACCGGTCGGAGGGGGATTCGTGTGATAGCCCACTGGATCTTGAAGCCCCGCGCGAAGCGGAGGTTGCAAGAATTCGTCCTTGTCCACATCGCCATTGGCAGCAATTGATTTCCGCTTTGATTTCGTCTCGATATCGGCACTTGCTTCTGTCGTTTCGGATGGCTCGCCGGGGTCTTCATTGTTCACCGCGGCGGAGTCGCCGTTGCTTGTTGTGTGTTGTGCGTCGGCAGCGGTAGCACCAGAGCGGGTTCTGGCGCGCTTTGACGGGTGGGCATGGTTGGGATCAATTGAGAGTGATGGATTTTTTTTGTGTCGTGACAGTGGTCGCTCGTCGGTCGGTGCAGTTGAGTCGTCGCCTTCTTCGCCGGATGCGTCGCGAGACGATGGTTGTAGGAGTTCGGCGGGCTTGAGAGTATTTGGGATTGTGTTATTGTGAGCGGTCGAAGCACTCCGCTTGCGCTTTCCGGCACTCGAGGAAGGCGAAGACATGATTCTTCAGTTGTGGTTGTGGCGTTTGTTGATGACACTGGAGTGACTGGAAAATGGAGGCTGAGAGCAAGTGTTGTTGTAGTTGGGTTGAGGCTGACGTCGATGGCAGCAAAACCGGGAAAAGCGCGAATTAAGTGCGAATTAAATAAACGTTCGAGATGGAGGACGTCACTCCCCACATGAGCAACTGGCACAATTACTCCAGATTAACAATAGAAGATGAACAGATGAAGAAACAGAAATCAGCAATTGAATGGAATCAAGAAAGATAAAACTGTCGTCAGGTCAGAAATTAACGTTGGAATTATGGGGAACAATATTAGGGGGCTCTTTCGTGTCGCGTCTCTTCGCTGTGCATCCCGTCCAGTTCCGCCCGCACGTGTTTGGCTTTACATCGTTCTTCTACATAGAAACATAACTCTGCTTTTGAAATTTTGAGCAAGTGTTCATGTGTTTGATCAGTATGTCCTTCGTGGTTTATACATCGGTCTTGCTTTGGGATTGCTTCTTTGCGGTTGGCGGATCCGAACTTAATCATTACCCAGCGAGATTGCTTTGGATGTCTACAGCCTCTTGACCGATTTCCAGTCAATGCAAAATGAAGACTTACTCACTCTTGAGTCAAGTCGGAATGATGGTGTTCACTATGTTTACTATATCTACTCTTCCATGAAGATAATGTTGTGGCGCTAGCCTATTTACAGTATAGAGCCTCTCAACCCCTACACTAACCCATAAATGGAAATATTTGAGCATCTACTTCTTCTCTTTTGCAGTCGATAAATTTGACAAGACTCGTTGATATAGTTAATTTACTTCTTTTCATTGTCCTTGATTGCTGTATATCAATGCTAGGTTAGCTATACTGGTCAGTATGTCATTGTCGGCATGTTTTATACTAAGCTCCCTTTTTCTTGTCTCTTATATAATATCTCCCACAGACTTGGAAACCATTTTGTCACGTTGTATATAACATCAAGTTCAGGACGACTTCTAAGCCAGATACTTTTTATCCGCCTTGAGCGTCTCTACCTAGAAGATCTCTATAACCGCTGCTCAGAGGAAGGCAGCCGCGCCATCACAGCAGAACGAGATTCTTTGCTAGATGTTTTGACTTGCCGGCAAACACCAACACCATCTAGTAATAGAGCAGCAGCAGTTTGAGCGGTAGAATTGTCATCAATAAGACTTTAGCCCTGCAAGTATCCGCCAAGTGGAAGCGCTCACACGATCGCAATCACCAGCCCGAGTGCCATATGCTGTAAATTGGCCCATGGAGCCATTGTTCCGGGAGGCGCATCGTCAAGATTCATATCACTGAGCGCGATCTCAAATATCGAATGGAGTCCGACTCCAAGGACGACCAGATCTGCAAGGCCGACGGCGCACGTTGCTGGGCGCTTAAACTTGTGCTTGGGATCAGCCAAAGGGATAGATTCGAAAAGGTGGACAAAGGCTGCAATAACACTCTGATTTTCCTTCTATCAGCGCTTTTGAATATTCCAAGATGGGGGAGGTCTAAAACCGCAGCAATAGCACCGCCAAAGGTCTTTCCTTGATGGTTGTTGGCATAACTGTACTTGCTTGCCAACTTGGCAAGAATACCCAGTTCAGCGACGGCTGTGCCAAAAGCTCCTATCCGCAACATCAGTTGAACGAGTGCGAAGAAGTGCGGAACACGTGGGCGTGCCTTAGAAGACATCCTCAACCACTGCCATTTGCATGTAGAAAGTTGTTGCTGTTGACTAGATTCTCAGGCAATATAATCTTGGGGGCAGGCTTACATGGTATGGTATGAGCACATTCACCGTTGAAGGGTGGGGAAATCCCTGAACCCTGTCCATAAACCCCGGAGTGTTTTAATTGTCATATAACCCGCCCAATAGCCATCTTCCGTGTATAGGCTTAACCAACAATTTAAATGGTCTCGAAGTTAGTACATGCTATTGGGCCAGAATCACCTCCGTTATCTCAGCTGGCTATTGATGAAGGCGAGCGGCAAGCCTAATCTACTAGGTATTAAATCAGCTAAATAGTCAAGGAATGTATGTAATTTCTTAAGATTGGGAGAAAATTATATAGCCTGAAACGGTTAATTGGGCTGTACCGCAGGGCACAGTGTATGTAATGTACAGGACGATCAATAGATCTAGATGTGGGTTTGGATCACAAAACACTTGAAGTAGCGATTTGCTAAGTAAACGTATGGAACAAGATACTGAGAAAATTCAAAACGACCAAGTCTGATTGTACGATACATGGATGACGAGTTTTTGCACCAACGAAATCCGAAAATGATGACGGAATGAAAGACTCGGAGGGGAACTAGATACGAATGGTCTTTGATCAGTGGTTGAAGGATACGGCAGCAGAAACATCCAAACTCTCCGCTGAAGTGGATCAGCAAGAGGGTAAAAACAGGGCAGTTGGAGGCTGGTATCATATACGGGCAGTAGAAAGTCAGTCATGACATGGAGATTGTTACGTGACATTGACCAATTCTCGACTGGAAAAAGTCCAAGACTGTATTTTTGCTGTAATGATGGAGAAACCAGACCATACAATATTCGGGATAGAAATCTAGAAATGTCAGTAGAAAAGCAATACGATCCCAACACCAAACAAAGACTCAAACTTTGAAGCTTATTAGAAAGTTACCCTGTTACGCCGTAATGTATACAGAAGGAAAGAAAGAAAAAACTCCTTGTTTGAGAACCCTAACCGTCTGCTGTTCTTTCTTCCTCCGACTTTGTGTTGCTGCCATCCCTTTTCCAGCACATACCAAGACATGAAGATGGGGAAAAGCGGAATATCAATACTGGCCAGAGATTTCTCCACTTAGCCCTCGTCTGTTTCTCTCTCTCCTTCGAAGGCGCGAACCATTGTGATCATATGGTAGATAACAAATGCTCAACAGGATATAGAATCGCACGATAAGGACAGAGTAAAAGAACACGACAAAAGAGGACAATCGTAGCATGGCGCTCTCTGGGAGATAGTATGGGACGGAGAAATGAATTGGAAAATTTAAGCTGAATAGAGGATGGGGGCGACGGAAAGGTAAATCGGTAGGAAGGTCGGAAAATTTATGGTATTCCGGCGTTCGTTATCATCATCATTGTCTCGGCATTCGTAGCAGTAAATAGTAATCAAAGTAGAACCTCTCTATATACCGGACGTATGCTAAGAATCACTCGGTTTGCTGGTAGCTTGGCTTTCTTCAGTCTTTTCCGGCGAGGTATCCGCGTTGATGGCTGCTGGTGAGGCAGAAACTTGTTGCCCAGTCTCGGAACTCTGAATAGCGTTTCTGAGGGTAAGCTCGGGTCCAGGAGTATCTTCACGAAAGCTTCGGCCGGTGTCATGCCCGGCATTAGCAGTGCTAGCCCGTACCTGATTCTGATCACCCTTGTCCTCTTCTGTAGCGTCAAACAATTCTTCATCGTCTTGATCCGCGTGCACCTCAGTTCCGTCTCCAAGTAATATAATGCGTCCCGATTTGACACCAAATCCCCGTCGGGTATTATCTGTGTCTAGGTCGTAGTCGTCAGGACTATCGTCAAATTGGTGGCGAGCACCGGGACGGACACCGGGACCGCGGAATTCAGCTGTAACTCTGGAGTTAGCAGCTTGTTGGGTCGCTGGACTTGTCATCAAACTTGCCATATTCGGGAGGAGCAACAGGTCCGTCGCCTTTGGCAACCCTCTCTGCGATAGTGTTATACCATTCTTCTTTCGTCTTCCCATGAAGAAGGCCGACGATGATCATGGTCATGTTGTCGCAGCCGACGCCTCCGGTCTCACTGTTGGAAGATAGGCAGTTGTCCATCATGTTTTCGCAGATACGGTAAAGATCTTGCTTGGCCGCAATTCCTCGTCGGACAAACTCTACCACTGCCTGAGAAGACTGACAATCCCAGATACCTATGGAAGTCAGTACAGCGGGCAAAAAGTGAGCCTTGGGTCTACGAACCATCACACGCAATCACCAAAAACTCATCGTCTTCCGTAATTTCATGCGTTGTGACATCGGGGTATGCGGTGACTATCTGCTGTTCAGGGGACAGCTCGGCGCTCTTCTTGAATTCGAAATCGCCGATAGCTCGCGAGAGAGCAAGGTTGCCATTGACACGTCCGAAGTCGACGAAGCCTCCCGCAGCACTGATACGGGCTTTTTCGCCTGAGAATTGGATAATTTTTAGCCACAAAATTGAATGCAATTCAGGGATGCAATATATTCACCTTCATTCTGGGGCTTGTGATCAAAAGACAGAGGCTTTGCTCGTCCCTTGACACCCAACACAGTTCGAGAATCGCCAGCGTTCGCCTGCGCAATAATCAGTCCCTGCTCACATCGTGATCATGATCAAATAGTAACTCACCACCCAGATCTTATCGCGGGAAATCACTCCGACCGATGCCGTACATCCCGAAACTTCCTCTTCGTATCTAGGATCTACAAATTTCAATAAGCATTTGGGCAATGTGCAGTATCAATTGCGGTCCACGAACCATCAAGAATAGCGCGATCGGTGGCTAGAAATCCGTCTTTGAGCGCCTGCTCGATATTGCCCTTGGAAAACGCTTCTTGTTTCGCAACAATTTGGTGCACCTTTTCTCCTGCGAAAAGAGCCACCTTGTCTCCGCCGTGTCCGTCGTAAACACCGAAGAATGACAGTCGCTGATCGGGAGAGGTGGATTCGGTGGATTTAGTTATATACTTGGCTTGCAAATCGAGAATTGCCGCGTGCGCATCCTCCATTGTGATTCTCCAGCCTTGCATGGCTGATACTCCGTATATAACGCAGTCATCTTGGCCTTCGGCAGACGTCTGGTACCGTAAACGAGTTGTCAGCACATTGTCTCGAAATTCAAATTATGCGTCGATCCTGCCATGCAAATAACATCGAGACAGTAAAGGTAGACAGTAAGGAGAAATGGTGTTGACGTCTGCAGTGATATAGGAGCTGGTCGCTTAAACGAAACTTCCTCTTGACGGATTTGCCCCGCACCCAGTTGACCGTCATCACTTGTAGCCAGGGCTCGAAAGTGTGCAGTAGCCAGATGCGATGAGGCGTGGTGTAGAAGAAATTCGCAGCGATAAGAAAGCAAAAAGCAAAAACCATCCCCAGGAATAATCTCACCTTGTCTGTAATAGGTTCTGATAAGGTCTGACCCATAATGACTCGCGGGTCCCGATCGAACGACTAGGATATTATGTAGCGGACGTTTCGATCGTATACACCTCGGAAAGAGGAGAAAGTAAAAGTCGTAAGGACGAGGCCCGGAGGTGAATGGGGTGGCGTGGGATATGGACGAAGGGACGAGAATGAGAAGGGGAGAGTACGTAGTATGTCACTGATTTGAGCAATCTTAGCGCCAGCAAACTCGATCAGAGGGTGAGTATGATGAATGTGGGGGTAGGGTAGCGGGCTGTTTTTTTTCTCTGGGTGCGTGTCGTGAGCTGACGAACAGGGCTGGACTGGGAGCAACACACCACAGGATGGAAACACGATTGCAGAATGTGAAGAAAAGGGATGTGTTCAAGATGTATCTGTTGAGCGTATCTGGGGAGAAAGAAAAGTGTGGGAAAGATGCCAGTCGCGTGTTGTGAACGCAGTGCTGCAGCCGGACAGACAATGACGAAAATGCTTAGCGCCGGCCTTTGTTGTACTAGCTCTGTAATACTGCAATCTCTGCTCACAACGTGTATTGCTATGTAATTGATGGTACGCAAAGGGTCATATTAATATTATTGAGGTAATCACAATTATTCTAGCATGGCCTATACCGTATTCACAAGCGCCATTTGTACATGTCTTGAACCGATGTCAAACTGAGGCTCAGGCGAAAAAGTGACGTGATAGGGTGGAAGACGCCAAAATTACAAATGACTACTGGAATAGGCTTGATTACTGTATTGCTAATTACAGGAATACACAAATTTCATCTTACACCAGTACAGTACGGCACAAGTACAGAGGCTGTAACCAGTGTGGCTGTTTCTTCAGCCATACTACTCCTATTATTCGGACCTCAAGGAAGCTTACGCACCGTCACCTCCGGCGCTTCCATTCTCGACGCTGTCACCGCATTGATCTTACACCGACAACTTCTCAAAGCCTGCATAACCTCTCAATGCAGTTCATACGAGTTCTTACAATCTCACCAAACCCACGAAACCCCCGAGCTGAATTGACACATCCTGATTGATTGGGTCAACGAGATTAGGCTACAACCAAGGCTAGACCTGTAACCTTCGGTCGAATTTGATAGTAGTCACGCTTCCTGGCAGAAATTTTCAGCTGATCAATTACCCGGAACATGCTAACACCGACTGTCTACAACGTCGGCCAGTTAACTACGTACTCGTAATCTCGTACAGAGTATTTGAGCTTGATTACGCCAGTCACGAGACCACCTCGGCCGTACCTAGGAACAATCATTGCAGACAAAACTCTCTTTCTATAATTACTATCCCTCTGCAAATATCAAGAATCACACGAAACAATTGAGCCATGCTGTGCCCGAGGTATCTTGTTCAACGCCTGACACAAACTCCGTACAAACGACATGACCGACCCAAGATGACAATATCAAGAAACAGAAAAGAAACAAGTTACACAAATGCTAGATCACCTCGAAAACTACTATTTGTTGTCGGCTGAAGACCGTCACTATCCTCAATGCTGGGTCGTCGTTCTTGTGTGTTCGCCAGTCGCCAATGTCGAATGGCAGTAGGACTACTATCCTGGCCTCCTGTCCGCAACAGACTCATACGACGCACTCGACTACCGCCTGCATCAGATATCGGAGAGAGCTCCCCACTCTGTCTGGTAGAGTCTGCTGCATTGGTGACTTCCTCAGTCCCAGAATGCTGTTGCGTTTGTGTGTTCAAGGGGTACCACTGCCGGCCTCCTTCGGGATTCTCACGTTCATCGATCAAATCATAATAATCATCCGACCCGGTCAAAGATTCCCCAGGTGACTCGAAACGTGGCTGGCTACCCATACTAGCCTGGCTCCAAAATCGCGGTAGCTCAGCGATGGCCTCAGTATAACGCTGGACTAAGCCTTGACTAGTCCGGTTTCTGTTGACGGGGAAGGCTCCAACTTCGGATATTTGTGACATTCGTCGTCCTTGTATCACCGAATTTCGGTTATCATCACCATACACTGATGCTGATATCGTAGATATCGGGCGCAGTTCAGCTTGTTGTCGGTCATCTGCAAAAGTAGATGTGGATACTGTGGTTTCAGCAATGCTAGAGCTACGACGAGCTTTTTCCAACGCACGATAACCCGTGGACCCTGAGCTGTTCATCCTGGCTGAAAAGAGAGGATTGCCTGAATTACGACTCCGCGCTCGGCCTTGAATGAAAGCCTCAAGCGAGTCTGGCTCTGGAGGCTCAGCAGATAATGGTCTGTTGGAATTCATGCTGACACGTTTTTGGTAACTACGGTGTCGCGTTGATATGCTGCCATCCCTGTTTCGTACGTGAGGTGGGCGGGGAAACATAGTCGCTAGATTCTCTATGCTGGTGTCGTCGCTTTGTAGCGATACCTGTGTTGTATACCAGGATGTTCCGACCATGTCTGTCCGCAGCGGACCAAATCCTCCAGCGCCGTGACCGGCACCGCTTAGTCTGACCGGAAGCCCCGCTGCCACCGAGATTCCGCTCGAACGTCTGGAGTTACGTTTGGATTTGGAAGACATAATGGAGTCTCTCTTCAGAGAACGAGCTTGAATCGGTTTGAGAGGCTCTCTTCTCGAGTATCTTCGGCTACCGCGGCGAGTAAATGGAGATGTTTGAGACACGCTGGTGCTTCTTGTTGGAGACACGTTGGGCGATGCATGGGTCTTGTCCGTACGTATGCTAACGTTACCCCAGTCCATAACAAAATTCTGAGGTAGGACATGCGCGCTGGGAGATTGGGTATGTCTTTGTTGTTCGTCTTCGAGGGAGGCGGTCTCCCACAGCGGATCCAATTGTAGCTGAGGAGGAGCCGAGTCGTGTGATGAATCAGACGAGTTCGAAAAAGTTCGCGGTATTTCTGCGACCTCTGCTTCCGCAAGATTCTTCTCCGGGTGTGCGACTGGAGTCGACTCCAAATGCCTGTCTTCAGCTCTATTCTCTTCGTCTATCTGCTTTGTGGTAGTAGCTTTGGATGGTCGTCGACGGCAGCATAAGAATATCAAGATACTTGCTGCTGCAATAACTGCCAAAGGCACTAAAACGGCGGCAGCAATGATCCCAGCTTTGCGCTTGTTTGTCCCATGATTTGTACCCGAAGAGGTCTGATTGTCACTGACAACGCCTCCTTTCCCAGATTTGAAAATACTGAGGTTGAGGTTGCGCTCTTCTGTGACCGAGCCTTGAGTGGCCTTCAATTTAATGGGGAATGTCTGTGGTGTCAAGTCATTTGGCACATCTCCAGATATCGTTTCAGTGGCTGTGTCATAATGGGCCCAAGAGGATGCTGCACCCAAGTCGACTTGCAGTTGCACCGTGTCATCGCTCAGCAAAGCCTTGTCGAAAGTGTAAGAAAATTCGTCACCGATTGTAGCATTGCAGCTTTCCACCCCTTTCGCGAAGAGCTGCGATACTCGAAGATACAGCTCTAGTTTGGCATTGTCACCATAGATGTCGCCCACGGTGACCGTGATGTTCTGGTTGTCAGCATCTTTGGGAGCTGTTCCACTAAGAGAGAGAGTATCGTTGTCGAGTTTAAGCCAGGATGGCCCATCGAGGCTGAAATGGGACAGATTGTCCGCGGTGACGCTATGATTATCAAGCGACAGACCGTCAATGAAATAAGGCGTACTAAATGGCTGACCACGGGTGAAATTAAGAGTTTGAGCAGTTTCTTTGAATGACAATATATGCTGGCTCACAACGATCTCAAAGCTCACCATGGCCGCGCTGAACCCGGCAGCATCAGACGCTATAAGATTGAAGCCGAACGATTGAGGAACCGACGACGGATTAGATGGAGTATTGCCACTGAATTTGAGACTCGACGAATCAAAATACATCCATGACGGTAGAGGAGCGTTGTACGGTGCAGATGTCGCGTAGTAGACGGTATTAGCTTGGGTGTTGGCGAAGATCTCCTTAGGGTCAAAGTCTATGCTAAATGATCGTCCAGGATGCATAAATACTGTTGCTGGACCGGAAGTTGGACCATTCTTTGCTAGCTGGGGCAAAAGAGACTTTCCTGGTTGCGGGCCCAAGTCACTAGAAACCACCAGCGTTACGCTCATTGACCCTGAGCCCGACTGATCAGTAGCGACAAGAAGAAACTGCGGCGCCCCGGCGTCACCTGCGCCGGGAGTTCCGTAAAGCGTCTGACTGGCGGAGTCGACTTTCAGCCATGATGGAGCATTTGATAGGGAGTATTGTAAGCCAGTGCCGCCATTAGTGAACGTGCCGCTCGAAAAGGTGAAGTTGAAAGGTTGAGAAATACGAGCGACAGGCGGTAATTGGGAATTGATCGGGTAGTTTGGTGTCGGTGTGGCACAAACTGTATCGAGCAATGCCACCAAGAGAATCAGAGTCAGGGTCGTTAACATGTTCAACGAGAAAGTCATGATGTTACAGATGTCGTTGACTTCCAGGTAGGTGTAGACCACAATCGCTGCCAGAAACCTCAAATCGATGAAGGGAACCTGGGAAGACTCTGGGTTGAGGTAGCACGTCTAGCAGACGTCGACGGGAAAGGTATTCGATCATTAAGACAAAGGGAGAAATCATTTTCTTATCTCAGGCTGAAGGGATACTCCTAGGGTGGCCTACGCGATGCGCGTAAAGCATTGTTGGAAGCCATGGTAGAGTATGCTTGACGTCAGAAATGCACACACATGGCTGGCGAGGCTAATGCCCGTCCCATACGAGAGTTGCAGATGCGAGAGGTAAGTTGCAGGTTAATCGATCACACGTTCAGGACGTGTATGGTGGCTGCAAGGGGCATTCCGCTGGAAGGCTCTCTTCTAGGGCTAAGACACGGCCCAGAATCCAGGTACGTGCAATACAACAGTAACACCAGACTTGTGATCCTGCCACAGGGCGCAGGGACGAGGATATGTGCCAATTGGAATGGAAAAAACGAAGAAGGATTTGATCCAGGCATATCGATTTCCTTCTATCCCTGAAGAGGGGTCCGCGAATACAGCAATGCCAGACTGAACTAGATGAACCTAAGTCTTAAGCAAAGCCTTCAAGGGCAAAAATCATACGGATCCTAATTTTTGCATAATAATTAAGGGCCTCGTTCTCATCAAACTGAGATCCTATGTACAGATTCCGTGCAGCTACCCTTGTGAATCCCTACTTGGAAGTATTCGCAATCCAGCTCATTTTCAATATCGCTCCAAAAGCTTTGAGACAGTATGCTTCTACCATTCGAATTTATGTAACAGTGCAGTTTTGCGATGTCGTACACATACAAGATAAGCCACCATACTATCACCACCAACCTTGCCATGATCTGTAATAGCAGGACTAGCCAAGGTAGCTTGCAAATCCCGCATATCAGATTTCTTGCACAGCTTACTATCAAACCCGATAACTTCGGTGGTTGGAAAAGTTCTCTTTTGAAATGCTTACGTGCTACCTTGGTGAGAATTTAGAGTGCTTCGGGACGCGACGAAGAATGGAGATCCTGCGCTTTAGAGACATTCTTCCATTTTCTTGTCTTATTAACCTATATCGTGGAGAGAAAAGATTATTAGAGAGTATCTAAAGGTTTGAATATGATCAAGAAGAGTTGGACAACAGGGAACATACGTATTAGATGATTCTATATCGAAATTGAACAGCGCTGCTCCTATTGGCTGATTAGTTGCATGTAGACATGGAATCTAGCGCGTCTAATCTTATCGCCTCAACCCAATTGTCAACACTCAAAACAACCCTCCAGTCACACACAACCGTAAGACTCTTACAATGCCCTCCCAACAAGACGAAAAGCGTCAAGCAGCGCGCGAAGTGATCGACATCCTCTACGAAATCTCGACTCTACTGGTACATCCCCTTCCCACCCCTCAAAGCAACAAAGTTTGATACGATGTGGACGGGAGACTGACCTGAAGGACTATGCAGAACACGCATCTCGATCGCACGGAATTGTCGTTGTGTGTATCCCTGATTGAGAATGGTGTCAATCCGGATGCGCTTGCTGTACGCTCACTCTTTCGTTTCTTGCTGTCTATAGCCTGGCTAATGGATGGATTTCTGGTAGACCGTTATCAAGGATTTGAGGAAGGAGGCGCCTGCTCGGGGGCATGTTGATGATGAATAATTGAGTTACTGGACTTGGATCGATGGATCACGCGCAATGATTTACGATATGATTATTATGCTAGCGAAAAAGGGCAACTACGAGATGTCTCGAATTATTAAAAACATCTTCACGGTCATTGCATGGGATATCTCGGAAATCAACTGAATGAAAAGATCGTACACCCGTCACACGCACATGCACACACACAATTTAAAAGAATCGACCAAACAAATCATTTATCATCCGCCTTCTTACTAGAGTCCTTCGAATCAGATCCGATCTCCGATTCCATGGCTTCTGCCGTTAATTTCTGAAGGTCATTGTCCTCTCCGGCGGGGACATCCTTGGGCTTATTGTCGCGCTCGTCTTCGCTGTCGCCGAGACTAAAAGGATCGTTCTCGCCGACGGGAGAGTGGCTGGTTGTGGAAAGGGGTTGCCATTTGCTCGACTTGCCTCCTGTTGGCGGTGTCTTAGTCTTCGGGGCGTCATAAAGGTTGTCGATTTCCTCTGGTGGACCATCTTGGAACGACACTTTGCGTCTCTCTTGAGAGGTGTTGGCGGGTCTGATGTTCGCTAGAGGACGGGCTGGGCGTGGAGGAGGTGCTAGTAGCCATTGAGGTTAGTAAGAGAAAGCGAATGCCAGTGAGCAGAGGGTCAAACCTTCGGCATCCCTCAGTTCCAATGCAGAAAAGTCATCCCCAAGAACCTGGGGGTCTGCGTCGTAACGCTCGCGATCACCGCTGCGTCGAGTAGAATCACCACTTCGTCGTGCGCGGCCATAAGTTTGAGTTTCTCCGTGCGATTGAAGATAGCCATCTGAAGCAGGCTGTTCATCCTCTTCATCTCCGTCAAGTCTTTTCTTGAAATTCTGTACCCATGAATTGACCTTGGATTGAGTCTCAAGGAACCCTTTTCGAATGTTGTCTCGGATCACCGGTAAATCATCTACATAGCCAATAAGCAAGAGAGTCGAACCATGTACTAAATCCATAGTGCTATCAACATACCATCAAAAAAGTTGCGCTCTCGTTCCTCTGGATATTCGTCTCCATAATTGTAACTCTGTTCTTGCCCCTGTCTGCCGCGGGGTTGCGAATCACTAAAGTGTTCCGCTAGTCGGCGAGCATATATTTCATCTTCACGCAGTTGTTGCTGTGTAGTCGAAGTTGCTGGGTAGGAGGGTCGTGGAGGTTTTGCTGGGGGAGGGGGTGGAAGCTCTTCCTGAGCTGTAGGGTCCGTCATGCCTACACAGCCGCGAGTTAGAGAAAGCAAACTAGGGATAAGAATACGTCCGCCAACGCACCTAGAAGGGCATGGAAAGCTCTCTCCACATTATACCCACTAGCTGTCAAGACAGCCTTCACTACACCCGTCTCGATTGAGGGAAATGCTTCCTTCAGCGTCTCTTCGGCTTGTTGTCGCGGGTCGGCCGGTCGAGGTGGTTTGGGCGGGGGAACTTCAGCGGTGTTCTCTGATTTAGAAGGCGTAGAGAGAACGCCTGTTTCTTGAGGCTCATCATCAAAGTCTAGCGGCCGCGCAGTTGTGGGAGACTCTGGATTGGAGTTGTTGGCTCCTCCGGAGTATTTGGTAGGGGTTTGCTGCGGGGTTTCGCATTTAGTGATTGTATTCATCTGAAGAGGCATAAGCAGCTTACCACTTTCCCCTCGTCGGACATTTTGAAATATCTATTTGATAATCAATGAGAAGAGATCGAATCTGAGGTCTTCCTGGATCAAGAAGGGACGTTAAGGCGAAGTGAAGATGTGGTGTTTCAAGAAAGTAGCAGAGAGGTAAATTGGTTGCAGCCTATCACAACAACAAGCTTGAAGGACATTGCATCACTCCCGCTGACAAGCCACAAACCGGCACCGCCACTTGCAAGCGTCTAAGCCAAGGCCGCTCTTGCTGTGGCTGATTACTTCTTTCTACATCTTTTCAAACTGACAAGCATGGGATAAAAGCGCACTAGTTCTCAAGATGACCGTATGGTGACCTTAAAACATCAAGTAGGGTGGATCAGGAGGAATAACCATCTTCCTGAGAACCGGTCCAATGGCTGATGACTTCAGTCTATCTTCGACTTTCATTCCCGCCTTGTACAAGCCTTCATCCCTTCTGCCCATTGCTCGATATAGGGAGAAGCTATTGTATCTCATTGAAACGTTCCCTGTCACAATAGTTGTGGGCCAAACGGGAAGTGGCAAAACGACACAACTACCCCAATTCTTGGATCAGGCAGGATGGACGACCGACGGTAAGGTCGTTGGGGTGACTCAGGTATGCCTCCTTGAAACTCTGCTGTCATCAACAGAACTTGGACTAACTGGATGATAGCCCCGACGTGTAGCGGCGACTACAGTTGCCCGCAGAGTGGCCGAGGAAATGCGTTGCAAGTTGGGCGAGGAAGTAGGCTATTCAATCAGATTTGAAGATGTCACGTCCTCTGCTACGAGGATCAAGTTTCTCACAGACGGATTACTGCTTCGAGAAGCACTTGTTGACCCTTTACTATCTCGTTATTCAGTGATTATGGTCGATGAGGCCCATGAACGTTCTATCAGTACCGATATTCTACTAGGAATCCTGAAGAAGATTATGAAAAAGCGCCCCGAGCTTCGCATTATCATCAGCAGTGCTACGCTGCAGGCAGAGCAGTTTCTAAAGTTTTTCTGTGGTGATAAATCCACTGTCGAAGGGCCGGATGAAGAGCTTGGAGGAGATGTTGGGCGTATCATTAGTCTCGAAGGGCGGATGTATCCTGTGGACGTGCTTTACCTGGAAAACCCAGCGGAAGATTATGTTGAAAGGGCCATCAAGACAGTCTTTGATATTCACTCTCAAGAGGGTGACGGTGATATACTCATCTTTTTGACCGGGCGGGAAGAAATTGAACAAGCAGTTCAATTAATTTCAGAGCGTGCTGCGATGCTCCATCCAAAAGCTAAATCACTGCTTCCTCTGCCACTATATGCTGGTTTGACTACAGAACAGCAAATGTATATCTTTGAGCCTACACCGGAGAATACACGAAAGGTAGTCGTGTCGACGAATATTGCCGAGGCCTCAGTGACCATCGATGGAATTGTCTTCGTTATTGATTGCGGGTTTGTCAAAATCCGCGCTTACAACCCAAAGACTGGCATTGAAACATTGACCGCCACGCCGGTGTCTAAAGCATCGGCTACGCAACGTGCTGGCCGAGCTGGAAGAACAAAGCCTGGTAAATGCTTTCGTCTATATACCCAAAAAGCCTTCGAGGCCTTGCCCGAAACAGGTACGCCAGAGATTCAACGGTCAAACTTGGCACCGATTGTCATGCAGCTGAAAGCTCTTGGAATCGACAATGTTGTGCGCTTTGATTTTCTTTCGCCTCCTCCGGCTGAGTTGATGACTCGTGCGCTGGAGCTTTTATATTCTCTCGGAGCCGTGGATGATTATGCGAAACTCACAAAACCCATGGGATTTCGTATGGCCGAACTTGGTGTCGAGCCGATGCTGGCCAAGGTCTTACTCAGTGCTCCTAGCTTCAATTGCCTAAGCGAGGTTCTTACTATAGCAGCCATGCTCAGCTTGCAAGGCTCATTGTGGGTCCAGCACGACGGCGGTAAAGACGAAGCTGAGAGCGCACGAAGGAAGTTTGCTGTTGAAGAAGGCGATCATATGACATATCTCAACGTGTATCAGGCATTCATCACCAAGGGCCAAAAAGATTCAAAATGGTGCAGAGACAACCTATTGAACTACAAATCTCTGACTCGGGCCGTAAGCGTTCGTGCTCAGTTGAAACGCTATCTTGAGCGGTTTGGATTAGAGGTTGATTCGACGCTACCGATTTCCTCTGCCTCAAAAGAGATCAATAAATCAGAGCAAATCTGTCGGTGCCTGACCACGGGTTACTTTGCACATGCTGCCAAAATGCAGCCTGACGGAAGCTTCAAGACTGTGGGCGGCGGGTTGACTCTGCACGCCCATCCGAGTTCATTGATGTTTGTACGTTTTTCATAAACTTCATCTTAGTAGATCCCGCTGACCCTAACATTTCCGTCCAGAACCGCAAAGCTGATTGGGTTATATTCCATGAAATCCTAGAGACTGGAGCTAAGACCTTCATTCGCGATGTCACCAAGATTGAGAGAAGCTGGCTGGTGGAATATGCCCCTGAATACTATCGCGTAACTTAACCCTAGGTACATGTACTATCGAGTATTGGCAGAAGGGACGGGGGCGCGGGGAAGGCGAAGGGGGCGTCATTGTTGGAGAAGGTGGGGTCCTGCTTGTTTAGGGTTGTCCCGCTATAATTATTTGTTTGTAGCGAAAAGATTCCTCCCTTTGTGTCAGCACTCCTCTTCTTTCCTTCATCACCTTCTTCATCTTCATGTAATTTCCCATCACTACTTCGACACAACAATGTCAGGCCATCATCACCACGATCACGGCCATGGCGACCACTGCCACGACGAGGGCCACGATCATTCAAATGACATCACTCCAGCCCTCCAATCTCTGTTGTACTCTCAGATACAGTTTGACATGGTGTCTACCCTCAACGGTAAATAGTGGCCAATGGAGACCATCAAAATCCGCGACGACTGACGCAAAAATCCTACAGAATCTGTTCCCCGCGCTGGCACTGCAATCCTTCAAAAGTCATGGGCCGAAAGATTGAATGAGCAACCTGAACTCGAGAGCGACGCCGACGAACAACTTTTGATGCACATCCCGTAAGTAGGACAGACTGCTCTTTAAAAAGGGAAAAAAAAAACATAATGGATTTACTGACTTGCTTTAAGTTTCGCAGGACAGGTCAAACTACACTCGCTACTGATCTACACTGCCCCGACACCTTCCGCTCCCAAGACCGTGAAGCTCTTCAAAAACCGCAACGACCTGGACTTCTCCATGGCGTCAGACCTGAATCCCACCCAGACCATCGAAATTCCACAGCCTGTTCCGGGAACCGACGTCTATGACCTGCCTCTCAGTCGTGCCCTGTGGAACACCACTACATCCATCACTCTGTTCTTCGAGGACAATTGGGGCGAAGAAGAGACCACCAAGGTCGGTTATGTTGGCTTCAAGGGACAGTTCATGGCGCTGAACCGTGAGCCTGTGAGCGTCATGTATGAGGCAGCTGCAAATCCCAGCGATCATGTCGCTATACAGGGTGTGAATGGCATCGGAGGAAGGATTATGCCGGGACAGTGACAATCGGCGAAATCAGGGATGTTTGCAGTACTCGTGGGGCGTTACATGATACCACTTTATGATTTATATGCCGTGTTTGTATTGATGCTATGATGCTAAACAGAATACAAGAATGCAAGCTGTACAATATACCACTTGTGTATCGCTCCAGACAAGCGGGAGTAAGCGGTCATGCGTCTGTCAGGCCGTACGCGTAGGACTGGACACCGGGAGATTCGTAGCAGGCATGCCGTCCACTCATCTTAAGCAGCCAACATTGCAGCTCGCTCTTGCGCCCTAGCTTTGGCTCTTGCTCTGACCTTTTGTTCCTTTTGCTCCTTCTCCTCTTCAGTCAGCTCAGGTAGAGCAGCTGTAGGCACATTAGGCATTGCAACGGTACCCTCGACCTCCCTTTGAAGAGCCTCGAGTTCGTCTTCGACCTCGTCTTCGTCTTGGTTGGACATTTGTCCAGCGAGCATTTGGCTGATTTCCTATACTCATTCACGTTAGAGTTTACCCGATAAGGAACACACGAAAAGAAAAAGAAACCAACCTCCTGATATGCCCTAGCTTCTTCCGTCTCCCCCATCAACTTCTCAACAGCAGCCAATCCACCCATCTCCTTATTTATAGCCTGTAGCACCTCCGTACCTTGCTGCAACCCAAACAAAACATCCTTTTGAACCAACGCAAATTCAACCTGAGACGTCAGTTGCTCTAATTGCGCCAACTGAGCATCGGTTTTCGTTAGTAAGGTTTCCTGGTATTTTTTCCGCCTAAGTGCTAATAGCGCACGTTTCTTGTCATTTCGTGAAAGGCATTCTTTGGCAATAGCTGTTTCGCGGTCGGTGAGGACTATGATGCGTTTTTGGTATTCGTGGAGTTTGTCGCGTTGGATTTTGAGGTTAAGAATTGCTCTGATTTGCGGGGTTAATCTTGATCGTCTTCCCAGAGAACAAATTGCTTTGGCATATTTGACAGCAAGTATAGATGATGAAAACGTACCTATCTTGAGGAGATATCTTGTTGGTACTACCGGTATTTCCCATATCGCAGCATCGTCCCTTGCCGATCACAAGGAAGCCTTCGGCGAAGAGGCAATGACGTTTACCGATGCGGTCTGAATAGTTGATAGTGATCAACAGAGTCGCGATTCACCGTCTCGTCCGAAAGAGTATGGCGACTATGTGTAAATAATCAAAGACATGGTCCTCGAGCCGCCTAAACTTCCATCGCCATTTTGTATCCTGAACGCAGTTCGGAGTCTGTTATAGTCGAGATGAACAAGTTCCTTGTCCGTTGGCCAGTGATAAGCGGGGTTCGGAGACTCGTTAATCCGAAGATAGATAAGCCCGAAAAAAATTAGAGATATCTCCGCATTTTCAAGGACAACACCAAGAACAATATTGAATTTATGCTTGTCGCCATGCCCTATAGAAACAAGGGTAGGCCGAGTCTGAGCCATGGCTTAGATAAAGAGGTAGATATCCACATATCAGCAATCATCCGTATACTACGACACAGACTAATCAGACAACTTTCCACAGATTTACCAAATTGTGCGCAAAATCGCAGACGAGCAGCAAGCCGAGGCGGGAAAGACACGCCTCACCACATATTCCGTATTCGATACAATCAAAAAATCAAATTCGAGTCTGAATCGAAAACCGAAGAAATTGCTTGAAGACAGCATTGAGCGGGTCCTAGAAGTAATTCAAAGCGATTTAGCTGGCGGTGATGAGGAGTCTGACTCGGTGAATGGGGACTTTGAGGGGTTGGAAGATGAGAAGGTTGATCAGGTGGTTGTAAGATATTGCCCAATTGTTGAAGTGGGCGTGGTTGAGTACTTATCAATGTCAGGAATCCAATGGCTTAAACAGGAGTATTGTCAGTGCCTGGTCGACATCAGCCAAACAATCACCAGCTCCTCGGAAAGGCAATGAATCATCTACTGTTGAAGCCTCTGCACAGTCTACCGGGTCCAAAAGACGTCAAAATGCAGGTGAATCAGTACCTAAACGAAGAAAGGCGGATCATACCATAGACAAATCGCCGCCGACACATGTCAGTTTATCGGATCTTGGTGGCATGGATGAAGTGTTGCAAGAGCTAGGAGACTTGATTATTCTACCCATGACACGACCACAAATTTTCACATCATCCAAAGTACAACCTCCGCGTGGTGTGTTGTTGCATGGACCGCCAGGATGTGGTAAGACCATGCTTGCCAATGCCTTTGCGGCCGACTTGGGTGTTCCCTTCATATCAATATCTGCTCCATCGGTTGTATCTGGTATGTCTGGTGAATCCGAAAAGGCTCTTCGGGAACACTTTGATGAGGCAAAGAAGGTAGCTCCATGCCTGATATTCATTGACGAAATCGACGCAATCACGCCGAAACGAGAAAGTGCCCAGCGAGAGATGGAAAAGCGTATTGTGGCCCAGTTATTGACCTGCATGGACGATTTGGCGATGGAAAAGACTGATGGCAAGCCTGTGATTGTCATGGCTGCTACGAATCGACCTGATAGCTTGGATCCTGCGTTGCGACGAGGAGGTCGATTCGATAAGGAGATCAACCTGACTGTTCCTTCGGAACCCGTACGAGAACAGATTCTTCGTACTTTGACGCGGAAAATGCAACTTGCAGATGATTTGGATTTTCAAACGCTGGCTAAACGCACCGCTGGTTTCGTGGGCGCGGATTTGAACGATCTAGTGTCGACTGCTGGAGCTGCGGCTATTAAACGATATCTCGAGCTACTCAAGTCAAACACCGGGGAGGAAATGGATATTGAAGACGTGACAGAGCAAGAAGTGACTGAAAAGGTAAAAGAGATACGCCGCTTGATCAAGCATGCCAAGGAAGCGCCAATCGGACAAGAAAGCAATCCTGTTTTGGTATCAAACGCAGATTTCTTTACAGCACTACCCAAGATCCAGCCGTCTTCGAAACGTGAAGGGTTTGCGACCATTCCGGATACTACGTGGGCAGATATTGGTGCCCTTGGTGGGATCCGGGATGAGTTGGTCACGGCAGTCGTTGATCCCATCAAAAATCCAGAAATATATGCCAAAGTTGGAATTACAGCCCCTACAGGTGTTTTGCTCTGGGGACCACCCGGTTGTGGTAAGACCTTGTTGGCCAAGGCCGTCGCAAACGAGTCTCGCGCAAACTTTATCAGTATCAAGGGTCCCGAACTTCTTAATAAATACGTCGGTGAATCTGAGAGAGCAGTTCGTCAAGTCTTCGTCCGCGCCCGGTCCTCTATTCCCTGCGTCATCTTCTTCGATGAACTCGATGCCCTGGTCCCCCGTCGCGATGACGCGCTATCCGAAAGCTCAGCACGTGTCGTCAACACACTCCTGACTGAACTCGATGGCCTAGGAAGCAACCGACAAGGCATCTATATTATCGCTGCCACAAACCGACCCGACATTATCGACCCAGCTATGCTTCGACCAGGCCGTCTCGAGACTCTACTCTTCGTCAATCTGCCAGGACCCAGCGAACGTGCCGAGATCCTACAAACACTCATCCGCAACCTACCCATTGAATTCAACGATCAGATGCGCGCCTTGGCTGAGAGTTGCGAGGGTTACAGTGGTGCTGATATCGGCAGTTTGTTGCGTAGAGCTGGTTATTCGGCGATCAAGAGGAGGGATATGATCCGCTTTGAGGACTTTGTGGCTGCTAGGGAGCACATCAGACCCAGTGTGACGGATATGAGGAAATATGAGAGATTGAGGAGAGATTGGAGTAGTGGTGTCTAACTTTGGTTCCTAGATGATGGTCAGTATATAGAATTGTTATACCCACACACTTTCCAAGATTAATATGTGATAGAAAATAAGTCTCATTAATGCATCACCTACGCAAGGCAATAGTGCTTATGTACATAACTTTTAAAACGCCCATATATTCCTCTAGATTTACTCAAATTCATGACAGAAGTGAAAACCAACAATTAGCACCACAGGCGACAAGTTCCATCTGCACCCGCAGACACGCACCACGGCTGAGTAGGGTGCCAATCGACATCCAAAATACCCAACTCGCCAGTAATTTTGTGACCACGCAACACCTTAAGTGGAACAATGCTGGCGTTACTAAGCATGTCACCAGTAACGCTGCCGTGGAAGATTTGTAGAGAGCCGTCATCACTGGCGTCAGCGAACAAGGGGTAACGGCCGCTAGGGTGGAACTTGACTGCTCGGATGGCTTTGCTGTGGTAACGGAGGGTCTTGTATGGGTGTGCAGATAGGTCAACGTCGTGCCATAGGAGTCGACGATCGTAGGATCCAACAATGAGATTGTCGCCGCCAGAGGTTGAAGAGGAGTGTGGGTGGATATCGAAGGAGGAGATCCACCGCGCACCAGGCTGTAGGATTTTGACCAGGAGCTGACGAGACAGGTCATAGGCACGGATCGAGCGTTGATTGGCGACGAAGAGAATAGGCTTGGATGGATGGAAATGAGCAGCTTGAGGGGGGCCACCGCCCTTGAGTCGACGCCTGAAGGGGTTTTGGGTGACGTGTTTCGAAACTGTGTGGATTGCAATAGCTTGGCTTGCGGGCGTAGAAGATCCGGGGCAGACGGTAACAAAGTAGTCACCACGGCGATGCCATGAGACAGACTTGGCAACGTAGCGCAAGGGTATAGTGATACACACTCCAGACTCAGCCAGCTCTGACGATGGTCGGATCCAGTTTGTAGGAGTACTCTTTGAATCTGCGTCCCCATTCTTGGTAGAAGACTTGTTTGCTGCGTAACCCCAACCAGCATCAAGAAGTTCGAGACTGGCTTTTTCGAGCTCCGGGTTGACGATCTGAGGCACGGCAAGATGAAGATCATCTCCGCAAGCAATGCAGAGTACGACAGCATCTTGACCAGGACGCCAGCGAACGACATTGATAGGTTCATCATCACTGATTTTGGCAAACCAGAGCTGACGACCTGTCAGAATTTCCCAAACACGCACTGTTCCATCATCACCTCCACTAGCTAACCATTGTCCAGTTGTGTCAATCGATACAGATCGTACACGGCCCGTGTGGCCTCTAAAAAGAGTTGCGCATGCTGTAGGGAAGGGTTTGAGCTCATCCGGACTCGGCAACTTAGGAAGTAGACTTTCAGGGTCGATGTTGAGTTTGCTTCTCCTAACCCTAGGAGCAAGATACAAGTCCAAACAACGCTCAAACTTCTCTTTGACAAAGCTCTCGTAACCAGGTACTTTTCGCAAAGCCGCGTAGTCCGTGGGTAAATATTCTCTCTCACGGTCTTCCTCGTCTGCCTCTTCCCAAGCTTTTCGCTCTTTCTTATCCGGCAGGTATTCTGGAGGTGGATGATAACTCTCCTCATACCCGGGAGGAGGCAATTTGGGCGCTGGGACGTTCATGATGTGGTCGGGTCGTGGAGCTTCGTCTGCCCAGATATCGTAGCGAGTCAAACCGTCATCTGCCTCATCTTCTTCTGCGGGAGGCTTATAGGGGAGGATCCGCCCTTCTCGAATAGCACGGACAATCTTCATTACACGCTTGGCTTCGTGCTTGGAAGGAACGAATCGGCGTTTGGGTTCTGGGGCTGCGCTGAGAGGCATGATTTCCTCTTTGCTGGTGAACCATTCGACGGTGGGCTCGTAAGGATTGTAACCTTCCTCGGGAATCTCGTTCATTTGAACCTTTCGAAGCAATTCGAGTTCATCTTGGCTGAGCTCTAAAGGTTTTCCTGTGGAGGGATCGGTAAGACCTGTCCAGCCCTTAGGAATCTCAATGCTGTCTAGCAGAGCATCCAATGCCTCGCCCTTGGCGGGACGCATGATCTTCTTTCCATTGATGTCATAGCCGATGTGAGGGTATTGATCGTAAAACGAAAGAGGGATATTGCCGATTGTGTTAGCGTTGTCATCTGCATCTGAGTAGTCCGAATTATCGTCTGGGTTGATCTCGTCATACACGTATCGCTCGTTTCCGTTGGCGTCTATCTCGACTCTATAATTGGGCTGATCAAAATCGTCTTCATCTTCAGTTCTTTTCTTAGCCTCAATTTCAATATCAGACGGGACTTCATCGCTGTCGATTTCGGATTCGATTTCCTCTTCATCATCACTAAACTCATTGATAATTTCGACCTCCGAATCGCTTTCGTCGGACGACAGGTCGTGAGCACCGTCAGAAAGGTCCAGATTGTTCAATTCTTCGCCGGAAACAATGCTTGTGTCGGGCTCGACATCGCGAGTGACAGCCTTGCGTTTCTTGGATACCTTTCCGGAGGCCATTGTGACTGTGGTTACCTCTGTTCTGATTTGGTTCTGTTCGGCCAGGCTTTTGGATGCTGGAGAAAACAAAATTATTTTTCTTTTCCTATCTGTACCGCCCACGTGACACACCGCCTGCCGGATCAAGCACAGGCCCCGCCTTATCGCCGAGGCCGTCGTGACCTTTGATCTGGTTTCGACAGCCACAGGAACTTCTTTCTCTTCTTATCTAGACATTACTTCTCACTGCCCATCTCGTCCTCCTCTTTGCATCGTTCGCTTCCTTCGCTTGCAAGCCTGGTTGGTGAAAATCTAAACCGTGCTTCATCCAAAGCAAGGTGAACACCTACCAAAGGAACTTTACTCATTTATCTCCAACTTGCGCGGGCTTCAGCCAATCAACAGCTAAGTCGAACAATTTGACGACATACGACGAAGCTCATCTCCATCACCTCGTCAATACTGCACACTCGTCTCAACTTCCCACCGATATTTGAGCCATCTATTTCGCGTATTATTTTTTCTGAGTGCTAATTCTCATACACGGATTTGGGTGTCCCTTTTGTCTTTTCTGCGACGTTGCCTACTATCAGGCCATTAATGGCCATATCTTTCAATCGCATTTGACCACGTTCCTTTCACCTGGCCATTTCCCCCCAGAATTCAAAAGCGAGTATCGCGGAATTTCAGTATTCCGCGATTTGTCGCTGTCTCGTCATTTTGTAGATGAAGCGCATCAGAACTTGCCGGCCCTATGACATCCAATTCTCCGGATGAGGCTATACACTTTCGGGGGAAGACCCTTACTCCCGAGAGTCCACGTCCGCTTCACATCCCAGAGCCTTCGAACATTCCCGTTTTAAAAAACCAGATGGACCCAGTATTCAACGATACATCGACATACGAAAACCCTTCTCCATACCAAGATGATGAGCAACCCTCCCAGCCAGAGTCAGACAGCGAATTATACAAAAGCGCCAATGAAGATGAAAATAAGAAACAAGCAGCACTTCTGGGTATGGCCCAAGAATCAGGTAGTTCCCATCCCATTCCCCCAAAATAATGATCAGAAGCAGGTTGTCCCACGAATGATTTCAACTCATTCATAGCTCAATCTGCTGTGCCCACATCTCTTTACGACCCCAACTTAGACTCAGTCTTTTGCAGTATGGGTATATCCAGTCATGAGATTCTAACATGCATCTATTCAGGAACCGTGAATGTCCACAGCACTTTAGATGCCCAGTCCGCTGCAGCGCAAATCCCACTTTCGACTCAACCCAATGCTGCTCCGTATCATCAGATGGGTGTTCCAAGTACCGTGGCTAGTACGAACATGCTGCACCCTTCCATGGCTAATCCTGAAATCGTTGCTGCTCCGAGTAACAGTGCACAAGCCGAAGCGGGCGTTGACCTTCAAAATCTGCTTGATAATCTTTCCCCATCCACGTCTACTGCCCCCTCTGGCCCAGTGGTAACTGCTACTACTTCATCTCCCGCTGATAACCCCCTTCTCCAAGATCATAAAAATCCTCAGTCTTCCGCAGTACCAGATCATAGCTATGCGTTGTCTGCAGGTCTCCCACCCCGACCACCAACCCAACAGATGCCAGAATTAAACCCAAATTACCCATCTACGGCAGATATTAGTGATTATCATCCCCTGAGCATACAGGGTTCGAACACGTCCTATGTACCGCAACCGCAAGGTCACGATCAACACTCAAATGCCTCTATATTCGTACCTGGAGTAGCGCCAGGTACATCATCAGGAGCAAATGGGCTACCTCCACCTCCTTTAGCGACATTCCAGCAATTTCAGTCACAGCCGAAGTCAGTCTCTGCACCGGAAGCTACCGCTCAATCAAGCCATAAGAGCTCCAGATCTGAAAGATACAATGCAAGAACCGGGGGTTCCCCTGATGACGATGTTTTTTGGGGAGATGAAATACAGAAGATCTATGATGAGTTCCTCCGTGAGGAGCGTGCATACGTAACTGAAGGCTTGTGGGACCGCTTTCCTTACGGTTCTAGACTCTTTGTTGGTGAGTGATGAAGAACTTTTTGCTCTTTCGCCAACGAAGAAACTGATATGTTACAGGCAACCTACCCAGTGAGCGAGTAACTAAACGTGATTTGTTTCATGTTTTCCACAAGTACGGAAAACTCGCTCAGATTTCTATCAAGCAAGCTTACGGCTTTATTCAGTTTCTTGATGCAGAGTCATGCCACCAGGCTTTGCAGGCTGAGCAAGGAGGTCTTGTTAGAGGCAGGAAGATTCGTAAGCATACACCACGCTGTGATAGTAATTATTACTAACTCATTAGATCTTGAAATTTCCAAACCTCAGAAAAGCACCCGACCAGGGCCAAGCCATCCTGAGCCTGGACGTCAACCGTTGCCAAGGCGTTCTAGGTCACCACCGGACTACTCTCGCGGCGGACCCTCCAATGGACGTGGATTGCGCAATCAAGGCAATGACCGCCACGATCGTTCCTATGAAAACAAGAGAGGAAGTTTCAGTGACTTCAGAGATGATAAGGCCCCCCGACGTCGTGACGATTACCGACCTCCTAGGTCACCATCTCCTCGTGCTTTCCGTAACCGGGACAGTGGTTTTCGTTCAAGAGATCGAACCCCAGACAGATTTGAGCGACGTGATAGACGCAGATCGCGATCTCCTTACAGTAGAGATAGACGACATCGAAGCCCCAGCCCACGAGCACGCCCGGGGTATGACGGCGATGAACATACCCTCTCACGCCGTGCCCCAAGAGATGTCCCAGACTTACAGATCCTGGCAGCCGACGATGTCGATATGTAAGTATCATTTTGTCGTATAGAAACATCCAAGCTAATCTTGACTACAGGGGCTTTGCATACCACGTTGAGAATTCATTCAAAACCCGAGGACTTCGGACTGACATTTTGGTGCTTTCTCGTGTTCCCGTGGATGTGGCAATCCAAAGACAGATGGAAGAAGGCGTTTTCGCTGTGATAAGGCTCACGAGAAGTCAGCAATACTCCGGAAAGGTCACACTATTGATGTTTGACCGTAGCGCAGGGGGTGCTAGCAAGCCTCGTTCAATGGGTAGGTCAAGCATCGCATGCTTGCAAATGTTCAAATTTGATGCTAATGAGAAAATCAAAATAGAATACCCGGATCTTGACTTACACATAGCAGTCGAAATGACTGTACAGATGCATGCTGTGCGCCGAGCTGGAGTTGCTCCAAACTTCTATACTCCGAACCCAACTTACCCTGTACCCTCTTTGCCGAACCAGTTCCCTCAGCCGATGCCTCATGCACAGCCAGCGATGCCAGCACCCCAGTCAAATCAATTTGCAAACCTCATTCAAACGCTCGATGGGCCGGCATTACAATCACTGCTGAACACACTTCAACAAACACAACACGTTCCGCAGGCAGCTATTCCCTCACTACCCATGGCGCCGAACGCCTCGAATCCAGTTGACCTTGCAAGTCTCCTGAGCAATGCCCAACGCCAACAGTACCCTCTTGCGGCAGCTCAAAACCAAGGTCCCCAGCCTCAGGCTACGAATCCCTTTGGTCTTCCACTCTCCGCTCAACCCAGCAATCGATTGGATCCAAATCTCCTCGCATTGTTAGCGAAAGGGGCGGCAAATGGAGGCCCGATCCAGGGAGGCCAAGCAGCGGTTGGCCCTCATGTGCAAAACATTGTCAACCAACTCGCCAAGTGGAAGCAATAAGGCTGGCTTTGTCCTATTATCTGTTTATTGTTTTTTGTTTATCGTTGCGAGCTCGATTATATTTCAATCATGGCGTTATATTGCGTTGGCGTTCCCTCTGTATTTGAACCTTAGAATTCTCTCAAGCATCTTGGACGGTACAGGCGAATCATGGCGATGAATTCAGCGTGCGTTGTCCTCGTGATTTGCTATACACGAATTATGTCTCTGATATCCGTCTCCCTCTCCTAAATATAATGTGTTTAATCCTTTTAAAAGCAGAGTTTTGAATTTTCATACCCTCGTCATTACCATACACAGCCTTTGAATATAATACAGTCTCCAAGTATAAATAATACATCTTGAATCCAAGAAATCACCACGAAACTCCAAAATGGAATGCAATTGCGTTATTCTTCGCCTTTTAATCGAGTCTATCGTGCCTTAACCTGAGCCTCGGCCGCGGCTTTTTCTGCATCCTCCTTTTGTATTTTGGCAATCGTCTGGTCCCGGTTATACTCCATCACGCGCTTCTCTTTGAAATATTTGACCTATCCACAAAAACAGTCAGCTACTATGCATGCATTTCTAACTTCTCACACTCGACCAGGAAAGGAGTAAACGTACCCAAGCCTTGGAACAGGCAGACTCAAACTCGGCAATCTCTTTTCCGCACTTCTTGCGCGCCTCAGAATCGTGTTTGATGGCATCTAGGATATCGTTGCGGTCGAGACAGGAAAAGAAAAGGTCGCGCCCATTATAGCAGACTTCGCGAGAGGAGCGGTCGGGCGCAATACGTCCGCCGTCTGAGGCCTTTGCAGATTGGGGACCGGCGGTCGAGGAGCCGAATAACCAGCTCATTGTGTCAGGTTTGATTTATAAAATTGAAAGGCGGCAATGCGGTAGATTCCGGCTCTGTTTGCAAAAGGAATCTATTTATGAAAGATAACAAATTCAATGAGGTAAATAGATGGATATGTTGAAGTTAAAGTTGCTCCGCATATGTCACTGCGTCGCGGAAGTGAATGCTTGGCTTTTGCGGCCAATTTTCTTGGCGTCGGAGCTGGCCTCGTGGCGTTTGTTTTTCATCATGATTCAATCCTCACAGCCTCCACTCAAGTTATCAACATTTTGCACGTCGCCAGCACAAGATTCATAGCTGCAAATATTCAGGAGAAGTAATCGTTCCGAAGCTACATATAACGATTTCCGCCAGTCCGCCGAAGACTAACACGCGAAAGGGTTGAAAGGGGAAAGGGATGTCGACCTGCAGCCGCACCTCCTGTTCACGATTATCATAACGAAAACACCGCTCCATTTGCGACAGCGTCATACACACATCTACCGGGTGTCGGAGCGCCTTTGAAAATATTTCATGCCTCCAAGGAGGCGCCCACCTCGTCCCGGGGCGCTGACGGAGCTCCCTCCGCTGAAAATCGTCAGGAAGATCCTCTTGCTTCAGGCGCTTTACTATGTCTGCATAACCGCACTCGTGATTTTCACCACCCTTGTGGCGGGTACGGTGTTCTCTCTTGATCTCATATTTGGATGGGATAGTTTCCGAGGAGATACGACGGTGGGATGGATGTTGAGTTTGGTGTGGATCTTAAATAGTTTCCTTTGGTAAGAGATCCCACAATGTCTTACTCACATTAGGGATACTGATAATCATTGTCTAGTGTTATATTCCTCCTCATCTTCGTTTCGCGCTCGAAACTCATCCCCGATTTTGCGCTCACGATACACTTTATACACCTACTCGTCGTCTTTTTCTACACCCATTCCGTACCGAGAAACCTGCTCTGGTGGGCCCTCCAACTCGCAAGCGCCGCTCTCATGACATTTGTCGGAATTTGGGCCTGTCAAAGACGTGAACTAGCACCCATCACCTTCGGCCTCGGCCTTGGACTAGGCGGGCCCAGTGAAAGCGCCTCAGGTGGCGACGGCACTACTCAAGCCGCTGAAACAGGGGAGTCTCACCAACCGGATTCTCTGGGCGATGATCTTGAGAATGGCATGCCGGGGTTTTCTCGTGGGCGAAGAGGGCGCAATCGAGAGGAATATGAGATGGTGCCTATGAAGGAAGTGGAGGGACATACTGCATAACGACCGGACATGAATAGAAGCCCGTCTATATTCCTTGCATTTGTTCTGTGGAAGCTACAGTCATGTATGTGAGTACATGCTGATCTATAATGATGTACATATACCCTACTTGATGTCTCAAATATATTTTTAATATGATTACACCTATCTCGGACGGCATTATTCAGCTATCTTCGAGACGCTGAGTAAAGAGAAGGCGTATGCCCTCTGTGAACATTATTGACATGTTTGATCTCAAATCCAGGTTGCTGATTGGCCATCGGCTTKTTCCGTCCGATGAACCATTTCCCSCGGGGCTTTTCCGATGTCCACAATTGCCTGATTGGATGATGACACCGAAGTATGAGCAAGATAAGAACCTGACTTCTCGCATCGATTCTGTGTCGCCGTCTAATTGTCATTACAGACACTCTACTGCAGATAGACGAATCTTCCTGAACATAGAAGAGACACAGAATGTCTTCAACCGTCACTGAAACCCAGACTCTCCCAACCCGCGTCGTCGGGGTGTCCGATGCGCCTGCTCAACACAGCTTCCCCTCTATTGTCCCTGCAGAGAAGGATGAGAAATTCCAGTCTCTCGTCCGTGGTAACCGGGCCGGCACACTGAAGCTTCGCGGCATCCCTATCCACAATGATCCATATGCGAAGAGGAAATGGATGAAGGAGCATATGGCCGCAGCATTCCGTTTCTTTGGAAAGCAAGGATATGGAGAGGGCATCTCAGGCCACATTTCAATCAGAGGTGCGCTTTTCCCCCGTTTTGAGGGAAACATAACAAGTCTATTCGCTCACTGGTCTAATGCACTAAATAGATCCCGTGCTCAACGATCATTTCTGGATCAACCCCTTCGGCAAGCACTTTTCAATGATGAAGGCTTCGGATTTGGTCCTCGTCGATAGCGAGGGATATGTCTGCGAGGGCGGAAATCAGGAAGTCATCAATGAAGCTGGGTTTATGATTCATTCTGAGATCCACAAGGCTCGTCCTGATGTGATTGCGGCAGCGCATACACATGGAATTTATGGAAAGACGTGGAGCGCTTTTGGGAAGAATATTGAAATGATCAGTCAAGGTTTGACACTCAAGAACTTGATTTAAAGCTTGAGTCTGAATCTGACCTGATATGATAGATGCATGCAACTTTTATGGCAAATGCAGCGTCTACAATGACCATGGCGGCATTGCCTTGGCCCAAGATGAGGGAAGACAGATTGCCGAAGCTCTTGGAGATAATATGGCATGCATTTTGCAGAACCACGGGTAAGCCATCCTTCCAAGGACACAGTTTGCATAGGCAGCTAATCTAATCACAATATTCAAGCCTATTGACCGTTGGAACCACCGTCGACGAGGCCGCTTTCCTCTTTTACAGCCTTGACAAGGCATGCCACTCACAGTTGATGGCCGAAGCAGCCGCAGCAAACGGTATTCCCAAAATAATCATCTCGGATGAGGTCGCGGCGTACACGGCAAGCTCAGTCCAGAACCCGGTTCGTAATTTTGCTCTCAAGATATTGAACTACTGCTGACACTCTTATAGCATAATTTGTACACCGAATTCCAGCCAGAGTTCGAGCTCATTGTAGAGGAGTCTAATGGCCGTGTGCTTGAATAGAGATGCGGAAAAGCGTGGAGCGGAGTCACGATGATATAATGAAATATTTGCACCTTTCTTAATGACATTACATGCGAATAGATTAATTTTTTCTGAAGTAACCCTATACTTGATCCTCTAAACTGTCAATACTATAACCCTAACCCTATATGCTTCACGTGACTATATCCTACCAATATGGATTAGCACGAGTTCATGTGCGATGGACCAGACTGGCCAATCCACGTACTTCGTTTTAAACATGCATCAACAGCGTCGAAATCGAATTCTCTAAAAACACCTTGAACGTACCATTACAGAGGAACCAGTAAAAACAGCTTGACAGACTTCCAAAAGCCGGAGTGTTCTATTTTGCTTGATGAATTGAATATCCAGACAGAGGTTCCACACACAACAGCGCATGATCAGTTACTATACAGAGGGCATAATGAGTGAATGATCAACGAAAAGAAGAAACTGCGAATATACAGCTTGACAGACGTTTGAGCATTGATCCGAAATACATGTACCTGGCTGCCTTGAGCGTGATAGCTCTAAGACATCGGTAACCCAGCAGATTGCCAAAATGGCAACAAGCGAAGCATCATACATAGACTACGACACATTCCTCGACCCCGACTTCAGCGCGGCATCATTTGCAAATACTCTAGTCACAAACACCAATAACATCAACGACACCCAAGTCGATTTGTCAACACCTCTATCTCGAGTTCTCTTCGACGTGCAAGAGATAGACACCCACATTCACAACCTAACCACCAAATCCGCCCTTCCGTTACTCGAGCACACTCAGGACCGCTCACAGAGCAGCCAGCGAATTCTCAGTCAAGTTGAGGAGCAAGTCTCTTCTCTTGCAGAGGGTTATCAACGTCTCGAAAAAGAGGTATTACGCAAATGGGCCAGCGCCGAGGAAGCCAGAGTCGCAGCGCAGAATTCGTTGCAGACGCTTCGTCTAGCTCGCGCAGTTGCGCGATGCATTAGTTTGGGGAGACAGTTGGAGAGTCAGATTGCAGAAGTTACGGGTCGGGTTAGTAGTAGTACTAATACTTCTGGAGCCATGGCGGCAGCAAAAGATGATCATCGCGCAATGGTGCGAGCGGCCACGACTATTCTGATGCTGCGGCAGATGTTTTCTGCGATTGGTGAAGGGGAGGAAGGACAGGGACTGGATAGGGTGAAAGTCATTCGTACGTTGAGAAGTGATTTGGTGATTCCGGCGGAAAACACTACAAAGGCTAGGGCGCAGCAGGTCATAAATCGATTTTCAGTATCGTCTTTGATTGTTGATGGATCTTCGCGGACGAGTAATGGCACCCAATCACCGCCACCAGCGACCTCGTCGTCGTCGTCGTCGACTTATGCGCAGACCGAAGAAGCGAAAGCGAGACTATTTTCTGCCATTACGACGCTTTATTTACTATCACCAACTCCAAAAAACGGCGTGAGCGCAGAGGACTTCCAGCCTGAACTATTGCTATCTACGCTGCAGGGCTACATCCACAATTCACTGACTTCGTCTCTCTCATCTCTTGCGCGCGGTCTGGCCACATTGCCGACTCTAGATCGTGCATTGGCCGAAGTATCAGGCCGATGCCAGGACATCGCCGCATTAGAAGCTCTACTTGCCGGTCTAAAGCGTCCCTCACATCCACTACTCTCATCATCAACAATAACGACGACAGCCCAAACGACAGAACAAACCTCCAACCTCCTAAAACCTCTCCTTCATGTCCTCGACACCTCATCCCTCCCATCCTACTACTGGCGCTCACTAGCATCTTCGCTTCCTAGCAGGGTACAAGAGATAATCAGCCGCGGCGGTGCGGCAGCACGCAGTTTGCGGTCTGGTCGTGACAGACTACGGAATGATTTGCGCGAGTGCGTGTTGCGCGGTTCTCAGTTGCCGGCTAATGTTGCCAAGGGTCGGGCTGTCAGCGGAGCTCCTGGTGCAGGAGGAGCTTCAGTTGTGGTCGGGAACTGGGAACGGGAGGCGGCGGTTATGGTTAGTGCTGTTGTAGGGGCGTTGGGGCGGTAGAATGCGCTTCCGTTTGATTCTTTTTGTGTATTTCAATTGGATGAGAAGTATATACTAGATCTACAATTTCGTGTGGATTGATAATGATTTGGTGCATACCGACCGTTTCACAATGAGTCTCTGATGTATGTAAAGATGCTGAGCAACCCTAGGCACTGCCTGATGATGATGATGATCTCCGGGGCCAAATCTCGTATAACGTATACGTACGTGGGTGATCTAATCCTTGCAGGAACAGATCTCAGCCACGTATCTCAAACAACGCCCAGCACAGCATTGATTTTAGCATGACGTAGCTGGGCAGGTGAGCATGTATGTGCATGCAGTGTGGCTATGTATGTATATATGCACATGTACACCGACATTGCAGCAGACCCAACCCCTCATATACGCAGCATACAAGTCGAGTATTATACTGTCTTCGTATCACTAGGCTCGTTAAATAAACCAGTATCATAGCAGAATGATACTAGCTGTCGAAAGATTGTGTACGAGACTGGGGGCCACTGCAGCTGCTGATGTAAAATCCGCGAAAAGGATATGATTTTTTATAAGTAGGGGGGCAGCTCTGCAGACAGACAATCTACACCATCCATCCCGGCCAAAATCATATCAATATTCCTCGATACATCGAGCGAATCATCCAGCGCTGCCGGACACGTTATTCTTAAGAGTTGCATGAGGAACCATTTCCGAGTCGACGATACAAAGGTAAGAGGATCCCCAGACTGGCGAGAAGAAACTTCGTCACTCTTCCTGGCGCCGATGATGAGGCACCATATCAATGCTCCTGGTAAGGGGCCGTGATATAGGTGTAGAACATTTGATCTTTGTAGAAGAGATTGTAGTTTGATGATATATTCTTTTATTACCGGTCGATCTGTAGAAAAAGAGGGGGAAACGAATAATGATATAGCGCAGAGTAGTATCTGGTCTATAGGCGTATCAGTCTCGACACGAAATGGAATCGAGTTGAGCGCAATAAAGTTGTCGCGGAGAAAATGCCACTGTATTCGAATTTGGAGAAGTCTTTGCAAGTCCCCATTCTGGTTCTGATGATAGTTTGATAATTTTTGATACTGGATCGATAATGTGACCAATTGGAAAAAGTCACTCAAAAGACGTGTAGTCGAAAGGCTAATTTTTCCTTCCCAGAATTGTGTCTGGCCTCGCTGAAAGGTCATAAGTTTGAAGTCGGTAGGTTGAGACATTATCAATGTCTCGTTTTCGGGATTATAATCCAAGGAAGGAGACACTGAACCAGCAAATCCTTTGATCACTGGTTCAATTTGATATATACTGATTGTTTTCAGACTGTGGCCTTCACAAACTTACTGGACGGGAACTCTTACACTAAAATACTGATCTTAAGACTCACATCTATGCCATCTATTCCGCCTCGCAGATCAAGTAAGCGATGGATATTTCTCTTATGCCGCAGGTATCCGACTTCATCACCGTTCATTATCTGCAGATTGTTAGCAATCATTATCTTAGAGTAGCTAGAGACTCACCTCGAAAGACAATAGACTCAACGACGAGATGAGGGTCACATCAATATTAGCACCATTGGCATTAGGGCCAGTCACCTCCTTTATGGAATCCAGAAGCATACTCTCGGCAATGTCTCTCTGAAACAAAGTCAATGCACTGATTTCGGGACTCGGTCCATTGAGATCGTCCCATGCTGTAGCATTCACGAGCTTAGTGCTCATGAGTGGTGGATGGAGGACCGTGATAGGAATCATGGCGCGGAAGAATGGGTGGAGGTAGGCGCTTGATTCGATGTATTGGCGGAAAACTGTTGATATTATTATCCATGCATAGAGACGGGAGTTCGGATGAAGAAGTGTCTAGAGTGAGACATTTCTACCGAATAATGGGACTTACAATATCTCAGCCTCTTATTCACAGTCTCGGAAACGGTCAGCCATGGCAAATCCATCTTCCACGTCAGCTCTCGGCTGGGGGACCCTAGTCCATTGACATGTACTTCCTGGGACTTATTCCTGACTATCGTACGAGCTTGTAGCTGTCCATCACGTCGAAGCTGAGACTTTCGAATCATGGAACGAACATGACTGATTCTTTTGCTCTTGTCCTTTTGTGGTGGGCCTGTGATGACCACAAAGGACGAGTCGTCTATTCTATCTTTTTCCATACTTTCCTGAAAAAACCTGTTGGTGATTTGTAGGTGAGACGATTACTCGAGAAGAGAATGAGACGATAATATTTGCCCCACATGCTTTTAGTACAAACTCCCGACTAGGTTTAGGGTATTGCGCTAAGCCGCATTTGACAGTTGCCGTATGAGGAAGGAAGGCTTGGTTCACACAGATTCATCGCTCAAGTTCGTCCGAACAGTCAATATACGACAATTTCTCTGGGTTTATCTCAAACCTTTATCATAGAGAGCAATAGAGCGGTAAGTCCGATCTGGTAGAGGGATATAAATACGGAGAATATCCTCGACTTCTCGAAAATGGAATCAGCTTTCAAAGTACACCTCTTTCCATACGATCAAAATGTCTACGGGTCTAGATTCAAGCGCCGTCTGGCTCAGTGAGTACTATATCGTGAAAACAAAATACTGGAATAAGCTGACGAGACAGTCACTGGGTGTTCATCCGGCCTCGGCAAAGCCTTTGCCCAAGCAGTCTACAACCAAGGCCACAACGTCGTCGCAACAGCCCGCAACACAAGCTCCCTCTCCTACCTGCCCGACGACTCTCCGCGAGTTCTTAAACTCAAGGTCGACGTCACCTCCAAAGAATCCATCGTCAATGCCGTCAGTGCAAGCGTCGAGAAGTATGGTCGTCTCGACGTCGTCATCAACAATGCCGGGTATGCGCAGATGGGTGACTCTGAGGGCATACCCGAAGAAGATGCACGAACAGAAGTTGAAACTCTGTTCTGGGGGCCTGTATTCTTGATGCAGGAAGCAGTGCGAGTGTTTCGAGAGGTCAATAACCCTCGGCACAACGTCGGTGGCACTATTGTGAATATCACTTCGATGGGCGGAACGATTACAATTGCTGGTAACTCTTTCTATCACGCTGGGTAAGATTCATCCCTCTATCCGTCGAAAGGCCAAATATATTAACTGTCGCAAAGAAAATTCGCCTTGGAAGGCTTCACAAAAGCCATGGCACAAGAAATGAAGCCAGAATGGAACATCCGGCTTCTCCTCGTTGCCCCCGGAGGCATCCGCACAAACTTCGCGGGCAGTGAAACTGCCAGCCTCAAAGTTGCGCCGCGGCATCCAGCGTACAACACTGGTTCAGATCCCCTGAGCCAGGTGTTGGGTTACATCAACAGTGCAGGCGGAGTAGAGACGTGGAGTGATGCCGATCTCTGTGCTGGTCTACTCGTTGACATGCTCGTTGCAGCGGGCGGTAAAGAGCGGAAATACAATGGGAAGGAACTGCCTCGGAAGGTGTTAATTGGGAGTGATGCGGTGCAGTATGTGAAGCTGGATTTAGAGGCGCAGTTGAAAGAGATTGAGGACTGGAAGAGCGAAAGTGAGAGTGTTACGATGAAGGGTGGTGCCAATTTAGACTTTATGAAAAGTGCATAAAAGGACCGAAGATGTAGATAGTCAGATCAATGATTGAATCGCTTTGCAGCTTTGTATACGTACAACATGCTCGTACCGATGTACAGGTACGTCCACATGCTTCTACATATGTAAACTATCAACCACAACATTGAACATGGGAGCAAGGGGTGCACACCTGCAGCGGCTGAGATGAAGGTATTGTTTGCAATGGCATCCCGGGGTCTCACCGTATTACTCGAGTGATTTCTGATGTCAGATCACATGCTGCAGCCTAGATCTCAGCCTGTGCTTATCGATTTGTCGTGAGGTGTCTGTTCCATTAGCTGTGTGTAGTACAAATTGATAGCATTCAGGACCGAGAGCGCAAAAGCGGAGTTGAGATGTCGGTAAGAAACTCTTATCTATCTGGTCATGCTTGAACACCACGATATAATTCTGGACATATATACATATACATTTATACAATAGAAACTAGTATTCGACTAAAGCAAAGATAGTATCGCTCAGAGACTCACCTATTAATAGCATAGATAAATACTCTTACGTACTTAGTAATTGGTGATATGCAAGGGTGCCGGCATATATACACTCACAATACTACCTAGGAAGTACTAGCGGTAGCGTGTAGGCAGATACAACGCCATGGCCCGTATGCGACCAGGCACAGACAGACAGGCCCAGGCACGGAATTGGGAGGTCGGCTGACGGGTCGGGATTTGGGTCTGACTCGGATTGAGTTCTCATTTCATAGATTCTACCGAGAAGGACACTTTGATAAATTGGACTGTCTTGCTAGCATCACTGTAGACATACTTTTATACCCCCCAGTAGATGAATGCCAGTATTCTCGCGAGCATATCCGGAGTATTATGTATACCATGTAATGTATATTACTGCGGACAGACAGTTGATTGGCTAATGGCAGGATGACATGTGACGGCGACAGATCCACAGGGCCGTCTTGGCGGGTGGGGAACCCCTTCAAGCTTTCGCCGATCGATCTTGTAATTCTGCGTTCTCTGTAGTATGCTCGCCGTATTGCACCACTCAGCGCTCAGCGTTGGATTACATGCATTACTATGCATTACGCATGCCCAAAGCGGAAACGGGCTGATTAAGGGCCCGTGAGTCACGAGTGCGCCTTCTCGCCACTCTGTCGTCGACGATAGGACATATATAGAAGTACTACGTATATCTGTCTGGTAGTTATTGTCTGGTTGTCAGCCATTTTCATCTGGTACCATCTTCCCAATGGTTCCACTGCGCGACGATGTCGGAATCACCGGGCATCATAGCTGGAAGTCTAGGTCGCGACGTGGTGGACGTTTTCAGACGGCAGAAGTTCGTTTCGCTGCTACCTGTATCCTGTACGCAAAGACAGTACCAGGAAACCGTCGGTCAGTGTTCTTGTCTGACCTCCTGGCTTGTCTTCGCAGCGAGGTACCGTACCACCGCCGTGCGTATAAAGTTTCAGGACATCAGAGCCGGAGACCGGAATGGCGGGGAAGACGATATAACAGCTACGTCAGGGATTGATGGCGCCGTTTCCGTCCTGATCGCTAGTATGCCGATCGTTGATTATATAAAGACTACATCGTACGTAGTATTGTAGGATAGCGACGAAACACGCGTCTGCTGTCACTCTTCCATCTTCCATCGATGGTCTGTGGAGCGTATTGAGACAGAGAGAGGAATGCGACGGATCGATCGCAAACAGCTCCGGGAGGAATCAATGAATCATCAATGTTCCCCTGGTGTCCCCACCAGGCACTACATTAACCCGATTGGGAGTAGCCCCATCCCCCGCCAGGGTCGCGTCCGCCCAATTGCGTTGACTGTATCTACTCCTGTGCTTTTTGTGTGTATGGACAGTCACAGTATGTATGTAGTAAGAAACTGTCCGAGGAGTTGATACGATAAAAGACAGTAAGCGCTGTTCTGGAAGGTATTCCCACATACCTAGGCAAGGTACGTGGAATGTGTACTGTGTGTAGTACACATAGATTACATGATACACCACTGGCTTTATTGGCTTGAGCACATACTACTGGTACATAGAACGGAGTGCTATCGTTTCGATAGAATTTCACTTGATGTCCAGTAGCAATAGTTACCAAGTATTCAATCGATTTCAATGTCTACTCTGTAGTTGTCAATGCTAGTCTAAAAGATGCCCTGTTTTCGCCCACGCAACCATGGCTCGCAAGGCCTGGACAGTGGGCGGACCCCTCTGCCCCTCGCGTTACTAGCTTCCACTCACACAGTCACGACGACTCTTGCCGTCATCTCTCGACTCTCTCCAGCCAATCTTGCCGTCTCGTCGTTTCTTTCTGTCCCGGCTTCTTTATCTCCAGACGACTCACTGACTTGCATGCCGCCACACATACATATGCGATCGCTTCCTACATAGCCCTGTCCTATCACCTTTGATTGATATTAAATATTCCCCTCGATTTCGTGATCTATCAACTTGCGACACCACCCGAGTCGACGGTTGCTCTGTGCGACTTTTCTTGCACAGCTCCGGTGATCCATCTGAAACCCTAGTCTGAGAATTCCGCCCCGAAAGTTACAACTGACTACACTTACAACGTTGAACGAACGAGCTTCGAATTACACTGCGACAAGAGTAAAGACATGTCCTGTTGCCGTTGATTTTCCTTCTTCCGTTCTTCTGACTACTATCTTTGCCTCCACCACCCAGCCTTACGTTTCGTCTCAATCATCGCCCGTTAAGCCGGGCACAATCATTACGTGGACGGACTGGCTGGCTTGGCTTTCCTGTMCCTGGGCCGGCCTCAGCCGCTCGCCATTCTGACCTAGTGTCATCCTGATCTTCTCTTCCCCCCATCATCCTCCTCCTTCCTCTCCCCACCACTGCCTTCTTCTTCTAATATCTTATGCGCCGGTTGCACCGCCAATATCATCATTTCTGTGAGAAAGATCGGTCGCCGTGACGCTTTTCTTGTCATCATTTTGATATCGCTCATTTTTTCGCTCTCTTTCTCTTTTCTAGCCTTGTTTCTTTTGTCGTGGGATTCCTGGTTTTCGATCGGTACGGCTGACGACAACTATTCGACACAACATCGACTATATATTCTATTTGACGCCTTCGATCAACTGATATATATCGTATTATCGTATACAACTTCGTAAATTCACCTCACGCTGATCGATTCGGAGAGTCGGCACAATGACCTCATTTCTACCAGTCAACAGGACACCCACGCCAAACAATATGAAGATGGAGGATGTGACATCAACAACGCCTCGACCGGACTCGTCAGATTCTCGACTCTCGCCATCAAAGACGGACTCTTCTCAAACTCATTCATTATCTTCACATCGTCGAGCGCCATCCACAGCTTCGACCGGCGACGAGACCACGGTGGCAGACGACGAACCCGACCGCGACCAGTCTGACAACGAACATGACAACGAAGAAAATGCACCGCCATCGAAGAAGAAGAAGGGGCAACGATTCTTTTGTACCGATTTCCCGCCCTGTACGTTGAGTTTCACTCGAAGCGAGCATCTTGCTCGCCATATCCGCAAACATACCGGTGAACGGCCATTTCAGTGTCATTGTTCGAGACGTTTCTCGCGATTGGATAACCTGCGCCAACATGCTCAAACCGTTCATGTGAATGAAGATATTCCTGGAGACTCGCTTGCGGCGACAGGCACTCGGTTTCAGCGTCAGATTCGTACCGATCGCGTGCGCCCTCCACAAGGCCGCGCACGAGCTGGCACGACAGGAAGCCAGAGCGGTCACTCTAGAGGGCATAGCCGGAATCTTTCTACCTCAAGCATCGCTTCTACGGCTTCCAGCTTGAGCCAGGCTCCGGACCTGCGACGACGACCACCTCCTTTGATTATGGCCAATGACGGCAGTGCTCGAGCACAACTTTCTCTAGGCGCCATGGCTGAACCTACAACCCCCCCGAGTCAAATTGCTCGGTCAATTCCCGGTCCATCACCCGGTCATGGTTATCCCGCATTTTCTGCTGGCGGTGGTTTGAGTTCTCACTACGCTTCTCCCATGGCTGCTACTTCACACCAACCGGGATATTGGGATGCTCGGGGACATGCCCGTCGCCTATCTGTTCCATCCGGCCCGAACCCCTTTACCAATCATGAGACCTATCCTCCATCATACGTCACTTCCGTGCCCCCTTCTCACGCTCCATACACACCCGGCTCATCTGTATATGCCAGTCCTACTAGTTCGAGTTTTGGGCCTTCTCGTGATGAAGGATTGAGCCCGTCTGAAGCAGAGCTTCGTCGGCGAACATGGCATCCTTCGACTTATCCTCGCCCAGCCACTAGTGGCTTGACTAAATATGAAGAATCTGCAAATACACTTCGTCCTGCTTTTGGTGCTGGAAACACCGCTGGTCAGACCACTCGATTGCCTGGTATTGAGAGTTTCGACAAGGTCGTTCAAGGCCGTCCACTCACTCCTCCTTTACGAAAGCCTAGTCCCATGCAGATTGACACACCCAGCCGTGGTCCACCGTATACTCCTGGATTCGCGGGACAAGTGCCGTCCAGTCGGCCTCCGCCTGCAATGTCGGGACTAGGTCACCGCCGTGCTCAGCCATCCTGGGATCTGCATTACAATCTTACTGGACTTAATCTCGGATCTTCCAATCCGTCTTACAAAGAAGCCAGCACTCCATGGGGCCAACAGGTGTTGGGAGAAATCCATAGTGTTGGGTCACGACCGATGAGCAGTGGCCAGCCATTCACTTCTACTCCTCGTCAGGAACCAGCTACCCCGCAGAATACCCAGCGATACAGTATTCAAGCCGCAACTGCCACGCCGGGGTCGCATGTTACTCGTACTTCCCCGGAGGATTCTAGTAGTAGTGAGGGCGTCGCGACTCCGTCGACTGTTTCTATGGAGTACCACCCGGCTATTGTACATAGCAATGGTCATGTGGAGCCCGCCGTGGCCCATGAAGCTCCTGTAAGTTTTCACATTGTCAATCATCAGAAAGAAGAAACATGAACCTAACGTTGATAGAACTGTGCTCCTGCTCAACAAAACGGATACACACCTACGAACCGACCAGGAATTTTTGAGAATCCACCTGCTGGAGCGAGCGGCATGGGTCGACTCGAAGCACTGGTAGCAGTTGCAACTAGCGAAGGCAAGTCTGCCGCTCGGTTGTTCTAGGCGATCTTGACGATCACGATATTATCATTTTTGAACATTGAATGTTCTTCCAATTTCGACTGTCAGATATACAGTCGTATTACTCACGACACACCACTCTCTGCTTCGGTGTATTTGATTTTGTGCAATGTTATTATTACTTGACGATGCTACGACATGACTCATGACTTGGTGTATAAAGGAATGAATGGTTTTGACCAGGTTGGGTATTTGTTTTCACAATGTCTGTGTTTTGTTGGCTTGATGCCTGCCACGCCTTATGAACCTGATGATGGGCGATATGGGATGGATAGGATGGAATTTGATTATGCTTAATACCCAGCCATGACCTTTCGCTTCGTGCTTTTTTGTTGTGATCTGATTAGATCAATTTATCCTTTCTCTTCGGATACGTGTGTGATATTGACGATTATTATTTTACTCTATATGTATGTTGTTGTTGTATCATGATGGACTTTGATATATGAATATATTATATACTATTTTACATTCACCATCAGTTAATAATTTTACAACGCAGGCCCACAAGTAGAGTTAGCGATGTCGTAGGGCGGCTTAAAGATCACTAATTTAAATGAATCCTGACCCAAGTGGAGCACACAGTTACTTAAAAGAAGAGGTCGAGCGGTCAAAATGTCTCACTCGCCTTTATCACCTGTAAGAGTGAGTGTGTTGTAGATCACGATGAATGCAATGGAGTACGAACTTGATCACCGGCCTTCCGATATCGACTCTCCCAACAACGACAATGCCAGCGACAATGCCAGCAATGAAACAGAAACAATCACAGGTATCGAGCAGCAATACCTCCACCCCGCCGACCGCGGTCTTCACGCCTACCTCTCCCTCTTATCCAGCTTCATCCTCGAAGCGCTCATCTGGGGATTCGCATTCACTTTTGGAATTTTCCAGCAATATTACTCCACCCACCCACCGTTCAACAAGGATGTATCCAATATCGCCGTCATCGGAACTTGTAGTATGGGCATAATCTACATCCTATCGCCATTGGTTTTTGGTTTGCTGTTGGGGTTCCCGAAATTGAAGCGGTATTCGTCGGCTTTTGGGCTTTGTGTCATGGTGCCCGCGTTGTTGGGTTCATCGTTTGCGAATACCACGACCCAATTACTCGTCACGCAGGGCATTGCATATGCCATTGGCGCGAGTTTTGCGTATGCGCCGCTGATTCTCTTTATGGAAGAGTGGTTTGTGAAAAGGCGCGGATTCGCATTTGGGATTATGTGGGTGTGTATCTCCCCCCGGGGTCTGCACAGCTTAGATATATGCTGATATTGGTATAGGCAGGAACAGGCGTCTCCGGCGTCGTCCTCCCTCTAGTAATGCAATGGCTCATCAACACCCATGGCTTTCGCACAACCCTGCGCGTTTGGTCCACTGTTCTCCTGGTGCTGATCGGCCCACTCCTCTACTTCGTCAAACCGCGCATCCCCATCGCCCAAAACTCGAGTACGAGACCATTCAACCTCAAATTCTTACGAAACAAGAGTTTCATGATCTTCCAACTGGGTAACATGCTGCAAGCATTAGGATTTTTCCTGCCAACTATTTATCTGCCAACCTATGCGACTAATACGCTTGGCGTGAATGCGGTTGTTTCTTCGTTGACAGTCATCCTTTTCAATCTTGCGTCGGTCTTTGGATGTATTGTCATGGGCGCAATGGTTGATCGGTACCAGGCTACGACGTGCATCCTGCTCTCGACAATCGGGAGCACGGTCTCGGTCTTTCTCATCTGGGGGTTTTCGTCCTCTCTTGCACCTTTACTCATTTTTTGCGTGGTATACGGCGTCTTCGCTGGGTCCTTCTCCTCAACCTGGCCCGCTATTATGCGTGAAGTCAAGATCCAGGAAACATCCGTCGAACCGGCGATTGTATTTGCGTTTTTGGCTGCCGGGAGAGGGATTGGGAATGTTGCTAGTGGGCCCCTGAGTGATGGGTTGTTGCAAGGGTATCCGTTTGAGGGTGTTTTGGGGGGTGCGTATGGGACTGGATATGGCAGTTTGATTGTTTTTACGGGTGTGACGGCTTTGTTGGGTGGGTTGAGTGTTTTGGCGAGGCCGTTGAAGTTGATTTGATCAGTCCTGAAATAAACATAGGCATTGGTATATCACTGGTGTACTTCCAGATAGATAGACCAAGGTAGTAGGCGATTATCTAGATTCTTTTTAATATGTACCTTTGTTAGGAATCGGCACCCGTTTGCTTTGGAAGTACAAAACCAAATTAGGTGTGGATTTGGCTTTCTGTAACTGTTTGACTCGACTGCTCACGTTGTCGCGGTGAGCTCATCTTGCCAGGCACCCGCCACTCTTTCTTTACTTTACCTCAACAACTGACCAACTTCACGCTCGGATTACCTCTGAAATCTCGAGAAATTTCATGATCCTCTAACGCCCGCAAGGCTCCAAACAAAAATGGGACACCAAGCTTCTGACCTGCGTACAAGACTCGACTCATTATTGAGGACCGTCATCATTGACGAAGAGACGCAAAAAGCTCTCTCATCAGACGGTTATGTCTCCGGCCAGTCTTGGAAAAACATGATATCACTCTTGAGTCTCATGAATTCGACAACACCGGCAACAGCGCAATCACGAACAGCAACCTTGACCCTCGATGTTGTTTGATTACTGTTCTCCGGAGTCTTTCCAGCAGCGTCCCAGTCGACGTGACGTAAGTTTTAAGCTACTCTGATATAGAGTCGGGAAGTTTGACTGTGCTTATTCACAATACATAGAGGTCGTCATGCATTATTCGCCGGCGTTGGATTCAGCAACAATATCGATCATCAATACAAGCCCTGGAACTCCGAGTATGAAAGCACACGGTCCGGCGGCAATAAATCAATACTAGACGTTGGGCACGAGAGATCGATCTAATTTGGAGAGCTCGCATTGCTTCTTACAGGTATGCGAAACCGCGCTTATCAGCCCACCGTGTTCACGTATCAGGATTCAAACGAAGAGTCAGAAAACGGGGAAAACATTCCGTTGGGTGAAGGGTTCCTTTCGAAAAGTGAATGGCGGTTTCCGGTATGCCTCTATCTTTTTGCATACAGACATAGCCCCTGCAACCGACATTAGTTCTTGGTGTCGTAGGTTCTCATGGTCTCCATCATCGGCGTATAGCATGCGCGAACTTCATATGCTTGCATAGATGGCCTAAATGTAGTCATTCGCCAATCACGAATCTGGAGTTTGGAAAAGAAAGACGAAAAACTGTTCAATTTTCTCTCCTGCTTCTTATTGAACGGATATTTGGACGAAAGCCTGGTAGAAAGTCTCCCTCAACAAATTGATTCGACATTCTTGACACAGAAAGGAAGATTTTGTCAGCCGTGATGTCGTATTCCTGAAATCAATCGTGGCGGCATTCACTGGTCCGGACTCGATAAAGAAGTGTTGATTATAAAAAACACTTGGGAGTACCCCCTGTGACCCAATCTAGCAAGTCTGGTGCAATTCAGTCAATTAATTACCGTCAAGGTTAATTGAAGCAAAGAACCTACAATTGCTCACTTGACTATCCCAATATCCTCGATCGAGCCTAGAACGCATGCAGCTAATTTTGGCCTCTCTGCAGACGTTATGAAGGTAGCACTAGCTGTTGGCACAGACAGAGTATGTATGTTGCTGGAGAGGCCAGACTACTGGAGTTCTCCCAGAGGCTTGCGGAATTTCGGTCAGCTCAGATGAGATCAAACCTATGTTGCAGCGTACTATTCAAATATCTCACAGAGAAGAATATATATATCCTAATGCCTATGCACAGGGTCTTAGAGGCTAAAAATATCTAGAGATATCTCATCATCGCCTACAAGGTAGCTTTAGAAAATCTAGAATGAAAGGAGATCACATTAGATATGTGATTTATGTTGGTCTACCTGGCAGAATCAACCAGATACGATCCTAACGCGAGCCCCGGAGGAGGCCCGGGCCACCCCCCCGAAAGGGGTGGAGCAGGTATACCGTGGATGGGGTGCGTGACGCACCCGTGGCAACCACAGAGGAAGTAACACAAAACGTCCAATCTCTAGAACGACTATACAGCTGACTGTTGAAAATCTACAAAAAAACAAAATGCGGCGACCGAGATTCGAACTCAGGTCTTATCGGATCGTAGATGATTTACCACAACGATACGTCCTGACCAAACTAGACTATCACCGCGGATAAATTCCGGCCCGAAACTTTGCCGTGATAAACGCAAGCCATGTGATCTTAATTTCAGCTAATGTATTCGTCCCGTCGCTTCCAGCCATCGGAGACCGGGAAGCAACGAGATGAGATGGAAACACCATCACGGTCCGTCGTCTTTCTTTTCTATCGCGAGAAATACAGTTTGATGCCAGACTGATGTATATCATAGTTACAATTAGTAAATCCACAGTGCCAGACAATTTGTTCGACCAGTACAGAGTCACCGGGATCCTCAATAACCAATTGAGCCAAAGAGACCAATCTGGCTAATTACTGCACTCGGACATCGTTTCAACGCAGCAATCTATAGGCATCGGTACGTTTATACACAAATCTTGCATATTCTGCAATGCTAAAAGCAATGATCTGGAACCCTTCGTTCATATATCTCAAATGGAATAGCATCAACTCTTCATAGAATACGCTCCCTTTGCCATTTTTACTCACACATACTCTATACGATCCTGGTTGGAGCCTTCTACGCAGACATAAATATGGGCAATCTCCCTTCTTACTTAGACCCGAAAAGAAATAAAATTCAGTCCTCAATCTAGTCAAAATTCAGCCGTATTATGTGATCCGTGACTCTGTTTTGTAGGCTTTCCGGACTAGCCTTACACCAATCCAAGCTCCATGTCCACTTGGACCTTGTTAAACCGACCAAATCATAATGCATAGGTAGTTTAAAAAACATAAAGATACTGGAAATCGAGCGCGGGGAAATGGGTTCATCACCGCCGCACGCGGTCCAAAAAAGAGGGATGTAACCCAGATATGAAATCTGGACAGTATCCTTGGTGTGATGCGGTAACCCAGAATCGAACGGGGGTCTATTCGGAATCGTAATCCCACAACGAATCGTACTAACCACTATACTATTACCGCTTGTTGAAGGAATAGAGGATTAATGAAATATCAATAGACATCTCCGGGGCGAGAATAACCAAGAGGTGACCCGGTGGAGCGGTATTTGACCGATGTTCTGAAGTTTTCGTGGCAGGAATTGAACAGACTCGCAGATATGTGGGTTGATATCGATGGTAATGATAAGAGGGATCGGGGTTCTTCATCGAGAAAACCATTTGAGAAGGGGGGGTGGGTTGTCTCACAATATTGATATGGCTTCGCTTACGTTGCGAGAATATCCTTCGGGCTCTCATCTGCAAGCCGTCGGCCAAAGTGGTAGAGATCTGACCCGGCCTTTTCCTCTGGAAATGCATTGCGAACGCTCAGAAATCTCCGAACGTATTTCGTAAGAGCTTCAAAGAAAATTTTCATCATTACCGTTTGGCAAGTATCGGGTATGATGTCCTCCTAAGTGTAGATCCGCAAGCGGAGGGTATCCAAAGACAAGAATAAAAGAACTTTCCGTATTATCGGCCTGAGCCGGCCGGTTCCCCATATCATTTTCTTCTCCAAATTTTCTCAAATGACATGTCTGGGAGAAGGTAAATATCCGCGCTATTATATATTGGAGAATAGGTTTGTTCCACACAAGTTTGAAAAGTGGCAAGAAGAATGCCCTTGGGTTTTTCTGTCAGGTCACGCGAGAAACGGTCTAAAGCATTCCTGGTTGTAGTTCCAAGATAGATAACAGTGAGATTGCGTAATATCGCCTGAAGACTGGCGAACTTCCATTCATCTAGCTCCGAAAAATAACAGTTGACTCTTTGCATAGAATCCGAAACGATGTAGAGCTCTGCAGGCGTAAAGGTCGAGAAACCAATGTAGAACAGGTGTTCATGAGATTAATGCTTTTAGGGGCACGTTTCGCCCGCTTTAGCGACTTGAAGTGCAGGATTCGGTTCAAAATTGTATTTGAAACTAATATATTCTGCACAAATAATGTTTGCAAGGTTTCCAATCGCTCTGGGGAGTTATCGTGCCCTAGAATTCGCGCTCGAAGGGTATGACTGAAGAGTTTCAAGCACCATATTGGATACGTCAAGGCTATATGCCTGAGTGCTCGCTGGTAACATTGCTATCAGTGCTTTCATATCGATCTGAAATCCAGCCATTGTGGCCGTGTAGTGATGAAATGATCTAAATCCTCGAGTGTCTGCAGGAAGAAAGGTTATCGCACTTCGTTGGCACAAGCAAAGAATTTGATTCCATTCTTGCTAATCGTTCCGGAATTGTATGCTGAGGGATTGAATCGAGATATGCTGTGACGCCCTCAGTCTGGTCTTCTTTGGAACATGCGATTGTAACTCCGCATCCTCATATCCTCCTTCCTAGACGGAGGAGTTTTTCGAAAGTTGTTATAACGAGAGCACTTGAGGCTCTAAGTCTGAAGCCCTTTATCCTCGAGATGATAGAGCCCTTCGGTAGTAGGATTGTCGAAATGGTTGTCCATATGTTCGGTATTCCGCGCGGTAGAAGCCACCACGGTACATATAAGTGTCGGTATAACATGGTCCAAGAACAAGATGCTTGGATTGGTGTAAGGCTAGTCCGGAAAGCCTACAAAACAGAGTCACGGATCACATAATACGGCTGAATTTGACTAGATTGAGGACTGATCGCTAGAATTCAGGAACGGGAGAATTGTCCACTTTTATATCCCTGTAGAAATTTCCAAACAAAGACCATACAGAGGATACGTGCGTAAGGAATGACAAAGGAAAGATGAAAGGGAGCAAAAGATAAGTGCTATTCCCAGTATCTGAGACATATGAACAAGCGTTCCAGACTGTTGCTTTGAGCGTTGCAGAATATGTAACGTAGTGCGTACGAACGTAAACAGACAGGTGCGTGTAAAAATGAATTTCATTGCTGGGTTCAAACAGTAAGATGAAATGGACTAGAGAAAAGCTCTCTTGTGAAGAATTGGGTTGAAGTTAATGTATGGATAGAGAGTTCTCAATTTGGCACCATCTGAAACCTAGGTAGTTTCTTTAGAAATCATGACTGATTTGGCGTTACGAAGCTCTGGAGCAAGCTTTGATATTAAGATAAGACTGCTATGGCACAATTTAGAATTAGAGGATTTAGAAACAATGGGAGGCAGAACAAAAGAAATAATAAATTAAATAAATTCAATACACTCATCTTTGACTTCTTTGTCTGTTGCCAAGGTAGTCTTTTCATTCGCTTAAAGGGAGGGGCTATAACTCTAGTTGAGATCAAAGAGTTCGGTTTGGATGGATCAATCTCTTTCGAAAAGCTCGCCTTGCTTATCACGGCCATCCAGACCCGTACCTTTTAGCATCATGGCTTCGTAGGATCAGACCAAAATCCGACGAGGAATCAGCAGAGGGATATGATATTGCACCTTGACGAAGAAACGCTTTTCGAAAAGTGAAAAGGGCTTCCAGTAAGTCAAATTTCTGTCCTATCGTTTCCCTCCAACCTGCCGTTGCTTTTCTACGCATTGTTCCTTGCAGTAAGTCCTGACGTGGTGATGTAGATCCTTATGGTCTCTATTGTCGGCTTACAATATTCGCGAAGATTACTATGCTTGTATGAATGGCTTGAAGATAGCAATCCAGCATTCGGAAAAATACAACCTGTTTTGGAAGGCCGATAAGACTCTTTACGTTCTCTCCAGCGTTCTATTGAGTAGATGTCTTGTTGGGCAGACGTCTTATTAGCAGTCCATCAGAAGACGATCAACTACAGCTAATCAAAATGAACACGTCTATACGCCAACACGCCAAAGAAGGATATTGTTTTGGCAACCTTGGTGGAGCAAACCGACACAGAATTGTGATAGTCGATTACAAATTCCTCCTCCAACAAAGATGGTCGTATGAGAATATCTATTGAAATTTTTTTTGTTTCCATGGATAATAAGATAGGAAATTCATATAAACTGCGTACAATAATAAACTGGTTTGTGCTCTAAGACACAAATCGGCAACAATGTATTGGTTTCTAGGATCAATAAGTCTAATCATGAATTTCAGGATGTACAAACAAACGCCAGTACTCTTGAAAGTCCAATGTCTGCGTTGCGCCCACGCTCTCTCCCTTCCTTTCTCGTCGTGTAAATCCGTTACCCAGGTAGGCATACCGGTTAAACCTAGCCTCTGGCATCCGATCCATGACAAAGTCTTCCCAGCGCGGGTTTTTGATAGCTTCCATAAAATGAAAAGAAGTACCTCCATAGATAGCAACAACAGGGCCGTCCACAGTTCCGCGTTTATACCAACTACGGCACCCCCGAGTCCATACAGTACGTTCTAAGTACCGTTGCATGTGTTGATTATATTCCTCATTTGCGTCGTCACGAACTTCAAAGCTGCGAATCATTTCCGTCTGTAACTTCTCCAGCCACTTGTAAATGTAGACTGCTGTTGCTTGAATGCCCAGGATTAGAGAGCCATTGCTGATGGGGCTGTTGGGCCCGATGAAGCAAAAGTAGTTTGGCATATCTGGAACAGAGAAGCCAAAGTATGCTTTGGGTTGCTCCGTGTTCCATTTTTGAGCCAAGTCAACACCTTTACGACCGACGAGAGGGAATGAGGGTTTGAATGATGTGTCAAATCCGGTGGCACATACGATTACATCGTATTCTTTAGTCTCTCCGGACCTGGTAACTATACCCCTCTCAGTTACACGCACCACATCGTCCCATCTGAGTTCGATATTTTTCTGGGTGACAGCTTCCAGAAATCCCGGTCCAGGAGTTTGACGTCGGCATCCAACAGGAAAATCTGGTAATAAATACTCGGCTGCTTTGCGTCCCTTTTCGCTGTCACCGAGTCGCTCAATCATGCTCTTTCGGAACATCTCCTGCGCACGCTTCTGGACGTCACTATCGGCAATAGCCCGTTTGAAGTTCTCGATACGGCGGTCCATAATAGCCACACGGTATTCCCGGAGTACTTCAGGGTCTTTAAACAACTCTAAAGTCTCCTTGGTGAAGTTGTAATCGGGATCCATGTCCGGATCCTTGGCCGTGGGCTCGTTGATACCAGGTGCAGGCGAAATCCAGGTTTGTGTTCTGATGTATACGTCCATTGAATTAACGACTTTCGCAAGCTGTGGCACAATTTGAATTCCCGAGGATCCGATACCAATACTGGCCACCCTTTTACCAGTGAAGTCATAGTCCTCATCCCACCGGGCTGAGTGGATCAATTTGCCCTTGAAGTTGTGAAGACCTTCTATATTTGGCCATTTCCAATTACTAAGCACTCAGAGTTAGTAGAAAAAATTGACAAGGATCTCAGGAGAAACCCTACTTGAGTACTCCTCCAGCGTTGATGAAAACGTCCACGTTGTCTTCCACAATGGATCCGTCTCCTTTCTGCACTCTGATCGCCCACTTCGCGTTATTCTCATTCCAGATTGCCGACTTGATCGAGTGCTCGTACTTGATATACTTGTTGCAATCGTACTTATCAGCGACTTGGTGCATATACTCATGGATTTGCTGCGATGTAGCGTAATAATTCGGCCATTCAGGGTTGGGAGCGAAGCTGTATGCGTAGTTGTGGGCAGGTATATCGCATTTACAGCCAGGGTATCTTCATTCACGTGTCTTAGTAAATCAGCTATCCTACAGTATCAGTTGTCACTAACCTGTTTTCCAGCCAAGTTCCCCCGAGATCCTTGTTTCTCTCATAGATCACAAGCTCGGCATTCTTGTCTTTCATTGTTTCGCTGAACATAATGGCCATCATCAAACCTGAATATCCGGCCCCCATACAAGCAATTCTTATAGGCCGTCGCGTTCCTATTGGCTGTTCGACAATCTGGTAGGCGGGATCGAGATGAACAGGGGAGCTATAAAAGCCATTTAGGTGACTCTCGGTTCCATTTGCCGTAATTTTTACATCGCTCTTTTGGACTTCCTTGTATACGAAATCGGCTGGATCTGTTGGAATAATTGAAGGTGCCATGATGATCAATTTGCAAGATTGACGTTCTTTATCAGACTCTGATGGAACCGCTGAATTAAAGTGGCTGATCGCGAGTAAAGAAAAGAGCAGCTGTCGGCTTGATATATGTATCCTTCGACACGGACAAGATAACCGATTCTGTCACGCTTCAACCAGCCTAGCTAACAGCTAGATGGCCTCTACAGAAGAACGAAAATTAAAGTCCGGACATGTTGTCCAGAAATGCCCTTTTGGGAAGACCCCGGACATCAATGTCCGGCATTCAAGTCTAGTCCACTTCCGGCAAATTATAGGGCTAGGGCTAGGGCTATCACTTTTACGATTGTTTGCTGTAGGTCTTGGGTACACAAGGTGAAAGGACTAATAGTAGAGATATTGAGTGTGAGGCTACAAATAATACTATCTAGAAGCTGGCCTCATTTTTTCTTTATTCGTTAAGAAGAAAGGGGGCGTAATCATCCCCAGATATGCTAGTGAGCTAAGGCCGCCGGCGTCTTCCCCGAGAAAATAGTGGGGATACCCCAACCAGCTGACCGTGAAATGCGTTTGTACTAGTTCACATCCGAAGGCCTGCACAAATATCTCTGCTGTTGATCGTCTTGAGACATGTATCAAGATGTCGAGCTTGAAAGTTCAGAAGGGTAGCACCAACGGGCAGACTCTCCGCAAAAGTGGTACTTGCAAAACATGCAGAGAATGCCGCCAGCGAAAGATCAAGTGTGACGGCAACCGACCTCGATGTTCCGAGTGCAATACCTGCCAACGCAGCTGTATATACCCCCAGGATGCGAGGCGCGAGCCCAGACCATCGAGATCTCGCGTTCAGAATCTCGAGGCGACCGTCGCAGTGATGCTGCAACACATGAAGACATCAGGAATCATCTCGCCTCACTTACAAGCTGGAGATTTGCTGCCAGATGGAGGTGAACAGCAGATGGAACAAAACACTACCGAAGCCGAAATTATAGAAGATAATTCTGGTCGTATGGGTTTGCCATACCAAGAGAACAGATGGGAAAATACTACGTCAACTGCGGCAATCGCAAGCCCGTTTCAAACTCCAGCCACTTCATTATCGGGCTTGAGTCGGCGCGAAATTTCGCCTGGAAATTGCTTTTCTTTTCCAGCAGAAGCAGCCGACAGGTTTATGGAACGTCCAAAACCGTTCTCAACAGTCGGAGTTGATGAGGCTAGTGGGAATGCCAATGAAGTCACGATAGAAAGAGGAATGGACAATAGGTCGGCTATGGTCCATCAGACGGACACATCTACAATTTCCCAATCAAGTCTCCCTATGAACAACAATAGATTGGAAATGCTAAAATCGTCCACACCAATACATCAGCACTCACCCTCAATGACACAAAATGCTAGCAGTAACGGCTCAGGCATGTCACCATGCGAAGCGCGAGTCGCCGGAGCATTTCATGAGCATGGTTGCGTCTCATCAGTTCACGGTCTTGCCAGTATTATGAATCCGACATCAAGAGCGCAATATAAAGAAAATATGTCGAAAATAGCATGGACGGGTGAAGTGGCTATTGCCGCTTCGAAAGCGAGACTTATTAGTAATGCTGCACTACAACGACAACGAGAAGCCCGTCTTGTTCGGCAACCCGCAAATATGATTGAACTAGATGGATGCGAGCCGGAACTAGCGTGGCATCTTCTGGACCTTCATTTCAATCGACAACATTATGCTTATATGATTTCGTACCGACCAGCAATCATGGATAGTATTGCGACTGGAGGTGGTCCATGGGTCAATCAGTTACTGCTGAATGCTATATACTATTCAAGCACACTTTACAGCGATAGGCCATGCCTGAAGCTTGATCCCCAAGATCCGAACAGCAAGGTTGGGGAAAGGTTCTATAAAAGATTTCGGCAACTTCTCGTCGATGAGATTGATAGACCGAGCATTCCGACTGTGGTTGCTTTGTTATTGACTAGTGCAACTTTGGTATCTCAGGGGCGCTCCAGTGCCGGATGGAATCTGTCCGGAACCGCGTACCGCATGATTATCGATATGGGTTGTCATCTAATGCTCGGACCCGACTATTCCAGTAACATGGGTCATGGACAACTTTTACGAAGAGATTTAGAACAAGAGATGCGAAAACGACTGTATTGGGGAGCTTTTGTCACCGACGCTACACAGGCCTTGTATCTCGGTCGTCCCTGCATGTTCGCAGCAACCGAGGCTAGGGTCCCATTACATTTCCTAGATACATTTGAAGAACTCGAGGAATGGGAACCTTATAATGACTCTCAATCATTGCCTGAGAATCGGCCTCCAGCTTTCGTGCCACAACCAGCATTTGCGCTTTCCACCTTTAGCTGGCTCGTTCGTCTATTTCAAATATCAACCCATATCACCGATCTGTATGGTATTCAGGTCATGAAATGCACGTCGGAATACCTACAGGAAAAGAAGGCTAACATAGAGCGAGAGTTGGAATGCTGGAACACCTCCTTACCAAATCATCTCAAGTTTGATGGAAGTGGCCTTGTTACGCCGCCGCCTCATCAAATAACTCCTCAGTAAGTTTTATCTTTCATTGTCAGTGATATAACCATACTAAATATGTAAAGTACCACCTTCCATGCCCTTACCATACTTCTCAACCGCGCTTTTCTAGAAGAAGGCCATCTTCGCCGTTACTGTGACGATGAAGGTCGCCGACGAAGTGAAGAAGCCTGCATCCGGAGCGCTCTAGCAATCCAGAAGCTAGTACGCGCATACAGAACTGCGTTCACACTCCGGCGTGCGCCTTTTCTACTGTCTTACGCCGTATATTCCGCCGTTATAGTCATTCTACGCCAGGAGCGACACGAACGTGGTCAATTCATGGAACCAATTTCATTTTTCTGGACATGCCTTAGCGAGCTGCAGCGTGGTTGCAACTTTGGTCTTGAGAAACCCCTGAATATTCTACGAGATATGGTACAAGAATTTCAGGTGAGCATCAGAGAAGGGGGAGCGGCAAGTGCTATGACAAATGATGCATATCAATTTCCGAGCCTGGATGAGACGTTCTTTTCGCTCCCATTAGGTGATACTTCAGGCATGCTAGATGCTTCGGCAAACTCCGAACAACAGCATACAACCCCAGATTACTATATGGGGGCTGGGATTGACCAGCCAGACTTGAATTTTGGAACTTCATCCCCGGGATTTTTGCTATCATTGAATCAGTTGGAGAGTGAAATATCGGAAGATACATTATTCGGGCTGTTTGCGCCACCGCAATTGAACTCAAAGTAATATGTTATATTAGTATCATTGAAATGCTCGGTCAATCAGTTATAAAGCCACATCCTCAAGAACTTTGAATCAAAGGAATTTTATGCACTTAAAATTTATTTCGAAAATCTGCTAAACACTTTCCACTTTCCACACCCTTCGAATATTGGGCTTAGCAGCATTACTCCGAATACGGAGTGTCCAATCCGTCACACCAGCCTTCCACTCGGGACCTCCTAAACCATTCTCTTCATCATAAAAGTTGAATCCGTAGAAGTTTGCTACCTCGACATCTCCGTATACGGCGGCTAGAGCGTATCGTCTTGCTGCATTCCAACCGGGCACTTTGGTGAGCTTTCCGCCGTGTTCTTGATCGTACCAGGCATGATAGTCATCTTCCTTGTCGGCTCGTGGGGTCGATCCGTTGATGACAAGGATTGATCCTATTGCAGGTGGATTTGGAAGGACATTGACTCTCATCTGTGGCTCTTGGCTGAGTCCTGCGGTATCTCGTCCGTTGATAAATGAGCATATAATCCATGATACCTCCGACGCTGAGGGATTCTTGTTGTCGGCGTCATATGCGGACCTGGAGTTGACAATGGGTGCGATATCATTCAAGAAGTATAAAGAGTTGTACGATGGCGTGCTACCGTCATTGGCGTTAAGTGTATAGACAGCCTCGATGCCGGGAATAGTCAGTTTCGAGGATGAAGCGTTGTTCGATAGACGCATCAAAACTCCTGGAGTACCCATATTGGTAAGTATAAGACTGAATCTTGCTTGATTCAGGTCCGGAGCATCAATTGTGTATATTGATGGTAGACTGTTGGTTGCTTTCCTTTCTAATATGATAATTTTGCTACGGCCAAGTTACATGAGGCAATGCACATTATTTTATTCAGTCATTGCACTTAAGTTTCAAGGTACAATTTTCGGAATCACTCAAATCTATCTCCATGGTAATTAATCGTTGCTTCTCGGACACCAATGTCCGAAATCAACTTCCCCACAAACTAGATAGATTGATAGCCTATGATCAAATGAAAAGGCGATTTTAGTGCTGAGAAAATCGAAAGGCGTGAACTCAATCAAAAGTGACGGACAAGATAATACTGAATAGATACATTCAACTGTGATCTATTGTGATAGCAATCTGGCACTATAGCTTATCCCCTAACCTCAGTGTTATACTCGACATGGCTTCACTTATTTCTATCCCTCCATTTAATGAACTGCCTTTACACGAAATGGATCCACCACACTCTGCATGGGGGCTATGGGGTGATGGCCATTCAAGTGCCTTGGGTTCACTGAACTACCTGACGGACGAGTTGGTTCTAAGAGCAATCAAGGAAGAGGTCAAGACAGGACAACGCGTTTCTTTGAAGTGAGTAGTTGATACAATACAAGCAAAATGAAATTGAAAGTTATGAACTAATGCACATAACAGTCTTCCTCTCGATATGTTCGATCCACCATTGTTGGGTCGAGCTGCTTTCAAGCAGGAGGTCATCAACAAGGATCCGTTAGTAGTCAATGACGATGTGGTATGTGCATTTCAAGAGTGATTCAATCGACAACTTTCTGATGGAGACAGATCACGTTCAATACTCAAGGAAGTTCGCAATGGGATAGTCTGCGCCATTTTGCTTACCAACAGGACAAAAGGTTCTATAACGGGTAGCTCCCCATTCCAATATGACATCTTCTTCTTCAAAAATGGTAAGGCTGATTCTTTAGAACCACACAAGATCAAATTCATGCAACTAGCCGTACATCAATCAATGGGTTGCAGGCCTGGGCTTCTCGAGGACTCGCCGGCCGAGGAGTACTAATCGACTATGCATCCTATGCGCAACGTCGCGGCATTGATGTAAACCATTTTTCTGGCCATGCAATTCCCATCGAAGACGTTTTGGCTATCGCAAAAGAGCAAAATGTGGAGTTTCGACAAGGGGATGTCCTATTCCTTCGAACAGGTTATGTTGCGGCTTACAAGGGACTAGACACATCTGGACGCGAAAAGGTGTCTGGCGTGCGTGAGTGGTGCGGTCTTGGCCAGTCGCGTGAGACAACCGAGTGGCTCTGGGAGAGACAATTTGCTGCTGTGGCGAGTGACTCGCCGGGATTCGAAGTAAGACGTGAGTATTCCATCTTACCTATATTGGTGCTCGGGGCACATGAGTTACTCAGATACCAGGCATACTAATTTTCGATTCTAGCACCGACGGAAAAAGAATGGCATCTTCACCCGATTATGTTGGCTGGATGGGGTACACCTTTGGGGGAATTGTTTGATCTTGATATATTGGCTGATCTATGTGAAAAGAAAGGATGCTGGTCCTTTTTCTTCACATCATCGCCGCTAAATTATGAGGGTGCTGTTGCATCTCCACCTAACGCGATAGCTATTTTATAGAGTATGAGAATTATCTTTTAAAACTTTAAACATAACTAACGCTATCACTTAAAAGCCACGCAAGGAATGTTCTAATTGCTACTATATCTGAGTAAGGGCTGTATCCAGATAGATTCAGGCTTGAAATCGTCATGGTATCAGATAGTTGATCAAGATTAATGGCTTTTAGTCATAAGAAGCCATAATGTTGTCAAGAGCCCTATTCTGTATTTTGAAATGCCATACTTCCTAGGAATATCTAGTAGTTGCTATCTATCTACCGAGGAATCCAATTCCAGAGTCAACCCAAACAGTCCGTCTCGGCCACTGACATGAGTAGTTTGCCTCTTTCCATGCTGCAGAAATCTCTTCCCGGTCTTCAAAATCGGTCCACGCGCGCCGATTAACATACCGAGCAAAGACAAGCAGACCCGGATCCTCGTCCTTGTCTTCGTGTTTCAGAACCCAGAAACTGAGTATGTTCTGATTCTGCTCTGCCATTTGCGCCAACTTACTTACGCTCTCCAGAAGAGAGCCCTTATATCTCGGCTTTGGTAGGAGCTCGTCTACTACAATATACTGACAGGTTTCAGCAGATAATAGTCGATTATGAGCAAAGAATTGATTGGCTTCAGGATCGTTTTCCTTTCTATTCATGAAGCCCAATAAGGGCCGCCAGAATCGTAGGTCGCTTGGGCGCTCTAGCAGTTTCTCTGACCCAACTGCGGCTCGAAATGTCTTGTACTCTGTACTTGCGCGATGAGTCTGGGTGTTTGCCTCAATATCTTCATACCTAATATCCGTAGTTATTTTTCAGCTTTTCAGTCATCATTGAAGTAAATGGTGTGGGCCATTAATGGCTTATAGATGACATACACTTCTAACCCCTTAACCCAATGCTGTGGAACAGTATCATTCTCTTCTGCGCTCCGGAACCAAGCATATCCGTGACACTTGGGCTCGGTAGCATATGTGACCGGGGCAATTTTCGAAATATAATCTAGGAACTATATATAGAAATACCATGAACTTCAACTACTACTTGATTCTTTTCAGATGTCTCTTTCATAATCAACTTACTTGGTCACGCTTGTCCTCAGTAGCGCAGGCAGACATAGGAGAAATAATGAACATAGTGCTTTGTTTTTCTGTCGAGTTGGGCGAATCTTTGCCTTGATGGATCGCAATCAAGATTTTGAGACTATATTTGTCAAAATGCGCGAGATGATGGCGTTATAGAAAACGGCAACGAAACATTTGAGGTCTAGAATTTTACCGGAGATTGAAGTCCGCCATCAAATCAACATTTGAACCCCCGCACTCACTTATATCACTCCGCACTATTACGAATGTTAACCGAATAACTCCCCAGGCTTTGACGACGAAGTCAACCTCTCGCGACTACATGTATTGAGAGGACATCAAAAATGACCGTTGAGACACCAATCCTGCCGAACTCTTTCTTTGAGCCAGTCTCTACGCTTTCCACTACCTCACAACGGCTTCGATGGTACATGTGTGTCTTGGTAGCTCTATCATCTCTCAATTATCCTGATGTTATTCCGCAAGTATATGAACATCTGAATGCCAACTTGCTTTCTCCTCTCTCTTTTGACGAACGTTTCGCTGTTGTTCGACAAATCCGAGAGGGGTTGATCAAGTCCACTGGTATCGCGGGTGCCGCTCGGACGGGCAATGCGATGCGTATCTTAGCCGGATGTATCCCCGAAAATTTGCGAGAGAATGAATCACCAAGATCCAAGGAGCCGGAAGAAGCGGCAAGAAAAAGAGGCAAGGAATTTTGGACCAGAATATATTCTCGGAATAAAGTCTTTGATCCCCAAGCATCGGTAAGGGCAAGTCCGGATTATGCATTTGTTATAAGGGGTATGTAAATTTATCAACGCTAGGCGCACTGAAATTTGAAACTCACGTATAGCATATAGAGGTTCTTTACGCGCGGTTATTCTCGTTCAACGAAATCATCGATGACTTGACAACGGGATATGCCATGGTCTCAGCACTGTATGGCATGGACTGTCAGAACCAGCTTCAGCATCACATGAAGGGTATGTTGATAAATGGTGCTACAAGAAAAGATCTGGAGGATCTCCAAAGTCTTTGTCTTGATCTCGCAAATATACTTGGTGTAAGTTTCAGGCACGGCCCTGCACCGATTCCTGAAATGCCAGAAATTTAGATCATTTGTTACATACGATTTGAGTAGGGGAAATGATGTTCTTTTCACGAAAATACTTAATATCAAAGGAGAAGATCAATAAGTTGTACTAGTAGTATATATATGCAATATACTTAGATACTTCGTCGAAAGCTAAGCTCACTACGCGAAACAGATTTTGAGAGCAATTGGGGAACCCCCAGCTACTAAATCTCTGTTTCATAATTGTATTCCAGTAGGTATCATTATAGAGAGCAGATTCATGAAAATTAAAATTTTTGGAGTCAGATTCTATGGCGAAATAGAAGTTAACGTTTCAATTACTGTTTCTCGCTGACATTGGACAGTGCCCAGGTGATGGTAAACTCTCATCAACATCGTGATGCTGAGATTGAAATATGTCATTTCGAATCCAACCTACTCTATGCTCTCATTCCGATACGCTGCGTTGTAGTCTGTGATGATTTCCTCGCCCACGCTGACATTAGTCGGCATGCCTAGACGCTCGCGAACAGACTGTCCCTTCCACATGAGCCAGATGATAGGCAGAAAAGCAAGTACACTACCAACGAGAGCAAACATGATGAAAGCAAATTGATAGCCGATAGCCTCGCAAAGTTTGATGCCATAGAACGCAATTGTACAGCTAGTGATTTGTCGGCAAAAATTGAAGAATTGGGCAACTTCCGAGCTCTCGACGCGGTACGAATCGATGCTGTAGGTATAACATACTGTCGCCACGACTTGGATGCCGAAAATACCTATAAACATGCCCGCGAGTGGACCGCTCCAGTGGGTTTCGTATCGCATCGTAAATCCGAAGATGAGCAGGCCTGCAGGTATGAGAATCGCTCCTGTCCACAGTCCCTTGAATCGTGTCTCCGGCGGTGGACTGTCTACGTTTCGACGCTTGGCTTCACGCCGGATCACATCATCTATGATCCTACCAGCCACAAGCTAGATGAGCGAAGTATAGTCAGCAAAGTTCATTGATGTCGATGGGGTAGAGGATATTGCGGAACATACCTCTCCAGCAAGCGACCCAATTGTCATGGTCCCTCCATATGCCAGTCCACATTGAAATGGATTCCACCCAAAGCGTTTCTGGAATATAATGGAGTATGTGACCGCAGGAAAAATTGCTGTGAAGACATATTGTGCCGCATAATAAAGACTAGGAAAGAGCACGGACGGGTACATAGCCATGCGAAATGCAGGAATAACAACGTGCCTGGCCTTAAGGCGGACTCCGGGGAATGTTGTCCACGGGCGTAAGAGTTGGCGATATTGGGCGATAGTGAGCTCCGGTGCCTCCGTGCTAGTGTCCGAGTACGTGCGTGGCTTATAGTAGACGGTTTCCGGTAAACCGAAGATCAGTACGACAAGAGTAGCGAAGTTCATAGCAGCGGTGATCCAAAAAATATACCGCCAGCCAACAAATTTGGCTACAGGCCCACCGAATAAAGCTGCGAAGTGTGCCCCTGATGTCAACATAACTGTGAAAAGACCAAGTGCCCGACCGCGTTGATGATAGAAGAAGAGATCAGTCACGGTTGCTGGTCCGAGAGCCATCGATACTGGGAAAAGTCCGTTGATAGCACGAATGCCGACTAAAGCACCATAAGTCTGGACGAAGCCACATCCTAGAGCAGTGACAAATCCGATAAAAGTGGTGAGTAGATAGACCGAGCGGCGGCCATAGACATTGGCTAGGGGTATCCAGATGAACGGGCCGACGCCGTTTAAAGCGATGGCAATGGTACTAGGGTAGCACAGTGTTCGTTAGTACAAGTTCGTTTATTTAGCAGAACCGACAGGCACCATACGTCTGGTAAGATGCTTGAATTGCTGTGACGTTGAGGTCTTTAGCGAGTAGACTATATGCCGGATTGATGGAAGATGTGTTCCAGGTTCCCAACTATAAGCCAGTGGATGTCAGTAGATTGGATGATCCAGAAATCGAGACAGTGAAACTCACAAAAGCAAGCCAACAGACTTCAAACAAAATCAACAATTTCAACTTCATGGGCCAGTTCAGCGGATCTGCCGGGTCCTCTGATGGACGGGGAACGAGGCGAGCCCGAGCATTTGTAGTAGGCACCTTGAGCTCAACATCCTCAACCTGTTCTTCTTCGTAGTGTCCGACTTTGGTAGTCATGGTGGTTCTGCAATATTTTGTTAATTATAATCACAGATGAGCGACGGTAGCTTCTCATGGCTGGGGTCGCAGCTACAATTTAATAGGTTGTCTCCCTAGATAGGTTTCGGTATAGAAAAATGGATTCTGGTGCTTTGGTAGCGTCGGAAATACATGTCCATCTCCACACTTACCCCAAACTCTGCATACATATCCATGTGCCTTATATTAAGTCAAAAATACGTGTCCGGGGAAGACTCCTAGTATACATATGTTACAGGTATGTATTAAGTTTCAGGGTTAATTACGAGAAAAATCCCGGGGTGATGATATATCTCCTAGCTAGCTGTCGGAGGCAATTGCAGAATACACTAGTTCAATGTTGACATGCCTACATATATGTCACAAATCAAACACGAAACTAGAGTGATAGACTAAAGCCATATATTGCTGAAGATTACTGAGAAAGCCTATCATGCAGAAGATATCAATTGTGCACACGTTGCCCCTGCATCAACCGTCAAGATCGTTCCTGTGATCCATCGTGACTCGTTACCAGCCAGAAATCGTACCGCCCCTGCGCAATCCCATGCGTTACCCTCTGTCTGAAGCAGACTGCGTTTGCGTCGGGCTTCTCTTATGTCCGAGTCCATCCCTCCGTTCGTCCGGTACATCATGGGTGTATAAAGCATTCCTTTGACCATCTAATTAGCAAAGCTCCGCGAGCTGGTCGTAGATGAATGTGCGGCCATCCACTAAGGAGAACTATTACCGGGACAAACGCAATTAACCCTAATCCCATCTCGGGCATGTTGAGCCGCCATTGCTCGGGTCATGTTGACCACAGCTCCCTTGCTGGTCGGATACAGTAGACTGGGCGTACCACCTTGAAGGCCGGCCACAGAGCCCATATTCACGATACTGCCCCTAATATTGCCATCACCGGGTACATTCTTCTGCATGGCCGGAATTGCAAATTTTGCCATGAGCATCATGCTAGTGACGTTTAGTCTGAGACTTCGTTCCCAGTCGGTGAGATCGACTTCTGGAGCGGCACCACGCGCACCTATACTACCGACGTTGTTGACAAGAATGTCTAGACGGCCGAATCGGGTCAAGGCACCGTCGATGATACGTCGGCAGTCATCTTCGCTTGTGACGTCTCCCTGTATAGCCACTGCGCCTCCTTTGCCTTCGGCCATGATAATTGCGGCTGTTCGCTCCGCTGCAGATAGATCACGATCTACACAAACTACCGAAGCTCCGTCCTCCGCGAACAGAATAGAAATTGCGCGGCCATTACCGATTTCATCTTCAACGCTACCTGCGCCCGTGACAAGGGCTACACGGTCAGCTAGATTGCGAGAGGGTCGAATCGGTGCTTCTGAGTTCGTAGTTGAAGTTGTCAAAGCCATTTTCTTCGATATTATCGCATTTGGTTGACTATAGACGCTTTGTGAAAAGTAGTTACAATAAAATATGTTTTCTTGTGACGAGCTCCGGACATCAATGTCCGCTTCGGATATTATAATCATGAACAAATCACAAAAAGTTTTTGCAGATGTGCTCAGACTTTGAAATGAAAATTATGGACTTTTCTCGTTACGGTACGGCAAGCAAGGAATGGCTCGACTTCGTTTCTCGAAACCCCCAGGCATCTCGAGACGGCTATAATGATAACGACATACAACTGGCCTCCCAGCTCCGTGAGTCGGCAAACAAGGCACGAGAAGCAACATCTCAAAGACTTCTAAGCCAGCATGATCTTCACAAGAAGGTTAATATCTCCACATTGTCTATTCCTTCTCGAGGGAGTCACTCTATTCCCCTACGCCGGTACTCGCCATCCTCCTATAACCAAAATGGAGAACGAGCAGAGAATCTGGCTCGATGTCTCGTATACTTCCATGGCGGTGGCTTTTTGTTTGGATCTGAGACAACCGACGACTACCTGTGTGCGACAATGGCAGATTCCTTGAAGATAGTCATTATAAGTGTCATCTACAGACATACGCCGGACTGGCCCCATCCATCACAAAACCAAGATGCGGAGGACGCCATGTTGTATATTGAGAAGAGTGCAACAAATCTCGGTATCGATATTCCTTCAGGGCTTGGTGTGCTGGGTATCTCGGCCGGCGCGGGGCTCGCAGCAGCCATGGCCATACGTGATCGTAGTCATCTCCGGGTGATCTCTAGCGTCACTCTAAGCATTCCATGGCTCATCCATGTTGAGAATTATCCCTTCGAGTTGTTTGAGTCCCCAGAAAACTCTTCCAAGATCCAGTGCCGTGACGCTCCTGTGATTCCATGGCCGCGGCTAAAGATGTTCAGCAATCTTGTCGACGGTGGGAACAATAACAGCTTGAACAAAGATCCTTTATTAAATGCAGCTCTGAGAGCGGACGAAGAGCTTCGTGGCTGGCCCAAGACGGCCATTTTGGTAGCTGGTATGGATCCGTTGAGAGATGACGGACTGTTATTGGCGACGAGATTGAAGGCCCTGAAGTAAGTCGAACTCTATAGGATGTGCAATGTCATATAATGACCAAGCCTTGATGCCAGTGTGCCCACAAGAGTATCTGTCTTTCCAGGGTTTCCTCATGGGTTCAGGAGGTGGGGTGATCTATTGGCAAGTAAGGCGTTTGATGCCCGGGTCCTGGATTCTATACGCTGGTCGATGGGCCTCGGGGATTGTGAAACAGCTGAGATGGAAGAATGGTATGAGTATAAGACTCAATTGACATAGAATTTAGTAGCATTGGCCTAGCACTGTGGTCTACACAGCCGCCGAGAAGTTCAAAGTAGATTTTGCGCTATATCATGCTAATCACAAACAGTATACTTTCATATGCCTTGGATGTGAGTCCAAGCCCTAAGCCCTAAGCCCTGGCCCTAGCCCTTGAAGATTAAGGAGTTCGTCTTATAACGTTCAACAAATACCTACTTGGGAAGGAGGCAAATACTGATGGTTTGAGACGAGGTCAGCTGATCAGACTCCGCAGGGGTCTCCTTTCCCAGATCGACCCCCTGTTTTCAATGATCAAGAGCAGATCCGCCCACATGTACATTAAAAGTGGTCATGTAATTTACAGAACCAGCATTTAAGCCTCACAACAACATTCTTATTTTTCCCCATGTAAAGAGTACGGAGCTTAAAAAGTATCCACATTCCACATGTACCTGGTTTTCACTTTCTGCAATGTTTAAAAAGTCAATCAACATCATATCAAATGTGAAGCTAATATTTGCTTTTTTGTCTTTTAGTGTAACCTTTTACTTTGGAAGTCAGTCTTCAGCTTTTATCCTAACAAAATTCTACGGCCATCAACCAAGTATTGTCTATCAACTTTCCCAGCATGTCCAATAATTGCGTGATATGAATTCCTGAGGAAAGTATAAATTAATTGTAATTGAATCAGTTGCTTAGGTTTCAAAGACTAAGTGATCTTGCTCCAATAATAAACCATTCTATCAACCTAAGGATATAAGTTATATAACCCTAATACTCCACTCCCAGGCCAGCCAATCACAGACGCGAGTGGCATGTATCTCTTTCTAAGTTTCTAGCCTTTTCGGACGTCAACTTTACACCTGGTTCTCGTTGTTGCATTCGGAGTGGGCAGAGGGGGCCTTGAGCAGTGGTTGGAGGATTCTGCGAGAAGCGGGTGGGGAAAGCGGCGAGACGGCTATTGGTAAATACATAGAATTCGTCACTTGTCTCGAAAATGTAAATTTTGATCGACCAGGTACGTAGGCACTTCTGCCCCTCTGATCCGTATCGGCCGTCGGGTCCGCTACCCGTCACCATAATATGAACTTTATGTATACCCCCACGGAGGACAACACATGGCAGTTACATGAACCATCCATCCATTTTACCGGACTTGCTCCCGAACATCAGATGCCGGTAAAACTGGGGAAAAAGCTGGGGTTAGAATCTGACGCGAAAGCCGGGGAAGGAGGCATATCACGAGGACAGTGTATATATATATATGTACATATATACTCGTCTCTTCTGCTTTCATTTGGTATAGAGCTATTCAATTCTTGGGTTAAGATTAAGATCTAGCAGTTACAGTATGTACGCTTCTAGACTCATTCGTACTTGTTTTGCCGCCTTTGCGGTATTGGCTCCAATCCATGCGATACCAAGCTCGCAACCCTCGAGTGCTTGCACTAGCCTGCTTGGAATTAGGTCGACTCCCGGCATCAATGTATTGAATGCGACGGTACTCGAACCTGAAGCTTTGAATGCCACTGGTATCCTCAACATTTATACACTCTGTCAAGTCCAAGGAACCATCACGTATGCAGCCGGGGGCAACGATACGCCCGATCCCAAAGGCAAGAATACTCTCACCTGGGAACTATATTTGCCAATCAACTCGGAATATAATGGACGATTTATGGTGGTGGGTGAGGATATTCCCCTGTCTCGCTCTTCCTTCTAAATAAATGAAGGATTAATTAGCTGAACCGTCAACTATAGGAAACGGCGGATACGCCGGTGAGATTGTCGATTCCGCGATGATGGCCCAACTCAACTTGGGGTACGCCGTGGCCGGTTGTGACAGCGGTCATTCGCTTGCTGACAGCGGGAACACCACATATGCTCCATTCCTGGCTGACAAGGCTATGGTGAAAGCCTGGATTCATAACTCTATTGCCATGATCACGCCAATCACTAAAGCCCTGACCACGGAATACTATGCCAAGAGTCCGGAATTCAGTTACTATTACGGATGCTCAACTGGTGGCGGCCAAGGGTACGCCCTAGCCCAGTATCATCCAGACTTGTTTGATGGAATCTACGCTGGAAGCCCTGGAAACTGGTATAGCCATCTGATCCTCAGTTTCCTCTGGAATGGGTTGCACACGGCAGGCAGCGGATACATGAGCCAGGATGCCTTGAATTTCATTACAGATAGCGTGGTGGCTGCGTGCGATGCACTCGATGGGGTCGTGGACGGGTTGATTGAGAATCCCTTGAATTGCAATTACAACATCACTCAACTCGAGTGCAAATCCGGTCGGAATCCTATCAGTGCGAGCGGGACTGTTGTGTGTCTTACTGTTGACCAAATTAAAGCCGTACAGGCCATATATGCCGGCCCCAAAAACTTGGTCACCGGCGGCGAGGTTTATCCTGGGATGAGCCTGGGCTCGGAAAATGGCTGGATTTATCAGGAGACCACGCTGTATGAGTACTATTCCCGGCTCATTCTCCAGGAGCTCGTCTTCGATGACCTGGCATACAACGTCTCCACCTTCAACTGGGGCACAGATGTCCGCAAAGTGGACGAGCTCGCGTCGCCTTTGATTGACGAAATTTCTCCGGACCTCTCCGCCTTCCGGAAGAGTGGTGGGAAGCTGATTACCACCCAGGGTTGGGCAGATCAGTTCAATGCGGCCATCTGGCCCATCCTGCACCTTGACCAGATTCGAGCAAGGATGACTGGAGTCGATATCGACGACTTCATCGAGGTTTTCATGGTTCCTGGAGGTGGACACTGCGGCGCAAACCCAGAATATCCACATGTACCAGGGACTTATGACGTTCTGGACGTCCTGGTTCCGTGGGTAGAGCAGGGAACCCGGCCGCTGCAGATGCTGAGCACCACGCCTCCAGATGGGACCAATACCACGCGTAAACTCTGCCCTTGGCCGAGTACGGCGCAGTATGTGGCGGGAAATATCGATGACTGGACCTCTTACATCTGTGCCTAAAAGAAACGTGGACCACTTTCTTCCACGCTCCGTTCTCTTTATAATAGGACCTTCTACTTTAGCGTTGTGTACAGAACAAAATGTCAGATTAGCGGATTTGCTCCAGGCCAATTCTGAATATTAGCTTACAGAGATGGAAAAAAGAAGTGACTAGCAAGATTGTGTGTATTGATTTCTCTCTGTCTAAATACATCAAGTTCTAAAGCTGGGTTTTTATAGACATTCTGGTGGGCTAGTCTTTGTAAAATCCGACACTTAGGGATGAAATGATTTATGACCTGCCTGTCAGGAGGGAAATTTGGGGACCATAAGATAGAGCTTCTAATTGATTGCCTCGTTTGACTGCTTCTGGAAATCCTGATTAATTAACACTAGTCGACGTCTGAGCGTCGAAACGAGAGCAATTTCGAAAGTCATTATCTGACATAAACGAAATGAGACCCCGAACCCGGTGTTGGTTTGGGGTGCAAGTCCAAATATGTTGACTTATTAGTCTCTATCTAATTTCCCGTGTTCACCTATAGCTTCACTACACTCCGTAGGTGCAACACTATGGGCCCAGTCGCCACTTACTCCCTAAGAGGAAATGACTACTCCGTACTCTGCACAAAACCTAATATCATTTACATTTATCGGGCTAGGTCTCCGAAGTCTGCACGGGCCATCGCGGCGGGKGCCCGAAGGGKATTGCCAGCCATGGGCTAAGTTCGATGAGCCCTGAGGAGTTTTCGAATCAAATACTCCTAGAATCTAAAAGATCAACAAAGAAATATGGCGGTGGTCAAGATTTTCTTTCACATTGTTCCCAGTTGACTTGAGTATATCTACGGGCGAAAATGCCCTTTAAACGCCCTATTCGCATTGGAAATGTCTCCGGCGCAACGGGCGACAGCCCGCATGCCATGAAGCGGATGGCACAAGATGCCACCGTCGATGTAATTGTTGGTGATTGGTTATCGGAGATGAACATCGCCTGGAATGCCATCGCAAAAGACAATGACCCGTCACAGGGCTACGAACCGGGTTTCCTGAAGCAACTGACTGAATCGATCGATCTGATTACCGAGAAAGGGATCAAGGTCGTCACCAATGCCGGGGCGTTGAATACGCGGGCACTGGCAGTAAAGGTCCAGGAGATGTGCCATTCCCGGGGTCACAAGGACGTGGTGATCGCTATGGCTTTGGGCGACGATATTTCGCACATCGTGACTGATCCCGAGAAGCGCAAGTCGCTGCTGCATCTGGATCACTCTGAGTGGGCTCTCAAGGATTGGCATTTGGAACCATACTGTGGAGTGGCTTATATAGGGGCTTGGGGCATTGTGGAAGCGCTCAATGCTGGAGCGGATATTGTTATCTGTGGTCGAGTGACGGATGCTTCTCCGGTCATAGGAGCAGCAGCTTGGTGGTATCAGTGGGCTAAGAACGATTGGGATCGACTTGCCGGTTCTTTGGTTGCCGGACGTGAGTATTTTCTAGATAGATAATATGTTGTATGAGAGAGAAAGACGACTAATAAGGAAATTAGATCTCATTGAGTGTGGAGCCTATGTGACAGGGGCTAATTTCTCTGGGTTCAAGTCTCTCCCCTCACCATTGGTCGACCTTGCATTTCCCATAGCAGAGATCAGCGAAGATGGAACCTGCATCATTACGAAGCATGAGTCCCATATGGGACGCGTGACGAAGCACAACACCATCGCTCAGTTCCTATACGAGCTTCAGGGCGAAGAGTACCTGAATCCGGACGTGGTTGCTAATATGCATGAGGTAAGCATTGAGGAGATCACCCAGGATAGGGTGCAGGTGCAGGGAATAACCGGGTCACCTCCCCCGGCCACGACCAAAGCAATGATTGCCGCCAAGGGTGGATATCAAGCTGAGACTACATTCTATATCAACGGACTAGATGTTATGGAGAAGGCAGATATGATGCGCAACCAACTTCAGTATATATTCCGGGACCATCGCTTCACAAAGCTCTCCATCGAGCTGTATGGATCGGCTGCTTTGAATCCTATCAGCCAGCAGGCCGGGACGGTTTTCCTACGTGTTTTTGCCCAGGCAACAAGCGAGGAGGATATCTGCGCTGAAAAGTTCAAGATCCCAGTCTACGCCTTGAGAATGCAGAGTTACCCGGGATATCATATGGACCTGGATTTTCGGACCATGGATCCGAAACCATACATGGAGATCTTCCCTGTCGTGATTCCTATGACCGCATTAGACCAGCAAATACATATTTTAGGATCCAAAATCACCAGTAAGATTGATATTGGCCCACCTGTTATCACCGCAGAGTATCCCGTCATACGGCGTTCGTACGAAACAGCGAATCCGGTCAATCTCGCCGATTTTGGACCGACAAAATTGGTCCCATTAGGCACTATCGTCCACGCACGGTCCGGCGACAAGGCAGATAACTCCAACATCGGCTTTTTTGTCCGCCATAATGACGAATACCCCTGGCTGAAGTCATTTTTGACCGTGCCTCAGCTCAAGACGCTGTTCGGGGATGACTGGACCAAGGGGGAAAACCACGCCGAGAGACGGGTGGAAAGATGCGAGTTCCCAAATATCCTAGCTGTCCATTTCCGAGTTTTGGATTTCTTAGATGGAGGCATTGCAAGCTCAAGCAGAATTGACGGTTTAGGAAAGGGGATTGGGGAGTATCTTAGAAGTAGATTGGTTCCCATTCCGAGTAAATTTCTGGAGAGAGGACATATATAGATATTTTTGCTTCTGGCTTCGTTGAGCATGATGCATGTGGCGTATGTATATAATATATATAGAAGACCAAGTTCCTTTTCTAGAAGAATCTTCTGGCTTTTTTTGGTTAGAAAATGGAATGCAATCAATGGAAACACGGGAAGATCGTTTCAGATCTAACAAGCAACAGTTAAGACATCTTTTATACTACTCAAGTACCTCCCTTATTTCCTTCTATTCAAAATACTTACATCACAGTAAAGAAAATTCATTTTTGTTCGCCTTATAGGCATTATTGTCTCTCACAATGTCTAGAATCGTCAATAGATCCCTAAACCATATCATACGTCTACTTTTTTTTTATCTATCATTCACTGACCAGATATCCGGCGGACCACCAATCTGTCCCAGCCAATCCTGTGAGAGTTGCCCAATGGGATCTTCACCGAAAGATGATTCATAAAAGTGCTGTAAATCTTTGAAACAATCCCGAAATGCATTATCTACGGCGAGCAAAGGAGATGCTCCCGCATCATGAATGGGCCACCCATTAGGTGTCGGGCCATCCATTGTAAAATGCGACGATGCGACTACTGGCGGCAGGCTATCGAGTAAGGGAGGAGAAGGAGCAGGCTGTGGACAGGTAGCGACCCCACGAGAAACGTGGTAATCAATCGCGTCCTTCAGCACGGCATCACTTAGTCGATCGAAAACGCGATGACAGTATAGGGGAACATTCCACCGTTCCGACACCGCCACCAGGGCATTAGAGCAGGAGCGTGAAACATTTACGATTTCTAAAATTGAAGGATCAGCTTTCAGCATTGCTGGTTCCTGGCGCTGGTCGTAGCTGGTCTTCTTGGCGCGAAAGTGCCCTCCGGCCGCATAGACGAAGGAAAGACCCGCCATAAAGACGCTATGCAAGGTGATCCAGGTATAGTTGAGCCTTCGTAAGCTATGGAGGTGCGAGTAAAGACTGATGGTTTGCTTGGCAGCACCATAGATAATTGGCACCGCAACCAACGCCCGGGATGAGGTTAGCGGGAGAGCTGGAGACGGTCGATATAACATCAGTAGTGCATTATAATATAACAGTTCATACCAGTCGAAAGTCAAGAAGCTGGAGGGACGAGGCCCATACGGACTATAGCTGTTTAGATTGAGTGTATTTGTTTTGGATCGCCATTCTTCCAACTCATTGGCAAGCTCTGTCTGCGCAGCTAAGGCAAGGGATTCATTGGACGAATGACGACTTCGGTGCAGGGATACCATGATCTTACCACAAAGAATGCGGTATCGAGTTATGTGAACAAACACCGCTGTTTGGAACTGCTCTTTAGGCAAAGCCATCTCATCCATTTGAGAACCATTCGACAACTGTGCATTTCCGCAGTCGGGTAGCGCAAGATCCACATCTTCCAGATGGATTGCAAGTGGTCGACCCAATGTAATACTAACAACACTAATTGCGAAAGAAAACAACATTAGCTTTGTGCGTCTCTCATTACTCTCCCAGCGGCCAACTTACCGGTCCATTGCCAGTACACACCAGAAGCACCGCCGACGGATCCCCAGGTCGGTGCCTGCTGGTGTGTTGGGATTTGTTCGATACTTATAAGTTTCCTCACGATGAAGGCCCATCTCAAAGCACATGCGCACTGCCATTCCAATCATATGCCATAGACTGGTGGAAGTCTCATGCGTCGAGCTTATCAATTGATGCTGACAGAGGAGGAGAATCGCCTGCAGGGCTTTTAATCCTCCCGAAGCCAATATGTTATTCAATCCTGATATCGCCTGTTTCTGGTATATTTTGGCATCTGGCAGTGACTGCGATTCAAGATTTTGAACACTCGAGGTGGAAATGGCCACGATCATATAGAAGACAAATGCCTCGTACGGATTCCTTTCTAGTGCTGACGGTTCCGCATAGATTTGATCCAGACTGGCCATCGCCGATGACTGGTCGAGGATCGGATAGCATAGATGATCATGTTCAAAGTAGGCCTGGTGGAGATTACGAGCCACGCTCTCAGGTGGACATGATGGTAGTTCTTTGTCCGAGGTCAGTAATTGTGTAGGACGCGCCGACAGCCTGGAACCTAGTGCAGCATCCGGTCTCTGTGTGTTCAGCTGTTCAGCTAAGGAGTTATCGTCCTCAACCGTCGCAGATCGGATCAGATGTGCAAGAAGAACGCCGCTTGTGGATCCCAGAAAGTGCCGTTCACCCCCTGCATTCAAGGATAGAAATGAAATTTCATCTGAGATCACGTTTCGGCAGTCGTTCTCGTTTGGGCTCTCCTGGGTGGAGAAGTTGCTTGCAACACTCGGGGTCGATTTTGCATTGAGAGCCGCTAACCTCTCCGTCAAGGCTCGATTTGTCGCTTCTGTCTGCCGCAGTCGTCGTTCCAACCTTTCGACGACATCGCGCCGGACCGTGGGCTCCTTAGTTCTATCAGTATAGACACAGGCCACGCCAGACTTGCAGCATAGCCCACAGGATGGCTGCACCTTGTCGCATCCAGACTTTCTCCTTCGACAACGATCGCAGGCTTGCATTTTCTCTCAGCGTTGCATTTGCCGGAGGATGACTTGGTCACGATGGTAAATGGAGATCGCGGCCGATCACCCCGACGGATGACAACGTCGGATGTCACGTGCCCGCTTCTCTAGAAAGCCATCTAACACAATGTCTATACTTCTTTTAATCGGAGGCGGCATCCGACGCCGACCAGAACGATCGTCTAGAAAGGAGTTGCTGCTATGTATATATTGAACCTTTCTTATTTCCCCAGGTTTTCTTTACCCCGGATCACTTCAATTTCAGGTCTCGTAAATCCATTTCTCTTTTCCAAGGCGCCCAAAGATGCAGGACAGTTCTCCCAAAAGTACCACTCATATAATAGACGATGTGGAGGTAAGCAGCGACGTATGCACCGTGCCCTGTGGTTAGCCCTCAAATAATAACAAGGAGTCTAGAAGGGGAATATCCGCCAGACGTCCTCAGTTGTGGTTGATGCCGAGCGAGAAAGGGCCCTGGTTCGGAAGCAAGATTTGCGAATCCTGCCATTGTCTGCTGGAATTTATCTCCTCTGCTACCTCGATCGCTCTAACATTGGTGTGCTTCAAATTCCACCTCATCAATGACAAGTCTAATAAATTGATCCATCTAGGAAATGCCAAGACCCTCAACGCGAACACGGGCAATTCGTTGCTGGACGAAACGCATATGACAAACTACCAGTATATGTATGTCGAAGCAGGATACCGTACACCGCATTTTCGACGATTCTGACTAGTGGTAGTGTTGCCCTGATGGTTTTCCTGATTGCGTACGCCCTTTTTGAAGTCCCATCCAACTACTTGCTTAAGAAACTGAGACCAAGTGTGAGTTGTGGTCAGTGTAAAGATTCACATGTAAGACAAATACTGACTTGCACTGGTAGCGCTGGATTTCCATCCTTATGCTTTCATGGGGGGCAATCACCATGGGTCTCGGGGGGACGCATAGCTTCGGTGAAGTGGCAGGAGTCCGTTTTCTGTTGGGAATGGTTGAAGCTGGACTATTCCCTGGACTAGTTTACTATCTCACTTTCTGGTATCGCGTTTCGGAGCGATCATTGAGAGTCGCTATTATTCTGGCCTCCGCCACCCTGGCTGGCGCCTTCGGCGGTGCGATCGCATATGGAGTGGGACACATGAATGGATCATCAGGGCTCTCCGCTTGGCGATGGCTCTTTATCATCGAAGGGGCCCCTTCTTGTGCGTCTGCAGTCTTGGTTTGGTTTTTTCTTCCCGATTATCCAGAGACCTGTCGCTTTCTTAACGAAGAGGACAAGGCGCTGGCAAAGCAGCGACTCTCCGTGGAAGGGACCAAGGGTAACGCCAGTGCCATGACGTGGGCTGATGCCAAAGAGATCTTGACTGAGTGGCGACTTTATGCCCATTACATTGTATGTGCGAAATTTTGCTGGAAAATAAGCCTTCTAATTTGTGGCTGTAGATCTACTTTGGTATTTCCACTCCATTTTCGAGTTTATCCCTTTTCACCCCGACCATCACCGCGGGTCTCGGATACGAAGGGCTGCTTGCGCAATTGATGACTGTTCCCCCATATGGCGTTGCATATGTAGTAACTCTTGCAGTTTCCTATTCTGCAGATCACTTCAACGCGTTTGTAACCTGCTCTACCTGAAATGGATGTTTCTAACCCAATGTTCTAGTCGCGGTCTTCACTCTGCTGTCATGTCATTTATCGGTGCCATGGGCTTCCTCGCATCTGCCGTTCTACCTGCGGATGCATATTTAGTAAGAAGCCCCTTTTTGCTGTATTCATCCAATTAGGCTAAAAGAGAAAAAAAATAAACTAACCATCGAACCCCAGCATCGATATGGATGTCTGATTGTTGCTGCTTCTGGTGCATTCTCCTGCATTCCTCCCCTCCTTGGTTGGCTGTCATCTAACCTTCACTCGACTGCTGGCGTGGGATTGGCCATCGCCTTGAACATATCCTTTGGAGCGCCCGGTCAGATTGTCGGTGTCTGGATTTACAAGTCTGATCAAGCCACGACAGGTTATCCGACCGGACACTGGACCAATGCCGCGCTCTTATTGCTCGTTTCTGCAGGGTGTATTGGTCTCCGGCTATATTATGGATGGCTGAACCGAAAATCTCTAGTGCAGTCTACGGTATATGCTTACTGAGACAATTTACATGCCTCTTACTACTGAATACTTTTATTTCTATTCAGATTAATGGATGGAATAGTCGAGAATTGCGTATCTATATATCAATTGATAATTAACTCTCCATGCTCGGTATCATCGCACTACCTACACATTGGAGGTTGCTCAAAATGACATAATAGTAATGTATCATGAAATACCAGGAATAACATACCTTGTGTGCATGCGATCGGCATCTCTGAACGTGGGATTTTGGTAGTCGCGACACGAGTTCAGATCCGTTCTTGTTCGTTGACTCCTAGTCGAGTGCTGAAGATGGCAGAAAGAGGGCTGACATCGCCTGAGCATCTGAGGGACCAAAGGTTTACCCGACCTGAAACAAATTTAATGCTCGGTGGCTCATCGGGTGTTGTTCAAACTAGATAAAGCTACATATCTTTGTGTCGTCCAAATTTTCTGTACCAGAAAGACCTACCAGGTCGCAAGTCACCTTTGATCTATACCGCCCTTCATAACCGCATAAAAATAATAAAGCTGCTTATAGAGTGTGGAGCAAAAATAGACCGGCACAATTTGAATAAGAGAACTCTATTGTTATAGGCTGCATAGCTATTCCTCGGCTATATACATGAACTCAAGCGGAAACAAAGATCGTCCCCTCAAATACCTTTCGAGCTGTGCGAAAAACAGTGACACTTTCGACATCGCTATCTTCTGTCACCTTAACATCAACATCTATAGTACCGCTATTGTGCCCGATCACAATACAATCGCTGTTTTTGCCATCGAAAGGTTGCACCTGTGGTGTTTCCATTTGATCCAAAGAACCAACGCGTGATTTTCTCATCTTCAGTCTTTCCACAACAGTGCCTGGAATAGTAGCCGCTGCCCCTAAGCATACGGCACCCGTCAGCTGTACGCTGGGATGAACTTTGCCCATGCTGTATGCGAGGACAGAAATATCTGGAGTATCCCTGCCGACGATACTCGAATTTGATACGACAGGGCTCGAAACTATTGCTATTTTCGGTGTTCCTTTTCTCAAACTAGCGGCCTCTATATCGCTCGCAAAACCAAATCTAACTGACCCCTCGCAGCGAATTGCTTCTATGATTCCTAAGGAAGCCTCAGAATCTGGCCCTGCGACGTAAAATTCTGGCGGCAGTGAGGATGAATCGACAAAGATGAATGGATTTGATACATCAATTAGCGTTGCCCTAACGGTGAATGGCTCTTGTAAAGGGCTACCACTACCGCTAGAACGCACAACAAGCTCATCTTGTCTATTGCCCGTTGGGAATGTTTTGCCAGTCATCGATCCACCTGGTTTGATGAAGGACACCTTGATTTTGCTGCCTGTGCCCTTGACACCACCGATGCGATAGTCGCCCTCTTCGAGAAAATGGCCGTTTCCGTCAAGTTGAATTGTCTCGACCAGCATGGATCGTGTGTTTGTATTGAATATTCTGACTGATATCTGAAGACACAACGAAGGAACATCAGCTTTCATATTTCCAGAGGTATGAATTTAAAGCTCTTAGATAGAGTGCTTATACTTACTTCCATTTGACCGGGAGCAGCAACAATCAACCCCTCCTCAAGCGCGAACGCCGCCACCCCAGATGCCATATTCCCACAGTTCCCCGTCATATCAACCTTTTCCTGTCCCACCGTAACCTGCGCAAAGGTATACTCAACATCGATGCCTGGCCGATCTGATTTCGCAACCACGACCACTTTAGATGTGGTTGACGTAGCGCCACCGACACCTTCGAGTTGTCGAGGATCATTGTTTTGAGATCCCATTGCACCGATCAGAACAGAGTCCCAGTCGGAGGGTGATCGTGGAAGATCATGACGATGTAGGAACAATCCTCTAGATGTCCCGGAGCGCATAAGGACGGACTTTAGACGGTATCGCTTTTGCCGTGAGAGGTCTAGTGCTGTGTCGGGTGCTTTTACGAGCAGGTGAGAGGACACCCGCGGTTTTTGTGTCTCTACAGACACGGGACTGTATGCTGTTGGCATTGCGGTTGCTGCTGCTGCGGCCGCTGTTGCTCGAAGACGTGTTGAGGTGAAAAGGGTTCGACTGTGGTAGATTCGCATCTGATTATTTTTTGAATGTATGTATTTGCATGTCGTTATCCCTTGTGCTCTTTGGAAGTGACAATTCGTTAAGCCTGAATCTATTTCGCGTTTCGAAGAAAAAATAGGGGATTACGGACATTTATGACAGTTTGTCGACATGACGCTATCCGATGATCCATTCTAGCATTGCATTCATCCCTACGTTTATCAAAATAACCTTTCATGTCTAATATCGAATGTTCGCAAATACAGCATACAATGGTATTGTCTTAGGGCACGGCAAGTCATAAGCCACGGAATCTCTAAAGCCGTGGGAACCCACGGACGACCATCCAACACCCCACACTGCAATATCTAGAAACTTGGTTCTGTTTTTCGATTGGCTAATTGATCACAGCTGAGAAAATAGCTCGATGGAGAGTTTTGATCCGGTTCCAAATGAATAAAGACAGGTGCGTGCTGGTGTGGATTCGGTCGTGTCCCCGTGGGGTGCATCAGATGTTTACCGGTCAGTGCTTCTTGCCTGCATCACGTTTATATTTCCTTGCGGGGATCCTGCAACATGCCAGACATATAAATCTAGGGGTTTCTACCTTGGTAGGTATACACTGGTGGACACTGGTGTTTGGCATTGCAGTCATACACTCTGATTGTTTCACTCACAAGTCAAGCAAATCTGAAAATGGCTGGCGGAAAGAACTTTTTAGGCCTTCGGGGCACACAGCTCAGGGTAGCAATGGTGCTGCTCGTCGTTGCACCTAGCTTTATTCTTTTTGGATACAATAATGGATCAACCGGTGGTATCGCGACGTTAGAATCGTTTGTTCATGTAAGGAACTCTTCTCATCAATTAAGCCCTAAGCTCATATCGCCACCAGCAATTCCCAACCATTGACACGGTGAATACGACCGGAGCTCAAAAATCCCACAACTCGACGATCAAAGGCGTGGTTACCGGATCGTATGATCTCGGTGCTGTTGTTGGTTCATTGCTCTGTATTGGCTATAGTGACCGTATCGGTCGACTACGAACCGTGCTCATCGGCCTCTTGTTATCTATCGTCGGTCTTGTTTTGCAAGCTTCTGCTTTCAGTCTCGCCCAATTCACGGTTGGCAGGTTGATCATCGGATCAGCTATCGGCACGATCAGTAGTGCCATACCTGTCTGGCAATCAGAATGCTCTACTACTGCCCATCGTGGAGCTTTTGTGGTTCTAGAAGGACTTTGCATTAGCAGTGGCATCACACTTTCAGAATGGGTATCTTTCGGCTGTTCATTTTCTTCGAACAAGTCTGTACAATGGCGACTACCCCTGATATTCCCGGTGGTTTTTTCGCTATTTGTGATTCCCTTTCTGTTCTTGATGCCGGAGTCACCACGCTGGTTGGCTCGAAAGGGCCGAGTAGACGAAGCTAGAAGTGTCCTCGCTGCATTGGAAGATGAATCGGAAGATTCACCAAAAGTGGCACAGGAGATGGCCGAAATCGAACGCTCCCTATCTCTCGTAACCGGCAGTTTGAGGGAGCTTGCTCACAATGGAGAAGAGAGAGTTTTACATCGCACGTTGCTCGCTGCCTGTGGACAAATGTTCCAACAAATGTGCGGTATTTCCGCCTTGGTGTTTTACACAAGCACAATATTCGAGGATCTGGGTTTCAAAGGCGACAAATCTAAAATCTTAGGAGCCTGTCTAACCACCTTCCAGTCCTTCTGTGCCATCATCCCACTTTTCCTAATCGACAGATACGGCCGTCGGAAACTCTTCATGATAACCGGCACAGGCCTCGCAATCTGCACAGCCGTCATCGCAGGAACAGGCGGCCAACCAAAAGGAAGCAACGCCGCAAACGCCGCTGTCGTGTTCGTCTTCCTATTCGACTTTTTTTACCCGATTGGCTTCCTAGGCCAAACATTCCTATATGCCACTGAATTAGCGCCTCTACGCCTCCGAGTCCCCATCACAGCAGTCGCCAACGCAACGCAATGGCTTTGTCAGTTCGTGGTCGCTCAGATTACGCCGCCTGGTACAACAAATTTGGGGAGTAGGTATTGGATTATCTTTGCTGTGCTAAATGCATCTTTTGTGCCGATTGTGTATTTTTTCTTTCCGGAGACGAATGGACGGTCGTTGGAGGAGATGGATGTTATTTTTAGGCAGTCGGATGGCATTTGGGATGTTGTGCGGAAAGCGAGAGATCATTCTTCTGCGGTGACGAGGCATGATGAGGATACTGAGGAGTCGGATTCGGTTGAGAGGGAGGTCATTGGGGGCCTGAAGCCTACTGCGCAGCAGAAGGAGCAGGTTTAGGTCGAGCCTAATATGATTACGAATGTCGTTCTTATTATCAATAGGTCTTTTGCTTGAGCTACCAAATTAAGTGTATTTTGATTACTACTTCTGGTATTTCCAGCTTTAAACCCACTAGATTCCTCGAAAAGAAGAGATTTAATAGAGAAATACGTTAGACCCTGGCTACAACGAAGAGAAGGCTCTCGCTTTCAAAATCCCGGCCCACTGCAGTGTCGGAGTGGATCAATTATGATTGGGAGCACCCCTGATCGCATGCCTTGAATCAGATTCAAATATGATTAGTATAGCTATAGAGAGAATTTGTGATTATTATATGCAGCCATTCTAGTTGACTCAAACCATGCTATCATCAAGCTCCCACCCAATTCCCTCCATGGCAGAACTATTAAATCCAAACAACATATCATTCGCGGAAAACTGATTTTGATATGTCGGTTGGACATATTCTATACCGTATGTATTGTCTCCGGATGATTGTGATAAATGCGGCAGTGTGGGAGGTTGCAAGGTCATCTCATTTGACATGAATGTTCCTGGAGCACTGCCGCATTCGTTATAGTTTCTGCTCGGTATAGAGCTAGTGGTGGTATTATGAAGTGTTGTAGTATCTCCTATTTCTTGATAAGAGGACGGAGCATATATTTCTTGTTCGCGGATAAAACTTTGTATGATGGCATCGATATCTAGATCAGAGGTCATTTGATCGTAAGGTCTTGTATTCGAAGGCGATAAAATGAGATCTTCACTTGAGCTGGTGATGTCAATTGCATGGTCCGTATTCCTATCTCGATGATCGTTGATCTTCGGATGATTCAAAGTTTGCTCTTGTTCGGAAATAAGGTTATTGTCTTGATGGCAATCATCGTTCCGAGATTGTTGCTCCACTGCCAACGCATTGAAGTCACTTTGACTGACTGAGACACCCATACGTTTCATCAAATTATGTATGATCCCATTCGCCCTTCTCACAGCCCAATTCGTTTCCTGATTCTTTTTAAAGACATCTAGAGAGGTCGCCAGACAAATATGAGCTTCAGAGCCAGGTTCGCGCTGTGCAGCGATACGCACATGAATCGTCGCGCTTACATATGTTGCATACGAGATCAGATAGGGAGCCCGCTGAATCGAGAATGCAGAGTCGTACGCTCTTAATATTCGGACTATTTCTTTTGCTGCGGTTGCGCAAACAAGAAATGAGTTTATGGCGTTGGAGGGACTGGAGTGAAGATCATTATCGGAGACGAATGGACGATGAAGCAGGATGCGGAGAACGCTATACATTGCTCTTTATCTAATTTTAGTATGATGGTCCGATGATAAAAGGTTGGATGAGCTTACAGCAATGATAACACATGAGGCGGAGGAATGGGCTTGGACGTATCAGCAGGATCATATGTGAGATGAGCAGGCAAGTCTATACGCCATTGATCGAGATCGGAATGTAACGACTTGAGGTCCTGCGTAAGCTCACTTTGTGTTCTTTTGGAACTCCTTTCACCGTAGACCTTATTTAAAATGCGGTTCATTATCAAACTCAACTTGCAGAGCTGAGTGAATGTGGAGACACTATAGGCTGGTGATCCAGGGTATTTCTGTGTTTCGGAGTATGCGAACGGTTTCCAATGCTCCAGTTCTTCGTAGTGGTCCATGAACTGTATTGAAACGTTGCATTCCAATTCTTGAAGGCTGACAGGCCGACCTTGATAAAGACTTTGGATTTTATCCACTACTGTATTTCTTGTTAGCAGTAGATCCCCTCCAGGGCTAATGATTGTAGAAGAAGATAAATACCGAATGCGCCCCAGAAAACCCGCCTTCGAATCTCAAGATCTTCATCACTGAATCTCCTTTGGTTTGATAGGCGAGAGCCATCAACATGCATACCCAAATCAATAATCATACGAAACGCGGTGCCTGCATAAAGCCAAGCGGCGCTTCTCTCATCACCCAATGCGAACAAAGAGCTAGCCATTACCAATAGAGCCTGTATGGTTGTAATATCGCTACGATCAAGGGCACCACCAAGCAATTCTCGGACTCGCTGCCGGTACAACCAACCTGCGGTCCGGACATCGTCCGGATCTCTGCGAACTTCAGGTCGAGAGCTGAATTTGGAAGCTCCAAAGTAGATTGCATTGAGAAGAAGCTTTGAGTAGTAGGTTCCATTACAGGCCATGTCCCGCATAAACGCTGGACGGTATGTGACTAGGAAGGCATGGTGTTGGCGGTTCCAATGAAGATCTAGCAAATGCATCCCTAGATCTGGATCAACGCCGTCAAAGTCGAGTTTCTTTTGAGAGTAGTTGATTGTTTCCATGTGTCCTGTCAACTATTCATTAGGATCATGTCATCATTGCCACAGGATATAGTACGCATACGTTGGCATGCTGCCTCGGCCATGAGCCCTTTCTGTATCCATGCCGTTGGAAGCCTTGGAGCAACAGCCATACTATGATGAACGCGCCGGTCTCCAACAGCATCTTCAAAAAGTGTGCTAGTTGGGCCATGATATCGCGGTTCCACATCGTTTGATTGGTTGCCAGTTCTAGATTCTGAGGGATTGAGAAGATTTCGTGCATTTAGAGCTGTCGAGGGCTCCCTTAAAGACGGTCTTGCAGCTTTTCTAGCATCTGAACGTGTGTCTCTGGTATTGATGTTGGCATGTTGATCCAAGGCCGGCTGCTGCTCCTGCTCATTATCATCCCTTGGCACCGATGCTGAGGATTCATGAGGGGAGGAAACGCCATCGGGGTTTAGCGCCACAGATGGTCCCTCCTGTCCACTTTGAGATTGAGAAATAGCTAAAGAAAGTCTTAGTCGCTCGTTTTCTTCAACTAGCTCTTTGATACGAGAATTAGATGGTCTATACAGTGTGTCAATTGCATATTAAAGTAGATAATGTATTGGGCCAGTGTCACCTAGGTCGCCTCGGAAGCTCATCGTAGACACAGAGCTTCCCATGAAGTTCACAAGCATGACATGATGGTTGGCGAGTATCACATTTCATCTATCAATTCATGACTATCAGCCACAATATCCACAAAGCCACAACTGGAATTTACGCGATGTATCGTCCTCAAAGCTGCAATACTAAAGGCTCGACTCACCTTCCGCTGACGGCAAAATCGACAAGCCTTGACGGCTCGTCTTGCTGGCTTAGGCATTGTCACGTAACCAGCAGCTGTGACATGATCTTCATGATTCATTCTTCGGAAAGTGAGAAAGCGAAAGAAGAAGATGGGATCAAAGCTGCAGCGGATGGACATAATCCGTGGAGCGTGAAAGAACAAGACGGACCAGCGGGAAGTGACTTGCCGCGGAAAGACGGCCGGCTTTCCTTCCGATGGATATCGGGCTTAGGGCAAGGGCTAGGGTTAAATGCGAGAGGCTTCTTTAGAAGTTTATACGTAGTAGGTAGTACGCCACCAGTCCGACAACTGGTATGCTCTCTGAGTAGAAACATAAATATCAAACGTTTTCTTCCAATTTGTGGTTGATCATGAGAATATGATCAGTTCCACAACTCATCAAGTAGAAGAGAAGTTACACCTCACTGCCCGGACGACGGGGCGAGCGAAAAGCGTGTTACTAAGATACCTACCATGCTACCATCAATTGAAACAGGACACTGTATCTTTGCACTGCTTGTGACTTGAAGCTATTGAAAGAAAAAGACAAATGAAGGAATGAAAAGACTGACAGCTGATTGGCTGATACTTTTATGGCCTGAGGCTCTCACTTTAACTTGTCAAGGTTAGTGCATAATCGAGACAGGTGATGACATCATTGTCTCATGCTTACCCCATACTACGACAGAGCCAATCAGAGGGCTGGATTGAGGCATCCGGCCTGGATTCCAAGGCTGGAGGTCTAGAATGCTACGCCGATTCTCACCACTTTCGTGTGAATGCTGAGCATTGAAGAAGAGAATTTCAGTTGAATCAATCACATCAAGCAGATAGAAGCAAGTCGCAAGGCTCGTAGCATATACATAGTATGTGTTGTGATGAAGCATTCAATTATACCTTGAAGTAGCTCACAGTGTTCGCTCTAGCAATGTGATGATGCTCTACTGCAGACCAGAGTGACAAGTGACAACCTCGGGTCGTGCCTAGGCTGGCCTTGTTCCACCCCACGTCATAGGCTTCCCAGTCCGGCCTCGCCTTTAAATACTTCTTCTTCTCTCTTACTCCACGAACTCCAAACTACAACTACTTCAACCTCCAGCTCCTACATTCCCAATAACACGCCACCAGATCACAATGTCTAAATCACGTCTTCCTCTCTACCTCGGTCTCACCGCAGCCGGTGCTGGTGGTTACTATCTTTACAAGTCCGGCGGTGACGTCGACGCGGCCACTGCGCGCGCAAAAGGTACCTTTTTTTATCGTATGCAATTGCTGGCGGAACATTGCTAATATCGAATCTCCTTGTCTAGCTGATGCCGAAAAAGCACGTGCCAAATTGCCTGGCACCAGCGAGGCCGAGCACAAGGGCAAAGAAATTGGCCACAAGACCACTGCCTATGTCGATGAGATTGTACTTACCCACCATTACTCTTATTTCTTATTAGATTACGAAGACAGGGAGCTAATATTTATCGAATAGGTCGACTCAGCACACGCCAAAGCCAAGGAAGCCAACAACCGCTTCGGTGAAGGCGCCAAAGAAAGCCTCGAGAAAATCGAAAAGATTCGTCAGGACACAGCCAAGCAACTGGGAACAACTGTTGACAAGCTAGACCGAACAGTGGAGGAGAAAGCATCGGAAGCGAAGAAAAGTGTTTCTGGATGGTTTGGAGGATCGAAGTAATTTCTGTTTATTTGATACCTGATGCGAAGAGCATATGAGATTAACGATATTATTGTTTCGATTAGTATGAAGCTTTTTGGCTTACTCTGGTCTTTGAGTCATATTTCATAATGTAATTAGGGCTTTTGCAATGCATGGCCTGTTTATAATTCCGCACAAGCCATTGTAGGCTGGCCTCCTTGACAATTCCTAAGTAGGTCGCCTTGATTTCCCCTTAACTACATCTAGTCGACTACTACCTTCATTGATTTCTTTTTGCTCGTCCGAATCTTGATCGCAACGCTGCCTTGAATAATCTATACAGTGAACCTAGGTAGTCAACCATTTCCGGTGAGCTACGAATACTAGAATCACGAGGTACGTCAACACCAACCACACTTCCTGTCCCATCGTAGCTGTCGTGCTTGGAAAGTCCCAGCCTGTTTCGGAATACATCAACATCCCAGACCGTCACAAGGTTCAAATGTATTTTGATCGAAGCATCACTTTTCCGGCCACCTCTTTTCCAAAGAATCACTGCTTGCTCCCAAGCCATTGCTTCTGTTTTGTCTTTGAATATCAAGGTAATGCCGTTTGGCTCGTTGAGTGATGGAGGACTGATGGTGATCTCTGGCGGCACGTCCATGAAGACTGCGGTCTGTGATGCAGAGAGTTCACATTTTTGAGCTTCATAAAAGCGGTCTTCAAGCGTCTTCAGATAGTAATTGTACTTCTAAGCACATTCTCTTTGTGAGAATGTAATGGTCATTCGGTTACCGTCAACGGTTGCACCGACTCGAAGGGGTGGGGGTGCCATGGAGGATTGATGGTATGTCTCTCAAAAGGTGTTCAAGCCTTATGAAACTTGTAATTTGAACTGTGGAGGTTGAAGGAACAACATCTTGGGATGTCTATTGACAAGGTTCTCAGTACGTGAGGGGCACAGCTCAGGCTGATACCGCTATCATACGAACCAACGTGGAAGGCTTGACTCGGATCCCTGCTCTCGATCGCCTAATATTGGATATGTGGACAATGATTCTGACCACGCAGGATTATATCTCTATCATATGAATCAATACAAAAACCAATCAACCAAGTCTTATAACATGTTCTGGCGAGTCGATCCCGAGCCTGATCTTGAACGTTCCGCTGGACAAGAAGATCTTCAATTTGATGATCCGTCCTGGATAATCGATCACCACCGCCGTAACATCATTTTAAAGATTTTCAAACCAGAGGGAGCCTCCTCGACAAGGTCTGGGGACACCCCGTCTTCGCTAAATGCTCAAGTCCATGTTGAGTCGAAAAATTCGCGGATTCACGATCAAAGAGAGAGAGAATATAGCTATCGTATCAACTTTTCCGAGCTGCAGCGGCTGTACTTGAGGAAACTGCAACACAAACTGGTTCAGAATGCGGTCGATTTGAGGTACAATGCTAGTGAACCTGCTGGCTGGGCCGAGGATTTGAGAGAATATGGTAAGACGCCATTGATTCTTTCCCGACATCCAATTTCGTCGTATGCTGAGTTACCTCACAGTACAAGCGCTGCAAGATTACGACTACATGGGAAAACACACCCGACTTTCCAAGGATCCGTTTTACGTAACCGGCGAACGGTTCATAGAACGCTGCATGTTGCACGCCGCCATGAAAAACCGAGAGAACGATATAGATCCTCTTCAGTATTCGGACTCTGTCGGCGAATGGGAAAAAGAAGGCATCCAACCGGTATCTATCGGTGGAACCCGCGACAGAAACTTTCATCAGGCTTGGGTCAAGGATTTCAGAAAACGCATTGGTGTAGCCATGGTAGGCGGCATTTTCCTGATAGCGCCCATGTGGTTGATGGTCCTGCACAATACTCTCTATACATCGCTGATTGCGACGACTGTGTGCGTGGCTTTGTTTGGGTTGTTGATGGCATCGGTGCTCGAGAAGCCGATTGATGTCATGTCGAGTACTGCTGCGTATGCTGCTGTGTTGGTTGTTTTCGTGGGATTGACGACTAGCAAAAGCGGTTAGTGATGTTCCCGACGAGAGGGTCCTATGTATAAAACTTCCACGCGGTACGCATGTTTTGTAATTTGATAACCGGTTGGTGCCGACTGGAATGATTCTCCAGCTTACTTTCATTTCGATTCACGCATATCATCTGGAGGTTTGCACATGGCTGCAAACATTCCATCCGGAAGGGCTATTGCTATGGTGACTCGGGGAATTTTAAGCGGGATGAAAACATACCCAAACTTTCAATGAAAGGAGTATATATGAAGTAATTGTGTCAATAGCCTTGTCATTCGTCTTATTTTGATTGCCAACAGTAGGACTTCTTTTCGCATGTGGTGGTGAATAGCGAAAGCGCATTGCCCGATTGGGAGTAAAGTGGAACGCGAAATCGACGCGACCAACGCGTGTTTGTTTACACGCGTCAGCCCGGCAGACCAGCCCCGGCGGGAAAAGAAACACCAAAAAGGGAGCAACCTCAACTACTCACACAACAAAGATCAATTCATTGTCAACATCCCACCTTCCCGTTTCTCTTCTTTTTTTGACAAATCATTTATTGAAGTCGCAATCGAAGAAACAACGACCGAGATAATAGTTAGTAGGAAGAGCAACCGCCAAAATGTCCACGGCAACCAGATCCAGGACTCGCACTCGCTCTCACCTGCCTCGCTCGCAGTCACACCAAGCTGGCATTCAGCAATTTGCAAAGACATCGAAACCCGGAGCTCTTCCTTCCTCCAAGTCGCTCTTGCTCGATGGCGAGAAACCCTCCTGCCAACTGACTGCGTCGCCGTCGAAGAAACGAAAACTTAATGAAATTGCTGCCACAACCATCAATGAAAATTCTACACAGTCCCGTCCAGATCTGTCTGTCGAAGACACTCCATCGAAGACTTTGAAGTTCTCCGATCTCTCCGTCTCGACGCCACGAAGCTCCCGAACGAGGCCAGTCGCAACCCCGACCAGAAGCAAGACCACACGTACGCGTTCACTACCGAAACAACCTATTTTCAAGAAATCCACTTCCACCCCGAATATTGCCCAAGTCACGGCTACCAAAACCTACCCAGCCGCGCTCGGCGAATTCCTCGATCTTCACTCTGCCTTTTTGAAAGCTCTGTCCCTACATTCCGCTCACAATGAGTACTCCGCGTCAGCCGACCTTCGAGAACTCTGCCCAAGCATTGAGAAAATATGGAAAAAGCGGAAGGTCACGGCCAAGGATGTGCAGAGACTAGTACAAGTGTGGGATGAAGCATGCAACGAAAAGAACAATGACGATCAGACTGAGAAAAAGTCAGATTCAAGCAACCTGCGATTCCGACTTGCAAATTATGGTTTGGGCAAAGTTTGTATCGAGAGATTAGATGTTTCAGGTTCGGGATCACAGGGAATGTTTGATGAGAACCAGTTCCAGGAACGTTTCGTGCAGATTATTGAAAAGAAATGGCGAGACCAGATCGATGCGCAGAAAGATGGAGAAAACAAAGACGAAACGGATACCCCATTTGAAATCGAAAATCTTCCTCTCGCTCCCATCCAAGCATGTCTCACACCCTTCAACACATTCCGCAAGGGCCAACAGCGACTCCAAGATCTCAAAGGCGGCGTCATCAAAGTCAAAACTGCCATGATGAAAGCCGCCTCCATCACCCCCGGAGAACCCGGAACATCATCTGTTGCCCGTGACCCAACTGCCGACCGCCGCAAGGGTCTCTTTGAGCGTATCAAGAACAAAGAACTTTTACAGTCGAAACTCGGCCCGGCACCAACAAAGGAGCAATTACTCCGTCGATCTGCGGCACAACGAGCTGAGGATGTGGCCAGAGTACTTGCTTTGTTAAGGCCTTCTTATACAACGACAGCCAACAACGACACTATCGTTGCTCAGAGGAAACCATTCTCATGGCAAACACTCATCCAGACCATCCGAGACTCCCTTCGCAATCCGATTCCAGCTGAGGAGATTGCTGCGTGTTTGGATATGCTGGCGCAAAAGGATGTTGCTGGTGACTGGATTGACGTTGTTACTATTGGTAGCTTGAAATCGGTGGTCTTGATGTCCGCTCGTGATATCTCACCGAAAGAAATTGGGCTCAAAGTGAGCAAGGTGCAGTTTTGAATATGCATATTCGTTCTATTGGAGTTATTGTACTTTTTGTGCACAGCGACGGCTAGGGCTTTTGCATTGAAGCGAGCGTGTATGGATATTGCATGTGTATTGACATAGCTGCATTTATATAAATAATAATAAATTAATGAACAAAAAGCGTATCCCTTTAAAGTATAGAAGCAAAGACATCATCGAGCCAAGAAATGTGCACTGCTAAGCCTGTCAAATGCGGACATGCAAATCAATTAGGCTAGCGACGCGTAGACGCGTACCACCCCTATAAGTCCGCATCTTTTCGTGACATCGTACTCCTTTAACAGCAACAAGAAGAAACGAAAACAATATCGAGTTTTCCAAAAGACAGCTTTATTTTATATCAAAATTCAATCCAAAGCATAATGGCCATTCTATCAGCCTATTCGTCATTGGCTACCAGCCGGCACTCTCGCCCGAAGCCGTTGTGGGAGACTACATCTCAAGACGATGCCATGTCCTCCGGAGTGTCCAAATTCCTCTGCAGAGAACGGGCTGGATTACAGCCACCGGTGTTCGAGCATCAATTCTCTCGAAAACGGAAAGAAATCAATGACGGTATGATCTCTCGTGTCTTTCACGTGGTAAGAACTGGCTAATGCTGTGCAAGACGAGGACAATTTTCCGACAAAAAAAGCCAAGTTTTCGATTTATGAAGTTATGGAACAAGATATTCGTATGTTTGCTAGATTATGCCGGTCTTGTGCTCGTTGGTTGCTAATATCTCAAAATAGCTGTTGATAAAGTGCTAGACATGATCTCAACCTCTGACCTGAAAGCTATCGTCAAAACTTTGTTAACTCACAGCGTTGCGGGACCTATCGTGAAAGAGGAGCTGCTCGCGTCATCTGAAGAATCCATAGTATACAGTATTGAGCAAGCAGAAAGATTGAAACAATGTATCATGAAGGAATCGGCAGACGCAATTAAAAAGGTCACTGAAGAGGCGTACGCATATGGAGGCATGGAAGACGGCAGCGCTTGGTCTAACGCACTCTCGGTATTTTTGCCCCGAATCAGGGAACTTGCAGACCAAGGCCGTCTTGTTTACGGCCCTGATCTTGCTTGGGAAGCTCTCCTTCGCGTTGCCAAAAAATGTATTCTCCCAAAGCAGGGTGGTGAGATCAGACTTCGAACAGGAGAAGAAGATTGTGACGATTTCCATAAAGAGGTGGATGAACTGATGTTGCATATTTGCCACCTCCAGGAGGATGATGGAAATACGGCATGGCTACAGGAATTCGCAAGGAAGAATGAAATTTGGGACCTGCAGAGCAGTGCAGAACCTCCCCTGGAATTTCAAGGGCCGGATTGCAGATATCGTTACCAGAAAACTTTGAGGTTCCTGGAGTACTTCGATACCGAGAAAATGATCGTCGACAACTGAGTGAAAGTGATTGATATCTCGGGTAATATCTGGTCATACGGACGTGTATAATATCGTTAGCTGCGGATATCCATGTTTTTTGGTTTAAGCTTTTTGATTTGAAATATCTGCTAGCTCTTAAGTTTCCCTTAAACAGTGCTAGTGGTTGATAATTTTGATTGTTGAATTCCATACATGCATCTCGGCCGGGTGGCTGGCGGCGGTTTCTAGTGTGGCAGGAGGGATCATACCAACGATTTATTCAAAATCACCTTGGTGAAAGCAGCTGAAATCTGAGGCGAGCATCCGCTATCCCTTTTGAACTTGCTTGTGGCGGGGCAGTCTGTGACTGCTAGACCACCGTCATGCGCCATACATGTTACCAAGTTACGTAGACTCTAGATATACACTTCGTGGATTGGTTGAAGCTGGACGCCCCTCCAATCTTTAGGTGCATCGACATTCTTGGAGTGCCCATGCACACGGGGATGCCAATTAAACACCCGTGTAGTGATGACCCATAAAAAGGTAGGGAGACATCAAATCACTGATCATGGTATCTGTTGTGTGATACACGGAGGCGAATGATTGGCTTCAAAATTATCAGCTATCATTAGTATACCTGCCTAGGTATCTTCATGGATGTAATGCCAAATCGCGGTCATGCATAAAATAGCCTGACTGTATAAAACTCGGCACGGGCTGCTAGTGACAGGCATACATGCACTGTTGGATGTCAGTTCTCAGCTGGTAGTTGCAGGGGTTGTCGTTTCGACTTCGGTAATCACTTGTCAGTTGCCCTCTAGTGGTATTACAGTAATTTATCGCTGTATCTTTCAGTGGGTAATGGTATGAGGCTCTTTCTTTTCCCAGTTCCTCTTTTTTTTCTCCAACTGAGTTCCAGAGCCAAGAGTTTATGCTACACCTTATAATCTTGTGCCCCAATACCTGACCCCAAATTCAGTGGTTATGGCGGCCAAAGATGAGATTACAAGTCAGGCGGAGACTGTTACCCAGTCTCACGACAGCGAAAAACTATCAGAAACCAAAGCTTCTGAAAAGATAGCCTCCGTGGCATCGCAAGGAGCAGTACCATCAACTCCGCAGCTTGAGGTACAGCCTATTACAGTTCTACAACCACCTCTGCAACAACAACAACAACAGCATTCCCAAACTCTTTCAAGTACACAAATCAACGCATCAATTAGCGGAAATGCCTCACCACAGCTATTCCAGGTACAGCAGCAGCCCGGACAAGCACCGCAGACAATGGCACTCATCAACGGTCAACTCGTCCCAGTCTCTACGGTTCATGTTCAGGTTCCTGTCTCAGGATCAGGGTCGAACTCTGTCGTACTTCCACAGGTGCAAGTTCAAGTACAAGGTCCGGCGGCGGTTAATATGCAAGCGAGCATCGTTCAGAAGCAATCGGCCACTGAAGGCTCTACGTCTACATCAACACAACAGAAACCAACTGTTCCAGAGAGCAAACAGGAAAAGACTGGACTAACATCCAATGTGCCTGCTACAAGTACGCAACCACAAACAAATAACAATGCAAGCCCGGCTTCGCGAAAAACACGAGATCCAGGATGCGGATGCGGATTCTGGGCTGCAATTTTGAGGTCATTCCAGCAAAAAGGTGACAACAAGAATGACACGAAAGAGAATCAGACCACGACAGCGGACAGCAATACCCAAAACGATAAGACAACAAGCCAGCCACTGGGAACGACTGCTGTTAACATGGCCATACAAGCCATTAATCCGGCTTCAACTTCAGCACCAGCCGCTCACGGCGATTCCTCACAAGCGAATCGAAGTACCGGCGTGACTGATGCTGGTCAGAACACAAACGCAAACTACTACCCACTTGGTACAAGCGATATCAGCACAGGCAACACTATGAACAATCAAGGAGGCTACGTTATCCCCACAAACACGATGATACCCGACACAGGACAATACTCAGTTGCGGCTCAGCAACCGTTGTATGTAGTCGATCCTTCTCAGGCAGCTCCTGCGCCTTATACAGAACAAGCACCTGGTCAAGCTACGGCTGACGGAACATATTATGATAGTGGTGAAGGGGATGACGATCCAGTTGATGATGTGTATGATGACGATGCGGACGACATGTAGGCTTAATTATTAGTTAAGACATATTTGAAATTTTGCACACTAATGTACTTCCCTAATTATTCATCTAATGTTGAAAGATTAATAAAGTCACATTTCTTACATGTATGTAACCTCCCTCGCATAGGTACCTGGTTATCAAGGTCAAGATTTTGTGTTTAACCGATCTTCATGTAATGCCTCAAGTTCCAATATACTCCATCTCCCCAGCTTAAGAAAACTGTAAGCATAGACACCACTAGATGCGCATCTTTTTTTTTCCCTTCCCGTCTTTCCGTCTCCCCGTACCTGCACTGCGCAATGTGCTGTACCTGTCATATCGCCAATCCATAATGATGGTGGAGAAATCCAAACCGGTAACAGCTTTTCGACACGGAAACAAGACAACAGCCTTGCCCTAACTCCGAGCTGAGAACAGATTGTGCGGAAATTTTAGTGGTCGAACCTCTCATCAACACACTCCACTCTCGTAGCATTAGCAATACGGAGTACATTTCCCGTCATGTGCACGGAGGTATGCACTCGCCTATGCATGTTACGTACGTATTAGGAAGGCTCATCCTCAGTCCGATTCAGAATTCTCCCTAGAGTTTACGAGTGGTTAAGTTGGTCGAAAAACCTTTTGGTAGACAAGTGACAGCAACGTCTGAACATGGCACATCTTGCCCCAATCGCTTTTTTGTAATTTCCAGCGATGACTGATTGTTTTCTTGTGACAGGATGTCGCATCTTTTCTTAGGTGAAGCGGCTGAGAGATGCGACTCTAGATTCGGTTATCTATAATCGACTTCAAATTGATTATATTATTACACGAGAATCTTATCATCAATTTTATTTATGCACACCGGCGATCAATGGTTCCCGCGGTAAACATGTAGGTATAACGTATCATGTTATTCTGGGTATGCATGATGTTAGGTAGTAAAAATGTGGCTTGTCATTATGAGCTGTCCATCCAGTATTATCAACTCCGATCCTATCAGTATGCACTCGTCCATTATAAGCTGTTTCATTCGTCCTACAGTCTCGCGTTCACTTCCATTATATTCGTACTTTACTTTTCCCTAAATAGGCAACCCTAGCCTAATTAGGAAAGTTAGGGCTTATAAACCGCTCAAATCAGTCGGCAATTCTGCAGAGGCTTGATCAGAATTTTCGATGGTATCACCAAACTATTATTGAGTGTTAAAGTATTGTTAATATTAGAAATCTAATACCTAAGCCTACCAGCGTACCAGGTGGGCAAGTGAAAATCGAGAGCTCGAAATCTGCGCTCGGAAAAAATCATCCATCTTAGTTCTACAGTGGCGGCCCTGAAGTGCAGGGCCTTTGGCTGATCAGCTATACTGCAGCAAAACTATAAGTCCATAAGTTATGATCCATAGGTTACGTACGTGATACGTAGCATCTTTCAGCCTCCCTAGTCTACTTTCAGAGTCTTTTACCGAGTACGAAACTCCGCATACGGCCATTTGCGTCCTACTTACAACAGACCCCTGTCGTTTCTTTAGTCTAGTCTAGCTGCATGCTGTCAAATGCTTAATTTGACTGGCTAGCCTGATCACCATCGTATTTCTACAGTAATGTTGTGTCTGCAGGGTTTATCATAAGTTAGGCCATTTCTACGTATTGATCCCTGCGACTTTCTCATACTTCGGCACGATTACTCGACACGGTCCGTCGAGATTGCTAGTATGGAATATGAGTTTCAATCTAATATATGCATGAGCAATCATGCAGTATTATTACATCAGCTACATACCGGTCTGTATTTTAAGCATATTATATTAAGCTGCGATATGGTTCGCTAGGTTTTAGGTCCGATTGCATGTAGCCTCGAGTTGAGTTCGTAATACGTTACTAGATCACCGAGCATGACTATTGTACAACTACGTCGTGGTACGTGGTGTGACTTTGTGCACTTTTCTGTAACAAATTAATTCTGACCAGATTGAAAGTGCTTAATCTGTCAAGTAAAAACCACCGAGTACGTATTAAACATTAGGCTCCAAACATGCATACAAACGGGCATCCGAATTCCTGCAGGACAAAAACCTAATTCATTTCGCGAAGTCTCCTTATCCTCTCATAGCAGCTTAAACCTCAAATCACAGCACTTTTACATCAACCATGCGAACAATGCATATGCAATCGATGCTGTAATGCCCACTTTTCCAACTTTACGATGAGTCGTGGCCATACCGGTGGATACAGGCACACTGGGAGATGTCGAGGTAGAAATCAGCTAGATAAAATGATAAATTAATTAGCAAATAAAGCATATCGAAATCGGGGGTTTTTCAGGTACATACGCTATCGACGATATGAGCCACCCCATTTGAAGTAATCTGGTTTGGCGCAATAATCTTTGCATTATTTATGTACCACTCGCCATTGCTGAACTTCACAGTGAGGTTGTTACCACTCTGCGTAGTAAGCACAGTGCCATTTGCGAGACTGGGCGTGTAACCTAGGAAGTTAGGTATGATATGGTTAGACAAAGTACTTGTCAAAGATGCCGTGGTCACGTTTGACTGAATGCTGCCTTTGTACACTTCATTTGATGTTGAGAAAATAGTAACACCAGTTGGATTGTCGATGATTGATGCAAGGCCGGTTCTGTTCAGTCCTGAGGCGAAAGATGTCGCATTGGTGTTTGCAAAAGTGTCATGGAAAGATTGAGGCAAAGTAAAGAAGCTACTTGAGTTAGCCTTTACGAAAGCCTAGCCAAAGGTAGAGAGTTGGACAAACCCATCAAGAGTGTGGATTACACCCCCATCATAAGGTATATCGGCCTGCACGACAGAAACGCTTTTCCCAAGGCCAGAGTAAAAATGAAAAGACTGGGTTGTAGAGCTACTGTGTTGTCGCTTTCGTTGGCTAGACGTGCCGTTTCCATTGTTCGATGCAGGAGGCATGATTACAGGCTGTGTCCTATCCGGATTAGAAGATGGGAAGAGTGTATCCAATTGTCTTCCAAGAGGATCGTCACCAGCCGATTGTCCGTTCAGAAGATTCGCATTATGGCAGGCTTGTAGTTGACCCTGATCTGACGGAAGATTCTGGCGAACGAGTAAGCGGCGTAAGCTGGAAAGTTTGCCGCTTTGATTAAACGTCTGAAACGCGTCGTCGACTGGTGCAAAAACCGTCTGGACCTGCGAGGAATTGTAGAGTGGTGCGAGCCCCGGGTCCTGCTCAACCCATCGTGCAAAGAGGCCAGTGTTGGATGACTGTAATGCTTCAAAGACAGTCACGGCAAGGACTCCGCGGTATAGCACTGAAAACGCAAAGAGAACGAACGTAAAAGGAGCCATCTTTGAAAGACAATGATTAATTGTTGCTTTCAAGAGGTAATGGGGCAATGAGTGACTCAGGTAGGACAACGACAAATGATGATAGCCTCTGAATCTTGAATCAAAAGCAGACTTCATCATAATTAGAAAGTTCCACGGAGGTATTTATACACTTGTATAATGAACTATAAGCTAATGGCATGAAACAAAACCCTATATTACAATACGAAAACTTGCAGGAATCCTGTCATTGTAAATTTGACTGGCAGGGGTTAAATATGTCAACAAGCACCCGGCAACAGGGGAAGCGAGCCCGGACCTGTACTTTGCTAAGCTTTCATTATGTCGATTTAGTTTCCCTCCCGAGTTTGTATTATGACTGGCAGCTAGGAGCTGCCAGCAACATTAGGGGCGTTCGCCATACGTCCCCATGTAAGCATACCGTCGAATGCATTCCCATAACAGGGATAGCATACGCCAATAGACACCAGGCATATGCGAAGCGAACTCGGACTTGCAAATCTGCCTAAGTACTCTCGGAGTCATGTCCTCTCTATGCAATACCACTGGTAGTCATGAGGCTAGGCACCAACCATTGCGAATTATCTGCAGAACGCACTTTCTGTCACACAACGACAACAAATGTAGGGCAAGCTATAGTACTGCACTGCGAATCAAATCGTCGATGAGTCGACGCTGTAACCCGGATTACAGGCCAGTCAGATTTCGATATGGCGCTCGCTATCTGTATTTGTGGTCGTTCCGCGGAAATCACAGCAGAGGTGGCTGTCACCCACCCATCAAGACAGGGAGGTCGTTATACTTGAGTCTGAAAAGATTGTTTCTACTTATAGTTGATTGAGGCTGAAAATCAGCCCATATTTGATCACTGGGGTTCTTAGTGTAAAGATTGTGGTCTCAAACTCGGGTCAAAAGCTACCACAAGCTCCTATTTAAGACCTACCTGATAGCTGCTGCGATATTTGAACAATCGAGCATCTATTCTTTCAAGAACAGATCCAAGATGTCTTCTCTGATTCCTGCACGGGATACCTACACGCTCTTGAAGCGGTTCTCCATGCCGCACGGAAACGGTACAATAGATGCCGTTGCCGTGACGAGCTCGGATGGCCTTGTACTAATATCGTTCTACACCATCATAATGAAAGCCATCATCACTCAGTTTTGGATGGGTATTGTTCTTTTCGGCGTTGGTCTCTTCTTGCACCGAAATTCCAGCCATGATTCCAACTCATCCGATTTATCCGACTCATCTGCCACAGCAACAACCATTGGGCTCTGGAATATCAGGCATTCCCCGCGACAGGTTGTGTACTATATGACGCAGCGTACTTTCTCCGCGAGCCCATTTCGAGACATCTGGTATCCTTTGATCTGGTTTGCGGTCGCTGCCGCCGCTCTTGCAGCATCACTTGCCGTGCCCATTGTGAAAACCCAGAACCTGAAAGTTGGGATTGTCGCCCCGGTGAATCCAGAATCAGTGTTTGTCCCCAACTTTGATGATCCCAATTCGACTGCACACGAACTCGCTCAACAACTGACTCCTACTGTACCGGCGGCGCTGCGTGCCGTTGGGGGAGCCGCCGCAAGCATTCCACCGGATACGGTCTACATCTCTAATATCTCAACACCGTCAAGCAATGGTACTGTTGTGCAATTCAATTATACTTATGGTATATCAGGTAGCGACTTTGGGTTGCAGAAGACTCCGGATCTGTGGCTGAACGTGTCAGGATCTTGCATCACGGACTATACCTGGTACGCTGGATTCGACTCGAGCATTAAAGCAGATGTGTATTACAGGTGGAACGACCCAGACAACGCAACCGACGTATACCTTAGCTCAGATGATGGGCCTGCTTTTGCTTCACCTTGGTTTGGCTCTGCGTCGAGCACCGTCAATTATACTTTCGGCCTTATCGTGTCTTCTCTTGGGCGGCAATCTATATCTTCATCAACAGATCCTTGGTATCTCACAATTGATCAGCAAGATTCGATCTGGCCTTACGAGGTCAATGCCGGTCGACCACCCTTGTCGTGCTGGGAGACAGACGTGTGGTCGTTCCGCGGAAGTACTTCCAACGCATCAGAATTGAGAAATCTCACCGATAATCGCCTCTCGCTTCCTATCTCTATTGCGCTATCTCAGAATTTGTTTGAGCCCATGATCCTATCAACGACACAACGGTTAGGGCGATCCAGCCTGGCATCGTCGTTGACCGCTTATGGAGCAGGCTTTGACGCCGCAAAATGCAGTGTTGTCGCGGATATGACCCGTCTCGTCAACAGCAGCTATATCGCAACTCGAAATATTCTGTCTGACTCAACCACTATCAGTGCAGAGGGACAAGAGGGCCTCCTAAATACATATCGTGGTGACAACGGGACCATACTTCCTGGCTCGGATGAATTTGTTATTTCAAGCCCGAACATCATCACGCTTTCCGTGAGAATTCTTATCATCGTTCCTGCGGTATTCTTTGGAGTTCTTGTTCTTCTAGCAGTTCTGGCATGCCTCCCTGACCCATGGCGCTCAAGCAAGGAGCTCAATGCCACCAGAATCCATGCATTGAAGAGACAGAGTACGACGACCAAAACAAGAAATGTCAGAGTTTCAAAGTAAGTTGTTCGGGACATTCGTTGACAGCTCTCTCAGCTAAACTCATTTGCAACAGAGGTAACGGAAATGATAAGCAAGATGGAGGTGATGGAACTAAGGACAATGGCGATGGTAATAACGGTGATGGTGGCAATGTGAGCAAAGAGGTGAATAATTTTGTAACCTCAATTGATGTTTGAGATAAAATATCAGTACATATCACGTCATTTTCATCGGCAGCTCAGGGACTCTCCTGGGAACTATCAGCGAGATGGGCGACGATCTCTCCCAGTGCCAGTCATCTCCATGAAACGAGGCTTTGGGTCCTGAAATCAACTCAATGTTGTTGCTCTGCAAATTTATTGCTTTGAGATAATGAATCTATGTTACTTTCTCATCTGTGTTTTCGTACGGAGACACTCACTCAATTCATCGTTACCTTTTCTCTCCCTATTTTGCCATTAAGCATGCCAGTTGATCTCAGCTCCCGTTTTGAATAACAATAAAGCCTTGATACAAGCTCCGAAAAGGTTTGTTTGTTGCTGGTAAGAGGCCGTCACAGTCAAACAGACGGCGTTTGCCGTGTAAAGGGGGTGGTTCTACATCGTTACCAGACAATGCACAGCTGATACTATGTTTTTTACATCTTTCAGAGCATATGATTCAAAAGATTACCTTACAAGCGCAAGCCACACGAGCAGCTCCCTAAAAGCAAACACTCTTCTTCCCTCGCTCTTTCCCTCTTCTTTTCTCTCCTCGCCCCCTCCTTGCTGCCTTCCTCAATCCCACCTTCATTTGTGACTCGCATCTATCCCAGTAACAGAAGAAAGCATGGCTAACGATCATCGTAAGTCGGTTCGTTGAATTGATAATACACTGACCTCGCTAACTATACTCATATCAGCATACCTAGACCTTCCAATACCCAAATATGCGCCGATTGAGCTACGTCCAACACCAGGCAAAGGATGGGGTGTTTTTGCCACCAGAAACATCAAACGTGGATCCCTTATCATGAAAGAAAAGGCTATGTTCGTTATCCCAAAACCGTCTGAGAGTATCACAGAGCAAGATATCGAAAAGGCCATCGAGAAGTTGAGCGTCTCACAGATGCACATCTTTGCTTGTCTGTCTGGAAATAGACCACGCGAACTATTTAATGGTCTAATGGACAGTGGACCGTTGGACCTTGCGGGGATCTGGGGTAAAAATTGCTTCTCTCTCGAGTCTGGTGTGGAGCAACGACTTTTCGGGAAGTTTGTCGTGCAGAAAAGATGGGGTCTATTTCCTTGCCATTCACGTTTCAACCATTCATGTCAAGCAAACGCTGGTATTCCCGAAACACCATCAGAGTCACAAGTTGGGAAAAACTCTATGTCTAGCTATGCAGAAAGAGACATCGCTGCCGGAGAAGAAATCACGATATCCTACAAGAACGGCTTCCACAGTCGCACTTTGTATGAACGTCATCGATTGCTTGGATTCAGATGTCGCTGTACTGTTTGTGATCGAGCTACAAAAGATAAGACATTCAGGCAGGTCAGTGACATGCGACGAAGGTTGATAAGAGGATTGATCTATCTTTTGGACGGCATAGACGAGAATAGCGAGTACGACGACAACGATACGCACTCACGACCAGTCATATGTGATCCCGCTATGCGCAAAGCAGCGGACAAGTGCGACATCCCCCTTAGCGCTAGACTGATATATGATCTGTTACTGGTAGCCCTCAAAGAAGCAGAAGGAACACTTGACGTGGAAGAAGCAGCCCGAACTTGGACTCACGTGTGGCGTAGGGCTTGCTCGTTCGGTACAGAAGAAAATCGCAAGATCGCCAGGCTTGCTGTACAGCAAAAGACATGGACTGAGAGGCTGGGCATGGCGTTCCAACTCGATGGGAGAGCTGATGCGGCTGATTATCTCCATACATTAGCCTATCGTCGAGTGAAAGGGATGGAAATCTGAGGTGCATGTCTGTATCAACTCAGATTGTTGTTAGTGATGCCAATGATGATGAATGAAGCTATGGAGGGTCTGTGGCGCTTCAAATTCGTTATAGTTCATGGTGTTTTCAAAGAATTTTTCTCTTGTGACATGTGAGAGTGTATGGAATATGTCAATCTCTACCCTTACTATTCGATTATTCTATCTGCAGGCTTTTCTCGTTTCTAATTCTGAGAGCGCTTTCTCAGGTATCCTGAGACTTCTCCGAGAAACGGACATTGTAATGAATATTAGATACCTGACTATGATCGATATCTAGGACCATAATTAGTTCTAGCACCGCCGATAAGCGACCTGATTCCTCCATATACTCATCTTGCTCCTCCGTATCTATCTACAACATGGTGAGTGGTAGGTAGTAGAGTCCTATACGTCCTATACTCCCGCTTCCCCTCATATTTGACATGGAAAACCCAACATGAAGGAACAGATCAGATCAGGGGCGGGCCTTCCCCATTAGGCAATCTAATTAAACGCGAACGCGTGATCACGTGATCCGCGTCCATCCTGCCTCGCGTCTCCCCGATTAAAGTTATGGAGAACATTCAACATTCAACCTCCGTCCTTCAAGCTCTCAATGTATGGGGTCGCCGTGATTACAAAATAGCAAATTACGACAAAATGTCTTCACGCCCGGAGCTTAAAGTAAGTTTGATATGTTACTAATCTCATGGTGTTCAATATTGCTTTGTTGTACTAGAAAGCTTCGATACGGAAGCTGATTCATAACATTACAGGTCGACGATGAAAACGGTTTCATTCGCTTTTTTCGATCGCTACCTTCTAAAGAAGTCGTCAACGAAAGTAATCCGACGACTATTCGCTTGTTTGACCGTGGCGACTGGTATACAGCGCACGGCACTGATGCCGAATTCATTGCCCGCACAGTCTATAAAACCACTTCGGTTTTGCGAACGTTAGGCCGCAGCGACTCCGGTGGCTTGCCTTCAGTCACTCTGAGTGTAACGGTCTTTCGTAATTTCTTACGAGAAGCTCTTTTTCGTTTAAATAAACGCATTGAAATTTGGGTGTCTGCAGAAAGTGGGAGAGGACAATGGAAATTAGGAAAGCAGGCCAGTCCGGGAAATCTGCAAGATGTTGAAGAGGAACTCGGCGGTGCAGGTGGAAATGCGATGGATTCAGCGCCCATCATCCTTGCCGTCAAAGTCTCCGCTCGCTCATCGGAGGCTAAGAATATTGGTGTTTGCTTCGCGGATGCTAGTGTTCGTGAACTTGGTGTTAGCGAGTTTCTCGACAACGATGTTTACTCCAATTTCGAGTCGCTCGTTATCCAACTTGGCGTGAAGGAATGTGTTATTCAGCTTGATAGTACCAAGAAGGACGCTGAACTGGCGAAACTCAGGGCAATTGCGGACACTTGTGGAATTGCAATAACAGAGCGGCCTATGGCAGACTTTGGCACAAGAGACATTGAGCAAGATTTGACAAGACTATTGCGTGATGAAAGGTCAGCTGCTACATTACCTCAAACAGAATTGAAGTTGGCCATGGGCGCCGCTGCTTCACTCATCAAATACTTGGGAGTCATGTCAGATTCGACCAATTTCGGTCAATATCAACTTTACCAGCACGATCTGTCGCAGTATATGAAGTTGGATGCTTCTGCTTTACGTGCATTGAATCTAATGCCGGGCCCGCGAGACGGAGCAAAGAATATGAGTTTGTATGGGCTCTTGAACCATTGCAAGACGCCTGTGGGAAGTCGATTGCTCGCCCAATGGCTGAAGCAGCCTCTTATGGATCAAGCACAAATTGAAAAGCGACATCAGTTGGTTGAAGCATTTGTCGTGGACACAGAATTGCGGCAGACTATGCAGGAGGAGCATTTACGAGCAATCCCAGATTTATACAGACTGGCTAAGCGCTTTCAACGTAGCCAAGCTAATCTGGAAGATGTGGTACGAGTTTATCAAGTTGCTATTCGCTTACCGGGCTTCGTCCGCAGCTTTGAGAATGTCATGGACGAGCAATATCAAACGCCTTTGGACGAGCAGTACACAACAAAGTTGCGCAACCTATCCAACAGTCTTGCAAAACTCGAGGAGATGGTCGAAACTACAGTTGACCTCGACGCACTCGATAACCACGAATTCATCATAAAACCGGAGTTTGATGACAGTCTTCGGGTCATCCGCAAAAAGCTAGACAAGCTTCGCTACGATATGGACTTGGAACACCGCCGGGTTGCTAAAGACCTAAATCAAGACATGGAGAAGAAACTTTTCATGGAAAACCACCGCGTTCACGGTTGGTGTTTTAGATTGACCAGAAATGAAGCTGGTTGTATTCGCAACAAGAAAGAGTATCAGGAGTGCTCAACACAGAAAAACGGAGTCTATTTCACCACACGAACAATGCAAGAACTCCGCAGAGAGCATGATCAGCTGTCATCAAACTACAATCGCACTCAATCAGGTCTTGTCCAAGAAGTAGTCAACGTTGCAACTTCATATTGTCCTGTGCTTGAACAACTAGCCGGCACTGTGGCCCATCTGGATGTAATTGTGAGTTTTGCCCACGTATCGGTTCACGCTCCAACGGCGTATACTCGCCCCAAGATGCATCCACGAGGCACTGGAAACACCATTCTCAAAGAAGCCCGTCATCCATGCATGGAAATGCAAGATAATATTTCATTCATCACAAACGATGTTTCACTTGTGCGAGATGAGTCCTCATTCCTCATTATTACAGGACCGAATATGGGTGGTAAATCCACCTATATTCGACAGATCGGTGTGATTGCGCTGATGGCCCAGATTGGCTGCTTTGTGCCCTGTACCGAGGCAGAGCTGACAATATTCGACTGTATTCTTGCTCGTGTAGGAGCAAGTGACTCGCAGCTAAAGGGTGTGTCAACCTTTATGGCCGAAATGCTTGAGACATCAAATATTCTGAAGTCTGCCACATCCGAATCGTTGATCATCATCGATGAGCTTGGTCGAGGAACTAGTACATACGATGGCTTCGGTCTCGCATGGGCCATTTCCGAGCACATCGTCACAGAGATAGGCTGTTTCGGCATGTTTGCAACTCATTTCCATGAGCTAACAGCTCTAGCCGATCGCTATCCGAAATCTGTGAAGAACTTGCATGTGGTCGCTTTCATTGGAGATGCCAAGGAGGGAGAGAGCAATAAAAAGAGGGAAGTCACGCTTCTCTACCGTGTTGAACCCGGCGTTTGTGATCAGTCTTTCGGTATTCACGTTGCGGAACTCGTCCGCTTCCCGGAGAAAGTGGTGAACATGGCACGACAAAAGGCAGAAGAATTGGAAGATTTCACCACAGCGACCTCCGACAACACAGAGAAGAAAGAAGCTTCAGCACTCGATGGCTATTCTCAAGAGGAAGTAGAAGAAGGCAGTGCACTCTTGAAGTCAATGTTACTCAAGTGGAAGGCGGAAATTGAAGCTCCAGGAAAGGAGAACCTGACTGCAGAAGAAAAGCGTCAGATTATGCGCGACTTGGTCGCAGCGGATAGCAGTTTGCAATCAAATAAGGTCTTTCAGGGTATCAAAGCTCTATAGACACTCGCCTTTCGTCTCATATATGCAATCTACAAGCTCATTTTATCATTTCGGTTATCGCGTACTAGGTGTTTCATGAGGGAAGGCTTTCGGGAAGGTCTGGGCATTGCAGTATTGTTATCATGTACACTATCTATAATGAGAAATCCATTGTCGTCAATTCGTGCTCCGCTCGTGGGTGACGATGTAATCGTAGAACTTAGAGTCGTCGGAACACACGTACTGGCTGTTAGCGGCGAGTCTTTCAGCACGCATCTCAATCCTCTTGATATAAATGCATTTCCATAGCTCAAATTACCTTGATATGAAGAACTTTTCGATAATCAATTGTTACGAGTAGGTCAACAAGATGAAAAGATTTCCACGTGTCAAGGACGGAAACGATGATCGTAGAAACACGTGACAGCGACGCAAGCACCTGTCGAAACTTGGAAGATCGAGACACATCTCTGCTTTGAACACAACAAACAGCTTCTCATTGCTGGACGTTCCTTTTCAAAGTGAAATTACTACCGTTTTCGCTTTGCGACCTAGTCGTGCAATCGACCAGAAATCAGAGCTACTAATTGAACAGGGAATCGTTCGCGATTATCGGACTACATTCATCCTCAACTCCGCGCCGCCATGCCGTTACCCTGAAATTCACCTCACTTCACTTCACTTCAATTGACATCGACCACAAAAGAACTCAGACCGGTCCAGATTCATGCATCCCTTCTCCGTCCTGACACTCGGAATCTTTGTAGCGGGCTACATCACTGCGAGGTGGGACTTGGTTACTCGCCTATACGATCTGGCGATCTTTGCCTGGGATCACGGCGTCGTTACTCGAACCGCGAAGGGCTTCGTACTGCTCTCAATCATACTCTTCATTTTCATTATACCGCTCCACTATCTCGCATCAAAAGAAATTGACATACACCCCCGTGTCGTTCAGCAAGGTATATCTGCGCGGGAGGAGTTGCGCCGGAGAGGCTCCTTTTAATTAAAGCGAATTGAAGCAGCGGTGCATGAAAGGATGACAATATGATAAATGGCGATGGCTTACTGCGTGTTTTCTGGCCGAATGATATACCACGCTCATCGTCGTCCGGGGTTATTATCGGCTGGCGCAACTCGGACTTGGATTTATTTGTCGTAACTGTGCTGGAAGATGTCGAGGTAGGTGAAGCGCTAGATACTGAAAAGGGGCTGTTCACAATGTTAATAATTATTGCTCTCCAAGGCCAAAAGTGTCGATAATGCGCTGCGAACGGGCATTCTGTTTCGCAATTGCCCTCACCCGATCACCCAACTCTTCGTTCTCTGTGGAAAGTCGGCAATGCACGTTTTAGGCTCAACCAACCCAGCTGAGCCGCCAACAGCTTTCGATGCCGGCCATCTTTCAGTGACTACGAATACCTCTTATAAGATCCCCCGTGTTTTCTGTCCTCCAGAAACGAATGTCTCGATTCAAGTGATTATGTTCAATCGCCCTCATCCAACCCGTATGCAATATATGTCATTGGAGCCGATATCTTTAGCGTTGGTCGATAAACAATCGAATCATGGAAAGGGTGTGTCCTTTGCTCCGATCGATGCGGAGGAGGAAGAGGAGAAAGCTCGGTCGAAGAAACTGATAGAGAAGCTGAAGTGGCATACGGTCGTCCGCCATGTCCCGTCCCAGAAAGAGGTTGCGCTACCTATCATACTAAACCAAGTGAACTGCGCATTTGAGGTTGGACAACTCATTGAGAAGAATAGCCGACTAATAGGCACGCGTCCAAAGAGAAGCATGAGTGTCAGCGAACGTGTCGTTGAATCTGCCACAACAATTTGGGACTTTTTTGTTGACATCTTCTGGCAATGGATCTGGCCAGTTCTTACAAGATGCTTTGTCTTTGGTTTAGTCTGCCATCGCGCAGTCGCTGAATTAGTACTACGTATGCTTGAATGGCGAGCCCGTCCCGATGCTGCAGCTCTTAAGGATATCTCCGCCACAGCGCAACAAGTCGACATTCGATTGCAGCAATTTTGCTACTGGCCTATACAATACGTCAAACTTCGGCAAAGAAAGGATAATTGGGAGAGTGTTACAACCAGTCATCCGGATTACATTCGCTTCTACAATTCACTTTGGCTCGTTGCAAACGATGTCATTATCGGCATTGCTTTGGGCTCTTATATTATTGATAACGCGCAATGGGTGGCCAGTCAAATAGACTATCTCATCACAGACTGGACTGTTGAAGGTTTACAGAGAACCATCTCATGGCTGATGGGATGGCCAGCCGGTTTGAAACTCAATAATGAACTGGCTGCATTCCTGGGAGATCTTTTCCTTTGGGTCATTGAACATTGGGCCGGTATTTCATCGTCCTTTTCATATAGTAAAAGCCTCAATACTGACTGCTTTATATATAGCCTGTATCGCCAACCTGCAACCCTATTTACCACACCTAATATACATTATTGGCTGCTCGAGTTTCGCCGGTGCCAGCATGCCAATTGCTCTATTCTCCGATTTACTTTCAATCATCACCATCCACATTTACTCATTCTACATAGCATCGGCTCGCATATTTAATTGGCAACTTAGCATTATAATATCCCTTTTCCACCTCTTCCGCGGCAAAAAACGGAACGTCCTTCGCAATCGAATCGATTCCTGCGACTACGATCTCGACCAGCTTTTGCTAGGGACGATTCTGTTTACCGTATTATTCTTTCTTCTTCCGACAGTCGTCGTCTTTTACCTCGCATTTGCATCGGCGCGGATGTTAATCATCTCACTCAAAGCGGCGCTGGATACGTGGTTGGCATTTCTGAATCACTTTCCACTGTTTGCGCTAATGCTGCGCGTGAAGGATCCCGGACGTTTACCTGGTATGATCTTTTTGAGAAGCTAAATTCATTTCAAATACTAAAGAGCATCATAGGCGGGGTCTATTTCTCGCTACGAGAAGAAGTTATCAAACCATCATCAAAACAAAAAGGCGCAGAGGCAACCAGGATTTCCTATATCCATCTAAAGGTATGTCATCCTAACGGTCCTGTCAAACATCCGAATTATACTGACAATCAAACAGTCCATGCCCCTCTCCCTCCGCGCCATGTTCGACCAATACTTCCAACTCGGCCATCGCCTCCGCAAACACTACCTCTCACCCAGCGTCATCCTGTGCCTCGTCACCGGCCGCTTCGTACCTCCAATCCATCGCCGCAATCTCTACAGTATGCAATACAGCATGCTCCCAGCCCACCGCGCGGGCATGTTCGAGGTGTGGAATCGACTGACGGAGAAGAAGAGTACCTCAAATGGCTCAAGCGGTGGTCGAGGAATGAACGGTAGTATGGGCAATGGACTTGTCAAGGTTCCGTCGAATTATGTATCTAATGGTGGTGGTCGTCGGGGCCACCGATGATGACTGTAATGTATTTATTGTAAGATATACTTTTATGTTATACATAACTTTTTTGCGAGTGCCGTCCACCTTCAATGAACCCCTTTGATCGTCTTTTCAAGACCACAGGTCAACCACCTACAGTCAACATTTCGAAGTATGTATTGATTCGATATCCTTTTCGAGATAGCCATCTGTTTCGCCAGTACCTATTCTATAATACAGTTGGCACCACGCATCAACGTACCCCAGTGACAGCTTCATGTCTTACTCAAACTCAATTTCTCGAGGGACATATATGTATATATACATAGTCCTCTATCGCCTTTCCGCACCATACAATGCTTGAACCCCACATGCAAGATTAAAATGCACGGGAGAGATAAATTCAATATTACTTAAAATCTTACACCAATACAGTACATTCATTCCCAATTGATAACTGATTTTTAGAACTATCTTGTGGGGTAATGCAGGCCGTATTAATGTCTCTGTAGAAACCTTCTAGATAGATACAGTGGGATGAAATATGTGTTCGCACCCCCCCATATCCGACCGCTACCCGAAGCTTAATAATGTAGTGATTAACCACCCGTGCCGTAAGGGCTTTTAGAGGGTTCAGAGGGTACCCAGGCCGCTAAGCCCGCACCTAATAGCACCTGATAGTACTTCGGTTTCCTCGGCAGAATACCCGGCGGTGTGGAAATTTCGGATAGGGGGGGTGCGGAAACATTTTTCGTGGTACTGTATATACTCCGAATACATATACTCCAGATACGTATCGTCCGGGGCAATAGATTCTTCTGATATTGTGCGCGTACAAACAATCATGTACTACCCTTTATGACTTCATACAACCAAGTCCGTATTGACTTTGCATGGTTCAACATCTTGACATTGAGCCAATCGACCTCCTTTCGCGAGTGAAAATACTGCAAAATAATTGCAGCACATACTGTAAACGTGGTCAAACTAAAGAGTGATACCCAGTACTTCCACCATGGAACGTCATCCGCAACTTGGTTCATGCTAAACATTGCCTATACAGGTATTAGCTTATACGTCCAAACCCCCATCGTCCGCGTTGTCTTTGACTGACCGTTATCAAACCTAATGGCAAATATATCTGAGAAAAATAGTTAGAGGTCGAAACTGAATCCCCTACAGTGTTCAGATCTTACAATTGTTATATGGGTGAGAAGCTGGATGTTATCACCCTGCTGAGTTGCATTTATACTCTCTGCAAGTGCGGACGCATTCACAAGCTAAAGTGCCTAGTTAGCCGGGCTTTCAAGAAGGCAGACTGGAGGTAACTTACAACATCGGACATTTTCTCGAGAGTCTCTATTCTTTGCTCTATGATCATATGTAAGGCTTTGAGCTCTGCTATGTATCCATGTATCTGATAGAACTTGTCCCGAAAATTCTCATAGAGAGTCCCAGGTTCTTCTAGATTGAAGTAGACACTGTGGTTCGTATCAAACTCCATCCACGTCGTCACATTTTTAGCAAGGCAATTTTTTAGGCGCCGCAAAGTCCCTAAAACCCAAGTGTATTCTTTCGTTCGTTTCAAGTTCGGGTCGTCCTCGAGAAACTTTGGGAGAGACTCTTGATTTATTTCGCCCTAATGATGCGCGAAAGGTATCGTCGTCAGGGAAAAAAATATTAATCTAGGAGACTTGTAGTAGGGGCTGTCACTCACATGAGAGTCCAGATAGCTTTCTAGTACTTGCACTAGCACTGTCCACTCGGCTGTGACCTGGTACATTCTTATAGAAAGCACAGTAAGAAAATAATACCTTGGGTCCCAGATGGGCAAGTTACATGGTGTTTGGCCGGCAGACGGACCATCTGATCGTGTTTTGAGGAATTCCTCGACTGTGTCTTGCCCCGTGTAATAAGTATCTCCACAGAAGTGGGCAGTCCAGAAGAAATCATCCACGACACAAATTATCAATGATAGTTGTGATTCGTAAATACAGTCTTGCAAGATTGTTCCTGGTGGTCGGAAATACCTGGCCTTTCTCAATCCTCTAGGATCAGAGTGGTTCGTGATGTCGGGTCGTAGAACGTAGTGTGGTAAATGAAACTGTAGAACGATTTTTCGATTCTTACACCACCAGCTTTAACTCGCACCGTCTTTACACTTAGTTGGGGTCCGAACCACTCACGTGAGAAACATTCATATAAGCCTGAAACTCGATATGTTTAGATAGAAACAAGCGGAAGTCTGGGAGGTGTAAGGTGGATATGTTGCAAATTAGGGCTAAGGCCACTCGTGGCGTTATATCTGCAATATAACTTTATCATCTTAGCTTGTTATGTTCGCTGTGTTGGGAGGATTGAAATCCGTACACGATTCTACGCTCTGCGTTCTGTTTCCTCTGTTGGCATTATTAGATGAGGTTCACCAATGATGGAGGGAAAGAGAAATAGAAATAGATCAAGAAAGACCGATAGAGGAGCTATTATTTTTCAAATCTCATCTGTTTACTTACAGAAATTTTAAGGCGCTCGAATAATGTTTTCGCATCTGCTCCATATACTTGGACGTTTTCTCCTTCTGGCGGATACTGATTATACGATTTTGAGTCCCATGGACGAAGTATAATACTTGCATTGTCGGAAATATTCAGATTTACACAAGGGTCACATCTGTCGTCAACAATGACTATTGTCCTCCGATCATTTGTAGGAGCTTGCAAATCTTGAATGGAACTGGCGTCTGACTGTTCAAGGAAACCGCGTAAAGCTTCGTGAAGGCGAGGAGGTTCAAGATCACTTATGAAATGACTTAAAAATGAATCTATGAGAGTTTTCCCAGGTTCGATCTGAAGTCGCTCATCTTGATGAATGTATAAGTTCGGCTGTCGCGTGGTGAACGATTTCCACAAATTTTCGTTTCGGGGCCTGTCATGGTTATTTATTCGAGATCGATCCATTGGCCTCCGTTATTTTTTCGAGATATGCGTACAAAACAAGCTGTCTTGTACACCCTTGGATTTTTTTTTGGCTGAGGTGTTTGAGGTCGCTTCGAGCTTGTGATGCTATAACTATCTGATCAACTAATACACGTAGATCTTCTGTACTTTCGAAAGATTGTGCAAGTCCTTCTCACTTGTGGAATTCTGTATGCTTCCAAGAAGGCTTTGCTGTGCATTCCTTTTCGCTTATTTTTCGAGTTGAGATCAGCCTTGCTACTTCACACCAAGACGATAAGACTAAATAACTAACAAATAGTCGGGTGTTGCCCATTACGGATTTGGGTATTATTGAGCTACGCGTGGCTCACTTTGGTCCATTTGTGCTTGCCACGTAACGTGGCTAGGTTTTTTAATCGTAAGGCAGCCAATACCGTCTGAAACATACATTCAGACCAAACCAAGTTGAAACCGGTTGTTACGAACCCTGCCCTTTGTTCGACAATAGCAACTCGTGACTGTCCGTATCTCAGAAATATCCAAAAAAGTACATGAGGCTGAATCCGCCTGCCACACCTATTTCTTTCCCATGATATTTTGATACTTGATTTTTGGCTCTAGCCTTGAGGCAACCTCATAATAACAGCTTCCGCGTGTGCTGAACAGCAGATGTAGAGTACCGAATGGTGAATATTTACATCTCATGTTTTAAGTGAAAAGTAGGCATGGTTGATATAGCAATGAATGAGAACAGAAGGCCTGGTGATTTCTTGATTGGGGTTTCTCTCAGTTTATCTGCAAGTATCACTTAACAATCATACAATCTCTACATGCTTGATGGAAGCAGGAGCTACACTGGGGTGCTATAACGTAATCGTACGGTCCGCCATTACACTGACACTAGAAACCAAAATTTATCTGGTTAGCATTAAGATTCTGATAGGAAATCCCAGTCACTGCGCATATGGAAACACCCTTACACAGTAATACCTCAGAGTTCCACCCCACAGGCTCACTCCGCTTGCTGCTTGGGTGGGATTCTTGCACTTGGTACATTTCGCGTGCTGACATGATTCGCATTTGGATGCCTCGGCTTTATTGTATTTGCTACATTGCTCGTTGCACTGTTTTAATCAGCACCGGAGCGCACATTTCATCTTCGTGTGCCTAGGTGTACTCACACAGTACCAGTCTTGCGAAGTTCTTCGTATCAAAGGGTGCAAATCAATGTTGGACTCAATATACTCATCCAGACCACCATCCGCTCGTAAATGTCCACGGAATAAATCCATCAAGATACTTTGAAAAGCCCAGCCTGGTGCAATAGTATGAGCAACCCGGGGTTTCTTGAACAGGAGAACGTAACGTTTATGATTCTAATTGTTCGCTCTGCGGTGCGAATTTTGCTTTTCGGCTATTCGTGATATGATTGAGTCATTACGGTAGAGATTTCTTGGAGGGAAGGCGTAATCTAAATATTTTTTGGGCAGCAGCTCTAACGCGTAAAAGTACTAAAAAAGTAAATTCATCCGATCGCCGCAACTGCGGTCCATCTGCAATCCCTGATTTTAGGTCGAAATTGGGGCAGTGCCAGGCTGAACGGTCTGACATGGGTATGACTTGTATCTTCATTGGAGCAAACAATATTCCAGCTTGTGTATACGAATGTATCATGTTCATAATAAATCCCAGGTATTTTTCTAGCGTCTTCTTCGACAAAACCCTGACTCACTCAGATATGCCTTCAATCATGGTAAAGAAACAGGCTTATCGAATCCATTCATACTGGAGTCTGGAGCCAATAATTGATGACTAGTTAATGCGGAAAAGAAAGCCGAATTAGACGTTGACGCAAGAAGATCTCTCAAGAAGCATTCATAGTCAGTTTGTGCTCGGGCAGTAATGGATTTATATGTGTAAGTTATTGATGATACTAGTGTAAGACCGTGAAACAGAAAGTACCTAAAGCTACAGACATATATTTATTCGTCTATTCATGCACTACGGTAATAGAATAAGCTTATGCTAAGGCTCAATGATCTGATTACGATGCTCAGGGACGTGCTAAGTTCTACCCAGTGTTCAAAAGCGGCGACAGTGTGAGCACTAAAATGGAAAGGGAGTGACATGGCGCGCCAGGGGAAATCCGGTACATAGGTATGTGGATATGTAGTAACCCCATGCCCCTTAATATGTAGCGCTGGAGTCATTCAGACTCTAAATCGAACTGCTACTTGCATTGGTGTGGCTTCTCATGGTATCATAGATCCATTGTTCTGTAGATTTGTCCTTCCTGATATGTGCTCCTGGGGTGACTCCATGCTCTTTGATTCTCACATCTAGAGTTAAATGATAACATATAAAGCACTTCAAATTTATATGCTTTATGAATCTATTGATTTTGATAATAGCTGCTGGTGTCCTTCAGATTTAGAAATAGTCTAATATCAGGTTTTCGTACAGGATAGGAGCGCGCTTCAGTTCTACATGCCTTGTAAACCTATTCTCTTTGGTATCCCTTGCTGGAGTGCTTCGGTATACTATGTTACAGAAGTCCGAGCTTCTTGGATAATAATCAGGGTATTGAGGACTTGCACTTTATCTAGGCCTGCTTCTCTCATTGTAGGTCGGGGGTGGCTTCATGCTCTTTCTTCATATGAGAAATGATCTTTATCTTCATAGCACGTGAAGCACTGCGAATCTACATGCTTTGTAATCTGAAATCCTTAATATGGGCTGCTGGAGTCCTTCTGAGCTGGAAATATCTTGATATCAGGTCTTCACATGATAAGAGCGCGCTTCGGTTCCGTAAGCCTTGTGAATTTATTATTCTTAATTACATTGCTGAAGTGCTCCTATACTAGATTAAGACCCTCTTCATACAGCTGAGGGACGCCAAAGTTATACATACCTTGAAACCCTGCTCCTCTCAATGTATACTGCTGGGGTGCCTCAGGTCGTCAACATCTGCCTCTGCACAAAATCGTGCGCACAAATCGCCGAGCCCCTAGTCACACACACACACACACACACATTTATATCTGAGAAGGGTGTCACTTCTCTTTTTTTCTTCCTCCTTTCTTCATCCTCTCACACACCCCCAAGACCACCACCTGCTGCCGCCACCGCCGCCGACTCCGAAACAGAACCAAGAGCGCCCCCGTCCCTTACCTTCACGTCTTCAACATGGCTCATGGACGCACGTGGACCCTCGACCAGATGATATATCTGGTCGTCATGAAATTGGCCTCCAGTTATGGATGGAAGAGGGTCGCGGAGGCCTTCAGAGCGCGATTCGACAGTCCAGCAACACACAAGGACGTCGAGTCGAAGTTCAATAAGGACTTGAAAAAGTCCAAAATCCACCAAATCGTGGTGGATTGGATGGAGGCACAGATTATCCCAGAGGACGACCCCGACGGAGTCTGCATCCTTTTGGATGCACTCATGATGATAGGGGAAATCCCCTTGGAGGACCGTCTGGCCTGATAGTAAGTGAAGTAATTCGATTATTGTCATTTCCAATTCACTTCCACGTCACACACACAGATAGGAGATTTTTCATTGAGCCATGTCTTCGTTATCTCGTTATAAAAATACAATTTTTGGTGTCGAGTGAGTGCTATGCACCATCACCGTTTGAGATGTTCAGCATCACTTTCTTTTGAGCCCTGTTTCGCTTCTTCCAGCATAGTGTCGATGCCACGATCCTTAAGTGCTTTCTGTTGGGTTTTTTTCAGCAGCAGTTTCTGTCAAGAGTGTCGCTCTAGTACATACCATGAGACACGAGTTATACTTTTTGAAGAGCTCGGCACACTCATCTTTGGAGTTGCCTCTGAGATATTCTAACCCCCTCATCAGCTTTGCTTTGGTTTTGGATGAATATATGTTTTCTCACTTTCGCTGTACCATTTGAGAAAACATGTGTCGTATTTTCTAACTCACTTGTCAGACAGATTAAATACACAGCTCGCCACCCTGGGACTCACTCCTTTATTTCGTTGCACTCGGGGGCCAGGGACGCCGACATGATGAAAATGTTTCTGACCGGTAATTCCTTGTGCTCTCCCTTGATGGATTCGAGTTCTATTCACTTTCTTCTCACGATGAGATGCTGTCGTTGGACAGAGCTTGGTTCGGAAGCTTGTCCCCACCCATAACCTTAGCGCCGGTCAAATGGTTTTTCCTGTGAGTTTTTATGCCGCTAATTCTTATCGAAAGTTTTGACAGTTCATGCGAAACTCATATCTGTGTTAGACCATGCTCATTTTTTTATGATCGATTCTTCACATACCACATTCATTCATGCTTTGTTGCAGTTGGAACCCTTTCTTCTTCGCTCACATCCCCTCCTCATTGAGCCTCGTCTCGGCTATCCTCCATCATGGATAACTCGGCAGACTTTTCCTCTTTCCAAGAAAAAGTGACAGCTGCTTTGATCAAGAGCACTCAGACTGTCAAGAAAATCGGAGACGAGGACGTCGACTTCCACCGCACATCAAGCACTGAATTCGCCGAAAACCTAGACGAACAGAGCACCCGGATACTTTCCCTCACCTCATCCTTACTCAAAGTCGCGACTGGCGGCACCGACATCAACCCCCCCGTTCTCGAAGATGAAGACGCGATCGAAGACAACTGGCGTGGCATTGTGGATGTCATTGATAATTTGCTCGAAAAGGCAGATGCATGTCTTGATGAGTTCACTGGCATCATCAAAAAATTGAGTCCTCCACAGCAAGATCGCATTCGTGAGGCGAGCACTCGACAGCAAGAGAAAAAGTTTCCGACCATTTACGACTATGGCCCATCCAAGATTCCTAAACCACAGCTCCAATTTCGCAATGCACCAAACAACCACGACACAGCGCCATTCCGTCCTTTACTCAAATCCAAGCCGCATGCCATCGTACCACTAGAGAAGTCGCTTCAATTGGTCGAGACAGAAAAGAAACCAGCATTGTACGCCATTTACCACTTTTGTTGACAAATCAAAACTAACATTCCATCTAGCTACCCAAACCCTTATGAAAAAGAGATCCGCGATGCCAAGTATCCCGAGTCAGCCTACGTCGTCGCACCGCCAGTCGAGTTCGGTCCTGTCGAAACCACACAAGCTGTCTGGGTCGATACTCCCGAAGGAGTGACCGAAATGGTCAAGGAGCTCAAAAAGGCAAAGGAGATTGCTGTCGACTTGGAGCACCACGATGTGCACACGTACTATGGACTTGTTTCATTGATGCAAATCAGCACTCGTGACAAGGACTGGGTAGTCGACACACTTCAGCCATGGCGCGAAGACTTGCAGCAGTTGAATGAAGTTTTCGCCGATCCCAACATCCTCAAAGTCCTTCATGGTTCTACAATGGATATTGTTTGGCTTCAACGAGATTTGGGTCTGTACGTCGTGGGCTTGTTCGATACATATCATGCTGCGGTAGCTTTGGGATTGTCCAAGCGAAGTTTAAAGTTCTTGCTGGAAAAATATGCGCATTACGAGGCGGACAAGAAATATCAAATGGCTGACTGGCGCCTGAGACCGTTGACAGAGGAAATGTTGAAATATGCTCGTGCCGATACCCACTACCTTCTCTATATCTACGATTGTCTGCGCAATGAACTCCTGGAAAGGTCTACACCAAAGAGAAACCAGATCGACTATGTGTTGGAACGATCAAAGACTGAAGCTTTGCAGCGCTACGAACGACCTGTCTATGACATGGCTGGTGGACAAGGCGCTGGCGGCTGGTACGACCTATTGAGCAGAAATTCGGCACTTTTCTCGAAAGAACAGTTTGCAGTCTTCAAAGCAGTTCACGAATGGCGGGATCGAGTTGCGCGTGAGGAAGATGAAGGCTTACAATGCGTTTTCCCTAGACATATGCTCTTCAAAGTGGCCGTGGCCATGCCTGTCGATAGGCACACTCTTTTCAAAACACTTTCGCCAGTTACTTTGATCGTGAAAGACAGAATCAACGAGCTGCTAGCTCTTATTAAGAAGGCGAAGATTGAGGGTGCGACTGGTCCTGAGCTACGCGATGTCATCAAACCAAGGAAGACTGTTGAAGAAGCTATTTTATCCGCTACTAAGCCATCCCCACTTTTGACCGGAGAGCCCACTGTGGTTTCAGTTGTCCGAGCAGACTCGTCGCAATTCTGGGGCGCGGCATTGCAAGCAGCGGAGTCAGCCGTGGTTCCACCTAACTACAAGGTAGCGGCATCACTTGAAGCTCTGCGGTTATCTGTTCCTATTCCTCCCATGCCTGTGACTGTGTCTGAAGTTCGCCAAATGGTTCAGGAGACGACCACTCCTGCTGTGACTTCCGTGGAACCATCACCAATGAACACACCTTCGACAAACAAGGCAGATAAGAGGAGTGACATTTTCACAGTGAAGGAAGTGGCCCCACGACACAAGAGAAAGGCGATAGAAGTGGTAGAAGACTCTGACGAGACGTCCTCTAGCGGCGGCAGTAGCGCAAGCGAAAGTGAGAGCTCAAGTTCAAGCGAAGAAGAAGAAAGTGAAGAAGAAATCCAAGTCCAAAAACCCCCCACCAAAAAATCACGCAAGGAGAAAAAACCACAGAGAAAGCCTCAAGAGGAGGACACAATCCCATTCGACTACAACGCGGCATCCTCAGTCTTGCACTCAGAGGACATGGCGGCAGCGGCGGCAGCGGCAAATCTACCGAATCAGAAGAAGTATTTCAACCCTTATGCCAAGTCCTTGAATGCGCCTAGCGGGGTACGGAAACAGAAGAAGGAGACGAGTGGACGGACGTTTACATTTAGATAGAGCGATTGGAGGAAAGTGTGGTTGAGCTGTGTGTTGCATCTGCATCTGCTATCGGACATGTTTTGATTTGATTTGATACCCGCATGAATCACATGGATCATGATGACTTTTTTTTGCATCTTGTTGGATTAGGTAGTTCAGAAACTTTATTCCTGGCAGCTTTTTCGAAAAGCAATGCAATATACGACATGGATATTCATTTCAGTCAATCATTGTACTCTCTCGGGATACTAAGCGACGATACTAGACTAACACTCTGATTCTCACCACGTTCCGGCCAGGATCAGACTCTCATCCCACGAACTATCCTTGACCAAAAGGCCGAAAACTAATCACGAGAATCGAGCTCTGGCCCATGACCAGGCCACCAGTATGTGCGTGCCTAGTCTAGTTCAACCCCTCAGCCCGGGAATCTGGTCAGTCAGTGAAACTAGCGTCAGACCAAAGACACAAAAAGGTCCGAGCTTTGATCTTTCCTTTGGATTATGCTTTGTGCAGATGAACGAACGGACTTGACTCATGGAAGACTCGGCTTGTTCTGATTCTTGAGATTCTTTGAGTTTGTGTAAGTCGTGCGTGACAAAGACGGGGTTGAGTAATTGAGCTGAAGAAGAAGAAGCTCGATACCTCCTCGTACGTTGATCGATCCCATATCAACTTCCGTGTCTTGCATGCTCGGAATATAAAATACATCATCGTCCAAGAAACGTCTAGCAAAAATCAAGGAAATACGTACCAAGTCTGTCTGTAGTACCTGCGTCTGGGTCCCTGCGCTAGTATGGTGGTCGGTGGCTGAGAGTCACGAGGATACGTACATAACTGCCGACGTACATGGTGTGTATGTGCCATTTAACTCGGTTGTGCCGGGTACCAGATTCATCGACCAGGACTTTGATCCATTCATCCTAATCTTATTCTTGGATGCATGCATGAACCGACCATCGGACCATTGAAGGTTCTGCAGCAAAAAACATTGAACAAACAAAGTGTTCGATGCTCGGCCTATCGGATTCCGGGATAATCATTTAGACTCGTACTCCGATAGACGCGCTAGTAAGCTAAGGTCAAGATGTTACTATGTATACTACGTAGTATATACCAATGCTATACTGTCCTGCGCCAAGGCCGGATGCATGACCTGTCATGTCCCCTTGCATCGACTGTACAAATGCTGTTCATGGTTATTACGTGGTAGAGTGAAGGATTGCTACAGAAAAGACTCGGATGACGGTGGAGACTGGGTTATTGCGGATAGCGGGAAGTCTGCATGATCATACCCGAGCTTAGTGATAGACGTAGTATCTGGTAATGCTGCTAGCCTGTTATGCTGTAATAGCTTTTCACTTCGGATTGCACTCTGGATGATAAGCTTTTGTTGAACTGTAGATGATATACACCTTGACTGCATATGGTTCTTCGCTGATGTCTGCTCTCACATATATTCATACTATGTACTATGGTAGTATATCGCAAGAATGGCTTTGTCCACATAGTATGTATTCTACTCTGTAATGTATGGTATGATAAATACACTACTGCACCACGGCCCACTCACACGGCTGTTCCTGCATGGCAGCGCCAATCAGGTGCTGCGTAGCTTGCTTTATTCTTGGATATTCTCGGACGTATCCAGACTCAGGGGTAACAATCGAGGACGGACTGCTTGGTGGACTGTGTGTCTTATGCTTGTCACTCACTCGACTGTGCAGGGCTGTAACTCTTTCAACGAGAGCGTTTCAGCATTGTCTTGTCTCACCCTCTGTCGATGAACGCGACTTCAAGTCATGCGAGCACATTTCAAAGCAGGCATATGCCCCTATTTTACTATTTTGTGCCCTCGCTGTCCTGTCTCTACGAGTTGGATAACTACTCATTGACTGTGACTTACACATGAACCTAAGAGCCAACGCTAGTGCAACCTCAAACCTGATATCTGCTGCTAGGAGTCCCCATAATTAAGGCTCCATAACAATGTCTAGAGGATATACTATATACGTACTATGTAGTACTCCGTATTCCGCAATGCATACAACCACCAACGATCAGACCAGCTATGATGATTCAAGAGTCAGTGCTCAATTAATCGTAAGAGTCAGTCGCGCTACTTGGTTGGGTCCGTTCCTGTTAATTTCTTATTGTTGCATAGAAGAAATACGATTCTTGCTGCGACTGGGCATTGTTTGACTGTGTAGCCTCCTGCATGCAAATGTCTGTATCGGTGCCGGTCGGCCGGTTTCTCTGCGACGAGACAGAAATCATTTCGTACATATGGCAAGTCCATTGGTATTCATAACTCGATAAAGAAGAAAAAAATAGAAACGTCAATGGAAATACGCAGTAAATACAGAATACTATGTAGAAAGAACATTGGGCTTATCAGCAGCGTAATGACTGCGTGGTCATAAGTCAGACCGGAAACCCACACACCCCCGCTCTTTCCCTGTGCCTTTCCCCCTGCTCCTTCCTCTTATTCCTCGCACCCCTCCGCCATCCTTGAACTGTCGATCTTCGGCTTACTTCTTATTTTCTTTGCTCTCCTTTAATCTTCTTCTTCTCTCTCTGTACTTCCGCTGATATCCCATCCCGCTCGCTTCCTTCGTGTGTCGTCTCGTCGGCATTGTCAACGCTCTTTTACTCGGCTGGCATCAAAGTAAAAAGGGGCCAGCAGAAAAGAAAAAAGAAGCAACCTGCCGGAAACTGACACACAGCACACACTTACTGTTTCGCTCGCACCCGGATCCCTACCCAACGTCCCCTGCGTAATTCAACTCACGACCTTACGCTTCCACTGGGATGATAAATATCTTTACGACTATATTCGAACTTTTCACATCGCCTGCACCAAAAATTTCTACCATCCGGTCTATTACACGGGACGAGTCGGACGTAAATAAACAGCAATCAATTGTCTTTCGGCGTGATTCGACGGAATCCGACCCGTCCGGCTTTCCATGAAACAACTCTGAATTGAAGCCTATACATATATACCGGTAGCAGCGAAAGCGACTTTGCCAGTGATTCGCGATACATATTCGCTTTATAAACACTTATCCCGCCGTCGCGACCATTGCCATCCCAATGTCGGTAGCCACCATGCTTCAACCGGCATCGAGGGCATCGACGTCCTCTTCTTCCTCTTTCCAACCCGTTTCTCGTCAAAACACAATGTCCTCGCACGATACTAGGTCGGTGCGCGCATCGAAGCGCATGTCCGTCACGGCGCTATACCTGTCCATGTCCGCTAAGGATAAAGATTTGGAAATCTCGGACGAACTAGCCAAAGGTATGCGAATGCTTTCCTTCAATCGTCGGACTTGTCAATACTGATTGACGTGTGATTAGCGCAAAAACACCTCCGCGAACTCAAAGCCAAAATCTCGTCGCAGTCCAAAAAGAACTTCGTCCTCGAGAAAGATGTCCGCTATTTGGATTCTCGAATAGCATTGCTCATCCAAAATCGCATGGCATTAGAGGAGGTTTGTGCTATACTCGTTTCTATTGCGTTGTGTCGCGAGCTGACACGCCTTGTTTTAGCAAAATGAAATCTCTAGCCGCCTCGAGGAAAGCTTGGAATCATCCCAAGAGGGTCACTTTCCCAACGATGAAAAGACGCAAAAATACGGAAATCTGCTTTTCCTGCTCCAGTCGGAGCCGAAACACATTGCACATCTCTGCCGTCTAGTGTCAATGTCTGAAATCGATTCCCTTTTACAGACAGTCATGTTCACCATCTACGGAAATCAATACGAAAGCCGTGAAGAACACTTGCTATTGACCATGTTTCAGTCCGTCCTGACCTATCAATTTGATAATACCCCGGAATACTCGTCGCTCTTGCGTCAAAATACCCCCGTCTCGCGAATGATGACGACCTATACTCGACGTGGTCCCGGTCAAAGTTACCTCAAACAAGTCCTGGCGCAGCGGATCAACGCCCTCATTGAGTTGCAGGATGTTGATCTCGAAATCAACCCATTGAAAGTTTACGAGAGCATGGTTCAGAAGATAGAAGAGAGCTCCGGACAACTACCCGACTACTTAGCGAAATCAGTGACTGCCGAGGTCGCAGCTGAGAACGAACAAGTCAAAGCCATAATTGAACCCCGCCTGAAAATGCTGACCGATATTGCCAACACTTTCTTAACGACAATCATTGATGGACTCGAGGATGCTCCGTACGGAATCCGTTGGATCTGCAAGCAGATCCGCAGTCTGTCCCGCCGCAAGTACCCGGATGCTCAGGACCAAACCATTTGTACATTGATTGGAGGTTTCTTCTTCCTCCGTTTCATCAACCCAGCTATCGTGACCCCTCGGTCTTACATGCTCATCGAATCCGTTCCTTCTGACAAGCCGCGGCGAACCTTGACTCTTATTGCCAAGATGTTGCAAAACTTGGCAAACAAGCCTTCATACGCCAAAGAGCCCTATATGGCAGCGCTTCAGCCGTTCATCCATCAGAACAAAGAACGTGTAAACAAGTTTATGCTTGACCTTTGCGAGGTTCAGGACTTTTACGAGAGTTTGGAAATGGACAACTACGTCGCTTTGACAAAGCGTGATCTTGAACTGCAGATTACCTTGAACGAAGTCTACGCTACTCATGCTTTGTTGGAGAGACATAGCACAGCTCTGGCGGCTTCGGACCAGCACTCTCACTTGCACACCATACTTCAAGAACTCGGCCCAGCGCCTTCACAGCTTCCTCGCAAAGACAACCGTACAATTAATCTACCTCTTTTTAGTAAGTGGGAAACCTCTGTCGACGATTTGACCGCTGCTCTCGATATCACCCAAGAGGAGATATACTTTATGGAGGCCAAGTCGACTTTTGTTCAGATTTTGCGTTCGCTTCCACCCAATTCGAGCGTCTTGCGACGACCTTTACGATTAGACCGCATTGCAGAGGCCGCTGCCACGTTGAAGAACGATGCAGTCATGGTACGCAAAGGTATTCGGACCATGGAACTGCTCAGCCAGCTTCAGGAGATGGGCGTGATTGACCGCTCAGACGAGTTTGGTCTTTTGCGTGACGAGGTCGAGCAGGAGTTGGTCCATTTGGGCTCACTCAAGGAGAAAGTGGCCGAAGAGGCCAAACAGTTGGATGGAGTTTTCCGTACAATCCGTGATCACAATGCGTACTTGGTTGGCCAGTTGGAAACGTACAAGTCGTACTTGCACAACGTGCGAAGTCAATCCGAGGGCAAGTCACGCAAACAGCAGAAGAATCAAGAACTTGGCCCGTACAAGTTTACACATCAGCAACTAGAGAAAGAGGGCGTTATCCGCAAGAGCAATGTCCCGGAAAATCGGCGAGCAAATATCTTTTTCATGTTCCGCAGCCCACTTCCGGGCACATTCGTCATCAGTCTACACTATAAGGGTAAGTGACAATTCTTCGTGAAAAGCAGAACGAACCATGTATTAACTTCTCTAGGACGTGCACGCGGTCTTTTGGAATTGGACTTGAAACTGGATGATCTGCTTGAGATGCAAAAAGACGCCCAAGAAGACCTTGATCTTGAATACGTTCAATTCAACGTGTCAAAGGTCTTGACACTATTGAACAAACGCTTCGCTCGTCGCAAGGGCTGGTAATCGTCCGCCACTCGCCAGATGCATTTGTGAATGCATTGCGAACATGCTCGCTTCATCGAGCTTGACGTCCTGTGATMCCCAMCCCGCCAGCATCAACGTCTGTTGAATCTAGCTGGTTTCTGCACATATTCCTATTAATTGTTGTTTTGGTCCGTGGTTTTCATATGTTTGTTTACGAGTACTGTATGGACAGTACGAAAACTTCTCAATTTCGCTGGTCGAAAGATGAACTGGTTGTCGCGGCTTGTCCAACGTTGTTTGTTTTAAGGACGGCGGTTCACTATAATTTTCCGGCTTGTTATCATGTATTTCTTATATTTATACCATGTTGTTTTGTTTGTTTTGTTCAGAATGGCCGACGGTCCTCTTCATGTAATAATAATGTGGTGTTTTTGAATTACTTGAGTCATTGCATTGCTTGTATGGTTTGATTGTCAAGCGATATACTCTATGCTTATATCATACAATATACAGCGTTTGTGCCTTGATTAAATAGATTATGTCAAGTGTCGCATTCAAGATAAATCTACCAGTAAAAAGTGAAGAGCATGCCAGGTGATGGCAACACTGACGTAGCAGTGTGACCTGCGCTGTCATCGATGCCTCCCACGAATCAGGACTACCAAATCATCTGAAAAGTTACTACCCGATTCACTTAAGTAGTCATTCAGTGGCAATGACTGAACTCCGTAGTTATTAGTTAAGGAGGTACCTTTCCACAGCGTGGCTGAGGCTAATGACTTTGACTCCAAGCTTAGGTTCTGTCGTATGCCCGTCCCACTTTCCTCATAATTAATGTCACTCTCCTCTCTCAGCTTCCCCCTTTATCTTCTTCTCCTCAATCAACCTCAATTGGTTATATTGACTCTCTCATCTCTGCAAAGTACTGAATTTTTTTTGCTGTACAGTGCTTGGAACTACCTTAAGCTGAGCATCTATTTGTCATAAAGCTCGACCGTTGTTGTTGTTCTTGGCGAAGAAAGTTGACAGTTTCCACAACCAACCAGACACAACCCCTCCGAACAGCACGACCAAATACAACTGTAGGCGCCACCTACTTCTTCTTATTTTTTGAGTGACTAAGACAAGAAGAAGACATAAAGAAACCCCGCCGATACCACAAATAAGAGAAGAAAGTACAACCACCGCCGCCATGTCCGAAAAATCTCAAAACTTCGATCCCAAATATGACGACTACGATTTCCCAACTACCTCGCCCGAAGCACGACCCGGTCACCCCGGCCACACCACCGAGGAGCAGGATGCAAAGATCTTTCAACTTCGTGCTATGCTGGAGCAGGAGGGATACACGGAGCGCTTAGATACCTTGACTCTGTTACGGTTCTTGCGCGCTCGGAAGTTTAATGTTGAGGCCGCCAAGGCTATGTATGTCCCCTCCTTACCCCCAGCTACCAAACAATGGGTATTGACGTATCATATAGGTTCATTGAGTGCGAGAAGTGGAGGAAGGAGTTTGGCACAGATGAGCTCGTCAGAACCTTTGAGTACACCGAGAAGCCTGAGGTGTTTGCGTATTACCCGCAATATTACCACAAGACCGACAAGGTATAACCCATCTCATTTAGTTCATTCAACGCATACTGATTTGAGATTCACAGGACGGCCGACCCGTCTACATCGAGAAACTCGGCAAGATCGATCTCAATGCCATGTACAAGATCACTACCTCGGAACGAATGCTCCAAAACCTCGTCTGCGAGTACGAGAAACTAGCCGATCCGCGCCTGCCGGCCTGCTCCCGCAAAGCCGGCAAATTACTCGAAACCTGCTGCACCATCATGGACCTCAAGGGCGTCGGAATCACGAGCGTGCCCTCCGTCTACGGATACGTCCGTCAAGCCTCCGCCATCTCCCAAAACTACTACCCCGAACGTCTAGGTAAGCTGTACCTGATCAACGCACCTTGGGGATTCAGCAGCGTCTTCAGCGCTGTCAAGGGCTTCCTTGATCCGGTCACGGTCGACAAGATCAAGGTGTTGGGATCAAACTATCAGTCCGAATTGTTTGCTCAGGTGCCCAAGGAGAACCTGCCCAAGGAGTTTGGTGGTACTTGCGAATGTGAGGGTGGTTGTGAGTTGAGTGATGCTGGTCCATGGCAGGATCCCGAATGGACTCGTCCTCCTAAGTGGGCTGCTCCTGCTGCTGCTGCTACACCGGCTGAGGCTGCTGCCCCTGCCCCTGCCCCCGCTGAGACTGCCGCTGCCTAAACATAGAGAAAATCGACTACTTAATAATGACATTTGTGTTCATCTGCCTATCTATTTTATGTGATTCTTAATATCAAGAAGGATGTTCTTGATAGCTTGTTTCATGTATACATACATACAAGTCTTGGCTTTCGGCAAAAAGTGTCGCGGACAACAGAATCACTCGATACTGCATACACGAACTAGTTTCTTTCTTTGCTTTTTTCTCGCTTGTTGTTTTTTGCTGTTGTTTTTTGCTGCTGGCATGTAGATAAGATCATCTTTCACCCTCTCCTGGGTGCTTTTCTTTGGAATGACTAGATATATTATGTCTTCTTTGGCCGTGTATGAGGTATTTGATTAGCTGGAAGATAGAACGGCAGATGGTTCTGATGCGAATTATATTGTGTCATCTCGAAGTTATTCATCGCGCATTAGTAATATCGTATCCTTAACAGTCGTCAGCTCCATCTAAACCATCCTCTCCACAACATCAACAGCCTTCTCAGCCCTCTCCGCCGTCGCCACAGTCGTCGATATAGCCTTTTTATCACTGTCATTATGAGACGCTGCCTCTGTACTCGATTCCTCCCCTTGTAATCGAAGCAACGTCCGCAACGTATCCGTATAAACCTCCGCCATCTCCCCGCTCTGCCATCTCTCGCGCTCCGCCTGCGTACCAAAGGGTATATCCAATCTGAACTCTGCATCAATATTCTCTTGCACTTCCCCATCATCATGACCCTCCATATCTACATCCACATCCTTCCCCCCTTCTACCCGTCTCCTCTTCCTTTTTTGCTGCTGCTGCTGCTCATCAAACTCCTCGTCCTCCCTCTCCAACACCCCCCTCAAATTCGCCGCATACATCTTCGCTGCTTTTCCCGGCGCATCGCGTCTCAACTGCGCGACCGTCGTAGTCAACGACTCGAGTTGCGCGTACAACGAGCTTACGCGCGACGCGAGGTTACCGTCGTACGGCTCGTATTCGATTGTTTCGTTGGGTGCTGAGAATGCGGATGGGAAGGGGAATGGCGCGTCGCCTGTACTATTATTATTACCATTGTTCTTGGAGGTAGAAGCGGATATAGAGGCGGAATCGAATTCGAGGCCGTTGATGGTCAGCGAGTCGGATGCGTAGGTATATGTTTGTCTGATGAACTACACCTGAACGTTAGCATTCGAATCCTTTTTTTCCTTTAGGGGAGGAAAGACAAACGTCGTCGACAAGTTCCTTGACGCGCTCCTTCATGGGATCCGGCTGGTCGCCATTCGAGTACGCGGACGGCGGAAAGTGTAGATCGAGCTTTTGGCGCGATTCGGCGACTGCGTTGGTGTACAGGTATGTCAGGTCGGCGGGCGATTGCAGTTCGATTTTGCGGTAGTGTTCGGACTGCATTGTGTCGTTCTTGGGGTACTTGTAAGTTGGAGTATGGATTTTGTCAAGTGGTGCGGTCTGATTGTTCTGGATAATCCTTGTTTGTGTTCTACCATGCACCTGTTTTGTATCAAATAATGTGTTTAGACTATGAACCAATATAGTTTTGAACCCCACATCAATCATGTGACTTCCGCTGTTACTTTTCCGCATCCAAGATTCTCCACACTTATCTCAGCATCTCAGACTAACTTAACTATACACACATCACATCCTTCTAATTCTTGACGTCAAACTGATATACCCGACTCACTTCTTTTTCCTTTGTTTTTTTTTCCTCTCTTCGCTCGCCTTGATCTATAGCCATTACTAGCCACTCTCCTTGATTTCTGGGCCTTTACACCCCTGTCGATTGATTATAGAAATGACGTCAACGGACATTTCATCGAGTCATTGAAAGACGCACTGCGTCAACCAAGTCTTTTTCTTCTATGAATGCATACTCTCTTCAGTTCCTGCCAGCTCAAGGCGAACGAATAATGGCCACTGATGTCGCCAAGGGCATCGATTTAATTGACAATACAACTCCCTCCCAGCCTCTGGAGCGAGACCTAACCCGTTCAGAGACGCGCTCGTCTCATTTCCTGCTAAGGAAGAAGTTGACTAGAGACTCTGTCAAGAATGGGTTACAAAACCGAAAATATGCCAAATGGCAACACGAAAGGCTAAACGCTTCGGATACAGAGTCCAGTAGTCAAAGCCCATCTCGCGCAGCAACCAAAAACACCACAACAGATACCCAGTCATATGGCAAGGGCATTGACGATGTGGATATACTGAATATTGCTCCCGTGCAAACCAAAGCTACAGATAATCTCAAAACGGAGGACAATTTGGAGCCCGGCTCAGAGCTCGAATTACTCTACGAAAATCAACGAGGATGGTTCTTTTTCGGCATACCGTTCTACTCCTCTCGCTCCCTCCTCCAATTCGATCCTCCTGCCTGGGTCAATAAAGATTTTCGAGAGAGCCCCGTCAACATCACAAACGCGCAACTCCCCGACCCGAGTTGGGAGTGGGCTTGGCCGACCTGGTATGTGGATATGTCCGACGACGTTGACGAGGAAGGGTGGCAGTACTCGTTTTCGTTTTTACCGAAATTCGGCTGGCATGGAACTCACCCTTGGTTTCATTCATATGTGCGTAGAAGACGCTGGGTGAGGTTACGGGTCAAGAAGAAGTATGCCAAACTCAAGAATGGAGATGATCAAACGGACTTTCATATGGCTCATTTGCTGAATGAGGATTATTTTACTATTCACTCTCAGGCACTGGCGAGTGTGGAACCGAGTATTGCGCCTCCGACAACGACCAATGTTCCTTCGTCCTCATATATTAGAAGAGATCTCGGGAGGTCGCCGGAAAGGAATGCGGAGGATAATATCGATAATCTACCAAGACTAATTGAGGCCATGAAGAACGCTATCGTCGACCGTGAGAAGATCGAAGCCCTCAGGAACTTTTTGGCCCAAGGTGGAGAAGAGCTTTACTATCTTCCTGACAAGGTTCCTGAAGTGTTAGGATTGTTTGTCTTTCGAACTTCACGTTGGCAATTTCTCAAGCTTTTGCAAGATGCGTTGGACGATATCGCAGTCGACAGCGATCCTGACGTTGAAAAAAGGGAAGTGGACACTGTGAACCGAAGGCGCAACAACATTTCCAGAACCATTGATGCTGTTAGGAAAGAGGTTTCTGATTCAGATATCTTCGATATCTCTAAGGAAACCCTTGAAGGACTTCATGAATCTGAATTACAAAAAGCCTACGAATCTTCTCGTAGCAAAGGCAAAGAAAGATCGTGGACTGAGATCAAGGGCATACCGAAAGAAGTTGCCGTTGGGAAGGAGGGCCATATTTATTGATTGAGCAGCGAATTTTTGCATACTATTAATGGAGAAGGAAGCTGGCTTTCCTTTTTGTGTTTCATACTAATTACTGTCGATACATAATCAAATGTGTAAACCAAATTCATACCTCCGCGTGTTGAAGGCGTCAAGGCAGGAAGGCTCACCGCCCGGGTGGATACGTATTATCCTGAGCTCCGGCGGACTTTTTCAAAATTTCCGGCACATCATCAACCCTGAATTTACCTATCAACAACCAACCACAACAATCACTGTATATATGTTCAAGTAACGGCTTTCATGATTTCCATATCCACAGCATCAAACAGTTCGCTTGCAGCCAGAGAGGTTACCTCATGCTCACTTCTCCTCTCTGCTGCCACTCCTAATGATTACTCGAGGCAAGAGCTGTCTTCGACGCGGCAACTTGTCAACTTTTTTAGATAATGTCGCTATTCCGACATCAAACGAGCCTTTACACTTCCTGTACCCTCCTCTTGCAAAGATTCATTTGATCCGGGGTCATACATCGGAATCTCGAGCTTGCTTTTCTACCCGACGGCCCAAGTCGCGCGATCATACCTGTTTTCGAGAGCATAACCAATCAGTTGAACGCAAGTCCCGGAGATGGCTGAATCAAGAGAGTTACTTGTCTAGGGGCGGTAATGTCGAGGATGTTGAGGTTCGCTCTCGTACAGTGATTTCCGATCCCGAAGTCAAGCGTGATGCCGTCCTCGACCGGTTCGAAGACGGACAGCGAACCAGCCGTCTACATACAAATTCTCGTGAGCACGAAACCGGCGCACATAGTGGAAGTGAATTTGAAAATCTCCCCGATCTGGAATATTCGAATGAGCTCGTGGAACGCAAGAACCTGGGAATTGAGGACGTTGAATATGAGGATGTAGAGAATGAAAATCTCGATACAACAGATTCTATCACAATTCGGACGGTACAGTCCAATGCACCGCCTCCTGAAGAAAGGGAGCGGCGTGCTCTGATGCGCAAACGTGATGCGGAAGTAGCCCGCATGTCGGCCCAAGTCAAAACATCCGCGCTGTCGAAGAAAATGAGATATCGCCAGTTCATTGTATCGAAGCCCAAGGCGCAACATAAGAGATCTCCCCACTGGACAGAATTTATGGCACGCCTGGAGAGGATGCACAATGAAACGATCGTGACACCGATGAAGGGCCTACGCAAGGAAATCTTACTACGAGAGGAGACGGTTGCGTATTTTTCCGGCACTACAAGATCGATGGAGAATATTTGGTACGTCCGGATCCGCAACGGGTGCAAGATCCAAGTGCTAGATTCTCTAGAGAGTGAGGGGATTTATCGCAAAGTGATTCTTTCGGGTACAAGACGAGTCATTGAGTTAGTGGAGAAAGAATTTCAACAATACGATGAGCAGATTCGTCAGTCAGGATTACCACCTGTCGTTCCCTCAATGCTCGCTCTACGTCAGCAAGGCGTGATGACTCCCCTTGTTCGAAGTTGGTGGTATGCTGCCCCAAACAACAACAACCGTACAGTGGTCTCGGAACCAGCGCCGGGTACCGTGGTGAATAGCATTCGAAAGTTCAACAGATTGGTCGAGCAATGGGTTTATTTCGAGCCACCTGTAAAGGGATACTGGCACGCTACTCGAGTGAAAGACGAGCTTGTCGATTTGTTTACAAGGCCTGGAAATAAGCTGTATCTTTCATCTAATGCCTTACATCTCGCTCTTACTTGGCTGACTGACCATGAGTTTCTGGATTCAGCTCGCATGGTATTTGAAGCTGCCAATGTAGTGTCTACTACGAATACCTTCAATATTTTTCTCCGCGCAACGGCCAAACGTCAGGATCCTTGGTACTTTCGACATGTTCTCACGGAGATGGAGAAGGCAGGACTTCAGCCGAATGGACATACTTGGATGGCTTTGTTGAAGTCTCTTGTCTCTCCAGGTCCGAGAAGGCAATTGATGAGACGTATGAAGGAATTGGGATTGACAAAAGATATAAGGGTGCTCCATGATATGATAGAACACGACCTCTCCTTAATGGTGTCCACCTTCCTCGAAGAAGGAAATGACATTCAGGCATTTTTGGAGTCTTTGGAGCAAAACTATGGCAGCGATATTATTACGACGAACTTGTTTAACGAGTTATTGAATGCAGTGTTTCTGAGACGAGACTTTGATCTTGCGGCGGATATCCTCAAAAGCTACGAACGTTTCGGCCTCGCGCCAAATGCGAGGACGTTCACCGCGGCATTGCCTGTTTTCTATCGAATTGGCCCGGCTGTGGACACCATGACACCATATTTGAGAGATCATGAACACCTACTTCACCATCGCCATTACGACATGTTATTCCTCGATGCTATAGCCTCGAATGCAATCAACGCATGTCGAGTTATTTGGAGATATGCTAGCATGAGAGGGGAAACGAGCCCAACAATGCGATACATCGTTTTATCTTCTCTACTTGGGAAAGCTACTGGAAGAGGGGCGAAGAATGTCATCAATCCCGAGCACATACATCATCATATCGGCGCACTTGTTATCGGCTTGAATTATCCGCAGACACAACCCATGACGAAGGCTGCCTCGCTGGTCCCTTTGAAATATCAATCAAATCCAGTAATCTACCTGCTTCACAATAGGGACAAAATGACCGGGTCCGAAAAAAACAAGCTCGTCAAGGCGTTGATGGAAGATGATATCGACAGAGGCCGTCAATATCAGCCTCTCGAGCCATTTACGGTCATGCTAGATGCGGCCGTCAGACTCGATTCGAGTCCAGAGTATAGTTGGGACAGGCCCAAGGAAGAAAACTATGCTGGCATGAAGAATTTGCCTACGATGGAGATTCTCAAACATGTTATAGATGTTCCTGTAGAACAGGCATTAAAATCACTGGCGGATAAAGCCGGTTTGTAAATATGTACATTAATCTATACAATACCCATATATAATTCTCCTGTTCGTCCTCGATTTCAAAGCCGGGATAAATCCTATACTACGGGATATCCAGGAATCTGCACCTGTGGCTGTCCAGTTGGAATTGGTGGTGCCCCTGATACCGGCACCGGATAATCATAATTCGCATCCATTGATCCCACGCCTTCTTTAAGATATAACACTAGACGATACGCCGAGTTACCATTCAGGTAATATCGATGCAAGCGTTTGCTCCGAAGGAATCCTAATCGTTCATATAGCTTCATCGCAGCTGTATTCACAACCTCGGTTTCAAGCGCAACCTATTCTCAATCAGCTTTTGTTCCTCCCTTTGTCTCTCGTGCAGAAACGGATCAATACCTCATCAGCATCCCTCTCAATCATTTTATCAATCGCCATCCTCACCAACTTCGTCGCGATCCCCTGGCCCCTATACTCCTCCCTAACCGCCAGCATGGCAATATAACCCCTCAGAGGCCCGCCTCGATGAGGTTCCAGTTTTGATACTACCACACCCACGAGTTTATCGGTTTGATCCATCGCCAGAAAACAGAGATCGCCCCATTGATACAGAAAATAGCGGTAGACGTAGATGCTGTAGGGTTCGGAGAGATCTTTGGAGATAAGTTGGCGCATTGCGGTGAGGTATTCGTTTTCGCGCGAGGGGTCGTATTGGATGTAGCGTAGGGCGCTGGGCCTGGAGGTGTCGTTCGAGGCTGAGGCCATTTTTTGGTCTTACTCTGCGCCCTCTTTCTGCACGGGGAGGACTTGGGCGTTTGCAGGGTTTGCGCTTGAGGGGAGGTTGATCCTTGACTCTGTAAAGCGCAGCTTCTCCTCCCCTCGCCTTCCTTGAATGATGAAAGGACGGTATATCTCTAACAAGCTAAGATTGCAATGAACAAGTATTTTTTCAAGTAAGTGGCCGGCTGCCAGTGAAATGGCGGTTGTTCGTGTCTAGGTGCGTGTAGCTTGATGTTTGCGGGGAGTCAGACAACCGAAAATAAGAAAGCCAGGCAACTTATTTTTCGTCTCCGGTACATACAACACCTACCTATCACACCACCACAATGATGTGCAAATTCTTTTCCTGACACAATTGTATTGGTCTTCTCGTCAGAAACGATTGCCCCGATTGTGGGTCGTTGTAGATAGGTAAGATATCATAAGTTTCCGTACTAATTATCGTCTCGTCCGTCTCGGAGTGACGTCTTTTTTCATGTGATTGATTGACTGACGGTTTGACGAGATAAGGCCCAACGCACAACCAAACATTTCTTTCGCTTAAATAATTCCCTTCGTCCTACCTCCCTTGACCGATAGACTATACAGAACACGAAAAGGATCAACCGGCGCACGCCGAACGTATATTCTGGAGGATGTCTGATCTCCGGCGTCGCGCGGTCAAGGAGCCTCCGCGCGATGAAGATAACAACGGCGACACCAAAGCCGACGCTCAAGTCGAATCTGAGACGAAAAAACAGAAGCACCACGAAACTGAAAGAAATGAAGACGACGAAAAACCAACACTGAGCCCCATCGTCAGATTAAAGCGATACATCACAAGGCCCCGCGGAAAGCGCCGGAATAGTTTCGTTTTCTTGCTTGGTGGACTGTTTGGGATATTCATTGCGCTCTTTTTTGCGAATCATAATGAGGTGATCAGTCTTGATGCGCTGATGGATCTGAATCTTGATTCTTTGATTGATGTTATTCCAACCGGGATTTTGAGTGATGCGAAAGAGTTTACGGTTCGTACTAATCCAATTGAACTCCATCTACATATTGCTATGCTAATACTTTGCATTGGTAGAAACACGAACGAGATACAGTCAGCTATGACTCCTTTTCGGTCGGTCTTCAATTAAAGTCAGAAGGCATTCAGGCCAAACACCCCGTCGTTATGATCCCCGGCGTGATTTCCACCGGTCTTGAGAGCTGGGGCACCGATACCGAGTCCAGGCAATACTTTCGAAAGAGGTTATGGGGTAGTTGGAGCATGATGCGCGCATTGGTCATGGACAAGGCATCTTGGAAGAATCACATTATGCTCGATCGAGAGACGGGTTTGGATCCACCGAACATCAAGCTGCGAGCGGCCCAAGGCTTTGATGCGACAGATTTCTTTATTACTGGTTACTGGATATGGAATAAAATTCTGGAAAATCTGGCGACTATTGGATATGACCCGACGAATGCATTCTCGGCCGCGTATGACTGGCGCTTGTCGTACATCAATCTCGAAACTCGCGATCAGTATTTCAGTCGTCTCCGATCTCATATCGAGATGACGGTGAACACTAAAGGGGAGAAGATCACATTGATCTCGCACAGTATGGGCTCACAGGTTGTCATGCATTTCTTCAAATGGGTTGAGAACGACCAGCACGGCAAAGGCGGCAAGGACTGGGTCAACCGTCACATCGACTCCTGGGTCAATATCAGTGGGTGCATGCTCGGTGCTGTCAAAGGGCTGACAGCCGTACTCTCGGGCGAAATGCGAGATACAGCCCAACTAAATTCTTTCGCCGTCTACGGCCTTGAGCGATTCTTATCAAAGGAAGAGCGAGCAGACATCTTCCGCGCAATGCCCGGTATATCGAGCATGCTCCCCAAAGGCGGCGATGCAGTCTGGGGAAACGAGACATGGGCGCCCGACGATCAACCAAGCACTACACTGAGTTACGGCAACTTCATCCGGTTCCGTGAGACGAATTCCTCCTGGAMAAGCCGTAACCTCACCATGGAGAACAGTCTGACGTACCTCTTCAACCAAAGCGAGGAGTGGTACCGCAACCAAGTCGCGCACAACTACTCACAAGGCGTAGCACACACACGCGCCGAAGTGGAAGCAAACGAGAACGATCCCCGCAAATGGCTGAACCCGCTCGAGTCCCGTCTGCCGCTCGCACCAGACATGAAGATATATTGTTTCTATGGCGTCGGCAAGCCCACCGAACGCACCTACTTCTACCAGGAAGAGCAGGACCCGCTCACCCGCCTGAACGTCTCAATCGATACAACCGTAACCGAACCCAACGGCGGACCCGACCACGGCGTCGTAATGGGCGAGGGTGACGGAACAGTTAATTTGCTGAGCATGGGATACATGTGCAGCCACGGCTGGCGGATGAAACGCTACAACCCGTCGGGCATCAAAATCACCGTCCATGAGATGTTGCACGAACCAGATAGTTTCTCGACTAGAGGAGGACCCAATACGGCTGATCACGTTGATATATTGGGTCGCGCTTCGTTGAATGATTTATTACTGAGAGTGGCCGGTGGGAAGGGCGAGATGATTGAGGAGCATTATGTGTCGAAGATTAGGGAATATGCAGAGAGGGTCAAGATTTATGATGATGATGATTGACATGTGGAACATCTCCTTTTGGCTATACGAAAAAATGAAGACATGTACACTACTTTAATATAAACTACATCTTTGAATAATCAGAAAGCAAATTAATGGTAATGTCCATATGTGCATTGAATCATATAATAATACTATCATTAACATTGAACAGACCACATACTTCCTTGATCAAAGAAGAGTAAGTCTGCATCAAAATAGAAAAGATTCAGCAAGTATGTCTCCGTCAAGTACATGCCTCGCAGAATCTAATCTCTCGTATGAATAAAAAATTTTTCTCCAAACGTCCCTTCCCCTGATGAACATGAACCCGACCAGAACTATCTCGACTACTCGAGGACAACCCGGTCAGCTCATACTAGGTGAATGCTGATCCACCTCCAAAAGCCGCGGCGAAGATGAGAAGTTCACCAACAGCCAAATTCTATAAGCACAGCGAGTGATGGTGCCGTAACGATGCAATCCGTAATTCCCAAAAACAGTGTTCCTTTTCCAATAAAAGAATATTTTCCATATCCCGTTCTCCAGGCACCGAAGTAAAGCGATTGACATGAAATTCGTTAAATAAAGCAATAGACAGTCAAGCTGAAGAAAAGAAGCGAAAATAAAAAAGCTTGACTGGTGAAATAGGGGCGTATACACGCTAAGAATCGAAGAGTCATGCCAATCATGGCAAGACGAATATTGTACAAGCGAAGGTCTCCAACGGCGAACTTGACATAAATCCATGGCGGGGAGCGAGTGAGTCGGATGAAATCGAAAAAGAAGTTGCCATAATTTGTCGCCAGTCGCCGGAATTAAGTATTATCGACGGAAATTGTGTCTATGAAAATCGCTTCAGAGACATTTAAAGAACCCAAAAGTGGCGTATATAAGCGCACCAATCCATGATGCAATGCATGTACAGTAACTCCAACACGCAGAAACCTGCGTCAAATCAAAGAGTAGCGAAAACCGTTATTAAATCTTCTGTACTGATGGAAAAAATGCCGTGCTATGATTCGCAAGCAATCGTGAGCCGACAGCGCTAGCAGAAACAACAATGCAAGCAATGCAGAATATCGACGGGAGGACGGCCATCGATGTTGGTTGTCTGGCGGAGTCGAGATGTAATATGTAGGTGATGTGTTCTGATAAGTCTAGCGCCCGGACTCAATGTCGGAAATAGAGGCGAGAGTTTCACCTTCCCACAGGTGTTGATCCTCAACGGGTGAGAGAGAGCCAGATGATATTGACGAAGAAGAGCCAACAGTCCATTCGTCACTGTCGGCATGCATATGGCGCTTGAAAGGAGCCAAATCGTAACCCTCCTCATCCGATCCACTGCCCCTCTCAATGTAATCGTAGTCCCAGCGGAACCGCTTGCCGGGCTGGACTCGCGGCAGGAATCGAGCCTTGGCAAAGTAGAAAGCCACGGCGGCCAAGATACCACCGCAGACGAGGTCCACGGCGTAGTGGTGGGACAAGTACATGGTGGCCCACCACATCCAGAGAGTATAGGTAACGAAGAGTGGCTTGAGCTTGGGGAACACATGGCTCATGAAGAGAGCAGCGAGCGTGGAATCAGCTGCGTGAAGGGACGGGAAAGCACCAAACACGACGGGCGAGGCGTGGAAACCGGAGGTATAGAGATCAATACCGAGCAAAGCATCGATACGAGCTAGTCCAGCTGGATCGCCTTTGATTGAGTAGTCGGCGGGCGCCAGACCATAGGTGTTTTCGTACCATGGAGGAGAGCAGGGGAAGACAAGTTGAATGCAAACGGCGGTCAAACTGATGTAGCCGAATGTTTTGGCAAACACCGGGACTGTTCCGGGCGGCCCAAAGACAAACATGATAGCCGAGCACACAAATGGTGCCCCGTAGTGGCAGAGTCCATAAGGAATCCACGCGAGCACGTCAAGCACCACGCTCTGGTGTGCGGAAAGGATGTTGCTGATGTTGGCGCCGTATAAGATGTTTTCCAAGGCCGGTAGGACGCGAACCCAAACACCGGGGCGATATTCAGAGGGAACAAACCTATGACTGTTAGCTGGCTGGTCCGGGTGGAATCTCGACACAAAACATACTGGCAAGCATAGAAGAAAATCAACCAGGCAGCGATCGGTAAAAATGGGAGGAAGAACTGCCTAGTAATCGGCAAAAGTAAGGACAACAAGAGAGCCGAGGCTACGAATGTCTTGCCGAAAGGATCCGCCGATTGAATCATACAGAGCGAAAATATACCAATAATAGCCAGAAGCAAGTATTGAAAGTCGTAGACGCTCCAGCGATACGACTGCAGAGATCGAAGAGTGTCTTTGGGCGAGAAGGAAGTCTGTAGCGACGCAATCGAAGTAGCGGGAGATATTCTACTGCGTAGCTTCGAACGCAGTCTTCGCCTCATGCGATGCGGCATGAGGAGTTTGAATGATCGCCATGGCATGGTTGGAAGTTGAACCTTGCTAAACTGTGATTTTTGTCGATCCTTCCACGAAGGAGCTGATATCGTCGGGTTCATCATGGTGATAACGAGAAAGGGCGAACGCTCGGAAAGAACGAGGTGTCACTTTCCTGACAGTTTTGTTGGGATTTCCAATCGAACCGACGCAAGGGGGAGACGTTATGGTATTGGTGTGTGGTGGTGGAAAGAGGCGGGCGGCGAGAGGGCGACAATGACGATGATGACAGTCGGACAAGGATATGTATCGACCTCAAACTCTTTTCACTCCAAGGAAGCCAGATCGTTTGCGATCATATACGAAACTTCGGCGCAGTCCTACTCTTTTGCAACACAGCCTCAGAAACGGGAACCACAGCCTGGTTTGACAAGAACTCGGCGTCCGGCGTAAGCGGTTAGTCAGGGAGCGAGATGTCGTCGAGTCAGAGTCGCACTGGCGGCAGGACCGTATTGAGGAAGACGAAGAACGTCTTGGTCGCGAATGAAGCTGACGAAGATTAATGCAGAGTGTGAGAAGAGAAGAAGCGTATTAATTAAGTATGATGGATGGGAAAAGGAGAAGAAAAAGGAAGAAAAAGCTATGACGGGGATTTGGAGCAACCAGTGGCAGGCCACGATGGGCGTAGGTTTTTCTTACTGTACCAATCTTTCGTCCTGTAATTTCAGTCGAAGACCCCAAAAACGGACTAATGGGGCGGCTGATGCATTAATCTTACGTATTATTACAGACGTACTTTCGTGTCTGATTGGTTGTCACACGTTAAGTGGGCGTTTTGGCAATACGGGCAGATCCAGCCGGTACTCGTATTACCGGGGTTATGAATGGCGTCAAGACTGTCCACTTTTACGCCCGTACTGATACTCTCTCTCATTTATCGTATTCGTATGCGATCACTGATTTCGACGTTGATATCAAACAGTTACGATGCTTCATATTGACCAGTTCAACTGATTCGATCAAACATGACCCTTACAGACGAGGCGAGCGGCAGTCACTCGACTCGAAACTTGCATCTGATAGCTGCAGGGCGCCACATAGTCATCATACGTTGTGCGAGTGACTGAAAAGAAGGGAACCGGATGGCCCGGAGTCTTAACAGTCACGCTGAAGAATTTGCCTGTGGATGCCAATATCCGTTGTCTACCGTTGTCTATCGATATGTCTTTACACGATGTTCATCTACGCCTGTACAAAGTGACTGGTATTTGTTACGATCAACAACAATTAAGGATCGTACTCATCAATAGACTCGAAATGATGTTATTAATAGCTTCATCCAGCACAAGCTTCAGGCTTCCACATTATCGATAATTGAAAATAGCTCGACAACTAGGGCAAGTTCAAGCACGACCAACACGTCCCAAACCTAAAGTTTAGGGAGAACCTGAAAAAAGGACCGCAAAGCTGAAGGCACTAGGCCTGCTTTGTCGATCGCCAATTTCGTTTATATGGGCGGCCAAGACCTCGCTTGGCTGTATGAGGAAAGAGTCGTTGTGATAACGTACCGAGCAATACGTGTATTCAATACCATCTCGGGAGTCAGGCAGGCCGTTATACATGATTCTTGCACCTAATTGGTTCAAGCAACCTTCAAGTCCGATCAGGATAATACGATAAAGACCGTTAGCGCTTTTGGCGTCCGCTAGTCGAGCAATCCGCTGATTCAGAGTCCTCGATCAGGCATGGCTTCTTTCATCGGACTTCGGATAGAAGTGTGGCCGACGCATCCGAATCGCCGTTCGTTCTTCGTTCGCTCTTGCAGTGATCAAAGATCAGTGGAGTATGCCGGTGATTGTTCTGATCACTTGGGCATGCATGTGTCGAGAGACGACTGGCTCTGTGAGGGTTATGAGTTGTAGCACGAGACCACAAAGTAAGTGACAAACTGTGCATCCGATCGCTTATTCAGCTCCCCGTAGCATAACTCCACGACTCTACCAGCATGTTGTAATTATGTCCAGCTTACCATACCGTATCGCATACGCGCATATCGTGCAGCCAATAGCGTTGCAATTTATACGTATTTTTAATTTCCTTTCACCTTCCCAGCCTCATCCCCATACATCCTTGCATCCTTACTTCTTTACATCCTTACAGCGTACGTATTTACCACGGACGGGTCTACGGCTTCGTTTCAGTTTGATTATCCGTCTTCTATGGCTTGCTTATCGGCCATTCGGTCTCAATTATTCTCCTCATTCTTACACTGACATTAAGAGCTAAACAAGGCTCCGTTTCAGACTGTAGAACCATCAGGCCGTGCGCTCGATGGGAAAGGTTTCCAGCCTCTCGCTTTACGGCCGTGCCTGCGTTTCGATGTCGTCGGGCTGACGGCCTGAAACTGAGTGAGCGTTCGAAGTCGCCAAACATAGATTTCTTTGTGTGCTTTGACTGTGAGACTTGATGCAGTTATCGTCAGAGTCGTACGGAAGTTGTACAGGTCATAAGTCTGAGTCGAGTCTGGCACGGCACGGACGGAAGAAGGATGGAGCTCTGACCAACGAACCATATCTATGGGTCGTGTCAGCCATGGACGTCTATTTTGGCCAATGCAAACTCTTGGTTGCGGGTGATGACAAGTCTTTTGAACTTAATGCTAGTGCATCGTTCTGGTGATAACATTGTTTGACGAATTCAGATCAGAATTACAACTACCTACCATATAAATCTTGGAGTACACTGATCTGGCTCAGCGGCCCCTTCAAGGCCAGTTCGGATCGACAAGCTGATGTTGATCGTCGTTGTTGTAGCTGTCAGCCGGGGGCCAAGATGCGGCTTGGTTAAAAGACCTGGAGCCGCCACTATTGTCGAGAATGCATGTTCGTGACAGTTCATACTTTCGAATGGCAGTGCACCGGCGCTGTTGAGGATTAACCAAAATCTGGATGGGGAGGTGCACGACATTGAAACTGGGCTTGGAAACATTCACGTCTCTGAAGCATCGTCTGTGGTCTTACGTCTCAAAGAACGGCAAAAATTGACCTCGTTCGCCCTTCCATGAGATCTAGAGCCCAAGCTGGGATAAACTGAGAAAAAGACTGCCATTCTGAGGTCTGCATATGGCGGTCGATAGCGGCATGAACAGACCTTTGACTCATACAGAGGCTTCTATGCAACAGATATCGTGAAATAGACGACAATTTACCTCTTCTTCATGTCCTTTTGGATCCAGTCAGCAGTGTCCGAGGTTAACGTCGTGGCCCTCCAACATATGGACCTGATCCGGATGCCTAAAATTGGAAACATTCTAGAAAACTATGGTTCCAGATGTCCCCGACATAGATGTAGATCATTTCTGGATTGTTCCACACTGTCGTAGACATGGACTCGTTTTGGCCATGGCATCGATCCAACCAGGACTCAGACAGACGCCGCCTCTACTTATGTGGTTGATCCCCTACCCAGGTAGAAGTCGCTGTACTTTTTTAGGTGAATTGCTAGATCAATTGATCCAGGATTTGGATTGATGCAGCAACCTCAAGTCAATACCATCTTCCAATTGAGATGAACTGTTAATTCGATATCGTGATCGTGCTCTAAATAACCACCAACGCCATCCAAACCAAATGTTATTATGTACATTACATTTCCGTAGACGCCATCCAAATCATAAACCTCAAATTTTCAACACCAAGCTTCTGCCCTACCGAGCCAGAACTTGGAACAACTTGACCAACCCCATGGCCGCTCCAGCCGCCACACCACCCACGATCACCATCTGCACACCCCCATAAACACCACCCTTGACGTTCTCGCGTCCCTTCCAACCGGTCACAAAACACGTCTTTCCATACCCAAACACAAACAAGGCCACCGCCATAACGGCAATAGACCATTTCAACGCACTAAACGCATCGTCCGGCCCCACGAAGAAATAAGGCACAAGCGGGACAAAGCCGCCGATGAAATAGCCCAGCGCAATCGTCAGGGCGCATGTGACGGCTCGCGAGCCAGAAGGTTCGGGCAGAGTGTGGTGGAAATTCATGAGGAATTCGGGCAGATTGGGGGAGTCGACGAGATGTTTTGTGAGATCGGAGACTGTCTGGGCGGGAAGGTCGTAGGGCGCGAAGATGTCGGAGATGATGGTTGTGGTGGCATCGAAGTCAGTGAGGGTTTGTTCGCGGGTTTGTTTGAGGGTTGTTCGGTATGATTGCCTTTTTTGAGTCTAATTAGTACATAACATATTTCGTGCTTCGAAGGACAGACGCACTCTTCGCTCTTAGCACCGAGATATCCTCCCAAGCCCATGGAAATAGCACCAGCAATCAACTCAGCCATACCACCAAACACGACGACTTTTGTATCTTCCAGCGTCGACAAACCAGCCGTCAAAGCGAATGGCACTGTCATCCCATCCGACAAGCCAATAATGGCGTCTGAGATCACTCGTGCGTCGACAAAGCTCTTCTTCTCGGGTCGACTCGAGGGCGCAGCGGAGGATCTGCCATCGCTGTGAAGTTCGAGGTCCTTGTCTTGACCCAGTGGGATCTGGGCTTCTTTCTCTGCGTCGGAGAAGGAGCTCTCAGAGACGGGCGAGTATTGGGTGAGTAGGGCTTTGACCGACGAAAACGACATTGTGTGCTGTCTTTGTTTCGTTCCAAGGGTTTTCGTTGAGACGGTCTGTGGTATGGATGAGGAGGACAGCCGAGTCTTTATCAATGCAATAGTTTTATACGACAGACGGAGATTAAAAGAGAGAAAACTCTAGCTAGGCCAGGTCCATCGCATCGACGAGCCACGAGGCATGGAAACAGCCGGCAAAGGCGTCGTACCCCATTGATAACAAGCCTTTGCTAGCCATGGTGCTACATTCCTGCATGGCACTCTGGCTGCACGTTGCCAGAAACACTGTGTGTGATTGGCTTAGGAGCATCAATTTAAGCTGCACAACGCTAACTTGTGGACTAACCTTAACTAAGCAGTTTAGTGGCTGTTAGTGCCAGCTCCCCCACTGCGATCTGTCTGCTACCCGCCAGTCAGACTCTGTATATTTCTCATCCGTTGTGCTCCAATCAGGGCAGACAAAGACTACACGTTGTTTGGTGCCTTTGTCCTGCGTGTCTATAGAGCACGTGCAATTATTGTTTGATAACATAATCATATTTTGAATCACCGACAGACTATTGGTTGAGGCAACGTCGCATTCATGCATACAATCCTTGCTTATGAGTTATGGCTCCTCCAGGAATGTGATCTGCCTTGCCTGCACTGAACAAGTCACACGACCAAACTACATATTATGAGTACACCAGTGAGTGAACATCTACACTAATATACATATACTTTTACAAAGCAGGCGGATGGAAATTATCGAGAAGCCTCTATTTCAAAGTCCTAGCCTAGAGATAATCTCCGCGCCTAGTCAGATTCATGCAGCTTTGGCACTAACCACATCAAGAATGGCCTGGCCTTCTTTGACAAAACACCGAGGCTATGTAGAACCTCGAGTATAGCATATTATCGGCGAGAGGTTCAAGCAAGGAGGTAACTTTATTCAAGGGAGGACTGAAAGGATACTAAACAACCCATCGCAACTTCACCTCCTTCCCATCCTTGACCTGCAGCGTCAACTTGCTGATTGAATCCTCCATCATATCCACCAGCCTCTTCCTCCCCTCTTCTGGCTTCTCATCTATCGTTAATGGCAACACTTCACATCGCGCGTGTCGAAACAACGTCGCCATGGTCGCCACAAACTCGACCTGCGACATCTTCATTCCAGGGCACACTCTGGGTCCGCCAGACCATGGCAAGAACGTATCTTTCGGAGGTTTGATGAGCTGATTGTTGACGTCGAACCAGCGCTTCGGATTAAATTCGGCTGCGTCCGCGCCCCAGATGCTTGTGTCGCAGTGCATGATTTGCGCGCAAACAAAGACGTCCATGGGTGCGGAGAGGAGGTGCGTTTTGCCCTCGGGGCCCGCGAGTAGTTGTGTCCCGTTGACGCAGCGGATTGAATGGAGGACGGGCGTGAAGAGGCGTAGTGTTTCCCACTGTTCTGTTAGCATTTAATCATTGTCTCTCAAGGTAAGGGCTCACCATAACAGCCAACGTCCGCGGACACAGCGCAAACCCCTTCTCATACTCATCCGCCGACACATTGGCACCGTCAAGTGCACAAAGCTCCTCGCGAATCCAGTCCTGATACTCTGGATATGCCGTAAGCAGTGTGACCGCATACCCCATCGTATTCGCCGTGGTATCAAACCCTGCGCCAGTAAAAACGAATAGATTACCACTCAACTCGTCTTCAGTCAAGTACAGCCCATTCGTAGCCGCGGCCTTTTCGCGGTTTTGCGAATATTGCAACAACATGTCCAGTACATTTTCTTTTCTTGAACCATTGCCTTCTGCTGGCTCCGCAGTGTTTTTGGTGTTTTGATGAGCTTCGAAAATCTCCCTGACGTACTGCGGCACACGTTCCATTTGACGACCGATAAACTGCAACGACTCCGGCATGAAGGGGAGTATCTTGATTCTATTCGGAATCAGGACAGCCGATATGAACGAGTCTACCACCAACGCAACTGTCTTGAAATACGCAATTCGGCCACTACCCCAGTTCTTTTCGTCGTTGCTGCTTCCGCCGCTTAGGCTTTCTGCAAAACCTGGTGACCAGGGCTGGCTATACCCATAAGCAGCCGAGCCGAGGACATTGATTGCGACGCTGCGCAGGCCGTCGAGTGTCTCGCCGCCGGGGTGGTGGACGAGATAGTCAATCATGGACTTGGCCTGGAGACAGGACTCTTTCCATACGGTGGCCATGATTCCTTCGTTGAGATGAGGGGCGATGATTCTTCGCTGCCGTTGCCTGACTCTGTAAGTGACATTCTCACAAGTAAAGAAGTATGGTAGTCATTACCAATCTTCGCCATTAGACTACACACCCATTAGTTCGTAATCACTGCTAAATGGCAAGGAGTACCTACCTGCAACACATTCTCCCCAAAAATCCCAATAAACTGCTTCACCGTGGGCGTCTGCACAAAATCCTTTCTCCGCGACAAAATCGCACTTCCGAGCGCTGGATTGGAGCACCTTCTCATACACATCAGCACTCTCCCCATCCTAATCAATCCTATCAAAAGAAAAAACAGAGGATAAAGCAAACCACATATAACACCCATCTGGCGATACAACCACAAACGTGTCCGCACCCACCCACCGCTGCACCTCGCCATCTCTCCACCTAAACTCCCATCCATGCACAAGCGTATCAAGCCGGATAAGTATCCACGGCGGAAGCTTATGTCTGAGCACAGGCATCAATGCCGGTGCCAGGACCTGCCATGGTAACGATCTTGAGAATATCGGGGTGAGGATCAGAGGGAACCCGGTGCGGAGACCGATTATGTAGAAGCGGATAAATGAGAGGAGTTTGTAGAGCAGGTAGACTGTTATTACGATTGTGGACAATTTGAGGAGATTCATCTTGAGGTCTGCTTAAGCGATCTGTTTGTACATACATAGAGGCAAAATTGAATCATGGCCTTGTCTTTCAATATATAAAGTTTATAGGACCATTAGGAGACTCTGGTATTGATCTCATTGGCCAGGACCCCGTTGTTTTAGGGCACTTGTTTTCAGCTCTACAGCCACCTACAAACTTAGCACTAATCAGAATCGATTCAAGCGGAGCGCACGCGCTTCACTAGTATACTACGTAGTATAGCTAGCTAGCTGCTAATTTTCTGTTCGAACGACACACAACAGAGTCCGAAACTCCGAAACAAGTCAAATCTGCGAGCTATCCATCAAAATTAGGGCTACGGCTAACGCGGGCCTCTAACGGTCGTGCTTCATACTGCTTATGCGTTAGCAATGTCGTAATATTTTAGCTATGCCGTACAGTATGACCTATCTTCGGTTTATACAAAGGATCAAGAAGAACCCCTCGACTCAAAGCAAACTACGATGCACAAAACCACTACGTACGTACTAACAAAGACGCAACCTGCAAACCCAAAATACCAACCAAAACCACCCCCATAAACGCACCTCCCCAAAACACCCACCAAGCCCTAAAATCCCTTCTATCAACCCACAATTCCCGCATCGAGGTCGGCTGTCTCGAGTCCAGATACATTTTGACTCTACGCAATCTAGACTCAAAGTAGGGAAATCGCACAAAAGATTCTGTTTCGGTCATGTCATTCTCCATGATGGAGAGGATCATGAATTTGATGTCTTCGGGATAAGTTGGTGGGAGGCTGGTGGTGGTGAGTTGTTGCATGGACGTTGAGGTTAGTTTGTGCTGGTCCCAGCTAGGGGTAATCCCTTTGACTGTTTTGTCTGGCGATGCGATGTTGAGAGCTACTTGGATGCTTGGTGGGAGGGAGCAGCGGTAGAAGCTCTCTGACAGGATGTCTCGTGTCGGATTTCGCAAGGGGTTGATGTCTAGCTGTTTTATGGCGGTGGTATCAACCGGTTTATCGTCCCATGGAGGCGTAAAATGGTGGATTGGGCGGCCGTCGAATGTGACCATATTATGCCACCGGATCTCCTGCTCTTCTCCCGCGGTGGTGTATCGTTTTAGTCGTCGGATGTTGCTGGACGACGTTGGTCGGAATAGGAGGGCATACGTCAGGCTTAGTTCAAAGTATGTGGGATGCGTATAATCGTGTGCGTCGCTTTTGATACATCTCTTGATTAGCCAGATATTGACTGCAGCTTGTCAAAAAAACAAAAATAGGTTTACCTGTGTAGATCAATGGCATTGTAGAAAAATGTAGGATGAGCAAAGATCCTAATCGCGTTCCGATTCGCGTAAATTTTCAAATGCTCCTTCAGACTGTCAGTCCACTCGATTTTCAGCCCTCCAAAATCTTGGAGATAGCGAATGGAAAAGATCTCCGGGTGGAACGTTGACCCAGTACTCTCCTGCAGAGGTAGTTCTGGGAACCCCTCGATTCCGACAGTCGCTTCTTCATGAGTCCTTATACGGTCAAAGAGCTCCTGAATGGATTCGGATCTGCAGCGCATATAAAACAATGCGCATAACGGTTCTCTGATTTCTCGATACCTTTTCGTGAAATCTAGCGCGGTTATACAGTCGTATACCAGCTCGCACTGTTTCTGAAAAGTTTCGACATCGTCGATATTCGGCTGGTCGAGTAAACGGCGTTCGTAACAGCTATAAAGAAGCTTCTCAAGTGACACTGACGACACGAGATGTCCGCCTTTGAGTGTCCGCGCTACAAGAGCCAGCACTTTGATTACCGTGCTAGCATCGAATGATCTCTCCTTGATAACTTTATCCGCCCCACAGGCACTCACGATATACACCTGCCTGCTCGCGATCCGGACGAGAATGAGAAGAAGTCGCGGAAGCCGCGAGAGCTCAAACAGTGCGCGCGATCGCTCAGACATTTCTTCAAAGCGAGACATCTGGAACACCTCGATTCTGAAGATGGACTCTAGCAACAAACTGCGAGAGTCGGTGAGAACGGACTCGTCGAACATGGCGTCTGCTTCGTCGTCGGCAGCGCCTCGCCAGCCGAGGAGATGGTATATCTCTGCAAAGCGGCTGAAGGCTGATGCATAGGCTTGGGKAGTTTTTTCCTTTTCTGTCTGGGTCGATTCATCGGTCTCTTTCCAGAAATCTGCAACATATGTCAGTTTATACATTGCAATCGTTTCAAATGTTGTAAGCGATGGGAGACACACTTTCGAGCTTTTGCGTGTACTGCTCATTCTCCTTCTCGATGTCGTCTACAGCCATAAGCTCGACTTTCTCCCAGTCCAGGATCTTTTCCGGCCGACCATTGTTGATTTGTTCGTGAAGCATGTTTACGACTGTGTCTTTTTCCTTGAGTTTTGCTCGTGATTTATCGGGGATTTCTGGAGTGAGGATGTTGCAGAGGTCTTGGACTTTTGTGGCCAGTTCACGTAGAGACGTGACTGTGTCTTGATCTGATGTTGTAGTCTCGGACATTTTGGCGATATGCTCAGTTTTTAGATGGAAACCATTCGGAGTTGTCGATGATATAAATTATTTATATGTGGTAAATGTCGTTTCGAGGCTGAAGGATTCTTAACAAAGCATGTGATGTGGGAGTGCCCCAACCAACCAACACAACAACCTGGCAAGGCACCTGATGTTTGCATTTAATATCCTTCTTTGACTCATTGCATTACAAGGCCATTTAATTCGTCCGTCTATGCCAGGCAGCAGCCGAAAATTCATGACTACAATTTTAAGGTGCACAGCCAAGAGAACGAGTTTATCTTAGGGCTAGCCGCGACTTATTGGTGCTTATATTCCAGCCGCTATTTTAGTCAAAAGCGTGGAACGAGGCTCTGGTAATGATACACTTGTGAAAGCGATCATATTGACAAAATGGACTCACAAGCACGTTCTCAAGATGAAATATTCCCATAAGGAAAAATGTACAAGAAGGACTCAAAATGATAGAAGCGAAAGGCAAAGTCCGCCGACTGATCGACCGCGCGGATGGACGGAATAGGATACACGCAGAAAAGAGTACCAAGTAGCCAGACGATGGTATCATCAATACTTCAGATTATTCGCGCATCGAAATAAATAGGCCCAAGAATATCGTCGAAAACGAAAGGAAGGAATTTATCGTCTGCCACGGGTCAGGTTAAAGTCTAAATCACACAGCAGTGAAAACATACCGTTTAGCATTCTCCTTATCCTTTGCAACACCATTATCCCACAGGCGAGACTTGTATGCCGGGAACGAAGTATTATTCCACACCTTGACCAGCACACTACCCATCGAATGTCAGCCTTGGATTTACCCCTCTCTTCCTTCCAACATAGCTAACAGGAAAACAAACCTCTGCGTCTGATCCTTATAATCCTCATCGCGCACCTCCTTCATGGACACCTTCAATCCATCCTTTGAGAACTTGATATTCTTCTTCTCCATCTTCGCCTTTGTCTTGTCGCTGATGTCCTGGACGATGGTGTAGACGACGAAGCCGATGACAGCGAAGAGGAAGACGACTAGCAAGAGAATAATGACGGGGACGATGCTGTTTTTGGCCATTTTGAAGGTTGTCGTGTGCGTGTTTACTGTCAGAAAGAGGGAGCGGGATGCGAGGTTGAGCGACTGGTGCCTGCTCGTATGGCTTTGTTGGTGCTTAGTGGGATTATGGAGGTCAATCTCGGTCAACGAGAGAACGGCTTGTAAATGGTAAAGAAACGTTTAAAGAAAGTCAGGAGATGTAGTCGATAGAAAAAAAAAGGTAGGAAGTGAAACAAACCGACCGAGGGGTCCACCTCCTTATGCCTTATGGGGGGGGGGAGATCGGGGCGGAGCCAGGCTTGGCCAATTAGTGTCTACAAGAACAGCCACGATCGATCTTCAGATTTGAATTTCTGTGAATACTCCGAATACACGTATGATAGATATGTCATTTTAGTATAGATGTTTTAGTACTCTGCGTTACACTGGATCATATTGTAGATTTGAGTACTGGCCTTATGAAAGTGTCGCATAGAACACCTAATAGATAGCATCTATCACATGCTGACAAGATACGATGGAAGAAACAAGAAGAGAGTAAACAATTTCCCCGAAACAGCCGTGCCTGGACTGCAACTTTAACTGTCTTTAAGAGTCTATGATAGACTACGTATTTGACATAGTCCATCACCTGATTCCTCAGGCCACAAACCCTGTCGATCAATATCGTCATGATGACTAAGGCCTGCTGCTCTGCCTTGCCCTACTCCAAAAACATTCACGACCTTCTCGATTCTCTGTGTCACTACATTGCACCCTTCAAACCCCTTGATTATAACCTTCAATTCCTCAATCTCAACCCATTCGGAAAGGCAACATGGTCGCCCTCCCCTTCTTCCCGATATGCTTCCAATGCGGCACAGACCAGAACCCCTGTCACTGCAAAGTCGTTGGTCCGACTTTAGGTACTTCTTACCACAATACTCATTTTTCAATTACAGAATATTCTTGCTAATAGACGATAGGATTCTTTGGATGCGTTATTGCGGGTGTATGTCTCCTCGACCACGAGGCAGCTAGTGAGCACTAACGAGGTGTAGGTAATATGCTGGCCTGCATCCATATTCTGTGGCTGTAATGCGACGCAGACGGGGAAAGAGTATGTCTTTTCTTTTTCTGGTTTGACAATTTGTGGTTGACTGCGGCTGACCTTTCAGTTTACTCGCATTTCCGGTCAAGTTGAATGGGGAAATCAGTGATGCTATACCTATTTGATCCCGGTTATAGAAGGTTGGAGGAATTATGTCGTGTTAGAGCATGTTTCATTTGTTTATGGATATCACCTGTGACGTATCAATCTAGTGTTTAATAATGTCTACGCTGTATCATTAGAGGTCCATGTACCAGTGGCAAGCCACATGCATTATAAATAACAATTAAGCCAACTACTTACAAACAATACAACGAACGTAATCTGCAGGAAACAATCAAACCATAAAAAAAAAGCAAGCAGACAAGGTATCTTGTGAAGAGTCGAGACAGCAGGCAAACATCAAACAAGTCCAGTCAAGTCATTCGTCGCATCACCGCGAATTATATAACGTTCATTCTTTTCGTAGACAAGAAACAATTTGCTTCGCAGCTCCGTATAATGAGAAGAAAATAAAAAAGTCTATTTCAGCTTTTCTTTGAGCTTCTGGAAAAATCCACTAGCGCGGTTCTTCTTCTTCTTCTCCTTGGCGTTGTCCTGAGTAGAAGCTCCGACGGCCTTGGACTCTTCCGCAGTGGTGCCAGAGGCGACACCGGTGGTTACGGTAGGTTGAGTTTGAGTGGCAGTCGCGGGAGGAGAGGTGGTGTTGGGAGAGACATCGGCAGAGTCGACGGCAGCAGTGGTAGGAGCTGTGGCGGCGGTAGCAGCGCTAGTGGTTGGTGCTGGTTCGCCGGATTGTTCAGTAGGGGCAACCTTTGACTGTAACTCCTGCTCAACCTCCTTCTTCTCTTCAACGACGGCTGCATTTGCAGCCGCTTCGGGGTCTTGGTGTGCCTTTTCAAGCGACTCCTTGACGACTTCTGGGACACCGCTAGCTGGGACGGCAGAGGCACCTGCGACCCCAACCTTGCTCTGGAGTTCCTTCTCAACCTCTGCCTTTTCCTCAACTGCTTCCGCATTTGCGGCTGCTTCAGGGTCTTGATGGGCCTTGGTAAGAGACTCCTTGACAACTTCCGGGACATCGCTGGCCACTTCGGCGTTCTTTTGCGATTCAAGAGGAACCTGCCCTGCAAGCGCAGAGGTGGTTGAAGTAGGGTGGGCAGATTGGATCGTCACACCAGGCTCAGAAGTCTCAGGGGGGTTCAAAGGAAGACTAGACTCGGGAATAAGACCACCTGCAGGCACAGGAGGGACTGAGAGCACATCGGCTTTAGGCTCTTCCTTCTTCAAGAAGGAAGGATCACTGGCGTCGGCTTCATAGCCTTCCTTGTCGGTCCTAACGGTTGATTCGACAGTGTTGGTGTGGATGGTGCTGGGTTCCGGGACGGGTTCTCCAGGAGCAAGCTTCACTGGGTTTGCGGCCCCATTGGTGGCGGGAAGAGGGTTGACGGATAGTTCGTTGACTTCAGTTGCGGGGGTTTCGGGGAMCCCGCCAGGCACTGACGAGCCGTTTTCCTTGGGGACCTCGCCTGCCAATTGGGCGGTAGTGGCTTCGGGGACGACGCCAGCCATGACTGCTGCAGCGGTATTTCCTCCGGTCAATGATTCAAATTCGGTGGTTGGTTTGGTGGTTGGTTTCAAGTCCTCGGGTAGGAGAACGTTGTTTATGTTGTTGTGTCCGTCGCTTTCTTGACGAGCGTCGCTATCAGTGACCCAAGCTCCGTCAACAACAAACTACAATAGTTAGTCGAAACTGTGGACTGTGGTCTTGAGAAAAAGAGTAGTGACAAGAAAAAAACGAAAAGGCAGGCAGCTGGCGGGGTAGTCTCAGCTTATAAAGTCAAAGAAGGGACTAATTAAATTAACGTGGTTGACTGATGCAGGCGGTGAAATGACGTCACGGGATGACGCCTCAACAAGCCGCAATCTCGACTGAAACACGGGAGTCATGGTCGCACGACACAATTTATAAAGACGGGACAGGAATGAGGTTCACTTCCTCTGCGTAGAATTTGATTCCTGACTGACCGGCCGGTTGACTACAATGGATGTTGTTGTCCTTCGGGATGTTCGCACCGCAATCGCCAMCCGCCAGCCGCCAGCCGCCATCCACAAGCAATCGGGAGGAAGAAGCACGAACGGAGACAGACGAAGACGGAATATGCAACGAGACGGTTTTAACGTACCTTGTATTGGACCTTTTCTTCAATAGCTGGAAGGTGCACCTCCTTCTCGAACACACTGCCCTTCTTTTCCAGCTGAACCGTCTTTCCCCAATCGTCGAAGGTACCGGTTACGAAAACCTCGTTTGCCTCGCGCGGCCTGCGATAGCTGTTAGCGACTACTCCGTGCATTTGGATCGATTGAGTTGGCAGTCATAAAAGCGTAGGAACAAATGGGTAGACGGCGCATGCTATACGCTGTCCGGTATTGTGCGGAATGGATTGATAAAGAATGCGCCGACGTAGAAACAATTGAAACATGTAGTATCCAGAGGAAAAAATAGACATACCATCGGAAAACGTAGGTGCCCATGATATCGTCGAATTGGCGCCACTCAAGTCGCTCTCAGAAAGAAGGATAATCGCAGAATAGTGAATTGTAGGAAATAGATTATAGAATGTGTGTGTCTCTCACACAATTCAAGCGCACGGTACCTGAAGAAAGTGATAAACGCAGAATGGGCTAGGTGGATGAGCTAAATATGAATTATGAGCAAAATTCTCGATTGTGATTCTTGAAAGTTCTCTCTGATGACGGGGAAGCGATCTTTTCGGCCCGCACGGACTGGGCTAGCCTGTGGCAGACAATGGAGTTCACCGCTCAGTGGGGTCGTCTGAAGAGCAGCAGAGAGAGACTGTGGTGGCTGGGATGACTTAGCATAGTATAAGTATTCAGTTGCTAGCATTTGCCGGTTAGTAAGAAATAAAGGTTACAGTCATAGTCGAAGATTATTGGCATTGTGCGGTCAAATCGGTCTGGCTGGGCCTGGGATGACGACGTGGACCAATCAGTGGTAATGGCCTTTCATAGACAGAGAATATTAGACTACTTGCACCTTGTTCGTCTAGAGTAGAGATATATATTGATCTTACACATGCTTCGACTGTAGTAGTATCGTTAACTCGCAATTGCTGTAGGCTCAACAATAGTTTGTGACTTGCAGAGCAGCTGTTCATGCCTCAGGCACCGATGACGGGCTAGCGGGAGCTTGGGCCTCTGACGTAGTCGACATCAGACAATCATGGACATACTACTATGGGCATACTACATACTACCATGTATACCATGCTAATACAGGGCTAGAGTAATTCTCTCGTAAAGCATATTCTTACTCTCCACCAGGTTCATCCTACCAATTGTTTTTCGGTGGATCAGTACGCTCAAATGTTGAGCAACCTGGACATTCATGTGATGCCGCAAACGGAGTAGGTATCATACAATTTGCCACCCAACGCCATGTCTTCCATGACCAGCACTCGCTGTGTTCTAGAAGGATGCGATAAGAATTATTCATTTTTTTTTCTGGTGACACTTTAAATCTTCGACTTGGAGACTTCAGGTTTTGCGACACCAAGCTAACCATAGCGACATGCCATCTAACAATAAGCATTAATTTGAGCATTGCTTAATTGAATATCCGATAATTGAATTGATTAGACTACTGCTCGGAAAGCTGGAAAAGCCTCCCGTAGACATTGCTATGTAGACATGGCAAAGATGATGCCCCGCACCTTATGCATTAACCTTCTGGGCACCATCCTTCAATCCTCCCCGACACCTCCATTCAATGTTAATTGATCCAAAAACGTCTAATGACTTGCAGAGACCCTTGCATGTTTCCGTCTTTTCTTTAAACAACTGTTAGTAGGAGATCGCTGTGTGTCTGCAGGGATCCTGTTTAGGATCCTCGTTAGAGAGTGCTCCCCACCTTCCCGTGCAGTTCTGCAGATCACGCGTCTTCTTGTGACCTTCCAAGGTTCTTCTGCCGATTCTTCAACCTCTTAGTACTCCTTCCACTGTCTACCCCAGACGCCTCGCTCGCCTCGCCTCGTCCTGGTCTTGTTCCTTTATCGTTGGATCTCTTTTCTTTTTCCTCTTCTCCGCACAATCAGTCCTTCTACATATCTCGCCTTTCCACCACCCCGCAATCGACGTCCAGTATATGAGCTACGACGTACCATCGGCTCTTTGCCTAGACGACAGCCCCTGTTTCTTTTTTTAAAGACGAACCAATCTTCTACTCACTCTTCCATACCCCTCGACTTTACGCAACTACTCGTCGTCGACTATTTTGACCTCACGTCGCCTACGTCACCATCAGCACGGTATTCCCCTCATTGACGACAGCCCAAGACGACTCAACCGGCCAAAATGGCCTCCAATTCCAGCTTCCCCGGCACGAACCCTTTTGCCCCCGGCTCTGCCTCGTCCTTTGCTAAAATATCCGAAGAGGAAGAATACGGTGTGACTTCGCCGACGGATCCTAGCTTCCGAGACGGGCATGCGGGGACGACGTCACGAAGTCCCTTTTTGAGCGTAGCCGAGCTCGACGACGACGATAAACTGCACAACGAAAACAATAATAGCAGCCAAAATCACGCGAATATATTTGCAAGCCCCTTTCGAGACAGTGGAGAAGGGTTTAGCGCGGCCGATCTCAATGCTGCTCGACCTGCTGCGGGCCAAGGAATGCCGAATAACTATGCTTTGGGTCGACGCACATCCGTGTCTGCCGAGTCGTTGAATCCCACATCCTCTGGATCAGACAGTTGGAGTCCGCCATTTCATCCGAAATCAGATGACCAGGTCTCGAGGTTAAAGAAAGCTGTCAGCGGTAACTTCCTGTTCTCGCATCTGGATGACGAGCACCTCAAGACGGTATTGGATGCACTGGTCGAGAAACCAATCCCAGCCAAGGATATTAAAGTCATCACACAGGGCGATGCCGGTGATTACTTTTATATTGTCGAAGAAGGCACCTTTGGAGTGTTTATCAATCCTACGGGAGCGGCACAGGCTGGTCCCGATGGACTCGGCCATCAGGTCGGAAGTATAGGACCTGGAGGCTCGTTCGGAGAGTTGGCATTGATGTACAATGCCCCACGAGCAGCCACTATAATGTCTCTCGATCCCAAATCGACACTGTGGGCATTGGACCGTGTGACCTTCCGACGAATTCTAATGGACTCAGCTTTTCAACGACGACGCATGTATGAAGCGTTCTTGGAGGAAGTGCCGTTGTTGTCGTCGCTGAAACCCTACGAACGATCCAAGATAGCAGATGCATTGGACACGATCAAATACGCTGCGGGATCAACCATTATTCGTGAGGGAGACCCAGGTGATGCCTTTTATCTGCTGGAGGCAGGTGAGGCCGAAGCCGTCAAGGCCGGTACCACGGTCAAAGAATATTCGCGCGGTGACTACTTTGGCGAGTTGGCGCTTCTAGACGATAAGCCGCGGGCAGCAAGCGTGATGGCAAAGACAGACGTAAAAGTGGCTCSATTGGGRCGCGATGGATTCAAGAGATTGTTAGGTCCTGTTGAGCAGATCATGCGCCGGACGGATTATGATGTTGATCCTACCAAGGCTACTTAGTGTTTTTGTTTGGAGTTACGACATTCGTTTCTATTTTATATCTAGTCAAATTATACTTCAAATGATCTAGTTAGGATGGTAGTAGCAGTGTTAATCTTATTTGACTTTACTCGATGAGTATGCCCTATTCCTACTGGAATTGTAGTTGGCTACTAGCCGCGTCTGGCATGTGTGCCTCATACGTACTTAAGAAGTATGATGGTATGGCACTAGCCGCAGTCCAGTTGACCGGCCGATATACGGCTTGTTGGCGGTAAGCCGCGCTTAGATTGATCTTCAGTGGGACTGTATCCCACAATCCTCCAGATCAGTTATAAGGCCTCTGACCATAAACGCAATGCCTAAGTCCGTCAGTCATTTATCCAAGAGCAAAGAGGGAGAGAGAGAGAGAGACATACACCCTCGAGTACATATGATAATTCAAATTCCTCAAATCCTTCCGCACCCCATCGAGCAGCGTATATATCCTGGGGGTATCCCATTTGAGCACCCTCGAAAACAGCGCCAATCCATACGGCTCAATCGACTCCATCATCTGCAGATTCATATACATCGCCAGCTCCTTGAGACGTCTATCCCTCGGCCAGGGAGACAAGGGGCATTTTTGCACATCTTCACGCACATTCGCAAACCCTGCATCGCATACAAGACGGTATATGTGTGGCGCAATATTCATTTCCTTACCGAACGACGCCGCTGCTTCGCATAGCGCTACTTGGTATTCGTGATAGGCCGAGTTGGTTGGTAGGCTGTTGTCATCGGTCGATGCCCAGGTCTCGAATTCGGTTAGCTCAATCCAGCCTCCCGGGGCGAGGTTGTTGTATGCCCTAGACAGAAGTCGAGGCCAGTCGGCTATACTGCCCGCCATACTCCTGATGTGAATATAATCGAATTTCTGTCCGTCGTCGGTCGACAGCTGATTATAACTCCAGTCTGATTCTGCGTCGTCAATCTCGAACCTCAGATTCGGCGGCACCCAGGTTGGTTGAATATATGACAGGTCTGTGGCGATGACCTGCGTATCTGGTCGCGCATCTGCGAAGTCGATTGCCCACAGTCCCGTGCCGCAGCCGATATCCAACGCTTTGTTGATTTTAGGTGGTAAGGGGGCACGATATAATTCGCCGCCGAACATCAACAAGTAAATGTGGTGTTGCATGTCCATGCGGTCTTGCTCTAGTTCGTCGTTTGGTAGTGGGTAGGAACCGGCGCGAAAGGCGTGGTAGCGGCGCCCATTTTCGTATTGGTAGTTGAAGATGCTGTCGTTGAGGGAGGTGGTGGAGCTGGCTTTGTCGTCGCCTAGGGCGGAGTCGTTGTCGTCGTCGTCTTGGGTATGGTAGTAGAATCCTGCTGGGGCGATGGTCGTGGTGTCTGCGATGAGAGTGTCGTTGTTGTTGTCGTTGTTGGTGAATATTGGAGTTGACATGGTGTTTTCATTAGGGTCCCGCCATCCTGGAGTATATTCAACCATGTTCAATGTTGATAGCCTTCAAGCGGGTGATGTAGTGTTGAAGAATGATATCGGTGTCAAGCAACCCGGAGAATATATCATCTGATCGAAACTCTCAAAAACAGATATTTCATCGTGCAGCAGCCACACAACCTTAGGCCAGAACTGACAGGTCGCTACAGTCCAAAGCTCAGCTAGCCACTCAGGAAATATTATAAATCCACTGTACGGAGTGTTAATGGTTCAATGATTCAAATTACTTGTAATCTGCACAACATTTCAACGATAAGACCCAAGTTTGCGACTTTCAGAGTGGATCATCAACGTATGACAGTATGCACTCCATGCTTAGGCCGATGCAAACACGCGATACTAGACAAGCAGCGAATGGCCAAAAGTCACCGGGGGAATGGGCCCCTTGTTTAGTGACTTTAGCAAGATTAGTTGGCTTTAGTGAATTTAGTCTGGCGGTGGCCGTGGATTTCTTGCTTGGGGCGCGACTTAGTGTCGTTTGGTCGAGATTACTACGTAGTAAAGGGTTAGTGGCTGGGAGACTAGCGTTAGTACGGAGTTGCACGGTTGCACCTGAAAAAACCAGGAAACTCCGTGCTTTTCCTTAAACAAATCTTCAGGCCATATTTGTCCATCGGAAAAGGACATGCGACAAATCATACACACGCAATTAAATTATTTGTACAAATCTGGCCAGCACTCAAGTATGTAGTGTTGTGTTGGACTGCTTTGTGACACCAGGTAGCCATGATGCCAAAAAAAAAACGAATATATTTAGGTTCATTATTTTTACACCGTTTGTCTGCTTCATACCGCGTGCTTTGACGAAATCCTATGTATCGCTCTAATTTATACCTACATAATCAAAGTATCCACCACCTCAATAATGGGTTCGTTCGTATCTGCTCCACTCGTCTCAAGTATTAATCTCTGCCACCGGCTCCTCTTGACTTGGACCATGCGGAGTGCGTACGCTGCAGTCACGACTCAGGACTGAACTGAACAGTGTAGAGAGTGTTAGAGACATCATTCAGAGATGTTCGATCATGACGCACCTGCACCATTGGCTGGCGTAGTGGCCACAGTGATCGTCTTCGCGGCCGTTGGTAGTGCAGCCCTCGCTATCTATCGCCTATGCTTCAGCCCGTTGGCGCTGGCAAGGGTGCCTGGCCCCAAAATTGCGGCCATCACGGCTTGGTATGAATTCTACTGGGACTGCGTGCAGCAAGGCCGGTATTTGTTCAAAATTGAGCAGATGCACCAAAAATATGGTCCGTGTCTTTGCTTTTCCCCATCTTTTCGCCCCATATGTGTAATACTTCCGATACGCCCTCTAGACTCACTGTTCCATCTGATACCTCTATCATGCAAGATGTTTGACTAGCTCGCTGTCAAATTTCAACTGTTCGTAAAATTGACATCTGATCTGACGTTGACAGGCCCCATCGTTCGTATCAATCCGTGGGAAGTCCACATCCAAGACCCCTCTTACTGGGACACCATCTACACCAACAACAAAATCGACAAAGATGCCTGGTTCTACCGCGCCTTTGGCGATAACAGAGGCACCGTCGGCACGGGCCCATGGGATCTCCATCGCCGACGACGCGCGGCCATGGCCAAATTCTTTTCAGCTGCCAACGTCGCCCGTCTAGAGCCCAAGGTGCTGGCACGCGTACAGAAACTGCTTGATCGGGTAGAAGAGTTTCGCCAGACCGGCGGAGGTCAAGCAGCGGTGCTGCCCATATCGCATGCATTCCGCTGCTATGCGACGGACGTCATCTCGGATTATGCAGCTCCGCATACGAGAGACTTTTTGAGTACCCCGGATTTCTCGGCTACCTTCAACCAAGTGCTGAGAGACTTTTCCGAGATTATGCTCTGGCACCGACATTTCCCGATTGTGTTTCCCATATTTGGCGCTATACCGCGCTGGCTGATTTCCATGATGGATTCAACGGGTGCGCAGATTGCGGTGCTGGATAATCAGGCCGTATGTTTTTGTCTATACCGATCCTCGGAAGCAGTAACTAAATGACAAGTAGAGCCTGCTTAAACAAGCGCAAACGGTGATAGCCACCAAAGGCGTTCCGCCAGAGAAGTCTTCGCCTACCGTCCTAGATGCCATCTATACATCCGATGTGATCGGTCCTGAAGAAAAGACTCTACCACGCATGATGGCCGAAACACAGGCTATTCTCGGCGCCGGAACCGAGACTACCGGCAATACATTGTCGAATTTCGTCTACAACGTACTATCCAACAAATCAATCGTACAAAAACTAACAACAGAACTGGGAGAAGCATCATCAGCTTCAGCTTTGCTCGATTACAAAACGCTAGAAAGATTACCCTACCTACAAGCATGTATCAAAGAAGCACTCCGTCTGGGCATGGGCGTCGTCGGCCGTCTCCCACGCATCAACCAAACCGAATCAATGACCTATACCACAAAGATATCCAACGGCGAATCATCAAGAACATACACCTTCCCACCCGGCACCGTCTTATCCATGTCCATAATTGACATGCATCTCAACGACGACATCTTCCCCAAGCCCCGCCTCTTCAAACCCGAGCGCTGGCTTGACAGTTCCCCAACCCATCTCCGACAAATGGAGAAATCTTTCGTGCCATTCGGTAAAGGGGTGAGAGGCTGTCTAGGGATCGAATTAGCCAAGGAAGAACTCACCCTAATGGCGGGGAATCTGTTTCGACGGTACGGAAGGAACCTTGAGCTTTATGAGACGTCAGAGAGGGATATTAGTATCGTGCATGACTATTTTGCGCCGTTTGGGCCGAAGGATAGTAAAGGCGTTAGGGTGGTTGTTCGTTGATTTATGTTGTGCGTAATGATTAATGAATGTATATATGTAGTACACGGCAATATGTATATAAACGTTTCTTGATAGAAACACAAAGAAAGATACAAACTGGAAATTCTTTGGTGTTGCATTGTTAGGGTTATTGCCGTCTTTGTCAAGTTCCCAAGCATTTCGGGACAATTTCTTCCAACAATCACCACACTGCAACACTCAAAGAATAACACATTCAACGAACAAACAAGTCAACCAAGATTATAAATAAGATGCCAGCCCAAAAACCCAAGAAAAAACCAGCATCTGCAACTCACTCCAAACCACAGCCAACCCCACCAAACTGGCCCCCTCTCCGCCCATTGGTCCCCTCCACAGACCTCTACCTCGAACCTCTACTCACTGACCAAATTTACATAATCCGCAATTTCTTTACAGCGAACTTGTGCAAATCATACGTCTCATTTCTGACGTCGCCATCCTCGGCGATTGAGTTGATTACAACCCCCTTAAAGCCGAAGAGTAGGGATCATGCGGTGCGCGTGAACGATCGGTTTCAGGTCCAGGATGCTTCGTTTGCGGAGATGTTGTGGGGGATGACTTGTTTGAAGGATCTTGTTTGTGAGATTTGTGAGGGGAGGGAAGAAGATAGGAAGAAGATCTGGGGTGGGACTCCATTGGGATTGAATCCGAATATTAGGATATATCGATATACGCCCGGGCAGTTTTTTGCTCAGCACTGTACGTTCCCTCTTTGCATATTGTCTAGTGATCCTATTGATGAACGCTAATGAAACTGACAGACGACGAATCCAACACTATCCAATTCCCTGACCAGTCAGGAAAATCAACATCGGCACATACAACATGGACTCTGCTCATCTACCTTACTACGACAGAGGGTGGCGAGACGGTGTTCTACCCCGAAGATGGCTCTGCGCCGATATCCGTGGCACCGGAAGTCGGAATGGCGCTTTTGCATCGGCATGGAGAGCATTGTCTGCTGCATGAGGGGAAGGAAGTGCGCACGGGGGAGAAGTGGGTGATTAGAAGCGACTTGGTTGTTGGATAACTTACATAGTATATAGCACACTCTACAATGTATCTTCAATGTTGTTTTCAAGTCTGGTCCATCGTAGAATCTCAATGCATGGCTCTCTCCACATTTTACTCCACTCCGTGCTCATTTGCGAGTACTGATTGGCTGCATTTGAGCTCAAGCAGGGCAAGCTAGTCTTGAACAAGAAACTCGGCAGGCTGTTTGACTGGATCAGATCTCCCATCCAGCCAATAATAGCCCATAAAACGAGAAAACGAAAAAAAAAGAGACCCGCAGTTTCCCATTCTGCTCAAGCAACAAAAGTCTTCTTCTTGCTGCAAACCCAATTCACGCTGTGCAGGCAGTAAGTTACGTGCTGAAAACAAAGTACAACGCCTGAGAAATCGGGCAGCAACCAGGCCAAGATCCCGCCTCGCATCCCTCGAGTCTCTGGTCAGCCCTCTCATTCGCTGGGAAAGCCGCCTTCCTTGTACGTACTAAGAAATATTTGCGGTTGCGATGGCCTCGACCTCACCGCCTGCTGCTGCTGTGCTTTCAACCCATCACCACCACCGCCCTTCACCACAGCTGCCCTGCAGCACAGCAGCGTGTTGTCATGTCGTCGTTGCAGACCATGACAGCGCCAGCGGTGGGCCATAATCGCCCGCCCGATCCTGGAATATCACCGACTAGTGCTACAAACGCTGCTGCGAGGACGAGTGATGCGATTGTTGATAATACGACCTCGAATAACGCCGACGACGTTTCGCGGCATGACTTTTCTCGCGCCGTCAACGCCAACGCCAGTGCTAATGCCAACACTGAGATTAATATCGACATTGACAGCAAGAATCGTGACCTTTCCACCCCAAATACGGATGTCGCAACGACGAAACAGAACGGTTCCGTCGACCCTGTGCCTCGACCACAGGAGCCGGAAGTGAACAAGGACGAGAGCTCGGACACAGTAGTGGAGAACAGGATAGAGGAGATTCAAGAAAAAGAAGGAGAGAGAAAAATTAAAGAGGAACCTCAAGATGCAGTACAGCAAGGAGGAGAGCAAAATCCGGCAGAAAACGACCAAAGAAAAGATGTACCGGACGACATGCCCAAGGTCAAGGAGGACTCGACAGCGGACAAACCGGCCGAAAATCACAATCAACCACAGCTACAGGATTCAGAGAAACAATCTGCCGCTACTTCCCTTCTTGCTCAGTTGTTGGGAAACGTCAATGCGCAGGCTGCTACTCCGGAGTACCTTCCTCGAACGCCGTTACCAGAACCCTTGACCGATGCCTCGACGCCGGTGGCTCCGAATGAAGACATCTCCTTGCCTATGATTAATGGGCAGACGGAGAAAATGGTAACGTCAACCCAGCCGGAAGTGCAAAACGGAGATATCACTGTTCCCAAGCACGAAGACAATCTTCTGACACAGACCCAAACCCAACCTATCTTACAAACAGACACACCTTTTGATATACCAGATGATTCAGCTGCCACGAGGATTCCCGATATGGTGACTGGGGTTATGGAGGATCCGCTTTCAAAGACAAGCCATGACCACAGCGCTCTCTTTGCACCTTTTGATACCGACGGTAGTATTAAAAATGGTCTAGACGCTTTGCAGCAGCATGATTTGCTCAGCAATGCATTCTTGTCTCAAGAAATCAACATGTCCGGTCTTCCCGATATATCGACTTACTCCCAGTACGATGTAGCAGCCTCGATAGCCGGATCAGAGCCGCGCATTCAAGCTTTTGCCAAACTCGAATTCGACGATGGCCACTTCTACGTCAATACCTATTCTTTCATCCTAGGTCGAGATGTCCGAGCAGCCCGTGCCGCTTTCCAACGTGAAGTGCAAGTTCGACAAGCAATGAGACCTTCCAAAAACAAAAGTTCGAGCGGAGGTAATACATCTCACACACCCAATCGTGTCAAACGCGACGGCAGCGCCTATGTCGGAAGCGTGGTAAGCGATCGAGGTGGTATCATGGGATTTGACCCCGATGTACCTCACCATATCTCACAAATCAGTCGCCGGTCGTCTGTCTCGTCTCAACCAGACTCTGTACTCCATGCGACCCCGGCACAATTACAGGCAAACCATACAGATTACAATGCACTTGCGATGCAGTCTCTGTACGACGGCAGTGCAGACGCAAAACCAGTTGATATGCTAGCTTTGCTGCCTTCACCAGATGCTTGTCCGACAATTCCAATCCATCCCCCGGCGACTACAGACGGCAACTCTGCTGGCCACAAGGGTATTTCTCGCAAACATGTGAAAATTTCATACAACTTTGACAAGAATTTCTTCGAGATGGAGGTCATGGGTCGAAACGGCGCGTTCATTGGTGCAGATTGGCTAGCACCGGGACAAGTGAGGCCATTGCACAGTGGCGACTATATTCAAATCGGAGGAGTCCGTATACGGTTTCTCCTGCCAGATGTACCTATTGGCGAGACCGGAGCCGATCGAATGGAGGAACCTCTGCTAGAAGACGGCACTACTGTAACCAGAGAGGTTACTGAGGCTGCAACTGGCGACATGGACGTAATGGAAGAAGACTCTGACGACGAGAGTCAAGATGGCACAAAGAGACCGAGAGTCACCAAACTCATTCTCAAAACAAAATCACAGGACGAGTCTGCAAATGTCGACTCAGTCGATGGCAACGGCGACTCACAGCCGAAGAGACGAGGACCTGGTCGTCCTCCCAAGGACGGCATCATGTCGAAGCGCGAGCGTGCCGAGATTGCTAGGGAGCAAAAATTGGCCGCAAAACGCGAGGCCAATGGTGGAGTCACACCTCCTCCTCCGATCAACCGTCCAAAGCCGCCTACGACTACCAAACCGCGAAAGGAGGATTCAGTGGAGGAAGTTGTGGCCTCCACTTCTGCTACACCCGCTACCCCTGTTACTCCTTCTAAGACAGTGGAGAAGAAATCCATCAAGCGCAAACAGCCTGACGGATCTATCGTTGACGTTCCTATCGAGTCTATTGAAGGTGGTGAGCAACAACAACAACAGCCACTACCAGAGCAACAACCTGTTGTGGAATATCCGAAACCACCTCCTCCCAAGAAACGCAAACCCTCGCGGTCTCCATCGCCTGACTATCCTCCTGAATCCGCCTACACACAGGACCAAATGGCAAAACCTCCTTACAATTATGCGGTTCTCATTTTCGACGCTTTGACAGAATCACGAACACCAATGACGCTGAAACAGATCTACAGGGCGCTCAAATTGAAGTACCCGTATTTCAGATTCAAGTGCGAGACTGAAGGTTGGACATCTAGTGTTCGACACAATTTGAATGGTAATCGACAACTATTTGAGCATGCAGAACGAGACGGCAAAGGTTGGTCATGGCAGCTCCGAGCTGGAGCATCGGTAGAAAAGGAAAAGAAAAGAAGACCGTCACCTCCACCTCCTTCGTCACATATACATCAGCCTTCTCATCACTACATGCCACCGCCGAGCCATTCATATACCAACCAAAGTCTCCAAAACCAGCAATTCCAGTTTTCAGCAATGCCCAATACCTTCAATCCTCCTCCACCTCCTCCCGCGCCTACCTATCGCCCTCCAGTTCCTCCGGCACCTCCCATTCAGACACCTGCACCGAATCCGTACAAAAATATCAATCTTCCCCCCGCTCTCACAAACTCAGGATCTGCAAAATACGTCTCACCCTATCCCTGTGCATTACCGCCGGATATCCTGCAGCTGCAGCAAGAGAACCAACCGAAGCCGCCGGCACAATCTGCTCCTTCACATCAAAATCAGCCACCTCCAATGCAGATGCATCAACCTCCGCCGCCACCATCACAACCACAACAACATCCACAATACAATCAGGCACAACATCAGCACCAACCACCACCTCCTACTCACTACACTCCTAATGGACCACCATATCAACAACCGGCCAACAATCAAATATCCCAGTACCCTACGCAAAACCAAGGTCCATCTCCATCACCATCCCAGCAACCTGCACAGCCATACCAGCCATCACAACAACAACAACCGCCGCCGCCGCCGCAACCTCAGGGAGGTGCGCCAATGATCAACAACGGCAGTAACAGCGGCAACAATAGTACCAACGAACAAGAGTCATCCCTCTCCTTCCTCGAGCGAGCAAACAAAGCCATCGATGACTTCGAAGCAGTCCTCACGGAGGACTACGACGACAAGAACTACATCCGCGAAGTCCTCAAAAGCGCCCGAGCACGCGCCCTGGGTCATGCTGACAAGAGCTCTTTTGCGGATGGAGAGCCCAAGGATGAAGCTGTGTTGTTGGATGTGTTGCGGAATTTGATTGGAAGTTTGAAAGACGAATAATTATCTTCTTCATGCGCTGGTGAGTTGGACTTGCATGGTTCTGGTATTTGGCCTGGGTGCATTGGAGTTTTCCTGCTTGTTACATTTGATTGATTAAGTGGATAGGTCGCTTCGCGACCTACACGAACACGAATTTAATGACCTGCTATGATGGATGGAATACAGAACCCTTTTCATTCTTATTTTCTGATCTTCCAAAAAATGGTGTCATATAACAGGGGCGTTCTTCATCCTACCAGAGAAGATGATTCTGCCATGTCGTCTTTCTTCTCTTGATTTCACTTCGCTTCTTTTGTCATTGTTGCATATGATACCTACTTACTACTTTCCGACCTGATTGTTTGAATATGTTTTAGAATTGAGTTAGTGATTGATGAAATCCTAACTATTACCTTTTATACTCATCTTGGATACCGTGTAGCAGGTCAAAGTACCTAGCTAGGTAGGCGAACGAATATAAATTCCACATAGCATTAATTGATAGTATAGAATTGTAAACTGATGAAATGTTTGATTCTCTTGCTTTACAATTAAACACCAATGTATTCCAAAGGAAAAGAAGAACAAAACAGGCAGAATCCCTCACAAAAAAAACGACAACAGCTATGGAAGGGAGAAAAGATTCGTGATGATGGTATGGTAGTAGTTGATGTTCTCAATACTCGAACAGCGCCGGAAACACAGAAAAAAAGAAGGGAGATAGGTAAGGGCCGTCTAACTCATGGCCATCTCAGCACGCAACTTCTCCAATTCTGCCTCTTCGTCTTCTTCCTCCTCAGTTTGTTTCGCTTTGCCTTTGATGACTGCCATTATTAGTCTCACAGCTGCATATACATAAAAATGAGAGAGAGGGGGACGTACGCTCTCCATTCCCAGCGACGGGTAACCGATTCAATTGATCCGCAACCGGTACCGTGCCTGTCTTGAGCATCCGCTCGTCTATTGCCTCCTGCTCCAAATTTGCCAATTCGTCCTCCAAGTCGGCCTCGTCGACCGCTTCGCCGAGCGGTGGGGCCGTGATGATCGTCGCGATGTCGTCGGCCAGGGCTTGCTGTTCTCGTAATTTGTCCCTATTCCCATTAGCCACATACTTGCTTCGCTTGCTTTGGAATAAGGGGGGAAAAGGGGGCAGTACATCATATTATCGACCTTCTCCATTGTAAGGCCGGCGTGCATGCGTTTCATCGCATTTCCGGCGTTGTCCATGGCGTACAGGGTCTCTTGATTGATGTTTGCCGCTTCGATGGAATACACTTGTTGCTCGAGCTGCATGACCTGGTTCTGGGTTTGTTCGAGATTTTTCTCGTGCAACTTCTTTCTTCGCAGGGCTGCTTTGGCGGCTGCATAATTCCGTAATTGTTAGTCTTATGTCTTTGATTTCGGAAAGGCTCAGGGCGTACCGTTCTTATTCGTAGTGACATTCTTCCTGGCTATGGCTTCTTGCTCCGATATCTGGTTTTCGAGGTGCTTCTCGCGCTTTTGGAGCATGTCGAGCTGTTCGCGGAGACCGAGGATTGCTTCTTTGGGCGCATCGCGGCGCTTTTGCGCGGACTGGCCACCGAACCAAGACCACATCTTGCGGATGGTTTATATGCTTGGATCGAACTCGTTCGCGCAGAGGATTATTGTCGGTTGTAGCGAGGTATCAATGAGATAGTATCTGCAAATCGGCTCTTTTTCTGATATTCAACTGATATTCAACTGGAAGGTCAAGCTAAAGGAGGGGAACGTTATCGGCAGCGGAACAGCACCACCACCTCCTCCAAGTCAGTTCTGGTGCTATCAGTGAGAGCTCGTACTCAAGACTCAAGATTAACGGTGTATAGCAGTTGAGATGTTGTGTGTGCAAAGCGTCAGTCGAAAGACAATATGGTAGCCTGATGAGAGAAAGTCAGTCCCCTCTTGCAGTTGGTCTGCCCGTATGACATCTTCAGGTTCCCGCCTGGGCCAGTCGGAGTCCTCCCGCCTATCGGACCAGAGAGGTCACGTGCGATCTCTGTTTCGTGACTTCTGGAAGAGTCCTCGTCTTAAAATTAATGATATTAAAATATATTGAAGTATTCGAGGATGTTACTATTACATTCTTGAGCGACTTATGATGAGTGGACCCGTTCCGACTCGTCTCGTCTTCCTCCACGAGCTATCGTCTCTCCCTCTACATACAAAAGTTAGATTCCTAGGGTGGTATGTCAACAAACTATTCATCGACAAACGATTGACTAACATGAGAAGCGTCACGCGTTATGATGTTGTGCGAGGAAGACTAGAGCTTGAGCACAATTATCCGCCAGTACAAGGAAAGAAGAAAAAGAGAGATTCGCTTGCTGCATCAAGAAGAGTATCAGTGGACATTTACCACGTTCTCAAAACGATCACTAGAGATCAGTTGCAAGTCGGCAGCTGGTTGAATGTCTTTGGTTACGTCAGATCTGGGATGCAGGGAAACGAAGATGCAAACAACAGCCAGCTCTATGTCGAGGCCGTTATGATCTCGGACGCTGGTGCTATAAGCATTGCAGAGTATGAGCAGAGTCTCGCGGACATGCAAGCAATCACCCGGAAATTACCATTGGATTGAAAAACTGATTAATGGGTATGTATGCTACGGCTAAGAACAAATGGCAGGACAAACAGCTTTTCGGAAATCTGATTATTCGTCAACTTTGACATGAGCACACTTTTCGATATCTTGTGGCTCGGCACTTCCTTCGAAAACGTCTTCAAGTGTTGCATTTCTTGCTTCCCTGGCTTCTCTTTTCCCCTTTAGTCGTCTCTGATCCTCTTGCATCGACCGAATAAACAAGCTCTTTTGGCGGATTTTATATCCGTACTTCCAGAAGATGAACGGAATCGGGATGCAAGCCACTTCCAACAATCCGAGCAATGTGCCGGCCCAGTTAGGCCCAAGGCTGTTGTACATGTATGTCGCGATCAGCGGCATAATACCACCCATGATACTTCTGATGAGCGAATTCCCCGCTAGCGCTGATGCAGCGAAGATACCATAACTGAAGGTCATGTAGTTGGACGAATAAATGAATACGCAAGTGTTGCCGGCGCCAAAGAATATACCTGCAGCGATTGGAGCAGGCCATGGAATCGAGGCGGGCGAGCATGTCCACGCGAACCACAGCTCACCGATGGGAATAAGGATTGAGCCGATGCAGACTACGGACACCATCGCTTCGGGGAATACTTCGCCAGTTTCGGGATCTTTTTTGTGGCTCTGGATCATCCGGCGGAAGAATGGTTCGCACACGATTGTTACGATCGTCCCAATCCCGATACCCAAGAATGCCAGCCCTGATACCCCGAGACTCCAACCTCTGATTTCACCAAACACGATAGGATACGAGGTGAAGCACAGATACAGGATGCCATAAACGACACCAATGTACAGATTCCAGAAAATGCTGTCAGAGTCAGATTTATGGCCATGAAAACGAGACAGGCAACGAGTCAACAAAACATACCAAATAGGCTCCAACACAGCCATGACGAAAGGACGGCTCAGATTCGTCTTCATGGTCTCCTTCAACGGCACCTTGTAATCATACCGACACCACCATCGAGTGTCGTCCGTTTCTTTGCGAAGACGAGCAGCTTTCTTTCGCAAAATGACTGGGGCGTACGTCTCTCTCATGATGCAGGAAAATGCCAAAGCAACACCGCCGAGCATGAGACTGATCCAGCAAGTCCATCGCCAGCCGAGGTATTGAGTTACGAAACCGCCGAGAATAGGGCCAACCACTGTCAACTATCAGTACACGATAGGGATGTATCCGCGAACGACATACCTGGACCATTGATGGGCCCTATACTCCAGATAGAGAATGCAAGAGCTCGCTTCTGGGGTGGGATGATATCGGCCACCATACCTGGCGCACTACTGATCATGACACTTCCGGCAATGGCCCCGATGAATCGAAAGACGATGATGACGGGCATGGACTTGGCCACAGCAACTGGAATGATCATCACGTTAAAGACTATCATACTAGCCATCGTAACTGGTTTTCTGCCATAGATCTCACTGAGCGGAGCCATGACCACGGAGCCTAATGCCAGACCTAAGAGGTAAAATGTCAGACCCAATGTGACGATTGTTTCGGAGATGCCGAATTCTTTGGCAATCTGCGCCGTGCCGGAGGTATAGCTAGTGGAAAATAGGACACTACAAGACAGTCAGCGGATGAAAACATAATCTCTCATGAGCATCATTCACATACATCACCAAGGTATTGTACGACAAAAACGCAATACACATCGCGGTATACGGCAACGACCAATTCCACGGATTCTGGGGGTCATCCTCATCGTCCCAATCCACCTCAAAGTTCGGATCGGTTGTCCCCGTTGTGCCGCGTGTGGTGGCTCTGCGTGCCAGAGAATTGTGTGACATTCGTGAGATTTGGGGTGTGAGCATTCCGTCTCCGGTCCCCCTAAGTTCTGGATGGACCTGGCGTTCGCTGCGAACAGGTTGGATTTCGTATAGGCTTTCGCTCTCGGAGGAATCGACGGACTGTTGTCTTTGTTGCTGGCTATGCTGGTGGCTGTGGGTTGGTTTTTCGTCCTGGGGCCATTTCTCGGGATTGTTGCCCTCCCCCTGGGTGGACTTGGGATCGGAAGACATTGCGCGGGTATTCTAATCGGATTATTTGACAATCTTGTCTTATGTAGACACTTGCTGTATATCTCCCATAGCAATAGACTAGTACGCTGCAGCTTTCTGTACAAAACACCACGATCCCGCTATTGAGCGAATGAGCCGAGAGGAGAATATGCCAATTGCGCAGAATAACGTATATGTGAAGCAGAATGTATGTCGAAAAAAGAGCAGCTCAATTCCTAATTCACGTACGTAGTATTTTCCACTACATAGAAATGGAGACTTCTCAACAACCGTATCAAGTATCAACCCAATAACAACAATAGATTATATCAGGTTATACTAGAAAATGAGTCAAACAGAGAAACAAAAAGAATCACAGCTTGATTACATACGTTGATAAAAAAAATACGACTTTCATGTAGACGAAGGATCTAGGTGGAGACAACCCACCAGCCTAATCCTAGGGACATCGCATCGAAAGCCGGCGTGGCTACGGCGCATGTAGATGAGCTGCCTTATTGGGTAAAGCACTGGAAAGAAATCCGGCGGCAATCGCCATCGGCTTAGTGTATGGGGGTTTAACCTAGGCACGCACACGCAGTGCTGAGTCTAGAAGGTGTTGGTTAGGTTTGGCGCCCAAAGTTCAAAGGGCCAAATGAGTAGCCCTGTCTGTTCTCCACATGAAAAAGCGGTTATCACTTCTACGTGTGGATGAGTCAGGTCTTTTTTGCTGACTAGGGGGTTTTCCGTTGGATACGAAGTACGTACTACAATGCATATACATCCATCCGATGTAGTTGTAATCTGCTGAACTATGTCACGATGATCTAGATGATGGATTTTGGAGAAGATTGATGAAGATGTCATGAGTATCTCCCTGAACGAGAAATTCATCCACGTACTACTCAGTCCAACATCAACTTGCCATCGAGATATGTGAAAGTGAGTCACCGCTTAGTCTCACTCACAGTATATGAGAGGATTCATCTTTTCCCTCTCTTTGTAGACGGTACATACAATACAATAGCGGCAACATGGTATTCGATTGGATGTTTTGTTCTCGACATCCTCATTTTTCCGACTGCATGCATATCAGTCTGTGTGATACGACAAGCACATGGCATGCGCAACACGAACATCTATGGAGTATTTCAATGCTGACCGGCCCCTCATACATTCATTTATACATCACACTTAGCACGTCTCGAATGCATCAAAAACGAAGTCAAAACGCAAAGCCGGCCTCTTAGAAATTAGACTGCTGAGCCAAGTGTTGATCAATTGCAGAATTCGTGCCGGTTTGCCGGTCACAGGACTCCGCCGAGCCCTAACTCTTTGAATGCTCGGAATCGGAGTTGCTCAAGCTCTCGGAAAATTCCGAATATAAGTTTCCGCGAGACGCACGTGCTTTGTAAGTTTGATATTGAGATTTTTTATTTTCTCTCGTAGGTGGATAAGCTGATGGTTTATCTTAAACAATCGTAGAGACTGAGGGCCAGCTGGGAAAATATTTTTCCAAATTTCTAGGACATTGAAACTGTTACGTACTTCGCACCGCCCTGGTCCCTATGGTGGATTCCCACCACAGAAGCCATATCCAACCGCCTAGCAGCCCTAACTTGTGACCCATACTCAACAGTTCTCTCTTTCTCTCCAGTCTTTCTAGTAGAAGTCTCTACCATCCTATTTGTATACTTTCATCCATATTGCTTATGTCATCAGAGCACGTTAGATCAGCGGAAGATCGCCGGGCTCATAACCCGGAGGGTACGTCCTTCTTCTCTAGGATAATTATTTGTAACAAGAAACTAACTCTTCTCCAGCCTCTGGATCGAAACCAGAACGTGCTATTCTGAATTGTCTTTTTTTTTCCTTTTTCTGGTTGTTGTTTTCGACGTTTTGGATGTTGACTCCCACCAACGTTGTTGGAAATTTTTGTTACGTGGTACCGTGACCTTGCTACATGTTTGCGGCTCAGGTTTTAGACCTGTTCAACAATGATTTCAATAATAAATTGATAATAAGGTGATACGGCTGTATATAGCGCCCTCATAAGACATTCTGAGCGGTCATGAAACGTGGTTGAGATGGAAGGGTCAAAAATCCGAATCCGACTATTTGAGAATTGCAACACCCAGGCAGTTGCTCATGTTAATGATAGGGATATGGCCTGGATTTTGGGAGGTTTGTCGTCATTGAGACCACGTTTCCAAGTAGTGTTTTCTGCGTTCTTGCCGGAGCAAGCCTCGTACAGAGGCCAACGGAACCACAATCGAGGAGTGACAAAACCGCTAACGAACCCGGCGTGCCCTAAGACTAAGCTTGTGGCGCTCTCAAAGGAATCTTTGGCAGGTTCTCAACGCGAAGTAAAATCTCCTCGAGGTAAAGACCCCCTTGTTGACGAATGCTGTTCGCACTTGACGCGTTGTTGGCCAGTAGAATAAGACAATAACGTCTCTGCCATCGCTATGAGCGCCATAATCATGCCAAATACTGGAGATTTGTTTAGTGAGACTGCTGAGCTTGCTGACGACGTCGCTCAAGAATCTGCTGTCTCAAGCCTTCTGCCGCAACTTCAACTTCCAATATAGAACCAACTCCGCGTCTCCAGGTATCTTCCAAACCGGCAAGTTCTCCGTGACCAGACTCTTGCGCCAGCTTCCTCTCCTTGTGAACACCCTCCACAGCCTCTTTGGTCTCCGCCAATTCCTTTTCAACACTTCGCAAGATTTCCTCTAGTTGAGAGTTGCCGATAAGCCACGCATTCTTTCCATATTCTTCAAGCAGGGCAAGGTTGTTGTGTCGAATTGACAAATGCGAGCTGGAAATATAAGCCTTCCGTAAAGTATCTTTCCATTCTTGAAGCATCTTAGAAGCATCGTCCTGATTTCCGGATGGCCCTTCTGGCGCTTCGGGTGCTTCGTAGCGAGACAAATCGATTCCTCCAGTCATGGGCTGACCAGCTTCTTTCCGAGCGAGCTCCTGTTCGATAAGCGGCGAAAAGCGGGATTCGGGTAATGCGGGTATGGCTGGATGGAGGGTTGAGGCATGGTCGGAGGACAGCTCTGCGGAGATGAGCTTTTGAGCTGAGGCGCGTGCTTGCTCTCCTGGCTCTCCGTCGATGTCTGGCGATCTATTAGCTCGGTTCATGGGAATAGTCAGCAGAAGGTACATACAGGGGAGAGAAGAGTGGTATTCAGTGATCAGAGGCATCTTGATCGAGTATGACGACTATTGTTGTGATAATATAAACGAGATGGTGTCGGGAAGGGCTTGATGTAAGGCCTCAAGGCAAAAAGCTTAAATATCCCGCTATGTATTACGTAAGCATTTCTGATCAATCATATTCTAGTATTAAATACCGGGACATTCAGCTAAATCTAGAATACTTCAAACAATACAGATACTACAAATATTCTCAAAAGCTGAGTCCTCACAATGATGCAGTATACAGACGTAGATGACCACATTGATGGCACTGGGCACTCCAGTGCCAACACGGACGACACTCTTCCCGGACAGCCACGACGTAGGCCCAAAAAACTGTTTCATAAAAAGTCGAGAACGGGCTGTGCGACTTGTCGCTCTAGACGGGTCAAGGTAGGCTCTGTATAGTTATTTCGATGATTATGCTAATCGAGTAGCAGTGTGATGAAGTCCATCCTGTATGTGGAAACTGTGAAAGATACGGAGTAAATTGCTTTTACGATAGAGTTAAGCCTGTTGTCGCAGGATTGCAAGGTGGACAAGCCCAAAAGACTCAGGATACGCCAACAGACCAATTATCAGCCTTTGTTGCAAGCAGAAGCTCTAGACATTTGCTTGAGCTTCGTCTCATGCATCACTTCACGACTCAGACCGTGGACATCCTGCCTACATCAGCAGAGCCCAGCTTAGCAAAAGTCTGGCGAGAAAACTGTGTCGGACTGTCTATCAAGCATCCAGCTCTGTTAGACTCTATCTGCGCAATCGCATCATTGCATATCGCATTAACCGAACCTTCGAGCAATTTATTTGACGCCCATTGCCAATACATGGACTCGGCGCTCAGAGGCCATCGCCATGATATCTCCGACGTAAACATATCTAACGTTGACGCAGTATGGTTTACGTCCAGCTTGCTACGAACCGCACTCTTTATTCGACTTCAATATCGAGACACGAGTGAACCTTACCAACTCCCCGAAGAATGGTTGTCTCTGATCGCCATGGTACGGTCTACCTTTTTATCTATTTGGTCAGCAGTGAGATCAAATCCGGAAGCGCCAAAGACTTCGGTCATGGTCTTGTTTCGTGACGCTACCATGGCGCAGCGCTGGTGGACTAGAGACCTCGACGAGGGAAAAGCCCAGGTATTTTCGCACTTGATTGAGCGGGTCATGCCGCGCGATCAATTCGAACCGTGGGATCCAGATACCCGCGAGGCATACATGTATGCACTGGCAGCACTGGGCAACCTCAAAGAATCGGCCGATTCTATGCGACTGGTAGGATTTCTGGGGCTTTTACCGACAAAATATAGCCAGCTGTTACTTGAAAGACAGCCGCGTGCTCTCGTTATTTTTGCGCATTATTTCGCCTTTATGGCAGGGCATACTCAAATGTGGATGATTGGCAAGACGCCACAAAAGGAGATAAAGGGTATTTCTTCGCTGGTGCCGGAGGAGTGGCAGCCGTTGATGCAGTGGCCGTTGTCGGTTCGCGATAGCCTAGTGTCAACTTCGACAATGGCGGGCTCGACTATAGATGTGACTTGATTGTTGGCATTATTTTGTTCGAACTTGACCCGCTTCAGCGAAGTTTGAGTACCCACCTATCAACCAACTCTTTGGTTGATCTAAAGACACAAGGGGGACAAGCGATCAGGTATAGTCACCTCAACGTCAAGTCAGCTCCAGCAGGCCAAGTCGCTTGCCGACTTTCCGGCAAAGGTTTCTATCCATGCCGCGCTTCGTACATATCATATTGGATGAATGCCCGGGCGATAGGACATTATCTTATCGATCATCACATGGCAGAAACGAAACAGGTATACCGATTGGGAGGAAAAATACTCGTATCTTAGGTGTATATTAGTGAGCAACTAAGGACATGGATCTTTTTTCATGCCGCTCTTTAATGATAAGCCACGGAGACTACCTTGATGAGGTGAAGTCTCCAGTGCCTTCTTCCCTCGAGTCAAGGATGTTAAATGTGTTGGAGCGCCTCTGACGGATGTGTCGTTCTAGACTATGATGACATCCCTGTACGGCTGTCACGAGTCTTCATTACCCGACGCGACATACTGAGTAAGAGGAATGGCATGTACTAACTACTTATGTATGTCTTAATGAACTTCTTATCAATCAATGCATATCAAATTAGTCCCATCTGACCTTGATTGTACCTGTTAATTTTGGACTCGTACAAAGTAACGTCACAAGCATATATGCTAACGATACCATTGGCTCATACTTACTCCAGATTTGTTAAGGTAGCAGCGTCGCGGGGATCGACTGATCGATTCGGTTCTACTTAAGCAGTGCTACACAGATTTGAATCGTGTAGCAACGAGTCTATGCACAATGACATTTAGTCGGAGTCTCGACTTCTAGCGCATCTTACACACTAAACGAGGAAGTCAAACAGGGCTAATGTATACTATCTAAATTAACCAGCAAGTACTTATTATTGATAATTAAAAACAGTGGCTGAGTTTGACCAGCTGGCGGGTTGCAATACTCTAACGAAACTAAATCATACCCAATCACACCCCCCTAAATTGGATAATGCGAAATGAAAACATCCGCCTGACGATCTTTCCCCTCCCCGCATTCTTAACCTGACAACTTACCAGATAGCTACTACCTAGGTTGTCTGCGAGCCAATGCAGTCATCAAGGCCAGAAAACCAATCCAGCACTAAGCTTATTAGTGTAGCAGTGTTGGTCTTGTTTTCCTGCAGGCACCAAATGGTTAGATGCGATTCGTTCGGACTGAGAAGGGGGGAAGCCTCAGATAGGTATATCATGTGAAGAATCGCCCTTTGTCGCGTTCCCTTTTCTTTTCTTTTGCTCCCTTAAAACCTTCGATGCAAGAGAGCTTAATTTTTTTCTGACTTGACGATTAATTGTTGTATCGTCGGTGTTGTGGATAAGTATAATACCTCTTGCGCAGTAAAAAGCCGAGATGGCGCGCTCCGGGTTCATAATCGGCCTGTTGGTGAGCGCTTCGTTAGGGCTGTTGCTACTCTTGCAGGTCATAGCGAGCATCGACTTCGGACAATCTGCCCCTAAATTCAGAACAAACAATCCAATTCTTCAGCAAGCTTCAAGAGCAGATGATAGTGTTTTTCTACTAGGGGCTGGAAAGGCTGATATTACAGGGCAGGTTATCTCCCTTCCCCTGTTGGTTCACACCACTGACCTAAAATTATAGACCTGTGGTTGAGGTTGCCTTGAATGGATACGCAAATCTCAGCCAAATCGGAACTGGGCTACGACAGCGCATATACTCCAAAGCATTTATCATCGCTGATCCAGATGACACCAATAACACTTTCATCTACCTCGTGCTCGACGCCCAATCCGGCGATACCGCTGTTCGGAACGGCGTTATTCAGGGCCTAGCAAATCTAGGCGGAGAATACGCCCGTTATGGCGAGCACAATATAGCCCTTAGCGGAACCCATGCGCATTCCGGTCCTGGTGCGTGGATGAATTATCTCTTGCCTCAGATTCCGTCGCTAGGCTTTGACCCGCAGAGTTATCAGGCGCTTGTTGATGGTGCGCTGTTGTCCATTCAGCGAGCGCATGAGAGTCTTACACCGGGACAGTTGAGTCATGGTACTATCGACATACCAGACGGCAACACCAACAGGAGTCCATATGCCTACCTGGCCAACCCGGAAGATGAGAGGGCTCAATACGAGTACGACACGGATAAGACGATGACCATGTTGCGATTTGATCGCACGTCGGACAGCAAGACGTTTGCCGTATTGACTTTCTTTTCTGTGCACGGCACCTCGCTATATGAGAACAACACCCTTACTGCTGGTGACAACAAGGGTGTTGCTGCATATCTGTTTGAGCGCAGTGTCGCAAACGATACCCGCTTTGCGGATGGCTTCATTGCTGGATTCTCGCAGTCAAGTGTTGGCGATACCTCGCCAAACGTCCTCGGCGCTTACTGTGAGGATACCGGACTGCCATGTCGATTTGAGGATAGTACCTGTAACGGACAGACGGAACTCTGTCGCGGACGAGGACCATACTTTTTGGAGAATGATGCTGGAACAAAGAGTTGTTTTGAGATTGGTCGCCGCCAGTACACGGCCGCCAAGGAGCTTTATGAGCAGCTGGACACCAACGGCACTCAAATCGTTGGTAGTTCCTCTGTCTCGTCGTTTCATGTGTTTCATGATTTTACAGGATACGAGTTCCCGTCACCGTTCAATGGATCGACGTTGACTACCTGCTACGCAGCGCTCGGATACTCCTTTGCGGCTGGAACCACCGACGGACCTGGAGATTTTGATTTCACTCAGAATGGCACCGGACCAGCCGAGAGTAATCCCGTGTGGGCCGTTGCGCGGGCATTTATTCACGAGCCATCGGCAGAGCAAATAGCCTGTCAAGCCCCGAAGGATATTCTCCTTGATGCTGGAGCGGTGAATTTGCCATATGCCTGGGCACCGAATATCGTCGACATTCAGCTCTTGCGTATTGGGCAATTGATTGTTATAGTGTCTCCCAGTGAAGTCACCACCATGTCCGGTCGACGCTGGAAGAACGCAATTCTCAACGCATCTTCTGAGGTTCTAGGAATCACCGACCCTCTAGTCGTTCTGGGCTCACCAGCCAACACATACGCTCATTACCTCACGACCGAAGAAGAGTACGGCGTGCAACGCTACGAAGGTGCATCCACCTTATATGGACCCAACGAACTGGCTGGCTATATCAATCTAACCCTGACATMCCTGCCATATCTCGGCAGTGAATCCGCTGTGGCGAAACTAGCCCCTATCCCTGCCGGACCTAACCCGCCCATCAACACCAACAACTCCCTGGACTTCATCACCGCGGTCGTATATGACAGTGCACCCATCGGACAATCCTTTGGCGAGGTCACCGCCTCATCTCCCAATACAACTTACGGCCTCGGCGACACCATAAACGCAACCTTTGTCGGCGCCAATCCGCGCAACAATCTGCGTCAAGAAGGCACATTCGCGGCTGTGGAGTTCCTTAACCCAAAGACAAACGAATGGGAAACCGTCCGCACAGACGCAGATTGGAATCTGATCTATCAATGGGAACGCACGAACACTGTCTTGGGATACAGTAGCGTAATACTTTCGTGGCAAATTGAGGATAGTTACTATGCGATCGATGACCCGAACCCGGTGCAGAGTGGTTCGTATCGATTCCATTATTATGGGGATTCAAAGTCGATTCTGGGCACGATTTCGGCTTTTGAAGGGGTGAGTGGTGCATTTACGGTGAAGGTTTAGCTGGGTAGTTGAGTATGGGGGCATATGAGTGATGATTTGATGCTTGTGGCTGCTATGCAATGAAATGAACCAATTTCCACATTGTCACTTGGTCGTAATCTAGATCGAGAAGTCAGTCAGTGACTAAGAGAGTTGAGACATTCTGAGAAGAGACTATATTTACCCCGATCTAGAACCGGCTCCATAATAAAAATGTCCAGCGAATCACGGAGGATAAACCAGAATAAACATTGAAACTCTAACAGCTCAGCCAATAGGATCAGCAGAAGTGACCCATCCCGGCGGCAGCTGCAACAGGACCCACCTGCCGACAGCGCCTGCCGTGGGTGACTTTGCATCGCTCCTTCCCAATCATTGCCCGCCCCATGCCGTAGGTTGACACTGGCTGCTCTGCCCAGTACCTACAAATAAGTACTCACTATGAGGCTATACTTAGTCCTCGAATGCTTCACATTCACGCTGACTGTCCAATGATGATTCGTTCCCTGGCATTACTACTGACACATTCTCTCTGTTTCATGACTTGTCGCCGCCCAGAAGGCTAGAACAATGCTGCCGCTTGCCATGGCTGGTGATGATGGCGCGTCTATTCTGAATCATGCCTTTTAAATACTCATACGCAGTCCACTTCTAGGACAATGCCTCTCTCTGCTTCTTTCTTCATGTTCGTTTGTCTTTCGCTTTGAACGCCCAGTCTCTCACTTCTCAGCGTGCCTTTGTCGACTCTCTTAGTACAAAGGCTGTTGTCATTCTTTCTGAATACATTTTATATTTCTATTTTTCTTTTCGAAATTCTGACATTCTCTTTCTTTTTCATCTGCATAAACTTTGCGACTTTAACTCCCTGGCACTGCATCATTGTTCAGACTCCAAGTGGTAGCCCGAGTCACAAATTCAGTCAAACGATATCTTCACCACTCAGTCTCTGCATATCTCTTTGGCTGGTCCAACGAAAATATATTTCTATTTTCTACTATTCCGCTGGCGCTGGGTCTCTCGATACATAAGGAGTGGCAGATACAAACCACAAACCTGGTATCAGACATCCGTCGCGCATCTATCTTTATCTTGATACTTTCCGACTTTTGTTTTGGTGGCTCGGTCCTAGTATAATGAAATTACACACATCATTTCCCTCACTCCTGCTATTGTTGACAGCGATAGGCGATGTCTCCAGCGCTAAACCCCTCTCTATTCCTCATCTCAGGGGCAGAGATGCTCAGCCCAGCGCGTCGTCTAGCGCAGTCCAGGAGAATTCAGTTGTGCCAGTCTCGTCTGTAGGGGCTACGTCGATAGACCCTACCTCAGCTGCTCCTACGTCGACAGATCCTACATCGACAGGTCCTGAGTCTATTCACCCTACATCAGCTGCTCCCACGTCGACTGTCCCTACTAGTTTTCTAAGCACAGGAACATCTACAGCTCCAGCTAGTTCGCTTTCTCCAGATCCAACGACAACTAGCCCGCCACACGCAACCGATACTGTCGCTACTAGTCTGGCCAGCACGGAAGCATCCACTGCCGTAGTCGGTATATCTAGTGCGCCAGATACGACCCCAACAAGTAGCCCGCCACTTGCGACTAGTACTGTTGCTACTAGCCAGGCTACCTCCAAGGCTGACTCAAGTACGCCAGGTACTACAACTCCGGCTGCAACAGGCACTGCTGGCGCAGCAGAGATGACCATTTTACCCAGCACAGAGTTGACTGGCACACCGACTACAATTGCACCTACTACTCCTGTGTCTTTTGCTGCGTCTTCAGCTGTGATCTCAAGCACACCGTTGACATCTCCCTCTAGTCCTCCCTCTGCAAAGTCTTCATCCTCGGCCGTGTCTTCGGCTATAACCTCGACATTCGTCACAAGCCCATCTTCAGCACCCATTCAGACATATGCCTCTCCTGACGCAAGTTCTGTCGCGATCAAGTCTTCAAGCACCCCTGCGGTTTCTACATCTTCCCCAACAACGGTGACGACGACATCGCCGACAAAGATACCCGACATTGGTTCTATCAAGACTTTGACCACACCAATATCACCACCAAGCAGCAAAGGTTCAAGCACGACTACTACTTTGACCAGCCTGTCTTCTGCGCCTGCTATTTCGAGCGTTACCTCAAGTACTCACACTCCGACTCGCCCCCTGTTGAGTACCTATGAAACATCAGGGACAGGCTTAATAACTATTGGAGCAGCGACAGCAGCGTCTAGCGTGGTCAAACCGACCACTTCTCCTTTCCATTCTTCCCAGCCAGCTGTTGCGTCCAGTGCAGTGACCCAAGGGACCACAACTCACTCTTCGAAAGTACTGCATACCGCTTCATCCGCCATCGTCTCGGATATCTCTGTTATGAGCAGTCAACCAGTGACGACTCAATGGTCTCTTCCGTCTACAACTTCAACCGTCAGGCCACTTTCACAAGCAAGTGTATCATCTGTCGGTTCCTCGTCTGTGCCGGCAGTGACTGGTACGCCCGGCTTCTCATCTGCAGCATCAGCCGCAGCGGGGACGGTGTATAGTGCCTCTATACCTGCAATTCCGGCCACAAGCGTTGTGCCTACAGTTACTGCGCATAGTGTGCCTGCAGTGCCAATCACAATTGTGCCGTCAATTTTGGAACCATCGACCACGTTGACGACGTATAGTGTTCCTTCCACTGCCGTTGTGCCTACGTCTATACCATCAACTACTACGACAGCGCGAACTACACGTTCGTCCTCAGCCGCAATTGTTCCGACCACTACTTCCCCTGCAGTTGCAGGAGAAGGAGCTGGATCAGCCGTGACATCCGACACCAGCGTCCCCGTCATCGAACCAACAATACTCAGTACCACCCAACCTGAGAACACCGTCAAACCTGTCCCACCCATTTCAGACGTCGGTACCGAGCTCCCGAAGACAAGCGCACATGGTATTCCATCCGTCGCCATCGAAAGCTCGACATCAACCACGTTTGTTGCCGCACTTCCGACAAGTTCAGCATATAACCCCGACACAGACGTTGTACCGACAACCACAGAACCGGAGTTGGTGACTACCATGACGGAAACATTGACATCGACCGAGACATCAGCAGAGCCAACGACTACACTAATGATGACATTTACATCAACGGTATTTGCGACCGTGACAGCTCACACTCCCTCCTCGACACCAGACCAGAATAAAGTTGCACCAGCACCCAATCCCTTCATCACCACGCCCACACCTGATGTCAACAACGCCGCGGCCTTTCCCACAGTGACAGTGACAGCAATAAGCATCCAGCAAATCACGACCACGGTCACATCCACCACTACGCAGATAAGCACTTATACGCCGCCGGCGGTTACGGTGCTTCTGCCCACGACCATACCCGGTCCACAGGTCACGACCACGCGGACACACATGGTTACGACGACGGTGGTACTAAAACAAACTCCATCGCCCAGTTCTAGTCCTGCGCCTGCCGCTGGTATGGGTGCGATTTGATGAGGGCGTTAATCGTGCTTTTTTCGTGGGACATCACCATATAGCATGATATAGCTAACACATGATCTTTGAACATGTATATCAAGACTTCTCTTTTTCTCATTATGATTTTTGTGTTTCCTTTGACTCGAAAAGCCAGCTTGACCTTGTGTACACATACATGTCCATCTTTGTGGGATTATCACCCCTTAATACGATTCCTTTTGCGACTTCTACTTTTGTTGATTGAACTAGACTAGGTACTGAGATAGAGCCCTCATAATACAACAACCTGACTCAAACGTCGTTCGATTAGCTGGTTCACATTAAATAGGATACAACAGCCCCCCATCCTCCACAAATGTCTTCTGAAACTCCTTCAAAGTCGCCCATTGCCTCATCTCCTCTTCTTCCTGACTACTTACCCCGTCACCTGTATAGCTCATCGGCAACAGAAACGCTTCATTATGATTCGGCGACGGATATGCTGCGGCCGCGAGTAGAGGGTCGTTTAGGAGGGCTGTTGTTGCTGTTACGGCGTTGCTGATGTTGTTACTGCCGTCTGCTATATTGGTATTAGTAGGGTCGAGGAGGGTGGTGTTTCCGGCGGTAGCGGTGGGGTTGATGGTCATGTCGAGATCTTCGGGTTTGATGTTTAGATTGTCTGTGACGGTGTTGATGGATTGTAAAGGATCGCCGCCTGTAACGCTGACGCCTTCGAGGCGGACTAGGATGTTGAGGAATGTGCGCAGGTATTTTTCGGCGTCGCTGGTGGATAGGGGCTGTGGTCCTGTAGGCGGTGTTGTTGTTGTCGTTGTCGTTGGTGTCCCAGTTACAGGGTCGACGGTTAGGGGTAGGGTTGTGCTCATTTCTTGAGGAAGGTTGAGGAGTGTGGAGGCTATTTGGCGAACTTTATGGCACTATTTGTTTCTGATTAGAATATTTTCCATCAAAGATAGAGAAGGGGACGTACGAAACTGGCGCCGTTGGGCTCGATGTGGATCTCTTGTACGCTTTTCAGCAAACAGAGGAGATCCTTGATTACCAAACCACGCTCCTGCCTCATCGTTTGTCCTATATGATCTGTTTGTGCGTGGAGTTCCGCATCTGGCGTCGACGTTGTCGGTTCGCCCTGCATAGCAACGTTGGTGCCCGGAATGAGAGTTGGCCTGGTATCAGTAGAACCGGCTTTGGCCTTTTGAAGTCTGATATGACCTTCAAACAGAGTCCAGTACTTCTCAACGAGATACGACCTCGTAGACAGTTGACTTATATAGATGTTAACCTTTTGGATTTCGTATTGTATTTTTCGACGTTCTTGGTCTCGATTCGTCATGCCCGCCCCGAATGATAGAGGCCAGCCACCTATAACCGATGGAGAGGAGAGTTCCGAGAACTGCTGTGAATAGTTCAAAGAAAGTTCTGGAGGTAGTTCTGCGGTCACGCTTTTCGCTTTTTGTAGCGAATCATATATCAATCGTCTCTGTCTTTCCCAGCTAACCACCTCGCTGTCGTGAAATGCAATTTCTAACGCTAATAGCGGATTGTAGCACTGAAATATGCGCACATTCGCATTGAACCCAGTAATCTGAGAAACAATACCAGTAGGCTGCGGCGCAACTTGAGTTGCAGAGATGTATTCATCATCCACTTCGAGAGGAAGAGGGGGATGTCGATTCGTCGGCGTTTCCGGGGGTATATATGTTCTCCCATCTGCCGAGCCCAATTGGTGCAATGTCTGCAACCCAGCAAGACACACATAAAACAATCGTCTCCCTTGCTCCTGAACGAGAAGATTCTCTGTCGTTTCAGCGAGATCGTCGAATTGGCCCCGAGGTTCAGATACTGGTGAACCGGTCGCTATTCCCCCGGTATTAGTCGCGCCTTGCCTTGAAGGCTTGTATAGTGTGTATACACGTAGAATCGTCATACACTCGCCGAGGTACAACCGACTTCGTTGAGGGTTATAGACGTAGCTGGAACAGAGCGAGAGATGGTAACTAATAGCCGCGTCGTCAACTGTAGTACTCGTATCGAGATACCCCAATCCTCGCGCTTGAACTGCAACGTCATGACACCGCTTGGCCAAAGCCATTGAATTCGAATATAGAGACCCAGCAGAATCTGTCCTCAAATGCAGTCTCGGCCGCCGCGGAAAGGAGGCTACCAATGAGCCTACAACAGAAGCCAACAAAGCCAGAAATCGTCCATTAGTCAGATCTTCTCGTCTCGCGAACGCTTCGCGAAAGGTTGGTTCGTGCGGGACAGGGATGAGTGGGTGGATGAAAGTGAAGTAGTCGTCGACCAAGAGCTGAAGTGTTGGTAATGGACATATCGATTCGCCGGACAGGGGCAGTATTTTCTGGCTTGAAATTGGGGTATCTGATGGTCCGGCTCCGCCTGCAATGATAGTCGTAGGGGCAGTGAATGGAACAAGCGCAGTGGGAGGTGCTGTTGATGGAATTGGCGATGGCGCTGTAACAGAAACAGAGGGCACGGTTTCCGGTGGAGAAGTTGACGGTGCTGCTATCGTGGTGCCCTCTGCTTTTTGCTTTTTGAGTGCCTCTGCATGTTTGTTTGGCGGACCACGGCGTTTTTTAGGCCGGTCAAAAGTGCAGGGGATGTCTAGAGCAACACATGACTGGCATGGTGGACCGCCCTCATCGCACTGCGATATTCATGTCAGATCGCTTCTACATTACTAATAAGAGGACATATCTGACCTTGACTTTGCGGATGTTGCATGCATCGCATGCTTTTTGTAATCTGGACTTCCCGTCCATTACACGACATGCCACGGGTTTTCTGTACAGCCTTTTTCATAAAATCACAATGGTTATGCCAATTCCATCTGTGGCTGTAAGAGTTAAGGTTCAAATGACAATGACAATTGTAAGTCGTTCAATGCTCTCTGTCTAAGCCATCGGCGTTGAAGGCCGAGAAAGACTCGGTTGTGACGCAAGAGCTGATAAGAGCAACAACGAAGTGCTAGATTAATAAAGAGAGAAATAAACAGTGACTACATGAAGCTTGCTGACATTAATTGACAGCTTCTCGTCGCGTTGGACACCGACATGATGCTGCCATTGATTTAGATTGATTTTCGCATAGAAAAGCTTCCGGCCGCTTGTCGGTGAGCATCCGTGAGAAATTGAGTATGTGGTCACGTGTTGGTACATTAGAAGCACAACCTTCACTTGCTTTTAAGGAAAGATTCTTTTCAATAATACAGTAGTATTTACTACGAGGACAATGTACGTTTGTTGCAAACTCCAAGTGTCGTGGTGAACACCTAACAAACTCCAAATCCGATAAGATATTAGTACAAATGCAATATCGGAACGTTCATGTCATCATAACTTCGTATAAACTTATAAACAGATGATATACTCATGCAGGATCATCATGGTATTCTTCCCCCGTCTCTGACCGGTGCGTCTCGAGGTACGCCTTGTGTTTCTCCATCTCCGCCGCCCAAAGAGCCGACCCAGCTGCACTGGTGAGCAGAAACAGCATCGAAAAGATGGGAATGAGCTGTAGGATCAGAGCAATGGTGCCAAAACTAGAGACCTGTTAGTTTATTCAAGCGTGTGGGGAAGTATTACCTACGCTGTATATTTCAACTGCCGATTGCGAACAAATCGCTTCCGCTTATCCTTGGTAAACTCCAAAAGCTGAAAATATCTCCAATGATGAAACGGGCCAGCACGGTAACCCGTCAACACCAAGAACATGGGCACACCCGCCACAGGCACAAAGTTGAGCGGAAGCAGCAAGATAAATTCAAGGATCTGCCTGAACGAAAAGGGCGCGTAGACCGCGCTTCTGGTCGGTTTTCCGAGTCGCTGGACTGGATTGACGCCATCAGGATGGATGACTCGCTCTTTATTGATCATTTCCTCAAATCCTTCATTTATAAGTACGGCGTCAAAGACGTCAACTAATGTTTCATCGACGAAAAATGCTTCAAACAGCAGTGCGACTATCGCGGATCCTTCGCCAAGGACCAGGAATGCGCCGTTCACCCAGGCACTGTGGCCTTGGAAGATGGCAAGAAATGCGACTTGTGGGAGGTAGGCGAAGAAAAAGAGAAGCGTGTAGATGAAGCCGGACAGTAGGAAGATTGGGAGTAGGCGACTGCGGAGAAGAGGCCATAGGAAGGGATGCGAGGCGAAGTAAACGATTCCCTAACCTCAGTCAGCTTGTGCAAAATTAGTAGGGATTCAACTGTGAACTGACCCTGAGGGGATGCAACCACGTCGCGTTGCGTAGCCTTGGTGAGCCTGGCATTATGAAGGTATATTGATGTACCAGATATTATTGGTACAGCGTTGGAACTGAACTTGAAGAGCTATTTTATTCGACTTGAAGCATTAATATGACCGCCTGCCGAGGCAGATGCCCCAGGCCGCAACTTAGCAAACTAGTCCTCATTTGGTATAATTAGTCACTCGCAAAATGCTCACCATTCACTTTACAAGTTTACGGGTGATCATATTTGTATAGATAGTTGCTCGAAAGGACAGCTAATACGAGAATGAACGAGGGATTGTACAGACACAGTTAACGCCTAAGAGACGCTTACTATCTGTCGAATACACCGTAGGACTAATAGGCAGCTCAACGAAGCTAGCCGCTTATCGATAAGCGCACATATAAAAGCCCGGCAAGATTTTCTTCCTTCCATTTCTTCTTCTTTTCTTTTCCAATCATTCATAAAACAATCACCCCTTCCTATTCACTCTGGATTCCACATTTGCTCTCATGGAATATCACCAGAGGGGAAATGGAAGGGCAGAAGGAAATTGAGCGTTGCTACTTACCCCGAAACTTCCCTTTTGCGTGGAGGATTTTGGAAATACATACAGCGCGACAGCCTACTACTATCGATCATGATATTATCGTCAATTATGGATAACTACTTGCCAAGATCGCTCAAGATCGTCTTGATAACCTCATCCAGACTCTTCCCAATAACTCGTGGTCTCAGCGCCGGTGCTGCAGCATCCTCCCACCCCCTGCCGTTGCGATCGAGCCAAGCAGCCTTGATGCCGCATTTCGTAGCGCCAACGACATCGAATGGGTTCGCAGTAATGAGCCATATATTCTCCATTTTTGTTTTCGTACTCGCCGCCAGGTGTTCGTAGACCTCCGGCGCCGGCTTGAATTTTTGAACGGCGTCTACCGTAACCAAATCCGCGAAGAGCTCTGCGTGAGGCGAAAGACTTTTGGAGCGTAGTACGGAGTTTGAGACCATCTCTTCGGTGCCATTGGAGAATATGACGGATTTAATGTCTGGCCTAGAGTGTAGGTTTTGCAAAGCTGCTATTACGTCTGGGAACGTAGATAGACGGTCGTATTCGTCCATTAGCTGCTTGACTTGTTCCTCATCTAATTGGACACCCGCCTCGGACAGCGCATGTCTCAATGCGTTGCGGGTGATGTTGAAGAAGTTATCGTAATGTCCTGCACGGTCAGCTGTATTTTGAGAATTGATCAACATGTTTGATCATACCCATACAGGTCAACCTCCATGAATATTCCAGCTGGTACTTCCTCCATGATGCGGCAATCTGCGTGCCTTCCTCCTGTGAGCCAATGATTTCGGACAATCTCTTGGAGATGGACTCGGTCGATAGCAGAGTACCGTAGAGGTCGAAAGCAAGAACAGCTGAGTGAGCCATGATGACTATGTTCACAAATACACGGTCAATAATCGTAGAGTTGAGCGTGTCCTGCTTATGTACGACCCCGCCCATCTGGTGCGTGGGGTCTCCCATACCCCAAAAAGTACGTCGAAATAACAACGTCATCTCTTAAGACTCTCTTCATCCTTGTCCATGCCTCGGGAGCTTTTCGTAGATCAACGTTATATGTGATTAAATGAGCGACAGTGGGAATAATTACGAGGTCTTCAGAGAATGTGTCTCGGGCACGATAGTGCAAAAGTCTCAAGCCGGCCGCAAGAAACGTAAGCTGAAGGGCAAGAAGCGAGGTGATCCGACGGTGAAAGATAAAGATGGAGATGTTTCTTTTGGTTTAGAGAAACAAGATCCAGAAGAGCTCGCTGATTTCATTGATGTATGCCTCCTAGCCATTGCGTATTTAGACAAGAATGACTGACGAGAATAGTTCATTGCATCTGAAGTCTTCGAAGCGTTGCCAGCAACACTTCAGACTCTCTCATATTCCAAAATTCAAAATGATGCATCGCTAGCAAAACAATACAGCGATGGCACAGAACTCACTGATGCCGACCTGGAGACTCTAACAGCACCCATCCCCGTCTCCGTCTCAGAATCGCTCTCAGTCTACGGCATCCTTCCAGAGTCACTGGACATAACAGCAGCTTTCCTCCGCCCAGTCCTCACAGACTACATAACATCTGTAACCGCAGCGCCACCAGCATGGGCCACCACTAAGACAGAAGCCTGCGAGATTTGCGAACGGGACTGGATCCCGCTGTCGTATCATCATCTCATTCCGCGAGAAGTGCACGCTAAAGCGCTCAAGCGTGGGTGGCATGAAGAGTTTATGCTGAATAGTGTTGCGTGGTTGTGTCGGGCTTGCCATAACTTTGTCCACAAGATGGCTACCAACGAGGAATTGGCGAGAGAGTACTATACTATCGACCACATTCTGGAGCGAGATGATGTACAGGATTGGGCGAAGTGGGTTGGACGAGTCCGTTGGAAAGCGCGATGATTGATGCTCATTGTTGATTGTTCTGGTGTTTTCCATGTTAGTAAAGCTTCATGATCATGTGAACACTGAAAATACTGAAGCAAACACTGAATGATTGAATATGTGAAATGACTATTTAGGGAGGGTTGCTCTTACATAGTGAGAGTGCGCCCGATTGTGAGAAATGTCTCGTTTGGCAGGTGCACACTCAACAATGACACACCTCCTTCCTCTTCCTCTCTCTGTCTCTACAGCACTGTCATCTTTAAATAATATCCTCTTGTTTCTTGCAATATCCTCAGATTAGACATGGTCCAGCCTACCTCTACAATCTCATTGCAACCACAGATTTCTCTCATCTGATCCTGAAATCAGTTCAGACAGCATCACTTTGAGACTGAAAATCATCAACCTAACACAAGATGGCTATTCCAGACGACATACCCAGCGTAAGTACCGACCAATCCTTACCCAGGGCAATTTATGTGCTCAATCCATTTTATGTTGAACATTAGTCCATCACCACACCCCATCTCTTCGCCCACATCTATGCCACGCACGCCCAGAAAATCATCGATGAGCACATCGCAACAGATCAAAAGGACAAAATCAGTCGCGCCAAAATTGAGTTTGATATCATTCATGTGATGGACGATGATCCAGATCTGCCGTTGAAGTATAAGATGTCTTGTACAAGCATGGTTTGTCAAGCCCCTTTTTCTGAAATGAGGATGCTCAGATCACTAAGTATGAGATGTGTTTGAGGGGGCAGATCCTGCATACAGATACCTTTGAACCTTTCTGGGGCGATCAGAAACTGTCATACAGTCTATCCGCAAAATCACTCAAGAGGTTGAAGCCGGATTACAGACTCATTGACCGGCTTCCATGTCCCACTGTCGAGGACTCAACTGCGCTTGCACCTTTGCAGAGTCTGACGGATAAGCAAGGTAACTCCCGAAACCAGCCAACAACGGCCAAAAACAAAGGAAAAGGCGGACGTGGCCTAGCTGCTCCCGCAAAGGCCAACGGTAAAGCACGTAGGAAAGTGACGGCAGCAGCAGCAAATCGAAAAAGGCGAACCGTCGCTCAAAAGGCGCCCAAGACAGCAAAAGCTGCTACGGGCAATGGAGTATCGAAGCCAAACGCAAACGCGAATGCAAATGGGACTGTTGGTACTACCACGACTGCCCCAGCAACAACTGCTTTGCGGACTAGACGCCCCGTGGGGAAGACTGCTCGTGAAGCGTACGTGGAGCATATGGCCAAGGGAGATGACATGCATTTGCGTGGTCCCACGAGCGATGAGGAGGAGTCGACTGCTGATGAAGATGGTAGTGACAGCGAGTGATTTCCAAGGGTTGAGGGTACGCAATCTGATGTTGAAAAATTTTAATGTCTATGAAACAGAATCAAGCCATTCTATTGTACCTAGATGATGTAACGCCCTGACCATGCATGTACATGACAATATCCAAGCACAAAGCTTGGGGTATCTCCCAAATATCCATTATTCACACAATCGTACACGTCTCAAAGAACCTAGTAAGATAAGGAGTAGGGGGGTGGAACTCAAAAAAAGTTAATATACAATAATATACGAGAAGAAAAGAGCTTCTTAATGAAGATATCTTTTCTCAACGACTTCTTCATAAGACTGTACATGGTCACCGACTTGGAATTGGAACCAGTCTTGGAAACTGAGACCGCATTCGGTATCTTTGCGCATTTCCGTAACGTCCTTTTTGACGTTGCGCAGGGATGTGAGGGATCCTGAGATTTTGACAGTCAGTTTTTGTTGCATGCTACTTTGGGTTAGGAGGTCGAAAGAACATACCTTCGTAGATAATTTCTTTATCTCGCAAAACACGCACTTTCTTGCCTCGACTGATGACACCATTACGGACTTTGCAGCCGGCAATTAAGGTCTTGTTTCGGCCCTTGATGGTAATTTCAAATTGCTGAGTGATTTCAGCCTCGCCAGTGACACGGTACGTGATATTCGGTGGGAGATGTTCACTCAGTTTCGCTTTGACGTCATCAATCAATTCGTAAATGATATTGTGATTCATCAGGCTGACGCCCTGGGCTTCGGCCATGCGCGAAATCATAGGATCAACAGCGGAGTTGAAGTTGACAATACTGGCTTCGGAGGTTGCGGCGTGTTTGATGTCGAATTCCGTGACTTGACCGACACCCGAACGAAGAATATGTGCTAGGACTTCGTTGTTGCCGATACCACTAACGGAGTTAACGACGGCTTCAACAGAGCCTGACACATCTGCTTTGACAATGAAATTGATCTGCTTGGGACCTGTCGGTGTCTCCGTATCCTCGGCACTTTCATCGTCGCTAGATCGGCGTCGTTGTTCAAGGGTTTCTTTACGACTGACGTTGATTGCGGTTGTGTCTTGGCCTAGCTTCTTGATATCTGATCGTTCCAGACGGTAATCGACAACATCCTTGGCACGCTGCTCGCTAGCAGCTTGCAATACTTCGGAACCTGCTTCAGGCTGCTCTCGCCATCCATCGATCTCGACAGGCATCCCGGGGGTAGCCTCCTTAATCAAAGCACCAGCTTCGTTCTTCAAAGTCTTGATACGAGTCCAGGTGGTACCAGCGACGAGAATATCCCCTGGGCGGACTGTGCCGCGCTTCACCAAAACAGTGGCAACTCGGCCGGCCTTTTTCGTGGTCGCCTCAACCACCCATCCCTCAGCATTACAGTTCACATCAGCACGATGATCCAACATTTCTGATAGTGTCACAACCGCTTCCTCAAGGTCAAGCATACCCAGTCCGGTTTTTCCACTGACAGGGATAGCTTGGACATCTCCACCGTAATCCTCCACATCAACACTGTGACGAGCCAAATCTTGCTTGACCTTTTCAGGGTTCACGCCTTCCTTGTCCATCTTGTTGATGGCGACAATCATCGGAACATTGGCTTGCTTGGCATGCTTGATAGCTTCAATTGTTTGTGGTTTTACACTATCGTCTGCCGCGACTACCAAGATCACAATATCTGTCAGATCGGCACCTCTTCGCCGCATATCCAGAAAAGCAGCATGGCCCGGCGTGTCCAGGAAGGTGATGGATTTTCCAGACGGCATGACCACAGAGAAAGCACCAATGTGTTGAGTAATACCACCGTGTTCAGAAGCAGCGACAGAAGACTTTCGGAGCCAATCCAAAAGCGTAGTTTTACCATGGTCAACGTGACCCATGATCGTCACGACTGGTGGCCGTTGTGGCAAATCGAATTTGTCTTCAGGCTCAGGAGCAGCAACCAGGTCTTGCTCGCTAGTCTCGAAAATGGGATCGAAATTGTACTCTTCTGCAATCAGMCCAGCCGTTTCTGCATCCAGCACGTGACTGTGTACCACTCCTTCAAATCCAACATCCTCCAAGTGGTCGATGAAGTCGGCTTGTCGAATGCCAAGAACATCAGCAAGATTGCCAACGCTGATAAACTCGGGAAGATACAATGGACTCCTTTGTGGTTCAGCGACTTCTGCAGGCCTTTGCTTGTGTTTGCGTTTTTCCTTCCGTTTTTGTCTTTCCTCGGGATCGTATTCGTCCTCCTCGCCGTCGCGAGAACGACGCTTCTTGACGCCTTTAGCCTTATCGGATCGTTGAGGCTGCTGGCTATTCTGCAATTCTGCTTTCTTCAGTTCTTCTAAAGACGCCAACCATTTGTCAAAGTCGTTGATATCTCCTTTTTCCTCTTTTGCGGGCTGTACTTCCGCCTGCTCCACAGGTTCGGCGCCTTTAATTTCGTCCTGAGCAATGGGCGATTCTTCAAGTGGCGTTTGATCTTCATTGGACTCTTCATATCTTTCGACCGGTAGACGGTCGATCGCAATCCTTTTCAATTTGATGGAGCCCTCTCTTTTTCGTGAACGGACATTGCCCTTTCGCCATTCATTCAAAACGTTCTCTCCGAGTGTTTCAGGATCGAGCTTGGGCGGTGGAGGTGGATTAGGATGGGGTGTTCCACATTTCGGGCAAACATCTCTCTGTCCGTAACACACAAGTTGGCAGAGGGGACATCTCCAATTCTTTCGTTGTCTGGAAATAGGATTCTTGGGTATCGAGGGTTCCAACGGTGGCGTCGAAGGAGCTGCTGATATGGCCTTTCTGCTTGCTGATTCGGCGGCTGTAAGGCTAGCTGGAGCTCTCCGAGTTGTCGATTTCAAACCTCCCCATGACACCCTTCCGGAGACAAGTGTTTGCGAAGCAGCAGGTGTATCCTCTTCGGGCTTCAGTAGTTCCGGTGGCGGAGCAGCTGCTTTGAGGGCATGTCGACTGGCCAACTCGGCAGCTGTCAGAGTAGCTGGACCTCTCGGTGTTGAAAGTTTCGCACCCCATGCGCCGCCGAGCTTCGGTTTGAACAATGGACGAGATGTGGATTGCGAAGGAGTCGACTTGCCATTATTTTCACCGTTACCGGCTGGAGTTTGAGTTTCGCCCTGGAGCCATGAGGATGATTTGTGAAATTCACGACAACTTCGCCGTGCTACGGGATAAGCCGAGTCGATGGACGGACACCGACATATCTAGAAACTGTTAGCAAATTGCAACCGATCCAGTGTAGCGACCAGGAATGAAGAACTCACCCGTCGAAAGACTCTTCTGTGCATGGTAGTGACCTCTGGAGAAGGTCCGCCAGTCCGCAAGCATCAAACAATTGTCGTCCGGCGCGTTTATTTCGGTCGCTCCTTCCTTTTTTCTGGTCTCCGGCCGCTTTCCGCGGGCTTGGCAGGTCCTATCACGTGATACGGCGCGACGGGCCAATCAGACCGCCGAAACTGATTGCGCAATCGGGGAACGAAGAGAAGATAAAGCTCCTTCCAGCGCTCAATTCTATATTCCTTTCCACAACCGACAAAAAAAATTGTTCGGTGTGAAAGAAAGTCCGTTGGCCTGTTGATCCCAAGTGTATTTACGCCCTGGCCATGGGGGACATCGAAAAGGTTGAGCAGGCGCTCAATGCAGGTTGGGTGCGCACAGCAAAGGACTTGTTCGCCGGTGCTTCGGGTGGTATAACACAGGTGTTGCTCGGTGAGTGATTGTACCACGCTTTTTAATTGCTCTTTGTTCGGGTTTTGGTGTTTTTTTGGTACTTGTGTGAATTTCCGAATAGCAAGAATGTATCAATAAGATTGTGCCAATCGCTGTCATACATTTGAGCCCTAATCGATGGCTGCCATTCACGCATGCATTGAGCTAATCCGTCTACAGGTCAACCTTTCGGTATGGAGATCCTCTCAAGGTGTCTTGGAATGGATCGATTTCTGATTGACCGTTTTAAAAAGATATTGTCAAGGTCCGACTACAGACAACATCTCAATATTCTAGCGCTCTGGACTGCGCAAAGCAGATCCTCAAGAATGAAGGGCCTCTCGCCTTCTACAAGGGAACCTTGACCCCATTGATTGGAATTGGAGCTTGTGTAAGTCTTTTATCTTGATATTTTACTTCTCCTTCTGATTATGTCTAGGTGAGCGTTCAATTTGGCGCCTTCCACCAAGCAAGAAGATATTTTGAAGAGCAAAACTTGAAAAAGTCTCCGATCAATCCCGGTCTCTCTTACGCACAATACTATCTTGCCGGTGCCTTTGCTGGTGTCACTAACTCTGTCATTTCTGGACCCATTGAACATGTCCGTATCCGACTACAAGCACAGCCTCACGGTGCTGGACGACTGTACAATGGTCCCTTGGATTGCGTGCGCAAGATTTCCGCTCACAACGGTGTCCTCCGTGGCCTTTACCGCGGCGAGGTTGTAACTATCATCCGTGAAGCGCAAGCCTACGGAATGTGGTTCCTGACCTTTGAATACCTCATGAACCAAGATGCCAAACGCAACAACATCAAGCGAGAGGAAATCTCCAGTCTCAAGGTCGCCACATACGGTGGTCTTGCCGGTGAAGCACTATGGATATTCAGCTATCCATTCGATGTCATTAAGAGTAAGATGCAGACTGATGGCTTTGGTGCTGATCAAAAGTACAAGAGTATGACGGATTGTTTCAAAAAGACTCTCGCGGCTGAGGGATATGCGGGCTTCTGGAAGGGTCTTGGGCCTACGTTGCTCAGGGCTATGCCCGTTTCTGCGGGTACATTTGCTACGTGAGTCTCTCTCTCCTCATCAAAAGGCTCGTGCTAATCTTATTACAGCGTCGAATTGGTCATGAGAGCTATGGGCTAGACTATGAATATAAGACAAATAAAAATACTATAGAAGAGGCGACTCTTTCTTTGTTAAATGACTTTCTGCGAATACCCTAACAAATGACCTGCCGCAAAATTGCTTATGAGTAGGTCTCTTAGTCCTGGGCTGGCTTAGGGCTCAAATGGCATTCAGGTTGGGGACTTGTATCTAACCTACTACGCTATTACATTGTCATCAATCTTATTAGATGGAATTGATCCTCTAGTCGAGCAGCTGTCTAGTGAAGACGCCAGATGGATCCCACTGTTTCTTCAACTGTCTCAGTCGAGCGAGTCTCTCAATGCCGCGATATCTGCACTCAATAGGTCCATCGCGAGTACCATTCTGATAGTTGACCAGTTCAATAGGGTTGGGACCTCTCATGATGGCAATGCACCTGTCGTTATATTCGTCCACTTTTCTTCGATTGCGTGCATCAGTGTGCCATATTAGATTATTCCTAGTGATTAGAATTAGCATGTTTGAGCTAACAAACTAGTGTTGATGCAACTCACTGCCAGTAACGAATATCATGAAGCGACATGGCAGACTCAAAGTCCGGTTTTCTGGGTGGTGTCGACCACCATTGAAAGTTGAAAGCTGTATTGATTGCATCCGGGCATTCGGCAATCAGCTCCTTATATAGCTCGACTGTCTCTAGGAATGAGTTGACGTTGAAGCCATGAAGGCCCACAACACCGAATCGCTTAAAGTCTCCCTTGGCACCAATGGCTGCACGACTGTCGCTTGTATTTTGTATAGGTACTGGTCCTCCGTTAGCGATGACGGGGCTCAGTTTATACAGAGGTGCGTAGGCCTTTTCCGCATCGTCTGGATTGCCTTCATACCGCGCTGCTATAACCAGAGCCGGTCTTCGATCTGGCGGCGGTGCCATGACCATCATGAGACCTGCCGTCGCATAGCGGCCATCATCCATCAGATCTTTCATGACAGTTGCTACCTCTTCCGCCCGATCGATAGGAAAAACAAAGCTTCCTACCCATATCGCTCCGGCGTCATTGCCCAGCAAGGAAAGCGGCAGTGCCTTGATAGTCAATTCAGTAACCAAACCGAAGAACTGTCCGGCACCACGGATCGCGTACAAGAGGTCCGGGTGATTGTCCTCATCGACGGATAATAGCTCGCCATTGGCGGTAATGATACGTGCTGCAAGTATCTGATCTGATCCGAAGCCGGTAGTTGAAGTCGTAATGGCGACACCGCCTCCTAGCATATATGGAATTGCGCCCACGTTGTTGCCATTTCCTAGCGCTAGTGATTTAAATTCGTATTAGTCAAGGACTTCTTCATTTAGACCAGCCAAGAGCAATTAAACTATGTATACCTGTGAAGAACCCAGCCTCTGCAAGAGAGACAGCAACCTGTTTACTCAAGATACTGCCTCGTAAGACAGCAGTCTTGGCTTCTGCGTCCACCTCAACTCCAGAAAACCGACTAAGATCGATTATCACTCCATGTTTGTCAATAGTTGACCATTCACTATGGCCGCCACTTCTTGCCACAAAGGGAATCGACGAATGCAACGCCCATTGTACCTACATTTGTCAGTTGGCCAGTAGTTCATTCACTGCAACAGGAAAAACTCATACAGCTTTCAAACAATCGTTCTCAGAAGAAGGTAGTATGATAGCTGCGGGCTCCTTGCGATCGATATCAGTCCAGCGTGCTAGGAGCTCCTGGAATTCTGAGTCCTCAGGTTTGATCAAGACGTCGCTGCCGGGCGACAGCGTCTGTCGCAGCAAGGGTATATGGTCAAGGACTGTCATCGTGTCTCCTGCAATATTCAGAGTAGCGACTTGCTATGTATCATTAGAGACTGCATATGTCAAGGTGGAGATGCCCTTCATATATAGTGATGACTCGGCGGGCCGTAACAACACATCTGTGTAACGTCTGAACAAGTTTCTTTGTTAGCTTTGACAGGGGAGGCTACCGCAAACTTCCGATCGATATTTCAGCTGAACGAATCAATGCGGCTACATCGAGGGGGACCTGACCAATGGCGAGAAAACGAGATACTATTGCACGGATTTAGGAACGGCGTTTTTTGAAGTGTTAGCGCTTACTTTAACAACATCAGACTATTCACTATGTAACTAGCTTTTAGCTTTTATCGCGAACACGATAGTGCTTACGCGCTAGCACGAAGGTAGAGCAGGCTGGAGCTGACCTAATTTCTTGGTTGGAAGCTTATTTGTATGATACTATCATCCATGTACACATCAGAGCAACGCAAGGATATGAATCGGTACAAAATACGTATCTTAGTATGACACAATACCGCACTACCTACGAAATGAGTTTGCAATGCGGTCTTTGAACACGATGCAGGGCTGAGCTAGGGGGTCATTTGGTGATGCCAGTTGGTCAATTGATAACTTTCCTAGGTCCCGTCCCACGAAATCATGAGAAATCCTTTTGAAGTATTTTGAGTATGTGTATTGATATCCTAGGATTTAGAGCAACGGCAACCACGCCCTAGTTATGTCTGACGTTGTTACCCTAAGGGTTACGTATGGCGACTCTTCAAGTGTTGAGGTACCTATTAGATACCCTACATGAACACTTTCAGTAACTGGGTCAAGCAGCAAATCTGTCAATATTCAGCCAGAACAAGCATGAGGTGGTGGTACAGGCACTGTAAGAGAAAAATCTCGAGTATCATCTGGTACAATCAACCTTGGAACCACTTCAAGATGAAGMGCTTATTTGTAGAATAATCGCGCACCATAAGAAACAAAAACTCAATCTCAGCAAACTTTTATCAAAATGTCACGATCATTGATAGAGTATGCAACTCCAAAAGCAAAGTCAATAGCCGAACACGCAATAGCCGACGATGGAGCCATCCCACTTTATGAGGGGGGCAATGCGGAGAGTCCAAGCCAGCCACTCCCCCAGATTCTCACGGCTTGTCCCAATGGGGCAGTCAGCTCTGCATCTCCGGAGGGAACTCCTTCTTACGCAGTCTCGACAATGCACGTGGTGGGGTGCGTTGGCTGATTGAAAAAGATGCCCATTCCCACGATGGCTCTCTTCTTTTTCTTCGCAAGACTCATGTCTTTTGAAAGTGTGTTGCTACCTAGGTATACTCAATTGCACAATGCCGCAACGAGAATTCGTCCCCAAAAAGTATGAGTTGTCGAAAGATGGCAACAACTCTATACTCGCTCTTCGATCAGTCGGCGGAAAACAGAGCTTCGATTTCACCTTTGAAGCTGTTCGGCCCAACCTGTTTCGAGTGAGATTCACCTCCGACGCTCATCCGCTGCCTCCATATCCTAGTGTCCCTGAGCCTACGAAAGATGATTCTATATCTTCCTCATTTACCACCACCGATGCCTCCGCGACTACTGAAGTCGGTGGGGTGACGGCCACAGTTGAATGGAAGTCTACACCCGTTGTGTCTCTGTCGTTCTCCGGATCCAAACAACCTCTCCATCGTGACTTGCCAGGTCGCTCTTATGTCTCCGACTCCAGCGGCGTGTCTCACTACAGTGTCCTCGACCGAGAAGCTCTCCACGTCGGTCTAGGAGAGAAACCAGCTCCTATGGACCTGACGAATCGAAACTTCATCTTGTCCGCATCGGACACTTTTGGTTATGATGTCTACCGCACAGATCCTTTGTACAAGCATATTCCGTTGCTAATCAAAGCGACCAGTGAGGGAGTCGTTGCGATTTTCTCGTCTTCATACTCGAGAGGGACATGGAGCGTTGGCTCCGAACTAGATGGTCTGTACGGTGCGTACAAGGTATATCGCCAGGACTATGGCGGTTTGGAGGAGTACTTTATCGTGGGCAAGACATTGAAAGATGTTGTTCGCACATATGCAGAACTCGCTGGGTTTCCCCTGTTACCTCCTAGATGGGCATACGGATACATCTCTGGTGGATACAAATACACCATGTTAAACAACCAAGCCTTGCTAGACTTTGCCGCTAAGCTCAAGCACCACGATATCCCCTGCTCGGCTCATCAGATGAGTTCCGGATATTCGTTTAGTGATAGTGAGCCCAGTCTTCGCACTGTATTTACCTGGCACCCAAAACGATTCCCAGACCCGAAAAAGTGGACTTCTCAAATGCATGCTGCTGGATTGAGATTGTTGTCTAATATCAAACCTTTTGTCCTCTCGTCGCATCCAGACTTTCCGAAGCTGAAAGATGCCAATGCTCTCTTTACGGATCCAGATACAAAGCTACCGGGTTATATGGATGTATGGAGTGCTGGGGGAGGTGAAGGTGCCGAAGGCTGTCATATCGACTTCTCTTCGCACGATGGATTCAAGTGGTGGTTTGAAGGGGTGCAGAAACTGGCCAACGCCGGTATCGATGGTATATGGAACGATAACAACGAATACACTCTCCCCAATGACGACTGGACATTGAAGTTGGATAATAAAGATGTCAAGATCGGGAATCGTGCGGATGCTCCTAACTCTGTTGGTCTCTGGGGACGAAATATGCATACTGAGCTTATGGGGAAAGCCTCTCATGATGCTCTTGTCAATCTGAGACCGAACATGAGACCATTTGTCTTGACCCGAAGTGCGACTGCTGGAACGTTGAGGTATGCAGCCAGCTCTTGGAGTGGTGATGACGTTACCAGCTGGGAGAACTTGAAGGGAGCCAATGCCTTGTCGCTGAACGCTGGTTTCTCCCTCTTGCACTGCTATGGACACGACATTGGTGGGTTTGAGGGTATGTCTATCCAATCTTGCCGTTATCCAGATATCAAAAAAGCTAACTTCTTCAGGCCCCCAACCGTCCCCGGAACTTCTCCTCCGCTGGGTCCAGATTGGCATTTATTCCCCTCGCTTCGCTATCAACTGCTTCAAAACCTCGCCCGCTGATAACCTCCTCGGCGACGTAATCGAGCCTTGGATGTACCCTGAAATTACCCCCTTGATCCGTGATACCATCAAACGCCGCTACGAGATTCTGCCATACATCTACTCCCTTGCCCTAGAGAGCCATCTATACGCCTCCCCACCCCAACGCTGGATCGGATGGGGCTATGAATCGGACCCTGAGGTCTGGGCATCTAAAAAGCTCAAGGAGGGCGAGGAGCAATTCTGGTTCGGAGATAGTCTGCTTGTCGGCGGTGTCTATGAGCCGGGCGTGACCAGTGCAAAGGTCTACTTACCACGAAAATCTGATGGTCTATTCGACTATGGATACGTGAACTTGAACGCTCCATATGAGTATTTGGCATCAGGTCAATGGACCACTATCGCATCAGAATGGCAAAACAGCATCCCGCTCCTCGCACGCATCGGCGGCGCTGTACCGGTCGGCAAGAGTGTAGTAACTCGCACACCAGGCGAAGAAAATTCCGACGATGCAGCAGGCGGTATTAGCGAACTTGATGACTACCGCGGCATTGAGATCTTCCCGCCTCAGGCAAGTTCGCACGGGCATGTTTTCTCGACTACGTGGTTGGAAGACGATGGTTACACCCAGAATGCGGGTGTGTCGTCGTTCACGATCAAGTATAGCTCTACAACGGAGAAGGTGACTGTTACATTTGAGCGCGGAGATGGGAACAAGTATGTCCCTGCTTGGAAGAGTTTGGATGTTGTGTTGCCGGTAGGGGGTGAGAGGCATGTTGTTTCGTCTAAGTCGGGGCAGCCGTTGGAGTACGTTGGAGTTGATGCTAGGGGAAGGAGGGTTTATCGGTTGAGTGATATCTAGACTCCACAACATTGAAGCAGTAGCTGGCGTGCAAAAGTCACATATAGAGAACGGTATCGACTGGAAGACATCAATTGATACAAGAACAGAAATAGTAATATTCATACACGCTGCACCTAGCCAATCTCAAAATAATATTTTATCCATACAAACAAAAGTAAGACAGAGGAAAAAGTTACTGCTCACCCTCCGTCGAAGGTTTAATATCCCTCTCCTTAACAGGCGTATAGGTGAACTTTCCCCTCGCAGCCTCCTCCAACCTCAATCTCTGCCCTTCCTCTCCTGCCCGACCAAGTGCACCAGCAATGAGTTGCACAGACCTCAAACTATCATCATTCGCCGGAATCGGGTATGTAACTCTCGTCGGGTCTGCATCTGTATCTATGATACCGATGGTGGGAATATTATGCAGCCCGCACTCATGCAAAAGCACCTCATTCTCAACGGGATTGAGACAAATAACCAAATCAGGCTTGAGCACGGGTCTCGGCGCATCGGCATTTGTCGAGGTGGAGATGTACTGTTTGTAATCCTTGAGCTCTTGATCAAGCGCATTAACGACTTTGATGTCGCAGTTGCCCAGGATTTGTTGCCCGTTGGTCAGACTACCGGGAATCCAGCGCTCAAAGATGTGGTACCCCTTTGCCATCTCTGCGGCGCGGACAACGCACTCCTTTTGACCGGGCCGGGTGCCAGCGAAGAGGATCAGGCCACCGCGTCGAGCGACTTCTTCGACGACCTTGGCGGCTCGACGGAGATATGCGGCTGTCACATCGAGACTGATGATGTGCACACCTTCGCGGATACCGAAGATGTAGCGCGAGTTTTGCGGGTTCCAGCGTGATGTGGTGTGGCCCAGATGGGTTTGGGAAGCGAGGAGGAGCTCGAGGGTGACTTCGGAGGGTTGAGGGGGCGATTTGAGGAGGTGGTTTGGGTCGTAGGTTTGGGAGATTGTTGTGCCGATGGATTTTTGTTTTTGGCCTTTCCGTTGTTGAGTTAGAAGATTGGTCAAATTGGGATGAGAGGCAATTGGGTGGACTCACGTTGTCGGGCAGCTTGCATGAAAGCGGCGCGACTCTTCAACGCTGGAGAAGCTGTGGCTTCGGTGCCGGACACAGCTGTGGTTTGTGTTGCGGTAGAGCTCAATTGGCTATCTTGACTTATTGGGAATGCCTCCTCTGCCGTGATTGTCGTGGTGGTCGTGGTGGTCGAGGTTGTGTTGGTAGACGAGAATCGGAGAAGTCTTTGGGAGACATTGCGGCCTGGACATCAATTAGCCGTGACCTAGCGAGAAATAGTTCTCCCAATAATTCATCTCACCCTGCCGCAGTCCAAATTGCCGTACTATCATGGTGCTAATCGTTGTCTGAAAGTTGTTGGATGCTTCTGTCGGAGATGAAAGTTCCCTTTGCGAAAATGATTTGGCCGATATCATCTAACCTTATTGGGAAGTGACCCGTAGTCGTTCGGCTGATGATTTGCTGAGACCGCTGCGTCTGGATGCGCTTGTCCTTTTACGGAGTTGTCTATTTCTTGTCTGTTTTTGACTTCCCAGGCCATACTGATCTACTTGGACTCATGACTTGTTCATGCAGTATGGTCATTCGACACTTTGACTTTCACTATTTCACTACGACTATGCGGTTTTACGAAATGGTTTTGATGAAATATTGCAGACAGCAAAGGCATCCGCGATCGCGATCATTCATTCAATGTGCGTAACAGTAAAGCAAAGAACCAGAACGCCAATTCAATCCCAGACCCGACTGATTTAGAAAAGACAAAGGAAAGTCGAATCCTTTCATGTGAAAAAGAGAAAAGAACGACACAAGAAATTCGTTAGTCTTAATAGAACACTATCCGGTCGACAGACACATTGCGAGCGATGGTCTATTTGTTGAAGAAACCGCCAAAGGAGCTTCCGGAACCACCCTGACCACCCTGGTATGGGTTGTTGTCGTTCTTGTGTTTCTTGTCCTTGATGAAGTCTTCAGCGATACTGCCCATGATGGCACCACCGATCGTTCCCAGGATACCGTGGTTTGCCTGGTGACCGGCGAAACCACCGGCGAGACCACCGGCAAGGGCACCGCCTAGACCACGCTCGCCGTCCTGAGCACCTCCGGGAGCAGATTGGTCATATCTGTCATGCTGTTAGTCGTGTACAACCACTATAAGATCCAGGGAGAAAACTCACCCCTGACGGTCACCATACTGCTGTCCCTCCTGGCCATACTGGTGCTGTTGACCCTGACCATATCCAGATTGGGTGTGGTCTTGCTGGCCGTAACCCTGTTGCTGGTGACCCTGCTCACCGTAGGTGGGCTGCTGACCACCATATCCAGACTGGTTGTAGTCCTGCTGACCGTATCCCTGTTGCTGGTGATTGTACTGTTGACCTTCTTGGCCGTACTGGGGCTGCTGGCCATATTGAGGTTGTTGTTGACCGTACTGCTCTTGGCCGCCGTMCCCGCCGTGCTGGGATGGGTAGCCGCCTTGTTGCTGGTCGTTGTAGTAGTTACCACCTTGGTGACCGTACTGCTGGTTGTTGTTGTATTGGTTATAGTCGGACATTGTGAATTATATCGATATGCGATTTGGTAGATATTGATGAGTACGGTTGATAATGGGTTTGAAATAGGGATGAACGAGCTGAACTGTGTTCGAGGGATTTAAATGTGCTGAGAGTGGGGTTATAGGGAGGGCAGGGCAGGAGGCTCCTTATATAAGTTTGTCCTCGGGACTTGCCTGTCATCAGGTCCGGCAGGCATCAGCTGAAAAGGCGAACCGCACAATGTCGCTAGTCTACAGGCCAAGACGCTCTCAGGCCACAGGGGGGCTTCACTGCGCCATTACCCAGTTCAATAATCTATGATAGACGTATGGATGAACCACAGTCTCTCCGGGGTCATTTGCGTATGTAATGACGCATGTTAACCCACCATAGCAATACGAGGACGTAGTAATACATGATGCATACCATAATACTAGTATCACATACAGCAGACAACACGGAGTTACGAACCACACCCCTCAGCCCTTCCTCGTGCATAGTCCTCAGTCAGTTATACATTAGCCGACACACCATTTCAGTAATTGTTACGCCACCAAATACGGAGTAACGAAGCAAACACTAATGTACATATTATGTACATATTCAATTTCATGCAAAGCACCGAGTACGTAGGTAATAGAGTGAGATCTTACAGTACCACACTGATACAAACTACGGAACACTCGGCTCGGCTAGCGGTTTGTACTGACCTGGTTTAGCGGTAATCTAAGAAAGATGCCCCGCCATCGTGGCTGGAGAATGTGGCCAAGAGGTGGCTTTGCTGCTGCCAATTTTAGCATTGCAAGGCGGCGGTGCTGTGGCTTTGTTTTCCTTACATCGTCATTTCTCGTCGAGGCCAACACTGGACCACAATCTTACGGCCGACATCAAGCTCTAAGGTATGCGTCCGGACGATCGTGCCGATTACTGATCAGGTACATCGCCTTTCCCGGCTTCTCCTCCATGGCACATATGGCAGCCACCCATTTGGCGCCCAGTGAACACTGAATGCGCATGAATCGCGCGAACAAGTATATTCTTCAAACTCTTCAGCAACGTATCATCCCATCTAAAGTCAACAACATCCGCTGAGCGTCGTTGCCAGCTGTGTCGCCGCTTGTGGCCCAGTATTGTCTCGATGCGAGGACTTCCTGTTCGGCCAAACGAACTGCATTCAAGCTACTAAATTTCCAGGTCCACATAATTCTTCAATCGACTTTCAAAGACCAACCAGAGGAAGAGTCCTGTTACCATATAACCGAAATGAAGACACTTACGTTTGTCGCCACGGACACCGGTAAAGAATCAACTAAAGTCTTCATAAGACGTTCATATGAAGCTCAAAGGTAATCGCACTCCGCCTAGTCAACATGTCGCTGAGCCCACGACCAATCCAGTCCACAGCGTACACTTCGTATCCACGTTTCGCTAGTTGAGGTAGAATAATATGCTTTTCAAGATTTCGGGAACCGATCTATATGGCATGTTATGTTGAGAGAAGCACGGTTGTCCATCTTGGCTTTTCCATCGTCATGCCCAATGTTACTTGGAGTCTTTTGTTACGTCGGATACCCCTCATGAGGTTGTCCGAGACCCCGCAATATGCTGGAGCTGGAGCTAGATAACAACGCACGACATGCTATCAAGATGCTTGTAGAAGCTTCTTTCTGCTATTAGCCTAGAAAATGTCCCTTCGAGGTAAAGTATACGCCGTAACAGGCGGTGCAAGCGGCATCGGCCTTGCAACAGCCAAGATTATCTCAGAACGCGGGGGAACAGTCTGCATTGCCGACGTGAACCAGGACGCCCTTAACGCAGCTGAATCGTATTTCGGCTCCAAAACACCGTGTGTTCCGTATAGGGTCACCCAAGTTGACGTTTCGAACAAGCAACAAGTAATAGACTGGATTGCCGGCATCAAGAATACATTCCATCGCCTTGATGGGGCAGCTAACATTGCTGGCGTCATTGGAAGAGACCATGGAATCAAGGCCGTGGCGGAACTGGATGACGATGAATGGGACACTATCATCGGCGTGAATTTGACAGGAATGATGTATTGTCTACGAGCAGAGCTCAAGAATATCGCTGACGGTGGCTCGATCGTCAATATGGCATCCATCCACGCGACGACCGGTGGGCTTGTAATCACAAAAGAAAAGGTGCTGAATGGTTGTCTAACAATCGCTAGGCGTTGCAAATCATGGTGCCTACGCTGCAAGCAAACATGGCGTTTTAGGCCTAACTCGGGTCGCTGCCAAGGAGAATGGCCATCGCGAGGTCCGAGTTAATGCTGTTGCCCCAGGGCCAATCTATACCGGGATGATGCAAAGCCATTGGGACCGCATGGGACGCCCATCGGATGCGCCGTTTGACGATCCCATTGCATTCCGACGTCAGGGTACGCCTGAGGAGGTAGCGAAAGTGGTTGTGTTCTTGCTTAGTCCGGAGAGCTCCTTTGTGAGTGGAAGTTGTTACTCGGTTGATGGAGCTTGGATATGATGCACTTTTAGAGTGAAAATAATGTTAAAATACTTGGCGAATCGATTGAGTCGGGTAAAAGACAGTCACGTGTACCGAGGTTTGGCTTAAGAATATATGAATCAAGTCTCCATGCCATCTATCTGGTTTAGGTCGGGATTTCCTGGCCCTCGGTACTCAAGAGCAGGCCACAACATTGCATCCTCTGAGAAAACCCGCACTTCTTTCTCAGGGCTCAAACCTTCAATGTTGGCCCCAGTCAAACCGTTTCGATATCTTGCATTGATATAAGCTTCCCATTGCTCATCTGTAGCGCCCATTGGACCTGTTTGTGTCGTCCCTTTCACCTCCTAATCTCATCAGTCTTGTGTTAAATACTTGATGCTGTACATTACACTCGTACTTCTGTATATGAGCCTGGAAAAGTAATGATACATCCTCGATAGCGACTCACGCGATAAGAAAAACGACTTAGCCATGATTGGGCGAGAAAATCGAGCTAACTCCACATTAGGCCAAGCACGACCGGGCCGCGCCAAGATTTCCAACCCACACCAATTTTTTTCTCATGAAAGTTCGATTTGACTGTTGATAGACGTCTCTCTGTCCTATTGTTGTCGAATGTTGAGATAGTTCTTTACGTCTCCATTCGCCTTCTTGACAAGCCTTACTTGCTAGAAAATCTTGATTGACTTTTCATAACAGCGAGTCACCATGGCGGATATCGAGGTGCGTTTAGACCGCCTTTTTTCTTCTTCCTTCAGGCACTAACTTGCCTCGCTCTAGGAACGGCTGCGAAGCCACTCCGATGCCTTTAGCGGCCTGATGTCTTTGATTCCTGCTAAATACTACTATGAGGAGGACCATAGTGTGAGTGTTGTTGTTTGTCGTTTTGTCATGATCAATAACCGCTCACATTACTTGTCACGCATAGGATCAATGGCAGCGCAAGAAACAGACAAAGGAAGAAGCCAAAAACGCCAAACTGGCAAAACTTGATCCGGACTCTGCAAAATCGGCGAAGGATGTCATGGATGAGAATGCGAGGAAACGGAAGCGGGAGGAGGGGAATGATAACGACGAAGATAATCAGAGCCAGTCTGCCGAAAGCGATTTGGGTTCTGAGTTGCCCAAGGAAGGTCTAAAGCGAGGAGAACTCAAGAGCAAGAAGCAGAAACAAATAGATGCTGCCGCAGAGAAGGATACTCAAGCGTCGAACCGGAACGCAGAAGCCGAAGAGCGACGAAAACTGAAAGCAGAGAAGAATGCGGCGAAAAAGGCAGCTCAACGTGAAAAGAAAAAGGCCAAGCAGGCAGCGAAGTCTGATAAGAAGCAAAACGAAGAAGACGAAAAGCTTGAGCCTGCTGAGTCAAAACCTACGCTCACACAAAAGAGTTCTTCGGATACCAAGTCCGAGAAGAAACCTTCCGTAAAAGAGAATGATGCCGAGCAAGAAGAACTGGAGATAGTCGAAGGATTAGATCTGGAAACGAAAGACTCTGCATTAGAAACAATATCCACCACATCCTCTAACCCAGGTTCGTCAACCTTCGAAATGTCAAACAACAACTCCGGCACATCCTCCACCTCCTCCATCATCCCACCCAGCGAGGCTCCTTCACAGACAAAACCCACCCTCAAACAACTCAAAACCACACCAGATGAGCTCCGCCAAAGACTCCAAAAACGTCTCGACGAACTCCGCGCTGCCCGCCGCGCAGATGGCCTCAATGGTAAACCCGCACGAACAAGACAAGAACTCATCGAAGCTCGACGGCGCAAAGCCGAAGAACGCAAACAACACAAAAAGGAAGTTCGGCGCAAGGCCAAGGAGGAAGAAGAGCAGAAAAGGGACGAGGAAATGCAACGACGGTTTTCGCCCGGTGGCTCAGGTTCATTGCTTGCTTCGCCTCGTTCGCCTGCTGAGTCGTTTACGTCTAATTCCAACAATAATTTTGCGTTTGGACGAATTGCATTTCCGGATGGGCAACATGCTGATCCTACTCTGTCAAAGCTTCTCGATGACAAGTCGAAACAAGGCCCTCGCGATCCTCTCGCCGCGCTCAAAATTGCCGAAGCCAAAAAGACACGACTCTCAGGCCTTGATGAGGAAAAGAGAGCCGAAATCGAAGAAAAAGATATGTGGCTCAATGCCAAGAAACGTGCTCACGGCGAACGAGTCCGCGACGATACTTCCTTACTCAAAAAGGCACTGAAACGCAAGGAATCAGCAAAGAAGAAATCCGAGCGTGAATGGAATGAGCGCATCGAGGGTGTTGCCAAGGGCAAGGAATTCAGACAGCAGCGCCGCGAAGATAACCTCCGCAAAAGGAAAGAAGATCGTGGCTCTGGCGGTGGAGGCAAAAAGACCGGCGGAAATAATAATAAAGGCAAATCCAAAGCTAGGCCTGGGTTTGAAGGCAGCTTCAAAGCGAAGAATGGCAGTGGGAAGAAGAAATAAGACGATTGAAAAAGCTTGTCGAAGTTAATATGACAAAAAAGTTTTGAGCGTGATATACTATGCTTTTTCTATCCTATTTGCTGTTTTGGTCTTGATTCATCATGAGGGATGGCGTTTATGTCTACTATCTGTATAGTGCTCCCCACTGGGATCGGGATGTCGAACCATGGCGTTAGGGTTGATTCTATACTTTCCATACTTGAGTGATCAATGAAATAAAAATTGGAAATTTATCAGATTCTGCTTTTTAGCCTAGAGCATAGTATTCATAAGTTCAGCGGGAAATCTCCTTCTCTCCCTTCATTTCTGCTAGGCAGATACATGGTGCATTCGATACTGGCAATGTGATACCCATTTAATGGAGTATTCATATTTCAATGCGGCTGTCCATACGACCCTATAAGTGTATTCAGCAACGATTAGATAGCATGATGGAGCCAATAAGCAAGAAAAAAGCACCAAAGAAAAAACTGTTATCTTCTTTTAACACTATTGAAACAGACAAGAGGAAAACGATTTGTCCTCTAATTCGACAAAGGAAAACAACAAGTAGAAGAGCAGACGACACTCAATGCCCTATGACAGGGTAAGCTTTCTTTTTTCTTCCCGAGTGTCAGCAGAAAAATCTTAGTTCATTTGATATGTACATTAATTTCGACAACCAGATCCCGATTCCCGATCCACGATCAAATGGCCAGACAAGAATCGTCATGGCCATTTAGACTCACAACAACCGATCATTCTCTATCGGTAGGGAGCGTCAGCACGAGCGACGGCGGCCAATTCAGGTTCCCATTTGTCTCCGTTGGCGAGCAATTTCTCCTTGTTATACAGCAATTCCTCTCGGGTCTCTGTGGCATATTCGGCGTTGGGTGCTAGATTTTTGTCAGAAATGAATCCCGGGTGAGATATAAAGAAAAGGGAGCCTTACATTCAACAATAGCATCCACAGGACAGCTCTCTTGGCAGTAACCGCAGTAGATACACTTGGTCATATCAATATCATATCTGGTTGTTCGTCGGCTGCCGTCTTCACGTTCTTCGGCCTCGATGGTGATGGCCTGAGCAGGGCAGATGGCTTCGCAGAGTTTGCAGGCGATGCAGCGCTCTTCGCCAGAGGGATAGCGGCGGAGGGCGTGTTCGCCACGGAATCGGGGGGAGATGGGGCCCTTTTCGAAGGGATAGAAGATGGTGTAACTTGCCAATGTCAGCTGCATGAACGAATTGGACAGTGTACAGGCTGATGGCCTTCAATTGAGGATATGGCGGCGGCTGTATGAGGGAACTCACGGTGGTCGGAAGAATTGCTCTAACACGACGTACATGCCGCGAAACAACTCAGCCATGAGGAAGTACTTGGTCGCTTTGTCCAAAGACGATTCATCGCCCTGATCCCATCGCTTCGGAGGAGGCAGTCTGAAACCCGAGGGGGGAGGACCAGAGGGCGTAGCTGCGCGATATGCAGAAGACGAGAAGTTTGCGGTGACCACAGCTCGGAGAGTAGTCGAGGGCACGGCGACAAAAGGCCGGCGAGAAGCAACTAGCCTCGCAATCGATTGCGGCGAGGCCATTGTGAGAGAACGGGTTGTTGAAGAGGGTGAAGGGAGGGATGGAGGGGGGATTGTTGGACAGAGACAAGTTCTTTGAGGTTGAAGACGGGTGAGCAATTTGGCTTAGGTCATTCCCATCGTGTGGCCGCTGATTGGCCGGGGCGCTGCCGAGTGGAAAACGCCGGAGAGGAAGGAACGAAGCAACTTCAAAACCTCATCTCTTTTCCGCGTCACCTCGATCAATTACCAATTCCTTCCAACGCTGCCTCGTTGCACCCATTTTAACAGAAAATTTATTTTTAAATAGGCGATCTGCTTTAATTCCATCAAAATGTTCCGCTCTGCTATCGTGCGCTCGTTGAGAGCTTCCGTTCCTCGCACCGTTCGGGCTGCTGCTCCTCGCATTCAGATCACTCCTGCTGTTCGCCCATCTCAATTCGTCCCCGTCTTCAACACTCAGACTCCCCGTTTCTACTCTGCTCCTGCTAGCCTTTCCAAGGACGAGGTTGAGGGCCGTATAGTCAACCTGTTGAAGAACTTTGATAAGGTGTGTACAGCTGTCGATTCAGCCACAACAGTAAACTAATTTGTTCTTGTGAACAGGTTTCCGATGCCGGCAAGGTTCGTTATTTTGATTCAACGATAATTAGACATGATTTGCGCGACGATATCGGATAGTCTAACATGGAATATCTAGATTAACGGAACTTCCCACTTCACAAACGACTTGGGCTTGGACAGCCTCGATGTTGTTGAGGTCGTGATGGCCGTTGAGGAGGTATGAATTCTCTTCGTGTGATCCCAAGAATAAATGCAGCATACTGACTGTTCACAGGAATTCAGCATCGAGATCCCCGACAAGGACGCCGACGCCATCCACAGTGGTGCGTTATATCCGTCTACAGCTATCGCTAATATACGCTAACTTCTTTCCAGTCGAACAAGCCGTTAGCTACATCCTCTCCCAGCCTGATGGTATGTAATCAATTGATGTGGCCGATATCACTTCAACCGCTAACATCACCCAGCTCATTAAACAGCATAAACGACAGACTTCGCTACTTGGAATTCGGTGTGTCATTTGAGAATCGTTTAGACAAGGGCGCCTCTTCGGTTGGCGTTCTCTTGTGCACTTAATCTACTCGTGGTTCTTGGTACTTTGTACCCTTGTATATCATCAATCAGACCCATCTTCATAAAACACCTTACTCGTTTTCTAGATCGCTATTCCTCTTTCAGTCCATTCCAGAATGAAAAGATAATCATCGACGCTTTGAAGATAAGATATGGCTGTATTTGATATCGCAATCAGTTAATGCTCGTAAAAGTTCGTAAACAATAATTTGTAACTATTGTAATATTCCGTGTTAGTCAAGGTGTTGGCCCACCGCCGCAAGTCGGACCGCCAAGGCTACACTCATTCAGTGACAGTCCAGAAGTCAACTTAATTATTTCTCAGACTAGCGGCTCTCGACTGGCAACTCCAACACTAAAAGGAGTCAAATTGAATATCTGCACTCAATTGACCTGCGTCCAGACGAAGTCAGAGTATCACCGCGATTCTCTGTCTGTATTGGCTTTCGTGCTTGTTGTCCTTGCCGGTCTCAGCTCCTCTCCTTAAGTCGCTCTCGTGCGCAACTATCTGCGGAGCATCCTGAACCCCCTCAACGTTGCCTATCGAACTCCTGCAGCTACTACGCCCCGTTGTTTCGCATCCACTCTTGAATCGACATCGGTCTTCGCTTATACTTTTGCTCTATATCACCAACTTACCAACCTTCACTTAATCACACATGGCCTCAGCCGGCGGATTGACACGCCGACGAGGCGGTCGAGTCGGCGGAGAAGACAACGAGGAAGGCAGTCGAGTCTCATCGCCCGTACCCAACAACAGAACAGCTGTCGATGCCCGTACACCAGAGACGTCCTATACCGATGGCGAAAACGGACACAAAATTGCGTTCGATCCACGAGACATTAGCGAAAATGAAGAGCGGACAAAGATGCCCAAGTTGACCTTGATGGATGAGGTGTTGCTGTTGGGACTTAAAGATAAGCAGGTATTTTCTCAGGATAATGACAAAGGACGAGTAAACGCATGTTTTAATCAATTACTCTCAGGGCTACCTATCCTTTTGGAACGAGAATATTTCCTACGCTTTACGCGGCTGTATCGTTATCGAACTCGCTTTCCGCGGCCGAATAAGCATGCAAAAAGACCCTGCCCGCAGGAGATTCCCTCTTGCAGACCGAGTGATTGAGGTGGTTGACGACACACTTACTGGCGAGGTCTTGCTGGACGAGGCACTCAAGATGATGAAAACGAGTGAAAAGATGAGCGTGAGCACTTGGATTGATCTAATGAGCGGTTCGTTCCCTTTTGACTATTAGCGCGACACCATTACTGATTCTTATAGGCGAAACATGGAATCTGATGAAAATCGGCTATCAATTGAAACAAGTCCGCGAACGAATCATGAAAGGTCTCGTGGACAAAGGTGTCCTTCGCACAGAAAAGCGCAATTTCCTCCTTTTCGATATGGCAACCCACCCCGTCGCCGATTCAGGCGCCAAAGAAGAACTCCACAAACGCGTTCGCAACGTCTGCAGCAGTCGTACCGTTATCCTGTCACCCAACCAGTGGCTCCCCGAAGATGTTGAATTCCGTTTCCTGCGAACTATAAGCATGGTGTGCGCCGCATATGCGGCCAATGTGCTCGAAAATGCATTGGTTACTATGAGCCATGAGTCTAGGGAAAGAGCATTCGCTCAGGTTGATGAATTGCTAGCCGAATATTCGCAATGGCCTTTTGCTCGCAAGTCCGGCGCTGGCCAAGGTATTGGAGCGAATTTGGCACAGGCTATCAATGATGAGGTTAACAAATCAAAAGATCGCGAGTTGCAGCTAGAGGTGTGTTCCTTATTTTCCTATTGATTGAACATTGCTAACACGATCACAGATTGTTGCTGCATGCTTAAGTGTGTTCACACGACTCGACTCCCTCCTGTAATTTACCTCCACACCATCTTCACCTACCTTCCTTTTTTCCTATGTACGCCGCATCTCCTCGGTTCACTTACAGAGATCCTTACTCAATAATCTCCCGGCATTACGTCTATTTGGTTGCGTTTCCTTCTCCAGCAGGCGGTTTAGAACATTATCCGTCATTTGCAATTTCTCTTCTTCATTGTTGTTGCTAGGTGTTGTTTTCAAATGGGAAAATGAGTTGCTCGAATCTTCTTGCCCATTCCTTTTACTTCTGGGCAGTCCACAATCACGCAAGCAATTTACTGCTGATATGCGAGTCAGGACAAGTCTACATTTCTTTTCTCTTCTTCGATGGACATGTATTTTGCTCATATTGTTGTCGCAGTACTTCATATTGAATTCATTATAATAAGATGACACTACGTTCACTTCTGATTTCGGATTAAAATTGACTGCCAACCGGATCAATTCGTAACACAACCTTTTGCTCTCCAGCCTTCTCAGCATAAACCAGTGCCTGCTGTCCATGCAATATATCCTCCACTTGATAAGACACATCAGGCTTCAACACCCCCTTTTCAACCAATTGTACAATCTTGGCGAGTTGCTGCGCATTAGGCCTGACATCAATAACCTCACTGGTCAAGTTCCTCGTCATTATTTCGGTGCGTTCATCCCTCTCGGATGGTTTCTCGGGGTGTCCAGACTGAGGCCGTCGAGGCGTCAAGATATGCCCATGATCCTTAACCACAACAGGTGAATGAGCTTCTCGAAACAAAGCGCCTCCAGCACCTGTGCAATCAAAGACAATATCAACTGGTTTCCAACTGTTTTCCCGAAACGCAGACGCTATATCCGTCGAAGCCGTAACCTCATCCGCACCCAACTCTTTGAGGAGGTATTCATGCTCATGCTTCGCACCCGTAGCAACAACCCAAACAGCTCTCTGCATTTCTCCCATACTCGCACCACCCATAAGACCCATAACATGATGCGGAAACAACGCCTGACATTTCAGCAACAACGTCACATACCTCCCCACATCCGACTGCGCAGCATTCGTCACAAGAACCCTCAACGGTCCATCAGCAGGCTTATTACAAGGCCCATCATCCGGATCCAGCGTCGCATATCCAAACAAACCTTGCCATGCAATCAGCGCCGCGTGCGGAATCGTAACCGCCTCTGCCGCGGACAGATTAGTCGGTTTGTACGCCAACTCATTCTCCGTAGCGAGCGTGTAATCCGCTGCTGCGCCATCGCGGCCTTCTATATTGCTCAAAACACCGATTACTTCGTCGCCGACCTTGAATAAGGGCCCCTTGGAGCTTGCGTAGTCTTCCCGGGGTGTACTAATTACTTCGCCGCAGAATTCGCGGCCTGGGATGAGGCCGTGGATCTTGTCGATGCCGTCCGAGGTCGGTCTTTCGAGGAACATTGCACTATCTCTCACGTTGGCTTCTTGGCCCGAAGGTGTGGTGCAAGTCTGCTCCAATTCATCGATCGAGACGCAGGCTGTACGAACTTTGATCATGTACTGATTCGAACCCGGTTTGGGCACTGGGCGCTCATTTTCGTATTTAAGGGATGAGGCACCGCCAGGTGTGGCTTTGTTGGTGAATGAAGAAGGGAGATGGAGTGCTTGCATGTATTTGGGGATGCGGGTTTGTTCGCTCATTGTGTTGGATGTCATTTTGTCCTCTGTCTTGGGAATATATGGTTTGTGCTGTGTCTTCCAGAATGGTATCTCACTGGTCACTTGTAGTCCTTATGTTAGCTTGAATCTTGGATACCGCTAGTGTTAGTCAAATGTCATGATGGGAATAAGTTGTGTGTATATTTAAGACCACTTGAAATATTGCTATGTGGCTGAGTGACTTATGTCCTGCCTGACGTTTGGATGATGCACAGCGTCTCACCACAACTATACGATGAACATATCGATTCGGTAAAACGCAGCCCTAAATACCCTAGAAGAGAGATATTGTACATAAGATTTGTAAAACATGGTAATGAAAACAAAAAGCCACCCTGATTTTTTGTATTCCGCTGCCCGGCGGACATTGTAGGCTTGATATAGCTGTATAACATCTCGGAAATGAACTCCGGTGGACAATATATAAGATAACAGGATACTGAGATATTCGCGACACGCCAATGTCAAGATCGAACAGTCGGCAACTCAAAGCTGAGTCTCGCAATAGACTCGTACAATTCACTTGGATGCTCAAATATCCTCCAAATACCATGCGGAACACCCGCAAACGCCTTCTGAAACCTCAACGATGAGTTCTTCTTCGCCATATGTGGTATATCGGTCACTTTGCGGATGAAGATAGCTTTAATCCAGCCTTCATGTTTTTTATACATTTCTGCATATACCTCCGGGTCACTCTGAGTCGAGTCACCAACACAGATGACTCTCCGAGCTGGAAGCCAACTGTGAATCTTGTCGATTTGCTGCATTTTGTACGTTCGAGTTCCGGTATTGTAGGATCTGACAAACTCTCGAAGATCTTTCCAGGTAGCTTGCCGTAATAGCAAAGTACCAGGAGGATAAAACGAGTGCAGGAAACTACGCAGAAATGTGTACAGATTGTATGGCGATGCTGACAGATACATCCATGTTGGATCCAATTCTCTGTCTATAAACTCATATAGCTCCGGCATGCCTAGTATTGGCTCGGGGTCTGTCACAAATGTTGTACGCAATATGCCGGCAGCCTCTGAAGTCAAAGTGATCTTGATGGAGTCATCGATATCGGATATCAACAGCCAACCATGCGGAATGGCGAATCTCGTTTGCATGCACACCTGTCCATTCGACCCTGACAATTCAGATGTGATCACACTCCTGTCTGCCATATGGCTTTGTGGTAGAGAAACGGTCTGTGTGATAACTCCATGCTCATTCGTAGGACCCAGATGATATCTTCGAACTCTCCCATCGTACAAAGGCATGTTGACTGGCAAAGTACGATTGGGGGCGACGACATATAGCAAAGATCGCAAACGCTGGATTATACGACGACGAATAATAGGATCCTCTCCAAATGCCCCATCGAGCCCGATAAAGTCAGCGATTCTTGCAACGAACTGACTAATATTGCGGCGTTCGCGGCTAAAGACGCAGGCCACTATCTCGGCTTCCCATGTCTGTCCGTTATGAAATCGGTGTATGGGTTGGTATGCTATGTTGTCAAAGAGCCACACAATATGACGGCCTGATTGAACTGGCTGTACACTAATAATCTTGTTTTGAAGACCTATAAATCTCAGGATTCGTCGGATATGTTTTCGAGAGGACTCTTTTTCGACCGGATGAGATTGACCCCTATAGACCTCACGTAGTGTCTGACTAGATGTTTGTATATCTGTCATACTGGGCATACAATCTGTCGAGGTAAGATAAACTTAGAACGTAAATTATCGTTATTCTCTCATGGAACTTTGAGTTCCCATATGCTGGAACAACGTGTAGGAGGGCTTTGAGCCATGTTCTCCACGCTCTGACTGCCTGCGAACGCAGACGTATTTCTATAGTCCGGATCAAATAATTTACACGCTTGTGCTAAGTCAACCGATCATATCAGGTCTACAAAATGCTAGAAATAAAATTTTTAGCCTTACCTAAGAAGAACGTTCGGAACTGCTGCAATGCCACGAGATGATATGATCACATGAGCCACGCCACCAGCACGTTACCACACCTCATGGCATACATAAATTCGCTCTCCATTCCAGATGACTGTATGAATCAACATGAATATTGTATAAAATAAAATATCTGGGGGTTTGATTCACGTGAGGTAGCAGGTGAGGCTCTTACCAGGAGATGCACGATCAGTCGTGTGGGTCAGGGGTACTGATAGATGTTTGGACGCCGGAAGCTTCAAGGATATGAGCGTAACAAATCATATCGCGATTTTCGGCCAGGTTCTCCGACCAGGGGCTCTGGTATGAAGAAATTCTGGGGTCTTCAATTGATGATCATGGAGTGTGCGTAGTGTTGCAAGGTGGAAAGGGTGGAAAGGGAGACGTCCCTGTGTTCACTTGATTTTACGCGCGGACACCTCCTTCCTCGACTCTTAGTCCTTCCCAGGCTCACTTCTCCCCATAACTGCTCTTAATATACGAGTGAGCTGATAAGGTTAGCTATATTATTTTTGAACGCAGGATACTGTATTCCAATCCCATGACTGCAAAGGAAATGAAGGGGAAGAATTCCCCTGAGTTAGGGTTACATGTTGGCTTGCTAGGCATAAGAGGCCAGCACCCTAGTTGTGCAGATATTAAAATATTAGACCATCAATAATATTATATCAATACATTTTAAATTGAATTTGATAAGCAAAATTTTGATCCGACTTTGATTCAATTTCAATTTAATCACCGTGACGCACCGAATGGCCATCTCTGCCCCCCTCTCGGCTCTACCCAAAGCACGAACTTCATCGTCCGGTTTTCGATGGCAAAGACAATCATCGGACGATATTACACTTATTCAACCAGATTATTTTAAGCCTAATCCGTATCTATCCGTCTGGAATGGGCATTCTTTCACACACAACTGGCCTTCACATGAGTCCGAAACCTGTCCGCGATGTAGGAAAGGATGGTATAGCGACTGCGCTTTTGATACAACAGATGAGGATATGGATTCACACTCTTACGAGATAGAAGAAACAACAACAACATATTACCATGGCATACAATACCATCACCATGAATATAACCAGCTTCACCGTAACCATGAAAACAGTCAACACAATCGCAACTTTTCCGCTTCGTTGTTGCTGCGGAGAGAGACGATATCAGTCACGTCTTCTTCGTGGGCCGCTTTGCTTGGTTTGAAAAGGTCTTGACGGTATTATCTCGTCATATGCCGATTGCTTGATATCTCTATCCCTCTCGACGCTTTTGGAATATCCCATTCAAGAACGACTACATCCACCACTGAGGATTGTTATCCGTCTCAGCTCGACCAACCTGATCCACCCTTTTATCAGAATTCCGTTGCGCACCCATGTTCCGTGCAAAATCACGGCGTTTAACCGAAGAATCTGCTATATGCCCATATCGTTTATAACTTCCATCCTTCGTTGGACTCGGCGTCGACCGCGGCGGCAAAGACAAAGAATCCTGATTAAGCAGTTGTACAATCTTCCGATGTAACGTCTCAATCTCATTCTCCTTTTCCATGAGCAGATCTGCGGATTTTCTGCCATCGAGTTTATACCCTTTGATGTCTTGTTTGAAAAGTCGGATTTCTTCTCGGTACTTGTGCACTTTGTTCTCAAGGGTTGCGTTGATAAATTCTAGTTCTATGACTTGAAGTCTGAGATTGGAGACTTCGTTGGTGTAAAATGGGCATTCATGTAGATTGTGATCGTTGTTGGCCAAGTATGGTGTTGGGTCGAAGCGTCGGGGCTGTAGCTGATATTCGTCTTGGTGCGAGTCCTGATGTTCATGTTCGTTCTCATCATAATGATTGTTTGTACGTAGAGACCGTCGATCTGAATAAATTGAAGGAGATACTTGTTCAGCCTCATCTTTAATTTCACCCGCGTTGTCCTTCGGATATGAGTTTTTTAGTTGAAAGTCGACGGGATGGTCAAATGGAAAATTCGTTATGGTCGCTTTATGTCGTATTTGTAGACAGGATTCATCGGAAGTCTTATGTCTATGTTCATCTATCTTAAACTTGGAGTAAGAGCAAAGAGGGAACTCAGGATTTGCTTCACTTCTCTTGATCACCATACCAGAGTCAGCATGAAACCATGTATCCTTGAGGTTTGGCTGAACTCACTTGCTGATAGTTTTCATCGCTAAATATGGGCTCGCTCGTAGAGCTTGTTCTGGGATCTGGTATGAGTGGCGGCAAGGGCGACTTCTTCCTCACCGGCCGGTCTATTTCCTTGTTCAAGGAATCCATCTTCACCATGGAGAATCCCTTAATCAACGCTTTGGGTGTTCTCGATGAAGCCTGGGTGGTAAGCTGAGGTCTTTCCGGCTGATTATATTTCGTCAACATGGGAACTGGAGATTGACCGAGTTCAATATTGAATCGGCTGCAAATAGTTTAAGTGTTGTAATCTGTCGACACCAGGAAGTAAAATGTCGGAGGGTTTTGCAACGCTGTGAAAGAGCGCACCGTTGCTAGGAAATAAACCCAACAGCGAGCGTGGAGCATATTAAATCTATGAAGAAGTCCTTGACGATCCCATCTATTGTTAGTAAAAGTAATGTGCCACAAGTAATCTTTTCTCTGTGCTTCGTCCGTCAGTGGTGGCTGGTTTCTTTGTTTCGATTGAACATTTGGAGATCCAAAGATGCCTCATATGAGCATGTAGCAAGATACGAGACAAACAAAGAAGCTATTCCTGGCCACATAATCCGAAGGTCATGCTTTGAGCTATAAACCAAAAAGACAGTGTGTATACTTTCCATACCCGAAACTTCCTTGGCTCTGAAGAAAGGAAGAAGCATATGGCTATATTGAGATATTTGTTTTGGCTTTGGCAATGCCCCCACTTTGGAAAATGTGATGTTCATTGAATTGGCTCTACGGATTAGACCCTTAGCATAGTAGGTGGTTTCTGAATGAAGACAGACTATGATCTTTATGTCTGGCATGGATGCGCTATGTCAAACAATGCACTTTATCCCACAGGTCGATCTCCACACTTGGACTGGAGCTTTATGTTATCTTGAATATAACAATAAACGAAGAATCAAAATTTCTGTGAGACATTAAAGCACTGCATAAAGTCAGAAAAGCGCAGACTTCAATGTAGAACTGATCCGAGAAGAAATGCCGAGTAAACTGAAGTAGACTGTTTATGTCAGTTCCTACCAGTATTCAAGCAATCATCGGAGCATTTAGTAATTGCTACTCTATAGGGAATATGTGGAACATAGTATGTAGTTTGGTGATATAATGTGGATTGGATTGAGCAGTGGTCAAACGGTTATACCGACGATGCGTTGTCGGGGGCTATCAGTTACTACAACGGTCTGCCGCAAGACGCTGACACATCAACTTTTGCGCTGGCCTCAAGGCAAGTGAGCATGTGACTGACAAGTTGAGCAAAATCTGGGATGATATCTGGGGATCAGTCTCGGACGATGTAACGGACGCCATTAGCTCGACCTCGATATTACCATCAGCCTGTGATTATCATGTCGGACAAGCAGGATGACACGAGAAATCCTTTCGGTCCCGTCAGTACTCTCTATCAAGGCATTTCTGATAGCGATGTAGAGAATTAAAGATACAGCATTTTAGGGCCAGAAAAGGCATTTTGGCTGGTGGTTACAAATAAGTGTCAGGAGTTTGAGTCTAATCACGAATTCGAACAATATATGAAACTGATCCAGCTGTTCAGTGCACTTCTTGGCATTACATCCCTGAGCTCGACTGCAGACCAGTGGGGGTTCTCAGCTACACTGCACTTATCGAGAGTGCATATGATGGCTACGACACCAACCCCAACCCTGATGGTAGTAAACTGGCACCCGATGTCACTTTTGGCAAGATACCCTAGGCTAACGGCGTGAACACGCCTGGAGTCATCGAAGTGCTTATTTGTGATTATGATACAGCAGAAACAGCAATCAATACTGTCAGCTTTACCAGTAGTCCATGTCCTGCATGTGCTAATCATACTTGCTGTTCTTGCCGGGGACTAAGTATTATTTGCAAATGAGAATTTGTTTGTCTTGAACCTTCTATCATCTCCCAGTTTACTTTATTATTCTTTCTTTTTCTTTTTGTCCTTTTCTTACTTCTCATTCGCTTGCCTCGACAGCAAATTTACTTAGAAACATTGTCGAACTTTCTGTAGTGGCATTTTCTCATCCCCCAAGCATCCTAAGGTTAGTTCATATGTCCATGTTAACAGCCTCCGCTCTTTCTCTACAAAAAATTTAACTTGTCTGTGTACTAAGCTATACGCTTTAATACAGAAAATACTTCGATACAAGATACAACCCTATGTCGTCGCCAGTCGATATAGGGTTAGGGCTCATCACGTGTTGACACCGGTCTTTTCAGGCGGAAAAAACAAACAAACACCGCGAAACCATCACGAACACTTCTCGATTTTCAACAATGAATCGGACTCATGAATTTTTTCACTACATGCGCTGAACGATTAGACGGTCACTAGAAAAGCCAATGTCTTTGGACACGCAAACTGAGCACCCCCACAGACCTGGTGGGACAGGAGGTATCTTGGAAGAAAATGGCCACAGCACTGGGCTTTATCAAGAGCATTGCATGGGAGATCGATTCGCCATTCCTAGATGTGGATTATGAGGAACCAAATGCTTTCGGTGTATCAACTTTGAAACACCTAGCCACAAAGAAAGTCTTGAGCGATCAACGAAACATAGACCAGAGCCATTTTCGTCATATTCCCTGGCCGATTGCCGAAGAGCTTTGGCAGTATCTTACACGAAGGTAAGAGGTGATTTCTACGATCTTTAGTGGTAAAGTAATAATTGATGTGACAGTGGTAAGCGGACTTTGTATATGTGGAAAATATTCTGCGCTGCTTATCCTGTTGAGTTTCGACATCTTTCGCAACATTGTGACTCTCGGGTTGGGCATCCTCGATATTCTCTGAGCGGGTATATAAGTCTGATTAAGAGCTCGAGTGATAGTTGGGCTACTAGGTTGAATATCTGGACCGAGTTTGCTCGGGTGCCCGAGCTGGTCGAACTTGCTGATGTGACTAATCTTGTTTCGCTGGAAGTGAATACTTCTTCGCATCTACTCGAACTGCAAGATCATGAAGTCGCGTCTCTGAACGACCGTATCCTGAGAACATGGAGTGAACTTGCCAAAACAACTGGTGCTTTCAAGCACCTTCAAGTAATAAGACTGTACCAGCAACGAGAGCTCACTGAACAGTCCTTTCGTTACCTATCTAAGCTTCCAGCGTTGGAATACTGTGTTTTGGCAATGTGCGATCGAATGACACAGGAATCCGCCATCAAGACAGCGATATCAGAGGGTTGGAACGTCCTTGAGGACGTTTTTGACCAGAAGATACTTCAATTTTCTGGTCGACCTTCTTCGAAAAATCGTCGTGGGCAGATCAAATGGCGTGGAGACCGTCTGGATGGGCACCTATCTGCCTCGCTACCCAGCGATATACCAATTCTTGATTTCTCTGTTGGACAGAGACACGAAAAGCTTAGAGATCGCGATGTTGTTGTCATGCAGCGCAAGGATACCCACAAGGGAAATAAGCGTAGTTTGGTCGAGACGGCGTCAGTGGAGAACGACTGGGGAGCCGAGAAAAGGGCAAAAAAGCCGGCCATGAAAGAGCGCGGTAGGGATCTGTCGGGGATGCTAGCCGATTTCTTGTAGCAGCAAGTTTGGCTGTAAATAAATTAATTGATGAGTTGAAAACAATAAAAGCAATATTGAATATGAAGCCTTAGTGTTTACCAAGGGTTGAAGCTAGCGGGAAGACCCGCAGTGGTAAGATGATAAGGATTGTGGCGGTGACGGTGACGGTGACACAACTCAGGCACTCACGTACCATCAACACAACAATCACGGATTCTCTCGACTCGTTGTCAATGGAAACATATTAGCGTACTACAGCAGGCCTTAGAGATATCCTTCCAAGAAAGTATTATCGCTGCTGACGAAAACTTGAGATGGCGGACCAGCCTACCCACGCGGGGCAGGATCCTCCCTCATCGACCGAGTCTGCCATTTCCTCGCCACGAACCAGCACCGATTCTCGCTCATCCAGTGCTACGACTACCCGACAACAGCAACCTCCACTCCGCCTCCCTCACATATCGCCATCTCCCAACACTTCGCATCGACAGAGCTTCGGCGAAAGTCTTCGAAACACCCCGCAATCCCCGCGCAACCGCCGACAGCCGTCGCTGACTCAAGCTGCGATTCAGGGCTTGATTGATAACCCGCCAGCACGTAATCCTGCAGATCCCGCGTTCTTGGGCCGAGATTGGCGGCATATTTCGATCGGGGAGCTTGTCAAGCCGGCAGATTTGCGGTTTGTGGAAGTGGACACGGGCATTGAGGAGGCTACAAATGTTAGTTCTCATGACAATAAACATACGCAGGTTGATTGACGTTTGTCTCAGAAATTGATCGATAATGATACTACGGTCCTTCTTGTCCGTGAAACCGCCGAAGACAAATCCGCTGTTGGAACATTTGGATACAATGATTTGAACGCATATTTGTTGTTGGTGGTTGGGCTGGCAAAACCCACCGAGTCGCAACTCACATCCTTCCAAGAGGTTGCTCAAAAGGCCCGCGAAGGAAGCAAGATACCTTTGAAAGATATTAGAGATCTTGTCCCGAGAGAGCCATTGACGACGTTGCCGCAATCAGCAAATTTGATGACAGCCGTGGAAAAGTTCGGTGGTGGAGTGCATCGTCTCGTTGTGTTGAAGGAAGGCAGCGACGAAGTCGTTGGAATCGTCAGTCAATCTAGGCTGGTTAAGTTTCTGTGGGAGAATGGACGCAGTTTTCCGATTATCGACCAGCTTTATCCGCAACATCTGAAAGATCTGCGACTGGGGTCTCAGCAGGTGATTAGTATCAAGTAGGTTGCTACCCCTATTGTATAAAATTATTCTAACGAATTGCAGCGGAGATAAGCCACTGTACCACGCTTTGCAGCTTATGAACGATGAAGGAATTTCTTCCTTAGCTGTGGTGGACAATCATGCCAACGTTGTTGGTAACATTTCCACTGTTGATGTTAAGGTCTGTTGTATGTTATATCGAATTAGTGGGGATAAATGCTTACATCAATAGCTATTGACAAAATCAACCGCTCTCCCACTTTTACATAACACATGCATTCACTTCATCTCTGTCATTCTATCGACTCGCGGCCTGGTAGAAGGCAAGGACTCTTTTCCCGTGTTTTACGTGACACCTACATCAACATTGGCTCACACAGTGGCTAAAATGGTTGCTACCAAGTCTCACCGGTAAGTTTGTCAGACACATCACTGTTGAATATATCTAACAGCCACAGTCTATGGATGACCGATCCTCAATCGCCATCATCATCTGGACCGCCAACACCAGCTTTGGCCGCCTCCTATTTCTCCCCGAATCCTCCTTCAGTAAATAATCAGCCACCACCCTCGAATCACGGTAATGGCGGCGGCCCTGCACCACCTCCCAGTTATACCTACCCTCATCACCCGATTCCGCCCCAAGCATATCAAAGTCCCACTCCAGGTCTAGCACCATCGCCAGCCATACCAGCTTCGGCACTACCAGGCGCAAGTCTATCTGGTCGATTAGTTGGAGTCGTCAGTCTAACAGATATCCTATTCTGCTATGCTACAATCAGCGGCCTGAATCCGAACGACCCTGCTGAGACGCGCAATCGTCGTCGACGAAGCAGCAGCTCGAGCCTGAATGTGCGTAGAAGTGGAGACGTTGCGCGTGAGCTTTTTAGGGGTGGAGTCGTTTGACCCTAGGGCATGACAATAGATGATTTACGTTTTTCAGGCATGATGACATGAGCGTGCTATGGTTTCTTAATTTCAGAATATGTTATGACACTCGTAACGAGCATTTCGTTGATTGGCAGACCAGCCATGCGAATCAGAAAATACTTGGATGATAGCAGCGCCGAGTCATGAGAACAATTTGAATACGAGTATTCAAATACGCACTGTCCAATCATAATAGAACAATGAGAAGACCAGAATCATTCGTACCACGAACCAAGAATTCAGTAGATAAGCGACCTAGATTTGGAGTGGATAATCTCTCCGCTATCCCAGCTTCCTCTTCTTTCCAACCGTCTCAACTAAAAAATGGTAAGAACAATCAGACGCACCGTGCACGAGTATATTGATCTCATTCGCTTGTTTTAAAGGCGAAAAAAATCTGCTCACATTTTCAATATAATTTCAATGAGATAATGAGATGCGAGGACCCTGGGGATCGCATCAATTTGACGTACACAGGACTAATGCATGATTAACCTGGGACAGACATCTGTATCAGGTCTAGTACACCTCATTAGGCCCTACCTAACTAGCCCCTTCTTATTATTTTCGAGACAGATGACCACCTCCCCATCTAGGCATGTACATACGTAGTGATAACGGAATAATTTTTTCCGAGATCTCGACTTCTCTAGCTAAAAATGTACCTGCTAACCCCATTAGTAACTTCCCAGCTGAACGAATAGAATCAGAAATCTCTAAGCACGGACTGAGAGTCTAACCTCCCATGGCTCTGAGTATCCGGCCTCCTCTGGTTAAGCTTTTCAGGTAGGGTTCGACCCTTCTTTGCGTCTTCCATAATTGCATCGCGTCGTTGTTGTTGTATGTACAAAGTAGGGGATTACTTTTCCTGTCGCAGTAAGTGGACGGACGTGTACATATTAGCATTGGTCGTGGTAGTAGTGGAACGTAAAGTGGAGACGATGGTGATCGATCACCCCGTTCTTAGGGCTGCAGATTCAATCAGATCACTGGCCCCACTTTGCCGCTCTTAAACGACATTCGATCGCTTCAAGGTTTTATCTTAAACGTTGTAACTGTAGCGTTCTGATTTTGCTTTGTCAAAAAAGTTTATTGACGCAAAGAAATCTTGCAGGTTGAAGGAGGGGTTGTATGCCTCAGGCAATGAGTTAGGCGGTTGAGAAAATGCCTAACTAATCGCGGGTTGCACAGGTCGAGATCTAGATCCCACCTCGACATGCAGCTTGTACGACATTAGATTGTCGACTACTACTTCCGGCACGATTGTACTGACTCAGAACAATAACGAATAGAGTTGTGTTACATCATTTATCCCTATTCGAGGCTGAGTAAAGTAAAATCAAATGTCACCTACCATATTCAACCAAGATCCTCATGTCATATCTCTAATTAGTTAGAGAAAATGAAAAGGAAAATGAGAATCAGTGGTGACTGTCCCGAACGTCACGCAATCATGCGTTGGATTCTATCAAAATGTACCTACACTCTCGGGTCAACCTTCGTTCTGTAGTTGCTCGACCCAAGCACTTTACAAGCACGCAACCACGTACGATACAATGATAGGAAGAAAAAACAGACAAAAGTTAACCTTTTTTCACAATTTTTTTCCCCCTCGGAGCCTCTTCCATATTTACACATCAAAATTGTCAAATTTGACCCAAAAAATGTACAGTGGTAGAACATTGAAGAAAAACGGCGAAAGATTTCCAGAAAAAAGGAACAAGGTTCGGGAAAACGCAAAGAAAAAATCCCGCAAATCCAGACAATAGTAATAAGATTATTAGTAAGTTTGTATAATAACCTTTCCAAAGCGCCTCGCCGAGATCCAAAGAATAAATCAATGAGCAAGTATCTGGGTACCATTAGGTCAAATCGCCGACATTGCCTTTGAAAAAACGAGAGTAAAAAGGGAATGCAGGTATCAGAAAGCAAAATCTGACACGTTTCTCATATCATAATAAGACATAGCATAAAATAAAAAGATGGTCTGTCTAGATAGATAGACTACCTATATATTCCAGACTGAGTCAACTCGTAGTCCAATGTTTCCAGATTCATAAATTCCTCAAAGGGAGTGTTGCCCATGGGAAATTGCCATTGGTCTTCCATGTTAGTTGCAAAGTTCAAAAACTCGTTGTAGTCTGGATCTGGGTTTTCGGGTGATCCTAGCAAGGGCTGTTGCTTGAAGAGATCTGTATCATTAAATTGGACCTGCACAGGCGGTGCTACTTGTGCTGAGAACTGTGTGTTATCGCCACAGGTGTTGCTTTGAGAGGAGTTCGCAGTCATTGACGGTGGCGATAGAGCAGGGCTGGGTAAGAGACCGTTGTTCTCCCGCATGGTTGTCATGACTGGGACAGTCGCTGCTGGAGTAGTCGAGAGCTCGCTAGATGGCTCGGAGCTTGCTCGATAATTGACGGTTGCGACAGTCTGGATTGGTGTGACCATTTGTGTTGCCTGAAGCGCAAATGCATCTGGATACGACGCAAAACGCTGTCGGGGATATGGAACAGCACGTGGAGTAGCGCCTTGGGCCATAGAGGCGGACCTCATATGCATAGTTTGCATTGGGTTCATGCACTGCTGATACGTGCTGTTTCTGGGGCTGACAGATGGTGACATCAAGCCAGTGTCAATGTATTGAGGACATGTCATGGGTGTCGGCCCATAACAGCCGCTAGACGGTGTCTGTGCGAATGACGAAGTGTCAGACGAGGCAGAGGAAGAGACACCGTACATATCAAACACGGGACTCGTCGGACTTGGTACAGTAGATGAGGTTGCGGTTGGTGAGACGGGAGTCTCGGCCTGGCTGTTCATGCTATGGTTTTGTTGTTCAAAATAGCTCACAGCTGAGCCGACTGAGGAGGTGCGCATCTTCTGGATGCCACCAGTGGGGGAGATACGGGCTTGTTGCTGCTGTTGCTGCTGTCTGCTCATAGCCATCGTAGCCATGAGATGGCGATGGAACTGAGCTTCCAATTGAGTAGTGTGAGCTTTGAGGAGTGTGAGGCGTTTCTCTTGATAACGCTCATCTACTTCCTCGTACATGGCTTCTTTCTCAACTATCTCCTTGGTGATGTGGAGAGCCTTGCCAGTACGCTTCTTGTGGAGCATAGAGGCTCGATTTGCCGATTCGAGTCGTGCATCGAGGCTGCGATCTTTGCGCCGAGAGGCGGCTACGAATGCACTGCGCAAATCAGTATCGAGTTTCATCCGAAAAAAGAGGCTGGTCTCCTACCGTTCCTGGTTTTCTTCTTTAGACCGCTGCACAGGACTGGCATCAAGGTCCAAATCACCTAGAGACCCCATAGTGTAATCTTAATGGATGATGAAGGTATTCAATGTGAAGAAAGGCAGAGTGTAGTAGATATGAAGGCGAAAAGGTACGTATGAATCAATGAAAATATAAGAACAGATTTTCTCTCTGGTATACTGAATATTTAGAGATTGGAATGGAGCGCTCGGACAGTAGATATAGAGAGGGGCAGCGCAGCCAGAACCAGAAGACGGGGTAATTGAGAGCATGCAATCGAGAGGGGAGCTGATCTGGAGATAGTACGGAACACAAGGGTCCTGCTGGATTGTACGGTACTGGCTGTGGTCGAGAACCTTACGAGCTGCGGGCAGTCAACGGACTCAGAGGCAACATCGAGTCCCCAGAGGCAATCGAAGGGCCACCAAAGGCAATAAAAGGCAACAGCGGGGCTGGCGGGCAGCTGTCAGTTAACTGGCACCTGCCTGTTCGATAGGACTGCCTAGCTGCCAATCCACTGCCAACCAACCCATGGCGTGCAAGAACTTTACCCTCCGAGTGCTACTAGTCCTGTAGCGGTATCTCTAGCACGGTGGCACGATACGGATTGATTGTATAGGCAACCTTGGCTATAGGCTACCAACCAACGAGCCGAGCGATGGTTACCCGCTTTAGTTTCCATGGGACACCGCCATAGACTTGGTATACAGGGCGTGGAGTTGCAGAATACGGTAAGTCTGTTTTCTATTCAAATGTCGAAACATTACAGGAATTTATCTGGTGGTCTTCCCGAGAAGAACATCCTGTCAATGTTCCGCAGAAAGTTATGTAGAGTCCAGAGTGACTGCCTTGCAGTATATATACTTGGGTGTACAGTAGTAGCATCTCGTGATTGTGGCGTGCTACTGGTAGAGTCGCAGGCTGTAGGGTGCAGGGTGCAGGCTGTAGGCTGTATACAAAGCATCCACGGTACGGATGCTGCGGATTCTACGGAAGATGCGACGATTGACGCCCAGGCTCGACCCCCGCTCAGCGGCCTAATCTAGTCTAGTGCGTGGCAGATACGAGCCAAGCCTCCCCGCATTAGGTCTAGTTGCATGCTAGCGCAGCACTCGGACCGCGCTCAGACCACCGATAACCGCTGCCGAGCCTCTGATTGGCTCTACCGTGGTTAAGGTTTGAAGGCCTGAGGCAAGCGTGCAGACCTGTCTGGGTGCTAATGCATCTTGGCATGCACCCACAGACCTCATGAATGTCTGTGCTGCAGCCCACTAAGCCGCGACGGGGCTAGCTCGGGCTTTATCGAGTCGCTGTTCTTAGCAGTTGCCCAAGATGCCCACACATCGTCACTTGACGTTCACGGCCAGGCCCGTCTAGAACAATAGATTCACTCCAACAGACTGGCTGGAAAAGTGCTTTCACGATCTACTGCAGGGGTAAGTTGCAACAATGCTCTGCTACAGCACGTACGATCGTGGACTCCGGATGCTCTGTCCCGAGAATGGACTGCACGCTTTGAGACGAAGCTCTGACTAAGTTAACAAAGTCTCTCTGTTTGTCAATAGGAGTACTGCTAAACTATTGGATATGTATTTGGAATTGGAATCTGGCTGCAAATGGTAGGACCAATTGCCTCATTCATTGGACCCGTCTGCCAACAGTGCAGCTCAACCAGAGGATGATATTCAGCAACGCTTCACATCGCTGCGGTGGTGCTTCGGCACCAGAGTTTACTCTGCCGAGCTGGTCGGTGTTTGCTTCCAGAGATGAGAGAAGCCTCCATTGCAAGTCTGGTCGTCGCAGCCGACGCTACCCATTCTCCTATCTATTGCAGCACGTTAATTGACTTTCAGCCTCACCTTCAAGGTTCAAAGCCTTCTACAGCTAAGAAGCCTCGAATCTACCTGTATCGTGTCACCATATTGTGACTGTGTTGACACTTAAAGATTCTAATATAAACATCTAATCACAACACAAGTCCGAGCACGTCCGAGGCCGATCCTCAGACTCTTCTGGCCGCTTCCCCGGATTTTCAGCCATCTCATCCAACCATCGGCTTCGATCATGTAAGACGAATTCCTCTTGTTGCAAGAGGAACTTGGCCACACACAGACCCTGGACTATGAGACTGCACACAGTGCATGGCGAAATAACTTTCGCCACTACCTGAGCAAAATATTCTCTCCGCTTTTACTTGGCTGATGAGTTATCATGCTAGCCACTAACTAAGCCCATTCTGATCTTTTGGGTGCGCAGTGACCAACGACCCAGAGATGCGTCCCTTGGAAGTCTGGTAATCACTTCCATTGCACAGACCAAGAGCGTCGGCCGTGGCCGATGCGTGAAAATATCATAGCGAATAGGAAACAATTACTGCTTCTCGACATATGTAGCGCTGTGCTTGTCAGCATTTAGTGCTCTCTGTAATCTTTCCCCTTGACAGGTATAGAAGGGAAAGCTTCATGTTTCAACGGATGACAATACCAAAATCTCAAATATCAGAACCCGAGCCAGACGGACCCATAGTCCGTCCTCGTAGTTTGCGGGATCGCGGATAATGATTCCATTTCCCCGACTATCGAAACTAATGAATAACCGAGTCGGGAGGGACGAACGGGAGTTTCTCAATTTGTCTCTTTCTGACTCAAAATTCCTCTAATTGTCTTACCCTTTCTGTGGCTGAGCGGGTTACGGAACAGCACTTCCACGACTATATACGTACATAGCCACAACTTGCGACCACGTATGGAGCCTTAGCCGTATAGCAGGCACAGGGGTTTAGTCATCCTTCCAAGATGGGAAGCTGCTTTGCAATTCTTTTTTCCCTGATCTTGATCATCGGAGAAACCTCGCACATTCGTCGCACTGAACACATTACGGAGCCACCGTCTACGGAGTCACCGTCTACGCCGCCATGCATCCAAGATAGGAAGGCCCATTACAGTTCTTTTTATCTGATCGTGATTATCGGAGATGCCTCGCACAATCCCAGCACTGACCCCTTCCGGAGTCACCGTCTACGTGCCATCCACCCCATCTATCCCCTACCTACTGGATCTTCGCTTTACCGAGCACTAGCGGGGATATCTAACGGTGGCAAATCATCTCATGCCCGCCCAGGGGAGAAGCAAGAGATCATGCAACGGCCATCCTTGGCCATCTTGGCTTACACAACTGGATTGATATCCAGCCCTACACGTATAGACTTCTAATGTCTTGGCTCTAACAACTTATCTATACAAAGGGGGTACGTATGTCACCTCCACTCGTACGCGCGTATATAGGAAGTCTGACATAAAATCTGAGTGCGTGTAATTGGACCTCAAAATCGTTTAGAACCCAATGCCTCGAATCATACTTCTTCACGTAGTGGTTGTTTACGGAATGTTCCGCTCCTCCTTGTGCCCCAGTATCTACCTCGTACCGAGGTCAATTATCCTATTCTAGTCATGTCTTCTTCTACAGGAAGGTAAGACGAGTTTGTTCGGAAAACGGATTCCGTGCCTTCCGCATTGGGTAGTGGTTGCGAGGGAAGACATGCATGGGAGACATCTGGAGTTGATCGAACTATTATCGGAGTTTAGGGCTATCTGGTGGCAATGTATAGACAACCTTTATCAAAGAAGTAGAGACAAATTCGGATTTTTAAAATGGCACTTAGTCATAGAGTTGATATGTAATGGGGAAAAAAAGTTATTGGGAGCGTGGGAATGCGTTAGGGCTCGTACTGACAAGTTTCACGAATAGACGACACTGACTTTTCTCATATGAGCACTAGATCTAGAAGAAAAGGTATATACTTCATCTCAAAATCAAGCAGCTATGCAATTGCCTCGTAAGCATCGAAACAAGCCCGTGATCAAAAACAGAAAATGAAACAGAAAGAATCCTTTCGTATTGACATTGATATCAAATTAAAACAACCCAACAGTCAAACCAAATCAGATCCAAAAAGTAGGCTGGAATGATTGATAAAAACAGGATGGACCAACAAAACAATCGATTTTGATAGTTATGGTACCTACTTACATCACGAAATACCTAATGGCGGCACCATACCCTGTTCCTCCTTGGCCTGTCCGCCGAGTCGATACGACACTTTGAAGCGAATCTTGATGGAGTTACCTTTGCCAGCGTCCACATTCTCAATCTGCATTTCTTGCTTGACGCCGACAGACTGGAGGGGGGAGATGTCTCTGCCGGTTTGGGGGTTGAGTTTTAGATGATATGCCTATATGACTGTTTAGTATGATACATTCGTTATGGGCAAGAGAAAAGACGGCCTTACTCGCTCAACGGCAACTTGAAAGTGAAGTTCGGTCAAAGGCTGGCTACTCTTGTTCGAAAACAAAGCCATGATTTGAATCGTCCGAGGTTCGCCTGGTTTCCTTCGAGCCTCGAAATCGACGGCCAGAAGAGAATCCAGGACGCGCACGCGGTTTGTCGTTGGTAATGCACTTTCGGTCGGTAGCGCTGAAGTGAAACTCCACTCATCGTCGGCTGGGGGGGTGGCTATTCCACCAGCAGTTTTTGATGGTGAGCCGCCGCCCATTAGGTCTACGAGAGCCGAGGATGATGAAGGTTTCTGATTGGAGATCATTGGAGATGCTGATCTTGAGCTTGCGGAAATCAAAGAAGCGAATGGATCGACAGGTGGGGGAGGAGAAGTTGGCTTTGATGCTTGCGGTACAACTGGTGCCGGTGTAGATGATTGAGAAGTTGGCCGAGATCCTGAAAGAGATGAGAGAATGTCGTAGTTTCTCTGGAAGCCGCTGGCAGCTCCCTGAGCAGGCACCGATGGAACGTTGGAGGGCGCTGCAATGGGGGCATCTACATACTGTTAGCATAACCACACATACATCCTTGAGGGAATACATACCAAAACCCAGATTGACAGGACCAGGAGTAGATCTATCTGCAAAAGACAATCCAAGCAGATCGTCCTCCAAGGAGTTTGTGGCAGCTTGTTCCTGCCCATTCGAGGGGGCCGATTCCTCGGGATCAAAATCAATCAACGACAGCTCATTGTTGGCATTCTTTCCAACTCCGGTCGTTGTTCCCAGTGTCCCCTTGGGTATCCTGGCAGCACCTTCAAAGTCGCCATTTTTGACCAATTTGTATCGCTCTATAGTCCGTTGAATACTATCGTTAATCTGCTTGAGTTTCTCAACTGCCTCTGTATCCTCCGACTCTTCCTCGCACATCTTTTGAATCTTTGGGTGCGCACTTTGCAATGCATTGGCCAGTTCCTAGACACAATTAGTCATGCGCTTACACGCTTCGCTCTAATGCCATACCTCGAATACATCCCCGGCAGAAATGGTATCACCTGGCTGAATGCTCTGCAACATCTCCTCCAATATCTTAGCCTTCTGTTGGATGTAGGAAACTTCCTCGGCAGCCTTAGCCCGGTAGTCAGTCTTATTCCGTGTGTCGTATCCAGCCATGACCTTCATCAGACGATTCGCTTCCTGTAGATCCTGCGGCGTGCCTCGTCGAATGAGTTCCTGAAGTTTTGCCGATTGCGCCGCTCTCTCCTCTTCCTCCATTTCTTCCGCTGACCGGAGATTCTACTCATTGTCAGTAAGCCTGGTACCATTATCGGTTCAAGAGAGAAATGCTGACATCACTCGGATTCAAAACCGCCGCATCCTCATGCCTCACTTCCGGAAAATTATACCCCTTATACAGTAACAGACGATGCATATCCCTAATAAACCCTAGATCTTCCTTGTATCGCGAAGTTTGGCATATTGTTTGCCGCCATTCTTCAATCGATTCGAGTATCCGATGCTGTACCCGTGATGGCCGGATGGGTGGCCGTTCGGGGAACCGTCGGACCAGCTCATTGAGAAATTCCTTTGTGCTGATTTGAAGATGGAAGGGATATCCGCAGTTTTTCACGCATATATCGAGGAGCTATGTACATTAGATACTGACAGTGCGGTACATTCACTGAAGCCTAGAGCAGGCCGGGGGAACGAAGTACGCACCGCCAAAGCCAGGAGAGAGACATTCTGATTTCGGGAATTGATCAAATGGACAATCGCAATGGCAGCTTCGCGGGGTCTGAAAAGAACGCAAATGTCAGCTTCCGAGTAGTGAATATCATTAAATCGGTCGACCGTGGAGGAATGCCCCACTCACGCATTGCCTTTCTTCTGATTTATCAAATCTGCGACTTCGAGGTTCAATGCGAGATTCGGTTCGTAGTTTGTCGGTTCGCAGGCATTGTCTGTCAAGTGGCGAGTCAGCTAATAGAATCGCCGATTATTCCTGAGGGAGACCTACGTATAGCTCGTTGAAGTGGTGATAGCGACGGGTCAGCGAAAGAACCGAATCGGTCCCTCGCCGCCATACGTGCTGAAGCAGCCTCCAGCTTGGAGCTTGGAGCTTAAAGGAAATGCGAATATAAACAGAAAAAGACAAACACGCAACGGAAATGCGAGAAGGCGGGGGTCGCAGTCAGACGGATGGATTGTTGTTTAGTTAATGGACAGCTTACATCGGGTGTTTCCATGTGGTGGATCTTGGGCGGGCGGGCTGAGCTACGGTTGGCTCTGCGTCTACGTACAACATCTTTTTAATCCAACCTTTGCAACGTTACCAAACGCTCAATATACTCGTTTCACACCAGATTTTGACTGTTTTCAGTAATTCTTCAACAACACATTCGACAAAATGGTCCGACACAAAAAAGACAACTTCTCCCGCGGCGGGAAAAAGTCAGGACCACCCCGCCACCGTCCCTCGCCCCGCGGCGGCGCTGACGAGAATAACGACGATGCCTCAGAAAACGGCGCAACGAGACCAGCTTTCAAGGCCGCATGCTGGGATTTGGGGCATTGCGATCCGAAACGGTGCTCAGGAAAACGGCTGATGAATTTTGGGTTGATGAGGGAGTTGCAGATTGGACATAAGCATGCTGGGGTTGTGATTTCGTAAGTCTTTTGTTCTCTCTCTTGGAATGCGCATGGATGATCTCGCTAACGCGTTTTTGTCAAGGCCGAATGCGAAACATGTGCTTTCTCCCGCGGATAGAGATTTACTGGATCAATATGGCGCTGCGGTGGTGGAGTGTTCGTGGGTCCGCGTCAAGGAAGTCCCCTGGTCTCGTATTGGAGGAAAATGCGAGAGACTACGTACGGAGAGCCGGGACCATAGCAAACAAAACTATAGCTAACGATTCAAATAGTGCCATATCTCATCGCCGCCAATTCAGTAAACTATGGCCGCCCGTGGCGCCTAAACTGCGTCGAAGCACTGGCAGCCTGCTTCTACATCTGCGGCCACGAGGATTGGGCGGAGCAAGTACTATCACACTTCTCGTACGGCGAGGCATTCATCAAAATCAACCAACAACTCCTGAAACGATATGCGGCGTGTTCGAGTGAAGAGGATATCAAGCGCACGGAGGAGGAATGGCTGGACAAGATTGAGAGGGAGTATAATGAGAGTCGCGCGGAGAGGGAGGCGGGTGGTGCGGATGATATGTGGCATAGAGGGAACACGAATCGTTTGGAGGTTCCTGATTCTGATGACGAGGACAACGAAGACGATGATGACGAAGAGGATGGAGAAGGGGAAGCGGAAGAGGAGGAAGATAAAGATCCCTTTGCGATTTCAGATGACTCCGACGACGAAGAAGAAATGGCCGAAATCCGACGCAAGATTCTCAATTCGAAGAGCTTTCAGAATCCGACTTCACAACCACCGCCACAAGAGCAACAACCACCACCTTCGTCCAGCGCTCCACAACCTACATCGATATCGACATCATCGAAACAACTACCGATAGACTCAGACTCAGAATCCGGCTCTGCGGAGGCCAGCGACGATGACGACGAAGCATTCGATAACATCATCAACGCAACTCCGGTAACAGATCGGACGGGTATAGTCGCGGCGAAGAAGCAACGGAAGGCTAATGATTCTCTGACTGCATCGTTTTCGCGGACAGTAATATCTGCGCCGAAGAAATGGTAATCACTCCTTGAATAATGTTCCATACTACGAAATAAAAGTGAATGAACAGACTATCAGGCAGGATCTAGAACGTGATATATGCTTCCAGTCGATTATTACATAATTTTCCCTGCTAAAAAAAAAAAAAAACATAACCCTATGATCCATCCTAGCCGCAAAACCAACAAGCAAACAATGCATATCAAAACCGAGCTTCGTATGAATAAAGACAACAAGCAAAAAACGCCGGTATCATTGTAAACAACGCAAATGAGGGGCAGCAAGAATGTAGACGTAGCGATCGATCGTGCTTTTCGAATTATTTCCATGTCCAGCGGAAAGATGTGCATGGCATATTTACATGACATAGAGGAGGTTGGTATCTATATTGAAATGTTAGTATCCGAAAAGAAATAAAAAGAAAAAGGACCAGAGCCAGCAGTGGAACCAGGCAGGAAGGTTATATCGTACCAAGAGGATGACTGCAACTCAATTGCGGCTTCTGAGAATACTTTGCAGCAAGCTCATCACGAATACTGTTGAGCAACTGCACATAACTCTGCTGAGGATTCTTCTTAAGCGCATTGATAAAGGCCCAGGACATGGCTCCGGTGGCTTGACCGTTGATCGTGGCATCCTGGCTCGTCTGCTCATCTTTACTGCCAGACCACATGATAACGTCTGCCGGGCTGGTCTTGGTCTGAAGCGTCTTTTGGTATGCGCCGTCGCCCTTGGTGGCCTTTTTGATGAGGCCCATTGCCGCGGAGGCCATGCTGCCCATGTCCCCGCGTGCGTAGGACGATACGATGCTGAGAAGACCTGCGCCAGCTTCCTTGGCCAGATTGGGTTCCTTGAGCACACCCTGGGTAGAGTAGATATATGGTAGATCCAGAGCAGAGCCGGAGTGGCAGGAATCGAAGATGGCTGTTAATCTAACGCCGGGCTGGAGCGGCTTGACCATGATGCGGTGCATTTCGTCGTCGACAATGTGTCCTGCAACACGGAAATCAACCGGGTAGATAACCTCGTCGTATCCGTCATCTTCATCACCATCCAGATCGGGAGTTTGACCACCGTGACCTATCCTCGTTAGAATCACCCTTCCTGCCAAAGTGCGAGAGACATACCAGAATAATGGAAAAACAACGAATCGTTCGGCTGCGCATCCTTAACCAACCAATGCATCGCCCTCAAAATATTAGCCTTCGTCGGCTGACTCATGGGGTTCTGCTGATCATCTGTAAGAAGAACCATATCCTCTCTTGCATAACCAAAGGCCTGGTTCAGGTACGAGGACATGTTCTTTACGTCGTTGATACATCCACGCAACTGGCCCTTCTGACCAAAGTAGTTGATACCTATTAGTAGCGCTTTTCTCTTCCCGGTACACTGTGAGTAGCGAAAGTTGTAGCCTTGCGGGGCTCCTTGACCGAACGCGACAGATTCGTTTGGCGGGGGCGGGGGGTGACCGTATGCTATGTGATGTTAGCTCGACAGTACCATTCAAATGGCGATGAAAATAGAATGACATACCTTGTCTGCCATACCCGCTGCCATGGGATGGATGGGGAGAATGTGATGGAGCGCCATATCCGGGCGCCTGAGGTGGAGGTCGCTATAATTTTATCAGCACTTGTGACATTTTGACGCGCAACTCAAGTATCGCAGCGGTTAGAAGGTGGCCTACATCGTATCCACCATTGTTATAAGGCTGAGGAGATGGAGTGCCATATCCTCCATAACCGGCGTGGGCAGGCGGCGGCGTATGATGATAATGCTGCTGGCCCTGGCCGGGGTAGCCGCCATAGTTCTGTTGTGGACTACAACACGAAGTCAGTCTCACTATTGCACACACATCGTACGAAATGAAGCGTAGCGTACGGATATCCTTGTTGTGGTGGGTGCCCATAGCCATTTGGAGGGKATTGTTGCTGCGGCGGGKAACCACCACCACCTCCATACTGAGGTGGACCAGGAGGAGGGTAGTAGGACATTGCGTGTGGTGTTTTATTCAAAAGGAAAAAAAGAAGCAGTCGATTTGCGTTCGAAAGAGAGGAAGGAAGGATGAAGAAGTATTATCTGAGTAATGATAAGGTGATTGTGATGTGGTTGACTCTGATTCCTGTACGTACTATGTAGTGATGTCCGGACTCGACTAGCGCATCGGATCAGAAGGAGGAACACGCGGAGTGGGGTAGGCTCATGTATTTCATTACACAGATATACGCTACTTCTATAAGGCGTCGCTGTAATATTACAAGCCAATACACTATACCACGCCAGGAGCATCCCAGCTGAACCGACAGCGAATCACCAGCGCCAACAGGGTGAAAATCTCCAGCCTTATGTTTACTACTCTTAGTTCTGTCTGTTATAGTAGTTTGACACGACAGGTCAGTACGGAGAAGTCCGAACGAATCTCGGAAATCAATTCTGCTCTAGGCCTGGCTCTATATTACCAGAACCCGAATTTTCAATAAAAATTTTCTTCATTTGACTGCAAGACACATGAGCATAGCCACTTATCGACGGGAACCCCGAACTAGAAACTTGCACTGCAGGGGCTTGCAGACTACTTTCATTGGGCTTCTGTGTGCCATCATGGCTATGACAGTTATGACATACGTAGCTTGTAAAATTTTCCTCGTGCATTTTGAAATATGTACGTACTAGATCTGACACGACTGAGAAAAAGTCAATCGAACTACTTGTCAATCTATAATATCATTATGTATGTATTTTAGAATAAAACCACATATTACATGCAATGCATACGTTTTCTTATTCTCATACGAGCTCTCTCCTTCGTACTTTTGATGTAAATGCTTCAACCTCATCGTCTGGGCATGCCCCGTCCACGTCCGCCACCAAGAGCCCGCTGAGCTGCACCGGGTGGTAGGCCTCGTGTCGGAGCTTGGGGTTGAGCAGATTCTTCGTTTTCTATTCGCATGTTAGCAACTGTCACAAGTCGAAAGGTGCATTGGACGTACTAATAGTCTCATCAACACTCAAAATCAAACAAGCAGCCTCGACGGCAGCTTGAATAGCATTGACCTTTACAAGACTAGGCTCCCAGACAAAGGCCTCCATATTATCCCGGATTCCTTCATGATCAAAGTCCACACCAGCCCAGACGTTACCCTTTCGGTGCTCAGTGCGTAGTCGGTTCAAAATATCGGTTGCGTCAAAACCACCGTTGTCACAAAGCTGTCGAGGAATGACTTCAAGAGCCTTGGCAAAGGCTTTGACGACTGCTTGCTGTTTGTGGGGGACGTTGCGATCGGCGAAGCCGTGGAGGTATCCAGACAGTTCCATTTCGCAGGCACCACCACCAGCGACGATGGTCGGGTTGCGGATTGCTCGCTTAACGATCATGATGGCGTCATGCAGACTTCGCTCAACTTCGGCAATGAATTGTTCTGCGCCTCCACGTAGGACGAGTGTACAGGTCTTGGCTGCCGGGCAATCTGAAAAGAGGTTGAAGCGCTCGCCGCCGATTTGTCGCTCTTCAAAGGCACCGCATGTTCCGAGATGGCGCTCCTGGATGTCGGAACAAGTAGACTGTACGGAAGCACCGGTTGCCTGGCAGACACGCTCCATATCTTCTGAAGCAACACGGCCAGCACAGAATATATCACGGTCGGCAAAGTACCTATAATCATCAGCAACTTAGCTTCCTCTACCAAAATGGACGTAGACATACTGTGTAGCCAGATCACCAATAGGCAACTTGCTCAGTACAACCTCGGCTCCAGTCTTGTAAAGAGCCTCCAACTTATTGTAGATAATCTGCCACTCTGCATCCACAATAGCCTGGTATTCAGAGACCTGTTCCACTCGCACCTCTGCATTGTCCTTTTCACTCTTCAGTTCCAATTCGACATTCAGACAAACAATCTTGGGGTTCTTGAAGTGTTTGGGTTGCTGCTCGAAACCGGCGTATGAAAAGGTCTTTTTGAAAGCGACACCGTCGACAAAGAGCGAATCTTGGAGAGCACCGCCGTGGACTTTTTTCATGCCGATGAGTTTCTCGTTGAGGTCATCTTGGTCGAGGGACAGGACGGCGTCGACGACCACTATAAATCAGTGTTAGATTGCTCGATATAACCCTGGAGACTGTACTTACTCTTGGTAAAAAATTCCGAGTTCCTCTTAATCAATTTACTGTTCATCGCCGTACCTGCAAGGCGTCTCAAAGTCTCAATCTTCTTCTCCTCGCTGCCGGAAGCTTCCAACATATCGATCGAAATCTCCTTGATTTTGTTGACTGCCATGGCCCCGGCTCGTCGAAGACCCTTGATGATTGTCTGCGTACTGACGCCTTGCTCAACAGAGTCCCGAACTTCCTTGAGAATTTCTCCGGCCAAAACAACGACCGAGGTTGTTCCGTCGCCAACTTCGGCGTCTTGCGAGCGGGCAATATCGGTGAGGATACGGGCTGCGGGGTGGACGATGTCCAGTAACTGACAAGTAGAGCTTAGTGTTCGGTGTAATAAGCTAGTAACGGGATAGAAGTACCTTCATTACAGTTGCGCCATCATTTGTGATGGTCTGCTTGCCGTTGGAGTCGACAAGCAGCAAATCACCTCCGTATGGACCAAGAGTGCTCTTGATGGTCGACTGCACCGCAACGCAAGCATTGATATTCGAAATGATTTGACCTTTTCCTTGTGAAGCATCCGTCCCTGCAAAGTACAAGCCGAGTTTAGTCTTGGATAATCGTCAAAGAAATATAGGTCACACACCCTCTTTCAACACAATAATTGTGGGTGTTTGGCCGGCAAAGGCCATGGTTTGTGCGTTGGAGGATTATAAGAATAGTACTGCAAAAAGTTCAACGAATTTCAAAAATGGAACAATAAAGTGTCGATGGTACACAAGACGACTCGTTCGTAAGTCTTTCCCTCTTGTTGATTCAACGCGGGGTTGCTTTTTAATTCGTCTCGCCGGAGGATGCTCACCAAAATTCTGATGGAGCTCCGCGGGCGGTCGGCAGCCACCCAATCACAGGAGAGTTTTTCCACCCCTTTTAACGGCCTGTCAATAATGACTTGTGCAGCTAGCAAGCTAGAATATATGGAAATATCAAAGATGGTAACGCTATATGGGTTAAATGTTCTATGTACATCCCGAAACTCCTTCAAAGCACCGTTCATGTCAACCAACATCGATCTCAAGTGAAATCAAGCTCGTCATCAGATCGATCCACATATCTAGACAACATTTCCTGTTCATGTTGCGAGTCTGTCAACTGTGTATTCACCAAATTCAAGGCATCCCCCTGCAACGCCTCCGCCTCGGAATCATCCGTAACCATAGATTGATATTCATTGTGGTGATGAGCCCTGAGCTCGTCCTCAAACACCGCATGAGGCAAACCATGGCTTTGATCGTATCCCGTGGACATACTGTGATGATGCTGGAAGCGGGAGAGATGACTGTTCATATCAATCATTTGCGGATCGAGGGGTAGATGCGTATAGTCGGGTAAGCTGTCATCTGCCATTGTATGTACTTCGGTCGTATGCGTTGATGTGAAGGGACTGGCGTGGACGTGGGTTGCATCTGCCATCAGATGCTCCGTATGTGAGATCAGACTGTTCGTAACAGCAGTCTCAATCTCACTGATAGGCTTGATACTGGGAGGTTCCGAAGTTCTTCCGCCATTCAATACAGGAGGAGCTTTGGAAGCCTCCTTGCACTTAGGACAGTCGCGAATAACTCGACTAACTGTCTCCTTGATGCGGACCCAGTGGTATTTCAATGCCACCGTAGCCGTAGTCTTGTTAATGCCACCATGTTGTTCCAAATGAACCTCCCGAGCTATTTCGTACTGCTGCTGAGGATCGGAGACAACCTCTTTATCCTTGAGCATCAGCCTTTCTGGCTCTCCATCTTCGCCGCCAATGAGCTTATAGTGCGTTGCTGCGCTCCTCAAGCGACTCTTTTCGGCACGGTCTGCTCCTCGGGGGTATTTGGCATGTTTCAAGTAATAACGAATCTTATCGAACCTCTCTTGGGTGATGGATTCGTCACCCTCGAGGCTGAGATCACGTCCATAGATAATGCCGTCCACTAATTGACCTGGGTAAGACTTTAAATGGCCAGCACCCGGGACCCTGCCGATACGCTTAAATCCCAACGAATCCCACATGCGACAGGAAGCGATGTTACTCTCGTACACGAGATTGAACACGCAATATGTGTAGCCCTGTAGAATTTTTAATGAGCAATGATCTCCAGCCAGAAGCAGGACGCTTACCAGTCTCGGCGCCCATTCAAGAAAACCCTCTCCCATCAACTTACCCACACCCTTGTTACGGGAGGCATCCGTGACTAAAAACATACCGTTGCACACATGACTGCTACGACCCGGGTAATTCGGTCTAATATTGAAGCTTCCCAGACACACTTTTGTCCAGTCGGTGCCACTGTGTTCCATAAGCTGGACATCATGTACGTCTTGAATATCGCCCAAGAGCATAACAGCGCCAATATTGGCAAACCACCACGGCGCGAACTTTTCAAGCGGGATCGGGTCAATCATGGTATATGTATCGCCCTTTTCGATCTCCTTGTTCAATTGGTCAGAGAGATACCCCAATAGACCGTGGGGGACTTGAGCCACCGAGATGAATGGCACCAGCGTTGCGACGGTCACCCGATCCCTAAGAGTGAATTGTCGAGGACATATTGTCCCTGCATATTCTTGCGGATTCGGGATCACCTCCGATCCTATATCTTCATGGACGCCGGGCATGGCTCCTCMCCCTCGCGACACAAGTCACGGGACTATATAGACCTGCCGTGTTAGTCGCGGTATCCAGACTCTAAAGTACGGTGTGCGAGGCATGGGGGCCATTCTTCAGCTATCAGCAGAATAGCAGTGAATACAATTGCAAGAAACAGGGAATACATGCACACAGAAACAAATAGCAGCAAAGGAACATTACCAGGATGGCAGAACCAAGCGTGTAGTTAGGGCTTCGGCTCAAGGGAATTTGGATTGTCTGATCGTTGCAGCACTTCCAAGAACGCTCCGTAGTCTGCAGTCCGGAACAATCTGAACGCGCGGGAGAAAATATCGTACCGCTGTCACGTGGTGCACTGCTACACTGTATTGGGTTAGCTCGACACCCACCACCTCAGGCCAACATCTTTGCCGTCTCCTGGCAGCTAGTCCATTTACAGTATAACGCCGTTGTCGCTCTTTAGTCCCCCTTTTCCTTGGGTTGGCCATTCGTCTTCTTTAGGACAGCCTCAAATTTGAGCTCGGAACTTAGAGCTGACCTATTGAGCTACTCATGCGATATGAGGTAGCCCAAAAGTCTCGCTGCCAGATGGTTGTCTACGTGGTATATCCTACACCACCGAATGGCGGAACTCCGCCATCTAGGCAGTGTATCGAGATCCACCGCATATCACTTTTGCTTTGCTTGAGCGGGGATGGTTGGAGCCCAAATGGATCGGCATTCAGCTATATGTGCCCATGTTGATACATTATAGCTAAAAATTTCCTAGAATTGTGAGGCAGCCTCCGAAGCTATAGACTCTTCAACAAGCAAAGATGGAACCAACGCGACCACAATTCTATCCCAATACGCTGCAGCCATCGGAAATCAGCAAGGCGAGTCTGGAAAGCATGCTACAAGAGCTACAACTAGCCATCAAAACCAGTGTAGACATTATTGCAAAGAACTGTCAACGTCTAACAGATGCCAGCACCTACGGCAACATCTACAGCGGAACACCAGGAATCGTTCTTTCGCTTTTACGACTAGAACGCCAGAGATTATCCATTCAACAACAAACAGATCAAGATTACTTTCAAATAGCGTCCGACTTGATCATACAGACGCCGACAGATATCGAACTTGTCGATGGCCGTCTATCCGCCTTGGCCTCGAATGTAGGGCCGTCATTCATGCGAGTCTTAGCTTATTGCGAACAACTCAATTTGCGACCAGAGGCAGACCTGACTCCAGATCCAGAAGATTTCAGGCTCTTTACTCAAGCGGTTGAAAGAGCGACTCTTCACGGTCCAGTTTATACTTTCAAGGGCTTTAGACTGGGTGGTGACGAGCTCATCTTCGGTCGAGCAGGGTTGCTATGGGCTTTACTTACACTGAAGAAGCATGTGACTGGGACATCTGGACCTATTACAGCACATTTAGACACAGCTTCACAGAGCATTCCCAAACTTGTCGATGCGATTATCGCAGGAGGTAAGCAAGGCTCCCAGGACTTTGTCAAGCTATACGGTTCCAGAGACGCTCTACCTCTCATGTGGCAATGGATGGAGGGATACTACGCACTCGGCGCCATGCATGGCGCAACCGGGATCCTCACGATGCTACTCTCGTGCGATCTCTCAGATGAACAGCAACAAGACATCGCAGACACAGTCACCAGTCTTTGCAAAATTTGTATAGGCAAAGAGGGGCATTTCCCCATGTCTATTCCAGATCGTCCCGATGCGGCGACGAGATCTTCACCTTTTGTGCAGTTGTGTCACGGTCCGCCTGGTTTGCTTGTTTTGTTGGGCATGATCTATGAGAAGGCTTCATTTATGGAGCGGTTCTGGAGGCCGGAATGGGATCGTGCTATTCGTCTAGGCACGGAGAAGATTTGGGAAGAGGGGTTATTATCGAAGGGTGGAAATGTATGTCATGGGTTGACAGGGAATGCATGGTCTTTGCTACCTTTGCATAATGCATATGAGTACCATGGGCACTCTCTGCAAGCAGCAAAAAACAAGAGAATGGCAGAACTTGCAAAGTCTGGAATTATCAGCGAGACAGAAAGGAACGAAGGGCTAAACGGAGACTATTTCCTGTCTCGTGCACTACCATTCATGATGCTCGCCCGCGAATCGCCTCCTTACAGCCAGGAAGTTGACTTGAAGACAGCTTTTGACTTTCGCACACCAGATCGACCATACAGTTTCGGGGAGGGTCTAGCGGGACAAATAAGTGCATGGGCAGAGACATGTGCCGTCATTAAGGCTCGTTTGCGGAAGATGGAGKTAATGTCAGGCGATGTGCCTTATGAGAGAGACGAGTCCCTCAGAGAGTCGTTGACGGAACAACTTGGTTTCTTTGGTTTGGCTGTTAATGGACCGAAGACTATTTAGTCGGTGTGACTAGGTTAGGGCTAGTGTGAAGTCTCGAAGGGTAAAAAAAATATCAAATTACATGTACATATTTGCTAGTTCGTAAACACTGATGATCCCATCCATCATTACATTCATAACATCGTACAATCAAACATGAGACGATATATCCCACAACGCCACGCCTTTACCCTCGCCATCCCTAGCCCATTTCCCAGCAAATCTATCTCTTGTAACATCTACTAAGTCAACGCAAACCCAGTGCGATACGTCGGCAACCCGCCAGCAGTCCTCTTCACAAATTCAACCTTCTTCGGGAAAAAATTCGCTCGTGGGACCTGCACCACCGGCAGCTTCGTATCCATTTTTGTCGTTTGATGATGATGACACTTTTCTTGTCCGGCATGAGTGACTCTGCCACACGTATCACATTTCGTAAACTGATCATCATCGTCCGCACTTTTGGTCGTTCGATGAGCCTCTATTCTCGTCGCGGCTGCGGTTCGATTACTCGGTTTCGGCTCCGATTTGCTTCGCGCTCTGGTCTTGCGTTCTTGTTCTTCACGCATTTGCCGTACGACGAATTCATTGATTTCTTCCTGGCTTGGTCGTTTGCTATGTCTTTTGAATTGTGTAGCTGGTTCTGAACGTTGGGGATTATTGCTGTTATGGGTGTGGCGCATTTGCCGAATAACAAATGAATTAATCTCCTCTTGCGTGTAGTTCTGCAACCGACCCGTATTGTTTTCAGCGTGCTTCGCCCTCGTCCTCGACCTCCCCTTTATATCTCGCTCGTGCTGTATAGCTAACTCCGCCAGTTCCGAAAAGGACATAGTCTTGCTCGAATCGGAGACGTTTACCCGCTGATTGCGAAGCATATTCCGCGCCCAATCGTTCCATTTCGGATGCGCTTGGAGCTTTGACAGAAATAACAAATTGATGTGGAAGTCGGAGACGGAAAAGGTTGGATCGATGCGACTGAGACCTTCGCGGATGGCTTGTATAAGGGCGATGAATTCGGCGATGTTGGTGAAGGATTGGGCGTCGAGGTCGAGGAATTCGCTAAGGTAGTGCATTACACGGATGGATTTTTGGGAGGTTTCCATCGTAGCGAAGAGAGATGCGGATGATGTTGAGTGCTATTATAGTGTCTGTCAGGTCAACTGAGAATAATAGGTGATTGGCATGGTTGTTAAAAGGATATTAAAGGCAGCTGAGTCTAGCTGTTTACGGTCCTGACGTACCTCTGCCGTTGACGTCACTGGCTAAAGTATATTCAGACCATTCTGTCATATCGAGTGCATCTCTTATCAAAGTAAACTCAACGACAGTGTCTTAGGCGACATACTATGTATAAATTCTATATGGGAAGTCAAATTGTTTTGGGACGTTGAATATGGGAAGACACTAATCAAGCTCTATTGATGTGCGTACTTTTTGCATGGCATAGATTCGCGCAAAGAGCTACCCGCTTTTATTATGCCGCTCGAGCAATGTTATCATGAAATAAGTCAGCAAATAAACAAAAAGATAAATCCAGACAGGCAAATGCTAACAAACATCAAATGAAGCTTTACCTGTTCCTGTCAAAACGTTCCAATGGATGCTTCTGTGTGTTTTCGTCCTGGCACTCTCATTGGCCAATCTATGAAGCAAGCGCTCCGCTGACCAAGTGACGTCACGGGGTCTACTGAGGCTGAGGCCGAGCAGACAACTCACCCACCTCCATCGCCTCTTGGTTGCGGATACCCTCGTCTAGTCTCTGCGACGACCCAATTACTGTTCAGAGATGCTTCATTAATGCAGCTACTCATGTAGACTGCTGCACAAAGACGTATTCCGCGCCGGGCGTCCGTTCGTTCGTGGAGCGCTCCTAAATATTATGATTTTCGATCTGCTGCGGGACCTACCTAGGTATATAAGATCCACAACACATCGGTTTGTACAGTATGGACGCCATACCTCCTTCATACGAGCATGCCATCATGAAAGATGCTCTGGCCATAATAGCAGATTACATCCCCTCGGCCGATCTGTGCTCAGCCTCGCTGGTGAGTCGACGATGGCATGCAATATTCAATCCACATCTTTGGGGTGACCCAGCATCACATTTCGGCACCCAGAATGATGCCGTTTACGTTGCGTTGACCCGGTTCAAACGAACCCTACCGCATGCACGACCTGAAGTTCGCAATTTGACTCATACACTGCACCTACCGCCGGCGTTGTCCGAGATATATGGTGGACCACGCGCGCCGTGGCTCAAAGATCTACTGGACTATCTGCCCCGTCTGCAGTCTTTGATAGTATCAAAACTGCCCTTTTTTGATCATAATGCGACTATCAGTCTCAAGGTTCCTTCAGACCCCGAACAGACACAAGCCTATCGTCCATACAACCTTCGATTACTTCTAGCGGAAGGAGAGCCGAACACGACATCCATTGGAATTGCGACTGCTCTTTCTCGGTTTCCTGCATTGGTGTATTTGGATTTGTCCCGCACATCACCTGCTAGAGACAGGCTTGTGTTATCTGTTCTGAGCGAGCTACCAGACTTGCGAGTATTAAAACTACGAGGAATAGGCTTGAAAGATACTGATGCCGAGTTTTTGGCAAATGCAATCGGGACTCGCGTTCGATTACTAGATCTCCGGAACAATGTGCTGACAGATAGGAGCGTGAGGTCACTCCTGCAGGCTTGCTTCGCGCCGAAAGGGACAACTGAGGCGACTAGCAATGCGGACGAATACCACCCGACCCATGCTCCAGTCTTGCTGCAAAATCCTGGCCTGGACATAGACTTTCTCGATCTTCTCACACGCCCTCTTACAGGTCGTTCTATATTCGAGAATTTGCCAAAGTCTGGAATTACTCATCTGTATATCTCGGACAATCGGCTCACAGTCGAAGGTGTTGCGGCTTTGCTCGCGTCCAAGAGACTCCATCTTCTTGACGCTGGGAGTGTAGACACTGCTCAGACTCTGAAAGATGACCAGCCTCTCCTTTCTCCACCTGGTACCAAAACTGATTTCAATACAGTACCAGGAGCCGAGAAGCTAGTCCCTATACTTGGTGCATACGCCAAAGACGGATTGACATACCTCAGAGTGAACCATGCAATCGTTACCAAAGATGCTCCAGCCACGAGCGAGGCTTCTATAACCGAGCTCCTACCTGAGTTGCCGGCTGAGGAGTCGAACATTCATCACTATCACGCTGAGCTGGATACCGCACACGAGATATACGAAATGCCTGCTGAAGATGTCCCTTTATTTGAATTGGAAGACACTTCGATACCATCTTCTTCATTAACTCGTCCCGAGTTAGTAGCTAAAAGTAATCAATACCCCGATGAACCTTTGCTTCCGCGCCGTGGCTCAGCTTTTGCTGCTGAAGTGGCAATCCCCGAGCTCCCTGCGGATGAAGATTTGCTGGAAGATTATCACACCCGAAATGAAGGAGGTAGTATATCAACCCAACGCAGCCGAAAAATCAAAGAGCTTCTAGCTAAACGGCCAAAGACTGAAGTACTGACCCTACGGCATGGAAAGAATCGCACAACGTTTCCCTACCTGCATCCATCTCATATTCGCCATGTCCAGACCCTAATACTCACCGATGTGCCCTCTCACGTCTCATCGAGCTCCCCTATTCTATCTTCACTGACCCGCTTCATAACCGCATGTTCAGATGAAATGCTCCTCGCAAAGCTCCAAGCACGAGCAGACTACTCCTTCCCGCCAGGCCGCGACCGCGCAAAGGCTGAGCAACAACACGCCAGATCTTTGTTTGCGCTTGAATGTCTAGTTCTGGAGATAACACCATCAGTGAAAAGAAACGTAGATCCCCCGAGAGCTCTAAGTCCCTGGAAACCACATCAAAATGGCCAAATCAGCTGGAAGTCGACGACAGGGGATTCTGATTCTGAGCGTCTCTGGTCCGCTGCCACAAACGACTTTAGCTTCTTTGGGAACGAGGAGTGCGGAGTTCCTGAGCCGCATGAGGAAATTGCGACAAACATACTAAATGAAAGGGTCCGTCTCGTCTCTGACGATGACTCGATTCACTCCGGCGTCTCGGAGCTAGAAGGCTCAGACTCCTCGAATCTCAGGCGACAGCAGCCGATACCTCGATCCTCAGTCCAAGACGAGCCTGAGATCGACCTCGTCTCTGCATTGGCATCGTTCAGACGGACTAAGAAGAAAGAATTCGAGGACCTCAAGCAGGCTAGTCGTCGCCATTCTACCTCGGCGTCCTCGCCTTGCCCGTCACCATTTGATAGTCAACCTGCGCATTATGCTCTTCCGTTACATACAGAAGGATATTGGCCGGGGGAAGTAAAAGTGATACGTAACCCGACGCCTAAAGGGAGGAGCGGAGTGGTTGATATCTATGGAAATTATTTTGAGAAGGGGTATTTGTATCCATAACGTCATTAACGTATAACGAGAACTGAAGTCTTTCTGAATTATTACCGTCAAGGAAATACGTAATGATTGGAGTCAATCTTGATAGATATATCGAGAAGTTTAAAGTTTACTTCTCGATGGACTAGAATCCCATCTTTTTGTTATGTTGGATAAAAGGGAAAATCATTGTCAAGACATTCAGAGGTCTAGAAGAATTGATATTTTGTAGCTCCCTTCTAATAGAATCCTCCTCTCGGAAGAGACCGAAAATCACTTCAATCTCTCCGACACATTCACTCACACTCTCGCGCTGCCGGACTCCCTCTTTTCATTTTTTTGTTCAAAAGAAAAAATATCCGTCACATTTCCCAGTTCATCATGATGGTAAAATAATAAAAAAGCCGTTTTTAAGGAAAATGCAAACAAACAAAAGAGAACAATACAACTTTCATTGGAGTATATCCCTTTCTAAGTTCATTTAGGCGGTCTTAGCGGCTTGCTGGGGGKTCAATTTCTTGCCATCCTTGTTGTAGCGAATACGAGGAGGGGGGGCGCGGTTGCGGCGACCTTCGCGGGAACGAACACTATCCATTTCTGTTAGCTTTTTGTGGTTTCCGATGTTGTGTGTATATTTCGAGGCCCGGTGTATCTTGCGGGCACATCGCTGGGTCAGACGTACCGGACAATCTTGCCGTGGATGGCGCAGGAGACGCAGTACTGGAGCTTCAAGTACATCTTGGGGACGGCGTAGTCGGTGAAGACGGAAGCATCAGAGATATCACCTGAAGAAACCACATGTTAGCCACAATTCCTCCAAGTAGAACTCTAACGGTATGGCGATCTGTGGAATGCCCAGCTCTTTCATGTCGTGTAAATTTGATATTGATCGGTTTCTTTCGACATATATTTCGAATACCCCATTCCAGCAGATTTCATAGCGTATCGAGGGAGAATGATAGACGTACGGATAGCGGCGGACTCGACCATGTTGCGGATGGTGAATCTCTTGATGGCCTTGTCCTTGGGAGTGCATCGCGAGCAGTTGGAGCATCGGATGGGCTTGACGTGACCACGGCCCTTCTTGTTACGTCCGCTATAGAGAGAGAACTCGCATTAGTACATTTCGACCAGGTTCGATGTGTGCGTATCCCAAAGCATGCAATATATTGTCGACTCGAGATCCGCAATTGACGAAACAAAAATGGTGCATGCTTACTTGGACGCTCTCTTCTTGACCATTTTGACTTCTGGATGGGCGACCGGGTCGAACAGTAACTTGGAAGTTGTTCTGCAAAGAGGTGGTTGTCGCGGAACTTCCAAATTGTCGATTGTCGGTGTTGGCGGGTTAGTCGATAAGCCAGCCCTCTGCAGTGGCTGCCCCGTGTGTGGGAGCTAAGCGAGGGCAGTCACGGGATCTACTCTGGTTCCTGAGGCAGCAAGGCAGCAAGGCATCCTTTCAGGAGCTTCTGCAATAGTGGGGCAGTGACGGCGCCGAACTGATCTAACCCTAGAGTAGCCAAGCGCATTCTGTACTCATTGGAACCCCGTGCCCTCCCGACCCACGGCTTCCTCCAGGGATTGTTTATCCTTCTTCCGTGTGAAACATGCAACGCTTGCCAACACTGTCTTTGTTATAATTTCGTTCTTCCGACATATATAATCCTAACTAACCCTCTACGGGCCATTAGCCTCGCCTCCGACAACATGTCTGCCACTGGCACGTTTCGAGGTACTCCGAACAAGACCATTGGTCGAGGCAAAATGCCCGACTTCGACATCAACAACAGTCCGTCGTCTGCCTCTCATATTCCTCGTCCCAAACCTGACTCGGCAGTAGGTCAAAGCGATGTAGGAAGCTCTGCTACTGCTGCCAGTAGGCAGAGACAGAATCAGTCTAAGCGGGATGAGGTTCGTCTATTGAGGCTGTTTGCTACATTATGACATAAAGATTGTACCCTAACAGTTTTATGACAGGCCATTCGCAGAAAAATGGAGGCGGACCTCAACAAAAAGCGTCACCATGTGCAACGCCCTCGTCATAATCGCAAAGCTCCCCCCGGAACCGTCTTGGCTCTGAAGCCCAGTCAGGCTCTGCAGATCAAGCCCAACACCACCGTGGCCGAGGCCGCACAGTTGATGGCCGCCAAACGAGAAGACTGTGTTTTGGTTACTGATGACGATGAACGCATTGCTGGTATTTTCACCGCCAAGGATCTTGCTTTTCGTGTCGTTGGAGCTGGCTTGAAGGCTAGGGAGGTCACCATTGCGGAGATCATGACCAAGAACCCTCTATGCGCTCGCACTGATACCAGTGCCACCGATGCTCTTGACCTGATGGTCCGCAAGGGTTTCCGTCATCTTCCTGTCATGGATGAGAACCAAGACATCTCCGGTATTCTCGATATTACCAAATGTTTCTACGACGCCATGGAGAAGCTCGAACGTGCATACAGCTCGTCCCGTAAGCTCTACGATGCATTGGAAGGTGTTCAATCAGAGCTCGGATCCAGTCAGCCCCAGCAAATCATTCAATATGTCGAAGCTCTACGTCAAAAAATGTCCGGTCCCACCCTCGAGTCGGTCTTGGATGGTATGCCACCGACTACCGTGTCGGTGCGAACCTCAGTCAAGGAGGCTGCTGCTTTGATGAAGGAGCATCATACCACCGCTCTTCTTGTCCAAGACCAGGGCTCGATTACTGGTATCTTCACTAGCAAGGATGTGGTTCTGCGTGTCATCGCTCCTGGCCTCGACCCTGCGACTTGCAGTGTCGTCCGTGTGATGACTCCTCACCCTGACTTTGCGCCAACCGATATGAGCATTCAGGCTGCTCTACGCAAGATGCACGGTACGTTCTTTGATTATTGATCTATTCGATAACGATTGCTGATTGTAGGACAGACGGACACTATCTTAMCCTGCCGGTCATGAATGAGGCTGGTGAAATTGTCGGCATGGTTGATGTGCTCAAATTGACATACGCCACACTCGAGCAGGTTTGTTTGATATCACATGGTTTTGCACAATAAGTACTGATGTTGTCTAGATCAACTCCATGAACACCGGTGATGATGAGGGCCCTGCTTGGAACAAGTTCTGGCTGTCCATGGACCATGAATCCGACTCTATGGTCTCTGGCGGGGGCAGTCATCGCCCACACACCCCTCATCGATCTGTCCTCAGCCCGGACCCAACCAAGCCTGGCTTTGATCGCGGCGACAGTGTTTTGCCCAACGAGTCAGCTTCGCACCATGGCGATGACATGCATTCGGAAATTCTTGAACAACACGTCGACGATGTCAACACGCCCTTCGCATTCAAGTTCAAGGCGCCTAGCGGCCGCGTGCACCGTGTGAATGTTGTTCTGTCAGAGGGTGTCTCTGCGCTTGTTGCGAGCGTTGTTGCTAAATTGGGCCAAGAAACCGAAGCTGTTGGTGGTGAACCATCAGTCGAGGATGGAAAGCTCAGTAGCACTGGATTTGCTTTGAGCTATCTTGACAACGAGGGAGACACCGTTTCCATCACCACCGACCAGGACCTGTCAGACGCTGTTCACCAGGCACGAAAACTTCATCATGAGAAGGTTGACCTGTTTGTTCACGACCCTTCTCAGCCMCCTATCCCTGCCACTGTCGAACCTCAGCCTGCTCTCTCGAAACCTCCTACACCTCCCGAGTCTGTCCTCAAAGAGCGCGCCCCCAAACACATTGAAGAAGACGAAGAGGAGGAAGACTTCAGCCGATCGACTAGGGCAACTAAGCATGCCGTTCCTCAACAACGCTTGCCCGAGGAGCAGCTTATTGCTGGAGTACCCAACGATCTTTTGTTGCCTGGTGCTATTGTCACACTTGCCGCAGTGATTGCCGGTGTCTTCATACTCAGCCGACCAAGTGGTAGATAATCTCGTTGTGCATTCCCTCCTCAAGTCGAGGACCGTATAGATATCCTTGTTGTTTTAAGGACTGTTTGTTCTCATTGTTTTGTAGCCTTAATTAATATCGCATCTCTATTTCTTATCATTGTCACATTCTCACATTGTCAGCAGTCACGCAGTTTAATTGTGAATAGATCGAATAAATGCACATAACGAATATTCAGGCCAGCTCCTACAAAGAGTAATACATGGACATGTAGTGAACTACAAAAGTCACAGGGTAGACAAATTATGCCCGATAAGCGTTAGCGCGGAACGCATCGCGTGTATTGTGTTGTGCTGGCTCCTCCGAGGCGGGCGGAATTTCATTCATTCATCCCACTTCATACAAACTGATCTCTCACCTCTCACTCATCTCTCCGCCTCCTGTTTGAGTCACGACAAAGACAGGTTGTCTTTTGCGCTGGGATGCAGACACTGCATCTAAGCTACTCGAAATATTTACACACTTATTGATCTTCCAGTCTAAGTGCTTTCGATATACCCATCTCACCTCGACAGAAAAAAAATAAATTCAAGGGTCAAAAAGTACGCAAAAAAGTTCCCGCTTTTCAATAACAAAAACATCCAAAGCGTACAACGCCCGCCGCAACGGGCGCGACTTCATCCCAATTGTTTTTACTTTATTGTTTCGTTTGTCGTTTGTGTACTATACTTCTCGAATCTAACTGGTGGTATAGCTCGTCAGGATGTCCTTACTCGCGCCCGAAATTCACTCCGCCCTTTCGCAGCTTCTGCAGGCTTTGGCCACCCCCGACAATACCATCCGATCGCAGGCAGAAGATCAGCTCAACAATGACTGGGTTCAGAACCGTCCGGATGTGCTTCTTATGGGATTGGCCGAACAGCTGCAGGGAGCAGAAGTCGCGGCTGTAAGTGAAGTTTCACTCGAATTTTGAGGCTGCATCTGACCTCGGTTTTCTACAGACACGATCGTTCGCCGCGGTTCTTTTTCGACGAATAGCTACCAAAAACACCAAAGACCCGCGCACGGGTGACACCAAGGAGTGTTTCTCGAATTTGAGCCCTGAGCAGCGCGTTGCTATCCGTGAGAAGCTTGTTGGTTGCCTCAGCAGCGAGCAGCTGCCCGACGTGAGGAATAAGATTGGCGATGCTATTGCTGAGATCGCCCGTCAATACACAGATAATGGTGCGTTGCATGCCTTTTTGGCAGGTCGTACAACAGCTAACAAAAGGATAGGCGACTCGTGGCCGGAGCTTCTTGGAGTATTGTTCCAAGCTAGCCAGTCTCCCGAATCAGGTTTGCGCGAAGCTGCATTCCGAATCTTTACTACCACACCTAGTATCATCGAGAAACAACATCAAGAGGCAGTTTTGAGTGTTTTCAGCAGGGGTTTCAAAGATGACCACGTTTCAGTACGTCGCCCGCTTCCATCTCTAGAGTGCGAGACTAACGTGTCTAGGTGCGACTTGCTGCAATGGAAGCTTTCTCTGCCCTCTTCCGCTCTATACCGAAGAAACAGCATGCAGGTTTCTTCAGCCTTGCTCCGGATCTTTTGAACATCCTTCCCCCTCTCAAGGAATCCGAGGAGGACGAAGAACTTTCCAAGGCTTTCATCTCCCTTGTCGAATTAGCCGAGTACTCTCCCAAGATGTTCAAGAATCTTTTCAACAACCTTGTGAAATTTAGCATAAGCGTCATCGCAGAGAAGGATCTTAGCGACCAAGTCAGACAAAATGCGCTCGAACTTTTAGCCACGTTCGCCGAATACTCCCCGAATATGTGCAAAAAGGACCCAACTTATGCTACAGAGATGGTTACCCAATGTCTTAGTCTAATGACAGACGTTGGTGCTGATGATGACGACGCGCAGGAATGGGGTACTACTGAAGATGTGAGTTTCGGAATTTGCTGTTCTTGAATTTAATTAATGAGTAATGTGACAGCTCGAGCTCGAGGAAAGTGACTTGAACCACGTTGCTGGTGAGCAGACTATGGATCGATTGGCAAACAAGCTTGGTGGAGATATTATCCTTCCTGCTACTTTCGCTTGGATCCCACGTATGATGTCGTCTTCCGCTTGGAGAGATCGACATGCCGCTCTTATGGCCATCTCTGCTATTTCCGAGGGCTGCCGTGATCTAATGATCAGTGAACTGGACCATGTTCTCGCTCTTGTCGTGCCCGCCCTTCAGGACCCTCACCCACGTGTCAGGTATGCAGGATGCAACGCTCTTGGTCAGATGAGTACCGATTTTGCCGGGATCATGCAGGAGAAATACCATGCTGTGGTGTTGAACAACATCATTCCTGTTCTCGATTCTACAGAACCTCGTGTGCAGGCCCATGCTGCCGCTGCTTTGGTCAACTTCTGCGAAGAGGCCGAAAAGAGCATTCTTGAGCCATATCTCGGAGACCTACTTCAACACTTGCTCCAGCTTTTGCGAACCGACAAGCGATTCGTTCAGGAACAAGCTCTTTCTACCATCGCCACCATCGCAGATTCAGCAGAGGCAGCCTTTACTCAGTACTATGAAACATTGATGCCGTTGCTTTTCAAGGTTCTTCAGGAGGAGCAGTCTAAGGAGTACCGCTTGTTACGTGCTAAGGCCATGGAGTGTGCTACTTTGATCGCTTTGGCTGTCGGAAAGGAGAAGATGGGACAGGACGCAATCAACTTGGTCAATCTTCTTGGAGCGATTCAACAGAACATTACAGACTCCGACGATCCTCAATCACAATACTTGCTTCACTGCTGGGGTCGTATGTGCCGTGTCCTTGGTCAAGACTTTGTACCTTTCCAGGGTGCTGTTGTTCCACCTCTTCTTACACTTGCTGCCGCCAAGGCCGATATTCAGTTGTTGGAAGATGACGAACAGGCCGAAATGGTTGAGCAGGATGAAGGATGGGAGCTCATTCCATTGAAGGGCAAACTTATTGGTATCAGGACGAGTCTTCTTGAGGATAAGAATACAGCCATTGAGCTTCTTGCAGTGTATGCTCAAGTCTTGGAAGGATCATTTGAGCCCTACGTTGCCGAGTGTTTGGAGAAGGTGGCCGTTCCTGGGCTTGCCTTTTTCTTCCACGACCCTGTTCGTGTGTCTTCCGCCAAATTGATTCCCCATCTTCTCAATGCATACAAGAAGGCCCACGGCATTCAATCACCCGGATTTGCCGAGATTTGGAGTAATGTCGCTGGAAAGATCATAGAAGTTCTCAGCGCTGAGCCTGCCATTGATACCCTTGCAGAGATGTTCCAGTGCTTTTACGAGTCCGTCGAGGTGGTTGGCAAGAACGCTTTGACTCAAGAGCATATGCAAGCATTCATTGACTCCGTTCAATCGTCCTTGGAAGACTACCAGAGCCGAGTCAAGGAGCGTGCGCAAGAGGAGGCAGAAGCCGAAGATAACGACGAGGAGAACATGTCCATCGCCTATGCTATTGAGGACGACCAGGCTCTTCTCAGCGACATGAACAAGGCGTTCCACGCCGTTTTCAAGAACCAGGGATCGACTTTCTTGCCGACATGGCAGCGCCTGATGCCTATCTATGATTCATTCATCAACAGCACTGATCCTACACAGCGCCAATGGGCAACCTGCATTATGGATGATGTGATTGAATTCTGCGGCCCTGATTCTTGGGCTTTCCAAGACCATATTTTGCAGCCATTGATACGCGGGTTGCAAGACTCCAATGGTCCCAATAGGCAAGCCGCTTCATACGGTGTCGGTATTGCCGCTCAAAAGGGTGGTCCAGCATACGCCGACTTTGTGGCTGCCGCTATCCCCAGTCTTTTCCAGGTTACGCAACATCCTCATGCAAGGACAGAAGAACATGTTTTTGCTACTGAGAATGCTTCAGCCAGTATTGCCAAGATCCTTCGCTTCAACAACGAAAAGGTCCAGAATCCACAGGAGATTGTAGCAAACTGGCTCAACACGTTGCCAATCACAAACGATGAGGAGGCTGCTCCATATGCCTACTCTTTCCTCGCTGAGCTGATTGACCAGTAAGGCTTCCCTCATTATTTCAACTCGTGCAATATACTAACATACATAGACAAAACCCCGCCGTCCTCTCCAACGCCGACAAGGCATTTGGATATATAGTACAAGCCCTCGACAACGAAACCTTGCAAGGCGAGACAGCCAAGCGAGTCGCTGACGCCGGGAAACGATTAGTACAAGCAACAGGCATAAATGCAGAGGCGATTCTGGCGGGTGTCAATCCAGATAATCAGGAAGCAGTGAGGAAATACTTCCAGTAAGCAAGGAGGGCTGGCTGGATTTTTTTCTTGATATGAAATTTTTCTCTTATGTGTAATTCTCCAGGACCTAATTAGTTTATACAAATGGTTTCACCCCTCACATTTTCAAATACATGATTCTTTTTTCTGATGCGTCTTTTATCTTAATGTCTTGTCACATGGAACATCTTTTTTGACCGGCAATTATTAGACATAGGACTATTCCAAGTGCTTTGAAAAGATGTGGCAATGAATTTCATACAAAAATGATGATCATCGATATTATTTCTTGTGTATCGTAGAACGATGAGGGCCCCAAGAACGAGTATGTGATCCGCCTAGGAAGCAACATTGATATTTATCTTACATGTATGTATGTACTCTGTAACCTAGTTTCCATAAAAAAAAATAAAAGGATCGCCTAGAACTAACAGACCATCCGACTGTTCCAGGGTTGGGCTGAGGAATAGTACAATTAGGGCAAATCTCGAATTGATCCACATTTCCAATTCAGTTTTTTCAGCTCGCTTCAATGCTCGGTCTAGGATTGAGAAAGAATGGAGAAAACCACGTACGTCAGACAAATTTCACACAAGCGAGTTGGACTTACAATAAGCGGTTTGATGTTGGTTGATTTGGAGACTTTAGGATTTGATCAGCGCTGAAGAAGCGTAGCAGTAGGTAGACTGGAAGGGCGATTCAATACGCCGATGTATTTATTGTATACGTAGATTGGTCCGTCATTCATCAGATTTCTAATTACAGAAGAATTATTTACCGGCGCACAGTACCATTAATTGAATCATGACTGATTCCCCCTAGATGATGAATTATCCAATATACTGCCCACATCATGCAACTGCAACGCCTCGGCATCGTGCTCGTTATATCTCATTCTGGGCGACTCAGCCGGTCGCCCATTAGCACCGGCCCATAGAAGCCCTAAATCACGTGGCTGCTGGTTGACACTATCATCATCACAAGCACTACCATTATGATCATCTTCATACTCAATTGTGAAATGACTTGTTTGCAGTATCGGGAATGGTCCGGCGGGCATTATGTTGTGATTGTGACGACGACGACGACGACTCCTCCGGCTTTTGCCTCTAGTTCTGCTATTACTCGGACTGTCATTTGTGGTTGGTAAGAATATAAAAGAGGAGTTCGTTGTGGTGAAGCCATCTGCGTTGCGGGTGCTGTTTCGTGATGATCGACCGCTGCCGTTGGGTGGTGAGAGTGATGTAGTCGGCGTGACAGCTACCGGGGGAGGTTGAGGCAATTGATATGACACGGATAGAGACGATGAAAGTGGTTGGGAGGCAGATGCAGATGGTTGTAGTTGATCACCGGCTGTAATAACGGTTTGATAAGTAAGTCGTGAGGTTGACATGGGGACGAAGTCCGAGGCGAGCTGCTGTTGATCCAGACTGGTCAGATCAATGCTATCAAAACCAGACGCTGTTGTGTTGATGGTAGAACGAGACCCAAAACTGAATCTTGTGGCGCCACTGGTGCTGCTGAGATGGCGACAGTGACGCTTCGGTTTATGTGACTGCCCTGAGCATTGGTTGCTGCGAACGGTGGTTGGCCTGGACTCTTTGTTGTATATACTGTTACCGCAAGGCTTTGCGTTGAGTTGATGGTGCATAGATTCTTCATGGTCGTCTGCCACTAGGATATGACGGCCGTGGATAGAAGATAGACGAGTCGTTGTCGCCTTTCTATTATGATTGGTTGTAAAACACCTGAATCGACAAATGGAAATAAATTTCTTCCATATTCGAGACTTTCTGAGAAGTTGGTAGGTCACCAAGACCACAGGGCGGATCTTAGGCAATGATGCTGTAACTATGATAACGGTATTCTCAATCCTATTTCAATTTTAGTAAGGAGAAAAAGCCGGGATATCCATGTGGCACTTACGCATACCAGTAATTCCAACTATTGAGACGATCTATGACTCGAGTCAGCAACGGACCGAATACGTAGTGCTCCAGTATACTCACATGCAAGATCAGAGCCTTCCTGTCTGGTTTGGCTACCTTCGACGGCATCGACGATTTCAGCAACAGTGGCGCTATTGAGTCAGTTCATGAAATATGCTGATTAAAGGTAAAAGAACTCACATTAAGCTGAGAGAAATCAGGACACCAAGACCTGCCTTAATATATCCCGGAGCACGTATCTGCAGGACTAAGCCCACCGCGAGGATAGTGAGGCAAATATCTGATGCCGCATTGATGGCTACAAAAATCAGCTCTATACCTGCCCAATTCTAGAAGGGAGGTGACCTACCACCCTGCAAATATTCAATCACCAACACCGACTCCGACGTCCGACACGATCCCGAATCCCAGGACCCAGTCACTGACGGCGCACATTGTGCCAGAACAATAGCCAAAAATAACACATTGATCACCACCTGCAACACAATTATGGCCCAGACTAGATATGTCCGGAGGCGAGAAACTCGTTGAATGAAGTACAGCAAGAAGACTGCGAACGCTACTCGACCGAAGATTCCGCATAGAGTGCCGAAGATCATGGAAAACATTTCGAACCTCATGGCGTTCTGAAATGCGTGTTTACTGGAGAGTTCCCAGTCGTGCCGGCCGAGGCCCCAGTAGATGGCAATTGTGGAGGTGATTATTTTCACTGCTTGAAGGATCTGCACCAAAAAAATTAGCAGTCTGTTACTGAGGATGGAAGAGTATACGAACCCATGCTATAATCATCAAAATATCATCCGCTCGAACGATCCGCAAAATTCCGCACTGGGAGATAAGTCGGAGTATCATGACCACGCTTGAAATGCAAAATAGTACCCATAGACCAATTAGACTATCGGTTTGGTGTATATTGATCCCGTGTTGCTGCTGTTGACTGGGATCATTTGTAGATTCCATGACTAATGGAAAGGAATGAAAGCTAGCAACGCATTTGAGAAGAGATGAGGAGTAGAGCCCAGTGATGAGCTACTACTGAATCCACGCATCGAAATTCTGAGCAGTGGCTATGTTGATGGTCTGTTAGTTTTTTGGCAATCAATTGAAAGACCGACGGCAGGGTAATGGCTGATATTAACGACTTTAAGATAGAGAATGAAAAGTCCAAGAAAGTATATATACTTACCTATGTATGCTACAAATGCTTGGCAGCAATTGAAATCGATGTTAACTCGGGACCGAAATAACCAGAAAGGAAGGTGATATCTACTCGTGGCAAAAGGTTGAGGTTCAAGGGTGTCGACTGGTGGAGGTACGGATGCCACCTTGAAAAGGGACGGTCCAGTGAGACTGCTCAATGGTCTTCTTTTGATCAAACTTTGTGCAAAAATGCACAGATAAACAGAAGAGGCCTTTGTAAACTTTTTTCTGAGCAAAGTCCGAGTTTGCCCAGGGCCTAGCTAAGCCTTCTCTTCGATAAACTTTCAAGAACGTCAGCCTCCCTCGTACAGCATGCTGTATCCAGACGGAAAAGAAAGCCACTCTTCAAACGCACCCATGAGTGAAGTGGCCGAATTGAGTAAATGGACTGTATTCTGCTGACTTGATTCCACGAGTGATGATCGAGAATTCGAGGTCGAAAGTCTGGTTGTCCAATTATAGTAAGACTTTCCGGATGCGGAAATATTTCGGTCATCGGTTTTCGGTCATTCCTTTCAAAATTATGCTTGAGACCAATTAAATGCTCGGGTCGGGTTTACCGATTAGAAGTACACGTCGTCTGTTCATGGCTCAGTCTCTTATTTGATCGCCTAGAGATCGCATACTGTCAAAGTCAAGGTGGAACATGGTTGCACCTAAAGATCACGGCACGGCTCCACAAGGCTGGTTTATGGTTTTTCGATTTGACAGTCGGGTTAAATTTGGTGATCATCTGGGGATTAAATATGGCAGTTTAACCACTGATAATAAAGCTTTAACCAGTGTAAAAATGATGGATAGTTCTTCAAATTTGTTGTCGAAGATCGAGGGCTTCTCCGAGTAAACCCTAATTCGATGTCGGTTTAGGCCGCTCCAGGCACTTGGTACCCATACACCTTAGGTGCGAAATACAGGATTTACGTGCATTGTCCTTTAATGTTTAGCAATTGATTGATAATATACATATGTAACCACTATTTGACTGAGCCAGAGGCCCAATGGCTTACCGTTTCATGTCTTCACGTCAAGACCAAACTTTCTAGTAAACTGATAATTGACCAATCATATTTCACCTTTTCGTCTATACATTTCTAGTTGAATGTTTACATGCTCATCTATATTGGAGATACGAACTGTGAAACATGATTCACATCATCCTCACATTAAATTAAGTACACAACAAGATGGATTAGTAATGTCTTTTTATAATATCGGACTCTTGTCCGATTGATAATCAGTGCTAATTAGCTGCGGGGCGAGGGGAAGATGAGGTGATTGAGGGGGGAATAGCAATTTTTATCTTCAGTTTAAAACATCATTATTTCGCCTTTCTTATTTTCTTTCTCCTCTAACTACATGAAATTTAAGCAAACAGAACGTCAATCAGAAAGAGAATGGCAGACTTCAAACCGCGCAATATCCTCCTCATCGGAGCCACAGGAAACATCGGCCGCTTTATCACTCGATCCATCGTCTCTGCGCGAGGAGACTTTGATCGCGTCGCAATCCTGACTTCTGCGCCCGCCGCAGGCAGCGAAAAGGAGAAGTTCATTAACGAAGAACTCAAACCCAAGAATGTCGAGATCATTGTTGGCGATATTGGTAATGAGGAGGATGTTTTGAATGCTTACAAGGGTACCCCCGTCTCTCACCCGCAGGTTCGATTTTAGCATTGAGTTGACTTTTTTGAAGGAATCGACACAATTATCTTCGCCCTAGGCCGAGGTGCTATCCTCCCCCAAATCCCACTCATCAAACTCGCCGCCTCTTCCGGGTCATCTGTGAAATGGATATTTCCCTCCGAATATGGCACAGATATCAAATACGGTCCTTCATCAGCCGGCGAGCCCACACACCAAGGCAAACTGAAAGTCAGAGCATACATCGAAGAAGATGAAGAAATCAAGAACAGTGGTCTGAAATATACGTATGTTGTGACGGGTCCGTATCCGGAGATGTTTCTCAAGGGCGACTCGGAGTATACGGGTGGATGGGACGTGAAGTCTAAGAAGGCGAATTTATTGGAGAAGGATAATAAGATTAGTTTCACGACTATGAAGGAGTTCGTCCCCCCGTCCGTCCATTTCTTACGCGCAATTGATCCTGACAAGTACAGTACCGGCGACCTCGTCCTCGCGGCCCTCCGCCACCCAGGCCCCGCAACATTCAACAAAGCTCTCAAAGTCAACTCGTACACTGCAACTCCGGCCGAAATTCAAGCCGAGTTTGAGCGTCAAGTAGGTGGCGGCTGGACCGTTCAAGAAGTCTCTCTGGATGCGCTGAAGGAATTCGAAAAGAATGCTTGGAAGGACGGTCGTCCTGATGCGGCTGTGTTTACGTTGCGACGTATTTGGGCCGAGGGTGGGACGCTGTATGAGAAGAGAGATAATGATGCTATTGGGGAGCCGGAAACTTTGACGCTGAAGGATACGGTTGCTTGGTATATCAAGGCTTCTACCTAGGACTGATACGTATATGTATATATCTATGTGTATGGACAGAAATGAGAACATAGGATTCTATAATCATAATTTTCGTGCTTACGCACTATGCGCCAACAACCATCTCCAAAATCTCCAAAACCTGCTCTTTTCGCTCTAACGGCACGGGATTGGTCTTGCACCATCGATCCTCTAGCGAATGCTCGGCCAATTTGTCGAGTTGATCACGGCCGACGCCTACATCTTTGAGGGAGCGCGGCATGCCTAGTTCGCGGATGATACCGTCTAGAACATCGCCCAGATCAGCTGTTTCGGTGTTGATATTGTATTTCTTGACAACGTCCTGGACTGTGGGTTGTTCGAGCAGAAATTTGAGCACGCGCGCTTGTCGAGCGTTATTGGCGCCTTTGAGGGCGTTATATTTGCACACCGATGGTAGCAAAATGCAGCTTGTCTCTCCGTGGCCGACACCAAGAGGGCCGAGCTACACATATCAGCTTCCACTCAATTTTTGACAACGTAAAAAGGGAAAGAGGTTACCTGATGACCAATCCCATGACTAGCACCCAACTCCACCACCCTCTCTGGATGCGTACACGCCGCCATCGCATCAACAGATCCCAACTGACAATCCAACCTCGCCTCGAAATCCTTCTTGTCATGCTTACTCCTCAATAATCCGGGCACCAGCATACCCAACGCCTTTTGGGCCAATTCATCCGTTTCGTCATACGCCACAGTCGAGCAGAGTGTTTCGACACAATGGTCTACTGCCCTGATCCCTGTACTCAACCAAATAGAATCCGGCGTTGTAGCAGTCAACTCTGGATCGAGAATTATAAGCCGAGGGCCGCGGAGGGGTTTCTGGAAGCTATGTTTTCGGTGCGTCTTGTCGTTTGTGCCGCCTGCGAAATCGGAGTATTCGCCCGCTGACAAGGAGGTCGGAATACTGATTATGGGGATGACAGAGGCTTTGATTGTGCTGTCCTTTTCGGCGGGTTGTTTGACGTCTTTGCTCACGTTTGTGGTTAGGGCGTAGAGGCCGTCGAAGGTTGTGACGTCGTTTGCTAGGGCCTACATCACCGTCAGCACCATCTTCTTGTAAGTCTGATTGGATGGGGGACGTACGAAAGAAACAATCTTCGCAGCATCCGTCAAACTGCCCGCTCCAAGCGTAACCAACAAATCCGCACCCACACTTTTCGCATCATTGATAATCTCCACAACCTCAGACCACAGCGTATGCGGCTTCATTCCAATCCGGACACCCGCAAACTTGTCGCCCAAGGCAGTTTTGAGTCGTTCCAAGGCATCAGTATTTCGTGACAGGGAGCCAGAGCAAATCACGTATACTTTTGATGCGTGGAAGTAGGTTGCGGCTTGGGAGGCGGTTGCTTCGGGGAAGGGGACGCCGTATGCGATTCGGGGCTCGTCGCGGTTGGCGAAAGCGGGGCGAATTGTTTCTGGCATTTTGACATCAAGCAGGCAATTAAGTGGTTGGCGGGTGATAGAAGGTGAGTTTGATGAGAGCATGAGCTATATACATCTTGCTTTCTTCTTAAGATGACAAATGAATGCGGGGTCCTGGTGAGGGTTGCAGTTGGAGATGCAGGCAGGGATGTCTCCCCACATGCTTTGGAGATCGGACAAAGATATGGGGCTGAAAGTCAACACCAAATGTGGGGCTGTTTGTATACAATTCAGTACGTATATTGCTGAAAAAAAGATATGGATGAAGATGATAATCACTGGTATATAATCAATTGGCCCGCCAAACACCATCAGTGTAACATACAGAAACGCTTTTTATATAGAAATGGTCAACGATCATTGCCCCCTCTTGGCCAACAAGTTCAATGCACTTCCAGCAAGAATAAATCCACACTGATTCTTACTGAGCGTATGCTTGACCGGCACAGTGAATGTTTCTCCTGTCTTGTGCTTGGTCACTTTGAGGCTCACCTCGCCCTGACCACCGGCCTTCAACAAATCATACAATCCCACAGTGTCGACTTGATCGCATGCACTGATGCGGTCGTAGTCTGCGCGGTCAGCGAATGTAAGCGGGACGACACCCTGTTTCTTCAAGTTGGTCTCGTGGATGCGAGCAAAGCTCTTGGCGACAATGATGCGTCCGCCGAGGTAACGGGGCTGAAGAGCGGCGTGTTCACGCGCGCTTCCCTCGCCGTAGTTGTCTTCGGCAACAACGAGCCATTCACTGCCCTGCGATTTCCATTGTTCAGCCAGCTCAGGAATAGAGTGTTGTTTTCCAGCTTCGTCGTAAGCGACATTTGTTTCTCCTGTTTCAGCATTCACAGCGCCAATGAGTGTGTTTGCGGAGATGTTAGGGAGATGTCCCTTGTACTTAAGCCAAGGTCCAGCAGCAGAAATGGTATCTGTAGTACATTGGCCCTTAACCTTGTAAAGAACCTTGAGACCTGCGAGCTCGCGTTCAGGGAAAGGTGCAAAAGGCTCCAAAATAGCCAATCGCTCCGAAGTAGGGGAAACGACAACTTCGACGGAAGGATCGGGCACAGCAGCACTAGGCATGAAAGCAGGGTTACCTTCCTCGAACCCGGCGCTAGGCAAACTAGAACCAACGGGAGGCTGGAAACGGAATGAGCCACCGTCAGGTGTAGGAATCGCGTCGGTTAAAGGGTTGAATGTAGTGCTTCCCGAATAGCTCATTGCGGTAACAATATCAGGCGAGGCCAAGAAGTTCATGGTTCGTCGGTTACCATCGTTACGACCTGGGAAGTTACGGTTGTAAGAAGTCAAGATGGCGTTGTCCTCGCCCTTTTGAACTCCGTCGGTACGCTTCCATTGTCCAATGCAAGGACCGCAGGCATTGGCTAAGACGGTGCCACCAGCAGCAGAGAAGGTAGACAATGTCTGGTCACGTTCGAGAGTAGCGCGGATCTGCTCGCTACCAGGAGTAATGAAGAAATCGGCTTTGGGCTTCAAGCCAGCTGCGGACGCCTGCTTGACAAGGTCCTCGGCACGAGTCATATCCTCATAAGAGCTGTTCGTGCAGCTTCCAATAAGTCCGGCACCGAATGTCTCGGGCCATTTGTTCTCTTTGACAGTTTCGGCGAACTTGGAAAGAGGGACGGACAGATCTGGAGTGAATGGGCCATTTATATGGGGTTCGAGAGTGGACAGGTTAATAGTGATCAACTGGTCGTACTCGGCTTTGCTATCGGCTCTCAGCAAAGACTGAGATCCCGCAGCGGCAATTTCTGCTGCAGCGGCGGCGACAGCGGCACGGTTGGTGGATTCAAGATAAGGTACATGGTTGGGTGAGAAGGGGAAGAGCGATGTTGTAGCACCGACTTCAGCGCCCATGTTACAGATCGTAGCCATTCCAGTACAACTGAGAGTATCGACACCAGGGCCGTGATATTCAATAACGAAACCGGTGCCACCACGAACGGTAAGTTTACCAGCAAGGTGCAGAATAATATCCTTGGGAGAAGTCCATCCACTCAATTGACCTTCTAAGCGAACTCCGAGAATCTTGGGAGCTTTCAATTCCCAGGGTGCATCGACCAGAGCATCAACGGCATCAGCACCACCAACGCCAATCGCAATAGCACCCAAACCTCCAGCATTAGGGGTGTGACTATCGGTACCCAGCATCATCAAACCGGGGGCTGAGTAATTTTCCAACACGTTCTGGTGAATAATACCAGCACCAGGTGGCCAAAACTCAATTCCGTAGCGCTTAGCAGCTGACTCCAAGAAATCAAAGACTTCCTTGTTGCCCTGAATCGAGGCAGGTAAATCGGTCTCTGCACCTCGTTCTCCGACAATCATATGGTCACAGTGGATACTGGCCGGGACAGCGGTAGACGGTAGTCCGCAGGACATGAATTGTAGTAGAGCCATTTGAGCGGAAGCGTCTTGCATGGCAACGCGGTCCGGCTTGAGTTTGAGGTTCGCTTGGCCACGGATATCACGGCCATTGTTGGTGTTGGAAAGTAGCGAATCTTCCACATTGTCCAAATGAGAATATAGGATCTTTTCCGCGAGGGTGAGTGCGCGCTGAGAGCCGAGGACGCGACGGACTTCTTCGAGGTTGCGGAGGATCTTGGGGTATGGGGGCATGCGAGAGCTGGACGCAGCTGTGGCGAGGGTTCGTCTCGAATTAAGACATGATACCTGTACAGGTTGGACGAGGAATTCTCAAGGGTGATAGAGTCATTGACGTACCCTGCGAGCGGCCACTGCCCGCTGCCAGACCAACTGCCTCACCATCGTGACTCACGGGCAATCCTGGTCAAATTGCCTTATGTACAGCGAGATAGAAGTAACTTGTTTTTGTATAGACAGATTACTAAACCAACAATGTCTAAACTATTTGGTCCAACTTCTCCACGCGCGGAGAAGAGAAGAAGAGAAAGAGAATTTACCCCAGCAAATTTATTGCTTTAGTTTTTGATTGAATTTACATTGACTCTGATTGGCTGTCGGCATTGGAGAATAGCGCCGAGATCGGGCTGTCTTTTAGCGCTAGCACTATTAAGGTCTTACTGTACACCATCTCTTTGTTGATATCGGACCTCTTCATTTCCATATCCATCTTCCTTGACAACGTCTCAACACCTCGACATGACAACTCGGCAGGTTGACCACATCGATATGTCGCCTTCTTGCGGCAGGATTACCAATCCAGAACACCCATAGTCACCAACCCAGTAACCACAAGCATAGGCGAATACCCCCAATGATCCCACTCGCCGAACCCATGCATCTTGCACACAGCGCCATCGACAATCGCAATCGCACCACAGGCAATCATCGTTCCTCCCAAGGCCTTTCGTGATCCGAAAAACAGCGTGATCCATAGCGCAATGCCCATGAAGATGTCACGCGCGCCGTAGACGATCATCAGGTAGTCGACCAGTTGCTGATCACCGGGGACGCGTAGGTCCTCAAAGTAGAAGAAGCTTAGAGCATGGTCGGGGCGGACGATACAGTTGATGCCGAAGCCTGTAAAGACAGCGCCGAAGATGATGCCGAATAGGCTGAAGAAGACTGATTCGGAGAGACGCATTTTGTAGGTTTTTTTTTGGAGTTGGTCGTTTGTTGAGTTGAATGGGAGAAGGAAGGATGATGAACACAATGACCGAGAGGCTCTTTACATATCCAACATTATCTAAGAAATTGCTTCGACAAGGGGCATGGAAGCCTAGAATACGAGGCATCCCGATTGGCCGAATCGTTCAGCTACGGGTGATCGCTAGTATAGACTCTTTGGTGCAACGAATCAATATAGAGGAACAATGTGAAACATCGTCCGTCAAAGAACAGAAGATTGCTCAGTACTAATACCTATTTAATACAGGGTACAAATCCTATCATATTGCTGCCTACCTAGGTAGGCTATTTCACCGCAACTAAACAACCGTTAAGTAAATTGGTATGCAACAACAAAGATTAAGTCAGCATATTGGACTCAGATTTCCTTCCAGAGAGTTTTGATGGCTACCCAGGTGGTCAAAGTCTGCTGAGCAGTCAGCCAACCTGTCAAATCATCTTCTGGGTTAGGCGATGCTCATCATAGTCCGCGTGTTGACAAGAACAGATACTACACTTTTGAGAGCTATGTCAGGGAGAGAATAAAATTAAGAAGAAAAGGGAGTAAGACTGTTTATATAACGGCAAATCGATGTATGGTTTAGGCAGTCGTTCCAGAAGGCAGGCCTCACAACTATGGTCCAGATTAGGCAACCCACTCCTTTCTTGGACATGTTTACGTCTTCACTAACTTTGCTTCTTTTCAAAACTGCCTCTCTCAAGTCCTTCCTATCCATCTCGCTTCTTGCAATACAGTCAACACGGTACTCGATTGGGAACGGTGAAGGGTGCCCGGGGCAAACGAAGAAGGTGCCACAAGGAAAGAAGTCGCCGACAACGAACCAGTTATTTGATCTAGCCTAGTTCCTTCCTTCTTTGCCAGCTATAAACACCCTGATTTCCCCCTCACTCCTCTCCCTCTTCTTCTTCCTCCTCCTCCTCTTCTTCTTCTTATCTCTTCGGATAAATATGCCTATATCAACCACACAAATAATTCTAATTTCGTTTTGACAGGCTTCATGTTGTCTCTGTGTATACTACCATACTAGATCATCAGTATGCGTGCAGCTATGGTTTTGTTATGATCCAGTCTAGACATCTCCAGGTACTCTTAATTATGGAAACAGGGACAAAGGCAACAGAAGCTGGACGAATTTAGAGTCGGAAACGTCGCATGTATATTCAAATAGCTGGGGCTGGGGTGACGATGAGGATACAACAAAGAAAATGAAAACATCAAGCATATTGCTAAAAGCACTGGTCTCAAGATATCTGAAATTCCAGACTGGCTGGAGGATCAGCGAATCAGATACGCATACGCAAAGTCATGTTTTCTACGTATATCATAACAGAGAAACATTCCAATGACAAGCTGATCGACGCTGTCAATTTCTTCACCCATGGGATAATGGTCGACGAACGACAACAAATGCTCGGCGATGATCGAGCAACATCCTCCACAACAACCACTCTGAAACTAGATGTGGCCATTATGGACACGTACCATGGGTTGAGGCTCATAATATGGTTGAGGCTAATAAGCACGAGGATACTCTTTAGAAAAGACCTGAGTAAGTGAAAGTCCTGTGAGTCCTGTTTTCAGTGGTTGGATTGATTAACATCAATTGAAATCCAGGACAAATCGCCCAGTATATGCATATATTCAAACTGAAATATGGGGTTCTATCGACGAACGGAGCACACCCATGGCGTGTCTTTAAAGCAGCAATTGTCGGCATCTGGGGATGTATCTCAGTCTCCTAATCGGCTTACCTGCGATGGGCGACCCTCGGAGGTGTCAACAAAACCAGCGAAGCTATTGTGAAGAACGATAGTTCGGCTGTATCACCAAATGCAAAATTCCTTTCCATCTTCTCCTATCATAGAAAATACGGCATCGAGACGAAGTAACAAGCATGTAATTATCAACTGAAGTTATGAAATTGAATCCTATAAAAAGAATTATATCATACAATGTACTTGCTTCCCGATACTGCTTGAGAAAATTATCCTATCATTCATTACTCTCCTCGATCCTCCTTATCTTCCGCAACAGCTGCTCGTAAATCATACGCGAGCTCATAACATTCTGCCAGAAGCGAATTGACACTCCCCTGGCCTTCGGGGATGTCGTTTCCTATGTAGAATTTTCCGTCGATGCGCATGTTGTCAATTGAATTCAGCTTTTTAAAAGCACACTGCGTTAGTTCGGTTTGAAATAATAAAGGGAAAGAGGGTGGGAGGTACCTTCATGCTATACGGATAAAGTTCACGAGCATTCGAGACTCCGCCAGAATCCTTGACTTCGAGTAGACATCGGCGCAGGGTTTGGAGTTGATTATAAATCGGGAGGAGGGCTTCGGAGACTGGTTCCGAAGCGATGAGGAGTGCATATATGTAAGCATAGCTGCGGCGGATGAGGTAGAGTAATGTCTGTCTAACCGTTAGTCATTGCTCAGGCAAGTTAAAGTATGATAGTGACGCACTCGTTGAGCATGCAGATCAGCGGGCTGGTTCGTAGCATCCAAGAAGTTGCCGTTCACACGAGCTTCATCGATACGGTCAAGCTTGCGCTGGAATTGGAAAAGGTCTGTTTCGCGGAGGGACCATGCCTGTGTCATCGATAGTCGCTCTAGTTGATTCCTGATCTCGAGGAGACGAGCATATTGTTCTTGGAAGCGTTCGTCGATACGGCCTTTTCTGCAGTGGATATGAGTCACTGATACAAAAGAGAGTAGATGTTGATCTGCCTACCGCTCAAGGACAATCTCTGTCCATCTCCAGCACCGCTCAAAAAGAGACTTGACGGCTTCCTGTCCGCTCAGAATCTGACCATCTGATCCGACAAAGTTGCCATCTTTCATATTATTTTGAATCTCTTTCAATTTCTCTTGTAAATCAAGGACTTCGGATGACGAGAACTACCACCATCATATCAGTCAAACTTTCTTATGCATTTCCCCAGACTGACGTACCTTTGAACGAGTATTAACTGCAGACGTAGACCGTAAAATTGAGACCAACGTCTCATGCAACTTCACAAGCTCAGGCGAAAGAGGCTCCAGACCCTTGTTCAGTCTATCCAAAACTATTTGGCACTCCTCCAGTCGACTACCCAGGAGTGTCAGTAGATGCGGGGGATGAGTATCTTTTCCGCGGTCCAGGGTTTCGCGTATGGTGGCGAGAGTCCGAGATATTGATTCAAGGTCTTTGGCGCTATAGAAGCCTGCCTCTTCAAGATGATCGAGTAAGCGTTGTACTGTGGTTGTAAGAGAGTATCTATGCCAACTGGTTAGCTCAAAGTTTCAAAGCTTCTAGAAATTTGTGGTCGAACTTACGTCGCGGGGGCCTCATTGTTTCGGCCGACGGTGAGAAAGAGGAGGGAGATGAGTTGGAAACAATCGTCGAGAACATAATCAACTACACCAAAATCCACAAATGTTAGCTTCTAATATATCCCATCAATACCCCTAAATCAAATCAACGCAAGGCCCACTCAGTGTTGCTAACGTCGGTTGTGTGGCAAGCGGCGGTCACGTTCTTGCGCTTTCCGCACGGCATTCAGAGTCTCGACCTGACCGATCACTTCTTCGTATAACGGGAGGACATCCCGAGATTTGATGTAGGACGATTTATCTTGTTTCAGTAATAGGAGTGCGTCCCTAGTGCGGAGGAGTCGTTCGAGGATTGGCTGTTCTCGTGGATCGAGGGGGACCAGTACAGCCGGGGAGTCCATGATGAGGATGGGAGTTGTGCTGTTGAGGATTAGAGCATCCGGCTTTTGATTCCTAGAAGTTGACTGCAAGGGACAACGTAGGTATTTGAAAATCAAAGCTGTACAATAATTGAATTGAGACGAATAGACGAAGATAGAATTCGAGCCTAGTCTAGTCGATGATGGAGGAGAAGATAGATTGGGAAAGGTGGGGGGAATAGATCCGATTGATACCAAGACGCCGGATGTGGAGAAGCTAGCTCCGACTTCTTAGTTTCTACAGTACTTTCAGCAGGCTTCTTTTAGCTTGAATTTGCAGTATATAATAATTTTGTATGCAAGCCTTTCATTATCCTCGAAGAATCATTTCCTTCAGCTTGGTACGATTTTGATGGAGGCCACGGGTGAAGTTGATCTATGTACGTCTTCTATAGCCGACACAGTAACGATGACGCATCAACCAGTTCCGTTCCTGTACACTGTATATGTTAAACAGCGAATCAACTCTTTTCCTCAGGTATTTTATACTTGGCCGTAAGAACTAGAAAGTTCATGTTTTGCAGCGAGGGGTGTCATAGGGTGACTAATCAAGCCAAGAGCGGGGCTTTCTGCTGAGTCATCTGAGAGGTCAGCCTAACTTGGTTCAGGCTAGCGCAGCCGAAGCGAGGGCTTTTGCGCGGCACACACTTGGCGAGTTGCGATCTCCGGCTAGCATCAAAGTCTCCGTGCAATACTTCTCTCTTTCTTCTTCCGTGTCAATCCAGTCCACGGCAATCCCTTCGAGATAACATCACCTTTCTCGTCCACAACCGACCACCATGTCTACCGCCGAGCTCGCTGTTTCCTATGCGGCCTTGATCCTCGCCGACGACGGCGTCGAGATCACCGTATGTTCCTACCCAGATCCTGAAATTTGATGCAGAAAGAGGCGGACAATATCTCTGTGTACCATCCTGTGCGAGATCCGTGTACAATTCACGATTCACAATTGTGCGCACAGAAAGAGGATTACCAGAAAGGCATTGGAAATATGGGAAATTTGGCTTTTGGCGATTTTGAATATGAACTAATATCCATTCGACACAGGCCGACAAGCTCAACACTCTCATCAAGGCCGCTGCCGTCCCTGAAGTTGAGCCTATCTGGGCCCAACTCTTCGCTCGCGCTCTCGAGGGCAAGGATGTCAAGGACCTCTTGACCAACGTCGGTTCCGGCGGCGGTGCTGCCGCTGCCCCCGCTGCTGGTGGTGCTGCTGCCGCCGGTGGTGAGGCCGCTGCTGAGAAGGAGGAGGAGAAGGAAGAGGGTGCGTCATCTCTTGAACTGAATATGGTATTGCTGGCAGACAGAAGTGACTGACTTGACTATAGAGAAGGAAGAGTCCGACGAGGACATGGGATTCGGTCTTTTCGACTAAGCGGTTTTCTAAACTGTTTTACGCCATTGATTCGATTCCCCCGTTTTCATTCCTCCTGTCCACTCTACAACTGCGCAAATCCTTCCATCTTCTCACATCCTCCTCTCGTCCTATGTACTCGATAATTCCGTTGTTTAATGAAATATGGATGATGGATATCTTATGTTCGGGGCAGAAAAAATTATTTCAAATCAATTCGGAATGGGGGTTTCTTTTTATACGAGAGCATGATGCCTTCTGGTCCTATGAATTGCATGATGGCGCATAAAAAAGATTTTCTTGTCTTCTTTTGAGAAGTTTTTTATGCAATTCCCTGTTGTTTTCTTAATGCTTTGCTCGTTGTCACATGGTGGTCATGTTTACAGTGATAATGGCAAAGGTTGGAATTCCACAAATGAAAGAACAAAAAAAATTCTGCAAATATGGCTGTCCGACTAGATACCTTTTAACGTGTAGAGCAGCATTGCTGCGAAAGTACTCGCCCGACATCGCCGAACTACAATAAGGCTACATAGACAACATATTTCAAATGATTCACAGACGGGCTGAAAGTACGGATGACGTATGTATAATGATTCATTATCGACTCATCTAAAGCCCTAACGCAAGAGATCTAAGCCAAATTCTGACTCATTCAAGCCAGTCAAATACTACGTGTATAAAAGATGATTAGATGTGGGCTTCAGTGATTGCCAATCTGACGATTTCTAGCGAGGACTGGAACTGCTTCCTCGCTCGATATAGAATGCCAAAATTCAGAGCTTTGATCAATGCACAGCATCTACTAGGTTAGTTCCACTGGCAAATCACAACTCTTGACCTAGCTCCATTTTTCGGATAACGGGTGGTTCCTGCAGGTGACTTCGAATGCTGTCCAGAAGTCGGTCCGAGATTCAACTGTCGTTGTGGCCGATAGAAAACAACCCCAAAATATTGGGACAGCAAGACGGAACAATTGCTGTTTATTGCCAGTTGGTTCACGGGTCTCAATGCTCACTTCATCGAGTATGGTATCTAGGTTGCCACGCGTATTTGACTGCTGGAGAAGTCACTGTACCAGTTGGCGGAGGCCCGATTGGACAGGATCCGGACGTGGAGAGCCCCTTAGCAGCCAACACTGACACCGGGACACCGTACAAGCACCCATGACCATTGACCAGGAAAGTGATAGCCTGTAAGCATGGTCGTGGTTTCTCTGCACAAGACAATTAGTTTGTACAAACTATCATGCCGGGGTCTGGGGAGCCCCAGAATTGCCGGTTCTGTCCGCTCCTCTCCCTTACAATACTCTTCTACATGTATGACAATACCAAAACAGTCGCTTCTTGTCGAATTCTATACCCTGGAAGTTTGAAAAACCACGATCTGGTGTCTCGGAAGTGCGACAACTGTACGCGGATCTTCTCCAAGTTGAGCTTTTGCGACGCTACGCCTATTCTCCCACATGCCCATCCACATAATTCAAGGTTGAACGAAACATTGGGATGGAACCGTCTGACCACAATTGACAGGATCAAAGGATTTGTGTAAATAAGCCGTGTCTAGCCCCTTAATACATAGACAGTAGCAGTTCATAGGTTCTTGCATTGTTTCTTTTCCGCTTACACGAATTATAGGCGGCCAAGTCTTCACCTTCGAACACCCTTTATTAGGGTCAGTTCGAGGTCTTCGGTCCTCATCTTTCAGCACTTTTTGAGCATTCACTATGTCCAAATCTCGCACAACTTCGATGTACCCGAGCTGATTAGTTATCATAAGAATGAGCCTATTCATGGCACCACTATCGGGTAGGGAAGAGTGCGATTTGAAGATGTTTCATTTCTAATATACTGTAAACCTGCTGCTTCCTCTTACTCCGGAGGTCTCCAGATGGGATTCGTTCTCATCCAGAAAGAGCTTCCAGGCACAGCTCCGCCGCAGCCTTCACGAAGGATTCGCAATGGGTTCCAATGCATGGCCACAGTACGTCCTTTAAAGGATTGTGAAACTTTGTTAAAAACTGATATCTCCATTTATTGGAGTGACCATCAAGTAATCATCAATTTTTTACCATGCCCGAAGTGACTCCTCTTTCGTCCTAATATTGAATGACAAAAGCTGTCGTCTGGGCCCCTTCGGATTCCTTACTTCTCCAGAGCTTATCGATCATGGGTACAAGCCCAACAGAGGTTTGCTAGATCAACGCACTGCTCTTCTTTAGATTCAGGAGTATATTCAGGTTCCGGAGGAGACCCAGATAAAGTGACCTTGATAGGTGAAAGTGCAGGTGCTGGTACACTTTCCAACGGCTATTATTTCTTATGTTTAGTGAACTTTTCTCAAGGTCAGTATTCGCGCCTTAGTCTCAAGGCACTCTTCACCCCCAGTCAGAAACCTATTTATTCCAAAGTACGAAACTTATGGGAAATACGATCTCCTGATGAAACCTGTGCCCGAGTTTGTCTCTTGAAGGCGTTTACAACAAAATTGTGAAGCGTCTCGGCTCGGATTGTCTGTCCCCATCCAAGCGAGTTGAGACTTTTATGAATATGATTTCGGTGAAGATATTGCAAAACGTATTGCCAAGTGATTCACTATCGCCATCACATGGACCAGAGCTTAACATAGTCGCCCATACATACGAGGAGATATATCAAGGCGTTCAAGGCCCTTTAAAACTACTTAGGCCGTCTATCAAACCATTTAGGATAAACCCGTGCAGCCAAGTAACAGGCACTCTCGGATATGAATTGTGTCACAAAGTCATGAGCTGACTGCTGCCTATGACTTGATATGAGTCTAGTTCCGAACGAATCGGAGATGCTTGTTTAATTAGGGTGAATTATATCCCGTGAGGGGCATGCATTTCAGACTCGGATTATCCTTCACTCGACACCGTAGAATGAGAGAGACTGATATAAAAGTACGAGACTTAGCCATCGCTTTTATCTCATTCTAAGAATATGCGTTCCATCTGCACAAAACTCGGCTTGTCTAGCACATAAGATAATGGCCCACATCAAAGATGTCCCATTACTGATCGACCCAAGTCAACGAAGCATCCAAGAACTTCTACTAAAATATGGCATCCCGCCCATTATAGCGAAAGCTAGAGCACAAGTTGAATTCAGAAACTTCAGCACAGGCGAACTTCAGGCCTGCTTTAGCAAATTGCACCGGCACGAGGCGGACCTTAAGACTTTTGAATTTGATTCAACTTCATCGTGGGCCGCAGGATTTACAAGTCTTCTTAGAAGAAAAACGCAAGAAGTGGTATGGCTGAAGCCTCAACTTGAGTTGTTAAGAGAGTCAGCGATCAAGAAACTCGCTCTTTGCATCAACGCTAAAGGCGAGTGGTCTCTGCGTGAGAACGCATATCTTGCCTTGTCTCATGTCTGGGAAGAAGGCATCCAAGCCGATCCTCAGAACAGAGGAATTCCGCTTGCACATGTCCAGCAGATCATTGCACGAATCCACGCGACAGGAGCAGAATGGATCTGGTTGGATGGGCTGGCCATTCCAGGTTCTAGTCGATCATTGACCTTGGAGGAGGAGGAGATCAAGATTGCCATTATCAACAATCTCGATGGTATATACAGACGAGCCGACTCAATCATTATCTTCGATGCGCTGGTCATGCAGCTACAATCGACTGATCTCGTGGATGTAGCCATTTGTCTCTCGTGCGGAAAATGGATGAGAAGACTATGGACTTTTCAAGAAATCTACCTCTCCAGAAAGGCAGTAATTTTGACGAATAACGGGCTGGTGGATTATCTGACTATGGCTGCTCGACTACGCTCCCTGAGTGGACTTGATGATGAAGTTCCACAAATGTATGCATCAATGTCATGCAAGGATCTCATGGCTGTTCAATCCATGCACAAGAATCCAGCAAAATATCAAGAACTTTACCTACAACTCGTTCGAGTTCTGGGCATCGATGGCAAAAAGCCTTCTTTGACCCAGCTGGCGATGGCATGTCAAGATCGACGAACAGGAAATGACATCGACTATGCTCGGGCATTCTTCCCTGTTCTTGGATTGACGTGGAATAGTACATTGAGTAGAGAAGAGGGAATGGAGCTCATTTACAGGGACCAGGAATATTTTTCGAAGCGATTGTTGCTGATGCATGGCGTTCCGAGATCTTCGGTGAGGTTAGGGTGGGCGCCATCGTATTTGACAGGACTTGTTGGTCGACCACTTGGGCCAGAAGAGCCTTTGGGAGATATCAAGTGGGAGCACAGAGGGCTAAAAAGGGATTGGTATACGTATAAGGCGAGTCCCCCATTGAATAATGACTGCAAAGAATGCAAACTAACGTGTCCATACAGGTCAACAAGGAAAATCCATCACCAAGGGACAGTATCATGGCATTGGAAGTAGACTGCGAGGGTGCTTGCGAACTCTGCGCCTGTTTAATTGGTAGCAATGAGCGTCCAGAAACTATGGAAGGATTTCGACAGGCCATTTCCACTAAAGAAGCCTACATTCTAACGAACAACGAGCTGAACATGGTGTCACGCAGTGGCCTTGCGTATCGCGCAATACTGGTAGAGCGAGATACAGCTGTTGCCAACCTCAATGAAGCCTGGGTCTACATGGCCGTCGAGGTCGCGCCCATACACAAATCATTGCCAGCGAAGCCCAAGTCTTGGCTACTCCTCCACGAAAGCCCAATTTCGACACACGAACGTAGTGGGAAGGACTGGACTAAGATTGCGCGGATGTTAAGCGATGAGGATACTCTGCATGGCGGTAAAACTCCTTTGCATGAGGCTGCAGAAGCCGGGATTCAAGATTTGATAACAGAGCTGCTCTCTGAAAATGCAGCTTTACTCGAGGCACAAGACGAGAGAGGGTGGACGCCGTTACATAATGCAGCCTTTAGGGGGCAAGCAAGCTCTATTCTCCTTCTCGTCCAACACGGTGCACCGGTTGACGCTCTTGACTCATCTGAAAGAAGCCCGCTCATGATTGCGGCTGATGAAGGCCACACCGAAGCCGTCAAGCAACTATTAGACCTCGGTGCCGATGTGAACTTATCGAGCCAAAACGCCAAGTGTCCATTGAACCAGGCATTGCTCACAGAGCACGTGGAGGTTGTTCGGATACTCCTCGAAGCCGGCGCAAACCCCAATGGTCGAGATAAATTTGGGTATGCTCCCATGTTCATTGCATGTAGAAATTTGGAAACGGCCAACCTTCTCATCAGTGCCGGGGCAGATCCATCTGCTGACCTTGTCGGGGGTGCAACCATATTACACTTTGCCGCGCGTGCAGGTAACGTTAGCTTGATCAAGCGTTTGCTTGAACTCGATATGCCTGTTGACCTCACCGAGGGCAATGTACCGACCGGCATCACGGCGTTGTACCGCGCAGTTGAAGAGCAAAAGCTGGAGGCTGTCGAAATTCTTCTTCAGCATGGCGCAAATCCTAACCACGTTATCCAGACATGTTGGACTCCGGTGCTCCTCGCTGCTAAACTTGGAAACTATGAAATTACAAAGGTTTTAGTCAGGAATGGCGCGGATGCGCAAACAACATGCCAGCCGGAGAAATGGACCGCCTTGCATGTCGCATCTCAAGCAGGCCATCGTTTGGTGGTGAGGTTACTGTTAGATGCTGGCTGGGATGTAAATGCCCGAGATGCTGCAGGATTCACACCATTGAAATTAGCTGAGACGGCCGTACATAGAGCGGTAGTGGAAGTTTTGAAGCAAGGCGGAGGTTTATGATATCAGACCAAACAGGTCTCTTAAGTCCCAGTCAGCACTCGCATATTCGTATAGAGTACTGTGTAATTGGAGTTATCGGTTATATCTGGGCCGCCGGCATAAAGCAGACAATCAATGAAGTGGACAATTCACATTTTCTAAGATACACACAGAAAGAGGAAAGCCATCCGCTCTAATAGTAAGAAACCGCTAACGCCCAACTTATCCACGCTCTTCTTGCTAGTAGTCAAGAGGTTCTTTTCGACAAATCAGAGAAAAGAAATCATACAATCGTTGGAGATTGCAGCATCAACTCATCACGAGTCAAGAGCAGGGCGCGCATAGATTCGGAATTGTATGAAAATGGCGATGTCTTCCACCATAGTTCCCAAAGACCCTATGAGCCAGGGCAAGTTTTTTACAATGTATTCCTTTTCGGTTGAGTGCGCGATAATCTGAAGAATCATGATTAGTAACCGAAATGAACCCAATTGAGGCCAGAAAAGCTTACTCCGGCTCCGTAGGTAAGATTGCCTAAGAGAGACAGAACGAAAAAGAGCAACGAAAGACCTTCGCATGACTTTTCCGAATAGTTTTTGTATATCTGTGGTAACCGAGCCCTGTAAAAATTAGTATTAATATTGCATTAATGAGCGAAGAACATACCCAAGGTAACAAACTGCACTGAAATACCCCAAAACCTGCGCACCAGGCGCCATAGGACCACCCTCTCCATCGTGGTTCACAGGAGCAGGCCTCCAAAGTCCCGTCTGCCAGGCGATAGCCCAGCCTCCGGCACCTATAACCGCAATCGCAATGACACTCAAAACATTCTTAAACCAAGCCTTTGCGCCGGACTCGCTCTCTTCCACAATCTTCGCCAATGCGCTGTCCGGGTGACTAGCGCGACGCTGATGAAGGTCTCTCTGTGATGCCGACGACCGTCTCCGTCGCGAACCTGGTATACTCAACTCATCACTGAACCGTCGGCCTAGTAGTGGTGTTGTTGGAGTGGGACTGTCGAGAGTTGATTCGACGCTATTTCGGCGCTGTTCGCGGCGCGCATTGCGCATGTTGTAGTACAGGCATTGAGAGATGAGGACGCCGTCAGCAATGCAGAAATAGACTGCGATTGCTAGTACGACGGGGACGAGTTGTGCCCACAGTCCGCCGACGAGGTTTGTCACGTCACCCACAAACCATACGACAAGGAATGCCATCGATAGACCTTCTGCGCTACCATATCGGTAGTTTTCGATGAGTTGCGGTACCTAATTCCGAACGAAAGTACTTGTTAGTAGGGTTTTCGGCCTTATTAGAGAAGGCTGGAATTGAAGGACGCATACGAGAAGAAACACCCAGCAGGTCAAGGATATCGAGCCTAGAACACCAGATGCAGCTTCACGAGAAGTAAGAGGGATGCTTTTCGACGCATCCTTCGCCAAGGAGAATATCAAGTTTGACATATTGTAGTCGCAATGGCCAATACAAATGGGCGAGCACTCTCTGCTGCCTAGAACGGCTAGAGAAAATCAAATTTTAGAAGACAGAAAATTGACACGTCATGTATGCGAAGCATAGATGCGGATAGCTATTGACATGGATGTTATTCTTGAAAAGCTGGAGATTTTTGTCCGAGATAACAATGGATGACAGCCGCACTTATGCGGGGCGGCTGGAAAAAGCCTGACATGACCTCGCTGCGTTCTGCATTCATGAATCGGTCGAAGCTTCGGTGCAACAACATGTCTCTATGTCCCAGTGGTTAAGGAGTCCGGCTGTTATCAGCGCCTGCAAAGGCAATGACTGCACACCGGAAGATCGGTGGTTCGATCCCACCTAGGGACGCTTATTTTTATGTTTTTTCTTCTAAGCCAATTATGTCCGTTGATTTGATTGTGATACCAGTTAATATACGAGAACGAAGAATTCAAACTATATATATATTCTACCTGATTTTGAACTATTTATGCTACAATGGCGAGAGGGCTCAATTGTTAGGATGTTCCCAGTATTCCGGCCGCATATGCCCCTGCCATTCAATCAGATCCACCACCATCTCACCCAGTATGTCTTGAATGGGTCCATATAGTAATTCTTCCCGGTCCTCAAAGGGATATATCCTTATCAGACCATCAACGTAGTTATTCACAGGAACAGGCTCGGTATCTTCCCAATTTCCGGGGTCTATACCGTGTTGTCGTACGAATCTTTGAAGCGGCAGGATACCAGGGCCGAGGAGCCATTGTCTGACCGCTCCTTGATCACTACTAGGCGGTGGGAGAGATGCTGTGGGATCCTCATCAACCGGCTCCAAGTCAGGAAGATCATCTATGCCACTGTGGTCGTCATCGTCGTCCATATGTTCTATTTCATCCGGATTCGCACGTCCAAGAAGATTCCTTAACCACTGCGGTTGAGCAGCCTCGGGAATCTGTGAGATGTACGACGGAACCGGATTACTTTGCTGACGATATGCCTCGGATTCATATGGGGGCAGTGGGTCGGAAGCAGAGATTCTGCCGGTTGTAAAGCGAGTCGGAAGATGAGTTGTAACACTAGGGATGTCGGAAAGTACGACATGGCGCGCTATGTCTAAAGTAATCTCTGGTGGTTCAATCGCCACTGACTCTTCTGAAAGGGTTTCTGCTATTTCCACGAGGAGCGCAAGAACCTCTGGTGTATTCCACAAGTCCTTGGCGCGGGATATATAAAGTTCGGCGAGTAGTTCATGAGACTGGGCCGGAGGCATCTTTCCCCATATTCTTTTGGGAATAGGCTGCACATCAAGCTCTTGAGCTAGCCGATTAAATATCCAAGGATAACGCGCCATGGCGGCTCGCAATTGCTGGCGAGCCTCTTTGGGCTTATTCAAACGTAGTAATGCTAGAGCCAGCGAACATTGAATGTTCGGATATGATTCCCAATCTTCCTTGAACACGGTTTCCGTGCAAAGAGAGATGAAATGTTCGTACTGTCGGCCCCTGAGTGCCAAATTGTCGATAAGCAGCCTCATACAATAAGGGTCTTTGATGTCAAGACTCAGGACCAGCTTGGCCCATTCGTATGCTGTCCGCCATGTTCCTTTCATGCCGAGGTTTGCGATATATCTCCAGATGGTGAGCCACAATTCTCGATTTTCTGTAAGTATAAAATCTAATTTTGCCTTTCCTTCTTGTAGTTGAGTATTAAACGAGGAATGAGCTGCGCGACCTATGTTGAACAACGATCTTTCTAGCAGATCAGCCGAGACAGCATGATCGCTTTGATGTTTGGCTATTTCAGAAACTTGAAGCAAGGTCGAAATATGGTATGCTATATCTTGTCAGTACCATAGCACACGGAATTTTCATAGAAATAGACGTACGGTTGTATTGCAAGAGCTGTATCAATCTCTGGGGATCCATAGACTCGACACACATATCAAACTGCATCTGCACGTCCTGATATGCTTTGTTATGCACAAGTCGGTATTGACTGCTACCATCCGGTAGTCTCTGCACAAGTTCCATCCCAAGTCCACCACTTGTCGTTCTCGGCCACTCATCCTTCCCTTGCATAAGTATGTTTTTCCTCATGGTCACCCCAGCAAGACTCTGTCCTCTACTAGCGGGGCTATATCGCCCACTCAAAGCTTTGCCCAGGTCAAGCATTTCTCGTTGCCGCTCCCTTCGTCGTCCAGTTCCAGCATCCTGTTCCTCAAAGGATTCGAGAACAATATTTCCAAAAAGTTTTCGCATTTCGTTCATCGCATTAAGAGACTTTGGTTCGATGGCAAGGAGTTCGGCAGGCGATTTGGCGAATGCATCTTCCCTCGCGGAAAGCGCAGGCTGCTTCTCGCTCGAGACGACAGCGGTACCATTTTTGACCGCTAGGTCCCTGAGTGCTCGATCAATATCATCCAGCTCCTCCACAGCTACCTTTTCCGGCTCGGCGGCAGATTTCTGCGTTGCCTTCTTCTTCTTCTTCTTTTTCTTCTTCTTCTTGGCTGTTTCTACTGTCGTAGTCACTGTAGAGGTCTCGATCTGAGCATTGGATGTTTCTTTTGATACCGTCTCATCTTCCGAAGTTTGATCGTCATCGTCATCTCCGCCGGCGGCATTCAGCAAGTCGAAGGCATTTAGTTTCTTCTTTGGAGGAGCTGGTATGGATTCGTCATTTGAACTTTCGTGATCTTCAGCTAGTTGGAGCTGCACCTCTAGTTCGCGCTGCTTTTGCAACTTTCGTAACGCTCTGGCAGACATTTCGGTGTTTCATGAGTAGGATTTCAAAGATCTCGAATGTGTGTCATTGCAAGCCAAATGGTCTGATAGTGGGGCATGAACTGATCATTCAGATGATGTTGAACGGCGCACTGAAAAAGACATGATAATAGTGATAAAACTCTGAAATATCAGGGATCACTTCTTTGAGGGAGATATATTTCGAACGAAAAATAAAATACAAAATAAGAAAAGGTGAGTCTGGTGAGATTTTGACAAAGATCGAAACATGACGACATCGCACCAATCAGCGGCGCGATTGATAAAGGGCAAATCACGTGACCCGCTTGCTATTATCTTGCAGGATCGCTCTACAATCGACAGACATATTCATTAATGGCAACCATCATCCTAACATAATCATATTTTCAATGCGTCGTGCTGTTTCCCAAGGTCTACAGGCCTTCCGTACTGTTCGCTATAGTACACCATGGAGAACCGGCGGTAGGCGATCCTCCCGCGCCTACTTCTCCAGTGGACAGGCTCTCGCTCTTCACAAGAGACAAACACCGTACATACCAGCTTCACTTCATGCCTCCATGCACGTCCGAAACTTTTCGCTCGCTTTTCTCTCGACTCTTGTTGCCTCGGGCGCTTGGTATGCGTACAAGGGGACACAGCAACAGTCCTCGTTCTTGAATGGCACCACCAATCTTCAATCGCGAGGAATAGCGGATACGACAACGGAGACGGCAACTGGGGAAGCCACCACTTCTACCCGCCGGGCTTTGCTAGTTGAGAACGATCAGTTTTACACTGCGGTGCTGTCTGGTGATCAGCCTATTGCTAAACAATCGGACGACTCAGATAGGAGGGTACTCGAGATGTTGACACCGGAGCAAGCCACGCAAAAGCTGCGTAAGAACGATGAATCCTATCTAGTCAGCCGCGGACGAGGTGTTGTTCGATATGATATTACGCAAGTGCCGAGTAACTCGCCTATTGAAGACGATCATGCAGAGAAGATTGTCGAGGTTCCACTGGCTACAACGCAAGATGGATCCGCTAACAGTGACTGGATGTTTTGGGGTGTGTTTGATGGTCACTCGTAAGTCTACTTCCCGGTTTATATATCCATTAACTTGCTAATATGCTTGAAGTGGTTGGACGACATCCGCCAAACTGCGAAACGTCCTCATTTCCTATGTCGCTCGCGAACTCAACACTACCTACAAGGCCGCGGCTACAGATCCCTCGATCAAGACCCCTTCACCGGAAGCTATCGACAACGCGATAAAACAAGGATTCGTCCGCTTGGATAATGATATCGTTTATGACAGTGTCGACAAGGTCATGAAATCCAATTCCCGCCGTGTCGCCGCTGAAATTCTAGCACCCGCTCTCTCTGGATCATGCGCATTGCTCGCTTTCTACGACTCTCAATCTCAGGACTTGCGTATCGCAGTCGCTGGGGACTCACGAGCTGTCTTGGGTCGCCGCGGACCCAGCGGTAAATGGGTCGCAACCGCCCTGTCAGAAGATCAGACAGGTGGAACACCATCCGAGATTGAGCGTCTTCAAAAGGAACACCCTGGCGAACAATACGTTGTGCGAAACGGCAGAATTCTAGGACAACTCGAACCCAGTCGCTCATTTGGCGACGCGTTCTACAAGTGGACGAGAGAAACACAGGACAAGATTAAGAGCCGCTTCTTTGGACGTACACCTCATCCGATGCTCAAGACGCCTCCATATGTCACTGCCGAGCCCATCATTACCCGAACCAAGATCGATCCCAAGCAAGGCGACTTTGTTGTGCTAGCAACTGATGGTTTGTGGGAGATGTTGACCAACGAGGAAGTCGTGGGACTTGTAGGCCAGTGGCTCGAAACCCAACGCGTCGGAGATAGTGGAAATCGTTCGTGGTTGCAAGGTCTTTTCGGGTCTTCTGAGACCAAGCAACTGCCAGTCGAAAAAGCTACCGAAACGAAGACCGCGGGACAACGACCACCGATTCGTCAACAGCAGTACGACATTTCCGGAGCTGCGCAGCGATTTGTGGTTGAAGATAAGAATGCCGCTACTCATTTGGTGCGCAATGCTATGGGAGGAAAGGATAGAGATATGGTGTCGGCTTTGTTGACGCTCCCCAGCCCATACTCAAGACGCTATCGGTGAGTTTTATCTTCTGTTACATTACTTCAAGCCTTACTGACTGATTCAAGGGACGATATTACCGTGGAAGTCATCTTTTTCGGCGAAAGCGCGAATGATGGCAGCGTCACCATCAACAAAGAAGCTACCGCATCAGCCGAGTCAGCCAAACCAAAGCTATGATGCTGATACAATTGAGCTATGTATTCCAATTCTTCCATATTTCTGCTTTGTGGTTGGGGGTTCCAATGCCTCGACAAGAATAATGGGTCAGGCGAAAGGTTGCAATCATCAAATCTTGTTCTAGTTATATTGATGGCGTTTGGCGGGTTAATCTTCTAGGTGTTATCCCACATAGTAATGTACATGATGTGATTGATATGAGCTCGAGTATTCACATGTTTTTCGAACTGAAATGTCTAGAATGAAACTTCTGGACCAACTTTTAAAGTATGAGATGCACGGCGTTCGTTGTATAGTCTGGTCGAATTCCCCTTTAAGACTTGTTACAGCATAGCGTCTGGTGATAATGGTATATTGCTCTGCTCATTTTCTTGCAAGTAGAGCCTTGGTTGGCGGTGGCGTCTCTCCAGGCTTCAACGCACGGACATGCATCCTAGGCAAAGCCTCAAGCGGCTTGTTCACAAACAAGAAACGATCATAGAACTTGTTCTGTAGCATTGCCGTATTCGTACTGACGATCCAGTACAGCATCATGCCGGCAGGCATACCTGACATCCAGGCAGAGAAGGCAATGTAAGGCGCCAAGATCATCAGAAATTTCTTCATCCCGATAAGCGCCGTAGAAAAATACATTTGCAAATCTCTTTTATCCGATGCTTCTGCTGCAGTCGAGGTTGGGAAGCCTAAGCTCACGTTTGTCAAAATGGTTAGACCGAGCATAGCGGGCAAAGCCCCCGTGGGATCTCCAGCCAACAAATCCGGGAACCATAATGCACCCTCGGTGGCCAACGAGGGTTCCACGCCCGGTAACTCGAAGCTAGGGACACCATCCTTGCTCGACATGGGAACCAGATACCGTAGAAGGCCCATATTGATACCACATATATTCCTGATACCTTCCATAAAAAACAACCAAATGGGCATCTGCACCCAGGTTATGAGGGAATACCAGCGAGAAACGCCCCATTCCTTGCGAATGGCAGCAGTCTTTTCATTCATTTGCTTGTATAATCTTTTAGACGCTTCATCGGATTTCATTTGTATTCTTGCCTCGACTTCTTCCGCTCTCATAGCATCTTGGTGATGTTTTACACAGCATTGTATAATAGGCTTTATGTCCTCCTCGCGACGCCGGCGGATACGGAACCAGATTAGTAGAGGGGTCATGCACATGCGCACACCGAAGGCGGCGAGGGGGATTGACGCTACCCATGGCAGGCCGGTGTATGCGTGAACGCTGTGAAGGCAGCTAGTAGCGGCTATAATGGCTTCTGGGATGAAGGCTGCCGGTCGAGTCGCATGGAAGTTGCGGACGCGTTGTGAGAGGATTGTTCGGGGGCTCACTGGTCGTCGAAGTTGAGACCATCGAGGTTTAAGGAGCGGCCGCATGTCGACTCGTTGTTGATTAGGAGTTCATTGATCAGCCAGGAAGAGCTGCAGCCGAAGCAGCAGGCGTGTGGTCAACTGCCCAGGTCGATGGTCAGTCGGTCGTGTGTTGGGCAAGTCAATTGATGTCGATAGAAGTGGTCTAGAGGCGCTCTAAACATAAAAGACAAAAGGTTTATAGTCGGTGGAGCCGCGTGGGGAAGGAGGTTTGGTTCATTTGCTGCGGCGGCTATCACGTGCCGCCGATAAGGCTGATTATGGTAATGTGTCCTGGTCAGTTGGCAAAGCAACTGATCCAGACGTTCTTTATTCCTTCTTCAACAAGAGATAGATACAGAGCTAAGTCTTCTCATATTCCTGGCTGAGAAAGACGAAATACGAATATGGAGTAAACCTCATACTCTGGATTCACCCCCGGGACACTGCGTCACTCATAGAGCCAAACAAACAAGCAAGCGAGGAATAAAAAAACATGGCATCCCTCACCACCATCGCCATCATCACGCTTCTGGTCCCACTCGTCACTTTCTTCCTCATTCCGGCTGCAGTGGGCTATATCCTTAAACTCGCTCTCCGCAGCCTAGGCTGGTCCTTGAAGAATAAAACCAATGCACGCAGGGAATTGATTCTGTCGCAAGTGCGCATTGAGGAAGAGCGTTATCTAGAGGCTGCTAAATCGGCGGCATCGTCTTCGGCAGGTCCGGAAGATGATGATTGGGAGAAGGTGGATGGCACTGTGCCGAGTGTCGCTGGGAATGGGAAGCCGATAGGCGAGGACTGGGAGGGGATTATGGGGTTCTTTCATCCGTTCTGGTAAGTTTCTTTCATTACATTTAAGAATATCTTGCTTACTAAATGATACTGTAGTAACGCCGGAGGTGGTGGTGAACGTGTCCTCTGGGCTGCAGTAAAAGCCACGCAGGAACGATGGCCGAAGGTTTGTTCATCATTCGGTTTTGTAGGTCTATCCACTAACTGAATCAACAGGCCGTATGCGCCATATATACTGGCGACCATGAAGTCACCAAAGCAGCCATGCTCGAAAGGGTTGAGGTTAGTCTACATTCTTTTCAAGGTGAACGAGTCTGACAGGCATTAGACCCGCTTCAATATCAAATTACACGCCCCAACAGTAGTCTTACTCTATCTCTCTACACGCAAATACGTCCAGAGCAGCATGTACCCCCACTTCACCCTCCTAGGTCAATCTCTAGGCTCTTTGATCGTGGCCTTTGACGCCTTCAATCTTCTGGTGCCTGACATTTTCATCGACACCATCGGCTACGCTTTTACCATTGCACTCTCAAAATACCTTTTTCCATCAGTGCCGACTGGGGCCTATGTGCACTACCCCACTATATCCACCGATATGCTAACCTCCCTTGATGACAACACGGGGATCAAAGGCCTCAATTCCGGTGCTGGGACTGGATGGAAGGGTATGGCCAAAAAGCAATATTGGCGCCTCTTTGCCCGTCTGTACGGCTGGGTGGGCAGTAAAGCGGACGTTGTCATGACAAACTCATCCTGGACATCGGCTCATATCAACTCCCTCTGGGGCCCAGCACGCCGCAACAAGAAATTGGCTTGCAAAGATGCGTCGGTCGTGTTTCCGCCAACAGCCGTCTCGGATATCAAGTCTGCTATTGACGTGAACGACTCAACTGAAGCAAGCCGTGAGCCTAGTATACTATACATTGCACAATTCCGCCCAGAGAAGAACCACGCGCTCATCCTCCGCGCCTTCGCACGCTTCATCCACAACCGCAAGAAATCACCATCATCAGCGACAGAGCCAAAACTGATTCTGATAGGCTCAGTGCGCCACTCCAGCCACGACGAAACGCACATTTACCACCTCCGCCTCCTAGCGCACGAACTCCAAATCCGCGACCAAACGACTTTCATCTGCGACGCAAGCTGGCCGACCATCCTATCGCACCTCCGCACGTCATCCATAGGCACAAACGCAATGTGGAATGAACACTTCGGCATCGGCGTAGTCGAGTACCAAGCCGCCGGCCTGATTAGCGTAGTGCACGACTCGGGCGGTCCGCGAGAAGATATCGTCATCAATCTAGATGGAAAGGGGGAAACGGGGTTCAGAGCGTCGACAGAAGAGGAATTCGCGGCTGGGTTTGAGGATGCGTTGTCGCTGCCGGCGGCGGAGAAAGTGGGCATGAGATTGAGGGCGAGGGAGTCGGCGATGAGGTTCACGGAAGAGGAGTTTGCGAGAAAATGGATTGCGGAGGTTGGGAAGTTGGTTGACCTTCGACGGAGGAAGTAGTTTTATTTCTTTTTCTACGTATGTGCCCTAGCTTAGTTTTCATCTTCGTTCGTAATGTTCGTTATCGAGGTAGGCTACCTGATCTTGTATTATTCATTTAGAATTGATATCTGCATAGAACGAATCGATTATGCAAGCTGACATTTGAATTGCCAAGGGTATTTCTGTTAATCTGTAAGAACTATCCCAAATTTGTCACGAACTACACCTGTGGTGCTCAAAACAAGAAAATTGCAGATAACACCCAAATTCCATGTCCCAGCCATCTTATGTTTCTCCCTATCAAATTCAAACAAGATTAGACTTGAATGCAGCAAGATGAATATCATAAGTCGTAAAGCGAAGGTAACAAACGCCATAACCCGCTCTATAAAGTGTAATGACCAATTGGCAGAAAAGAAAATCCAAAAGAACAAAATACCTGAAGCAAAAGGGTATTGATGATGGTATTATTGATTCCATTCCTGTCCCGTATAGTTCGGATCTGTCGCTTCCAGTCCGAAATTCGGTGATGAGTTGGGATGACTACCACTACCACCGTATATGGCGCCTTGACCTGACGCGCCTGTGAAACTACTTATACTCAAGTCGTCGTCGTCGAAGCCGAATTCTCCCCCTGAGCTTGCGTCGAAGCTGTTTCGGGCGCTCATATCACTGACATCGTCGCCTGTGGTGGCGATTTGATCCCATTGCAGGTTCTGAAGGGCGGGATACTGGGCTAGTAGTGCTGCTGGAAGAGTGAATCCTTGGCCATTATCAAGACCAGGGACCATCATCGGTTGTGGGACGGGTTGGAGATGTTGTTGCTGCGCTTGTTGTTCCATGAAAACTCGGTTTCGTTCAATAGCCTCTTCGTCCAACAACGCCTTGATACAAGCCCGTCCGGCTTCTGATCGGAAGTGGCGACCTAAAGCATCCGCTCGAGCAAAGCGTCGTCCACAACCCCATTGACCGCCAGAAGCAAGATCGCCGCGACATACGAATTTCTTCTCGCCCGAATGCAGACCTTCGTGTCGCTTTCGATCGTGTTGACGGGCAAATGCTTTTCCGCACACAGTACAAACAAAGGGCCGCTCATCCGTGTGGGTTCGAAGATGAGACCGCAGGTTATATGCACGCGTAAATCTCTTAGGACAGAGGTTGCATTGGAATGTAGCAGGATGTTTCTGGGTCCTCTTTGATTCACCAGGCGTGGCACCTGGTCGTTGCGGGTCGGCTAGATCAAGGATAACCTTGCGCTCAATGGAAGATGTAGACTGTCGACGTATCGACGATCTGGATGCCGGCGACACGCCTCGCGAGCCTGGATTGCTGCGCGATCCTCCCATAGGGTCAAAGGGCGAAAGAGACCGCCCAGGTGAACCTACTGCCGGATCCAAACTGCTTGTTGACGAGACGGACTGTGAATGGGGTCGAGCGATTGGCGTAGGTCGTCCAAAAGGGTCCGATTTACTTCGGCCACGAGATCCTCCTAGCACATGTAAGTCTTGTGAAACCATTAGAGAAAAGGGTAAACTTACTCGAAGGCGGAGACAAAGCATCAAAATCGTTTTCACCTCCTGGACCAAAACTAGGCACTCTTGAAGGAGGCGCAAACTCCACATTAATCGACGGAGGTGGCACCATATTGCTCATCTGGTTCGGATCAAGACCTGACATATCCGTCACCTGCATACCAGCAAGCATTGCATCATCCGGCTGTCCTACGTAGATGTCTTGAGAAAGCGCAGGGAACTGAGTCATATTCTGCTGTCCACTCAACATGAATGCGTCACTGTTAATATCTTGAGACGGAATTTGCGGTGAGACGTAAGGGCTATGATGAGGACTCAACCCCTGCTGCTGTTGCTCTGAAAGCGTGAAACTATCCATCGCCAACGTATTGTCATAAAGCACAGGATCGTTTTGCGCTCCTAGAGATGGCGAGGTGCCTTCCAAAGCATCGAATGACTCATGATGCCCGGCATACGGCGAATGATGGGATACAGACGACACATCTGAATGTTCCGAAGGGGCACGGCGATGACTCTGAAAAGAGGGGTTCTCTAGCATGTTCTGCCACTCTTGTGTCTGGTTATGATTAGACATGTATGCCGCACTCATCGGGTCTAGAGAAGCGCTTCGAGAATGTGCTGGCGAGTAGAAAGGCCCGGACGAAATGGGCGGTGAAGTATGACTATTGCCAGGGGAAGAGTGATGTTCAGGCGACAGTAGATTATGAGGCGATCCCATCGGGCCCATATCCCCTTGACCCATCAACTGAGCATTTTGTGCATTATGTTGTTGTTGTTGTTGCTGCTGCTGCTGCTGCTGGTCCAACAACAAAGACGTATCAAAAGTCGGTTGCATGCCCGTATTATCACCGGCCACGGCATACTGCGTGAAATCATAATCATTCGTATTCGGATTTATTAAATTCGAATAGCTTGCGTCTTGGAGAGTCGCCGACGGATCCAACTGATCCTGAAACGTCGCCGCAAAGGAAGAAGCGAACTGATCGTTTTGCGCGGCGAGGTTGTCGTGTTGTTGGGCGGAGGTAGTGGCAGATAGGAAGTTGTTATAGAGATCGGGATTATTCAAGTCGGGCGCAAGCGACGACGGCGGCGGCGCTGCTGTGTATGCGAGATTTGGCTGGTAGCCCGTTCCTGCTGTAGAAGCATCTAGCATGAGCCCCGCGGCAGAAGGGTTCTGATATGGCGAGTGCTGGCCGTGATGCGGTGATGGGCTGACATTGCGGCTATGCACGCTCGCGGACGGGGAGCGACCGCGATTGGCATATTGGCCATGGCTCTCCATGGCTCAATTGAGTTGTGCGTAAATGAGAAAGAAGAAAAAATTGGAGAAAGGGAATTCAAAATCAAGGCTGTGCTCTGTCTCTTGAAACTGGCGCATGAAGATATATAAGGAAGTGAGCGCGGTGTTGTTCGTTCCCTGACTAAAAGTAAAGTGTGAGGGGCAGGAGCCGAGAACACGAGGGAACAACTACCTAACCCTCCCTTGGAGAAAGTGTGGCTGCGGCGGACAGACAGGGAGAAAACGGCGTGATAGATAAGCTTTGGGTCACGGGCTGGACCCTTTGAAGCGAGGATTTGTCAAGGGTCGTGCCGGAAAGAGGACGTGAGACGAGCGAGATGGACAGAAACGGGCAAGAGTCGAGAAAATGCCTTGCGATCAGCCTTAGGCTGCCCACATGCAATACGCTATAGAGAGGTTCCTAGTATTGGTGGGGATCAGCCGCACCGACTAGGCAGAGAGCAGTTAGGTACGTGGGAGACTGTCCAGGAGTTGAGATGAACAGTGAACAGCAAGACGAGCGATGACTGGTCGGCGGTGTGATTGTGGTGCTGGTCACTTACTGACTCGTAACTAGTATATTATGAGTAGTAGTTGCGATGAAGTCTCAAAGAGCGGGCGTGCCTTGAGACCTAACATATCAGGCATCAATTTAACAACTGATTCGCTGAGGTCACCACTCTAACAGCCAATCACCGCCCGTCCTCTCAGTTTCCTCATTATCCTCATACCTACTGATTAGTTATGACTATGTTACTACGTGGTAGTTCACTGCTCGTGCCCAAGCAGCATCAAAAGGAACGTCACTCTGCAATATGATCCTCCGATACAAAGTCGAAAAGAGGCTAGTGCAGTCTCCATAATCCCACGTCGCGCATAGCTCAGCCACACTCCCTCCAAGCCCTAGATTCACTAGATCCATCGTGAAACAGGCGTTTCGATTGAAGAATGGGCCAGGAATGGTTCATTTTCCGTATTCGAATGGAGAATAATAAATAAGAATCCTGCTGCCTACGCATGCCATATCATTCCATGGATGTCCGGAGCTCTTTGATTGCCGAGTCAATTTCATAGCTAGCTGATTTAAAATACGTAACTTATATATTTCCTAGTTATTAATATCCTTTTTTTATTTTACCACGGGCTTGGAAAAGCTGTAAATCCGGGTGCCATATTCCCACAGAGGCAGAAAACAGATTCGTAGGGTTCAGTCTATGGATAATGTGAAGTCTAGATTTGACGCTGATGGGTTGATCCTGGTTCTACCATGTAGAAGGAATAAGATAGGATATACCAACCAGCATATTCTCATATCAGGAAATTTGGATTTCTCCAGACTTGAAAATTTCGAAGTTCTAGTTCTAGAGAAATCTGACTTTGAGTCATTTCTTAATTGATCCACATGATCCCGACTTTGATTTCAATTCAATTTTCAATAAAGACACACCCAACTTTGACCTCGATCCATTTCCCCATATAAACACAAGTGACTCCAACTAAGGATTTGAGGCAGATGCAAGTCAGATGCAAATGGCTGCAAGGATGGTCCCATTTGCCTTGTCTCGTGTCTCGAGGCAGACCTTCACATTGGCAGAGCGAGACGACTTCTGAAAAAAAAAAAACATAATCCAGATACCTTCCCAGAGAAAAGAAATAAGGTATGGTTCACTCCTCTGGAGAAAATAATCAATCAGCACTAGTCATGTCTGAAAAACCTAAGTTGGAACATTTGTAAAACCAAGGCACACCCCATAGACGGTATTATCGTGCAACGAATATATCCGGTGGGAAATTGCTATAGTCAGTATAGAAGTATACTGACCTTCTAAAACGATTAAACATCATTCCTTAGACCTTTAGGTAAAATCTCCCGACTTGGCAACTCGATCAAACTATGTAGTGTCTCTGTTAATACGTCCGGTTCAGACGCAAGCTAGAGATAGTGAAGATCATAAAGCCCAACACTGGCATATATGAGTCAACAGTCAGTCTTGCTAGGTAGAGCAACTCTTCATCAACAGACTTTTCATAATTAGCGCTGTACTGTTTGTCTTGAGTCAATTTACGCCACACCCTCAGTGTCCTATATATATCTTGTATCTGGCCCCCCAAATCATCGAGAGTCAATAATCTTCTGTGAACATTTGATTCGAGTAGTAAAGGCAGGCACCTTAATCTGGGACAAGAGAAATTTATTGATAGAGCTAGATAACATGTTCATTTAGAAGCATTTATCGGTAGAGTATTGTGGTGTCCATGAACGCGGCGGACCTTCCTATTTGAATAATCTTCGTTCCCAAATAGTTCTAAAGATGCTATTATAAAATAAAACCGTCAATCTATAGTAATGACTCCAAGTCCTGGGATATCTCACATTGCCACTGCACAAAGCCAATTGAACTGGTTGTCCATCAAATTGTACGACTTGTGCCTGCTGCTCAGAACTTCAGTATCTCATGGTTCAAGGAATGATAAATGATTGATAGCAATAGTCTTGGTCAGCGGCGGTTATGGAACCGTGCAGAAGTACATAGTAAACCCTTTATGTTACTTGGGAGTCAAAGTCAAAGCCTTTGCCTGGAATGAAAAGAAAATATACCGTGCGGTCCTCGAATTACCAAACATAGAGCTGGCGCAAGGTCAAGTTGTTTTAACCCAGGTTAGCAAGACTGGGTAAGATCAGCGTTAGATTTCTGAGACTAGGTTTGGCTTGATAATTGGAGCCAACCTGAAACAAAGGTCAGGTTGAGTTCAGGTTGGTCTAGGACTGAGCCCAACCCTAATATGCTATGCCACCTCGAACCAGGTAGGGCTTCATATTGGCCTTCAAGGGATTTCAATCAGTTCCTGCTTAGGATCATATTCAGCCTGGTAGATCATAAAGTGATACAACTCGAAAAAAAAAACAAGCCCATACTTTGTAGGTAATATTTACCAAGGTACAGTGATTAAACAACAGCCAATTACTTAGCTAGTCACTATCGAATAGTCTGCCCCCTTCGCCAGTCCCTACTTTAATAACAGTGAACTCGTTAACACATTGCGATGAGAAGCTGATTCATGTCCGTCTTCCAGTAGTATAGTAAGATACTCAATCAGCTGATCAAGGCCAAGCATATATATGCGGCTCAGCTCGATTATCATACTTAGGTCCATTATATCCCCGCATTAATAGATATTGACCCCACAATTTCGACTTTATACTCACAACATAAGAAATCAACACCGTATCGAATAAGACCTTGCAACGTTGCCAGTGACAAAGCAGTGAATATGAGGGAGGAATATCCACATCATTGACCCGCTGCACTCAAACCCCCGCAACGAGGAGACCATCTTCGTCCCCGTCGTTTCATGCGATGGAGTTCTGAACAAATATATCGGCATTCTGATCGACAAATTTACCGAGTCGTCATGTGTCAAACGCAATGGACTCCATCCAAATATTGAGCTCAAGAGCATTACCGTCGGTAAATTAGAGTCTGTTTGAAAATCAGTTCAATGTGTTTTCCCGAATTCGTTCGACCGCCACGGGCTTCATATAAAGGATGTTTATGGCATAAACTGAGACAAGTGCGGATTATCGCTCTGGATTTCGGTGATCAACGCCCCAGTATCGTCAACAGATATACGGCCAAATTCCTAATGACTTAACTCGTATTTTCGAGCAGTCTACTGCATGGTGAAGCCTCCGAACATTTTTATCTTACCGCCGATCAAGCACCATACCCCTCTTTGATCCTGAGATAATATGACGGCATATAGGTTACATCACAGTTATTTTAAACGATAGTCAAATGATCGGTTAAAAAGATGTGAGATTGAATTACCCGAATTTGAGTGAAGATATCGCTCCTTCATAGTGTGCTTCCGAAACAGTATAAAGCCTGCTTCAGTGGCTAGCAGTTGAATCGACACCAACTCAAACATCGTTTCTTCAAAACGCAAGGGATACTTGTATAGTCTCAGAAAAAGATTCAATATGACGTCCAAACATAGTTTCGAACGAGCCGGCATACTTGCGTTGGGCCTTGTTGCTACAAGCTCTTTTGTTGCCGCCGGCCCTTGTGACATCTACTCTTCAGGTGGCACACCCTGTGTTGCCGCTCACAGTACTACTCGTGCACTCTACGATGCTTATAGTGGCCCGCTGTACCAAGTGATACGAAATTCTGATAGCAGCAAGACTGATATCTCCCCATTGGCCGCCGGCGGCGTTGCAAATTCTGCCGCGCAAGACTCCTTCTGTTCAGGAACAACTTGCCTCATATCTATCATCTACGACCAATCTGGAAAGGGCAATCATCTCACTCAAGCTCCGAAAGGCGGTTGGAGTGGACCTGGACCAAATGGTTCAGACAACTTATCCACCGCGACCAGCGCTCCAATCTACCTGAACGGACAAAAGGCGTACGGTGTGTTTATTGCACCTGGTGACGGCTACCGTAACGATAAAACCTCTGGCATAGCTACTGGCGATGCAGCTGAAGGAATGTACGCCATCTTTGACGGAACACACTACAACGGTGGTTGTTGCTTCGACTACGGTAATGCTGAAACCAGTGGTACTGATACAGGCGCTGGTCATATGGAGGCTATCTACTTTGGTGACTGTAATGTCTGGGGTACTGGTTCTGGATCAGGTCCATGGATTATGGCTGATTTGGAGAATGGTCTCTTCTCCGGTTATAACGCCAAGCAAAATACCAATGATGCATCCATCACTTGGCGATTTGTCACTGCAGTTGTGAAGGGTGAGCCAAACAATTGGGCAATCCGTGGTGGCAATGCCCAATCTGGTTCTCTCTCGACATACTACAGTGGCATACGCCCATCAGGCTACAATCCAATGCACAAAGAAGGCGCCATTATCCTCGGCACGGGTGGTGACAACAGTAACGGTGCTCAAGGCACTTTTTACGAGGGCGTGATGACTTCTGGCTACCCTTCTGATTCAACTGAGAATTCCGTTCAAGCCAATATCGTTGCCGCTGGTTATTCCACATCCCCTGGTAGCCACACAACAACTTCCACCACCCTTATCACCACTACTACCACCCCAGTATCTGGAGCCGGTCAAACACACTGGGGCCAATGTGGAGGTAGCGGATACTCCGGTCCAACGAGCTGTGTTGCACCATACGCTTGCACAACCGCTAACCCTTATTACGCTCAGTGTCTCTAAGAGATAGCCATCATTCGTTTGATCTTCTGGACGCAGGGGAGTTGATTGTTGAGAATATTACGTTGGATCAATCAACTAGATCAAAAATAAACGCGCATACTAGATAATCTAGTATGGTAAGATATAGCTAGCAACGAGGATCACATATTGTGTAGAGCCAAGGAGGAGGACGATGTCTCAAGATTATACTATCAAGAGAAAGTTAACATAGCCTCTCATAACTCAAACAATCAGATATCTCTAAGATAGGAATGAATGAGAGTCATAACTATTTAAGGAAGATTCTTCCGTACGAAATTATTTCATGGTTTGGTAGAGTTTCTGGGCTTGTTTATAGAGGCAGGCTGTAAGGCTGTGAAATGAATGGTGTTGCAGGCTTGATAATCGATAAATCCCAGATGATTTGGTGAATCAATTCATCATGTTATATCATGTGCTTCGTGCATTCTCAGCTTCCCTGATACGCTCCTCCTATAACTCCAACTTGCTCTTTAGATACCCTTGTATCTCTTCTATACCCATTTCCTGTCTCAGGGGGCCGCTGAACAGATCCCTCACTCTGTGACCGATTAGCCCACATTCACCGCTCTCTCCAGCATTTTGTTAAGAGTGTCTTTTTCTTGCTAGAGGCCACTCCCTGTAATATGGAACACGCATCTCCAGTGCTAACCAACGTCCCCGGCAAGACAACACCCAGTTCACTCGCGGTACTGAGCAGTTTCTCCCTTGTATTTCTATGGATAGCTCTGCATGATTGACATGTATCCTGGCCTCCAAAATGTTCTCCCACCTCAAAAAATACCTGCAAATATACACATAGAGCCTTCAACGTGCTCTGCGCTGAGTCTGTCACGCGTGTGTATTCCAGCATAGCTATAAACTTGTATCGCTGCACATCTAGACGTATGGAACAGTTACTTCTGGGAGGGCAAGGGCCGTGAGGGTCATCGTTGTAATGTGTAAAATCCTTTTCCTCCGTGGGTCGATGACCAGGTATAATTGGGAGTACATTTCTAAACCACGCCTAATACGTGCCCAGCAGAGACACGTCCTGGCAATTGAGAATCTAAGCGCAAGAATTAAGGATGTCCCTCACAATGTATTAGGGTTTCCGGAGGGAACCTTCTTGAACTAGAACATAGCCTAGCTGGTGTTGATATTGCCTTCAATTTATTGTGGATTATACGGCAAGATGGCCGAGCGGTCTAAGGCGTATGTAACCCTTTGATAGCATTATCATAATTATGATTGTTATTAACAATCACTTAGGCTAGTTTTAGGTTCTCACACCTGTGTGAACAATTCACTAGTCCGAAAGGGCGGTTAGTAAACCTCTCGTACACGTTGAAGTTGAACAACATACTGATTAATCTTCAGTGGGTTCGAATCCCACTCTTGTCAAAAATTTCCTTTTTTTTTTTTTTGCTAATTTCTTGACACAAGATATCTGTGATTGATGTACTGCCTGCATTCTCATTTCTCTATCTCAGTTCTCTAGACGATGTGCGAAGCAATTTGACAACTCTATTCATCACCCTCTGCCTGACTGTTCTTGGCCCACTTGAGTCGTTCTCTCTCCGTGAGACTGTTATCTGTAAAGTCTCCTGGCGAACGGAACCTTTTCAACACTGGATCCTTGCTATAAGTAAACACAAACCGCCGAGGCTCATTAGCTGTTATGATCTGCTCCAAAGACATTCCCCACAACCAATCACAAAACGTATTGCAGACGTATGGTGCTTTCCAATACTTTGGTCCTTGTACCAGATACCTCTCGAAGCTTTGACCACTGTTCAGCTTTCCCGTGACCTTTATTGCTAAACGTGAAGCCGGATCAGAATCTCGAGCTGTCTTAGCAAAAATCTTCGGGTGTCGAATTCCTGGTGGACTGAATTCCGCTTGGACAACGAAGCCTTCGGTTTGGTTCACATCCTGCTGTTCGAAGGACAATACAAGGCACGTCCAGTGGTCAATGCGATAAAGATTTTTCCGCTTTTCATAACCAGCGTACCAGTGGCCATCTCCAAGTAGTTCTTTGCGGATGAGCTTGGTACTTTTCCGGTTATTGTAGGATTGCTTAGTGACTCTTTCGGTTTCCTGTTTCGTGATCGGTATAACTTCGGCCAGAAGAGGCTCTCTGTTCTTGTCAAAAAGGTGCTGCTGCACTTCAGTGCATTTCAGTACCTCAGATAGCTCTTCAACTGTCAGATCCTCGGTCTCGTCATCACCACCAATTAAGCTCTCGAATTCCTCGAAGACTAGTGGATCATCAACAACTGTTCCTGGGGGGTATTTATTTGAGGCTAAGGCCTCCTCAAATGTATCACCTGCCACCGAAGCCTGCCGTCCTGAGTTCTTGGTTCGCTTGGGAGCAGCGGTACTGTCTTGTCTATTGTTTGAATCACCGAATATATCCACTTCGCTAGGAATTGAAGTCTGAGTGGACGTTGGATAATTTTTCCGAATGCTATCTTGGGAGAGTCGCCTTGTGTCAAGAGTATCCTGTGCTGAATCTTTCGGAGTACGACTGGTATACTTAATTCCAGTGATAAGTGTGTACAGTCTTTTGCTTTCAGTAATGATGTCCTTCGAGAAAAGAGGCGCATAATTGTCGGGTCCGCCTACAAGCTTAGGCCTTGCCGTCCTGATCTTCTCGGTTGGCTTTCTTGGAAGTGTGCAAAGGAGCAAAAATAGTCCTTTCGATAATGAGCCCGCTAACTTCTCCCACCGCAAAATTTGGTCATCTGACTTGAGACCTTTTAGAGCCAGCCACGTCCTTATCTTGACATCAAGGTCGGATATCGTCATCGGCTCGATAGTCCCGCTCCTCTCAGCGTGGTGACGCAGAATAATGAGACGGCTGACCTGATGGCACATGAGAGCATGGTTGCGAACATTTGTCGTCTTGGTAATGCTCGTTATGAATGCCAAAACGTCCGACCACTCCCTGAGCGAATTCAAATCTCCGTAACGCCACCCGTCATGTATGTAATCGATGCATATGTAGAGCCTCTTGACCGTCAGTGAGTTGTTGATTACTTCAGACTCAACATATGCCTCAAGTTCACTGTACTGAAGCTGGATCGTGATTTTGTTTCCTCTGGTTTCCGGATTCAAGCATACATTTTTCGCATTCTCGCCGCAGAGCATGATCACTCTCATATTTGAACTTTGGATAAAGGTCGTATGGAATTGTGCAAGCGCAATGCGATAAGTGTCTGGCCATGAGTCACGGGTTGAGATGAATCGCGGCGAGAAACATTGCTGTAGGTCGGCGGTCCAAATGGATGCCTTATCAGCCGTCAAATAGCATTGAATAAATGTGTCTGGAACAGCACATATGTTATTATTTATGTTCGCACTATCCGTGGGCTTGTCGACAACACAACGGTCCAATACCACTCCTATCCGTGTCTTATTCGGGTCGCCAAATGGCGCGACCAATGGAGGACACTCGCTTGATAAACCCAAAGAAGCTTTGATATTATCAAGCAAAACTTTGATATCGACATCTGTCACAATACCGGTGTTTGTATCCAAGTCAACTGACTGGGTTGACATCGCAGTCGTTGATAGCGCTTTGAGCAGGGCCGAGCGGTGATCATCCCCTGACCAGATCCGAAGGTTTGCTTCTTGCTTTTGTTGATGCTCTGTAGCTCGAGTCCGGTTCGATTGTCTCATTTGTTCTCTGACAATTGGAAAACTATTGATATGAGGATCCTGTGATGCAGAACAATGATTGACATATAAACCGCGTTCCTCTCCACTTATGAAGAAATCTTGGAAGAGAGGGGGCAGGACATTCAACCCAAGAGTGCAAGTGCTATTGTCGTCAAAGAATGTGTTTATGACAGCTTGTGGCAGGGTTTGGAAAGCGTAGCACATCACCATTTCTAAGATATTACTTAGCATGCTGACTGCAATACGTGCGTTTCGATCCGCAAGCAGTTGCGGAGGCAGGCTCCACAGACGAATGAAGTTTGAGTGCCGGCAGCCATTGCCCATAAGAATGAAATAATAGTGCAATGTATCCTGCTTCTTCCTCCTGACTGCCGCTAGGTGTTGATGGAGCCTAATGCCCGGTTCTTCACTCTGACCGACGTATGAGCGCCAGAATCCCGGCTTGTTATTGTCTGTGACATAATCGCAATACCCACTTTGTTGTTGCCACTGTTCAAATGGCCCTTGCTTTTCTCTGATATCATCAAGCCTGGTGAAGATAGTAGATGGTAAGATATACAGTCTCAGGAAGTTTCAATCTCGAGTTTTGGAACGTACATTGGCAAGGAAATTTCTTGATCTTGGAGACCCAGTATCTCTGGAGCAATGCTCTCCATGGCGGATTGCACCACTGCTTCAATGCCGCCATGAATAGCAATGAGTTGCGAGTATTTAGAGAACCGCTGGTCCTTCCAATGGTCTTTCGATAATTTTTCAACAAGAGTGGTAATTATTTCACGAAATCGAGGTACTATGATCTGTGGTTGGAAGGATAATGATGTCTGAAGCTGTCATCAATCAACGTGAATGATGTACTCCATGATATAAAGGGTGACAAGTCCTACCTTGTGCTGAACTTCTGGCTCGTCGTGATGCAGAAGACTCGACCCAGAAGCTGGTTTTGAGGTCCCTGCTGGCGTCTCAATTTTTGCCTCCGAAGGCTCTTCGGTCGAATGGTTGACCGTTGTCGAGAATTTTCTTCTCTTTTTGGGGTCAACAATCATCAAAGAAAAAGAGGATACGCTTGGACCTGATATTGTACCTTTTGTTTTGGGTGTGGTGCTTGAGTTTTCGCAGGCATCACCAGCCCTGGAGACACAGCCCTCGCGGGTCTCTTCATAGGATTCTGGATGAAAGTCGCACCCGAATTCTTGTGACGACAGTTTTCAGATTTGTGGCCTGTCTTAAAACAGATCTCACACTCCTTCTGACAATTTCTAGCTATGTGGCCCATTCCACCGCACACGTAACACTCGACGGTGGGACATTGGTAGCTTCTGTGTCCGATTTGCTTGCAACGAAAACAGTGGTTTCTGGGACAGTCTTTTGTGTGGTGTGTATTGACCTCGTGACATATTTTACATTCAAATTGTGACGCGTAGAAGACCATTTTGACTGGAGTGACTGGGTGGATGAGGATGATGGAGATAATTGACGAAGGCTGTTGACCTAAATTAGGTCAGAGGTCTATTGACAATGGTTAACAAAAAGCTCTTATGCGGATTAGGCACCGCTCGTTTCTTGCCAAATACAGCAATCATGAGGGCTACAAACCTGTCGGTATCGCTCGGTCTCAGAATATGAAGCAAGGTTTGGTGCTAGGGTACCTAGGCAGTTGTAAGCCTACGGGGCTGAGCTGATAAATATGGATAAATTGCCTCCTTTTGACGACTGATTCCCAAGATAGTAGCAGGCAAAAGCAGGCTGTATATAAGCCTATGTAGAGACCATTGTAATCCATGCTCAACAATGCAGTGATATCCGTATGCTAAAACTAAGACAGTAGCTTACATAGACAGACAAAGATCAGTGAAATTATTTCTCTATTTAACAATGCAGTGATATCTATATATTAAAACTAAGACAGTGGTATATACAGACAGACAAAGATTAGTAAAGTTATTTTTCTGTTCAATAATATAGTGATATCTATATATTAAAACTAAGACAGTAGCCCATACAGACGGACAAAGATTAGTGAAGTTATTTCTCTGTTTAACAATGCAGTGATATCTATATATTAAAACTAAGACAGTAGCATATACAGACAGACAAAGATCAGTGAAGTTATTTCTCTATTCAACAATGTAGTGATATCTATATGTTAAAACTAAGACAGTAGCCTATACAGACGGACAAAGATTGGTGAAGTTATTTCTCTGTTCAACAATGTAGTGATATCCATACGTTAAAACTAAGACAGTAGCCCATACAGACAGACAAAGATCGGTGAAGCTATTTCTAGACCCTGAAGCACATCCAACTAAGTACTCTAGAGATTCCTTTTGGCATTGTAACACGTTCACCATTCCTCCGGCTATCTCCAGAGGGATTTCTTAGACAATCCAGGCTCCGTAGGACTTCTTCATGTTACTGGGTGCCTTTTCATCCCTGAGCCTCGTCCAAAAGACGTCCTTCCAAAATCACCTATTTTTAAAGCAAGCAGGCATTCAAGTATTCATTAGTCGGATATCCTACAAAGTCTTAACGATAGAGAATACTATCAAGATTGGAGCGAAAAGAGCCGGCTGGATCTATTGAGAATCAGACTGTCGGAATGTGAGCAATATCTCACTCCGCTTGGCCAATCTAGAAGATATGACTATCATAATATATAAACGCTCTTATACGTACATACAACGCTTTGAGTGCTTTACAATACCCCTCAAAAATTTTACAACCCTTTGTTATATATGATTCAGAGGTTGTATTTAGCTTCATATCTTTACCCACCTAGTCTCCAGTAATAAAGCATTGTGTCTATCGTTAGGATGGGTATACCAGTACGACCATGGGAAAGAGGCTTTACCTGGCTGTAAGTATGGCCATCCTTCCCCCATTTGGGAACTAAAACCAGTATCCAATTTGAAGTTATTTGTGACACTTTGCTCATTCCTAAACTCTAGGGCAGCTCTATCGACGTAGAACTAAGCATATAGAAAGAAAAGAAGAATGAAGGTTCTGTGCGAGAGCTCGCTAAGGCCCTCTCACCGCGTAGGCCTTCCTGGCGGTGCCTAATGGGAAGGCATGACAACAAAGGGATGGTCCGTCGCAAATAGCTCTTAGGGCTTAGGGCTCAGGAGTCGCGTCATGGCATCACAAAGGGCTGAGCCTGGCTCGCAAGAAGTACGGCCGTCACACTATTTAGCCATATTGATTAGTCCATCCTTGTAGGCTTGTTGAATTAGCCTTACACCAATCCCGGTCAAATGCCCCGGGACCGTGTAGAATCAACACAGACTACTTTCTTAATCGGGACTTATGAAACGAAGTCAGGTAGGAAAGTGATTGCACAGCAAATATATAAGCATATAACTAATACTAATTAAATAATCAGTAGCTAATTATACTTAGTGAGCAGAAATACAGACCAAAATTTAGTTACATAATAACACTTTGCCAAAACCTGGCTTTGTAGACCGAGATACCCATCAATGTTGTTGTTCACAAGATACATTTTGATCGGAAAAGTTCAAGGCAGGATCGCTACTACCACCTACTGTCTGTTAACAGTCAATATGTTCCGGATGAATAGTAGTAGGGGCGCGTGGCGGAAGGATCTACCAGTAAAGGAAACACGCAGAAAGAGAAGTGTTATTTCGCCATACTTTTTATTTTCAGCATTCTGGGTTACCGAAACCCAAGTCTACTTGACATTGTAACCCTAAGCCCAGCACCGGTTTTCTGGTTTCTATCCAGTAAAGATGATTTATTTTGGGTGTCTAATTGATTCTGAACGACCTTATGTCTGTTGGCTTAGTTATAAAATACATAGCGTAGCTTTGGTGAGGACTCCAACCTGGACTTCATTATCCTAGGATGCCGAAACCCAGTCACAAGTATGACCAACCAGAAATTAAGAACTACTCAGTTCTCTATTACGCCTACTGGGAAATCAATATGAATAGTATCGATTGGGGAATATGATGGGTGTTTCGAATCATCTACTACCGATTGTGAGGCAAAAAATAACATTAAAGCAAGATAAGTAAATCAACCTGCCTATTTGTGAAAAGCCTCCTCGAAACCCTAAAGAGGGCAAATTATTACCCCATCGGAAGAGGCAGAAACTAAAGCCCATTAAACTTTCCGGCGGGGGACTTTATAGCCCCTAGACCTAAGAGGAGAAATGAGGCTAAATGAAGGACACGGCCAATCATTTTGATGATTTCTGATCATTTGCCCATCTCTACATAGTAGTTGATCTTCCGGACAATGTGGTTTAGGAGCGTCCAGGGTTCTTTCCGAGCTCCAATGGCCCATGAATGCGGGGTGAAACGGGGTCGAATGTATTTCCCCAACCGGGAGTTGAGATTTTACGAGTACATGCCTCTATATATATACATATATTCCATAGACAAACCGACTGTCAAGTGATATCGACCTCAACTCGAGTACTAATTTCTCACAACCCTACAACGGGCTTGGCATTCCATGCTATCCTGACTTTCTTCTTTTCTTTCTTAGTCAAAACCGCCGCCCTCTAATCTTGTCGATATACTTTCCCCCGGCCTAATCTACTATGAGGCCCGGAAACGAGAAAGACCATGGCCCTGTGGCACACGTGGAGAACGCACCTACAGATGAGCCACTTAAATCGGATGAGCTTGCGAAGGAGGCAGCTCATGAGGAACATCAATTGACACTCGCGAGCGCACTGCGCAAATATCCCAAGGCGGTCATATGGTCAATCCTCCTCTCCACCTCAATCATCATGGAAGGCTACGATATCGTTCTTATGTCCTCCTTTTTCGCCCAACCAGCCTTCTCCCGACGATATGGCCAGTACATCCCTAGCAGCGACAGCTATCAGATCACTGCGTCCTGGCAGAATGGTCTCAGCAACGCCGTCTCTGTAGGTACCATCATTGGCGCCTTCGCCAATGGATATTTTACCCATCATTTGGGCTACCGCAAGGTGTTACTGGCCAGTCTGGCCGCGATAACCGGCTTTATCTTCATTCCTTTCTTTGCACCAAACCTGCCCGTGCTTCTGGTCGGCGAATTCCTCTGCGGCATTCCATGGGGGGTTTTCGCGACGATGGCACCAGCATATGCCTCAGAGATTTGTCCCATGGCCTTACGCGGTTACCTCACCGTATATGTGAACCTTTGCTGGGCCATTGGTCAGCTTATCTCAGCCGGAGTGCAATCTGCGTTCAATGGAAGCAGCACTGAATGGGGATACCGCGTGCCCTTTGCCATCCAGTGGGCGTGGCCAATTCCATTGTTCTTAATTTTGTATTTTGCTCCTGAGTCGCCCTGGTACTTCGTCAGACGCGGGGATTATGTCGCGGCTGAAAAGAGTATGATCCGGCTTGGCTACTCCAGCTCTAGCGGCGAGGTCAAACAAAACCTGGCGATGATGATTCACACCGATGAGCTAGAGAAGCAGGTCAGCGAAGGCACAAGCTATTGGGACTGTTTCCGAGGGGTTGATCTGCGTCGTACCGAAATTGTGTGTTTGGTGTTTGCCGCACAGCCGTTCTGTGGCTCCGCTATGGGGGGAACACCTACATACTTCTTTGTGCAAGCCGGTTTACCGACTTCAATCTCATTCAAGATGTCAGTGGGCGGACTCGGGCTTGCTTCTGTCGGAACAATCATCTCCTGGTATCTCTTGCACGCCTTTGGTCGCCGTACTCTGTACTTATGGGGCCTCGGCCTTCTTACTATAGTCTTAATGGTTGTTGGTTTCGTGTCAGTTGGGGCTGGGAATTCCGTGGGTGGGAACTATGCCCAAGCCACGATGATGCTCATCTGGCTTCTCGTCTACTATCTCACTGTGGGCCCAATCTGCTACGCAATCATCAGTGAAACCTCTTCCACACGCCTCCGGAGCAAGTCTGTTTGTCTGTCTCGAATTACATACTACATCGCCCAGATTATCTGCAATGTCGTCAATCCGTACATGCTCAACCCCACCGCAGGAAACTGGAAAGGCAAGACTGGATTCTTCTGGGCTGGTTGGGCATTCGTGTTTTTCATTTGGACCTATTTCCGCCTACCTGAGACGAAAGGTAAGACATTTGAGGAATTGGATATCTTATTTGCTAGGAAGATTTCAGCTCGAAACTTCGCCAAGTATCGCGTTGATGCCTACACCGTGGGCGACGCAGCTCTTTCCAAGGTGGAATGAGTGTCTCAAAGTCTGGACGAAATGTCAATTCATATGATAATTTTGCAATCTCCTTGCATTTCTCCGAGTTCTTCATAACATGATTTATATATGTAGTCTAAATTGATTATGCTTTCATTGCGTTGACTTGCGAACTACCAAACTGCCTACACCTTCCAAATTGTATGGGTAACACAAGCTGTGAAAGCCTTGCCCTTCTTAGCGGAACGCGATATATGTCACAATATCGTCGAGAGCTAGAAGCGAAACCGGGAATAAATTAGGTGTCTCGAGAAGCATTCCGCTTAAGAAGATTCTACCACTCTCTTTGATGCACAAAGCTGGAAGTCTCAAGAACCCCTTCGAACGTTATTAAGGTATTATGTAACTGGAATTGTAAGAATGATAAAGCCGCTCAGTTTTTTGAAAAATCATGAGACTTAGTTATTCAACTCGCTTCAATTAGACACCGTATTGTGGCTGCCCATGTTTGCTGGATACCCCAAGTTTGGAAGTTGGTATTCCCGCTCGCGCTGCTTGCGCTGTTTCTCCCTGAGTACTTCTCCCCTGCGAGTAAGTAAAATCCTTGTTTGAGGATTTTTATTGGCGCACCATCACTGGTAATATCTCCAACCCCTTTCAGTTGAGCGGACACCTTGTTCCCCATGCGGATGTACATCTGTACAAGTTCGTCATCCAGAGGTCGGTCGAGATATATCAAACGCGGCTCGGCATCCGATTGATCGGTTCCAGCATAGTCTTCACCTGTGAGTGAGTGAAGGTTAGTGTTTTCATTCAGCGATGGTTGATGGTTATGACTTTCGTTCTGCTGAGTCGTACTGGATTGTGCTCTGACAGTTTGTGAAGAAAGACTATATGCCCAAAGAAGGAGTGTGGTGATATAGACACCGAATGGTTCGATAAAACTATCTGTGCTGAAGCGACGAACATGCCATAATAGAGCTCCAGCATGTATGACCGACAGCCTGGCCTTGAATTGATCTCGAATTGCCCATTGAAACACCTGGCTACGGGCATTCTCAAACCTGTCTTGGTTCGACGTACTGACAGAGAGCCCGCTGCGAGCGCGCAGCAGTGGATCTTGAGCCAGGATTTGAAATTGCATGCATGGAGCCAGGAGGATTAGTCTGGCAAGATGCAGGTAGAAGATGGTGGGCTCTTCACGGCATGATTCGGCAGCACGGCTGTTCGCGGTACAGTGTAAGACGTCCAGTGCATCACAGGCAGCGTTGCGCCACTTGATGAAGATACTGCTTGACGGTGGCCACGTCACTTGGTTTGAAGCTAGATCCGGGCTTGATATCTGTATGCTGTCGGTGGGACTCCACGACAACAATCGCATGCGACTCTGATCGGCAACCTCTGTGGTTCGCCGGTAGATAGCATGGATAAGAAGAATCTGGCTGAACTGGCTGAGCTGCGGAGGCAGCCGCTTTTCAATGTAAACCAGATCGAGCGCATCCAGAAGAGAGACTGTCAATATATTTCACCAGGTGTCAGACCCAGTAACTCGTTTCTGTCTTGCGCGGAGTCAACCCAAGATGGAGTACTTACTGGAAACACTTTCAGCAAAGGCTATATTTTCAGGTAACGGATGATCCCAGGCTATTTCAGGGCAGGGCAACCATCCCCTGATATCTCCTAGCTTCATAAGGTGGTTGCAACTCAACTCGTAGGCCACAATGGAATCTAACAGCTACAATCACCGTTAGAATACGACGGGTGTGTTCTTCGGAAAATTTTTGTTATCGTTCTTAATCTAACAAGTTCACTCACCCATATCATCATCCCGGTTCTCAGCGAGGATTGCTCCTTTACCCACTGTTGGGTGTCCTTGCCGGTACCCGGGGGAAAGACATCAGCAGAATCTGGTACTAGGCTTAGATACGAGCACCATTGCACTAAGTTGGCTCGCTCAAACATGGCATGTTGGGCAATGAAAGTCGTGCTACTATGAAGCATACAAAGCAAATGCAAAACCTTGGCCTGGATCAGGGGCAAAAACTCCTCCATTTGGTTCGCTGTTTCAAGGATATTGTTGGCAGGTACCGTTGTATTTACCGAATGTTGGAGTTGATGCAGGCGGCGTGATGAAACCTTGTCTAGTACTTGCATCAGACTGTCTTTCCACTGTAAGCCCTCCGGCGAGCGTAAATATACAGCTCCTACCCCGGCCACCGCAAGCGAAAGTATCCAATGTGGCCTCTCGTTTATGAAGGTAGCTTTGCGGAGGAAAGGGAAGGTTGGATGCAGGCGCTCGAAGTAGAGATGCACGCAGCGTCGAAAGACCTGTAAAGATGGAAGATTTAGCGATACCTGGGTCTCTTCCTCAACGCTCCGGACAATTCTGGCATGGACATCTTCGGCCATCCATTTGCTCAACGATGACGTAGTTCCATCCATGGTAGCGACAGAACCAACCGATTCTGTGGAGGGGGCGGCCGCTGTCACACCGGCTCTGTCCACAGAATCCGTGACTTGCCCATTGCGAAATCTGCTTTGAAAGGGAGCTCTCCAGGCGACACCGTCTGCATAGTATTTCCCACGCGTGGTTTCAGAGCTGTGTGATGTTTGTCCATCCATGAGTGTCTCCGGTGGCTCGTTGTCTGTAGGTTTTGGGTAGCTCGCCATCGCGGCTGCGGTCTCTACCCGCGTTTGATCGGGAGTTGACTTGTTAGTGGGAGCCCATCCCAAAGGAGGCTCCGTGCAAAGGAGCTGGGGCAGGCTGGGGTCATCTGGAACGGGGCCGGGCAACGGAAATATACCACCATCCGGGATGCCGGCAAGTTGACTGGCCCATTCCTGCAGAATGTTATCGTCGGGAGAGAGCCAATTAATTATAGACGAGTGCCGGGGGGCCAATTGATCGCTCGAAAAGACCCCATACGTTCCGGGATCGAATGTCATTCCCGTGTCGAGCAGATTACGCCCCTGGGAACCGTAAACGGGTGAATCCCTCCAAAACCCAGGGTCCTGAGCCCAGGTCTGGTTGTCTACCGGTAGGGTCGCTGATGGTTCGAGCGATGTCGTTGGCGACTTTTCGGGTTGCGAGCCCTGCGGATCAACTGTTGTATGTGCCTCTGCAACCACGTGCTCTTCGCTGCCCGTGCCTTGGTTCTCAAGCGGGATGACTCGGGGTTCACAAGGAAGCCCTTTGGATTCACATCGAGCACAGGGGTCTCCTCTCGTACAACGAACCCGACTAGTCGCACATTGCATACAGGCGGCATTTCTCTGCGTGCGACCTGTTACAATTTCCGGTTGCTGGTAGCTATGAACCCTCGTGTGGCGATTCATGACGTCCCTAATCGCGAGTAGCATTCAAAGCGAAAGTCAGCGCTGAAGAGCAGTGGTTTACCTGGGTGGTAATGGCCGGGGGATGCAGGGAGACATACAGGCGAGAAAACTCCTTTCCACAAGTATTGCATGTGAACGGTCGCTCTCTTGTATGGGTGCGAAGATGTCTGGTAAGGTGTTCTTTTCTCACAAAGACCCGCCAACAGACGTTGCAGTTTAGGGGCGCTTCTCTGCGTTTGAGACCTCTGGTGCCTTTCTGCCCACCCGTGCTCACGCTGTCTTTCATGATGCTGTCGGCCTGTTAAGGCCTACGCCATGCAGCGGTACCGGTGCCTATGAAGGATTAGCAATTGGTTGAGTCTACTGCGTAGAGGCAGCATCTACCTAGGGCGGCCAGGTTAGTTCATTGACCAGACGAGAGGAGAGTCAAAAGTAAAGTTCTGCTCTCGGGCTTCCCCGCATGTTTACACCTAATATGGAGTAAACACTTTGATCTTCGGCACCCGTTGGTATTGGAATCGAAACCGTACTAAAGCGCTTACGGCAAGCGGTAGGTCGGGGTTACAAACGACTTTCATTTCAACACATCCGTATTCACCCCCTATACAAGCTATTACCGGTACCGTGAAGCCTTAGAGGCAGAGTTGGAGTGCGACGACCACCCGTGTTGATTGCTCGCCTCTGCTGGTAACTGGGACTTTCTCACGTAGTCAAAGACCTTCACTCAGCATATAGAGGACTACTGTGAAATACATTCACTTTACTGAGAACGTAAGTAAACATCCTGGCTAAGACTACGGTAGTTATCAATTTTTAGAGAAAGAAATGGATCTATCGAAGACAAAATCTAACCCTTTTCTTCCACTGTCTACTCTTTCACAAAGACAGGCATCGTATCTATATGGCACTCAACCTCGATCCATTGGCCTCCGCCCCAGACATTATCTCCATGGAATGCCTTCCACTTGTTCCCCACCGGCAAGCGTGGGAGATATACTGTCATCTTCTCTATGCCGGCGCTAAGCACCGGGCAGCACAGGAATTGGTGACCAAACATGTACTGATTGCTGATATTCCAACATTCTTTGTCGTCGGGGAATTCATAGAAGAGCGTTCGCATCAACGGGGTACCTTTATTCGCTGCCTCTCGCATCAGTTCTCTCGTGTATGGCCGTAATTCCTCGCGGATTCGCAGGTAGTTCTCGCAAATGTCATACACTCTTGGTCCATAGGACCATACCTCGTTATCTGCACCGGTACAACACGTCGCACCTCCCGTCGTGCCTTGTTGAGGCTGTCGAGGCTCCCGGTCGCCATGTAAGCGCATGACGGGACAGAAAGCAGCCCACTGGAACCAGCGCACAAACAGCTCACGAAACTGCGGATCGTTTGGATCGCCACCATGGAAACCCCCAATATCTGTGGTCCACCAAGGAAATCCTGCAATGCCCATATTCAGACCAGCGGCAAGCTGGTTCCGGAAGCTGCTCCACGAAGATGCGATATCACCGCTCCAGACGAGCGCGCCATACTTCTGACTACCGGCCCAGGCACACCGTACCAAGTTCACTACATTCTTTTGACCTTCACTAGTCATTCCTTCATAGAAAGCTCGCGCATAGTCCCGTGGATAGATGTTTCCGATGGCCAAGTTTGACCCAAGGTGGTACCGATAGATGTCAAAATCATATGCCGTATATTCGGGTTCAGCCTCGTCGAGCCAAAATGTTTTAATGCCGCAGTTGGCATAGTAATTATCCCGAGCCTTTTTCCAAATATACTCTCTCGCTTTAGGATTTGTAGCATCAAAGTGGATGGTCTCACCCTCGAAATCCAGGCCAGTGCGAATGCCGCGGTCCACACGAATGAGAAGGCCACGTTCGCGCATCTCCTCGAAATTCTCTGACTTCTTATCCACGGTAGGCCAGATAGAAACCATTAGCTCAATATTCATCTCGCGTAGTTCCTGGACCATAGCAACTATCAAAATCTCCTGGTCAGCCCGCTTTCTATCACGGCATATCACCAAAAAGAAACTTACCTGGATCGGGCCAGTAGACCGGGTCAAATTTCCACTCCCCTTGCTTGGGCCAATGAAAAAAGTCAATCACAATCAGATCAATTGGTAAACCACGACGTTTATACTCTCTAGCTACGCCGAGAAGCTCTTCCTGTGTCTGGTATCGAAGTTTACATTGCCAGAAACCCAGGCCATATTCAGGCATCATAGGCACTTTCCCGGTGACGTTGGCATAGAGCTCCTCAATTTCCGCAGGCGAATTGCCCGCTGCGACCCAATAGTCCATTACTTTTGTTGAGTACGCCTCGAAGCTCATCGTATTTCTTCCCAGGATCGCGCGTCCGATCGCAGGGTTATTCCATAAAAGTCCGTATCCGAGGGACGAAAGAGCAAAAGGACAAGAGGCCTGAGAGTTGCGATGCGCTAGCTCAAGATCCATCCCTTTCAGATCTAGAAAGGGCATCTGATATTGACCCATGCCGAATATCTTCTCCTCTGGGTCAATACTCTCAAATCGTGCAGTTAAGTGATAATCACCGCCAAGAATGGGCTTGAATTCGCGGGCCTCGACTTCGATAGCACTGCATTTAGGATCGAGGATATCGCGACGGGTGCGTGTATACTCCTCGAGCAAAGTACGGCCTTGAGAGTTTGAGATTGTCAGCTTACCGAACTTGGTAATGACAGCCCGGATCTTGCCGTTGGTGATTTTGGCAGAGGTTGAGGAGATGGCGATTTGGGGGTGAATAACAGGAGGCTGTTGCCCCTCCAGCGCCCAGTCTTCAGGTGGCATGGTCGCGCATTTCGTGGCTCTGATCCGAAAGGCATCCGGACCCCAGGGCTCAATATAGAGCTGCTCAGCATCATACTCGTAGATAAGACGGGCTCCCTCTTCACGGAACATCTTGACTCTGATATCTGAACTGGCTTCTGGATCCTAGCTTCTTTGCATTTTGCGAGAACAAAAGTTCTCGCCGAACAAACGTGCTTGCTCATAATTTATATCGTAGTTCATTAATTCGATGAATACAATGCTCATCCAGACCCATCTCTGCCCCCGCCGGAGAGCCAAGCCGCGGCGGGGAATACGAGTAAAATGATAAAATCGCCTACCTACTTAATTAATACCGGAAGCTAAGTTTCACGATACTCCACCCCCGGTATTTTCTACGTACCCCGCCTCCGCATGGAAACCACTCTCTTGATTGGCCCTGTTAGAACAACGGCCAAGTGGCGACGCATGGTATATTAGCCGCTCGGAGCGTCATAGTACTTGGCTTACGTGGTAATTGGCTTGGTAGATGGTCATTTTGAAGATTATGCTACCAAGACGAATCAAGTTCATAATGTTGCGAAATACCGCATTCTTGACAAATATATACACGAAGCAGAAGTAATTAGCAGAAAAGAGTCAGAAAAGTAATCGGTGTATGAACGAAGAGAAGAGAGACAACGCCGACAATGCAAGCATGACAGGGAACATCCCCCCTGTCAGCGTAGTTATATAGCAGATCCACCCTCCTTTTGTTTTTGTGCGTGCCCCGAAAAAAAGTCCCAGAATTAAATAACATCATGGATAACGTACAAGCAAACATGATCGTAGCGAACGCATTGATATAGAACCCGTCCGTACGGTCTGTTTCTGGTCTCTTCAACAAGAGATGGCAGGAGAAATATAACATCGAAGGGGGCCAAAGTCGGCATACTGTACATATCAATCGGTCCATCTCTTTCGATGAACACAAACAAGAACTAAGTGTTCTCTCCTCATATTTCACATTAGTCGTCTCGACATATTTGTCGAATGGATTCATCATAGTACAAATGATGATACCCTCTACACTCAGAGGATGAGCCTTACGTCGAAGGCTTCTTCCTGCCAAAGACAATGCCTTCGTCTTCGGAGTCGATATCTTCCTCATCACAGTCGTAATCATAACCCTCTTCGTTAGCAGAGCGTGCCGCTTTGATATTCCTCGGCGTAATTGTATCCCCAGTTCGAAGAATGGGGGAGATATAAGGCGTGGTGTCCAGCTCTTTACTCCGTTCTTCAATATGCGTGTGGAGGCCATCACCAGAGAATGACGAGGCACCAGAGACAATAGATGGCAAGCTTGGATGCGACACACTTTGGGACATTTCGCTTGCATACTCATCAACCGACGTTGTTGAGATAGTCGCGGCTGATGGCGGAGAGGTCATCAAACCTCCGTCCGAGGGTAAGTGATGTGTCGATGTTGTCGGGCTTGGCTCAACAGAACGCTCGTTGTTGTCAACGGGGGTGGTTTCGGAAGCTTGCTCCTCTTCAGACCTGGTGTAATCTGCCGCTTGGCGTAACAGTGCTTCTTTGGCAGACCGGAAGGATTGCTCGCTGACTTCGGGCGGGATTTGTTCTGATCGATTGCGACGATGTCCTGCTGACGAAAGACTTCGAGTAACGTCGTTTCCCTGGCTCTGAGGTCGCTCGTGCTGCTCCCATACAGTAGCAACTGGAACTTGAACCTGTCCGGTAGCAGACGCAGTACTCCATGCCACACTGGGTTCAGCATGGCCATCCGTCTCGCTCGCGGGCCCGTCAAATGACAGCAAGCGATCATCATCAGTCTTGTCTGCTCGATGATGAGTAGCCCCTGTGAAGATGCCGGCGAGGTTGGGTGCTGGTATACTGTGTTGTTCCGTCAAGGTCTCCGTAGTCTCAGCTGGTGGTGTCAAGCTTTTGTTTGATGGTATTGGTCTCACTGTCTTGGCTGACGCCGTGGTTGACAAGATCGACAAGCGTTCGGAAGGATACGCTCGAGGTGTTTCGTCTGCCACATCGTAATGAGGTGTTTGATCGAAGTAGGAGGATCGGTCAGGCGTGCTGTCTGGACTAGCGGTGACGCTTTGAGAAAGCGGGTGTTCCTCTCGAACAGCTCTGAATGGACGTAGAATATCTTCGTCACCGCGCAAGCTAGCTCTCCGACCACCCGATGCACCGCTAGAGTCCCTGGAAGATGCAACAGAGTCTGCAGAAGATCCAGCCGCACTGGAAGGCCGTTTGGGGTGGGAGCGTCCTTCTCGTCGAGGATTGAGCCACTTGGCCAGCGATTTGACGCGATCAACAAATGGAACTTTACTGACGGCACTAGTGACTTCTTCTTTCGAGACTTCAATTCGGTTGCCTTTGCTCTGCGGGTCGGTCTTTTGTACCCAGTCGGCAGGATCTTCCTTCAAGTCTTGCAACACCCACTCATGGGTCTTGATGCCTTTGATTGTGATGCGATTTTGAGGATCCTTGTTGAGAAGACGTCGTAAGAGATCGTCTAGCATGGGGTCGATATCCTCGTATACAAACTCATCCTCTAGCCGTTTGTTGCTGTTCATCACACCGTGGCGCGGATCGGCACTGATTTTGCTGCTGTCGACCTCGACCGGCTTGAGTCGTTTCTTGGGGATGAAAAGATCGTTCTTTCCGATGTTTTGGAACAGGCTGTATTCATCATCCGAGACGAAGGGTAAGCGTCCGAAGATCATGCCATATAAAGTCACTCCTAGGGACCAAATGTCGATGGCACCGGTGATTTTGGGGCCCCGGCCATTCGCGTCGACATAGTCGTCACCACTATAACAAAGCTCTGGTGCGTAAAAGGCTGGAGTGCCAACGGTCTTGGACAACTCTCCGCGGGCGTCATCCAGCTCAGCAGCATCGGTCTCGGTAACTTGTTCTTCATCCTCGTCTCTGATAGGCCGACCTAGATATGATACACCAAAGTCGGAAATCTTGACTTGTCCTTTCGCCGTGACGAGGAGGTTTGCTGGTTTGATGTCACGATGAATGATACCCTGGTAGTGTAAGTATTCCAAGCCTAGCACTGCGTCTCGGAAAGCGTTACGAGCTTCTTCGATGGTAAGACACGGTACGTAAGAGAGGTCGTCATCATCCGAAAATTGATCAGCCTCTGACGAAGAATAGGCGAACAGACTAGACGCTGTACTGTATCGTCTTTCAAGTGGGTAATCAGAATAAGCACCGTACATGCTACCTTCCACAGCGGCCAACACCGAATCGCGCATGTGACGATCGAATTCGGATGCTGTGCTGTTGTATGATTGACTTGGGGATTGTCCATGTTCTGCATGGTCTGTGCGATCATGATGTAGAGCGAGGTTTTGGCTAATCGACCGTGCCAATGCTAATTCAGGGTTCGACTCGTCATCGGATTCTCCACCATGCTCCAAACTCCAGGCAGGGATCAAGTGGCGGTGATTGGTTTGCGATTGAGCACGGTGTCGTTCACGAGCAAGTTCTCTGCGTTTTCGTTGGTTTTGGAGGTTATTGATGATTGATTGTCCCTCTTCCTCGAAGTAGGGTGAATCCGGCTGCCCAAGTTTTTCTCGCTCCATTCGCATCTTATCCATTTGTACAACCTCTCTGACGCCCTTTTTGCGCCATTTGATCTCTCCATTCTCGACGTACTCCAGGACGATGTACACTTTCTGACGGTTGGGATCATCAATAACTTCGAGAAGACTGACCACGTTAGGGTGCCGCGCCTTTTTGAGGATGGCGACTTCTTTCTTGACTTTGTCCTCTGGATTGCCTAGTTTTCCTAGACGACGTCGCTTGGAGTACCGCTGGACGATCTTGATTGCGACCGGTTGTTTGGTGATGAGATGGCGGCCAAGTTTAACTTTTCCATGTTCACCTCGTCCAAGCTCTTCCAGGACCTCGTAGTCATTGATGAGTTTATTTCCTGTTTGGAGATCTCGCTCAACTTCGGCGGTGTGGGTTCTAGATTAAGTCAGTCAACATTATATCACATATTGAGTACATAGAGGCTCACTCTTTGGGTGGTTGTAAATGTGTCGGGTGAAGGTAAGGACTGAATGTATAGCCCTCATCGTCGGAGCCAACTGAGGGAGAGGTACGGGCACTCCGGCCAGTAAAGAGACCTGGAGTAGAGATGGGCGTGTTGCCGACAGTCCGGGCGCCGGTGGCGGTAAAGGCATGTTCGTATGGTCTAATATTCTCGGTCGGCGATGGATATGAACTGCGCCCTCGGAGATAAGGCTGATAAGGAGACGGGTGAATCTGCGATTGTAGTACCGCATAGGACTGATCGGGATATACAGGGAAGTCGGCGGTTGTATTCACAGGATTAGCTTTCGGAACGAGAGATTGACCAAAGGATAATTCGAGTTGTTGCGATAGTCTTCTGACGAGAGACGATCGAGAAAGACCACTGGAAGGCTCCGGACGAGGCTCAGCGACGGTGTCCTCGTTCATAGCATGAAGAGAACTCGACGAAGTCTTCGCAGAAGACGCTCTCGAGTTGTTGGAGGATTGTGGCATGAAATGTATCAGGTGGTGGGATGAATGAGAATCGCCTCTGAAGCCGGAAAGCTTCAGATTGTGTTTGGATGCCAGCATCCTATTTGCAAACGATAGACCCGACTCGGAAGTTGTCGAGGAGGAAGTAGGATGCGTCGGACCATTCGAGCCATTCGATCCGCTGCTGTGTCTGTTGGACTCGGTCGGTTCTCCGCGGCGAGGATGGTGATTCTGCGGCGCTCTAGGGCCCGCCTCAAGGCCGGTTTGCTGCTGTTCTGACCGATCTTGATCATGGGTTTCCGATGTGCGCTCAACATCCTCCAGACCAGCGTGGGATGGTCGCCGCTCGAACTGCCCCATGATGTTGAAGGACGCTACCAGTTGTCTTTTATACGCAATGGGTACATCCTCTTCTCTCTCGGCGGGAAGAGCGGTGGCGGCGTCGTCGAAGTACGTGCGATCTGAGCGACAGAGACTCGCGTTTGTTGGATCGAAGAAAACTCCCTGCGTCCTCTGGGACAAGATACCCTCATTCCTCTGAGCGTGAAACAATCGAAGTTGACATGGAGGAAATGAATGAACGGACGAAATTCGGGAAGGGTACTACCAGGTGACGTCGATCCGGTCGGTAAGGCGCACGTTTTCGCTACTCTGCTAACTGCCGGAGATGCGATGAAATGAAGAATCGAAAAGACGAAGAACAGAATAATTACGACCTTTCTCTGGTACAGATGCACGAATAGATAAAAGCGATCACGTAGAGGAAGCTCGACGCAGCAGGTGTTGAGGAGCGACGGTGTCGTGTGGTAAGAGTTAAGTCAGGTTAAACTGGGCAGTGACTGTGTGTGGGTAAGTTAGTGTCCAGCGGAAGGCACTGACTGGCTGGKCCAGCCTGGTGGGGGAGKGAGTACCAGATGCTAGATGGTCAGCAGTGACTGAGCACAACTCAGTATTTAGACAAACGGAGAAGCTGCGCTCCTTAGGAATAGAGAGAATGATAGAATGATAGAAGTAATAGTCGTTAAATGGAAAGGTTGAGGTGTCTTTGCGCTTTCGTCCATTACTCTATTCGTGGCTCCCGTTTTCTTGCAAATTTCAAGAGAGAATCTGGGATAAGGAGTTTTTAATTCCTTTGCATCATACAGCCTCTAATATACTTTGCATCCTTCGCAATACGTAGTGACTAGGATGCTCGACGATCCTTTCAATCATTACTTTACTGCAAAAAAGCGACGAAAGTGTACGGACCACGTAGTACGGGTAGAAGGACCAGGATGGATAGTCTGTATTGGCCGTTACGCACTTACAGTATCTAACGGGGCAATCTAGTCCTGATACGGGAAAGTCGTATATCCACTTTGAGTGTTAGTGGATACCTTTCGGCCACAAAGGGTTAGTGCGGTACGCTCACCTGCATTGACAAAAGGTTGTTATGCCTGATACGACTTGGAGCAGCTGCATCTACGGAGTAATAACTGCTCACTTGCGATTCCAACAGCCCAACGTGGTATGTAGCATCACCATTAATTATTAGTGTCCACGGAATGGACAGCGCAAAAGTGTTTTGATTGTTCCGGAGTGTGAAGCATATTCCGCGTACGTCTCGCTGCAGTTAGTCTTCATCAGTTCATCTGGTTACAAGGTTGTGTTTAACTTGCAATGAATCGCCAAGGGGGCTGTCTCATCCAATACTCCATTGACGATTAGCTTCGGGTAAGGCCAGATGGTCCGTGAGCGTCTCGTTTGGACCCTTGGACGGAGTACAAGTACGGATGGGCATGTTCAGATGAAGGCAGGTTAACCGAAACATCATCAAAACTGTGTACGGAGTAGGTTTACTGCGGCTCGATGGCTAGGGCGCATTGGCTCAGTCTCATGATATCGTAGATTCAATACTGTCATATCATATAATTTACTTTTGAGTCTGAATTTGACAGCCCGACCGGAATGATCAGGTATGCAAGAATGCGGGCGACCGCGTTGAGTCGACAATTGACAGGATTTAGCTTTTACTCCGTAGCAGCTCTGAATATCATCGGATTCATCGCCGATGCTGAGAATGGAGCGACATGCTTTGACAATACGCCATGCGAGCATATCTAATGAGGATCACCCTTGGTTTTTCTTTTCTTTTGCTGTATCTGATAAGACGAGTCCAGATTGCCGGTACAACCCGAGCCATGTCGCCGCGAAGAGTCCACCAGTTACTGTGTACATTCAATACTGCCGTCGTCTCTGAAGTCTGAATCAACCGAATCAAAGCATCCAAAGTACAGGCAGTGGGCTCAGACGCTTCGCTAGGTGTCTGCACTATGCAGGTTATATGACCCCATAAAAACTGCTAGCAGACAATCCAATCAACATCGTCGATGCATCTTTGACTTCCGTGCGGATCTCATTTCGAGACTTCAATTCGTCCGCGTCGGCTTGCCTCCATTGAGACTCCACCCCGACTAGCTCACGGACCAGTGATCAGCGAGTGTCTGATTGAATTGCCAGGGTCAAGTGGGACTATTCCTTGGTGGCGCCGTGGACGGTCCTCTTTGTTAAAGTTGGTTCTTTGCATAGCGGGTCCCCCACTTACCGTCTTTGGTGTAGCCTGTTGTAGAACTGACGAATGGTATACAGAATAGATTACTCCAGACACGCTTGTAAAAGTCCATCTCTCGCTGTTTGCGTCTCAACATGAGCTGACGGTTACTGTGCTTGTACTATGTATGTCAGTGGCTTGAAATCGACAGTCAATGACATCTGACATGAAGAAGAAGAAATGGGAGGCAAACATCTCGACAAGTTCATGATGGATGTGACTATGAAATGATGAGATGTGGTCCTAGCCCTAATGTCATGTCCAACAAAACCTGAATCGAGCAGCGTCAAACAATGTCGATTGTCACGAGTCAATCAATTGTCCTCCCATCGAATATGCAGATACCATGTAGCTTTCATATATGACCATCCCTCAACGACAGTCGTATGACAGGCAATAGAATATAATTGTCGTCATCTTCCTAGACAATAAATCTCAAAGCATAAGGCCACCCTGTCCTGACACGCGAAATCCCAAATATCCGAAAAAATTGACTCTCCCGTTGCACAATCTCTCGAAAGCTCGCTCCAGTTTCAGCAGGGATCTCGTAAATCAGACAAACAAAAAACGGACATCTGGTTGTTACATACAGAATACAAACGAGCTCTGATCCCTGGCAAGTTTGGTGAGGGCAGTGCCACATATGCCAATTTGGGTTTGCTTTGACCTTGATTTTTGACAGGGCGGTTCGCATGGCGTAGGCCAATCCCTCGCCGAGTCGCCGTATTCGCCGAGCTCTTTATTCTTGGGCCTGTGACTCTTGTACGAATTTTATTCATTTCTGAGCGCATTGACAGGGCATGTAGACTGCTAGGTATCTACTATGTAAATTATGTCAAACCCCCGTCAGCTCAATTTACAATGAACTACGGTGTACACGGTTTGGTCCTTGGATTCGTACGTATGCAATATGTCGATTTCCGATGCTATCAGCCAATGATAGCACACGCAATAAAAGCAGCCTAAATACAGTCGATATACCCCGACCAATCGTCGTTAGCTTCCAATCAATCATACTAACACGACAAACAAAGCCTTCTCATCCTGGCATCTTGTATGTACGCACGTAATATGCTATCACAAAGAAATTGAAGAACAAGATTGCCGGGAACGGGGGGGGCGAGCCGCTTACGGCCCGCTTGGTCCCGCATGCGCCTTATCGACATGTTTCGTCTAAAGGAGATAATCAGACTACAAGATCAGCGAGAAGTCGAAGGATTCTCGCTTTCAGATTGTATGGGGATCGGCAGCAAGGACGTTCGTAGTTACAATTCTCCGAGATCTCAACTCCTGAGACGATGTCATTCTAGACCCTGCGGTTACTCAGGACCTTGATTAATAAACATCCTTGACATCTCTCAAATTCAGCTAACGACCCCATGCAACTTAATACGTACTACTAATACGACCGCTAATACTGCTCTTTAGCAAACTCGGGGAGACTGAAAACGCAAAACAATGACAGGGCGAATCATCGGTCAGAGTCCGCTTTGAGGCCAGATAGGAGGTCATAACTGTCAGGGAGTGTCTATGCCTGATTGAGATTTTCGTGCAGCGTATGCCGTCACTTTGTCAGATTTGATGGTGCTGAATAGTCGAATCGACCCTTGTCTTGTCAGGTTGCTGGTAAAGCCTAGGCAGGGCATGGTATGTAGTTACCTAGGCAGTGGTGGACCGTGATACCATCCTTTTGATTATGGCCATGAACCCTGGTGATTCCTAACATGAGTAGGATCTATACATTTCTTGAACCCATACCCAGGTAAATCAACATAAAACGATGACCAACGGCTGAAAAAATATAATTATGCTAACACCGATTAGCTGACTGACCTGTCACCAAAAGAAGATATTCAGCAGGTTAAGGCCCCAAGCCTTTCACATGCGATTTGATTTCTGAGAGTTTGGTAACGAGTTAAGTTAGCTTGGTAGACAGACAAATCAGCACGTCGTTTGTCTTCTATGAGCTGAACGGTCGGGTTCCGAATAAGATAAAGGACTGTGCCACCGAAAGTTAAAATCGATTTCATGACTGCGTACACTACATCAGTAGTACATCTAGGAGCGAGAATCAGCCATGGGTAGAAAGACGGCTGGTAGCTCTAACTAGGTGTTAATGCAGGGTTTTCATGACCAACCCTTGGTACATAAGCCTGTCTAGTATCGGTACATACGTACTTTGTAACTACATCAAGACCAGAATTAGACGGCCTGAAGTTATACTATCTGCCTAAATATACATCTTCTGCTTACTACATACCTGCCATTACTTGGTGGTGGCGATAACCCGATCCAAAAGGTCCGAGTGCTGCTAAAAATGCCCGACGACGAGATCAACTTGACCGAACAATCGCCGGAGATCAGTGCTGAGACCACGCGCATTGCCGTAAGCATTGTAACTGGTCTCGGTGCTCTAACTACTAACTGCTGTTCACTCTCACAGACTTTGTTTGAGTTGAGTTCTTGAACTTCGCAGCGTTTACAATCTGTATGGTCAGGCAGGCCCTTGCATAATGTACCCAAGTAACGTAACCTAGTAAGCACGATACACGGGAAGGAACACCTTAGTCTGCGAAACTTAGGCACGCAAGTGGACTCCATACGGTAAGTATATACGTTGTCGCTATGCTACTGGTGGTACTGGCATTCAAAGTTCAATGACTGCAGCGTACGTTCAGCATTTGCCATTTGGGTCGCTCTCATAAGCGCTTGCGACGTGCGTTATTCTTACTGAGAAGTAAGAGGTATATGTAGGTAGCTGCATCTGCATCCATCTGCAGGGTACCTTTGCTTTTTCGTACTGTGTATCCTATCAGTAGTCTCCTATTTCGTAAACTCAATTCTTTGTAACTAGTGAAAATTTTCGTTGCTTCAATGTAGTAGTAGTATTTGTGTCCGGATATTCGTGCCTTACGGAGAACGGAGGCAGACTTGATTTTAATCGTCTGACCGTTTATCATTGAACTATGAATTGACGGACCATAAAAAGGCATTACCTTGCTCATGTCGAGTAGTCCAATGAAGATCATAGCAAGTCTGTCCTCTTTAAAATTTGAGCGTTTTCCTGCAAGGTCGACTACGTTGTACAATGCCGTGCGACCCGTACGCGACATGCACAGGCAACAACTTTATAGTGCGTACAACGTAGCGGATTCTTGTCGCAACTACTGTTGTGTACAGTGTACGCACAGCAGATGCGAGTCTGAAGTACGACGACGTTTACGGTAGTCGTGTGCTACCTGAGATGTATCGCAGACGGGGTCTTGTGCAGGGTCTACTCCGCATGGAGTAGGACATTGACGGGTTTATGCGATGGATGCTCACTTTATGAATGTGAACAAAGACTGTACGGATCGAGGACGGAGCTTAGCTTTCACACTTACTAAGTCGAGGGTGTCTTCCTCGATTGTCGATTGAGGCTTTGAGATGATTCTAAACACACTGTAGCAACTCGAGGTTACTGTTGAGMAAGCCACTATTCTCGCTTGCTAGAGCTCGAACTCGCTACCAAGGCTTCACTTATTTATTGATATGAACACCATCCTGAAATCAAGCAAAAGCTGTTTCGTGATGATGGTAGAATTATGGAGAAGCCAATCACAACCCAACCTGATATTGGTTGCCGTGACAACTGATTGCTTACCTGCCGTGGACATCGACCATCATCACCGTATCAGCTGGCTGGTCAGCGGCTTCTCTCATGATGACTAGACTCTGACAGATAATCCATTGATTAAATGATCAAAGCGTTAATTAATTACCAGTAGACTACCGTAGCATTTACTCCGCCCCACGGAGTAGTAGTTATCGCAGACTCTTATCACTATCACCATGGAAATCCACGTCTAGACCGTCCGTGTTTACTTMCCTTGCCCCGCCTCGACCTTTTCCTCGATTGAATCTTGGATCTGTCTTACTTCTTGTCTAGAAGTGCACTGTCAATCAAAATTCCTCACTGATACTAGACCATCTTCAAGATCATCTGTTGAATGAAAAAGACTTCCATATGTTGGCTGCGATTTACTCACCAGGACCGTACGATTTGGTATGGAACCCCTCTGGGGGCATCTAGGTCAGTCGCACAACGGCCAACGTCAGAAAGCAAGGGCATACGTGCCTAGCGCTGCCAAAATGCCTTTTGCTCTCAGTCATACCTTCCTCGCATGGACCATGTGGGCGGCAGTGAGCGTGGCTCATGTCACAATCCCTTACATTCCAACACATGCCTTCACTTCATCACAGGTATCAAACACCAGCGACCTTGTCTACATCTTCCAACCGATTAGCGATCAATCGGCGGTTCAGCTTCTCGCTCTCAATTTGTCGTCAACGATCAATCCTAGCAGTCCTGAGTATACTGTTCTCTCCGATGACGTCCCCTTCTCCGCCGGTGGCGAGGCGTATGTACCGATGCTCAACACGAATGGATCCATAATGGTGTTTTCGGGCAACTGTAACTCATCACAAGAAGCACCACGCTTGTGGTCATTTCAACTCGACGATAATAGTTCGATAGGGAATGGCACATGGTCATCAGTAGCAGTCAATGGATCAGGCACGAATATCACAGGTCCGGGATACCTCGCCAGCGGGTTTGCGTACAATTCTTCAAATGACACTTCCTCCGAGTACTACTCTTTTGGGGGTATGTGCCCATTCGCTGATGGCAACGAGTCGGACTGGACCTCCAACGCAGTCTACTCAAACGAAATGACTGCATTGACTGCACAAAATACGTCGACAAATTCATTCAACTACATCTTACAACAAAGTGATTCCTCGAATTCGCCTATTGCAGAAGCCGGTTATACCGTCACACCCCTTCAAAAGACGAGCTCGACGACTTCAGGAGGCGTGGTTGTGCAGCAAGAAAGTTTCCTTGTTATTGGAGGCCATACGCAGACCGCGTTTCTGAACATGTCTACTTTGGCTCTGTTTTCTCTACCGCAAGCTAGCTGGTCCTATATCTCCATAGGCGCCACCGTGGATACAGGTAGAACCGACCTTGCAATCCGTGATACCACTGATATTGAGCCTCGATCCGGCCATAGTGCTGTAATGTCCTCAGACGGAAGCAAGATTATTGTCTATGGCGGATGGGTGGGTGACACTAGCACACCGGCTGATCCACAGCTTGCCATTCTTGAGGTTGGCGAGGACTATGGCGGTTCGGGAGAATGGACATGGTCAATTCCGGAGTCTACTGGCTCTGGGCCTGCATCGGGATCTGGTATCTTTGGGCATGCAACCACGATGCTCGCTGGAGATGTGATGCTGATCTCGGGTGGATATGTGATACCAGCGTCGTCAGGCACGACGAAGAGAGCTTCCTCGGAAGGATTTCAGTCAAGCTCCCAGGCATATCTTTATAATTTGACCTCGAATTCATGGGTATCCACGTATACGGCTCCAAATCCTTCGGACACGAATATAAGCTCTCATAGCAGTGGCGCACTTTCTTCCTCTGGCGAAAAAGCCGGACTTGGTATAGGCATTTCCGCCGCAGCAATCGCAGTCGTGTGCATTGGTTACTTTTACTGGTCAAGAAAGCGATGGACTCATCGTCGACAAAGGGACCAAGAATTACGGAAACTGGCACTCGGTGCAGAACGGTCGAATATATGGGGCGAGCCTGGAATTGAATCTAGTTATCGCGGCCCAAGCGATGCCGTGCTGCGCAACTCGATTATTGAGAATGTCTACTCTTCTGGGCCGAGTCATCAGTATAGTGCAGTACCAGTTCCCGGTAGCAACAATAAAACGGAAGCTGAAAGAAGTGGATTGCTTTACGATGTACCTAGTCCATCGAGAGGTCTTCGCAGAAGCCTGTCTACTCGACCGCAAAGGGTACAATCAGCGAACTGGTATGAGGATAACAGAATGAGTTATAGGGCAGGTGCTATTCATCCGATCGATGAACAGGAGGAGTATGAGACACCGCCTGAAGAAGCCTCTGAAAGAAGGCCAGAAAGCGGAAGCTCGGAGAGTAGTACCAACAACCGATTCTCTGACCCTTTCAAAGATCCATCTCCTTCGCCTACACGTGCACCTCTGATAGCGTTTCACGAGGAGTCAACGCATCAGCATGAAGGTGCCGACGAAGCGTCTATACGCTCAGGCGAGTCTCGGGGCACATCTCCCGACAAGAGCGAGAGGACGCATTCCGACTTGTCAGAGTCATCCAGATCTGGAATATCGGAATTTTCTATTCAAAGATCAAACATTGGATCTCAGAGAAGATCTACACGCCTCTTTCAATCAACTATCCCAACGCTGGAACCGTCACATTATGATGATAATGGCAGTGGACGCACTTCTCCAGAAAAAAGCTCCCAGCATGCAGTTGAAGGGAGTAGCATGAGATGGCCATTCGAGCGATCCGGAACAGTAGACTCACTCTCTACATCCGCCAGTCGCCACAGACGAACTCCTCTAGAAGGGGACACCTTATTAGGGTCAGGGCCGGAGTGGTCCACACCTCCAGAGTCACCATCACGGTTCTCCGATCGAGAAAACAGACCCAACAGTAACAACTCCCAGACATGGATGGGAAGTATTCGAAAGACCTTCTCCAATGCCCGCAAAGTTGTCCTATCGAGTTATGGTAATAACTTTCCGGAGGACGAGCGCGCTTCCCCGGCCATGTTTGAGTTTAACTCCCCTGTGGACTTCGACGATGACAACGGGCTATCCCCACAGATATCGCGCCGAGCTTCCAGCGCGTCAGTAGTAGCGCATCATCAAAGACGGAAACAAGGACCCAAAGACTGGGCCGTAGACGGCCGATCCTCTCGACAAAGTGCCACCGGCATGTCATCCTCATCGCGTCGCCAAAGTCGTCGCACAAACGATCTTCTCGACGACAATGAAGCAGAAGAAGACGATGCTTTCGACGACCGACTTGATGTTATTGATGATGACCCGGATGAGCATCATCGCGGAGGTGGCAGTAGTATCGGTGCAACGGACGACGAGGATTGGGACGTCGAACTTGCCGCGGAAGGACGATTAGTTCAGATTACATATACAATCCCAAAGGAGAGACTGAGGGTTGTTAATGCTGGGGCTGGTGATCGCGTTATTGGTGATGATGTCTCGGAGGTGGTCTCTAGGACGTCTCAGGAGGGGAGGTGATCCTTCCTCCCTGTTACGCATGTGCACATGAAGTACGAACAAATGAGTTGATGGATGGATGTACGAAGGTGTGATTTGGTTATATGGAGTAAACGGTATGAACTGAGTCCGAACCGGCTCTCTACAAACGGCGTTTTAGTTTTTTTTTTTTTCTTCTTGAGTTGCAGACTGGCGGATTCGTTTCGTGTTTATATTTTTCCAATTTCTTCGTTTCCATTCGATGTCTTTGTAATTACAAATTTAGATAGGACAAATCAAGTTGAGACTTTCGATACTTCAATATAGTTTTCTGAAACGGAACAATGATGATAGGGCTAATCGCAACACGTGACCCCACTACTTGTACACATTGCCCATATCAAGAACATATTCATACAGATTAATCATATATCTACATATCGTACAGTCTATAAACCCTCACTCTTTGATATCTACACATCATACACCAAACTTTTCACAAATAAACGCCGTCAAATCATCAACCACCTCATCAGCCGGCCTCTGTTGCTCCGGACTATCAGAAGCAATAGCCACAACCGAATCGGCGATTGTTCTCCAAGACTGCTCGTCCATTTCATGCAGGGGTTTGTTGGTTAGTGAAGCGGCGCTGTGGCGTTCTTGTTTTTGCATTGTGTATGCGTCGGTTGAGGTGGATATCGTTGCTTCGAGGATAATGCCTTTTTTGGCGCGGATGAATATTTTTGTCTGTTTTAGACGTCAGTAAAATCTCATAGTAGATGAAGTTGAGGGAGGGAATCATACTGAAGGAGGGAGGGAACTCGGCAGTGGAGGTCGAGGCCGGGGATCGTCTTCTGTAGGAAAAGTCGAGAAGGTGAATTCGGGAGTTTGGAGGAATTTGAAGTCGGTTGACTATCCAACATTAGTCCATGTGCATCTAATCATAGACCGAAAAATGACTTACCTTCATCATCTGCAACGTATTCTGGATCTCCGGTACCTGCTGTAACTGGACCTCTCCCACCGTCCCCGCAACCCAATTATCGCCAGCACTGAATTCACTTTCATTCATATTCAGCCGATTCGCGCAATCCCTGACCTCATCACCGGTTTTGTATAGCCGCGCGAACTCATCCATTATACTGACAATTGTGCGCTGCATCGAAAACGGTTCCGCAGAGTCAACCAGTCCTGCTGATACATTTCCCACTGGAGATCGCACGCTACTGACCCCTTTCGCAAGAATATACGGTCGAGCCGGCGATCTCAAAAATGCACCCAAATTATTAATATTCGGTGAGTCGAGTAGGCATGTCCCGTGATGTAATGCCCGGTTTCGAGTCAATTTAAACGCCGAGCCGGAGACCTTCAGAGCTTGCGGAGTCGATTCTTCAGGCGGGTCTTCGATCCCGGTTGCGTGTTTCTGTCTTGCAGATTCTCTGGGCTGTTGGGTCAGGACTATGTCGTGTCGTTCGTTGACCATGGCGTTGACTGCGCCGATTCTTTGGAGTGCGCGCGCAACCATCTCCGCATGCCGGTCGCGAGTGAACACATCTCGGGGACAGATCACGCTGTAATTCAGATTTCCTTCGTCGTGAAATACTGCGCCTCCGCCAGAATGTCGTCGCACATAAAGCACATTCCGCGTTGAGCTCTCCGTTGTATCGGAGATCTTTTGCAGAGCCTTTAAATTCGTCTCAAGCCACGGGTTCTGATTACGCCCAACCACGACACAGGGCCGATTGACATATAGAAACAAGACATTGGAGTCTTCTGGGGCCTTTTGGAGGAGATATTGCTCAATTGAGAGATTGACGAATGGGTCGGAGGAGAGCGATTGGTAGATCTGGTGCTTAGCTGAGCTCCGGGAGACGAGTTCGGCGAAAGCGGAGGATGCGAGGCTTGTTAGCGTGCGAGTCGCTGCAAGGCGACTACTTGCAGATCGGACGGAGAGCAGGCATGATGAGTGCCGGAGAAGCAGCATGGATGCTGCTATGGACATTGAATATGTTCAGGTCGATAGAAACAAAGTCGGCCTTTTCGGACCGAGACCCTGCCAGTTCGGCGCGTGCTGGCGTCATTGGGGCGCTAGGCCTGATCAGGAATAGCTCTGTAGAAACCCCCCGCGTGAGTCAATCGGCCGCCGACCTCGCAGATCAGATGGTGATTCGCTGTCGAACTTTTTTTACTCTTTGCTTTTTGATGTTTTTTGATGTGGGATGACTCGGTTTTGATAATATCCCAATCACGTTTCTCAGCGGAATTGTCTTCTTGTGACCGGGATCAGATTTAAGATTATTATTGAATATCCACAACTGCCATATTTGCAAAATGTCGACGTGGGGTGATTATTTCCGGGTGACGACGTGAGTTCTCCTCCCCATCACGAAAGAACACCACTGACAGACAAAGCTATGGCGAATCCCACTGCCGCTCAGTAGGCTGCATCGTCGATGGCTGCCCTCCAGGCATGGCTCTCACCGAGGCCGACATCCAACCTCAAATGACCCGTCGCCGTCCCGGCCAGAGCGCTCTCACCACCCCCCGCAATGAAAAGGACAGAGTCGAGATTCAGTCCGGTACTGAGTATGGCTACACCCTCGGCACGCCAATTGCGATGATTGTGCGCAATGAGGATCAGAGACCAAAGGATTACGGCGGCAGTACGATGGACCTGTACCCCAGGCCCAGCCATGCGGATTACACCTATTTGGAGAAATATGGAGTCAAGGCTAGCAGTGGAGGTGGTCGTAGTAGTGCTCGCGAGACCATCGGTAGGTCTTTTTGTTTTCATCTTTCAGTAATACACATCTCTGACTATATCAGGACGAGTCGCCGCCGGCGCCATCGCAGAGAAATACCTCAAAATCGCCCACAACGTCGAGATCGTCTCCTTCGTCTCCTCAGTCGGAAACGAGCATCTCTTCCCGCCCTCACCCGAACACCCATCCTACTCCACGAATCCTGAATTCTTGAAAATGATTGAAACTATCGACCGCGAAACAGTCGACAAGTTCGCGCCTGTCCGATGCCCCAATACAGAGGCTTCTGAGCGTATGACCAAAGTCATTGAGACCTTCCGTGACAACCACGATAGTATTGGAGGGACAGTTATGTGCGTTATCAGAAACGTCCCCATCGGCCTTGGAGAGCCCGCATTCGATAAGCTAGAGGCCAAACTCGGACACGCCATGATGAGCATTCCCGCCACTAAGGGGTTCGAAATCGGCTCGGGCTTCGGCGGCTGCGAAGTGCCCGGCTCAATCCACAATGACCCTTTTGTTGCTGCTCCGGAGGTTGCAGAGAACAAAGCCGGTGCTGGAATCGCGAACAAGGCTAGACTTACCACCAGCTCAAATAATTCCGGTGGTATTCAAGGTGGTATCTCTAACGGAGCTACCATCTACTTCCGTACAGCATTCAAGCCCCCCGCTACTATTGGTCAGGCGCAGACTACGACTACCTATGCGCTCGAGGAAGGTGTGCTAGAGGCTAAAGGCCGTCATGACCCATGCGTTGTGCCGAGGGCTGTGCCCATTGTGGAGGCCATGGCTGCGCTTGTGGTGATGGATGCATTGATGGCACAGAACGCGAGAGAGGCGTCGAGGAGTTTGCTGCCGCCTTTGCCAAAGGGCTTGCCTATAAAGCCAGAGACGGAGACTTCAAATGGGAATTAGATTGGTACATAGATCTCATTAACGTTAATCAATAACATCTGCATTCAGTCCACAGTTTAAAAAGCATCTAGATTTATTCGAGTATAGGGGGCCCTGTGATATCTCCAAATAAGCCCGCTATACTCTCAAATGGGTAATCCGATGATCCCATTGAGAGTGTTAAGTCCTGTCAAACGTTAATTACGCATCCAAGTAATAGAATGAGATGTTTGATCTTACTGGCAAAAACTCATCAAAGGGCATATCACCCAAATTAAGCATACTAGCAGGATCATCCAACGTATCATGATGCAACGTAGCACTATGACTCGTTCCAGAACGCATATCAACAAGACCCGGCTCCTGACTCATGCCATTGAGTGTGTCATTGCTATGACTAGATCCATGATTTGTATCGTGGTTCATTTCCGCACCGTAGTCCCTGAGATGATTCTTGACGATCTCGACAGACTCTTGCGCAACGACGGATTCATCCATAGCTTCTAGTATTTCGATGGATTTATTCACGCTCTCAATCAGCAGGTTCGTCTCCATTAGGTTGAGGAAGGTTAACGATTTTCGTGACAGCGGGAGCAGTATATTTGTAACTGCGAACATGATGTACGTCGTATTATACCACCTTTCAAAATTAGCACTAAAACTATATATCACGAATCAACGGGAGGAAGGAACGTACCAACATCGAAAAAACGAATACTGCCGAAACGTCTCGTAAATAATATCAACTGTCTTCCGGGCCGAATCAAGACATTTCTTAGCTGCCATTTCGAGAACTCGTTGGGCCTCCGGCGCTCGGTTTTTGCCTCCTTCGCCCCGCGGGGTGAGGGTTAAGTAGGCCAGGAAGGGGCGGAAGATGAACATCTCAACGTTGTGGTAGCCTTTCCCCAAATTGTTAGTATCAGGATGGATAAAGTAAGCAGCTTGGGAAAACATACGTATCCCCAGCACAAGTCGCTGCCTCCTCGACCACTTCGGATCCCTCAGGACCGATATCGAAGATGGTGCATCCGCCTTTCCACCCGACTGCCCAAAATCAGGTTGCAGAATTTTGGGCAGTGCATCAAGCCAATTATTGAGCTTCTGTTCGATTTCTAATGAGTGTTTCATTCGCTGCTGAAGCGAGATTCGGGAGTGGTAAATGTCGACCGACACGCGCCGGGTTATGTGTGCTAGGTCAACCATTATGGGGATGATGGTGTATTCGGAGTGCTCGTCGCGGTTAGGTTGGCAGCGGTTGTGGTATTCGTCCATACCCAAAGTGTCGGGGCGGCCGAGGGAGAAGGATAGTTCTCTGCTGTTATTAGTGACTTCTCATAGATATGAAGAGCTATGGACGTTACATTTCCAGTGAATATAGGCCCCTGATGGCGGCTTATTAGTGTATCGTTCTGATTGGGATAGGGTATGGCGTACTTACCACCAAGTCCTGGATATCCAGTCGTGCTGGTCAGTCTTGACGTCCGGTGTTTCGCGGTTATAGCCTGCAGCAAGGCATGTTCGTATAGCTAGACCTAGGTACATATACGCCACTGATCGTGTCAGTATATAGAATCCAGCAACTCAGAAGATTGAAACTTACAGTGAGGCGCCAGTTCATTCTGACAAATCTTCGCCTGGACACACCGTCAGCATGATTCCCCTCTCTAGGAAAGAAGACAAACCATAAGATACAAAGCCTGCACAATTTCCAAATTGTTCGTGAAACACCACGTATTCAAGTATCCCTGCGCCTCCGCAAACAATTTCCGACTCCACTCAAACCTCGTCAACCCACCTAGCGTCGGCTGATCCCAAGCCCTAATCAGCGCTCCAAGAGACAAAAGACTCAAATACAACGCTATAAAGCTGCTGTCCGTTTGCGGATTTCTGCCAAACCAGAGGTTATGTGCCCGCAGCACAAAGTTCTCCTTATCGATTATGGGGTGGATGAAGTGCAGGTTTTCAAAGTATCCTTCCATGAAGACGTGGGCGTACTCGAAGTAGAATCTGTTGTCCGATGTGTTTTCTCCCTGGGTATAGTCGGCGAGGTATTTGTCGCCGTCGTGGAGGGGTGTTTGGAGTTGGGAAGTGTAGAAGTTGGGGTTGTGCAGGGTTGATATGAGCGATGATTTGGGTTTGCCATTACCAGCATGACCGTGGCCAGTTATGGAAGCAGGAGGATGATCGGCAAAAGCATGCATATACCTATTGGGCGTCACCTTATGCTGTTTTACCGGCTCCCGCGCACGTTGCAAATGACCCAGTGCGGCCGCAGAGGAAGTATTTCCATGAAACTCAATCGCATTAGTATGTCGATTGACTTCACGAATCTCCTCTTCCAACGCATCCGAAGACGGGGTCTCATTTTCGCCGATGATAGACTCGGGAGACAGCTCTTGATTCAGAATTGAGCGGCCTGGGGTCGCCGCTGTAGCTGGAGTAGTCCATGCCGCTGCACTTGTGGAAGGCTTGTTGAGAGATTGACTGGAGAGCGTTACTTCACGTAGCCGTTCATTCAGTTCTTCAATCTTGGTTTCTAGTTCATGGATATAACTATAATTCTGTATTAGCACATACTCCTATATGAGTAAAGAGACATACCTAGCCGTCTGACCCTCCCGTTGAAGATGAAAATCTCCCTCGTACACGCATTGTACCTGGCTTTCTACAGTTCATTAGCATCCATAAACACGCATATCAGAGCTGAATAAGCATACTGGTACATTTTCGACACGGAAATGATTCATCACATTTATACTTCTTCGCCCTACAGCGCTCACAGGCCCTCGCAGCACGACGTTTCTTTGTAGCAGGAGGTTGCTGCCCCGGAGAGCCTTGTGTATCTCCTGCCAGCCCTCGCGACGTACTTGGAGTGCTCATGATGAAGGTTTCCGTCAAGAGTATATCAGAGCCGACTAAGAGTCAATAAGCCTAGTGCTAGAAGTGAGCGATTGAGGTCGGGAATTCCGAGATTTATTAAATAGAAAAGCCCGTTGCAAAATCACGTGTGTGGAGTCGCGGTGCGGGGAAAACCTGGAGTTAGTTCGCTTTTCGTGATTGGCTGATTTTTTACTATGTCGGAAGTATCGGAAGTAATAGAATAATAATAACGCCTAGCTATGTACATAAGATAGAGTAGACAAGCTAAATACAATACTATCGCATGATATGTTGTCCAAGAAATCAATACATACGCCTCATTCTCATCTAGGTCGTCAAACTCATAACACGCGTTGCAACATTATTCGCGCATGGCTTTTATCTGAGAGGCCGAGAACGGACTGGCCCAGATTCCATKCCTGTCCTTCGCGTAGTCTGACTGCGAGTTACCCGTTTCGAGACGGGGCTGTCATCAAGGCTCAACCCCTGCAGCCCAGAGCCTAGACCTGCTCGTGGAACCCGGTAATCTCTGTCGTTATTGTTGAATGGGTTCATATTTCGGATGTCTTTGTTGGTGTACGAGCTGATGGTCGTTTCGGCATCAGAGTCTCCTCCTGACATCTCAGAGGCGTCCGAGCCATCATCGAGGAACTGATTGCGACGCATGTCCCTCTGGTAGAGGCCGTAATTGTAAGGCTGGGATTGCGAGAAAGAAGAAGTCTGTGAGTATACGCTCGTCGGCTGGTTGGATATGTATGATAGTGTGGGTGAAGTTGGCGGAGGAGATGAGTAATGAACTGGGGGAATAAATTGAGTCTCAGTCGTTTGCTGCGTCAAAGGATGAGTGACAGCCTCTGATTCTTTCCTGGCCATCCCTTTCTGAGTTCGGCTCTTTGGCATGGCTGAAAACAGTACCAACAATTCTTCGATAGCCAACAGAGCTGTTAGAGACTTGACGCATGTTTCTAAATGACCCCCTTGATGGAAAGTACTGGAAAAGTTGTAACTCAGGCAGAGAGCCAGAACGATAGTCGCCACAAACTTAATCAAGGAGTAAATGACTCTCTGAACGACTATAACCGGTTGATTAAGCGATGCCAATAGTCCGAAACCTGTAAATAGAATGTTCATGATCAAAGTGCCCATCAAGACAGCGTCGTGGGGGATGGGAACAAGCTTCAGCCAATCAATCGACCAGGCAAGTATGCTCATAAAAAGAAGCAGTAGTCGGATTGAGGAATATAGCAAGGCTGACTGCGCATGTTCCTTGCGTATGTTCTTGCGAATCTCCTTGACCTTCGACTGCAATGCGGCATTCTCATCTGTATCGTCCTCGGGAGACTTGATTGTAAATGTTTGATCGAACAGATTTTCCAAACCAGTCGTGGCATGGTAATCTGATGGGGCGAAGAACTTTGGAGGCGCAAAGAACGCATCAGGTGTGCGTAGAGTATCATTTTGCTCGTTAAATACGGGATTTTGAAGGGTAGTTGTTCGAGATGTCTGGAAGATGTTGTTCACCGGGACTGCCGATGAAGCTTTCTGAGCTATAGGGTTTCGGAGCTGCCATGCAGGAGGTCGTGGCGCTGCAGGAAGAGCACCTTGGAATAATGACTTGTGCGAAGCGGCCTCGGGTGCCACCTCCGGCTTTGAGGTAACAAACATAGGCCGGATTTCTTTGGCTACTGATGGTGTCCAATCCATAGAGTCATCGGGTTCTAAAGGGGGTGTAGCCAATCGTACGTTGGATCTGGGGCTCTCTCGTGGCATGCTCAGCTTTTCTAGAGGGAAGTGTTGAAACATGTCTTGTTGAAACGGAGCTCCTTGCTGCTTGGTCATCGGTGCCGACTGGGGTACATTTTTTTGCTGTCGCGGAGATGTAACAGGAGTGAGATTTGACCACAAAACAAGGGGTCGCGTGTCGTAATGGACTAATCGCTGGGAGAAGATAGTCGCCTGTAAATAAGTTAGTATCGATTGGTATAAGCCCGGATTGTCATGCTTACTACACCCATGAATAGTATCATAACGGCGTGCACCGCGGTAGGAAGAGAAGGCTCCATGCGACTTGTATCCTTCAACCACGCCCACACTGCGAATCTGGCCACCATCACAATCAATTGGCACTCATAGTACTGGTTCAGCCCTAATATGCGACCGCTCAGCCCCTCCACTTTGTGATGAATCTTGGGGTTCCACCATATCGAAAGCGCGCCTATAATCAACGAAATGCTGGCAAGGTCCTGAGAAGAATAGCCAACATATGACGCCAGTTCATTCACGACTGGAAAGTAGGTCGATGGTAATATCCAATATTGTCCAATAAGTTCATTCAACAGATCGCCCGTCCCAATCAGGTCCGACACCAATTGACCAGCAACACTCGACCAATATCCCGACGCACCCGCCACAACGAGAATACTTCTCCAATTTCGCCTTCGCGCCTTCTGTGCCGCGCGACTCATTTTGCTGCGTTCCATGGTCCTCCTCAGGTGGTCGGCCTTTGCCTCATAGCCCGTCTGCCGAATGCGATTGTTCACTTTCTGTTCGCAGTTTTCACATACTTGCGGATAGGTCTCTTCCATTTTCCGGCGATATTGGGGATATTGTTGCTCGTAGATCGGGTAGGTAGGATCATCGGTGTCCGGAAGATAAGAGCTAAGCGCTTTCATCAGCAGATGTTGATTCCGAACGCATTTGCCGCAAAAGAGGCCCGTTTGATCGAAGCCAGCCGACTCGAAGGGCGATTGAAGCGAGTCATTTGATATGGCGGGGTTGGCCGTCACTGCGGTCGGGGGATCTGTAATCTCTCCATTCTATACCTGTTAATTAGTGTTCAAATATCGCATGCAAACCGTATGTAGTCGGTACGTACCTCGTCTAGATAATTTACAGCTTCGCAATGCTCACAGCGCCATTCTCGCACGCTCGTCGATCTCTTTGATGCGGATCKCTGGCCACAATAAAAGCAGCGCAGTCGCCTTGTGAGCAAGGCCATTTCATTGTTTGCGACGCGGTGGTGTGAAAGAAAGAAGATAGTCGAAGAGGCGAAGTGGGAATTGTTGACAGGCAACCGGACTTGCGCTAGAGAAATCGTAAACCCCGAGCGCACAGACCATGCCATATACATTGATTTATTGATTATTGGATAAATATTCTCGACCTGTCATCGCGACCTTCCTTCTATTGTCCTTACTTATGGGACAATAGCGAGCACATTATTGCTGCTTTTATTGTCTAAGCTTGTACTCCGTATGAATGTCACACCCTACATGCTATTGCCATTCTTCCTTTAATGCCTCTCCTCTTTCCACCAAAACAACCCTACAGCAATCCCCAACTTCAACCCTGTGCCAATCCAAAATATCACAGCCAACCCCTTCTTGTCAGATTTTGTCAGGATTCCACCAACAATAGCACCCACACCTAGCGATATTACTGCTACCAAACGTCTAATCCATTTAGCTCTTCCACTGCTTGACCGACCAGACGTGTGACGCCATCCAACCTTCTCAGTCACCAATCCAGAATATACATTCGTCAAGACAGTTGTAGGAATCTCCGGATATCCCAAAAATTGACTCAGCACGACCTGTCCTCCAGCCTGGAACGCGACGAAAACGATGGGAACAAGAATTCGAAGCGCTTCGAGAGTACCCTCGTCTGCACTGGTGGTGTCTTGCGGTATAAAGTTGGATTGTACTATGCCCGCGGCTATTGCTAGACAAATTGCTTGTACTGCAAAAGAGCCGATCAACAGACCTCGAATTCTACCGAAAAGACGCTGAGCAAGGCTGAAACAAGCACATCCTACGAGGAATGTAACGATGGCTATAAGAGAATGAAGCCATCCGTAAGGTTTGTTTGTGGGCTGATGGGAGACGCCGAGGGCGAGGAAGATTGTATTTCCTGGACATTGTTAATATACTAACTTTGGCATTCGAGATGAGGAACTACCTGTCTGTATATTCACAAAACAGCTCCAGGTATTGAAACAACCCGTGTCTGATAGGCCGGAAAGGAAACAGCATGCCAGAAGTAGATAATCGGTGTGCTTGTTTGATATTCTCTGCCTGAGTACTTCTCGTAAAGAATACCTTTCATCTTGGACATGATGAATTGGATTCCTATCATGCGATTCTGCATTGTTGATTCCTTTTTCAATGGGATCCAAAGACGCTTCCATATCCTCCGCCATTATATCGAGACCAGTATGAGACGCGGCCATTCTCGACACGAACCAAACGAATAGATATCTTTCAGCCTATCTCGCCTGACTAGAAACAGAGAATTCATCCCGCCACGATTTTCTACATGGTCCGATGGCTGTGACAATCGAACATGGGAGAAAGATCGAACTCGCAGATCTCCAGCGGAAATGAACGGCGATGAAAGGAGATGCACGGAAAATGGACAATGCTACGGTTTTGTCCGATTTAGACAAGCCATCGTCGGATGCTCAAAGAATTTCGATATTTCTTGGTTTCTAGAAATTTATCTCGATCAGAGAAATAATGATTTCATAATTGGATGTTCAATGGGAGGATATATACGAGAACTAGCGATTTCGGGTACATAGATCAATTGTCTAACTTTGATACTCTCAATTTTACTATAGGAGGATCGAGTCAATTTCATGTTGTCATGGCTATGTATAAACTAACATTTTTGATTCAAATTGTTACTTTCATGTATTTTTTTATTGCTCCTATCAAATCTCTATTAACATTCTCAAAAGGTAACTCCCACAGCTACCTAATCCGGCACAGCAAACGTACTTTCAACCTCCACAATATCATCCTTTTAGAATCATGTCAACAAATCCTAAAGCACCACATATTTGATAAGATAACCAACCTGATTAAGCCTAGAGACTTCAATGATCGACCGAGGCGGAAACGGTACATCGCCCCATATCTCTTTTTGAGCCTCGTTGACCAGCGGACGAAACCGGTACATGTCTGTTGTATAACTGTTTAGAGGTATCAGCCTGATTCTGCCTTGAGATTTACCCAGATAGGCTAGGGATTGCGTACATTACCAAGCGTAGACAATCTCCAACTGTTGCTCCGGCTGATTCAGCGATCATGCGCATGTTCTCGAAGGCTGTGAAACTGTCAAATCACGTTCTTCTTTCGAAGACGGTTGATGAGTCAAGCACACATTTGAGAACCCGCAGATATGCAGGAGAGTCTTTCGTTGATGGGCCATTGTAAGTCTCCAAACCTTCGATAGGGATCAATTTGTTTGTTAACGGGTCGATTCCTCGAAGCCCTAATGATCAATTAACCCTAACACTGCATCAACTTGTCCAATTCTGGAGGTTAACCCGATATGTAAAGCGTGTTGCCTCGTTTACTCGCCAGCGACCACGTCCCTGTAGCCTTGTACCTATGCAGATTTAGAGCTGAAATGGAAAGTCATAGAGCGTACGCACGACCATGACGGATTGTAGAATTCCACATTGTTAGGCGACACATAGTCCGGAGCACCCAGGCCGTGCGACATGTCGAGCGCCATGACTGTGCGCCAGTTGCAACTTGATATCAAGTGTCTTTATAGGGCATGGATGTATAATGCCAAGTTCTCCAATGAAACCCAAGCCTCTGAGCGAGCAGGAATTATATAGATTGACCAATCATTTGCCGTCATTCGGCTTATCAGGGCGCGCCTCGGAGACCCGCGATCTCCGCTTTCTGCCTATCACTTTCCCAACACGACTGTGGAATTGCGATGGTTTTCTAATCACAAAGCCGCGACAAAGACAATAAAGGAGAAGTTCCCCGATGATGTCTTTGGTACTGGCTTGGCGTTGATATGTGCGCAACTACAAATGGAGGGGTGCTGCCCGCTGTGTTGCCCCTCAGTTGATTGTTTGTTTACTTGCTTGCTCCAAGACTGAAGTACAGCTAAGCCTGACCGACGCTGAAATGGGTGCGGCCGATGCCACAATGTCTGCCGACGACAGCTTCAAGATCACACCCAATCTTGAAGCAAACGTCTCAGTTCGCGATGACCTTAAGACGACAGAAGTTGTTATCGACGAGAGCACCGCTCTCAGTCGCGGTCTTAGGGCTCGTCATACTACTATGATCGGTATGTCCCCATTTTCTCGAAATTTGACTTGGGCTAATAGGCGAAAATGATAGCCCTCGGCGGTGCTCTCGGCTCTGGTTTGATCATTGGCACCGGATCTGCTCTCGCTTCGGCCGGTCCAGCTCCTATATTGATCTGCTACTCCGTGGTCGGATTTGTCGTCTGGATTATGTTAACAGGACTTTGTGAGATGGGAACATACCTACCGATTCCTGAAGGCTTCACTGGATATGCTTCTCGTTTCGTGGATCCTGCGATGGGCTTTGCGCTGGGCTGGTCGTAAGTCTTACCTTCAATGTTCCCTGCGTCCGCTTCACCTGACTAAGCGGAGCATAGTTACTGGCTCAAGTACTCAATATCAACTCCAAATCAACTGACAGCCGTCGCGCTGGTCCTCCAATACTGGGTCCCAGCCGAAAAGCTCAATCCCGGCGTCTTTATCGCAATATTTCTCGTCGTAATCATTCTAATCAACTACATCGGCGTAAAATTCTTCGGTGAATTCGAATTCTGGCTCTCGAGTGCAAAAGTCGCGACTCTTGTCGGGGTGATTCTACTCTCTCTAATTCTGGCTTGCGGTGGAGGACCAGACCATGATGCAAAGGGTTTCCGATACTGGCACACTCCCGGTGCGTTTAAAGAATTTGATGCAAAAGGGGACCTGGGCCGATTTTTGGGCGTTTGGAATACCATGGGAACAGCTGCTTTTGCGTACTTGTCGACTGAGTTCATTGGCGTCACTGTTGGCGAGGCACAGAACCCACGCAAAACCATCCCGCGTGCTGCTCGATTGATCTTTTATCGAATTCTGTTCTTCTATGTCCTTAGTGTGTTCTTTCTCGGTATGCTCGTCCCGTACGACTCGAAGGAGCTCGCGTTTGCCACTACTCAGTCCACCTCAGCTGCTGCGTCGCCGTTTGTAGTTGCCATTGTATTGGCGGGAATCAAGGTGCTGCCTGGAATCCTGAACGCGTGTATCCTTATCTTCGTGTTCTCTGCCGCCGTTTCCGACCTCTACATATCGAGCCGAACCCTCTACGGCCTGGCACAGAACGGCAAAGCACCTCGCTTCCTCGCAAAAACAGACAGACGCGGTGTCCCCATTCCCGCATTGGCCGCATCCGCATTCATCGCATTGCTTGCTTTTATGAACGTCTCCAGCGACTCCAAGGTCGTCTTTGGATACTTTGTCAATTGCATCACAATGTTTGGACTAATCGTCTGGTGCTGCATTATCCTGAGCCACATTAAATTCGTCCAAGCACGCAAAGCGCAAGACGTCCCTGTTGTTCACTACCGAGCACCGCTCGGCATTTGGGGGTCATGGTTTGCGTTTTGTTTCTGTGTGCTGGTTGCGTTGACGAAAAACTTCAAGGTGTTCATTCATACGAAGTCGACTGGAAATTTCGATTACAAGAATTTCATCGTTGGGTATATTGCTATCCCGGTGTTTTTGTTCTTCTTCACGTACTACAAAGTCGTGCACCGAACTAAAGGGGTGCGCGCTTCAGAGGCGGATTTGTACACTGGATTGGCAGAGGTGGAGTTACATGAGAGGGAGTGGGCAGAGAAAGAAAGGGCGGATGAGTTGCGGGAGAAGAGCAAAGTTGCGGTTTTCTATAGAAGATATGTTTCGTGGCTGTTTTAGTAGGTATAACCTACGGTCAGCCTTGTTCTTGCGCTATATAGATAACTACTTTGTCATGTATCCAGATTCTGCGTGTATCACCAGGTAGAATTGAAGTAATCCACAAAACTCATATTAGACCCATCAAAGAGGAGGTCCTGCACCAGGAAGTTTTCGTCAAGGGTAGCATGGTCAAAGTCATTCATATCCATTAATTCATTACCACCAGGAAACCTCCTGACATATTGATTTTCCGTACCATCATGGATTCCTATTGTTGGCAAATTTCCGCTCAAAGAAGAATCGTTATAATTGATGCCTTGAGAAGCATATCCAGCACTGTCGGTAGTATCAGATACAACAGCAGCAACCCGTGCAACGGCAACATTCATTGCCTCTGGAATTTCTCCACCAAAGCTCATATGATAGTGCTGTCTAATCCTTTTAAGCATCAGGAGTACATCACGAGCCGAGATTCCTTCCATTACTCGGCTGGTTACAGCATTGTGCTCACAAGCAGTTTCAGAAAGTACCAATGCGCAATAAGCAATGCATATGTGATGAAATTTCGGTAGGGCTTGGACTCCAGTCACAGACGCGTGGATGAATCGTTCTGCGACTGAGAGAGCTGATTGGTAGGCGAGGATGTGATAGTTTGTCTTTTCATGCACTTTCCTTGGGTTGTTTCGTTTTCGTTTCCTCAACTGACTGGCAGTAGTACCGGAAAATATGCTGTCTTCCGTAGCTCGTCGAGCAATGACCATTTGAGCGATATCATAACTGAATCGTAATGTGATTGCTTGGGGCGAATCTACGTCTGGTATCAGCACGAAGACTAAAAACACATTGAGAAAGGGAACAGACCAAGTAAACGCTTCCATTTATTCTCCCAAGTTCTTAGCTCTGTGCAATGATCTTCCTCGCCGTGGTCATCACCCAACGAGAAATTTGCAAGTTTATTGTGCAAAGTTCTATAAAGTAGAATCTCGGCAAGGACAAGATCGTCTTCGACACTGGCTTCGGGGTGATTCAATATAGCCGGACATTGATCGATGTAGTTGGCTGGGATTGTTGTTGGTTTGCCGGTTCCAACTGCGAATCTATGCAAGGTATGAGTGTCGCGACCATTAAGAAAGACGAACCAACAAACCGGAAATTGATCAGACAGATGTTGTTCCACAAGGACATCAGCTGTTTATCTTTACGTTCAGCATTTCCACTATCAATGCGCTGATTGATCCGCGGAAAATCTATGCTGAGAATAGCTTGCTTTGCGCATATGCCGCTCAATAGCCAACTTTCAATGTATTCATACACGGGCTATCATACATATGAGTATCTTACCCGGTTTTCATGAGTGGTGAAGAAATTGGAACTTACCCTTGGAGCAGCTTCGAATGTCGACATAATCAGAATAGCATACAATTCGTCCAACGGCAAAGGACTTGCTAGCACCGCTTGACCTAGCATATCTCTCACTTCTTCATATAGATGCCTATGCGTAGGGCTGTTGAGAAGAGTGTCATATGAATTCGAGAATCTCAGACCATGCAGAGCACAAACAGCGAAGAGGAGTGGTGATCGATGCCTCAGGTGCCCGTCTGTTGGTGATTTTTCAATTTGGATGACAGAGCCGCGGTGATTAAGAAATCTGTCTAGGATGAGTACGCTCATTATTTCACGAAAAATCGAGAAGACTTACTCGGAAACAAGACAAGTTGCAACTTCCTCGGAAAGAATGCGCTTTTCTACGATATCATTTCCTGGATCCCGATATAAGCGGCGACTGTCTGGCCGAAACTTCCGCACCATCATGATTGGCGCTAACTTTGTCGTTTCTGTGCGCAGGGAAGGTAGATGAGGAAAATCAGCGTGTTGACCAGTAGCATGATTTTTTGCAGTGGAAGAAGAGGCTTCGGTCATGACAACATTATCCATAGGTCTGTTATCAAGGTTCTGCATGAAACAGCACATGCTTGCTAAGGTACTTTTCATTTCCTGAAGAGAGTCCTCTATATTGGCGATTCTGTAGACATGTCAATAAAATGCCCTTCAAAATATCGAAAGAAACATACCGCTTCTCCAAGGACTGCCTTTCGCCAACATTAACAGCCTCATCGTGGCCATTACCATGGGAGAAAAGATCACTCGAGCTCAGGGAGCATTTGATCCTAGTCCAAATTGTCATTTAGTAACATCATTCCATGGCAAGAGTTTCTGGATAAAGGCTCAGTACTACCAACCTTAGCTTCTGGCATCGATTGCAACTAGATGCCTTAGGACTTAAATCGCATCGTGTTTTAGCACGCCGACAAGTCTCGCAGGAGATGACACGGCGGCGTGCAGCTCGTCGAGTTGCTGGTGCTGGGGGACTGGATTGGCTAAATGATTTCATGTTCACATTACAATTGTAAAAGGCTTACAGTAAAGTTCTCGACTTATGAGAGAATGGTATAAAGAATAGAGGTTGTCGAAGATAAGCCTCAAAGCCTGAGGCAGATATACTTATCTTATCGCAGGCCCAAAAGGGTATAGCGTTATTTAGCACCTACGTGGAGGTCCCGCGGCTCGTGGGAGCTCCAACTTTTTGTGAAGCTTCATACAACTCCAATTTCTTGATAACTCATCTCAGAAATTTGCAAGAATACAATCGTGATGATCGCGGACTGAACAGTGTGCCTCAGTCCCGGTCATTTGGGTCTATCGAGACCTACCATGACGACCAATCTCAACTTCGGACAATACTCCGCGATGCCAGCTTTGACTGTCGCCGCATTCGCGGTGCTTTCTCTGTTCTTCGTCGCTTTCGCGTTGATCATTGTGAGTGATACAGACAAATAAAATTATATTAGTGGCTCCTTTCTGACGCGCTTAAATCAAATAGTCCCTCCACCTAATACTCTCATCTTCACAACACTCCGCCGTTCCCAAGCTACGTCACAGAGGCACCCCAACCCATGTGCTGATCGTGCTCGGTAGTGGTGGCCATACGGCAGAAATGCTATCAATGCTGCGCCGCATGCCACTAGACCCAAACACCTACACTTTTCGTACATACATTGTGACCTCGGGCGACAGCTTCAGTGCCTCGAAGGCTGTGGAGTTTGAGGTGATTCTTCACGCGCAGTACAAAGACTCAAAACATACACAACGTCACAACTATGATATTATCACCGTACCTCGTGCCCGTCGAGTCCATCAGTCGTATCTTACTGCGCCGTTATCTACAATCCAATGTTTCTGGGCATGTCTCCAGGTTCTTCGCGGTAAACATTCAGATCAACAAAGCAGCAAGCGCGACGTTAAATTTCAATATCCTGACCTGATACTTACCAATGGTCCTGCGACAGCGGTATGTGTAGTTCTGGGAGCAAAATTTCTAAGATTTTGGATCGCACTTTCTGCACTGCTACTGCTCAAGTCTGGCCAGACACACAAAGACAGTTCGGCAAATACACTTCCACTCCGCACTGTTTTCATTGAGTCCTGGGCGCGTGTAACCACACTGAGTCTATCTGGAAAAATCCTGCTACCTTTTGTAGATCGGTTCTTGGTGCAGTGGCCGAACCTTGAAGGCAAACAGGCATGGAAAGGCATGAGAAAGGCAGAATATGTCGGTACAATCATTGATTAGGCCTGATAATATATGAATGACTAGAGTTTTAGCGCACATGTATTTGTGACGTCTACTCTATTCAATCTACAGTACCATAGATCAAACAGCCCTCTAGTCCTTCATCGCTTCAACAATACCATCAGCCCCTTCTTCGACTGACTCCCAGATTTTCACAACTCGAAGCCCGACACTCTCTAGCAACTCGCGCCACTGTTTCGCCGTGCGCTCCATACCACTATTGAAAGCCATCATTGTCATATCCAACTGTGCCTGGAATTGGGGCGCCCCTTCCTCAAGAACAATGATCTCATGCAGCAGAAGCTTCGAGTATCCCGGCATCATTGCAGATACTACTCTCTGAAGTATTTCGCGACAGTAATTGTCTGACCAGTCGTGTAGGATGTGGTGGTAGAAGTAAGCCCTAGCTCCTGTGACTATTCTAAGTATACATACACCCGAGTACACTTCCGCTTCTATTTGTAGGGGAATAGGGGGCGAAGAGAAGTACCTTGAACCGGTTGCTGCGTAAAAAAGTCATACGCAACCTTCTCAATGACTGGATCCAAATTATCAAGGGTCTCTATAACCGGCTGCAAATCCTGCAGCACGAGCTTACCGGCACCTGGAAATTTGCTGTGAAATGCTAACAAATCATGGCCCTTTCCAGCTCCAACATCGACAATAAGCGGCTTTTCTGGGTCTGCACCACCCAGAATCCGGGCTTGTACCGGATACCAATCTACCCAGTAGTTGCGCGCTCCCATAGTATTACCCATGAATGTGTTGAAGTCCTTGAGCAACGAAGGCGAAGAAGTGATTCGCTCGAAGGTGGTGTCATTGGTCTGGAATGCGTGCTGGACGAGTCCTTCTCTGGGATCGATGGGACAGGAATATCCATGACGGAGGAGAAATTCTGGCGCCTTCTGCACTGCGGGCACAATCAACTGAGATCTGTCTATGTGTTAGTTGCATAAACGGGGACTCTCGTAATATTGGCTAACATCATTCTATGACCAGCCGCAATTTCTTCTGTGGCCATCGCTGCTGTGATAGGGGTCGCCTTCCATGTTCGTGGTCCGGTTTCTTCGACAAATCGGATAGCCGATAATGGCCGCATGAGACGTACTAGAGTCTATCGTCAGTATGCATGTCGAGGTCGAGATGCTTGACTGATTAAGTCAACATACTGATCAAAATCTCCTCAGCGCCACACAGCTCTGCTAATCTCGCTGATGCCACCGGCCCTTCGTTCACAACGTGCTGGAATAAATTTAAATCAACAGCAATCCGTGCAGTAACTGCGATCATAGGCTGTTTAGGATAGTCAGTTACGCTTGACTTTGACGGGAGGAGAGAAAGACGAAGAAAGCAGTACCGAAAACGCCATATCAACAGCCACATTTTCTGGCTGTTCCAGCTGGCTTGTAAGATTTTTACTCAGCTGCAGACATTTTTTTCTAGCCTCATGATTGTTCCCATCATTGAGACTTGCAGCAAGAGAGTGCAGCTTGGCTATGATGCTGATAGGGTCCTCGCTCGTAGAAGTCATGGTTTAAGTCTTTAGAAAACGGGGAACTTTCTTAAAAGATATCAATCCTTTATTCTATTATATAGTCAGACAATAACATTTGAAGCCGCCCATGACGAGTCATACTATTGCTTAAATGGGAAATATTTATGTCCACCCGTGGACGTTCATGATAAATAGTGGGTTGTCTTGCAATTCACTGAGCTCAAAAGATGTACTTGTTTTTCAGCTTGTAGGATCAACTTCAATTATCCGAAATATGGGTTCTTTTTTTTATCTATTAGGAAGCTGACAGGACGTACTGACCTTAGGATTTATTGTCTCAGCAAGCTCAGCTGCTATTGGAATGTGCAGGACAAAGAAAAAACGAAATTAATATCCGAACAACCCTGTAAGGCGGCATCAAACCCCCTTAATGCTGATGCGTGTCCAGTCGGTCTCATTCTAATATCATTTGCCTGTAGCGTTCTTTGTTCTCCCATGTTTTACCACTGCCAACCCCGCACAGAGCTCTATTCGCGATCTTACGAGAACCTCTGCCATGGGACAAGAAAAGATTTCCGGGCTACCAGACGTTATACATAGAGAAGCAGACGATAATGCCGAGAAGGTCGGTCACACCGCAATCTCGAGTCCGCCTGTCGCATCTACTTCGGCCGAGGACTGGTTCGCATGGCTACAAGTTCTGGGAGCATTCTCCCTGAATCTGAACACATGGTAAGCTCTTTGATATATGGCAAGCCACGAACCATCACCAATTTCTGATGTTAATTTTAGGGGTCTCATGAACGCATTCGGCGTTTTCAGACATTCTACCAACTCAACCTCCTCTCCTCTAAGAGCTCAGCAGACATATCATGGATCGGCTCAACCCAATCCTTCCTGATGTTCCTTGTTTCTGTAATCGCAGGCCCGATTGTTGATACAGGCCATCTCAAATCGCTATTGGCGCTGGGATCGTTGCTCACGGTCCTCGGAATGTTCATGACTAGCCTATGTAACGCATACTGGCAGGKCTTTCTCGCTCAGGCGGTGATCATGGGGCTGGGCTTTGGTTGTCTCTATGTGCCGGCTCCGACAATTGTGTCGCAGTATTTTCACGCCAGGACTGCGCTGGCGATGGGGGCGTCTTCAGCTGGGAGCGCTCTTGGTATGTACCCTTCTTTATCGACGATCTAGGTAGACATGATGATTCTAATGGCATGGCAGGTGGTATTGTATACCCCGTCATCTTCACACATCTCCAGCCCAGTATCGGCTTTGGCTGGGCCACTCGAGTAATTGCATTCATCATCTTAACAACCCTTATACCTCCCCTCGTCCTAATGAAAGCCCGTTCTCCTCCAATGAGCAACTACAGGCTCCTCGACACGAACGCATTCAAAGACACGCCATACATTCTACTCAATCTTGGGCTTGTATTCGGCTTCATGGGTTTCTACATCATCTTCTACTACATTCAATTATACGCGCTTCAGGAGACCAACATCTCAGGCTTTGTCGCAAGCTATCTTCTCGTCATCATCAATGCAGGCTCTTTACCAGGACGCCTGATCCCCGGCTACTACGCAGATAGAGTTGGTTCTATTAACGTACAAACAACCGTCGCGCTGGTTGGTGCCATACTTACATTCTGCTTGATGGCAAACAAAAGTTCGGCTGGGCTCATTGTGTATAGCGTTCTGTACGGATTTTCGGCTGGGGCATTTATGGGCCTTCCGGCTGCTGGGGTGGTGAATCTAACTGCTGATAAGAGCAGGATTGGCACGCGCCTAGGGATGACGCTGGCTTGTGTTGGATGCGGTGTGCTCGTTAGCAGTCCGATTGCAGGCGCTATTCTAAATGGGAAGGGAGGCTGGGTTGGGTTGGTCGTCTGGTGCGGGGTGTTGCTCACGGCGTCATGCATTGCTATGTCAGCGAGCAGAATCTGCAAGGTGGGATGGAGAGTGAGAAGAATTATTTAGGTAGAGAAATGAGTGATATCAGGTAGATGGAAGTTTAGATACTATAAGTAGAAGTTATGGTGATTATCAGTTTAGGGTTTAGGGTTTAGGGCTGCAGGGTCCGATTGTCTCCGTTACCAAAATGATTCTTGACCTGTCAAATTGTATGATTATGAGAATCTCCAGAGAACATTTGAATAAGAACCATCGATAGATTTGATCGAAATGTGAACAACTCATTTTTGAATCATGTCTTTTTCAAGCCATGGCAAGCGCATCACATTTAACTACAAGAGATTATTAGTACTACCTATGAGAGACACAGCCAACCAGTTCCATTGGCAGATATTAGATATTCCAAAGCAGCTCAACTAGAGATGAAATAGGTCGGCAAATCCTCTAAAGACAAATTGGCCGTTGGTGAAATAGTTGAGTCACCCTGCCCCGCGTAGATCGGACAGTCCGACGGCCTCCGACGGGCCTTTACACTGATTGTCATACATTAGCATAGCCAAGTCCACCCTTTTACAGGAAGATTTTTAAATATAACATCGCAGCCTTTCTTTGTTCAGTACTCTATACATCTAGCAACAGCAAAATGGGCTACTCACTCAAGGACCGAAACGTGCTCGTCACGGCAGGCTCTCGGTACGTTACCCTCGGCCTTTTCTACGTGTTTCCCCTTCATAACACAAACACTGATCTCTTCGCGTGAACAACAGTGGCCTCGGAGCTACAATTGCGGAAAAGTTTGCAGCAGAAGGCGCAAACGTAGTGATCAATTATGTATCAAGTGAAGATCGAGCGAAGGAGACGGAGGCAAAGATCAACTCTCAATATGCGGTTAAGACCGCTATTGTTCAGGGAGTATGTTCTTTCTTTTCTATAAGAATATGGATGTCTGACCGTAGTGTAGGATCTTGGAATAAAAGAAGACTGTGTTAGAGTTGTCAAGACGGCCGTTGAAGTACTAGGTGGTCTTGATATTGTCATCTCAAACGCTGTGAGTCACATGCCCAACTCTTGAGATGGAATCGAGTTGATGTGGTGATTCTAGGGCTGGACGAAATTTGCCCCCTTCGGCGACCTCGATGCGTTGGATGAGGATGACTGGGATAAGGTATGTCATCGAATCAGTAGAGAACCAGTCTTCTCTAATGCGGTCACATGTATAGTGCTGGGCAGTCAATGTCAAGGGCCACATGCACACATTCCGTGAAGCGCTCAAAACCTTCAACGCCAATCCTGATGGGGGTGCATTCATCATTACGGCATCCATAGCGGTAGGCTAAGATTCAAGCTGGTATGGCGCGGCAGAGAACTAATGTGACTATATTAGGGATTGATGCCTGGTGGAAGCAGCATGCCATATTCAATCACAAAAGCAGCCTGTAAGTCTTCGGCTTTCTTGTTTATATAAGTATTAGGGCCTGACTGATAACCGCCTTGTAGTACTACACCTGACTAAATGTCTCGCCAAGTCTCAGGGGCCTAAAGTTCGCGTTAATGCCGTCTGTCCTGGATTGTTGTTGACTGAATGGGTAGGTATACTGTACCTGAGACGTTGTACTATGTCTGGTAACTGACATGACTTCAACAACAGGGCAGCCAGTTCTCGGAAGAATATATGAAAAATCACATCAATCAAACTGCACTGAAAAGAGTGGTCAGTATACTGTTTTAACGGGTAGAAGGAAAGTTGCCTTGGCTAATTTTACAAAGGCCGAGCTAGATGATGCTGCAGACTTATACATATCCCTCGCTAAGAACGCATCCATAACCGGCCAGTCATTGGCCGTTGGTGAGTGCATGCCATTCTAATTATGTGAAGAAGTCGAACTGACTGGCAAAAATTAAAGACGGAGGCTTCGCGATTATCTGAACACTCGACGACTTCGAGCAAAGAAATGCATGTACATTTATATCCGTACACGATGCTAAGAATACTTAGGTATACATGCAGGGCCAAGTCGTGAAAGATTTCAAATGCATATATAGTACTATACAAGGGTATCTAAACGCTCAAACCAATTTATTAGAGAACATGATAAGCTCAGAATCCCCATTACCAAGATCGTCAAGGGCGAACATACGCGCCTTTTGAGCAGCGATCAGCGCATCATTGAACCTTTCTCCCTCAAATTTGAGTTGGTTCAGACGTAAGAGCTTATTATCTGCACTGTAGACGTACAAGGCTTTGTCGTGGAGCTTTCTTTGGGCAAAACCGAGGGTGAAAGGCAACCCTGGACCGGTTTGAGATAGGGCACCTTCCGGAACTGTACCTGGTGAGACCTCTTCAATTTCCTGAAAAATCACCCTCTTCTCCAGTGATTTCACAAAAAACGGGTCAGATATCTCTTTATCGGACACCTTCCGGGTAAAATTTGGTCTGGCGACGCTCCACAGAGATCCCAAGACACGTTGTCGCCGTTGAATTTCAGTCCAGCTCCAATCTTTCCAGTTTATATGACGGTCCTTCGGTGTTATCTTCGCCGCATGCGTAAGGTTTTTGGCGTCAAACCCTTCAAATTGGGACTTGACTTCCTGCAACGGAGGCACGAAAACTCGGTTCTGAATCCCTCGGATCAGCATTTCGGCGCCCCTTGGTGCAAGAAGCCGCAATAATTCTGGTACCGTACATGAGTCCGGATTTGGAATCAGGATACCCGGGGCAGGTGTTTGATCGAGTATCGAGCCTTGGTCAAAATGTTTATGGTGGAGGGTTTGAAGCGTTACGCCACTTGTCGTTCGTCCGGAGAGGAGGGTGTGGTGTAGAGGGGCCGGGCCTCGTAGGCTAGTTTCGTATGTTAGTTGAGAGTAGCATTAGATACAGCCTGAAATCTTACTCTGGGAGTAATGAAGGATGTACATTGACGCCTCCGTACTTTGCAGCCGTGAGTAATCTGGAGGGAATGAATAGGCCGAAAGACACGGCGACGATCAGATCAACGGGTCCATCTGGTGGCTATTTGCAATCAATCAGCCACAATTCATGTCCCATAGATACATATTACAACTCACAGTCCACCCTTTGAAGGTGTCTAGCTCGTGTATCCTGAGGCCAAGCTCCGAAGCAGTCGACTTGATCGGAACTATACCACCAATCCATTGTCAGGAATGCCATTGCAACCTCGCTCAAAATTGCTGACCTTCGCGAATCTGTTTCAAGCCCCTCCCAACCCGTTTTCCCGGCCGACAAACAACCTCAATAGACTTGATTGAATGTGGTCTTCGTAGCTGTTCGGTATGGAGGGCTTCCAATGAAGCAATGCTGAATTCGTCGGAGCCGCAGAAGAGGATGCGGAGGGGATCAATTGTTTTGTCCGAGTACCAGCGACGGCCAATTGCACGAGCGCATTGTAATTGACTGCGCAGTATGGGTAAAGCAGTATGTATAAGAGACACCATCCTGTTCTGGTCTGTGAGCCAGGGAGGCACAGACTGAGACACGTGCGGATCTCATGCGGGAAGCTTTCTGTCAGCCCGTCGGAGAGCGCTAAGCTGTCTCTAATATACAACTCTCCACAAAATGTCGTGGATGACGTCGCGCGACAACCTTGATCGAACAACACGTATTCAGCTTGTGAATAAAGGACACATGCTAGTATAGAACAGCGGTGGTGCGCGCACCGGACATGATATGGTTGACGAATCTCTCTCCGTCGTCCCGGCGCAGCTCGCGTTCCTCACCATCTACAACCCCTCTTTGGGAACGACAGACGAAACGCTGCAGGACCAGATCGTCTTCTACTATTCCTCATCGCAGCAAGCTAGCCGGATATCGAACAGTGCAAATGATTCACCAAATATTCCTTCTACCGAGCAGCAGGGTATCAAGGATGACACAAATGGGAGGTTGCGCAAAATTGGCCTGGCGCAGGGCATGGTAAATTTCGCAAAGTAGGCTTGTGTGCCTAAGGATGTCTAGAGAAGCAGGATAACTGAGCTGACGCTTGTTGTATTTGGTTACAGAAATTTCTCTAACGGCCAGCCTGTTGACAGTGTCGAGACTGAAAAGTCGCGCATCGTTCTCCATGAACTAGAGAGCGACTGGTGGATACTGGCTGTGAGTGATCACGATGCTATACGGTTCTTCGAAGCTAATCAGCTATCTACAGTCCATAGATCTCACCCGAATATCATCTCCAAATACCATTAATGCGTCTTCTGAAACTTCTCCATCCGTCGAATATTCCTCGCGAGAAATATATCCTCCTCGATCCCTCATCCAACAACTACGACGAGCGCATTCGATATTCCTCTTACACCATGGCGATTCATTGAGCACCATCTATCAACGTATCGGAAGAGATTCTTTCTGCAAGCTCCTTGGTCGTTTCTGGAATAAATTTGTCCGTCACTGGCTCGTACTTCTCAACGGCAACCCAGCGGTGGATGTTTTCAATGGCGTAAAACTGGCTGTGGGTGGAGAACTTGGGATTGGCGTCGGCGAAGAAGAATGGGGTAGTGGTGAACGAGAAGTTCTTGAGGATTATGTTTCGCGCACAAATGGTCTTGTTGATCTCGTCGTCTCCCGTTTCGGAGATGCACCGTCGCAGCCGTCAGCATCGCCGTCGAAAGGAACACCAGGAAGAGATCAGGTTGAACCTGATAACTGGCTGGGGCTAGATCAGACTCCACGGCCGTCAGATGGTGTTATATTCTCAGGTGTCGGTGCTATCTCGCGGCGATCTCTGTCTAGTATATCGCATTGGATGGAATGGATCTATAGATACGGTGAGGCTGCATATGGCGTCGATGAAAATCCTAGTTCAGGTCGTTCTCGCAAGCAAAGAAGGGCTAGACATAAGGCTGCTACTGCATCTCCTCAACCAACGGGTCTGAGGAAGTTGGACCCGAAACCAGAGCCTCCAAGTGGGAGAACATCACCGGGTATCCCGCCGCCGTTGGTCGTGGGCACTCCTCCGACTGTGCAGAGCTTGTCAACAAACGATCAAACTACTGAGGAAGGCGGAATAAGTGCCGAAACGGTTATGAAATATCTAACATTGGGCTATGGCTCAGCATGGAAGATTCCGGGCATATCAGCCAACGCGTCCAATGACGCCACAATATCTGCAAAGGCTGGTGCAGAGAATGGTGCTTCTCAAGACACAACAAAGTAAGCCACTTCAATAAAGTTTTGTTCCGCCATGATGACTGACATGTAGCAGAAAAAGCGATGGAGATGCAACCCAAGGAAAATTTATCATTGGTCTCAGAGAGGACCTTGAGGAGGATTTGTCTGATGAAGATAATCCGAATGAAAGCGTCTTCTTTCTTCCACAGAATCCAGAGGATAAGAACAGGCGTACTCTATTACGCACGCTACAGGTCGAGGTGGCCGAGTCAGCGTCATATGACAACGGCGAGGGTAGGTATCAATTTCAAGCACATATGACTAGAACTAACATACATATTACCAGATACATTTACAGACCAAGTACACAAAAAACTCCAAGTTTTGGTTTATGTGGTATGTCCACCCACGCAAGATAATGGTTTATAATACTAATTCATACAGCGACAACCATTCATGTTCACATTCCTCTTCGACCTCCACACACCATCTCTCACCCTTCCATCCTTCTACCGCAGCATCCACCACCAACTCGGCCCCTTACAAAGACCACTCTTAACATCCACATCCCCGCTCAACGTCACCCGGCGAATCTACTTCTCAGACAGCGACGCAGGCGAAAAGAAACGATCATCATCCGTAATCAACAACCCCATCTACGATCTTGTCTATGACCCAGGGAATCTGACAGTAAGATCGTCTATTCCCAACATCCCAGAACCAGGTTCTCTTAGCCCTGGTCACAACCACGAACGACAAACGCACTGGTCCCGCCTCGAAGCGCTGAATGTGCACAGTCAGTTCCTCAGTACATATATCGAGACTCGCTCTCGACCCCTAGAAACGGAACGGACATGCAAGACCAGTCGAGGATGGTGGCTAATATGGGTTCGCATCCATGACTACCATTCACTCCCAGACCAAAGCCAAAACAATTCCTCACCACCATCGAAAGAAGCCTTCCTAATCCGCAGAGCATCAGACGCCCTCTCATCCACCGGCTCCGGCGGCGGCATATCAGGAGCCCGACACGGCCGCGAAGGAAGTAGCGGAATCAGATTCCTGCGCGATCTCAGCGGCGCATCATCTTCTTCACCGGCCACTGGTGCAGCAGCAGCAGGAGGGTCTGGGAATGATAGTGCCTCAGCTCCGGGAAGACTTACGGAAGGATTGGGGTTTGATGCTCATCGATATATTGAGAGTTTATTGAGTTTAAACCGATGAGCCCTTCCTACCTAGGTACGAGGTGAAGTTAAAAACAACGTAGATTATTCAGTCATGCCATGTATTACGAGTATACGATATGATAGTTATGGTGATGAATCTACATACCTCCAGTCGTTATTAATACCGTCTGAAGATATAACCAATGAAGCATTCCGATGTAAAGAACAATGTTTTTATTCAACTTCTCTGCTTTCGTTTCGAATACTTGGCTCAATTCGTTTAGACAGTCTTTCTAATTTGATTCAAGATATAGAGAGAAAAAAGGAGAGAAAAGAGGCAAAAAGAGAAAACGCCATCCTTAGATTCTGGAAATCAATATCAAGAGAAAGAATATAAGGCGAATAACAGCAGAAACGAACAACACATGATTAAAAGACGAGACGAGACAAGACAGCACAAGACAAGAGGGGTAGGAAATATGAGTAGAGGAAAACCCCCCTTCCGGTATCAGGATACCAAAACAAGAATGTTCTTGTTTGGAATCCGACCAAAAGTTAGATCACAGGAAGAAACATTCCCCTGCGAGTCGATTCAAGAACCTATCCACAAAAATCCCAGGGTAGTACATGCAGACGGAAAGAACATTAGACCATCGGAAGAAAAAAGCCGAAATTCCGAATTGGAAAGCGGATGTGTTGAAAGAAGTTGGGTAAGAAGTCCCGTTGAACAGTCTTGTTTGTGTCGCTGGAAACCTTGGAGATTTGAAGAAGAAATAGCTAGATTACATGATACTGCAGGGCTTCTTGGGCTTGTGAGACTTGGTCAAGAGAGCTGCCCGGGTGGCAGTCTCGAAGACTTCACGGACACCCTGGCCGGTACGAGCAGAGCATTCAAGATATTTGTAGGCACCAATCTTCTTTCGGACCTCCTCACCCTGTAGATTTAATGTTAGTGATGCACCAAAAAAGGAGAGCGGATGGCCATACCTGGTCAAAGGTGACGGGTCGCTGAGAGGTCTTGTTCAACTCATCGATAGTCTTCTGGTCATCACGGAGATCGACCTTGCATCCAACCAAAATGATAGGAAGCCCTTGGCAGAAGTGAAGAACCTCAGAGATCCACTAGAGCGCTGTCAGCATCCATACGTAGATCTCGAAAAGTACAGCGAGAACGAACCTTCTCCTGGACGTTGTCCAAAGAATCGGGAGAGTCGACAGCAAAGCAGATCAAAATGACGTGTGAGTCGGGGTAGGACAAGGGACGAAGACGGTCGTAGTCCTCCTGACCAGCAGTATCCCAAAGAGCTAATTCGACGTGCTTGCCATCAACCTCGACATCGGCAACGTAGTTCTCAAAGACGGTTGGGACGTAGACCTATACACAGCAGTGTCAGAACAGTCAAGCTTTGTAATTGAAGTTCGTAACGCAACGAGGCTGACGAGCACGTGGTCTCGATGACCGGGATGGGAGGGGGCGGTAGTTGCTAACCTCTGGGAAAGTTCCCTTGGAGAAGACACTATCGAGGTGATTGTCAGTTTTATATTCCACTCGTTGTTATCCAAGTCGATGACAGTCGACAAGGTTGGCAATGAAGCGGCCAGACTTACATCAAGAGACAAGTCTTACCACAAGCACCGTCACCGACGATAACGAGCTTGCGACGGATTTCAGCCATTTTTCTGTAATAACCAAGATTAGTCGACTAGTATTCAACCGAGCAGATAGAAAGCAAAAGCGAGAAAGAGTGGTGGACGAGGGCGAGGTTGGTAGGAGCTGTGTCGGGGTTGTTGACGTGTGTAGATAGTGGCAGATGTGCTGTTGTCGACAGCTTTATTGCCCAGCGACCACGGGAAAAAGGGTTGGCACGTACAATCTGGATCAAAGGGCGGACTGTTTTAGAGGCGAATAAACAATCAGACAGAAGCAGTAGTATATGCTTCGGCACACACAGGATAAGTGAGAAGTAGATTGAGAGAGAGGTTGCAGATGGATGGATGGGTGATGATGATGATGATCGCTCTCTGTTTTCAACTGAGAGAGGAGAGGATGGAGATTGGGGAGTCAGACTAGGCAAGAGTGGTAAGAGTTGGTTTGGTATGGGAGCCAGTCACACAGCCTAGGTAAGAACGTACGCTGTACTGTATTGTAACTTTAGTACAGTATTAGAAGTATTAGGGGTCAGCCTGCGGGTGGCTTATCCTATTGATTTGGCCATTAACTGCGTCTGGTACGGTACAGTCCATACGGAACAAATATGACGCGTGACGGTAAAGGCCAATCAGGAGTGCAGTCTGACATGGTCACGCTCAGCCCTAATGTATGTAATTATGTCCGTATCTGTAAGGGTATCTTGTTTTACCGCTGCTCACTGTGGCTGATCCGTGCTGTGGTATGTCAATAATACGACATATGTGGCTTTGCCGGATATCGATACAAATGTCCAGTGTATCATACGGTCTTACACGATTCCATCATTGTTTATGAGACATGAGACATAGCCCCTGTACATCAACTTGTGGCTGAGCAAATCCTATTTCTGTATCGTTTTCTTTTTCTTTTTCTTCCTTTTGTTGGTAGTGATAAGGGGCTTCCAATTTACCTTCAGCAAAATAATGGACTCATCCGTGTCATTTCCCCGTCATAAACGATTATTCTGCCCAGGCATCAGGGGGTGCACTGACTACAGTAATATTGTACAGCTTGATACGATTGTTGATACCGACAAAACAACAACTGTGTACAGTCCTTACCAACTTGGGACGGACTAAAATCGCCTGACCAAACACTGCCCTGAGAGGCCTATTTTGGTGGGTCGGAGTCCCGCTGTAGTACGACTACGTACGTGTCACAGTGATCAAGCTGTGAGAGCGGCTGATGAAGCCTCAGACTTCGATGTGCATATCGTAAATATACTCATACAACATTTTGCGGCAACTCAAGAATAAACAACAGACAGTACTGAGTGAAAATTAGCGGGCTTTGGTCGCGCGTGCAATGACGAAAAGAAGGGGTTCCTGGCTGAAGTTGTTATGTCAACAAGTGTGGCGGTGCAACGGCGAGCACGGGATCAAAAGGTCCTTATCACGATAACCCCAGCCAATCAAAAAGTCGAATTATCAGGCCAATTGGATTTATCTATTTGTTCAGACGAAATACAGGCTTCAAGATGAAGAAGAGTGATGTCAAAGTTGAGCTGTTTGAATGTAGTCGGACCAATTTCACATCAATGTTCACACCTAATTCGGATTGTAGACCGTCAATCGAGTATTTGGGTAGAAAGAGGTGCCCTCCGCACCTTACCTTCTAGCTGTTCTATCACGTGACCTTGAAGCCAAATTTCTCCGGGCTCTAGATGGAAATCACCAGCAACAGCAACAGCACCACAACGACAATTGCATGATGCCCAATTGACTACACTCAACTGCCAGCCACAATGCAAAAGGTAATTCAACGGACGACTCTTGCCCGCAACCAAGCGGCGCGCAAGGCACGCATCCTCAAGGAAAAACAAGAGCGTCTCGATGTCGTGAAATTCTTCCGAGAACGCGACGAACATCAGCGCCGCCAGATCGATACGCACTTAGCAGCTGTGAAAGCACGCCATGAAGATTGGTTTAAGGGTCCTCTTGCACCGCAGCGAGACTCTGGTGTAAACGCCGGAACTTATGGAGCACTCGATGCGCAAGACACATTTATGCCTAGAATTCCGAAACATCTACGCAGACAGTTCATTAACATTGCTCCGGGGGATCGAGTCGTTCTCTTGGCTGGACCTGACCAGGGTAAAATATGTGAAGTCAATACGGTTGATAAGGAGTCGGAGAGTCTCACCGTAAAAGATCGTTGTCAGGTACGTTACCATTATCTCAAATAATCTCTGCAAATCTAATTTCCCCTCTATATAGGCGGCCTTCCGGACTCCCGAATACATGAAAGATGAGAATGTTGCCGATCTCATGACTAATCCTGTACCGATCCCCATCGACGATGTCCGTCTGGTCTGTACCCTTGAAGACAATGGTCAGCAATACGAGGTGGTCGCCAAACATGTACATGGCTCAGGTCCATTCCTTACTCGATCAAATACCAGCACTCCACGACATACCAGATACATCTCCGGAGAGAACATACGCATCCCCTGGCCCGAAGAGAACAAGGTTGACACATTAACCGACGAAGACGGAGACACTTCACGCAAGGAAGTGGAATACGAAACATGGACACCGTCACTCAGCGCCATGCCTTTTAAGCCCTCAGTCATGGATGAAATCAGAAACAAATACTCCAAATACCGAACACGACACGACCCTGCATGGCTTGAGGCTAAGAAGCTGGAGGATCTCCGTGAGGAGTTCCTCAAATCGAGGAAGTTGTTGACGCCGGCCGGTGAATACAAGGCCAGGCTTGCGGAAGAGAAGGCTGCCATCAGACAGTCGAAGAAGGACGAGAATGGCAATTATATCATGGACCAGACTACATCGGACTTTATCTCCCGTTTTATCAGTAAGAATGGTGCTGGGAAGGGGCAACTAAAGCGGGCAGTTAACTAGATCCCCTTCGCTTCGTGTATTTTAGTAAATCAGCATGTTTTTTATTATTTACATATTCTAGGAATATCATGTATTATATCGCTCTTATTCTTTGAGTGGGTTCTTTCAACTTCTTTTTATTAGACATGGCTAGTCATCTGCTTGCCGCCAAGGATAGCAAACCGTCAATCACTTTAGTGTAAATAAATAATATCAAACATCCGACCACCTTCCCTTACTATTCACACAACAGCAAACCATACAAAACCGTGCTGGTCACACCTGCCAAAGTACCAATCATGGCTTTTGCAGCAATCAACAACTCGTCACGAAACTCGTCAACTATACCGATTGTAAATCAACAATCTCCGGCGACAGTGAATTACGCAGTTATCGACAATGCTTTTGCGGCGGATTTGTCGCTAAGGAAACGCGTCTACGAGGCGATTTGTGAGTGCCGCTTGTTCCAATGTTTATTAGGCAATAACTAACAAGATATTTTTACTTGTCAGCTGCTTCTCCTCAACACGGAGCGCTATTCCAGGATATCGCACAATACACATCAAGACTACTACAATCACAATCGTCGCAGCAACAGCAGCTCGCTAAAGCTGTATCCGAAGAACCGGCGATCAAGAAGCGCAAGTTAGAAGGAAACAATGGCGTTAGCGGCGCATCACCAGCTACGAGTGTTCATGATCTCAAGGCAGATAGTCCGCTACAATTCTACGTGCAGGATGTATCTTTTGCAGTACCTCAGAGGAAGAAATTGACGCTGGAAATGACAGCCGCAGGCGGCTATCTTCGTGCAAGGAATCAGACGTCGAAGGAGGTTGAGTTCGGGATTCCGGTGAAAGAGATTCGTGCGTCTCCCCCAAACGCTTTGTTTATGTGTACTCTTTGCTTACGCAAAGGTTAATATAGAGCACATACTATGCCTCCCCGTCCCCGAGAAAGCCCAACGCCAGACAAACTTCTGCATCATCCCGAGATGCGGTGACGGCGTGACACCGGTTCCGGACGGCGCATTGGTTCCAGATCAGATGGTATTCACCATCGCCGATGGTCCTGCAAAAGCCGCTTTTACGGGTGCCGGTCAACGTGTGGAAAGCGACGAAAATGGAGAGGCTCTTTTAAGAGGCTGGCTCAACGATGCTATTGGCCATACAAAAGTCATTCGTCCTGATGACCGGGAATTTGTAAGTGCGACACCGGAAGCGCATCGCAAGGGAGAAAAGGCATGTCATGTCAAAGCGCATAGGGGTAGTAAAGATGGTACACCTCCTCATTCAACTGATTTGAGAGAGAAAGCTGCTAATTAATGTGTGGTGGATAGGATATCTATTCTTCTTGTCTACCGGCATACTCTTCGGCTTCAAGAAACCGCTGGTATTCTTCTCGTTCGACAACATCGAGTCTGTATCATACACCTCCGTTCTCCAGCGAACCTTCAACCTCAATATTACCACCAGAGTAGACGAGGAACAAGAACCGCAAGAGTTTGAGTTTTCCATGATTGACCAGGCGGATTATGCCGGTATCGATGCCTACATTAAGAATCATCAACTACAAGATGCGAGTCTTGCAGAAGCCAGACGGGCCAAGAAGTACAACGTCAATGGCGGCAAGGCTGCCGGCGCTGATGGAGAACAGAATGGAGAGGAAGCCACAGCTGCGGATGGAGAAGAGGAGGAAGAGAGCGAACTACAGAAAGCGCAGCGCGAGTTGGAGGACCAGGAGGATGAGGAAGAGGAAGATTATGATCCGGGAAGTGAGGGGGACAGTGAAGGCAGTGGATCGAGCAGTGAGGAAGAGGATGAGGATGAAGATGGGGGTGGAGATGATGATGAAGACGAGGAGGATGAGGACGGTGATATCGATCTCGTCAAGCAAGAACTTGGTAGTGAAGTTGAGGATGTTGATGAGGAGTAATTGACGGAGTTAGTATCTAATACTAACGATGAATACGATATGACACACATATCCTCTTGTGACTAGGTCTGCTATGCAGTAGGTAGTGGTCTCACGTAACTCACGTAACTCACGAACCTCAATCAGACGATCATTCAATCTAGCCCTGAGGACCCAAATCTAGACTACAACTTTTAAAATTAAACGATGTCATACCCAACGGTCTAATTTCGGCATAATTGCTTGTTTTCTCGTTTACGGAATAGGAACTAATACATACGCATATCTCCACAGTATCCGTAGCTCAACTTGCAGTGCCAAGCGGTAGACCGTTGAAAGAGAAAATGAACCAATTTCCTATGGAGAAAATGTGATGGATCAAGCGGTCAAACTGAAATACATTGTGTATTTACAGTACGTATTCTTATTAATATACGGAGTACGTACCACGGTACGTGTCAACCTCGGTTCAGTATTTCGTTACCTCTTCTCATGACAGGCTCATAAATTTTCTTTTCTCTTTCCTTGGGTAGTTCTTTTGTGGTTCCACTTTCCAATTGCTCTTCGAGTCTTTGTATGTTCCAGGAACTGTTCACTGTCTAGATAGGAGAAGCAAGATGAATACATTACCGCTCGGACGCGGCAAGACGAAGTGAGACGAGTATTGTGTACCGTAACTTATAAACATGCTTGTGCCTGGAGGTGTATTACGTAGTACGGAGACCTCCGTATGTACCGGTATTTCAGGCGCATTCCGGACAGTCACGTGATGACTACAAGCACAACGTTGCTAGCTGATTCGCATGTCGTTGTTATGCACATCGGAACGGTATTTCCAGTAAGCACGGAATTATCATTCGCCAGGCCTAGTGACCACTGATAATCATTTGAACAAATAATAGAGTTGTATGGCCTGAAGGCATCACAATTCGACAGCATCTGGATCAACCTCAACGCACTAATTTAGCTTCCAATGTAGCAAGTAGACGCGAAGTGTGCAGCGGCTAAGCAAGTAGAGACTAGCTTGCTGTTATTGAGAGGTGAATAGCCACAGCCTAATGCCCCTTGGCCTGTCGTCTCATTCGGCCTGACAGTCATTCATCTTGTGCGCCTGTCTGTCGATTGTCGAATTCTCGCTGCTCAATTCCTCGGAGATATTTTCTCTCAAGAAGTCTTCATCACAATCCTGAGTAGCCTTGTCACAGTAGTTAGACTGTTGACTACAGAGTAGGTACAGCAGAAGCTAGAGGCAGGCTGACCGCCCTGCCAAGCTACGCTAACCAGATAAACTACCCGCTGGAACCTCTCGCTCTCTCTGGACTCGAATCCCTTACTGTTCGCTACTCCATCCGATCCTCTACTCTTCTTCCTTCCTTTTCCTCCTCTTCTTCCCAAGTATCGTCATCCGCCGTCCGCCCTCCTCACCTCGTCCACACCTCTCCTCTTCCACCGCTTCACAGCGCGGTGTATCCGCCTACCGCTCAGCCAGTACTGCTGTTGCTGCTGCTGCTGCTGCTACTGCTACTGCTGCTGCCGCTACCGTCGCCGCCGTTGTTCCTGTTCGGGTCGCTGTCGTCCTTGTTTCCCCTATCATCCTCCAACCAGCCGCCACACGCGTGTCATTTCCATCCAGTACCTGTCCGCCTCGCTCCTTCGACCTTCAAGAGGACGATCATTGCGGATTTTTATTTATATCGATGCGCTTTAGTTCAATTGCATCTGTCGCCGCTGTGAAAGCTCCATGACTTGGTGAATGTGATTATAATACCCTCCAAAACCAGGTATGTTATTCAATGTCTACATCACAGCCTACACAACTCTCTTGTATAAATTTTGAATAGTCTTGACTAATCCTGTCGCCTTTATCAACAGTCTGACCCAACATCTGTCCTTCGGCCAAAAACATTCCGGATCCTGACCAACCTCTATCAATCACCCCCATTCCGTCCGCAATGGCTTCCTCCTCATCCAACGTCGTGGGAGTCCATTACCGAGTAGGAAAAAAAATTGGCGAGGGCTCTTTTGGTGTGATCTTTGAGGGTACAAACTTGTTGAACAGCCAACAAGTCGCTATCAAATTTGTATGTTCAATGATGTCGTCGGAAATCTATTCCGCTTACTGACGGGACAACAGGAACCTCGCAAAAGTGATGCTCCTCAGCTTCGCGATGAGTACCGAACATATAAAATCCTTGTCGGTTGCCGTAAGTTTATCAGACTCAAGCGGTTACTGGAAGTCAGCTAATGGACTGCAGCCGGCATTCCTAATGTATACTATTTCGGACAGGAAGGTCTTCACAATATTCTGGTGATTGACCTTCTCGGCCCCAGTCTCGAAGACCTGTTCGACCACTGCAACCGCCGATTTACTATCAAGACCGTTGTCATGGTCGCCAAGCAGATGGTATGTTTCTCGGTTAATCCAAGTGGAACGTATCTAACATATGTAGCTCTCCCGTGTCCAAACTATTCATGAGAAGAACTTGATCTACCGAGATATCAAGCCAGACAACTTCCTGATTGGACGGCCCGGAAGTAAAGCAGCCAATGTCATTCACGTCGTTGACTTTGGCATGGCCAAACAATACCGTGACCCAAAGACCAAGCAACACATTCCTTACCGCGAGAGGAAGTCATTGTCCGGAACCGCTCGATACATGAGTATCAACACTCATTTAGGTCGTGAGCAATCCCGACGAGATGATTTGGAAGCACTCGGTCACGTCTTCTTGTACTTCCTTCGAGGAGGTCTCCCCTGGCAGGGATTGAAAGCTGCGACAAACAAGCAGAAATATGAAAAGATTGGTGAGAAAAAGCAGACTACTGCCGTCAAGGATTTGTGTGAGGGTTACCCAGGTACGTCTCCATCTTCTTTTTGATGTTCTGTACTAATTTGAACAGAGGAATTCAATAAATATCTTACCTATGTTCGCAACCTTGGCTTTGAGGACACTCCCGACTACGACTACCTTCGTGATCTCTTTACGCAGGCCCTCAAAAACACTGGCGAAGTTGAGGATGGTGAATACGACTGGATGAAGTTGAACAACGGACGAGGATGGGAATACAAGCCCTACGCATCACAGCACCACCCACATGCCACTGGCCAGATGCAGAATGCTTCTGCTCGCGATCTCCACAGCACACAGGCCCGTCAGCCATCACGACCCGGTATCACTGCCGACCGTTTAAACGCCGCACAGCCCCCTCCACCATCTCCAGCAAAGCCAGGAGCTGGCAAGACACGCGACCGCCAAAGCGGCTCCGGCGGTCTTCAAGGGAAACGACAGAGCGCCCTGGGTCAGGAAATCTCGACGCCAACAGCGTCCACTCAGGCCCAGTTCCAAAACTCCAACGCCAATCTCCCCGGTCGTATCGCGACGCCAAATCAAGCAACGACGAACGCGCAACAACTGTCGGGTCTCCAGGGGGCGAATGAACCAGAACCAACATTCATGCAAAAGGCCATGAGAGCATTGTGCTGTGGTACGGGTCGGAAGTCTTGATTGGTGTCGCATCATTTGCTAATCGATATATGTGAATCAGGTTGAGATTAGCTAATCTGCTCCATCATTCTCGAGTTGCTTTTCAGACACGGACTTTTGATGCATGAGATTGGGTCATCTCGAAAAAGTCCTTGACAGCATAAGATCTATAGTACACAGTCCACAGCATGTGCAAAACAACGTGATTACTGTCATCTATCGTTTTCTTGACATTCTTGCAATCGGGTTGAATCGTTTTATATTATCAACAACGCTCTCTTTACGACGGCACGGCCATGATGGAATTGCGTTCTTGTTGCATTCTTGTCTTTCCTCTTGTTGCCTAATACTTTTTTTCTTGCTTTTCGAGTCTGAACTTGCATCGTTGGGATGCTGGATCAGAAAGTGCCCATAGTATATTCTTGGCCTTGCTTCGCTCGCTGTTTGACTGGCATTGTGAAGCCCTTTTGGTTTGTTTCTGCTCTTCTTGCCTTCTTGACTTCTGCCTGTTCCTGATATCACTCATTTAATGTGCTATACATTCCTGGGCCGGCGAACATCGGAGCGTTTTTTTCTGTTTCGCTTTTGTTTTTGCTCCTTCCGATCCCCTTGTCGTCTTCATCCTCTTTTCCTCACTACATGTCTCCGAGTTTAGGGCTCGGTTGACATCCTTTTAACATCTCCCCCTTTTTTAATGATAGAAGAAGAGTGTTTCGAAAGTCGTTGTTTTTCTTTTCTGTCTGTTTGTTTCATATTGAGTGAGCCTAGTGAGTGATCGAGTGTGTGGGATTGTACCACCAAGAGAGAAGAAAATAAGGAAAGCCTGTTATAAAAAGTGAAAGATTATATAATAATACGGGAAATAAAGGGTCATATTCTGTTTTTTATTCTTCTCTTGCTGAAGAGTAGCCAGTGCATCTCTTTGTAGACACTGCTTGACTTACCTTCAATGAATATCATATTTGACCGAACCACATGCATGATATTCGGTTCTCATTCAGGAAAGATGGAGAGACTCGGGCGAGGGCAAGCCCTAATCCAGAGACCACTTTTCACATGATCAACATGAACACATCAAGTCATCAAGTGAGGAACGGTTGCTGCCTCCAGGTCGCAGTGCGATATGTAGACAGAACCAACGACTCTTCAACTGCAGGTATATTTAGAATGGGCAGTGCCACAAACCACATATCAGCTGAAATCGAAAGCTTCGAGACTTGGTGCTGTTGGACTTTCAGATCTATTTCCGGATTTGGAGAAACGGATTTTGAAGTGGACTGGCTACGTATCAATTTTGTGGAGGTGTACTTGGGTACATGTAGGGTGTGTTGTAGGTGGCTAAACGGTGAGCATGGATAGAGCACGGGCAAGACTGAACACAGGTATCGTTGCACAACGGTCATGTACTTGATTAGTCGAGTCAACTACCTAGTTGGGGTGCATGCATGTGACTAGATTCTAGTCTTGTTCGTTACCTTTCTAGGTAAATAAGACGACCTTGGATGGTGTGGTATCTTTCTAATTTAGGTATGGCCCGGCCACATCAAGGATAAATTGCCCGAATAGGCATCTTCTGCCTAGAACTTCCCTCTATGAACTGCCGCTGGCGTATATGTGTAGTTTGATGCACTAATTACGTGCCCGATCTCCATTCCGTGTCACAAGAGGAGCAAGCGGTCTTACATGGTGTAGAACAATGTATTTGCGAGTCTGGATATCCTGTCCCTAGCTATCTCGAAATGTATCGAGATACTTCTACATGATGGACCAGGCCTTCCAAGCCGTCTATCTCGTCATGAGACAGGCCCAATCGGAAGGTGGATATTTTGAATGATGAAATTCAAAAATGGTGGTAACAGATCAAACATTGATCAATATCAACCCAGATTCCCAAACGTCTCTCTAAATGTATTCCTTAAATAGGATTCCATTTCTCCCTGTAGCTATGCATATTCAGCTTTGCGATGTAACAAAGTCGTGCTGCCTTGGTGATTTGGGAAGAGAAGAGTGTCTGCCACGGCGACATTCTCGCGGCGTCTGATTGCGAGTACCATAGTTTCGGTGACACCTTCTGGTGTCAATAGTTTGCATCCACTTTCACGTGTGCCATTAGTAGCGAAGTGAGAAGGTAGCAAAGTCACACAGGGACAGTTCGTGGGACTGATGAAAAGACTCTATTAGACCAAAAAGGAAACAGGTTCGGTATGTGTGAAGATCCAAGCGAGAAATCTGGCCGCGTCAATGCCGATATAACACACAAAATGAACAGATTGATCTCTTCGAGGACCAGCCTATCGACTATACCAAAGAGCTGCGCGCATACCAGATGATATGGTATCAAGATTATAGCTAGCAACGGTGATAAAGGGTGTCCAGCTAGCGAGAGGTAGGATCATGACAAGATACGACTACGTACACTGCACTGAGTAGTCTCGGACGGGCTCCCACGAACTTGTCATCGTTTCCATCAATGATGAGACCAACAGGAAAGATTTTGGATCTTTCATACACGACAATTTGGCAAGATCTCTGGGCTCCTATTTGGGCGCATAAATGATACAGTCACTGACATTGCAACCATGGTCACGACATTCCCTATCGTCTTAAGGATCATCAGAAAGGAGATAGTCTTGATTGACCCTTTGCTCCTCGTCAAGGGGAAACAGTCCCTCTGTCTCTCTCAATGATGCAGAAATGCTCAGTACTGCGGCAGCAATTCCCTAGTATTGAGGGGGAAGTTGCTCATGTCTGTAACCTCAAAAGCTGGTTTAACAAATAGAAACGACCAAGTTTCTAGATTTCCTATCAGTGTTTGATTTCCCCATGAAGCGGGAGCAGTCCCTATTACTAGACTGGGTCAATTTAGGATATGATCGATATCAGGTATTCTAATCTCAGAAACGTTCAACGTCGTTCTCGCCGTAGTCTAGGAATTGATATTCCTCAGTGCGGTACTTTGTATTGATGCACATGTTAGCTATGGAATGAGGAGTGGATAGAACTGATTCCTAGAGCACTAGTCGGTTTGTGCAGCCATCAAGGTGGATGTATGGATCCAACCACGCAATTCAGTGATATCGACGACGCATACCAGCTGAAAGCGAGCTTCTAGACCTTCCATACTCTGGCTTTGGGAAAGCCAAGCTGCCAAGTTGACTGAATACGAAGAGCACAGTCACATAGATAACCGTTTTATATGCAGTGTGGTTAATTATGCCGATGCCATGTGTGTACTAGATTGAAGCTAGAGTGCGTCAAGGAAGGTTATCGGTCAGCGGAATTTTGCTATCTAGAAAAAGAAGGCTGTGCAGTCCATGTGAGAATGACATGGATTTCAACCTAACCTAGTAGTTACATGAATGGTTTATAGTTGCCTGTAGGTCAATTGATGATATGGCCCGCGATATCAAAAAGAAGAAAGAATTGACCCTACGTAACCTGATCCCGTCCTTGAATATGGTCGACATCATTCAATAAATAGAAATATAGAAGGTGATGTCAATCATAGACATTTACGCGTGTACAAACGAGTCCTGGCCAGTTTCAATCGACCAGCAATATGAAGGAGAATACATCCAAACATAGGCAAAGCCGCATGTGATGTATACTATCTTTGTTATTATCGTCAATGCTAGGTCTTGATAGAGCACCGCATACTATCCGGCTCTACAAGGAAGTATCCGCATGATGGTGGCGTCCTTTCGGCTTCCGAATGGAACTCGAATGCATGAGACTGATATTGTGTCGGGCAAGTATAACCGATCTGTAAGAATGAATTATTGATATTGGGGGTTTTGTATAAGAATATTATCATATAATTGAAATGCTATCAATATCTGATTGCATGCATAATTTGCCATGAATAGGTCATAGGGATATTAACTCGTATCTATGCATCCACGTTGATAAGCATTGTGTAGTAGTAGTTACCATCTTCTATAGCTTCCGCCGATGGATCCGATACATCAGAATGATGAATATCACTCCAAATTAGTATACCTCCATCCATTAAGGACGTGGAAACTTGACACATCATGAACTACACAGCTACGAGGTCACAGCATTGCTGATCAGTTCATGTCCTCCGCATCTTTTGTGCATAGGTATGATCGGGGCCAAATCCTTCATTTGACTTTCGAGCGATTCCTGTACCCACCTTTGTCAGACATAGACACGTACGTATGTAGATGTTGGATCTACGGCTGTACTATTCTGATTGGCATTGCATAATCCCGTATAATGTGCTACTCTCGTCGTACGTACGCAAACTCTAAAAGGATCCATGGATGATTGATCGACCAAGTAGACGTCTTGTCTACAACATGGGGCAGTGTAACAAATCTTAGCGGATCGACCGTGCATGTCTGCCTTCTTGAGTAAATAAAATGTACTGCGTCTCATACCTACCTGCTAGTAGGACATATGTAGGTTCGGTTGTTGGTCCCGACTCTCGGTGATATGGGTATCACGGAAGACCGCGGGTTTCAATAGACTGCTCGTAATTACTGCTTGATTGATGTATAGAAGTTATGAAAAGCTACATAACTATGCCGGGAGGAATAGTCGGCTAACTGATCTCGTCTTACAATAGCTGTAGATACCGAAAGCAGGTTGCCATATGTCGTCAGCTTCATAAAATCATTGGAAGGAATCGTCGCCATCGTCATCGTCAAACATTTTGGATCAAGCTTCGACTCCATTGCTAAAGTAGAATCTTACCAGGATGAATTGATGTTCATCAATATGCAACAGCGTAAGTCAGCTCCAAGAACTAGATGTTGCGTTCCACGATTGTCAACTAGTTTTACTACTACAAGTAAGTACTGAATGTGTAGAAAAGACCTCAACTTTTGGCCCCCATTCTCACTCATCGTCATCAACATCATCATTCGGCCGACCGGGGAAGCCCATGACAATAACAAGCATGCGTTTTTGTAACTATATAAAAAGCTCCACAGTAGATATATAGTATGAAAAGCTAACATATCAAAATCCTTGGGGCTCAAACCCTTGCACTAGCCTGGCTCTTAGGCCTTCGAGAAGGATCTCATTTCGGCCGACGTTCCCAACAAGGGATCATCGACCGATGGAATTCACGGCTAAATCTCATGAAAACGGAAACTGATTCTCAAACTAGTATGGCATTCATAGCATGTTAGCTCGAACAGATTAGCAAATTAGCCATAAGTTGCGTAACTTATGTGAGATGCCGTTAAAAGCTTAGATATAGTAGTCGAATCCTTCGCGCTCAATGTCTACCTCTAATACGCGAGGTTTTTGCGCATATAAGCGAGAGTGACGGTGCCCACGGAGAACGCCGAAGGGATTTGTTCCATGTATTTTGATAGATCCCGGTCATGAATCAGACCTTCAATGCAGCTATCCGTAGTATGACTACGTATGTATCTGACAAATGCTGCATGTCGTGAATATATTTCCTACTGGAGTATAGTCCATGATCCCCCATGAACTGATCAATTCGGGTCGGTCCTAGACGAGGTGGATATTATGGAGGAGCATACGTATGAACCTCACTTAACCACCACGTACGATATTAAGGGTCCTCGACTGCATATGTACATCCCCAATATGTCGTAGTTAACCTCGAATTTCTTATGTAGGTAATACATGTTTGAGTCTTGACAGCACATCTCAGGCATGGTTCAATCCATGTCAGCGAAGCGCATATTGCATAACATCTGGTAAATTATGGAGAAAGATCACTCCGGACGGTGCACTATATCACTAGCTAGCAATAGTTGTACTATGTACTGAAGTAGAATATGGTCATGTGCCCTAGTTCATCAGCCCTCGGGGCTTGTTGTCTCTGCATGCTAGTAGTTCTTGCATTGAAAATGGACTGAACGGGTTCCGATTCTCTATTTTCACCGGACTAGCTCTGTCATCATTACCCGTATGTACTAGACTCCGCCGAAAGCGCTATCCAGGGTTGCTGCAGTAGATTGTCAATGAGGGCAGGCATGTGACTACAATTTGACCTATACAAGGCGCAATCTATCTCTGTAAGTTGTAGCAGTCCGAATCTGTCAGCTAAACTCTAATAGAGTGGTGAATCGTGCTAAAGAGGACAACTCGGTTACGCTTGCTGCTTGCACTGCAGACAGGCATGTTGAGTCATTGACGCTATAGTCAAGGAAGTTAGTTTCGGACCCTGGAAATTTGGGCTTGAGATCCTGTTGGTTGACTTGTGTCATGATTTCATATGCATTAGATACGTTGTATAAGTTTTGCCTTTTGCTGTCAAGTCTTAGTCCCCTGGTTTCATTGATCTTATTTCATTGTATGCACTTCAAGCGGTCTATTATCCTTGTAAGTTCCAAGGTTGTCATTGTCTAGTGTACTAGATTGATAGATTCCACCTTTAGAGAGTCATAAATATGCATGGATCAAGACAAGCTGGCATTTCTAACATGACATAGCCACTTTCACCAGTACAGTCGAAATAGGCCCCATTGGTAACAAGTGTTAATCATAAAACTTTGGACAGAATTTCATCCAACTCCTGAGCCACAAACGCCGGATTATCCTTTTGCACAAAATGACCTGAACCCGGCGCCTGCAACGGCCCTTTACTCCTTGCTGCTTCCGTGATCTTGGCCAACCCTTCGTTGTATTGATGCCAGTACGGGTTAGTGTACGTCGTCGTCAACAATTTCTGATGTCCCATCTTTGCTGACTCCTCCGCAAAGGCCTCAAAATCGTGACCAACAACGGTCACGTAGGGTCCATGACCATCCGGCCCCTGCAGGACGGGCCCATCGCTGGCGGGCAGTAGTGACGCTAAGTTCTTCCGGCTCAGACCTTCCTTGCTACCATTATCAGGATGGAAGATTCGTCGTACGCTCTCTCGTGATTCGCGCAATGCCTCAGCAGTAACCCCCGCAGGCAGGGAAGCGGCATCAAACTCTGTTGCATCTGGATCTGGGAAAACCGAGACAAAGTCGGAGTTCGCCAGGACACTATCGAGAAGTAACAACCCTGCTACAGTGCCAGGATACTCTTGTGCATAAAGTCGGGCCAGCGCACATCCAATTGAGTTTGCGACTAGGAATAGAGTCACGTTGGTGCTGTCAGACACGCCCATCTTCTCGACGATGATCTGGCTGATGAGTTGGTGGAGGTCGTGAACCACTTCCAGGCAGTCATGGCCATGCGTTGGGTCTGCAGCTCCTTCATCCTTCGGGTCGCGATCTGTGGTTTGGCCCTGTCCAAAGCGGTCATAGGTCAGGATAGCGGGAATGTTTGCGTTGTTACGCAGTGTTTTTAGTTGAGCGATGGTCTGCAGCCATGTCACTTGGGGCAGTCCGAGGCCATTCAGAAAGACTAGCAATGCTGGCTTGGCTGTGGAAACTGATGGCTGGAAATTATAGGATATTTGTGCTGTGGGTTTTGTCGCAAGACGGATGAACTGGAAGTCGGCCATTTTGGTGTCTGTACTGCGGTCGGTCTCTCTTACGAACAACTTTGAGATTTTTTTAATTTTCGATTACAACGTTGAGTTTCTATCTCTATCCTACCTTTCCCTCCATTTATTGTCTCCACGATTCCAAAGGCAAAGTCTACAGTGAACCCATTACAACTTAACGGATGCTGCGGGTATCTCAGCTGAAAATGATATCCTCTAGCCATCCAATCATTGGCCAGTTTATTAGTCTGTCGACGATTTGTTATACAGCACTAGAACCTATATAGCGTAGCGTTCGAATAATGCGCCCAAATGAGTTAAGCATAATTACCAGCTGAACTGTGCGGAGGCAACAGTCTTTGCAATTCGTCACTTGTAGCCAAACTAATAGATGAAACTGTTGGTTTACTCTGTTTTCCAGCCAATGTATTCAAGATCAGACCTTGAATAGCGTTGGATGTTAAAGTCACGTGAATATTGAGTGTTGGCTTGGGAAATGCTTGTTTCGCGCCGAGTCTGTTTGACAGAGCTGTACTGCGTATTGATAAACGAGATCGATATTGAGAGAAAGAAAAAAGCATGATCCGTAGATGGCAGATGCTATGCTCCGTAAAAGGATAATTACTACTATCAGTAGGGCTTTGGTGAAGAATACTCAACGCCCTAGTGTTTTAGTCAAAGTATAGGCCTGATGGTATTCGGAAGTTCGTGGTTAATTGGCTTATTCCCGAGCTGAATGAGACGTTGAATGTTCTGGAAAGTAAGTGACAGGTGGAGGTCAGCATCACCTCTTTGTTTATTCGCATACAAATTGAGATTATGACAGGTGCTTCATGGAGTGACCACGTGCCCTGTAAAAGATTATCATACGGTTCAGAAATCTACTTGCGCCGTGCACTGTGGACTCCGTAGTCCATACAGACGACTCGCATCCCACGCTTATCGACGGCAGATGACAGATCAGGCGAGCAGTCCGCTTACTTTTCTTTGTTGCTAACTGTTGGAATTACTTGTCAACTGTTGAACTTATTCTGGTCTGACCTTGATTCGGTTGGCTCGCGCGAATTCGCCCAGTCAGGAAACGATGTGCGTTGCAAACTGTGATGATGGCGTGACCCCCGTCACCGGCTAACGGAGTTCGTCGTTTGTACAGTACTCTAGTACGTACATGCATGGTCTAGTATCCATCTTAATAGTCAATTCTGGGCAGATTGATCGATCATTTCGGGATTAAGACAAAGCGACTAAGTAAGCATGATGCTTTCATCGAGAAGGTGATTCGGAGATTTAAACCCTCGATGGCGGATGAAATCTAAACGTTGTACAAGGGATGATTGTCACTTGGCTTCTATTAGTCTTCTGGAACCTTGGCGTATTGACAAGTGTCATATTGTCAACTGTTGAAAATGTGGCACAGAAGATAAGCGAGACAACGTCGAAGGCTCAAGTCAGGCCACTGTCATGATCTATCCGCATAAATTAGGGCTAAATCCGAATTGGGCCGTGCTATACGAGTATACGAGTGGCTCTGAATCCAACACTAGTCCTACAAAGGCATGCTTCTAGAAAAGTCCAGAGCTGCGCTAGAAAATGGATCAAACAATCCATTCGCTTCCAGCTTCTAACCTCGTTCAGGATTATAGATTGCGTGTTAATTGACCAGCTCCGTTTTGGACTGAGGTGCATTAGTCCTTTGGTATCCACAATGACAGAGGGCAAAATTGACAAAAGAAAGAAAAGTGAAAAGTAAAAAACTTTTTCTCTTCACCGCAGGATTCAAACAAGCGTTCAAGATACCTGATTGTGGCGAAAAAGAAGAAAAAGAATCGTGGAAGAAAAGCAGCCTCGGAATTATTGTTTGAGTTTGTGCCTGTGCCGCTTTCTAACTCTATCAGGGAACAGGCTGAGCGATAAGTTCCGTGAGGCAAAGCACAAAAATATGCACATCCTATGCCTTGTATAATAGAAGAATTCAACAGCGACATCAGGATTGAGTCTATTGGAAACAAAGCGACAGAATAGCTCTGAGACCATCAAAGAGGCGTGAGGTTAGGCTGCGGTTTGAGACGGCGTCATCCGATAAGCGGGATCCAACAGTTTGGGCCTCATGCAAGCGCTAGTCATGATTGCGGTCAGCGTAGTTTTACGTTGTCCAGTATAAATTTCAAGTCTAGAATCTAGTCAAACTGCTTGATATTACCTATTAATGTCGCGATCTCTGGAAAGTGTGCTGTACTCCGAGACGCTCAGCCTAGAGGGTCACAAGCGAAGACTGGACAAATCAGAACGACCCCCACGGTCGAAATACAAACCGTCACAGTCGTGTAAAAGACGGCCCCAAGGCCCGTAAAAACACAAGACGAACCCGCGACTACTGCGTGGTGATTGGCCAGACTGCAAAATTACGCGTAAGTGTGACGGCTCAGGGACCGGTCACGGCCCACCCGTTCCATAAGTTTTCTTCCATGCATCCACATTCGGAAAGTGTCTCATTGGCTAATCCTTATATTAGGCTTCTTCTCCCGCTGATTCGATGTAGATTCGACGGGCGAATTTTCATTTCTTCTGCTGCCGTTGGTCAACGTGCTCTTACGTCTCCACTTTCATCCTCCCTTCGCTCGGCCTTCTGGAAAGAATTTCTTACCCTTGCTCAGCCACCAACGTCAGCTGCAGCAAAGTCACACAATTTGCAGAGCTAATTGGGCAAAATACGAGAATTTATGGGTCATATTCTATAGACAGATTAGTGCGAGAGATTTGAAAGGCAGACTAATCGTCGGAGAATCTCGTGGTACCGATGGACGTGGTATTCCTTGTAAGCTGTAACGCCGTACACCTACGGCAGTTATGGCAAATGGATCCCAGCTAATCTACTAGGTCCCTTAGTGCTATTGACCCAAGTACATACTAGTACATCGAACATACAAGGTCAACAAGGAACCGTTACTACGTAGACTATAGAGTGCACTGGAGCTGGGTGGACTCGGGGCGTGCTACCTTCTCTTCGTAGACATTACTCAAAAAACGAAAGTTGGCTCCGCTTCCTCTGCAAATCCTAGATTGTTCTATCGGTGGATCTTAGACAAGCGCGGCCCCGGCCAGGCCTGTTTGTTGCTTGTCGGACTGCCGTCTTTGTTGGTGGACTAGGTACGTACTAGTTATGTAACTTAGCTTAGGCTTTAAAGCAACGAGTCACGCTACTCAAACTACGTGAATTAACTCTGGGCTACACCCAAAGGATCGAGGGCAACACGAGCAGCTTTGTCAAAGCTAACAGGTCCGAAGAAATCTGGAGTAACTTGGACTATCCTGCATTCTCGATAGTCCACTGTCGAACTGCAAGCCTCTTTTATTATTAGCTTTGTCCCACGCCTGATCGTGGGCTAATATCTCGCTCTGATATATTAAAACAGCGCCCTCCTTTGAGCTCTCCATAGTGCCACCATCAGCCCAGACAGGACCTTTGTGACACTTTGGAGACTATTCGCTCGACGATTTGTCCAGGAAAGCGACAGAAAAGCGACAAGATTAGAAGATACCCGGCAAACGGCAACGGAAAGCAAGGGAGAGCGTTACTACTGCACGCCATTGCATTATTCGCAACACTCGCGTGGTTCAGACCACAACGACTTGAACGCACATTACTCGTAGACTTGGGCTCCGGACACGTCTGATCGCTGGTGTACTTTGTGCAGCCATCCACACCTTGCAGCTCCTATCGTCCCGATCAATCGCCACACGCACAATAAGTGCCTGATTGATTAATATCGTACATATACATATACGTACAACCTCTGCGCCCGTTAACATTCCTGGAAATTCGGCAAAGAGAACATTCGATTGTTGCTTGTCCGGCCGCGACTTCCACCTTTCCAAGGTTGCCGGGATCGCAGTTGCCTCTTTGGAGCTCTTGCCTTCCGGGTCGGTAGCCATCGCGACTCTTTTCTTTTCTTCTTTTGGCAACCTTCTTTTCTTTTTCTTTTCTTTTCTGGTTCCTCTGTATACGACCGAAGAGGATAGAAAAAGCAACATCAAGGCAGTCAATAGTCTTCGTGCAACGGATTATCGATTCTTCACGACTTTCTCTGCCTTATTCCCTAGCCCTCCCGATTCCGTTTGAGGGGGAGTACATTTGTCTCACAGCATAGTCATCGCCTCATCGTCATTCTGAAATCCCAACAATTAAGCAAGTTTATTACACCACTCACCTCTACTCAATTTTATTATAAGCGTGACGACCTGCCGCCTACTTGCATTCAAAGCACATTACTAGCACGTCTTGGAAAACAGGCTTATTTTCTACCGATCATCTGCATCCTCTTGCTTACGCGACGCTCGACGCAGCACCACCAGCAGTTTTCGGTCGCAAATTCTTTCTTCCCCGGCTGCAGTGCATCAATACTCTGAGGTAAGCGTGCATTAGTTTTGTTCTTTTCTGCTTCTATTGTTTTCGTCAGTACTTTTTGCAACCTGTCGCGCAACTTTATCACAATATGCCTGTTTGGGGATGGCGCCTGTCTGCTGGCTTCACAACCCCAGTGGAACACAGCAGACACCGCACGTTGTTATTGCCTATTATGTCTCGAGCGCATGAATAGGAGCAAACGCGCAGCAAAACCGACCAGTGGGAAGGGTCGAAGCGCGCATACGACCCACGCCTCGACTAGGATTTACATTGGGTCTTCTTGCCATTCTCGGTCTTCAAGTCTCAACTCCAACCCTAGTCAACCTTTCATCATCCGGATTCGCCCGCACGCAAGTTTGGCTGGCATTCGTTTGTGATGTGCGACTGTGGGTGGGCGATTGAGTCTTTGGCGGCACTATCGACATATCCGCCGGTAGTCGCCCAACTCTCAATTGGACCGGTTGCTGAAGAAGCCAATGCAGTTGTGTTTTCCACTGCATGGAATTGTGTATGGAACGTCGCGGGCGATCACCAACTGTTCTGATTTACACTGGTGCTACCTTCCTGGCTTCCCCACTGTACAGCCCCTCATTCAATCCCGTGTATTGCCTAGAGCCAGAAAGCGACCACGTACAGGCCCGTAACGGGTGTGTGTGCATTGGTTCTTTCGCATTCCACTGGTGATACTTTGAGTACGCCTTCAAGGAGCTAAGCGGGGAAAGAATGTGAGGGAACAGCAGATCGGCCTCAATTATCTTCCAGTGATTCCGCAGCCCTTCGTCATATTACTTGCAGACTCAAAAAGAAGGCTCCCGCGAGCGCCGATCCTGGCTCCACACCACTATCAGAGCGATCGTTGTGGCTTCTGATTGCTGAGGATTTTGCGACGTGCGCTACTCACAACAATTGGCTTAGCCTCATCGCTAAAACGTTATGTTCATCGTCGTTTGCTCTTAAATTATGAGGCCGAACACTTGGCATCATGGAATGGCTCTCCCACCACCAACCACTCAACTGTGCTGCATCAAATCCCTGTCTGCCCCCCTTTTCGAGCGCTTCCAATCAAGTCCTGTTTTCTCGAGTGCGTTAGACCAGTCAGGGTCCCCATCACATTCATAGATATACACTTGCGTTTTATGCAGTGCTGCTTTCTTAGTTTTCATACAAGCATTGTGTTGTTGTACCTTGACTAATTCTCTCACTTTCAGGATCCACTGCCAACCTCTGTCACACTTGTTCTACACCAATTTGAGGACAAATGTTGATTTGAAGCCAAGTCTCCATTATATCAAGAGATTGGCTGTCGATGCACTGTTTTTTTGAACGATAGAGAAGACACTGAAAAATTCCCTCTCAGATGCGAGTCTAAGGTCGATTCACGACTCGTCAGGATATAGGTATTGAGAGTCGTGGTTGGAGGAGAAGAAGAAGGATAAAAGACCAGAGTGTGAGCTGGTTAATTTCGGACGTCAAAATCTACATACGCGATGATTGCGAGAAGCATCCACCATATGCCGCATTCATTAAGAACTCCCACACACGATCCCACTTCAAAATTTCCGTCGCCTACACTATCTTTCGATTTCAACTCTATCAAAGCACGGGCGATGGGTTCTAGGCCATTGAGCCTACATATTCCGGCTGGGAACTTCCCACCAGCTCGCCCTACGCTTGATGAAGTTCTCCACAATACCGCTCCCTACCCCTACACACTTTCAGCCTTCATGGCGTATCTCTCTCAGAATCATTGCCTGGAAACGCTAGAGTTTACCATGGAAGCCAAGCGGTATCGAGATTCATATCGATCCATTGCTCGCATGCTCGGCCAGAGCATGGTTCCTCCTGACGCACCTCAAACGCAACAGCTGATCATGCTTTGGCGACGTTTAATATCAGCCTATATCGCGCCAGGTGCACCGCGTGAGATCAATCTATCGTCAGCCGCGCGAGATCCTTTACTCGCTAATGCCCATGCCGTGATGGCACCACCTCCAGAACTACTTGATCCCGCCGTACGAATCATGCACGATCTGATGGAAGAATCGATATTCATTCACTTTGTGAACAGCCAAACTTTTGGAACGCAGATGCCTGGGATGGAATCTCCCTACGCAGAAGACCGCTCTCATCGAGTTCGACGGACTACGTCCCGCTCTCACAGGTCAGGTTCTAGAGACGATTCTACCTACCACCGCATGTCATCATCTGCTCGGGTTGCAGCTCTAGTCAAGACGGGAAGCCATTTGTCTGGCTATAGTTCAAGCGGCGACTCTGGATCTCCTGTCTTCACTGATGATTCTTTATCATCGAGCCCAAGTGCGATGGATCCAATGACGCCGCCCACAACACCCCCCGGAAGTGAGCATAACTACAGTCCACGAAACCGGTCTGATACCACGTGGAAAAAGATGGGGGCCAAGCTCGGCTTCAAAAAGCGACCGGGCAGCTCGAGCCGCGATGGTAGATGGGAGGAATGAATCTCTGTATACCGAATGTGGTTCAACACACGAGGACATTCGAAACGGAAACAAGAACACGATCTTCAAGCGCAAGCCTGAGTCGATGTTCTTCATGGAACTTCGGAATGAACATGACGAATTGACGAATTGATAACATTACTGCATTTCTTTACGACTTTTTGGTTGAAATTTCACGGCTAGGCTGAGATCAGCCTGCCTCATCATAGCGTTGATTCTGGGCGGTCCAAGTCACACTATATTTCTGCATTGAGGGCGGAAAACTGTCTGCATTTGCAAGGTGCCCGACTCTAAATTTCTTCTTTTCTTTTGTCTGACGGAGGTATTTTGATTCAAAATCAGCATATACGATATAACATGGCAAAGCGTGTTGGAAAATTTCTTTTCTTTTCTTTTCTTTTCTTCTCGTACGGTTTGGCCTTTCAAAAACCACATTGGCGTTTCGCAATTATAGATAGGGTTTTGGCATCATCATGGCTATCTGCTTTTCTTCAAAACCTTGCATTGTATAGCCTTCTTCTTTTCGTTATATAGTTGACCATATCGCATCAGCGCATAGCAATCAACCAATTCAACTCTCCTCTCCGATCTGTTGTGTAGTATGGCCCTTATCTATCTACCTAGGTACGCCAGATGAAGCAGTCGGACCATACTTGCGTGGAAGTTGCATATCATTTACCTATCCAAAAAACCCTCGATTTGAGTATATGGTTCGTGGATGGGTTCTTCCAACGTTTGACGGAATTTACTTGTCTGAGGACTACGTCACTGCAAATCGTGATGCTGTATCTCGCGTCCGTCTATGTCCACATACTTCGAGTATATATCACAGTATACAACAGATATACATGGAAGATTGTAGATCATTGACCCCATTGGAAGACGAAGGAGCCATTCGAAGTCGAGGTCGAGTCAATTGAGCATGTGTGCTTCTGGCTGATAACAGAGTATGTATAAGCTTGACGAAAGGTTAGTAGCATTGCTCATGCTGTTCCCTGGGAGAATAACAGGTAAAGAGATAAAGAATACTTCATTGTAATTTACGTCGCTCTTTCGAAACGACCAATGTAAATGGAAACTGAACTATGTACATGGTATAACTAATAGACCGCCCATGGAGTACTAAAACTCGCAAATAACAAACAGGCGAACACCGGCACGCCAGATATAACTCAATGATGATATGGGATGGTAGTAGTTGAAGGGAAGGAAGACAATGTAAGAATGTGAAAATGCAGGGATATTTCCTTTTTCCGAGGTTCGGATCATATGAAGATGAAGCGCGTCGTGCATCAAGTTCAGTCGTCTCTCGATCGTCGTTGGTCAATGTCAGACCGGCCAGACCAAGTCGTTGAAAATGATGAGGTAAGATGGTGGAGGGGTGATTGCAGCGACTGCAAATATTGTCCGGAAGCTCTGCTTCGTACAGCACCCGTAACCACACGAGTATCGTACGTTCTTGATACAGCGTGTCCTTTTCGCGATCCCCTCCATCCAATAAACTTTTATCTTCTATGAATATAATGATCAAATCTTTTCGTCTTTCGCCAAATCATGCAGCGTATTGAACACCTCTCATCGTCGCAGGTGCCAAATTTTTGTCTTGTGCCATCAACCTAGTTGTATAGACTGGCGCCGCCGGTCTCAATGGCCTCAATCTCCAATTCGCTCCAGGGCAGACGGTGGAAGCGAGTAGGCAATTCCTGGCGATCAAAAAACTCGCCCTTGCGAGGCTCGACAGGTCCCAAAGTGACACCGGGGGCACCGCCAATTGCGCCGTACGACTGAGAAGCGGCGCGGCCGGGAGTGTTCAGCGGACCATGCTGTTGGGCCTTGGCTCGGTACGAGGCGAAGGAGTCGGGGAGACTTTGAGAGGGAGAAGCAGGGTGAGCGTGAGGAGTGTGGTCAACGGAAGCTGTTCAATTGATGCCAGATCAGCTTTTGGTCAGGGTTTACACGTCGCGGAGGACGAAGTGGGTGAATTTCGTCTTACCTGGCGTCGAGCGCTTTCCGAGAAACTTGATCAAAGGAGTGCGAGCGGCATTCTTCAGGACTGCTGTGGTACGCATTTTTACTGCTTTCTTTGTTTTTTTAATATGACTGAAGTTTCCCACACTGCCAAATGATGACGCGCTCAATGTTGAATAGGTGAAGAAATCGTATGGTGGTCGTTGATGTTTCTCGGTTCCGGAATAGCCCGCTCGGTGCCCGCTGGGCTTTTGGTTAGTGTGATTATGCAATGAGCTCGGAACGATAGCCGATAAGATAAGTCGAGCAGTGATAGACTGGTGTAGCTGTGTAGTGGTCGTAAATGGTGTGTTGATGTGTGATGTGGATGTGGATAGCGAACGATGGGTGCGATCAGATGGATCAGACAATTATTGACTGTGAAAGAAGTTGGGGGGAGGAGAATAAATTGATAAATAATCAAGTGATAGCAAGTACATTGTACGTTGAGGCACGGAGTTAAGGCACTTCGGAGGCAGTTGCGTGACTGAGGCCGCCGCGGCTCGGGGGAAGCAGCCAAGGAGGAGCTCTGACTCTCTAACTGCAGGTGCACACCGGGAGCTCCCAGTTAGGCAACCACGAACGACGATAGCTCCTTCCCCACGACTCGCACCCCAATCATGTGATTTAAACGGCCTGTCTTCTTTCGTTTCTTTTCTCTTATCACAAGTCTGGACCCAACAGAGTCATCAACCACCGACGACTGCTGTACAGCGTGGACTGCGCTGATTAGCTCGGACTTACTATCGCCCATGGCCTTCCTTCTACGGCGTTCCCCCATCGAGCCCTTATCGCAAGCCAATTCATCATTTGGATTCGTTCCACTTGCAACGGCGAACGCAATTGGCTAACAAAGCCGTCGTCAAGAAATAACCGAAGACTAGTCGTGCGGGGAAATAAGTCTCTGGCAGGGATGGCAGTCATAGACCCCACGGAATTCCTGATCGAAACTCCACGGACATGCAGATGGTGCCATGCACATGTCTGAAAACTGATACAGATATATAGCCAACTCATATAGCCGGCGCTCTAGCGTTTCGGATTACTTTCCTTTACTCTGCCCAAACATCTGATTTCTGCAGGTCTGCGCCCTACGTCCGAGTAATCCGTCTCGAGTAATGTACACAATCCGAGCCCAAAGGGTTATTTATACTGGATACGGCACGAGAACCCGACCTTTCCCGACAGCGGTTAGGGTTGTTCAATAAGGTAAAGGGCTCCGATGAGTCTATCAAATTGTTGTTGCATGTGAATCATGTGTTATTCACATGATGAATTTCTGCTGCAATCGAATGAGTCAGGCTTTCACTTGTGGTTTGACTCATGCAAGCGTGACCCGAGTTCCATTCTGCAACCTCTATTGGTTTATACCAGAAAACCTTGCTCTATAACATGCAAACATGACAATTGATTCAGACTTCTTTCCGCCAAGTGACTAACATGAAGTATCGGGTACAAGCAACATTCGTTCATACAACAGATGGAGTGACTATTGAGGCCATCCCAGACCCAAGCGAGCCATAACGTCGGGGAGTACAGAATAATCACAACCACTATCGACGAAAATCGCTCCAATGATGGCTTCTACTGTAGTGGCCATGGTGCGGTCAGAGATCTCGCCTCTTTGGGATTGATTGCCCTGGATGTAACTCTCAAGACCAAGCTTGAAGCCCTTTCTGGCGAGGCTGGAGTTGGCACCTAAGGAAGATTCAACCTTGTTGATTCTCTCTAATGACAATTAGATGTGATCAACGACATTGCAACACAAAAGGATGCCTCGTACCTCTGCACTGGTGTCTTTGACGACCTTCTATAATGACATGAAGACTGAGAATTGCATCCCCGACAAGAGCGAGATCCTTGTTTCCGTCTTTATTTCCGGGCGTGTTCCCATTTCCTGCTACTTGTAGCGCTTCCCAAATGAGAGATGGGTTGTTGGGTGCATAGCCGGTGAGCACTTGGATGAATCGAAGAGCTTCGTCTTTTGGAGAATAAAGAGACGGCATACTGAGGATATTTTCAGCAAATAATATGTAGTGAGAGTGAGGTAAGCAGAACGATCACGACAAAGTGCTGTTTAGAATTATTGTACGAGACCTTTTATTGCAGGAGACCCCTTTATATAGCCAGGAGTAGACTGGGCTGACAGGTTATCTTTTACTAATCTTCGTAAGGCGCTTACACCTAGGCTGTGTCTGTCTCTCACGATTTAGTCAAGACGTTGAAGCGTAAGCATGAAAAACTTCAAAATAGTTCAGCGTCAATACTATGACTGTGCCACCTGTATGTATTTTTGTGCAATTATGTCGAATCATTCCCACGGACAGGGGTAACGTTCCGGGCAGTTGGCGCCGTGCCGTGCCACATATATGGCTAAACCGCGACTCTTCTCCATTTTTCGGGCGGAAGTAATAAGGCAAGGCTGATATCTCAATTTTTCAGAAGATCCCATCCACATAACTTTATGCGCGATGACAGATTTGGATACAAGGCTGTTCGGTCGCTGTGACTTACATAGTACTCAGCCGCAATGGCAAGGCTGTTATCAAGCATGATCAAGTGTTTATAATGGAATCAAGGGAATATCACTACATACAGTGTACACCTAAAACCTTGTCATCATTTCTGCCACAAATTGAGCTACAAGGTTGATACCTACGTGTAGAGACATCGAAACCTCCTATCGCACTCGTCGAATATGAGCGCTCAACTGGATACCACGACCTGCCTCGACATACCTGTCCCGCGAAAAACACAACTTCAATGATTCGTTTGCGGAATTCGTCAAAGGTTGCGCAACTCTACAAGCGGTCGATGAGCTCATTCGTCTTGCGGCGAAAGGAGCGCGGAGTATACATACGGTCTCGGTCTTAGATGTGTTCTCGTTCCAGTGGAACAAGAAGGATACGTCAAATGACGAGGCCTGCCAGTCGGTTCTTGCTCAGATCCTGAAAGCAAAGAAGCCTCGGGTTGTCCTGTGTTGTCACACGTCTTATTCATATGAGAATGAAGTGCTGAAGTGCTTGGAAGTCAAAGTGAAAAATTATGGACTTCGCCGGAAGAAGGTCGTTTTCGCGGAGGGCCATGAGACTGATCTACTACAATCTTTCCATCCGGCATGTGCCGTGGAAAACACAGAATGTAGACCGGAGTTTCGAGCGTTGTTGATACATCACTTTGTCGCTGCGTTCTCTGTTTTGAGCGATAAATTCACGTTTCCGGATTCCGTCGAGGAGATCAGAAAGCTGTGCCTCCGGACGGGTAATCGACTTAAAGAATTGATACCGAAACTTGAAGATGCGGAAGCTGCTAATTTCATATCTGTAGCACTGCAAGGGAAGTATGAGGATGCACAGATCGAGCCCAAATATCCTGGCTTCGCCTATGACACAGAGGGCGAAATGGAAGTCTTTGACAAGATGTACGCCCGCTTCCAACGACTCATCGGATCAGGGACAAATACTTTTGGGACGCTTGGGATCGCTATCACTATTACATTCTACTGGAAGAAACACTTCAAGAAAGATCCGATGAAGGAACAGTTGAGACACTGGCTACTGATTCGTGGAAGCGAACAAGAAGACTGGTTTCCCAGTCCAGGTCACTGCGAGACTCACAACACCCACGACCCACTGAAAGTGGATGAAATCACTTCGTTAGAATATTCACTATCCAAGATGAGCTTTGCACCGCCAAGTGACTCGACATTACAGGAAATGAGGAGTATCAATGATGAGATAACTCATTTGGCTTCAGCGTTTTTAGCCCTAATTCGTTTAGAATTAGTAGCTAGTACGATGCCAGATAATCTTAAAAATCTTGTGTACAGACAGAAGTGTCTTATTGAAGGATATATCAAGCAGTCACCTGTGGCGAATATCAGCAACACATTAAGGATTTGGCGTCTCATGCAACGTTGTGAGTTCCTGGCTGATATGGTCGCGAATTCAATCGCAGACTCGAAGGAGTGCGAGCGTGTCTTGGAAGATTTATTGGCGAGTGTCAAACAGTTGACCCCAATCCTTCAGTCTTTATCTGTATGATGTCAATTACTTGGGTATCGTTATCGGGCAGATTGTTTCCAGACGTCACACCGTTGCTCAGGTTGTCATTACAATCGAGAACAACGAAATAGTTGACTAACTTTGTGTGAACTATTCATCAACGAAATTGAGACATATAGTTGAATCTTTAATTTTTTCGTCTCAAAATTTATTCGTAATACAAGTCCCTGGCCCATCAGGCTCGTCCCTCCGCAAAGATCATCAGGATGAGATGTCCACGGGTAACTCGAATCTCTGTTCTGTATAAGACGCTACAAGGCTGTCTGGGCATTGCACCTTCACCGTGCTTCAACATGTCCTCGTAGCTCATCGAAAGTCCAAAATTCGCGATCCATTCGGTTGTCAAGAATGGGTATCAAGTACCCCAGGTGTCTCTTGACCCCTGGCCACGAAAAGTGACGAGATCATCACCAGTGACTGAATTGATGACCAAGTTTCGGGATATAGCACCAGACCTGTTCTCATCGCTCTAGCTCATAATAAATACTGAGTAGAATATGTTTTTTAGTACAGAAAGCCAATGCTCCCCTTCGAGAGACTTCACACGGGCCCTTTGGCGAGTAAATCAAGGAATTCAGGGATGATATCTTCATAGACAGCCCATTCGTTTTCCCCATACTCTTGCGGAGCCATCTTCACCAAGAAGACATCTCCGTAATAGGCGTGATTGTATCTTTCGCCTGTATCAGTAATCCACGTAGGTACAAAGTGGTTTCTAGGTAAATCATCAAGGGCAAATGAATAAAAGACATAGTAAGCTCCTGCACAAGATGACTGATGCGGTGGCAAGATGTAATGGTGTTGATCTCTGAGATACCGTTGCAAGAGATGAAAATGCTGCTCCCGACTTATCGAAGATCCATGGCCGAGTAGTCGCCGGAGATGATCTTGCTGGTGGAGGAAGTATGGCTGAAGATGATAATGCTGAGGATGATGAGAGTGGAGATCAAGTCTCTTTATGTCACGAAGGCGCCAGGCATCTTCGACATTCCAGTACTGACGCAAATCAGGAATGTGGAAAAGGAAGTCATCTGTGCCGGTTTTGGGGTCGGTTGTCGTGGTAAGGGAACGGAGATGTGCTGGAGTCCCGTCAGCTGGTAGTCTAACACCAGTAATCGTGACAGATGGAGGGCTAGGTACGGGGTCTTTCTTCCAACCAAAGATGGAACCGATGGCAGTAAACATTGCCAGAGTGAACGTGGAGAACAATGTCTCCACAGCGCCTAGTCAGCTTTGTCCAAATTCAGTGCAGATAGCGGAATTGAGCTGGAATATGGGCCCGAATCACCACGTGACGGTCAATACAGAGACATGTAAACTTACGGTAAGATAGGGTCATGTAAATTCGGCACCTCATTATTCCGAAGCTTTACCTGGAGACATATCAAACAAAGGCAACAGGTAAAGAGTGCATCTCTTTTGCCAATCAGCTGTGATAAAAGATGCATGAATTCCTCCTCTTTGCACCAGTCGCAGCCCAACAACACCATGAACTCCTCCAACAACTATCCGGCCTCACAGCCATGCAACCCCGCCACCGCCTCGAGCGCCGCCTAATTTTCAAAGCCAACCGCAAAGCAACTCGCATCAACACGCGGCTGGGCGGCGGCAGTCAAGATGTCCAAGGCGGCGAGATCCAGCGACTATTTAAAATGCTGAATGGATCTACGTATTATGTCAGGGTGGTTGGGGTTGTGAATGAAGCCGATTTTGGTGCTAAGGCAGTAGATGAGAAGGAGGATGGGTATGATTATGAGTCGCAGTTTTGGAGGATGGAGTGGAGGGATATTCCTGAAGCTGGGACGAGGTCGGGTGTTACTTCGAGGCTGATGGTAAACGCTGTTCTGCCTCAGGGGGATATCATCAGTGTCATGGAGACGTGGGGGTACACGTATGTCTATATTTCAGGACTCCTGGTGATGATTTCTGACTAACTGATGTCCAGATTCGTCAATGAGTATGTTATCGAGGGCGATGTGTTTATCTACAATGATACAACCATCTTCTTACACCGAGTCCTCAACTACCCAGAAGATCCGCAAGATGCGCCGTCACCACGGACGACACTTCCACCTCTGAAGGACTTTACTCTATTAGATCCAAGTGGGAGCTATCTTTTACAAGCGTCAATCAGTGTGCAGGACGGTGCTAGTCCTGAATCGGCCACGCAACGCCTTTACGGACTGAGGGATCAGCTGAGAACTGCTGTTAAGCTGGAACAGGCTGATCGGTTGTCTTTGGATACGAGAGTCAAATAGCGGATGGAGCGATTGTTTCAGTTGTCGAATTTGTTTTGTTTTGCATGATACCCGGATAAAAGCTTCATCAATAGAAATCGTTTCCAGATTGTTCGCTTGATTTATTCTTAGCAGAGTTGGTTGATGGGGAGTGAAGTAGATGAGATAAATGATAATGAGCATGTGACTTCGCGGACATCTTAACGCGTGGGCGCGTCTCCCGCCGCTTAATCATTTTACCATCGACAGCTACACCAAGACCACGCATCTGGTGACATCATTCAATATATTCAATCGTCACCTTGCTCTTGAATGATTAGTCGAATTTGCAACCTCCCGGCTAGAGTCACCTGCAGTTTCGGGATGAAGAGGTTCAATTCTTCAGGCGGAGTGTCTCCGCCTCCGGTCCGACGCAAAGTCGAGTCTACAACGACCAGTAAGTATCAACGGTAACATCTCCGAGGCTAAACTTCTAACAATTTTTTGGCGAATACTAGAAACTGCTGTCGCTTCCTTTTTCACGCCCATTTCACAAAAGAAACCGGAGAAGATAACATGGAGGGTCGTTAACAAAAGTCTCATCGCCGGAAGGTATACTTCGGGACCAGCGGGCGAGAATGCGCAAACACAATCAAAATCAGTGAAAAGACGGAAAGTTGCTGCATTTGATCTTGTATGTGTTTTGAATACGGCTTCTGCATGATTTTCATGCTGCATGCTGATTGCGCAGGACTCGACATTGATAGCTACAGCCTCCGGAAACCGATTCGCAAGAGACGCCTCTGACTGGAAATGGTGGAACAACAAGGTACCAGAGAAGCTGAAACAATTGAATGCCGATGGGTGTGCATATCTCTCAAAGAAGAACCGAATACCTTTGCTAACTGCTACGCTGGAAAGATACCAAATCATCATCCTCTCTAACCAAAAGAAGATCAGCCTCCAAACCGACCTCAAAGCCGGCCGCTCTGAATCTAAAAGCCTCGCAAACTTCAAAGAAAAGGTCTTGGCGATTATGCGCCAACTCGATATACCCTTGAGCATATACGCAGCAACCCAATACGATGTATACCGAAAACCGAGGACGGGCATGTGGAAGGAGTTTGTGGATGATTATGATTTGGATGTTGATGATACCAAGGTGGATTTGGAAGGGTCATTTTTTGTGGGTGATGCTGCGGGGAGGCCGGGAGATCATTCTTGTGTTGATCGGTAGGTACATTATCACGATGGTGATGGGGAGGGTTGATGCTGATGGTGATAGGGACTTTGCGGCGAATGTGTCTATCAAGTTCCACACGCCGGAGGAATTCTTTCTTGATGCGAGTCCGGAGCAGGTTATACGGCAGTTTGATCCAAAGGCATATATTGACGTTGACCCCGATGCGCCTGGTAAGTTGCCTACCCTTCTGTGTGCATTCAAGCTGACTGGTCATAGTCGTTTCGACATTCTCCAAGTTACACCCCGTGGAACTGGTCATATTCTGCGGCAGCCCAGGCGCCGGTAAATCGACCTTTTACTGGAAATATCTCAAGCCATTGGGCTACGAGCGTGTGAATCAAGATCTCCTCAAAACGGTGCGCCGGCCTTTCCACCCTCTGCAGTAGCTTTGCTAAGCAAATGAAAACAGCGTCAAAAGTGCATCAAAGTCGCAAAAGAGAATCTATCCGCAGGCCACTCCGTCGCCGTCGGTGAGCTAACCCTCTTTTACTTACCTAATGGCTATCACTAACACGCTGAGGAAAAAGACAACACAAACGCCAACACCGAAACAAGAGCGTACTGGACCGAAATCGCGAAAGAATTCAATATCCCCATTCGTTGTATATACTTTACCTCTCCGCCGAACCTGTGTCGCCACAACGACGCTGTTAGGGCTTCGAATCCTTCTCTCGTCCGTCCCCTTTTTCTCCCCTCCTTTAATCAGTGAAAGTGATACTGACTTTTTGATTTCTTGGGGGGAGGAACAGAATCCTGAATCCCGCACCCTCCTCCCCGGAATCGCCTTTGCAGATTTCGCGCGCAGATTCGAGGAACCCACCCTCGCGGAAGGATTTGAGGATATTACGCGTGTCGAATTTCGGTTTGAAGGGGATGAAGACTCGAGGAAGGTTTGGGGGCAGTTTTGGGTGTGATTTTACCCTCCTCAACAGACTCGGGAAGTCCAAGAGACGAGGATTGCTGTATAGGTGAATGTATGATGAACAATACAATATTACCATGCCATGCCGTTCAACGAATTTTAGATACTTAAACTGGTGAATTACCAATGAGGAGAAGATTATTGAATGATTTTTATTGAATTTTTATTTTGGTCTAGGACTGCCTAGACATTTGATGTGAACATACATAGTATGGCTGAGATCCGAAAATATCAGCCAATAGCACATGATGATGATAATCATCATTGATCTCGATATGAAACAACTGGGCCGTACCGGAGGGAGTCACAAGGACTCTTCGTGAATAGCCAGATTATGAGGGTATTATGGCCATAGCCAAGGATAAAAGAAATAGGTAAAATATGATACATGAGAATAGAATCAAAGGGGCCAGTMAAGCCACAAAAGACAAGACTGGATGCATCGAAGTAAAAGGCATTAGTTGTAATGAACGTGGCTTAAGGAACGTAACGCTGCGTGATCAAGACGCGCTGCAAATCGTGAAAAGGAATGTGGTATAATGAACGTAAATCCGAGATAAATCGGCTTCGTAAGGTCGTAACTTTTTATATAACAAGGTCGTAACTGTCGTAATAATGTGTTTTGGTCGTAATGTATAGGCTAAGCACGCATCGCGGCAATGCCAGGTGCAGGACGGTTGACGAGACCGTGCAAAAAGCGAAACACGTTTCGTCGTCGGGGTGACTTGCATCGGATAGTCGAGTGAATGGCAGGTGCAACTGACATGGGTCCAACAATTTCCTCGTCGCCCAACTCGGGGAACTTTTCATTGTCGTGTAGACGAGGGATCTTGATCGCTTCGGTAGGGCTCATGTTGGATTTTGTCAATCCAAGAATAGCTCCGAATTTGACATCATTCGTGACAATGGTCTCCAAATTCTCCTTCCATTCATCCTCGATGGCGTCCCATTTTTCCCTGGTGAACTTGTAGATCATCGAGGTCTCGCCGTAGTGCTCCCCGGTGCGAACGAGGTGCTTGGCATAGTTAGTGCGCGCCAAGTCCCAGTCATCTCGGAACTGGCGAAATGTTGTCGCGTCAGAAGTTTCGGGAAGATATGGCTCTGGCTGAATGGTAAAGTTGGCATGTCCAAGCTTGACAGACCACTCATCGTCTCCCTCAGTCAGCACCAAAGGTGGAGCTCCCTCGCCGGAGATTGTCGTCCTCAAAGTCATACCTCGAGCTCTTGTCGTCAAAGAGGCTACAGAAGGCTTTGTGGACAGTGGTGGGGATCGGTGCATAGAAGTACGCGTGCTTGTCATTGCCGGCAAGGTATCCTCATCGAACACGTCCGCAACAGTGGGAGACTGCAATGGGGACGCGACTTCCGAGTTGGCAGTGGTAAATGGATATTCGGTCCAAACAGGCGGAAGTAATGGCGTGCTCGCTTTGGCTCCGGCTTCGTCTTCGTCGTCCGCAACCGCACTGTTGGCTTTTTCGATGGATATCGCCCCTAAGCTGTGCCCGCTGAAACGCGATTTGTCTTGAGAACTTCTTGCTGACGCGGGCGCTTCTTGGGAAATAGAGGTGATTTGAGAAGTGGATGAGGCAGCCGAATTGGCTCGTGATCGCACCTCGTCGTCCAGGATATCGGTCACATATGTTCCCTCGGACGATCGCGCTGTTGACATCCATCGCGAAGACATGGAAGGAATTCTGGTTCCTAATCTTGGCAAGCCTCGTGATGATTGACTCTCTGAGCGCAGTCGCTTTGGTGAGTCAATTTCGTAGTACACAGGATGGTCTGTCAAGTCATAAACCTCGCTTGGTATTCCATAATGCTCGAAAACTTGATCGAATCCTAATTAAATGTCAGTCGTGGGTAAAACGCGTTGCTTCAGCAAGCACTTACCAAAGTACTCTTCTTCAATATCTTTATTGCGCTCCTCTTTAACGTCTGCCAATTGGATAGGCAAAGAGCCTGTACGCTCCATCGTAATACCCATTCCAGGAGACGGTAGTAACGAAGAGACGGAGCTTGAGAACATCTTATTTTGCAATCGCGAAGAGGAAGAGAATGTAGATAAGGCAGGCGAGACGGCACTGGAGTCGGTGTAGGCCGAAGCCGGCGACGTAGGTGTTTGCAATGGGTACGGACGTTCTTTTCGTCCTCTGTCGGTAGCCATATTGTAATATGTCGATATTTGGTGTAGTGATAAAAATCCGTTGAGATAGAAATCTGTTGAGACGGTTCCCAAATGGGGCAAATAGCTTCTTCAGTCTCTTCTTAAATATTCAACCCTCTGAACATGCTGCTTTTGTCATATGACTGTGTAAAGTGCAAATGGGTGGCGGTGGAAATGAGTTCCCCAGTGACGAGTGGTTAAGACGGTGTACAACAGCACCTTGCCAATTGCCAGGGTAGTGGCGTGTCGTGTCAGGCACCGAACCGGTCAGAGTCAGGACGTCGCTGCGGTCAAGCCAAGGGTTCCTCAGGTGTCACGCTGAATTCACGCGTGAAGAAAGCTAATTCTTACCGCGGATGCAGGTGTAAATTCGGCAATTTGCTATGGTGCTGCCAACGGTGACTTAGGCACCTCTCGTAGAACTGTAGTGGTAGTGTACCGTTCGAATGAAGCAAGTCCACGAGTGAGTCACCAGGTACAAGCAGTCGATAATCAGACTCTGAGAGAAAGAATGCTACCACGTCGGGCTGCAGGATATATTTGTGCGTGGGCGTCGCGACTGGAGGAGTTTGAACAACTTTGCAGAGGAAAAACACGAAGAGCGTGTCTAGCCAGTGGTGGACTGGGGAATAAAATCAGATCAAGCTAAATCGACTGGTCACCGATCAAGCAAGCTCTGCTGCAAGCTTGTTTCTTTGGACTGCCGGGATTGTTGGCTAGCAACGATTGGGGCCAAGATCTGCGCAGTAGATGACGGAGAGCAGGTTCTAGCCGTTGACTGAGTATCCACCGAGCTGCAAAGTTTTTCTGTTGTGTCGAAAGGTGATAGTTGATGAGGATGAAGACGAGATTGTGATGTTAGAAAGAGGGATAGGTAGTTGGGAGAGTACTGTGTGTGTGTGAGTGTGATAGATGTCAGTGGAATTTTCTTTTTGCCTCTCGCCGTTCAGAACCAAAGGCCAGCCAGACCAAACTGAGGGCGCGCCTTCCCACGAAGTTCCTTCCTTTGGGTTGGAGAATCTGTGCTTCTGATTGGGCGGGGGAACCAGGCAAGTGGACTTGCGGGATGCCACTGGCGGCGCCTGTGATTGGCTGTTTCTGGCGTGTTCTGTGGGGCGTACAGCGTTGAGCAAACATTTCTACGTAGTACAAATAAATGGCTACCCGAGGCTTTCGTCCTTTGGTCTGCAAACACGCTCAGAACAGTAAATGGCTGATTGGGGTACCCCCAACAACCTTTGCTGGACATTGCACACAACATAACTACGGACAACGCACTTCATTGTTAATGTTGAATTGCCAGTATTTACTCAGTGTTTGTGATGACCCAAGAGGGAAGGAAATCTCGATGTGACCTATCCAGTCTCCAGTCCCAGAGAACTGGGCCGGGGCTCCTACTAAGTTAGTCCGGAAGCCAGACTGTTAGACTTTAGTAAAGCATGCCTTAGGCCGGCCCACCGTCGGCGGATTGCGGACCATGGTCGATGGGCTTCCAGACGCCGATAGAAACGGTAAATTCCCCGACAAGGGGGTCTTCCTTCATATCCGTACGGTACATAGTACTATGAGTACACAGACACAGACGGGAAAAAAGCATCATCGTGATAATCTACCTGGTCAATGTTACTGGTCAAGTTATCGAATAATATATCCTGGGAATGACATCAGAAGTGGTCCGTCAGATTGTGCGCTCAGTCCGGCAGGCGCCACAATACAGTATTTGCCATTGTAGCCAATCATATTGTGCCGTTACTTACTGCATACCGGCCGGCTGTATGACTATACAGCACATCAAAGCCTCCGCCTGGAACGTGTGCCTTGCAGCCTTACACAGATCAGCAGCCCGTGATTAGACAGGAAATGCGCGTTTTCCTACTCCTTGGTTTTATACAGAACTACGACGGATAAAAGGAGACAGCTACCATGCGGGAAACGAAATTAACAACGGTATCCCTGATTCACAATTCTCGTGTCCGTACTCCGTACAGTTACACCCTTGATCCCGGTACGAGGAGGACCGGGCCATTTCGCAGGAGTTGCACAAAAGCGCTCAGGATGTCTCCGACTACCGTTACTGAACGGGGACGGGGCGACCCCCAATATGTTCCCTTTTTTTTTGTCGCCCATTGATTTGGGGAGTTGTTGACTCAATGAGTCAACGGCTACGTAGAATGCATCTTCCCACTTCAAACAACATTAAGAATTCTATGCTTTTTAGCCTATAATTCCAAACCTTGGGCAGAAGAAATATTCGTACTGAGCCAGTTGTCGCATGCCAGCTTTTCCGCAGAGTCACGCACAAAGGCCTCCACGAACTTAATTGGCTTGTTCCAGCTGATGTAATCAAGCCAGAAGTTGATATTCTGGATCTAGCCCAAAGAAGCCAAGAGGCTATGACGTTGCAAATGCCAGCAAACACCTGTCCAGGACTCCTGGCACTCTTTAACCTGAAATTCATGTCGGTGAATTCAAACGGAAAAAAAAAAAATCATCAGACTCATCACATGTTAATAATCTAATCGAACTCCGTACGATCCTATTCGAAGCCAAGCACGACAAGCAATCTAAGCGCAGTAAGTATACGAGCCAGGCGGGATCTGATGCAGGTACGCCGTTCCTGTCAAGGCCTTCTGGCAAGTCAGATGACGCATGTGGCAGAGATGCAAATCCTACCGCCGGGCTTTGCTGATTGCTACTCTTGACCCGGTAATAATTAGAGCAATAAGATGAAGGAATAAGTGGATTGACATCGGTCCAATCCGTCTGACACTGACACTGTCACATGTACTGCGATTGGACATCGAGTGAGAAATTAATGGACACTTCTCCTCCTCTGTGGATCGACTCCTCACCTTACAGCCTTCAACTCGATGTTTGTCTGCAATAATTATGGAGTCATGAATGAGCGAGCCTCACCACAAAGTACGTACAATTAAATTTGGACGGAATTAGAAAAGCAGGCTTGGAATGACATGCATCTTCGCCTCCGATCCAATTTTCGACTGTCTGTGCGTTATGTATGCAAGATTCAACTTTATATCTCAAACGTCCAGGCGTCTTGCCATCGTCATTCCCAGTGGCGATGGCACCTTATTTTTACATACACAGAGACCACAGGCGAAAGCGAGTGATACAACTGCCGACTTTCCGTCCAACAGCGACAAAACTTTGGAACCTGTGGAGAAGCGACGTGAAGCGTAACGATTTACTAACAAATATTATCAATGTCGGGGATTCGGGGATTCTAGGCTTAGGGAATGTTTCCATGGTTACGAGAGAAGGGTGTAACCCTACTCAGTGGAGGTTTCGGTGTGTGACATGTTGTTCAACCTTGGTTGAAAGAAGGTCTGAACCAGGGTTTTGCTCGCTTTGTTGAGTCCGAGCGTTGTGTGCCTAGGTGGTTGCATATGGTGAATTAGGGCTAGCGAGGTAGGGTTGGAAGTTAGGGTTTGAATGCAGGATTGAGGTTAGGGCTTACAGCTCAATGGTGCCCAGGTTGTGCCATTTACCTTGGTCCGCAAACGATTTTCCGTAAGGGAGTGTAAGACAAGTCCTGGCACTCGAATTACTTCGTAGTCGAGCAGAGTCTGTTTGATTTGTGGCTCGCTTTTGATCAATGCCTGAGTAAGTGTCGATGCAGGTATCCGAGACATAATGTCACCAACCTGGAGGATGGCGGTTTGTAGTTCAATCGTCTGGTCACTTCATGGTTTGGCTTCGCTTATTGTCTTTCTGGGAACGTTTCTGGCGGACATAAAGAACGTTGTACAGACCGTCGTAGAGATCGTATACTCAATACCACATGGGCAGTTGTTCTAGATGGTAAAATGCTCCTAGCCAATGACGGGGGTTTGCTATTACACAAGCTATACAAATATCTAGAGAAGGAAGAAACGCTTTCATGCTTGAACAGGAGGATCTCGGAGCGATATATGCTTGAAATCCTCTTAAGTACATGCAAATATGACAAATACTTGGACCTCTCACCGAAGTGTTACAAATATCCTTGTGACATGCAGAACAGAGGTAAGAAAGGTTTAAGGTCGTGAATGTTATCTATCAGTAGACGATATAACGATTCGAGGACCTGAGTAGTTCACTGTAGACATGTATCATGACCGGATACTCCAACAGTGATTTGGGGAGCTGAATGTTTCTGGTGTACTAGATATGAGCGATATTATTATATAATTGCCTCGAAACTACCAATCGTGTTACAAAATGATCAGGTATTAAGTTATTGATGCAATGCAGACAGGAAGCAAAGAACAGATTTCTAATCGTCACGTAGGGTCTTTTGGATATCATCAGCCCTTTCAATTGGTATATTAGTAATATTGGTAGTAAACTTGCCCCAGGAATGTTTGTATGCAGTCAAGCAGAAGCCAAATATTTCATTCGACGAAGGAGTGAGCGCAGATTCCACACGATCTACGGATGTTTTGGAGTTGAACTCTGCACATAAGACATGAAATGCCCACGTGTTATCGATAGTACTCTCTATATCCATAGCAGGGCTAAACATCTATTCAGTCACCTAGAAGAAAAGCCCATGTAATACAACTACATATGAAGAAGCTCACCTCGTGGCCAGGATAACGGAGATCTTCAATATTGCCTAAAGGGGTAATCAGCACTTAGTACGGTGGACTATAGGGTCGGCAAGGCAGTCATATCTTAGGAAAACAAGCAACCAACCATCAATCTATTTTTTTGAGATTCTGTTTGTTCAGCGAATTCCAGCCTACCTATGTAATGGCAATTGTTTTTTCTATCAAAGCTGTATTCTGTCATGTCTTCAGGGCGCCTACCGATAACCTTAGTTTGCATTGTTTGTAGGCGATCGATCTGAAAAGACTAGAGAGTAATTAGCGCGTCGCGTCTACTTGTGTGTTCTGATTAAATTGAATGCAATGTGATATTGCCAATGAACAAGATGAATTTCAAGGGAAATAGGAAACGTTTGCAGTGAGTTTTCGCAGTCAAAGAAAAGAGATTTTGGTTGCTACAGAGAAATCAATACTTGTAACATGACTGACATCGTCTAAGATACTCTACTCAGCAAGCACATGATACATACATACATCCTGTCCTTGACACCTGGAATCCAGCGCAATAAACTCTAGAGTAACCCCTTTTGCATCTCAAGGTGACAAGGTCTTTGTGGCTTAAGCCATGATGCAGCGACACCGCGAGCCCCGGCGAAACCTCATGTCGGATCCTGTGAAGGAAGAGGAAGTCGAAAGCAACCTACTTGTTTATCAAGAGCGAGATGACCAAGAACTGCTTGATCAGCAACTACAAGATACTCTCTTTGGTCAACTCAACGACACATTTTCAGAGCGCGTTAGATCGCCGCAACAACGAATCCAGTCCGACGACGGTTTGTTTATTTCAGGAGACGATATGATGGATGAACCATTTGCTGCTGCTGATAACACGCGAAGCATGGGTTTTGAAATGTCAGCATCTCCAGCACCTAGTACGATGCCACAGACGATACCTGCCGTTGCTCGTGTAGAGACACCAAGTATAGGAAATGCACCGTTAGCGTCTCCAGCACCAACATCAATAACACCAACTACACCTGCTGGACAGGTTTTGTATGTGGCTTTCTCTCCCACAGCTCTTCTGAAATCGACGACACCAAACAATCTAACCTTTTGTCCCAGATTTCCGTCAATAGGCCAGCGCACAATCCCTCCGTCAGAGATGGCATTCCTCATGACCCAAACGGCAGACCAGCCGCGAATCCCATGGCGGTGGTCTACCATAGGAAAAAAAAGTATCCACGCGAAACAAACCTAAAGCGGTCGGTAAATGGTGGGTCGACTTCTGGATAGACAGTCAGAACGACCCCAAAATCGAGTCTACGGCATCTCATGTCGGGCGGATAATGGAAACCGAGCTTGGGCTTCAACTCCTAGGTGATAAGCGATGTAACAGATGCCGGGCTGAAGGTCTGGAGTGTTGGATATACAGTGAAAGAGGAAGGAAGCAAATCAGGCATCCAGGAAGCGCGTGTGCTCATTGCCGTGCTACAGGTCCAACAGCTCAAGGGTGTAGTGTTACAACACGGAGTCATAGTAAAAGGGCTGACCATCGACAACGTCAGCAGAACAGAGCGCAGAGAAGGGAGATTTTACCGATGGAATTGACGGGTTCATTCTCTGCGCAGAAATCATAGTCTTGCAGAGAGATTCATGCAAGGACGATATGACGAAACTTTGAAGCATTTGGTCAAGCCTGTTGATCCACTTGTACATAATACATATAGCATAATTCATGGCCTCGAGTAGCAATGAACAAACGGTAGAGAGAAATGCATGTTCAATACAACTAACCCTAATATAATGCCGCAAAAACAAAAGCAAATTTTTCTTGCTATCATTACAAGTCATACCCCAGAGCGAATGCCTAGCTCCCCACACGAGAAGAGGATTATAGCACAGGATCAGAGGAGGCGCAAGGTCCTAGATTACTGGAAATTTTGAGTCCATAGAATCCCACACCAACTATAGCGTCCTGACAAACAAATAACGTCGTTTATAGTCATAATCACTTGATCAAGTCAACTTCTGCTTGATAAAGAAGGATCGGAGATGCGACAACTGCCATGCACAGGTAATTGCAAGGACGGCTAGTTGAATCAGAGACCAGCGGACGACACGAGAGTTGGTAGCTTCGGATTGATCACGGAACTCGGCTTCTCGCTCCTAGAAAAAGGTCAAGTGTGATTAGCTTTCAGTTTCAAAGAAACTATAGAAGAGAAGGGATGAACATACCCGCTGGAATACTTGTTCACGACGAATATCCTCCAATCGACTATTGAGATCCTTCACTCTTTGTGTAATATCCGAAATCTTTCCAGAGTCCTCACTTTCAATCTTGCTGGTAGCGCCGATAGCAATGTCCAAAGCCAACTTCACGGTGGGCGCACTTGAGAGCCATCCTTGACTTTGCGAGTCGGGAGTAAAGCAGATCCTGTGTTGACCAGCGTCGGCGGCAGTAAATGTGAAGCGGCCGTCGCTAGGTGTGCGCTGCGAGACAACTCGGTGATCGTTGTCGAAGGTTTCTTCGACGGTGATGAGGACTTGGAGCGAGGAATCCTGGATCCAGGTATTCGATTCTCTGTTTAGGATTTCGGCCTTGTATGTCCCTGCGCATCAATTGTTAGTCACTATAAAACTGACTCGATGCTATAGCGATGAGTCTTACCGACAACCAATGTATCCTTGGGCAATTCTTCAAAGAAGCACTTTCGTTGCTGGCCTTCCATGTATACGTGGAGTGCGCGTGCCTGTGCGGACAGCACGGTCAAGACGGTGAAGAGTGTCAACAGCCATGATGGGCTGGTCCTTGATGCCGACATGGCGGCTATATTGAATGATTCAAGGAGCAAGGACAAAGACAATCAAGTAATTGAAAGGCAGATGTTGAGATGTTGTCAATATTATTGATAGAACTAAAGGGGAAAGCTCCTCTTTGTCAACTTGGCCGCAACTGCTTCACCGCCTACCGTATGGCCAATCACAGGGAAGTTGCCGCGTGCCCCGTTCTTCAATTAGAATCTTGACTTTCGACTGTTTTCATCACCCATCTTCAAGAACCCATCTATTTATCAAAAACAGCAGCACATTTCGAGTTATAAGCTTTGAAAACAAACCTCGAAATTCCCAGCAATTGCCTAAGTCTCCGTTTCCTATAAGACACCGCCGGCGTCGCGTCTGCGCATCCTGCATCATGGCCGCCGCGGATGTTCGCGACATGCTCGATTTGCCCGCAGATGGGCAACCAAGACCTACAAAGAAGCAGAAAGTCGCGGAAAAGAGGCCAGGTTAGTTTCCAGGCCCTTTCGATCTTGACTTCATTCTTCTGACATTTAAAAGAGGGTATTACTCGTGAGCTCTTCGCGCTACTCGGTGAAAAAGCGCCTCCTATCGCCCTCAACGAAAATAAATACAAGCTGAAGAAATCTAATCGAAGGGCGATTCCATGGTATGGTAATTTGTGCAAGGTTGAAAGTTTTCGTGATTCTAATTTGATGGCCACAGGCGAATGACCGAGTTCAAAAACGAGGCGCGCAGCGATGGATTAGTTCTTCGACATTGGAAGAAAATGGAGCCCGTGAACAAATTAGACGACGCTACAATGGAAGTTGAGCAGACGACTGATGGCGCACAAGAGGAGCATGGACAATATGCATTTGCCAAGTATAATATCAAGGCTCAGGTTCCCAGCCGATACACCGATGAACAATACCAGCGACACTTGCAGAGTGATGATTGGTCGCGCGAGGAGACGGATTACCTTCTGGGCTTGGTGGCAGAGTACGATTTACGATGGGTGATTATTGCTGATCGATACGATTATCAGCCCAAAACTTCAGAGACCAGCGATGCGAATGCGACAGCACTTGTTACAGCGAAAAGTGTCCGGACTATGGAGCAGATGAAGGCTCGTTACTATACGGTGGCAGCGAACATGCTTGCGCTCGAGCATCCACCTTCGGAAATGTCAGAAGCTGAGTTCGCGTTACACGAAAAGATGATGAAATTCGACCCGGATCGTGAACGACAGCGAAAGGAATTGGCGGCATTACAACTGAATCGCACAGCTGACGAAGTCCGAGAAGAAGGAATTTTATTGGAAGAACTCAAACGTATCGTCACAAACGAGCAGAATTTCATCGCAGAGCGCAGAGAGCTTTATGCAAGACTCGACGTTCCTTACCACGTCAGCAACACGACCATGTACCAATCTAGCCAGGGCTTGTCACAGCTTCTGTCGACCTTATTACAAGCGGACAAGAGCAAAAAGCGCCGCTCCATACTCGGACCGGAGAGTCTACCAAGTCCAGCTGGTCAAACACCCTCCCAAACCTTACCAAACGGTCTTCGCGATGTCGAAACACCCACAGCTGCTCTGTCCAACAAGAAAGGAGGAGCTGCAGCAGCTGCCGCCGCTTCGGCCGCCGCAACCCCTACACAACCCACCATACGCACCCTCACCAAAGAAGAAGAACAACGCTACGGCGTCCAACACCACGACCGCATCACCCCAGGTGTACACTTTCGCAACGACAAAGCCACAAAACTCACACAAGCCAAATCAAACATCCAAACCCAAAAACTTGCCGCAGCTCTTACAGAACTCGATATCCCTCTCCGCTTGCTCATGCCTACCGAGAAAGTCTGCAAGGAATTTGAAAGACTCATTCATCAAGTCAACACCTTACTTGACGCGCGCAAAGTCTCTGAGAAAGTGGAGAGCGAAATCCGAGTCCTGGAAGCTGCTAGAGAGGAACGACAGAGAAAAGAGCGCGAAGCGAATCCTACTGCTGCAAGTTCCGGCACAACAAACAACGAAACAGGCATCGATCAAGCAGAGAAACAAATCAAACTCGAGTCTGTGGAAGATCAACCACAGAGTCAAGGAGGAGGCGCAGCAGCGGAGGAAGAAGAGACTCATACGAATCAGCAGAATGGTGATACAGGTAATACAACGGCCGAGACGAGTAGTGCTGGCAATAAGCACAAACGTTCGGCTAGTGTGTTGAGTGCTCAGAGTGATAAGAGTTCCAAGAGGCAGCGGAAGTAACCTCTTCTCATGAGGATGTATTTCTAGATAGTACAATCCAAGAATGATGTATGATATACAATACTAAAGGAGTATACTATTTGTTCTAAGGATGTATGATTCTATTCCATGACATGACTAAAGTATACACATATGCCAATCAATAGGGATAATCACCAAAATCTCCCAACACTCTCTTCCAGTCGGTGCATGTGGGTAGTTCGGTCATAATTTGAGCTTCTCGATCAAAACTTTGCACTGTGCCTCCTGCCAACATACTTCGTACCATTCTCAAGTTCACAACGGATATCTTCTCGAAATTTTTGGCTCAACGACGAAGACGGAGGCGACGGCATCGACCTCTTTCGTTTTTTGCTAGCAGCATCAAAATTATGAGTAACCGACACTCTAAACTTTCTCAAATTACGGGATCGCTTCTTCGGTCGACGCTTCGCCGCTCGCCAGGCTTCAATGTGATAATCTCCCAATTCCTCTTTTGGAACATGGTCCCAAAAGGGAACTGTCGGTTCAAATATAAGGTCAACGTTTTCGTGAGATCGAGCTGCTTGCACCTGAAATCCGGCATGGTATCGTGCTATTTCACGTTTGCCGAGACCGATCACCCAGAGAAAGGTGTCGTGGAAGCCTTGACGAATAGCTTTGACCACCAGATCGTGTTTCTTTTCGTCGTCATTATCTTCCCGCTGAGGTCTGTCTGGAGACGCTTTGGGGCAGAAGTCCCGGACAATAACTGCATCATTGGGATCTGTCACTTTGTTTCTCTCGGCTCTGGTATAGCTAGGGAACAAGGTCCATCGTTGTCGTCGATAGGAAGATGATACGAAGTCAGGCTTAGAGGAATCCTTGGCATTCGACTGGCTAAGATTCTTTTCGGGCACCTTTTCAGGCACTTGAATAGAATCTTTGTCTTCTAGCTCAGAAAAAGCCTCGACAGTTGACTGGCGAAGCGAAGCACCTCGACCGTTATCGACTAATGTTGCATCTGTACCCGACCCAGATTCAGTCTCAGACAAGTTGTCTGCCGGTACCGCAGTAGTAAAGGAAGCATTGCTCGCGTCGTCATCATCGGCAACTGACTTTCTCTCTTCAGTCTCAAGTGAATTATCACCCGGCCCATCCGTAGCACCAGAAGCGTGGTTCTCATCCTTGTCGACAAAAGAATACCCATATCCACAACGTTTGCCCTCCGACATCCACCCAATGCTCACTTTCCGAGGTTGTTGAATTGAGGCTTTGCCTTGTAATCCGGGATGGTCCAATAATTCCATGAAGCGGCTCTTCTTTGGAACGCTCTTGGTAAGCGCAGGGGTTTCTTTTGGTCTTTCACCTTCACTACTGAGATGAATACTTGGTACCCATCGAGAACATCGACCGTTCCTGTCGACAGGATGCTCAGTTTTCCCCCTTCTTCTTTTAGAAATCGAGAGAACATTAGGTAGGTGCCTTGTAGATGGCAAGACGATAGCTTCGTTATCATCGTTAAAACCCGGCCGTATTTTCATATCATCCGCCAGCACGTGGTTCAACGAGGTCATCGTTCTGTCCAGGGTAAACGGGCTTGAATGGGGTCTAGAATCCCAGCTTTGCTCAGAGAAACGTGGGCTAGTGATGAATGCTGCATCACTGTCGTAACCGGTCTCGCTGGCGAAATCCAGAGAACTACCTCGTGTGACTGTATCGTCGACAGGCTTCGGTTCATTTGACCATTTCGGACGCACTCGCTGGGAAAAGGATCTTCTAATTCCTACCGTTAGGCCGGTCGATTTAGAGTTAGGATCCTTGCGTCTCATCAGTTTATGCAGCAGAGATGAGTCTTCTTTTGGATCTTCGCGTTGATCAGAAGTATGGCCTCTGTTTGTATCCGTTGCCTGTTGGAACAAATGTTCCACTTCAACATCGATTTCGGATTTCTTCTCCGTATCCGGCACTGAGGCGGTCCGTGACGGACTAGATTCTGATTTACGATGCCTCACGCTCGTACCCAGGCTTTCTGGTCGTGATCGCTCGCTCGATTTTCGACGGAGATGGGGTTTGAGAAAGGCCATGTTTTTAATACACATGTATTATGAAGATGAAGATACTGTGCTTCAAAAGACGATCAGATGTATGCAAAACACGATATTATGCGAGCCAAAAGACATGCAATCGATGGGTATTTATGCTTGTTGTAGGGTAAAAAAGAGAAGAGACTACCGTGGATGGAGGAGAACTGATGTGTTTTCACGAGGAAGGAGCAACGGGGACTTTCCTAACATTGTTCCTTCTAGCAGGCACCCACACCTTGGCAATAGATAATATTTCGAACTCCTCTATATACGTCCCCGACTAATCACTCTGCAATGATCATGTTCCCAGCATAATAGCTCCCTAAAGAAAAGGAACACCCGGAATCACCGCACTCCGCCCAGCAACGGCATCACTTCCAAATTTGGTAGTGTACCATCGCACACCTCGTCGTGCCTGCGGCAACATGGTAAAAATATCATTCAAAATAAACACGAGAGCTGGCCACGGGAACGGAACGCGTAGGTATTTGGCAAGTATAGCAAATGGCTGCAACCATGGTGCTGGAGCGACGGACGGAGCTGGCAAACCGGGATGTGATATTGCCGGCAAAAACGCATGAGCAGGATATACTGCCGTACCGACTAATACAAAGCCAGCCCATTCCAGCCATTCGAGAGAATAATGCGGATATAGAACCCAACGGAATAGCCCTTTTGCGGGAGGAATTACGTAGACTTTGTGGTAGATGTTTCTCTCGTTGTCGCTTCCCGCTTTATCGTCGAACTTTTTGGCTGCTTGACGCTGCGCTTCCTCGCGGCGAAGACTCCATAATGTTCGTTCAGATCGTATATTGCCAATCATTCCGTATGCAAATGTAGCTAAGCCGATATATGGAAGACATTGCTGGAGTGTCGTCGATGATGTCGGTAGAGGCGTGTACCCCAGACCTTGAGTGAGATCATATCCTGTAATCCACCCAGCGATGCAAGAAGAATTGAACCAGTTGAAAATGAACGCAAGCGCAAATACCTCCAACCGGACCGGGGAAATACTAGGCGCAACGAAGAGCGGATTCAAAATAGATCGATTGAAATAATGAATCACATAGAGAGCGCCAGCAACCTTGTTCCACAGAGGCAATTCTGAAAATGAGAAATTGAACTCTGCAGGAAGTGTTGATAACATGTAAAGCAGATTAATGGGACCGACTACCTCCATGACGCTCCATGCAAAGCGGCCATTCAGATTGAGCGCAGAATTTGGCATGGAGAATTTCCCTGACGGATGATAGTCTAATAGCCATTGGATTACGGTTGCCTGCAGCCTTCTCAATATATTTATCTTTTCATGCTGGAAGAAAACTTACGGCTGGAAACCATTGGAATAGACGTAGCTGCCAGGTATAAGCCCACGGTTGAGGGGGAAAGAAAGATTTCGCGAACGCGAAAATGTTGTACATTGCGTAAGACGACCGAAGCAGATGAAATTCTTGAAATATGAAATCAAGTCTAATTGTAACAATGGAGAATTATCATGAGAAAGGAGAAGAAGAAGTTATAGACGTAGAGGTTCGCGTGGTTGTTACGTCGGGATGATCAACATGCCAAAATGTTGTAGGTACGAGCAATACGGCCAGATCCTAGCTGCGGATCGCTCGCTTCTGATTGGCTGATCGCGTTAACACTCTTACACGTCGGAAAAGTATGAACTGAAAGTATTAGTACGTACAAAAGAAATCTAGTACGAATGAACGGTACTTTTGACTGTCTTGAAGCATCAAAACTAAGAGCTCGTCTTGACAAAACGTGCACAGTACTGCTTGATTGGGTTAAACCAAAGCGGTGAGCGTGCGGACAAGCTAACGATATGTGGCAATTCCTGAATTCTGCACATTTCCTTTCCGAATTCCCCACACAAATGAATAATCACTAATTAGGGCTATTTTTTCGTCAAACTCACCCCCCATACCAGGCAACCAGACAACCAGACAACCAGGCAACAACCTCCATTTGCAGTGTACATGGAAGCAATAATAAGCTCATATGCTCCATTATTCTGTCGTAGGATTGCTGATGAATTGATGTCTTACCATTTAGACCTCAATCTACATGAGCTGGCGGAGAAGTCCTACAAAGTCCAAATCCACGCATATATTGAACAAGTCCGCCCAATTCCAATGGACGGTGAGGTGAGTACATCAAGGCCTAGTTGGCCAACATCATAGAAAAAGCGCAACTGGTGTCTAGCCGGAATCGAAGCTGGGACCAGGAACCTTGAAAGGTATAAAAAAAAGTACTTTAGTGCAGGGCTGAGCTGAACGCTCTCTAGACTTCTGTTCCAAATGCCCGTAGGCAAACAACATATCGAAAACACTGATTTATATGAATACATTGGTTGCCTAATCTTCTGATATCTCTTTCCTGTGAGTAAAGGGTACGTCTCCAGGTGTCAAGGCATTCATTCTTCCAAGTCTTGAAGGGATCCCGCGGGATTGCTTTTGACTTCAACGAAATGAGTGCCGGGACATCTTCCAGACTCTCAATGGGATACGAAACACGAGCATAGCATAGATGTACTACATACCTACACATGTAGTAGCACTTGAGATCTATGTACTCTACATGGTCCGAACACAAATAGTCTGAGCTGTCTCTTCTATGTGCGCTTCCCTAATAGGAAGGCGTCATACCTATACACACCACCCATGACTTCTATAGCCGAATCAATCTAAATTGTTTTAAAAAATGAAATCTGAATATCAAGCAAGTGCCCACCAGCTCTCGCGCAAAATATATTTACTATTCATAATGCTAGTAATCTATCCAAACCATATGAAACACAAATGCAGACAATGCAATTAATCAGTCGTAGTATCCATAACGTCCTGTTTCATAGACTGCAATTTTGCAGCTTTGCGCTCTGCTTTAAAGTCCTCGATTTGTTTCTTTAGGTCCGTATCTACATTGAACCCGGTTAGTAACACTGTTTCACATTGGTGGAGATTGTCAGACTTACTGGCTATGACTTCTTCGATCTTCAATGGCGCTCTGTTGAAAGGATCGTTTGGATCACTCAGTAAGTGAGAACGGATTGTTGCGCGATCAATAGTGACTTTTGAGCTTGGTAGAATGACCGGGTCTTGCATGAGAGTGTACATAAGGGGGTCTTCCACACGTTAGTAAGACATCATTAAAAATTTCGAACAGGTAATATCTTACCGAGAAAGTCATCAGGAACTTCTCCCAAATCCTCCTCTGCCTGGTCATCTGCCTCCTTGGCGTTCTTGATCCGTTTCGCCAATTCCACCAACTTCGCCAACTCTTCGTCCGGTTTCAATGCTCGCTTGCGAATGATTTCAGCCGCCTTCTCAAAATTTTGCGGCTTGTACGATCGGCCMTCCCSAGCCACTGCATAGATGAAATTCTCCTTGTTCATCAGGTTGATATACACATCAATAATCTCACTCAAGAGGCCACGTGGATTAAAGCCGTATTCTTGCAGATTTCCAACGTGCAGGTTTGAGCTCTTAGGTCCCACCATTGCGTCGAGGTTGTAGTCTAACATATCTGCTAATCGTTGTACGATTTCGGGCATGGTGAATGAATCTGCTAGTGCCTCTGTGAAGAGTTTGAGCATGGCTACGGTTTCGTTGGTCAATTGCATGTAGGATTTGGCTTGGCGTTGAGCTGCACTCAGCGCTTCTTCCTTTTCTTGTCGGACTGTCTGTTCCATGGTATTTCCCTCTCGGTTCAATAGCTCTTGCGTATCATGAATGGTGATGAATGCAGTAAAGGCTTCATCAAGAACAAATGTCACGTCATTCAGAAGAAGATTCACAAATCGGACGAAAAAGTCGAGGTTCTCCTTTGCTGAATCGGAAAGCTGATTCCTATAGGCTGGGTTACCCCAAATGCACTTGATGATTTGGAAGATCTCATATCGAATGTTGAACTTGTCGAAAAACTGAGTATGGGTTCCAGTATGTTCAACTTCAATGTAGAATTTCATAGCGGCGTGAAGGAGGTACTCATTTGCAAATGGCAATGAGTTGAGCAAGTCTACGAGGATGCCTCGGGCTCCACCAGGTCGAGGCCATGTTCCTCGGAACAGTATAGAAATAAGACCAGCTTTGAGATATGGGTTTTTGATATATTGAGAGCTTTCAAGGAATGCAATGCACAGCATCACAAGCTCATCGCCTTGGGCCGTGGTGATGATCTGTGGCATAGACCACATGATGAACTTGAAGTTGCTCACGATATCGTCGATGAAATACTCGGGTAGACATTTGAAGATCTCGCTAGGTTCCTCTGGTAGAGGCAGCGCAAGTTTCTGTTTGGGAAAGTCCGTTCCAGAAACGAGGCGGAGAATCCATACAATGACATATCGCATGAATTGCATGGAACGAGTTTGCCACACGGTATCAAACAATAAACCCTGAAGACTGTACTTGAGGGATAGACCTAGATCAAGTCGGTCTTTGTACTTTTTGAGAGCTTCTTCAAATGTCCTCAACTGCATAGGGTTGTGGATCCATTTATGTCGTTCAAGCTCAAACTTATTGATCTGCGTTTCCATGTGGCGAAGGTCTTTCTCGAGTTGCTCCAGCTTGGAAGTTAGTGATTCGCTGCCATAATGGTGTGATGCGACGGTAAGGAAGAATAGTTCGGAAATGAAGTTGGAGGTGCCTTCTGCTTTGCGGGCATAAAATTCGTCAGATGTATGTTGGTCTGCGTTTATCTTGGTCTCGTCGTCCATTTTGACGCGAGGATTCCGATGGAGGTAGTCCGCGTCTATGCGGTCAATCTGCTTCACTTAGCAATATATAGAATAGTATGGAATATTTTGTATACCTTTGTGAAAGCTGCATCCATGAACGGCTCACAGAGTTGGTCAAGACAAGTTGTAATATTAAACATGAACCCATCGGATGATACAGTTTTGGGATCAACCTGCATTGCTCTCCTCTTGTGGTTCAGATTGATGGCTGCCGCAAACCAGTCCAGTACTTTTTCTCTAGCCTCTTTCGAAGCCCGAATCAAATGATTGATAACATCCAAAAGATCAGAGCTAAGCAATTGCTGTGTCATACGAAGAGACCGCTGCGAGTTCAGAATGAAGCCTTGATCCCGGGTCTTGGGGCTAGAGAAATATGTACTCGTGACTGGTGCTTGAAGCGGTGACAAACGAAACCAAGGTCCGAGTAATGTATTCACTTCGAAAGACGCAGCATCTGTCTCGTTGAGGAATCGTGGAGATTCGGCGATGGCAGATCCGATAGCAGCATTGTGTACGAGATTCCTGAGAGCCTAATGACAATTAGCATAAAACTCCTGAGAACGTCGGACCAAAACGAACCGTCACGTATGGCTTATAATCATCATTCATGGTCTTTGTAGATAGTTCTTGGCTCATCTGTTCCACCGTCGTAATAATCGCAGACTTCAAATCATCCTGCTCTTCAAAAAGCTTCACCACTTCTGCAAGAAATTCAAGGTCTACTCCTCGATCATCTTCTGCATCAAGGAGAAGGTTTGGGATCAGTGGCGAGCGGCCGGTCGGCGTTTGACTATTTGGTCGTTAGCGTTATTGTATTTTCATCACCCCTTTCAGCCGGGACACAATGAGAAGAAAGAGACCAACCCGAACATCTCCGGCATAGTTACCGCAAATACAGCGTAACTTATGCAAAGGCGTTTGGCCTCACTGACCACGGCGAATCGGGGATCATTATCAGACGCTTTGCGAAAGCCTTTGATCAATCGCCGCACGCGCTTCCAGCACGGCAAAAGATAATCCAAGGGTGTATCACGGCCCGTGTTGGACGCAGCCTCCAGAATCGCCTGATCCAGTACACCAGTTGATATTCTGATTTCCGATCCTTCATCCTTGAGTTCACTGAGCACGCCCGGTAGAAAAGTCAATTTCTGACCATGTATAGTCTTCTGCTGGTTCTCGTCAAGAGTAATGCTGAATAATGCGCGTAATGTTCTATCTTCAAAGGTCTCGAGGGACTCCTCCGCTTTGGGGCCAGCCCGCTGCTTAGGTGGCGCAGGCGACACCGATGGTGACGGTACATTGGGCGTTGCCGAAGCCGGAGTAATTTTTATTCTCTTGCCTTGCGCGGATTCACCTGTTCTCGCATCGTTTTGGTCTGGCGATAGCTCGGGTTGTGGCTGTGGTGTGGGAATATTCGACGGTGGTCGCGGCGTGGAGCTCGATTCTGTCGGTGAAGCAGCAGATGAGGATGTTGACGTTGCGGGTCCGCCTAATTTTGCTAACCTCTTATTACGAATCTAGAGAGAGTAAAGTGAGTTGTAAGACTCATGAGAATGGAGGTCGAATTAGCAAGCTAACCTTATCAGCATCTGAAAGCGGTTCGGACATCTTCGAAGCTCAGCCTCCAAGCAGTTCGCGGTGATCTGTCGATGAGTAATAAAGAAAGACCGATCAATAACTGGTCTGGCTTTAACTTTTTGATTCGGCAGTCAGTGTAGTTGCGAGTCAACAGACCGTGCTTTAGTAATGTTGCTGTTGCAGAAAGGCGGAATGACAGCATGCGGGCAAACTCCATAGAAATGATGGAATCTCAGTGAAGGTTTGCCCGCACTTTCCTTTACTAAGCTCGCGGTGGGTCAGGCTAGCTTCTCCGCTTTGTATAATAATACTAACAATAATACATACTTTGATGATATGCTTCGACACTTGAATGTTTGATATTAGGTAGAAAGGAAATATTATCACACTAATACTAAACTATTTACTGAAGTCTCGCTAGAAGAATCATGCTCATACAGGGTAGACAATACAAGACCGACGTCCAGAATACTCCAATCATGACCAGCTCTATATAAGACAGGCAGTGTCAATAAAAGGTTTCAGCATCGACTGAGGTAATCGAGGAAAAGAACAGAAAGGGAGGAAAGAGCCACCAACTGTGTAATAATAGAAAGCAGAAAGATCGGAAGAAGAGACATCAATATCTTCTCCTCTTGAGTTTCATCTTCACATCATCGTAGCGACGACAGCTCTTCAACTCCATAGCTCTAGCTTCTTTCATCTTCTCGACATCCGGGAACAGCCAACCCTGCGCTGCTTGCATCCTTCGCTCTCTTTCCTGTACTTCCATTTCACATTCATAATGAAGATTATTGACAAAGTCGTTTTCCACCTGAATATCTAGATTTTTAAATTTCCGCGCGCTGAAATCATCCACATCCTGCGGGTTGAGGTAGTAATTCAGTTTGAGTTCCGGCGTAGTTCGTTGCATAGTATGGGGCGAAACGGCATCAAATCGATATAAGGGACCAGCGGGAGTTGATTGTCCTCCGGAGAATAGCGAAGAAAGTAGCGGGAAAATGAACAGTAAAATAAGCGGGAGGAGTTGGGTCAACGAAGCCCAACCGGGAGACGCAGGTTGAGTCTGCGCATTAGCTTCACGTGGTCTTCTGCGAACACCTGGGCCGCCGAATTGGTGAACCCTGAATCCGGGACCACCGCCCATATTGAAGACAAATTGAGGACCGCCTGTGGTGACAATCAGTATACTCTGATATTGCTTCATCCTTGGAGACCTTACCACCAAACGGACCACCAAATCCACCGCCACCGAATCCACCACCGAAAAACCGATTAAACAATTCCTCCGGCGATATCTCCTCCTCAAACATGGGGCCACCAGCCCGACTTTGCGGGAATCCACCACCACCACCGAATCCGCCGAATGGGTTGCCGGCAGCTGACGGTCCGGCACCTGCGCCAGACGCTGAGAATCTGCTATCGGGGTCGCCGCCGAATTTATCATATCTCGACTTTTTATCAGAATCGGAAAGGATCTGGAAAGCACGCGATACCACTATATCACGTGTCAGAAAATATACAACCCCTCTTCACAGCACAAAGTCAACGCACTCTTAAAAGCCTCGTCGGCACCATCATAACCATTCTTATCCGGATGCGTTAACAAACTCAACTTGCGATAAGCCTTCTTAATCTCGCTATCCGTGGCCGTCTTCTGTACCGCCAGGATTTCGTAAAATGCCGTCGGTGAACATTTTCGTACTCTGATAACGGCTGCTTTTTGTTCGGGGGTATATTTGCGATCTTGGTTGCCCTGTGTGTGTTCGCGCGATCTCGCTGATCCACTGGAGTCCGCTCCAGAGGTTGTTGCAGATGGCATTTCGTGTTGGAAGAGTCCCAACCGGGAAGCTCGACTCTGTGGTAACGGACAACGAGGAATCAGTGAGTAATCGGCGGCGAGTAAGTGTACGATCGTAGTGTTGAAAGCGTTGGTGATTGCAAAGGGAGAGCCGCAGTCCCTGTAGAATCGAATCGATGTTATGCCCCGCTCAAACGAACCATTAATCTCACAAAGAATATACCTCGAATGTATCAAATAAAAAAGAGCGAATGATCAGGATAGCACAATAAATTTGATCGCTTCAAGTGATGGCGTTGGCCAGAGTGGTGTTCCAGAATTTCGGGGATAAGAAAGTCGAAGTTCCTAATTGTACGTGGTCTTCGAACGGCTCAAAGTTGACTCGCCGCTTGGTTCCACTTCCGGCATTGGGCTGGAGCTTCCGCGTATAACTTGGATAGCGATTTTCTGCATTTCCCCAGTCTACTTAAACAACTGGCGATTTTGCAACTTTTCAGTCACAATCGATTTAAATACGGCCGGAGCAACGCAGACACAATGGCAACTTCAGACGGGACAGAGCAGGCTAAAAAGTCTGTGTACCAGATTGCTCGAAGCTGGGGAGGTGCGTCATTTCATCTCACGCTTGAGATTCGACTACTTTGGACAATACTCAATCGCATACTTCCTACACAACTTACCAGCTAACTCGACACAACAGAAAACCCCCTCCCTCCTACGCTACTAGCAACACTCATCACCGCGCAACACATGCGCCCATTCCAACTCCTACCCATGAGCTTCGTCCCCGTCCTCCTCTTCACATCCTACACAAACGTGAACGGCTTCAAAAAGGACAGCGCGGGTATTAGCGCCGCCTGGTCTGGGTTATATCTTCTTCTGGCGAGTCGACGCAAGCAGAAATTCATGAAGAAATGGAGTCCTCGAGGGATCGTTCGTGGTACCTCGATGGGTTTGGCGCTAGCTAATATGGTTGCTGGAGGTTTGACGTATGCTTTGGGTGAAAGAGAGGATGAAGATTGATGATGCAGTATTCTTCTTGGGGAATTGTGTAGCAACGATATTGGTGGTATTAAGGCTGGCGTTTGGTTTAGGAGTTTCTCGATGAGAGCCGTGGCCGTTCGGGAGATCTATGTACGATATGAGAGAGCCGGATCATGGCGCCTGTAATGTTTACGCTATTCATGATGATATACACCACTATATATCACTCGACTGATACAACTCCTGCGCCATGATATACGAGCCGACAGCGGCCGGCACCAGAGAATGAAGCAGCGCGTCCTTACTCTGAGCCGCATTACGAGCTCTCGTGGAGCTGACGGGAATCTCATCAATCTTCCGTCCTGGAATCAATTGAATTCGTTCCGCCCACTCCCGCTTCCCGCCTTCCTGCTCCCTTCCACCCTGCGCAAGATGTCGCAAATATTCCTCCTGCTCCTGTAAATTCCCCCACTCATCGTCCGGCCTCATCGTAACTCTCAACCTATGCCTTGACAAAAAAGGCTCTAATGGCTGCAACGTATGCGTAGGCGGATAGTATTTCGGGTTGAATATACGAATTAGAGTATCGTATCCGGTCAAATGGACCTGTTCCAGATCGCTCGGGTATTCCCCGGATTGCTCTATTGCAGCTGCCTTGTCTACAAAATACGGTTGTTTAGTGACTCCAATATCGACCTGAGGTAGATCCGCGGTGGGGATTGAGGGCAAGGACGATTGGAGATGCGTCCGGAGTTCCTGTGCGAATAGAGTCATCATGATCAACCGATCCTCGAATGAGGCCGGTTTGGATGGTTTATCGGCATTTTGGGTTGCGAGCAGCAACAGTAGTCTGGACGAATGGGGAGATTCTTCCAGAGCGCTCGATGCGATTCTCAAGTGTGCTGCGGTGGGAGGGTTGAAGGAGGAGTCTAGGATGAATAAGGATCGGGCGTTTTGGGCTGGTCGTCGTTCGTGGGATTCGGTGGGGACGCGGTCTAGGACTTCGAATGTGCGGGGGGAGGAGATGAATTCTTTGAGCGAGGAGGCGTAACGTGAGCGGAGAATGTTGAGTGAGTTGTTTGCCATGCTGGCAACTATGAGAGCTGAAGGTCGTGTATGATTCTGTTCAAATGATGAGGATGAATTGTTTACGATGGACGAGCCGGTAGTGGCTGATGGTGAGCCACATCTTGATTGGATCAGGAACGCGGAATGTGGCTTGATTTCAGCTTATCAGCGCTGATAAGGCACGTGGCGTCATACCACGCCATATTAATTGTGATTCATGATCATACAGTAAAACAATTCGAGTTTTGTTTTAGACAAATATCTTGAATCGCAAAAGGGATCCATATTCATTAATATGTCGATGCTTCTTCGCATGGTGGCTGATTGATCATTGATGGATCAAACAAGTTCCGTTGTTTCACACGGAGCTTTTGATGAGTCTCTAATTACTCGGATCAGCCAGGGTCCAGACTTGAGCCGCCCATGAAACAATTCTCCTGGCAATTAGCGAGCGAAGAACTAACATCAGCGTAACCGCCAGTGACTGTTGTGAATAGATTAATATTTGTTTCTTTTCTACCTAGTTGGACAATTGTCAATTAATTCGACGATAACGGAATGCACTTATTTCGGGTCGGGCGAGCAACGAAGCGCCGAGCGGTACCGTGCCACAGCTGACAGACCGAACCGAGTGGGCGAGTCGCTTTGACAAAGTTAAATAACATCAATTTAAAGGCAGCCGTGTCGTACGGTGTGGATAATGACACATGTATATAGTAGTCCGTACATATATTAGCGGAMAAGCCACTGTACTGTAAGAACGCGAAAATCATAAAATCCTAGATGAAATTAATGAATTCAAAGTGACAGGATCAGCCGGGTGGGGTGCCAGCGCCGATGGCTTGTCTCGGGCGTGCGCTAACCGACTAGCCTGTCTCGCACTTTGATCAATCAAATACGCCTTTTGGAGAGACATTGTCTGATTGGCTGCCGATGGAGCAATGGTTGCTTATCAGACTTATCTTCATACATGAGGTTGGACAAAGCGAGACACGGACACTGGCAGCAGTAGGACAGCAATCGAATTTACTGTGCTGAGTGTGGACAGTAGAAGCAAGGACGTGAGAACACAGCAAGGCACTTTACCTGACAAGTTGATCATAGAAGACTAGAACGCCCATACCCACAATTAGTAAATACTACACTGTGTAGTTAATTATGGCTGCTATGTGACATATCGTCGGTAAGCAGCGCAATTCATAGTGTCAAGATGCTTGAGTAGTACGGTCCCTGAGTAATTTCGCCTGCAACAATGACGGAATAGGGCATTGGAGGGCAACGTATTACTACGTATTAGATTACGACTTATTGATCTCAAACGGTAGACCCACTCGCTAGCCAGGCACCCGGTCTGTATCTGCCCAATTAGCGCCCGTCCAGCGCACGTTTCGATCTTCTACGGAGTCAGTAATTCGATTTTGATACAGAACACTCGGTAATTACGCCGTACCGCTCAATTTCTGCCAGCAGGGAAGGACCCCACCTGCCCACGGGCTGCTTTTTCCACTTTCCAGTTTCCACTTTGCCAATGCCAACCCTAAGCACCGGCCTGGACTCTTTCTTCTGATGCTTTCTTTCCCTTCTCTTTTCTTCTTCTCCTTCCCTCTTCCTTCTTTATCAAGGCCTCAGATCTCGCTTCGTCGTTCATTCACACTCTCTGGGTAGAGCTTTCATTCTTTCAACCATCACCGTTGCTCTTTCATTCCTTCAAGAGCTTCTAGCGAATTGACTTCGCATTCTTTCTTTTGACCTGCTCAGAAATTCCTTCTCGTTGACGAGTCCAGCCAATCTTTTCGAACTACACGACCAAACAAACTTCGGTTTCCAGCATCAAATTTCTCAAAAGTAGTTCAACTTGCAACATAGACTTCACAATGTTCTTCACCAAGGTTTCTCTTGCTGCCATCGCTGCTTTGGCGGCCGTGAGCGAGGCTCGTCACCATGAATACGGCCTCTTGCACCCCAAGCGCTCTCTGAGCTCCGCTCCTGTGCTTCCTACCGTCACTGTTTACCCTGTTCCTCTCAACACCGGCGTTGCGACTGCTCCCGCCTCGTCCGCCTCTGCTACTGACCTAACCTTGACCTACACCCTCGGAACTGGCACTTCCACCCAGGTCGTGACCACCACCATCCACCGTACTGAGACTGACACCCTCTACGTAACTGCTACTGCTGTATGTCCTAAACTTTTCTCTCGAAAACCAGAGACGATACTAACAAATATAGGCCCCTGGTGGCAACGAGCAAGTTGCTAGCGAAGCCACAACAACTGTCTTCAGCACCTCTACCTCCACCTCGACCGTTACTGTCTTTGCTGCTTCTTCTACTGGAGGCTCTGGTCCTGCCGCTACTGGCACTGGCAGCGAGGGTTGCAGTGGACAGGCCACCGTCACCGTCACTCAGAAGGAAACCGTCACAGTGGTAAGTCAGCGCCGGGTTATTTTATATGATATACCTAATGGACCATCTAGACTGCTACCCCCACCGCTTCAGTGGGCCTCAATACCGAGGTGATTTCCGTCCAGCCAACGGAGACTGGCTCTGCTGGTCCAACTGATACTGCTGTCGTCGAACCTACCGAGACCGCTAAGGTTCCCCCTTCTCCAAGCGCCCACGGCAGTGGCCATACCTCCGTCGCACCCTACCCAACCAATGTTCCTGGTCAAGGCCAGGCTACATCCTCTGGGTTCTTGACCAGCACTCGCCCTCTGCACACTGGCCGTCCCCGCCCCACCGGCTACTTTTAGACGCACATAAATTACGATACTGATTTCGGTTCAATCTGTTCGCATTCGTGTCTATAAAGTCGTTCGGCTTCGTTGGCTTGTGTACGCTTCAATCTTTTAACATTTCTCTCCATCGCCTTGAATTTTATGACAAGAGCAACACTGGGTGATGGCCTCTTTTTTTCTATCTTCTTGAACCTTGTTTGTTTGCCAGCACTTTTCGTCTATCTTACTGCTAGTCGGTGAGAGGTTCTATTCTCGGAAATAAATTTTTTACCATACATCAACAGCTAGCCTGTCATCTCGAGCCGAACAGATGAGCCTGACATTGATGCATTGAATAGGACTAGCACATAGATGGAGTTTGATTTATTGTAAATTATTTTTGACAATAATCATAGATTTCGTTATTTACGCAACAAAATTACAAGTAGTATACAGTATACACAGAATCCTCGGTCGATCATACATCAACCTGTCTGTCCCCACGCACGATTCTTGCCCTTCTAGCCTGCCACTCCAGCCAAGTCAGCCCCTGCAACAAACAATCCGCAAGATCATCCATCTTCTCGATTTTGTATGCTTTCTTGTTGACATCCGACTTGCTTTCCCTGACTGCTTTGGACGTAGTAGAGCTTGGAATTATTTTTAGAAGTTGCGGATTCCATCGTCCAAGATATGCATCCACCACATCACTGACATTCTGCTTGTCCGTGTCCGTTGTATTGATATCGACATCCCAGCATAATAGACCTCTCTTTCCGAGATCCGATGAACTCGAAGCAGAGAGCAAATGACCCACAATATCCATCTTTTGTTTTTTTACCCCCCGCTGACTCTGGCCTTTCCCCTTCTCGCTGCTATCGTCTCCTTCAATCGAAGACTTTGACTCGTCCCAAAACTGCATTATCCTCGCCGGACTAATGGGATGCACCTGAAAATCCTTCTCTTCACAACTCCGGGATTTATCGACTCTGGCCAACTCCCGCATCGTACGCAGCACAGCATGCAACATCCCCTCAAACACGCCGACCCTCAAACTCCATTCTAGCACGGCGGACTGCCCGCCTGAGCGGAATCGTTGGCGTTCTATGAGGATGTGTGTTGGTTTATAGGCCTGTAGCAGAGAGGAGAGGAGCACAAATGCGTTGTGGGAGAGGGTGTCGGGCTCGAAGTTTTTGTTTGCTGCTGCTATTTTCATAGTTGGGAGCTCTTCCTCAATAGCATCAAACTCTTCGAGTGCTTGATTCTTGGTAGTAGAGGTGAATGTGCGAAATGCCGAGGGAGGGAGGAGAGATTTTAATTTAACTTCTGTGTCTGCGTCCTGAGTCGCAGGACCAGGAGCAGGAGAGCCAGCGCCGAGCTCTTGAACGCCAATGCGATGCCACGCATTCAGCGTCACCAATCCTTTCTGCTTTTTATCTGCATCTCTTGTCTCTAATACCGTCTCCGGCGCCCTCACAATCAAATGCGCAAACGCCAGATTCTGGATCCCCATGTCAATGCTCAACACACTCAACCCTTTCCCTTCATCTTTCTTTCTGGGTCTAGCTTGATGGCGACTAGCGCCATCATCAAGAAAGACACTCGTCAAAAATACATCGTTGAGTCGTTGACGCAACTCATCCTTTCGACCCGAATTGGGAATCCCCGTCTCCCGGGCAAGCGATCGGAGCTGTGTCGCTTTTAGGGTCGAGAGATACGACTCTAGTGTCTCTGGCTTGTTGAGCGGTGATAATTTTGCTGCCTTTGGTCTTGCTAAGAGTGGCAGTGTGAGACGCATTGGTTTGTGTTTAGGCAGTCTCGGACGACTTGTTTGACTGTTGTTGTGTGGTTAGAGATGTTCGGGAGATGGGGCAAAGGCTAATGGGTGGATCCGCGCTAGGTGTTTTAGTGGGGAGCGCTAAATCAGGTACGCCGCACGCTTCAATTGGGTCGTATCCGTATAGAGTACGAGATCGTATACGTAGTTCATGCCTGACTCAAGTTTGGTGATGGTTTTACGCGATGACTCTTTAAAATCATATAATTACTCAGCTTCAAACTGGGTATTCGGCCTTTTTCAAGGCACCGAATCACACCTGGACCATGAAAAAAGCCCACCGCCAAGCGGAGCCTCAATATGGAAATCGAGGGGAATTTCGTTCATCTTGAACGCCCGGGGCGACGCGCCATTGTCTTCTCTTCTCTTCTCCATGTATTCATTGTCACTCACTCATCACCTGAAAGAGCTGACGGCATTGCCTGGTAGTTTGTTTATAAAAGTAGCGCCTCCATTGAGCTTAGCGTAGTACTGAGCTCAGAAATAAATTCTCGCTTACCAGAAAGATTTTCCTGCTTCTCCTCCTCTTCCACCACCATAATACATCTCCCATATCACCTCATCTAGTTTGTGCGCAGCTTTTTGGTCTACCTGCTTCCAATATGACACCTCGGATATATCCTACTTGACGATGCACTTAAATTTGCCCCAATTGCTACTCTGAGCTCCTATTTTGTTCGTTCGAGTTCTTTGCTTTTAAGGGCACGCTGAAGTATCCTTCCAACACGCTGGAAAAGACAACTTGGGCGAAGGCAGTGCTTTCAGCGGCTTTTCATCAGAAGTCTCTCCTAGACACTCCAAAATATTATGGTACTTTCTACCAATCTAGCGTTCTGGTAGCTCAACTGACTCTGATCTGGCAGATTATTTTACTTGCCCGCGAGTTGCAGCCATTCAGGAACTCGCCCATACCAGTTCCTCTTGAGTAGTCTAGCTCAGAAAAAACAACGCTTGTCCTATATCAGCACAACTTTGAATGAAACAGACAGACTTTTCAGCACATGGCAACATACGTACCAGTCGAGCCTCGCAAATTCCGGTACAATGGAGATGCGATGGTAGCCCTCAAGACGCTCAAAGGCGTCAATGGAAAGTGCACAGCTTCTACCACGAAATTGACGGAGTCAATCCAAGACTGCTTTTATCTCTGTGGCTCCTCAGTCAACAAGAAACAACCTCGAAGATTCAACGATAATACGCCTATATCAACCACACAAATAGCCCTCCTACGACGCCTCGTTTATGATATTTTCTTTATCTTTCTGCAGCTCGAGTCAGCAACACCCATGGAAGTTATGATCGAAAATCTCACATTGACACCCAATAACCAGGCCATCGTCTTAAAATTTAATCAGGGCAGAAAATTCTTCCTCCTCGGTCGCCATGTCTAATGGGATGGACGTACGATCATGCCCAGGTACTATGTTGTGCCAGTAAAGCCGCTTAACCCTCAGTCACTCGATCTGAAGGTGCCATTGTTCTCTGGCCTGTTTTGGAGCGATTCTACACCAATGTCTCCATACACAGCCAGCCGTCTCGGCCACAAGCTGGTTGTCACATATACAATGCTGCTCTGCCACCACACACATCCAGACATCGCCGAGGCGACCTTGGACGGCGACTTAGACAATTTGCGTCAATGATATAACCATTCTCCTCGCGAGTGAAACAAATCTTACAGCACGTAATGAGCTGGGTCTGGAAAGAGTGGAAGGTTCCGTCCAGCGCTCAAAACGATAGGAAGCACGGAAATCATTCCTTTCCGGCCTAATCATGGAGAAAGCACATCAGCGTACACCAGACATGCCTCGCGTGGATACTTTCGGCCGGAGTCTCAATCCGTCGTCGACATGTGAGGTACACGCTAGATATCGGCATCTGGGATACTCTTTTTGAAACCTCCCTTGATACTGCTAAGACTTGTCCAGCACGACTCTGTGAGCTAGAAAGAGTTGTTATGCGAACTTCTCATGTTGATTGATTTGGGTGTAGCAATGGCGCTTACTGGATTGTATGCTGAATATAGTAAGATCTACGATGCCATCGAGGTAGATCAGCCAGGATCACTAGGGAACAATGGTTGATATGTCCAAAGCTATGGGATATCCGAGGTTGCATGGACTTTAACAGGCTTGATTGGTCCTGAGGTATCTGGTAAAGTCTACGAGACGGCTAGTTGGGAAACTCTAGGATGGGTTTTGTTTTGAGCATATTATGCCTTGTCACTGTTCTATCCACTGCGCTGTTTATTAGACGTTGATGTGATTTTTGATACCCCAGTTCTTCGCTCCAATAGAGCCATTACTTTATCATACTTCACTCATGCCATGACAAAAATCTGCTTCTACATCAACGAACCGGTTGATCCTCAGGGCTGGGTGACTGGAGCGCAAAGATAAATTGAGGATTCAACTACCAAGTACATGGGCGAAATTTTCTAGATTCTCGAGATACAAAGTTCTTGCCTCAGCACGCAGTTGTTATAAGGATCGAGGATAGGGTACCTGTCTAGGTTGGTGGTGCCGTGGATGACACAAAGAAAGATACATAGATTGCATATAGACCGTAACTACAAACTCTCTAGCAATCCTGGCAGCACCTCTTCCTCCGAGTACCTCCAAAGATCACTACTATCCTGGCCCCGAAAAGCAGCCCCTGTCCAATACGTATTCCTCAAGCCTTGCAATGCATACAGTCTCCCATAAAATCCATCTTTAATATCATCGGGGCTCACCTGCAGGTAAAATGGAGTGTGAGAGCTGAAAACTACAAACTCAGGTTCCGTCTGATTGAACTTGTCTAGGTTCGCTTTTTGGAGGGTTTTGATGCCATTGATGATGTCTGATTTCACTTCCTCGTCAGACAGCGGGAAGCTTTCGATGCTTCGAGGGGTGCCATAAATAGCAAGATGCAAGCCTGGTACCGGCGTAGTCTGAACATTGTACACTGCTGGGAGAATAGGAAAATTGTATGGTGTATCTGGATTATAGTTGAAAACACTTAAGTCGTCCGGAAGACCAGTGTTCTTGACGATACTTGTATAGTAGCCGACGTCAATAAATTTGGAGAAAATTGCTGTTTCGTCTGCGCTCAAATCAAAGTTTTTCAGCAGTCTTGGCTTCGGTGGGATGGTTATGAGTAGCTTCTTCGCAAGGATGAGCTTGCGGCCTTCAGGTGTGTTCACGACAAGCTGGACGCCTTCTGAGTCATTTTGACGCTGGGTCAAAACTACTTCAGAGTGCAACAAGAGACTTGAAGCTGAGAGCAACTCTGTTTGAATCTTCGAATAAATCTCACTATTGTTGTGGTGCGCCGTGGTAAGAAAGCCCGTTGCTATTTGCTCAACCAGGCTAAGGCCCATGGTTCTGATACGCTCTACCGTAGGGACAGTAGTGAAGTTTCCAACTGCAGGGTCCAACTCGTACATGGTGTTTAGCGAAGCGCCAATATCGTACTTGTCCACAAACTCGCCAAACGGCAGAAGCAGATCCTCCGGAACTGGATCTGGTAGGAATAAGCCATTATCGAGGTTAGGATATTCCTCAAGAAACTGCGCGTATTTGTTAAACGCCACAGCAGTCTCATTTAAAGTTGGAAAAGAGATATTGAGCTCTGTCCCCGAGCGGAAATCGTAGTACGCAGATTCATCTGCGGTATCCTCCTCATACAGAGTCAACGGAACATCAAATCGACTAAAGTAATCGGTGACCACGGAGATATTGTGGAAGACTAGGACACCGATATCGACTGGTGTCCCGGTTGCCGGATCAATATAGGTTTCCGTGTTTCCGCCAACACGGTCCTTCTTCTCGATCACGATGACACTCTTGCCTTTATCTTTTAGACTGATAGCTGAGTAACAGCCTGAAGAGCCACCGCCAATAATAGCAACATCTTTTGAGATTATGTCTTCGGGATTGAAGCTCTTCAAGTCAATGTCAGCAGCCGAGGCTGGGCCGAGAAGGGCATGCAGCGACAGAAACCCCGACACAAATGCTGTGAAATGCACTGGAAATGGCATTTTTTTGGAAAATGACAGAAACAAATGGGATGCGATACTTGTGAAGGGTATACATGAGAATTATCGCCGCTAATAAAAAGATTTATAAGAAGCTGGAATCTCCATGCATGCCAACTTCAACAACATCGTGGCTAAATGACTAGATGATTGGACGTCGAAGGAACTACGTATAGTTGCAGCTCTCGAAGCAAGATGGCTCTTAGCTTGAATTAGCTACGCTGTTGGGCAGCTTTTTAGCGTCATGTAAAGAGCGTGACGCGGCAAAGAGGAAATGTCTCGATGAAGATGCTCAATGTCTGTTAGAGATTATACTAGACGTGGCAATAAGCCAAAAGCCTATGCCTATCTAATTGATAGACTAAGTTCAGGTCTGTTGGCACCCGTCAATTATATTGTTTCTAACCAAAAATGACTTTCAGGCGCTTAGCAACTAAGACTTGCGTAATACTTAAGCAAGATTGCAATGATACGAGCTTGGTATAAGTTCGCTGTAAAACACTGCGTTTTGAACACGTATAGTGAATTTTGGCTTAATCAATAGTGTAGCCTTCGCGAATTAAGAGCATACTATGACCACTTTGGCGGTTGTTGCGTATCTAGTCATCCATGCAATGCAATGCAATGCACTAAACATGACTCGGCAGCCAACTCGTGCCAGAAGCTTGGTCAATTAAGGCTGCCTCATGGGCCAATCTGTAGCGTTAAAGTATATGCAAGCCATTCATATATGACATTTGACTGCGCCGCCGGAATATCGGAACATCATTGAAGTTGGATACCTACTGATCAGGGTCCACTTTCTTAATATCCGCAGCGTAACTAATGTAGCTCTCTCAATTATATCATGTAATATAGATTAATAGTACTTTCCTGCGGCAGATTCTCGTAGAATTGTCGTTGTACTCCCTGTATCACGGCAGGGGAATGTTGGCGCTAGTAGGGTATCCCTGTCATAAATGCAACAAACTGTTGACTTGAGAAATAGTGAACGTTCTTACATGTAGTATACCACAATAAAGATCAACGACCTAATGAAGTTTACATATGTACCATTCTGTGTTGCCTATCCAGACAAGATATAAACTTCTGAGGTTTAAGACTGTTTATTCCCGGAGTCCTTCTTTCGATAGTCATTCTGCCGTAATCTTAGAGATAATAATACTAAGCTCTCTGAGTATATCATTATAACTTCTCGTCCTCTATCCAGACTAGTCTTCAATCTAGCAAATGTGAGATAAGAGAGGGGGTACTCAGTACATACGCCCGCAGCAATTGTATGATTTGTACATCAGCATGCCCGTAAATCTTCTTTCTCGAAACGACGACCGTATCCACTGAATGCAAGGTAGCAAGCATTTAGGGTCTGGATACTCACTCTAAGCCAGCATCAAACTCTCGTTGTGGCACCGCTATCTCAAAAGCTGACGTGGATAGCATATTCTTTTGCGATGTGCATGATGTCCCTGACCCCTGTCCCAACAGTACGTGCGTGACATTCTAATGATAAAATAAATAGACATGTTTGCTTTCCGGTGGTATCTTTTGTTTGAGCACTTTTAGCTCGCAAGGATCAATCTAGTCTTGATTCTATTTCTCCGTGATAATTCACGGACCCAATCACGGGCATTACTGAAGCTCCGTTCTATCCAAGGTGCATCAAGCTAAATATCCAATTGCTGAAATACGATACACGGGAGGTATGCTATTCTTTGTTGAAATATGCTAAGTTCAAGACTTTTCACTATCTTCGTATGTTGAGTTAGCTTGTAAGGAATGGACGAAGCCTTCCGATGTTGCTGCTTGTAGTTGCATTGCTGGACTTGATCAATCTCTGACTCGAAGACATGATGGAGGGTTTCAGGGAAAACAGCATAAATTAAAGCTTGTGCCGATGCACCTAGCTAGACACTTGATTTTTCTTATCCTTAACAATTCTCTCTTAAAACTATTTCTGTCTACAATACGTAGCTTACTATCAATCGTTGAGAATGGACACTATCCTACGCGAAGCTCTTCAAGAGTCCTTGGGGACCATCGACCCGTCCATCGTTGTGACGGCTGCTGTCGGTCTACTCATGATTCTGGGCCTTGTTACATTCAGATCTGTGCTATATGAAAATATCCTCCCTGGCGTTCCCGAACTCAGGGGTGTCCCAATTCTGGGTGCCATGCCCATCTACCTCAAGCATGGAATGCCTCAGCTTCTCGGCCGACTCATTGCAATTGGTGAGGACGGGATCTCGTATGCCAAAGTTGTCAATAACGTGCTAGTTTCAGTCCATGATCCGGCCATGGTGAAAGAGGTTCTTTCATATCCAGAAGAAATAGCATCTCGGTACGTACCAGTGCAAAAACCAGAGGAAATATTGCTCGCTAATTGGAAAAAGGGAAGGTGATATTGGACGGATGAGTTGGTCTCCCTTTTGGACACTGCGGCGACTCATAGGTGAATCTCTCTTCAACTACGTCGGCCCCGACACAAGCCACCATCGCAATGTCTTTATTCGTGAATTCAACAGCACCAAGTCCAATGCCGAAAAGTTCAGCACAATTTCGCGAATAGCTCAAGAGCATGCCAATATGTTGACAGGCCAGGCCAAAGTTGCCGATGTGGATGATATCAGATACTCTGCAGACAACTTTGCTATTGCTCTCTGGGGAGAGACTCTATATGGCAACCCCAACCATTATGTTGGTGGCCGCGTGCTAGAACTATCTGAAACCATTATCACTTTGGCAGGTAATCCTTGGCCTTCCGTTTGGTATTCTATTCAGTTGTTCTTCAAGATGGTGACCCCAGGCGAGCCTACTCGGTCAGAGTCCAAGCTCCGTCAGAAAGTGGCCAAGGTCGTTGAAGCCAACATAATGAAGCTCGAGGCATACGAGAAGACCAACCCAGAAGCTCCGCTGAAAACAATTCGTAATTTGTCTGTCATGACTGGTGGAGGCAAAACCGGTCCTCTCTCCAAGTTTGCGTCTGAATTCACCAACCTCAACCTCTTCGGTCCGTACTACTATTGATGTCATTTTAAAGATTATGCTCAGAGCTGACCATATCGTAGGAGGTCATCACAGTATTGGCTTGAACGTTACCTGGKCATTGATTGAGCTTGACAACAACCCTGAATGTCTGAAGAAGCTCATGGCTGAGATTGACTCAGTAGACACCAACGATTTCAATAGTGTTAACTCCAAGATGCCCTACTTAGATGCTATCATCATGGAAATCAACCGTTTACACCCAACTGTTCACGCTACCCTTCGAGTCATCAACCACGAAACCAAGCTCGCCGCCAGCAAGAACCCCGTTACCTTGAAACCGGGCATGCTGATTTACCTTTCTTACCTTCACCTCCATACTTCACCCAAGTTTTGGGGCCCTGATTCTTATCAATTCATTCCGGAGCGCTTCCTCGGTAACTATGATAAGAGTCAACCGTTTATGTCCTTCGGGTACGGACCACGTAACTGTGTAAGCTTGCCCTATCTTTATTAATACATACAACTAACTCGAGAAAATGACAGGTTGGATACAAATTTGCAACCTTGGCTGCCAAGGTATATCTCCTCACCCTTCTCAAGACGTACGACTTGCAGGTTAAGGAACATGATCATGAGATGAAGCTCGGTACACTCCTTGAAACCACCAAGCCAGTTGCTGTCAAGGTTACCCATAGATCTTGATTTATAATAGAGTATTTGGAGTGGATATTATGCTCTCCCTTTAAATATACATCTTGTGACTCGAATCTATCGTCGTTCATGATGCATTACTTATGTCCTCTTATTGGGCTTGGCTCAACGTCATTCTTAATCTATCATTATTAGAAAAGTAGTTATTTATACTTTACGTAGCTCAATTTTGATAGTAACATTGAATAGTCGCAAAAAGGACATTTCTTTCCTATAATCATAGATATTTTTTAAAAAGAGAAGGGAATACTTCATCCCCTTACAGAGTCTTATTCGCACTTTGCCGCTTGAATCAACTCATGCATGCATTGGAGACCACCTCTGTCCGTGCACCTGTAAGTTCAAGCTTTCCACCGTTACGTAACACATCTCATAGATTTGTATTTAGGCGAGGTAGCCTGCCTGCATGAGATAAGCCCTGTTGCATAAGTAGCGTCAGGGTCTATTAATCTGCTTACTTCCGCTTTAGCTGCTGCGTTAGGTCCGTCTGAACGTGTAGTACCACGTAATAAGTAGTAATATATATTACCGACGCGAAGCCAAACCCAAGCGATGACAGCCTGTGCCACATTCTAAAACGGTGCATCATAAAAGCTTGGTGTCAGACAGTGGGACTCCAAAAGTTAGGGCTAATTTCTCCAAAACACTAGTACTAATATGGCTGGKATGGTAGATAAATGCATGCACACCCCTCTTTTACGCACACGCACCAAGCATTCTCAGTACGATGTCGGTGTTATTTATAGTGTTGATTAGATGAAATACATTCAAGCCCTTGTAACATAGTCTGCATCCTAGCTGGAAGCGAAGGACTAAGTCGTATTTTTTGAATACCAAATTGCGATGCAAGGGAATAGTGCTTTGATTACATGATTGTTTCTTAGTCTGTGATTTAGTTTATGTACAATCCTAGTAGTACTTTAGTGGACTGCACGCACAATGATGGACATGTTCAATACATACCTAGTAGTCATCTACGAAGTGTGGAGCAAACCAAATAATAACAAGGGCAGGTAGTATTGGATATGAGCGAATTACTGCTGAATTGATAGATAAGTACATCTTTTTAGCTCAGTGGAGGTTCCAGCAGGGGTGGTCTCTTAAAAGCAGATGGCTAACCATGTCGGAGCTACATACGGGACAGCAGTACTGAGTTAGGCACGAGCTCTTGTGCTGTACTCATGTTCAGGTTCAGCTTTTTTTCGGCGACTATCGGAAGAGGATCAACTCACACATGAAAGCAAAGAAGAGACGGTGGGGTTGTTTATACATCCTAAATAACGAGTAGTTCACCCTGGTTAGCGTCCCATTAGCAAAGATCGCTAGAGTCTGTCTGTTTAAAATAATATGGCTCCAAGGGGGGCAATGAGATTAACCGATTGGCCAAAAGACTCTCATCAATTGCATCTAAATTATGGCGGAGTCAATCAGGGGTCCACGGGCTCTGAGGTATATGTACCTAAACGAGGCTTACGTATAGCTTTCTGATAGAACAGGTAGCAAATACGCTCTCCTTCCACGAGTTCCTTTGTTTGGCATAGTGTTGATAATAATTTGATACTGTTTACTACCACACTAAAATCCTGGTTGTGTGCAACCATCCTGGCCGTTTGAAGCTTGGTGCCATTCTTACGAGTGTATGCACGTTGTACAGCAGGTACAATTGGCTGGTAACCACCATTCCCTTCCCTTAATTTCATATTACTGTTGGTAGCTAACAATAAAAACAAGAACTTTTCACAATACCGACTAGTTTTTAGCAAAAGTTGATCCAAATAGATTTCCCTGGAGAGGTGTTTTCAGAGTATAGCTATCTGGGTTTGTTTTCACATATATTTTCAGAGCCTACTATCTACACTCAGATTCGCCAGAAAAAAGGCTTGAGTCTTGCAAGCTTGCTAAGCAGTACTATCTGACTCAAATCCATGGAGGAAAACATTTCTACCGATAAATCCCCTGTGACTGACCCAGGAGTCATTGGCGACGCTCAGGAAGGTGAAAAAGCCCAGCATTCGTCGGTCAACACTTTACAGAAACGCGAAGATGGTACCGACTACCCTTCGGGTATAAACCTATTCTTGATAGTTCTGGCCTTGTGCTTGAGTGTTTTCCTTATGGCACTTGGTATTTAAGCACTTTCAGCCGCATATACTGTCTTTTACTCGATAGCTAATATTCTTGCAGACAATTCTATCATCGCGACTGCTATTCCCAAGATCACTGACCAATTCAACAGCCTAGACGACGTAGGCTGGTACGGTAGTGGTATGATCATCGTCCTGTTTTAGATATACGTATTTATTGATGCAAGTTTTCCTGACTCATCTGTAGCCTACATGCTGACGACGGCGTCATTGCAACTACTGTCTGGCAAGTTTTACAGCTTCTTCAGCATTAAATGGGTGTTTTTAGGCTCGATTCTTCTTTTCGAACTGGGGAGCTTGATCTGCGGTGTAGCCCAGAACAGCTTGACACTGATCATCGGCCGCGCAGTGGCAGGKATGGGTTCGGCAGCTATCTTCTCCGGCGCCCTCATCATCCTCGCACATTCAGTACCCCTGGAGCGGCGCCCAATGTACAGCGGCTTTATTGGTAGCATGTATGGTATTGCTTCGGTTGCAGGCCCCCTGCTTGGGGGTGTCTTCACCGACAAGGTCACCTGGCGTTGGTGCTTTTTCATCAACCTGCCTATTGGGGCTGTCACGCTATTCGTGATTATAATCTTCTTTCCCGACCCGCAAATTAAAAGAGAGTCTGAGATTTGGTCCAAACGATTCAGACGCTTCGACCCCCTGGGTAATCTCGTTTTCATGCCTGCCATAATCTGCCTATTGCTGGTTATGCAGTGGGGCGGCACCAAATATGCCTGGAATAGTTGGCGTGTTATCCTGCTCTTTTGCTTGTTTGGCATACTGCTCATTGTTTTCCTCTTTCTTCAGTACTGGCAGCAAGACTTTGCCACGGTGCCGCCTCGTATTTTCTTGAAGCGCACCGTCTGGTCTGCCGCTATCTTTACATTTTGCGTCGGCGCTGCGTTTCTCAGCAGTGTCTACTATTTGCCCATTTGGTTTCAGGCTGTTAAAAACGCTAGTCCCGTCGAGTCCGGTGTCATGAACCTACCGTTACTAATCAGCAACGTGGTTGCCTCCATCATCTCAGGAGTTGCCGTCACCACATTTGGCTATTACACTCCCTTCATGCTGCTTGCTTCCATAATTACACCTATTAGCTACGGCCTCATGACCACCTTTCATCCAGACACCGGGCATTCAAGATGGATTGGCTACCAGGCTCTGGCTGGTTTCGGTATCGGATTTGGGGTCCAGCAGCCCCTTATCGCCGTACAGGTAGTACTCGACATTGCGGACGTGCCCACGGGTACCGCTCTCATGGTATTTATGCAGGTCCTCGGCGGTGCTCTTTTTGTCTCGGTTGATGAAAACGTTTTTTCAAACAAGCTCGTCCAATATATCGTCGAGTATGCCCCAGGAGTCGACCCCGCAGTTGTTCTGGGAGCTGGCGCCACTGGAATCAAGCAAGCTGTCGACTCGGCGAATTTACCAGGGGTCCTGCTCGCATACAATGATGCCATTACCCAAACTTTCATTGTTGGTGCTGCCATGGCCGGCATAAGTATCATTGGTGCTCTGATTGTCGAGTGGAAAAGTGTTAAAGGCAAAAATATTGGTATGTGAGCGTGGAGCCACCTAGTACTACCATGCTATCAGTCTATAATGATAATTTTCTATGTTGCCTCAAGATTTCTCCTCACGAAATAAAGTTGAGTTTAAAGATCTTAGTTTCTAAATTTCAATCAAGTGGGACTGGTGGATATATGGTACCGCCATATTCATAACTTTGTTTCAACTTCATGAGAACGTCGTATTTTTACCCTGAATAACTATTTGTCTTACTGATAAGTACTTCAATGGTGTGCAAGCTGGAAAAACAAGTGCACAAATCTAGGAGGTGACGATTGCTTGATTCTAAAGTAGAAGCTGGCTATATAAGGAACGGAAGGCTGTCTAACGCCTAAATGAAATATCTGGGATCTGATTTATATGGGAATGGAAACTGCTCTGGCATAATAATTCAAATGACTAGTGGCGGATCGGAGCACTTTCCAAGTTTAATGTTTTTATGGATAATGTCTAGCCTGGTATCAGTTGGTGATAAGGGGTCTCTTGTCCATCATAACCTGGTTCTATTATGGACTGAGCTAGCAGAATCCTTCATAACTTATTTTATCTTGAAACACTGAATCATACCCGAAAGTCAGAATGGAAAGGAAATGTCACCGATTGTCGACACTCCGTCATAGATCTTCCCACAACGCATCATTATTTCTGGCTGATATCATACTGGGTCAATAAGCATGTTCCTAGTTGGCACTAAAGAGGGGGTAATCACGCCATGTTCAATCTCGCCGCAAGCATTCTATACATCTGAACCGTGATCAGTATCATTCACCTCCTTTATAATGATTCTCAGCCCGACAGGAAATGTAACCATTGGCTATAACTCATAGTTAGTCGGTCCACTTCAAAAATACGTAAGACGGTGGGAATCAGATATTATCAGCTCACCCCACTCATTTTCAACTGGTATGTAGGATCTACTGTCCACTTTATACGCTTCGCAAGCTCAAATAGAGCTATTTTGGTTTCTGATAGAGCCAGCCCCTGCCCCAAACATTTTCTCGAATGCATGCTGAAAGGAATGTAATTTCCCTTGGCGGTATGTCGTCGTACATTTGTTTGAATCTCTGATATTGTAGAGCCCCATCGCTCGGGCTTGAACTTATGTGCATCTGGACCCCAGAAGTGAGGGTTTGTGTGAATTGCGTATGAGTTCCATCCGATATAAGGACCGGGCTGGACGAATATTTTACCCCCGAGATACCCTGGCTGAGATACTGAATGGTTTATCATTGATGCAACTGGCGCATATAGGCGTAGTAGTTCGTATATGACGGATGTGAGGTATGGAAGACTGCTCATAATTTCGACACCGCTGCCTGTGTGAGGAATCCCTGAAGCTTCATTACGAATGCGATCTTGTACGTCCTATGTTGCGGATTATATTAGAATCACGATGGAGACAGACATATACTGACGAATCTGTAATCGAACTTACGGTTCTTTTTCCTAGCTCCCACATGGCAGAGGTCAGGAGAAACTCTGTATTGTCATGACCGACCATGAACATCATCCTCAGATTGGCTTGGTATTGGTCGAGGTTGATTTGACCAGAGTCTAACGCCTGTTTCAACCGAAAGGACACGACATCAGACTGCTTTTCAGGATTGCGACTCGCGTGACTCATAACACCATCAAGCAGGCGGTCGAAGTTTTCGATGTTTTTAAATGCCGATTTTCGGGGTTCCAGAAACCGGCCAACTTTATCCAAGATTGGGAAGTACATGTACCAGCGGTTGAACATCGAGGGAATAATTTCGGACAATAGTCGCTCATAGGATACTAACGGCTCATCAAGTGCCTTGGAAAAGTTTTTCAGCGTCAGTCTAGTCACCAGATGATATCAAGATCTTAAGAAATGGTGCGTCATGATACCTGCAAGTCTAGGCTGAAAAAGCAGAGGGACATCACGTCCTGCGTAAACTTTGCCAGCCATGGCATCACAAATATGCCCGTATGAGGCCCACTTTGAGTTTGGTCCTTTTTAAGCTTCTCAACCAATTTGACTGCTTTCTTCTGAATCGGCATCAGATCAAATTTTTTGACGATACCTGGTTTCATGATTGAAGTGTATAATTTCCAATTTTTACTACCCGCGTTGATAATATTATCCCCTGAGAAGGCTGCGAGGCTTCCATCAGGAGCTCTGATGTTAATGCCAATCTTGGGATATAATTCATCGTTCCGAAATAAATCAGTCAGAAGTTCAGGATGAGCTACAAGCACACACCAACGTCCAGTGAACCATGTAGCAACCGCACCATGTTCCTCCAATCGTCTCCGAACCCAACGATCATAAACTTCAGAATCACCCATGTTCCACCAGATGGACAAAACATTGGTATATAGAGGAATACGCGGAATGTCTTTAGGAATTGTCTCCGGAACACGAAAGTGCCACCAGGATAGTGCAATCCCGGAGATAGTCATCAAGCCAAAAAGCATCAATAAACTCATTTTTCTTGTCTGAAAAATGACAAATGCTAGAGTTTTGCTGTGTGTGCGAGGTCCGTTCTAGGGTTATGAGATTATCAGAGACTGTATTCTCACCAAGACTTACTACCAGGGTCGAAAGAAGGCTGTGTATGATTCGAGAGAGAGAAAGGCCGTCGTCTGAACTCTGAAAAGAAATATATCTGGCGGTTCAGTGAGAAATACTTTAATTTGAGTGGAGCTGGTCGTTGGTCGTACAAGGCTCATACTCGCATGAAGGGTAAAGTCATATATTCAGTGCATAATCCCTACGGACTTTCCTTCCGCTCCCTCACTGTTATTGACGGAGTTTCTAGATATGTTCCGTAAAGACTTCGGATCTGTGCAACGTTGATCAAATGAATTCCCGGAAACGTGGATTATTTACTCACACACGAAGATTGGAAGTGTCAAACAAAACTGTATATTGCAAGACATGTGTAAATTTACAAGCTATATACGAGGAGATAAATTGAAAGTTTACCGAATTCGGACATGAATTTCGACAGGGTAATCCAATCATTTGTCGTATTGCGATTCATTCTCAAAGTGATGTATGTATTGTATTGTTTTGATGTACATATTTGCCGAACCGATTGAGTTGCGTCAACACGCCCAAATCGTAGCCATATATGCGATCATCAACAAGGAGTTCGGATTTATTCCAACAGACAGTTCAGCCTTAGACTCAAATCAATTTGATACTCATCAACTATATATTGAAACAGGAGCTGTGTCCTATCCAAGCACATCGCCGAATCAAAGGTCTCAACCCTCAATCTGCGGCCCGAGATGTCTGTCTTTGACGTGATTGTTGTAGGAGGTGGGAACGCTGCCTTGGTATCGGCTCTTTCTGCTCATCAAGCGGGAGCACGCGTGGCCATCTTCGAAGCAGCAGCAGAAGAAGAGCGTGGAGGCAATAGCCGATTTTCTTCTGGTATATTTCGCATACCACACAATGGATTATCTTCTGTTGAACCACTTCTCGATGCCGATGCCGTGACCGATGTCAAATATTGCCGGATGGATCCCTACACCACCGAGATGTATCAACGTGATATTGAGCGGACAAGTAAGGGGCAGTGCAACAAAGAACAGGTAGCTGTGATGCTAAGGCATGCTTTTGACACCGTGATGTGGATGAAAGAGGAGCTTGGTGTCAAATGGCAATTGCCGTTGGGAAAATTTTTCGATCGCGACAACGTTATACAAGCCCAAAAGGTGGTGAACATGCCACCGTGGGACACGATCATGGCAATTGGCGAGGGGACTGGCCTAATGGAGATGCTCTGGAAGAAGGTAGAGAGCACCGATATTACTGTCTTTTATGGTACGCCCGTCACCGACCTAATTGCTACTGGAGACACTATCAGAGGGATTAGAGTGAGGTGCCAAGACAAAACGTGCAGTTACTTTGGTCAAGTTATCCTTGCTTGTGGTGGATTCGAGGCATCCCCGAGGCTCCGAAGGCAGTACTTAGGCGAAGGTTGGGATCTTGTATCTTTGCGTGGCAGTCGTTTCAATACGGGCACCATGATGGAAAAAGCCGTAAATGTCGGAGCTGGAGTTGCGGGGCATTTTGGGGGTTGTCATGCAACTCCTCATGACCTTAATGCACCTAAGGTTCTAAAACCAACTGACGCCGACAAGATGAGCCGGTACAGTTTCCCGTATTCTGTCATGATCAATAGCAACGGAGATCGATTTATGGACGAAGGTGAAAATCATTTCAGCCTTACATATGCAAAGACAGGGTCAATCATTGCTCAGCAACCTGGAGCCAGTGCCTTTCAGGTCTTTGATCAAAAGACCCTCCACCTTCTTGAGCCACGGTACGCAATTGCGTCCCCGGTCCAGGCCGATACTCTTGAGGAGCTTGCAAATAAGATTGGCATTGACGTGAAAGTCTTCTGTAAAACCATACAAGAGTACAATGCCGCAACTTCCAAGGATGCTACGGAGAGGTTTGATGCGTTTGCTCTTGATGGTGTTGCAACGGAGTCGCTTGCCATTCCCAAAAGTAATTGGGCTTTACCTATCGATAAAGGCCCGTTTGTGGCATATGGAGTTACATGTGGCATCACGTTTACCTATGGAGGGTTGAAGACAGATGATGCAGCTCATGTACTCAATGATGAAGGGCTAATAATGCCCGGTCTTTGGGCAGTGGGGGAGATAGCTGGTGGCTTTTTTGCATTCAACTATCCAGGGGGGTCTGGTCTGACTAGAGGTGCAGCTTTTGGAAGAGTCGCAGGTCGGGCTGCGGCCCAGAAAGCAAAAGACATCTCTATGCTAGAGAGATTGACCAGAATGGTTCGTTTAGTCTGGTCATGATACTGTAAAAGCTCTCGTATCTTGAATTGTGCAATATTTGAAGTAGCGATATTCAATTAATTCAACAATACGCGCAACATATTGTGTTTCACTTTCTGTTTAAGTGCTAGATATTACTACATTACCGGGCGTGGACGATGTTACTGACCAAAACCAATAATAATACGTTTCAAGCGTAAATCTAATTGTAGATATTATAACAATTGAAGATCGCGTCAGGATCAAAATGTTTTCAATTGAATCATATTCAGATACTCCAGTATATTTCCGGTTCTTAGAGCTAGGGCTTGGGAGAAAACGTCCTCACAGCCTCCTCGCAAGCCGAGCCCTAGCCCTATTTTGCTCTTCTTCTCAGGACGTAACCCTGAGCTGAGAGTCTGGGAGACAGAAGAAAATTTGGATCACATATTTACAATATTACACAGAACTTTTGCGAGTTTGCGAGTTTCACATCCTGGGCATGTCAGCTTCTAATAGCGAATATCTCATATAACAGCAAATCTCTGTTATGGTTGAATTACCAGCATAATCTATATCAAAAAAAGATCCTAAGAACATGCACAATGTAAGAGAAATTTGGCCACTTGTATATAAAGACTATTATCCCTTGCTTCGAGTTACTTCTATCACACCCTCCTGGCATCGCGCTTCTTTCTCGGCTTTCCAAATGTGTACGAGTTCCAGGCCAACGGATTGCAGAAGCGTTGTGAACTGTTTCTCGGTACGCTCCATCGAGCCAAATAACATCATCATTGACAAGTCTAACGAGACATCTGCCGAAGATATCTCTCCTCCATTCTCCGGAAAAATTCGGTCGTGAATGAGGAGTATGGAATTGCTTTCCATCGCATCCCGAATGTGTCCGAGAATTTGCTGGCATTCATTATCAGGCCAATTGTGTAGTACACGCCTCAAAACATAAACATCAGCTCCTTTGATCGGCTGTGGCTGAAAGATATCATGCGGCATAATTTGGATCTCACCCTTGTTGGTGTCAACTTTGTTTTTGAGAACTTCCGGGACATCTTGAAGAACAAGATTAGCCTTTAAATCCGGTATTTCATCCAAAAGATATTGAAGATTGTGTCCAATTCCACCAGCAACATCGACAAGTTGCAGCATACGTGTGGCTCCGGGCCCGCGATATGATTCAAACCTCTTAGAAGCAGGAAATATGTCTAGCCATCGCAACACGAGTTTCTCGGTAGCCTCCATCATCCCGCAAAAGGCTTTATAGAGCATCGGCTTTGCGGCCAGCCAGTCGTAGAATCGATCCTCGGTATTGAATGAATACTGAAAAGGGCAAAGATTCACATTTTTGGGGTTTTGGTATCCTGTAATTGCGAGGAATTCAGGTAGTTTTTGGCTAATTAGAGCAGTGACATCGCTTTCGAGAAGAGTCAGTAATATATTCATTCGCTCACGATAACTTCAGTATGATGGTCCACGTACTGAATAAATGTAATCATATTCTTGAGCGCACCACCTTCGCATAACCCTTTGACTGAATCATTTGGTTTGTAGGAATTTCCAGGTGTGACGGTGAAGAGACCACTGACGATCAAAGATCGCATAATACGTTCTGCCGGTGTCAGCTAATTCTTACAGTCTTTTCATGGTCTTACCAATTAGTACAGGATCCGCTCCAGAATATGAAGCAATTTCATCAATTGTGAAGTCTGCCTGTCCAATGTCGTTAACCATCTGGAATATTCCCATGTCGAGAGCAATTCTGATGGCGGTCGTTTCTGTCCACTGCGAGAGTATCGTCAGTATGCATAAAACTTGGATTCCATCGAGTCCCTTGAATTATAATACTGACTTGGAAGTCCAATTGTGCAATTCTCTTGCTTGGTGATTTTAATTGTGAAGAAAGCTTATCGCAGGCTGCCAAAATTCGTCTTTGTTGATCTGGGCTGACTTTGTATCCATCAATCATGCATTCTGCAGTTTGTGAAACTGCTAGAATGACACTTTCAATGTCATTTTCTCTGATGACCGCGGAGCTCATTATGATCGAGGATAATCTCTCGTCTGGGATCAATAGCAATGTACGTGGTTGTGAAAAGATGGATGATCATAAGAAATAGATTGTCTAAGTATCCTGTCGAATGTTACACACGGGGTCCGAATGGATATCCTTATACCTAATCAGATCTAGAGACTCGCGATGTATCCGGCTTTCGAAATCCATAATACCGATACGACTCGGAGTTACATTGCTCAAGAACATGCACCACTGGCATACATGTATATTTTCGGGGTTAAAGAAACTCAATTCTCAGCCAGGCGAATCCCTACTTGTACCGGTCACTAAGCTCTATAGCACTGTCTGTAATATAGACACGATGAAAATTCTTCATTGGTGATGGATGACGAGAATGGAGATTATATGAAGAACAAAGATCAGAATAGGAAATTACTGATTCACGTGCACTGCGGACGTGCAAAGATCAACTGATATGATCATATTTACGATCATAACTCCGTTCCAAATTTACTCCCTTTTGATTTCCGAATAGATGCAAAGAATAACCTTGGCGATGGAAGCAGCTAATATGCAAGACATCTGTCAGCATCGGTTATTGGGAGATATTATGACCTATTAAGATCGAATTCCGCTATTTTATTGAAATAAAGACGAGGGTATCAGCATATGACATCGGGATTATCGTATCGCTTGTGGCTGTTTTCCTCGACTAGTCATGAGAATTGTACATTCATATCTGTCATACAATACTTTCTTGTGAGGAATGGAGTTTGATAGGCCCTTTAAGTACCGTAAGACACGATCTTGACACCTATTACCACCTTGACTGAAACTATCGTATTTTTGTTTCTAGATCTTACTGGATCAGCATATATGAAGACATGTGGATCTTACGAGGCAATGTGGAGCTATGAACAGAGAAATCTTTTATTGCGTTCTTTTTCAAGTAATGCGCTATCGTTCAAGTAAGGGAATTGCATGATTCGTTGGTCATCGCCATCGGACTTGGTGAACAATGTACGATTGTATGCATGCCTCGTTGATAGAGAAACATACTGGGGATGGTGCAACCTATTCGGAGCTCCATGGAGAGTCGTACCAGATCTAGATCTAAATACATCTGGGCCAATGTAAAATCATCCGAAAGGAATTGATGTTACTCCGCGGTACGAATGGCGTCATGAATCAGATGCACATAGGCCTATACGAATCGGTTTAGAATCGCTTGTGCAGGAAAACCAGCTCTGCAATCATATTCGAAGCCAGATCTATGAGTAAGTCCGATTCTCAACTCCATAGTATTTGCATAAACAATAGTACGATGCTGATTAAAAGAAGAAAAGAAAAAAGCAAAACCGGGTGGTGTATGAGTTTCCGAATAGCATGAATCAGGTCTAATTGTAAGGCTCTAAATAAGAACCCTTGATCCTGTTATGAACTGTTATTAACGCTACAGTGCTTTAATCCTGCACACTCGATGTCTTTTTACCTTCGATACTTGAAAATTTGAGAGTTTTTCATCCAGATGACTTCCTTGATCTATCAGCTACCGGTCATTAAACCGGAAAACAGTCAAATCGACAAGACCGATCACAAAATTACCCTGCTATTGAACATCGCCATAAATGGAATAACTACATTCCCCAACAACAAAAGTATTGATGTCAGTTCTGACGTACACGATGATACTCAGAGATCCGTCTCTGATGAATCGTTGAATACTCCCTCTGATGACAGTAAGTTTACGCTCCTATATATTATGATTAGTACTCAGGTATGATTTTCAAGGTCAGACCGAAAAATCATCTTCCATGGTATTGGCAACCAAAGTCATGCAAGTCCTAAAAAGCTACAGTATCAACTGCAATGGGCCAGGTGTTGGAAGCCGAGATGTGGAAGCATTCTTGCCAACCATTGCAACGTTCATAGAAAACCAAGAGCCAGTACGCATGGTTCTTCCGGCATTTCCTTTCAAGTCTCCAAACTCTCAGGATAAAGTCATGGGAATTCTTCCTGATCTCGGTGAAGAACTTGCATTAAAACATCTCAATGCTCTCTGTCAGAATGTTACCCAAGTCTACGAGCCTGGTGCAGAAGTACACATCACCTCCGATGGGTTGGTGTATAATGGTAAATGGGCTCTCATCAATAAAAATTTACTTCTGATTTCCGAGGTGCTAACCAGAACCAGACATTCTTGGTGTTACGGATGAAACGGTTTGGGAGTATGGAGAAGCCCTGCGACGAATTGCCTTAGAACAGGGACTCCACCATTTGCGCTTTCTCAGGCTCGACGATTTACTTGGACACGAAGAGCTATCATCTCGCAGTTCACAATCCGCAAAGGAATTCTATTTATTGCATGCTTCCTGTTTCCGAAGAGAGCTCATGTTACGTTTTGGGAATCCATCTTTCTGCCCTCGAGCTGCAATTAAGAACGATTCAGACATTCGTGCAACCTACCGTGGGTATATAAAGTTCTTGACAAAAGATATTGCTCCTCAGACCAACTCAATGAGCAAGCGTGCTAGGGGTGAGCATATTTCACAGGTTGCGCAAAGTATGATCGTACGTGGCCAGATGTTCGCTGCCGCTATCAAAGCTGAAAGGGGGGATTACGTGCGACTCTCCATTCATGAGTCGACGAAGAGTCAAAAAGTCTCGGTAGGGCTCAATCCGCAAGATCAACATGCCATTGGACATACTCCGTGGCATTCATGTGTTGTGGTCGGTGTGGATGGGTCCTACCGCGCTGCCCATGTTGATCAAGTGCGTGATACTCATGATCTCATCATCAAGAATGGTCAGCCGTACTGCTATCGAGAGCGCTCGGAGTTATTTGACTGGTCAAAAGACGGCCTCAAAGTCGATTTTGAGCATCTCTATCCGTGTGGGCTTATCGTCCGCCCGCGTACTGGCTCGGGAGAACCACCTTCAATCAGAAGTATACCAATGAGCAAATTACGACAAATGGCTTGCAACCTATCCCCTGTAGTCTGTCGCGGTTTTAAGAATACGGAAGGAGAGGGATTGTTCATTGAGAAAGCGGGTGAACTTGGCAAGATTGCTACTTGGAACCAGGACATTATTGTCAAAGTCAAAGACTCCAAGCGCATCGACAAGGAGAACAACAACGTCAAGTCAAATGAAGCAATGCCTATGCACTACGATGGTATGTTTAAGTTTCGTGAAGAGACTGATTCCATCACTGGAGAGACTACCAAGGTTCAAACTGCCCCAAGATATCAATTCTTCTTCTGTCGAGCGACCGCCTCGGAACATGATGACGGTACGACGCTATTCGCCAGTTCACGTCTTTTCTTTCGCTATCTTCCATTGCCATGGAACCGAGAGCGCCTTGAGAAGGTGACATGGAGCATGGAGAATGATGGTTTCTGGGACGCCAAAGTTTACAAACTACCTCTGCTTGTTACACATCCCACATCAGGACAGCCTTGTTTACGTTGGCATCAACCATGGGATAGCACCAAAACAAAATTCAGCACCTGCGACGTGACTATAGACAACGATGATGCGAGCCTTACATCGATCATTGACAACCTGTCTTATGACTATCGTGTCTGTTATCGATTCAAGTGGGAGGTTGGCGACCTACTTGTCAGCGATAATATTTCCATGCTTCACACGCGCACAGCATACTCCAGTAATTGTGATCGAGAACTTTGGCGTATACACTGCGACTGAAACATTTTGATATGTGTATGAATGTTTTAGGGCTAAAAATAATAGCCCTCGGCCGCGACGGAGCACTCATCTCAAGCGCTACGATGTAACAAACAAGCATAAAATAGAGGTTCGAGTCAAATGCATAAACGTTCAGCCCTTCTTACTGTATCCCATAGGGTAAAGCATCCAGCTTTTGAATCTATCCATGGTAAAGGATTTGCAGGAGTCTGTAGTATGAGGCTACTAGCAGATTATTGCACTACAGTAAAAGTAGTTTTCAAAACATTTGGCTAGAACAGATACTGGATAATAATTCTTAATCTTGCTATCAGTTCAATGTTTATAAAAAATAAACGAGTATAACGAATTGACAGTCGATAACGAAATTCAGGTGGGTCTCTAAGGACAATGCTTTCTTGATTCGTTATAAACCGGCTTTAGTAGTACTTACATGACTAGCTCTTTTTAGCTAGTCTGGCTCGTATCAAATGAGACGCTGCCTCGATCTACCATTTACAAGGTTCAACAGCACCGCCAGGTAGTAGGATGATGGAAAGATCGAAGTCATCGCTGTTGGATCAGTCAAGCGACTTAAAACCCGGAGAGCATGTTCAGACTCCGAAAGAGTCCACATCATTACGCCTGTCCCACCAAAGGCGGCCCCGTACAAGCACTGAGAAGGTCCGCACAGGATGCATCACCTGCAAACGTCGCCATGTCAAATGTGACGAGGCAAAGCCACAGTGTAAGAATTGTCTCAGGAGCAGGGGACATTGTGAAGGATACGCCAGCGGAGGGAATAACAAGTCCAAATCTTCTGGCCCTGCGCAGATCGTCTGGAATTCCACGCAGATCGTTCCTGCGGCAGCACGAACAGTACCGCTGTATGTTCAACCAGATTCCGATTTTCAGGGAGATGTGGATATGCGCTACTTTGACGAGTTTGTGACCATGACTCAGGCCCCATGGGCTACTGCAGCAACCAATGGGGATTTATGGACAATATCTATGCCTCAAATTGCACAAGGCACGCCATCTCTTCGCTATTCTGCCATGGCCATAGGCGCCTTGAGTAAATGGATCAGTCAGACAAAGGTCAGACAGCTTCGTGCCGTGACAGCGCCGAGTGTTTCGTCGACAGAAGCAGACACGCATTACTTCAACGCCGTTGCTTATTACTGCCGCGCATTGAAGGTACAAAATCAGCAAGCTTCTTTGCAAGATGCTGTATTTTTATCGGTTTTGCTACTCTTCTTCGAAATTCTCCGAGGCAATCGAAAGGCCGCTTTAGATCACATCAACCACGGCCTGGCTCTGCTACTCATTCTCACAACTGATGCCGATGCACAAAATCATGTGGCGAAATTTGCGCCAAATCCGTTACCAGTACTCAGCTCGGTAGCAGACGTATTCACGTATCTTGCACCTCAAGCTCGCCTCATACTACGCGGCAAATCAGGTCAAAGTCCACCGGCTCTCCCAAACTTTCTAAAAGGACTAAGGAGACAGAAGCAGACGATGGAGTCTTTCATGGTCCTACTGAGTCAGATATCAAAATCTTCTCCGATTTTGGACCGTATTCCGCTCACATTTGAAAGCCTTGACGAATACGAGCAGCTATGGATCTCATTTCAGCGTGAGCAGATGGCCTTAGGTCTGATAATGGAGGAGCTGGTTCACGAGTCAAAATCGCAGGGGGCAACGGCTGAAGATTTCCCTGACACGTTTCATCTCAAGATCATCGGTGACTCTCGAATGAAAGAATTCTGTAAAGGATCTAGAGAGGTGTTGGAAGCTTTTGATAGGGCATTTACTCCGCTTTTCAACAAGATCATGATGTCTGACCCTGACTCTACTGCTTATCTACGAGCTATTCATTTGCGGTTGCAACACCTAGGCATGTACATCTTTACAAATACGTCAATATTCCTTGATATGGAGTTACTTCAAGCACAAACTCCATCGTTCCGCGAATATTTGTCACTAGCTGAGGTTCTCCTGCGTACAGCTCAGCGTAATAGCAGGAATCCAGCTCACCTCTTGTCACTACAATGCGTGTTGGCACTGCATTTGCTGACTATTGCCATGCATTGTCGTGACCCTTTGGTGAGAGAACAGGCTGTGTGGATGCTTGGAGATTATCCAGGCCAGGATGGACTGTTCAATACACATGCCATGTATGCGATAGCTGTGAGAAACCGCACTGCGGAGAGCATAAATGCAAGCGAGGGGACGCCTGAAGAGCAGTTGCGACGGCTGTGGCGCCGCGAGTTCATTTTTGAAGACGGTGGTGATCGAGTCGTCTTTCGATATATGGATAAAGATGAGGTCGCGCAAACATGGCTCCTTGTAGAGGAGGTAGCCGATGTTCAGAGTGACATTGAAAACACGAAATGGACGCGGCGTGTATCCTCATCAAATGTGGTGCCGCTTCTCATTGATCTTTACTCTACTTGATATAGTTATACGGTCCGGAAGATACTGATGGTATACTTTCTACGGCGGCGTTGATGTACGGTGTTTGGTAGCAAAATATGCATACTAGCAACATTCTTCATGTCGGAAGAGGATTCAGTGCATTGTTCAATGATGCTCTATAGAGCTCAATTCTACAGACAAGACTAGTACATGATCTCTTCGAAAATCGCGCAAAATCCCGCCTTCCATCAAAAATCGGTCGATTTTACACAGTCTAACCACTAAGCAATGATCGATGTAGGGCTGATTCGAAGAACCTGCAAACCGGGATCCACGGATCAGCTTACATTGCAAATTCTGGTTTTTGGCTCATTTCTAAAGCTAACTTGAGGGGAAAATTGTCCATCTAAATATCTGCTGAGGAAATCACAATTCGGTTCGTACAGAGAATAGAGACATAAGGGAACAAAAAGGAATGACAAAGGGGGGCATATTCCTATGGATTGCCACTACTGGTTCAACATCTGATTTCGACACTAAAAGATTCACATTGTTAGCCAAAATATTCGAAATGGCGCAAGTCACATAGCTCAAAGGCTTACCATCTCCCAGTATATACCGTGCTTCTCAATAAGCTCACTATGATTCCCAGACTCGACCACCCTACCATCATCCAAGACAAAGATAATATCTGCGTTCTGGATCGTCGACAGTCTATGAGCAACTGCAATCACAGTCCTCCCTTCCACACTCTCGATACTAGCCTGCACTATCTTCTCAGACTCAGAGTCCAGTGCTGACGTCGCTTCATCCAAGAAAAGGATGCTAGGATTCCGTATCATCGCCCGCGCGATAGCAATTCTCTGTTTCTGTCCTCCAGACATGGCGATACCCTTATGCCCTACATCGGTATTATAACCTTCCGGTAAAGAGATGATAAAGTCGTGGATGAAGACATCGCGGCAAACTTCATGGATCTTTTCCTCTGCAATTGAGTCGGGGTTCGCGACGCCGAATAAGATGTTGTCGCGCACGGTACCTCGGAACAAGATCGGCTCCTGCGATACAAGCGATAGATGCTTTCGATATTCATAGACGTCAAGATCATGGATGTTAACGCCGTTGCATAAAATGGTACCATTTCCGGGTTCCAAATCATAGAATCTCTCCAAAAGAGATATTATAGATGTCTTCCCACTGCCCGAAGGGCCAACGAATGCCACGTACTGCCCCTTCTTGATGTGAAGACATAGATCGTCGAAGACAGAAACATCTCTCGTTGGATACTTGAAGGATACGTTCTGTATGTCTATCTCGACTCCGCCGTCTGTATTTGGTATCACATTGGTAGTCACTTCGTCGGATCTCCTCACAATAGAATCGTGCGTATCATATATACGTTTTGCCGCTGCTGCTGCCCGCGTTGCGTTTGGAGTTAATGCTAGGGACTGAGCTGCTCCTTCTGCACCTTGCACCATGGCCATCAGGGAGACGAAGAATGCCTCTAGAGACACCTCTCCACGACTCAGAAGCTTTCCGCCATACCAGAAAATCAAGGCCTGGCATCCAAGCGTAGCGCTATCCGCAAAACCGAACAGAGCAGCAGTCCACAAAGCCTTGCGATATGCCTCTTGGATATGGCCATTCAGCAGCTTTTGATATCTGGTGATAATCGAAGATTCCATTCCGAGCGCAGAGACCGTCCTAATGGCTCCAATTGCTTCCGTAGCAAATTGTGAGCTTTCCATGAAAACCATTGAATTCATCTGCTCAAATTGCACCTCATATCTGACTTTCCAGAAACCGGTAGCTAACAAGATTGGCATGGTGCCGAACAAAGCTACCAAGCCGAGTTTCCAGCTGAAGATCAGTGAGATAACGACGCAACCGATCACGACGAATATGCCCGATAACAGAAATGCTAGATTCACACCAAAGAGCTCCCCAACTTGCTTTGCGTCACCAGCTATCTGGGAAGTCAACGTGCCGTGAGAATTGGCATCTTCATCAAAAAAGCCGAGCTTCTGGTGCAGGAGATTGTTGAAATACTCCAGGTTATACTCTGCATTAACATAGTATTGCAGACGCACACTGATCAGGCCTTGGAAGAAGTATCCAATACCTACGCCACCGGCTAGAGCAAGCCACATCAAACCCAAAAAGTTACTTTGATGTCTGATTTCGGCCTCGGTCAATAGGAAAATGTTGATGACTTTTGCAATGAGCCATGCCTGGATCGGTGTGCCTGCGGCAACTGCCATGGAAGAAATGACGATGCCCAGAAATGAAACCCACTGTGCGCGCTGATCTTTAAAGAGTTGTACAATGGTTTGTAACATGTATCGAGACGACTTGACGGTCTCCGGACTGGTAGTAGTTTCAATTAGGTGAGAAATGCTAGCAGCTTTCTGAGACTTGTGGTCATCCGTCACAAGTTCAGGAGCATCAGCAGTTTTGTGATTCGAAAAATGAAGCGATTGAGCCCGCACCAAAGCACTATAAACACCCGATTCATTTGCAAGTAAGCTCTGGTGCGTCCCTTGCTCAACAGCTTGCCCCCCACGCAAGACCACAATATGGTCCGCTTTCTGAATGGTAGAGAGGCGATGCGCGATTGTAATAGTTGTGCGATTCTTGGAAAGCCGGTCAAGTGCAGCCTGAACGATCTTTTCGCTCTTTGCGTCAATTGCGCTTGTGGCTTCGTCGAGAATGACAATTTGAGGCTTCTTGATGATACTTCTTGCAATGGCGAGACGCTGTTTTTGACCTCCGGATAGTTTTGTGCCACCGTCACCGACACGAGTGTCGTATCCCTGTATAAAGTAAGCAAAAGGACGAAAGTGAATTATGTGGCGGGGGKATACTCACGTTTGGAAGGCGAGTGATAAACTCATCGGCATAGGCCTCCGCACATGCATTGCGAACCATTTCTCTCTTGCGTTCTTCCGACTCATCTTCCCACTGGGTACCTATAAGGCCCTTGGCGATATTATTGAATATCGTATCATTGAAAAGAAATGGTTCCTGCTGGACCAAACCTATATGGCCTCTCCACCATTTGAGGTCGAGATCATCCAAGTCGAAGCCTCCAATAGCGATAGATCCGGAAATCTTAGTTTTGGCATCTGTTTCTGATTTTTCACCCTTGCTTTCACTGGGAAGTTTGTTGGGGGTTTTCAGCGAATACCATCGCTCTAGCAGAGCGACAACGGTGCTCTTACCAGACCCAGACGGGCCAACAAGAGCCGTGTTCTGACCTGACCTGATACAAACGTTCAACCCATCAAGTACTGTGACTCCGGGGCGGCTCGGATACTCAAACGTGACGTTCTCAAACATTATATCTTGAGATGAAAGATCCGGCTTGAGTGAACCAGGGGCAGCCTGCGGCGTATCAATCACAACAAATAGGTCCCGGGCAGCCACTATGGCCTTGCTGATATCTATGAGCGGCATCGAAATGCTCTGTATTGCCATGAAAATCATCATGACCGACATAATCACAACAAGAACCACGCCGGCATTACTAATTGCACCGACTGCGTAGCGCTGAGCACCATACCAGAAGGCCAGGCTGAAGGAACCAAAGACGCCGAAGAACTGCTCTTTGGGTTAGGAACAATATGTTTCCTTGAATGAAAGGAGTAGATAACTAACAATAAGACCTAACTGCAACCCAATAAATGGCGCAGTATGCTGGACCCGTCGCCTCGCTTCTTGTACACGATCGTTATACCGGAAGGCTACAAGATCCTGAGCACCACATGCAGCGACCAGACGAATCCCTTCAATAGCTTCGCTAGCGAGCGCTATACCTTCTTCATCCGCTTTCGTCATAGCATTAAACCCTTTGATGATCAACGGCGTGACCACAGCCAAGACGACCAGCACATATAACAACATCGACGACGTCACCAACGTAATATTCCAGCTCCAGATAAACGAGACGATGACAGCAGCACAAACAGTGCTGATAGATTGCAACATAGTGCCTAGCCGCTCCGATACGCCGATTTGCAGGGTATTTGTGGTCGCAGTGATAGCGGTAGCAGGCGCGCCGAGCGGGATGGAGTCAATGACCTGAATCGACTGCGCCAACAACGAGTTCAGGTAATGCAAGCGGACGGCAGCAGAGAGACGGATACCCATTATACGAAAACAGAATTTGTTGATTGAACTCAGGAACCAGCGGCCGAAAAACAGGCCCATGATGTATAGTACTTGTTTGTCAACAAGCTTCTGGAAGTCGTCGGCTGTTGTAGATGAACTCGAGTCCCTGATCGTATCCGTGAACTGGCCAACAAGCTGTCCGAAAATGACGTTCATGAGCGGCATCATGATGCCTGCACCGATTGATGCTAGAGAGCCTAGGATGTAGATGCATACATCCCATCTTGTTGCGTAGCTGAAGACCCGTAGGTAGTCGAAAAACTTGGGGGCTCGCTCTTGGTGGGGAGAGGATGCTGCGCCGCCCTGAGCTTTGGGGAGATCCGGCTCGTCAGACATGGCTCCTATGAAAGTATTGAGTTTCTATAAAACGCCTTTATTGTTAGCCGAGCAGTCTGAATTAGGCGAAGAATGAAGTATAATTCCCGACGTTTTCAAGAAGGAAGTAGTAAAGACGATTGTGCCAGAGCGACGACACATGGAAAGACATTACCTCTAAATATAGAGCTCATCCTTTATATCCCGAGTGTGATATTTATTTCCCCTTAATCTCCCTTGCTGCAAAGTGTACAAGTGATAACTAGGATACAACTCGTAACTCGTAATTGCCGTTTTGGGACTTTTACGAGCCCCAGTGCGGGGCCTTCGGTGGCTTGAGCGGCGTGCGAATGGTTGCCTGGACTAACTTCAAACGTTCTCTCCTATGGAATTTTCAGGTTATATCAAAATGTATGTCATAAATATGTGCTTCCGCTAAAAGTAATAATATACATGTTGCACGGCTCAATATGTTCCCATTCCTCTGCCCTGCAGCCCAAACTTGTTGTTCCTCAAATCTCCCGAGATAAACCAACGCCAACCCTGACCAGCGCGGCAAAATGCATGATGAAGAACCAAGTGTAGTCAATAGAACGCCTTTTCGCAGTCCGGCAATGATGCATAACAATGCGCTAAGAGCAGATCATAGAAAAATGAAACGAAATCAAAGAAGGGTAAAGAAAGACAAATAAAATAATGATATGGTCATGGCTCAGCGCTGAGCTCATGAACAACCGCCGCCTGTGGAACGTAAACTAGAGGAGCCCACACTCGCCAGTGTAAAACTCCGATATGAGCGAGTTTTGTTGCAATAAAGCTGAAGTCCGAGGACGAAGATTGAAGGTATGCCTGTCGTCGCTGCGACTCGCAGATTTCAAGTGGAGTCATGCTGACATATCGCTGCGCAACTTCACAAGTAGCCTGTAATAAATGCTGATGCACATAGTTGCGAACTAGCTGCAATGGAACAGAGTCGCTGGCAAATGACTTTTTGACAGCTTCTTCGACCTGTTGCAGAACGTCGTCCGATACCTCATCTACTTGTCCAATAGCAACACACACTGTTCGCGCTATTTCCATCGCAACGGCAGAGTCGCTTGGTAGCCGTGTACCTAGACTAGAAGATTTTGACTGCGAATCGTTGTCCTCTTCCAAGAGCGCCAATATGCGCATCACAAACGATGAATGAATTTTGGAGTTGAAAGGGCGCTTTACATTCAGACATTGAAATAAAGATTCAAGGATCGACCAGCAAACATGCACATTGATGATTCTTTGGAGCTCGGACCGAAGTCGCCACAGACGGGCTAAATCAAATTCGAAAGGCTCGGGCAGTATCACTTCGTGGTCTGACAGCAAGATTTGTTCACTCAATCCGTACAGTAGAACTGACATTGGATAAAAGGATCGATTCGTGACGTTCTTTAGTGATTCCGGCATTCGCTGCTGGAGGCCCAGGTACCATGCTTTTGTTTCGTCAACCTTGAACTCGCGTGCTGTGATACGTCGCGAAAAATAGTCTTGAAGAAAAGGAATCGTGTTTTCGATCAATACGATTTGGTATGCACCTAATTGATGATTCGCAACGTCCTGCGTTCCTGACTGTTAGTAAAAGCGTATTTCAATTCACTAGATCGCACCACCTACCAATTTCATCATTTCAAGTATGCCGAACAATTTGCGCAACCCACTAATCAACATACCTACGTCCGCTTGCGTGGATCCTGTGCCAATTTCCGAAGCCATTTCGTCAGCGAGATGATCCCTCATCGGAGCACAATGCATCTTTAGGAGATCTGCGAGCCACTTTGAAAGGCTGACAAGGTCGAGAACACCTTTGTGTACCTGCTGCATCAAATGCGAGATATCAAGGTTTTGCGAAACGCTCGGATGATCCTTCTCAGGAACAAGAGTCATAAGAATACCATGCAGAGTCTCAAACATGATCGGCAATCGCGGTTGGAAGAGGTTCTCGTCCTTCATCAAGGTCATCATATCCGGCACATGAACCATGTCAATCTCGCTAGTACGAGGACGATTCATGTTGACATATGTGTAGATGGTGATCTCTATCGAAAGCGCTTCCCAGTACTCGTCCGTCATAAGCTTCTTCTGCCTGCCCTTTTCTCCGTTTAAATCGAGCAAGAAGTGAAGACCAGATTCGAAATTCGCATCAACCCGAAGTTGTATGTTTTGCATGATGCGTTCTAGGTCCAGCTCGCTGAGGGTCTCTTTGGTGACGGGCGGGATCATATCGGCATAGCGTAGTCGGGTCTTTTGACGGGAGTCCAACGGTATGCCTTTCGGGATGCGTGCAGCCGTGATGCGCGAGACGCGGCGCCTAAGTGGGAGTGTCATGAGCCTTGGAGTCTTGACAAGCGGCTGCAAAGTCGAAGAGCTTGAGATATCCCGCTTCGGGTCCAATTTGACAGTGACTTCATGCTCAAGATCCTGTCGAGGATCAGTGTCGTCGTTCTCCATGACCCCTGCTGGTCCATATCCATTTACTCGGTAGTCGGAACTGTCATCCTGGTCATGAGTGTCCGGTCGAGACTTTTTCGGCTTTTGGAGATCCATGTTGCGGGAGTAGACTATGTTTGATAGTTGCGATGGGAGATTTCCGGCTGAGCCAGCACAGTTCGAACTCGGTCCTTGGGCTGGTGTAAGTGGATGTGTATGTCAAGGAAGCAACAAAAGATTTTGGAGGTTGACAAGGCAATTACCTTGGGTGTTCGATGTATCTTGGTCAGCCGTCAGTCGCTGGGTAGGACACTACCGCATGCAGAAAGCAGCAAGTGCCGGCGCAAGAAAGGATGGGCGAGCGTCAAGAATACGCCATGTAGGAATAGAGCCGGCCCGCAGGCCCCGAGATTAATACTTAATGATGAGAAGCAGGCAAATGGCAAGCGCCGTTTGGGGGGATTGAGACTGGTGATTTGGGCAACTGCTGCGAACGAAGGGGCGCCGCGAACAGGTGGTTTGGGGTTAACTCCAGCGGCAAACGGGAGATTTCCGACGACGTCACTGTGAGACTTTAGGGTGGGTGGAGCAATTGCGAAGGAGAAAAGGGCGATAGCAGTAAGTAGGATTCGGAAAGAGATAAAAAGTAAAGGAATTGCAGTAGATCAAGAGGATAATTCTATTGAATCGAAACAAGGGTTCCCTTTTAGTATGTAGAGAATGAGTAAAATGAAGAAGGAAATTGTTCTGGTCGGACGACAGGGCAAGAACTTAGAAGGAAGGAGCGAAGGAGCTCGCAGGGAAACCCCCGTCTGCGTGGTCGTAGCTTCCCTTTCTTTTTTCCCCTTGTACATTTTTGGCAATGTTCCTCCTCCTGCCACGCCATACTATTCGTCTTCTTTCTCGATTCCACCTATCTATGTCTCAATTGTGATTCTATCTACATATGATGCTTCGTGTTGTCGCTTCATCTGCAGGGTCCCATTGTGGAAAGAACACCTACGAACAGGAGTTGTACACATGAAGCAGATCGCGCGAAACTTTGACGTTGGTCTTCGTTGTCTGATTATGTGGTCCCCTGTTTCGTGCTAGTGTCAAAGGTTGAGAACTGGACTGGTTGAAACGTGGAGGAAACATCCAAAAGAAGGGTTGTTAGAAGTGAGGCTTGGTCTTGAATTGAAGATCGACGCTTGCGGTTGTGTCGCTGGATCCGCTTTCAGCATCGCTCTACCGTTGCCCCCATGTTTTCTTCCTGACCGATCGTCCAATGCCCTCACGTGCTACGAAGCATTATTGGACTGATTTGCCAGGACTATGAATAATATGTTGCGTGACGGTCTGATCGTTCGAGAATCGACAGAACGGAATTTGTGTCTACGACGATGTACTCTCGAAGTTTACTACGCGCTCGGAGGAAAAAAGGGGCAATTGAGACTCAGGATCAACCGGCTCGCCGGGGGCGATAAGCACTTCCGAATTCCGGTGACCTGGTTCGTCCTATCGTACCCGCTTGCTCACCGCACTTGCCGCCTTGCACTTCAACTAAGACTTGAGGTATCACGAATTGGCTCTTACTTATCGTTCCATAGGTAATAATACTGCGAGGATTGCCGAGTGGGTTAGTAGCTGTCGAAATTGAATTCCCTCTCATCGGTGTAGACGGTAGAATCTATTAGGTTGACCACTCTTTCATCTAGCGGTCAATTCCAGAGGATCGTGCATTCGAAGATTAGCGTGGCGTACGAAATACGGTGTGGACTTTGATACTCGTACTTTGATCTTAGGAGAAGAAGAAGTCACGCGCGAACATGCCGTTCTAATCATCCGGTTGTATCTATGGTTACAATATGCCGAGTGAAGTATTGACCGTTCGCGACGTACAGTGCAACTTTGTTGAGACAAAGACGGTTTCGGTACGCAAATCGAGCAGTCCCATGTACAATAGAGCTGTCAACATCAAAACTTGGGTAGCGCCCATGGCAAGTGAGGCTGTCTTCACTAGGAGGCATATCGGCCTGCATGAGAAGAATTAAGTACGTTTATGTACTCCATGAGAGACTCGAGTTTGTACGTACGGTAGTCGCCAGTCGATTAAACTGATAGCGCGTTGGTGGTTTGAAGCAAGGCAAGCCGCCTCGCGCCAATAGTCGCGGCGGCCAATCGAACGGACTAGGCCCAAGAGAACGCCGAATTATGGATCCAACTCTAGAAATTAGCTTTGAAGCTCTTAGAAGGCGTCACTTATCAGCCAGGATACCGCCGTTGTGGTATTGGCTGATGACTCTCATCGCAGCGCTGACCCGGAATTCCGGCTCAATCGACGGCAACTGGCGGGATAGCACCGAATAACATAATGCAGTACCAAGTACAGCTTGAATATCGATGTTGGATTTGCTCCTTTCGACTGCACAATGTTACTAACTTTCTCCAATCATCTCAATCTGCTGGTCACGGAGCCGAAGCAGGGCAAAGCGAAAAGGGGCCGCCGCTTCTGGACCACTCGCACTTCGCCTGCCACGTCTGGGTTTGGCCGCCTCACTTTACTAACCAAACAGTGACAACTCAATTCTTTGAACATGTGCGCTGGAAAAAAAAAGGTTTTCATGATGCCCTGATTTGATGAGCTGATAAGATATTTGCACGACTGAGAAGTGCTTTCCAAGGCGTGAGTGGTGCTATGTATTGGCACATACGAGCTCAAATATATATCTGTCAACTGGAGTTGACCTTGATACATTCGTTAGATCACTCAACATGATATACACGTTCAAGGACCCGAGATTTTACTAAGTAGTAGTATATATACAATACAAGGTTCTTATGAGTTATACTTTCAATGATCTTAAATTGGTAATCTTTGATGTTACGTACATTACTGACATCAGACTTTCTGGGAGGATGTATAATGAGTTAGACATAGTGTCTAAAAGGCCCCAGTTTTTGTAAGCATTATTGGTCCAGTGGTTAGGATCCTTCTCTTCCAAAGAAGGGGCCCGCGTTCGATTCGCGGATAATGCATTTGTTTACCGTTGATAGGCACATGTTTAGTGTTCCAATTACTCCAGTTTTTTTTTTGCAATGTACCTCATTAACCTTTAATAAGGTTATATTTCATTAAATAAAGATCACAACATAAAGCATTATTGGTCCAGTGGTTAGGATTCTTCTCTTCCAAAGAAGGGGCCCGCGTTCGATTCGCGGATAATGCATATATTGTGATTACCAGTTACTTTTTCCTTACGTAACTTTTTTTGCTTTTTCGTCAACTGTTTCATGTCTGTATCATGTTTTTAATTGAATGCAGGCCGCCTCAATCTTTCGGCTTGAGGTTTACGCTCTGAATTAAGCGTGTAATGGTAACATATTTGGTTATAATTCGTCAATCATTGACGTAGATACATAGACAGAAATTAGAAGGAAAGAAAACAGAACTCCAGATGCTCGCTTCGTAATCTATATAGACTTCTTTTCAGTCTTAGTCTGATACATGGGTTGATAAATGTGGTATGTGTTAAACAAATTGTTAACACGACTGATTGTGTAGATGGATGAGTGTATACATATTGCTATATATACATTGAGTGACACGTAGAGTAGGGAATGGTGATGGTATGGATGTGGTCGGTAGCTAATCACCTCCGATAGAGATACGGAGCCTGATTCTGCATTGACAATAACGTATCAGCTCGCTGAAAGACATCCCCAGCAAAGAACCGGTCGCTATAAGCACTCGCCGGGGTTGACGGTATGGTCGCTTGAACGGCAGGTCCTAACGCTGCACTAAGGGGCGTCGCAGGGATGGCCGACGACTGCGGCGATGCGCCGGGTAGTCTTCCACTCGAACTGAGATACGGCGCAGGTGCGGAAGAAGATGGATGGTGTTGGCTGGTCTGCAGCGGAGGTCCATAGACATAAGGAATATGTGGAGCGGCAGGKACATCTGCAAAGTATGACCAAGGAGATGTTTCGATCAACCGTCCTGCTTCTCTGCTGGCCTTTTGGACTGGTCGAAGAATCGTGACTATGTCTGGTGGGAGAAGTTGCATGTTTCTCACTTCGCGCATATCCGTTACCAAATCGACAAATGACTGCATGAAAACCTTGCACAATTGCCAAAAGTCCTTCTGGTTTCTGGCTCCACCACCGGGTTCCTTGACTTTCATTGTCAGCAGCTTTTGTCCTAGGGCTTCTGAACTCTCAAAGCAGGCATTGCATCGACGGATGAGATTGTTCCACATTATACGAATTTCTTCCGGTTCTCTGGTCGTCTCTGCAATTTCAAGGCAACGGGAGAACTGATGACTGGCAGAAGGTAAAGCATGAAGAGCCGCATTGTACGCTGCTGTGAGTTGTTTAAATATCTTTTCGAATATCTGCTCTTCAACAAACTCGTCTAGTCCTGTCACTGGGTTGATTCTTGTTCCTTGCATTGTGGGAATAGGTGGGAACGATTCGCCAGAACGAGGGGTTGCTAGAGACGATGCAGCGGTCGAACTTAAAGCTGTAGTGGCCCGACTGTTGGATCGACTGCGACTTCCAAACATCATCGTCGTGGAGCTCGGGGTGGTTGCACCGGGAGAGGCAGTCGAAGTATGAAACGCTGCACTAGGTATTGAGGCTCCAAGTCCATTTTGGGGATGTTGAATCGTAGTGTCACTTCTGAGTCGGCGCGTTGGCTGGGTAGGCTCCCTTGTCGGAGTCACTGCGACTGCCGGCAAACCATCAGACAGAATTTGTACTTGTTCCGCTCCAAGATCGGTGGACTTGTTGCGTAAAGTATCATGACCTTTTCGGGTGGCTAGCGACGATACCCCAAGACTTATACACGCATTGCGCAACTCCAGAAGACTGCCATATATCACAAGCATGAGTGAGCGAACATACCGGGGGTCGCCTTGCTCAACTATCCTTCGAGTGCCCTGGCGGAGCTGAGATCCCACGTGCGTATATGCCATCAAACAAGTCACGCATTCACGCTTGACGTCGCTCGAGACTCTTGCAAAATCTCTATTATCCGGGTCCATTTCAACAACAGTTTCCAGAGCTTCATTTAGCTGCTCCACATGCGTTGAAGCATTATAGAACACAATCTCCAAGCTGTGCCGTCGCGCATCGTCTCCTTTGATCACATTAATCAGAGTAGACATATGAGAATGAATCTGGAACAAAGAAAACAAGATCCCTTTAGCACCTTGCACGATTGGAGTGAGTGCCGTTTCTTCCTTGTGTTCGGGCAAGCTCGACATACGTCGAGAGGGCCCATCACGTGCTCGCCTGCGTTCGCCACGAGGACTCCCGGGACTGGAAGAAGCGCTGCCATTTCGTCCGCTGGATGAGTTAGTCCGTAGAAGAGAGCCATGACTGAGACCTCGCAAGTGGCTATTTCGGTATGGTCGCATCTCATCTAAGGTGGCGAGATCTGTCTTTCTAGAAATAAGACCCATCCGCTTGTTGCGCGCCGAGAGCGGTATAATTCCTTCACTGTTGCTACGATTCCGCTCATTGGCCCCAGGAAGAGGTGCAATCCCAGGTCTTGAGAAGCCGGGCTGGAAAGGGGACTGACCCGATGCCAAGCGCTGGTGAGATCTTAGAGGAATAGGCGGGGGTCTCGAAGAAAGATTTGGCGATCGAGGATCTGACGAACCATCACTAGTACTGGGTATCACGGGAAAGCGACTGTTGCCTCCACGCTTCACAGGTTTCGGTGTGTCAATCGAAGGCATGGGCTCACTAGCTTCGCTACCACTTTCCGGCTCTGGCGTTGTGCTTTGTCGTCTAGATTTAAGAAACCGTTTCAGCTCAGCTGTAACCAACGCTTCCTTCTCATTCGTTGACATTGGCAACGAGGCCACTTCGCTCTCTTTGTTCTCTAAGACTCTCCGCAGAGGATATTTGAGAAAGTTTCCTGACACCTTGACGATCTGTAGTTTGTTCATGTCCGCAAGTCCTGCTGGAAGATCATCTAACCGGTTCTGCATGATAGAAAATACACGTAGTGATGTAAGCTTTCGCACTTCATCTGGGATTCTGCTGATCTTGTTGCGACTAAGATCCAAGATCTCGAGCAATGGTAATTTGTATATCTGAACAATTTCATATGTTAGTTATGGACGAGAAACGGTTCAGAAGTTAGAGACATACCCCTTTTGGAAACTCGCGAAAGTTGTTTGCGCGTATATTGAGATAACGAAGGTGGGCGCATTCTGCAAAACGATATGGTATATGGAGTAATTGATTGTTTGACAGAGAAAGCCTGCTAATGTTAGCAGGAATTCAAACAGGCGCCAACAACATTCACAGAAATTCTTTTCGAAATACATACCTTTCAACTTCATCCTTGATTATATCGACCACACCCTCGGGGATTTGTGAAATACATGAATGACCAAGATCGATTGTCAGTTTCGGCCGCACCACATCGCTGACTGCCTCGCTTCCAGCTAACGATCGCTTCGTCTCTTGAATGCCATTTTCGACTGCTTGTCGAGTCAGTTCGATGGTCTCTTCGGGCGTCAATTGTTTCAATGGCGCTTTGCGAACTTCAGAATTCTCTCTTGCAACCTTGGCCGTTTTCTGGATGTAATCAGGCTCGTCATCGATACTTGAGGGGGCGCTCTGAGTCGAACCAGCCGACGAAAAGCTCGAACCAGGTGTGGTGGTTGCAATTGTCATATCATCTTCCATACTCGTTTGACTTCGAAGGGGATGAGAGAGTTTGACGGTATCTTCGAGGCGAAACATAATGCTGGAGAATGTTCGAGGATTTATGCGTGATCCGCTCCGGTTATGTATGCGTCACGCTCAAGTAATTCAAGCGTTTCTTGAACTCAGCCGGCTAGAAATGTGCATAATTCGATAATCGGTGCGCAAAGGCGTGTTTGCAGCACTATCTCGGCATCCTCCAGGCAGCTTCGGTGAGCTCTGAGACGAGAATATCTGCCAACAAATAGTTGGTTTCTCGCGAGATGTTTGAGAGGCGGGGGATTTGGCTTTCCTCTTTCGGTTGTAGAAAAATAGGACAGACGCGAACGAGATCTCGGTGCAAGGGAGGATTGAGTGGAGAGGAAGGGCAGGTTCACGTCAGGGATGGCGAGAAATATGGAAGCAGCACCAACCCACGTTGCAGGATTATTCTGGTCGAATAGGATGCTAGCTAGACGTCGACAGCGATAGGAATCAGCTTTGGGAGGAAAGTCGGTCGTAGTTTGTCTTGAATAATGTCATATAGCGAATAACCTCTTGAGGTGACGGTATCACCGACGCCGTCGGCCGGTCGGCAAGTATGGTAGTACTGAACGAGGCTGGGACTCCGTGACTGCACAATTTCGATTTGAGCTGATAGTTGGGCAGCGTCAGTCAAATCAGAATGGCAATAACCGTGAGCTGTTCTTGCAGTCGTCACACTTGGTGGGTCTTGAATCGATGAAGCTGAGAGGCCCAAAACCGACAAGCGCAGGAACAGTCTTGGTCCTCCTTGGGCAACGGCGGCTAGAGTGCCAAGACTGGCCTAGATCTGAGGCATTACTGGTGCATCGTCACGTGATATCAAATTGTTTGGGTGCTTATTGAGAACGTTGACATTGTTGACATACTTGATAGGGAGCTAGATCAATGACTTTCTGAATGCAGAAGATGCATGTATAGAGCTAGCGATTGCCTTGCATCGAGGCAAACATATTTTAGCAACGCGAATATCGTTGCAATAAGCAATATCGAATGTACAAGAGGAACCTAAAAACCAATTCTTATCATACATCTAGTCAAGTATAAAGCCTTAGTCAATTAAAATACACGGTTGCTGGACTATCACGGCTCTGCGTCCACTTCGACCTCTGCCTCGATAGCGCTCACTCGACTATCATCTGCAGGAATAGCAACTTCTGGGGCGCCAACGAATGCTGCTTGTCTCTGGTCGAGAATCTGGGCCTGAGTCTTTGCCCACACTTTCCAGTCTTCAAAGACCTTGCCCTCCAGAGCCATAGAGACGTCTAACATACGAGTTCCAAACACAGCGCCCGTTGCCTCCGCCTCTTCTGCCGCCACCCTTTGTTCAATTTCCTGTCGCAGACGAAGGCGGTAGAATTCTCGTCGGGCAATATCATATGCAGCAGTTTTCGTCATGTCGGGCACGTTATTGAGAAGCCATAGTTGTCGTTGTACCACGCTATCGCAAACAGGCAGTTTAAATTAGCGATTGTTCCCACGCACAGATGCTCATTCAATGAATGAGCAATCGAGCTTACCTTTCACCATCCAATCTCCTGCCCGGTTGTTGTAGTCGGCTCCAGTCGTAATTCTCAAAATCTTTCCCACTTTTTTCCAGCACGATTCGCGGTCTTGCCAGCTCCCATGGATGGTCGCGGAAGAACTCTTTTCGAAGTTGGTCTTCCTCGTATTTGATTTTTAAAGGTTGGAAAAGTTTGCTGGGTTTTTTGTTATGGCTTATCTTTTTCTGTTGGACGCTCTCCAAGAAGACTTCTGACTTGGAAGTGCCAGGTACTGTCCTGATTCGCTGCCGGAAGTACTCATGCTGAATAGGTTGATGACGGACAACGACCTGCGCTGGAGGTATATCACCAACGATATCAACCCATTCCGGCAATTTATCGATCTTCGCGCTTGCTTTCTGTCGAAGAGCAGTCTGTCGAACCCGCAGTGCGGTTAGGTTGTACTTTCCCATGATGTGCCTCGTCAGACGCTATCCAACGGCCAGGGGATGATGTGAGTCAATTTGAATAGAACAGTCAATTTCATTCGTCGAGTAGGAAAAGCAGAGACACTGGACGATGATAGCGTTGTTGGATTATAGCTTGTCAGAGACGATGTTTGGCGTTCCTGGCGGCTTTGCAGAAAAAGATGGTTGTTGGCCGCGTAGGAAGGAGCACTCCGATTGGCTCCGCCGCAGCTCCGCAGGAAAGTCCAGCGAGCCTCGATAATTATTTTCCTTTCACCGACAAATAACATCATCAACAAGAGCTCTCCGTCCTCTGTTCTTTCTCTTTCATAGCCGTTTCAGCGATGTCCTCATGTGTGCCGCTACCTTGAAGTCGAAATGCCAGCTCGCCGATGCCAGTCTTTGATACAATTGAAGAGCCAGCACCGACGGTTTTTGTTGCGACTGGGAAGAGGATTCCAATGCACAACCAGGGGGAGCTCAACCGTCATTGTCAGCCTACGTACCGACGAATAGTTCACCGACGATCCGCGGTTACTGCCGTAGCAGATGTTTTTGTACAGTCGCTGGTGCTCGCTGGATTCTGTCCTGATCACGCCCCCAAACAGCGGAGCGGACCCAATCATCACAAAAACGGTTCCACTAGTTATCGCGCATTTTCGACCTCAACAAAGCATCCTTTCAATAAAAAGAGCCATAATGCGTCGAAATTCGTGCTTCGAACCCACTCAGTTGACCCCCGTATCCCCCACATCTATCCGAAACCATTGAGTACACAAGCCGCCAAAAGCGAACTCGAGCAGCGCGAATGCCATCATATCGATCAAGTTTCATCGAGCCAAACAAATGACAAGATATCTTCGAGGATAGCACGAGCCCTAGATGACATTAATATAGAATATGACCGTCGTGGGACGATGCCTGAATTGAGGGATGCATTGGAGATTGTTCCTTCCAATGTATCAACGCCTCAAAATCGTGAAGGAAGACGCACGAATGTCACACCGCTAAGACCGGTTCTACGTCTATCAGTGTTCAGAGGCCATCAAATCTGGGCAATAGATTATAACAGATGGCTGAAAACGACGAGGCGAAGAAACAACAAGGACGGACCAGCCGTTAAAGAACGATTGCAGGAACCTTCAATTTCCCGGAATCTCCATTTATTATTGCCGGCCATTGATGATCGTACGAAGTCTAATCAATATGTGTTCAGCCTATACAAAAAATTACCCAGTCCAGGTATAAGCATTCTTTCAGTCGAGGAGAGAGCGCAATTACTGCATCGGTTTGCACACCCGCAGGACAGGCGTCGGTCTAATGCTCGCTACTTTTTAAGTCTTTTCAATGATATGATCGAAGCTGGATTTAAGCTATCCAGGTCTGTGTGTACATCCGCTATTTATTTTACGGGTCACAAAGTACCTCGTCTCGAGAAACGAGACTTGATGGATGCCATCGCTATTTGGCATCGCATGGAGACGATTTATGGTCTCGAAGCGGATGACGTGGTGTTTGAGCTACTCTATAGAATTGCTACTCTTTCTGGTCATTTCGCAGTGGCTGATCGCTTGTATATGGAGATGACAAAGAGAGGAATGCGCCTCTCACGGCGGGGGCTTGTCACCATGATGCACTCGTACGGATTCAGGCGTGACGTTGAAGGGATACACAAAACATTTGAAGAACTTGTCTCATCGGGCGAAGTTGTTGACACGACTGTTCTTAATTGCTTGATTTCCTCTCTGCTTAACGCCGGAGATCTAGAAACAGCACTGAATATCTATTCCCGCATGATGCAAGATTCTGCGAAAAGCCTGGCCAAATCCATGACGAAACATTCTAAAGCTGTTCTACTCCCGTCGACATCCACTGATTTTACGATTCGGCGATCGAGATCTCAGAATCTGTGTGCGATTTTCGAAACTTACCTGGAAATTAGAAAAAAGAAAGGCGGTCAGCATGTACCAGAATTGTACATTCCAGTTGTACCCAACATCAGAACATTCGCCATTTTATTCCGCTATCATTGCCTCTCTACGGGTGATATGACAGCTGTCAGTCAGCTTCTGGACGATATGGAGAAGTTTTTTGAAAGCCCCCCTAGAGTAATCATTTACTACTTCCTGTTTCGTGGCTTTGGTATTCATACGTCAGACAAAGGATGGACAGAAAAGTTACTATTAGGAGCCTGGGACGCATTGAAACGTGTGTTGTATGACTCCCAGCAAAGAATGAGCGATCTTGAAACGTCGTGGCTGCCTTCAAAGTCAGCAAAGCCTGCAGCAGTATGGGAGAATCCATTGAAATCTTTCCAAATATATCAGCCAGGATCCGAAGCACCCTCTCTAGAGTTGGTGGATGGTCAAGATCTCGAAGCGCATCCAAAAAACGAGGGAAATGAAAAGGACACGGTTCACGAAGGCAAAAGATCAGGTGATGTTGCAGATGAGACCCCGAAAAAGGAAGACATCATGGCTTTGTTCGATCAACTAACTCAAACGGAATATGGGCGGCTTCACGAGGAGTGGTTTCCTGAGGAGGATACGAGACGAAGACTTGAGAATGGCATGTTTCTCGGAAGAGAGCTTAACATCGTGATTTTGAAAGCATTCGGCGCTCACTGCGATGCTAGGACTCTGCTTCGTGTTTACGCTGATATTGAAAGAATGTGGAGGCCTAACAAAAGACTGGCTGTTGACGTAAACAGCGTGAGAAAAGAGCTACAGAGGCAACTAGTAAGGGTTCAGAAGAGAGAACGAGCTATGTCATAGCGCAAGAGCCAGAAAGCACTCGCTGTACAGTTCACACGCAAGGTCAAGGAGGCGGAAAGACCGATGACCACTGTATATACGCATGTGAGTTATTATCACAATGTAATTTACTAGACTAGTACCGTAAAGATCTTGATCTTTCTTTAGCTGTAGCAATAGATTAGGGCTGCCCGGGATATCACATGACAGCGCGACTTGATCTAAATTGAACGACGCGACGGGAAGAATACCCCTCCGAATTAGTCTCTTAGTCTTCAGCATTTGCGACTTCCCACACGAGAGACTAAGATAATCTGTTCGAGATGCGCTTCAGGCCAAAACATATCGTGCAGATATGGTAAATGATCGTAAAGGTTTATGGGTTGATATTGATTTCACGCTACGGCGCGTTTTTGGAAAGACCTCTTTTCGGTTGGTAGACTCATACTTTTGTCTCTCAGGACCGCGCTGGAATTTAACATGAGTTGTTAGTCCCCTGCAACGTGAGGTCATTTCAGCGGTAATCGACGGTCACGATGTTTTCTTGCAAGCTGCTACGTCCTTTGGGAAGAGTCTTTGCTTTCAATTGCCAGCTGTCGTCAGCCATGGTGGTACGAATCTCAGAACGCAGCTATTTGAATACTTCATTGCTGATAGCAGGGGATAGTGACTCTAGTAGTATCGCCACTGCTCTCGCTTATGGTATAACTGAAACTCATCATTGAGGTCTCTATCGAGAGTCTAACGAAGTAATGCAGGTCGACCAAGTTGCCGCACTCGAAGCCTACGGAATTCCCGTTGCAACAATAAATGGCACAACACCATTATCCGAAAGAAAATTGATCATCGAGGATATTTTATCCGGACACCCTAAAATCCGCCTGCTCTACGTTACTCCAGAGTTCTGCTGCACCGAAACGTTTCGACGCAACCTGAAGAGGATACACGCTCAAGGAGAACTCAATCGTGTGGCAATTGACGAGGCACATTGTATCAGTGAATGGGGTCATGACTTCCGACCGGCATATAAGGAGTTGTCTTGGTTTAGGGAGACTTTCAAAGATCCCTTGGTCCCTATAACAGCACTCACGGCAACGGCTACGCCAAAGGTGCGCAATGATATTGTGAGGTTACTTGGTCTTGATAAAGACTCCATGAAGTGGTTTCATACGCCTTCTGCACGCCCCAACATTCACTACGAAGTCAAATATGTTGAGGAACTCGATGATGATATCATGTCGGCCGAGGAAGAGCGATTGCACGATCTACTATCATGGTTAGAGACCGTACGAAAGCGTCGTGAGAGTCGCATGAATTCAGAGGAAACTGGTGATCCCAATGATACAAGGCTTAGACTTCCGCCAATATCGGGAATTGTATACGTACCCTTCCGGTCGCTCGCAGATGAACTTGCACGCCAACTCAATAAGTCTGGTAGAAACATCCGCGCTGTGGCTTACCACGCTGGCCTGCCGGCCGGTGACCGTAAGCGAATTCAGAAGATGTGGGCGTCCAAGGACCCTGCTCCGCCCGAACAAATTGGCCCTTGTCCTTCTTTTTCGATCGTCGTGGCTACGAACGCATTTGGCATGGGTATTGACAATCCCCATGTTCGCTTTGTCATTCATTGGGCACCTCCACGAAGCTTTGAAGGACTGGTCCAGGAGTCTGGTCGTGCTGGCAGAGACGGCCGTGGAGCGGTCTCAATAATATACTATAACCGCCACGAACGTGACCGGGTTCTAGAACGAGTCAAGAATGACGGGCAAACCGGACGAACCAGTAATCGCTTTGCGCCTCAATCCGCGACTTCAAAAACGCGCTCGATGGAGGCGCGTATTGAAAGCTTCAACAAAGTAATAGCTTTCTGTGAGTCAACTGATCGGTGCAGACACGAGATTATCCGCGAATTCTCCGGCGATCTCGAGCTAGAGACTATGATGTCAAGTCAGACGACAAGATCGAACCCGACATCCACGTCTCCATGCGACTTTGCTTGCGATGTGTGCAAATACGGCACTGCAGAAATCAAACAAAAAAAGATGGAAATGCTCAAAGCCACTGGAACATTAGAAACTATGGGTGCATGTCACAACTCTGATATGCATACTTTCATGTATTACTGGATGACTTATTTCGTCCGGCATTGATAATTTTTCGAACCGAATAGAAGAGATCATGCGCAGTTCATACTAGTTTTTTCAATCCGGAAAAAACGTCTAGCTAATAGAAATATCACAAGCATCCACGCGTGCAGCGAAGAAACCAAAAACAGGGGAAATTAAATGTCTTGCATTAGCAGCATGGCAATAATCTACACATATGTCTAGCATAAACATTTGTCCTGCAATGATATCTCACTACGGTCTGATATAGTCAGTGGTAGTCTATATTAGCATGAATTAAGCGGGTCAAGCCTTCGGCGATGACTTCTCAAATGAGCAATCGCACCGATCTCAACTTCTGCACGTTTCGACAAGAATACAAACTATTCATCCTTTCTCAAAGTTTAAGGCAATATATATCAAGACCACGAAAATCCGGCACAAATACAAGCATCACTCCACGCGTCCGTTCGACGATAACGCTAGAACGCATGTTCGTACCTGAGTGTGCTCCGACATTCATGCGCGATTGGACGCTGACGAATGAACAAGTAATTTGAACTGCGTACAGAGTCTTAATAAGAGCTTATATTGACGGCACTATGCAGAAGATGGATCATTAAACATGTTTAGCGCTGTTTGCTCCTCTTCTATGTAGTACTCCTCACGGAATTAGGGCATCCGGGAAATCTTCCAGTCAACCAAGCTTATCTTGGACTATATAAGTACGCTTAATCGTCGTGAAGACCCTAGAATGTAGAGAAATAATTGGTCATTTCCTAAAGCACTCCTCAACATCAAATCGCAAAAATGGTTGGTATTTCCAAAGGAGTCTCAGCAGCTCTTCTCGCTGCCTCCGTAGCGATTGCATCTCCCATCACTGAGACATCATCACCTCTTGAACGCCGAGGCACAATCGCCAGCGATGAGATTGTCGGATTCGCACAAGCTGTGCCTAGCAACATCACTGGTGAAGTGTACTTGGCTTACCAACCCTACCTCTACGTTGTGAATGGATGTGTCCCATTCCCGGCTGTTGATGCTGAGGGTGATACCAAGTGAGTCTTCATCTTCTTACTGCAGCTCCAAGTAGAAAGTAGATAGTAGATAGGTGCTAATGTGTATGTAGTGCCGGCCTCAAACCAACCGGCGCCTCAAACGGCGACTGCTCCAGCAGCGCCGGACAAATCTACAGCCGCGGCGTAAGCTACGGCGACTACTACGCCGTCATGTACGCATGGTACATGCCCAAGGACGAGCCCTCCGACGGCCTTGGTCATCGCCACGACTGGGAAGGCGCAATCGTCTGGCTCTCATCCAGCACATCTACCACTGCCGCCAACATCCTCGCCGTCTGTCCCTCGGCACATGGAAAATGGGATTGCTCTACGGATGGATACTCGCTTTCGGGAACGCAGCCATTGATCAAATACGAAAGTATTTGGCCGATTGATCATTCGTGCGGATTGACGAGTACCGTGGGTGGCTTGCAGCCACTGATTTCGTGGGAGGAGTTGCCGGCTGTTGCGCAGGCGGCGCTTGATACGACTGATTTTGGCTCGGCGATTGTGCCGTTTATTGACGCGCATTTCTTGACGAATCTTGGTAATGCTAGTTTTTGATCCTGTGGTTGGGACTGAGTGATTGATGTTTATGATTTGTGCTGTCACGGAAATTAGTTATAAAACGAGTAGTATGTGATATGACGTCCAAGGATAGCGCACTCTCAACGCGAGACAGCATTGAGGACAAAAACACCTTTTTTTCTTGCCGGTGGCTTGTGATTAATTTAAAAACAAAATAGAAGCTAATAGACAAATAGTATATCACATTTTGCATGGAAATTGCTCTTTGGAATTGGCATCGAGCAAATTACAAGCCTGGAGGAGGTGGTACCTGTCAATTAATCAGGTTAGCGTATGACGATACAAAGAATGAGTTGAAATGGCTTACAGCATTGTAACTTCCACCACCAGGGGGAGGTGGCGGTGGAGGAGAACCTGATCCAGCTCCAGGAGGCGGTGGTGGTGCGTCGCCAGAAGGTGGAGGTGGAGGAGGTGCTGCACCGCTGGCATCGGCACCTGGAGCGCCTGGGGCTCCCCCTTGTTGCTGTTGGGCCCATTGTTGGTAGTATTGATAATAAGCAACATAGTTTTGGTAGCCTCCGTAAGCTGCGTAAGGATCCTGGCCGTTATAATATTGAGAATACTGAGCGGCGTAATCCGTAGCGGCTCCAGGGGTACTCTCTCCAGGGGTGCCTGCACCTGTAGGGCTCATTGATGCGCCAGCAGGCGGAGACTGTTGATGTTGGTGTTGATTATGTTGTTGGTAGCCGCCGCCGTAACCACCACCATAGCCACCGCCCTGGCCTCCACCATAGTGACGATCACCGCGCTGACCATAACCGCCATATCCGTGCTGAGGAGGATTTTCCTTGAACTTTTGATACTGCTCACGGACATTTGACAGCAAGTCCTCGCAAAGTTCCTTGGCAACCTGCACTTGATTGGGGTCGGGGCCGCTAATTATAATTAGTATCAAATATCACTGTAATGGGATAATTAGTAGGAGAACATACGCAACATGCAAATACATAGGCTCATCGCTCTCTCGATCCGTGCCATGTTCTCGGAAGCCGGAGCCGCGTCCTTTGATCTGGACTTTGCAACCGGTCTTTTGTTGAATATGCTTTACGTACGCTCCACCCTGACCAACAACCTGGGCTCGTAAGTTGAAACCTTGGATCGGCTCAAGATCGATAGGAATTCGTTCCTCGGGCCATTTCCTCTTTTAAAAAGTCATCAGCGGAATGAACTACACTCAAGCTCAAGGTCTGGCTTACCCGTCCAAATTCATCGCGTTCAACCTCTGGTTGTTCCCGACGGCGGAATCGACGTTCGTCCACGAGATTGGGCAGCTCCTGTTTCATGAGCTCCTCAATCTTGGCGATGGCTTTATCGAGACCCTCTCGGGTAGTGCTGGTAACATGGAGGTAGAGGGGAGGGTTCTGTCACCGGACTGTCAGCATCAATAAGTAGACTCAAACTGTTGCATGCTTACCGAAGGAGTGGCCATCGACCGATCCGGATAGTAACTACCACGGGTTGTGACATCTTAATCATTTCAATAAGCATGAGTCTGCAACATCCAAATAGAAAAGCATATTGTTTGGGGGCAACGCGTACCAGCGCCAGTTTCTTCTTTAATCTATAATCAAGCAGCCGAGGTCAGCAGATGCAAAAGAGGGGCAAGGAAATGCTAGAGTTGACTGGGTAAGCTTCAAGATCCAAGCAATAGCCATTTTTAAAACTTTTGGAGCAGGGTATAGATGGTATGAAGTGAGAGATGCCCAAGGGGCCTGGGAGTATCAGCAAGATGATAACAGGAATTTATTTACCATTCTCTGCGTGGAACCTCTGGTGAGAGCATAGCGGTTACGCAGGCTGTTCACATCGATATCTTTGATATAGTCTCCGTCGGCAATGTAGACGTCGTTGTCGAGCTTGGTAGCACCTTCGGTGGAGTCACTTATTTTCGCGGCGGGGCTTCCAGTCTGTGAGATTGTTAGAAGCGACGCTGAAAAACGGGAAGGATAGAGCTCACCGAACGGATAGGAGGCACATCGACATGCTGAATTCCTTTTTTAGCCTGTAACTGCGCATTAATTTTAGCGGCGGCAGCAGCTATCCACACATCCGTCAGTCAAATTCATCCCGCGATGCACTCAGAAAAGGAACAGTATTTCTCACCGGCTGCTGCCGTAGGATCGGGTGCAGCCGAAGACCTGGCGGAAGCATCACCACCTGGGCTGCGAGGCTCCCTACTCAATGGACTGCGCTGACGAGTTGAATCCGAGTGACGAGAGGTAGGTGATCGTGAGCGGCGGTCGAACCTCGATCGACGGGGCTCAGGTTCGGTTTGATCAAAGCGAGATCGCTTTGCGCGGCGCTCGTCGTCGGCCATGATATATTTGTATCTGATGAGTGCTGAATCCAAGTGAACTTCGAGTGAGATTATGCCCTGACGAAGGCGAGGGAAGCGCAAGAGGCCAGACTTGGAGAGTTTGAAACTTTTACGCGGGCGAAGATGAAAGCCTAGACTAAAGTGGCATAGCGTCTTTTAACGACGACCTTCAGATTTCTCGGCATTGGATTGGTTCTTCATTTACAATTCTGACTGTTTTACTCAAGATGAACGAGCTACAAGTAAGTGCAGTGTTTTTAAGATGATAAAAACTTGGAGAATGATGTATAACATACTATATCTGTCAGTTGCAAGCTGATACGTAGCTGAGTGTATGATTCATATGATTCGTCGCCGGACTTAATGTTGGCCTCCCCGGTAGGAGTATTCTGTATTGTAATTACAGCTGCCATCAATATCTAATTTTTATTACCACCATCGCCCAAGTAGGTGCTGAAGACCTGGAATTGCGATAACAAGAAGAACCTGCCTGCTATCGGATGGTGTCCTGCAGGATTGATTATGGTGTAACTATGAAGAAGAGCTTATATAGTTTCAGAATCTGTTGTCCTCCAGAACCAATATGCCAATACCAAATGCGGAGTACTAGCGGTAACTAATACACCGCCGTACGACAATACCGCGATCCGAAGTCGGACGACCCAGCAAAAGAACCGAAAGTTATGACTCTTTCCCGCAATAGCTTCTTTTTTCCTCCTCCAACCCCAGAACTTCCCCTCGTCTCAATTTTTAGTTGAGATCGAGAACTAGCGACTGGATTTCCCTGTCTTCTCTCAGTATCTACCGAGAGAGGTCAATTGAAATTCACAATGGCTTTTCGCCGTACGCTGGCCAAGCCAGTGGCTGCTGCGTCTCAGATATCAGCCTCGACAACCGCATCCGCAAGACCGGCAGCCAAATCGTTCCTCGCTCGCAATGGCACCCGATCAACGAGCAGCTCTACCTCTGCACTGGCCTACAAGGCCATGCACCGCCGCTCACCTCTAAAGCTGCCTGTGTCCGACAACGCTCCCCAATGGGACGCTCCGGCCGCCGTTTCTTCTATCTTGTACGAGACACCACTGCCCTCCACAAACCCGCCCAAGCGACACATCCTGAACTGCCTCGTTCAAAACGAACCTGGTGTCCTGTCCCGTGTCTCTGGAATTCTGGCCGCTCGCGGGTTCAACATCGACAGTCTGGTCGTCTGCAACACCGAAGTCGCCGATTTGTCTCGCATGACCATCGTTCTCCGTGGTTTGGATGGCGTCGTTGAACAAGCTCGTCGCCAACTCGACGATCTCGTCCCCGTCTGGGCGGTGCTGGATTACACTGAAGCACCCCTCGTGCAGCGCGAACTCCTGCTCGCAAAAGTGAGCACTCTTGGCCCCGAGGCGTTTGAGGAATTGCTCAAGCATCATCGTGAAATGACCTCTGATGAGGCTGCGGGTGCGGAGAATGAACATGGCGTTGCTATTGAGGACTCGCATTTCCATCCTCGAAATATTCCTGCTTCCCAAGCGCTCAGACATAAGCACGAGCATCTCGATGCCATCACTCGTCTTACGCATCAGTTTGGTGGTAAGGTTTTGGATATTAGCACTAATAATTGTATTGTCGAGTTGTAAGTACCGCCGTCCTTTCTCTGCCATTCTGGTGCTCTAAGCTAATGAAAAAAGATCCGCCAAACCATCTCGTATCGACTCCTTCCTCAAACTCGTCGGTCCCTTCGGTATCCTGGAATCAACCAGAACCGGACTGATGGCCTTGACTCGTTCACCTCTTACTGAAGTCACCGAAGAAGTTGAGAAGGAAGCCGCTGACGTTGTCGATGCTAGCACCTTGCCTCCTGGTTAATATTAATTGTGCAAATATGCAATATGTACTAGGAGTATATGGTTTGATTTTTTCTTTTCTTTTTGGACAGTAGTTTCATGGTTTAGTTGAAAGTCTTCAATTGTATTTAAAGAAGAAAAAGTTCTTCTTTCTCCTTGGTAAACGCCGGTTTCCCAGGTCACAAGCCGTAGTACGTAGTGACAACGCCAAATACGCAACCAGTATACATCGATTCTTGAAAAACATAAAGCAAGAGTATGTAGCAATAATTGACCTCAAAACGCTAAATCTGAATCTTCGCACCAATCCCTTTGCCCTGATAAAACACCGTCGTTGAGTACTCGCCCAACGTAATGCCAACCTTGGCCTTTGCATCCATCAATAATGTGCCCCCTAAAGCTCGTCGAACGGCATCGTAGCCAACTCCACCAAAGTCAAGAGTGACGGGCAATTTTGGTGTTTCGGATTCACCGGGAGGAACAGCAAAGGGGAGATCGTAGTCTATTCGTCCGATGGGTTCGGTGTGGTTATATAAAGCTATTGCATCGAGTTTGTCGATATATAAGGTAGAATGGTTGAGAGGAGATATGAGGGTGAAGACCGCCGTGGAGGACCAGAGATGTAACTTGGGATTCCATGTTAGCAAGAATATCCACGTTGTAGCAATAAAGAAGGCGTACAGTTGCATCCTTGATGAAATGCGGGCTGCCATCATCATCGTCATCATCGCCATCGCCATCGCCATCATCTCCAGGTGCTCCCATCTTTGGAACCATAAATTCCACACTAATACCTGACAACGCTTTGCCTATATCAGGCAAACCAGGCAGGGAACCTTCATGGGCTTGTAGTGTCACTGTGGTATTGAAACCTGTAGTAAATGTTTAGCATAATTTTAGGCACTTGGACAGAAGTGAATACCCGAGATGTAGCTAGAAAGAAGTTCACGGCCTGCAATTATACCAATATCCCCACCAGCAGCCAGAGGACTCCATAAAGCCTCGAAAACGACTCCGATGTTATCCCCTGGCACAACTGACAACGCACGCCCCGTCACATGTGCAAGAGCGGTTCCGTTGAATAGCATCAAGCAATCAATATATGGTATGCTTGCAGAATACGGCGTAGGATTGGTAAAGTTGACCGTGGCTTGCAAAGAGATTGTCGATGGTGTCGTATGCAAGATTTCAAAAGACTCAAGTCTGGGCTTGATCAAACCTCCGATGGAACTTCCGAACGGGGCTATTGAGCAAAAAAAGAACTAAATTAGTGTCTTTGGATTTGCGAAGTTTCATAGCCTAGGAGAACAGCCCACGTTTGACATCTATCGTTCCTTGCGCCGGGATATCATGTATAATGAATTGACCCAACGTAGTAGCTAATTCTCCATCTACAAGCGCTTGTAGATCTAGCTCGACGGGATCGCTCCCGAACAATATTGACTGCACTACGTCGGAAAAAACATTGCTGTCGGTGACTTGTATTGGACCATCTTTGATTTCAAATGTGACCAATAACAACGGACGGGTGCTGTCTGGGTCATCAATTCGGGTTGCATTGGAAGGCTGCCACTCGCTCAGATCGAGAATGCCAAATTGGTCGCCTTCATAATAAATGTCGACATTTGCTCGAACGTGCGGAATGTCGACGTCAAAGTTCATTTCCTCGGGTAATTCAACCATTACTTTTACCATTGCAGACACTTTGGGTTGTGCTTCGGGAGAATTTGGTTCCGCAAATGGATCAGGTAGGGAGAAGTGAACGTCCGTCATGGAGAAGTTCTTGATCAATTGACCGAAATCGTGACCGGTCACTGGAACTGGAATGGTAACACTCTTGAGCAAATCTACCATCCATGTTGGGGTTGATGAAGAAGGCGGATCGCCACCGCGAACGTAAATAACGGTCTTATGTTTTCTGAGATAAGCCGAAATGATCAGATCAAGAGGAGAGTCCTTCTTTCCCGGACAGACCCTTGTCAGTTCTGATGGTAGTCGCCGAACGATACCACTAACATCAACGACTGCAGGCAACGCCGGCTCTACATTGACGGTTTCTGTGGTCACATTAGCGACCAGGATATGCGGATCAGTGGGGATGCAATTCGGAAGAAGAATGTCGAATCCTAAAGGAGGAATAACCACAGATAGCGCATAATCATTTGAGATGCTGACAGCAACCTCCACAGAGATTCCGGGATCTTGAGGATTCCATGGATTTTCATGCACGTTCAGCTTATCTATGCTAAAAGATGGTAGGTGGGGAATATCTTGTTCTGTCTTTAAATCAGTGATTGAATATTCAGATAGCGCAGGACAAAGGTTACCAGTAAAAGCTAAATCAGCTGTTATTGCCTGACTGTCGAACTTCAAAATCCCAGATCTGATGGTAACATCCGCGGTACCTTGCACACGGAGTTGAGCAAGTCGGCCGTTCATCCAGTCATCCGCAACCTGGCGAATACCAGCCACATCTCCAGATTGCAAATTGGCCACAATGTCGATAATGTTCGAATGCCCTTCTCTAATGTTGATTTTGACTGCGGGCAGAAAAGCGCGGCCAAGAAGGACATTATCATATTCGGGCAGATAGACGTTGACTTGCGTCTCGCCGGTTTCGACTTCCTTGGCAATCCATGTTGCGATTCTACCCGTACTTCGTACAAATGGGTGTTTTACCCGCGATCCGTCGAGAGAAAAGTCTCCTTGAACCCTTATGGACACGCCTTCTGATGTCGCCGAGTCCAAGGCGATTCGGTGAGGTTTGAAGACCACCGCTTCTTGTGCATATTGCTTGACTGCAGCCGGCGCTGCAAAACCAAACATCAAAGTTAAAAGAACAGCAGCAAGTAGAAATGTTACTGCAATGACTATAGGCCATTGGCGGCTTCGCGGATGCTTGGTCTGATCTTCAATAGAGTGGGTCGTTGACGATGCTGATGAACGTCTTCGGTTATCGGTCCCGTAGGATACTCCATTGGAACCTTCATGTCGCAGAAGAGGAGTTGATTCGGAGCTTAATTGAAAGGAAGGTGAATCTGGTCGTTGATGATGGTGCTTGTGCGAATATGAGGTGTCTCGTGAACTCGTGGAGGCCCTGCTCAACAGCGGGGCCGTGCTGTCGTCAGCCATCATGAAGGTGGCCTAGCATCAATGAGGCTTGACGAGTTTACAGCATACATGCATCACCTGAGACTTGAGGACAATATTTATAAGATTAAAAGATAACAGAGACGTCAGCACTGAGTGATGTAGATGGAGTCTCCTGTTTGCAGGCGAAACACGACGTCCATCGGAGCTAGATCAAATCGGGATATTATCACGTGACTGCGCTTGACACACGTTACCGATTACGCAGATCTACATAGTAAGCTATCTATTTACACCTGGGATAACACATTTGATTTGTGGGGCCTCCGCGATCAATATAACCCTAGATCGCTATCCTGATTCTCTCGCTCTGTTACAAGCATGTACATCAAAGGCACCTACACTAACTGATCTAGCATAGAACAAAAAATCATAGACAACTCCATCTCGACGATGTTTTATCCTGCAAAAATCCCGAGATAAGACGATAATCCGGGGATGACGCTTTGAGTTAGGCGATACTAGCTTTGACCAATGGCAGCTTAGTCAAGAAAGTTAGGTAAGCGACGGCGGTGACTCAAGGCTATCGTCAATATTTCTTTTATATTTCGCTGCTTTCCCTCTAGCCTTGACTCATTTATCTCAATTGGCACACTGCATTACTTCTGCCAGGCTCTACAATCCCTCCCATTCTTCTCTACTGGGTGTTCTTGACAAGATCATGGCTACAAGCCTCAACATCGGGGCAGTCCGCACTGGACTCGCACCCCGACTAAAACAAGCCAAACCGCGAACCTCGATGCTTCGACGAACATACACCTCCGCTACAGCCACCACACCACCAGTCTCACCATTCGCTCCTCGACACTTCCTCTCAATTGCGGATCTGACCCCCGCTGAGTTCACAACCCTTGTCCGCAATGCCTCCCAACATAAAAAGACCATCAAAAGCGGCTCTGTGCCACGGAACCTGCTCGGCGCACTTTCCGGCAAAACGGTAGCAATGATGTTCAGCAAACGGAGCACTCGAACCCGAATCTCGACGGAAGGTGCCGTTGCTCAATTGGGAGGTCAACCCATGTTTCTAGGGAAAGATGATATCCAATTGGGCGTCAACGAGTCGTTATATGATACAGCCGTCGTGGTGTCGTCTATGGTGTCCTGCATCGTTGCTCGGGTTGGTAAACACCAGGAAGTGGCAGATTTGGCGAAGCATTCTACCGTTCCCGTTATCAATGCTTTGTGTGACTCGTTTCATCCATTGCAGATTGTTGCCGACTTTCTCACGATTCATGAGACTTTCTCAGCGCGCCCCACTGCGGGAGTGAATAGTTTGGGTATGGAAGGGAGGAAGATTGCTTGGGTTGGAGATGCGAATAATGTCTTGTTTGACATGGCAATTGCCGCTGCTAAGATGGGCGTCGATCTCGCCGTTGCTACGCCAAAGGGATACGAAATCCCATCTACTATGCTTGAAATTATCAAGCAAGCCGGAGCAGGTGTTCAATCACCCGGAAAATTGATACAGACCAATGTCCCCGAGGAAGCCGTCAAGGATGCGGATGTCCTGGTTACAGATACATGGGTATCTATGGGCCAAGAGGAGGAAACAATCAAACGAATGAAGGCCTTTGAAGGTTTCCAAATTACATCTGAACTTGCGCAGCGAGGCGGTGCAAAAAAAGACTGGAAGTTCATGCACTGTCTACCCCGTCATCCGGAAGAGGTCAGTGATGAAGTGTTTTACAGCCGTCGCTCGTTGGTCTTCCCTGAAGCCGAGAACCGGCTGTGGGCTGCTATTTCGGCACTGGAAGGATTTGTCGTTAATAAGGGAAAGATTGAGTAACTGCATCGCTGTCATAGACACATCTAAGTTTGAATCCATGACAGAAATCTCAATTATGAACATACATTTCACTAATCTATAAAACGAGTTCCCTGGAAACCCATTTGCACTCCGATCATGAATTACAAGATTTTCATGTTGACATTGAGGCGGCCGCTGCTGCGAGTAGGTTGAGTTGTAGGGTTCAGCAGGATATCTCAGCTCCAAAGCAACTGTCTGTTTATCTAAACCAAATTCTCGGCGTTTTCTCCGTAGATTGAAAGCTACCGACTACAAAAATCAGAAGAGACATTCCATAAGTGATTCATTCCGGCTAATCCTTCAATCAGCTATACACTTCGGCATATCCGAGTCGCAAATCGCGGGGAAAGCTAACGCCCCAAGAGCGATCAAGCAGGTCCCTTGAAAAAAAATGGGGTAGGCCTCGTGTTCCAGGCTCAGAAAAATTACCGGATCAAGATTTTATTTGGCTGGAAAATGGTGTGTCCACCTCGTCCACCTCGTCCACCTGGAAATTTGGGTTTACGTACTCCATCTACTACATCGGACTCGGTTTATCCGAGAAAGTGAAGTATTTACCTAGGCTCAATATTGATTACCAACGAATAGAAGAGAGAATAATTGATTAAATAAGCTGGGATGCATAACTAATTAAGTTAGCTAGTTATAAGTCAGATTCTAAAACTATCTTAGCTTCTTTGTATCTCAGCTTGACACCTTGCGTTGCTTGCTACTTACCATTGACATCTGATTCAAAACAGGGCATTAGACATCTCTAACAGGTACTGATCATGGGCTTCAAAGACCAGAGAATAGCCATCATCGGCGGCGGCCTAGGAGGCATGTCCTTCATCAACGCCGCCCTGCACGTCGGTCTCACCAACGTGGAACTCTACGAACGAGCCGCTGAATTCAGCGAAGTCGGCGCCGGCATCAATATCACTCGCAACGCAAACACAATCCTCGATTCGTACGGGTTAAAAGAGGCCATGCTACAGAAATCATCACATGATTTACCATACTACATGGAATATCGGGGTTATCGCAATGGGGAGTACTTAGGACATGTTGAAGAGTCCGAGGATCCCAAGGCGAGATTGTTGCATCGTGCACATCTTTTGGATACGTTGAAGGAGCGAGTACCCGATAGCAAAATTCACCTCAATAAGAAGCTGGTTAGTGTGAGAAGGAGTGAAGAAAACAAAGGTTATCAGCTTGAGTTTCAAGATGGAACTATTACCGAAGCAGACATTGTCGTGGGTTGCGACGGTATCAAGTCCGCTGTACGAGAATATCTAGGCATCATCGACCATCCTGATTATTCAGGTCAAATGGTATATCGTGGATTTGTAGAGTACGACAATCTACCGAACGAGACGGCGCAGTTGTTGCGGGCAACGACAAATTTTCGAGGTCCGCAAAGACATATATTGATTCTCCCTATTGGTAATGAAGAGTCTGGCACGGCCAAAGCAGCAATTATTGGATTCATGTCCGAGTTGCTTGAAGACTGGACCTCGGAGAACTGGATGTCGCGAGCAGAAATTGATAGATTTCATGATCATGTCAAGGATTGGTGTCCAGCTGTGCAGGATATCGTTGCGGGACTACGTAAAAGCTCACCGGATGGAAAGATGATGAAGCAGGCGCTATATGTTCGAAAGCCGGTGGATAAATGGTTTGAGATGAATGAAAGTGATACATCGTCGGGGATCATCCTTTTGGGCGACTCTGCTCATTCGACGCTGCCTCATCAAGGTCATCATCCCCACGACCAGACAGCTTGCTGAGATATGCTAACTGAGGTACAGGTCAAGGATCATGCATGGCCATCGAATCCGGTATCGCACTCGCCACCATTCTCAGATATTGGAAGAACGACGATTTGAATGCCGCATTGCAGTTCTACAAGGATCTTCGCAAGCCACGCACAGACCGAATTACGCAGACAAGTTACGAAGTAGGCAGATTAGCGAGCGCTCAAGATCCAGATTCGCTTGACGACAAGTTCAATCCGGGCACCATGCGAGAGCGTATGCGATGGATCATGGATTATGATGTATTGGCGGATTTATGGGCGAGGAATGAGGTGGCCCAGTATATGAAATCGCCGCGAGAAGCAGAAAGTCGTCCAATCCATGTGTCTTTGTAGTCAATTAGACCTTTAGTAATATGATGTAGAGATACCTCACAAGCAACCACACAATGCCTCTATTCCAGAGTTGCCACAATCCTGTAGTGAAACATGTGTAGTGAAAGAGGATTGACAGGTGAGGTTGGCGGCTAAACAACCCGAAGATGGTTAACCGACTCCGCATTTGACATGTGATTTGTTCCCGCTTTCCTCTACATCAACACTCTTCCCTCTATCTCTAGTCAACTCTTTCACATCTTATTTGTTCCGGATTATCGACACTGGACTATTATATATAAGAAAATCTGGCTATGGAGGTTAGTATCCAGATATTAGTAGTGTATAGCTTGGATGCTGACAAGTGCTTAGTCCTACAGACCATCCTCCCATAGCCCTTTCCGGTCCAGGCGCTCTCACCCAGCCCTAAATCACATTTCGCTCGCACCACTTACGCCACGATTTCCTATCGACGATTTGCCGGATCAAGATGATTACTTTCAGTCCGCCCACGGACAATCCACTTCATACCTTTCCAGCTCTTCAGTCCCGAGCACACCACCCATTTTGTCACACTCACGCGCTAGCTCCCGAACGCGACATCACAGGCGCACTAGGAGCTCGAATCATGCGCTCAGCGACACCGATCTTCGCAGTCTAGGCTCTCGAAGAGAACTACATCAACAACAAATTCAACAGCCCAGAACATCAAAATCGGGCTCTCAAACACCATCCGCCGCAAAAAGAAAGTCGCAAGATTCGGAATGGCTGCTTCGAGCAGGTCTAGCGCTCACATCGTCAACCCGGGAAGAGAAAGGGCAGAGTTGGTTAGTCAAGAGGGAGAGTTCGACCAATCTGGTAGCCGAGGTGGAGCCGGATGTGATTCGGACAACGCGCCATCATCGACGGGGTAGGAGTACACCATTTGTTCGATCTGCGCGCTCATCGGCTGTGTCTACACCGGCAGCTCTTTCGCGACGCCCATCGAGATCCCGCGAGCATAGTCGATATGCTAGTCGCGCAGATTTCGCCATGACGGCAATGGGCCCGGAGAGTGGTGGCGCCTCTAGACATTCCCGTAAATCGAGTATAGGAAGCTATCATGCCACACTCCCGGACTTTGTGGACGAACGAATCCGTGCTGAGATTGCATCTATCCATGGCCGTAGTCTGGATGATTACGATGATGACTACGATGATGATCACCTATCTGGTTCATCGTCCTATGATTCAGAGGAGGGGACAGATGATGAAATGGACGAAAACGAATTTCAGCGTTTGACGCGTGAGCGAGGATATGGTCTCGGCACTTGGGTAGATCAATTCGTTGGTTGGACTCTATTTGGTGTGGAAGAGGATCCTGCCGTTTCACCGCCTCCTGTCTCTGAAGATGTGTCTAGTCGTCATGCCACTGTTGCTTTTGAGCCCGCTGCTGCATTGCATCAAGACGAGACTATGGATGACGATTCGGGGAGTGTCATCAATCATGATGAGGCTACGGAATCTGTAGAAAAGCCCGGGGAGAAAGGGGGATGGGCTGATGCAAGTTGGTTCTTGAGACTGGCCAGAAAGGCCATCATTTGAAACATTCTTATGCTTTCAGAATTTTCAGAAATGTGTACATATTATCACTAATTGTGGAAGTTTTGTTTTTGTTTCATGGTTTCATGACATGGCGTCGAGATCAACCCTGGTACTCACATCAAACTTATTAGGGCTCAAGTCAAATAACCCTAACTAGGGCAAGCATCGGCTATTAACCTTTCCTTATCATACCTTATTAATGGAATCACATTCAATTTCATTAGTAGTACTTTACTCTGTTTAGATATAATCAAAACTTCTAGTCAGCGTTCAAGATACGGAATTGCCCCGTGACGGAACGAAGGGTAAACGTGTGCTGAAAGAGGCGTCGCTCGAATCCGACAAATCAGTAACGAGAAACAAAGTAAAAGATCTTGAAGTCATCCTGGAAGCTGCAGTACATCAGAATGGAATCTTGGCTTGACATGGTTAACGAAGATCTGAAGTTACCGTCATTGTAAGGGCTTGCCCAAGGATTGTGATAAGCCCTCGCAGTCACCTCGTCCTGTTCTCAATATTCTCGTGTTTCCGATTGTCTCATGATGTAAATGTGCGATGCAACGTCTAGCCAATATGAGCCAATCGGTGAGGCCCTTGAAATGTTCCTTCAGGATCGATTCGGACATTGATTCTATTGGATTTCAACTCGGTGAGCTTTCAGACCTTCGTATGTCTACAAAGCATTCGAGTTCTAACATTAGGTAGATGACACATTTGTGCATACCTGTATGCAAACTCGCAATAGTATGTCGCAAGCACTTGAACCTATCTCTGAAAATGATTAGATGTATTAAACTATCTACGATCATATCAAAAGTAGTGCACAACTGCTTCGTGAAACCCGAGCACCTACATCTTAAAAGTATTTGATATGATATGCCAGCTCTTACACAGATACCAATAATTCGGTTCCAGGAGAATGGACTGCAACTGATCAAATGTGTGAGACTTGGAAATTCCCAAAAACATGCCATTACTTTCCGTCTTAAGTGAGTCCGTTTCTAGGGCTTGCACAATAGCGGTGTACACTGTATATGTACATACGAACCTAATTTCTTTTTCCATTTCTGACCGGTGTTTCAAATGAATTTGAAATTCCCATTCTTGGGTCGTCCTCACTCAGCTAGTAGTTCAATGGACGTACGGAACTTTTCGATATGTACAGCATTGAACCGCTGAATATCGGGCGAGTGCTGCACTTTACTCCATATAACCCCTCTTACTTATTTTGATATCAAGGCTAGATAAAGAAGGGGCAAGTGTCGTACGTGTTCGATGCTGTAAGATATGCTGAAAGTGTGGTTTCTTGTGGCGTCCAAGTGGGGAGAAATTAATGCCCCAAAATTATGAACTTGGAAAAATCCGTTCGACGCCTATAAAATTACTTGATTATTGCAGGGATTGGATTGAAATCAAATACTCAATTGGCTGATCGGAAGTGGTCAGTGTACCGATTCTTAGTTCTTATTTTTGAGGCTTGTCCTGTCTTGTCACCTGTGTTTGTTTTCTCTTCTTGGATTCATCCTTCTCTTTATCTTTGTCTTTGTTACCATGACAGCTTGTGTAATTTGGTAGGTTCGCTACTTATACGGAGTAAAAGTAGCAATTTGTCTCTATTTTTGTCCGTAATGAAGAAAGATAAAGGATCATGTCGGACATTCTTCCGAAGTCAAATGAATCAACTAATTCGGAAACCTCGGTTTCAAATGCCCTAGTCCGTACAACTGGCACATACTTGCCGATAGTGTGGGCCATGACTCCTTGTTCTCTCCCTAGATGCATGTTGGTGAATCTAGAATCATCTCATGTGGACTTCGAATGATCAAACACTACCTATTCGAAGCTTTGTACGAAATGCACCTGTGGTTGGCTGTGTTTATCAGTCGCAATATTGACTTGCATGACACACGTAGCGTAAATTGATGACCTAGCATTAAGGTAAAGCTATCTAGATCCACGCACATGTTATCGACAAGAAAATATTCAATCTTCCATTGAAACAGAAAAAATGTCTAATCAGGTCACCGGTTCGCCCTAATGGAGGTAGCGTGTTGAGCAAGTGGGAGGTTCGAATTTAGGGCTACAAAAGCAATTTTCAACAAACTAAACACCATCCAATACCGTCAGACTTGACCAAAGACCCAATTTAGTCTGTTGGATTCCCAATCTTTAGTTTAGACCTTGCGATCATTTTAGTATCAACTCCTAATAAATGATCAATGCGGTCTCGGTCCCACTTACTCTCTTGTCCGGAAAGACGTTTACCGTGTATATCTGAAAGGGTGAAACTGAGAAACGGAAATTCTCATATTGCTTTGTCATCGGTTCACGTTGCATGTGAACGTGAACTGTTACCTACATGAGTGAGCGATTCCAGTATCGTATCAGTTGACATACCAGGTGCCCTTGAGGTATTTATGCGTTATTGTGCGGTAGGAGGTCAACCACCTTAGTATTTGATATCAGGTTGATGGATATACCTACTCCGCTGCAATTTTTATCAACGCACTACGATTGAGACCATCTAAATATGGAGCCTTCGCCTTCACATATCGACTTTGTCCCCGAAATTCCTCAACCGTCGGATCATCAAGGAAATATTGAGGCTGATGTATGTCAGAAAATCCTATAACCCAAATCGGATTTGAATGTATTGAGGACTGATAGAAGTAGGATCGGAATTCCAGTGACTCCGATTCTGCTTTTCATGGCTCGTGAGTCGACTTTCCAACATTGCAATGTACTAGAAAAATAACAGACAGGAATTAACATAAATATAATCAGTATCGGAGATGAGAGTTATACGTCATCTATTTCAACAAGTGTGAGAAACTACAAGTAGGTTCACAGCCGTAAAGTAGTCGTTCATATCGCTGATATTGCCATTTTTCTAGATATGAAGTATGATCGCGCTTCACCCGGTATGTTCACCATGACTGATTTGGCTAGAATGGGCGGAGATATCATGCCTTTAGAGAAGGATCACATCTCTTGGTGAGTTCATCCCCTTGTTCAAATGATTTTATCAACTTGCAGCCCCCTGATACTAGTTTTCGTAGCCCAACGACGAAAATGAACAAGCTCGAATGGACMTTGCGCATCATATCTACCTGATGCTTACCGGCGGGAAACTCCATCTTTCTCCGATAAGTCAACCGCAACGAGTTCTTGATCTTGGTACTGGGACCGGTATGTCGCAATGTATCACCTAGACGGATGAAAGCTGATCTTAAGGATAGGAATATGGGCAATTGATTTTGCGGAGTATGTCTGTTGTCAGTAGTGGCATATCCCTATATCGTGCTGAGTTTCTTAGTGAATACCCGAGTTCTACAGTCTTGGGTATGTTCTTAACATTTCCTTCATATCCTCGCTAATGCGAAGTAGGTAATGATTTGAGCCCTATCCAGCCATCATGGTAAGATACATACAACAAACCCCCCTCCCTAGTACTATCAACTAAAAACGAAGGGTCCCACCAAATCTCCGCTTTGAAGTTGACGACTACGAAAGCGAATGGTCCTACTCCAGCAAATTTGACTTCATCCACGGCCGCGAAATGGAAGGCATGGTGCAGGACTTTGATCGCCTATTTGCGCAATCCTACCAACACCTCAACCCGGGCGGATGGGCTGAATTCCAGAGCATCGAATTGAACTGCTTTTGTGACGATGACTCACGGCAAAAGGCGGCGGCTTGGGTGAGGTGGAGCGAGAATCTGCATCGGGCGGCGCGCACTTTTGGGAAGAATATGAGGACGGTGAGGACGTGGCCGGATAAGATGAGGGAAGCTGGGTTTCGGAACGTGCAGAGCGTGGCGTATCCTGTCGGTCTCTCCATCCCAATTCATGTCACCTTGATACTTCCTATCTAATACTTGGATGATGATATAGCTACCCTTCAATCCCTGGCCCAAAGACCCCAAACTCAAAGAACTCGGCCGCTACCAACAACTCCACATGTTCGAGGGGATGGCATCCTACAGTCTACGCCTGTACACCAATGTGCTGAAATGGCCCAAGGAAGAAGTTGAGGTATTATTGAATGAAGTTCAAAACATTCTCAAGGATCGCTCATGTCATATCTATACGCTGGTGCATTTTGTGTATGGGCAGAAACCTGATGATGCAACGGATTGATTGATTGTTTAATTTCGGGCTTGGAGATAGACGGGTTTTGGATATAATGATTGACGGCCTTAATATTTTAATATCTTTTCCATAAGTCGGATTAGGGCTATGTGTAACATATTACTATCTGTACCGTAATTATGTCAGATTCTTGTGTAGACATAATATATACTAACCGTATCTGACTAGCGCGGTATTGACATTTCACATTGTATCAAATTCACTAACTTCTTAGACTAAGAATTGATTTCTTCTTAGTCAAAACATACCAAGATAATTAACATGCATTCAAGCACATGGATTACTTTCTAACAGTTTGGAGAGGAGGGGTCCCAAAGACCTTTCAGTAGGATCAAGGACGTCCTCGAGTAAGGTCCCTATCCTAGTCATCATCATCAAGGTTTTCTAGGGATCTGCCAAGTACCAGCCTGATCTCTACCACCAAATAATTACTGGAATTCGCAACAATGCTCGGCTTTTACTGATATAAGTATCCTGTTTTAAGTCTCGCAACAGCTTTTCAGCAGTCACATCCTCAAGGCAGGTTCATTTCTTGAAGCCCGTCAGCCCATCAGCCCAAGTCAATCTATTGTGGTATCTTAAGCATCACTGCTTTTTGTTCCTTTCAGTCCTGATTATTCCACACTCATCTAGTCATCACTAAAGCGAGGGACATTACTACGCTGCCTTTTTTCCCCTCTCTTTCCGGGAGCCACCATCCGAAATCGAGTGCWTTTCGMAAGCCATGCCAACCTTGTCTCTGATCTTCTTCGGTGATAGCTCAATTCGCAATTCGCAGTTGACCTTTCGGTCGTTGGATGCTGGCCCTCGTCCAAATCACCTGTCAAGGGGTGAGAAAGAACCGACATACTCAACCTGTGCCGAGACGGGTCTTTGTAACGCTCAAAGGAGTTGGAGGGAAGCGAGGGTTGTGCCCAATATTAGTATCAGTCGAGGAGCTAATTTCGTCGGGCAGTTTTGGTGTCGATGGTGGATGGTCGTCTGTAGTACTGCTTGTGATCCAGCATGTTGGTCTCCAATATCATCTGAGAAAGGGAAGATTGTCTGCTACTTCTCCTAGGATGTTGATGTGAGGATCCTGACGTGTTATCGAGAGAGATGGTAGAGAGACGGAAATACAATAAATCTTGTATGAGGTTGGTGAAATTAGGTATCCCCCTGACGCGTCTAGGTAGGTTATGTGAAGCTTCATACAATTCTACATCTATCTCTAAGTTTAAAGTTTGCCTTACAGGCCTGATTTCAAGGACGTAGGAATGATCATGAACCTATTTTATTCTTGCTAGTCGAAACAACAAAAAGAAAAACAATGCCCGCATTTGGTGACATGTCATGGTAATATATGGATGATGTGCATGATGAGCTGATTTGTAGACAGAAAAGAAATGAACACCACAGCCAATAACACACCATTTGTTAGGTAACAGGTAGAAATACGATAGAGCAAGTGATTGATTAAGAACGTCAAGAAAAAAGAAAAGAGGGACAGGAATATAGTATGTCTTTTGAGCAAATATGACATGAAATATCGCTGATAGCACAGATRGKGGSGAGCCACTTCTGCTTTCTCAACCTATCCAAAACCATCTTAGGTCAACTCCGGAATAAACAAGAGCCATAAACTAGTAACGCCGCTGGATTTCACAGAACTCTCTAGGACTGATGCAGGTATCATTATATGTCGTGTCGTAATAAAAGTTTGTAGGCCGTTAAATGAATCGAAAGCATATCGACAGCAAGATGAGAAAATTGATCCAGACCATGCAAAAAATGTTCTGTCGTTTACCAGGGCCCAACCTTCAGAGGCATGCCCATTCCGTATGTTCCAGACAAGAGTTGTTCGCGTATCGAAGTCTGATCACCTCCCGATGCACTGGGAGCACCAGCCCCCGGCAAAGCAGACGAACCCATCCAGCCCAGGCTGTTCCGTAGCTCGTTGACTGCGTCTTGTAATTTACCACCGGACGTCTCATTATGTTTCGCTAGTTTCTGGTCCCAGCCTCCATACTGTAATTGTATACCACCACCACGTTTGGCGGCTTCACGAATCACCAGCACCCACGCCTTTCCAATCTCCTCGTAAGCTGAATCACGGCCGATGTTGTGTCGTGGTGTCTGCCATTTTGGCAAACTGTGTATAATGTCCGTTGCTCCATCGAGATATGTCAAGGAAACCGATGGTTGAGATTCGTTGGGCGGCAAGAAATGGGGTGTAAAATCGCTCAAAGCTTCGAGTAGGCTGAAGAGATGTTGCTTCACTCGGTTATATGCATAGTCTGAAAGGTATTCGCCGCTTCCCAGAGGGATTGATGTTTGTAGCGTCGACTGATAGTTCCGGAGAACTTGCAATGTCGACGCCACGCTCGGCCGTGGAGCAGTGTGGACAACCTCGTCGCCTAGTTCTGGGTGACGTTGGCAGACTGCCTGCAGAACCGACCGTAAAGCCTCAGTGTCCAAGGTCTCGAGAAGTCTAGGTAATGACAAAGGCCGACCAGATACATTGGGACGGGACCGTTTCATCTGGCGATTGGGCAAGGGACGTGGAGTGAAGGCTGGAGAATTTGTGGGAGAAGCGGACATGCGAACATCGACATCGTTGCCATCGTCGTCGGCCTTGCGTTTTCGGTTGGTGTTTTGTTGTACTGGTGTAGACACTATTCAGTCAATATATATGAAGCCAGAAATTGTGAACAGACACAGAATATCTTACTGGAACGTGAAGGAGAAAAGCGGGAATGTTCGTAAAAGTGTGGAGGAACAGGAGGCGTAGCCACCAAACTGTTCATGATGATTTGGAGATGGTGGCTGCCCAGAAAACTCGACCACTGTTCGACGATCGAAAAAAGACGTTGGTATCGTCGTTGGAATTTAATGAATGTACCCGTGTTCTTCGATCGACTGGCTTGTCTGTGGCTAACGGCAAAGGGAGGCGAAAGAAAATCGACAAGGCTGCACCGACCTCGAGGACAAAAAAATCACAGAAGATAGAGTTTTTCGTAGTCACAAGTCCACACTTTCGAGATCTCGATTATCAAGAGAAGATGATCGATCAGTGAGATTGAGAAGGTGTGAAGTTAAAAGAGGATGGGGATGTCAGTTGAGGAAAGCGAGGATCGGAATAGAGAGTTTAGCTGGAAACTGGCGGTGGTGACTTACTACTAGTAGCTTACGGACCTTAGCGTATGGAGCGGGTACTGTAAATTACTTTTGGTTGGGCTGCGGCTGTTGCGGGCGAAATCAGTCCGTCACATTCCCGTATTGCGTTTTGTTTTCTCCGGCTCTTACAGTATTATGGTACTAGCGTTACTGCCTGACCGTAGGCAAGGCAACCAAATCGCAGCTAGACCCGTTTGCAAAAGAGCACGAGGACCTTGCGTGGTATTGTAATTACGTATTGCTGTATTGTCCCGGGTCAAGTACTTTTTGTATGAGGGGTCAGCTACATCCTACGTAGTATATCGCTGGTGGCTGCATGATGATTGGGTCCAACCGTACGTACAGTTTCTCTTTGTCAACAAATATACACATTTATTCTCACTTATACCATGTAACGTTAAGAGAACTACTTCTGTTGACTAGTCTGAACTTTTGTGGTCAAGCCGAAACCTCCAAAACGCCAATGCCATGCGGGAATATGAAATAAACGATCCAATGACAACACGCTCATTACAAGTACAGAGATTGAGCGGCGACAATGTCTCGGCGCACCTTGGTGAGAGACGTTTCAAACTTCTGCTCAAGCTCCTCGTTACCCATGACCTTGGCAGCCTGTGCCATCTGTCGCATCAGTTCCTCTAGACGACGGAAGACTCGAATCAAACTACCCTCGTAAACATCCGTCATCTTACATATTTCTGCAAATGACATGCCGTGAGCCCACTCATAAATCACATCCATAAGCTCCCAGTGAAAGCTTTGTACGTATTCTTCTTCATTAACCGCTAATTTCGATTCCATGGAAATCTTGGCGATGATCCGAGCTTGATTCTGGATTTCTTTGAGCGGCTTGACTAGCTCGTCCCGAGTCAGTGCAGGTGTATCCTTAGCCTTTTCCTCGAACACGAAGCAACTTAAGACAGACGCGATTTGTTCGGGTGTGAGGTTGTTGAAAAAACCGTTGAACAACAGCTCACTCAGCATGAGTTCATCACCAGTGCTGATCTCGCATGCTACTCGAGCCTTGAGCTGGACAACTTCTTCCTTGTTGATGAAGTCGAGTCGCCGAAGGACTCGTTTGCGACATTTCAATTCATCCATTTGCATAATCGACATAGCGTCAGATATTTTCTTTTTGACGGCCTTGATTTGAACGCCCAATTCAACTTTTTCTGAGTATTGGTCGTATAACTCTGGCAAACGAGGCGAATTGTGTAGAGGGTTAGCCAAGAGTCGTGATTCGAGCACCTCAACTTTCTGTTACATTTTGTTAGCAATCTACTATAGGAACGACACTAAAACTGAAGAGCTTACCCTCATAAGCTTCTTGAAGGAGTCATCCGTAATGTTCATGTTCTCGATTGGATCAAGGAGGGCCAGACCATCCGGAAATCGCTTCTTAATTTCGTCAAGAGATCGCTTGACACTTGCCCGAGAATCTACCGTTTGGACCTCTTTGGGAAGGAAGATTCGCACGTGAGATATAGATTGTAGACACTTCAAGAGCACCGGCACGACCTGCATATGACTCTTTTCGCCCTCTTTAGGTGGTCGAATGCCGGGTGGCAGTTCGGTATGAGTGCGAGTGCCGGTGGAAGACCCTTCCGCAACCTGTAATAGGACATCCACAATATATGACTCTTGGGGGGCGAGGATTTCATTGGGGTTCTTTGATCTCCGCTGTTTGTAGTTCACAACGGCGCCCCATCCAAAGTCATTACCTTGATGCGTGATATGCACAAGACGTCCCGGTTGTAGGAAGGGTAAGCAGTAATCGGGATGGCTGATAACCTCCTGCATGTCAGAAGTAAATCTTGTCAATTGTTTTCGTAAATCATAGTAATCCTGAATGGTCGGTTCATCGGGAATGTTCATATTGATCCGCTTAGTCTCAAGCTCCGCAAGTTCTAAAATTGTCAGTAATTTCGGACCATGAAGGGAGGTTTCATTACTAACCTTTCTCCAGACCAGCAACACTAGCAGTGTTCTGGAATTGATAAAAGCACTTTTCCAGCATGAATTCTGGGGAGATGCCCTCAACTCGCATCAAATTTAGAACCATGTTGTATCCTAGATGAAAAGCAGAGTTGAGTCGATCCTGTTCACCACGCACAATTTCCTTGGCAACGGCCGGTTCCATTTCTTCGCCAACCATCATTATCACAATACCACGCTCATCCAGACCTCTTCGACCAGCTCGTCCTGACATTTGGATAAACTCAGACGGTGTAACCCAGCGGGTGTCAATGCCATCAAACTTCCGCACGCTTGTGAAAACAACTGTTTTGGCAGGCATGTTCAATCCGATAGAGAACGTTTCGGTTGCAAAAAGTACCTTGAGAAGACCTTCTTGAAACAAGATTTCAATGGTCTCTTTCAAAATAGGAAGCAGACCTCCGTGATGAATACCGATACCACGTCGCAACAAAGGCAACAAGTTCTGAATCTGCTTGAGCTGTCGGTCTTCTTCAGAAAGCATCTCGATAGCGCTGTTGAAGACTTTGGAAACCATTTCTTTCTCGGAATCGTCGTTGAAAGCCATTTTACTCATTTGCAAAGCATTTGCTTCACATTCACGCTTGCTGAAACTGAAGACAATGACGGGGTTGTAGCTTCTGAGCATGATCATCTTGACGATCTTGAAAATATCAGATGGACCCTTGTTGGCTCCCTTGTTGAACTTCTTGTCTTTGCCTTTACCTTTGCGATTCGCAAGAGCGTTTGCCGGATCGTCGCCTTTGTTTTCGGCAATAGTGCTCATTGCCTTCTGAAAGTTATCTTCTCGGAAAACACCCTTTTCGTCGACAACTAGATGGATTCCTTCCGCACCAGCAGGGAAGAAATAATGCTGTAACGGCGTGGGTCGGAAATCAGTGTAAACGACGTGACATGGTTGATGATGCAGATTGACAATCCATTCTGCGAACTGCATAGCGTTGGGGATAGTTGCAGACAAAAACACGTAGCGAACCTTGTCTGGGAGTAGAATGATAGTCTCTTCCCAAACAACACCACGAGCTATTTTAAGAAAAGTGGTCAGTAAGACCTTTCAATTTGAAGAGCAAAGAAACTTACTTGCGTCACGCATGTAGTGGATCTCGTCAAAGACGACCCATGCTACTTCTCGCATGATCTCAGAACCACGGTAAAGCATAGATCTCAAAATCTCCGTAGTCATGACAAGGCATGTTGCAGTAGGGTTAATTGTAACATCGCCAGTCATCAAACCCACGTCGCCAAATTCTGCCGCAAACTCTCGGTACTTTTGATTACTCAAAGCTTTGATAGGACTAGTGTAGATGACTCTCTGGTTCTTCTTCAAGCTTTGCGCAATAGCATATTCTGCCACAACTGTTTTTCCAGCACTTGTATGGGCCGAAACTAAAACACTCTCTTCTCTTTGTATCGAATGGACAGCGGTCTGCTGGAAAGGATCAAGGGTAAACGGCCAGACCCGAGCAGGCTCCTCGGGAGGCACATGTTGTGCGATAGGAATATACGGGTAATTTGGTGGAATTGCGACTTGGTGGCGGACTTGATGCGAGAGCACGACGGCGCCTGTATCTTGGGTAGCTTGTAGGCCGGCTGAGGCAGCTACTTCTCGTTCCTGCTCTGTTTCGAAGGAATCGGCGACGACCGCTGCTGGTACGTCCTGAATGCGTTGACGCTTCGCTTCTGGCCGGCCATTCTCTTCGACAGAGTGATCTGTGCCATTCGTCGCAGCTGGGGCGTCTGGTAGGACGTCGTCGTCCTCGAGTTTTGAGTCTTGCTTTTTGGCTTTCACATCTCCGTTTGCTTGCCGCTTTTTGCTCTTGTCTTTTTTTGGTCGAGGTTTTGCGGACTCGTCGTCTGAGACATAAGCTCCTGGCTTGTCTTCGAAAACATCGAATAAGTCATCCATCTCGGCAATTGACTCCTCTCACCGGTGAAAGGGAATGCAAAAGGAGATGACTGATACTATTGCAGTTGAAGAAGGAAAAAAAGTAGGAGAGCTGCGCGAACTAGAAATTTGCGAATCCCGATTAGGGAAGGCGCGCGGGCCGCTCCTTCATTGGCTGGTGTATTAGTGATCACGTGAATACACACCACGTGACTCGCGGGAACTCGGGTTGAAGGTCTAAGCTGATCTGATGATTCTCATGCCGCTCCCTCTCACGCTGACATCCAGTTCCCAATTGCTCCTCCGCAACCTCTACTCAAGGTACGCATACGAATTGAAGAACCATTAATTGACTCCTGTCTAATTGAAACAAGATGATTGCCGCCTCCGCTACCCGGGCCAGATTGGCCAACGCCTTTGTCACTCGCCGTGCTTTCTCTACCACCCGTGCACAGCTCGCCAGTCCCTACCATTATGCTGAGGGTCCTCGCTCCAACATTCCCTTCAACCCCAAGACCAAGTACTTCTTCTTCCGTTACTGGGCTTTCATGAGTACGTCGAGTCATTGCAGCTTCAAGCGATAGATATACCAGAACATTTGGACTAATTGTGTGCTTTCCAGTCACCGGATTCGGTGCTCCATTCGCCATTGCCGGTAGGTTTTCTTTGTCTTCGAAGCTCGTTCTCATTCTGCTCTCGCTAATCCAATGCTACAGTCTGGCAAACCTACAAGACCCGTCCTTAGACGATGCGCGCCGAGTCGATTGCTTAGTTGAGGTGGATGTGAGAAAAGGGACTGTTACATTACTTCGAATTAAAGATTTCATTTGTACAAAACTAGAGAATCTTAAGAAATCTTTCATCGAACAGTTCAATCTGTTGTTTATTCAGGTTTCATATCTTGTTGTGGTCAGTCGTAGTCGTATGATGTTCTGTGGCAGACGGTTGCAATCGGAAATGTGAATGAAGTCATTGGTTGATATTTTATCGATGGATCTCGGAACACCAAATTTGCGGATCAACTCAATAATTTTTTATTTGATATGACATTTTAGGCTAATCGACACCACGAATCGTATTTACAGCTAAACCCATTACTGGATATTAGCAAATGAAATAAAGTACCAGATTTATCGCAGGTTGACCGAATTTGATGGACTGATCAATGAGGAGGGGCAAATAATTCAAGCAAGATGCGCAATCTAAAGAACGTGCGCCTCGCCGAAGTCGAGCTACGATCCAAGCTCCCTTTGACTGCCACAGCGTGGGACACTGCTTCAGACTCTATCATTTGCACATTTGGGCCAGAGCAAGATAATCAGGTTATCGAACTGAGGAGGAAGCGACACGATGTAGTTTATACATCTCCCGCCAGCCAGGAAGACTTTGAGACGATCGCATCATGGGACGCACCAAGTCCTCTGCCTGACTTGCCTTGTGATCGAGTCTTGTCTTTGCAGTACTTTGCAGACAACCTGACCGCAATCCTTGTTCTTGAAGGGGGCGACATCATTATTGTTCGAGAGGACCCTCAACCTGGAGAAGACAAGATTGAGATTCTTGGTTCGGTCGATGTTGGCATTTCGGCTGCAGCCTGGTCTCCTGATGAAGAGCTTTTGGCCATTACGACTAGAGCAAACACGCTGCTCTACATGACCCGCGAATTTGAAAATGTCGCAGAAATCACTTTCTCTCCAGATGACCTCAAGCTCTCAAGGCATGTCTCTGTCGGTTGGGGTAAGAAAGAGACCCAGTTTCAAGGCAAAAGAGCCAAAGCCTTGAGGGATCCCACAATGCCTGAAAAGGTTGATGAAGGCAAGTTCAGTGACTTTGATGATTCTCGTACCACCATCAGCTGGCGAGGGGATGGCGCGTTCATTGCCGTGAATAGCGTGGGAAATGGTGTTCGACGCGTAATCAGAGTATACTCTCGAGAGGGGACTCTTGATAGTGTTAGCGAACCAGTGGATGGCTTGGAAGGAGCCTTAAGCTGGAGACCATCCGGTAATTTGATTGCCGGCATTCAGCGCCTTGATGACCGTATCGATGTGGTTTTCTTTGAGCGCAACGGCTTGCGGCACGGTCAATTCACGCTGAGACTATCAGAAAAAGAACGACAAACCTGGGCATCAGATATTTATCTCAACTGGAACATCGACTCCACCGTGTTGGCTGTACATTTCAAAGATCGTGTTCAGCTCTGGACTATGGGCAACTACCACTACTATCTTAAACAAGAAATTGCGCTTGTCGGCGAAGGAAAGAAGTCTGTTCGTTGGCACCATGAAAAAGCTTTGCGGCTCATCGCAGCTTCTTCCAACCTCGTGATAGATTGTGAATGGGTTTCTGATGTAGCTCATGGCTCAACCACGAGTCCAGATGATTACGGAGCAGTTGGTGTTGTTGACGGAAGAATACTAAAATTAACGCCCTTAAGACTTTCTGGCGTTCCCCCGCCCATGGCTCATTGTGAAATCAACGTCGACTCTAATATCGTGGATGTTGCATTCAGTCATTCAGGTGCTAGAATTGCGGTACTTACGACAGATAGTTTTTCTATCTTTTCCTGGCCGATGAAAACTCGCCCAATCCCTTTGCCGTTATTGGAGTCCAGCCATCCTCTTCCTCAAACACCCAGCTCTCGGCCAAGACAGATCGCCTTCCTCCACGATAGCGAGGTCTTTATCCTCATTCACGACGGTCCAGATCGTCGAGTTGAAAGAATACGACTAGATACTCGTGAAAGCTCTGTGGCATATGTGATTAGCGCAGAGGAGCAGATTCAAAGCATTTTCCCGAACATTCGGCACGACAAGCTATGGATCTCGAAGCTTTCGCTTAAATCAAAGGGCACAGCCTATTTACAAGGCGTGCTGTCCGCAGAAGAGTTGGAAATATCCGCTTTCGACACAGCCCCTACACTCGAGGCTCAATGGGCGGCTAGCACCTACATATCTGACGATCAGGTACTTTCCATGCACAATACTTGCAGTATGAATTGACTAAGGAGTATAGGACATTCTTGTCTCAATGACAAGAACAGGAGCTTTGTATGCCAATCGACGACTGTTAGCGAAGAACTGTACTTCTTTTATTCTTACACCAGCTCACATTATTTTCACCACTACACAACATCTCCTAAAGTTTGTTCATATCACAAATGTGGAAGGTATTAAACAACGTATAGCAGGATAATTGCAAGACAAAAGACTAACATTGGCATAGACATGGAAGTMCCTGCCGATACACCCGAGACCGACGAGCGATGCAGGAGCATTGAACGTGGTGGACGCATAGTAACAGTGACTCCTTCAAACTTTGCCGTAACATTGCAGATGCCACGAGGAAATTTGGAGACAATTTACCCTCGTGCATTAGTTCTGGCGGGAATCAGAAGTTTCATTAATGCAAAGGAGTACCGCTCGGCATATCTTGCATGTCGAAGCCAGATGGTGGATATGAACATCCTCCACGACTATGCTCCTCAGCAGTTTATGGAGAATGTTCCTCTCTTCATTGCGCAGGTTAAGAGAGTTGACTACATTGATGAGTTCCTGTCGCGCCTAAAGTATGACTGTTTTCACTTGATGTTTGGATCAAGCTCGCTGACTTCCGGATAGAGAAGAAGATGTGTCTCAGACTCTTTACAAGGATACACTAACAGTTTCGAAAGCTGAAGCGGACGCTGCAGTAAAGACCGGAGTCAGCCCTGCAGCCAGTCTAGCTTTGAAAGCATCAAAGGACAGCAAGATCAACCGCATTTGTGATGCATTCTTGGTGGCTCTTAAGAACAAAATGGACACAAACCTGCAAAATGTGGTCACTGCTCATGTGTGCAAGTTTCCTCCAGATCTTGATGCGGGCCTACAACTAGTGGCAGATCTCAGAGGTTTGTATTCTCATTAAAAGCCATGATCGTCTTCAAAACTGACGCAACTTAGTGCGGAGTCCAACACAAGCCGAAGAAGCCATTGAGCACATGTGCTTTTTGACCGACGCACTTCATCTTTACAAGAACGCTCTCGGACTGTACGACCTTGAGCTCACACTTCTCGTTGCCCAGCAAGCTCAAATGGTACCGCTCCAACCTTCATGATTCTAAGGAAACGTCATTTCTCACTTACAGTGAATAGGATCCGCGAGAATATCTTCCCTTCCTCCGAAAACTTCAGACTCTCCCCGAACTTCGTCGAAAATACGAAATCGACAATTATCTAGCTCGATCGGCGAAAGCTTTGAAACATCTCCATGCTCTCGAGGCATTCGATGAAGTAAAACAATACGCCGTCAAACACAGCCTTTACCGAGAGACGCTTGAGCTATACAAGTATCAGGCAGAGCAGTTGAGTGAGATGACCCGTTTGTATGCCGATTACTTGTATGAACAAAGTAATTATCAAGAAGCCGCCATTGGTGAGACACAGCCAATCTAATCTTTCTCACGACATGTTCTAACATGATTTCTACAGCTTACGAATCCCTTGGTATCTATGACGAGGCATACAAATCCTACCAGATTGCCCACCGTTGGCGCGAATCTCTTTATTGCGCTCTAATGGTTCCTCTATCACAAACCGAGCTAGAGAACCACGCCAGTAGCCTGGTCACAACCCTATTAGAAGAGGATAAGGACTATCTCTCCGCCGCTCAAATCCAAGCAGACCACCTCAAAAACTATCCCGCCGCAGCAACACTCTTCTGCCGCGCCTCGCGATTCGCGGACGCAACACGCATTCTAGCAATCAACGGCCTTCAAGACCGTATCCCAGAACTCGTTGACAGTGGCCTCGCAGAAGCTATGGGCTCAACGACCGACTTTTTGGCCGACTGCAAAGCTCAACTGAACGCCCAGGTACCCCGGATCGGCGAATTGCGCGAAAAGCGCCTAACAGACCCTTTGGCCTTCTTCGGCGGAGACCCATCTCTCGACGCTGCTGCCGGCGGAGTCGATATACCCGATAATGTCTCCCTTGCCCCCACTGACGCGTCAACAGCCGCCGGTCGAACGATGTTTACCCGCTATACGGGCGGAACAAACATGACACGCCGAACATCAAAGACCCGACGCCGCGAAGAACGGAAACGTGCAGCTGGCCGCAAGGGAACGGTCTATGAGGAAGAATATCTCGTGAACAGTGTTCGACGTTTGATTGAGCGTGTCAACAGCACTTTTGATGAAACCACCGCGTTGATTGAGGGGCTCTTGCGGCGGGGCATGAGGGAACGTGCTGTTGCGGTTGAGAAGGCTCTTCAGGAGGTGTTGGGGTTGTGTTCGTCTGCTCTTGGGGAGGTTTTTGACTCGCCGACAGAAGAGCAGCAGAAGCAACCTGAAGATGCTGAACAGGTAGCGGAGCAGACAGGTTCGGCTGTTGGTGGTGATAGTGTTTTCTTGGAGAGCATATATGCCGGGGAGAAGCGTGCTGCGCCGGTTATGAAGGAGTTTAAGAAGTTAGCTCTTTTGGGCTGATTGTACTCAAATAGTGATGTGATTAGATGATAGATGATGACTAAAAAGTTATGTTCAATGATGGAAATTAAGCAGCAGTAGATAACCATCATGCATCGTGATATTGATTTTTGAAGCTAATTTGGTTAATAGTATCTATGTAGGTATTTACGTCCCGAGAAGGAAACAGGTTAACAAAAGAAACGGCCGTTATGCCCTCAGACAAACCATGAGTAGTCTTAAAGGCTCAAAATATCACCCTTCTCACTGACGAGGTGGGTATCAATCTTCTCCGGACCTTCACCAACACCAGTAAGGATAACACGGCTGATTCCAGTCTTCAAGACCTCGATAGCTTTCGAGTCCAAGCTATTGAGATCGACACCAGCAGAGATGCTCTTGAGTCTATCACCGAAAGGACCCTCCCAGCCCTCCAACTCTCCTCCAAGGATAGCCTTGAAGGTACCCCCGACGATCTCAGAGACTTCATCGAGGTAGTAAATAACCGCATTTGGACCGGCATCGAACGTGTAAGCCGCCACAACCTTGCCAGCCACACGGTTAATATCATTCACCAGCCGAATCGCCGCGCGGGACACATCATTCAAATAGAAAATCGGCGGCTCAGAATCCAAACAACAAGCATGGAAATTGTTCGAGTCACGCATTGTCAAATCCGCAAACGCAGCAAAGTCTCGCTTGGTAATAGCTTCTTCCATACCGATCATTCTCTTGGGCACAATGTGTTCTGCGCGAGTAGCGAAGAGCGGTGAGGTGTGCACGGTGGTCTGCATACCCGTAGTACTGGGTACGTCCTTCTTTTCGGCACTGACGACCAAGATGAGGGCCCTCATCTCAGGCCAGTGGGATGCAGGAGCGATTTCTTCGGCGACGCTGTCGCTTCCATCTTCCTTTGTGCCGGCACGCCAGGCGACGTATCCCCCTTGCAAGGAACGGCAGGCAGAGCCTGAACCTTGTCTGGCGATCTTACTGAGGTCTGTGGGTGATTGCGGCAGTTCGTAGAGGTCTGCAATGGCGCGGACAAGAGCTGCGAATCCGGCGGCGGAACTGGCCAGGCCAGCGGCCGTCGGGAAGTTGTTCTCTGATACGACACGGAGTGGGTATGAGGAAAGTTTGGGGAGAGAGGGGTCGGCAGACTCGAGTTCCTTGCGCAGCGCACGCAGGCTTGAGAGGCAGGCGAGTGTTCGCTTGGAAGCGTTAATATTTTCGGGTTTGCCGTTTAAAGTGAGGGTATCACCATCAGCCGCGGGGTAGTTGGGCGAGCATGATGCGGTGGTTACGGTGCGGAGGGATTTTTGAGAGAGGGTGACGGAGAGAGAAGAATTTGTGGGTAGGTTCAGAGTCGCATCGCGTTTTCCCCAGTATCTGTGGTTGTATGTCAGATGTGCTGTCTTTCTTGTCAGGGAAATGTCGGGGATCGTACTTGATGACCGCAATGTTTACTGGAGCAGTCGTAGTGGCGCGGAACACATTGCTGTCAGCCATGGTAACAATCGACTTGAAGTTTGAAATAAAGAACAGGGACTCTTTATGTAAGCACAATTGGGTGTAGTCAAAAGGATTCTCCCCGAATTGAGGGGGGCCTTGGGCATATATTTGTATTATCCTTCGTCCTGAATTCGAGGGGTCCCAAAAGTTCGGCCAAAAAGGAGGGCGCTACAGCCCTTCCCAAACGGGTTAGGCGGTAAGCTTTAATTTTTGAGACTTTCTCCCGGACTCCGACTTGACCATGCTTGATTACCAATAGAATCAGTTTATCATTCGACACATATTAGGCTTGCGCAAGTCGTGAAACGTGGGTTATATCTACGACAAAGGTTTAAAATACGTACAGATAGACGTGGGACAACAAGATGGGTGCTAACGCCAGCACTCAAGCTTCGGCAACTCCTGCATCTCCGTCTCCGGACGAGTCTAAATGCCCAGTTGACCACAAGACACGCGAAATATGGCTACAACAAGGAGGCTCTGCCGGCGGACCTCCCCATCCTCATCCTATCTCTGCAGGCAATGCGACGAATGAAGACAAAGCCAACCCCAAGCTCCAGCGACAATTATCCAACGATCGCGAAGTGAGCACGATTCCACGAGCCTATGATGGCCCGACTACMCCAGACACAAGATCATCCATACCCTCACCCTACGCAGCATCCCCAGCCGCCTCACACGCCACACCTTCCAATGCCGAGTCCGAAACAGGCCACGACGAAGCAACGGGCAACTGGATATACCCCTCCGAACGCCAATTCTTTGAAGCGCTGATACGCAAGAGCAACGTACCAGGCTCTACCCAATCTGCAAAAGAATTGGCAACCTCAGTCGCCTCTATAATACCTATCCACAACGCCGTGAACGAAAAGGCCTGGCAGGAGATACTGAAATGGGAAAAGAATTCGCCCTCTTCCGACCCGGGCAGTAGTAAATGCGGTGGACCCAGATTATATGCTTTTCGGGGCTTGGGTACTGAGTCGCAATTCGTTTCGCCGCGAGCCCGTCTTAATGGGTTGATGGGGTATCAATTGCCCTTTGACCGTCATGACTGGGTCGTTGAGCGTTGCGGTGGAGAGAGGGTAGAATATGTGATTGATTTCTATCAGGGGAAAACAGCAGCAGTAAATCCACCGCAAGGAGAAGGGTCTGGAGGCATTATGGGTGCTACAGGGCCTGGAAAGTTGAGCTTTTATCTCGACGTACGTCCGAAACTGAATAGTTATGAAGGATGGCGTATGAGGTTTAATAAGTTCTGGGGGTTTTAGAAGCATTGTTTTGATATGATGGTATTGCATGGCACTGCGCTTTGATTTTATAGGTTGTACAATAGGATATCTTGTATTATAATTAGTTGGCCGATATGCCATGATGGCACGAATTAAATCACTTCTCAATAGTCACCATAAGTCGATACGCCTTTTTTTATGACAGAAGATATCGAAAATTAGTATTTAATTTGGAGTATCAAAACGGACTACTGTCGGCAAGTCGCAGTCATTGTTTTGATGAAGCGCTAGTGCAGCAGTCTGGTACCTTTTATTATTTACATCAGCAACGGCAGGGGTGCAATAACCTGTTTCTTCCATCAACTTTTCCTCTGTGGCCACACAATCTCGAAAATTTTGAGGAAGATATGGCTCAAAAAAAGTCAACGTCTTCACGCAAACGCCGTTCTGAGGTCGTCCCTAAACCTCCAAAACGCGTCAAATCTGCTACTACAGCAACTACTTCAGGATCAAAAAGGGTATCATTAACAACACTAATCAATAACAAAGCACCTACGACACGGCTGAATGTCTACGTGTTCGGAGAAGGTAGTGCCGGCGAACTCGGTCTTGGTCCCAAAAATGCTACAGATGTGGTCAGACCGCGTTTGAATACGCTGCTAGATGCAGATAAAGTCGGTGTTGTCGACATCGCAGCTGGCGGTATGCATGCCGTCGCTTTGACGCAAGATGGTCACGTTATGACCTGGGGTGTTAATGATAATCATGCCCTGGGACGTGAGACGGCTTGGGATGGTGGTGTCAGAGAAATTGCTGATGGTGATGATGACGCATCGGAAGATGAGAGTGAAGATGGAGAGTTGAATCCGTATGAGTCTACGCCGACTGCAATACCAGCAGAAAGTTTTGAGAAGAGTGCTAGAATCGTTCAGGTGACGGCGGGCGATAGTGCGTCGTTTGCTTTGACGGACAAAGGCTTTGTTTATGGATGGGGGACATTTGTTGTGAGTAACCATCAATCGATGTCAGGGAATCAAACTGATTACATCCGCAGAGCAACGAGGCAAACCATGGCTTTTACTGGAACCAGAGCCAGAACCAAGTTATCGAAAAACAAAAGAAACCAATGCTGATCCCCGGTCTTGAGAACATTGTCCAGATTAGCGCTGGCTACAATTTCTGCCTCGCGCTCAATTCTGCCGGTAGAGTGTACTCCTGGGGAATGTCAGAGCAAAACCAGTTGGGCCGTCGATTACTCCTTGGCCGGCAGCTCAGTAAGGCTGTTAAGCAAGACAATCTCGATAAGCTGTATCTCTGTGTTGGACTCGTGCCTGGCATTGTGCCTTTTTCGGCTAGGACGAAGATCGTATCTGTTCACGCTGGGAGTGATCATGCATTTGCCATTGATCACAACGGTAATACTTGGGCATGGGGTCTGAATAACTTTGGACAGACGGGTATCAAAGTTGGCGCTGGTGCAAATGGGACTACAGTTATTGCCCCTCAAAAGGTCTCTTCTCTGAAAGGCAGGAACATGAAGATGATTCAAGGCGGGACTCACCACTCAATTGGCATCGGTCACTCAGGTGAATGTCTGGTCTGGGGCCGTATGGATGGCGCTCAAATGGGTCTTGACTTGAGTACTCTGCCGCTTGATGATCCGCAAATCGTCGTTTCAGAACGCGGCAAGCCACGCATTCTACTTGAAGCAACGGCGCTGCCCATCTCTGGATGTTCCTTTGTGGCCGCTGGATCGGATCACAATGTACTCATCACATCTGAAGGCAAAGCGTATTCATGGGGGTTCAATGCCGGTTATCAGTGCGGACAGGGCAGTGTTGATGATGATGTTGTAGTTGCGACGTTGATTGATGGATCTGCTGTTCGTGGCAAGAGGCTTTCTTGGGCTGGAGCTGGAGGGCAGTACTCAATGTTAGCTGGGCCGTGTGGTTAGTTGAAAGCATACTCGAAAACGAAATGCTTAGGGAATGCTTTTCTCGCAACTAGTAGAAGGCTGAATTTGCACCCAAAATGCTACAGAAAATAATTTAACATAAATTGGGAGCGAGAGTCTGGTCATTTCTGGTAGATCTGACATAAGTATTGGAATATACCAGTCTGTTTGTATAATGGTATAATATTAGAACTACTAGTCGCTGCGGATCCACCGAAATACATACATATCCCAGTATGTACATACTATGTACATGTAGCTACGCGCTATTGTAATCAAACACATATCACGATCCAATCGATCGATCATTTCTGCAATACACCAATCACGATGCATGAGTTCGAGAAATTACGCAGGTGAAGCATACGCACATAAATGCAATGGATGAGGGATTGCGATCTTCATTTGAGGTTTTGTTTGATGGTTATTTCAAGTTCGGGTTCCCAAAGTTGGGTTTTCTATATCGTCTGGGTAAGATAGGGTAAGATCTGTCATGTGATTAGTTGTATACGTACTTCTCTCAAACCCAAGCCATCGCTTTTTTCGTGTATAGTTACAAATAAATAGCAAATGCATATGGATAAGGCTGGCTGTTCAGTTCTGTGACTTTGACTGAATTATGATTTACCGCAGGGATCAGGTTGACCAGTTAATAGTGACTCAGTTGTAGAGTCCCTGAGCGCTTGGCCAGACCTTCTTCAACGCCATCATGTGCTTAGAGGTCCCTGAACTGTACTAGGAATGATGCATCGCATTGACTCGTCACTGTATCAACAGTAGCATAGCCTGGTCATCCATGCAGGTAACGTAACAGTCAGTGAGAGAGTCAGATACTAAGGTCAGCCACTAAGGTCAGCCAGCCGTGATAAGCCGGCGAAAACCTGGCTGAGCTGCAGGCCTCAGGCGCTAAAGCAGTGGTTCCTGAGAAAGGTGGCACCTGCGCGGGCCGGCGTCTACTTAGTCCTTCCTCCGTAGTACCTGGCTCTGTTCTTTGGAGCTGTCTTATCGGGGACCCATAATTCATACTATTTCATAGTCGCAAAGCCGACCATCGCAATATACATGTCAATGGTCAAAAATGCTTCGTGGATAAAGAGAAATATGAGACAACATGTTTGGCTGTTGGTAGATGTACAATTGCAGTCATACCGACATGGCGAGTATAGAGTACGTACACAGAAGTCGCAGTCCATGGTAGTACCAGAGAGCAAGACTAAGAGTCAGGTCTAGAGCCTATTATGTAGGTAAACGCATGGGCCAAGCGTCAGGGGCAACACACCGATACGGTTAGTCACAGCCGCTAGCCCCCTTCCAGACAGATCGTCAGCCCAGGCGATGACAGGTCGTGCTTGTGATTGGCTGGCTGTTTCGCAAGCGAGGTTCGCGGTTCGCTGACTAAGGGCTGCACCTTCCCTGATTGGGCGGTGGACGGACAATACGTGCAGGGCCTGGGGTGCCCCTAAGGAAGGTGCTTCCCCGCTAGGTGACTCCAGCAGGTACCACCTCTCGTTCGCTCCTTCCACTTACCTCTTCCTGCTCTTTCCTTACTCCATCGATATTAATTCCTTCGTTAATTGTCTTCGTTCTTTGCTTTCTGTCCGTCCTGCTTCCCCAACCTCATTCACTACTCTCTCCTCCGTCTTTTGAGGAAGTGCATTTCTTTTATTATATTTTTGTAATTTGTTAATTTTGCATTTGTTCTGCTTTTCTGCGTGTCGTGTCGCTTTCCAGTTCCTTCGCTAGCATAATCGTTGATCTTACTGCATCTCGCCAATTGCATATTGTATTAATCTCAGACAACCGGTCATCAATGAAGTGTTCGACGACCTCCACGATTATCGAGATCCTCATCTAGGATCATGCATCTGACTCAATATGTGCTCCCTGCAGTCGTTCTGTCAACAGGCGTCAGCGCCTTCTATCCATACATACGCCCGTCAACTGCTACCCCGTCATTAACCACCAGATTGGTCGAACGATTTTACCCATTCCATCTGGGTGTGAGCGCTAGCAGCGATGACGGACCATTGACTCTTCCGCTTAGAAAGCGATCGACAGTGGTATATATTCCAAACATAATGGCCAAGGTTGGATGCTAACAATCCTACAGAATAGGCGAGAGAACAAGTACACGATCGTTCAAGGAAACCCTGCAACTGGTCCCAACAGTGTGACCGTCAATGAGGACGGCAATGACTTCTCCTACTTCTTTTCGATGGAATTCGGCTCAAACAATCAATCGATGTGGATATTGTTCGATACTGGTGGTACAAATAGCTGGGTATTCGGGACGGATTGTACGGTTACTGCCTGTGAATTGCACAACACCTTCGGCAAGAACGATTCGACAACGCTGCAGACGACAGGAAACACTTTCAGTGTCGGGTATGGATCCGGAACCGTCTCGGGCTTTCTGAGCAGCGACACAGTGAGAATTGCCAACTTCAGCCTGGAACTCGGTTTTGGGTTGGCCAACAATGCGTCAAACGATTTCACCGACTACCCAATGGACGGCATTCTCGGATTGGGGCGTTCCAATTCCAGCGTCACGGGACCCTCCACAGCAATGGAGGCTATCGCCCAGGCAAAACTTCTCCCATCGAACGTCATCGGAGTAAGCCTGCAGCGAAACGAGGATGGCGCCAAGGATGGTGAAGTCACTTTTGGCGGCGTGGACACCACCAAATTCGAGGGTGGCATCACATACACCGCTGTCAGTACGGCCACTGATCGGTGGGAAATACCCATGGATGATGCCGTCGTTGCGGGTACCCATCTGAACTTCACCGGCAAGTCTGCTATCATTGATACTGGAACGTCATATGTTTTCCTTCCACCGGCCGATGCCACAGCCGTTCACGTCCTGATTCCGCAAGCGATTCAATCCGGCTCAGAATTTTACATTCCATGCTCTACAAACTTGACCCTGCAATTCATCTTTTCTGGAGTGGCATATAGTGTGTCGCCTAAAGATTATGTCGGTAGTCCCACAGATGGTACTGGAGTGACATGCTTTTCCAACATCGTCGGAACCCAAACTTTTGGCTCTGATGACTGGCTTCTTGGGGACGTATTTATGAAGAACGTGTACTCAGTTTTTGACTATGACCAAAACCGAATTGGCTTCGCTGCTCGGAATGGTACGACTTCTACTACGAGTACTCCTTCGACAGTCGCCGCTTCTCCTAGCTCAGGGACAAGCGACACCACAACTTCAACCACCACTACATCAACAGCTGGTGCAAACCACACCAGTACATATACTGGCAGCGCTACCTCATTCACACTCCCCTCCTCGACCAAACTCGCAACGCTGGTCACCTTCCTAGGCTTGTATTTCTCCTTTAGCCTATGATCATCGATTTCTTACTTCATTTTTGCTTTGCATCTTTTCATTCGTTACGGATACCCACAACAGCATTCGTTTTTGATTCCTCCGACATCTATGACAGAACGCATCCTGTCGCCTAATCGTTTAATCTTTTCTCTCATGTCTGACAAGTTTTGCTCATTTATTCCACATTTCACGAGCTGTACTATACTGTTTAATCTTGTACACACGCACACACACTTCTGATTTGATTTCGGCACAAAAGGAGATATGTCGACAGCACATATCTATCCACCATCGGTCATATTTAGTTAGGGGTCTGCTGATATATATATATACATTCATCATCGGCATCGACGGGTCTATACTCTTTACCTCTTATATATTCTTAGGTAGTTTAGGTTAGAACATGAATAATTCTACCATTTATCATCATCCCAGTTGCGAGGACAATCTGCCGAGTAGTCGAAACTCTTTATGCGCTTGATACTAGATACTCAACGCATTCTCCATGCATGACCATTGCTCATGAAGCAATTCATAGCCAAATTGACCAAGGCTGGCCGTCAATTAGGTGTGTGAAATATGTCTTGCACTCACTAAGTTGTAGAGAAGTGAATGTCAATTCATAACATCGTAAAATTTCCGGTCTGATACCTATACTACTTTCTCGCGGGTACCTAACCAACAAACCACTCATGTTGGTCAGAGGTAGAAGTAGGTAATATACAACATACTCAAGTATGCATGTGAATGGACTACTTATATGTCCATGATATGTACAAACCCCTCATCCAAACCCCATCGTCCAGATAATTTCATCCCATCCTATCCTATCGCTCCCCACTCCCAGGAAAAAGTCACTTTTTGTTTTCTTATTTTTAAAATCCCATACATGCATGCAACAAATCGAACAGATGACGGCCGTAAAGTATAGACTCTTTGAAAAAAAAAAAAAAAAAATCTTTTGATCAAAAAAACTGAGAGGGCGCTTTCGTTTCTTCATATCAGTACCTCGTCATGTGTGCCGTATCAAAGCGGCAGACATATACATCGTCAAGTGGTGAGAACGGCTAAAATAGATAAATCATATCTTTGCTTCAAATGATTCGCTCAAGTGACCTCGCTTATATATCGATGTCGATGTCAGACTCGTGAACGAACTCAATCATTGCAATTTCGATGTAATTTGCAACAGATGCAAGAAGAGTCTAAGACTCGTCCATGACTTCATCAATCGTACTTGATGTCAAGGGCGCATCTCCCATTTCGGATCTCTTGCCGCCCTTTTCGCTGATACTTCCTAGTCTCGACTCCACCTGGGGTTCCTCCTTCATACATGCATTTTCGAGGATATTGGTCCATTTTCCAGGCGTTCCTGCATGGCTATGCTTGAGATGTTGTCGGAAGTGGTCTGCTCGGAAAAACTTCTTCACGTTGTTGCATTCACCAAATTTATGCATGGTAGTCAGGTGCTCAAAACGCTGATCCCAATCTGGTTCAGGGTTGTTAGGAAACTCCTCGCCACAATATCCACATGTGTCATGCGTAGGGCCCGCGCTTGTTTGTGTCGTAGGTGACGTTGATGGGTGAAATGCCGCTTGGAAGTTCGAAAGCGCTGCACAAGACCATGAATGACGTCGCAAATGTAGAGAGTTCTGGTGACGTTCTGCTTCGTTCTTGTTCTTGAATCGATTGCTGCAGTACTGGCATGTGTATTGTTTTTCCAATTCGTGACACCTGCCGCTCGTTAGTTCAAATTATTGACATGAATTCAATGGTGTTGCCGCTTACCGGAGCAGCTCTTGAGTTTCAAACTTCTTAGGTTTCTTCGGACAACAGTCGCAAATATATAATCCTCCCATTTTTGAATTGGCGCCTTTCGAGCTGCTGATGCCTGACTGTAAGGAAATCTTCCGGTTTGATACGGGCTTAGATTCCATGTAATATGGCGCTTTCGAAGCAGAAAACCCGCTGACTGACCCATTAGGACTGGGCTGATTAAGGGCTGCTTTATCGTGATAATGATCTCCTTCTGACTTGGGTGAAAGACCTCCAGCGGACATGTGATCATACGAAGACGCGCTTGTACAAGCTGAAAGTCCAGCCGAAGAGCTAAGGGATGTGGAAGTCCGCCAGCTAGCGGAAGACATGGACGATATAGAACTGTGACTTGGTAGGTGGCGTGAAATTGGTGAAACATGATTTGTGAAGTGGTGTGCGCTAGTTCGTCGCGATGCGAGATCGCCGTTGCTTGGTGCCTTGTGAAGAACAGGCCCCCGCGCGGGTGAGGAAGCCCTTCGTTTCATTCCGTGTTGTCCAGACATATAATCGCCATGGTTCTGTTCCATCATATGGTCGTCTTCGCATTCGACGTCTGGGAATACACCCTGCTCTTGATACTGTCGGCCGGAGCGAGGGAAGAAAGAGAAAGTATCTTCTGACTGGGGAGTCAAGGTTCCTGTCCGTCTGCGAATGGGAAGACTGTCATAATCTATGCTCGTAGATGGTGCGTTGCTTTCCACACTAGGGCTGCGATAATCTGAAGGATCTCTCCACGAAGTTTTTGATCTTGGCGAAAGACCACCGGGTGAGACAGCATAATTTCCAAGGCTGTACGACGAGTCATATAGCGAAGACGGATGGAAACTGGATCCTAAGCTAGAATTTCTGAGATCGCTGCCTAGTATGCTCGAGGAACGAGGTGGAGAATGAGGCTTGCCAATCTTCGACAAAAGATGTCGATCATAGTTATCCGAAGAGCTCATCACACATTTGCGGGAGAAGTTGCGTTCGCCTTGTAGACTGAACACCCGATACAAGTTAGCTTTCTGCAAGCACATTGATTCCAAGGAGGCACTACAAACGGTACACAGCTCGACTTACATTGGTTCTGAGAAATGGGTTGAAGTGTGAAAGCTTGGGGCGTCTCGTCTGGAAAGCTCAATTTTCGCCTGAGAAAAGCCACCACTTGATCTACCGATTGGATCATCTAATGACATGCGCTCAATGCGTGGAATGGGTTCTGGGGCATGGTGACCTCCAAACAAGCTTGAGCTTGGGTTGATGGGCGCTAGCTTGGTGACATCAGGTCGACCCATCCCATTGGCATGAAGCCAGCCCGCATCATGTCCATCTTCGAGATCATTGATCCGTTGTGGTGGAGGTAACGGGGGAGGAGCAAAGTCCTCAATTGTTTTCGTGGGGATTCGCATTGGACCGCGTGACGAATATGAAGAGTGTATCGAAGAGTTTCGATCGTGAGTGGACATTCGGGGGAAGTCCATGTTCGACAGCGCAAGTGACGCTCACCTCAGAAAGTCGTTTGAGGATACAAGCAGTCACAGCGTGCTTGAATGCTGACCCATACAACGTCGACAGTGCTTCCCTAGTAAAGATCGTAGTGGAGGATATCGGGAAGAGACGTCGTGTGAATTATTCAACCATAACTTGACGAAGAATTCTCAAGCAGCCTGATAACAAGTAGGAGTAATAAGTGTCAAATGACGGTCCGTAAGTATAACTCGGCGTACCGAGCCAATAAACAAAGCGCAAAGGTGTTTCAACGGCGATATGGAGATGAGAATGAATGCGCAGCACTTAAATCTGATTGATATATACCCTGTTCATAAGTCGAGTCGAGTCTGTGGAGACTGTTTGAAAGTGTAGTATTTAGGGGTGAGTAGGGCGCATGTAGAACGGGGAGAGCGTAACCATTCGTGCTCGGTCAATCGCGGACCGACTAGACAATATAATCCTTAGTTGGTGATCGATATGACAGTTCCTTTCGCAAATAATTCCTTTTTCCCACACCATTCCTTTCTTTTTTTGAGGTTCAAGTCACAATTGCAAATCGAGTCGACGGGTGAGAGGGGAAGAAGAGAATTCACCCGCGGTGATTGAAGATTGCCGGTGGGAGGAAGGAACGACGGAAGCAGAGAGATTTAGAAAGAGGAAGGAGCGAGCTTGCCAGGAAGGAAAGTACCGCGACAATTAAAAACTCGAAACGGGGCAGGAGCGATGCAGGATGCGGTAATGGCTCAATTCAAGCAGCAACAGTTAGACAGTGATTGGTAGCGATGGTGGTGACCATATCCAATACGACACAACGACGAGGGAGAGAAGCCATGGGAGGTGTATGTACTATGTAGTAGGAAGTACTAGGGAGACCGCAACCACAACCACCGGAGGGGAGTTAGTACATGGTAATAACGTCGTTAATAATAACAGGCGATAATATAGTTAACCATCCATATATTAACGTAAGCGGTCCTGGACGGGAAGAAGGAGAGAAGAAATTATTAATCAGGCAATGGTCAAGAAGGACATAGGGCTTATATCGATTAATGCCACTAATAATACCATGCATGAGGAAGGAGGGGCGAGTGATAGTGCAAGTAAATTTAGCAAAGTTACCAACTACGTACTATGGAAAGTTACATAGTATACCGTCGTAGTTTGGAGTCTGCTGAAAGAACCCTCGCTGGCGCGTAGCAGATGCAGCACGACTCCAGCAACAATGCTGCTAATCAGAATGCAGTTAGACTGTTAATTCCGACTTGCTAGCAGCACGCAAGCACTCCGTGGTTACCAAAGATTACAGGCAAATCATGGGAGACCCCGGGTAGAAGGGGCAAATCAATGGTTTTGCACCATGTCGCTGCTGTGGGGCAGGGGAGGGTCGTGTGTATAGGTAATTTACTTAGCCAACGGCCATGTACAGGTTCTGTAGTGTCATGTACAGTACTTGTACAATACACGGCCAACGATCCTACGGCGTACTTCCCTACCAGGGCTCTATTCGAAGCGCTTTGCTCCTTTCAACAATATGTAGTCACTTAGATGGCAGTCATGTTGATCCATTGACTGACATGGGTATGTACTGCAGCAACCATCACATCCTTGCCAAGTGGAAGCACACAAGGCCATAGGGCAAAACATGCTAATCAGCTCTATGCCAGTATGGACAAGGTACAATACATGCGCTAACCTCATCCAGCGTAGCCGTACTAAAAATGGCCGGGTGTATGTAAGTAGGGAGTAAAACGGGATGCATGGAAGGAGCCGTCAAGGCCGTCGTTCCGTACTTTAGGGCGTGCTTTTAATTCTATTTTCGCTTCTTCCTCTTTGCATGCGTGCATCACCACCCCTCCTCCTGCGCCTTCAAGTACATACTGCAGTCACGGCGCTTGTCTGGTTGGCCTCTTTTCAGCATTCCATCGGCGAATCACAAAATACATACATACAACCACGTCTGTATTGTTATTTATCCTACTAATTCCTGCATTCTGCATCCTAGGGACACCAAACCCCACTGTAGAGCCTGCGGTGGGGATGGCGAGTGGCACAGCACGCACCGTAACTTTGTTAGTAGACGGCGACTCTGATCGGGGGAACAGCCGTTGAGAGGACAAGAAGAAGATCTGTACAAACTGTCATCGTGCCGCGGTTACAATCTGAGCAGCAGCAGCAGCTTGCGAACGACGTCTCGTTAGTGCTGAACGGTGTATGTGGTAACATGTATGTGCTGTCCAGTAGCTACATCACTAAATCATACTAGAGTAGTGTTGACACTGTTCAGTACCTGTTTGCGACAGCCAGGTGCACTGCTTCAGCAAGCAATAATTGACTTTGGCCTCGCTAGGGCAGAAGTTAGTCCGTCGCACGCTAGCGCCACGCTACGAGCTCGACGACGTGGGTCCCCGGGTCCACGCTCCCTCAAGTCCAGTCCCAGTGCCATTCCCTGGGTTTTTTCTTTTTTTCTCCTGTGGTAAGGCGTGGCTGGCGCTTCCGAATGCCCCGTGATATGGTACGGTGCTGTCATTCTTGCGGGCTCATTGGTAGCTAGTACGCACTTGGTACATCTTAGCACTTACCTTCTATTGATCGGTGTATTCACTGTATTCGTGCTGGCTCGTCCAGTTCGTTTTGCATTCAGCTTCGGCCGAGGATGTTTCCCCATTTGAATCGACTGACTGACGATGTAGTCAGCACGTCGTATAACCACGTTAGCCAACTATACGGTACTTGTGACTACGTACTGACTGAGTCTGACTCAGGAGTCTCAAATCACAATGTATGCTTAATAAATCAATGAGAATTCAGCTACCACCGAGGTCTTCCAGCCAGCCAACTGGAACGCCTTACGTATCGTACCGGAAAACTAGTCTGTACGGCGTACTGCAGAGAGCCTGACTCGGACAGTCGTAGGGCAGACTCCGCCACCGGACAATTCTGCCAATCTATCTATTGTTGTGCCCCATCAGGTTAGACCTGGAGGATCTTGGCACTGGCAGCCTCGTTGATCAGTGGTCAGCTTTTAGTTCGCGCAGACTCAATAGTTAGAACGTTCCAGCAATCGCGTTCCTGTGGTGTTTTGGCACAGTTTGAGCTATGAGCGAATGAACCCTGCATCGACCATTCACCCCTCTCAGGCGAAGAGGAGACGAAGCAGATAAAAAAAAGCTTGTACGGAGCATCTCGTACCAGTCTGTCAGGGCGGGTCTTGCCTCCTAGGGCATGACTCGGTTGGATATACCGTTATACGAGTTTTGCCAGCGAATAAACTTCATTAGCGATCTTTTTATTATTTTGGGTCTGGTGAGTGGCATATAAAGACTGCGTTTTACCACAATTGCGAGCGTTGCAACAAGACAACAGATGATCAGGAGGTTGTGTTGTCGCTGTCGAGTCTTAGCTCCCAGTAAATAGTGCAGCTTAACTACCTACCTTACTGGGTTAATGCAATTCATGCAGCCAATCAGCCGTTACCCACCCCACTCGCTAGTTGATTCCTACTAATTTGCTAGACAGTAATAGCTCCCAATATTTTTAACGTCGTTGAACGGTTGAAGCGGTGAAGAAATCAATCCTTACGAATAAATTAAAAATTACTTCCAGAAGCTCCAACCGGTATGTTGCCGTTTAAGGAACGACATATCGACATACGTGGGTACTGTACCCGAAATTTACGAATGAGGAAGGTCTTGTGTTCCCCAGTTTGTGCCTGTTAAGGTTCAATAGACAAGATCGCTGTTCATAATCTAGGGCTATAAAGCACATGCGTGGTTTTATCTGCTAAACGACAGCTACGACAAGACTTCGTATACTGCGTAGCGACGTAGCAATAAAACAGCTAGTAACTATGTACACATACTGTACAGAATACCGTACGTTGCAATAGCTCCCGTATGTAAAGGATGGAGATCCTGCGCCACACACAATATGATAACACTGATCTTCAAGTCAAGAGCATCATGGTGATCATTGGAATAAGCAACTACAACGTACTACGTACGCAATTCGATGAAATCAGTGACTTGGTGTGACCAATGAACCCTACCAACCACCATGTCGAGCCTAGCCAATCATACAAGAACCTGCGATGACTGCTTCAGGGCGCGCATTTGCCCTACGCCGCATAACCGCCGCCAGTAGGTCAGACAATCGCCGGAGTCCGTCGTCCGAACTTCGATTGAATCAAGAGGTTCAGCCTTACCTGGGTACTCCGTACATATGTAACATTGAACTCACTGCCTCGATTACGGCACAATCATAAAACCGATCGAAACATTAGAAGCATCTCCCAGAATTCCTTAGCGACGCGATCTTCATACCCATGTAGCCGTCCATGTATGTACGTACGTACGTTGTACTATGCACGCTCTATCGGGTCTGGTGTAACCAACTCTAACTTATGGACCATCATGCTTTTCCTGTCCAACTTCCCAGGGCTGATTCGGATGGAACTTCAAGAGTCATGCTCACTGCTGACTGATAGTTTACCTATCTTTGGGAACTGAACATTAATTGATTGAATTTTTGGCCTCGTGACAATTCTATCGCCCAAATTTGTATCAACAGTATGCAAGTGTACGAATGATTTGAAAAGTCTAAATTTGCATGCTAAGTAAGTATTTCTCCGCGTTGATACTGTATTCGGAGAAACAAGTCGAACTTACACGATAAGTCTTATATTCTTTTGGTGAGATATGAATCCCTACACGGAAAGTTGAGGGAATATGGTAATGGTACCGACGTCGGCACCATCAAAGGTTTAAAACATATGGCAGAAAGTGTGTTTAATTGTCTGCAATTACGTATGCCTGTGATGTATGTTGCTACATAAGTTAATTAATTAGCGGACATTACTACGTTTTAATACATACAGTACAACACAATTTCCGGATAAACATTTCCATCCTTCTACCAGTAAACATGAAAAGCGCATCTCCGCACATGTGAGGATAAAACGCAGACGTAGTAACGCATTACTATGTTGATCATTGTGCATATCGTCCTGTATAAGACCAGGACTCGAAGATGAGATGACATGGTCAGCCGATGTATTGCTTCCTTTCCAGTTGCTGATCAGGTCAAGGCAGATTCTGAGTGCAAGGATCACGACTGAATCATTTGATTAAGTACGACATAGAGGTTACAGATTGATTGTCGACTGTTAATTAGCTGGCTTAATCTAATGATCACAGCTGTATGTGGTGGATATCCGTTTTACCGTACATACGTACTAGATAACGGGTAATTACGTGTCAGTATCGTGTAGCGTTAGCTTTTGCCTAATAGCATGCCCATGGACTAGGACTCGCCCCTTGGCCCGCCCGCCCGTCAGCCTTAAGAGGCGAAGTGGACCGCATCCGCTTCTTCGGTCATAGCGTGGAAACAGTGCACCTCCCATCCTAGCCCTAAATTAGTAAAACACTGTTATCCCTTTAGGCCTTAGGGTTGGTTGGTTGGTTGGCTCAGCTTGAGTGGCTCSTGGKCAATATATGTCGCATGACTAATATTTCCGTCGGGGGTTAGAATTTGTTCTGGCCTCCGACGGATGGCTGAGAACTCCGTCAGTGTACACACTTTGATTAGTTTAATTGACTAACTAAACGCTGTCTCGGCTCTTGATCAAGGGGCCTCTGAAGAAGACTCCATGAGAGTTGTATGATAGAGTTTTGGAGGCCTTCGCCCATCCCAACCAGTTTCGGCTTTTGCTGTCCCCCCGGGTCTAACCACTGCCTTGGACTCCTGAATGTGTGCGCTGTGCACGGCTTCCTGGTCAGAAATGTCAATTTTGTCAGAAAGTGTGGATGAAATCCACTTCACAGAAAGCTTTCAGTAATTTCTAAATGAGAATGTCCACATGAAACGCTTTTTGGGGGTTGCTTGAGCCCTGTAGACTCTGGATCAGTGGGCAGACAAACCACAAACGGCCAATTTGGCCGTAGTGGACGCCCTCGCTTGGACCGCTTTAGCGGCGGTACTTATCTCCCTGAACCATTCAATTAAGCCAACCCAAATGTCAATGCTTGCACAGAAATAGCAAAGAATTACGTATCTCACAAATTGCAACGTGGTATGGGGAATACCAAAGTTTGGCTAACATGGCAATCCATTGAATATAGGCGGGAGGCGAAATGTGCAAATCCCGAGACACGCTTATTTTCAAAAGTAATTCTTGACGTCAAAACGCTCGATGTTCGTTCAACTTCGTTATTCGTTCCTCCAGTCAATCTAATTACAGCGTCTAGGGATTTGTTCTGCGGGACAAGGCATGGTCTTTGACTTTTGGCTGACTTGATTGCCGGCTCCCATCTTGTTGAATTATGTATGATGTTGATCTTAATTCTAGAGTGATAAGCTGCTGTAATCTGACTTTGGCGTCAATACTCGGGCATCTTTCGATGGTTGAGACTTGAGTGTCAATCAAGTCGTACTGAATTACCATTGTACAGCCACTTTGTCACTAGAAGTATGTACTACGTAATACCATTGGACGCCCTGGATAAAAACTCGCCCAGAGCATCGGCTATCCCGGCCAATGCTCACCTACGTTTCATTCAAGTCGTCAACGCCGTCCCAAGGACAAGGAATACATATTACTCTTATAGGCAGAGTCTGCCCTACGACAAAGGATTCTTCTGCACGCCCATCTGCACTAGTCCATAAGAGGCAAGTATACAAAGACGGTTAGACCAGCCGGCTAATCTAAGCCGTTCCTAGACTAGTCTCCACACGCGATCTCCAGAAGCGGCTAGGCTGGTGTTGTTGGGGTAGAAATTCTTATTTTTGACTCTATCAAAGTGTGCGTCTCACACAACTGCGTCAAATACGTATATCCATGGACATCGACCAGAGGGGAAAGATCTAACCAAGTCAAGCCAAGACAAAGCTCTACAGCCGTTGATTGTGCACCACTGCATGCGTGCTACCACTTCCGTCCCCTCATATACTATTAAAATCTCGATCGATCCGATTTGGCAGTATGGCTCTGAATCGTATTGAGGGACACAACCTCTACATCGGCGGGKGAGTTTTKCTTTTTYTTTTCATCTCCGTTTTTTTTTTTTTCGAGATGCCGGGCTTGCCGGTTAAAAGCGATCGCCTTACGTACATTGCCTAAATCAAATATGATGGACTGCCTGCTAATTGCTCCACTCCGCCTTGCCCTTGTTACAGCGTGATCTCCCTTAGAAACAAAGCCGCACTACAAAAAGCCAATATTACGCACGTGGTCTCCGTACTGCGTATGCGCCCAGATGAGAATCTAACAGAAGGCTTTGAGCAACTCAAAATTGAGGTCGACGATGTAGATGACGAAGATCTTTTGCAATATTTTGCGTCCGCCAATGCATTCATTCAGGCAGGGTTAGATGCAGGTGGTGGTGTTTTGGTTCACTGGTGTGTTTTGTGTTTCTATTTTTTCCCCTTCTACCCCTCTTTCCTGTGTCGGATGGATGTCCGTTCGGACCCTGTAATAGCCTACAGGGTCTAAGATAGCGAGGTCACTAAGAGAGGGTGTGGAGCCTTGTCTATGGCTACTGCCGGTGCTATGTTAATGGCTCAGGGTGATGATCTCCGTCATTTTGATTGGTTGCTTGCTTTTCATATACTACCTCACCCTACATGCAGACCTATAATAGTTTGATACTGACGATGATCATAGTGCTATGGGAAAATCTCGTTCAGCAACAGTATGTATAGCATATCTATTGCACCAACACAGGAATCTTGATCCACAGTCAGCCCTGGAACTGATTCGCAAAACCCGGCCATTAGCTGAGCCAAACGATGATTTCATGAGGCAGCTATGGCTATATCACGAGATGGGTTGTCCGGATGATGTCACCAGTGATCCGAGATACCTACGCTGGACATCGCATCGTCAAATCGAGCTTAGTGCCGCGTGTGGCAGAGCTCCGGAGATTGATATTGTGCGGTTCGAAGATGAATTACCGCGTGATATCAGTTCTTATGAAGGAGAGAAGGTGACTGAGATTCGATGCCGTAAATGCCGGTATGTCACACATCCTATACGTTTACGAGAACGAGTCCCTCACTAACAAAAACAGACGCATGCTCGCCACAACCCCATTCATTAACCCCCATGACCAAGACACCAAAAAATCCACCACACCATCTACGGGCAGCTTGGACTGTGCACACATATTCCTCCATCCCTTAACATGGATGCGCCCCTGCCTATTTCCGGGATCCGCTGCTTCAGCCGCCTCTCAGTCATCATCCGACGACATCAGTGGGCTGACGGGCACAGCTACTGACGAGGCTCCACTGTCAGGTCGACTAACGTGTCCGAACCCGAAGTGTGAAGCTAATGTAGGCAAATTCGCCTGGCAGGGATTGCGTTGCAGTTGCGGGAAATGGGTTGTGCCGGCTATTGGTGTTGCGCGTGCTAGAGTTGATGTCACGGAGACAAAGGCGGATAGCACTGCTCCTGTTGCGAGCAACAATAACAATGCCAGCAGCAATGGCATGAATAGTAGATTAGGAGCGATGGGCATCCGATTACCGCCTCATATGCGGGGAATGACCCAAGACAATAATGGCCAGAGTCCGAGAAACAATCTCTGATGGAGATTCGGTTACATGTTGTTGATACTTATGACGAATGAATACAAAAAATTGATACCCCGATACTCCTTAGGCTCACGCATTGAAGTAATCACAGACACGAAATACGACGTAGAATGATATGATCGACGACTGCCTTTCGTCCGTATAGAATCTGCCCTGTAGCTGAAGATGTAGCTAACGGTTATTGCCGTCTAGCCTTGTAGGTACTACTACGTATGAAGACACGAACAGATCTAAAAGAAGTACCTAGATGCGATACACTAGGTCGAAAGTAGAAATACTTTTCGACATGAACTCGCTCTGTACGTCACACTCAGCCTAAAGACGATGGGAGCTCGCAAATCTATCTAATTACAATTGTCGATTGCCTAGAATTGCCAGGTTTCTCCGTAACTTAAATACTGGTTATTACGATGACGTTAACTATACATATAGCTACGGCTAGCTGAGGGCATCCATATCAAGGTGAGCGGAGACGCCCTGGAATTAGGGCTAAATGACGAGAGCTTCACGATCCGACCAATTGGCCGCAGGCATAATCCATTGTTTTGTCCACTAATAACATGGCCTACAAGTATGAATAAAGATGTCGGAAATTAGTCTCACGCAAGATTCGTACATATTTGCGAGCTCTTCCAAGTTCTAGCCAGTTTTCGTCTAATTATCGTGCTCGCGAAATTTACCTAAAAGAGACTTGTTGGCTTGGACTCGGGCTCCTTGCTGAGAGTTTCGGGGCTGAGAGTTTGTATTGAGTAATCCTTTTCGGAAGCACCTACGCTGTAGCCTTAGGGCTAAGACTTACTTACTATGGATGGATTGTTTGTTACTTAGTGCTTATTTATCGATACACTAAATACTTCCTAAGTATTCAATGTTGGTTCCAGTTAAAGACCAGTTGGTCAAAGCTTGTATGTATGTATAGTCGCATTGAAAGCAACGGTTTTTGTATATTACAAGCTAGTTACGAACTGTTCAATTTGATCATAGTGCAAGTCCATTTCGAGGTGATCAACATCTAACCATATGAGGAATAAAGCCAGCCTGAACCGACCTTCGACTTTCTCTATCGATACCCTGGACCGGATCGGAGTTGCAAGTTCTCCGGTCTGCATAAGCCCTACACCCTAAGATCTTACCGAATACGCACTTCCCTTCGTGGCCAAATGGTCTCTAAGTGTGGTGGCTGCTTATGTTCACTCTATATGTATCAAGCTTTGCCATTAAGATCTTGAAGGTTACATCAATTGCGAGTCCAGGCCTTTGTCAAATGCTTTATTGCACATATCTGTAACGTTGAGCTCAACCTGTACTTTTACGAAAAGGGACTTTAGTAAGCTGACTGCATTTGACGGAATTGATAAAAGCAATCTCATCGGTATGGGTAGCATCACAATTCAGAATTATGTCTGAAAAACGTGCATTGAGAAGTTTGTGGCAAAAAGATATCCAGTCCTGTTATGCCTACGAAGCAGAAATTAGGGAGCCACAGACCATTCACACGTAAGTACCTCCAGTGAGTCCAGTCTAAGAACTTGGAAGTTTTGTCCAAGTATAAAATCCACTCATATAAGTAGACTATCCCCTACTGCGTAATTTCACCCGCTAAATTTTAGTGTATACGTACATATCAAAGCCGATAGTTATTATCTTACTCCATGCTCTGCCGTCGGCCATGAGTTCCTCCGATCAGCTACTCGATAAATTTTAAGTAACTTGGCGATGAACTGAAACCGTTAACTACCTTAAACTATCGGCCTGTGGCGTCCCCTAAATTAAGGCTGTCTTCTTTAGCCCTATGCCACTAACTCTTGACCTCAATTCCTGAACCGCATGGTCTAGCCCTAGTCAAATAGCCAGTTATTAAGCTGTCTACTCATACAGCAATGGGTCTGATGGAATCACGAAAGTACTCCAAACATACCATAACAACTGGAATCATACTGAGCCGGCTTTGGAGTCAAATAAATTAATTAATCAAATATGGGGTCAGTGGCGGTCGTCCTCCCATATGACATCCTAATATATGCGGTCCATTGCGATTTCCATCGAGTTGAGTGCCATATTGCCCGTTACGGTTAGAAGATGCTATATGATGGCTGAGATATAGGGCTACGTCAATCAGTAAAAAATTTTTTCTCTCAAACGATAATAATATTTCGTATTAAGTACTAAGTCGAATAAACTAGTTTAATGTCACAAGAATTGATGCTCACCGCTGTCTCGGTTTTTGTTCCTTGCTAAGGCCACAATCTAGCCCTAAGTGCTTAACTACACACTAGGGGAGCCACTTGACCCATAACGCATTATTCTCGGACTTTTTTGATATTGCCCACATGTCACCTGTGAGAAATTAGTGCCTGGTTAATATATTACAATCGAGATCGCCTCACTATGCTAGGTCCCTGTGCCTGCTGTCCCACAGTTAATTGGCATTGATACTGCATTGGGGTACTACTCACAGGTACTGTTAATGGAAAATTTCGGCTTGATCATACCTGTACTAGCCTGAGCTTATCTCTCTTTATGCTATGTAACGTATGCATTGATCTCTGTAGTTTTCAGGGTTGCGCATTGAAAGGAAAATTTTCGGTAAGACTTGCCATCCGGTCCACCTAAAAACTCTTAGAAAAGCAAGTTGAATTCAATCTGGTATCAGGTACAAAGGTTTTAAGTGCATATAATCAGATCCGGGGGTATTACTACATAAAGAAGCCGAAAAAGCAACCTTGGAACCATTCTATGAGGACAACGCAGATTAGGGCAAGAAAGTCAGGGCGTAGGAACTTGAGGAGGGGAGGTTAGGGCACGGCTAGCCAGCACCTGAAGTAGTTGACAGGATATCCATACTGGAAAATTAAAGCATGGCAGCTAGTAAAGGAAGCAATGATTGAAAGTGTAGCCCTTGGAAATCGTATTCACCGTCAGACACTTAGTAGGAAATCGACCTCGGGAATCAACCACTTCCGATAAAAAAGAGATGTCCGGCTTTCTATGGAAGAAAGTCAACGTCTTCTGCGGGAAGCTGCAAGGTTTCTTTCACATAGGCTCGTATAGAACGGTCTTTCATAGCCTGATGCAATGCCATCGGATCTTTTCTGGCGTTCAATACATCTCGATAGAGCCTTTTCCTCTTCTCGGTAAATGCGTCCATAGTATACATGTTCTCTCTAGCTCGTTGGTATTCACAGTCCCCTGGACAGAGTCCGTAGTCTTTCCAGGCCTGTAAGCATTCTTTTCCAGGCCCCAGAAATTCTTCTTTTTGCTCTGGAACAGCTAATATATGACGTAATCTCCAGACGCTCTCTTCTTTCTTGTTGGCCCTCGCCTTAAGGAAACCCTTCAAATTATGGAATTCGCGCATTGTAACCCATAATTGAAATTTTCGGTAGGTCCTATCTGTCTTGACCAATTGCTCAAAATCTTGGGCAAAAGTCCCATTTGTCCAATACCCATAGAACTTCTCGAAAGAGTGAGAAGATATACCGAGGTCCTTGCGAAAAAAGCACTCGTACATGTTTTGCAGATATCCCGGACCATCTTGGAAAAAGACAACAGCAAATCCCATGTCATACCAAATGTCAAGGCTTCTATCAGACCACAGATATGCAGCCCGAGGTCTCTCTTGAAATACTATCATACCCAGAGCAAAATGAGCTTTTTGGAGATCCAGCAAATCGAGGTTAGTCTCTCGACGCCGAGCACATTCCATGGCTTGCTTGGACCACTTTTCCTGAATCGCGGAATTAACAGGTGCTGAGTTATCATAGCGCTCGATTCTATGCTCCCTAAGCTTTGCCTTGGGTCTGAAAAACACGCTTCGTTCGAAGGCTGGACGGTCCACCAAGAGTGATGGTCTAACAGCGGCTGGTAAATTTCTCAATATTGAAGAAGAATTTTCAACAAAGTGTTTATGGTCACACCACTCGACGGCTGTTTCATAGTCGACTCCCTCCTTTTTTAGCATAGCATAAACCTGCACAAGACTCCATGCTTCATCAGGCGTGTTGCACCTGGAGAAGAGATAACGATCCCAGACTCTTATATCGTAAGGGACTGTTTCAAGCTCTACAGCTTCATTAAGTATAGAGGCATATTCTTTGGGCGTTAGTTCCTCTACTAATCTTTCGGCTTTAGACATTGCGAGAAACAAATCAGGGGTAAAGTGGATTAGAGTTGGCAAAGGTGAATCACAAGTTGACGAGTTAAGGAAAGAAGCTGTCAGTTCGTTTTTGATGAAGTCAAAGCCAGGAAACATTTGGCCTTCTTATAAGTTTGCAATTTTATATTGGGATGATATGACTCCTTCGGATTAGACCATAGAAGTATGACCCTCTGTGAGTCAAGTCTACATTGAGATGTATGATGACGGTCAATCAATAACGCGAAAATCGTCCTAAGTTGAACTGCTTTGCTCCGTTTAGAGAATCGATAGTAATGAATTTTGATGAGTACTCTATGTTGCAGCATCACTATTCCAACTTTGCATTCAGACGTATTGATACTAGATGTCCCAGTGCTTCCATTTAGCAACTTCATCTTCCTGCATGAATCCTTGGAAGTCTTCGATCCTGGATCCTTCTAAGTTAACTATCTAGCTATAACTAATGACTTCTAGAATCAGTTATAGTTAATAAAAGCTTACACCTTTTGCTGATAAGTACGTGTTATGAGATTCAATTCTTACGAATTAATAGTTGATTGATGATGATTTTTATCTCAAAATGAAATTCAGGATCATTTTATAATGTCTTGATCTATGATTTTCGGGTAATCGTAGTGGATCTATTAGTTTTAGCTATGCATCCCTCAAATTCAATCTACATATAAGTATTTAGGTATAAATGACATTTTCTGATCCTTGGATTGGAAGCCATCAGACTCTATCATCACATGGTCCTAGTGTGTGACTTGTTCTGTACCTACATAAATAAGTGACTATCGCAACTATACAGACCAAGCATATATAAGCATATACTGCTCTTTTTCACAAGGAGCAGGTCAACTTTACGCATATGTGGCTTAGGTGATATCCAGATGTCAACACTACTCACTTGAGTTGCTTGGAGGAAGAAGTTTGATATTCAATCTGATATTAGATACAAAGGAATAAAGTGCATGGAATAGAATCTAGGAGTATTGATATTGACAGGAGAAAGTACAAAGCAAGCAATTAGGGCAAGGATAAATAAAACCTGACATGAAAAGAGATTAGTACATGAGGTAAGTCTAGTGGGATTCAATGCATTCATAAGCAAGACAAATAACAGCGAGCATGAAAAAAAAAAAAAATGGAAATGCAACCAATCAAGAAGAAAAAAGGTAAGGCAGACCGATATCTGAACATTGTGTAACTTCAATATCCCAGATAATGGCTACTTGGGTGAGTGAAATCGTTTGACCAAGCACTTTTTACATGAACCTGACAAGTCCGGCAATGACTTGGTCAAATTCGACCGCCTGTCTTGCATCATAGTAGCGCCAACCTTTTGCTATCAGGATGCTTGCCGTTTGCTTCGTCAGCCTCCCTTGCAAAAGCCCGAACTCCTTCCCAATTTCCAGCCTGCATTCTTCTGTGAAGCTCCATTGGGTTTTTACAAAAACGCAAACACTGCAAGTACTGTGTTCTTCGTTCTTCTATGTTCTTAACCCTGTCACCTCTCTGGTGCAATCTGTAATCTGTCCATGCAGTTCCGAAAAGACGTTTTATAATATCATCCTTATCGATCTTTTCCTGGCTATAGTTCTCAATGCCCATAGATAGCAGATGACTTAGCCTCCAGATACTCTCTACCTCTTGTCCATTGGCTTTCTGTCTCCAGAAGGTCCTGATATTTTCAATAAAATCAGGCTCTGTCTCTTTCCATTGCTCGAACCGAGGGTGGAGAGTTCCGCTACTCCAGTATGTATAAAAGTGCTCAAAAGGGTGTTGAGTGACGCCCTTGATAACGCCGCCTCTAAAAGCATTAATATACCTGCTCGAAAGCTCATCATCTAGGTAAATAGTGTGTGCAACGGGAAATCCCATGTCAAAATAAGTGTCGAGGTTGATGTCCTCTAGCACCCAGGTAGGATCTGGTAGTGCTCCCCATACGATCACACCGAAAACAAAATAAGCGTTTCGTTTCTTGATCCATTCGTTTGGATCCAAGTGTTTTTCGCTTGGTTTACCAGCCTTGACGCAAGCCCTGCCTTGAGCAAGCCACTGCTCCGTGCTCTGATTACCCAATGTAGTGTTGCTACTCAATGGTGTAGCCAGCACCGCTCTATGTTGCTCAAGGAATCTTAGGAGACTGCCTGAATCTCCATATTCATCGTTGGAGTTTTTGATATGTTTGAGGGCGTTCTCCACAAATTCGCCTTTCACGCACCACTTTCCAATCGTACTAGGAGTATGTCCCAATTTCATAAGCCACACGTGTACATCACGCAGGGTTACTGCGTCAACTGGCTCTGGACACTTCGAGTAAAGGTATCTATGGCAGACTCGGTACTCGTAAGGGATCATTTTGAAATGGTGAGCTTCACGGAATATCATAGAATAATGTTCAGGCGACAGGTCCGATGGCTTCGTATTTGCGTTCGCCATATTCTTTCTTTTGAGGATCTAGACTTAGGAAAACTGAGATTGAAGTATCATGAAAATTTATTATTCGGMAACTTATAAGGAGAAGTGAAGAGGATGCTTGTTGGTAGAATTCAAAATCTACACAGGAAGCCATTTGACCTCCTTATAAGCTTGCGCCGAGTTGAATTGTTCATGTTGAATCCTTCAATTGTAATTACCTGTGTGTCAAGTACGCTGTCATATCTGATGAGATGACAGAGAATTTGGCTGATCTCAGTCCGAGTGTCATTGTTATCTGTTGTTGAACACCGCCGCTTGTAACTCTGCCAGGCAATACTATCGATATATTTGAAGGGATGGCAACAGAATTGTTGGCATCAATTTTATTTCCTTTGTTTATTCATCAGAACTTCTGGAATATGTATACTTTTTGTGAGTCTACATTTGGAGCATGATGCCATATTTAGTGAAATGGAAGAGAATCAGCAGACTCGGAGGCGAAGTTCATTGTCATCCTATGTATGATGATGACTTTCATTTCAGACTAATTCGAATCTATAAAAGTCAAGAAATGGTTTCACAGTCCTGAAGCAGGATTGGTACTTGACTTTCATTTGTCATTAATGTTGAACTCCAGCTGTGATGCCTCCAGAGTCAAAGTACTTGACATAGTCAATGATACAATAGATGATCAATGTAGTGATATTCGAGTTCATTTTATCCCATGTTGAACTTTTGATTCATGACTCCTCATTTTACTAATATTGTCATACAGGCGGACACTCTAGAGATCTTTTGATCAAATCAAGTCCTGAGAAAATTCATTGATCATGGTCTTGCGGTCGTTAGATGAGCACTTTGATGTTGAGTAACCTCCAAGTTTCTCTAAATGATTGAATATACAGCTATTAACTTCGATATCGGAGAGGCATAGCAAATATCAGTACCTCTACAAGCTTTGACATTTGCAAGAGTATGCACCCCGTAGGGTTAGTGGATATGTTTGTGCCGAGTAAGGGCTTGGTTCAATGTCTGATTTTTGCCGGAACATGCCCACGAATATGATTTTAGGTGTAAACTCGTCAAATTTTAGGTGTCTATGTGGAAGTAAATTCAAATATGAAGAATTGAGGAATTGAGGAAAACAGGAAATGATGAAGCATATGAACTAATTAGATATTTGAAAACGATATTATATGGAGTTTTCGTCCATTTCCATCGCGCAGACTGTAGATATCAACAATCTTGGTATATCAAGTGTGACAACTTGGAGACATTCTGTGTGGAACAAAAAAAAAAGCAAAATTGCTGTTTCCATCACGTACATGTACGGCGCCACGTCTGGTGCCTACGGAATGTACCACGACGACCTCCTCTGGCCCTCGTACGACCAAATATTTTTGTATCGGTCAATGTTCAACTCTGCTCCCGGATGATTGTTTTCAAAGTGACGCTCGAACGCGGCACGACTAGTAAACGTATCGATATTAGGGCAGCTTGGACAGTGGAAAGTCGAAACCAATGCAAATCTCTCCCAACGATCTGGGTCTGCCAACAATCTTCTGCGGCGCAGTTTGACAAGTTTCTCAGCACATCGCTCCATTTCTTCTTGGCCACCACCCTTCAGATATTTCTCCACGATGTTCCGCATTTCACCCATTGTCTGCTGACCTGGACTTTGTTTTCTTTCATTTTCAAACAAGGGAATCCACTGATCCATTATCACCCGGTTCCAATCACCAGACCGATCGTTGATGCGGAAGTAGGAACTCCCACGCCCTAGTTGCTTCTCAACTTTCCGGTTGACCTTGTCGGTATCTCCTATTGCTGCCAGTAGTCCCCTGAAAGGCGCGAGCATGTTCGCCACACCCCCATTTCCCATCGACGTGTGATGCCTGGCGCCTGTCCCAATGCTTACGACCACCGTTGGGGGCTGCATTGGCTCTAACAATTGTAGTTCATGGACGGCGTCTTCAGTGGGGTTTGAAGCACGCATTCCTCCATATTTGAAGCTCCAGCTTCCTAGCTCCTGCTTTTCAAAATAGGTTGGTGCTGCCATCGTTGCGTGTCCCACCTCCCACAAAGAGGCACCACAACTAGGACCAGGATTTAGAGGGGCATTGCCAGTCTCTTTGTTGGGATAATGACTGTAACTTCGGAGAATATGTCTCTTGTCTGGGTCAGCCCTGGACTCCCCACGAGCGACAACAATTCTGGTAAAAAATCAGATTGATTCCGAAATATGTATCATTCATAGTGCGCAAACTAACGTTCTGCATATATCCAAGTCCGATGTCAAGGGAACGACCTCTAGGTTTCCAGCATATGCACCTCTGTTATACACGCTGGTTAGGTCTCTGATGGCGCGTTCAAGCCCGTAAGTACTATACTTCCTTTCTGGCGACCAGAGTGGAGGGAATCGCCGACAGTGGAATGTCCTAGGGCGGCCGTAAACGCGATTTGAGATTCCAATATATTCTTCGAGAGCACTATGCGGGATCATGCGCAGTCTGGCCAGCATTATGGCAATAAGTCTATATACATAGGCATGTATTAGCAAGATTCACATTCAACATACCGACATAAATATTTGTAATCAAACGTAGGAAATTTCGATACCCTCCAGTCCCTGATCCCGCGACGTAATCAAAGTAATGGCATGGCAAGTAGGGCAGACTCTCCGACTCTTTACTCGAGAGCGACATCTCAAAAGGGGAGAAACTAGACGGTGATGATGTCGTGTCCGCGCCAGGGACATCGCTAAGGATGCTGCTCAAAAGTAGTTCATCCTGCTCGACTCTCGCAATTTCCCGCATTAAAGCCTCTAAAAGTAGCAGGCTCGCGAAACCTCTAACACCACCACCATCTGAATGACAGAACGATTAGCCTCGATGGACCCGAGGATGTATGTAACTAAGGAGCACCTGCTACTAACCGAAGCTCAACAATGTAGATTCTTCCCACGGATTAGCCATCATGAATTGGATGCCTATCTGTCGGCATCAAGTGATATATGAAATTGCAGAGATTATATTCTCAAAATGTCTTGAGGGAGGGGAGGATGGTTGAATAATGATTAATCAGGTGACCGAGTCCATGTCTTAACTCATCATGACATCTACGACTACAAATCAACCAAACAGCGGCCCTCTCGGAGGATTGCGAACCTCGTATCTTATCAATCATCTCTTTCAGTTAAGATCGGAAAACTTCCCCGAAAATTGAAAAAGGAAAAGGTTAAGATTGTTAGTTTTGCACCTCGCGCCTTTCTTCGCTGGTCGCGTAATTTTCGCGTCTCTAAATTCCAGACCCTTCCCCAGTATGCACAAATGTGCACTTTGCGTTTCTTGACCACCGCTACTGTGCTATACAGCCTTGAAGACCCCGTATCGTCATGAACTCAGTGGCGGTCACGATCGCGAACCAGCAGCATCCGAATACCGAAGCGGCCAGAACGAGGACGACCGCTACCACAGCAACCGGCAGCACCAGAAAGCAGCCACCAGCAGTTTCAGACGATGATCAAATACATGATAGCATTTACAACATTCGGTCACAGACGAGCCCGCTACAGAGCTCAATCCGCAAGACTGCCTCCATAGACCAGCCCGATGAGGATCCCGGGTTGCGAAAGCCGGGAGATTATAGGCAAAAGCAGGTGGGGATGCGGAGTTGGCTTTGGCATGTTAAGATTGACTAACTCAGGGCAGGTGTTCAAAGGTCGAAAGCTCCTTTGGCTCGCCTACCAGTCAATCGGCGTTATCTATGGTGATATCGGCACCAGTCCGCTCTATGTTTACTCGTCGACCTTTACCGAGCCACCCACACGTCAAGATCTTATCGGAGTGCTTTCGATCATCATCTGGACTCTATTTATGATGGTGACGGTTAAATACGTGCTGATCATTCTTCATGCGGACAATGATGGTGAAGGAGGTACTTTCAGTACCTATTCATTACTCGGTCGCTATGTGGGCTACTTCTCTCTTCTGCTTGCTTACCTCCCATTCGATGGAGATTGACTCCACCTGGGCAGATGAATATCACGAACCGTGATCCGAGAGAGGCCTCCATGATACAGATGAAAAGGTATCAGACTGGCGATCTCGAGGTTGCGGGCCAGCATGTTCGCCACACCCTAGAGTCGAGCCGGGTTGCCAAAACAATCCTACAGGTGATGGGGGTTCTTGCAGTCACTATGGTGATCTCCGACGGACTTTTGACCCCTGCACAATCAGTACTAGGGGCTGTACAAGGCATCGAAGTCGTACGACCCAATATCTCAAGGGCCTCGATCATCGGGGTAACAGACGGCATTCTAGTAGTCCTCTTCTGCATCCAGCCCCTTGGCATCTCCAAGATCACCTACGCCTTCTCACCCATTATTCTCATTTGGCTTGCATTCAATGCAGTGTTCGGCATCTATAACCTCGCAAAATACGATGCGGGCGTTTTCGCAGCTTTCAATCCAGGATACGGCTTTGAGTTTCTGATTCGTCATGGGCAAGAAGGCTGGAAAATGCTGGGCGGGGTGTTGCTTTGCTTCACCGGAGTAGAGGCCTTATTTGCCGATCTCGGGGCATTCAGTCGCACAGCGATTCAGTTAAGCTGGTTGGGGTATACCTTTCCATGCCTGCTTCTGGCGTACATTGGACAGGCGGCCTATATCAGTGTTCATCCAGACGCATACTCAAACCCTTTTTTTCATGCGGCACCTCCAGGAACAGTATATCCTGCTTTGATAATTGCAATCCTGGCAGCTGTAGTCGCCTCGCAAGCTATCATAACTGCGACATTCCAGGTATATTTCAGTTTCCGATTCCGGTCCTCGTTCGTCCTCCTCTAACAAGGTTGCAGCTTCTTACCCAGGTGATGAAACTCTCCTATGTTCCGCAGATCAAAGTAATTCATACTTCCAAAATTTTCCATGGGCAGCTTTTTGTGCCCGTCGCAAACTGGCTGCTGATGATCGGAACGATCCTCATCGCTTCCATTTATAAAAATGTACGCCTAATCAATGTCTCCATGCAGAATCATATTCTACTAAACTCTTATCATAGACTACATCTCTTGGAAACGCATATGGAGTGTGCGTCATGTTCGTGACCTTTTTCGACACATGCATGGTGGCTCTGGCAGCTATGTTTGTATGGCGTCTTAACCCATTCATCGTCTTCCTGCCCTGGTTAATTATCGCATGTCTTGACGGTACCTATCTCTCCTCCGCCCTCACCAAAGTCCCCGCTGGTGCGTGGTTCACCCTCACTCTCTCAGCCATTCTGGCCTCCCTTTTTTTCCTTTGGAGATTCGGAAAAGAACAACAGTGGGCTGCTGAGGCTGAAGACCGATTTCCCACCTCGCATTTCATCCAGTACAACAAAGAAGGTCAATTACGCCTAAGTCACCGGTATGAGGGAACTATTATCAGCACGACCAGGGGATTGGGAGTCTTCTTCGACAAAGCAGGCGAAACAACACCGATTGTCTTTAGCCAGTTTGTTCTCAAGCTTACCGCCATCCCTGAGGTGTCGATATTCTTCCACTTGCGGCCTTTGGAAACACCATCGGTATCGTACAATAATAGATATAGCGTGTCCCGCCTGGCGATCCCAAACTGCTATAGGCTTGTTGTTCGCTATGGATATAATGATGTGATCATCACGCCAGATCTTGCATCGGTGATTATGGAGCAGGTGCGTCGTTACCTAACAGATGATCTGCAGTCCCTCCAGGCAAAGCAGTGTACCACTGCTAGCTCCTCAAATAATGTATCGGCGGTCAATGCTCAGACGCAATTCCCTGAGACGGATGAAACGCGAAGTGGTGAATACCAAGATGTTCAACTCCGAAGTCGCGAACTGGAACTACTAAAATTTGCATTTGAGCATAGGGTGTTGTATATCATGGGCAAGGAACAGATGGTAACAAAAAGTGGTACCAATATTTTCAGGAAGGTACTCTTGAGTGCTTTCCTGTGGATTAGAGAGAATACTCGAAATAAGATGGCTAATCTGCGGGTACCGGCGGATCAGGTTATTGAAATTGGGTTTTTGAAAGAAGTCTGACAAGAAATCAAAGTATATGTATAAAACAGATAGTAGTCATGTATGACCTTACTCCTTGCAGAACGAAATCATATCATAAATAAAAATTTCTAGACGGTGAATCTAAACTACCTTACTACATTTCTATGTCCCCAGTGTTGGAGCTTGATGTATTCCACTGAAGCACCAGAGTGGACTATGTCGTATTATAAGGAATTACTGAGTAAGTCTCTAGCTAATCTATCGCATACTGGGAACGTCGTCTGTTTTAATTCGCTTCAGATATGGGAGAAAATATCAAGATCGTTATGAGTGCTTTGGCTCTTTTTTATGCCCATAACTGTCCGGATCTGCGTTCCAGCTTTCCAACGCTCCCTTCTAGAAAAAAGTCCAATATTTAACGAAACCGAATATTATGTGATCAGTAAGTGGACCCCACAGAATTACATGTAGTCAGACGTATTTTCAACAAGGTAGAACCTACAAAGGGCTGTGATATGGTTATACTTGTTACATCTTGATCATGCATACAGCATAAGCTTATGGCTCCCGGGCCATCATATCACCCAGGGCCCAACGAAGATTAGAAAGTCTCCGGGAATTTTTGGGTTCGTCCGGTTTCCGTTGCCAAAGCGTTTCATGCATTAGCACCTAGTCTTTAGTGCCATGTGCTTGGTCCTATAGTTATGGTATGTTCTATTGAGGTTGACAGGCAGCGGGCCGAAATCTCCATACGGAGTACTCCGTAGGGAGTACTAAATTGAGTTCAGGAAAAATGAAGAATTAGGGGAATATCAAATACTGCAAATGCCCAAATTCGGCCTGAAACCTGCAAGAATTTCAAACAAAAGCCCGTCAACCCTACATTTAGGCGTGCCACCCCCGTCAATAGCAGTAGACTTGTTAACCACAGTAGTGTTCGACACGAACGGCCTGGCATTAGTTCCTCGGGGGTCTCCGTCTTACATCCATAGTCAAAGTTTAAGATATTAATGTAGTTATAGTGTGAGATTGCTAGTGCGTTTTTGGATTAAATGTTTTGCTTACAGCGTTTATCTGAGATAATGGCCTTTTAGCTACTTGAGGTAATATTTGCCTAGTTTCGAAGCCACATTGTAAGAAATTTCTCTGAAAAAAGCCGTTGATCTGCGAATTACCCCATCAAATACATACCTGGGTGTCCGCGTCTAAGTAAAGGCGTAACAAGATTGTAACCTGACGATAACTTGATGTCACGCGTATTCGCCTGGTGACCCGGTCAGAGAGATTGTTTCAATGCTGTATTGTTATGCTAGGCTATGAACATACTTTATAATAATTAAAACCGTAACTGACCTTCCATGGTCATTACCTGCAGTCAAAATACAGAAATATTGAAACTACAAAAGCGGATAACCACGGGGAACAAGTAATCATACATATTCTTTACTGATGAAAAGGGCAGGATGCGTATTATCACATCATAATACAGAAAGAATTCTGACTCTATAAAGTCATCGCATGCTAATTCAGTAATGTAGATAATTGGCCCGTTTGCAGTTAGTATGTATGTTTTCTTCACATCGTCAGTAGCTGGCAGGTACCCGGAATCTACTTCGAGATCATGTCCTGTAATCCATCTGCAGAGATTGTAGTCCACCATCCTTAGTCTAAACTGTATCATATCTCTTAGCTTCAGGATGCAAGACGCCAACATTTAATGATGTCAGCACCGACATAAATTAGATGGAATCTTCAATTCAATGATCTATCCATTATCATAACTCATTATATAGCAGCTCACAAGTCTCCCTTGGGGACAGATGGGAACGAAGCCGGATTCCTGAGACGTTCAGCATTCCTTTTTGCCAAATCTATGTTCCGCAGGCGATTGATACGCATCTGATAGAAGTTCCTAAAAAGGCCATTGTTAGCCACGATGGTACTCATAGGAGCTGTCAACATCAACTTACTTGTGCAGTTCAAATATTCGAGGAGAATCATCATCAGTCGGTTTCGTCTCTGCCGCTTTTCGGAGCTCGTTGATCTATCTCAATTAGACAAGCTCCAAAAGTTCACTCATACATGCTGACGTACCTTATCATTCTTCTCCTTCTCTACATCCTCCTCCTCCGAATCCTTCTTCTCATTCTTTGTCTTCTCCTTATCTTTATCGTCATTCTTCTCCTTGTCTTTTTCTTTCTCCTTCTCCTTTTTCCTCTTCTGCTTTTCTTCGTACTCTTTTTTCACTTTCTCAATTTCTTGCGCCAATTCCTCATCTTTCTTCTTCTTGGCTTCCTGCTCCGAGGCCCCGATAGGAGAACAGAAGCCACGGTCCTTGAGATGGCTTGGGCATATGTAGAAGAAGTCCTTCACCAATTAGTTAGCGACACTGCTTCATAAACTATTTATGAATATTTCATTCATACTTTGTTATCAGGTGTTATCAACACACTTGTTGACGGCTTGTAGCAGACCATGCATGCTTTAGATGCTGTATCGGCCACGCGCCGAAGATGCCAGACATTCTGGAGAGACATATCCCCGTTTATACTTTTATCGTTTCATGTATTTGATTATGTCTGCTCGTTCAAGGCGTGTTATAATTCATCTATCCTTATCTTGAAATACAGGATGGGAGATCGACGTATCGCACGTTGCAAGCATGGAGAAAAGCTTCAATGTTCTTCCCCGCATGCCTATAATTTCCGAGGACGAGTCACGTGAAATTTATTGTAAGAAGCTCTTGACCAAGCTCCAAATCTGCATGATTTTGTATTACTTTTAAAAATACAAAAGACGGTTACTGAATTATAAAGCCACATTTCTACAGTGAAAGTCACTGCCACGAGCGCTTGAGCTCCTTGACACGAGCACTTGTGACAACCGTCAACTGGTAATTAGATATATTAACGATGAATAGACACGAATGCCACATGAATAAAAGCATTTAGAATGCGCCATCTCCCATAAAGACTCAATTTACTCCGTTACACCATCCATACGCGCTGAAGTCTCATCCTCTGTAAACCGCGAAGCAATAATCGGATCCAGATCCTGAGCCCGACGACGCGCATCCAGCCACATCATATACTCGGCGTACTTGGTAGGCATAACCTGTACTTCATTGGGAACCAAGAATGTATAGTGGAAAACACCAGTAGGGTTCTTGGTAGCATGCTCGACATCACGCACTTTGGAGTCTACGCGGACGTGTACTTTGGTGTAAGGGGTTCGTTTGCTGGATTCCCCGTCGACGGTCCGTACGAGGGGCTCGGTGTACGCTACTGTTGCTTTAAGGTAGAGGACGCTTCCGACGGGGACGGGGTTTTCGAATGTGCTGGGGTCGAGAGAGACGAATGTGGGTCGGGTGTGGGAGAAGGAGGCGGCGCAGCAGAAGGCGAGTTCAAAGGTTTGTTGGAGGAGGAAACCGCCGAATATCATGAAGTTGTGTCTGTTGCGGTCTTCGGGTTGCATGATCATGGCAGATCGGAGGACTGTTCGGTCCATGTTTTGGATGCGTGGTGAGCGTTGAATGGCCGCTCCGGGGACTGTACGAGTCAGTAACTCTATCAATAGCTCTGTGGAATATGGGTGAGTGATATTACCCTTGTAAGGCTGGCCTGTCGTCCACATCGAGTGAATCATGTTACTCTCTTCTTGGTCAGGCGCCTGTTCAAGGAAACTCCTCTTCCTCAAAGCCTTCTTTGCGTTGTAATTTTCTTCGCCTTTCTGGAAGAGTCGTCGTTCTTCTTCCGTCTCAATCAAGAGTGGTGCCACAGCAACTGGTCTACTCATCAATTAGTAAATTGGAATTTCTCTGAGAGAAAAGAGAGGCTTACTTTTTGGTCTTCGGATCCAACGATACCATAGTAAAAGCACATGTGATCAAGACATCCTCATCCTTAACTTTCTCGCCTTCAGCAGGAGCTTTGGCAACCTGTAGAGAGATCTCCATGCTAGATCTTCCTGTGGCATAGGTCACCTGACCACTGAGTTGAAGATTGCAAATCTCTTTCAACGGGTTCACGAGTGTGATTCGATCAACAGCTGCGGTAACAGTTGCTACTGTATCACCTGTATGGTTGTAGGCTACCACACCGGCTAGAGCATCCAAGTCCATGAAAAGCGTACCGAGACTGGTTCAAAATTAGCCATGTCTGAGAGAGGCTTTAAAAATTTGAGAGACTCACCGAATACGCCCAGATGCATTCAGGTACTCGTCCAACAGCCACTTATCTTCAGCAAGAGGAAGTGTCTAAAAGCCTAATCAGAAGGAGATCACGAAGTTAAGTAAGAACTAACTCACAGCAGCAAAATAGCTATCAGACATCCTCCTTGGCGTGAGGTCCGGCTTCACAGGCTCCCCATCCTCAATCGTAGCTTGTCCAGCTTGCTGTCGGCTCTGAGCCAGGGCATCCACCCAAGGCACCTTGACTCGCATTGACTGCCATAATGCCTTGTAGAAATCATTTGCCGGAGTCCTATGAAAATGACGCTTAGCTACATGAGCAGGCTTGATGCATCGAGTCGCCTGCTCGGTGAAGATGATCGTGCGGGGCGATGCAGCCTTGCAGCTCGAGAGAGCTATCCTGCGTGCCGGCGCCAACATTGCTGCAACCTTTCCGTCTGAATGATAACAATGCAGCGTCACGGATTTTCGTACGACTCTACTTTTTATAGTCTGAAGATTGTTGATAAATCTCAACAATTTTGATGAGTCAATTTGATTCGCGAATAGAGAAAAATTGGGTCTGCGGATTAGCTTATCGCCGGGATTATCCGCATTATCCGAAAGTTCGGCAGTTGTGAGCAAACCCTAACTGAATGCTTATGCAGTAATTGATAAGTCAAAGATGGGCAAAGTCTAGATTGGTGCAGACTCTTTTTAGAAAGACGGTAGCCGAGGGAGTAGCAAGAGTTTGAAGTTCTAGTTTGAGAGCTCATCGGGTTTTACAACAGGAGCACGTCGGTGACGTCATGATATAGTACAGCTGTGTAAAAAAGCATTGTTTTGTTTGTGCAATGCTAATTGATGCTTCAATATTATTTTGATCGCAGGTCCGTAACGAAGAGTAGTAGATACGTATCGATGAAGTCCTTGTATCCAGGGACCTAGATACTTACCTAGATAGGATGCTGTTAGGGCATGCAATTAGGGCTAATTTCAATCGGAACAGGGATGACGACTCTGGTAGCGTCAAGGTGAAGTCATAGCCCTCAACAATGTCTATAAAGACGAGGCAATATCAAACAATATGTGAATGAATCTATTCGTAGCAAGCCAAGTATATTTGTACCGGACTCATCATGAGTGACCCTACTAACCCAAACATCGAGAAACGCTCAACGCCGCAATGGGCTCTTTACCAAAGAGAGCAGTTTTGGAAAGTCAACGATGGCGTAACACCGCCTTTCAATACGCGTAAACTCTTGATCTTGTCTAACATATCAGAAGATCAGGGCTGATGAGAAGGAGACGCGATTTAGACCCTAAAGCACTAGAGGAAAAAGCCAAAGAGAAGCTTAGCCTAGGAGGATGGTAATTTCACTCCCTCCTCTAGTACGCACGCCCTTCGTACTGACAAAGAAGGCACTACGCATCCTCCAATGCAGGCCTCTCCACAACCCACTCCGTCAACCGTCAAGCCTTCAACCGACACCGCATCATCCCCTGGATGCTCATCGACACTAATCTGCGCGACACCACGACCGAAATATGGGGTCACAAAGTCTCTGCCCCCATCGGTTTTGCGCCTATCGGCATAAACGCAATCTACAATCACGAAGCTGAGAGACCAGTCGCCAAAGTCGCGGGTGAGCTCAATCTTCCGTACTGTCTGTCAACAGCGGGGAGTACGCCGATTGAAGAAGTCGGCGCTGCGAATGACAGTGGCGGAAATGGGCCACGGTTTTTCCAGCTTTATATGCCCCATGATGATGAATTGACGCTGTCGCTGCTCAATAGAGCCTGGAACTCTGGGTTTGACGCCCTAATTCTCACGACAGATACGTGGCAATTAGGCTGGCGACACGACGACGTCGCGAACTCTAACTATGCATTCTACCGCGGCATTGGTGCTGCATTGGGTCTGAGTGACCCCGTCTTTCAGAAAAGATGTCGCGAGAAAGGTATCGACATTGAGAAGGATCCAGTGGCTGCATCGACGCTCTGGATCGATTCGATTTGGCATGGGCGAGCGTGGTCGTGGGACAAATTGCCATGGTTGATCGAGCAGTGGAAAAGAATATCTGGCGGAAGGCCGTTTGCGCTTAAGGGGATTCAGTCGGTTGCTGATGCGAAGAAGGCGGTTGAATATGGCGTAGATGGTATAGTGGTTAGCAATCATGCCGGTAGACAGGTCGATGGCGCTATCGCAAGTCTCGACGCATTAGAGAACATCGTCGATGCCGTCGGGGACAAGACGTACATCATGTTTGATTCCGGGGTCCGAGGAGCAAGTGATGTAGTCAAGGCATTAGCTCTTGGCGCAAAGTTTGTGTTTGTTGGGAGACTGTGGGTTTGGGGATTGAGTATCATGGGCGAGGAAGGAGTGAGGCATGTCATGAAGTCGCTGCTCGCGGATTTTGATATTTTTATGGCTGTAGCCGGGTTTACGAGTGTGAATGAGTTTGATCGGCCTATTCTTGGTACGTCTTCTACGAAACACTTATTAAGAGGTTAACTAATTTGGAGATATAGAGTCGTACCCAAAGTCTTACAGCATACCTGAGTGAGATTCTTGGGGCATGTACGCAGGGAATAAGATGAATAGGTATCCATACTCACCGACCTTATTATCCAGTGTCATGAGATATCTAGGAGAATTGATGTTGTGATTTACTGCATGATGCTCTCCCTTCCATCGCATGGTTCCGAAAGAGAAACTAGGGTTTCGTAAATGATAAGGAGCACTCCGTGCACTACAATTACTCGACACCGAAAGAATCCGAGATTACCATGAGTAAATGCAAAATCAAATCCCATTGCTGCGAATTCTATGGAAATGAATAGAGTACAATGCATGACCGATTTTTTGAACACCGTAAATCAAACAAATACCCCGCTCTAGGAGGTGAAAGGATCGTCGTTATCGTTATTGTCATCACCCACCAATCCCGCTGCTGCTTTTGCAAGCCTGATGTCCTTAGCTTGCAGTCCCACGTCTCGACTGTATCGCTCAAAGGAGGTGAGAAGCTCAGAGAGAGAAGTTCTGAGCATGTAAAGCACAGTATCAACTTCGGGAACCTCTCTTGCTTTCCTTCGTACTTCAGGGCTACTATTGGCTGATGGGAATGTAACATCCGACCAGTGAATACCAAGTCCGGTGTCTTCATGGACGAAATCTTCTAATGTGATGATGGTTGAGGTGTAGAGACGAACTATAGTCGGTACGTCCTTAGAGACTTGGCCGAATGAGTCTTCTTCCAAACTGGCAATGAGAAGTCTGGTTATAGACTCGATCGCGTCGATGACACAGGCAACTTGGCCATGCGGTTCACCAAAGACAATGCCGCGCAGGCGTTGGGCGTATGTTTGCCTAAAGGGCTTGCCGATTGGAGATCGAAGAAATTGCGAGACGAATGGAATGGAAGAATAGTTGAAAGATGACTTCGAGGTTCCCGTTGGCCCGGTAAGTAGTTTGACGTCATCTGGTGCACCCAGAAGCTTCTTCTTGCGCTCTGGGCTTAGCAAAGCATCTGATGCCTGGCTGAACGCTTCTTTAGCTTTGGCTCTCGCGGCGGGTGTCCAGTCTTTTGACTGTCCAAAAGACTTTGCCGTCGCTCCAAATGATTGTCCAAATCCGGTCGCCTTTGGCGATGGTGCGAAGATATTGTCTTGTTTAGGACCGTCAGTCAATTGAGGGAGACTTTGAATTTGAGGATACGCGATGCTGGTATCCTTGGCGGTTTTTGCAGCCGGTGGTGTTTTGAATTTGTTAATACGACCACTGACACCCTCGATGGTATCAATTGAAGCTTGTAGCACTTGCTTCCAGGCTTCTCCGTTGACACGATCAAGATCCTCAAAAATCGCTTTGCGGCGATCGGGAAAACGCTGGCTTATGAAGCACAGTTCCCAGAAAGCGAAATTTTTGGCAATATCTTTCTTGGCTTTAAGTCCATTAATCAAGCTTCCAGTAGGATCCTTAGAGTCATTGGTAAGTGGTTGTCCTCGTTTCAATGGCTCTTTAGTGAGGAAGACGGTGAAGAATAGATTCGCTGTCTGCCACAGGAAGACAAGACATCCTCCCGAGATAATCTGGCGGTAAAATAGCGTGTAAAAGGCAGGAGGAACAGCTCCCTGAGGCTCCGCCGCTGTCCGCGAAAAGTTCCAGAACAGCTTCGCAAAGTAGAGAGAGAAGTTCCAAGCCGGGCGTCGCAGGAAAATGACATAGATAAACGGACTGGCCAAGGTGACAATCAAGCCATTCCGCAAAGCATCAATCACGCTTCCAATAATCCCATATTGTAGCCTCTTGATTGTCGGCTCCATGGGATGCGTACGATCGTCCTTCGAAGTGCGTTTGGCAATCGGAATCGGAAGACGATCATAGTCGTAGTATAAGTGAATAGCCGTCTGAGCGACTGCCAGTATCATGTGATATGTGTGGAGATAGATGGACCTTTCATTCAGAGCTGGCCGGCTGTTAGGTCTGCGTCAAGTCAGCTACATCACCACTATTCAAATTATGCTGTTACTCACCGACTGAGCTTTACCCATCCAAGATCAGCATCTTCCGGAGCCGACCAGAGGTATATCTCACTAAACCACCAGGCGGAGAAAAGATACCATCCCAACGTTTGGAGGACTTGTAGCGGGAACACGTTTCGCAGTGCAGCCAGAGGTGAAGCCGTCGTTCGCGGACCGACGTGCATTTGCGCAACTCGGATGAAGAAAACGGATAATGTCGAGATAAATAAAAGGAGAGCGCGCAGACCGCATACTCCGAGGGGGAACCATGACCAAAGAACTATTGTCGCATTAGCTTGAATGGTTGCCTCTCAGATTGAAATACCAACAAGATGTTTTTGTGCCGATTATAAAAGAAACAAAATAGTCCATCAACAACGTCACAGCTGAAGCGTGGACAAATCTGCGGTGTAATGCAGAGGTCAAGATTCGCCTATACGGCCTTGGAGGTGGAGCAGCCATTTTGAGCGCGATGGAAGTATCTTAGGGAAACAGTCACCGCATTATTTGAATGTGGATAGCTGCGCACTTGCTATCTGCAAGAATTCGACAAACCCGTGCCGAAGGGCGGTAGTTGGTGTGGTGGGAGCTTAAACGAGTGTGCGTGAAGTCAAGCTATTATTTACTGAAGCTCTTTTTTGCGGGACGAAGCCCAGGAAACCAAAACAGCAACCAGTTGGTCACGTGAGCGGCTTTCTTTACCAATAGAACCCATCGAAAGTTGAGCGGATCGCTGCGTCACCTGAACGGGCCAGCCCGGTTACGTCTTATCAAGAGGGCAGGAACCGTCGAGGCAACAACAAAACCTTCACTAAACTGCAAGTCAACCACCGCCGACCTATATATCAGCACCTTCACGATTCCCGTCTACTATACACACCATGTCCTACGATCGCTTGAATTCATTAGAAGCGCAGCCGACAACCTGGCGGCGGGATGACGATCCTCAGTATCAGGATGACCCCGAGTTTGCGCGGTTTACCGAGAACCTATCGAACCAGTTATTTACATTGACATCGAATATTTCGAATTTATCGAGGCAGATTGCGCTTTTAGGCACAAAGCGGGACACCGAGAGAGTGCGAGAGAGAGTTCATAACCTTCTCGAAGAGACAAGGTCGGGATTCAAGGATGCAGGCGAGGCCATTAAGAAGGTGCAGACGTGGGAGGATGTTAATGTAGGTCATTTACATACTTGACTACTTCTTGATGTGACTAACCGTGACTACAGCCGTCCCAAAAATGGACACAACAAAAACTCTCCTCCGAATTCAAGGCAGCCCTAGACGAATTCCAAACCGTCCAACGCCGCGCACTCGAGAAACAACGAGCCTCCGCCGTCGCTACACGAACTGCCCTACACGGAGACTCAGATCAACAAGCCACCGGCGACCTCGTCGAGGGACAAGACCAACAGCAACTCCTCCAACAACAAGAACAGCAMCCCCGCCTCGCCAACCAAGACGAAGTCGACTTCCAAGAAGCGCTAATCATCGAGCGCGAATCCGAGATCCGCAACATCGAGCAGAGTGTCGGCGAATTGAACGAGCTATTCCGGGACGTGGCGCACATTGTGCACGAGCAGGGTAGTCAGCTGGATATCATTGGCGAAAATGTTGAGAATGTCACTAGCGACACGCGCGGTGCAAATGTTGAGTTGAGGAGCGCAAGTCGGTATCAGAAGAATGCTCGAAATAAGATGTGTTGTTTGCTGCTGATACTGGCGATTATCTTGACGGTGATTATTCTTGCTGCTGTTTTGGGATAGACCAACCGTTAAGCCAATCGTTTCGTCATTTCTTGTGACTCTTGTCATACCCCTATCCAACTTCATGCTATGTGTAGTATCTCAGTCTTTCATTCCTTGTATCTGGCGTTGGGGTTGAATCTTGAATAGCCAATCCTGTCCTTCATTCCATTACTTGGCACATTCTGATTTCTGCAATGGTCATTAATTCATGTCTTTTTGAGTATAACGTTTTTATTTACTTGTACATAGGTATATGATAAACTTGAGATGATTATGGATTCTGTAACATTCGGTCTTTAGGTAAAGTATACGTATGGCAAAGGTATGAGAATGGTAGTATATTCAAGAAGTAGGATTAAACGATTACTAACACAGCACTTCAAACAGTCAACGACAGACTTGCCAAGAAATCGACCGTTACACATATCTTACTCTCACAATTTACTTAGTACTGATAGTAACAGTACTCGAACCTTTACCCCAAATATCATCAATCATACCACCAAACAACTCCCCAATCACACCCTTGTCTGCCTGTCCAGCCAACAACCGTTTCTCTCTCATCTCGTTCTCGCCGGCACGCGACTTTCCGACTGTCTCGGTGAGTTTGAATGGATCAATATCTACGGCATGATTGTCCACGACTTCGCTCATGGGACTAGCCGCGAGATCCGGACCTGTCTCGCCAATGGCATGAATCTGGGGCTTCATGGGCGGGTATTCGGACTGACTGAGGTCAGAAGCGTTGTAGTCGAAGCTCATGTTTCCCAGAATGGGGATGCGTTGGGCCGGAGTTAATTCGGCCTCAATGCTGGCGATGGAGGGCATGTAGACGAAGTCAAGGGTGGAGGAGTCTTTGACGGATTTGCTGGCGCGGGATGTGTTGAAGGAGCGGGTTTCGGCGGGTCTATGCCTGTTAGTACTTGTATCGTAAAAGTCAGAGAGAACACGGCGTACCCTCCGAAAACACTGCCGTTGATACGGGATTTTGCAATGTTGAAAGCTCGGGTATATAGTACGTCATTGTTGGAGAGACGATCGACGAGCTATACATGTCAGTATTTAGATATTCTTTGGCTCAATTGGATGAGCATACCTCAGTCTTTGAGCCGCCAGTCCTCAGTCCTCGTCGATGGCATTCATTCTTGAGGTCTGCAAGGGTGCGAGCAGCATAGGCAGCGGCCTTGTCGGTGCCCTCGACGGGCTGAGCGGAAAAGGCTCCAGTGATGTGCAGACGACGACGGCAGTGGAGAGTCGTTGCAGGAGTGTGATGCTGCGAGACGGCACGCAGAGCACGGAGGGAGGTTGAGCGAGGAGCGGCCATTTGATTATTATTGATGATTGATGATCTAGTTAGGTTAGATAGATGTATAGATTGGATGTATAGATAGTCATGGACCTACCGGAAAGTTGGAGGTGCAGTATAGGGTACTGAGTGATGGCAGGAGAGTGAATTGAAATGAAGTAAGAGTGAGCAAGTGCAAGAGAAAGGGGAGAATAGAAAAAGAGAAGACGGAGTGACCACAGGACCAGCTGTACGGAGTAAATATGATAATGATAGCAAAGCGTTGGGGGATCATGCTCCACCGGCGGAATCCACCCAAGCTATCAGCAGGTGGGGCAGTCTAGAAGGCCGAAACGCCGCCTGAGAAACTAGGCAGCTACTAACGCATTCGGCGAGGCCTCGACAACCAACATACTACTACGTACATAGTATGTACATACTGTGCGCTGCACGCTACTTTTCTGCACCAGGAATGTTCGGGGGGCCATCTACGGTACACCAATAACTGCTGTTGATCGCACAGCCACGTCGAATTAGCCCGTCTCTCGTTACTGCTGATTCATGAATTTCTCTTGCTACAATTAATCCCTCCGTCTTGACTTAATATTATCATCATGTCGGTGAACAATTCGGTCGATCGGGTCGTAGATCGTGCATCGTACATACACTTAGTAAGTGCAATTGCAGGAGTACGAATCACATCGACATAGAGTAGTGGTCTGAGCAACCGGCATAAAACATGGAGGGTGTCATGGTGGTCTGATCTTCGGTGTGGGTGGTCGTTGCATGTTTGCATCCAATTGTTGTTGCAGCGGATATTCTCCGTTGAACCGATCAGACCTATTGCAGGTCGAATTGCTTGTCGTGGATAATGAATACGTAGTCGTATGTCTGTTAGCCTTCTTTCTTCATTACTTCATGACCAAGGATATAGGATGCATCTGAAGCATCCGCTGTACAGCACCCCAGACACCGAATATTTACACGACAGCCAATGACCGAATGCGAAAAAGGAAAAGCGCCGATTACTCGCTGATAGAGTGCGGTACTATTCTTGTCTGGGTTAGTCTTGGAATACGTTTTAATTTTTGGTCGATAAGTGGATTGCCCGTCGGACTTTCATCTCCTGACTCCGACGGACGCCCTTGAATCGGTTTCTTATCTTGTCATTTACTCGACAGCCTTACAGTCGTGTGAGCAGGCCACTCTCACCAGGTGGTAGCTTGATGGTTGATGATTCAGTGTCAAATAGGAGTCAAATGCGTAAACAGTACGAACGCGATAAGACGATCCATGGACCAAGAGGGCGGTGACTGGGCCATAGCAACCAATAAGAACTTCCCAAATAGCTCAAAGTGCGGAGAAAGGATCAAGATTGTTTCCTTATTTAGCTCGAGTACGCCGTCATACCAACAGTACTGTATTATTCTAGCGAAGATATCGTAATCTCCGTAATCATCTATACAGCTCTGAAACTGATCAATAGAACGCAGCCTAGAAAACAAGGCGTCGATCGGGGCCGCGCTTCCGTCTCAACTCCTACCAAGTTCTCAACGTGCATGCAGCACCCCTTTATGTAATAGTTTCATCTTTAGCATGGAAAATAAATTGATTTCTTGCAATGTAGAAATAGAAAATAAAGCGGTGAACAGGGGGGCTTTGTTACTGGAAGGAGGAGGTTAGGGGAGGTGGTCACGCGCCKTTTGGTTGGAGTCAAGCCACTAACCTTACTTTTGAGTCCTTGTCTGATTTCTTGGGGGTGTGAGCAGAGGCTCGAGACGAGCAATTGCCAATAAGGGAAGAAAAGACTTGATGGTGAACCATAAATTTACTACGTACAGTTGGTCAATCTATGCTTGAGGACGGGCAGACGAGGAACAGTTTTCCATGTACCTTCCGTATGGTCTTGAGCGAATTGACGTCTGGACCAACGTAAACAAATAACAGGAGACCGCGCTATCTGGGATGGCCGCCAAGTACTACTTGCAGTATACTCCGTGCAGGTAGGAAGTCGAGCCAAGCGTCGCATACAAAGGTCAATCAACTCAAAATAATCATCAAGTCAAGTGAAATCAAATATGATCGCTTTCAGTCCATGATTATTATATAACACTTGATAAGTTAACTTGATTTCTAGTACAGCAATAACGTACGAAGACTGTTGAACCCTTGGCGCTCATAAATTAGCCTTTCAATTTTTAGGGCTCAGTGCCGAGCCCTAATTATGACAACTATCATTGCTAGTTTGTGAACCAAGACATGATCGACAAGACTTTTCTTGTGACTATATAGATTTCTTTTTCATAGAAGACCTCTAATAATAGGCATTTTTCTGGGTGTAATGAATCTAAACTCCATACGGCACATACACATATGCCATATGCGGTCCCATCAGGCGATATATATGTGTATGATTGATATCACGAATAGGTAGTCTATCGTCCTATGTTTGTAAAAAGAAGTGATCTACCAGATTACAGCTTCGCCGCAACCCTTTGCCGCGACTTGGCCACTTTCCTTGCATATGGATGCAGGCGCCCTGTAGGAACGAGATGGTCCACATCTCCTGTATGCACCAGTTCAGGACTTGCTTCCTCCAACGAAGTAATTCCGTTATTCCTCATTGCCGTTTCCAACTCATCACGCATGACTATACCAAATCAGCACCAGCATTATCATCATCATCATCATCATCTAAAACACAGAAAAGGGGACTTACTGTCAATCAAGTGCTCGACACCCTCCTGACCATAATTAGTCGCAAACAGCATACTACGCCCCATCCCCACAGCCGTCGCTCCCAAAGCCACAGCCTTGAGTATATCTGTCCCTCGTCTAATCCCACTATCAACATAAACCTCCATACAATCAAAGACCTCCGGTGCCCGTCTCTGCAGCTCCAACAAGGTGACGATAGATGGCGGACTAGTATCCAAATTCCTGCCGCCATGATTACTCAACAGAATCCCATCAACGCCCGCTTTCATCGCCAAAATCGCGTCGTCGGCTGACATGATTCCCTTAAGGCAGACGGGTAAATGCGTATGTTTCTTCACAAACGCGATATCCTCCCATGTTAGGGCTGGATCAATATGGCTCGCCATCAACCGACCAAAGCCGCCGCCCTTTTTGTCGTTTTTGGCCTTGGCGTCGGACATGGGTACTGATGTGCTTTCATCGGCTTTTACGCGTTCGTCGGCTTCGCGTTTACCGGGCCAGGCGGCGTCGACGGTGATGTGAATGGCTTTGAATTGCGGGAGTGAAGAGACCTGTCGTATGAGAGCGGCGGACTTTTCGCGGTCTGGGCTGACGTAGAGTTGGAAGAAGAAGTTGCCATTTGGGGCAGTTTGGGCTAGTTCTTCGATGGAGAAAGAGGAGTTGTTCGATACCTGCAGTGATTAGCTCAGCTGACGGCTCAAAATGTGATTCTGATCATTGGAGACACTTACTCCTTGTAAGATCCCCTTCTCGCAAGCAGCCTGGGCAATAGCACGCTCACCCTCTGGGTGAATCAATTTCGCCATCGCCGCCGGACTCACAAACAACGGCAAACTACAATTAACACCCATCACACTCGTCCGCGTATCCACATGACGCACATTTCTCATAACCCTCGGACGGAACCATATCCGATCAAAATATGACTTATTCGCGTCTCGCGTAAGCAAATCCGTGGCAGCACTAGAATAGAATGCCCAGGTCTTTTTACTCGCGGTTTTGGAGGCTACGATCTCAAAGTCGTGCGCGTTAATGAGGGTGTCTAATGGCGGCTTTTCGTTGTCGAACATGACGCGCGCGTTCTCAGTGGGCGGTTCCTTAAGCCATTCGTCGTTGATGGTTGATTTGTCGAGGATGCCTTGAAGTTTGGAGCGGTGTAAGTTTTTGCGTATTGTGGATGGTGAGTGCACCTCATTGTATGCTTTTGTGGCATCACGGCCGGCGTATTTCAGGATTACTTTTTCTCGATTAGCTTATATCAATTCCGTACTTTTAGGAAGACTTACTGGCCGAACCGCCGGGGTGTTCTTGGTGGAACTCAGTAAAATCCCAGACCTGACCGTCGACTACAAGCCAGCAGTCGGATGGCGTGTTGTGTCTTTGTATCTCTGCGACAGAGACGAGCTTTTCTGCTGTCATTCTGCCGATTTGAATCCACCAGATAGATTATTGATGACCCAACGAGTACCTGGGTCAAGACAATAATACAATCTTTGTATATTCTGCGATAGCAATACTCTTATCGCGGAAACGGGATGAAGCGACAGAAGTCAAGGAAAAAGAGCAACCCTTGCAAGCCGACTCTATTTTAAAGCCGAGCAACAAACCTCGGGATAAACATCACCGAATAAAGTCTCCAAGAAACAGACCAGACCTGCGGGGTGAAAGCGAGGAAAAGGGTTCTTGGAAGAAATACGGGGTATGTAGAGTGTAAATGTAATCGGGGAGTTTCCCGATGCTATGAAGATCATCGCACTTGCTCCGATATGTTTGCAACTCGGCATTTCTGTCGGTTAACATAGGGCCATCGACAATGATATTATCGATCTGCACATCCTCAGTACTGCGTGCAATCAATGATCAACTAGATTAGATTTCAAGCAGAGACTTGAAATACTCCGAGGAAGTCAACCCGACCAATCATATCCGCCTAAATGTAATCATCCAAAAGCAGTTAGCGCAAGACTTAGGCCTGCGGGTGCCTGAGGCTCGACGCCTGAACCACTATTTGGATCAAGAGTGAAGAAAAATGCACAACTCTTTCCTATTTCGCACATCCCGTGACTTGCAAAGACCTACTCTCGATGTTCAGGTCTGTCTAAGAAATACCTGTCACTGCTCAGACTTGTCTAGTTTCCATGCATATACCCATCAATCGCCTAAGTGCTACTGCGACATCCAATCTTAGATCACGACTAATTTCGACGTCGTTGCCTAGGGGTAGGGGTATGTATGAGTCAACTTCCATCAACATCGATACGTGACTCACATGTATCTAGTAGGCTCTATCTTGTTATTTGAGCAGTATAAATACCGTCTGAGTTGGCGAGCTTCTCAAATTCAACACCACAGCACAGGTTTTTCCGTGAGACGGGATACGGCTACCAAGATGGAGGAAGAGACGAAACAGCCCGTGAGCACATTAAAATATGTTGATGTATGATTTTCAATATACGTAAAGCCATACCGGAGACTGAAGCATTGCTGATATCGTGTAGATTGGCATCAATCTCGGCGACCCCGTTTTCAGGGGCAGTTATCACGGCAAACAAGCCCATGAAGATGATTTGACCGATATCATAGAACGAGCTAGAGAAATCGGCTGCACTAAATTTATGGTTACTGGTTCCGATCTCAAGGAGTCAGAACACGCAGTCCAAATCTCCAAAGATTACCGTACGTTCCCGATCAGATAATTGGCACAGCCTATAATACTAATAAAAAGACAAGCCGGCTTCTGCTACGCCACCGTCGGCGTCCACCCCTGTCAAGCAAAACACTTTGATGAACACCCCTCTGGCCCCTCCAAACTCCTCCAAGATCTACGCGATCTCGCCCTTAGCACCAAACAATCCGGGCACACAGTCGCCTTTGGCGAAATCGGTCTTGACTACGACCGTCTATTCCTCAGCCCCAAGGCATCGCAACTCAAATGGTTCGAGGCGCAGCTCGACCTTGCCATTGAGGTTCAGTTGCCTCTGTTCCTGCACTCGAGGGCCGCAAGTGAAGACTTTGAGCGTTTGCTAAAATCGAGATTGGACAAATTACCGAAAGGTGGGCTTGTGCATAGTTTTACAGGCACAAAAGAGGAAATGCTGCGTTTGGTAGATCTGGGTCTTGATATTGGCGTGAATGGATGCAGTCTCAAAACAGAAGAGAATTTAGAGGTTGTGCGACATATCCCTCTTGAAAGAATACAGATTGAGACGGATGGCCCCTGGTGCGAGATTAGGCCATCACATGCCTCGGCGAAGTATTTGAAGGATGCGCCGCCGTTGCCAAAGGCTGTGAAGAAGGAGAAGTGGCAGAAAGGGTGTATGGTGAAAGGAAGGAATGAGCCAGTTGCGATTGCCCATGTGGCGCATGTTATTGCGAAGATTAAGGGTGTCTCGGTAGAGGAGGTTTGTGAAGCGTACGTTTTGACTCCCGTCTCTCTTTACTTCTGCGGATATTAACCTTGTGGATATAGGGCGTGGAATAACTCGATCAAGATGTTCGGTTTGGGGGAGACGACCAATTGACGATTTATGACCTTTGATTATCATATAGAGCGAAACATAAAGAGTTAGACTAGAGTACTATCTGTTGAATATTAAAAACAGAATACAACACCGTATGGTTTGATATTGATACCGTATCGGTTTTCTCAGCGCTTGACGGAACTTGCTAACGACGAGTGTCATCTACGTAGTGTTTCAGCTTTCTTAGACGAAATTAAATATGGTCAAATGTGGTATACATTCATTAGGTCACTGTTTGATATCTTCTATATCTACATATTTTACTAATTGTTATACTTGTAGATCGGGCACTTCGGCATCTTTCAGATAGTCGTGAATCATCCCCGATGCATGACGTTTCAAGTTGACCCTAGGTTCTTCTTTCAAATCTCCCGATATACATATTGATAGGTAGAAGATGAAATTGATATAGCAGAAGAGTTGTCCATTTCATCATGTTGACTTCCACATATACTATGATCGTCTTCGTTGAAATTTTCTGAACACAAGAGCGGATCGGAAGTCATGTTGTTTTCTACACACATGTCGGCTACTGCAGGTGGAAGTGAAGAAGACCTGATAATGTCTCCTCCTTCTGTATCGGGCCGTGCAATGACATCAAAATCATCATCGTCTATCGCTAACTCTTCGCTGATATCGTCATATATCTCGTCATAGAGACTCTCAATGTCTGAAAATCTAGGCAATAGTTTTTCTGGCGAGAAAAGACTGGAGTAACCAGAGTCGAGTTCATTGGTATCGCTGCAATGTGACACGATGTCATCCGATCTGGTAACTGAGTTTACACCCGAGTTCAGTATTTGCTCATCGAAATCCTCATAATTGTCAGAGCCGTTTGTCAGCAAGTCATCGTCGGTAAGAAGGATGGTATCCGAGTCTTCGCTGATGGATTTTTTCGGCCATTCAACTTTGTATGCCCCCCTTTGCAGTGCTGTCCAGACGACACACTTGATCAATGATCGAGAGAGATGCCCAGAATCTGTTCTTTCTGTATCCATACAGTTTCCATATCGTAATCTTAGATTTGATTTGACGGAGCTGATCTTCTCCTTGGCACTAGAGAATTGACATGTCCGGAATATCCTCGCCATTGATCTGGTTACCACCGGAATGAGTCCAGCTCTCTGGCGTACATTCTGTTCTCGATCAGTCAACGAATAAACCAACGAATGATATATCCTTTAACCCGGGAAGTTACCTCATAGTGCCCTGCTTTGAAAAGAGTGGGAGCCACATCCAATAGACTGGGTCCCTCCTCAATCGTCCATCTGTTGAGTAGACTCTTGCACTGTTTGCTTCCACGCACAAGACACCAGAGCGAACACTCAACCATTTGTGTCAAATTAATGCAATTTTTTGCCGACTCATTGTCCTTGCGTTCAGGAAATATGTTCGGCTGTCGAACGTAATTGTCTCCTGAAGCTAAACATTCAGTCTGCTCGATGAATGTATCTGCGATTTTACGCGTCGGTAGTTTGAGTGATGAGTGAGGACGGCATAAGGTCACTATTTTGGATTTTGGGCTGGTTTCGCGATCCTGTTCATGGCTATGAGGATTTTTCAGCCAAAGCTTGGCTAGAAACAAGTTCCAAGAGGTGCATTGTTCGACGGTTTTCATATATACGGCGATATGTGATAATGTTGCCCTATCAATTCCGAGTGGTGAATGAGGTTCAGCTGCGCATTCATTGACTTTGCGAGGCAGTCTTTTGGGTATTATTCGAGGAGATATATGAGGCACTTTTCGCAAGACGACAGAGATATGAAGAACGACTGTACCACCTAACCAGCGGTATTCGTAATCCATCGTCGACGTCCGGAGATACGGACTGTCACTAATCTGCTCGAACAAGTGATAATGTTAGTCAAGCAATGATATGCTTCTCGAAAACCACTCACTAAAGAAGCTTGCACTGTTTCGACGACTTGCTTTACAAAATTTGGCATAGACATGCCCGGGTCTAAACACGCTTCAATGTATAGATCCACAAAGAGTTCTTGCTTTAAAGTAATCCAAGCATTTCGATAGTCAAGTCTGTGATTTTTCGGCTCCATAGGATTTGGACTGTCGCTACGTATCAACGTTGCAGTGGCTCTGGACACCAAGCATCGTCCTTTTGGACAACTGGTCCTGAAAGAATGGCTACCAAGATCAACAAGCTGAGCCATCAAGGGCCACCAAAGGATGTAAATCGCAATGTCAAAGAAGAAGAAGAAGAAGAAGTTCCAATGAGGAGGCCAAGTAGAGGAGCCGCTGCTGCCAGTTTTGAGGTCTACATTGTCCTGGCAGAAAGGGAAGGAGCGACCCAGCTGTACACTTCGAACAGAGCGTTCACTGATAGCTTGTCTAACCTGATCTCTCGAAATAATATATGCAACAAAAATCCAGAATCTGACGAATCCATAGTGAACATGAAATTTGAACATGAATATTCGTTTCATAAACACTGTGGTATGAATTGCTGTCTGTTGTATACTAATAATCAGGGTTAGGGTTAATATGTTTCACGTGACATCATCCCTTATCGTTATCAGTTGGCTGACACAAAGCTGGGAGTTTCAGGCTACTGTGTTCTTCCTTCATTCAACAATTGACAGAGATGCCAAAAGATGAGGTAGGTACTGCTCGGAACTCCGAGCGAAGGGGCTCGAATGACGAAGAATCCCGCGCTCTTCTCTCGAATAGCTCTTTCCATGACGGCCACCACGATAGTGCTGGGGACAGCGACGACGACTTGGTAGTACTCCCCGGGACTGCCGATGAATACCAACACGAATTACAACAATCACAAACACGTCACCCTGCAAGGCCACACATTCCGCGGCAGTCGTCAATATCTCAGCCAGCGCCAGACGGACAACGTCGTACTCCACGAACTCCCCACCGCGTCCGATTCGACCTCTCCGAACATGTTGCGGAGGAAGAAACACTGACCACCAATGGCCACACCCAGGAGCATCAGGATGGTGATGACTTGTGGATTGATGAGGAAGACTATATGGTAGATGGCTCGGAGCGCCTCCGCAGTAGTACAGGACAAATGGCACCATTACTCACAGGCATTGAAGCTCCAAGTGTGACGCTGGCAACGTCTGACGACTTCTTTCCCGAAGACCACTTGGAAAGTGCCAGACCTCGGAGTGGTATGCGTATGGCATTTATGAATATGGCAAACAGCATTATTGGAGCTGGTATCATCGGCCAGCCGTACGCTTTGAAGCAAGCTGGTATGGTAACAGGTATCGTTCTTTTAGTTGTCTTGACCATTACGGTTGATTGGACTATCCGCCTCATTGTCATCAATTCTAAAATGAGCGGCGCCGATTCCTTCCAAGCCACCATGCAACATTGTTTTGGAAGAAGCGGTCTGATTGCTATATCCATTGCACAATGGGCATTTGCATTCGGAGGCATGATTGCTTTTTGCATCATAGTGGGCGATACTATACCTCATGTCTTTGCCGCATTATTTCCTTCTTTGAGAGATATGCCGTTCCTGTGGTTACTCACAGATAGGAGAGCTGTGATAGTTCTCTTTATACTGTGCATCTCCTACCCGCTCTCCCTTTACCGAGATATTGCCAAGGTAAGTTTGCCAGAATCGCAAAGTCTGGATACGTGCTAATGGTAGTAGCTCGCAAAAGCTTCGGCATTAGCCCTCGTCAGTATGGTTGTCATCGTAGTCACAGTCGTAATCCAGGGCTTCCGGGTGCCATCCGAGCTAAGGGGTGACTTGAAAGGGAATCTTATCATCAACTCCGGGTTCTTTCAAGCAATTGGGGTTATATCTTTTGGTGAGTAATTGAGATCATGGTTTATTATGAATATGCTAACACGAGTCTCTAGCATTTGTCTGCCGTACGTAACCTAATTGCTGATGCAAGCAATCATTCTAATTGTGACTAGATCATAACAGCCTTTTGATTTACGGATCGTTGAAAAAACCAACACTTGACAGATTCACAACTGTGACGCATTACTCCACTGGAGTCTCGATGGTCATGTGTTTGGTAATGGCCCTTGCTGGATTCTTGTCATTTGGGTCGAAAACTCAGGGCAATGTGCTTAACAACTTTCCCTCCAACAATATCATGGTGAACATAGCGCGGCTGTGAGTAACAACTTGTAGCACTGTTTGAAGAGTATGACTGACCAGTATCTAGCTGCTTTGGCCTGAACATGCTCACCACCTTACCTCTAGAGGCATTTGTTTGCCGTTCCGTCATGACCACCTACTATTTCCCAGACGAACCTTTCCATCCAACCCGTCATTTGTACTTCACCACCGTCCTAGTCCTCACGTCCATGTTCCTGTCACTAGTGACCTGCGACCTCGGTGCAGTCTTTGAATTAATCGGTGCCACCAGCGCAGCGGCGTTGGCTTATATCCTCCCACCGCTTTGCTACGTGAAACTAAGTAATACCAGCCATACAGCTAAGCTTCCAGCTTATGCGTGTATTGTGTTTGGCACAGCTGTGATGGTCATCAGTCTGTTCCAAGCAGTGGGTAAGATGATAAGAAGTGAGTGCTCTACTAAAACCTTCTCCAAGAATACTAGGGATTTGCTGACGTTGGCTTCACTCCCAACAGACGAAGGCGGGGCTCAGACTTGTGGTGGCGCGATATAGAAGCATGCTGTCAGTGAGATTTTCGTTTAGCTCCTGGTTTGTTTTGAACTTCTTACTAACTTTCCTTCAGAAACGGCGTTGGACCCCTCGTTCTTCTACACTGTACATATATTTCAGAAGCCCAGCTTCATTTCATTCTTGCATATCGTCGCTCGACGTCGGTCTGTATTAGCGTTGCCAGCTACTTCCTTAAGATCAATTCCATTCTAGCTTTGTATTTCTTCAATCTGATATACTTTCAAAGATTCTTTGTCTCGGCCAGGTCCTTGTTCTGGACAAACGGCCAAATCAGGCAGATGTTTGTTTCCCAACTGGGAAGTCGGTCCTTCCCTCTGTGACCCTGCCCATTGTCCAATCAGACCCCCCCCCCCCCCCCCCNCCCCCAATCTGACTGGCCTCTCCTTCTCCTTCTTTCTTCTTCTTCTGTTTGCTCTCTTGTTTTCTTCTTCACATTTGCCCTCCTCAAAATCTCAACTTTCACACTGACTCATCTGGCCTTCGTCCCAACAGTATTTAATTTCTCGCTGTCCCCTCTCTCACCACATGCTTTCACTCTTGTTCTCACCATCGGATATTTACATCGCTTCTTGGTCATCCAGTGACAACCAAGAGACCTGCTCCTGCTGTCCCCCTTGAGAAGTTCAGATTTCGACCGATATCTACATACTCCATACCATGGCATCTAAAAAAAATCTGCAGCTGGTAGTGTCTTGCACCACATAATAATTGGGTTAATAGCTTCTCATCATGTTTATAGGTGGATTTAGGTCTTGACAGGCGTATCGAGATCACCACAGCAGAGGACAAACGCGATCCATACGCTAGGTTCACCGAAAAGGATCTTGAAGATCTACGAAAATCAGTGCAGGATCCCCTAACAGCCCGACTTCAAGATGAGAATAAAAACCATCTCGACGCGTGGTCCAGTGAGTCCTGCTTATGATTCTTATTACAGACAGATGATCCTGGTCTGACCACATTGAAGATTTCCACCGGAAAGTCGAGACTGAAGAAGGGGCGTTTACCGGTGAGCCTCAATTAATGAACGGGCAGAGCCATCGCGCCCATCTGCATTTCGATATGCGCCATAAGGAGAGGTTAGTCTTTTTCCTTTCCCCCTCTGATAGACTCAGCCATCAGTTAATTTGGACGCGATCTAGACTTGTTTCTAGAGCAGGTGGTCACAGTCATCATACACAAGCTGGTAGAAAACACCATTTGGACCCAGMTCTTGGACCAGCAAAATCTACGGTTGGGATGCACAAACAACCTGCTCCGGGACTAGGTATTACAAGACCCGCATTTGGTAAACCCCCAGGAGGTGTGTACACTTGGTTGTAAGCTTCAGACCGAGGCTGACAACTCTTATTATACACACAGGCAACCGATTTGATCGATCCAAAGCGCTGAAGGTTCAACGCCGTCCCATCCGTGCTCCACCTAAGCCCGTCGCCAGCACGCCTCAGAACTATGAAGTGATGTTAGCCGACCCAGGGTCCTGGCTGAGTTCTGTGAGGAACAAAACAAGCCAGGCTGGTGCGCCGGCTTCGCCTTCTACTTTCCAGGTTGAGACAGCATCAAATGCCAATTCATCTTTGGAGTCCGAGCCTGTTGTAACCGAGCCTGCTATGGCTACGAAACCAGTCGCAACTAGCCAGGCACCTGTAGTTACCAAACCTATCGTGAAAATACCGGCGGCCGTGACTTCCAAGCCAACTGCAACCACCCAGCCCGCTGGTATTACCCAGATGGTCGCTACCACGTCGACACTCGGATTGACCAAGCCTGTTGCTTCGCAAATCGATGTGATCACCACGCCCCGTGCAGCAACTACAACCAAATCAGCTTCAGTCGTGCAGCCTGTTGCGACGCCAAAGCCAACTGGAATTCCCAAGCCAGTCCAAAATCTGGAAAGTCCATTTTTTGATTTGAATCTTCCACAGCCGCAGACCAAGACCTCCACCCTACGGGCCCAAATTCGGCCTACGAAAGATGCGGATCTGCTTCTCGATCTTGACAGCCCTCCAAAGAAGGTAGGTCCAGAGCCAATTAAGAGTGCTTCAGTACCAGACATGATGGCGCTTGACGAGGATGGTGACATATCCGACGGCAATACGGCTGCTGCGAGCGTTCTCGGTAAGAAGCTCGCTTGGATGCGAGAACTCGGCTTTATTAATGATACATTAGCCGACTTCAACCTATCAGACAGCAAGCAAAAGACGCTTCTGGAAGATCGGCAAAAGAAGCTACTGGACATGATCCATGCAGCTTCAAACCCAAAGAACAGCAAACCGCAAAAAATGGTACCTCCTCCGGAAAAGCTGATTGAAATGTCGCCTACTCCATTGCAAAAGGCAGTCACTGCTAGACCATTTGTGCCAACAGCCAAACCCACGTTTGTTGAAGTTCAAGCTCCTGTGAAAGGGGGCCTGCAAGCTTCTCGTTGGGCAGATGCAGACGTTGAGATGGCCGACATTCTCAAGGAGTCACCGAAGAAGACTTTCAAACCCAGAAACACCAGCAACAACTCTGAAAACCCCGTGGACTATTGGCAGAAGACATTGCCGAAATTGCCTCCCCTCCCTGCAGATTTCGAAAAGAAGTATGCCTCCACGGCTCTGAAATCCCCGGCTCCTCCAAAGGCTACGAAGTCCCTGTATGAGTCTCGCTACGCTAGCTAAGCAGGCGAGTTTCTGACAACGGAACCTTTGTTGAATCTGGTCTGGAGAATACAAGGCCATGATGTTGACGGATATTTTGGTTCTCATCTCTATTTTCATCTCACTGTGATTTCAGTCAGACCATCTCTGCGGCTTGGCTCCATCTACAAAATGTTAGCAATGCGCGAATCTCAAATTACCTCTTGATGGAGTGAGTAAGTCGGACTTAAGGTGTCGATCACATTTAAGGGACGGTTGTCTTAGGATGATGATATTGAAGTGTTTGTGACTAATGTGTCGAGAAAGGTAGATAGATAATATGACACTCATCAATTTTCTCAATCACTACTGAATAAATTGCAAATAACTCCTGCCGTCGTTAACCCCCTAATGCCACTCTGATTCCAACGCCCAATATCGCCTGAATAAATCGATAGACGCACCAATTTGATAAGCATTGAGAACGCCCTACCACAATATCAATATATATCAAACACGAGAGAAACCATGTATGATGGCAAATGTAGATAAAATGTATATATATATATATCCGGAATCACTGTTGCGGTGGCTGTTGTTGATGTTGCGGCGCCTCACTGCTCAGTCGCGGCCTTTTGATATCACCAGATCCTGGGAGTGCGCCTGGCAGCGGCGCGTTGGTGACGTCGTTTAGTGGTGGTCTTTTCAGTGATGGGTCATTCGTCGGGTTGTTCATGTTGGTGTTGTTGTTCGCGGCGTTCCTGTTGTCAACGGCTGGTCGTGTCAACGGACGATAAGATGATGTTGTAAATCCCTTGTTCACTGGACTGGCTATACCGCCGGGAACACCGCCTGGAGCTCCGATGCGACGATGCACGTCCGTCGCAGGGTTGATGAAGTCTCGCCCTCCACCAGCACCAGCTGCTGCTGCAGCGCCAGGACCGGCTGGTGATTGGGATGTTCCAAATAGCATCGGTTTCGAGACGGGCACGCTCTTGGTGTGATCTATACCGGCCGTTTTGCGGATTGACGGGCTTTCTGCATGAGGGTCGAATTTGGGCGCCATTGGTGATGCGCGAGGGTTGTCACGTAGTATATCGACTGCGCGAGCGGAGTAGAAGCCGACCGCAGGCTCTGCTGGTCCATTGTTATTCATGGTTGATTGGTTGCCCATTGTATTCGCAGCATTGGCTGATTGTTCTGTCTTGACGATTCCAGCAGCAGTATTGTTTGATCTTTGAAACTCTTGGCTGGATCTATTGTTTACCAAAGGGTTCGTCTGATTCATTCCTTGAGGGTTTCCAACCGAACTCCCTCTTTGAGCCGTGGCATTCAGGTTCGAATTATTGCTAAATGCTGCGTTAGTTGCTGCTGCAGGACCATTCCACTGTCGTTCTGGCTTGGAGGGGGTAGTCATTGCAGGATTTGGCGGTGCTACACGTTGTTGATATTCCTGCGGCCTTTGCTGGGCTGGAGGTAATTGCGGTCTCGCTTGTGGTCTCTGTATGGGTTGCGGGGTATCAACGTCTAATACGACTTCGTCAGGATTCCCAGCCGTGTTGGCTACGAAGTCCGCTTCATCAAATACATCACCTAGAATTAAAATTAGACATGACTGAACAGTATGCACAACTGGGTAGATAGAGAACTGACTTCCAAATTCTGCGTCTCCATCAAATGTAAGAGTCTCATGTGATGAGGTTTCTTTCCGATTATTATACTCAATTGGTCGTGGAGGGAGTTCCAACTCGTCTAGCGTCTTTTTGTCATGTATGGGCGCTTTTTTTGTAGGAGCAAAGTCTGGGTGACGATGCAGGTTATCTGCATCCCATTTACTCTGTTTTTTTTTTAGTATATGCTTGGAAATGATTTTTCAAGATCAGTACATACCGGAGCAATTTTGAGTCTGGTCACCTTAGCAAGGTATTCTTTGTCGTAGATACAATTTCCTAGCACGTTTCCAAATGTTCTCAAGGCACGTTTCAGTCCGTCCGTTGTTCCCTCCTTCTTGGCTTTCTCAAAAGCTGCCGCTTTGCCTTTGCAGTTTTCGATATGGCCATATCCGATGTCCTGACCATGTTCATTAGACTTGCAATTCACTTCAAAGCGCCAAGCTGTTCATACCTCATGATAAGTGCCATCTCTTAATGTAACCCTCACAATGACCGATAATCCCAGACTGATCTTTCCCGTTGTCGGATTTTCATCAACCTATCGTACATACCAATCAGTCTTCACTGTTTTCGTCCATATCACCATACCATCATACTAACAAAATCAATCTGTATGTTCTGAATTGAACTCGACCATCCATTAAACCCAAACACCTCGTTTGCAAGATTGATACATTTCTCCGCCGCAAGATAATGAACTTTCTGCCCCGAAGGTCCTGATCGAGATGAAATATACTCCGGCCCAAGTTGCTTGTCGAGGCGTGACTGGAGTGTGGCTACTTCTCGAGCAGTGTACTCGCTTATACGCCGTGGTCCTTCATCGAATGGGTTCGCGGTTCCGGTCACTGTGCTCGGCGGTTCGCGGTGTTGGTCGCCCACTCTGTTTATCGTCAGTATTAATAATCCAAAAAAGTCGGTATGGGACTCACGCAGGCATCTTCAAATTTGATAAATGAGATATCAAAAGGCATACGATTTCGTTAGCCTGTGATGGTAATCGTCACTTGTAGTTGAATCGGGTACAGTTGTTCCAGGTTGACGCGACCGAGACGCGTCGAGGTGCTGACCTACAGACGCCAAACCACGTGCAAGTTATATAGGGTTAGGGTTAATACTATGCAACTACTGCGTGGTATCGCTCAACATTATGCAGACTAACTGTGCTTTATGGCCAATCACTTCAAAAAAGCTTTGCGTGTGTTCATGTCATTTATGAGATCACTACCTCGATGTCTAAATATCATGACCTGTGTCCATTCCATTATTTCGCGACAAGGCTAGCACTTGGGGTCAATCCCAAGTCTTTAAGTGACTCTCCAAAGTATTCACTATCGAAGGTCTTTCGAGGGAAATTTTGAGTGAAACTGTGTACTTCAACTCCATCATCCTTGTTGAGCGCTGCCACAACTTCGAATAACGTCGTTTCAACAGGAAATGTCTTCATAATATTGCCCTTGCTCGTCTGTAGGCGTAGACGAGTTTCGGTGTAGGCTGAGGCTGGTTTGGAAGTCACCGCACCGGAAGTAGTTGGCAAGACAGGTGCTGCAGGTTGAGGCGGAGGAGCTTGACCGGCTCGCTCGGCCTTTTCCCGTTCAGCTTTCAATCGTCGCTCTTCCTTGTCTGCAGCAATCTTGGCTCGAATACGAGCCTTGGCGTCTATTTCGTCTTGCTTTTCCTTTTTCTTCTGTGCAGCTTCCTTGATCCGTTCTTTCTTCTGCAGTTCTTCCTTAATATCTTGAGATTCCTTGGTGTGCTTCCGGCGAATTTCCTATAATCTCTTAATGAGAATGACATTCATTTCAAGCTTCATTCATTGCTCACCTCATTTCTCTTTTGATCCGCCTTGTCCTGCTCTGATTGTACGGCCCGTTTCGCAGCTAACTTTTCCCGCAACTCTTGAAGTCTAGCCTTCTTTTCCTCGTCTGTCAGTGGTGCAATCTCTTCCGTGGACTCGGAGAAGTCTGTATGCTCCGTCTTTGATGCATGGAACTCGGCTTGTGCTTGGCTTCTAAATTTCTTGCCACACTCGTTGCAGACCAGGCTTCGAGGTTCTTCGCCTTCTTTAAGAGCTGGAGCTCCTTCTTCCTCGGTTGTATTTGTAGCTGCAGACTTGATTTCGTCCAGTGACTTGTCTTGGTTCGCTTCTAGCCACTCAAGGGCAGCTTGTACTGTTGTAAACAGCTTGGAATTAGCATGCAAATATGTGGAAATGACATCTTTTGGTAAGAGGGAGAAACGTACATCCTCCAGTTTTTGACACAGCAAGCTCTGCCCGTTCCTTCTCGAAGCCCATTTCCAGCAGCTGCTCGAGATCGGACGCAGTCATCTTTAATGTGAGATAGAATAGAAGTAAGTAGCGGGGCGTATCTCTCTGGCTTGGATTGGTGATTATTTCACGGTCACAAGTTGAGGAAATAGGAATAATGCCTACACTAAGGTTCGAGAATGTCGATATGAGGCGAAACAGACGAATAAGGAGAAAATAGTTGGTAGGGATGATTATTCAGGTCAAGAAGCTACGTAGTGGACAGCGGGGCGACATTATCTTATCAACGGAGGGCGGTCAACCCCGAATGATCTCCGCCCAGAAATAGAACAATTTGGAACTTGTCCCTCAGAAGCTCGCATGTATGAGACTTCACCTCGATAATCATCGCAATAAGCGCACAGGCCACGGTCTTTTGAGTCTGATCTCCACAGCTACGTCTACGGGGAATTTTATAACCTAGTCACTATATTCCTTACTGGATCAAGATCCGATATCGTTTCCTTCATCTTACAGTATGACCGATTTGAACATCGGACGTGCATCTGTTCACTGGGGATGATCATTCTCTATGTCAGCAACCTTGTAGGGTCATGGGACAAGATTGTTCACTCAACCAAAAACACAGGACTATTCGACAAGCCTTTTTATTATTTTAAGAACCATTAGAATCGAATTAAACACAGAACGAAATCGCATGTAATCACATATTATCAATGTAAAAAAGTATGTTGACGGCGTATTGAGATGACATCACATGGTGCCCCATACGGTAATCTGGTAAATTACACGCCAAGCCGCCGCAAAACTCGATTATCTAAGCGTTCCGAGCGGAAACACATGAATCGACCAACCTACCTAGGCACATCATCATCGTCGAGAAGACACCACCACGAACGTCGCTTCTCTCGCCAACACACTCCGCTCGCTCTCCGACCTCCGAAAGCTGTCTACGCACCCTCACTCACTCGTTCTGCTATTGATTCTATCTCTGCAACTGCTCCAAGGATTATTTCCGCAGACTGTTGTGATCCTTGTCGTTGTTGTCCTTTGTCACTTTCCATCTCCTCCCCATTTCCAGTCGAACGCCATGTCCGTCGATCTCGAGCCCGGTGATCTCGGTTTTCGCCGTATGAGCCCAATCAATTTTCGAAAGAAGTTAGTCTGAATAAACATTAACGTTAGGATACAGGTCCCTTTAATCGTGAAGTAAGCGAAGTGTTACATATCCGCAACCCGCAAAGCGATCCAATCGCATTCAAGGTCAGTCTTTGATATATCCTTGCGCTGTAGTATCTCGCTATCGATACCATGATTACTGACTGCAGTCAAAATCTAGGTCAAGACAACCGCTCCCAAGCAGTACGTATCTATCAACTTACCCATGGCGTCATCCGGCTCTAATCGATTTGCAGTTACTGTGTGCGTCCCAACTCTGGCCGTGTAGAACCTGGAAAACATGTCGAAGTACAAGGTTGGTCATATCGGTTTGAGATACGTGCTTTGGACTTTAGCCTAATTTTGAGCCATAGTCTTACTACAAGCGATGAAGGAGGACCCTCCGGCAGATGCGAAATGCAAAGATAAATTCTTGGTGCAATCGGTTGCTATCACTGGAGATTTGGAGTTCTCCAATGTCACATCGATCGTGAGTCCTCGTGAGATTCTACAGTCGAGAGAATTTTCCTAATTAATATGGGGAATAGTTCGAGAAAGCACCGAAATCAGCAATCCAAGAACGGAAAATTCGAGTGACTTATCTACCTGCGGGCGTCGCTAACGGACCAGTATGTTGAGCATTTATGAATTTGTCTTCTCAATACTCATTCACCTTGCAGACTCAAACCGAAGAAGAACCTCCCGCGTACTCCTCACCCGGCGGCGCCTTCGAAACCCCTGCGCCAACCGCCAAAAAGATCGTCGACGATTCCACACCCATCCCCGCGCCCAATTTTGAAAAATCACCCAAGCCAGAGACGCCCGACTCAAAGGAGGCTGACTCATCCCTCTTCGAGAATGCACCATCTGGCGCTGCAGCAGAGACCAAGTCCGACTTCACCGATAACGTAAAGGAGCAATTGTCAGACGCACTTGCGCAGATCCAAAAACTCAAAGCTCAACTTACCGAACAAGGAGAAGGATTGCGCCAGCGGAAAGTTGGTGAGGGATCTTCTATCAGCAAGGCCAGTAACACGCTACAACAACAGGTTGCTCAGCCAGCAGCGGAGCTGGGTGTGCCGGTTCAGATCGTAGCGGCGTTGTGCTTACTGAGCTTTTTGCTTGCTTATTTCTTCTTTTAAGAACTTTCGTCTTTTTGTTAGTTTTTCTCTTTTGCGGCCTATAATTATCTCGGAGCATGTTTTTTTCCCTATCCACATTTTTATTATGTCGAGGTGATGCAACTTCCTTTTTGATTCTTTTCTTGTCTGTCTACTTTGTTTTGGTCCCTGCGTGTCTCCTTTATCACGTAGACGTTGGAAGCTCTTGATTTTGTTCGACATAGCCCTATACAGCGTATGAAATGCATTTGGCATTTTCCTCGTCCTCCTCCAGTTCGTGTTTATCATTTCTATTCACACATTTGAATTTAGCAGTGAATGAATTGATACATCCCGTACCGATAGATTCCCATGGAATTTCTAGTGCGTAATAGCTATATACAATTATGTCAATCTTTTAAAGATACCATCCCAAACTCCGTCAAAGCAAAAACCCCATCAGCCCTCTATGGAAAGAAATGAAAAGAACTAATTCTGAATCTCACTCTCTTTCCACCCATCCTCTTCTTCCTCCTCTTTCATAGAAGAGGCAGAAATCCCCTCACCTCCTCTTCCGGCCTTTTTCGACAAACCAGCACCACTTCCACCGCCAACAATCCTACCACCCTGAGCCCTTTTAACGCGACACCACAACCCGACATTTTTATCGAGCACAAACGTCCAGATAACCCATACCCAACTCCGATGGCACGGCAACGGTTCGTAGAACTCGCGTGCAATACGATGGACTTCCGGTAGTCTTGTCCACGGTATAGCAGGGAAATCATGATGCTCATTGTGTAGTCCGACGTTGTACGTCAGGATATTCAGTGGGCCGTAGTAGGAGTACGTCTCTGGGGGTTGCAGAGAATCCAGCGGACTCTTCTTTCCCTCGTTCTTCAACTCAGATAGCGACTCTGTGCCGCCAGCCTTGACCTCCGAGAAAAAGTAATGCTCCGCAATAAAATGTCCCGCACAGGGATGCAAGGATCCAGCCAGAAATGAGCTAAACAACAAGTACAAAACAGGCTGTATTGMCCCGCCACAGACTCGCACAAGCGCATAATCAAAGCTGAGTTGAGTGATCAAGTTGAGGACGTGGATGGACGTAAAGGGCGGACTGTACACAAACATGGGCCTGAGCGCATAAAAGAAAATTTGGAATGTACAGAAGAACGCTTTGCCGAGCAGAGAGTCAAGCAGAAACGCTTCAAAGGCCGTGGGGAGATCGGTGTCGAGGCCCGCGACGCCGAGGGATTTGTGGTGCGTGAGATGGTAGGGCTATACAATAGGATATGCATCAGCATGGCTCTCCTTAGTATGGGGAAAGTTTATAAACTCACTCTGAAAGCAGCACTGTACGGCAACCCAATCGGCAAATTGGCAAAAATAGCCAACAACCTATTTGCAAGCGCAGACCGGAATGCCAGATTGTGTGAAATTTCGTGGATGGCGAGAAAGAGGTTCTGATTCGAGGTTGCCCCAATCACGTATGCGGTCAGGAAGAATTTCCATGAGAACATTGAAGTGTCACGGAGCAGATATGCGCATGTAATTTGTAGGGAGACGACGGCGAGTACGAGCCATTTCGTAAGGGGTTCAGGACCGCATAGCTTTGTGACCTTTACGCAGTGGTATAATTAGCAATTGAACTTTTGTCGAGCTAGGCATCCGTATTGCGGAGAAGGGGGGAAGAGCAAACCTCCGGATGAGCTTTTATGATGGCTTGACGTCTCGAGCGGTGAGGTTCTTCAGTATATGTCCAGAAGAAATGATCGTAGGAAGCTGATCCATCGGGGGGTTGTGTTCTGGAGCCATGTGGTGGTTGCTGGTTCTCTGTTACTCCCTTTGCGGCGTTGACCCTGAGGGTTGGAGTAGCGGTCGAAGTGACAGATGCCATTGGGAGGGTCAGGAGGAAATTAAAGAACAGGATAGGATATTTTTAATGCTCCATGTGTGTATGGAAATCTGGAAGGGCTTCTTATCGAAGATAGAATCCAGTATTGCAAGTTGTTGCGAATTGTAAGGTGTTGATCAACAGATAAATGTTCAGTGGATCAGGAACGGGGCCGGATTATTCTATTTGCACGTGGGGCTACTGTCGGCTGTCCGCATCCCCGTACAACGCATGATCTTTAGTACTCAAATACACTCAGCAGTACAATTTGATTGTCTTGAAGCTACAGTTACTTTTATATGCAGTCAAGCCTATACCAAACACTATCCAAACACATATTCCGTTCAATAGTCGTCGCCACGACTTATAATTTCTTTCACCGTGGGCCGGAGAACGATGGTCTAGGAGCAATCAGCAATGATCCCAGGGGCAACAATAAGACTTTCAAACGCACATGTTCATATTGGGCAGTATACGAGCCCTTGATATCGCACAATGGTGGATAGTCCTGGACTATCCCAGAAGATACCAGGTTATTCAACTAGATTAATGCATATAAGCATATGTCTCAGCTGGAGGTCTGAGGGCATAACTTACTCCAAGAAGATACTTGTCTTGACCAAGTCGATCAAGATATCGACGACAGAATGGCAAAGTGCCAAAGTTCTTGTTAATGACATTCAACAAATTCTTTGCCGAGGACAAGCGGAGTGACACATTCGCAGCGTTTGGAACTTTAGCATAATGCGATGTTTCCATCTGTACAAGTCAGAATCGATACCGATAGATAGTATAGAGGGGATACAAACATCATCTCGCACATAACCCTTTCCGGTACTTCCGAAAGTCTCGATAGCAAAGACTTCGCCTTCCTCCATCTTGGTTTGATCTCCGCCCTTGACGATGGGTACACTCTTGCCACCGTGGATCACGTGTTGATCGATGTTATGCCCGTTCAAGTTACGGATTGCCTTGACGGGATAAGTGGTTCCGTTAATCTCGACTTCATAGCTCTCCATGGCCTCTTGGATGGCTGCTCCAATGTCGCTCATGCGGACATCGATACCGGCTTCCTAAATAGATATTAATACCTAATTCAAACACCTGAGGTAGGTGACATACCCGGATACCGGTGTTGGTGGCATCCTTTACAGCAGCCAGAAGATTATCATAAACCGGGTCAAAAGTCATCGTGAAAGCACTATCCACAATCCGACCATTGATATGAGCACCGAAATCAACCTTCATGACATCACCCTGCTGCAGAACCATCTTGTTGCCCGCATTAGGTGTATAATGAGCGGCGCAGTGATTGATACTAAGACCACAGGGAAAGCCCATTCCTCCCTTTATATTATCTCCTTCCTCTAGACCCTGATGGCCCGTCAAAGCACGAACCGAATCTTCAATACCCTCGGCGATCTCGGTCAAGGTCTGACCGGGCTTGATATTCTTTTGTGCGTATTGGCGGACTTGTCGGTGTACTTCGGCTCCATGGCGATATTCCTGTAAGAAATCATTGTTCATGCGGTCGAGATAGCGCTTTTCTTCGTTTGTGGTACGGTAGTTGTTCTCATCTTTGTACTCGACGATTTCACCCTCGGGGTATGAATTGTTGGGGAATAGTTCGGAGATGGGGACTCGAGGCGGAGAGGACTGTTTTTTGGCGCCGCCCTTCTTCTTCTTCTTAGGCTTGCGCTTCTTCTTTTTCTTTGCCGCTGCACATTGTACCATTTAGCTTATTGCCAATTATCAATTGGAGAATTCCTGGTGACAACTCACCTCCAGTAGCAGCACCCTCACCACCTTCCTCTTCCTTCTCATCATCCTCCGAATCGTCGTTGTCGGCAGCATCATCTGCAGCGTTTACTTGCTCTTGAGCATGACCATTCTGGCCGTTCACTAGCAATTACTATCAGTACAATTGTTTCCAGACCAAAATGCTCAAAGTCAAGACACAAAGGGTATAGCTCACATTTGAGCTTATCCAGCTCCTCACTAGCCTGAGCAGCCATGATGTGGTGTAGTTTGCTTCTTCAATCTCGAAGGTGGGGGAAGAGGAGATCAGTAAAATACTAAAAATGTCCCATCGATAGCCGGGCTGATCGGCCACTCTTGGCAAGCCTATCGCTGTAATTACCATACACGTAAATTACGCATACTAMCCAGCCGATGACGCACTCCGATACACAGCGATCGATAGCTTCCGTGACTTCATTCATACAAGTTTTCTGCTCTCTACACTTCTTGATCGCTGGAGAGTCTGGGCTATCACGACACACCGCAATGAGGCATGCCGCCTCGTTTGACGACTCTTAGAAGGCTATCCCCTTCGACGCTTAATACGCGAAACAAGCTCAATGTTCACTTGCGCAGCCCTGGTTCATCATCAGTCTTTTCTTCGGTTTTCTTTTCTACAACTACGAGATTCCATGCTCGTAGCCACGAGCCTACATACTATGAAATCCTCAATGTGCCGGTGACCGCGACAGCCGCCGAAATAAAAAAGTGCGTACCTACCAACCAGAAACCGTAATCCATTAATCTAGACTTGATCCTAACGACTCTCGGGTATAGACAATTCTACGCTCTCTCCCTAAAACACCACCCAGACCGCAACCGCTCCGACCCCAAAGCAACCGAACGCTTTGCCACAATCTCTTCTGCGTACCACATCCTCGGCGACAGCCACAAACGCGCGCGCTACGATCTCGATCATGGCATCGGCAGTACGTCCACCCATGGAGGAACGCATACACATCCCATGGGTAGCCACAGCAGTGCCGGCGCAACGTATGCCGGGTCTAGACCAGCGAGTGGATTGAGTAAACGACGCACGGCGTTTAGGGGTCCTCCGCCTAGTTTTTATGCGCATGGGGGATATGGCGCGAGACAGCAGCAGCAGCAGGGGGCGCCGGGGGGTCATTATACTAGTACCGGTGGCCCGGCCAGTCCAGGGGCACAAAACAGCGAAGATCCGACGTCTTTTATTAACGATAATCCCGTCTGGCATTTTAATGCAAAGGGACATTACAAGACTCAGGCAGCGGAGGATGCGCGACGGAAAGAGAGAAGATCGCAGCAGATGCAGCGTGAGCGCGAGATTTTGGAGGCCGAGAGGGGCGGGAGTTTTGTGTTGAGGTTTGTGATTGTTTCGGGGATTTTGCTTGTTACGGCTGCTTTTGGGGCGTTGGTGAGTGAGGGTAGTACTGCTGCTGCTGGGCCTAGCAGTAAGACAGGGAGATCGCAACATAAAGGAAGGAATCGGGAGACTTGATGTAATAGTAAAGGAGGATAAGTGATTTACCACGCTATGTATATAATACCTTTGAGATGCCCACTGTATAATAGACAGCTTTCACAAGCCTGACATAATATTACTTTCATATGTTTTACCTTGAATGGAAGAGTTGTGACAAAGGAAATTCTTGTTTATTTGATATACAGATAGCTGTCAGTAGCACAATTAGATAACAGGTGCATGTTTCCGTTTAAAACACACCCCATTGTAAAAACCGGATGCGCCAAATCGCACGTCACTGGCTTCGTCGAGTCCGACTCAAGAAACGCCCACTCAAAGTCACTATTACAAGAAGGTGAAAATAGAAAGAAACAAATCGCGGTATCAAAGAACCACGCATACTCTATTACGCAGACGTTCCATGAGTCGACCAAACAAGGCGAGATCAATACGGAATACCTTCATCCGGGGTATCTCATTTGTTTGGTTTGGTAGAGGACACTTAACCCTCGAAGGTGAAGCTGGCACCGACCTTGTGGGCAGCCTGGTTGAGGTTCTGGGTGTCGAAGGAAGCGCCCAAGCCGAGGGTGACACCAGGGCGGAGGAGGACGTTGTAAGCGAGAGCGGCAATACCGCGGTCGTTGATCTTAGCCTGTTGTAGAAATGTATTAGCATGAGAATGCGACAGTTGGGCTGTTGTGTCCATGTTGACTTATTGACTTACCTTAGCGAAGGAAGAGGGGTCAAGACGGTACTTGCTGGCAACTTCCAAACCGACATTGTTGCCGGCCTTGGAGTCCCAGGTAGCCTTGGCACCAGCCTCAACCTGAGCGTTCACGCGGTGGTAGTAGCTGGCAGAGAAGACGGAGAGGTTGTTGCTGGCAGTAATGGCAGCAGAGTACTGGGGAAGGCTGTAACCAACGGCAGCGGAGTACTTGGTGATGGCAGCCTTCTGGACATCGTAACCACCCTCAGCACCGACGAGGAAACCCTCGTGGCCAAGGACAACATCGAGGTTGGCAGTAGGGCCCTTCAAGAGATCGAAGAAAGCACGGGCGTTAAGGTTGGGCTGCTTGAAGTAGAGGTTGAGCTTGGCACCCTTGGACTGAGAGGTGGGCAAGTACTGGGTGAGGATCTCAGCCTTGAGGCCCTTGGTGATGTTGTTGTCGAGCTCGAGCTTGGTGTCGAGAGCGTTGGCAGTGGTCCAGGCCTGGGTGAGGGTGAGGCCTGATCTCCGTTAGTATTCGAGTCCGTTCCGTCTCTGCTGCTCGGAGCTCCGAAACAAGGATGAAACAGCAACTCATGTATAAGGATTCATACCGATGGGCTTGTCAACGTATTTGGCTTCAAGCTGTTGTAGGTATCAATTAGCTTAATTCACGTGTAGAAGTAAGAGAATAGTTTAACTAACAGAGCCACCGATGGGACCGTCGTGGGTGGACTTTCCCTTCACGGTGAAGGTGACGCCATTGGGGGCATTGGACTTAACCTCAATGCTGGCTAGAGCGACAAATGTTAGTCAAAATATTCCTTTATTGAAATATACAAAGGCAATTGCAGCTATCGAAGCACTTACCAGGGCTGGTGTGGTAGAAATCCTTGTTGAGGAGCTACATGAAGAGTCGTTAGTACAACACCCAGCTAAGGTTAACCGCGGATGCAAAGATTTCGAGATGCTCACATCGTTAGCCGCCTTGGCGATGTCGGAGAAAGCAGCAGGAGCAGCCATTGTGAATGATAGATGGTATGAGGGTGGTAGAAAAGTTGTTTAGACGGACGTGTTGATGTTGTGATGTAGTTAGCAGGAGAAGAAAGGAGTCGGGCTGGGATGGGAGGAAAAAGCGCGGAACAACTCCCAGGAACTGGTTGGGGGGAAACAGACAGAAAGAGAGAGCAGAGCCACGGGGCAGCCCGCGTTGGCGGTGATTGGCTGATCTGATCCATGCCGGCAGAAGTCGCCGAGTGGTGATCAACATCCAATCAGAGGCCGAGTTGCCCTTCGCATTATGTCACCGGCTACCTTTATTGCGTGCCTAGACTTTGAGGCATCAACCTACAGCCATAAGTGAACTGCCGAGGCAACCGGACATATATACAACAGTAATAATAACAATTCATTCACTCTCTAATACATGCCCGAAATAATCCCTATCATTGCGTCAACCTTTCTAGATGAGATATATAAGAAAAATTCCTGGAAGAAACAAAGATGTGGAATTCTAATCAAAATAGTCCTCGATAACAAAAAAAATAGGTACCTACGCCCCACAATGTTCAGTATTCATCGCCCAGTTGGTATCAATGACGGATTTTTTAGGGTTCTCTAAGCTGCGTTTTCGTACTTGGCAACGTGAGTTGCGATGGCACTATGGCTCCATTAGTCATGCCTTTTGACGGAGGAAGAAGTGTGTTGCTTACCGTCCACTAGGATCAGTCTGCTTGGACCATGTTGGCACCCAGCGCTCAACAGTGTTTGCACAAGAAGGAGGGAAGTGCTCGTCGAACATCATGCGGTACCAGTAACTAGAACATGTCAGGAATTCTGCGGGTATATACTAGGTTTGGGGTATACGTACGCCTCCTTGGTGGCAGGAATGTCATCACCCCATTCAGGCTTAGGGTTCTTCATCATCTCATCGGTAACGTGAAGCTCGGCGTTGTCCTTGAGTCCATCAATCCATCCGTATCCGACACCATCACTGAACTGCTCCTTTTGACGCCAGAGGATCTTGTCTGGCAGATAAGGTGCAACGTCTGGCTCATCAGAGGTATCGAATGCCTTTCGCAAGATGTACTTCTCAATGCGGTCTTTTGTGATCATCTTATCCTGGGGATCCACGTTCATGGAGGTCTCTAGGAACTGCTTGTCCAAGAATGGCACACGGGCTTCAAGACCCCATGCAGATGTGGATTTGTTGGCACGGAGACAATCTGCAAGGTGGAGGTTCTTCACTCTCCTGACAGTCTCAGCGTGGAATTCCTCCCTGTTGGGAGCAGCGTGGAAGTAGAGGTAGCCACCGAAGATTTCGTCACTACCCTCACCACTCAATACCATCTTGACACCAAGAGCCTTGATTTTCCTACTCAACAGGTACATGGGAGTCGAGGCACGGATAGTGGTGACGTCGTAGGTTTCAAGGTGGAAGATGACGTCGGAGAGCGCGTTGAGACCATCCTCAATGGTGAAGGTGAAGGCATGGTGGCGAGTGCCAAGGAAGTTAGCAACTTCAAGAGCGGCGGCGGTGTCAGGAGCACCAGGCAGCCCAATAGAGAACGAGTGCAATTGGGCGAGGACGGTCACGGTGGACAAGTCGTTCTCATCGTCAATGCCAACAAGCTCAGATTCGCCGTTGGTCGATGCAACCGAGCTTCCAGTCATTTGCAAATCTCTCGTGCGAAGAGTCTCGCGTTGTGCAATGGCGGCGACCAAGCTAGAATCCAAACCACCAGACAAAAGCACACCATAAGGAACTTCTGCCATAAGACGCTTGCGAACTGAACGCTCCAACATTTCACGGATAGCCTTATAGTCGACAGGGGTCGAGGGTACGCGCTTGGGGTCCCACCAGGTGGGTTCGAAGTAACGGGTCATGGTGTCGGTCTTGGAGTCGTAAACGTGGCCAGGGGGAAAAGCAACGATCTTGTCGCAAACGGGGTGCAGACTCTTCAATTCGGAGGCGAAGTAAACGGCACCAGGAGTCTCGGAAGACCAGCCTTGGTAGAAGCTGGTGATACCGATAGGATCACGGGCTGCGATAACACGGTCTTCCGTGGCATCGTAAAGGACCCAGGAAAACATTCCATCGAGGTGTTTAGGAGCGTCGACACCATATTTCATGTACTATCCCATGTCAGAATAGTCTTTTTGAAGACGATCGGTCTCAACATACCAATGGGATGATAACCTCGCAGTCGGAATGTGTCTTATACTTATAGCTGGGGTCCAGGGATTTTCTGAGGATACGATGGTTATAGATTTCTCCGTTGACGGCGAGGGCGATGGAGGAGTCCTCGTTGACGAGGGGCTGGGACCCAGAGTCTATGCATATCAGTAAGCGACACGCTGATCAGGTCGAAGCAAAGACGGAAAATCATACCAACACCGACGATACTTAGACGCTCGTGGACGAGAACTGTTGCGCAAAAAGCAATGAGTCATCACATCCGGATCAACCTATAATTTGAATATCTCCTTACTAGTCTTGTTCTTGATGAAGCTTCCGCCTGAGTAGTTGTTATAACGTCAGTTCAATCCATTTCATCATCCGGAATTGTTGTTATCGTCAGAACTCACTCCAATCGGGGCCACGATGACGGATGCTGAAAGCGCACACGATATTAGCCTGGGCTTTTAAGTTGGGGGTTAGAGAATATTCTTACGCTTTTGCCATCCGCAAAGCCGTAGGCTTGAACTTCTGGACATCGGGATGACTGTCAAAAAGCTGTTGTTAGCAATTGCTTGTTCGATGTGTTCGACCATGATTTCTCCCCTTGCCCCCCCAGCATACAAAATCTTTGCGGGGCAGCAACAAAAAAAAAAAGAGAGAGCCAGGGTGAAAGTCAAAGACGTACTGATGACAAGCGAAGATTCCACACATATTGACGGACTGTGATTTCGCAATTGGAATCGCGAAAGGCGTTAGAATTGAATGCGCTGAGCTGGTCTTTTGAAAGAACAAGAAAAGAAAGCAAGTAGTTTAAGCGGCGATATTGTGAGGGCGGGACAGTGGCCGAATGTACCGCGAAATCGGAGCGATTGGGGCCTGTGAGTGGTGGGTGACTCATACGATGACCGATAAGATAACGAAACAATAAGTCGTCTCTGATTGGTCAGATCACTTTCAGGCATTTTCAGGCATGATTTCTGACAGCGAAATAGCCCTAATTGACCGAGTTGTCTTTTTATTATCATGCTATTGCAGCGTTCACATCACCCTGACCCCACGGAATCGGTCACGATTGATCACTCCGATCTCGACATGGTTCATATACGAGGTTCGGGTAATGGAACTAGCAAGCGAAAAGAAAAAGAAACCAGATGTCTTGGTTACTCAACCCCAGAAGTAACAACAAACATCGGCCCGCAACAGGAAGAGGATACCTGACGATCCATCCCTAATTGTATGTCTACCTCATAAATATTGGCGAAGATCGGACTAACGATGAGGATGCGAGTCGAAATGGTAACATGCCTCGTTCTCCGGTGAGATGAACGAGGTAGAACGTTTACTGCCGCAGTCACAAGTGGTATAGAAAGATGCACGTTGATGCACCCGGTGACCAGCAGTGTGGGGGTTGAGGCTATGAATATCAAGATATACCCTAATACCCCGGAAATTGCGGCAAGTCAGGCACTCGTCAAATTCCATTGAAACGAGCCAAGTCAATTTGGCAAAAAAGAAGAGGCGATAGCAGTGGTATTGGGACTTGGAAGGTTACTTGGCCCCTTTCATAACGTCTGGATCATGATCTATGGGCGTCTGAACTATCCCTTCATATCCGTTTCCGCAGCTATACCAAGTGCTCTGCCACTTCTCCTCATATTGCAATCCAGACTGTAATAGCACCTGGAACAATCTTTCATATCCAATTTTCACACCTGAAACAAGTACAATTTCCCGTTCTTATTCTTCATACGTATATCTTCTTCAATGCCTATCATATGTTGCGCCACATCCACATCTCGTTCTGAGGCAGCCTGGAATCATTCAGGTCCAATGTCCTCATTAGACTCTCCTGCATGTCTCTGACTTTCAAGCTTCTTCTTGTTTCAATGTTGAATTCCGCTCGAGAATGCGTTTTCGTCAGTTTTCATAACCTTGTAAACAAAAGTAGGGATTCAGGAGGGACGTTTCGCCCTTACGGACTTAAGTCCTTTTTGTTGATTTATATTGTCCTTTACATTCACCCTTGAACAAAACACCGGCGACAAACAGTGGATACCTCGGCATGTTGGCAGTCTACCATGAGCTATAATATATGGCGAAATACACTGAGTTTTTATACTACACATGATACGCCTCCCACTTATATGAAGCTATTCGCATTTAAATTTTGTATAAAGGCCCTATAATATCTGAAATATCAGAATAAATGGTGCGATTTAGTGCGCCAACTCCGTGTAATAAAGATCTTTGGTGGGCCTCCGTAGTTAATCCTCTATACTGAAACCTGTGGTATGTCCCCATAGTGAGTCTCCGTAACTACAAAGTGAACTCTAAGAGGGGATATCGTTTGCAGAGCTTTGTGAGCTAGTACTATTGCTTAGAGGCATACTTAAAGATGTGCTCAGAGGCGGTGGGAGGGTGTGGGTTTTCCCTGTCGCTGATAAGTACGTAGAGATTGGCGTGTGGTATCCTGCTGAAATCTAGATGCATCTCCGCGAAAGAGCTCGAAAAGGTCGTCATCGCACACGATGCTATTGAGCCAAATCAGGAAATGTACACTAAAGTTGGAAACTCGATTGATGTTAGGGCTAAACATACGCTTTGGCGGTCTGCTTTGTGAACGTTGTTTCCTTTATTACGACTTTAGTGTCGATGCTATTGCTTGCATCTTTTGTGTGATTAAAGATGTACCTATATCCCTAAACCTCGAAATACTGGGCCATCATGATTCTCATCGCTAGTAAATATGGGAAACTTTGTAATTCTTTAACACGTTTGCCTTGGTTTGGATTGGGTTTAGTGATGTGTATTGGGAATACTCCCCGATTCCAGATTCTCCATGGACGGAGATTTGAAATGATCTGTTGGTCAGCATTTGGGAAGACCCTCGGCCTCGATCTTACTGAATGCAGTTTGGACTTAAATTGATCATTAGTATCGGGAGTGTCCTCTGGTATCATATATTCCTTGGAGATAACTTGAAGGCAAATTAATGATCAGCATTTGGAGTGCCTCTCAATCATATTTTTCATAAATATAATCTGATAATCAGTCATGTCACTAATGAAGAGAATAAAAAATAAGAAAGGACCGTCCTCAATCCTCCGGACTCCAAAACGCAATGGTATCGCTTTAATATGATGCAAATCGTGAATCATTGTTGAGACAACAAGGGAAGAGCTCTTGACCTAAGCATTCATGTCGGTTTAGGGTGCTGGATTCTCGCGGACAATTTGGCGTACTTTCTTTTCGTAAGCGGCACGATCTTTCTTGAAAAGGTTGTAAGCTTCAGCCTGCGCTGGGGATTCGGGGTTGGGGTCGTCGAGTAAGTCTTGGACGCCGATGAGAATCTCCTTGATTGTAATCGCAGGGCGCCATGCTTCTTCCTCATTCAAGATTGAAAGGCAAACGGTTCCGGAAGGGTAGACGTTTGGGTGAAACAGAGGAGGGACGAATTTGCCTGAACAAGAGAATCGTTAGCATTACTACTCACGGACTGGAATGGTAATTACGAAAATCATGAGATTGTCAATAAAGGTAAGGGATTGATGCGGGGTAAGACAGGCCAAGTCGAAAGAGTGTGGTAACTGCGAAAATGGAAGGAGAGTCAAACGAACATTTTGGTGGCTTGGTTGGGTACTCTGGATGATGGAATAGAGTTAGCTATGATCCCAGAAACGGCATATGAGGCCATCCAATATGCATAGAAAACGAACCTTCAGGAAAGATCAATTGAAGTTTGAACAAGCCGCCCTCCCAGAGGGTGCTGGACTTTCCGGGAATACCGCATTCCCAGTTCTTCATGTCAAGAACTCCTTGAGCGTTACGGTTGGGTTTGGCATAGAAGCCGAAAGGATGGTCCTTTCTCCACTGCTTTCTGTGCGTAGCGCATGTCAGTAAGGGATCATCGTCTTTCGAAAGAAATAAGAATCACCTCTCCTCAGTCAAGCGATTCAAGCAGAGACTCATTTTGCAGGACTCTTTGTGAATTCACGTAGTGATCGAAATTTGACCTTTATGGTTGGCTGAGTCGCCAGTTGAACCTGATCACAGTGTGTCGATGAGGATACGATGGTATGAGGAAATCGTTGAGAGAAACCGATTTCAGAGTAGTTGAGAAAGACAGAATATTATGAAGTAAAGTCGCGATGTTCTCTAAGCTTGAAGTGAGAAGACGAAGCCCGAGCTGTTTGATCTATCGCAAGTTGTAATGACTGCGAGCAGGGTGACGAGATGAAGTGCCTTTGACGGTTCTTGATCGGTGATATTGGCAGACGTAGTGAGATTCTTCAAGGTCGAAGAAATATGTGTGTTGTAAGCAGAGTGTGAGAGAGTAAGTGAGTTTGTAAGAGAGATAAAATTGTCGGGGAAGCGGCGCAGAAGGAGGAAGAAGGTTGAGCTCGGGCCAATCAGGTTTACCCCACGGCCCGCGGCCTCTTCCGACTGTCAGTCTGTTCTGCGTTATAATGTGATGTCACGTGCTTATATATTAGATGTATAGTAAGGATTTAAATGAGTTTTTCTTCTGATGATTTAGAAAGGCAGAGATAAAATTTTGCTTCAGAAATCAATATGTTCATTGGTCGCGGAAGAAACGAGGCTAGACTATTGATATACACCCTTTTCAAACTTCTCGGTGTCATAGAATTTGGCAGTAATCTTATTTCCATTGAATATCCGTCCTTCCAACGCGTTGACAGCCTAAACCAAGGGTGAGCGATAGTCCCAAGGTGAGCGTTTCATCAAAAGGGTGAACTTACTCGTAAAGCTGATAATTGAGCAGTGAATTTGACAAACACTGGAATTGGGTCATTGCTTTCCCGGTGTACGAAGACTCTTTCGACACGGCCATACTTGAGTATTGTTAGCACTGGCTCAGATGAATCGACGCGAGTAGAGTATCGTACCTTTTCGTTGCATTCTTCGCCTATCTCCTGCATGAGACCGCCCCCTTGGCTGTTGTCCAATTCGTTCGCCAAATCCATACCGTCTAGCATGCCGTATAGTACAATAACTTCACTCATTGGCCCGAACTTTCCTTCTTCCTCGTTCTTCTTCTTGCTAGCGATAATCTTGCCACGACCTGCAGGTGTTGCAAAGCCTCCGCCTTCTGAATCCGGTTTCTTCTTTGACTTCTCTACTTTCACTTGTAACGCGTTGACAATTCCGGTGCCGGTAGCACCCAAACCAGACCCCTTGGTCCAGCCATATTTTGCCATGAGACGTTCAGCGAAGCCTTTTTGTCCTGGCCGTAGGGAGCGAGGGGCTTCCTCTCCTTCATCCTGTACCGGCTCTTCCTCGGCGAAAACAGCCTCGAGCTCCTCTTCTGTCGCTGGTATATCTTCTGGGGCAGGAGGTAATGTATACCGTACCGGTGCGCGCGATATCGTCGCCGAAGCAGGTTGAAAGGCCGACATTGACGGTTTGCTAGGAACTTGGGGTTGTTCCGGAGGCGGAGGAGGCGGTGGTTGCTGGCTCATCTGGAGCCTTCGCGCATAGGCATCGTCTCCTGTAGCTTCATTTGGTATAGCGGCCGGCGGAGGCGGAGGTTGGTAATCTATATCTTCCATGTCCACTTCATGGTCTTGTTCTCTAGTCCTCTGGAACCGCTGTGCGTAGACATCTTCACCACTGTCGTTGGACAATACCTTCGACGTGTCATTGAGGTTGGCCGGCGGCGCAAAGTTATAGGAAGGAGGAGCGAATTGCCCTGCACATCATCAATAAGGTTTCTCGAATGGGTAGAAAGAATGACCCACGGTTCCGTGGCAGCGGAGATTCATCGTCACTATCGTAGTCATTGCTGCGTCGCCTAGCCATACGATGCGCATACAGCCGATCTTTCCATTCTCTCACTTCTCGTATTTTTTCATCGCTTCGTTTATATTCCTCATAATTGTTGGGCCTGGATGGATCGTAGATGTCGTCCCAGTTTGTAATCATTTCTGGTCCATCTCGGTTCTTCTTCCGCTTCTTGCGACCTCCACGTTGTCGTTTTTCCTGCCCATAAAAACCGTTCACATCGTCGTCATCGGCCGTCGAGGCCCAATCGGCGAGGGTGGTCTTGACCTGTAGGCGCGTAGACGAAGTTGTTGCAGCAGTCGTATAACCCGTCGCGGAGGGTGTTGATGCTGGCTTAGGGAATGCGGGTTTTGCCTTTGGCTTCTGATTTGGTAACTGCGGTCTCTTGATGGGTTGGAATCGCAAAGATGCTACAGTTTCGCGACACAGGAAGCGCCAACACACATGTGAGCAATCATAACGCAACAATTATCGCGGATAAATTAGAAAGGGTAATGCGCTACCGGCACTTTTTTGTTGCTTATCTGCAGAAGTTTCGTCTGTATCTATGCCCCCTTCAGAGCTCTGCGTGAAGAGTACCGGGGCTTTGGCTATCGTCCCCGGAGCTGTAGAGCTCTCGGAAGCTGGATCGAGAAGGTTTGCGTACAGCGAAAGTCCCCCGCTTTTGGATTGGGGTTGAGGCGGCATGTTGAAGGTTTGACCGGATGAAGAGCTAGCATCAGCGTATTTTCAAGGGGCGGATACACAGGTCGCGATGCGACAACAATGAGGTGCGAAACAAGCTCAACCAACGCAGGTCAAAGTTGAGGCCGCTCGATTGCTGCTGGGTGGAAGAAGACTTGGCATGTTTGCCGTGTTTGCACTCTTGTCATTTCACTTGAACATCGGCCAGCTGTACTTTGACTGCCACCTTGCCACGGTGCATTTGAATGTACGTAGCTTTAAAGGAATATGAGACCCTTCTCAGTTACCGACACATATATGATTGCAAATTCTGTCTTTGTTGTTAAGCCGCTCTTCTGGTCTACTATGTATAGAGAGCGCGATTAGACGAGGCTGGCGGCGGCCCGCAACAAACCGCTCCGGTCATCGGCTTCGGCCAGGCGTCGCAGCTCCCCGGCGAGAGTGCCAATGACAGCGCCTGAAAAAATAATAATTCCGAGCACCTCTCCGACCTAGGCATGCTTGCTATGACACAGCAGCTATTGAATCTCTAGAGTATTGTGAGTCGTGAGTCGTGAGTCATTGATCAGAGCTGCATTTCACAAATATTTAAAGGCGGCATCACTGTCTGTCTGGGCTACAGCTGATCTTTTTACAGTCATTTAGTCGTCACCGCACAACAAAGGATGAGGCTTTCACATCAATTCGCGCGCAACACATTGTTGCGCGCAAGCAAAACTCAATATACAACTCCATCGCTCGGTTCCTCCCTGTGGAAGCGAGCATACAGCATCAAGCCTATCTCGGCCTCGGCAGAGCTGCCAGGTGTTGATCCCTCCCAGCTCGAGATTACCAAGACCAGCACACCCAAGGAGTTGACTCCGAATAGCCAATTGCAGTTCGGCAAGACTTTCACAGGTAAGTGCAACTTAAACGGGAAATGATATCCATGTCTATATACTCACTATTTGTATCATACAGATCATATGCTCTCGATTGAGTGGACTGCCACCGATGGATGGCTTACTCCTCGCATTGTGCCCTACCAGAACCTCAGCCTTGACCCCGCAACATGCGTGTTCCACTATGCTTTCGAATGTTTCGAGGGTATGAAGGCCTATAAAGACAAGGATGGCAAGATTCGTCTGTTCCGCCCTGACAAGAACATGGAGCGTCTTAACAAGTCATCTTCGCGAATTGCTCTTCCTACCATCAATGGCGACAGTCTTACCAAATTGATTGCGGAATTCACAAAGTTGGAGAGTCGATTCATTCCCAAGTGAGTCAAGTATTGTCTGTGCGCTCAATGCGTGATGGTAATTAACGATTGTGGTCTACGTAGTGAGAAAGGATATTCGCTGTATCTACGACCTACGATGATTGGTACACAAAAGACCATCGGAGTTGGCCCTCCAGGATCAGCTCTTCTTTTCGTGATTGCCAGCCCCGTCGGCCCATACTACCCTACCGGCTTCAAGGCTGTGTCTTTGGAAGCAACTGATTACGCTGTGCGTGCCTGGCCAGGTGGTGTCGGCGACAAAAAACTTGGCGCCAACTACGCTCCCTGCATAGTCCCCCAGCAAGAAGCCGCCTCTCGCGGGTTCCAGCAGAACTTGTGGCTGTTCGGTGAGGAGGAATATGTCACCGAAGTCGGTACTATGAACCTCTTCATGGCCATCAAGAACAAGGAAACCGGACAGAAGGAACTCTTGACCGCGCCTTTGGACGGTACGATCTTGGAGGGTGTCACGCGAGACTCCGTTCTCGGACTTGCTCGCGAGCGATTGGTGCCTGAGGGCTGGGTTGTGTCCGAACGTAAAGTGCGCATGTCAGAGCTCGCTGAGGCATCGGCTGAAGGACGGTTATTGGAAGTCTTCGGATCTGGTACGGCAGCTATTGTTAGCCCAGTTCGCAAGATCAGCTACAAGGGTCAATTGGTGGACTGTGGATTGCAGGAGAACGAGGAAGCCGGTGAGATTGCGCTTCGTATGAAGAATTGGATTGAGGGTATCCAGTATGGTGAGGAGAAGCACCCATGGAGGTAAGTCACTGCCCACGTTTAGCAGCCTGAAAAGGCAGCTGCTTTTTAAAGAGAGAAAGCTGACTTGTGGTTTTAGCTATGTCGTTGAGTAAAAATTTTCACTGCGATATTACTGAACTCGCATTGGAGGGCATTTTTGGAGTATGTAGATAAACGGGCGTCACTGGCTTGAAAAGTACGCTGAGATCAAAGAACAATTACGAAATGATTTTTCAGGGCCACTACAAAGTAGTAAAACAACCACGTGGAATCTTTGCATACATAGTAAAATCGCTGCTTGGGCATGGGGTCTACCTCGCCTCACGTCAGCACCATGAGTAAGCCACTATAAATCTTACTTCGAGATCTTACTCAACCAGAACTGATTCTTCTTACGTACGTATCTCACTTGAGGAGTGCATCCCCCCGATTTCTTGAGGCCTCTTTTCAGAGTACCTCGATACCTAGGTCATGGCTGAATATGTTTCTTGCTTTCCTCATCGCTGAAAAATAGTAGCACCCATCTTCACTGATCCCATGACTAGCCTACACCTCTTATCACCCTATTCTCAACTGTCTAGCTATACTCGGATGTATACATCCCTCTTCACATCTATGGATCCTTCCAAGGTCCACCTCCAAAGGGTCTTTCGGGGCCATAATCGTTACTGAAGTCCCACGGACGTATATCTCTTTTGCCACTAACGAAACTGATTTCAGGAATATATGAAATATGTAAACCTTCATAAGAACCTTACCTACCTAGTGTAATTATGACCCCTATCACTGCAGTTGCAGTGTGGAATCATGCTAAACTAGTTTGGACTTAGATATCTTACCTTTTCATGTGGGCACGTACATCGCCACTGGAAAGGGATTCTTCAACGTCATTTGTCAATCTTTCGATTAGATGCCCCAGGAGCGTAGAAGACATATTTTGGGCTTCTATACCGGCCTACGAGCCAGATACATAGCGGAAATCGTTCGGACTTTGCTTTGTAAGAATGACAAGTTCGCGGAGGAGGAGGTTCCATCTTATGTTGGTTACTTACTATAAGTCAAGCCTTGATTTCTGGCTTACCAGTTCCGTGAAAAGTGACTGGATACTGTCAATGAGATTTATGATGAAGAAAGGTTTGCATCTGATGGCAGACCTATGTACCGTATCACTGCTACTTACGGCATTGTGTGATGCTCTTGATCTATTTTCGACCAACCCGAAATGGCATATGCCTCATGTGAACTAGGCGCAAAAGCAGAAATATCAGAATGAAGTCTCATGGATATCCCCGTTCTTTGATAGGTTTACAGGTACATAGAGCTACGTACTTAATGGCAAAAGAAGGTTTTTCATCAATCTACTACGTACGTAGTAGGTCAGGACTATATTTAGGGTTGGGGGGCATTTCGCGTGTTCGCTATGGCCTTTTTATCCACTGAAATATGTAATATCATTGGTCAGTCCTTTCAGCATGCATATTATGAAGCAGAATGTGAAGAAAGATGCATGACTCGCGCGTTGGTCAGGGGGTTAACAAGTCGATCTGCGTTGCACCTGCGTCGGATGCTACTCGAAACACTTCTTGATACCTGCTGAAAATGACAGTGTAGACGAGGTACGTAGTGAATGAGACAGTCTAGAGTCAGTATTTTCCTCAGAGTCCTCACATATTAAAACTCACTTATTGTAGAACAAGTCAAGCTACCTCGCAGGACCAAAGAGAGACTGATTTGTGGAGATTAGTTGTATATGGCAAATGCTAAATTGTGTTCTGGGAACAGACTGTCAAGCATGTTTGGTCTTGTCGACCGTTTTTATGCCCATTCTAAACTAATGATACGACCCTAGACCTTGAAAGAACACTGTGACTTGGATGACCGCGCTACGTGACTTGTCAGGGGTGGAATTGTTTGGCGCACTAGTACTAGCAGTCACTGCAGCTAGCGGAGTAGCGGTGTACGTAGCGTGTCTTTTGATTTTATAAGTTTACTATTGGTAGGTGCCGGGTATCATAATCGGGTTTAATCTCGAGTTCCTGAAATGAATATGTGTAACGTTACCACGTAGTAGGTTCTGATGAAGGAGTCTCTTGAGGGTAAGTACGTATACGTGCTCTTAAGTGTTCAACAACTCACACTATCATCCCCAGGGTGTGTGGGAAATGCAGAAACATCTTTAACCACGTGTGCCCCTCTATTATTTTATCTTAAACTACATGACACCCAAGTGACTTGGCAGCTAAATTAGCTGTAATCTCAGCACATTTTATACTCTATTCAGCCCTACATACTTTGCGTGTGGGGGTGCTTTCCCACATCCAACAGCACAGGATTGACTAGACTAGTGCAGAAAGAATTTGTCTAGAATCAGGGCTTATGCCGACGCACCAGGCGAAGCACGCTGCACCGCTGGTATGTATGTATCGAGGGCGTATTGTGCTGAGTAATGAAGCTCCCGTGATGGACCGCTTTTCTTCTTCTCACGTTGACGTTGTGGCCGCAATGCTAAGTTTTGTTGAGGCTAGTTTCGTTTCACGGTCCGAACTGGGCATTCATTTGACACAGATCTGTTTTGGGCTCTGGTATGTTTAAACTCTATTCTTAATTGCGTAGCATTAGTACTTGGTAGAATGGACGATAGATGGCGGCCGTGAGGATCCTCGATTGAGAATCCCTCATTAGAGAACCGATTTGATAGATTTTCGTACAAACTACGAAGCATGTGCTTATTTGAACAACCGAGACACCACGTATTGAATAGAGTCGATGATCAAGTACGTAGTAAATTGCCACTGGTGGCTACGTGTATGAAAGCGCCAGTAATGGGGCAGAGAGGAGTCGAGAAATAAGGGTCTGACTTTGAACTTTGTCAGATGGTCCGCTCTGTAAACTATACTACGGATGTAGCACGATAGGCTTCATTACTCTAGGTTCCTAGAGCAGCAGGCTAGCAGGCAAAGAGGCAGGAACTTCCGAAACCGAGCAGTGAAGGGCTAGATGGCTAGTCATGTACGGAGTGGATCCTCTTTTGATCTCTAGGTAAGAGAACGCGAGACTCGCGAAGCTAATTTAATTTGAACCGCACTAAAGTCACCTAAAGGAACCTATAAGCTATAACGGTCAAATTTAAGTAAGTTGATTGGCTACTTCGTAAAATTTCCTCAAATGGGTAATCGCGCAATGTGTGGAAGCCATCCTGACTGGTTATCCTTACGGCTCCTTCATGATATTGCCATATTGGAATAACACTTCCTCAAGGCCCCAGTCATTGTGGACCTGGCATCGTTCATATGGAAAGAGTCGCGATTTACCCCAAACTCTTTCGAGTTCTGGCGCCAACGAATCTACATCATCTTTCCCGGGACTTGAAGTGAGGCATAACATTCTTTTTCACTTAGGGTATACAGTCTCACTAATACGCTAAGCCTCGTATTTACATTCATTCGTGGTCTCCAAGAAACAGAGTGAGTGCGTGCGCTGGATGTGCGAAGTATGTACATAGTACGTAAAAACTAAGAGTCTGGACAGCCCTAAGATCGCCATCATATGACCTCAGCCCCCGAGTTAGAGATAGCACTGAGTCCTGACGTTGAATTCTTGGAAAGCCGAAGAATGTGGGTTTGAATCGGAATTAGCGACTTGATGTCGGACATTTTCGGTCGAAAATTTGACGAGATCAAGTTTACACCGCTGCCTATTTAGATTAGATATCGTCCTCTGGAAATGAGGATACTTAGTGGTATATTTTACTCGTTTGGAGATTTTGCGTTTTCACCGAAGCTGAAGGGCTTGTTTCAGGCTTCTAACTCTGTTCATTATGTACACAATTATATACTTTGATAGTGGAGAGGTGCCTTGAAGACCGTAATGCAGGGGGGCTTTGGATGGCAAAGGTGAGCACTTTGGGACCATGCTGAACAATGTGTTAAGCACCCACATCATAACAACTTTGCTCGAGCAATAAAAGCGTAAGCAATTGTGTTGTGCACCCGCTCGAGAAATCTAAATATGACTCGAAGCTGATGAGGCACCTCACACATTTTACTCCTCGTGAAGCTATTTTTCCAAGGCATAACTTGAAGTGGTGCACATGTTTCCAAGCAACTGACAAGCTAATGGCCTACGAAGCCCCTGACAGTGGCCGCACATGATATCCTCAAGAACTTTTCAACAGTGCGGCAAATATCTGAAACCTGCCCACCAACTGGGTACAACATAGATCTCAAAAGCGACCTCGAGTTTCCTGATTCAAGATTGTCAACGATAGCCTGATGCGTTACCTACATAATCCCTGGTGATATTATTTCAACATGTGTGTATGAGTATGATTACTGAATTATCCAAATTAACAAATTGACTGGAAAACATCTGGACTAATTATTTACGAAGGCCATTTAGGGAATACCGCCATGTGCATGCAGCCGAACTTTTCCCGAAAAGGGAAATCATTTCAGGATCACCCCACGTTTCGAACGGAACTGTCCATTTAAAGTCCGGCCGCCTAAGCCAGCTTTGGATTAGGCACCACCTGCTCCAACGGGCTGTGGCATTAGGGTTTGATTTTCAGGGGGCCTGACTGGCTCACTCAACCCACACCTGCGAGATTCTACATAATTAGCAGAAAGAGAGAAGATTACTCACTCCGTAAGTCCGTACGCTTGCTGGAGGGAGACATAGGTATCAATCAATACGACGGTTACGACCTACGTATATGAAGATCAGATTGTGTGCGAATACTACGTAGGTCTACTATGTATGGGATTAATAACCGCTAATACATCGTCAGTTCTCTGCCTCGCTTGAGTATCAGGAGTCAATTATTTTCAAGCATAGGCTTATAACACAACGGAGTGTTCCGTACAATCCTCTGGATTGAGGGTCGGATTGTCGAAGCGGACTCGAAAACCTTTTCAGGTTTGCTATGCCAGCGTTGACGCACTGCGCCGTGTGCCACGTTCATAATTAGGAAGTTCCGGTAATCGAGAAGCCAGAGATCCTCCGCGGGGTGAATACCGCGCTACGTATGCCGTATGAACTTACTGTATCATATCTACGGCCGTAAAGGAGTAGCATAGTAAAGTGTGCGGGATTAAGAGCTAGGCCGAAATTAGTTAACGATGGATGAAGCAATGAAGCATTCCCAGCCCGAACCCTGCTTATCTTCCCGAAAGTCCCTGCCATGGCAGTTGAGCACATTTTTTTTTTTTTTTAGAAAAAACCGGAACAGCTTCTGAGCTGATTGGCCACTACGGTAGGATTCAAGGTTGATACGTAAAACGATGGACTCTGTGGCACTGGGGCTAAAATAGGGTCCCCCACCACCTAGTCTATATTTGGGACGAGTCTTCCCACGAAGTGAAGAATTGAGCTGAAACTGGAGCGCTATGCAGGACAGCTGATAAATTCAAAAGATCTAGAATTGACTGACTATGCACTGGAGGAGATATGAATGGGCAAAAAATAAACTTTCGTAAGCTCATACTTGGTGCATTGAGAACTAATTAATGAACATTAACATGATCCGCTCAGAACCGAGCACAGCCATTTGTCATTATACGGCAAGAAGGTAAAGGAGTTGAGAAAAAGCAATTAGTTAAGACTGGATACCACCGGATGCTTAACGCAGCCCTGTTCGATCCAATAAACGTTATTTAAGTAGTTCAAACAGCCCACCCAGCAGTGGATATCGGTATTGAAAGTATAAACTCCGTGGATCCCCGTCAGCTTAACATTTAACATTAAACGGTCTACCTAATCAATCAACGCGTACATAATAGATGTCTATATAAGATACATCTCTGATTCTTCAGCCGTCGGCTTACATGAATCGTCATAATTCTTGATTCGCTTAAGTAAAAACCGGTACTTTCCATCTATTATCTCACCTCATACGGAGTCGACTAGAGATCATTCAGTTGATACCTGCAGACTCTTCAATGTTACTGGTTGACCATCCTCATAAAGGAATCGACTTGTATACAGCGGCCAAAATGGATCGAGGTGGCTTTCCGGGGCACAACTCTCAGTCTTACCAGATGACGAGTATTGCTGCTGCGTCAGCGAGCTTGCCTGCTACTTCGAGATTCACAGCGATCCATGGAACAAGCAGCGCTTTCAGTGCGAATGCCAATCCTAATGAAGACTGGACAAAGATCTCAGATCTCGCAGAAAGACGTCGAATTCAAAATAGAATTGCTCAGCGTAATTATCGTTAGTGTTTGATGCTCCGAGGCCGAGAGCAGTGAGAAACAGTGCTGACAGATCACAGGCAAAAAGTTGAAGCGCCGTCTAGAGGACCTTGAGCGCAGAGCTGGATCTGCCTCTGCATCTCCAGAAACGGATCAAGCAGAGACTGCACAGCAGCCCAAATCTCGAGCCAAGAAATCTCAGTTTCCCAAAGTCAAAACTACTGCAACCCGTAAAAGGAAAAATCCGGCACCAGAATCTGACAACGCGGACTGGAGTCCGTCTGATGGTTCGCTTCCACTTCAACAACATGAAACATACGGCACCGTGCCTGAAGCAGGCAGCATCTATACTGAGCAGCTCCATTCGCGACAAATAGCCGCTTCGCCTCCAACGGACTCATTCTTTTATCAATCATATCCTCCTTATTCAGAAGTTTATGGTCATCATAGCTCTTACCCATCACCACAGCCTCTTCAACACGACGTATTTCAGAACATGCCGCAATCTCAATACGACCAAAGGCCAGGGCAGATAGCCTCTCAGCACCATCTGAATCACTTGAGTCAACCGAAGCAGACAAACACTTTTCCCGATGGCCAAGATCTTGATCCTCTATATCTCAACTACGCTTCAATTGCCGGCCTGGACATCCCAGCGTCCCATCAGCCGCAATATGGCCAGCAGACACAGGTAAATATTCTCTTTCTCCTATATCCCTCTATCTAAAAAGAGGTTGTTTCTATACCAAGAACGAAAAGAAATATTCTAACAGGATCCTTTTAAAAGCTGACGGACACCAACAGACACCGCCACTTACCAATACCTACTCAGACGGATACTCCTCGTCAACCTCCCCAGCCCGGTCACCCGACGAACACTCTCCGTTGACGCCAGAGCATGCAGGATTAACCCCGGAACATATATGTTATATGTGAGTTGAAATCTGGATCAGAGTTAGTACTAGTCAGCATTCAAGGGCGTTGTTATTCGGAGGGTTCGGCATGAACATTGTGTGCTAAACATGTATATATATGCGAGAAGGCTATTTGAACAAGCGATAGAGTATACGTCTCTCTGTGATACGATGATGGAAAGTACATAGACACTTATCTGACAGCGTTCAGGCTACAAGTTTCTTGAGTTTCGCAAACCCTAGCATGACTCAGTTGTGCCTTTAAACAGCGGTAACAATTCCTCACACATAAATAACAGTGTTAAAGAGTCCTATTCTCTTGAAACCTGGCTTAAAACCGTTCCTACGTATCAAATTGATCTATAATGAAATTTAATGTGTTGATTCTGATTATAATAGACGTACATCCCTGTAGGTACGCATCTGTTGTGCTGGAGATATATTAATTGTAGAAGTCAGCTTCGTACACGCGTGAATGATCTGTGCCTCAGGTGTTATCCATTATCAACATTTTACGTGGAAGAAAGAATCAAGTTGATTGAATCATGCAACCTACCAGCATAAGCTGCAAGCCTGCATGTCCTTAAATTGATTGGTGGACTCTCAGCTAATAGCGTGTACCTTGCAGCATGTACGTTAGCCAGGACTTTCCTATATCCCATGGTGTATTAACTACCGTATTCGGTACCTCGGTAGACTAGCTTCAGGAATTAGAGCATGGTTGCTTATTCGCATTAGCAAATTTATATCATTCGTGGACTAGATGTTTCCCGTATTGAATGAGATACGAAGACCCGTGTTCTCGATTAGGCAATCAATCAAGAGAATAATGAGATTGCAATCAAGTTTCAAACGAGGTGCTGTGTAACCAATTTCATGCAGTGATTGGACAGTCTGCTATCAGAATCAACTAAGCCACAAATTAAGAGCTAGTTTGTGCAAGCGACTATCCCCATAAGGAGGACTAGTACTTTGTAGGGCTACTCGGTCAAAATTCAGCTATTGAGTGATTACGTACTTACTCAATTTGATTAGCTGATCATTGACTATATTGTATCCACTATATGTTAGCGCAATATATGTAGTAAGAGGCCAAAGATGTCGATGCACGTGGGAACACAGACCTAATTGTGTGCTACTGGTAGCAATGAATTAACCGGTGTAGACTTCTTAGCATCTCGATTACACAGAGCTAATATAGCGATTACCTTTCACCCCTGTCTTCGCCGTACCTGTTTAGTAACCAGATTGTATACCAAAGGTAAGTGCTCCGATCTATTAGAATCTGGTGTATCAATAAAATAGAATCTGGCCGACCGGCTCTTAGGGCAGACCTATTGAACTTCAAATCTGGTGACTGAACTATCCAATGACAGCGAGCTCAGCCTATACTTACACAAAGTGGAATAATACTCAAGATTGACAGGAAGCTTCATTTCATTCCTTCCTTGTTCCGTCTTCTATTAGCACTAAATTCTCTGTCTACTAGTACTTACTACTGGAGTTTGACATAATCCGACAAGCAATCCCTTCATCTCCAAGTCATTTCCCTCACTGTATCCGCACAATTCTATTTTCCAGCTAAAGGAGGGCGGATGTAAAGATTCGTTGTGACACCAACACAAAGTGTATACGAAGTCAAAGTGCGTGGTGCGTGGACTTGAGCCATATGTACGGCATGTAAATAGACTTTGAAAGATGCATGGTTTGAAGACCCACTTATGCACCTTATCTAGTCTAGGCCTAAAGAGTGGGGAAGCGCAACGGCTATCTCCCCGTCCCGCTTTTCCTCAATGAGTTCAAACCTCCCAGGGGTTTGAGTAGATTGTCAAGTGTACCGACTAAAGCCCGATGAAACGCGACAGTATCGAATCCGTGTCTTTTCAGGTACCGGTAGTTAGAAACTAGTTCAATGTCTTTACTTTGCGTCTGTCGAAAATATCGCTTCCGCTGATTGCTGCACGGCTTCCGTAGATGGAGAATCGACTTTTGTCTGGAATTCTACTAATAATCTTCTGAATAAAAGAGTATTGCATTCTATATTATAGCACTGATATAATAAGCATAATAGCTTCATGAAATTCCTAAATTTGATACATCCATTGGACTTCGTCTCTGTGATAACCCATTGGCAGCATAGCTCTCTTTTCATCGATGGAATCCGTCCGGAAGCTTTGAAGAAGTGTTTCAAGGTTGCGAACCTCCAATTTTTCGACTTCTTCACAGTCCCCGTACTTATTTCGATCTCCTGATTCGACGGAGGGAAGCTGGTTTAAATCCGCGGCGTTACGGCGTTACGGCCTTCCTCCGATGGTCCGTATCCATAGAAGTCCGTGGAGATAAAATTATCAACTACACTGTGAGAAACGGCGACGATCTCGCACGTGGGACAGAACTTTGAAATGAGGCGTACTGTACGGCATACGTACTCAATAATCATTCTTCCCGTTTCGAGTAAACTACACCGACATGTCCAATGATATCTATTCTTTTGTTTTCTCGTCTCTCCACTGTCTCCAGTCTCTAAACGTATGTATATTGATGTACTTGGGTTTAGATTGTGATGGCGAGGATCTAGCCAATGAACATTGACAGATTGAGGCTACTGCCTCGTTGGGAGAAAAGTACGTTAGTATTGAACAACGGCATGACTTGTGGGGCTTTACGACTTCAATCCACTTCTCAGTGGTTGGTGGGATATCTAATGTTGAAACTACGTGTTTGTTTAGCATAGTCGTCTCTGTAGCACGGGAGAATCCATTATCTAGTAAGCATGTCTTTTCTTTGATCATGATGTCCTAGTAGTCCATCGAGGCTAGCATGTGGACTTATTTTCTCCCAGGTGTTTGACTGGTTCGTATGATTTATCCAGTATTTTATGGATAGAGACATAGATTTCCCTGGAAATTAGCTCACACTGCCTGTATGGCAGACACTGGAATGTATGATACTCGGATGAATTTTTCGATGCTAATGACTTGCGTCGATATACACATCACTATCTTTCATTGCTATGTTCATAATCTTTAAGCCCTCCATTCCCTGAGACCATCGTAAAGCCATTCATAGAACACCGAGCTCCTCCTTCAAGACAGACACACACACTCCATCTTATTAACAATGCCGTGCGCTACAGGAAAAGAGATAAAAAGAGAAGAAATTTAGGACAGAGAGAAACCCATGCTATGATGAATTTGATATCATGCAAGAGTATGCAGAGAGAACGAAGAGAGAGAGAGTAAAAAGATGGAGAGACATAAAAAAACATGATTCGACCCCACAAAAGCTACATAAAGGTAAAAGTGACATCCATATATAACGCCAGATATTTAGCCACCATCTCCATTCTTAGATTTCAGTGTTGCTGGGAGGCACATGTCTGCGCTTCCTCATGGGTGCTTTCCTTCTCATCCCAATTGCAGTTTGTTGAGATGCAGCAGCTGTCGTCGATCCCATTTCAGCGTCGCCCTCTTCATATCCCCCCTCATCGTCAATTCCGTGCGTAGCTTGATATATTGCTGATTCGTCTAATTCGTTGATATCTCTAGGCTTCATGCGTAGCCACTGCATTCGCGGGCCAGACTTGGCGCGTTCTGATACTCGGAATCCATAAATACGAGGCTCATAAATCCTGCCGAATCCTACGCCCGGGGCAAAATTGGACGACAGTATGCCATTGATCTGAGCGGGTTGATTGGCAAGTGGTTGTTGGTCTGCATTTGACGGCGTGGTCAGCGCAACTGATGTGTTTAAAGAAGACGAGCGCGATTGGTTTGAAGTATTACCGGCGGCTAGCGAAGCGGGTGACAGAATGCTCTCTGCACGGCCTCCAACGTCTAGCTCTGGGAATGTCATGAAGAATAAGCACCCGAAAGTCGTTCCGAAGAAAGCTCCATCTACTGATTGAAATCGACTGTTTGGTGGTGTGTAGATATCGTAACAGCTAGGACAAAACAGTTTGACAGTCTCCTGACCAGGGGTATCGGTACGGCCGACGGGGAGAACCTTGCATCCATAACAGTTGACGCGTGGGCAGACTCCAAAATGATGAACTTCATATTTCTCAAGCATTTGTTGAATTCCAGGCCGTGACGTGATGTATCGTTGATGAATTAGTCCGTACAATAGCTCCGCTGAGCTCTCTATCATACTGAGATCACTAGCCACCCGCATATGTCTTCGATCGCCCGCTCGACGGTAGCCCAGAGTTTTCTCATCGCCTAGTAATTCATCGTCATCGTCCTCTTCCTCCTCTTCCTCCTCCTCATCCTCATCATCCTCGGGTTCAACATCAAGAATCATCTCCAACGCTTCTTTGTACATAGGTACCTGAGATTGCAGGCCCGTTAGGTTGAAGTCATCCTCGATAAAGTCCTCCGACACCTCTGCGAAGTACTCATGGCCCATGAGCGAGCAAAATGAGGAGATCCATGACTCCGGCGCTCCATCGGAAGACGACATGTTGAAAGAACCAGAATCGGACGAGAAGGTGGACGTGGATACCGAGCTCAAGTCCAGCCTTTCAAGGCCTTCGGCCAGTGTTGGGGCTGTTTCTCCAGACACGTTGTCGAGGGTTGGGTCGAGCTAAAGGGAGGAAGCCGATTTAACTTATTGCTTCTGAGGAATCAGTAACACAAGATGGCGTGTGTAATTGTATCGCTGCGAAGGTCTTGCAATGTATATTTCTCGAATCGAAGTTCAAGGACTTGAAAGATTGACTCCAAAAGTGGTAATCGACAAGAACATGCGTCGTTTACGTTCGATGGTTGTTGTGGTAATGTCGGGATGGAACAAGCGCGCCGATACTATTTAGCGAGCAGTACCGCGTGGTCCATCTAGACGAACGGGAGAAGTATTAGAAACGATAGTACGAAAAGAAAAAAGAGAGCGAGTGCTCGCGCTTATCGAGCTTTCGAGGAGCCGCACGAAATTGGGATGGCGGGGTAAGACAAAACAAGAGGGTTTCGTGTCGTTCGATGAATCTCACGAGTAAAGGTCAAGGCTGCGAAGGGAGACACACAAAAAGTAACTCAGTAGATGTTCATTCGTATACCGTCATAGCGATACATTCGGCGAGTAAGTGGTTGACAGTGTGACCGCGCCAGACGCAGAACACCGTGTGTGGTTGGGAGAGTTGCCAGTTGCCGCAGATGCCATATTATCACGTGATATATCCGCAATCCAGGCGTTCTCGCTAAGACGATGCGATAAGATCACGACAACGCTGATAAGAGCTTTTTATATGCTTTTATCGATAACTATTTTCAGCCCTAGTTGCTCTACTCTGTACAATATAGAAATGCAAGCTCAAGCATTGTTCACACCTGCTAGAGAATATTTACCAGACTTGGAGCCAGACTCGGAGAAAGAACCATTGATGCCAGACTCATGAGCTCAGCCTCCTGCCAGTAGCCTGTTCTAGTAGATGTTTTAAGACATAAAAAAAATTATATTTTTCACGAGAAGGTTGAATAGCCACGGATAATACGGAGAAGATGCCAGCTGCTCTTTCGCCTTTAGACTAAAGATTAACATGCCAACCCATTCGCGATATCGAATCGGTTATTTCCTAGACGGCCAGAATCCTCTACAAAACTCTGCGAAACGGACGTCGAATACACTGCAAGTAAACCACTTCTGAAGATCCACGATTCCATCATTTTGGGAAGCATGAATTGTTAGCTGGGGGAAATCTTGTGCACGTACAAGACTATCAGAAGCTCATGTGCCCTGAGTGCTTGAGTCCTGAAGAGAGCCGCATACGCATTTTGTATTCGAGAATAGTCTTCGTCTCTGGCCTCGAGAATGGAGCATAGTTGGCCTGGTCTAGTTGGGGACTGTCGAATAGGATCCTTCTGGAGGGTCTCGAATTGTGCCTTGGGGTTTTTGTCGTATATATCTTTGACTCTGAGTGGGTTGATTAAAGATAGTTCGTTCGGCCCTACTCGTACCGCTTCGCCTTAGATCTTGTCGAAACTCTAAGCGGGTGAGAGCACAAAAATGAGGGCCATTGTAGTGAGACAAGGGATGAAAATGAAGTATTTTGATAGCGAACAGAAATCCTGCCGGAGACCAATGTCAACGAAATGTATTAGAGGCTATCACATCCACTTCGTATTATGAGGCCGCTGATAATCGAAGACGAAATCATTTTGATAGGGTGTCGGAAATATGTCAGATTCGATGAGTCTTCTTTGACAGTAATAAGAGCAGGGATTAGAACAAAGACTATCTGAGAGCTTTGTGAAATGACTGAACTTATGTAGCACAGAGATTTGAACCAAACAGGAACCGGTTGAATTCAATGGATCAAATCGAGATTCGCACGTGACCTTCGCTAGCCCTAGCTCTGGTTCTAGACTCAAGTACAAGTATGCAACTACAGATTTGATAGCTTATATGTTTTACAATTCTTTCGCTGAAATTAAAATATCTATTCTTCCAATTTTTCCCAAATTCTTTACTGGTGGCGCTGTTGACAGGCACGGTCTGAGTCTGTGCTAATTTCCTTTCCAGATCAACTAGTTAAAAGAGGATGGTGATAGGACATGGATTGATCTGTGGGTTCACCCATAATGAAAAGACTACAAATTTGTAAGCACGATCGCTCAACACAGAGCCTGACGAATGAATATTCGACAGAGTCGGTGGGGAAAAAAAAAGAAAAAGAAAAAACGGGCGGCAAGTGTTTTGAAGGAAGAGGTTGAAAGTGGTAACCAGAAGGGGTCTACTTCAGACTTATTGCAGCAATCTATGAATTTGGGATAAGTCTCTTCTCTTTGCTATAATCAGATAGGATCTGCTGCAGCTATTTGTGCAACATGTTTCTTTGTCTCACAGTGTATCAGCCTATACCAGCGGTTACCTCGGATGTCTAAGGTTGTATAAAAACCATCTCGACATCTGGGTGCGCAGCCCCTGAAAATTATCAATGAAGCATAAAGATAAAGACTGGACTGATTGAAATCAAATCATCCTATGAGGTATTGGGCAAATATGCCGGTTATTAAATTCCTATTAATGGCTCGAACGCGAGTTGAAAGATCTCATGACAACCTTGGAATAGCAGTGCACTTGCATATTTATTATGGCAAGTGTTCCATTAGCTGGCTTTGACGGAAAAAAAAAAACATCCATGAGTCTCAGCAGGCTGCTTGCTACCTATGGAGCCACTATCTTCTTTCTCTTACTGGCCGGGATGTTGACGACTCTTATCCATGAGTTGAAAAGGGAAATATGGTCTTGACAATTACTTGGCCGTTGGAGACAAGTAAGGAAATGACTGTATCATTATCACATACAGATGTCTCTACATGTTGTTACTTCATATCATACAATAATCATCGAGTTTTTATATGAGACCACTCAATATGCGCGAAAACTCGGCATCGCTGCTCAGAACCCCGGCCAAGCCTTCACCAGAATTCTGCAAATCACCATCATTCGAAATGAATCCGGTGAGATTATCAGCTCCAAAGGAATTCGTTGCCCCGACAGCTTCGAAAAGATTGGTCAGTTCATGACTGATTTGTAGGCCGTTCATGGGGCTGTTCCCTAGTTCAGATATTGTCCCCATTGTCGGCCCATATACCGACATGTTTTCCATGGGATGTCCGGCTAAACCTGCCATGGCAACGGCTGCGTTCGAATGGGGATCACGAGCATCTGTTCCGTTGTTGCGACCAAATACACCCAGTTTCTCGGCAATCTTGCGCAGTCCTTTAATCGAATTCCATAGTCTCATGGAGATGTAGGAATGTGCGCTGAAGCCGTTGATAAGATCCAGCGCTAGATAGAATTCGTCGCGCACTTCGCGGCTGAATTCACCAGGAGCATGGCAGACTGCGAGAAATAGAACAGCAAGCGCAGCGACCAAGAACCAATTGAAAGTTATTTGTTGTGTCCTGTAGATGTCAGACGTCTGATTGAGTCTAGCTAGAATTCGGATAGTGTCTCTAGCAATACCAACGACCGTGCGAGCATGTCCTTGGTTCTCGACAATACTTGATGCTGAATGCAGAACTGGTCTATAGATCAGGATCCGTAGATGATTCATTCGAAGGTATAATAGCACCCGCAGTCGCTGTAGTCCTCGATTGCCAGAGTTGTCGTTGCCAGGCGATTCCACCGAAAGCTTCATACTTTCCGGTATATTCTTGTACCACTGGCAAACTTGATAATCGAGGAAGCCAATTTCTTCTCTGTTAACGTCGGTAGAACCTTCGAACCCCACGCCAGAGTACCATATCTTCGAACTGAGCCGATCATATGCAACCATGCTCTTCGAGTACGGCCGCGAATCATCCTGTTAACTGTGAGTAAGCAAATATGAACAGTAAGCTATATCAACGAAAGATCTTACAGGCTCTGGAAGGCTGGGATCAATGTCACTATCCGGAATTGCGAAGGGCAAGCCCGTGCCAAAGCTGAATCTTCGGTCAAGGTTATAGATTGCCCAGAACAGTCGAACGACCTCCGTCCAGTCGCTTTCAGTTGGAAATGCTTTGATTACTGCATCCCATCGATGCAATCCAAGCTCAAGGCATGCCCGAGCGTTCATGCCCGTAATACGATAACACATCAATTCGTTGTCTGTGTGGAAGTAATACATTGCCTTTAAAACCGTATATTAGCGCAAAAAAATCAAGTCAAAGGAAGAATGACACACCATAATTGAAAACAGCTGAATCGTTTTGATATTTGCGGGTTCTAGTATCTTTGTATAAAACACCTGCTTCACAGTGTCAAAAAGCTGTCTTGCTAGCGTACTTTGACCACCACCCTCAAGGACCAGTGTTGTGGCAAGAATCATTTTCAAATTAAGAGAATCGTCGTCTTGTAAGCCATCCAACCCTGGTAATTGAGTTTGCGTCAAGCCGGTTCTTGTCGCTGCTTCTAGAAAATTGTAGAGAAGATTTGTTTGTGAAATGACCTTTTCAATGTTGAAGAAAGGGTACATCAAGCCGATTTCTTCTTCATACACTCTACACAAGCGTACTGCCTCTTCTCGAGTGATGGCCCATATCGGGTCTTTGGTAGGATGCATGGCTGCCAGGCGGGTCAAAGCTGTTGGCAGTGATGATTCCTCGGCGACAGCAGCGAGGTCATCATGGATTGAATTCTCGGTAGAGGTCAAACCCATGTCACGGAGACTCACTCGAGCTACACCAAAATTGAAAGCCGAACTAGTCGGACCATGGAATCGAGGATGTCTGGTTTGTGGTGGACTGGCTGGKGAAGGCTGCTCTTGGGAGGTTGAGATAGGCCCAGTACGAGAGGGGTCGGTAGAATATTGATCAAAGGGTACCGAGTCAAGTGATGTTTTGAAAGTGGATAGTTCATTCAGACTGGTGAATAGAGTATTGACCTGGGTTTGGAGAGCGTCAATTTGGTCTTTCATTACCCGAAATTCCCTTAACTAAAGTTAGCAAATTCCGGATGACTATGCATTAAATGCCGGGAAACTAACTCGGAGTCTTTGAAATTCCCATTGCAGCAGTTGGGTGCATATAGACCTTGGTAGTGGGTTAGCTCGTGTATATCAGCTGGAGGTCCGCACTAACATTCAAGATTGAGGTGCCCGCATCGTTGACAAGGCACCTGTCCATTGCACTTGATCTTTCGCCTCTTGCATTCATTGCTGTAGTCGAGATTGTTAGACAACTACACTATGGGTAAATTAGGGTTTAGGGCATCAATGACACCTGTATATCATACCAGGCAATCGAAATATACCGATTCCGCTTTGCGCGCGTCTGCGTTCCGCTGTCTGGGCCCGACTTTCTTTTGGCGTCCCCATTCGAGGACACACCCGAGGCTTGCGGAGTGTTTCCGTGCGGGTTAGGCGACTCTGAATTCATTTTCTTATGCCGTTTCTGCTTGGAACAGAGACCGAGGATGGGTTGTACAGCGCAGTTGAGAGTGCGGAACAGTCAGTTTACTAAGAAGGCGGGATTCCGGTGCGGGGACGGAAAATCTCCACTCCCGAGTCTGTGCCTTCCCCAGTTACTCCAGCTACGATTCAGCTCTAAAGTTCTACACAGTCTTTCAATCCATCTTCACAAAGCCTACATTATCTAATCATTGATAATTAACAGCAGCTAACTGTCTACTAACTGCACTATCATTGGAGGCTAAGCCGCTATGCTTTGCAATAGAGCACCTGCAGAAACCAATACCTTCGAAACTGCTTGAGCGATATTCAATCGGATCGTTTGCTCCCACGACGAATTCCTTCTTCCCCAGAGATAGAGTGCTACCGTCAGAGCGAGAGCCATCCGGCGATTCCAGGTTCTCTTGTTATGCTGTTTCAGACCTTCGGCAGTCATCTTAGATTGCCAGTGTTTCCAGACCGGAAACATGCATCGCAACCCATAGTCGATTTGTGAGAATCTGCGGACTTTAATTAAGAAACTAATTCTTTGGCTCAATGAGTTCAATACTTACGGATATGCGGTCGAGTTCCAACCCTTATCGTTTGTGTACCAACTTGTACAGCTGCCGTTATTGAAAGGCGTCTGCTTCAATCCATCCTGGACCTTTTTCGTCCATTCACGTTCAGCATTCTCCTTGATTTCCCAAGTGCTTACGGTGCCTTTGAGAATCGGCTTTATCAGTTTCAGAGTATAGGTGATGGCGTTTTCGCTCGCCAGAATGACGCTGGTGTGGCCGGTAACGGTATTAGGTCCAAAGATCATGAAGAAATTAGGAAACTTGTCCATCGCGACTCCAAGATAGGCTTGAGGTCCGCCTCTCTCCTCCCAAATCTCATGGATACTTCGACCGTCTTTGCCGATGACCAGAAGAGGTTGCAGATATTCGTTGGTTCGATATCCATTCGCCAGGACTATAATATCTGCTGGAAGCTCTACCTCATCGTTCTCGGCAACGGTTTTAGCCGCACGAGGATAAGTCGGCGCGCCAAGTGTGACACTGCGAGCGTTGACGCTCTTCAGTTCGCGGGAGGTCAGATTCACCTTTGGACGGTGCAAGCTTCTCAACCACGCGCCGCCAATGATTCGTCTCTTGCAACCCAGATCATAATCTGGATTCAGTAGATCATGATACTTGGCTGGAGCGGTCCTTTCCATGAAACGACGATACCTTTCTTGCTCGAGTGGTCTGTGCTTCTCAGTGTAGGATGTATTCGAGAACATCAGGAAAAACTCATGCTCAACCAGAAAGAAGACCAATGTTCTGTACACTCGCTGGAAACCAGGAATATACTGGAAGTACCACGACAATTGCTGTAATTGCTCGTCTTTCAGCTGGCCACTATCATCGTCAGGTCTGACCCATGGCGCTGTTCTTAGCAGCTGTGTGACCGATTTGATGTTGTATTTAGTCGACGATATGCTCGAGACAACTTGAGCAGCACTGGCGCCGGCGCCAAGGACAACCACATCTTTCCCATTTACATCGAGATCCTCGTTCCATCTCGCTGTATGGGTGAGTTCGCCTTCGAAGGTGTCAAAACCTGGGATGTCTTTCGGTATCACCTGCGGCTCTACTAGTCCACCTACAGCACTGATGGCAATCTTTGCCCGTATTTTCTCAGTGGCTAAATAGACACTTTTCGGTCCCTCGGCGGCGATTCTATCTCGTCGTTCGGCCTCTGACCAATCCCCTGCCCCAGGCACAAGATGAATTACGGTTAGTTCCCACTCTTCTTCGTCAGTCAACCACTTCAGTTCTGCCACCTCTGTGTGAAATTGTAGTTTGTCCACGATTTCGTACTTGTTACAGACGTCGGCCAGATACTCTGCAATCTCTTTTCCTGAGGGAAAGGTTGAAGTCCATTTGGGGTTCTGTGCAAAGGAGAAGGAATATAAAACTGCCGGACTGAGGAAACGTCAACAATGTTTGTCTATTGCATTACGTGTTCCATTTGCAGAGGGGCATACATATCGCAGGCAACGCCGGGGTATCTATTACTCCACCAAGTACCTCCAATACCCGATCTTCTCTCGAATATGCGAAACTGGTCGAAGTTCAGCTGTTGCTTAAGCTGACAACCCATGGCAATCCCAGATTCGCCGGCGCCAATGATAGCGACGGGATAGTAAGTATATCCATGTTTGTCGTATGTACTATAAGTGCGTATGGAGGCCATGTCTTCTATCTGCGATCAGTATGGTGAGAAACCGTACACAGTGGCAGACTCGACTGGGGTGAAGATAGAGTCTGTTGCTAGGTGTATTTAGATATGGAGTACTCAAGATCCATGGTGTACCAGGTAGGTGACCCCGCACCCTGTTCACAAGTCACGATTGGCGCACGATGATCGATCACAGCCGAGGATGCAAGTCGTCTACATGGGCGCTTTCTGTAGGCATGTATAACCGATCCAATCTCGATTGTGGGAAGGTAGCATCGTATTGACCCTGGTCAGGATTCCCTCATGATCTTATTTGGTACATTATAGGGCATTGCATGACATCTTGACCACGTATCTAGAGGACCTTGAACATGAGAACTTTGACAAGGGCTTCCTATCTTTCGCGTGTAAACTTTGTAAAGTTATCATATCTCTACCCTGTTATGTCTCTGTAGGGAGAACACGTTCTTACCTAAGATTCCAAAAGCACCACCAGGTACACGTGAAGCTCGTGCAGTATATCGAAAAGGCCTTAGCTTCCCCGCATTCCAGAAGTCCCGATGCTGAGACTAAATTTGTGAAGAGAAGAAGATCAGGGTCTGGGCTCCATAATTTCCATAATCAGCTTTCTCATTGGGGGATAGTCGCCGCCAGCCATGAATTGGTAGCCGACGCCCGAGTTTATCTTTCTTGCCTCGTTCTACTAATTGTGTATCACGTAGTATGCTTCAATATGATATCCGCCCGATCAATGCGAGTTTTCAGACTGTATGGAAGAAGCATAAACCATATAAATCGCATACAACCAATCAATCACAGCCTACAGCAACAATCCTCCAACCTATCAACAACAACAACAACAACCACCAACTGGATTCCGCCCGACACCCTCCCCAGCGAAAACGACATAGACCATTTCCGACAACAATACTTCGCTGCCGAGAAACCAGTTGTAGTTCGCTCAGCTGAGTCTGCTCGCACTCTACCGGGTTATCAGAAATGGTTCGTGCAGCATGAAACAGGCGGCAGCAGCGTAGGTCTGAATTATGAATATCTCTCCCAGTTCGGGGATGCGGTTGTTCCGCTGGAAATGACTGCCACCACATCCTCCGGAGAGGGTGGACTAGGAAAGGACGGACAAGTACAATTCAAACGCCTGCACGCGCCATTATCGATGTTCCTAGCCTATACCCAATTCGCTAGTCCGCCCTCTCTTGTTCCGCAGAATCAGAATATAGCGATGACGACGACGACGACAATCTACCTCGCCCAAGCACACATCTCCGACCTTCCACCTACACTCTCATCAGACTTCTCCCCACCACCACGCCTTGTAACAGAAACAGGTAGAAATGACATCTACGCGGCAAATCTGTGGATTGGGTCACCGCCAACGTATACGCCGCTGCACAAGGATCCAAATCCGAATCTTTTCGTGCAGCTCGCGGGTGGTAAGCGTGTGCGAATTTTAAAGCCGGGGGATGGGATGCGCGTTTTTACGGCTGTTAGGAACCATATTGCCAATAGCAATGGTGGCAATGATGGAGGTGGAGCAGCTATTAGAGGAGAGGAGATGATGATGGGATCGGAAAGGAAGGTGCTGAAGGATGTGATCTGGGGTGATCATCACTCAGATCCTGCAGTGGACAGCGTGAGTAGAGGGATGGTTGGGTATGATGTTTTGCTGGAAAGAGGAGATGCGTTATTTATTCCCAAGGGGTGGTGGCATAGTCTCAAGGGTGTGGGGGAGGGGATTACTGCTTCGGTATGCTCTTTTTCTCTCTTAGTGGATGATATACTAATGATGGATTGGCAGGTCAATTGGTGGTTTAGATGAGGTTGTCTTGACGATTGTCAACGATTACTTATCATGTATAGTAGACTCTATAGACGTAATGGCATATTCATGTATTATATACAAATATCATAGTCTAATCAACTATGAAAACCTCATTCCCTTGCTCGGATCCCAAGTCCCAGCCGACGCGCCAGCATTACCCTGTCGACCTGGCTGCGTACTCCCAGGAGCAGGTAGCGGGCCTCCGAATCGGATGCCCATGTCCGGCGACCAGATACCACCTGTATTTGTGACCGGTGGTGGCAGGGCTGCATTTGCTCTTGTGGGTTGCGGTGCAGTTAGAGGCTGTGCTGCCGGCGGCTGAGGAGCCGGAGGTTGAGGCTGAATTGGTTGTTGCTGATGAATTGGATGGTGAGAAGATATATTCAATGCCGCCATTGCAGTAGCGTTGGTAATATCACTTTCATCGTCAGTTTTTTAGGCCACTCCAAAGATAGGGTGCGAACATACTTCTCCAGCTGACTAGCCTCCATTCTCCGCTCTTGCACAAACGACTTGCAATCATCTCTAAATCGACCCACGATCTTGGCCAAGTCATTATAAAATTTTCGTCCAACATCAATATTGCCAATGAGCTCCTTGTATTTTGCGTATCCATTCTCGAGCTCTTGTAATGCCTTTTCACGTTCTTTACTTGATGTGTCACCGCGGCGGGCACGGTTGAAATTGTTGTTTGCTTCGCGGACTTGCGTTTCCAGTTGTTCTTGTTCCGTTCGTTCTTGGGCGACCATGTCGATGTCAGAGTCATAGAGGTGGAGATGCTCTTCAAAAAGGTTCTCAAATTGGCTTGCTTCGATAGGTTGCATGGGGAACTCTCGCTCAAGGCGAGCTGTTTCTTTCAGTAGAGCGGAATCTGCAGATACATTAGCTGAAGTTCAACTCCCATCAAGTTAATGACTTACTGATATCATCCGCGCGAGCCTTCTCCTTCAAAACCTGAACTCGACGCTTTCGTCGAGTCTCAAGTCTGCTCACTTCATTCAGACAACTTCTCAATCTACTCGTCTCCCTCTCTAGATCCGGCGTAATTGTAGCTCGACGACTGCTAGGAACATACGACTCCAGATCACGATTTGTACCGGTCAGAATTCGAAGAACCTTCTCAGCATCTCGCAATTTACCCCGAATCAGCTCGTCGGTACTTTGAGCAGAGGAAAAGTAACCATTAATATCCGACGCTGTTTGGTATACTTTTTTCCCGGCAATAACAGAAGACTGTCTGTTCCATCGGTCTGTACCATACTTTGCGCGAGCCCTGTCGTCTTCTTCTTTTTCTGCCGCCAGCAAATCTACGCCTTCGGTGTACAATGCTTTGTCGTTGTTCTTGACTTGAGCTGTGTCTTCAAGAGAGCGATACAAGCGGTTGAGGCCATCTTGTTGACGAAGTTCTTCCGCATGTGATACAAGTGTAGGTGGTAATCCAAGTGGTTTCTCCAACGCCTGTAGAGAGCCTGGTAGATTGAGCGATCGCAACAGACTAAATACGTTAGCATATACTTTGCTTCACATTAGTGGAAACTTACTCTCGCAACTTATCCGTCATTGACTCCAGCTCTCCAATAATCGTCTCATTAACCAACCGATCCCGACGATCAGAATATATACTAGCCGCAATATGCACAGCATACGGTACCAACTTGGCAAGTAACGGCTGCCCAAGCGGGCCATTCTCACCAAGCATAGAGATAGCATCAGTGACCTGCGTGGGCGCCTTCGCAGACACCATAGCCGCACGGTCGATCGGCTTCAATTCCGACTTTGGAGGCACCGGCATCAGATAGATCATATCATTATCCTTTTCAGCTCGCTTGAGATCTTCCGTCACTCGACTTTTCAATCCATTCAAATCACCCAGCACAATCCGATTGATCCATTTGGTCTCCTTGAGCGCTTCATTTACGCATTTCAGACTATCTCTCAAACGCGCAACTTCTTCTCCATATTTCCTCTTGTCCAAGCAATCCAGCGACTGCCGGTATTGCGCTGCAGCCGCGAAATGGTGATGTTTCGCAGACATATGGTGTATCCAATCCGTGCTAATCGCATTCGATTTCACCGCAAAGTCACCCGCATCTGCATAGAAATCAGACACTTTGGCTGCCAGTCGCGCTATAGAGGCATCTTTCAGTCCATCCTTGACAGCCTTTTGCCAGAAACATTCCTGCGCTTGCGCTAGAAGGAGTTCTTCCAGACTTTGTAGTGTCATTTCATCCATATCTTCTGGAGGGGAGGCGCGAAGGTCGGGGATGATGTCTTTTCGGAGGTGAGCGATAACGCCGGCACTTTGCGAGAAGTAGTTGCATGCCTGTTTGAGGCCGTCGGATGTAGTCCTATTTAGCGAGTAGGCGAGTTGAGAAAAGAGCGCGGCAAGATTGAATAGAATGTTTGCGAGTTCGAATCGTAGATTATTTTGCACGACTTCATACAACACGTCAGTATTTCCTTTATCGGCCACGGAGCGACATACTTGGCATCGACGTATTGAACCCAAAAGCTGGATACCACGAAAAATCCACCCCAACCTACACCAACATAAGCCCTAGCCCATCAAGGATACTGTACTAATATACGCACATCAACAGGAAACTTCCCGCCCAACCACTTCAGCTGCGCCGCATAAGTAACTAGTCGACTAACCCCGCTGACATGCGGTTCCTGCACATTCACGGCCTCAGATCTAAGACGATCGAGAATGAGCAGATCATCTGCGAACATGTCCGGTCGTTGATCATATTTGGACGAGATGTATTGCGTAATCGCGTCTGAGAGGGATACGGTGAGGGTGCGCCGAAAGGGCAGTTGGAGAATGTTGCCTCTGGATGAAGAGGGGTTGTAAGTAAGCATAGCAAGAGCGATGGTAATAGGAACGAGGGTTGGATTGGAGTCTTCTAGACTTACGATGCCATCTTATGTACGCTACAAAGAAAGGCTGAAATAACAGGATTAGAAAACAGTTTCGAGTGTGGAAGATAACTGAAATTTTTCAGAGGTGTATATCTCCACTCGTTATTATGGAAGATCAGATTGACCTGGCAACAGAGCAAAAGCGGAATGACGTCGGCTATCGTCCCCCACTAGTATGATTGATTCAATGTTTAGAAGAACTACTACGTACAACAGTAACATGAACTACAAGAAGAACACCTTGGCAATAAATTCGTAGATCATTACTGGGATGACATATTCCAACTTGATGTTTTCCGATCAAGTTCACCCAGCTGTTTCAATCTCGCGCGACTAGCGATCGCGTCGTATGTGAGTAGTAAATGATACAAAAAGTTCATACAATAAACAGTACAGAACCGTTTCGTCTTTTGTATGTATACAAGATCATAATACACATACTGATTTGTGTAATAACTCTTGCAAACAATAACAGATGGAATCGACGTAGCCTGAGCCTTCCACCTCTCCATATATAATATTTCAATAGTTCGATGATTCTATCCATGAGAACCAATCATGTCTCAAGGTTGTTTATTTGGGCCTTGGTATATTCGAAGAGACTGAAAAGAATCATGTTCTGGAAACTGGTTCGCATCAAAGAGACGGACAGACCCTTGTACATGCTAGATCTCGACACGGCCATCGAGGCTTCGCCGATTTCTTTTGTTCTACCCAGTAGAATACTCTGGGCGCGCGTCTTTCGTGTGTCGAGTGAATAAGTCTACTTTCATGTGAGTTATGATGATCCACAATCAACTTTAAATATAGGCACTTACCACGAGCCAAGGTATAGTTCCGCACAGCGCGCCTGCAACCATCGGAGGACCGAACGGAGTTTGCGCTGGTTTGCCCATCTCCTTGGCAATGACTTGCTTAACAGTCTCGTATATTCCAAAGTACAGTCCAGTTCCAATGGTGTCGCGAATGGCATGAAGATGGTACCCGGTGTAAAGGCCGCGGAAACCATGACGGCTGATGATCTTTCTAAAAGCCTGGATGGTGCCCAAGCGCGGTAATGAGCGTACACGAGGATCCCGAACAGCGTCCGGCGAGGCTTGAGATCGGTAAGACATCAGGACCGATGTCTGAACGACATTTTTTGCTAATTCAAAGGGGCCTGGAATCAATCAGTATTTGTCGTCAAATCCATGTTTCAGAACACTTACATGCAAATGGAGATGCAGCGAGACCTGCGCACATCCCAGCCACAGTGAATGTAGTAATTGTCGCCAGACTAGGAATGCTACCTTTTTGATTATAGTATTGCAAAGGCGAAACGCCGGTGACACGCTCGTATTCGTCGGAAATGCGATATTTCACGGTTTGGTAGGTACTGAAGCTGACGACCCGCACAAAGGTAACGCTCATGAGCGGGGGGAGAAAACCTATGCCAGTCAGTAAAATGCCATTGCTTCTCTAATCCATTCGACCTTACCAGCAGTATAACCGCGAAATCCTTCCGTACGCCATATGTATCTCGCACACTCTTTGAGATTGCGAAAATTATGACTGCTTTAATTAGTACATGACATTTTAATGCAGCCCAGAGGTGATGACGTACGTTTGCATCCGAGTCTTGAGGTTTTCTAGAGGGGTCTATTACCAAAGCGTCAGCAAGCATCAAATACACCATTCGATGTACCTACCACAGCCAATGTTGCACAAATCGTCGAGGTAGCAGAGGCCACTTGAGTTCGATATTTTTTCAACATACGATTCCGCTTCTTCGTGTCAAAAGCCCATGGACTCGACGTCGACATTGCGGCGGCAGATGCTGCTCGGGTGGACCCGGTTGAGGAAAGACGAACGTGACCGGTACTGTCGTTCATAGTCATACCTGGCAATTACTCAGGCCATATGCCGTTCAGCTATACAAATCTGAATGGCAGGAAGGCGCAACTAATTATGTTATCGATTGAACTGATTGATTGTATGGTCGTAGGGTGGGCTGGGGAACCCGATGGAACGCAAAGCGGTCTCTCAGGAGTCGAGATGACCGTTCGGCGTCCCACAGTCGTTTCTCGAGAGGGCTGCGAAAACCCACGTCGTCATGGGACTCGTAGAGAGGATTGTTGCCTTCTCAAAAGAAGACGCGGGCTGGAGGGGTTGAAGATATTTGGCGAAATTGTGCTATGAAGGATGAATATGGGTAAACCGATGATCTGCGTTCTTTCTGAAGCCGTCGTCGATATAAGCAACGGCGCCGAAGTGTTGGATTTAGATGAGCTTCTCTGCGAGCCAATATGTTGGTCGAGCTGAACGAGGCAATTGTCAATGCCAATAAAGTCGTGGAGCTTCGGGATCTATACGAGAATTCGTCGGCTATTCCGAACAATCAGTACTTGCAAGCAATCGTGAAAACACACTCGAATTTTAAGTGTAATCGATCAAGTACAACGGTGGTGATAATTATTTGACCACAGTCAATTGCACAATGGTAGGTCGAAAGCAAAATCACGTAGATTGGGGGGGTAGTTAGATGAGCTCGCCGCATGTGGCGGGAGKAGCAGCGGAACGTACCTCGTGTGGGGTGATCGATGAAGTTGTGGCTCGTCCTTGGTTCGTAGCTCTCCGTCCACCCAAAAGCTGGGGTAAAGAGATAGCAGAATGAGAAATTGGGTCGGCCTCGAGTAATCGCAATAGAGAGTGAGAAATAACAACCATGAAAGCGGAAGTTGTTCATGTTGCAGCAGCAGACGAATGGGATCGGAGCTGAGTGCACCGCGATCGACCGCCCGGAGTGGAATAGCGCGCTGAGATAAGCGGATGAGTGCACTAATGACGTCGTCGAGATGATCGGGCAGCTCTCCTTGTCCGATGCTCCTCTGTACGAAGTATCTCTACAAGAGACATTCTTCCCCAGGGGTTCATGCCATGGTTCGTCAGATTATCTTGACGCATCAGGCTAAGTTCACATCTACGGCGTAGCTGGGAGCGCTGTGAATCTGAAGTCGCGTGAGAATAACAGAATCCGAGTTCATTCAATGCTCTCTATGTGAGGAGCATATGCCTCGAGTGCATGCTTACAACGGCCCGACCCAGMAAACCGAGGCGATTTGCGCTATTTCGTACAGTCTTGAACCTTGCATCCTGTTGAATCCGTGGCCATTTCTGCATTTGCTAGCTGACCATGCATCGAGCCATGTCAAATGTGAGATATGTACAAGGGTGAAGTTGATATATTTTGCCCTTGTACACATACATAGGTACCTCCATATCGATTATACATCCCTGTCGCGTGCCCAAGCGCATACAGAACCTGTTTGCTGCCCACCATGCGGTTTCTTGGCTCTGCACCAGTACATTTCTTTTCCAAAAAAATCCTACCGTGTGTCATAATTTTGGTCGCGAAAGAATAATACCAAAGGAAGAAAAGAATCAAAAGAAAAAAGCAACTCCGGCACACACATGTAGGATATATCATTTCGTTTGTAGGCGGTCCAGTGTACTCCGTATCATGATATCGTCCAGAATGGACAAGCTTCCATTCTTCATCGATCCACCAGTTAATCTAGCATGATGGTTACACAAAATCAATAAATCTAATCCAAAGACCGATTGAGCAACCGTCTCGAGAACAAGACAGTAAAGCCGAGAGAAATAAGCACTGTCATCGCTGCTGATTCATTGCACGGGATGCTTGGCTCTGTCAGACAAGCATTTGATATGCATGCACGTATCTGAAGAAAAGCTCCTCGGCATGTCCTGTCTATCACTAGCAGATCATGGCCTTTAATAACGAACATCGGTACGGACGGGATTGATATGTCCATAGCCTTGGAAGCAACAAAGCAGCCGTCCCGTCGGTTAGCCAGGAGAAGGGCGATGGCCTTCTACTATGGTATACCTACATAGTACAGTGGCACGTAGTGTGCGCCGGTGGACCTCGGCCCAAGCCTTCCCCGCAAAACCCAAATAGGCCAACTCCGCCGGACATGTCTCCCTGTGAATAATCAATAATTGACTCTACTTTATGAGGATGATAAATACAGAGTCATCGAACCACCAAACCTGTGCATTGCGAATACTACCCTAATTATTGTACCATTATTCCTCTTTTTTTCAAAAATTTAGTATACAATTGCAACAACATTAAGGTTAAGGTTTGACTATTCGACAATATGGGCAAACAACAACAACCCGCCTACGTCCTCGGCGTGGGCATGACCAAATTCATCAAGCCCAGAGGCAAAGTCGACTATCATGAAATGGGATTCGAAGCCGGTGTCAAGGCCATGCTTGACGCCCACATCACCTACGACGACGTCGACCAGGGTGTAGCCTGCTACGTCTACGGAGACAGCACTTGCGGTCAGCGAGTGTTCTATCAGTTTGGTCTGACCAAGATTCCCATCTATAATGTCAACAATAACTGCGCAACCGGTTCCTCTGGTCTTGCTCTCGGTCGCACTATTGTCTCTCATGGCGCTGCGGATTGTGTTCTTGTCGTGGGTTTTGAAAAGATGAACCCTGGTAGTCTGCAGTCATACTTTAACGACCGAGAAAATCCGACCGGTCTGTTCGGAATGATGATGGCTGAGACTCGTGGTGTGACCAATGCCCCTGGTGCTGCTCAGATGTTTGGTAACGCTGGCCGGGAATATATGGAGAAGTACGTCGCATGCCTTTTTGAGGTTGTTCCAGAATTGACAAATATATAGATACGGAGCTAAGGCAGAAGACTTTGCCGAAATCGCTCGCATTAACCACGAACACTCCAAGCGCAACCCATATTCGCAATTTCAGGACGAATATACCCTTGAACAGGTCTTGAAAGCTCCCATGATCTTCGAGCCACTTACCAAACTTCAATGCTGTCCTACCTCTGACGGTGCCGCGGCCACCGTCATTGTCTCCCAGGCTTTCCTCGATGCTCGCCCCCACTTGAAGTCGCAGGCTATTCTGATCGCTGGTCAGACCATGGCTACCGATGACCTGTCTCTCTACGACCGCAGCTCTATCGACCTGATGGGCTTCCAAATGACCCGCCACGCCGCCCGGACCGCCTTGGCCGAGGCCAAAGTGGACGTCAAGGACGTCAAGGTCTGCGAATTACACGACTGCTTCTCGGCCAACGAGATGATTACTATTGACGCACTTGAGCTCTCCGCACCAGGAAAGGCGCATGAAATGGTGCGCAAGGGCGACATTACCTATGGCGGGCACATGGTCATCAACCCCTCCGGAGGTCTCATTTCCAAGGGCCACCCTCTCGGCGCTACGGGTCTTGCTCAATGCGCCGAGCTTGTATGGCACTTACGTGGCTGGGCCAATAACCGTATGGTCAAGGGTACTTCGGCCGCTCTGCAACACAATCTCGGTCTCGGCGGTGCTGTCGTCGTAACCGTCTACAAGCGCGCCGATGGCAAAGAAGCTACCCCCGTGTCGGATCAAGAAATTGCTAAAGTCACTGGCCTTGGTTACAACCCTGCTGTTTCGGCAAAGGGTTTCACAGCAGCACAGGCCAAGTCGGTATTGAGTAAGAATATCAGCGAGTATGCTCAGGGTGACGTGCAGGAGAAGGTTCTTGCTCGTTTTTAGCTGGTCTGCTAGATGATGAAATGATGTAGATTTGTCTGACTTTTCCGAATACCATAATTTCTTGTTGTACTCAACCCCCATGTAGTTCAATTTGATATTAAAAATAAGAGTGAATTTCCATCAGACATTTAATTTATCTCTGCCTGAGGCTCTTGATTTATAGGGTGCTTATATAATACACGACCCACTTATTAGTTACTAACGCGCCAACAAATTTTCCCTCTTCCTTCCTTTTCTCTTCTTCATCTCATATACATATCAAGGTCTTCATACCCTTGTAGCTGAGTTTTTCAACCGTCTCATCTACAAATTTAGAATGTTTAGACCGAGACCGAAAAAAATGCTTGTTCTAATCCCGACGATTCTTTCGAGAAAGACGCTTATTTTTGCTCTGTGCGGCGGTTGGGTTCGCTTATAGCATACATCATTTTCATATCTTGTTGATTCTTCCTGTTTGATGATGACGGGAAAATTGATCATGCTTGTGCCTGGAGATAGTACCTTTCATTGGCTTGTGTTACTAATCTTGATAGGAAAGAATAAAACTACATTTTTTCTGCGCTCTTTTCCTTACTTCGACATCGACTTCGAAACATTCCATTGCGCGATATACCCTCGCACAAAACAACACTGGCATGATCGTCTCCCACCACCGACGCATCATCCATACCTACCTACGTATGTAGCTTCTAAAGCACGGCATATTCGAAGTCTCGTCTGTCCATCTCACAATGACGGAGGAGGTCAAAATTTTTGCCAATAGAAAGAACGCACTTTTTCTCACAAAGAAGAAAAAGGCGGCTTCACTCGTGTTGCGTTGGTTCTAATATTAAGATGGGGCTTTACGTGTCAATAGAGGGAGATACATATGCCTTATGATACTACCTACCGTAGTAGTGACTTGGAGAATGAAATTGGTTGTGCTTGATGGAATGCAGATTTGATTACTATAGAACATTGTATCTACGAATGTCGATTGACACCTTGGTAAGGTCGGAATGTTTTCATGTAAGGGATGGAGATGGTTGTACCTTCATCCCCGGGCACGAACCCCAGGAATGATATCCCGTCCGTGGGAGAAACAAACATAGGCTTCATGGATAGATATTGAACTTTGATCGTCGTGCCTCGTTTCATCTTATAATGTCTCAACCCTGTCTCATGAGTGGTCTGTTCGCTGTTCTTGTTGACAGTCTCTCTTTTCTCTCGAGAGAAAAGAGAAAAGTGAGTGCTCGAGCACCCATTCCATGTTACAGCTGTATGAACATCTACATTGTACGCGACAATCCTCCATTATCCAATTATGTCCTGCCATCCTCGAGATCATTTGAGGTACGCGTGGTACCGTCCATGTGCTTCCTTGTGCAAATACATAGTACGTTCGTAGGCATGTTGATCAATAACTCCAGGAGGACCCCCTAGCCACTAGATACATAACACACTCCGTTTCACGGTCTTTTGAAGGATGTTGTGGCCGAAGGGGCGTTGCACCTTGTAGCCTTGTACACTTGAATAGTAAATTACCAGGTATGCCCGGTAGGCACGTAGCGAGGTTACATGCAACATATTAAAGGGGACGTGATGCTCACCCAGGCACGAGTCCTGTACAATTCTTCTTTTGTAACTTTCGACCTTTGAGATTTTCGATTACCAGCAACTTTGATCTTCAATTTTGCCATTCACTCTTTCTAAAGACATCAATACATATCAATCTATCATCTTCACCAAACAAAATGGCCCGCTTCAACCTCTTCTATTACCTGTTCGCTGTCTTTGCGGTCCTCGCCCTCGTCGCAAATGCAGCACCAACATCCACCCACCCCAACACCGGCAGCGTGGCCGGTATGCCCGGCATGGCCACTGAATTCGACCACGACAACAACGCCGATGCCGACAGCACACAGCACAAGCAGGTCAGCAGCGACTCCGAGTCGGAGTACATGAACGAGATGGAGAATGCGCTCGAAGCTGCAGCAAAGGTAGCTCCTCCCGTTTCCTTTTCTTCCCTCCAAGAAGAGTTTCTTTTAGTGCACAGTTGACGAGCTGACAGGCTGCTGCAAAGGCCACTCCCACTTCGGCTGGTCCTTCGCGTCCCACCCCCGGTGTACCTACCACCGCTCCTAGCCCGACTGGTGCTAAGGCCCAGGCTAGTCCTTCGGCATCTGCGGCGGCTGCCAAACCAAAGGGTATGCTATCCAGCTTGCCTCTGGTTGGAGGTTTGATGGACGGATTGCCCATCTAAATTGGAGATGAGTATGGAGTTGTGGTGTGGTGAATGTCTGGGAGGATGCTAGACCTTGAGGTCTAGTTGATGGTAGAATTTGTTATGGAGTGATGTTTTGTTCTTGTCTTTCATTACAGGAAAACCCTGAAACTTTTTTAGAATATCACAGTTGGAGTCGTTAGCTTTGGCGGAGGTTCGGATGTCGATTTAGCAGTTATGTCTCGAACAATGAAACATCATGCTAGCTTATAGCTTGGTCTTGCTTCCCCTTGTAAATCTCAATTACTCTGGTTTTTGTCGTCTTCCAGCGAGCGCCTGATGCCAGTAGATTGTTCCACAGGACAGGTTTAGTAGTATCAGCCGTTGGAAGGATATCAACTCCAAACCTATCTAGCATCAGATTGACAAACGCCCACAGACTCTCGCTCTCCCATGCAGCTATTTGAACAGCAAAGTGAATAGTCCGCTTCATGACCAATCTCCTCTCTTCAAGCAAGCTGTCTTGTAGTATATTACTATCGCAATTGAGGAGGTAGAAAAGATACATCCATCCCGAAATATCGCTCGGATTGGACAAACACCATTTCAGCATGGGTTCTACCATACCGATAGCCAGCTCAGTTAGTATGCCTTGACTGCCGCTCTTCGAAGACTGGCAGACTAAAGTATGGAGCTGGCGGATATAGCTGAACGCATAATAGTTTCGTGGATGCAGCTGGCTCGACTTGCAGACCACGTCAAGCTCTTCTAGTATGAGGCTGCGAAGTGAGTTATCTGATTTTCCATAAGTTACAGTATTTTCTTCCCTCAGGGCCAACGACTTGGTCATGATCCATAGCCGATGTTGCCATAGTGTAGGCGATTTTGTATGTCGATGCAATGGCGAGCATTGAAATGAGGTAATCAGAGCTCTTTCTCCTTGCAAAAGGCCTTCTGAGAGCTTATTATCACGATCAAGAACAAATTCCTGTATCAAAGAAGATATATATCGTTTCCTCCAGTTGCAGGCCGTCACATGCTCACAGTCGAAGAGGAGGATGATCTGAGTCGCAATGTCCAGTTCCTTGCTTTCATCTGAGAACGCATTTGTTTCACTTCTCTTCTGGTGAATAAGATATTCAAGGAATTTCTTCCTTGCAATTAGAAAAGCCTCAACCAAAGCTGCTTTGGTGATTCCGATGCAAAGTCCATCTTGTAATAGAGGCCCCAGACCTGGGGTCAATATTTCGATTTCCAGAACCTCATCTGATTTCCTATTGACGAATATATTAGACAGAGAATTGTACGTGTCATTTCCACTAGTTGAGGTCATTGACATTGCCAAAAAGCGTGCACATAGTGGTGATGTTTGGTGACGATGGTAAATTGATGGTAAATTGATGGTAAATTCTACGAGCTGTGACAGGCGATGTCTTGGCGGTTCGGAGGACCTGCCGCTCGTTCGTAAAACACCAGACGTCATTCATTATTCTTTCCTGCCCGACCCTGACCTTCAACCTTTCACAACAGACCGTTGGAGCTCCAAGCTCGCGATATCAAAAGCTACATATACCCTACAAAACCGGTAACTGGATCCCGTGTTCACTAAGAAGCCCGCGGTTGTCGTTCCCCTCCGCATTGTGCGGTTTCCCACAATCGCATCAATCTTCGCAATCTCATCGGACAGCAGTAACAACTCAAGATGATTTCCTTTTTACTTCTCATCTTCCTCATACAGCTGGCCATATATATCGTCAATACGATCGGCGCAAGTACAATCGATGATCTGGTATGCACCGAGCAACTCGTGTGATCCTGGCTTGCAAGAAATATCATGCTAACATTCTGATCTTGAAAAGCTATGGATCCTCTACCTACGACTTCCCGTCCCCATCTCCAAAGATGCCCGTAAAAACGCCGAGCTCAAGCGCGATGTCGTCCAACTCAAACGGGAAATGAACGCGACCAGCTCGCAGGACGAGTTTGCCAAATGGGCGAAGCTACGAAGGAAGCATGACAAGGCCATGGAGGAATACGAGGCGATGAGTCAGTATACACCCCTGAAGGGAGACTACAGAAATGGGAATATAGCTAATACGTGGTGTTTGGGCAGACCGATCAATGGGCTCAAGAAAAACCTCGTTCCAATTTTCGGTGAAAATAGCCCGATGGCTAACCCTCAACGGACCTCGCCTGTTCATCCAATTCTACTACACCAAAACCCCTGTCTTTGATCTTCCGGCTGGGTGGTTCCCGTATCCCGTCGAATGGATTTTGTCGTTTCCGCGAGCGCCGCTGGGATCGGTTAGTATCCAGGTATGGAGCAGTGCTTGTGCGACTGTTATTTCGCTGGCGGGCGATGTGGTGATATCGATTTTACAGAGGGGACAGGCGAGCAGCAGACAGGCTCAGGCTGTTCCGGCTGAAAAGACCAAATAGGAGGATATGTGCTGTTACTACGACTCAAAAGCATGATGCATACTTGGAGTGGCACTTATGATTATGATTAATCTCATTTGATAATATGAAAATATGAAAATATTATGCAGCTGCATAATGTAATTATGTATAATACCAAGCGAGATATGTCCATCAGATATGAATTCAATCTGGTCTTCAACGGTCCTTGCACGATGGCCGGATCCTCTGTGCTTGACTCTATGATTGGTTTGTATCATCACACGAACCTCACTATCCCGACTCAACTCTTGAAGCATGTTCCAATCTTGGAAGATAGGTAATCAAAAGTCCGGCCCCTTTGACAGGGCTTCTGTGTTGGCCGATCAGACAAACGACAACATAACCCGCAGTCCGATCAACCAAATCACCGCTTTCCATAAGCTACAGACTTTGTAAAAGAGAAAAAGAACTCCTCGCCTCAAGAATGAGCCCCATTGAGTTACCCGTCATGCAGACGAGCAATCGCATGACTATCGAACCACGACGAAGAGCAACCCCAATACTGACGTCCCGAAGGACATCCTCTTCTCTCTGAACCCCGTCAACGCCATTGTGTCCACTTCCCGAAGAAAAGTGTTGCAGAGACCGTGATCCAAAGGAAGAATAGGAGCGTAAGCCGCTATCAAATTGCTTTTATGGCGGCGCGTTTCCGCATTGCCTGACTGGACATTCTCATCGAGAGAACAAAAACCAATTTGCGAACAAACTGGGCAGGGTGTCCGGGGACTTTCTCCCAAAGCTTGTAGTGAGAGGTATGGGTATACACTCTTGTGTGTGAGCTTCGAATGCGATTCTTTGAGCGAGGAGTTGGAGAAGAGAACCAAGAGTTAGAAGAATTTTCTGATTTTTTCGGTTTTAGTCCGGTCCGACGCGAGGACGCTAGCCTATTTTGGAGTAGAATGCAAACTAGGCAAACAGGAACGGCAGAAAGTCACGTGTGCGGCCTCTTGGGAACAACACGTGAGACATTTCCTCTTCGGCGCAAATCTGATTGATCCACCACTTTCGATCGCAACCGGCAGTGGCCGAATGTCACCTCGTTGCACGGCCAGTTCATGTACTCCGCGATATAGGTTGAGGCACATGCAGGCTCCTGACTAACAACACGCAGACCGACGTACGACGTACATCCGTGTTCAAATTGAGGCAAATCCTCTCAGCCAGCCGGGGCTGAGCCTGGACCTGGACACTCGAACTGTACGTAATGCCTGTGAGGTATTTCGAAACTGGGCGTCGACTCGTCGGACGAGTGAGGCATTTGTTGATAGGTCACGATCTCAGCTATCATTCTACTTGTTCAATATTTGGAGTTGTTTCAGACGGATGCACTTCCCCGGACTGTGTGGCGGCCAGCTGTGTTACTGTTCCGGCTGCACATGTCAGATCAGACAGTCTTTAGACTTTTACTCATCCTGTAGTTTAGGACCAAGAACCGATGCAAGGTTGAGCGTTCCGAATTGGCGCCGCAAGAATCCATTCTTAGCTAACCTTGGTAATTACACACGATCAAACCGAGTCACGCGAATAAGCAAGGTGGCTCACATGGATATACAGACCAATGCAGGGCCTAGGTCCGTACGCTGGTGCATTCTGGGCAGTTATTTTAACGTAATAGCGTCGCGTCTAAGCCTAACCTCAGACTCTCACAGGTTAGTGCCTACTCCGCTGAGTCCGCTCCCCAGGCTTAGGCCGTCTCCCGTMCCCCATCTTYCCCGCCCGCCGCTCCCATGAAGGATCCCTCTCAGCGCCTCACATGCCCAATAGGAATGTTGTGCACACAAACTTCTGGCTGGCCAAATCCTGTGTCTGTGTCACTGCGTGCCTTCTACCCGCTCTCGTCTCGCTGCGAGAACATTCAGCGATTCAACAAGAAAACAAATTGTGGGGACAGCGAGATCCGGCCATGCGATTTGTCCGCGGTCTGGCAAGGGCTGCCCTTGTTATGATCTGTGCCAGCCACATGACCTAGTGAATATTTACTTTTGAGTTAGTCAACTATGGAGGCCCGGGGACTTGGGTTGGTTTGCTGTGTGACATACCATGAGTTTATATAGGGAGACGCTTCCCTTCCGGGGTATTCCTGCGGATCTAATTCAAGTCAACAAATTCCGTCCGTTGAGCACGCGACAGCCTACCTATCAGAAGCCTCCCTACAGAAGAAGGCTGGTTGTTGATACACATTGCTGAACCCACAGTATATTACAGAATCCGGGGTACAGGACATGGATTTTATCAATCAAAAGCTCGCTAGGCTCAACAATCCGAAATCTCCACAAAAAGCAAAAAGAACAGAAGAAAAACAAGCTAGGAGAAAATCTTCGAGCAATCCAACCCGAACATGCACATATTGCAAGAAACGAGAACTACCCAACCCGCGAGCAGATCAGAAACTTAAACGATGTGCTCGCTGTCGTTCAGCACTGTATTGCTCGCGGGCATGTCAACGCGCGGACTGGAAGAGGGGACATCAACGGACGTGCAGTGTGGGCGCCATCATGGTTGGGAATAGTTATCTGGACAGTTTATCGACGGAAGATACGGCGATGGATCAGTTAATTGATGCGTACCGGTTGAGAGTGGAGGATGAGAGGATGTATTGCGGAAGGCTGAGGGGACGATATACAACCAACAACCCTGACGATGACAGCAGTCAAGCTCTGCAATACGCTTTTCAGGATTTCCGCTACTTTCTGGATCTAGCTGAAAGCGCAGACACCAGATCCAACAATAATGAAGAAGATGATATCGCCTCCACATCGCCTTGTTCATCGACTACACATGACAACGACACAGACACCAACTCCGCATCCTCACCAACACCATCCTCGTCATCGTCATTATTCACAACTACTAAAAATAAACAGAGCATACTACCTCGATGGTGGAATGCAGAGAAAAGAGCATACTGTGAACAGCGTGCCATGAACGAAAGCGCAAACCAAAATACATGGTCCACATTATTCTATCCAGCCGGCAAGGACGATATTGTCAAACGTTATCAAGATCAATTTATGCCCATGAAACTTAGGATGCTGGCCGAGCGGGTATATGGATCAGATGTCATGGGCGGACAAGCTCATTAACCATGTACTGTAACATGATCTTACGAACATTAGCTTTAGCATTTGAAAGGTAGGACACCCAAATAATCGAAAATAGCATATCGAATAAACTCCATTCCTGTATAACGGGTTGTAGTAAACTTTTGATCTATACACATAAAAGAAACATTCACATCAGGCTTTGCCGGCAGACTTCTTTGCCTTCTTGGCCTTGCTCTTCTTGGCTGATGAGGTCTCTGGCGTAGCAGCGGCAGTCTCTACCTGCTTGACCGGGGTAGCAGTCTCAACCTCGGTTTCAATCTGTTCCTTGCCTTTCTTAGCCTTTTTGGATTTCTTCTTGGGCGTTTCCTCCTCAGCAGCAACAGGAGCAGTCTCTTCAACAACAGCAATGTCCTTAGCAGGCGCAGCTTCTTCAATTGCAGCATCAGCAGCAGCCTCCGGCGCCGGCAACTTCTCCTGCACAGGCACCGAATCCACAGCCTTCAACTCCGGCATGTCAAACTCATAACCCAACTTCTTCCACTTCTCTACCTTCGCCAACCGTCTCTTCTCTTCCTGCTCGATGCTCTTTGCCCACTTATCGCGCGTCTTGCCGCGCTCCAGACGCTGCTTCTCAATTCTGTTCCAAGGCACACGCTTATACCGACGGTTTGCGCCCTTCCACAGTTCAGGGTGTTGCTGTTCCTGGGGCACGTATTTGCATTTCAGAATGTGGCCGTACATGAGGTAATTGTTCATTGTCTCCGCGACGATTTTGGCGACGACTGAAGACGCAAATTCGATAAAGGCGTAGTGCTTGGAGCGACCTGTGACGCGATTGCGGGATAGGCGGAGACGGGTTATGTCGCCGAATTGGGCGAAGTAGGCTCTCATTTGGTGTTCATAGAAACCGTGGGGAATGCGTCTGTTCATATTAGCACGCACCAAAAAAGTGCAAAGTTGAGGGAAAAGGGACTTACCCAACGTATACAGTGCCAGGCTCATCAGGCTGATTATTCTCCTTCAATTTCTTCTGAATCTTGCGCTTGGCCTTTTTGGAGTCTGGAATTCGGGGTACGGCTTTGCCAGCTTCGAAGCCCTCGTCTTCAGAGGCATCTTCGTCACCACTGCTCTCAAAGCCCCTGATCAATTCCGCAGTTTGGTCGTCGACTTCGTCATTCTCAGATTCTTGACCCTCGCTACCCTCTTCCTCAGATTGGTCCTGCTCAACGACCTCGACCTTCTTCGCCTTGGCAGGAGCGGTCTTTTTGGCCTCTTTCTTCTCTACGTTCTTCGCAGACTCTTTTTGCTTCTTTAACTTTGTCTCTTCTGCACTTTCGTTGTCCTCTTCGTCACCGCTCAAAAAGTCGCTCGCACGCTTGCGCGGCTTGATCTTTCGGGCTGGTGCATCAGCGGTTTCTGTGACGGTAGCTTTCGCGGTGCCATTGGCTTTTTCCTCGGCGTTCTTCTTTTTGAGAATAGGCTTGGGGGTGGCAGCGGGCGTTGCTTCAGCTCCAACAGTCTTTTTGGATTTCTTGTTGGGAAGGTCTGGGGTAGCGACAGCGGCGGCGGAGGTAGCTATTTTCTGTTAATATGCAAATAATTGGCTTTCAAAAACCGTGACTTACCCTTGCGCTTCTTGTCCTTCTTTTCTGGAGCCATTATAATTGGATTATCACCGTTTTAAAAAACAATACTCAAATCGAGAGACAATGGTATGAGCGGTGCGGAAAGTTTGATACTTTTTTTTTCTGCCCATGCAGCGCCAAGCCCGGCGCCTAAATTGGACTCCACCTACACGAAAGAAAGAGCTTCCTTCTCCACACCAACTTTCAAGCTCAACAACATATACATGTACATAACCACGGAACATCATGGCAAAAAGAAAAAATAAATCAGGCGCTAATATGTCGCATGAAGAGATTTGGGATGATACAGCGCTTGTGCGCTCTTGGGACGAGGCAGTAGAGGAATATAATGTATGTTTTCTTGCCGTCCCGGTCTGATATATGTTCACGTGACTGATATGCAGTTTCGTAGCTTTATCATAGCATTCATGCGCGAGGGGAGAATGTGGAGGAAGTCTTGGACCGCGCCGAGAAGGAAGGTGTTGATGCCGTTGTAGCTGGGATGGAGAAGTTGCAAGAGTCTATGGATGTGGCGGAGGACGGTGATGCTGCTGCACAAGAGGATGTTCAAGTACGGCTACATCTTTTGGCGGTTTGAGTGGATGACCTGCTGACAAAATCTTTTAACTACCAGGAAAATATGACGATATCGGATGAGCCCCGAGTCCAGACAGGGCCGTCAATTTCTGCCGGCATAGTACCACCGACTGCTGGCGGCGCACCAACTGCGCCTGATGCATTACTAGGACAAGGTAAGCCGTGAGAGCACACTCTCAGCTAGGAGAAATACGCTAACCACGTTTTCATAGTCCAAGATCCAGCTCTGAAGAATCTGATGATGGCCTGGTATTATGCAGGTTACTACACGGGTCTCTACGAAGGTCGACAACAAGGAGCCCAGACTGATGGTGCCAGCAACCAGAAATGAAACTGGGTTGAAGGTTGTATTCACAAAGTCTTCTGTTTTATGACTAACATTCATGTTGCTGTTGGGCTCTATTAAGTTACTGTGATACCCCATATAATAGATGCTCTTATCTGGTTAGAAATTCTCATTTTTCTTCCAAGATCGTCCACGCCCTTTGAATGGTTGGTTCACAGGAGGCTCTAGAGTGAATCGGAATAATTTGTCATTACTACGTATCTAGCTACTAGACTGACAGGCAAACCCTTGGTCTGGATACTAGTTAGGGCTTAAGGTGCGACATGCTGAAGGCGCAAGACACTGTACCGCGACAGGTCTGCAACATCGGCCAATATTCGGCGAAAAATCGATTGAAATTAGAGTACTTGGCCTTGAATAGATTGTCAGAGTACTGGAGACACGGCTCATACATAGTAAATTGGTGATTATGGGGTTGCTTTAAGTAGATAGTGTTCTTTGCCCAAATCGAATAAGATCTGACTTTCATTCTAGCTTATTCATTAACAGTGAAAAGCAAATACTGTAGAAATAAGCTAATGAGGCTAAAAGACGGAAATGCAGTCTCAAATAGACTACAATCGTCTCAGAGCCTCACGGTACCTGAGCCTAGGCCAGGAGGCTGGCGGCTTGGAACAGGGATGAGACACAACCTGCGACAACAACCGTCTTAACCCTAATCCCGACACAGCACTCACATATCTGCGATGCAGATTTCTTTCCCATATACAGTAATACGAGGAGTCAATATAACCTAATAAGGACATCAGGCTCAATAGACGCGACACTGCGCCTCTTCCACGTGTGCCTCTTTAGATAGAACTGAGTTAGATTAGGGCAATGGCTGAAACTGTACATGTCAAAAGGTGTGTTTGGAAAGTGTTAGATCAGCTAGCAAAGCGGAGAGGGCTTCTTCCTATCCAACGGTGACTCCAAGCCCCGTATGTGTTGTTGAAGGGTGGCGTCTGTACGTTGTTGATTTAATTCATGCCATTTCCCTCGTTCTCGGTTCTTGGTTTCTTCTTGGAGTAGACAACGCATCGCTCTCTTCTTTTCTCTGCCTCTCTTTTCAGATTCCGATTACTAGGTAGCTGTGCTATCAGAATCTTTCTTTCACTTCAAACAAAAGCTCTTGTCTGTGACTAATTGCTTCGATTGTTCAATCTTTACGTCTTGATACCCATTTTTTATACTGCATTTTATACCAAAGCCAACCCACGAAAACCGACAAGATGGTTTCCTTCAAATCTCTCTGCATCCTCGCCGCAGCCTCTCTGTTATCAACAGCCACAGCCAGCCCCTCTCGCCACCATAACAGCACCAAAAACTGGGCGGTCACCGACGATGTCTCATCCGAGCTCGCAGTAGAAGTCGGTTCCGGCACCGAGATCATCATCATAGCTGCCAACAACGGCGGCTCAAGCTCGACGAAGTACTACAACTCCCCATCCATGGCTGCAGGAACAACGCACATGGTCACCGTGGGCGGAACAGCAGGTCTCGTCTACACGCCCAGCAGCATTAATGCCTCCGTCGGCGACATTGTGCAGTTCAACTTCGAGTCCAAGAATCACACCGTCACTCAATCCTCATTTGCGGCTCCTTGTGTAAAGACTGTTGGTGGATTTGATTCCGGGTTCATGCCTAACATTAACAACAGCCTTTCGCCGGCACCCATGTTGCAGTTCCAGGTTACTGTTAGCACACCTATATGGATGTTCTGCGGTCAAACAGGCCACTGCGGCGAGGGAATGGTGTTCAGTATCAACCCTACCGCTGCGAAGTCCCAAGATGCGTTTTTGTCTGCTGCCAAAGCGCAGAATGGTACGGCCACTGCTGCTGGCACTGGCGCTGGCGCCGCTGCTGCATCATCTAGTGGTTCGGCGACGTCTGGATCGACTGCTACGAGCAGTGTTGCGGCAGTCGCTGCTGCAACTTCTGGTTCTGTTGTTGCGGCGGGAACTGGTACTTTGACTTCTGGTGGTGCTTGCTCATGCTCTTGTTTGTGTGGAGCGGCAGCTTTCCCTGCTGGCGCTGGTCTTAATGCTATGGGTGGTTGGGGTGGTAAGTCACTTCTTCGTCCGTCATCTAATACAAATCAGCTAACAGGACGAACAGGTGAACTCTCAATGGTCGCTGCTGCAGCCAAGAGGCGATCTTTGTTGGATCACACAGTGTAAAGACTGTCCGCTATACTTCACCATTCCAACTTCTTTCTATACACCGATGCAACACGAATTGATGCACTTGAAGTACATCCGTGATCTTGCTAGTTTATGATCTGTATCATTATTTATCTTTCCGAAAAAAGAAAGGACGGAGCATGATGCAGAATGGTGCTGCGAAACGTAGTACCTTTTTACCTTCCCTTTCATTTTTTTCCAGTTTCCATCTCAGGTAGAAGGGATAATAGTTCTGTTTGATTTAATGTTCAGAAATCAATATCATATACTTCATTCAATCAATAAACAAGAAAGTATAAATGTTCTAACGGATGCATCAAGGATGAGTAGGGTAAACGCCGATTTGAAGGAGGGAACGCCAAAGAGCTAAATCAAGTCGAATTGAATGCGTTGATCTCACGATTCTTTTGTATCCATGTTCGTCCTTTCCATGCTCGCCCCAACTTGTATTCATCGATGATCACCAATTCATGTGTATAATAGAGCAGGAGATTGTTGCCATGTGTCATGTAAAATTGTCTGGTATCCGTGAATACAAAGGTCACATATTGCTCTGAATCGCGAAAAAAAATTGGTGCAAGTATCGGGATCAAAGAGAAGGAATCGTGAGGAACCGTCGTCATGACGGACTCTATATCGGGGGTGTCATTTTTTTGCGCCSCCTGCCGCTTCCGCAGCTTTCCTCTCTAAGGCTATAAGAATAGTAAGTCAGAACCCGTATTGCGAAACCAGACAACTTTTTTTTTCCAGTTCGTATCGCAGGTGTTTCCGCCGCGGCCCTACGAAGAGAGAAAAACGAATCAAAAATCAGCAATCATGGAATCATTACCCTTTTTCTGCTTCTCCTGCATGATGGCAGCCACCCTTTCCTTCTCTCGCGCGAACTCGTTGCCGCTCATGCCGTTCTTGGATTTCTGGAGGACGTTAGAAAACAAAATGGTCGATCGCATTATTGGTGCAGAGCAGAAGTACATACTGTTTTGGCGGCCTTTTCCAAGTTCTTTGCGCGCGCCTTCTCTCTCTGGTTGCCACGAGTCATTTTGACGGATTGGTACCTTTTCGTCACTCAAAGTGTAGGCGCAGTGCTGCGTTTAGGAAGTAAGGCTTGGAAGAGTGGACGATAGAGAGGGAACAACAAAAGCGGAGGGTCGGTCGGTCTGAGGCAAAAGAAACGGCCATTCTTCTGCGCTAGTCCCAATTGGGCGCCCATGGGATTCTACGATTCTATCGCCTTCGCCCAATCACACAACATCTGCTTCACTTCATCAGCGTGGTACAACCGGACAATGTATACGGTGGGCATGAAAGAGGAAGCACCGATACTAATATGGACGAGACCGCAATCTTGAACTCGATTTTGGCTTACAGTCTCACCGAGCTCGTGTTGTGGGCCAGCCTGATGATTCAGCCCACTCGCTCAGTCACTCACTTCAGAGGACAATGTACAGCAACATACGAGTCGTCAACTGCAACCGCAACTTCTAACAAACCACAGTTCAGTGGGATACGACAGCTGATACCGTTTCTAATTCCGACAGTCATCTCCTGGCGGTTATGTATCCTCGTTTCTACGACAGAGCTATCTTCAGGCTAAGCGCTCAGCTACCCAATTCGACCTCCGTTGTTTCATGTCTGGCGCTCGTCGTGCCTTGTCAACCAGCCCTTTGACTGCCGCCAGATCGACCTCAAGCGAGTCTGGGGCACCTATTTTTGACTCATAAAAACATGCTAACATGACAGAACTAGTTATGCTAAAATAACAACAATAGTCCGCATTCAAACGGCATGGTATATACAACAGCCAATCACATTCGAGTATCTCATACTCTATTTTCATCTTCAAGATCGTTTGAGTCGACGGCGATCCACACCATATTAGAGCCTAACTGGCGCTGTATCATCAATAGTCACTGTCAAACGAATGAATGGCCTTCATTGTTTCTCTCTTCCTCTCAAACCAAAGGACATGGGGCTAGCTAATGTTTCACGAGCCCCTCTCCAGGATTGCTGATTATGACTGCTATTGTTGGCTATTTGGTTATGTCAGGCATCAATAGGCTAGTGAATGCCCGGCATATTATCTTCTCTATTCAAGTAATTGCTGAATGGCTGGTCAAAGCAGGCCGACCTGATGTCTTATAGAGATCAATATCTCCACGACTAGGGCTTCTGTCTGCTCCATCCCCGTCTTGTAATCTTCTCTTCTAAATTCTTCACCCAACTGTCTTTCGATCTTCGTCTTCTTTCTTTTCTCATCCTTTGCGAATATTTCTTCTACTCTCTTGTCTGGTACATACATCTCCTACATCGTTCTGCTGGCTGGATCGTGGAATCAACTCATTGCTTTCTATTATTAATCTCGTTTTCATACAAATCTTACGATCTTTACGACTATTTATTTACTTTCATAGCATTTGCTAGAAGCAGAACAACATAAAAATCATGTCTCGCCTCTCCAAAGCCCTGGCTGGTCCAGGTTACGTGATCCTCAACGTTCTGCGAGCGATCAACATTATCACCTTCCTCGACATTATTGCCGCAAGTGTGGTGATGCTCATCAAGATCTCCATCAATAACAACTTTTTCTTCTTTGAAGCCGTCAGCCATGCCTTTACAACCATAATGGGTGGTGAGCATTCAATCCCCAAAGAGATGCAGAAAGCAGAAAGCAGAAACTAACAGCTTCACTAGTCTTACTCATCCTTTCTGAGTTGCCATTTTTCGACAAGTTCTTCACTCGTTGGGTGCCGCAGCTGGGCGAAACTGCAAGCTTTGTGCCCTTGTCTCTCGTCATGATCATCATGGGTGTCTCGGTGCTCGGAAATTTGAACAACGATGATTACAGCGAAGATAACATGGGCATGCCATTTTGGAGGATCGTGGCATCCGCAGGAATTCTGGCAATGACCATGGGCATTGTCAACTTCATCGCAGTACGCCTCTCTTTTCTCCACCCGAAAGGAAACAAGATACTGACTTCTCTCAGAGCTTCGTCTTCGCCGACTCTGAAAACTCCCTCACGGCCCGCCACGTCCGCTCCTACGGCGCCGTCGCCGACAAAGTCCTCGACTCCTCCAAAAGCAGCCAACGCTCCTTCAGACTAGGTACTACCTTCAACAGCCAGGCAGACGGTCTACCTACATACCGTCAGGTCAGCATCACGCGCTCAGCGGAATCGCTTAGTAACTCACGCTTTCCAGTGAATATCTCGAGTCCCGTGCGCGAGAAGACCGCTACCACACCTACGGCGCCGTATGGCGAGGAGGTGACGATGCCTGATCTGGCGCACCATCCTGCTATGCAGGGTGGGAATTTCGTCTAGTCATTCTCATTCTTTTTAGTTCCATCTGTTATTCGCTTTCTGAAAAGGCTGCCCTTTCGAGTATATCAAGCGGGTTAAAGAGTTTCGGTGTTCGGCGAGGTTTATCTTTTTCTCTTTTTTGGGTGTTATTTTGAATATTTTGCATTGTCATTCAGTCTGTTTGCATTCGCTCATAAAGATCGACATTCGCTCACTGATAAATGTACATAATACCATCTTACCATGTGTCACTCTTTATCCATGTTTCTCTAATTCATAGGCTCGACCAAGTCACTATCATGTATACGCTTTTTATGTAATAAGTAACGTTTCAATATTCACGAATGTAGATACTAATTGAAGTGGATGGTGGTGGACGTCCAAAGTCATTGGCCAGCATGTGATAAAGACTGTCACACTTCCAGCCTAGCCTACTTGAGACAGGTCTCTTTGTTCCTGAAAATGAACAACTTGCCAACAACCACCAACACATGGTCACAAAATTGACTACACCGCACGGAACTTTTACATTATGATTTTATGATTGATTCCAAGCAATAAATATATATCATCTGCTGCCTTTTGTTCCTATAAAGCCTTACCTTCAGCTAAGCATGCTTGACTCAACATGTCCAACAATATCACTTCACTCCTCACCTGGGGAAAGTAAGTACCTACAGGAGCCATTTTTTTTTGTTCGAAACTAATGTATCAAGTCTGAAATCCCTCCTCCTCTTCTTCGGACCCTTTCTCCTACCTCGCCTCATCAACCACTACCGCGCTTTTCGAGTCCAACTCGCACATCGCCCACCTCCCAGACCCATACCTGCTGACGCAAACCGAGCCCTGAACTTCCTATTCGGAGTCATCGTCGTATTCCTCACGTTGAGTGTACCGTCAAATCCATATGCGCCAGCACAAAACATATTCACACAGACCGGATCTCGAATCAACACTCCTACAGATGTCGTCTTTGCTCGTTTGGCGCGACACAGACCAGACAATGCGCTGACCGACTACGATAAGCTGTTACGAGGGAACTTGACTACTATCGCTCAAAAGAAGATTTACTTGCGTTTCGGGCCTGACGCGCTGTTGTCATGCCAGTTCTGCAACCTGGAGGATACGTTCTCGTATCTTTTATACTACCTGCCACTTAATATCCTGGTGCCTCATTTGGTCCATTTAGCTATTATCGGCATCGTGACATCAGCTCCTTTTGCAGGCGTCGAAGCTGGTCGATGGCGGTCCTGGTTTGTCTATGCTGCGCTGGGGCTGGCTGTTCTTGATTGCTATGTCATGACTTCATACGATCCCATCGCAGCCGCCGCACCAGCAGTTCGGGCGGGTCAAATCCCGCCGCTGAGTCTCTACACCAGCATGAATATGATTCGCTTCTTGTCTATGACCATCTTCGACGCCGTCTGTGCTGCATTGATCTACATCTCTGCCACGCATCGATTCTTCTACAGTCCGCCTTCGCCAAGTGACCAGGTCAACCAGGTCATTGCCGCTGCGACGGCGGCGCTGACTAGCGCCAATTCGAAATTACATAGTCTGAGCGTGACGCGGAATGCGGTGGTGCGCGATCAGTCGCTCAAGGCTCGCGATGACTGGTATTGGAGGACGGCGGTCGCCATGGAAGGTTCGGGCGACGCGGACGGCGCTGGAGGCGGCAGTATTTGGGAAGAAGAAGAAGTTGCTCGGGCTATGTCACAGGTGATGAATGGCCGAAACCGTGGTCGGCAACTGGATATGGCTCAGCTCGGTGTCAATGCTGGAGAGTATGTGGACAAGGTCACTGCTGGGTTAGAGAATGGTCCTTCGAATTAGAATCATTCTAAAAATTTGCCTTGAATGCAAATTCTAGACTGTAAATACCATCCTTGGATCTAGAGCATATCGTACAAGATCTAGATCCAGTGTCATTAATATGTAAGCATCGAGATGATATCCAGATCACGCTCATAGATCAAATATCATTGGAGCAGTAGACAACGTAGTCTAGACAATCACGGTCTAGTCGCTGTTGGGGCGGTCGATCATGGCTGTGCACCCCCGTGCAATCACTGCACCGCTCTTCTCATCCCGTTTGAGACGAGACATCGTGAGGGCTTCTGCGGCCGTGATTTGCTGATTTGGAACCTCGTAGGGACTTGATTAGGAAATGTGCATCAATCAGCCTAGGCTTATGCTAGAGCTGTCAAGTGCGTACTCTTTTCATCTGTAAGTGTATAATATACTATGTAGTGGTTACGTACGTAGGTGAAGAAGGAAAGAAGAAGGCGGTGAGCGACAAGCAGAAGAGAGGGGCGCTTTCCTTCTGTTGGGATTCCAAGTGTTTTGTCTTGACTCTCTTGCGAGGGAGTTGCGACGCATACCCACTCTACCAAGTACTTCCATAGTACTCACAACTCCGTTATCCCGACTGCCTTCAGCTCTGTCACTTTTTCTGATTGTGTATACACAAACACTCTCTCTGCTGAAATAAAATATCCCAACTACGGTCCAGCCCAGGCTCACAGACTCATAATCAGCGGATTGTGATTGGCATGCTGCTGCGTTTGGGACCGTTCCTGACCCACACTTTGAGATAGGACACACCACTGGCACTGCGAATACTCCGCACCCGAGCACATTCTCAACCTTACTTTTAACAACAACACTTAACTCTGCTCCATACTTCGACTTTCATGACCAGACTGCACTAGCAGTCGCAATTCGTCATGGCTAAGAGTTCATCGCGCTCACATTCGCCGCCGGACAGGCTGGAGAACCTCAATGCCTGTGTGTCGTCGCCGTCGCCGCAGCCGCGGTCGTTTCAGAACAAAGATGCCACTTTTCGGGAGTGGGTTGTACAGAACCAGATTGGTATGTCGACAACGATGTCAATCACAATGAAGACGAAGACATCTGACAAAATGACTTGGATGAAAAATAGGCATCTCATTAACTACACTTTCAACGCTGCTCGCCGCTCACAACCTCTACCCCTCCGTTCAATCCTTTACAGCGCCTTTTTTCCAGATGTCCTACTACCACCCCGAGTCCGGAAAATATAAACAAGGATTGGACGATGTATACTTTGTTATAAGTGCAGTTTTTGCATTCACCGCTGTGCGTGGTATTTGCTTGGATTGGATATTCACACCGTTGGCTAGACATGCTGGCATGAAGAAGAAGGCCTCGGTACGGTTTGCCGAACAAGCGTGGCTCGTGTGCTATGACTTGACTTATTGGAGTTATGGAATGGTATGTAATGATCGCTGTTTGTATGGGCGCTGGTACTGACGTTATCTGGATAGTATCTTTGGAGCAACTCGCGTTATTGGGGCGACTTCAAGGCCATCTGGGCCGATTGGCCCAAGCAAGAGGTGGCAGGAGAGATGAAGTGGTATCTCTTGACACAACTGGCTTTTTGGATCCAGCAGATATTCACCGTCAATGTCGAAGAGCGTCGCAAAGATTTTTACCATATGCTATCACATCATGTGCTGACAAGCGCATTATTGAGTGCTGCTTATATCTACCGCTTTTACAACGTTGCCAATGTGGTCTTGTCGTTGATGGATATTGTGGATTTCCTTTTGCCCGTGAGTGATTCTGTGTATAAGATGATGGTACTCCAACTGACTGTATTGACAGGCAGCCAAAATCCTCAAATATTTCGGCTACGAAAAAATGTGTAATGCCGTGTTTGTCACGCTGATTTTGACATGGCTTGTTMCCCGCCACATTCTCTATCCCATGCTCTGCTGGTCCATTTACCAGAACGTCCCCGAAGTGATGTCGTACGGATGCTACAACGGCAAGACGGCTCAACTATACACCACGAATGGCTATCCTAACCGATTCGCATATATGTTCGGTCCATACCTCAGCGAAGAAGGCCCGTTCTGCATGAACTTCACCATCAAGTGGATTTTCCTCTCTTTTCTGCTCGCCATTCAAGGACTCTCAATACTTTGGTTCGGCATGATTCTACGAGTTGCCATCAACGCAGTTCGTTCCGGCAGCGCCGAGGACTCACGAAGTGACGATGAGGATGAAGGCGAAGAGGAAGACGAGGACGAAAATGCCGATATATCAGTCAGCCCGAACAACGAAAGCTTGAGCCGTGCTGCCGCCGAGAAGGCCTCCGGTTCCGAAGGCTCATGGCGGAGGGCGAATGCACCAGCACCAACTCGACGCGGTGGCGGAATACTAGGCGACAGTGACCGTAAAGCTCTCCTTGGTAGAATCGGCTGTGACAAGCCGACGCACGATTGATCTGTGATTCCCATTTGATATTGCACATATTGCTTTGTGTGGTGTATGAGCATGCAGCGAGTCGATGATTGATTTGATATCTTTCTATTCAAAAATGCGCTGTTTTTAAGAAATCAATACCCTTATGTTCAGTTATGTTCAGTTATGTTAGATTGTTGTTTGACAGAACAAGTACGTCAATGCGTAAGCCTAAGCTAAATATGCCAACACAAGCGTAGATTCTAGGTTCCCTTTCTGCATAGATTATCACGAGTTGTATGTCTAGGCATCACGTGCCCAAACAAGCCCGCTTGTATCCCTGTTCTCGGTCACTATCTCTAGCAGCCAACCATAGAAGAATCAAAGTCGAACCTAGACAACCAGTAGATACATGTAGTTTACATGTGACTCTGGATCCCCCACATGGACTCGCCGATTTTCCGAAGACTATCTATCACCAGTAATCCCCACGTTCCTTTCTGACTATTCAGTTGGCTGATGACCAAGCACTTTTCCGAAGCACAGGACGAGATTCGTGCCAGACAGAGCAGACGTGATGGCCAAACGAGGATAATACTATTGAAGGTGAAGTTGCTGTATGTACTTTTAGGTAGCTATGACAGACTTGGTTGACTTCTATTTATCTACGGTTCTCTCAGAGTTCAATGTTTCTCGGCAGATTAATGTATCTCTTTAGAAACTGAATGCTCTTGTGTTGTAGACTGTTAATTTATGTTCTCCAATTATCGATTGAAACTCGAAAGATGAAAAGGGATGAAGATATGATATAGCTCATGTATTTAGCCCTAACCACGACGTAAAGCGTACATCAAGACAGGTATCGACGTCCCTGGTCCATTAGTCACAAGCAAAAGACATGCATTTGAAGATATTTTTGACTCTTTCTCAAGAGCAGTACTGAGAGGCGTCATAGCCAGTAAAAGTATCCCCAGTGTTGCAGGTCTGACTATTCGGATCATAAAGAACAGCAGCTAACGCAAACAATTAACCTCAAATCCTTATAGAGACGAACGAAAAGAACTTACTATCAACCTCCAAACCACTATCCGGATTCAAAATAATACTTTGCGAATCCGGCGTCAAATTGTCCTCGCAGTCAATCTGATTCTGCCCTCCATCCTGCGTACTACTCCCCGTCCACACATCAATATGCCAGGTCCCATCATTATTCCAGTCAGAAGTACACTGATCACATTCATCCTCAAACCGAAGATATTTCTTGAGGTAAGGTGCGTAGATGACGTCGCAGATTTGGAATTCGCCTTCTGCAGATGCGAATGTTAGCGGGTCGTCGTAAGTGCCTGTGCCGCCGGCGGCGGAGCGGCCGCATTGGGTGTATGCGATGTCTGCGCCGGGAGGGGAGTTGTCGGGGTAGCCGTAGAAGGTTGTTGTAACGTCTCCTTGGATTGAGCAGGAGGCTGAGATGAGTGTTGGGAGGGCGAGGAGAAGGGTCAGAGCTGATGAAGCCATGAGGGAGGTTGAGGAATGCATTTTGCGCTGAATTCTTGGGTACAGATATTCAGTCTCGTAAATGATACTCATGAATGATTGAAACGATTACTTTCACTGTGATGAGAAGGTAGCATTCATTTATACCTCTCTATATTGCAACTAATGAACCCCGAAATGTGCACTCGGCCGCAAAACAAATCCCTAGGCAAGCCCAAAGGCAGTCAGCATCATCAAAACCCAATACCCGAATTAGGGAAATGACTCGATAGAGCTGATCATGTCTTGTCCTATGGACTGCGTATTTTAATGTTTTAGGTAAGCTTCTTAGACCGAAACGTTTCTCATCGAAACGGATTTCAACTGCATAGATGTAGTTGATTTGTTCAATCTTGAATGTCATTAATCACTGAGAATATTGGTTGCCAATTTCAGATGTTTACCCATGTCGATCGCCCCTGGAAATGCAACCTTCCTAAATTGGGGCATGTTTCCTTTCTAGGAATATGGGTCTTGTGTCCTGCACCTTACGATAGTTGCTCTAAACCTATGAATACCGTATAAGTAGAAATCGATACTTGGGATCCTGGTTAATATTCAGTCCTTGATAAATTAACATTATATAGCTTTTCGTTCTGGGATTTAAGTTGGATTTCAGGTTGAAATGAAGGACGGAAGCCCTAATATACCTATGTAGTATTTTGCATATTGGTTTTGCGGGGCAGCCTTAGAAAAAGGGTAAGGTGGCCCCCCAAAGTACGAAGTGTTCCCCACAGACTGAATCATAAATACATGCTTGCTACGTACGTAGTGCGTATGTGCCTCAAGATTGAGTTCCTATTCAAGAGTGCTCTAGTTCCTCCATTTTGGCCCCATTATGCACAATATGACATGTCCGAGAAAAGCGAGACACACTTCACGTTCTGAATGTTTTAAGACCCGGGTATGACCGTGCATGAATGCTCGATGAGTTTCCTATGCAAGTCTGAACCGAATCCACAGCAGACTAGTTATGAGTTATGTCTGTTTGCCTTCTCTGGAGCGAATCCCGTGACGACTCTCGAATTGACTGGTCCTTAATTTGATATTGACTGTCGTTTTGATTGGACTAGAAGCAGTTGGCAGTTTCAGTAAATAGCCACTAGATCAATGATCGAGTTTGCGGGAGCAGCAGCTCTCTTGGGCGCAGTCGAAGCCGCTTGATGGGTTGAGCGGTTGTCGTGAGCATGGGCATGCTACTTGATCATAGTAGCAATATAATCACTATTTTAGGATCATAAGTATAATGCTGGAGGTAGCTCAGCCATCTTGTTTGCGTAATTTGGCCAGAGCATCCATGATCCCTTCACTCATGCTTTCTTCTTGTTGACTTTTCTTTTTGGCCGGCGGTTCGCTTGACGCTTGCGGCTCGGTCTGGAATTCGCGGGCCTTACGAGCCGAAGCAAATAACATCTCTTCTATATCCTCATCACCTTCTATAACATCAACGTCTTCTGAATCCTCCACGACTGGTTTTGGGTCCGCAACATAACCGGTGCTTAAATCTCTAATCGGCGCCACTTTCCTCCGCGTAGATTCAACCCTAAAATCCTCTCTGACAGCACTAGACCATTGCCGCACTTTCTTCTCTCCCCATCCAGGAACAGCACTGATCTGCTCTGGTTGCGCATTGACAGCTGCCTGCAGACTGCCAAACGTAGACATCAAACTCGCCGCATCTGACTTGTTCACGCTTCGCGGCGCTGTTATAAATTCAATAACGCTTTCTCGGTATGACTGGGCTTGTTGCGAGCGAATGGCCGTCGGTTGAGCGTTCTCGGAGGACTTGAAAAGTTCAAGGTAATGCGCAGCTTCGGGTGCTGACCAGCAAAGTATGAGGGTCACATTGTTGACTATAGATGTTTTGGACAGTTCTTTCAGTGTCTCTTCGTGATTCGGGATGTCTACCATAACTAGTACGATTCGTAAGTTGTATTTGCCGGCGAGGAGTCGTATGCGAGAGTAGATATATTCGGGGTGGAGTCGATGGTACTTTAAGGAGAGGAATAGAGCACAGGTTGTCGCACCCAGGACGTAGTCAGCAGGTATATCGGCGTATTCCCACGGTACGAGCTTCACATGGTTCAATATAGGATTTCCTTTCTGGCGGGACGATACTAGAATTGCCGAAGGGGCAGCACGATTTGGGAGTGCTTGCGGTATTGGTTGCTGTACTTTAGGTGTAGGTGTAGCCGGCTTGTCGGACATGTCAACGTCCATTTTGGACGCATCTGCCATTTTGCTAATAACAAAAAGCAAATCTTTATAAACTTGTAGATTGATGGGGACCGCTATCACCAGTGACGCGATATAGCTCGTAGCTCCTCACCGCCTTGCGGGATTGTAGCTTCCCGTCTTATCAGAAAAAATAGGCAATTTTCTGCCGCTAATTAATTTTTCGTCTTCTCAATTCAACAGCCAGAATTATGGTCAAGATGGCCGACGATAGCAACAAAAGACGCCGTTTGTCGGAGGATGGCAGTTTCGAGGCTAAAATAGTCGAAGAGGTTCTGAATGAGAAAAATGAAACGAAAGGCGAATCTACCGAATTGCCAGCAAAGCCGCAAATGAGAAGAGAACTTTTCGTACGATCTCTCCCAGCGTCAGCGACAACCGAAAAGTTGACGGAATTCTTCTCCCAATCATACGTCCTCAAACATGCAACTGTCGTTATTGATCCAGAAACCAAGCAATCGAAAGGCTATGGCTTCGTGACCTTTGCGGATATTGAAGATGCTCAACGTGCCTTGGAGGAGTTCAATAACGCCGAGTTCGAAGGTCGGAAAATCAGAGTCGAAGTCGCACAACCCCGTAAGCGTGAAATTGACGAAAAGGGAGGCAGAAGTGTACCTACTGCAGAGTCCACGAGACTCAAGGCGGAACGTACCAAGCAAAGAGAACAGACGGCACCTCCTAGGCTGATTGTACGAAATTTGCCCTGGACAATCAAAGAATCCGACCAACTTGCTGCACTGTTTCGCAGTTTCGGAAAGGTCAAGCATGCCGTTGTGCCAAAAAAGGGCAATGTTCAGGCTGGTTTTGGATTCGTTGTGTTGCGTGGTCGGAAGAACGCCGAGAAAGCCTTGGAAGCTGTGAATGGAAAGGAGGTAGATGGAAGGACTTTAGCCGTTGATTGGGCGGTAGAAAAGAGCGTTTGGGAGGAGGCACAACAAAATGCGGAAAAGAAGGATGTGAAAGATGCAATGGATGTTGATGTTGGAGATGACAAGGAGACTGAAGCCGAAAACGACGAAGACGAATCTGTTGAAGTTGGCTCCGCAGACGAGGATGAGGAGGAAGATGAGGAAGGAGACTTTGATGACGAGGATGAGGATGAGGATGAGGACGAGGAAGACGAAGAAGATGATCGCAATGCTTCTACGATTTTCATTCGCAATCTACCTTTCACCAGCACAGACGAGACATTATATGAGCACTTCAAGCAGTTTGGACCGCTACGCTATGCACGTATCGTTGTGGACTACGAGACTGAGCGCCCAAGAGGAACAGGGTTTGTCTGCTTCTGGAATGCCGAAGACGCCATCGAATGCCTCCGAGGCGCTCCGCGACAAGTCGATGCTGGCAAGGAAGATGCAAACACCAAGAAGAACTCTACAAGCATCAGACAATCTGTGCTGCAGAACGATATGCTCGACCCGACCGGAAAATACACCATGGAAGACCGTGTTCTCAATGTTACTCTTGCCGTATCAAAAACCGAAGCCAATAAATTGACGGAGGAAGGTGTGTCTCGTCGATCGGAGAGAGATATGGATAGGCGCCGACTTTATCTCTTGAATGAAGGAACTATCAACACTGCCTCTTCACTCTATAAGAAATTGGCGCCTTCAGAAATCAAAATGCGAGAAGACAGTCTCAAGCAGCGTCAAAACTTGATTAAGAACAATCCTACGCTACACTTGAGTTTGACCCGATTATCCATCCGAAACATTCCCCGATCAGTGACTTCCAAAGACCTCAAAGCGCTTGCCCGTGAAGCCATCGTCGGCTTTGCCAAAGACGCAAAGGAAGGACGTCGCCAACCAATATCCGCAGAGGAGCTGGCTCGTGAGTCCGAAGAAACGAAGGGCGATGACAAACGTCGTCGTGAAAAGGGTAAAGGTCTCGTCAAACAAGCTAAGATTGTCTTTGAAGGACGCGACGGCAGCAAGATTGAGGAGAAGACTGGTGGAGGACGTAGTCGTGGTTATGGATTTGTTGAGTACTTTAATCATCGACACGCATTGATGGGATTGCGCTGGCTGAATGGACATGTTGTGCAAGCCAAGTCCAATGACGGAGAGGCGGAGAAGAAGAAAAGACTGATCGTTGAGTTTGCGATTGAGAATGCTCAAGTTGTCAAGAGACGGAAAGAGTTTGAAGAGCGGGCACGCACTAAGAAGGAGGATGGACCAGAAAAAGGTGGTGACAATGACAAGAGAGGAATGAAGAGGAAGAGACCTGAAGGCCGTGGAATGAACAAAGGAGACAAAGGAGACAAGGGAGGCAAGGGCAAAGATAAAAAAGCAGATGCTGGCGATGATGAAGACGATGATGAAAAGAACAAGATTGCAAAGAGGAACCGCATCATTGCTCGCAAACGTCAGCAACGAAGATCAAGGAAAGGCAAAGCCTGATTGGTGTAAATAGATTCTGTTATGATTGAACAAAAGCATTATGGTATCGATTGGCGTTTTGAACCTTTGAAATCTACTATCGGTTATTATTTACAGCCTTGACCGTTTAGACATACCATGTAGCTCAATACTCGATACTCAGGGTGCGACATATCCTGCCAACCCTCACCAGTAATTTGATAATTTGCGAGACCAGACCATCTATGACACAACCTTTCCAACAATATTATACCTCTTACTGAAAAAAGTAAACCACTCATCCAAAACCGTCTTCTCCTTGTCATCCAAATCCTCCCACTCCGGACGGCAATCCTCCACTTTCAATGATGATGAAGCCAATGCGCGAGAGGGGTCTTTGCCAGCGAAGACTGTACACCGATATATCAGCAAAAAGCCCGTATGATAGATATTGTGAGGGTATGTGTTTACCGTGGTATTGTCCACCAGGCGCATATGCGGCGTTTTTGCTCACGTCAAAGACGGTTCCTTTGATGGCGACGTAGGTGGGGCGACTTGGGTTGGTTCCTGAATTCATACAGACAAACAATGAGTAAGTATCTTCTGGAGGTATGAAGGTGATCTTGTAGATATAGGTCTGAGCATACCGTCGCATTTCGACAATTCGTCAATTGTGATCGGGTCATCTTTGGGAGGATCGAGCTGAACTGGATTTTTGGGCTCGAAGCGCTTGGGCTCTGGTTCGTGGTCGGGCATTGTGTGTGTATGTGTGTTTATGATAGCTTGTTGGATAGAGGGTCTTGTGAGAAGGGTTGTTGTTTGGAGAAAGGATTGGAGAGAAAAGAAGCGGGGTTTGATTTGTGTATTGTTTGTATAATCTATGTCGTCATGTTACCGGTCCCGCGGGCTGTATTGTAACGCTCTTACGTATCTTTTTCCATAGTTTACTTGTGATTTTTGGTAACGTTACGCAACGTTACGCCCGTATCCTATCTCCCCGCCTCCGGGGTAATGTTTCATGTGACTTTCCTCATTTCTTCTGGGGTGGCCAATTGAGTCGACTCGATATCCAATACAATGAGACGCCCCGAGAAACTTCTCTCAGATTAATATTCGAGACTGAGAAAGCCAAACTCTGAACTCTACAATGACTAGCAGAAACACTCACAACGAGCATCCTGTTACAGCTTCGAAACAAGGTAATGCATGCATTTCTCAATGCTATCGTCCAAGCGGCCCTACATACTCTTTTAACCACTTGACAACTAGATGAACCGGCACAAATTGAGGAGACCGTGATCGAGGATGACGAGGCCCATGAGCTGGCCGACGATCTGAAGCCAGCGCCGAATGCCGAGGACTCACACCATGTATCCTCAGAGATGTATCATTATCTTTACTTTGATGATAACGATTGTTTCTTTGCGGTGAGGAACAATGGGCTATGAGAAGGAAGGCAAAGGCTAAGGGTGCTTGCAGACACATTTCTCTTAAACGTGCCACGCCGTTTATCGTGACTCGTCGTTTTGCCTTTGGAATTCACAAGATTGTCATGTTGTAATGGAAAGTCATTGAATTTGAAAATTTTATTTCAAGTTTGCACGTCTCACAACTCCCTAACGCCTGAAACACTCCATGTAAATCTCAAGCGCCCACGTAACGAGAGGACATAGAGATATCAAGACTCCTCAGCCCCAACACCAGCAGCCTTCAGCGCCTCCAATCGCTGCTTATTCCTCTTCCCAATAATCCTCATTGTGTTCTTCTGTTCAATCTCCGTCATCTTGTCCCAATTTGATATCCGACTCATTGTGCCATCTTGATTCACCACGATGGGGCCCAGATGGTCTAGCGATACGGTTGTGCCTTCTCCGTTGACGTCTAGTTTTTGATTGGTCGAATCGGATGTGGATGGGAGCGCGAGCGGGGGGATTTTGTTCTCGTTGTTCTCCGACTTTGGTTGTTGTTCTTGTTGTGATTTATTGGACAGGTTTGTGGTTGCGGAGGAAGTCATGTTGGGAGCGGACGGTGACGATGAGATCGATGAGAGAGATCGGAGTGTAGAGGATGGGCGCAACGACTTGGTCGTTTGACGGAGGTAGTTGGCGAACATATAATGGTCTTCGTAGTTTTCGGTTGGACACGTTACGTCGAGGGTGTTACGGACAGAGCAACTTGTAGCTGTAAGAGGAAGAAAAAAAGCTGCAAAGATTGCGAGGGATGACGTGGATGATAGACGCATAGAAATTTTATTTCGGACAGCCTTGCAAAACTAATTGAATTGAGGAGTATGTATGATTGTCACTGAAGATGGAGTTTGAGGTTGATTTAACGGACGATATCACATGCCAAGACATGCATGGCATGAAAGTTCTAGAAAGAGCTTAAAGCTTAAAGCTACCTATTTACGAGACAGATACAAATTTATTATTTTAAAATTATGCATGCAAAGAATAGATCTTCAGATTCAAATATACATGAAACTTACTTTTAGGTAAATAAAAGTAGCTGTATTGGTCAAGTCCAAGCTTTACGACCTCTCGTTATTGACAGATTCTGGTACTTCTCCGCCAGCAACGATCATCCCATCACCCTCTGCCCCTGGAGCAATACTCTCAGCAGGGTTGGGAGCATGGATACCGCCTAACAAGAAATCAAGCTCACTCGGCCCATCACCTTCCAAATGCTCATTCTCAGCCAATTGCTCCAATAGACTAAGGAATGGATCCTTTTCGGAAGGCGGACCACTTTCGCTCATAGTGGCATGAGAGTCGCTTGCTTGCGATTGCCCGCTTGGTGTCTGTGCGGCATATCCGTTTGTGTATGGGGTTCGGGCCTGTGCTGTATGAGGTGTGTCGAATGGGAATGTGGCGTAGTGGAAGTTTGAAGGTGGAGTAGGAGCTGTTACGGTGTTTAGAGATTCAGAGATGAATGCGGATGGGGAGAGTCCTAGTGTTGGGGAGAACGACGGGAGTACACGTGGCATTTGTTGTTGCTGCGATTGTTGTGAGTGTGGCTGCTGCTGATGTTGATCTTGTTGTGTAATCGAGTACGACGGCGAAGAATCGTTGAGATTATATGGGTACAACGCGGGTTGCAATTGCTGAGATTGTGATGAAGTATCGAACTGTGAACCTGGCAGTTCTGTATGTTGTTGGAATTGTGGTTGGTGGGAAGCGGTGCCGCTCATACGAGAGAATTGCTGATTTTGGAAGTTTTGTGAGCTGTTTAATGACGGTGTGGACATCGCTTGTGTGTTATAAAGTGAATGGCTGTCAATGGCCAACGGCACAGACATGCTAATAGCCAGGATTAGTTGCGAGACCGTCAAGCAGATGAAGGAAAACATTTACTTATCGTTACTGGTGTCAGTAACCTCATCGACGAGTCTTACATGAGAACTATCCACGGATATTCCCATATAACGGTCAAAAAAGTCCTCCAAGTGGAACACTGGTGAAAATCGCATCGTGCTGTTGGCTAAATTTCTGACAAGTTCGGCGTGACAGGTATAGACTGTCTGTAACAATTCTCGTTGATGTTGGACACCGGCCCAGCAATGTCGTAGCCAGGACATCTGTTGCATCTCCTTGGCAAGAAAATCGGCGCTGGATGAAAAGACCTCCCCTTCCAGTCCCTTATAATGTACACCATGGACATGGACCGTCCCGGCAGTGCATACACAATGACTGATAAAGGCGGGCCATTCGACTAGTGAAGAGTTTCGTCCAAACTCAACAAGCTCAACTATAGCATTCGAGTGCAAGAAGCACAGGTTGGTCGCCTCAATTTGCCATGACTGGTGTTGTCCTGTCCCTCGGAGCTCTGCCAAGTCGAGTGGTAAAAACGGACGGTATATCAAGCAGTGGATGAGGTGGTATATAAGTTTGCTCAGAAATAATGTCGTGCTTTCCGGGTGTGTAAACAGCGATTCCACCGATATGAATATATCCTGTACACCGGCTCCCCACAAATCGAGCTCCTGGCGAATTTTGGATAGGTTTGACATCGAGTGCCAAGGGAAGTGAGAATCGCCTTTGACTCCTCCTGTGGCCAGATACCGATTTGTTATTCCTAATATTCGTATGATGTCAATAAGAAGGACAATCGCTGGTTGTCCTCGTCTGCGGGGATCGGCCGAAAGTTGGATGTTGATACCCGAGTTGTTGAATAATTCTCCTTCAACAGGAAGTGCATGAGATGATGTAGATGATGACCATGATGGTAGACGCAATAGAACTGAATCATTTGAGATCAGACATGGACGTCTCGAACCACATGCCACAAACCGATCCATCATGTAACATGCCCAGAATAACCTTCGTCTCGTTTCTTTTTCGGTATGAGAGAGATTGAGTTTGGGTGAAGGCTCTCTATATAGATCAAGCGCGAGAATCATGGCAGAGCAACTCGCTAAGTAACCGATCAGTCAGCTGTTCGTTTGACTTATTTTCAGGTATCATACATATTGTCATGTATGTCTTCTTGCCCAACCCGTAGGCAAAGAAGACCATGGATAGTAATAAAAGTGTTTGAAGTCCTTCAATAGTAGGATTGTCAATATCGATCTCCTGTCGTGCTTTGAGCGCATATTCGAGTCCGATTCGTGTTGAGCCTTCTTGCCCTTCCGCAGATTGGGCATATCTAAAGAACAAGCGGTCAGATTTGGAATCTTCGATTTCATTAGTGACAGACGTGAGGAATATACCTAATAGTTATAGCATATATCGCCATCATCAAAGGCCCCGGTAACTGTCCCATGTGATGCCTTTGGCGCGTTGAAGACTCCTCCAATATATAGAACGGTTTTCCATGAAGCCGAGTAAAATATGTATCTAAGATAGTGTCGGAAAGAAACGCGTTATCTTGGCGATTCGTGGTATTCGTCTGCTGTCCATGTCGAAAACTATTGATTGGATGATCACTAAAACCGTTATAAGTAGATGTCAAGAGCATCGAGCCGCGCCGATCTGCAAAAGACATTTGATTCGGGTCTTCTTGCTCCGCGATTGATAGAGAGCTTTGGATCGAAGAGCCGGTTTCATCTGCAGAATTTGACCGCCCAGCCGAAGACCCCTTTCCCTTGCGCTTGGTAGTAGATGGTGGATTCTCGCTAGTAGGGCTGACGGTGCTGCCTTCTTCCTGTAATCGTCTCTCGAGACCATCTACCCGTTTTAAAAGCGCTTCAAGAACATCTGTTTTTGGGCCTCTTTTCTTGGGGACGGCGTCTTTTAGAAGATATCGTCAGCGAGAACTTCATCCGAGTTGGTGTATAACGTCTAATGGAACTGAAGACCTGAGGACTAATATAGAATTGAGTAGTACGTACCATATATACAAGGACACTGAAAGACCTTACATGCCTCGCAGCTCGGGCGCACGCGATTGCATTTGATCTGTAGAAACCCGATCAGTCTCCTCTTTACAGTCTATGCCGCGTCTTACTTCAGACTCAAGACGTACCTTTCTTTTCCGACATGATTTACAATTCATGGACTCACGTGGCTCGGCCATGACCCGCCGAGGGGTGAGTCGATCGATGCTAACCTGAGGACGTGACATGATTGCAGTAGACATAGGTGATAGTATCAATGGCCGAGAACTTATGGAGAAACTCGTAGTCTAAGTGATGTTGACATCGCCACACTGTGGCACGTAGGGAAGCTGATATCAGAAAGGAAAGACCGAATTTTGCATCAAATTCGTCCAATCAAATCAAGGGGATTCCATGCAGTCGGCTTTAGATGATGGTAATTTTGGACGCGGATAAATTTCTGTAGAGTCCGAAGTCGATATTGGCGCCTAGTATACGCCTAAAATTGTGGTTTAAGAGGTCGATATCATCCTTTGATGGCGAGCTCTGAAGTGAAAACCGACTTGGAAAAAGTGAAAGCATTAGTTGCTCGCGGCGATCGGGTTCTCCATAGCCATTTCGTATATATAGAGTATCGGAAGACTTAGCGGAGTAGACTGCGGACTAAGTAACAGCGCTGTTGTCGCAAGGATCACTTGAGTCATGTTATAGATCGAGAGGGGACGCAGCGCAGAGAAGAAGGGAGATGAGGTTTTTTTTGTTTTTGTGAGGTTGACGGGGGAAGCGGGTAAGAGTTCTGCACCATCCCCGGGATATTTCCTAAAAGGAGGCTAGCGTTGCTCGGAACCACTCTGGCTGGCGAATGCGGGGAAAACAGTCTGGAGTGCGTCCTTCTCTCTTTCTTTTTGTCTTTCTGACCGTTGACCAAACTAAAATCTGAATGCGGCCACTGCTCATGTTAGCTTTGTCTGCATCTGAGTGGACTCGACAGGGAACTTGGCATTGGGCCCCAGTGGCAGCCAATTGCTTGATTGCACCCGAAGATCCTCTGGACTGACCCTTACCCCTGATCCTTCATGCGGAGGTTTTTGCCTGCTATCCCTCAGCCAAGTTACGCTGCTGCTAGACCATGTGGTGTATAGAATGGTCGCCCTGCATGATCGGTAAAAAAAAGCACATGTCAGGACTGAGCCGAAGACTTTCTTTCTTTCAATGCTACGTGCCAGGATTATTTAACCTTTTAGCAGAACTACGAAGTCAAGCCGTTCGCACATCGATAATGGATCGTCCCATCCATCCGCCGGTGGAGACGCTTCATATACACAGCCCAGGCAGAACGGAAAGCGAATACGATTACGGATCGATCAAGTACCGACGCTGCATATGCGACCATCCTTGAAATTCTGCAATCAATCACGGATTAGTCAGGAATCTCTCCTATCTATTTGCTTTAAGACAGGAGATATATAAACAGGACCACCCAATGTCTGACGACTCCATATCGAGTGTTTCTAGGAACCTTCGAATTTCGGCAATAGAGTTATCCGGAGTCCACATTTCAAAACAGAATCGCAAAAATTGGCTTACCTTGCGCCTTGAGAGAAGGCCAGCAAATCATGCTTATTCCGTGTCGAATTTGCCAAGGAGCCAATGCCGGAGCAAAAGCGGGTTTCGATCGTCCGACAAAACCACGTTGATCGCAACGTGCAATCTAGTTGATTTGTATCCGACGATAAAGGTAATTTGGGAAGCTCGGCCTCCGGATCTTTTGCTGATAATGCGGCGAAAACAGCACACATTGTCTATTCTATGTTTTACTGAAGAACTTACTAGTATACAACGAACTCAATAAAAAAACAAACAACCGTATTTTAGATAGGAATACCGAGAATCTCTATCTCCGTGTCCTATCGGTCCTAGCCTCTTGACATGCACTGCAACTCTGCACCCATGATCCTTGTCTCCGTATTTTGGGCGGTATACATTGGCCGCCCAATGATCTGTGCCAGCGTCCGCATCAAAAGTCTAATTAATTCAATGGTGGACTGCAAAGTGGACGCGCGACGAAGGTCATGAGGTACGGTGCTCTAAGCGAGGCTTTAGTGAGGAACCTCCACACGTATTTGGTACTCACAGGGTTAGTGAGACAACGAATATTTCCAGACGTACATTTGTGCATACACCGGCCTCCAAGTACAGGTGTACCATTCGAAAAGCGACTGCTCAAAGGCCTGTGAGTTATTACAATCACTAGTCCCGGCTACGCGTCAGTGCCAAGTATTAGTTGATTGCGCCGTCTCTACAAGGATGCACAAAATCCAATTACTCGAGGAAATTACAGGGCTTTGGACCATTCTTCAGGTCTGGTCTTATGTATATTAAATTATTAAGTACTACCGGCATGCTACAAGTCTTGTCTCGCGCCACTTTTGCTAGGCGGGGGGTCTATGATTTCGCCTTGTGAATTACCGACTTGGCGAGCCTCGTCATGACGCGGCCTGTAGGGGCCTGTTTGATGTTGATTCATTCGTACGAAGAGTCTTTCGAAACCCCGTCTAGAACTCGAATTGTCCCACTCAAGACCGAGTTTAGTGTCGACCGACCCAAGTCTGGCAAAAGGTAAAAGTGAGCCGCTGGTCAGGAAACTTATCTGATCCGATTATGCCCCACGCAGGAGATGAAATGTCTCAGTCTGATACTTTGTAAATTTGTATCGGATCAACCTGAAGCCCGCAAGGTACTTTAAAAACCTTGAACGACAATCGTATCGGGATCTTATAAACATCGAACAGCCCTTGAAACGCTGATCTGATTTACATACGTGTAGACCCAACTGGCAGATGCAAGCGACGGCTAGAGATGCTGAATGAAGATTAGGGTGCAGATGGCAGTTCGATTCGCTGTGCCCAAGCCAGTGTGGAAGATATTTTACGTGACAGTTGACGATTTCATCTTTCCACGGAGTAGTCCAAGCACTACACCACGATCGAATGGCCCATACTTATGTACCCATGGCCATTGATCGAAAGCCTCAGAATGAGCCACCCTGACTAAAATTCGAGGTCACTTTGATGCAGATTTCAATTATTGTTTACATCAATTTGCAGCCGGCCGTTGTCCGACTGACAGATTAGTCCTCATACAGGAAGAGCATGAGAGGCTCGAAAAAGCAGCGCTGTCTGGATTCGGCAAGGTAGAAATTTGACAATTTAAGCATACTACCAGTACGAGAAGTAACTAGGATTAACTATCACTCAATGATTGTCCAAGCCGGGTAGGGCAGATCGACGAAGGAGACTGATACTACTACCATGCGAATCAGATGTCCCTCATTGATATTTAGAGGAAAAGATGATAACGCAATCAGCCGACTCCAAAGTTCCTGAGTTTTATAGGAAGAGATCCGCCTACCGTTTGGGACTATCATTATTCGTTTAGCCGGTTGTCTGTATGGCTGTCCTTCCAGAGGAATTTGGCATGTTTGTTTTAGATCACTTGAGTATGGTTATGATAAGCAGTATATCCTATACACTGCATGATCTTCTTTATAAATGTCAAGTCAATAATGTCGCATTTACATGTATGTTTGTTTGTCCCAACTGGTTTGCTACACGCTCACCCCTAGGGATATTCGTGCAGCCACATTTCTGGTATCTCTCTGATGGCGTTGAAGCAGTAATTTGTACCATTTCATTAGGGTGTTTGACACGATCCAGCTCACCACGAGACATACCACCCTTGATTTCTGAAGCGTACCTGAAAGGATGATAGTCAGATATTAGGGCTCGGCTGTCCACCTGACGCGCCTACCTATTGTAGTAACGACTCCACGACCACTCTTTCACGGCTATGGATCTACAAATTTACCAGATCTACACATTGGGAATCGATCTGTGACCACTTCTTACAGCTTTTCAAAACACTGTCTTGTATCGGACAACCTCCTTCGATATGCATTCGGAAAGCCGTTCGCAGAAGATCAGAGGTTGAATCTCCGACCCAAATCTGTCTTTCGTCTCATTACTTTCAAAGTCAGGCAAGACGTCCCTCCTAACCCACTTCACCCTCAACACTGGCGCCTGCATCTCTTCCGTGCGCTGATGCTTACACATCAAGCCGACTATATAGAATAATGTATATGGTGTGTATTCTATGCCATATCAAATAGAGTCACGCTCCGCAATAAAAAGAACACGTGCGGGAGAAAGCTGGGGATGCGGGGTCCAATAAAGATAAGCTCCTTTTCCGTTCTTTCGGAGGACACATTCTCTTCAGCAGATGGGAAAAGATATCATCATTCATTCAATCCTATAGACCTATTCTTGTATACTAATCAATACAGCCCATGCCCCGACGCCATCCGGACAAAGTCAAACGGCACATTCTGTCCTACCAGTAACCGCATCGTCTCTACGGTCGTCCAGACATTGACATCATCAATCCCATACGCCGTCCATCCAGCGCTGGTCGCTACGCCCAACGGATCACCTTTGCGTTGACCACTCGTTAGATCTAAAAACACTTTGCCACGTGTAGATGGTGGTGAAGCGTGGCCGTTGCTTCGGTAGTGGCGGAGTAAAGGCTGTACCAGCAAGGATTTCTCGGGCGGTAGGGCCGAGACAATGACGAAAGGTTGCTCGACCAGTTTCACAGATTGGATGGATGTAAACGGCTCAAGACCAGCGGCTAATGGGCCCGAGGCCTTGAAGCCGACGGTATAGATAGTTCCGACGTCGAGACTTCGAAGCGCAAAAATGGCTGCTGCGGCGTCGCTTTCGGAACTAGATAAAACAATCACTGCTCGACCGCGGTATGCGGATGGGATGTAGTCTCTCGTCAGTGTTGCGCGGATCCCTTTCCATGTTGCGTTTTCGCCGATGAATTTGTGTTGTCCGTCTGAGCCGTTGACGGTGATGGTGTCGATCAGACCTATAGCGCGTGCTGCGTCGCTTTTGGTTGGTATGTATGGAGCAGAACTGGAGAGAGGTGGGTTGACGTATGCGCCGCCAAAGTTGGGTTGCATAATGACCGATTCGATTGAGCCTCGTGGACCGCGATCGATGCAGCTGAAATTGTGCGGTAAACCCAACTCGTTGAAGCATTTTTCCATAAACATTGATTGTGATGTAGACCGGAASGAGCCAATAGCGTACATATCACGTTTAGGAAGTTGACCCATGATATGCAATGCCCGATTGATCTCGGCCGCAGTCAACTGACCAGGCGCAGCGATGATGGGCAAGAGAGGATGCGTGATGGGCGAAAAGACAGTATTCAAAGCTCGCGACAGCTGACCCTGCGGACCCATGTTGACGGCCGACAGTAATGGATATGAGTAATTAGCCTTGATCGTCGACCGGAAATATTCTAATTCATAATTCTCCTCAATCGTATTAACCATCGCAATCATCTTGACAATATCCGCGTACCGAGCACCTTCCTTGAACACTTGCTGCGCTTCGGGAGATGTCCATTTCCATGTCCCCGAAAAATCATGGAATGCCGACATGATGATACTGTTACCTCGATGATCACACAGATCTTTGCGAATCTCTTCTGGAAGCCACAACTCAACGTCTATATATTCAATCCCCCACTGTATTGCGCGACGCAGATATCTATGAAACAACTCCGGATCCTCCATGGGAAATTTCCCGTTCTCATGCACGCATCGAGTAGTGAAGATGATGGGTAGCTCTGTGTGTTGTCGTAGGAGCATCACTTGTTGCCCGACATACTTGAGACTGGGGATTGAGTTACGGCTTCCATCGGATAGTGGTTCCTCTAGAAGATCAACACGAAGCTCGATAGCATCAGAGCCGACAGACAGAATATCAAGATTCGATAGTGCCGCACGCACGTCAGGAAATGTAGTAGATATGAGATTTGTTCGACGCTTGATAGCCAAATCTTCATGGGGACGTCGCTGTCCCAAAATTAGCGATAGAAAACGCGTCAAATCCCTGCGAAAGAAAGGGGTTTGCGAGTAGATAAATTCATAATGACACCCTTCCGAAAGCCTGTCGTCAGGAAAAGACCCATCATCGATGCAATACGTATTGACAATCAACAGTTTCGAAAAATCATCTACTCCTGTCTCCGGTGCTGTACTCTCAAAATCTCTGTTCAGAATGCCCACGACCACGGCATCGCTGCCTAGGACAACCTTTGAAAGGGCGGTGACAGTAGTCCAAGCCTTTCCTAGCACTTCAGCAACAACTTGAAGAATCTTCTCTTGGCCGAGACCATATACTATGACTACCGTTCGCTTGGTTGGAGGCGACGCAGTTGGGGTTGGTTCATGGCTGCCTGTCACGGTAATCCCAGCAGTCGGAGTCGTTGGGACTTCTTCTGTGAGGGTAACGGAAGCAACAGATGCCATTGTTCTTTTCTTCCCAATCGTTATGGGCTTATAACATCAACCACTAGTCGTATTGAGCAGCCCTCGACTGGACCATTGTTGACTGATAGATGAAAGCAATATGTCGTCGATGTTGACCTCAGCCCAAGAGATAGACGCAATAGATAGACGCAATAGAATCAGATCGATATTGGTTGTGATAGAATGACAGACAACAACCCGAATTTATCCATACATCCAGCCCAAAACAAGTGCAAACAGCGGATGAATTCGGTAGTGTCCGTAGAGTAGTACTGTGTTTTATTAATGTTACCAAACCACAGTCCTTCGGATGCCCTAACACAGCCACCACCCCATGTAACAATGCACCTTATGGAATAAATTATCAAAATAAATAGTCCATTCCACATTGACCATGAGACGGAGAAGTGTTGAATAAGCAAAGTTCGTAGCTTTCCTGGAGACGGAAATATATTAGATATGCTTGGCTGGATCTCTTTTAGAGTGGGTATCCTAGGTAGCACTAGAGGCGACTTGCCCGCAATATTTCCTCGGTGAATATTCCGAACGCCGGATATATTATGTTCAAATCTCCTACTGGGCAATGAAAGCGAAGTAGTAAAACACAGGCAGAGAGAGGGAGAGAGAAGCTCTGGCTGTAAGATGCACAGTCGGCAATTGCTGAGGAGATGGAAAATTGATACCGACGGGGAGCGGTTGATGGCTGACTGGTCGAAAGCAAAAGACTTGAACAACCGTTTATGCTGTATGTTTCTGAACTGCAAGAGTCGCTATGTGCCGGACATGGATGAATTCTCTGAATTTATCCGGAATGGCAGGTTTCAGATGCGGTAATATCAGCCCACAACTGCCGATACAACAGATCCAAAGAGGAAGGAACGGTCAGGGATGTTCTTTTCAGTGTCGGGGAGGCCCAGTCGAACTTGCCAGATAGTAGTAGTCTGTCCAAAATAGGAGGTCATGCAGGTTAGATAAAACTCAGACACGGTGTCTCGTGGAGTCGTGTGTGTGTGTGTGTTGCAGGTTTGGTGGATTGTACTAAAAAAGTTGCTTTTGGCTTTCCCCGGGTTTCCTCCGGACGCTCCTCTTTCCATACCCACCAATCGGGCTTATTTATTCCGCCAATCACAGCCCCAGAATCTTAATATCAAGGAGTTGCCTGGCTGAGTATAGTTTCATTTTAGCATACATATACTATATAAGGGCATGTATGTGAGATATTTATATTATCATAATTCTCTCCAAAAAATGTGGTCGCATTCATTTCAACACAAATCATATGGACAGCCCGATGAATGATTTTGATAACACAACCTGTAATAACTCCCGCATTTTCCTTTTTGTCAAAGAGATATATAAGACAAGAGAAGAAAAGTGATAATCAAGTCAACACACAAAATAAAACGATATATGTATCATCTCACAAAAGCAATTGGGGACCTAACAGCAGCCGTAAAGACCACTGTTTGTGTCATATAATCACCATGGTATCGACTTGCTGGGTATTTGTATGCCTTTTGAAAAACAAGATAAAAACCGAGGCTGTCTATGAGAGACGGCGTCGATCAAAAGAATTCGTGGCTCGTCAGGCGAGTTCATCATATATGTTGTTGTCGAGTCCAATGAAATGTCTGTACAGCTGTCTAACTCTGTCAAAGCTAGAGCAGGCTCTAATTTGCAGAAATGTATAGTCTATGTGTACCATATGTATACGTGGATGGTGTATGTACTATCACAGTATGTCGACGCCGAGTATACTCCGGACAGAACTGTGATCGGCGGAAAATTGGCCGCATTGCGCAGTAACGGGCTTGCGTGACGAGACGAGACGCTGCAGCTACATGATAAAACAAATGCTATGCTGTTTGAGATACAGTCCGCTTGCCCAATGGGGGTGTCACCTCATACTGCCCCGTGTCACAAGACCATGTAGGAACACTAAGGCGGAGAAATGGAAAGACCATTCATCAGTTTCGGTAATGGCTTTCGGCGAGCGTTGTTGGCAGTCTTGGAGACCCGCGGAACTCCTTGAACCATGCGCGGTTCTTTCATGAAAGAGTGATCAAGCTTCGCGGGGGCTATAGAAGAATTAGCAAAGACTGCTGAACACATCACAGTATCTGAACTCACCTCGCTTGATGACTTCTGAATAATCCTCTGATATACCGTTCTGGACCCGACTGGTGGGAGGAAAAGAAGTTGCAGCCGCTGATCTCCACAAATGGTCCGACGTGTTGGAGAGAAAATCGGTAGTCATGCGTCCAGAGAAAATAGAGGTCCGACCACGATTACGTTTCGAGAGAATAATCTCGTCGAATAGCGTAACCTTTGAGTCCTTGACATTCGGTTGGACCCTCTCGCGCTCGCTGATGAACTCATTGAAACCTAAGACTAGTCAGCGCTGTCATAGAAAATAAAATGCAGGGACAAACCTTGTGTTTGCTGAAGACCTGTCATATACTCCGCATGCTCGTGTGGCAGGCTTCGAAGGAAAGCATCCATATTGAAATGGTATGTCAAGCCAGACTTCTTTTGCTCTTTCGTAGCTGGCTGAAGATATTTCTTGTATGTATATAACAAGCTGGCGAAACAACGTACAAACGCCGCGCGAATTTGCTCCGGATGGAACGCAGCAGGACACACCAAGCAGATCAATGGTGTGCATCTGCCATGAACGTGTGTTTTGCATCCAGTACATTTGTACATTTTCTCATCTGCTCGTTCGTCGCAAATTGAACAAATGGCCTTATCGTCACGTGGTTGGACCTGCAGACAATGGCCCTCGATCCAGCATGTGCTATCTGTGTTAAATACAGGCTGAGCAATAGCTTGTGGGACAATAGTAGACGCAGCAATCGTAGAGGTGGCATAAACCGAGGGCGCATATGTCGATCCAGCCCCGTAGTCAGTATTCAGCGTTGTCACCGACAGATTCGAAGCATGGCCCAAGAATGGTGCACTTGGGCGCCGCGGTACGCCTCTCCTTTCTGTGCCAAAAGATGAGCTTCTACGAGAGGACGAATCAAAGTGACCAGATCTTTTCTCTCTCAACGAAGCCTGTAATGCCATACCCGAGTCATTGCGAGATACGGGAGTTCCTGGTATGGGCGGAGGGAAGAATCCCGAAGTTGGCGAGCTGGTCCTGGGTGATGGTGGGGATCCCGTTTTTGAGGTGGAACTCGTGGTTGGACGTTCGTTGTTGCCTCTTGATAAGCCCCGTGAGCTGGGATGTTCATCTCGAGCGTGCAAAAAGACGTTGTATATCGGTGAGGGCGCAGGTGTTGGGCTATATTCGTTTCCAAAAGACGTTGAGTTGAGGCTGACATAACGAGCCAGTTGCGTAGACTGTGCTCGTGGAGTAAAGATGGATGAGTTTTCGGTAGGGAAAGAGTCAAAAGGATAAGCCTCGATAGCATAAGACGGAGGGCCAGGCTGGACGCCGTATCTGCTATGATGTGGTGCAGCCAGTTGGAGGAGGGACAAAAGTTTCTTCCGTTGATGACGCGGTAGTGGTGTGGGTTGGACGTCGCTTTCGATCTTGTCGGCATCAAGATCCACCAAAACAAAATCTTCAGAGGGCAGTTCCACCTTCTCGTACCGTCTCTCGATCCCTACAATATATGGACATGGCGCCTCTAATGCTTGGATAAGACGAGCTGGTAACACTGGAATTAAAACTCCGGACCATGTGAAGGGAAATAAAAGATCAATCAGAGCTCGTGTCGCCAAATATAGCATAGATGTATGAGATGACAGAAAGATGATGCGGGATTCCGATAAGGCGTACTACTCAATTAGCGCTGATTTGTTTAATGGCGGCACGGAAACTTACCTCGAAAAGAACAATAATATTAGATATCGACAAGGAACGGAATAGGGCGTACAAATCGGTCTGCTTTGATGAGTCAAATATTTTCGATAAGGGTGAGGTTGAACCTACATTGCGAGAGCCCGGGAGCTCATTTGGCGCTTCTTTCCTGGCAAACAGCCGCAACTCTCTTACCGACAGCTCGACTTGGGTTTTGGAAGATATCGGACTAAAAGCCTCGGTGCAAAGATTCATGACGTATCGTTCCAGTGGTTGCCAGATACCGACAGTAGGCGAGCTGGCCGGGACTCTCAATACGCCTCCATTGGTTCTAGGAACAGACACAGCTTTGAGCCACTCTTTCCAGAAGGTAGTCATGGATGCATTCTTGCCCAGAATACCATAAGCTCGAGGAATCCAGAAACCTGTATCGTCGGTAAGGCCCTCGATCTTGGATGCTGCGCCGTGTCGCACCGGTCGAAGCAGATCTGTCATTAATCCAATCTTCTCCTCAACCGCACTGATGTCATCTTCGAGTTTCTCGCGTTCTGGGGATCCAGAAGGTACACCGGGAAGCTGAGCTAACAACGTGGATAGTTTAGCCCGTTCAACAGCCAACCGACCGCCCAGACTAGCTGCCAATTCTCGTTCCTCATCGGTCATGTTATCTTTTCGCCATTCCTCGCAGCACTCTTCGAGCGCCTCTGCTGCTTTTTGACCCAGCGGAATCCACAAAATAACGCACACGCCGTGTAACTTGCTGCCGTCGCCTCCCGTCATTACAAAGCCATGCCATGTCGACCTTGGTTTCTGATCCGAGGAAACAATGTTGATATCGTTGGGAAACGCAAACATCGGCACAAAGTCGGGAAACGTGCCGCGCTGCGCATGCTCATCCGGCATTCCTTTTTGTGGATATCTGTCCAAAAGCACCGGCTCGAATCTTCGTTTCAGAGGGTGCATTGCCGGAGAGGTATCTATCGGCTGAGGAACGGGTATCACGGAGTTGTAGTTGCTCAATCGTCGGGATGTACGGACAGATGCTGGTACAGTTAGCAGCTTCGACAACTTTTTCAGGTGTTACACTTACCCTGTCGTGCAACCGACGGCTGTCTTCTCATGCTATTCATATCTCTGAAAGACATGTGTCGGCGCACACTGCCAATGCCTGATTTCAAGGGATTCGAAGACACCGGCCTGTCCTCCGAAACAATCTTTTGCACTTTGGGGCGAGGTTTGGGCGGTTTGACGTTAGGCGTGATAGCGCCAGCACTCAGACTCAAATCGGACAAGAAAGATTCTCTCTCTGAAGCAAACTTGAGTAGAGCCTTGTCGAAATCAAAGTCGCCCAGGCTTGTTTCGGAATTCTCAAGAGTCACTGTCGGTGTCGCGCGAATAGTCATACTGCTTCGATTGCTGTTCGTACCGGAGACCCTGGAGTCCACTGATCGAATGGACATACGGGCATCGTTGGATAGCCTCGACAGTCGATTATACGAATTCCTCTTCACACCACCGCCGACATTGTTCGTAGTGGTGCTGGCATCTTCTTCCAGTTCGGTGTCTTCCTCAATGGTGTCAGATACGGCCGGGCCCGGTGTACTTTCTCTGTTGGACATATAATCATTGCGTAGTTTCCAGTAAGTGTCTTCAATTTCCTTGCCGTCCACACCAGCAATCCAAAAGAAGTCGGCGAGCGGGCCGGACGATTCCACTGGGGTGTTGGTCGCTAGAGGCATTTTTCCGGCGGGAGGTGATATCGCCGGCGTGCGATCATTTGCTTGTCAGCCGGACAGAAGCTGGAGGTTGCTGGCAACCTCCGAAGCGATCGAGTGTAACAATCTGTGTTTTATGGAGCTGAGTGTGGGTCAGTATGAGAATAGCGATGCTCAGTATAGAACCACTGGTATGGTGTATGCGATGATTGTGATGTAGATTCAATTGGCGATCAGGAGTCGAATCTTCCCATGAACGTGTCCACGGCAAGCTGTCATCAACGAATCGATCCTTCACTGTTTGCTTGATAAAGCGAAAAGAGAGACATTCGGCGGGAGGGGGGTGGGCCGGAAAGAGTTGTTGCGGGGGGAAATTTGGGACAAAAGAAAGACAGGAAAAGTCATGACGAACCAGTATTCTGTTGTCGGTCTCTCCGGTAATCTGTTCCAGATAGTAATAATAACGACGAACGGTGGTATGACGAGCAGGTATAATAACTCCGGGGTGGTAGAAGAATGAAACTTGAGACTTGAAAAGTAACGGCCTTGACCGAGGAGGCGGTGGTGTGGTATCGCTGGCTGGCTCTTGCCGTCCGTAAGAGAAAMCCGAGCCACTAGACTCAGTTACATACTATGTAGTACAGCGTAGGTAATCCACAGGGGTTCATAGCGCCGCCCGCGCATGCAGGAACTCTTCCCCTTTTTCCTCTTCACGTTCCTCTGTAAGCCTCGACCCTTGTTGATTTCTGTTCAGCATTGCTTCTCATTTTACGCTTGTTACGCTCTACGTACTGATAACTATGATCCGCGATATGATCAACTGACTATTGACTATCATCTTTGATGACTGAAAATAAAATACTTAGCAGGCCAATTAATTGCCTCGATCTGTTATCGTAATACGATACGTACACGGCAGCTTTCTGAGGCCCGAGTGGAGAAACGTCGCATACACAGATGTCTACTGTGTACATAGACCATCCCTACTTTCAAATGCAACTATTTCAGTATTCACGGTAATACTTGCTCAGGCAGTAAACAGCGTAACTCTTACGAGTCAGTTGCTTTTGGACCAGGCTAGAACGAGGCTTGATGCGTGCCATTTTACCAAGTTACGTGTAGCATTCGTAAGTCGGTACCATAATACGCACATTTACACTGGAAGACAGCTCAGCGGCGGAGTAGATACGGGTATGGTACGTGTTTCAAAGATAGCGATAACAGCTCCACGCCGCTTCCGGCAAGGATCGTCTATCACAGCCACCAATCAGGAGCGACACCAGCTGCCGTTTGCGGTAAGTGCACTGACTCAAGACGAACTGCTCTCGTTGTGGCTAGAGTGATGATTCACCTTAGCCCTGTTTGGGTGTGCTACTATGTAGCAGTCGCAAGTGATTCGTCAGGTCTCTTCGCTTACCTTGCAAGGTGCAAGTCGTCTCGGATAGATGATGGAACTCTTCACTTGGCAGAGATTATACATAGTAGAGCACAATGTACGAGAAGGATTCTTTGATCTACTTAGTGGTAATGATATGCGGAGTACATTTCCGAATGGAGCCTGTCTACATAGTACGATGATCGGGAGATTCGATGCAGATCTTGCCAGATTACTCACCTATTGGTGAATGACATCGCTTAGAATTGAGGGTCTGATATTTCGACAATTTCGTACATGATGTACATGGGGATGGAGAATAGGGGAACCAGCGCCAAGGCAATTGGGTCGTGGCAAGGCCCGCTGCATAATCCGGTCTGCCCAGACGTTACACATCAAATACTATGTAAGTACATCGAATATCAAAAGTTCAACGTCGAGCTTGCCATGCTTATCCACTCACGGAGGTTGAACCAGTGTTGGTTGGTCTAAGCACTAATAGTAGTTACTATGTAAGCTTAGGGCTGACAGCAGTGATAACAAACTTCAAGCCAAAGCTTTGTGGGTCGCACGAGTTCAGCTCTATGTATATAGACAGCCTGGCAAACATAAAAACCCACAGACTCTCTCATATACTACTAATTATATATGTACAATCTACAGACAAAGCCCTTGTGCTAATAGCTGCAAGTATATACGTAAGTTTTTACCTCCAGTGACCACTCACATGTGCAACCCCAAGCTAACAGCTACATCCTCAACCAGAAAATGCTCGGCCTCATTTCCAAATACACCCTGGTCAGCATCGTCTACCTTGGCGCCTTCAGCCGCTTCACCCACGGCCGCTACACGCCCTCCTTCTACCGCTACCAACTCGACCGCGCCCCCAACGACGCCTCAACACGTATCATCCCCGTCTTTGACACGATATTCGCTACTTTGGTGCTCTTTCCCGCAACAAGGGCCTGGACGGCGATGGTGTGTGGCTTGATTCAGGGTGGTGCGATTGTGCCGCGGGTCAGGCAGGGGAAGTCTGTGGCAGGGGATGTAGGGCTGTTCCTGACCACGGTTGTGGTGGCGTGGACTTCGTGGTATGGTGTTCCTTAGGCCCCCATGGATAATGGAGGTTGTTGTATAAAGTGTGAATATTATTCGTCTCAGCAAGTAGGACAATCATGGCCATCATTGGATCCGCCGTTTACATACATACCGATCGGTGAAACTAACTGTGTCATCGGTCATGGAGACTATATGACTGTACTTGGTATGTCGATAGTCATGTCATTTAAAGTTGTTGACAACTGTGATTTGTGGGCCACTTGAGCTTCGGTCGGGTTAAGCCGAGCCAATCACTGCCAATACTGCCATAAAACAACTTGTACATAGTAGTTAGCACGCGGGATATGTGAATGTGGTAAGAGATGTAACGAGTCGATCTATTTCCACCCTTTACGCCTCGCAATGATATTTTTGAATGTCAAAGGCAAACTAGTTTCCCCTATATGCGATAAGGTCGCCTCATTCAAGAACGAAGCCATCACAGACCTCTACCGCTTCTTAGTCAACAAATTCCCCGTCGTCAAAAACCCTCTATCCCCCATCGCGCTCCGCCACTCAATCGAAAGCTGTCCCAACGTCGCCCTTCCATCCTTCTTTAGGTCTTTGAGTAACGTATCCATTCCATCCTGTTGACCGACTTCCTGCTCGACCAGGAACGCGACTTGTAGAATATCGCGAGGGTTCATGGTTGGTTGTTGCGCATTTTCATTTTCATTTTCGGGAAGTTGTTGGACGTCCCAGTTGAGACTTGTGGATTTGAAGGGTGGCTTTGGGTTCAGGTTCGTTTTCTGTACAATCATTAGTGCCTGAAACACCACACTATTTTGCTTGGTTAACGCACCTCGATAACAACCGTTCCATCACCCACATTCTCCAACTGCGCTTCCAGCGCAAACCTCAACAGCCGTGTCTTCCCATACGGCCCTAGAGACTTATTATCTACTTCCGCAGGCGTCAACTCCGATGCCTTCGTGCGCACACTCAGACACGGCTGCGCAATGAACTGATACAACTTGCGAAACGTCCTGACCCTACCACCGCTCGCCGCATGCGTCGTCGCCAGGCCGTCGTGCGTATCGGCTAGTAGAGTCTCGGTGTAACTGACGCTGACAGCCAGGACGTGATTCCCTTCCTCTTTGAGATCAAACCGGACAATTTTTTGCAGCGACTGGCCGTAGTCTAATCCCTCTCCTGCAGACTTGATCATGTTGTCGTCATCTGACTCGGCTGGTTTTAGATCTAGAGGGAATACTTGAGACGGGGTCTGCATCTCGGCCAGGATACGCACAGAGGTTACTCTTTTCGTGCTGTCTGTCGTCGGCAGTTCGTTGTTGGCGCATAGCGAACAGGCGAATGTTTCGCCTACATAGGCAGACCCAAAAGCTGGTGGGAGCGTGACCTATCCATGTCAGAAGTCTCCAAAAGCCCATGATCAGAATAGAGCAAATGACATACGTTCGGACTAAGAATGAAATGAGGATCAAACTCGTTGGTGGGATAAGCCAGCGATGCTTTGGGGGATATCCTCGTGTCTTCTCGTGCGAGCGGGTATTGATATGATAGTGAAGGGCGCGATAGTCTGATAGACATGAGACTAGTCATTCTCATACATTGAAAGGTGAACTCACCGTAGAACTGCGAATGGTCAGTCTATTGTACGGTATGCTTTGTAGCTCCATTTGAAATGCTTACCTTTTAGAGATACGGAATGAGGTTCCTTGGGTCCATCGGCTCCGGAATGAGCACGGGGTCGTGCCATTTTATCGGTATCTATAGGCAGTGTATGCAGGTCTAGGTATTAAGCATATAACATTCGATAGTATCTTAAATGTAATGTAGAAATATGCAATTTGTTGACGTTAGTTCGGATTGTTTAAGCTAGTCAGCTATTTTACGGGGGAAGGACTAGTGGGGTCCACTTATCCTAGGCTCATGACGTTCTATGGCTGTTATCGCTTTGATAACATAGTACATAATATACAACAAAATTGAGATGTTATGAAATGACTGAGCGTAATTGAGATGAAATCTTTGAATCAAACTAAACTGGATATCATCGCTAAACCGACTCGCCTCCGGTCCAACGCCTTCCAAGCCACCCAAACACCAACCGAAATAAAACCCAAGTTAAAAATGTAGACCCTCAAAATTCATCCTCTTAGTCATCTTCATCTTAGAACGAACGACCACCTCTACGCTGCCGTCCCAAATGACGATTAACCCAAAATCTGTGATAAGTCGAATAGTCGCGATTGCCAGATAAGCCAACCGCACCCGCGACATTCATATAGCCGTCTGCACCCTTGCGCGCCGTGCCCAGGAGCGATGTCCTGTCAAGTGGCGCATCTGCGTCCGCAGGCCAGTCCGTCCGACTAGATAACAAATCAGTACTTGATTCCAGACCAGAAAAGCATAAAGCAAGACTCACCATAAAACACAGCGAACCCCCTGGTTGCGTGTAGTAGCAACCCATTGATCGAAACAGGTCTTGTGAATGTTGTTTCCGCATCCGACCTTGCACCAGACGATTTTCTCCTTGAGAGGTTCGAATTCCATGAAACAAATTGGACAGTCGCCCTCGATTGGTTTGCGTTTTCCTGAGGTGTCGCTGTCGCTGTCCTTGTCTGCGTGCGCTTCTTCGGTTTCGATGGGAGCGTTTTCGAACAATTCGCGTAGTTCCTATTATGATCGTAAATAATTAGATTCGTTTTTGGTTGGTGGTGCTCAAAAAACTTACAGTAGAGAGAAACGCCAGTTGGTACCTGAGGTCATCACGAGCTTTGAGTACGTTGACAAGAACCTGAAAAGTCAGTAATCAAAACCTAGACTTCAGAGAATAAAAAGACATACATAGACGATATGCTTGCACTGATTCCCCTTCCTTGCGTCGGGGCATGTGCACGACGGCTCATACGAAACAGTCACTGTGTAAATATTCCCCGTTGTGCCCACAATGTCCACGTTTTCTTCAGTAATGTCTCCATTCTCGGAACGACGGCGAGAAATCACAAACATCCTATATCTACATTAGTCAAACCCTTGGGCATGCCAGAATCTTGACAAGAATACCGTTGTGTAGTCGCACGATGCAATTTCTCCAAATACGACCGCGGCGGCCCAGACCTAAACTTTCTTCGCCGTTTTTCGACATTGTACTGACTCGACTGGCTTGAGCGAGGAGTCTTCGGTGATTTCTTTGCCTTGGCACTGGGTGAAATCGGTGGCAGAGTGTAAGGCTCAGGCGAATCGCGCGTTAGATCGATTACTTCGCTCCCGTAGGTATTCTGTGGTGTGTATGTAGACGTTGGTTGTAGCGTGCGCCGCTTTTTGGGGCTGTTGTCATGCCCATCTTCGAGGAAGCGTTTTCTTGCGCGATACGGACTTGGAGTGAACGGAGGCATGATTGCGACGATGCGCTGTTTTGTTGGTAATGAGTGTACTTGCGCGCGATCGTGTTGTTAGAGGATTGCTGTACCGTTGGCAGGGAAGTGGCAATTGTAGATTCAGGGACAACCCCGCCATCTATCAGAATAATCACTTGACAGTCGGTAATTGATGGATACTTCCGACCAGGAATCGACAAACGGACATTTACGGAGAATTGAGGTTGGACGTGAACAAAGGGAAATAATTTGAGTGTTAGAAATGACACTAGCTTGTCATGACTATCTTATCGCGGACCCGACGAATCATAGCCCGGCATCAATTGATACATCATATATCTAGTGGATATATTCGACATGAAATGTGATTCCTCCTTTTCATGTTTGAAAGATACAGGGTATGGAATTGCCAACACGAAAATAACCAAAACCTTAATTGGCCATAATCAGCCATATCAACACCATGCACCAGTCCAATCGCTAAAAAATGATAGAAAGAGCAAGAAACCATAAGCGCATAATTTTGATCATCTCGAAGCAAGTTCAACTCTTTTCCCCAGTCGTACTATAGCTGAACTCACGCCTTCCTCGCCGGTCATCCACGAAGGCATGCGAATAGGATCTACGACCCCTAATTCTGCCAGTTTGCGAAACCCCGCGACGACATTATTCCCCGCGAAAGAAAGTGACATGGTGTACTGACCGTCGCCAGCATCAGAATCCTCATCATTGACATGATCCTCGTCATCGCCTGGCCGGTCCAAAAGACGAATGTCCAAGCGGTTGAGCAGTGCTTGAGAAGACGATGTTCCCGATGTGCCGAATCGAGATAGCACGGCCAATTTACGTCTTTTTGTTGCAGGCGATGCTGCCATTGCGTTTGTATCACTCCCCTTTCGTTTCGTGTTTTGCTGATCCGATGGTGCATTCTCCTTATCCTCACTGGCGAGAAACTCCTCCGGAGCTACTGTCGCAGCCTGTCGCGGATCAATCGGCGTACCTTCAAGAACCGCATCGGCAAAAATGCTAAACGCGCCATTGGCCTCGTTTGCTTTGCCCGCTCCGCGCAGTGCGAGCATCGTTTCGAGGCTTTTGGCTGTTAATGCAGTTGCTTCTAGTTTATATCGCTCGTTGGGTTTTGATAGAGCTTTTGGGAGGGCGTCTCTGACTATGCCTCGTAGCGCTCGAGGGTCGTTTGTAAGAGGGGCTGTGGATGGACCGGTTTTGGCGCTTGTAGGGGCTGACATAGATGTGTATACGTAGGGGCTGCTGTCGGGGAACGCAATGTATAGGGTTCTTGCAGAATCCAAATATGTCCCTGCGCTATGTCGGGGCTGATTATATGGCGAATCGGTAATGAAGATTCGTAAATAAATCAGTGGGTAAGCTTTTGATCGAGCTAGATGATAATGCGCCTTGACCAGGGGCGCAATTTCTCGTTGAAGATTCGACAAGAAAGTCGCAGCATGTAGTCGCGGAAGACAGGCAAGTAGATCACCATCTTCTTCTTTGTCAGGCTGTTGCGTCTTGTCGACCAGCCCAAGACGAAACGCAGACCACGTCTGCCCTTTGGGATGATCTTCTAAGTATTGTATGTCGACCATTGCTAATTGACCAAGAGTTATTCCATGTCGCCAGTCGCCTTCCAACACCCGGTCGATAACTTCTCTCTTCCCGCCTTTTCGTAGTCCGAACTCCGCGTATGCCTCACGAATCTCTTCGACACTATCGGCCGCTGCGTAAGGCGATTCGTCTTGGTCGGGAACGTCATTACCGGTTGAGCTCTGACTGAGGAAAGGGGGATATAATTCGACATTCTTGGGAGAGAGCCAGATGACAATAAGGTCTAGGAGCGACTGTCGTGATAACCTGCCGAGAGCTTTCACCAATGACGGTGTGTTGCTTGAGATGCGGAGATTGCTCGGTAGACTGGACGTGGTGGGAGCACGAATTGAACGTTTCTTTGCCATGTCGGTGGCAATTATAGGTTCTTTATCCCGCTTCTAGATCCCTGAGAACCATTTTCAGTCGTGTTTTGTGTTGGTTAGTCGCCGTCGCTGATGTTTGAGGTGCCATCAACACTCCAAAGTACAAACAAAGCTCACCCGCGACGCGCTATGCCAAGATTCGATAAGCATTGTGTCACGTGGCGATAAGGTCACGAACGTCAAAAGTTCCGCTAGGAAAATGTCGGAAATGTTGTTCTTCAAAATGACTGATTGATAATCAATGAGGGGAAGTTGAGACTACTCGTAGTGCTAGCTGCTATGTATGTAATGGCGCACAGTTCGCAGCTTATTTGATCATGAAACGAATAAAGAATGACCTTCTCGAGTACGTACTAAGTATGGCAAGCTGATTTACAGCTTCACCTTTACCCCTCAACGGACGGCAGAGCTCCTGCATACACTGTATATTGCTTCTGCGCAATGTATGCTTAATGGGTTGCGACCAAGTGCTCCTCGATTGCGCCATCATTCGCTCAGCCCGAGGGGCGCTCTGCTGCGTCTCATTCGGCCGTCTGCAGGCCCACGTGGAGAGGCGGTTGCTGGCACTAGGCCGTTTTCCAGCTAGTGCCGCGCGACAGGGAAAAACCTTCTCGTTCAGGCCTAGCCCGATGATTACTCAATCCAGAATTACTACGTCGTATTAGTAACCGGCAGCCAAATGCAGCAGCCGATCTTCGGCGGCGTTGCCTTATTGCCTGAGGACAGCGCGGTTGCCGATGAGCAGCGGCCGATGTCATGGGTGGCAATAACCTGCTCGTAATTTCCCAGCGTCGAGGATATGGAGCTGGCCATCGGGATGACTCGCAAATGACATGCCTACCGTCAACAGAGGCGTAAACACTCGTCCCCCTCGACAATTGTCATGTTACATACACATACATATAGTAGGAATACTGCTGAATTGAAGATGTAAAGACGTGCTCGCGGCAAGGTCGCTTCGGAAAATGCACGGACAGGTTTACTATACAGTACCCTTCGCGATCTTATAGCCACACAGCCAATCACACTCTGCCTCCACCAGATTTCGTGCTTTGTCATAGGGAATTACTACATCGGTACATTGCGCGGAAACCGCCGGCCAATCTGCGCGCAGACCAAGGGCAGCTTCCCCACTGGGCTCTTTCCGCATTACGGATCTCTGGCCGATGAACGTGAAGGATTTTTTTGCTTTTCCCGCCCGCACCACTTCTTCCAACTTGTGACTCTGGCACTCTCTCCACTTCACATCTACACTCTTCAAACAGAGGACAACTTGACATTCGACCTGATTGATACTCAGGCTACGAGACACGATCTCCATTCACGATACTACGACCTCACGTCTGCACTGCGACCGTCTGGTTTCCCGCTTTGCAGTCATTCTAGGAGGGGTTCCGTTCCCGATCCGGCCACTGTCTGTCGTTACCCGACTTCAACACCTCTCGATTGCCCGAATACACTTGAACGAGGAGGATAGAAAAGTATTTACATTGAAGATATATCATCATGTCGAATTACGGGGGCCGCCGAGCGCCCAACTTCGCTCAATATCTCGAGGACCTTAACACCATCCCATCGCCATATGACCAATCCGCACAACAGCAACGATCCACCGAGCCCTTCAACCTCGATGCCGAGTTGGCGCTCTTCACAAACACCGAGTTCTTGGACTTTGGTCACTTTGGCGATATGAACATGCCGCTGGGATTCAGTCCCGCGGAAGAGGAACACAAGCCACAGGAAGAGAAGCATGTGGTGGAAAAACACCTCGATATGAATTATATGGATATGTTGAATGGTAAGACTGAACATTCGGGTGTGAAAGGGAAGAATATCAGGTCTGACAACGACGCAATAGACCTGGGTACTATTCCCGATTACACTACAACCTTTACCTCTGCGGAGGAGTCGCGCAACCTCCAACAAATGAACTCGACTTTCCACTCTATACCCGCTGTGCAAGATACCACCGCCCGCCCAGCTGAAAAGACCAACACTCGCGTACCCAAGACCGAAATCCCATCCCCAACCGACATCTCCGCCTTCGTCTCAACCCCCATGCAAGTCGCAGGCACAAAACGCAAGCAATCCACCGACGCCAAGAGCCTCGACGAATCCGCCCGCGCCGCTGCAGAGGAAGACAAACGCCGCCGCAACACAGCCGCCAGCGCACGATTTCGCGTGAAGAAGAAGCAGCGCGAACAAGCGCTCGAAAAATCCGTCAAGGAAGCAAGCGAGAAGAACGCCGTGCTGGAAGCACGCGTCTCGCAACTCGAACTCGAAAATCAGTGGTTGAAGAACCTCATCACAGAGAAAAATGGCTCCGAGTCCGGCGAGGGCAAACAACGCAGCGAAACCGATATTGCACACATGTTCAAGAACTTTCTCGCCAGCCACAAGGCCGGTAAAGAGCAATCTTCCGAGTCCAAGATTGGCGTTGGCACTGCCTAAGCCAGCAAGCAAATAAAATAAAAAGATGAAAACCACACAAAAAAAGAAATAATGCAATAGAACAATACAGGATATGATAAACCTGTCCGACGAGTTATACGTGCATCTTTTCGAATTCTCATGTCAACCTTATGCTTTTCAATGTCTATAATTTTTGATACTCAGCTCTTACGTTTTTTGATGTGACGTGGTGATTACCTATTATTCGTTATACCAGGGGATTTTCATGGTAACGGACGGCGGTGTTGTGATCTGTACTTTCTTCTATAATGTTAGAATCATGGGAAATGAAAATGATGCATTTCTTGACTGGTATTTCAAGATGATGGTGGAACATTTGAACGTAATATAATATACATGGTGGTTATCATAGCAGTAAAAGCAGTCATTCGTCTTGTCTTGGTTTGAGCGATATCAAAATAAGGAAAACAGAAGTGTTATGCGTGTGTGGTCATTGGAATCGGGCAAAATGGGGTATGATGTTAATAGATTATTGCTTGTCTTCGTCAACTGAAGGTCCCGGGTCACCGTTCGCATGACTATTCTCTTGCTTCGATTCTTCGGTTTCTCCGCCTTGATGGGTACCCTCTTCGCCTTCCCCTTCACCCTCGCCGGAAATCTCGCCCCATCCCGAGCTTCGACGACTTATCCGACCTGGTAATGGGACAGATGTGATTCCCGCGTTCGCCGCAGCGGAGGTACTATTGTTCAAGGTACTCCCTATCGTACCCGCGACACTACCAGCTGCGCTGTCGTTGCGGGTATGCGAGTGCGTACCGCTGCGCACACTGCCATTATCACCCTGCTTGCTAGCGATCAGACTACTCCTATCACCACCATGGACAAGCGGCGGCACAGTCCCCGATGCAGAGTAGACGCTAATCCGTTCCGCGCTTGCCAGACCGCCCAGACTCTGTCGACTCAGTACACCGGACGCATTGGTTATAGATGCGTTGGATGCATCGACCCCAACATTAGCGCTCAGCACGCTCAGGGGCAGACTTTCGCGACTACCCCCAAACACCGACGAAGGTGCTAATGCGCGCACGGAGGCATTGGTGTCGAGCGAATTTCTGCGTCGACGTTTCGAGGATGATGCGAGTGTGAGTATGGAAGCGTTGTCGGTTAATATGTTGTTTGCTGTTGCGGAGCTGTATGTTGTCGGATGCCCCGCGAGATGTGGTGGAACAGCAGACGCGGGAGAAGGCGGGAATTGGTAAGAGTATTGATTTTGTTGATTCAAATTATTCTGTGCTGCTGCACTCGTGGGTCCGTTGGCGGTTTGATTGTTTTGTGTGACGCCGTATATGTGCGCAGAAGGCGCTGCGGATTGTACGGTTGTCAATGTCGTCGTCAACGAACGCACCGACGGCGCTGGTGATGAGAATGTGCTCCCTTCTCCGCCGCCATACACTCCTCCATTCCCTGTCACCGTAGTCCCGGCTTTCGAGTACCCAGCTTCAGATCGCGCAGTGTCACCATTCGTAGATAGCGTCGGGGCAGTCGACTTGGCGCTGTTACCTGGGATATTCGCTTCGGACGTAGAAGCTTGTAGCGATTGCTGGCTCGCCCTTTGATGATGCTGACCTGGATCAGTCGATTCAGTATAAGACACAGTATCGTTATAACTCCGGAGCGACCCAATATCGCGAATGGTGCCTGACAAGGGGTATGGATTGTTCTGTGCGCCGCCATTCGGTCGTTTGTCATTCTTGACATTATTGTTACGTTTTCCAGATGCTCTGCTGCCGGACTGTGAGTCTGACGATGATGAGCTTTTGAGATTGGTCAATCGTTTCATCCATGTCGAGAATGGTCTTCGACGACTGTGTCGGTCTAGACACACGGCGCGCATTGTGAGCTGATTGTTCGTTAAGACGCAATGACGTTGAACACATACCGTGAGGAGGATTTGAGGTTTCTGCCATGGCCATGTTGTAGTGGGATGGTCGTACAAATATCTTGCTGCTAACACAGCCCTCTCGCAGTTCTCAGGGTCAAAGTTGTGGAAGGGTTGACAGAGTAGAGGGGTGTCGTATTCGCTGGCGGTAAGACAGGCGCTTTTAGAATACCCTCTTTTGTCTAACCAGATAAACAACGTGTCGGAGTGATCCGTAACAATTGGGTAGAGTATCTATGTTCGTCAAAGAAAAATGTAACTCTATGCAGAGGATATTGAGCAATCGATGAGTGTAGGGAGCTACCAGTGAATTAATTAATTACGGGGCCTACATGTGTTGCAGGACGGCTTATCACGTGACTTTTGTTATATTAACAGCGCCAGACCGAGGCCCAAAATATATACTCTTTGTGGATTCTTCTACAACTCCCCTTAATTGGATTTATGACGATTACATTCTAGGAGCCTAGAAAGCTTGACGATCATAGCATCACCAGGTTAACATTGACTATTTAGATAATTTCATGGATCGATCTCATCTGAGTTCCCCTTGAATTCAAAACAATAACTAAACATGGACCTCTGTCACAACAGCAGTCTGCGTGTCCAGCACAAATCCAAAAACTTCAATGCCATCAAGACTCTTATCCTCTCTGAGCTTGCGGACGTCTTTTTTGACAGACTCCTCGAGTTGCTCCTCTTTCCAAAGGTCAAAGTCAATATTGTCTACGATTGCTGCTGCTTCAGGATTCTTCGACTTTGAGTATTCGCGGATCTCTTCTTCGGTAACATGGGTCATACCGCAATCTGATTGACGATACAAGTTAGCAAAGTGCCATACTGGACAATGTAAGACTTATTCTTACCCGTGTGATGAACAACAACCACGGTATCCATCTTGACCAAAGCACGCAAGGCATTCAACGTCCGCACCACGTCGGCTGTTGCTCGACCTCCCGCGTTTCGATGGACGGCTGCCCGTAGGTCTGGCCCAAAGAAGGCTTCAGGGACACATCGGGGGTCGACACAGGTGACTGAGCCGGACTTAGTAAGCATGTCCCCGAGGGAGGAGAATCAACTCACGGATGAAGAGCGGTCCATTTCCTACTAAGCCAGACCGCATCTGTTCCATTGTTGGAGCGCCGGTGAAAGAAGATGCAAATTTCTCATTGCTGGCTAGGAGGCGTGAGACTTTTTCCCCAGAAGTAGACATGTTGAAGACGTAGTGCTTGGCTGAAAGGAAGTATCGAAAATAGTCTGATGTAGGAGCTTGTGCTTGCTTGAAACTTTCAACAGAGAAGCCCTCGAAGGCTCCACAACTCCCTATTTATGCATACCAGAACACCAACGCTTTGAAGATTGCAATTTAGATTAGTAGGCTTGCATGTTTGCAAACATTATTAGTCGGGCTGATGAGTAATTATTGCCAGGCTTTGCATCTTGAAGTCATGGAACACGCTCGGTGCAACTAATCAATAATTATGTCGTTATCCATCTGCATCCTGTGCTACCGCAGATGCATTGTCTACCGCATCCGAATGCTGCTGGTCGTACAAGCATTATATCTTCCCTGAGAGATCACTGGCTGACTCACTAACAGTCAAATGTCAAGGCAATATAACTTTTTACGACAAATCGGATTACAAAGTCAACGCTTAGTGACGTCCACGATTCGCGGCCCGACTGTCCCCCCGTTTCTCTATGAATAATTTAGATTACTTAACAGCACATCAAGGCATCGATATACTTGGTAAAACCGGGTTAACAATTGGCCCGAATTTGTTTTTGATTACTCAAAGTCACATTCGCGTACAAGTATCGATGAGACAGGGAGCAGGCGATGAATTGATTGGAAATGTAGATATATGGGCGTCTCCGGTTTACGGCTCTGCGCATTAGCTTTCGCCAACATTATTTGCGGTTCATCAATACAGCTACAAACAGACCAGCCATGACTATTAATTAAATAACCTATACCAGAATTATTTGCTGCAGACTCCGACAATGGAGTTGACTCAAGAAGCAGTTAGGAGTGATTTCATCATCACTTAGGATTCGCTAGCCATCAAGCTGCTATACCTATCCTCATACCTTGATACTTCCATTTCTTTACGTCTTCACATGGCTTTACAAGTAAAGCACATGCATTTTCAACAAGGATATGCAACACCGATGCCTGACTCCCAGTTTTAATCCATGGAATAAGCTACTTTTACCTCGCCTCCTATCATTGAAGGCAAATTCGTCCATACAACATGGCTCAGAAAGTTGATGGCCTTAATTTCGACATCCCCGTCGACAAATCAGTCGTCACCCAGACTTGCATACCAGCATTCAACACCGAATCTATCTTGGATACCGCCTCGATAATACGGGCAAACCCGGCGATTTCCCATGAACACGCAGAAGGATCGGTGAAATTCGGATACGCGAAGAAGCACGAAAATTATATGGTACTGCAACAGCATGTAATGTTCTGGAATCGTGACATGGATGGTCACATATGGCTTTTAGATAACTTATCGTGGTTTCCGAGAGCTGGGGTTTAACATCTTGTTCTCGTTGCTCACTTTATTCATCATTCAAATCAAATATTTGTATCTTCCGAGGTTGGGTTTGTCATACTTTCCTGATCCGTTCTTTCGGGTTTCTGTTCGAGATAGCCACAAGGATAAGGTTGGTAGCATGGGTCTCCTCCGAAACCTGTTCCGCATCATGAGAAACTGATACAAGGTCATTGTACAGCGCCTTGCAAGTGCGGCTTTACATGGTTTGCAACTCTTCGACTCTTTCTCAGCGCCACTTCCGCTGTCTAATCTATATTAGGTTTAGTTTGTTATAAAGGTTATTTACGACAGGTATTGAACATACAAGTACGGAGCCAGCTGTAACATACATTCCTGCACAACCGTTGTTCGCCACTGTTGCTCGCGGCTTAGGTAATTTATTACTGCCATAAGTTAACTTAGCTATCATACGTAACGAAGTGGCTGGCTCTTAATGTGAGAATATCGCCACGCTCATGGCACAGCCTGCAAACTTCGCGTGGCAACATCGTGAACTATAAAGGAAACACTAATCCCAGGCCCTCCATTTACAAAAAGACTAGAAAATAGAGTAGGAAGACAGAGGCTAAGAAACTTAACTATCACTATGACAGTTACAAGGTTGACCACACTAATTTAACCTGAGGAATGTCAAGCCACCTGAGCTATGACCTAGAACCGTTGTGTTGTCACGGGTAAGCACATCTGTCGCCCGATACTGTAGTGGAAGCCAGATCAAGCGTTGCCCGTTGCGACTTATCCATTTCTCAACTACATATATTTCGTTTCTAAAGGAGTGTCGGCCTTTACGATTCGAGGAAAGTGAGCCATGATCAAAGTTCAGAGAACAGCCGTCAGCTGAGAATGACAGGGTCATTGGTATTGTATCAAGGTCATGTGTTTCTGTCACAGCACCTGTGGCTGTATCCCAGAGCCGGATGGTCTTATCCTTGGAAGCAGACGCGACTATCTGCCCATCAGGTGAGAAGGCCACTGCATTGACCCTGTCTGTATGGCCCTGCAGCGTCTGCTTCACAGCACCCGTGGCTGTATCCCAGAGCCGGATGGTGTTATACCACTTGGAAGCAGCCGCGACTGTCTGCCCATCAGGTGAGAAGGCCACTGTATTGACCCCGTCTGTATGGCCCTGTAGCGTCTGTTTCGCAGTACCTGTGGCTGTATCCCAGAGCTGGATGGTCCTATCCCAGGAAGCAGACACGACTGTCTGCCCATCAGGTGAGAAGGCCACTGCATTGGCCCCGTCTGTATGACCCTGCAGCGTCTGCTTTGCCGCACCTGTGGCTGTATCCCAGAGCTGGATGGTCTTATCCCAGGAAGCAGACACGACTGTCTGCCCATCAGGTGAGAAGGCCACTGCATTGGCCCCGCCTATATGGCTCTGCAGCGTCTGTTTCGCAGCACCTGTGGCTGTATCCCAGAGCCGGATGGTGGCATCGGAAGCAGACGCGACTGTCTGCCCATCAGGTGAGAAGGCCACTGCACTGATCCGGTATTTATGGCCCTGCAGAGTCTGCTTCACAGCGCCCGTGGCTGTATCCCAGAGCCGGATGGTGTTATTCCAGAGCCGGATGTTGTTATCCCACTCGGAAACAGACGCGACTGTCTGCCCGTCAGGTGAGAAGGCCACTGCATTAMCCCCGCCTGTATGGCCCTGCAGCGTCTGCTTCACAGCACCCGTGGCTGTATCCCAGAGCCGGATGGTGTTATACCACTTGGAAACAGACGCGATTGTCTGCCCATCAGGTGAGAAGGCCACTGTATTGACATGGCCCTGCAGCGTCTGCTTCGCAGCACCCGTGGCTGTATCCCAGAGCCGGATGGTCTTATCCTTGGAAGCAGACGCGACTATCTGCCCATCAGGTGAGAAGGCCACTGCATTAACCCCGCCTGTATGGCCCTGCAGTGTCTGCTTTGCAGCACCCGTGGCTATATCCCAGAGCCGGATGGTCTTATCTCTGGAAGCAGACACGACTATCTGCCCATCAGGTGAGAAGGCCACTGCATTAACCGGGTATGTATGGCCTTGCAGTGTCTGCTTCACAGCACCCGTAGCTGTATCCCAGAGCCGGATGGTCTTATCCCCGGAAGCAGATGCGACTGTCTGCCCATCAGGTGAGAAGGCTACTGCATTAACCCCATATATGTGGCCCTGCAGCGTCTGCTTCGCAGCACCCGTGGCTGTATCCCAGAGCCGGATGGTCTTATCCCCGGAAGCAGATGCGACTGTCTGCCCATCAGGTGAGAAGGCCACTGCATTGACCCCGTCTGTATGACCCTGCAGCGTCTGCTTTGCCGCACCTGTGGCTGTATCCCAGAGCTGGATGATGCTTTCCCAGGAAGCAGACGCGACTGTCTGCCCATCAGGTGAGAAGGCCACTGCATTAACCGGGAGTGTATGGCCCTCTATGACTTGCATGCATGGATCCCAGGATTCCTGCGTTATATATGCCTGCTCTATAAACTCTAATCGCTCATCCCAATAGAGTTTCTTGCTCTCACTATTTTGAGGACAGAAGACAAGTGCGGCACCATATGTTTGTAGAGGTGTCTCTCGGATTATAGACCCATTGACACTTGCAAATCTCTCGGCTTCCTTGAAGACAGACTGGTGCTGGGCATACGCAGCTGAGAGCTTTCTGAGACCTACTATCCCGTGTCGGATCTCGCCAATCAGGCTAAGGCTCTCCAACCAGTGGAGAAGATGATATCCTCTAAGAAATTTAGATATCAGTTGAATTTGACTTTGTACTGATGTAGCCTTTCCAGCGGGCTTAGAATCAATAAAATGATCCAACCAGTACGTGCAACTATATCGCAGATCGAACAACGGGTCAGGGTGTGGTCGGAAATTTGCCATCTCTGAAGCAGAAACACCAGGGTCTTGAAGATTGTAAATGTTACGTCGTAGTTTGCTTTTGAGTGTCTTTAGGGATTGGCTATACATTTCGTGGTGAATCTCCGACCGATCTCGTAAGATGGAAGTAGTCCTATAAATTGTATCAAGATGGTCTTTGGCCGACTGGTGGATTAGATAGATATATTCATCACGAATAGTAAGGAATGATCCACACAGGCCGACCGCCCTCTCTAATTCCATATTTTTGTCCATACCGGTTAGGTGGCGCATCTCAGATAAGTGCAGCGGGCGATAGGCGAGAACAACCATCGACAAAACCATTATGCAGATATTACGGCGCCGATTCTGAAGTCGATCTATCTGCGTTATCATTTGATCATAGAGCCCGGAGAGGTCTGTTGGGATGTCTTCAAGGGTGTCGAGGACTTCGCTTTCAAAAAGGCATTTGTGAAGTTCTTTAATTACAAGGGCTACCCATAAGAAAGTTCCATTGGACTTTTGGCGGAGTTGATCTCTGACCTGTTCCTGGAGTCCTTGATCATGCTCAAGGAATCCCAGGCGTGATACTTCGTAGTTGATATATGTCTCGATTGCATGATATATGCGGTCCGCGTTGAGTTCAAGGCTGAGCTTGTTGGCCCCACGATCAGCATCTAGGATTTGCTCAATATGATTCACATTGCGACTGGAGACTATCCATTTGACCTGGACAGATGGCATGGACATTGTTTTTTTAATTAGTCCGAGTAAGCTTTTCAAGTCCACTTCACACTCATCAAGAGCGTCAATGAGCAGGTATACTGTAGATTGCCGCAGATCTCCAATAATGTTCTCGAAAACAGCGGACAAGCTGTAAAAAGCATTTACACCTTCGAACAGTCTTTTACCTTCCGTGTCGTATCTTTGTCGCAAGTGTGAGATTATGTGCGGCTGCTGGATGATTAACATATAAATCAGGCCCCGCAGGACAGCGATAGAATTGTTTAGTCTGGGGTCAGTTCCTTGGCATAGAAAATAGGCGGGCAATTTGGATAATTCTGGCTTCAGAAGTTGCTTGATTATCCCAATTATAAGCATAGTCTTACCCTTCCCAGCATCTCCCTTGATCCAAAGGAGTTGGCTCCCCGGACGATTCCACCATCTTTGATATTCAGCATTATCCAGGATCCATTGAAATGAGTCGTCAAGCAATCCACCCTTAGTGGCTTCAATACGTCTTCGGTCATCATCTGGATTGCTCAGCAAAAGATCTCGCAGGCAGCGTTGATCTTCACTGGTCAAATCTTTACGCAGTTAGCGCATTTTCATGAGCAGCTATCATTGTGAGTGAGGGTTGTCATCTTCCACTAACCAGATTTTGATTGTGCCGTAGTCTCTGGGGTAATCTCAACAGGCATGACTGATAATAATAGTTTTGTGTAGGCTGCTGCTGTCAAGGCTGCGTATCCTTGCCACTGTTTCTGCTTATGAGAGTCGCAATAGTCGCATATCCCTCGGATCACAAGTGTCGGTAGCCGATCCATAAGGCCGGCTGCCTCCATCTCAAAGCAGAGGATTCCATGCGGTTGCGCTAGACGGTCTCGTGTTTCCGAGTCCTTTATTACCTGATCTCCCGATGCAATCAATCCATAGTGGATATGAGGTGTCGGTGTATCTCGTGGTTCTCGTTTGGCTAATTGTTCTTTATCACACTTTTCACAGGTATCTTCCCCTGCGGCATGGGGATAAGAGGAATGAAAAAAAAGATCTGTGTGCTGTTCTCGGGGCGAAAATCTTTCTTGCATGTTGGGGTTTTGTTCCAGAGCTTCCGACACTATTGTGGCAAGAGCAGCCTCACCCTCAGTCCATTTCTTTGCCTCCAATTGACTCATATGGGTCAAAAAAGTGTTTGGTGGTTTGTTCAAGATGCCTGTTTGCTCGAATTTCCCGCCTTGAACCGCCTTGCCATAATCATACTGTATCACTCCACTGTACTGTCCAACTGGTTTGCTGACCACTACGTCGCCTAGTCGAATATCATTATTTTTACCCGGGACCCCGCCTCCAATTCCCACCATTAATCCATATTGAAGCCGAGGGAAAGTTGAACACATGTGAGATACCACATCCGCGGCAGCCACTGTTCCGTATACGCCAGCTGGCAGGCAGGCAATGACAATATAGTGGCCGTTTAATTCGCCAAGCTCGTAGGCATTCGGATCGGTGGAGGGTTGAGACAGCGGACTGTGGGATTTATCCAGCATAACACGGGCAGCTGCGGCCTCCAGCGACAACGCGCATATCCACGCGATTGTATAGCGGTCATGTGTTAAAGACGTCATTGTTGCTCAAAACATGGAAAAGATAAATAAGTCGAGTACCGATGTACCGATAATGACAACATTAAATGTGAACCTTTTCATGATGGGCAGGAGAAATGCAAAGCACTGTTCATCAGGCTGAGGGGTAACAGCTTTACGCTACTACAAGGCTGCCGACGTAACGCACGGTGGCCTGACCATTGGCATCTGCATGATAATCAACTGAAGGCAACGGGAATCCATACTGGGAGTACACCAAGATATTCTGGTATGTATCTTTACTCAGAACTGGGTATCCTTCTCCCACGAAGCCTTCTGAATTCTGAATTCAAGAATCGGATCGGGAATTACTATTCTCCGATAGCTGCCTATTCCCCGGGTTCTCACCGGACATCCGGTGACATGTGGTGACACCAGGCACCTTATAGTTTTGTATATTTCTGTTCAATACCACTCATAAATTACTAAATTACCAAGCTAAATCTAGTACGGATTAGATTGCGGGAGTGGCGCTGGGGAAGAGTCGAAGAGTTGCAAGCCGTGTAAAGCCGCACTTGCAAGGCGCTGTATACAGCATGGATCTGATTCCGTAACCTACGACAACGAAGACCATTATACACCACAGAACTCTGAGAATGTATTTGCAAACTACAGCTCTGATCGTGATGGAGCAAATTCTTTACCTGATATACTCAGTTTGATGAAAGTGCAACGAGTTGCCGTTGATCCCTGCGGTGTGAGTTCTTGTCTGTATTGGAAATTGCTCAGTTATCGATACTTCACAGTGGGGAGCTGCACCGTTTGAAGGGGAAAGACGTGGCTGCTGCTTCAGAAAGACGGAAAAGTGTACAGGGATGATTCGGGACATTTAATTGATGTACGCATACTTACTAGAAAATTATTGTTGTAGCTCTAGCTGATTGAGATTAGTAATCACCCTTTTTGAAACTTCAGAAACAGTCAAAGGATGGCAACAAGGATACGGTCTGTTGGGGAGAGGGAGATGGCTTTTTAGGATTTGCCAAGGTCTTTTGAGGGTGTGGTGCTACTTTTCAATCATCTGAGTGTGTTTCATGGACACATTGTTGAGAGTATAAACTTCAAAGTATATTCAATGCAACCAGCCCTAACCCCTGAAAACAAGAAAATGGCGAATATGAGCATGATCGGTTAACGTCGACAATTCAGAAAATATCCAGCAATTCCATTCAATCCCATTACAAGTAATCTCCTTGTGCCTCACCCCCCCCCCCCCCCCCACACCCCCCCCCCCCCCGCCCCCCCANCCCCCCCAACCAACTTCCCCCACCCCGGGTCACCTAAGCGGCGATTCGAGGAAAGCCTATACACTTCTGTCGTTATCTGGGTGTGAATTCGATTTCTTCATATTCTCCTCAGCTTTAATCATCTCCCCTCTCAAAGATGTTGAATGGTCTAGGCCTTTTCAGCCTCATTGATCCTGACCACAGCTTCAGGTGTTCGGCTAACCCCATCGAAAGCCCTCGGCTGAACATAGATCTTCAAGAGTTTCACGATCAGGTATATGAGTACCGTTCCTATGGGTATTCCAATGGCATACGCCAACGAGACGGTGGTAATATTTTGATCAGAAACGACAAACTGGGCAACCTGGTCCAGGTCGCCAGACGAGACGATGCTGTTAAGACCATATGTATTGGTTTTGTTGTACAACGTTGTATCAACGAGCAAATTTGCCGTCGAGATATAAGTCGTTAGCACCAACCTTTGCATATCATTGTATATGCTCGAGGATGCCGCGTCTATAGTATATAGTTGGGCGGTCGTACTAGACGCTAGTGCAATCGAGCCGAGTGCAGTTGCCGTGCTGAAGATCGAAGGGGGTCCGATCAGGTTATAGAAGACATTTCGGAGGGATTGTGGGAAGTTCAAGCCAGATATAGATGAGAGATTCCAGGTGCTGCTGCTCTGGTCTTTGTATGTCCATTCGTCTGACTGCCAGCATGATAGACCTGGTCTGCCGCGTAAGACATTGTATACGGTGTCTCCATTGTACGGCGTGCCTGTAGTATTTGTGAGGTACCAGGGATCTGTACCAATGGTGAAGCTGTCGCATTGCATAGAACTTATCATAATGGCGTATGTATTGTTAATTCTGAATGTCCCAGATGCCTTAGGAAAATCAGAAAACGCGATAGGCACATAGCCATAGTATGGGGATGCTTTCCAGTTTATCGAATCATCCCCAAAGATGTTATAGACATCGGTTGAAGTGCCCTCCGATTCAGTATTATTAAGCCAGCCATATTCAGTATGACAAGAGCCTTGGACGTTCAATTGAAGGCCATGAAAATTTTGCAAGCCGAGATCCTGAGCTGTCAGGCTGTAATTGTAGCCAATCTCGAGAATTTGCTCCCCTTTTCCAAGATTCTGTAACGTGACTGGTGCAGTGACAGTCACTTTGTTTTGCAAATCAATACTCGCAGTATCTGCCTGACCGACGGCACGCAAATATCTCGGTTGAGCAAGAGCTTCTAATGGTATCTGAAGTCCGACATTTCCTGTTGTAAACCAGGGACTCTCTGGCACGTATACCTGAAGTGGATCGACAGGGGCGGAAGTACCGATGAGCAACCCATGGATAGCAAAGGCTGGAACAATCTTTGGGACAAAAAGCACGGTAACCCCAATCACGACAAGTAACAGTGTTTGCTCGTACCGTTTGATAGCCCTGTTCGACGGCGATGTCGGGTTCTGACTAACCCTACCACCAGTAAATCTGCTCAGAACTCGTAATAGTACCGCAGCCGGCTCATCCTCGTAAAAGACTTTAGTAGCCAAGTGGATAGAATCCGACGAAGATCTGTTACCGACATAAACAAAGGCCAGAATGAGTAAGTGGAAGGCTTGGACCAGAATGACTTCAAGTAACACGGAGTACAGAGAGTTGATACTGTCACCCCAGTTTTTCGTTACGGCGAAAGCAGCTTCGTGCCCGGCGGCTGTGGGATAATTGAAGATGTGCCATAGTAGGTATGTGTATCGGGGTTGCGCTTCAGCAGGGTACACCATTCTGCTGCCTTTTGTCTGTACGGTTCTCGAAGAAAAGTAGAATTCAATGAAAATTGGGAGGATTCTAAGAGATTGGGAACCTTAGGTAATAGGAATACAGTCAGAATGTGCAAGAATTACTATTATCTTATTATAAATACGCATTCTGATGAGGCTCAAACTCCTCTAAGATGTCGGTCAAGGAGATAATGTTATTATGCCGACCTATCAGAACGAATATTAGGTCTAATGAGCACTCATAGAACGGTAATATTGGTATATTGACCAGCTATACGGGCACATATACCCATCCCTGTAGCTCGTGACGGTCAATGAACCCCTAATAGCCCATTTCAAGTCGTAGACTACGACCAAAGGTCTGGGATGCAGACCCCTCTTCTTTCACTCCTAGTCATCGATATACTGAGACCAATAGCTTCACAAGACTAGTTACTAGTCAAAAGCTATGATAGTACAACTGGAATCGTTATCTCTTGCCCATTCCCTCTGAAAGTCCGATGGGTGAGGACATCTATGCTTTGGTCTACTTAGATCAGGCTACTATTATATCTTCGTAATGCAACCTCGAACCCAATGAGGCTGGCTTCAGACCGAAGATAAGGCAAATTGAACTCGGTTGCAACTTAATGGCTGCTGTATTATTATTTTAGGTGCAAACCTCGGAAGATGTCACGTATGCGCTTGGGTACTGGCTGGCTGATTTTAGCCTCAGAACAATACATGGTCTTGTTTATGATACCCATTTGTAATCCACGTCTATCGCACTTAGTGTAGCCGCGCTCCAACGAACTCTACTGGGGACGTAAGATCCCGCAAAGCTTCCAGTTTGTGCCCTATACACATTACGTTCAATGTAAGCTTAGAGGGTATGTAGAACGTGTTGATGATTCGAGATAGATATCACCCGGAGGGTATGACACGGAGACACCAAGTCAGCTAGCCAAAGGGACTGAAGTCTGATGCGTGTTATTTAACTTACTCCCGTATCACTATGTCAGGGCTAATGCGATTTTACTCGAGACACGAACCGTTAATTAAAAGGTACAGGCGGTCCATGCATATGTCCAGAGTTATCCCGTTTTGTGCTGTCGTGTGATTTGCTCGTGGTGAGTTGATAATGCGCCTAAATGTGTAGTCTTATTCAGCCGAAAGATGACTGACTCGGATCCATGACTATACTGCAACCATAACGACATTGATGAGCAAAACATGAAAATCTGAGTAGGACGTGTAATTTATTGTATCATTTTTTGTTTTTATTTTAGAATGAAATCCTGGCACAAGTGCGGCCCATATAGTCCATAGTGCAGACATCATTGAGCTTGACCTGCCTAACTTATGCGTAGGTGTTTTGAGGCACGTTGAGGTTGGTTGAACCACACAGTTTCCACTCAAATAAGAGCGAACACTACGTAGTAATTGAATAAGGTATGGCAGACATCTTGCGCATCGCTGAGGATATTCAGCCCTATCTTATTAGAGAAATCGGTCACATGACCTATGTGGAAACGCTGGTACACTGATCCCTTTCAGACATAGATAATTGCTTGTTTATCGCTTCTGAGATCGATCATGCAAGATCATTTAGGATGTTAATTGAATAGATTTTCCTATCTTCTCTATTTTTCATTATTCCAGGTGATTTGGTCAATATGACTTCGTGGTTGACCGCCACGGAGACCTTAGACATTGCCTTCACTATTGGAAGCACCATTGATATAGATGCACCGGCAGACAATGTATTTGAAATCATCACAGAATTTTCAAATTATCAAAGTTGGGTTTTAAGTGACCGAAATTCACCTTTTCCGATGGCGAGCCGGTGACACTAGGTTCATCGGGGGTGATGTAAGTTATAATGAAGGCGCAGAATAGAACCTATGACATTCTAGCAACTGTAAGTCGTTTTATACTCTTAGGAATTCTGAAAATTAAAGAAGAGCAGTTACTGATGATATAGATACTTGGATGTCGTCTTCGCCGAACGAGCACGTATGGGCGTGGCCCGGAGGGTTCATGCCGTGGTGGGTGGCAGTATCTGAGCGTATTAAAACGGTGACTCCAGCGAATTCTGATACATGTCGAGCAAAGCAGTGGGAATCAATATTTAAATGGTTCGCATACGTACTGAAACATCTGTTGGGTATTGAGGGTCAGCTGGCGGAGTCGAATTTGACATATGTGCAGGGCTTGAAGAAGCATGCAGAGGTAACACAAGCATCGACGTAGCTTAATCACAAACCTCATTCATCGGATCTGTGTTTAAAATGATTGATAGTAGGATTTGCATCTATAATGCTGTCTTATACGATCTTTAGTGGATGTTTAAGATTCGCAGAATTAGGGTTGATATAGATACATATAACGCTAGTCCAAATACGGCTAGTGTAGTTCTCATACCTTGCCGCTGAATGTCAAAGTCGACTGTATCAACGATTCGTCTTGCCACGCAATAACACTTTCAAGAAATGGGTTAAGACTGTCTCATTTATGGCATTTATTTTTCAAAACCTTACGGCCAGGTAAATACTCCGAATTATCACGGCTGGGGATAAATTTCCGATGGAAAGGATATTTCACTGAGCGTCCAAGGCACCTTCCAACACACAACATCGCCCTTTTGCCTCCTCGGCAAGAAGTGGGTAAGAAAGTACACTTGTTCAAGTCTTTTACGCTGGTATTTAAGTTTCTGCATCTTCAAGGATGATCTTCGTCTTGAACGTCGCATCCAGTAGGCGAAATACGGCATGAAAGGACTGTGGCAAGATCGTCTGTATATTTGCGTATGCATGAAGGGTCCGTGATCACCTACCAGCCTACATCACCATGGCGGACAGCGATACACCGATTTTGCCATTGCCGCCAGAAGTGGCAAAGAAGGTTCAATCGTCCGTGAAGATTACGAACCTTAACGGGGTGGTCGTGGAGCTGATCAAAAATGCATTGGATGCGGCCGCCGGGTCAGTCAGTATCGTCGTCGACTACAGGAGAGGTGGCTGTATTGCAGAAGATGATGGATACGGTATACCGGCGGCAGAGTTCAAGGATGGAAGCGGGCTTTGTCGAGCTCACTGTAAGTTATGCGACGCTGTATTTACTTGAACTTTCTGACAGTATTCAGATACCTCGAAAGCAAACAGACAGGCGGTATCCAGCTGCAAAGGACAATTTCTGGCCGCACTCGCTACCATGTCTTTGCTGACGATTAGTTCACGGCACCGCGGTCATTCTGAAACTAATTCAGTCATCTTTCACGACTCTAAAGTCATCTCTCGCCTCGTTCCTGCTCCAACCCATCAGGAACTACGAGGACATGGTACCCGAGTAACAATAAACAACCTCTTCGGTAACATGCCAGTCCGCGTCAAACATAGAGCTACATCTCTCCGCAGGTCCGAAGATGTCGACAAGGAGTGGCAGGAATTGACAAGAATGCTGGTAGCGTTGGCGTTGTCAAATCCAGGTTTTCAGAGACTACATCTCTCTGACAGGGAGAAATCCCGGTCTTTAAATCTCCGTATCCCGCACAAAGCGACCGAGTCGTCAACTTCGGGAACACAGAATTCCAGTCTGTTTCGCGTGCATACCATTCTTGCCCAAAGTGGCTTGACTTCAGGTACCAGGGTGGATGAATGGGTTAAGATATCAGCGAGCACATTAGATGTTTATGTCAAAGCATACGTTGCACTTTTCCCGAGCCCGACGAAATTGAATCAATTCATATCATTGGGCATCAATCCGGTTTTCAATGAATACAACAGTGCCAATGTCTTGTATGACGCGATCAACCAGGTTTTTGCAGGATCCGATTTCGGAAGCGAATTATCTATGTCAAGAAGTCGGGAAAGTAGACATCAAGGTATAACAAGGGGTGCCAGACGATGGCCCATGTTCTACGTGCGACTTGATGTGAAGAGTCCTTTTCAAAGCCTTACACAATCTGATGCTACAGCCGAGTCGGACCGCGCTTTACAGCATATCGTTGAGGTGTTACATGCCATGTTCTATCAATTTCTGCAACAGCATCACTACCGTCCTCGAAAAAGAAAAAGGGCCGAAAGAGAACATCCATCAACATCGGATTCCCGTGATAGCTCCACCGTGCCATCAGCAAATTTTGCTCAGCAGAATAGAGGTCTTCTCTCTGTGTCCTCAATACAATCTGTATCAGCGAAGAGTACTGAAGCATTTGACAGTGGAGTCAAGATTCCTCCCGTTTCCCAAAAAGGGTCATTCCAATACTTCAGTGATTTTACGAATTGGTCAAGGGTAAAAAGTGGTGACAACAGCGGTATTAACGAATTACTAGTATGCCGACCCAGATATACCAGTCATCCACAAACGGTGACGTCCATATCGTATGAAGCGACAAGTCCTGATCTCGTGTCAGTACAAGCTGAGGTGGATCATGCTCCGCACACAATACAAAGCGAAGGAGATCAAGTGACTCGATGGGTTGATCCGAGTACGAACAAAGTCGTACTCGTCAACTCCCGTACAGGACAATGCGTCTCGGATAGTCAAGGAAACACCCGGCCCAACACGTCGATTGGCTGTGTCCGGCCTCGATCAGCAGCGTCTCGTTTGAGTCATGCCGGTACAACCATCAAACGCCCGCAGACTGTTCCTGCCCAAATCCATTCGCCCTGGTTTGAGAACCTCGTACACAACTGTGCCAATACAGCTTTTTCTCGCTCTGAAAAGCCAATCATGTCAATTGAGAACGAAAGTGTGTTTGACGGCTTTTTCCGATGTCATGATGCACAAATGAAGTCTCAGCAAGGCTGGAGTTCAACAGAATTGGCAGTAGGTAACAGACATAATGGTAAACTTTCTCGAGAGGGACTTGCCAGAGCGATGATAATTGCCCAGGTTGATCACAAATTCATTCTGGTGAGAATGACGCCTGCGAATGAAGATCGTACTGACGATACATCTAATCAAATACTGGTTCTTGTCGACCAACATGCTGCCGATGAGAGATGTCGACTGGAACGCTTGCTATCAGACATGTTTGCCATTGATGAAATGGGCGTCACATCCATTCATACGCATCAATTCCCAAAGCCCGTACAATGCTTAATCCAAGAGGATGAGGTGTCATCGCTCGTGGCGTATTCGAAGTATTTTGAATCATGGGGCTGCATCTATAAATTGCACCAAGAACTTATCGACGGGACAAGACATCACTCAATTATGATTGAAGCTCTGCCGCTGGTGATTGCTGAACGATGCAGACTGGAACCAAAGATTTTTATACATCTCCTCAGAAAGGAGATCTGGAGCAGAGCAGGCGAGCGAATACCCGAATTACGAAAGAGTACGAGCACATCTGCTCCTACATTGGATCATGAACATCCTCCCTTTCCATGGCTGCGCTGGATAGCAGGCTGTCCAGAAGGAATCCTCGACTTAATCAACTCGCGCGCCTGTCGAAGTTCGATCATGTTCAACGATCCTCTACCTATCGACGAATGTCAGAGTCTAATAATTCGACTTTCAAAATGTGCATTTCCATTTCAGTGTGCTCATGGTCGACCATCCATGATCCCGATTGTAGATGAGAGTCGTCATCTTCTGGGTTCAGCTGCAAGCGAAGGTGTTGGAGACACCGAGTATAATTCAACCAGACGACAAACGGGCTTTGTCGAAGCTTTCAAAAAGTGGGAACGCACATGATTTGTTCACCTGCATGTTAAGTATAGACTTAAACATTTGGATACGCCTTCTTGGATATGGAGTTCGGCATTATACAAGGCAACATAGATTTCAGAAAACCTCCTGTTCACTAGACAGAGACGTACTTTTTGGTCCTTCTGGTCTGGGCTTCATCTACTCATAGCTTCGACTGGACTCTATTGCCACAGCCATCAAGTACAGAAACACAGCGTCCATAACTTCACAGTTGATATACACAATGCAATAATCAATAAAGAACAATCTCCTCCCTCTTGCCCCCGGCATCCTCCCACCTCTTGAAAGCCCTCTTTGTATTCTCCGCTGCCACCACCGCATAGTCCGGTGGTAATTCTGGAGGCAACTTAAAATCCGGGTCACCCGCGATCCACGCAATAGGCCTACTACTCTTCCCCTTGAATAACTCATACAGTTCACTAACTTGATCGTATGAATACCCCCGCCCGAACATGACGGCGCGAAGGGGTTGGGTGTAGTCGTGTGTGCCGATGGCGTTTGAGCTTGGTGTTTTGGGCGCTTGGCCAGAAAGCAGATTTGCGAACTCTGATTTTGCGTAGTCAAAGGAGTTTATAAATTGGATTACTGTTTTGAGATTAGCTGTTTGACATCTATGAAGGGGAAGGGGGGGGTGGTAAGAGGTTGGACCGACCTTCGAATTCGGGTTTCAGGAGTTCGGTGACTTGGATGCCATTGCTCAGCTTCTTACCGCAGAGGAGAATTGGGATGCGCTGCGAGAGTGCCATATTATATTTTTCCTTCTTATCTCAAGTGCTGCCTTGATCTGAGTGTTTTCTGCAGAACTGCAGGTGATTCGACTTTCACAAGTACCTAGAGTATCCAGAGAAGATATCTTATGGTATTCAGTCGTGATTCTGATATATAAAGCCAAGTCTGGTGCGTACCAGATTCAAATTTTGTTTTATACTTGAGTCACTGACTAGTGGTTCCTCGAGTCCAACAAATCGGGGATTTTCTTATGCCTGTGAGCCGTTGAAAAGGAGGCATCATCATCATAGTTCAACATCTCCGGGAATCAATGGCCAATCACGGCGAATCACGCACCCTGTATCCCCGGAAACTTAAACTACATACCCGAACACATTACCACGTAGTCATAAGTTGCATGGACGGTTGATAGAGGAAAGAAAAACTGATTTGTCAATTGGAAGTCTCGGCATGCATATGCGGGTTGGTATGCGACTTGCACGAGTTATGCAAATCCGTCATTCCAGCATTACTCCCGTTGCCCTAGGCAGTCGCGTACAAGTTACCAATTTACCCTGTCCTATGTACAACACTACAAGCAGCAAATAATCTCAATATTATCAATTCAGCTAATACACTCGTGAATAATAATGTACAGGCAGCGAGTAATATCAACAACTACTACTTTTGTTCGCCAGAATCCCATAAGCCATCATCATGCAAACAAAAAGCCAACGATTAAATACCCCGTGATCAAACAAAACTCAAAGCCGACTTTTAGAAGACAAAAGACAATCTTCAAAAGAAGGTATAGAGAAATACATGTACATTAAGAAAAATCAAAAAGAAAATCAAGATTGCCGCCCAGATAGCCAGTGCAGTGCCCGCCATATGAGATAAAAAAAATAGATAAACACAACACGAAGGGTATGATACGAAACAGAGAAGCACAAAAAATGACATCAACGCCGGTTTACACATAAAGCCAAATCCCTTTAGACTGTCGTAAATCGTGAGTATCCCTCAAAAATCAAAAGCAAAGGGTATATAAATAATGGTGTTGTCGAATAAAAATATGCGCCAGTGAAAGAGTGTTTTAACTGGTGGTAGCCACAGATTTGGCTTTAGAATTGTGTGACCAAGTCAGAAAGTCGAATCGGTCTTTGGTGACCTCTCGCGAAGGAGCGGATGCAGCTGCATCGGTAGAGCCTGCTCGTGGCGTTTCTCTGGGTTCGAGGATAAGGGATCGTCGGTAGTAGTTTTGGAAGCTCTTCTCGCCAGCCGAGCGCACCCGAACGAACTGATCTTGCATCCATGTTTGTAACTCGGGCACTTCGGTAAGACGGTAGGGGATTTGGAATCGTTGAAGCTCGCTGATGATTTTGGCAGTTTTGACGTGCTTGTCATAGTTGATAACTGTCATGCCACCATCTTGAAGATTTCTAGTGGCTGGGTTTCCGTGGTCGACAAAGGTCAAATCGGTGAGGTAAACACCAACAAAAGGTAAAGTTGGCGGGGCACAGTTTTGCAAGCGCTGGCGAAGGACAGCATAATTTCGGGAAACGTCAACGACTTCTTTCAGCGAATCCAAAGTCGTCTTCGTCTTTTGCGACACCAACTCCCAGGTCTTCTTCAATCGGACAATAGTAGAGGAGTTCAATGAACAAATGATGGCCATCAAAGAGTCGTAGTTGTTCAATTCAAGACACTTGTTGGCAATCTTCACCCAATGCTTGATGATGAGTGCTCGTTTCTTGGGTTCTTCCAGGTGAAGAATGGAATCAGCAACCAGGTTGGCCAAGTCAGTGGAAAGGGTCGACATAGCGCGGACATTGACAGCCAATGACCCGCTCTTCTTCATCCACTCGGTAGCGAGAAGCTCTTCAGGCAGGATAGAGCAGAAGATACTTGACTCTTTGATGGTGATTTGCCGAGCTAACTCCATTGGGTCGAAGTCGAGAATGCTGATTGTTGACCCAGTATTCCTCCATTGCTTCAAGAGATTAAGCTGACTTTTGCTAATGACCGGTGCAGGTAGTGGAGTCTCAGGGGAGACGTATTGTGCAATCGATGTGTTTGTCTTGCCAATCGAGGAGACGAGACGTGGAACGATAGCGCCGTCTGCAGTCGAGACCTTCTCAGCAAGCTCAACCAGGCGATTGCCAGCATTAGGCAGAGCTTCCATCAACTTGTTCTTAGAAAATTCGATAATGAAAGGAAGGGCGATGATATCGCAATCATGGCGCCAGTGAGTCTCTAGCCAGCCCTTGAAAATGTTGTAAACTCGTAACCGAACAGGACCGGCTGCATTCGGTGTGTCCGCGATATAGTCATATCGGTCTGCAAGCGCTTCTGCAAAATCCATAGGAGAGGCAAACAGGCGGAAGGTAAGGTAAAAGGTAGAAACAAACAGAGCATCGGGAGTGGACTCATGAGCAGTGAGCTTTTCGATCAGTGCCCTCAAGCTACCACCAACAACTTGACCATCCTTGAACATCAACTCATGTGCATACGTCCTTCCTAGAATTGCAGCCTCCGTCTCGTCAGCCTCTTCAGCCAGAGTCGATCGGCTCAGGCTTTCCTTGAGGGAGCGAATATTATCAGTGCCGCCAATATCCGGGGATGTAGCGCGTGTTGATGTTTGTGAAACACCACTCATTTCTGAGTCACGAATGGTGCTCTTGTATGTGAAGGAGCTTCCAGTACTTGTCGTGCCCCGAGTCTCATAGCGATACAGAGCTTGTGGATCATCCTGAGCAACATGGTCTTGATATGTCGAATCAGATGGGCTGATATCGTTCATAACAAGGGGAGCTGTGTTGATGTCAACATCGAGCTTTGGACTTTGCAAGCCGGTGCTGGATAGAATGGATGATGGCGTAACACCTGTAGTCAAAGCAGGAGTAGCAGGAGCCAAGTCACGCTGGGGAATCGATATTGGCGGCGGTAGCAAGCGGAGTGAGGATTGCCGGGGTTCAGTATCTTCCATCTGAACATCGGCTTGCTCGGGAGCTTCACTTGAATCCTCTGCGATCGACGGCGTGGTGGTCAGCAGATTGACCTCAAAGTCACCAATCTGTTCCAAAACGGCGCGAGCTAGAAGCACACAGCTACCAGCTCCACGCACACAATCTGTAGCGGCATTCACCAGGCGCTTTCCTTCGTCAGGCATAAAAGGAACTTCATCACCAGTTGAGTTTGGTCGGAAAATATCACGGGCGGCGTAAACTAATTCACCGATGCGGTCGTACATGGTGTTTTTGGCTTCCCCCAATTCTAAGGATCGCTGGAAGTCATGCTCCCAGATTGCCTCAACAAGGTTAAGTAGCACCTGGCAGGAAGTCACAGATTGTTGCGTGGTCACAATGAGCTCTGTCGACGATCGCGATTGCAAATGAAGGCCAATGAAGGATCCCAAAACTCCTAGGAAAGCGTCATACGCCGCGCCCAGTCGTACGGAGGCGAGATCCGCGTTTCGCTGACTAGCTGCCGGTCCTGTGTAAGAGACTCTGTGGGAAACAGAGATTCGGTTCCCTCGGTCTGATTTGAGTGATGATGATGGGGGGCGAGTATATCCAGAGCAGGCGGTATTTTCTCCATAGTTTGAAGCTTGGCTGTGTATGGGACGACTCCAATTTCTTTCTGTGCTAGCTGTTGTGCTGCGGTCAGAGATGGAGAACGTTTCTGTCGAAGGGGTCTGGACTGGTGAGCCATAAGTATCTTCGGCATTGGGCTCCAATTCCAGAATAGCTCTCGTAAGGCCGACATGTTCGTTCCATACATCTAGAAATCGTACGCCACGAGTAACTATTTTGAAGGATTTGAGAAGCATGTCGTCCAGGACCTGTTCGACTTCTTCATCCCGAGGGGCGCCATTGGCCAATTCTTGTAAACGTTTAGCGGACTTGACCAGAGAAGAAAGATCGGCAAGCAAAGCCTTGCGGTTCCGACGTAATCCATCATATCTTTGGACCAGCGGCGCCTCGCGTGTCAAGCACTCTGCTTTCTCCTAGATGGGCATTAGTCGTTGCTAGATGGTTTGATTGTCTGAGTCAACGTTACCAATAAGAATCTGACTCCTGCAATGAGACCTCTCATAAGGTCTTGGTTACCAAAGTCGCGAAGAAAGCTACCACATCCTCCTCGAATGATATCCCAGAAATCGGTCAAAGCTTTTAAAAGTGGACGCATGGGTATTTGATCGTAGGCTTCACAATAATTAGTAGGAAGCCATCCTCGGTCGCCAGTTTCTAGTAGAGTTCCATCGGCCCAGCCATTGACGTGAACTGAGTGAACTAGGATAATATCGCCTTGGTTCAATGGGAGAGTGACTGTCGATGGTGATACGGCACCGGAAGGGTGGAATGGGTAAAATGCACGGAGGTAGTTGTGAAATATTGGGCGATCATCTTCGATAGGCTCGGACATGACCACGTCTTCTGATGTGTGGGGAGTTGATGGAGGCGTCATTCGTCCTTGTGTACGACCGATTGTGGCGGTCGAGCTGCTGGACGAGAAGTTGAGGTGAGGTACTGGCGGACGCGCTCTCCCCTTGACGATGTTCAATGGAGCAACGTCGTGGTTGGACTGTTCCATACTCTTCCGAAGTCTCTATTCGCACAATTTTGGTATGTTTCCGACAACAAATAGCCGTCCACCAGGCAATGCGATTTACTTCGATGAGACCTCAATTAACATGGTCACAAGCACCATTCGTATTGTATAATCGGTCCCTTTCCGGCAAGTTTATGTTTTAGATCCAGCTATTCTGTTGTTTTTCGTTCAACGATGTGACGGGTTGTTTGGTTGTTCGTTCGTCGTGCTGTGGTGTGCAGGTCAGTTTGGATCGGTCGAAGGAATAGGATGACGATGACTGAATGATCGATTGTGGCAGCAAGTGGATTATAGAAGGAGACTGGGTTCAAGCGGGGAATGCCAGGTCACAGAAGCAGAGGAGGTGTAAACATGGAATGTCAACACACAGACAACCCCTTCTTCCGAAAGGGATAAACCTTTTTTTGCTGGGAGTCTGTGGCAGAAAGCAAATGGCGAGTTCAACCATGGGAGCAGGAAAGTAAAATCGAAGACTTACAGTAGATTCCAGCGACGAGTAAGTTTTCTTGTCTTTCTGACCTTTGGTGGCGTTCTGATACTAATCGTGTTCCAGCCTCATGGAGTCACACCTTCAAGGTCGATGGAGGTAAGAGTTTCGCAATGCGTCTTTCCGGAGACGAGGGAGAAAGATCGATTGATCGAGTGGGCGTTATTAATAACAGGTATAATAATAGAGACCGTTAATAGGGGCGATAATATTGCAAGGCGTGTTATATTAATAACGTAGACCCCCCCCGCAGCCGACTAGTATGGGTAATATCACTTTAGGACTTAGGGCAGACTAAGACGGGAGAGACAGACACAGCCCAACTCAACCAAGAGGTGGCGACTGAACTCAGTGGATAGTGAATGATGGTGAACTGGAAAGCAGTTTCTAGGTTGTCGAATTGGGTAAACTGTTTGTCAAGGAATCGTAAAGATCGAATCTCACGCAAGGGTTGGAAGTAAAATAATGGAGCCTTGACGGGAGGAGGGCGAGCCTAGCGGGACGTATCGATATTGATAAGATAAATCAATGTCGACGGCGACAATTGCAGGGAGGCAGGGTACGGACTGGGAAGGAGAGGAAACAGGAAAGATGAAGCAATAAGGAGGGACAGGGAGTGGTGGAGGAGAGAAGGAGGGAGGGAAAGAGCGAAGGTGAGGATGATATTCATACATACTATAGCTAGTACGTAGTCCGATACTAGTAGTAATATACACAGTGACTACGTAGTGCATACTAGGCAAGAGCTCCTGCCGTGTCTGTGCCTGTGTGAGTGTCCCAGGGAAGGAGCGAAGGGTCTGGCCGGGTGGGGAGCCCACCGTCCGTGGTTGCCGCGCGAGCAACGAACGAACCACCGCCAATCCTCGTTTTTTGCTTTTTCGCCCAACTTTACATTTCATTTTTTTTTTTTTTGTGGTATTTTTGCTTTGTCGTCTCTCCTCTAGTCTAGTCTCGCTCACTAGTGGACCTGTCCATTTCTTTGGTCCGTTCGACTTCGTTAGTTGACTGACCTAGTTCGCCGTGCTCGTGGGCCATTTGGGGATTTCCGCAATTGATGTGCGTCGTGGACGGTGATAGGACTACTGTCGCGAACCAGCCTGTCGAATCTCTGTTGCGCTAGCCTGGTTGCTTGGGGACTATCACACGGTACTCACCACAACACCATCACATTGGGCTGGGCGGGAACACCACGAAAGTATACCGGCTATACATTTTCCACTGTTCACGCTCAACCGCGTTGTGCCGGGACGTCAATTGCTAAGACTTTCCGGAAAGGTCTGTGTCCACTGTCAACGTACTAAGGACTAAGACTTAATAACGGCCGGCAGTGCCAGCACTGCCAGCCAGGGTCAGGACAGCACCCCTGCTCGAGTTTGACGGGTTACTGGTCACATATGCCTAGTCTATTTATGGCTTAGGACGGCTGCTCCGTGTTGGGTGCAAAGTGCACTGTGCAAATCCGTACTAAGCATAGCTTGGAGCTATGACTATTACAGCAGGTCAATCACCGGGAGTGGGCCCGACTCCGGTGCTCCGAAGTGTCTCAAGGTCAAGAACACACAGCACGGAGTACAGCTCTGATCTCCAGTTACGATCCAATAGTGACAGCATGAACAGAACGGCCAGAGGCGAAATGAGTGTTGATCCATCGCCTATTTCGGTTCACGGTCTCTACAACTAAACCAGCCTGGTCTTAGTTCTGGCTAGCGCTGGCTTGGGTGATAGGAACCTCTTATTAAGTTATTATGGGCCAACTCCACTCAGTTGAGAGGTTTTTCTGACTGGAGAAGTTGGCCTGTGTACATAGTGCTTGCAATTGAGATAGTTGAAGGAGCGAACAGCCATGGGTTTCATTCAATCATCATGAGTCCTGAAGAGAAGACTGACTCTGACAGATATGCTTACTTCGTCCGATTTGAAAGCGCACCGAAAAACCCGTCGCACACTGCATGCGATGTTCTCTCCACAGTGACACGGCTGCATACATGTTCGATATTCGGACCGCAGTATTCACAAAATCAAATTTCGATACACATAATTGAAAGCAGAATCGGGCAGGAATCTGCTCTTTTCAGATTGATTCGTTGTACGGTCAAATGCACGGGTTGTTGTATGGAGGAAATCGCGCTTAAAACAATAAGCATGCGAGATGACAGAGACACTCAAATAAACTCGCAACCGCCGTTTTGTGTAAAATGGTTTAATTTTCCGAATCAGGCATCAAAGCGTCCACCCGTGTACAACAGTTCCTCTACACGCACGGGATACGTACATACCTACTACGTAGTAGTCGAGAGTAAACACTAAACAACTACAGTGAACAGATTGAACAAGATCCACTATAACCCACCGCAACGGATCCGGATTTTGACTTTGAAGTCGGCTGTTTCAACTCTCGGGATATGCCCCCTCGGACCATGGTACCGCCAAAGCTCGTCTGATGATCATGATCCATCATCAAAACAGTGAAAAGGGGGGCGACCAGCGAGAGCCATCTCACATGGCACGGGTCACAGCATTGACCTTGTTTCCGAATCAATTGATAATAGAAGTACAAAGGTTCGTCTCACGGACTTTCAAGCAAACTGGCGGGCGAAGAATTTTTCCGTTGTTGCACGACCTCCATTGTACTAGGTAAGGTACGGAGTGCATACAGGAATCGAGCCCAGCGAGCTGGACGCCGGACGCGTTTTACGACCCATTTCTTCGCCAACAAGTGGGCCGTATAGTATATGCACCGGATCCAGTGTCATCCTTACCGATGTAGACGACAGAGTCCAAAAGCAGACCTTCCACGTACGACGTAGAGCGTACGGAGCCGTATCGCGATCTTATCAACAGACCCAGAGAACGGGGATTCGCGATAACGTGCTTAATCTTAATACTTGGGATCTTCACGATGCGATAAATGAATTTGAGCAACGACATCTCCGCGGAATGGTCTCTATTTCGTGGACTACGTAGTATAGTACCTCATCGAGCCAGCTAACTAAATTTACTGACTGTTGGTTAGATGGCACGCCTGATAACGTCTTAGCCAACGCTGATATAGCTGCGTAGCAAGAGAAATAGAAATCAATAAGGTGACAGATCGACAGTATTTACGCCGTACTTCGCCGGATACGAGTCAATATTAATTAAGAGTGAAGCGTTAAATACACGCCTACGGAACACCGATTTCCGTACGGAGTGCATGATGCCGTCTAGACATGGTTAGTACGACAGCTCTAGGAACCTTAAAGACGAGAATTTCAATAACTCAACTTCATGCCCTTAGCATATACAGCTAACGACAAACAAGGTGATTGATCATCTCAAGTATCAAGTGGTCAGAGTTCGTATCGAAATAAGCATGCGGGTATACCCTAAAGACCCGTGTTGACATGTTCCTAAGGTTCGTGCATCCCGTGTTCCGATGGGAGTCCTGGAGCGGGAGCGAATCACAATGGCAGTGGACATTCTTAAGTGCGATGTTCCTATTAGTTCGATTCGGAATTGTGCCTTTCAGCAACTATTTTATTGTCTTTCTCCTCAAGCAACAGAGCAAAGTATTCAAGGCCACCAGGCTGATACCTACACGTCGCGAGACATGCATATTTTTCCCGGTTCTTGCCACTGCAAATGTAGACGAAAAGTCAATCCAGGGCAACATCCATGTTTATCAACAATGACCCAGTCTCGTCACGTTCTTTCTGCAGCTCCATGTGATTCTTTCGACTACTCCGTAGTAGTCATTGCTCACGAGTCACGATCATCTAGTCCATATTCCGTAAAATTGAGGGGTATATACATGGCACATGAGTAGGTCAGCCCTATTCGAAATCCTCAGGCACCTCCAGCGTTCCCCTCATCGTTGTACTAATGCGGTGCTACACGATAATAGGTGATATCTCCGAGCTACATGTACAACTAATGTGCTGTGATGAGATGAGATCGCGTGAAGAATTTGACAGTCCACCTACATATGTAGGTACCTAGCTGGCCAGGTTTCTAAATATGGAGCAATTGATCATCAGGTGTAAGACAAGGCCATCACGGAATTTCAATTGTAGCCAACTGACTAGCACTTTTAGAATATGGAGACATGGCTGTCGATTTCTATCTGGATGCATGAAAATGCAGTATCACATTGATTCTGTACTATGTAACTCCGGGCGGAGTTACACAGTCAGCATCTAGCACTGGCCCACCAACGACTCGCAACATGAACCTATACCAAGACTTGATCAACTTGTTATTAGACACTGATGGTATGAATTTGAACGCCTAGGCGTGAATTTGAGTCATGATCTTGAAAGTCGACTCCCGTATATGGCACCATACATACAGCCTAACAGCTGAAGAACCAAGAATCCTTCCACAAATTAAAAAGAAAATCCAACAGACCAATAACATCCTAGCTTTTGCAATGAGTTTATGCATGTCGGAGAAATAAATCACCAATCACACGCCCTAGAAGTCAATATGAGCGCGGTAAAATAGAAAAAAAAAAGGGGGAAAGGGCAGAAAGCCTTCCTCAAGAAGGAAATGTTATTTCTGTCTTGCTACCAATCACGAGCGACTCAATGCAGGTACACCCCTGTCTATCCCATGGCCCTAATGCAGTCATGCATTGATAGAATCATAATAAATGAAGCCTCGGCAGCAGGATGCACGAGGGGGGGAAATCCCTCGTGTTAGGTACTAAGTGGCCTCTAACCAGAGCTCAGAACGGGGGGTGATCTGCCTTTTGCCCGCTCCGATTATTGGCGTGCTTTCCAAGACAGGCAAGGTCAGCGAAATAGTGATCGTATACCGACCAATAAGATACAAAATGAATGAAGCTGAGACAAATATTGGCCAATGGGGCTTTGTGGCGGACACTAGGTTGATCATCTTTTTTCAATCTTTTTTCGCGGAGGGTGTCGTTATTGGCTCTTTCGAGAATACTCCTGGATTTATGCAAGCCTCGAGTCTTGATTTCATCTGATAATACGTACTGTACTAATAGCATGGTAAGTTAGTGAAGTACGGAGGCTTCGATAGCACTGTAATGTATGTACGTCAGGCCCAGGCTACTGCAGCCCTTTTCTTTGATCACCTCAATCTTCTGTTAGTACGTAGTCGTTCCTAGTTTTGTTAGTCTTGCTCATCACTGTTCGAAAGTTGAGACTGAAATTGTCATAACACACATGATACCTCGGGTGACTCAGTACCGTGCCAGAATGGGTGCTCAAGCACTGTCCAACTCCGTTTTGGAGACGGTAACAATGAATAATGCGTCTGGGATTCTGACAGGTCCATGATTCTTTGTTCAAATTTCGCGCTCCAACAATACAACATTTCCAGAGAATATGACTGGTGTGCCTGACTCGCAACAAGGGCATTGTTCGCAAAGCCCTCTCGTTGCCAAGGGCGCGGAATCCGGAAGAATGTAGCTAGCACGTAGCCGTCCCCGTCGTTGGGCTGGTGGCGGTCACGGGACTTGCTTTCTTCTTTTCATCGCTTCTGCGACCTTCGCCGTCAATCAGTTTGAGTGTTGGCTTTCTTTGTTCGCTCTCGATAGTTACTGCACCGTCGTCTACTATTAGAGTGCTCAATACGGAGCGTCAATTACATGCTATGTGTTACATCTGATATCGTCAAAACCTATCACGTTGATTCACCGACACTAAGAACATAGATCTATTGATGCTGGCTGCTAGCTCGACTAAACGGGCATTATTTCCTGATATAGTAGCGTCTTTGTTTATTGTTGTCATTGTCGTTGTTGTATCGTACCTGGGCCGAACCATGGGACGAAGCTCGACGAACAAAGAATGGGCTATTAAATCGAGTTAGTCTCTGGCGTCGCGTACCATGGAATTGTTGACTGTGGTACGGTGCGGAGTATAACGTTAATCTTGTCCATCGCAACGTCTATCACAGGGCCAAGGGCTGATTCTTTGTTAGATTCATGACTCGGTCTGGTGTCATAGTTAAGCTTGAGCTTGATAGACCAGGCCAGACCACTCTATGCTCGATATCTAATACATTGATGAATATCGTTGCCATTTGAGGTGTCATTTCTTGATGATCTCCCAAGAACTTGACCCAAATAATCAGGGATTTGCATTGCATGCAAGCACTTAGCTTAGCACGCTGGTTATCCCAACCTTAGATTCTCAAGACAATCAATCTAACCGAGGATCTACTGACCCGAAAACCAGGGGATCAAGATCAAGATCTCAGAGACTACTGTACGACTACGTATGGGTTGAGGCAAGACGAGGAAGGAATTCGTGGCACCCAAAATTCGAGCCTAGACAGACCAGAGCACTGCCGCTTTGGGAATCAAGCTCCATCTTCAGCTCAAGCTCAGACCATGCAATGGAGCTTCGAGCTTGCAAGTCGTCTTCGACCCTCTCTCATTGACGGCTCGACCTACCGGCAGCAATTCCGTAAGGTAGTCTCTGTGCAGAGTACGGTACATACTGCATAGTCGACTCCGTACTTAATAGTCACTCGGTTGTACAATGGTCTCACTACAAGAAACACGCATCACAAAACACAACTCCGTCATTAAATAGAGCTCACATGCAACGTCTCAGCTCGGACAAAGGCAGACACACGTGTTATCTTGATATGAACGGTCTCTGGCCGGAAATTTTGCTTTTTCTTTCTTGGCTGATGGGTGGATGCTGGACCGTTGTGAGTGTCAAAAATCTCAAAATAGGTCACAGGATTGCAATCTAGGTCCAGATTTTTTGAGCTGCTCTACCCGTAATGATGGATCATGTCTGGCAGTGTCTCCAGTGAGACTTGAATTGTGGCGAGGGATGGTAGATCCTTCCATACCAGATCAGTAAGTTACCCGATATCCGGATAGCGACACAGAACAGGTAGCAAGACTAAGCTCACCAAGGAAACTACCAATGTTGATTACGAATTGTGCGGTTCGCTCCCGTGCGTTGCCGAACTTCGTCATCCACTCTGCCCCGTACGCCGTATGGAGCAGGAGCAACACAGGCTACACAGCCTGCTTTGTGTTTAATATGTGGGCGGGGGGCTGCTCCACACACGCACTTGTTTTGGAGTTATAACTTAGCACTCAGTATTATCCGTATTGGGAACGATGCACTACATAGTACTGAGTAGAAGTGGGCAAACTAACTTTCCAGTCCAAAGGCTCGGGAGGGATCTAGTCTCCAGTTGGCACCCTTTGCTAGTTTTGACTTTTGTCTTGACTCTGTTGTTTCAAGGTTAATGTTGGCTTATGGGCCGGCATACGTAGCTACACGGGACCTGCGTTGGTTGACTGTCAAACTGTCACTGCTGCATACACCTATTTGGTACGGTGTATACGTAGTCTATCTACGAACCATTCAGTGTTGGGTTACAGCCTGAAAACTCCGTTGGTCTTATTATTAGATGCTCGTGCCGAAATCATTAAAAGGGGCCGACACTCGTGGGCTGATGGAATTGTGCATAATGCAGCACCTTAACGAGTTAGTTCCTGGCACCTGGGTAACCAGTTCCAATCGGATCGAGACCTGCGGTTCAATGCTCCACAAGCACGGTACAAAATCACTCTGTTTCACAAAGCACAGTACGACCTCGGCTCTGTCTCCGTCGAGGCTTCAATTGAGTTACCAGATTTCGATTGACGCCCTCAAATATTTATCCAGAGTTTTACGAATTTCATAACCTCTATTAATTCGATGTCTGGCCGAGAACAAGTGGAGATCACTATATCGCCAAACAAATCAAAGAAAAGTGCACTGAAATTTGTGTCTACTCCATCCATCTAACACTATTACGGTATGGTTGGTTCCAAAGGATTTCATAAATTTCATATGGTCTGATGGATTAAGTTTCGACGGTCTGCATCTACACACAAAGTGGGCATAGACTCCCCAGGCGAATAAGTGTTCCCGGTCTCGTCGGGCTTCGTCCGTATATCCGGAGCAACAACCGACCCCATGGATGGCGGTGGCAACTAAACTGAAGTCGTAGACTCTGCGGAGACTGTCACTTGAAATGAGTCTCTCTTTCTTTGATTCTCTGTTAGAGACTTAGAGTTAGCTACATGACTAGCTACAGCATTAGTCGGATGTCTAAAGTCTTAGCTAGCAACCCAGCGGCTGGAGAATAATACCTTGTTGTGGTCAAGTCAGTCATTTAGTCGACTTGGCTGTTCTACCTAGGCGAAGAAAGTGTTGAAGACCGGTACAGGTCTAGATTCATCGACGATGAACTAGTAGATGCCAAATGGAGATTGTACAAGAATCATATGAAGAGAACAATGACATTTCTCCGAGGTAAGGATTGAGTAGAATGTGATTTGGGAAATGTGATAGTCAATGCAAGACAAGTTAGGCCATGGCATGCTGTCCTCTTGTGAGAGACATGTGTACGATATGGCCTCTGACGACATCTCCATCACGGCATAATGATCAGCTAGGTATACAAATGGTGATAAAGACGATTGAACAGGGTTTTGTAATTTTCATGACCTGCAGAGTAACCTTGTATATAATCTTCATGTTATTATTTTCAGATCCAATTTTTAACTGAAGAAGATCTATCTGCAAGTAATCAAATCGAATCCGCTGATGGTCGGTATATGTATGGAGTCTATCAATATCATGTAGTTATATACCTGGAGACTTGTAAACCCATCTGCAAGCGATCAGTGCGAATCGGCCCGCTAATAGTCGGTAAAGGGATATATGTTATTGTGAACAGGTATAATCGATGATGTAATATAATAGTAACCTCAAAACGACCCGATATGAGACCTCGAAATAACTGCCGTAGATTTATCATATAGCTATAACTATTTATTACATTCAAAGACCAATAGATCAAAACATCCCATCCATATCCAAATCCAAAAACTCTGGATTGCCCATATGCGCCGCATTCAGAATATCGTCTAGACTCGTATCCATGCCCGTAGTATCAAGGTCATGCGCCTCGTTGCCAGCACCATGATGGTCATTGGCAGTTGCTGCAACTGCATTGTTGAGAATCTGATCTATAGACTCCCCAGGTGCGGCTCCTTGATCGTTGGGAGTACCGTTGCCATTGCTGAGATCCATGACATCGTGTCCAGCTGCTGCCGCTGCTGCCGCGGCTTCCAGGTTCATATCGTCTATGATGTTGCTCACGTCGAGAGCGCCAACGTGTGCCGGTGGTGTCAACAGAGCATTTACGCGCCTGGTCAATCTGACTATTACCTCGGCGCGTGTAGGGTCCTTTTCCGATAGTTTTGGTACGTTCTGATGTTGTATCATCAGAGCCTGGCGGAGAGTCAAAAGTAGACACCGCGGGAATGCTTCTTTGGTGGTGTCTAAGGGATGGTAGATGGTCTGTTCCTGGGCAAAGGATTCTGGGATGGGCGCGCATATCAATGTGGCTGCGATATCGATTGCGAGGTCAAGACTGCCGCTGGCTTCTTCGGCTTGAGCCTTGAGTTCATCGAGCAAGACTGATAGGACATTTGATGCCGTGGACAAGCGTATACCGGCCAAGATCAGTCGATGCGTATAGGCATGAGGAGACATGCTCATTTCTGCACTCGCACTCCAGAGAACCAATCCCTGGAATGTAACTCTTATAGCACCACAGATACCATCGGCATGTGTGGTCCAGGAATCGAGCTCGGACCGACGGCTGTTCCCGTTACACTGGAAGGACAAGTACGGGTCAAGGATATCCAGAATAGCCTGGATTTCTTGTTGAATGTCTTGATGCGGACTTGGCTGGATATCAGACTGATTATCTGAACGCCCACCCGGTAGTCGCGTTCGTACGTCCTTCAATTGCTCCTCCAGGCCCCGTGCGGCGATGTTGAGTACTGTCCGATGGCATGCCTCTGCTTCCCCAGATATTGAACTAGGTTTGACAAGAGCATGGAGCACCTTCAGAAGAAGTAAGAGATCTGCTTCCGATGACTCCCAGATGTAGTTTCCCAGCCATTTGAGTGCAAAGACCAACGACGGCAACAAGAATGGTTGAAGTAAATCTGTCACGATCAGTCTCTACTGCAATACCAAGGCATCGACGGAACTCACATTCAAAGCCGCCTTTCATAGTGTCCAATTCTAGCATTCCCATTTCACACGCACCCAATGTCTGGCTGAATAAGGTAGCTACAAGCAAATAAAACTCTTGCGGACTGCATGATGACCATGTCTCTTCGCTGATTCCTTCTGACATGAAGAGTGCAGATATCCAATCACCAACACTCTTGTTCTGTTTTGCATCGAGCCCAGTTAGTTTCATACTGGTCGAGCCTCGTTCGAACAGTTTCAATACGAACGAGCTGCTTGCGGTGACACCGAGGTCATACTGGCTGAGGTCGTAGCGATATTTGAATGCCATAACAAGAAGCAATATACTACCGAATTCGTCATACACCGGTTGACTCTCGCCTATTCACCTGTTAGTCTGGTTTCATGATAAAAGACAAAGTGCCAACCTTGGTCTTCATCCCACTTCCAGGAGTCTAGAAGCGTGCACAGGGGCTGTAATATGCTTTTAGGACTACGAAACAATAACATTGCATCCAGGACCTGAGGGCGTCGAGAAAGAGAATCGCAAATGCTCTTGAGTGTGACCGTTTCTTTCTGTTCGCAAAGGGAATGTATGACCTGAAGACGTTAGGTGATAACACAGACATCGGTCTGGAAGTCTTACATCTGTTACTGCAGCGACAACAGCGCCTGCATTGCCTTCCATCATCTCAATCTCCGAAATCAATCGATCAGCAGCGCCTTGGTTAGATAGGATCTGCGCAACAATATTATCCTTGACGTATCTACCACCGACAGGTAGTGTCTGCATTGGATTTTCGCCCAGCAAGCGCTCAATGCTAGCCTCGGGAATCAAGCGATGAAGAGCGCATGCAAATAAAAACTCTTGCCGCACATCTGAAAGGACGGTATTTCCTGACATCTCGAACATTTGGGAGAAAGATGGGAACGCATTCGGGTCAACTCGATTGAGTGCATGACTTATACACATTTCCATGGGTATTTGTTCCATCGATGTGGCCACCATGCCAGCGATGAAGAGTGGCAATTTATTGACGAGGAATGACCGAAATATAAACATGTTCCGGGTTGACTCGTTTCGGTACATTGCATTAGATAGTACGTCGAATGTAGCGGTAATGAGCTCTTGGATGAGCACTTCTTGTTGACCCTGCGATTGTCAGTCATTTGCAAAATAGATATAGAGTACGATGCATACTCCGTAGCGGTTGGACAGGTAACTCAGTAACATTTCATCATCAAACAGAGGTCGGCCAATGAGCTAATCAAATTAACAGTCTTTTCATACGACAAAATTGGGCATACTTACTAAAGCATTGATGTAGACATAAAGTCCAGCTCTGGAATTGATTACTGGACCATCTAGAACGGACGCTTCAAATTGAAGGGCATTCATGTTCATGCCGTCCATCATCTGTACGTCGAGATCTTTAGATGGCGGCTCCCCATATAATTGGTAGCCCTTTTGTAAGCTGTCGAGTCGGTTTCGTAGATTCAGTGATATAGTGGCTGATGTTGACAGGTATGCAGTGAGAGCTTGCCCAAGCGTGATTTTGAAGTCTGAAAGAAGGTTAGTCATTTCCCAGTGTATAGAACAGTCCAGCCATACCTGATGTGCTCTCAGAAGTAAGAGCATCGTGGGCCTTAGTCGTTGCTGATAGAGCAACTAACAAAATGCCCAAGGACTCAAATAACGCTAGTGCATCCGGCGAGCTCATCAAGCCGCCCATTTGATGTTCATCAACAATGTTGCTCGCATGCCAGCGGGCCACATCCAGAATCCATTCGGCAGTTATCGCGAATATATTCTGGATATCTTTTGTGTTTAGAGATAGGCTGGAAGATGACAACGGCGCTATCAAGTCTTGCACGATACGGGTGTCAGTCATCAGCATTGAAGCTTTTTGGCTTTTTTCTGCTCCTATCGATTGATTCCCAAGGGAAGATCGCTTCCGTAGCCCATCAAGTAAGCTTGTCGTTCTAATCAATCCCAGCTTTCTCAGCGCGGTGGCATACCGCGGTATCAGTGGGTCATAAGGGAATATATTTGCGGTAATACACCGCGAGTCCAGAAATATATCAGCCAGAGATGCTTGCTGTAACGGCGCTCGTCTTGATAATATCTTGACTAGTTTGCGAAAGACATCCACCTCAATTCGGCGAGCCACGCTTTCATGGAGCAATTTCCTCCATTGCTCTGTTGATTTCATGTTGAGCAAGCTTCGTCAGACCAGTAATATTATTATATAGTCTGTATATAATGCAGAGCGCATGCTCGCTTAATTCGATGCTTGCTCGTGGCCTTTTTTGGATTCAAAATATGTGTCGGGGTATTTATGCGTTTCATGTCATTTTATTGATGGCCGGTCATTATACATAGTTTTAGACGTGTTTCGAACAAAGCGGCCGGCGCATCAATAGTTGTAAGGACTAGAGTGTCTTGCAAAACCCTGCGTTTGTTTGCCTGAAGTTGTATCGGATATCATCAAAGGATGAGGTTGATACACGTGATTAGGCATATGATTACGTAATATTACTAGCTTATCTCGGACTAGCGCCGTAGATACACTATTTCGCACAAGCCATCGTACACTCTCAATTGCAACAACCTCGACGTCTTGGGTATATACAACGAGCATTGTGTCAAAATATCTTTTAAAGCGTGATTTGGGGCTTCATTTTTGACAATGTTCCCATCATAACCAGCCCTATCGTAGCGTGACCCTGCAAAAGCGATCACCGATCCATCACTGAAATCTATCTGTGGAGCTCCGAGACCCTGGGTAATCTCGATATTAAGGGGTTGAAAATAATCCATCAATGTGGCTGACAGCCTGACGCAGTCACACCACAGATGTCTACGTTTTTGGGTCCCTCAAAGGCTCAAATATATGTCTCGTGTCTTGAATTTCAAGTCCCATTCTAAGAAATATCGTCCTTAAGCCGTACAACACTATACCAACTACGAAATTCCGCAGGTATTTCAACATCCTCAATACGTATAGATTAATTCCTGTGCCGTGATATCCATCATAAAGCAGGGTACCCTCCGTGGTTGGCTGAGCATTAGTCTGCTAGTGGAACCATACACTAGAAACATTCGAACATATGGACACACAGAAATCGATCGACATAACTTAGTCTCTTGTCCAAACCTAAAAGCACTTGTTCCGGTGAACTATGAACCCTATGAGCCGCTTTTCTTTTGCGAGATGGACGAGGGCTGAGGCTTTGATACGCTCGCAACCCAAAAGAACCGAGTCAAACCCGAAGCAAAGCCGTGTGGAACTGAAAGTTACTTCAATGATCTCAGTACGTAGTACATAGTGTGGACCATCATAGTCTCTCATAAAGATCATCTACCCCGAAATCTATCGATATCCATACATACGTAGCCATATCCTAAAGGGTTACTGACAGTTACGTTTCTCCACACAACCTTGGAAGAAATTACGTAGTAGTATCGAGTAAAAATGCGTCCCCACAGCTAGTATACCTGATACATAGGGTTCCTGATACTCGTAATCGTACTCAAACGACAATATCCACGCAGCGGCGAACTCGCACCATAACTCGTAACGGTAGTTTATATTCCCTCGCAAGCTGTGTAGGTACAACGGAGATGTCGTTACAATACGTGCAACTTTCCCACCTCCGTAACTGTCCCTGGATCCTACCAGCATAGTACACAAAAATTACATTGTGCATCGGATTGCGGACATTTCATATAACGCTCCTATTATAGGGCTCATCCCGTACAAACATACCGAAACAAGTTTCTTCTAAACATTTACCCACGGAACATACGTAGGTGTACATACTAGGTGAAATGACAATACCTCGGCTTTTGATGCAAATTGGACACACGTCCGTGATAGGTGCATATATTCAATGAATAAAATACCAACATTTGACCTGCGTCGACCAACGGGAAGGGTGGACGCATGTATGTACCATGGAAATATATTAAAGTCGCGAACTCAATTGTAACTTCATGTTTATAATTAGTTCTTTTAATAAATGGTATGTATTGAAACGTGTCCCTTTTCTTGAGAATTCGTTATACAAACTTACAAAGTTGCAATGGAGGCTTCCACGATTGCAGTCATCGACCAATCGTACCTTTTGAATAGACTGCGGTTCAGGGGCATGTGGGTATACAAGAGTTCAAGGCTGTTTAATTGAGGATGTGTTCTCCGTAGACCCAAATCAATCTACCCAATCACGAATTTTGGTCCCAGGTACGAAGATTATCATTACGCGTCTGTACTGTACAGAGCCCTACATTCAGCAATCCTAATATGAACAATATGTAGTGCGTAGTCGTATGTGGTCGTGCGTAACGCGAACAATTCTTAATGCTGGTCTCTATATCCGATCGGTCCCTCTGTAGAAATGCATGTCAATGCTGATCGTAAACTCCATCGATGCAGGCAGGAGGGTTGAATATGATCATGGTAAGGAGTATCTCGTATCATTCGTCTCTCGCGTGGTGCATTGGTTGCAGTGTATGCATCAGATAAAGAAATTCGTAACGCGTCTGCTGAGCAGTAAATACCGAAGTGAAAAGTATTATGACGGCGAGAATATAATGTCGTAATAGTATATAGAAAGAGATCTTATCTTGACCCTCGATTTCTCGAATGAAATGACGAAGAATCATGCAGCGTATCAGGGAACCGAGGTCCAACCATCCAATCCTCCATCGCCAACCATTCGCTCCAACTTCGCTCAGCAGCCTCAAGTTCGGAGTCAATGGGCCCTTGTAGTGGCCGTAGGAAAGGCACTGTCTCTGACGGTCCCATATCGTAATCCTTCTTCACTGCAGCCCATCCACCGCTCTTAGCGGCAAAGAGATAATTTCGACGTTCGTGCTCGTGTAAGGGTCCCACACCGGCGGTCCAGTCGTCTCCAAAGAATCCATGTAGTACTCCAGGAAAGTCCATTCCAGTGGCGACGAGACGTCTGATATAAGGGATCAAAGAGACTGATGACACTGCATGAGGCGTCTGGTTCGAAAGCGAGGGACCTGTTCCCGGAGCTGGTGTGCTCGAATTGAAGACTGGGTATGGCTGCTTTTGAAACGGAAGCTGGATATTGAGAAAGGCCGAAAGTGCCTGGACTGGAACGCTATGTTGCGCATAGTCGACGAAATATCTCTGACAACTTTGGTACCGTGGATACCATTCAAAAATGTCGAAATTGGCGTCTTCAGACCCTTGAGATGCCTCGGATAGGCCAGCCATCGTGGCAGGATCAAATTGCTGGTCTGAACCACTCATGCCGGCAGGTGGCTCATGCGCGTTGGTGGGTGAGGAGTCCGTACTTCTGGCTGGGCTGGAGCTGATCACATTGTCAATAGGATTCTCAGATCGAGTCTTTCATTTCATAGCCAAATCTTTCCATTCCAGCTCGTTTCTGTGTTCGATTCGGGAGTACAGGAGGGGACACAGAATATCAGGGAATACCCAGCAGCGGCTCAAATGTTAGACATTGCACTCCACTTTAGAGTAGTCCGAGTCGGGACTTCACTGACAGCTGAAACAGTACAAAAATGACACGAATATACTCCGTATGCAGAGAACATGTTAGATGGGGGCCATTACCTACTTGCGGACAAAAAAGTTCCTTCCTCGTCGGATCACCACACGTAATCTAGACCCCAACCTGACCGATTCAGGAGTGTCACGGCGCAAGGCAGACGAAGTAGAGTCGCGACCCAAGTGTGGACGAGGTGTATCAAACAACGACTCTAGGCGAGATAACGAGTGCATATAGAGAGAGACAGGACATGCGGCTATGGTGGAAAAGCCGTTTTGATTGCGCGAGGGGAAGAAGTGTCACGGCGGGCAGAGCCCCATAAGGAGGGGCGTGATTATTAGCTTTATTAAGATTGGATCAGACGACTCGATTTCAGAAGCAGATGATAAGACGAGATGTGTAATCTGAAAGGAGTGGCAAGATGCAGAAGAAAGTGGAAAGAAGATACACGAAGAAGAAAGGAAATGGGATGAGGACAAACTTAAGTGATGGATGGATTGGATGAAGCTGGACGATTATTGAATGATTGACACTGTACCTCAAATCTTCGACCGTTTAAACCGTACGGTAACGGAAATTACAACCGGGACGGGGTCGTATTGAAACATTGGAATTTATCCTTGGGCTGCTTATTGCGGAGCCACAGATGCAGAGAAGTCAAGAAAGGACGAGAAAAAGTAACCATGGATAGCTGGATCTGTGGGCAATGTGGGCCTGCTGCCATGCCGCCATACCTCCAAGATCGTGGTCAATGTCAGTCCGTTTAGGACAGTAGGAGATACGGCAAAGAAACAATGCTAGGAGACATCGTCGATTACAAGGTCTAGGGGTTGGGTGCCACCCGTATCCTGTCGAAATAAGCACGCAGAGGCAAATTGAGGCGCATGTCTGGACGTCGAGTATGGGACAAACGGAATATAAATGTCTAATAGAATCCACACACATTTAGTTATCAACCGTGAATATAGCAGTCCTGGAGAAAGTCAATTCAGAAATTCAGCTGTGATGTCCCTGTCCACTATATTTGGATGGCGTGTCATTGGGCATTGGCTTTGACGTATTTTCGAAAAGTCGACGCTCGTCGCCTAACGTCGCCGTCTGATTGCTCAGGGTTTCCCCATCGCGATTTAGCCAACTTGGTCGTTAGGTGCGCGCAGTTACGTACGCTGATAGGCACTAGGGAGTCTCTAACTAAGGTAGAGTGCGAGACAAGTGCAAATAAGTGCAAACAAGCGCCTCCATTTCGGCTTCCATATTTCCCTTTTGTCCAGTCCCCAGCCGAACTAGCCTAATTCGCCACCACCAACCACGGCGCACTGCATGCTTTTCGTCTTTTGACTCTTGACTGTTTTCGTAAATGAGACTCCGCCCGTCGGGGAGAATGTCTTGTTATTTTTCTGGTGTCAGATCTGATTGGGCCGACGTGAGAAATGATTACTCCCTGTGAGACTTTAGTAGTTGCTAAAGAAACAAGTCGGATTTAGGCGTATGGTCTCGTCCGGTCTTTTTCTTCTGTCGTTTGCTTTGCGACCCCTTTTGGCGAAATGCCCACAATCAGAAGGACCAAATTATTGTTTAGTCGCAACGTTTCGAATGAGAACAAAGCAAGTATCGAGGCAGAAGTTGTGACTCTGGACGGGAATCGGTTCTGCTGATAAGGCACGTGGCCCGCGAAAGAAAGACTCGTATCGTATCCGGCATGACCGTATTGTTACCGATACATATCCGTGAAGCCCGTAGTCGACTCAGGGAACACGCAAGGGAAACCCACAGGATTCTAGACCAGAAGGATTCATTAGTCTACGAAATAGCTATCCGCAAAAAGTCTGCGCTTCATCACAATGATGGAGAGAATATGTACAAACAAGGCTGTTTGCTGGGCACCTCATGCATCTTCCTCAGCCACAGATCACAAATCGCCTACTCCGTATGTACGTGCGTATATCGATCGGAGAGGCTGAAGTCAGCGAGGTCAAAGCATTGCCTGCTGTGGCTAGAGAGCGTCGATCGTTTGTAATCTTTAAGACCCTTAGCCTTCTTGAGACAGATCAATAGTTGGATTTAGCTTGCGCGGCCCTTGTGTCACATGTATTACATGTCACCAGCCACAGTTCACCGCCTCTCTTTGAGAATTGATCTATCGATTTGTCTTCCGCGCGCCAATAACAAGCCCGATCAACAATCTTATGTCAGGGGTTCCTGGTCGGGAATCTCCTACAGAACTGTCAAAGTTGACTTCATCTGATCGGGGTGGCCGAGGCTGCCTGCTCTTCTAAGGAAGAGATTCGTCTCGTCACGGGATTTTTTGGTCAAAATTACGTCATGGCAGATCACTGCTGTCTCCGATGCCCCGCGTTGATCTTGTGCTTTGTTGAGCAACTCAAAAGTACAGCACGACGATACCAGACGAAACCAAAGTGAGGCGCCTATGCAGCTGATCTAGCTGTATACAGAGATCTATTAACTTTCATAGTCTTTTCAATCAATTCCTGGTATTGGCTTAGTCCCCGCCAACGAGCAACTATGGCAACGTCCAAAAGCACATACTCGCTGTCATCGACCATCAAAGTCAGCTTCCCCTCTTTGTCCAAAAATGAATGACTGATACGAGCATAGCGATAGCTCGCCAATGGAAAGTTGATGCCAAGACTTCAATTGGGGGTTTATTTGACGTCGGGAAGAGAGACGGAAGTTGCAGTCAAGAATGCTTTAGAGGTGAGCCCATATGATTTGTTGTTGTGTGGAAGCTGACATGGTGACTCCAGGCTGGCTATCGAGGGTATGTTGCTTCTATTACTATCATGATGGCAACTGCTAATTGCAACAGACTCGACAGCGCTCAAATGTACCACAACGAAAGAGAAGTCGGCCGAGCTATTCTACGCTTTCTCGAAACCGAACAGGACAAACCCAACGGCTTGAAACGCGAAGACATTTTCTTCACGTCGAAGTTGGCTTCCAATGTGAGCTACGATGCTACGCGGCAATCTATCAAGAAATCCATCCAAGCTTCTGGACTGGGTTATATTGATCTTTTCCTGATCCATTCGCCTTATGGTGGTAAGGCAAAGCGTCTCGAGTGCTGGCGTGCGCTGGAAGATGCGTATAAAGAGGAGGAGATTCGTGCCGTAGGCGTGAGCAACTACGGCATCAAACACTTACAAGAACTATTGGCGACAAATCCGAAAGTCTTTCCAGCCGTCAATCAGATTGAAATCCATCCCTTCAATACGCGGACTGAGATAGCACAGTTCTGCCAAGAGAATGGTATCGTGGTCGAGGCATATGCGCCGCTTGCTCGTGCCTACCGTTTCCGCCATCCGACGATTGTTTCCCTGGCAGAAAAATATGGGTGTACCCCGGCACAGTTGATGGTGCGATGGAGTTTGCAGCATGGTTATGTGCCCTTGCCCAAAAGCGTCAAGAAGGATCGCATTGTAGCGAATGCGCAAGTCGAGGGATTTGAGATTGACTCAGCAGATATGGACACGATGGATGGATTGGATGAGTATTTGGTCACAGGTAAGTTCTCATCAATCTTCACTTATACAGACCCAGCTAACCATGAGGTCAGACTGGGATCCAGTAGATGCGCCATGATCGTCTCAAAGCATATATGTATAGCATATACGTAGTACGTATATGTTAACAACATATGCAATTGGCCGACCGTAGCTACTGCAAAAAATAATAATAATAATAAAAAGCAACGTGACGATCAAAAAAAAAAAGAAAAAAGAAAAAAGAAAACATTTCCTGAATAATGGCATTATACAATGTCTGGCTTATCTGTGGCCTCCCGGTGGCGGAGAGCCTTGTTGGTGCCTTGGAGCCTGAGGTGAGTCAGACATCGCCGAGTATCGGAGCCAGAGCAGCTGACTGGGATATTTTTCCCAGTATTCTTTATTATCAATTCGATTAGAAAAAACATTTAATTGAATATTATGCGAAAAGAAAGACTCAATTGATGAATGAAAAATGAAGTCATGGTAGATCGACATGGGCATTGACCTCATCACGACCAGCATCTATGGCTGTGGTTGGCCCGATAAGGATATGCACAGTAGTCTCTACTAAGTAGTACTAACTACATGGTAGAGGTTATTTCAAGAAAAGAGAGGCAAATAAATGCCTAGCTCAAAGTATATACAGCCATGGCATTGTAAGCGCTGCACCCGCATGATCAATGTCCATGATAATGAAAAATAAAAAGAATAATTTGTATGGGATCCATGGGACGCAGCAGCTCCGGCCGTCGGCCTGGGTTCCTTCCATTCTTGTCGGACGGCTGCCGTTCCCGGTACCTTCCTTCCTCGTTAGGACAGTCCGTATATAGACGACAGAATGTATATAATGACTTTTTCTCCCCTCTACACTCTTCTTTACTTCTTCCTCTGTTGCCCAGTCTCAGTGCATACTACGTATTCGATAGATAATAATCCATATCCAGATCACGTCCCAGTCATATACACTTCACAGATAGATAACATCACATCCACCATGTCAAACTTGCCTTCGGAACCTGAGTTCGAGCAGGCCTACAAAGGTATGTGACCAGCCATTGATCGCATTGCGACCCAGCGTCTAACAAAACCAGAACTCGCCTCAACTCTCGAAAACTCATCTCTCTTTCAGAAACATCCCGAATATCGCAAGGCGCTCAAGGTCGCCTCGATCCCCGAACGCGTCATTCAGTTCCGTGTTGTCTGGGAAGATGACAAGGGCGAGGTATTTCTTTTTTCATTTCTTTACATATTACATACTGATATTGTACAGCTGCAAGTCAACCGCGGTTACCGGGTGCAATTCAACTCTGCCCTAGGTCCATACAAGGGCGGTCTCAGATTTCACCCCAGTGTCAACCTGTCCATTCTCAAATTCCTTGGGTTTGAGCAAATCTTCAAAAATGCGTTGACCGGATGTATGTCCTTTATTCCCTCGTTTTTGATACTAGACTAACGACTGTAGTAAACATGGGCGGCGGCAAAGGAGGTGCCGACTTTGACCCCAAAGGAAAATCAGACAATGAGATCCGCAAATTCTGCGTCGGGTTCATGACTGAATTGTCGCGCCACATTGGTGCTGATACTGATGTGCCTGCCGGCGATATTGGTGTCTCTGGACGAGAGATTGGATACATGTTTGGACAGTACAAGAAGATTCGTAACCAGTGGGAAGGTGTTCTCACTGGTAAGGGCTTGTCCTGGGGAGGAAGCTTGATTCGCCCCGAGGCTACTGGATACGGTCTTGTTTATGTATGTTCTCCACCATTCGAATCTCAAGTGCATACTAACGGAGTAGTACGTTCAACACATGATTCAACACGCCAGCAAAGGCAAGGAGTCTTTTGAAGGTAAACGCGTCGTGGTCTCTGGCTCAGGCAACGTCGCCCAATATGCAGCTTTGAAAGTTATCGAACTAGGCGGAACAGTCGTTTCTTTGTCAGACAGCAAAGGATCCCTTGTCATCGCCAACGAGACGGATGGCTTCACACCTGAAGAGATCTATGCCATTGCCGACCTCAAGGTTGCCCGCCGCCAACTTAGCTCCATCTTCTCCGCCGACGCTGCAGAAGCGAAATTGTTCAGCACCGAGAAATTCAAATATATCGAAAATGCTCGCCCATGGCTCCACGTCGGCAAAGTCGACGTCGCTTTGCCATGTGCCACACAGAACGAAATTTCTGGCGAAGAAGCAAACGGTCTAATTGACGCGGGCGTCAAATTCGTTGCCGAGGGATCAAATATGGGTTCTACCCAAGAAGCCATCGATATCTTTGAGGCGGACCGAACCTCCAAAGCTGAGAGTATATGGTACGCACCCGGCAAAGCTGCTAATCTCGGTGGTGTCGCCGTCTCTGGTCTTGAGATGGCGCAGAACTCGGCCCGACTCAGCTGGACCCGGGAAGAGGTCGACGCTAAGCTCAAGGATATCATGAAAGCGTCCTTTGAGAATGGATTGGAGACTGCCAAGGAATTTGTGCCGTCGTCCGGAGAGGAGTTGCCTTCTCTTGTTGCGGGAAGTAATATTGCGGGCTTTATGAAGGTGGCAGCTGCCATGAAGGACCAGGGAGATTGGTGGTGATTTTTGGTTCAATACTTGTATAATGCTTTAGATTGAATAGATTTCTTATGATCATGACTGCCACGGCGATACCAATTCAAGCACCGTGTTCTCCCTTCCAACCAACGCCACAATTTCTCTCGTTTCGACATTCTGTACTAAAACAAGACAAGCCTTGACTTTGCCGAACCATCCATCTCCACCAAAAAGATTGTTCGTACATACTATCCTCCGAGAGAGGAGGACGCTATCCCTCAACTCCTTCCGCGGTGACCACATCGTCGTCGAAACAGGTTGCAAACCCCATATAATGCCTAATATTCTCGCTTTTGACCCATTCTCGTCATCTGATGGGAAAGGCAGATCCAGTCTCCAACTTTGACTTCGATGCGCACCGCTCTGATACGGTTTGATAACCGTCGTCCCCATCCCTTCGCCAACGACCAATAACTCCATCCCGTCGCCCTCGACACCACATTTACTTTTGTATATGGTATTATACCGATAAATAACGACTATACTCTTGTAGAACCCCGGCCACGGATCCGGCGACGCAATATGAACCATCCTGTTCGTGTCGAGCGTCAATGTCTGTGTATTAGGGTCGATCTTGGCTTCCAGTGTGGCTGTGATGTCTAGTCCGCCCCAGTTTGCGTATAGAATGTCCAGCGAAGGTGGGATATCGAGTTCGGTACCTTCTTCCGCGAAGCTCACTTGGAAATATTGATGTTCGTTGTTGTTATCCTTAGCGGAAGTGTAGGTGTAGGTAACAGACAAGAATTTGATGTATCCTGGACTCGGGTCGTGAGTGAGCAGTTGCATGTCCGTTGCCATGATGGCGGTTTGACCATTCTGAATCAAGGAGGTGATATGCTGCGTCATGTCGAGGTTGTGCCAGGATGCTATTACTATCTCCACCCCTCTTCTGGCAGCGGACTCAACTGGACTCTCCTCTAAATTAACACCTTGATCAAAGTCAATAACCACTACATCATCCTCTTGCGCAAATGCTTTTTGCACCGCCGAGTACGACGTCGAAACTTGTCGGCCGTGACGATGCACGACCCTTTTCCGCCACGCCATGGAGAATGCCTTGACGTGACCCGGGAACGGATCGCCGCCAAAGGCTTCATTCGTAATGATGAACTGAAGCGGTCTTGATCTCAGATGCTGCTGATGCTGGCGATGCGTATCAATCATCCTTTGCAGGATAGAGGTCACATTGCGCGGCCCATACACCGCGGATATAACCTCCCAATACGTCTCTGTCCCTGTTTCCGTCTCCTCACCATCAGGCTGATTGAGTAYCCCCGCCGCAATCGCGCGCCCAGCCCATTGTAGTATCATGCTTTTGTGCTGCTCAACCTGCGTTTCCGAAATGCCGTGTTTCTGCATCTCAGTCACCAGATCAACCCACAGATCAGTCCTGCCACCTCCTTCTTCTTTTTCAATCTCAATCTCAGCCTGTATCTCAGTCTGAATCTCCACCAAAGTTGACGTCTCCGAATCCCGCCTTTTCAGCTTCGTCTTCGTCTCACTCTGCAGGCTAATCAACACATCCTCCAACGTCCTCAGAATCTTTTCTTGTGTCTCTCCCAGTTGCGTAGTCGACGAATCGACATAATCCAACAACAAACTCGAATTGAACGCCGCTATCATCGCCGAGATACCCGTAATCCTCGCACGGAACGCATTCGCTTCGTTCTGGGACCATTTCAGTCTATACAGTCCCCTTGGAACGGTGCCAGCGGGTATCTTGCGTTGCAGATCTTCGAGTAAAGTAGAAGCAAGATGCACGATTTCCTCTAATTTCGCTTCATTGTATCCACCTCCATTTTTGTCACTGGCAGGATCTGTGGATGGATGGGTAGCGAGCCGATTGCCCAGCCGCTGCAAGGTGATTTCCAGCGCGCGAATGTCGTCGCATAACTCCTTGTACCGGTCCTGCGCGCCATGGTAGGCGTCGTAGATATTGTACGCTGTTTGGGCGAGGGTTAGCACGTCCGGGGCGCCGGGGGGTGCGAACATCTCTCTCTTCTCTTTTCACGGTAATCACAAAAGAAAAACTCAAAAACAAAATTCAAGATAGGTATTATACTGCTAGGAATAGGAAGACATACAGAAACATCGCAATAGCGACTTCATATCCTCCACGTTCCTTCGGGGGAAGTAACAATTAATAAAGTAAAGTGTCAATAATAATAGGCAACCTCTAAGCTCGTATTCAGCTTAGTTGATGTCGGCACGGGCTCTGCTCTTAGCGGTCAGCGCGTAAAGAAAAAAAAAGTAATATATGCAGTACCTAGGATAATTACGGTCGGGCGTCCGTGTTTTGTTTAAATATAGCGCGGGGCTGTAGTGTGCTGTCATCCCGCGTTAGAATAGCCTCAATGATCCTTGCTAGTGCGGTGGCAAATATAGACAAAATAGAGTAATATCATTATGGTATGTATATACTGGTATCAGAAAATCAAACGCCTTCGCTATGCAAGCAGTATTCCACCCAGATCATCATATATGGGTATATTATCGAACTTTTGGGTCATGTATGATCATGCTCATAAGCTAAGTCATGTACGCTCACGCCTGGTGCGGGTTGCGCTGTTTCGAAATCGATTGTGGACAGAGGCTCATCCATGAGACTGCGTGGTCGCGACAGAACGCCTCCGAGGGAGTAGTGATCTCCCTTGTGATTTGGGGTGTCGCGACCGTTGCCGTTACCGTTCTCGGTGCCTCCACGATTCTTGCGTCTTGATGGCTGACCGCGGAGTGTCAATCGACGATGTAGATAGTCGTTCAACACTGGATCAACCTGCTTCTTCGCTTGCGGGACGAGCATTAGATACAACGGGAAGATAGCAGCAGCCGCATATCCCACAGCTAGCACAACATAGGACGATGGGACGCTGCCGTGGTTATCAATTCGAGCAATTTCTTGAAAAAAAGGGTAGACTGCTCCGCCGGATATAGTTGTAGCCATTATGGCACCGGCTGTCTTGGTATGTCTGCCCATACCGCGGAGGGACATGGCAAAGGTGATGCTGAACACGCCGCTTTGAAAGAAAAACAGAATCAACCCGATTACCACACCAGACATACCATGCAGTTCTTTGGCAAGTACGGCAAACGCGATCAAACCAATATACGATACCAACAGGATCCATCGCGGTTTGAAAAGAAGATTTGTGAGCGCCGTAACGAACCTGCCAAGAGCGAACAGACCGCGACCAAGCAGCAAAAAGTCAAAAGGTGTGAGACCACTGCTTCCATTCGGAAGTTGCGCCTGCACGTAGTCCGGGAAGCTAAAGACAAGAACTTCTTGGCTGGCAACATACCAGAATTGCGAAAATGCGGCAAGCCCAAAAGTAACCCAGACGACAGGCAGGCCAAAGACTCGTGCTGTAACGTCGTCTTTTCTCTGATCGGCTAGTTCCTGCAGATCCTCATCTGTGGCCTCTGGTACTGGTAGGTAGTAAAATGCCGCGGCAAGAAGCAGGTCAAACAGTGCGATGGCAAGATACGTCCATTGAAATCTAACCAACTTAGCCGCACTTGTGACGGATCTGAAAAGGACCTTCTCCGCAAGAACTGCCGAGAGAACACTTCCAGTGGCTTGAATTGCCTGTGAAAGATTAAGACGAATCTCGGCATTTTCCTGCGGTCCGCATAGCGATATAAAGGGGTTTGCCGCTGTTTCGAGAACACCAAAGCCACAGCCAACGATGAAATTGGAGATAGCGAATGGCGGGAAAGATGACAAGACGGCAGATGGCCAGAAGATAAGCGCACCACAGGCATATATGAACAGTCCTGCGATAAAAGTCGACTTGAAACCCCATCTTTTGAGTATCCACCGCCCTATAGTAAGAGGACTGACGAGGTAGCCTCCGTAATAAGCCGCATGGAGACCTAAAGAGCCCCATGTACTGATTCCAGTGATCTGCCCAAATTGACCGTTCAAAATGTCTAGAAAGCCGTAGCCAATTCCCCATAGGAAAAACAGTATTGTTGTCAAGGCAAGGGGGGGTATAGATTCTTTTTTACTCATTGCGAGCATGCTCTTCGGTTTTTTGAGATTGACAAAATCGAAGAATGTCGATACATGCAATGGAGGAGAAGGATAGGTCGCTGCGCTGCTTTCGGTATCCTCGCTAGGACCAGGGCCAGAATTGGCCAAAAAATCAGACATTTCCAGCAATTCTCGCGATGGACTATTGAGTGGCAGCGATGCAGCCGCAGGTCCCAGGTCTGTATAAGCCCTCGGAGCCATACGACTAGCCGGCGGGTTCTGAATTTGAGGAACTGCCAATGGGGCAGTCTCGGCGCGGGGGAAGTTTGGTCTGACTGCACTTCCAAGTTGTGAGCTGGATGATTCCGTGGAGCCCTTGATCAATCTGGGGAGTAGACGCGCAGCCAACGGCTTCAAACTCGGTACACATGCACAAATAATACCAACATTGATCTCAACAGCAGACCACATGAACGTAAATGCTCCGTACCCTAGTATTGTCAGTAACATATCTACATATTTGAGTCGAGCAATGACTGACATGAAAAATCCTGATGGTATTTTGAGTTTCCATCATTACTGAACCCATCCATTTGCTCTGTCGCATTCGACGTCGCTGCGCTTTGCAAGTATGCGACTCGTATAACGTCGACAACCGCTGTGAAAAACCCAAAACTGAACGTGATAATCAATATAAGTTTCTGCTTCCGCGGAAGACGCAATTGTGTCAAAATCGGTAGTGGCAGGAAGAAAATCGTGATATCCGTTATAAGATTGACGGGTGCCGAGGAGAGATATATCGTGACTATGCTGAAGCACTTTGCATTTCCGTCGGCAGGAAACCAGATTACTGCGCTGACTGGGTTGCACTGGAAGATATTAACCATGGTTAAGGCGATGCCGGCAGCGTTGACGACGAGGATGGTTGCGAATATTGCCCATCGGAATATCTTGTTCGTTTTGGACAGGAAGAGGTAGAATGTGAGGATTGACGTTTTCAGGACCATCAGAACAGGGTTCTAGCAAATGAATATTAGTCAATGTCTTGTCAAGCCGAAGAGAAAACAACTTACATATAGTACATTCGCGACATATTCACTCGTATTCAGAGCCGCATTCGATGAGGACGCAACATTTTGCTGGTGTAATCCGAGACCCTTTGTTGTGCCGTAGCATACAGCAAACACGAAGCCAAAGTCGAGTACCTTGATGAGGTCAGTCGAGTATACGACGGAAGAGAGGCATGAACATACCCAAGCCAACAGAATCAAATAATCATGCGAAACTACCTTGCGCACAATACCGACGCGGGACACAAACCGCAAAGCAACGAATACCGAAGCAAGCACGAAGAACACAATGGTGACCACCAGCGTCGGCGTCGCGCGACTGTGCATCATGATTGCCGCCGCGCAAAGCGCCGAGAGATCAAGCTCCTGGACAATGACAAATCCAACTCCAATATCGATCGAGGTGAGGTAGCACTGTCTTGGCGATATAATCCATCATCGGCAGCTTGATCGGTGTTGGCAGTTGCGCTCTGGGGCGTGAGAGTGGTGTTTGTTCCTTCGTCTATTCCTCCCTTTCGCCGGCGGGTTGAAGGTCTCCTCCATACGAACAATGCGTTCACGAGCCGGGACGATACGCGACGGAAAAAAACTGCAGTCAAAGGATGTACTCAAGTAGCACGTTCTCTTTCAAGGAGGCACGAGGACCAAGAAAAAAATTATGGCAATAAGTTGGTCTAGGAAGATTCAAGAATTACTTAATCAAAAAAGAATGTGGGGGGCCCGAGTGCATTGATTCATTGAGCGATCTAAAATTTTTGCCGATCGGCGCAAGATCCGAGGAATGGAAGCCAAACCCGTCTGTCCGGTGGGACACTGTGTGGTTATTAGTTCTAGTAGTTTATGCAACTCATGCCTTTCCAAGATTCTAGTGATATACAAGACCTGAAAGAGTATGACTACTCAAGAAGGACTAAGTTGGAGCAGAGTAATGACGACAGGGATCGCTAATATAACTCAAAGCGTCCAATGAAGACGGTGTGGCGCCTCCCGGTCCATCCGGCGCTTTGGGTCAACGCACCTAAGAATTAGTCCTTTACTACGAGCTCTATAGCTGGCGATCATTTTACTGATTGACGTGGATGAAAGAAATCAAGTAGATTCTGAATAAACCCATCTCTAAACTCCTTGTCTCGTTCCTGCGCCGATCCATACTCTCCAGGAGTGGTACGTTCGTGACTTTTAAATAACCCAGAAGAATGCAACTCATCTGACTCGCAGCTGAGAAAAAGGTGAATGTTCATGGTCCACATGAATTGTTCTTTTGTTGGCCGGGTTAACAAACATAAGATGAATCAAATCACAGAGAACGATAGGGATATGTGCTCGATTTGGCATAATATCCGTTGAGAACGGTTGTACATGAAAGCAATAAATCAATAGTCTATACACATATCAAGAATTGAAGTCGCACGAAGAAGGACCGAGATTGAGCAAGACTTGCTTAGACAGACCACGACACGGTGATACGTCCGGCATCGAGGCTGGCAAGATCGCCGAACATAGCACGCGACATGTCGATGGACTCAGCGTCACAGCCCATGCACTTGTCGACGACAGTACCGGTGGCGGTCTTGCCATCGTAGGTGACAGTGATGGAGGCACCGCAGAGAGACTCGTTCATGATGGCCTGAGAAAGAGCGACAACGTTCTCAGTGGTACCGTCGTTGGCAGTGTCGCAGTAGCTAGGAGCAGACAAAGAGGTGGCAGTGTCGTAGTAGGTACCGTCACCAGTGCCGGAAGGGCCAGAGCCGCTGCTGCCGGAGGTGCCGGTGGAAGTCGCAGCAGGAGCAGTGGAGGTGGAGGTGGAAGAAGTCGAAGTAGAAGAGCTGCTAGTGGTGGTGACGGCTGGTGCCGGAGGAGCAACAGTGGTGGTGGGGACAGGAGCAGCAGTGGTGGTGGTCTCAGGAGCAGCAGGTGCCTGGGTGGAAGAAGTGGTGGTCTCGGCAACGGGAGCAGGAGCGACGGTGCTGGTAGGAACAACGACCTGCTCGGCAGGAGTGGTCGAAGTCACGGCAACCTCAGTGGTGTAGACAGAGGCGACAGTAGGAGTGGCCTCGCCGGGGTAGACGGTGATGGTGGTGTCGATGGTGGTGACGTCGACCTCGGTGACAGTCTCGTAGACAACGGCGCGCTTCTGGTGCTTCTGGTGCTTCTGGTGAGGAGCAGCAGCAGTCAAGGTAGCGAAGATCGCGGCGATAGCGAAAGCCTTGGAGAAAACCATTTTGAATGTGTTACGAGAAAGACTCGTTTTTGAAATGTTGTTTTCGTGAGATGTAGTCTTGTTGACTCGGTTGTGACTGTAGGCTGAAGAGCGGCTATGGAATCGAGCTAGCGATGTCCAATTGTGAAGGCTGTGGTAGATGCTTTGAAAGAGTGAGAGCAACGTCCGCACAGCAGATGAAAGTGAGGGAAAGACTGTTACACAAAAAGAGTGTGTGTAAGTGTTGAGAGAATGACTGGTGATGGATTGAATACGAAGGAGAGAAAAGTACGGGGGGGAGGACAGGCAGTTAAATATTGAATTGGTGGTGGCTCCTAGTGTGCGCTCCAGACTTGCCGTGGAGCCCAAGAGTGGGTTCCGGCCGAGCGCCACGCCAGTCTGTTCCTGACCATCACCGACTCCACCGACTACTTACTACGTATGGAACTTCCTGCGATGCGCTGTTCGTGCGTACTGCGTCTTGGTCTGGCAGTCCAGACAGCAAACGGCCTCCATGTGATCTCCTGCTTCAGACTGTCCTACTTCCATCTTGATCAAATCAACGTACAGTGCCACGTATACTATAGTATGTTGACCTGTGTGATGTATTCAAGACCCCCGGGAATACGATACGTACATAGCGCATGCGTAGGTGCACGAAAAGGGGGGCTACAATGGTGCGACGGATCATCAGCCAATCGASGAGCCACTACTGCAGGTTCAATTTCTTTAGCCGTGGCTGAGCAGACACAGGATTGGCTGAAAGTGCAGGAAACTCAAACAAACGCACGAATGTGACCACTCAGAGGAGCCGCATCAGAGTGGAGCAGCTAACAGTGGGGATACGAGAAAACTCTGAGTCTGCGCAAAGAAAAAGCGGCTGTGTAGAAGCCTGCTCTCCGATTGGATGTACGCTAAAACGGAGTGGTGCCTGAAAGAACAGGCTGACCCACGGCTCACCTCCCACACACACCATCCTACGTACGTCGTCCTACGTCCTCATCGCGACGACTTACCAACTCCGGCGATTTTGCTCTTCTGGAAATGCCTCAATTTCTGGTTTTCGCCATGTGCAGAATTTTGCGTCTCCATTCTCTGGGTCACGACGTACCTCCCCTGTCGGGTCGTACACTCGGTAGATAGGTACGTACCACGAGCGAAAAAGACGGTGACATTAAGCTTATCTAATAATCGATAACATCGCCATAGTGGAGTACGTAGTCTGAAAGATCTCTCTCTGGAATGCAGAGATTTCCTGCGTCATCGGAATGAGTCCGACCTGTCATTCCTCGTTTGTCCAACGGCCACTGTAGCCATGTGGCGTGCCTTTGTCCACTGACTGTGCCCATTATGATTCTCTTTGACTCAGTGGTGAATGTGATTCTTCGGATTCTTTGTGTCTCCTCACTCATCTCCCAATGAGACCCACTTGTTCTTCGCACTTGTAGCCCTCGTTCTGGTCCATCGCAAAGTCTGGTACAGGCACGATTCAAAGTCTGGGTGCTTCGAACCAGGCACACTCCAATCTCGATGGAAAGCAGCCAGGACCGGAGAGAACCCCTGACGAACTTTGAAACTCTTGCCACTATTTTATGGACCCATCGACGTCTTTTGATGTTCTAGAACCATATGGACACGATCGAATGTCTTCATTTGGCTCACTAGTGGTCGCCGTCGGGCCATCGGCTGTACGGAAACCGCCTCTGGAAAGTGGCAGTAGGCACCCTGAATCTGGAGAATTGAAGTAGTGTAGGTGAGTGAGCTGTAGGCGATATGACAGTTTCATGCCTCCAATTCTGCGCCCATTCTGGTTAACCCGGCTCTCCTTCCCTCAAATCTCCCCTTGGCAAATGCGGAATTGCCGTTTCAGGCAATTCTGCTGCCATTATGAGAGTTGCCCGTCTGTAGGATCCATGTTGGGTTGAGCGTGGATATTGTTGGCTTCTTGTACCTCGATGTACTGATTCTGGCCGTGTTCCGCAAGGCATACATAGATGCAAGACGTAGACTACCCATGCATGTTAGTAGCCAATAATAAAAAGCTGAGCTTGCCCGAAACACCATTCAATGCATGGTGGCCTGATCTGTCAGGCTTGAAGATCACGTTTGACGAGGCTGAGCATGTAGCGACAGCCTTGTGCCTGCTTTGTTAACCATGCTCTTGCCTCAGCAGCCCAGCATCAGGCGACTTCTTTATCACAATCATGTCTCATTTCTACTCTACATTCTCATGACCTCCATGTCGAATTTTTCCGATCAGACTGTCCAGGATGACCGATAACTCGTCCCTTGTTCCAAGTCAGAGCTCTCCCAATTTTGCGCAACAAGGCCAGCTCGATTGGGTGGCTGTCATACAAACTCCCGTTGCATTTACGCTTGATGTTTTGGCGAGATATGGCAAAGCTGGGGTAGATGCACTTACCGTTGGAATAGCTCGAGCCGTGTGTTCCCAATTCGACTTGAAGCCAGCTGCACAGAAGCGACTGGAGGATTCAATATCGAAACTCAAGACTGTTCATTCGTTTGGGAAAATAGCATGGTTTGGGTTCGGTCTCAAACATATCATTGACGATCTTTTGGAATCTGAGCAAGGCGCAGCCTGTGTGGCCCTTTCTGGATGTCTGACCACCTCTTATGATACGGAATTTGCGAGTCAGGTCTACCGATGTATCTGTCAATTGAAAGGGGCGCCCGGGAGCCTTACGCCCTCACTCAGACAATGGGCTGCACTTGTTAGCATATGTGCTGGTTCATTGACAAATTCTCAATTTCCTCATTTGTTAGCTGGATTCGAAATGCTTCTGGCGAGACACCTCCGCGATCGAGATTGCAAAACCCCGCCTCAGGCGGATGCGCTAGCTAGAGCCATCATCATTCTTGGGAACTTATCCAAACGAGATCTCAGGAGCGCTACGTTCAGTGGCGGTCTTGATTGTGCTTGGGTCGCCGCCATGGCTGAGTGGATGCTTTGCCTCGGAGTGGAAATCAACGATAGTTCTGGATACACTCTCTATCGATCACATTCGCTTTCATTGGGCGAGACTGCCCATGTCATAATCAATGTTGATGCACAAAGTATGGAAAGCTCTTCCGGTCTTACACATAAGACACTATCCATACCATCTGGGAAACACATTTTGCGTACGACCTACGACAAGGCTTTGCCCGCTACTGCTGTCCAAAGATCGGTCCCCTGGACGGATGTTTTAGGGGCTGCATTTGGACAAGAAATAATATCCTCGCTTCTCGCTGCCTTAAGCGGTACTATTGGACTTCTTCTCGGACATTTGCTAGAAAGTATGAATAATCCTCACTATCTGACAACCAAGACCTCCTATCTCCCACCAAGGGGTATTGGGCGGAGACGTGAAATCGCTGAATGGGTGATGTGGCGTCTTCCTGAACTACAGCCCTGCATTCAACATTCAATTAGTCAATTACAATTCTCACCATCATGTCAAATAACGATTGACGAATTGGAGGAATGCTGGTATTCTATAAAAGGTGCCTGTAATTGCCCAATGTGCTCACCGCAGCCCGGTTTCGAAAATAAAGTCTGTTTGGAAATCCTCACTCTAACGATCTTGGAATACTTGAGCATACTTCATCCAGTATCGATTGATCCAACTATTTTTCCTTCGTGTAGTGGAATCCGCTTTCTCTATGATAAAAGAGCCCAGCGCGCGAGCAGTTATCGCCACATTAGCAGTCTTGCATTTCAAACGACTTTCAACCTCAGTGCACACATAAGTCTAGAGAGGATATTCGAAGTTCTTACTGGTCAAGAATTCGAGACAACCGATTCTCATCGTCGAAAGTCGGCCATAGCTGCTAATGGAATATGCATATTCATGGAAATTATGTCAGATCTTGATGTCTCTCCGTTGGGCTTGGACAATATTAAAGTCATTCCCGGCTACATTGAATTCGAAGATAGTCAATGCGTGGAAATTCTGGATTTTCCCTGGCTAGAAGATCATCAGTGGCGTCTTTCGATGCGACAACTTGTTTTGAACGACACCTCGCATAATATGGTCGTGCATCACAAGTGGCATGATGCGTCCATCCAAGTAGGGTATCAACTGAAAACCAGGGGAATAGAGGGTACAGCAACCGGATTAGTTGAGACACGATTCAATGTGTTGCGGAGGCGGACGCTATGTGATTGTACCGTTTGGTGTCAGGCGAAGAGACATGACTGCCACTTGCCGGGCCAACAGACATCAGGCAAAGATGAGTGGCTTGCTGTGGCTTTGACTCGTCTAGCAAACGAGACCGATGACAAACACCACAGCTATGCGCTCGAGGCTTTCAAATGTAGCTATCCTCAATTATATTTGGATGTTCTCGTGTATCGTCCGAATAGCCGGGTATGCTTGGTCAGGATCAAGAATTGCTCAAGGTGCATGCTCATGTATGCAGTTGAAGCCTTATTCGACGCTCCAAAGGAAAAATTAGACTCATACCGTAAATTCGAGCCTATAGGAACCATCGTTATTCGGAGGTGGAGGGCCGAAGAAATACAGATAGAGTTAAAAGAAGCGGAGTTGGGAATTAGGAAGAGGAACATTGATACTTCGTTTGCCGAGCCTTATCGGAAACCGAATGAAGTTGAAGCTGTGCCGCTGTTCCCGAACGTGCCCCTCGATCATGATCCAGTTGATTGAAAAAAATCCTTCATTGATGAAAGTGAAGACAATGTCTCTTTAGTGTGAAGCACTTCGAAATCGAATGACTTCAACACATTGATTGGAAGATGATACAATCCTCGATTACTGCACATGTTAATCTACAGTTTGACAAAACTTCAGCTTTGTCTAACACCTCAATTCTCCTAGAATCTACACAAAGTATCACAAAAACAAAGACAAGTGCGCGGCTCACCTTGCCATATAAGGCATAGAAGTAGCTCTGATCCAGCCAATCAACCACGATCCGGTCTATCCGAATCATAAATTAAGGACTTAAGTCCGACGACTCGATATGCGCCAATTGGCAGGCTTGCATCGAGTCTCGACAGGGGCTGCGCGGAATTAGCCATTTCTCGAGCCTTGCACGGAGAAATGATAAGATGTCAGGCAATGGCTATGCTTACTGCGTACCCCGCCGCGAGCTGTCAGGCCACTTGACGTCATACGTATACCTAATTGAGATATTAATGTTCATTTTTAATAAGCTATTTCACTTGTAAATTCCTAGCATGAGTCAGCCGCTTATCAATCTCGAAAATTGCAATCTATATACTGCAAGTCTAGCCATATCTAGGGTTAGAGTCCTCACGTGTTTCGAAAAGACTGCAACCAAGAATTTGCATTATTTGCATTTAAGAACTATTCGCCGTTATTTGATGAATGCATTAGCACAAGGCTATAAGTACGTAGATAATCCCGGGTTGCCATGTCCTAGCACCTTCGAGCTCGACTCGACTCTACCTACATGGTATCACTACATGCACCCTTTAAGTAGCACCCATAGGATATAATCAATCACCTAGTCAATATCTTTCGTCACCATGGTCCAAGTCGCAATTATAGGTGGCGGTCTAGGCGTACGTTCAACAACCAAGACATTCCTCATTGGGAATATTGGCCTAACCATGAGAGACAGGGACTAGTCCTCGCCCTCAACCTCCACAAACGAAACATATCAACAGCAATTTACGAATCCAGATCCGAAACCGATATTCACGGCGGCAGCATCGCTCTCGCCCCCAATGCACTCCGGGTCCTAGACCGCGTCGGCGCATACGAAGCCCTTCGCGTGCGTGGCTTTATCTACGAACAGATTCATTTCGTGAACGGTAAGGGAGCAGAAATTGGATTTGTGTTTCATGGGAATAGGGGACTGTATAATTTCCCTGCTCTGCGGATTAAGCGCTCGGTTTTGAGGGAGGAGCTTGTCCGTCTTGTGAAGAGGGAGGGTATTCCAATCTTTTGGGATAAAAAATGCGTGCATGTTGTTTCGGAGACTGCTGCAACAGATCCTGAGTCCAGCGGTTCTGCCACGGTGGAATTCAGTGATGGTGAGAGGGTGTCGGCCGGGTTTGTGGTCGGTGCTGATGGGATTCATTCCCGCGTTCGGCCGTTCATTGCGCCGGATGTCGGGGATCCCACATTCGATGGTCTTATGGGTATTACCGGCACGATCCACGCCGACGAGCTGGGAGATTTACTAGAAAAAGCTGGACTGCACATCCCGTGCATGCTATTCGGCGCAAAGGGGTCAATAGGGATCCTGCCCTCTTCTTTCGACGGCAAGGAGATTGAATGGTTTGCGAATCTGGAAGCTGAAGATCGCAGTCGAGAAGAATGGACTCGGTTCGGTAGCGATGGGCAGGGGATGAAGGACTTGATTCTGCAAAGGTTCCTATATGACGACAAGATTGATCAGTGGCCGGAGATGGTTAGACAGTTGATGCTCAAGACGCGTCCAGAGGCGTTTACGAACTGGCCGTAAGGATCACGGATCATGACTAAGTACTAGGAGGGATGACAGACTGACTTCATAGATTTTATACGTTACCTCATGTTGAGCACTGGTCCTCACCTCACAAACGTGTCCTTCTCATTGGAGATGCGGCCCATGCTATCCCTCCCACTGTAAGTTTATCTCCAAAGACTGCCAGAGGATAGCTCACATTCTTCAGGGCGGCCAAGGTGCAGCCATGGCATTCGAAGACGCCGACACCCTATCATACGTCCTCACTCGCGCCTACAGCCCCGATTTCAATCAAGCAACGAATCTCTCAGATCTGGTCACGAAATGGGAACACCACCGCCAAGAACGAATTGTCGAAATTACAACCTTCACATCGCAGAATGGCAGAATGCGGAGATCAAGCACATATGTCTATGAGCAAGTGGCTAAGGAATGGATTATTTGGGCTGCTTTGAAGATTAAGGGGCCGCAAGGAGGAGCTGCGTGGATATTTTCGTATACTCCTGAAGATATACTTGCGGCTATATCGTTGTGAAGTTCTGGTTTCTCGGAGTTCATGAATATCAGCGAGCTTTTGTTTGAGCCTGGAGAATTCCGTAGTAGGCTTATATGGATGGTCACCTTCACAATGAAAAGACAGTGTACGAATGACTCAATAGTTGTCAGAGCATAATATAGCAGATATAGAATTACTGCACTATATCAATAAAAAATACACATGATAAACTATAGAACAAAGAAAACGCCAAGTATTGAATAAAACAACGGAAAACAACATGATGGAAATGCAAACATTCAAAAATCGTAATAAGCGTGTTGACTCTCTGGGGTGTGAAAACAATAAACAGGGTGGATAGAGTGATACTAGAGTACAAAAAAAAAAGCGGTCAAGACTTCAAGTCTCTAACCACTGCACATGATGCAAGCTTCCTTGTTTTCGATGCTGCATTGAAGAACCTTTTGGGCATAAATGTCCTGCTCCGACTCGCCATTCTCGCCGGCTTCGGCCTCTTCGATTTCATGTTCAGCCCTGTCCTCGGCAATCTCAATAGGCTGAGCGGCACCGTTGACACGAGAAGCTGAGACGGGTTGCAATGGGTCTGGGACACCAGTTCCGTTAGAGACGACAGGCTTCTGGTCATACATGGGACGAGGAACGGAAGCATAGGAGTTGCTGAATGCAGCTGGTGCGGGAGAACGCTTTTTGCTGATACCATTGGCGCGAGCGACGTTGGTGTCTTCCACCTTCAATTGTTCCTGGTCAACAGTGAATTGAATAGGGGCGCTAGCAGCCATTGTACGCAAGTAGTACATTCCGGTCTTCAGGCCCATCTTCCAACCAGCGAAGTGCATACTAGTGATCTTGCCCATAGTAGGCTCCTTCATGTGGATGTTGAGAGACTGAGACTGGTCAATGTAAGCACCACGGTCAGCAGCCATCTGCAGGATTGATCGCTGAGAAATCTCCCAGACAGTCTTGTAAAGAGCCTTGATGTCAGCAGGAATGTTAGGGATGTTCTGGACGGATCCGCCGTCGGCGATGATTCGGTTCTTCATGTTGTCAGACCACAGACCAAGGTCAACAAGGTCCTTAAGCAACCAAGGATTAACGACTTGGAACTCTCCAGCCAAGACACGACGAGAGTAAATGTTCGATGTGTAAGGCTCGAAGCACTCATTGAAGCCAAGAATCTGACTGGTACTAGCAGTAGGCATAGGAGCAACCAGAAGACTGTTGCGAACACCATGTTGGCTGATCTGTGCCTTAAGCGAGTCCCAGTCCCAAAGGTCCGTGGGGGTGCGTTCCCACATGTCATATTGCAAGATACCCTGAGAGACGGGAGAGCCTTCGTAGGTCTCATAAGTGCCGTACTCCTTGGCAAGCTCGATGGAGGCTGTCAAGGCACCGTGATATATTGTCTCGAAGATCTGAATGTTCAATTGCTTGGCTTCTGGAGAGTCAAAGGGAAGGCGTAGAGCAAGGAACGCATCAGCGAGACCATTCACACCGACTGCAATAGGACGGTGACGGAAGTTGCTCTTCTTGGCCTCAGGCACAGGGTAGTAGTTAATGTCGATGATCTTGTTCAGGTTACGCACAAGCACCTGGGTGACTTCGTGCAATTTACCAAAGTCATATTCGCCACGGGCGGTATCAACAAAGGTAGGCAGAGCAAGTGAAGCTAAGTTGCAGACAGCAACCTCATCAGGAGCACAATATTCAATAATCTCGGTGCAAAGGTTGGAGCTACGGATAGTGCCGAGATTCTTTTGGTTGCTTTTCTTGTTGCAAGCGTCCTTGTAGAGCATGAAAGGGTTACCGGTCTCAGTCTGAGCCTCAAGAATGGCGTACCAGAGCTTCTGAGCTTTGATAGTACGACGACCACGGCCCTCCCTCTCGTACTTTTCGTATAGAGCATCAAACTCTTCGCCATAGACGTCAGCAAGACCAGAAGCCTCATTAGGGCAAAACAAGGTCCAGTCCTGATTGGCCTCTACACGACGCATGAAGAGATCAGGGGTCCACAAGGCATAGAACAAATCACGGGCACGGACTTCCTCTTTGCCATGGTTCTTGCGGAGGTCAAGGAACTCGAAGACATCCGAGTGCCATGGCTCGAGGTAGATAGCAAAAGCACCAGGACGTTTGTTACCGCCTTGGTCAACATACCTGGCAGTGTTGTTGAATACTCTGAGCATAGGCACAAGACCGTTTGAAGTACCGTTGGTTCCTCCGATGTAGGAACCAGTGGAACGGATGCGGTGCACATTGAGGCCAATACCACCGGCAGACTTAGAAATCATAGCACATGTCTTGAGAGTATCATAGATGCCCTCAATACTGTCCTCCTTCATGTCCACAAGGAAGCAAGAAGCGAGTTGTGGTCGGGGAGTACCCGCATTGAACAATGTTGGAGAGGCATGTGTGAAGTACTTCTGAGACATTAAGTTGTATGTCTCAATAGCTTTTTCAATATTCTCACCGTGAATACCGACAGCAACACGCATGATCATGTGTTGAGGGCGTTCGGCAACCTTGCCATTTATTCTGAGAAGATAAGAGCGTTCGAGGGTCTTGAAACCGAAGTATTGATAGTTAAAGTCACGGTCATAAACAATGGCCGAATTCAATTCTTCAGCATGCTTCATGACAGTCTGGTACATTTCATCCGAGATCATGGGCAATGATTTGTTGTTCTTGGGGTTGACATAGTGGTACAGATCTTCGATCACAGCAGAAAACTGCTTCTTGGTCTGCTTGTGTAGGTTGGAAACGGCGATACGAGCGGCGAGGACAGCGTAATCGGGGTGAGTGACGGTCATGTATGCAGCGGTTTCGGCGGCCTTCGTGATGTTAGTTGTCGTTTGGTATAAGTACAAATGCAAGGACTACTAACCAAGTTGTCCAATTCGACTGTGGTGACACCTTGGTACACACCAGAGATGACTTTTTGGGTGATGGCAGCAGCATCGACATGGTCAGGGTCTAGACCGTAACATAGTCTCGACACACGAGCTGTGATCTTGTCGAACTGTACGCGCTCCTTGCGTCCATCTGAAATTGTCAGTAGAGACTCTTCACCAGATGCAGACACACGACGACACGACAGCATGATAAATCATGAACTTCGATTGCGGAGTCACGATGGAAATATAATATGCTTACCTCTCTTGAACACAAACATCTTGATGTGTTCTTCACGCGTAACGACGTGACACGATTTTCTTGAATAGAGTGGGTAAAAAGGAGAATATCGAGGGTATCTTCAATCAAGCGATAAAGGGAGAGTGGCAGCAACGTGATGAACACAAGTTCAGTAAAATGTTATTGATGATGCCCTGGGGAGAAGGGTTGTTGAAAAAGAGAACGGAGGAAGGGAGTGTCAGAGTAGAAATAAGCTGAGAGGGGCAGAAAACATGGTATTTGATTCCTAAGCCAGGACGCGTCTCGTTTCCTGGGAAGACGCGATTTCGTGTTTGGAGCTTTTTATTAGTTTTTGCCTGGTCCGAGTGGCGGCTTTAGCGCGCCTCCAGTCACGTGAGTCGCGTTTTGGTTGATAATCATTGCCTAACACTTTAGCCTGAAGAAGTAGGCGGTCAGTGTTGCCCAGCACAGAGAATTGGGCAGTACAATGTCACGTGGCTCTGTGCTAGTGATTGGCTGTTCTATTGGTCAATCCGACATGTCTATTAGAGTCCTTGCTTAAGCTTGAACATGACCATTGTTGCATTCTATGTGTCCGAGGTAGCTGATCATGTGGTGAGTCGGATGCATCAGGGTCTTAGTCGTCCTGTTGCCTTCATCGACTCTCATACACGATTCATGAACAAGACCTAAGCCGAGAATTTCTCATCAAACGTGCTCTCAATAACCTCATCGACCGGTAATCTAAAGTCCACAATCTCCTGCCCATTCAACAAATCATTCTCCCTCGCCCGCTTATCCGCATCCTCCGCATCCTTAGCGATCCCCGCCTCCACATGTCGTTTGATCAGTCTCTGTCTCGCAGTCTCAAAATCCACCTCGACAAACCACAGCTCATCCATAAGTGCCGCCGCTTGATTCCATGGCTCTCTATTTAGACTTAAATAATTCCCTTCAAAGATGAGGACTCGCGCTGTTGCGAAGATGGGTATGTCGTTTTCAACGGGGTCTTTGATCGCATGATCAAAGCTCGGCGCAAAAATTGTATTCGTCGTTGCCGTCACCGGTTCTCGTAGAAGCTTAACAAGTTGCAAGAACTTATCTGGATTGAATGTAAATGCTGCTCCTCTTCTGGCAGCTGCGAATACCGGGTCTGGCATAGCTGCGAGTTCGGTTCGTGTCAGATGGTAGCCATCCATAGGCACGAATGCGGCGATTGAGGGGGCGCCGGGGGCATGCTGTGTGTATAGTTCATTGATTCGGTTTGCGATTACTGCTGCTAATGATGACTTTCCCGATCCGGGTATGCCACTGATTGCTATCATAAGCCGGGATGTCTCTGGTGTTGACAGGAACTTGTCTATATGGAGGGAGAGTCAGTATCACCATACAATATTACTTTTTAAGGCATTCGTCTGTCCTCCCAACAGCTAAGAGGCCACACGGGTCCAAGAGTGAAATAAAGTGCGTACCCCATGTCTTCTTCACTAATCTGTCCACCTGATTCTCCATCTCGAACCAGACTGATCAATTACGTCTGTCGAATCAATGGGAAGAAGCTTTTTGCCTCTCTGAATAACAGCCACGGGCCGTTCTTTGATTTTCTTTTATTGTCAGTCAGGAAATCCTAAGGACGCGACTCGACGTATTACTATGGTGGGGTGGCAGTTAGGAATATCGGACGAGACTGCGCCGTCCGGTGGATTCTAAAAAGGATGTCTGTCCTCCGGAGTCCGTAGAGCTATGGAGCGCGTGGAGCAGATTGTAGCAGTAGCTTGTAAATTTGGAGTTCAGGTCCCCAAGAACTAGTCAACTTAGTCAAGGAACACTTCTTGATCTTGGTCTATGTGGGGGCAGCCACTTCGATTAGGTTGGTCACCTGATGGATATAAATTTCGTGATACATACACTAGGTACACTCAAAACTTGCGCTGGACTTTTGTCGTACAACTATCGACCATATTTAAAAATCGATCCGTCACAAGGGAATCTCGCATGGCAAATATAACAACACCACAAACGCCGTCGCCACCCAATGCACGTACGTACTGTCAGCCCACATGGTTGCTGATAAATGTACAAATCTCACCAGGAGATATAGAATGGAAAAAGTAAACATGCAGTCGCTTATGATTCATCTGCCGCATTGGTGCGACCTTCGTTAACGTGTTCTGAAGACCCGTCACCAACGTCTAATTGGCGACCCATGGTGCGAGGCAATCCTGCTGCCGCCCACCAATCGTCAGGAACATGTTCCCGCTGAGCCAGGCGATCAATGATCGCTTGCATATCCCCACCCGAAGATAGATCGTGTGAAATGAAAGATATAGACGGTAGTCCCAATGATCGTGGCAATCTTGGGACTGGAGGTTGACTGTCCTGGGTAGACCCAACCGTCGACGTAGATTCAAGGAGCCGAGATCGCGGATGCCGACGTTGACGGGAGGACCCCGAACGACTCAACCCTAGTTCTGACTCTGTCTCGGTGTCTGAATCCGTGGCATGATCTGGGATATCGCAGGGATTGAAGAAGTCAGGGTAAGGCTCTAGAATCATATGCACTGTAGCGGTCGGTCCCGAGGATATTCGCTGTGTCTGAGATGATTGACTCCGGCGGCCAGACTCAGCAGCACGGCTGGTATTGATAGCAGCATTAGATGTGAACGAGGACTCAGCACTAGGCAAGTTCGGATCAGGCGTCAGAGTAGTCAAAAGTGTCTCCCATGCGTTGCCAAGGTCGTCATCATCGGGGCTAGCACTACGTTGTCGATCACCCAAGCCATCAATACCTTGTTGCGATGAAGCAGTTCCGTTGTTGTCGCTAACCGATCGATGCCCCACACGACGTAAATACCGCACACCAGGTGCAGGTCCATCTTCTGTCATCTGCACTGGGGGCCGTACCACCGCGGGCGGGGGTGATCTTGTTTCGGTACGGGCAGAAGGGCCGGAACTATCATGCCTGGGACCATAAGCAGGCGCAAATCTAGGAGAGTAAGGGAAACCTTCGGCTGCCTGCCGAGTCCTCGCGGAATCCCCATGAGACGAACGATGAAGCGCTTCACTTGGTGACCATGGAGGAGTGGGCATCTCGAAGCGAAGGGAAGATTCACGGGGGATGCGAAGACGTCGACCGGGCTGGCGATGCCGCAACGCATCCCGTAGCAATCGAGAACCCTCCTCTCGCCGAGCAGAATCACTCAAGGCAGCGGCATTTCTTGTCGAGTCTACCAAAGCGACGTCTCCAAATACAGTGCTCTGTGCAAGGGGCCGATTCTCGAGGAGATTGTCTAGTTGTTGTAGAGCGTCGTCTAATTGTGAGGCGGATAAAGAATTGCGCGGCGATATACTGCTCGAACTTGATTGTGAAACGACATGTCGCACGGCTCCTCTGCGACGGATAGATGAGCGTGAGTGGGCGCAAGGATCACTTTTGACAGAACTCTTGGGCTCGGGAGGAGAAGGTGGACGCCATAGACTACATAATACACCGTGATTAGTGAACACTCGCAAAGAGAGTAATGACTCCGTTGAGGTCTTGTTGTTGGGCAGCCGGGTCAGGCTGCAAGGCAAACAAGTTGGCGCGCTCGTTGCGTGGCAGCCCTGAGCCGCGACACCGCGCGCGGACCGGATCAACTTACGGAATACCCATAATGAAGACCCAAAAAGATAAAACGCGAAAGGTCTGAGAAGAGAAGACAAAGATGACGATGATAATAATAATATTACAGTGTAGTAGGCGCGCTCGGTATGCGCGAAGATATTGAAAGATAATTGAAAGGGTAATCAAAGGTGACAGAGGATAATGGCAGGAGACCCTGAGAGAAAGAGGGAAGGTGGCTGGCAAAATCGGCGGCAACTTGCAACCATCATCTCTGGAGGGCGGGTCCGTGGGAGGAACCCGGCCGTCAGCCAATTAGGATTGGTTTTTGCTCTACAGGCACGCCAACTCATACATACAGTGGAATGGGACTGACTCTAATGAGTCACTCGATCTACAGAAACAGCACTTTCTCCTGCTGTCTTTCCAAGCTGGATGATTACCTCGGGGTTGCTGTCGTGAAAGTTACCAGGCAATCAAAACTCCTTTGATCACGTGACTTGGTCACTGCCGAAAGTTTGTTTTGTTCGCATAGCCATGGACAGCACCTGCCCCTTGAGACGACCCAGCACTACATCTTATACTACAGCAAACTCATCTTTCAAATATTCTTTGTAACCTGCGTTTTTGTTTCTGCGTATATACATCATGATTTGTGTCAAGAATAACACGAACAAGGTTCGACCATGCAACTAGATCATTACAAGGCTAGGTCAAGAATCAAGCAAAGGCAGTCTCGACCAAGAAGGTCACATCGGCGTTGAAAGAGGCGGTGGCATCAAACGTTTGCACACCGCCGTTGCTGGCAGCATACAGCACATTGTTGTAGTGTCGGAAATAGCGCGTGGGATAGCTCCAGCTTCGAAGCGAGGTGCCCGTGCCGCTGAGGCCTGATTCAGGGCAGAATGTGGCATCTTCGTAGAACTGCTTGGTGCCGTCATTGGCATTGAGCAGGAGCTCGAAGTTGTAGTGACGAATGTAGCTGCCAGGTGTGTCAACGGACTCGAATGAGAAGCAGGCGCTGTTGCCGAGACCGGTGCGAACTGTCCAGCTGGCTTGCTCCTTGAGAGTGGTAGAGCTAGACGAAGAGACCACCTGGGTGTTGACGGTGGTGTCGGTGTGTGCGATGTAGCGTGTCGTGTATCCAGAAGTGGTGACGTGCAACGAAATTGCCGAGCCAACGGTGAGTGCTGTACCGCTGGTCAACGATGTGGTAGCGTAACCAGCAGCAACGATATTAGCCTGCACTGAGTTCTCCGTGGCGTCAGTGGGGTATCCGGAAGTCATGACACCTTCGTAGAACGTGCCCTGGGCGCCGTTACTATTATCACCACCGATGCCGAGAATGATGGCACCCTCCTTGTGCATGGGGTAATAGCCAGAGACATTTGGGCGCACGCCACTGTAGTACGTGGACAATGATCCGGATGCAGCATTACCACCGCGAATGGCCCAGAAGTTTGGCTCTCCCTTGACGACCGCAGTGACGAAACGGTAAGATAGAGATGGATCAGCAGAATTCTCGCCAGTGCTCTCGCCAGAAAACAGACCATTCTCTAGATCAGCCATGACCCATGGCCCGCTGCCGGAGCCACTTCCCCAGTAAGTGGCGTCACCATAGTAGATAGCCTCCATGTGGCCATTGCCAGTATCAGTGCTGCTGGTCTCAGCGTTACCATAATCGAAGCAGCATGCGCCGTTGTAGTGGGTTCCGTCGAGCACCGCATACATGCCCTCAGCTGCGTCACCGGTAGCTGTGCCGCTGGCAGCGTTGTTACGATAACCAGTACCGGGTGAGATGAATACACCGTACGCCTTTTTGCCGTTCAGCGTCACGGGTGCGCCAACTGCAGCGGCCAAGTTATCATAGCCATTGGCATCAGGGCCGTCGAAGCCACCGGGAGGAGCTTGGGTGAGATGATTACCGCGGCCAGATTGGTCGTAGATGATCGTGATAAGGCATGTCGTGTCGGCACAGAAGGTATCTTGGGCGGCAGCATTTGCAACACCACCTGCGGAGAGCGGCGAGATGGTGGTTGTAGTATTATCGGAGCCACGCTTGATCTGGTAGAGCGCGCCGCTGTAGGAGGCATAAAGGGCACGAGTGGTACTGTGCGCGGCAACGCAGGGCGTGCCKCCGGAGGAGTATATGTCGCAAGGCCCAGTTGCGGTGACAAGGGAGCTTGAGGCGATAAGGCCAAGAGCAAACAGGCTGGTGCGTTCGGGTTTTATTCTTGGAAACATCATGACTTTTGCTAGATGATCACCTCTGGGACTATAAAAAGATGATCGACGAGAGGCTTGATCGACTACTGAAGCAGAAGATGTTTCAAGCTGCGAAGCCTATCTTTTATAATCATTTTCAATCAACCGAGAATCAGATTTAGACCGGCTGATTTTATTCAGGTGGCATGTAATCCCTCCAATAATTACAAACTCAATATACATACAATGCTATTGCTAATTGCCGTTATGCGGGGTGCATTCAAAAGAGTTTGAATAAACCCGGAGAAAAAAGATGCTGTCCCTCTCCAGCGTTGCATAAACAAAGCCTTGTGACGCATGTAAGGCTATTTCCCACGAGCATAACAGGTGGAACAAAACGCTCCGTTCATTGCTCATGCAACTAAATTAGACGGATCACAAATCGGCAAGAAAAAGAGGCCCGAAGATTTCGATTCTTGGGAATTAAACCAGTCCCCATTGTTATAGGTGGAAGTGCCGAGTGACTGCCTAATTCAGGTACAGCAAATCTAGCAGAGCTAAGCTTGCCCAAGAGGAGAAGAAAAGCCGCGTGTTGTAGGGGTCTCCGGGGATTGATACAGTCCATGCGGAGGGGCAATTGTCCAATGAAACAGCTGTCGGGGAGTCAGGGCGCCTCGGGGCCCCGGATCCTCGCATATAAGCTTAAAAAGCCTTACTTGATCCTTGATTCTAAGGTTAAATTCCTCTTCAATCTTGAATGCCGAAATCATACGTTATGATTCGGTCTATCTTTGCCGAGGCACACAATCGCAATGGAATTTATCCGACGTGCAGTTTTCAATTGTACCTTCTTGTATGATCAGCGGGAGATCAACGTTTCATTTTTGCCGACTGTTCTGATCTTGTAAGATCAGATTGATTCTCGTATACTTTTTAACCTTTTAGCCGAGTGCATCTATCCCTGTCTTTGAGTCTGAACAGCATCCCTTTAACAAGAGTAGATGCTGATTGTTTGCGAACAAGATGAACTGTTGCGTGTGGAGTTAAGCTCCTAGCCTCGAGCCTACCGTCAAAAACCTAAGTGTGTCTGTTTGTGCGATCTGACCAAAGTAAGGCAGAAGGCGTTGCTCATGAAATATGTAGAGCTCAAAGTGAGATGGCTGGTCTTGAATATTGGTCTCGGCTGTCTGATTGGTCAAACTAGACAATTGTACGAAATGATAGCACGTGAAGCAGCGGCCTGATTTTTCGGGAATCCATGAGTTCTTATCGGCGGCGTGTCCCCACATGGCACCACTTTCGGAGTCTGGTCTGCACTTCACAAGAGATGCCATGAATCAGTCAGTATGCAATTCCTGATGGCGTTGAGCTACGATTCCTGATTCGAGCCTTCAATCTGGTGAGCAAATCCGATCTCTAATATAGCTATTTCGCAAGACCCGAATTGAAGACTGATTGAAATAGCCGGACAATGAGTGTGTCACACCGAAAACCACCGAAATATATACGCCCTTGACCGAGAAGCTATCCCTCAGACAGGCATGATTGAATTAGGCCTCTCCCGAATCTCCCGTCTCGTCCAGCAGTCAGCCTTCAGCTGGAAAGCAATCCATGTCGCTGGGACGAATGGCAAAGGCTCCATCACATCTTACGTCTCCGGCCTCTTGACGGCCGCCGGCGTTCGATGCGGCCGGTTCACCTCGCCGCATCTGATCGACCGATGGGACTGTATTACGATCAACGATAAGACTGTCCCAGAATCTTTGTTTCGTCAAGTTGAAGAACAGATCGAACAGCGCAATCGGTCGTTGGGTGTGGACGCCTCCGAATTTGAATTGCTTACTGCGACAGCGTTCGAAATATTCGATCGGGAAAATGTGGAAATAGGTGTCGTAGAAGTTGGAATGGGCGGTCGCCTCGACGCTACCAACATACTTTCAAATGTACTTGTCTCTGTCATCGCAAAAATTGGTCGCGATCACGAGGCATTTCTCGGAAACTCGATACAATCTATCGCCAACGAGAAGGCAGGGATCTTGAAAGACGGTGTACCTTGCGTTGTGGATGGCACCAACGAGCCCGAGGTGCTTCAGGTTCTACAGTCTCGCATTAGAGAACTCGGCATTGATTCCATAACAGCGACATCAGATGTTGCAATTCAACATTTCCCCAAACTGGTTTCTTTATTCAACGACCTTGATCTAGAGCCTCATCAGAGAAGCAACATCGCCTGCGCAACATTAGCGCTACAAAAGGCACTTGAACAAACTCATTCACCCTTGAATGTGAACGATCTCGTTCCGAACTTGTCAAAAATCGAATGGCCCGGCCGTTTACAGCACCTTTCTGTCAAATCATTGATCAACCGAAATGAACCCGTTCTCATTGATGGAGCTCATAACGGGCAATCGGCGAATGTTCTTGCCGGTTTCGTGAATCGTAAGTTACGCCAACAGGGCGTGCCCGTAACTTGGTTAGTTGCTGTTTCTCATGGGAAAGATCTGTCCGAGATCCTACAGCCATTGCTACATCCCGGCGACAATGCTGCGGTGGTCGCATTTGGTCCTGTCGATGGTATGCCCTGGGTTAAAGCTACGGATCCGGAACGGGTAGTCAACCATATCAGGTCAATAACTGGCATAGGGAAGGTTGAAGCTTTTGGTGATGATATTCCCTCTGCGCTCACGTGGGCATCCCAATCTGCTAGACAAGGGCCATTGGTGATTGCCGGCAGCTTGTATTTGGTATCTGATGTCTTCCGACTACTTCGATCTAGAGAGTAGCTCTGTTTTGTACGATAGTATATTTAACATGTGCAGTATACATAATCTGTATAGAGCACATTGCGCACGCAAATTGAAGATACGTAGTTGTATATATGTCATCTTAGTCTAGAATGTGAAAAGACTCTGAAATAAAATTAAGGGCATAAAGTGGCACAGGGACAGCCAATGAATCGATCAATTGGGCGCTCAATGCCGCTCATCGCCGACAATTTCCAAACTAACAGCGCCCAGTGGGCTGTTAGGGCTGAGTGGTCGGCTTGGGCAATGTTTACCGTGATGTCAGCTTAGTTAGTGCGGAGAACTCGACCACCTTCCACTTGCAACTTTTCCAACAAAACCGCCTTTTGCTTTCTTTCTGTGAGTTTGACTCCATATTTGGATGATTTCAACACGAGGAATCGTTACTAATTGTTTTGCTTATTTGTTCATGATCAGACTTGCGCAGCATGACATGAAACCAAGTCCCCAAAGGAGTCTCAGCTTACGCCCAACTGTTTGGATCACAACCMCCCCTCGCCGAGCCGCCATACGACGTTCATTACCCTCCACATTTTGTTTACAGCATTGGACAGCAATTATAGAATAATTCAAATCCAGAATAATTGAAACGAACGACAGACTGAGTATACATCGTCGCGATCGTCCTTTGTCATCGTACATGATATGCCTCTTCCCCGCGTGTTTACACTCTTTCCCGCACTCCGCCTCTTGCACTCGGAAATACGTCTACAACTCGTGGGCCGCCAACACGGAACGCTTTAATCGCTTATAATTAGGAGAGGCACGTTTTCGTGTTCTGTGTCAGGAGGATGGTCAGCCGTTCAAACGATGCCGAGGAATCGTTCCTCCCGTCATCTCGTACCCCAGGAACACCAGTCAAGACACGATTAGCAAGATCGGGGACGAGCCCAACCAAAAGAGACGACAGGTCGTCGAAATCGTTATCGAAGGATGATTCAGAGCTCACGGACTATGTATGCATCTTTCAATCGTCAATTATTGCAGGTCCATACTAACGGCGTTGAAGCAATTGGGGGATTGCCTAGGCAAGGGTGCGTTTGGGTCGGTTTATCGAGCCCTCAACTGGAACACCGGAGAGACAGTTGCAGTAAAGCAAATAAAACTTGCAGATCTTCCGAAGAGCGAACTAAGGGTTATCATGGTGCGTATCCAACTTACCGTCTGGGTGATATTGCAGCTAGTCACTGACTCGAGTCCCTATAGCTTGAAATCGACCTCCTTAAAGCTTTGGATGTAAGTCGGGGATCTTGCAACCTTCGTGGCTCTTTGATCAATTGACTTGTGTCGGATAATTTTAGCATCCCAATATTGTGAAATATCATGGTTTCGTGAAAACTCCCGAGATGCTCAACATCATACTTGAGTACATCTCCCAGAGATAAACAAAACAGTCGACTATTTATGCTAATTCTGATATAGGTACTGCGAAAACGGATCGTTACATAGTATTGCGAAGAACTTTGGCCGCTTTCCCGAAAATCTCGTGGCCCTCTACATGTCGCAGGTCTTACAGGGCTTGCAATACCTTCACGACCAAGGTGTGATCCATCGAGATATCAAAGGTGCAAATATCCTCACGACCAAGCAGGGACTAGTCAAGCTGGCGGATTTTGGCGTTGCTAGTCGTACAACTGGGTTACATGAATCGAGCGTTGTCGGCACCCCGTATTGGATGGCACCCGAAGTCATTGAGCTTTCGGGAGCAACGACGGCGTCAGACATTTGGAGCCTCGGTTGTACAGTGATTGAGCTCCTTGATGGAAAGCCTCCATACCACAAATTGCAGCCTATGCCAGCTCTTTTCCGTATAGTAAACGACGATCATCCTCCACTCCCTCAAGGAGCATCGCCCGTACGCATATCCCTCCTCTCTATGATAATGAATCAACTACTCACGAGCTATGCAGGGTGTTAAAGACTTCTTGATGCAATGTTTCCAAAAAGATCCCAATCTTCGCGTATCTGCTCGCAAACTTCTAAAGCATCCTTGGATTAGCAACGCTCATCGAACCGGATCAGTAGTTCCAAAGAAACCCACCGAGTACGAAGAGGCAGTCAAAAGTGTCCAGGAATGGAACGAGGCTCTTCGTTCTCCGGACTCCACGACAATGAGAAGGCCAGGCCGAACTGATCTTCAAGGCTCCAATCATCCACGACTTGATCCTATAAATACAGCATTACGACCCAAGGACGTAACATCCACTAGGAATATGTCTGGAAAATTCCGCACGCCTGATCCGGAAGACAACTGGGACGACGATTTTGATTCCGCCATTTCGCCTCGTGCACTTGAACTCCCACATTTACGACCGCATGACCACCTTGGAGGGATACTCTCTTCAGAACGACTGAAAGCTTTTGCTTCTCTTGATGGAACCACTATGAGGGACCCGTTGGGTAGTTTTTTGGAAAGTGACACCACATTGGGGGCTATGGACTCTGATCCGCTTGAGACTATTCGACCATTGCCGCGGAGAGTGGTGGAGGAGAACAAGCCGCATGTCAAGAGTCGGTCGCGTCACAGATCGAGTCAAAGTGTCCCTGTTGTTTCAGGCGTTCAGGTACTTAATACTAAGCCGGGGACTTCTCCGTCAAAACCTTTACGCCAACCCCGCCCAACAGCATTTTATACGGAAAGCGCGGACGAAGATTTTTCAGATCTCATAGTTGCCAATGACGATGTTTTGGAACGTAAACTTGGGATGTTTTCGGTAAGATATTGTTCTACTTGCATTCACTGATACCATCTGCTCATGAATTATTAGGATGTTGATGAAAATGTCCCGAAGACTGCGTTGCTGATCCCAGCTCAGAGGAAAGAATCAATCGACAGTTTCGACTCAGAGGATAGTAAAGCAAGTTTCCCAATCAGATTAAAAGCCAGGGGCTCCTTTAAACGTAGCAAGTCTTCAATTGAGATACAAAGGTTCACGGAGGATGAGCATGATGAGGATTTTTCGGACATATTCGGCAACGAAGAGACCGGCCCAAAACCAGCCAGCGAGCATGGTTCCGAGAAAAGCGCGCTTATGTTGCAATCTAAGCTCTCCAATAATTCATGGCTAGGAGACCAAGATGACGAAGACGACCCTTTCGCACAATTAGAGGAAGGATTCGATGAAATGGACTTGGAAGCAAACATTGCTCGTGACAAATACGCCCGTCTACGTAACCAGGTTGAGGGGCTCGTCAGTTCTTTGAAGACTTCACAAGATGATGATGTGCTCGCCGACATTTCGGAGCAACTGCTGGTCATATTCTGCGATCTACCAGAAACGAAGGCAATCATCATTGGATCTCATGGCATGCTTCCCATGCTCGAAATACTGGAAGGGTGTAGACGACGCGATATTATATTCAATCTGCTGAAGATCATTAACTCGATCATTTACAATGATTACGAGATTCAGGAGAATCTATGCTTTGTCGGTGGTATACCGATCATTAATGAGTTCGCATCGAAGAAATACCCCCGCGAGATACGACTGGAGGCAGCAACCTTTGTACAACAGATGTACCAGTCTTCGACGCTGACTTTGCAAATGTTTGTTAGCGCCGGTGGTCTTAACGTCTTGGTTGATTTTCTTGAGGATGACTACGAAGATGAGCGGGATCTCGTCTTGATTGGTGTCAATGGTATATGGAGTGTTTTTGAACTTCAAGTAAGTACGAGTTTGAGAGTCGTCTAAGAGTTTGTGCTGACTGTTCAGGGGTCAACGCCTAAAAATGATTTTTGCAGAATCTTGTCTCGAAATTCCGTTCTTGATCCGTTGTCGCTCGTGCTAAGCAGAGTACTCGATGAGGAGGAGGAATTAGCAAAGATAAGTGAGGGTCGTATAGCTAATATATTTTTCATCTTCTCTCAAGCAGAGAACCATGTCAAGGAAATGGTCGCAGAAAGAACTGTGCTGCATAGTAAGTGGATGATGTCTACATGTAAGTCAAGAAGCTAACAAGAATAACAGGAGTACTCAAAGAGTTGAGACGCATGACGCCGGTCCACCAAATCACAATGCTCAAATTTATCAAGAATCTCTCCATGTTATCTACGACATTAGAGTCATTGCAAAATTCGAATGCAATTGATGTTCTGACGGAACTTCTACGTTCCACCATGAAGCAGCCTCATTTCAGAGAGGTTTCAAATCAGATTCTCAACACAATATATAACATGTGCCGACTCAGTAAACCGCGACAAGAGGACGCAGCTTTGAATGGAATCATTCCTCTTTTGCAGAAGATTGTCAAGACGGAACGTCCATTGAAGGAGTTCGCACTTCCAATCCTGTGCGATATGGCTCATTCAGGGAAAGTTGGACGTCGTGAACTTTGGCGTAACAAGGGCTTGCCATTCTATATATCGCTACTCTCTGATCCGTACTGGCAAGTTACTGCGTTGGATGCTATTTTTGCATGGTAAATTTCTCCTTTCACGAAGCAATCAAGAGCGGATAGAACTAATCAGCGCTGCAGGCTCCAAGAAGAGACTGCCAAAGTGGAGGAACACCTACTGGAAGACCGTGCTGATGGTCTATCTTTTACTGATTCGATCGTCAAATGCCTAACGATTTCAAAAGCAAATGCTTTCGAGAACTTGCTAGAGCCACTCCAGAAACTCCTACGCTTGAGTCCTCCAGTCGCTTCAACACTCGCCCGATCTGATCTTTTTACTCGCATTCGTCAAAAGCTTCACCATAACAAGGCTGCCGTGCGTTTGAATCTACTCCGAATTCTTTCAAGTATATGTGACTCGACAGAGGAACAGAGCGATTTACTTGCACGCTGTGGCCTGCTGGACGCTATTAGAGAGCTCGAGAATGATCCAGCAATTCTCGTGAGAGATATGGCCGGCAAGCTACTCAAATCAAACGAGCATCTTGAAAGTCTGTCGAGTGCCAAAAGAAGGCCTCTAATGAGACGCACCAGCACTTCTGCTTTGTCTCAATCTTCTGGAGGCAACCTGTCACGGCCTACTACTCCCAATCTCAGACCCGGACAAACAAGGGGACTATTTGATGTTGCTGAGTCTCCCCGCCATCAGCGCAAGAGTCTTCGACCTGTGACACGAGATGGCAGCACATCAGCAGGATCGAGCGACAGTATCGGACATACCGCTGCTCGTAGTCGTGTTCCCCGAGCGATGAACAGTCGACTGTCCTTACTCGGCTCTCTCCCATCCGAAGAAGCAAGATCCCCTTCTTCTTTGAATCGGCCACCCTCGGCGCTCAACGCACGACGAAGACGCCAAACAAATAATGACATTGAGTGGGCATGAAGGTCAAACTTCCACCGAAAGCATTTCCTTCTTTTCATTTCCAACTAATACCCTTCCGTCTAAGAACTTTCTTTCTAATTATTGATATGACGTTTATATTTTACTTTGTTTTGCATAGACCGGCGTCATGATACACACAAAAGGTTACATTGAGGCTATCTGGGCCGTTGTATATGTTTGTTGGAGGAGGGCACTGGCGAAAGCGAAATGTAGATGTTCTAGCACTGTGAATACACTGACACTGTTCTGTTTTACTTAAGGGTAACGAAGCACATGATAACATCCGCGGCTTAGGGTTAGGTACCTGGCTAAATTCTAATACCTGGCCCCGAGCCGGAAAAACTTATCACCCTAATTGTTTGGTGCCGCAACTTTTCCGCCGTCCGTCCCGAGCCCGAAAATTCAAGATTATCTAGTGGCCAATTCTACTTCTGTTGCTCCTTAATCTAGGTTATTTTTTTCGTTGTAATTATTTTTTTGCCTGCGATTGATGATTGCGATTCTTGCGCGAGCCCACGTACGGCCTTGACTATTTCTGCGATTCTCGGCCTTTTTCGAAACACATGATTCCTTTCTCGCGGGATCATCTACGCTTTGATCGAGACCGGCTTGCGCCCTAACGACTAGACACCATCTATTTCTGAGATAAGAAAAAAACCATCAATTTTGCGCCATCGTCGACATCGGCTGGKCTGTCCAAAGACCATGAAATCCGCTTTTCCCCGTCCGGTAGCAACGGCTTTCCGCTTCCCGTCTTCCTTATCAAATACACGCGACATTACAAGGTCGCCACTTTGCAGACGATGCTGGACAAATGAGCGGTCACGTCAACCAATTAGACACATACCGGCTCAGCGGGGCTTTCATTCCACTCCTGCTCAACGTCAAGATGCACCGCAGTTGAAGAATGCCTCTGGCTCTGCCGGCTCGAAAAGAAGCTCGACAAGACGGACGGCTATACGACTTGCGGCTGCTGGAGGAACTGTTGGCGTTGCGGTAATAGGATTCTGGGACGATATAAAGCATGGATATGCGGCTGCGGAAAGAAGTGCTAGAGTTGCTACCGCTCTTGCGATCTGTATCAATGAGTATGTCTCCTTCAATTGTGTTAAGCAGGTTGATCTAATGCTGATCTTTGCGTGATAGCTACCGAACGACCCTCAATCAAACAGGCGGCACCCCCGAAGAACAAGAAGCAATGCTAAAAGCATGTCACAAACGCTGCGCAGAGCGTACCCTCGTCGTCCTCGAAAAGAATGGATCTATATTCATTAAATTAGGCCAGCATCTCAGCAGTATGGGCTATCTCCTTCCGCTAGAATGGACATCAACTTTTATTCCATTGCAGGATAAGTGTCCGGTTTCATCTTTCGAGTCGGTACAGGAAATGTTTCTAGCGGATACAGGCAAGCGCATTGATGAGGTCTTTTCGAGTTTCAGTCCTACCCCTATCGGCGCCGCGTCACTTGCGCAAGTCCACGTCGCAATCTTACGGGAAACGGGTCAGAAAGTAGCCGTCAAAATCCAACATCCCGCTCTAGCCGAATGGGTTCCGCTGGATCTGGCGCTAACACGATTGACGTTCTCTACCTTGAAGCGCTTTTTCCCGGAGTATGATCTGGAGTGGCTCTCGCGGGAGATGGATCTGTCGTTGCCGATGGAACTCGATTTTAGACACGAGGCTGAGAATGCGATGCGGACAAAGGCGTACTTTAAGCAGCATTCTGATGCGCCGTTGGTCATTCCTCAGGGTGAGTCAACTCCCACACTTTCTAAGTACATGTTCTAACGTCGCATAGTGATGACGGCTGAAAAACGCATTCTAACCATGGAATTCATCTCCGGCGCTCGTCCGGATGACTTGGAGTTTCTCGACAAGAACGGAATTGACCGTGACGAAGTGTCTGCTGCGTTCGCACACATCTTCAACGAAATGATCTTCGGAGACAATGCCCCTCTCCACTGCGACCCTCACGGCGGCAACATCGCCATCCGAAAGAACGACTCTCGCCGCAAACCCAACTTTGACATCATTCTATACGACCACGGTCTATACCGCGATATTCCTCAAGACTTGCGCCGAAACTACGCAAAACTATGGCTCTCAGTCATTGAAGGCGATGAAAAGAAGATGCGCAAATACGCCTATGAGGTAGCAGGAGTCACTGACGAGCATTTCCCGATTTTCGCAAGTGCCATTACTGGTCGAGACTTTACGGTTATTGCGCAGAACAAGGTTGTGTCGTCGCGAGATAGCGAGCAGGAGAAGAGTAACGTCACCAGTGCGCTGAGTCAGGGTTTGCTTCAGCAATTGGTTGATATGCTCGGGCGAGTTCCTCGCATTATACTTTTGATTTTAAAAACGAATGATCTTAGTGAGTACTATAAGCCGGCCTAGCGAGATATGTGCAAATGTACTGACTGTTATCAGCCCGGAGTCTCGATGAGAACCTACACACCCGCCAAGGACCAGTCCGCACATTCCTCATTCTTGCTCGATACGCCACCCGAACCGTGTTCGAGGAGGAAATGGAGTTCGTGTCGCAGAATGGCAGTCTACTGCGCCTCGGTAACCTATACCGATTTCTTTCTGCTTTTACGGCATACGTGCGCGTTGAATTGAAGTTGTTGGCTTATGAGAAATGGCTTTCTGTCAAGAGTACGTTTGGCATTGCAGCGTGAGAGTCATATGGGCTGTTTTGATGTTGTATATATAATAGACTTTTGCAGTGTTTTAGCATGTAATACAGCGTGATACATCTTCCCTTTTATGAGATGATATGACATAACCCTGCCAGAGTCGTTCAATACACTTCACAGTAAACATCCTCAAACAACAATAGCGACCTACACAATATCAGCATCACCCTACTTCTCTCCAGCCGAAAGTTAGGAGGACTTACAGGAATGATCTGCATATTCTCCAGATCCCACACGTTCCCCTTTCCATAAACATCATTACTCAGATACTCGCGCACTTCGGCCTCAGTCGCAGCACGGAAGATCATCATGCTTCCCTTGAAGTTGGCGGGTTTGCCTTCTGTAGGGTGAGCGTCGTGGAACATTGGTCCTGTTCCATAAATTAGGTCAACATGCAGGAAAAGTAGGGTAGGGAGATGGGGATCATACCGCCTGTAACGACCTTCTTGGATTCAATGAGTGGTTTGAGATTGGCCAGGTGAATTCTATCTCATATTAGCACGACTGGTAATCACATAAGAGTATGTACAAAAACGCACGGCCGAATCTCAAGCCTCTTCTCAAGCATACCCGGCCTATCCGGGATTATACACAGCCACTCCCTCTTCTCAGGCGCAATATTCATGGCTAATCGAGTCGTCTGATACAAGAACTGGGATCGGACCAGGGGCAAGTAACTACTTCTTGGTCGCTGGATCGAGGAAAGAAGAGAAGGAGAAGGTCGTAACGCTCGTAGGGTAGCCAGTTTGAAGAAAGATAGGTATTCTTTAGAGAAAACGGGTTTCCCCCAACGTCAAGAAGGTAGTCTAACTAAGAGCGGGGAAGTATCGAAGCTGAAAGTTGAAAGAAGGTGGACGGAGTAGTACAAAGTCAAATGTTGGTGAGATTTGCCTGGTTAGGGATAGTGGGGAGTTTCTCCGGGTGTGCCCCGTGGTCCGGGGGGTTGGTAGCTCCGGAAAAAATGCCGAGTGAATTAGGAACTCAGAGCAGGACTTATGTACTATTGATTCGATGAAAATAATGGTGATACGTATATGCTTTGGTATGCACTATACAAACAAGACGCCAGTCCTCGACAGAGAATTACCCACAATGATAATGCAAACATCAAGCATGAAATGAAGTGAACAGAATTAAAAGAATCTCATCTGGATGGATGGTCCATGAATCTATAATTAGAATTGAATGATCGAAAAGTAATACAATGCCATCGTTTCACCCATGCGCCGACCAAAAACAAAAGAACAAAGAAAACAAGAGACAGCTGAATCCTACAGTCAAGCGCAGTTGTAAAAAAGTCTTTATATTACCATATCATTAGATCGCGGAGTGATTCCGCGCATGCTTATCGCCCTTTGTGAATATGCCAGGTATAAGCAGCCGTTATTGTTCCGGTGTCGTCGAGTAATGTTCCTTCGACATCGTCCTGAAACAATGGGCAGAGTAAAATGACGGCGGGATGTGTTTCTCTCGTCCTTCACTCAAGAAGTATGATGATGAACTCTTTCTAGGTTGATCAATAGGCTTTGCGTCCGCCGAGATTGCCGGGCTTCTCTTCGGTGTCAATGTGCCACACGATGTAGTTGGGAAGACCGACAACTTGGTAGCCAGCTCGTTTGGCCATCTTGGCAAATCCTTCGGTCTCGGCTTGATTCTCAAAGGCATAAGATGGGAAGTTGATGCCTTTATAGTCAAAAACATCAGTAATGGTGAGACTACTGAAAATGAAAATAACATACCAGCTCGGTGGACATCCGCTTTCACCAGGATGTTCACTCCACCCACTCCGTCAAGCTCAATCTCTTCGTCTTTGTTGTTTCGCCAATCGCCCAGTTTCACTAGATAGGTGCGGCCAGTATCGTATTGCTTGTAGCCTTCGGCGAGAATTGTGTCTTTGGGGAGGGAGTCTGCCAAACGACGGCCTTTGTCTGATTCGATCCACGAGTTATAGTCGACTGCATACTAATTAGCTGAAGATCCAGAATTAGATAACTAATTGGAAGTTTAGAAACGTACATTTGCCCTCAATGTCATGTCCATTCTCATAGCGATGGAACCAGATATCTACCATTGTCAGTAAAAGTTCGAAGTCATACGTGCAGTACATACTTGGAACAAGAATGTCCTTGTCGTGAGCCATAAAGTCCTCCAGAATCTTCTCCGGACTGTCAACAATGTCGACATCTCTCCAATACACCCAAGAGTGATCGGGTTTCAAAGCGGAGTAGAGAAGAAAATTTCGAGCTCGCGCAATCGACTTTCGACGAGGTCCTTGGGCTTCAAAGGAATGCTTTTCCTTGACGTTCATATCAATGTCGGAACCAAAGTCCTTCTGAATTATCGTAGCGCTGCGAAAGGCGACCTTTTGTTCCACTTGGCTCTGAATTCGGTCGAGTTCTGAACTGAGTACTGCGAGAGTGTCATCCGTCGAATCACCAACGAGAAAAGCAAGATCGATAAGTTCGTGAGGGTAGGTCAATATAGAAAGAAGGTCGAAGTATTTCGGTAGATAAGGAGCGGCATCGCGCAGCGGCGTAAGAATCAATACACGTTCTCCATTGGCGGCAGCCTTGGGTGTGCTTTTAATTGGATTGAGATTGACAAACTTTATCGACGTCGAGTTGACATCGTATGGTTCGTGATGGTTGAAGTTGACAGGGGTCTGTAAATGTGCGTTCCACTCGTTCATCTCGTTGATGGTCATGTGCATTGGTGATTTCGAAGGTCCGTAGCAGTAAAAGCTATGCGACTTAGCTTAGTTACCATTGTCGGGGAAAGGTAACAAACCTTTGCATTTCTGCAGCAGAGCTGCTAATACCACGCCAGAGAAGGACCACCAACCCGGTAACGGCAATCGATATCAGGAACCGTGTGCGCGTTAACAAGATAAGAACAGCTCGCCATGGCGGTAACCTTGACCGCGCCGACTTCCAGTTGACGCCACCTTTAGGAAGCAACATTGTGCAGATATTTAATGGGCTATCGTTCCACGTCTCGTCACCGGACCACGAGACCAGGGATATCGTCAATATCGCGCGAGGAGCACAAATCGCATACAAAGTCGCTCAGTAAAAATCAGCTGCTCTCGTGACACTTCAATTCGTTTCCAAAATCCAATCTATAAAGCTGGCGCAAAAATCAAGTCTGTTGTATGCAAATCAAGCGAGCGACAAGGGGTGTGACAATCGGATTTCAGCGGGTATTCACGTAGATAGGTCGAGCGGGCGGGCGGGTCGGACGTCCCGTGAAGCGCTAGAAAGCAAGCCAGAATGAGCAGGAGAAACAGCAAGAATTGGGGCGAGAGAGTGATCCGTACAACGTATACTCGAGGTTGTTGCTCAGCTCTTGTCAGAGGGGAGTGAGCAGGTTGTTGTGGTGAGCCAGGAAAGGGAGCAGAGGAACAAACTTGGCAAGTTGGAATTAGTCTGGACTCTGTGGCTGGCTTGGCATGGCGCGGKCTAGCCGCTTTAGGGGGACCAAGTGGTCCTCGACTGACAGAAGTCTTGGCACCGATAAGATCTACTCGATCTATATCACTAGCACAATGCCATGAATCAATGCCTTTGTTCATGTCGTTTAGCTTCCATGAGTCTTAAGTAGTAGGAATGAGCTGGTATAGCTCGCCATTTGCGTTTTGTATGTCTGATCTTGTCAGTTCGACTCAGTTGCGGAGGACATTTCGCGTACGTATACACAGACGTATCCTGCCAAGTGATTGGCCCATTCCAAGAGCCCTATTTGTTCTTATTCCTCTTGTTATGGCTTGGCCAGCAGACCTGTTTTGAATTCCAGCAAAAAGGCTGATTATTATTTACAGTATAGATGAAATGAAATCATGTGAGCTGAGAATACGTAGCTACCACTTTATATATTTACATAGTGAGTGTAACGGCCAATTCGTCACGAATCCCGACTAAGAACGCCACCAACATACTTTATCCGTTGATGCCTGAGGTTTAAGCACTAGGGCTAGGGCTAGGGCTTCCCATCTGTCTTCACAACTCTCCCAATGACATCTGGACTTTCTTTAAAGAACAAAAGAAAAGATCTCTATTCAGCTGATTCTAAGAACAAAACTTGTCCACGCTTGCAGTCCGCTTCGTGCGAAAACAACCTTGTTTCATTTCATGCTCTCCGAGTCCGATCCGATAGCTTTTTCTCCGAAGCTACATATACATACCTACACATGCAAACTAGAAGGACTTTGCTGTAACTACTGAGCTGCTCTGGCTCGTGTGCGAGAATTGATTTCTCCGAGTGGTTTATCTCACGCCGAAGCTACGAAATTAGATTCGGATTATGTGCATTCCGTACGCTATGGGATACATGGATATCAAGATGGTGTTCACTGCTCGGTAGGTTGACTCGACAATACTGCTTATGTACTTATGGAGGGGGTAAGGCTTGGCCAGTACGAAAAACTAGCCAAATTCTCGGCTGAGCAAGAGATAGGTGAAACCTTTCTTTATGGATAACAAATCGGGATCACCGTCAATTGACCTATCCACACTGCATAGGTTATTCCAAATCAAAAAGGCCAGATCTTTCGCCACAAACACTACACCGAATGCACTCATAAACTTTGCTAGTTGTCTCGGATTATTTCTCGTATTTTTGCCTCTTGCAGTGCGTCCAGTGACTACGTATGCAGTACGTAGGTGTCGCGCATGGAGACATTGAGTTGAATATACGATGTACGTACATGGGAGAAATGCAAGGGATAAACACACTATCATCGTACTTACCTACCCGTCGACACATGAGAAAATTTTCCTTCCCCATATCTGACATCTGTGCGTGTCTTTATCTGGAGTACATTCAGGGGTATTCCCTACGTATCACTTTTTTCTAGGTATGCAACTCTGTCAGGTACGACATCTGTCCCACGTTTGCATTGCAAAAAGATATCAATTGATTCACTGTTTCGACTCAACTTAATGTTTCAATCTAATTGCCTCTCATTTAATCTGCAAAGAATAATGAATAAACACCTGCAACATTGCCAACATGTATAACCATATATATAAGGGAAAAGTATTATTGATAAGGTCCAGTATAATATATCAAGACGTAAAGAGACCGAAATGATATGAAAAAGAATAGACAGGTTTTGTTTTATACTTACAAAGGAAATCGAAAGAAGAAATAAGTGCAACGAAAGAGAAAGCCAAAATGTCCAATCCAAGAAAGAAGCCAACGGTCATTGTTGATAAAAAGCGGTCATGAGGTAGTAGTACACGGTGGGCTTGGGACCCCCCAAAGGCAGGTGGTAACTCGTATCTTGTAGATAGAGTTGAAATCATCAATCGTTAGACGTCATGAAAAGATTCATCGTCTCACAGCTGATGATTCAGCGACTCGCGGCGAGAAGATGGTAAAGATGAGTGTGAGAACGATGATGATAAAGGCGTGAGACACATGGGCGACGAAGGCCTGGTAGCCATTGGCGAGATGACTGTGCGTGGGACAACGTCAAGGTTGAAGCTGGAGGTGGTCGAGAACGTGGCGTTGGAAGCATCGGAGGAGAAAGAGCAGTCCGGACTCAGGCCGGGAATTTCATTGCACAGAACTCGTAGACCGGGTAATGTCTTCTTTACTAGTTGGTGTGACGAAGATGGCGCAGTGACAGGTGTAGATGTTTCTTGTGGTATCGCAGCTAGGGGTGGCGGTGTGATGACTTCTGGCTTTGGGGATCGAAAAACTTGATCATAAGACTTGAGTTTGAACTCCAAGGCCCGGTGCCTGTCCAGAAGGTCATCGTATTCCTGCTTCAAAGCCCTCATCTGGTACTGCATAGCTTGATTCTGGGACTGCAAGCTCGAAACAAGCTGTTGCAGCTGCATACTTCGTAGTTGGCCTTGCAGATTTTCTGATAGCTGAGGCGGTATGTTCTTCTCCTGGCCCATCAAATACACAACTATTGCAAGCAAGAAATCAATCAGATAAATGGCGCCCTGAACAATGTGTTCTTTGGACTGAGGCAGACTCTTTCCTGGATTCCATCCGGCGCGCTCAAGGAAGAAATCATGGAGACGATTGTCCAATTCCCGATGAAGTTGGCTAAGGTTCTTGCGTCGGTTTCCCTCGGCGATACGATGCTTTTCCCGCTGGTCATCTTGGTCGCTTGCGGACGACATCATGGTTTCGTTCTTGCGTTTGCGGCCACAGAGCTGTTGTAGAGGGGGCTTTCGGTTAATGTTGCGTGGTTGAACGAGGGCCATGATCTCGGTATAGGAGAGATCATTGGGCCAGCCGAATGCTTTCTGAGTCGAGAATGTGTCTTTGAGGGAGAAATCAACGGAGCTGACGGGTGAGGGGGGTGAAACAATAGTGTGCTGCTGCTCGGTTGCAAGCCATGATGATGTAGATATTTTGGAACTGGCAGGAAAGGTATCTTGAGTGCTTGCAGGGCTCTGGGCGTGGGTGCTAGGTGTGAATGGGTTGTTGAATGGACCGGGAGGCAGAGGCTCGACGGGAGGAAGTGGTGGTAGACGTCGCATTGGAGTGTCCTCTTGTCTCTCATCTTGACAGCGGAATGTAAACGAGTTCAGTGTGCTAGTTATCGTTAGTAAGGGCAGAATAATGATTCCCTGATTTGGAACTTACGGCAATGAACAGCGCCGCGACACATCGTTCCCCCAAGCATCTTCAAACATGATGAAAATGTGATGATGAAAGCCGTTGTCGACAAAAAGTATGTTCACGAAAAGGAGAATAAGAAGAAGTAGAAAGTTCTCGGACTATTGCTTGTGTACTAAGGGTATCTATTGATGCAATGCATGGATGGAGTGGCGAGTCCGAAGTCAAACGACTATGAACATTAATTCAATATGCAGGAGGAGATGGACAACAAGGAAATCAAGGCAGAGCATGAGCACAGATTATATATTCTCTCTCTGAACCATCTGGAGATACAACACGCATACACACATACGCATGCCCCTTGCCCCTCGCTTTGGCCTCGAGTATTAGAGTAAAGCCTTCGTGCTCCTCAAAGCGGATAATACATGTATAAAATGCGCCTTAGTGTAAGTTCGAGACACGGTAGACTAAGAAAAGTAAGTCCAGTCACTCCAGTGCGGGATGGCTTATGGATATGTTACAAGTCATGCATGTATCTGCAAACATCGCGGAAGGCGGAGTATAAAGCCCACGCAGGAGTGGAAAGCATATGCAGAAAGTGTATAAAAATTTGATAGATGTACAAGGATCAAAAAAAAGAAGAGGGAACTAGACTATCCGGCACGGGGAATAGGGACATGAAAGCCTGTTGGTCATTGTGGTATCCAGTCTTCGCGGTCTTTTGGACTATAGATCCACGCACATACTGTTTAGTTGCCTGGGCAGAGTTATTACGAGCGTAAGCCGCGATCTAGCGATCGAGTCAACTACACAGCCTACGTCGTATGATTCGTGCCCGGCAACATTGGGTCGATGCATATAAAATGAATTCCCCTTGCATCTGTGAACTCTCCGAAGCCAATCGTAGACTCGGATCAACTCCCTGTTGGCAATTATAGCCATGGCGATTTGCCATCGCATGTTGATAACTATTTTATTTCAGAGAGGCAAATCTAGATGTTTCGCTGTGTTGGTTTTACATCTCGAATGGGGGCGACAGAGTTGCTCTCAAGCTGAAAGACTCGACACCAAGGGACATACCAGCGATCTCGCCATAACGCCACGCCGATATTGCAAGCCGAGATCTAGCTTGACTCAAACATGAGCAAGTCAAAGCAGAAAGAAGATGTGGCCAGAGCGTACTTCGGGATCTTCATACTTTGTCCGGTGCCTCTAGTCATGTCTATAGTTGGATTTTCTTATCGAATCACGAGGTCGACCACACACACCGGCCAGTAGATACTACCAAATGCATGTCATAGGATACCGAACTCGAGCCGTCTTGACCAGATTTTAGACGTTCATCATTTACAATCCTTGACCATAAGACTTGACTAATACATGCTCGTCGTTGTGGACACTGCATCCGTAGATAGTAACCACGGCCAAACCGTCCTTGCAGCCCCTACTGTGCTTCAGCGGGCCTTTCTCATCATATAGTATCTACATACAAGATACGTACGACGTGGCGAGTGGGATTAAAGATTCGACCCACCTTGACCAGAGAGGTCATATACGCAGATCTCAATGCTTTACGTAGGTACCCTTTTTCTACTCCTCAAATCTGCGAGGGGTTTTCTGTATGTCATAGTGCCGTACGACATAGTCAGTTTGGTTGTTGATCTGCCACTAGTTGCTCCTTTCAACCGTATTTAGTAGACTGTTGTAGTGTCTGTTTCACAGATAACAAGCAAGGCTACGAAATAGCTTCAAGGACTAAGAGTCTATTTAGCCACCGAGTCATGGAAATAAGATCCATGGGCTGCACAGTGCACAACCCGGATCGAATAACCGGGATAAATAGTTTCACATCTCAATTGCACTCAAGATCGGTGACTGGGACCAAGGGCTAAAGCTAAAATCGGCTTACATTGCGTAGTGCACTTTTCCGTTGTCGCGAATTTGCACAGTACGTCGTAGTGCTGCAAGTTAGACTCTGGTAGTGAATCGTGGCAACTTTAGCGGGGGGGTAGCCAGCAGGGTACAGAACCATATGGCTGGGATGCGGGCAGAAGGTTGCATCTCTTCGAATCTTCCATCCATATGGTTTTTTCGATCATTGATCGGAGAGCGATCTTTTCGAAGTTAGAGGAGACAGGCCAGATGAGCCAGTCGGCCCGCCAGAACAAACCCCGATAGTTGGTTTTAGACTGTACGTTAGGTCGAGCATGGTTAGCGAGACGACTAACTGGTGTATTGGGTTCTCCGTTGAGTATAGTAAATTAAGAGCTGTCATATTTTTGGCGAGCCAACCCTCGACCTCGGTCTGATGTGTTCAGTATGCACTGTGTAGTAAATATTGAGGAGTTAGTGTTGTGTCTGAGCGTTTGTTAGGTTTAGGGCTAACTCACCAAGGGGGCTGGGCTCTTTCTTTGGAAACTCCACAAGAGGCGTTCTCCCACGTTCATCGACATGTCCTTGCTGAAACGACCATTGTTGAAAATTGAATATTTCAAAGGTGGACTCCTTCCGTACACTGTATTCATGACAACCAGGAGATACCGACCACAAGAACAATATATCACAATGGAAAATTCCCTCGTCGATACACTTATGCTCAAGGACTAGTTACGCATATTCTAGTGCACTCTATAAGTACACATAATCTTCCAAGGACTCCCCCGTCCCAACAAGACCCATGCTCTTGGTACGCTTGACTCGATTTCCTCGAGTCTTGACTCTTGAGTAAAAAAGACCCGCAGACGGGGATACGGATGAGCATCCGGAACTCGTCCTGTCATCCCCCAAAAATCCGAAACACTCCGGTCCTATCGTTCATGTCCAGGATCGACGCCACGAACATGGCATGTTGCAGAAATAAGAAAATTCTCCACCCACAATTCTAGCATGTAAATACTCTAGGTGGGTAGCGACACGGGCTTGTGTAAGTTCATACGCATTGTTAGTTTCGAGACGGTGATCAATTTGTGTCCAGAGTCTTGCCCTCATCACGTAGAAAGGTTGAGATTATGGAGCAGTTATACTTGCGCGAATCAGAGACTAGCCGACTACTACGTACAGCCATCCTTGAATAAAACTTCGAACCCAACAGGAACGAACAAACCCACCACCTACAAAGAAGAGGCCTTTCAAGTTACGTATGTGCAAACACAACTCTCATCGACGATCAAACCTATGATCATGGATCCCTCGCTATCCCCCCGATGAACCATCACGCACCCCCCATGACTAGCCCAGCGTTTGACTTTGCGATGCATGCAAGGCGGGCTGGCGATATACATCCGCCGGACCGACCTGAACCGGTGGGCTATTTCATACTGAGTACATTCATTGTACATAGCGAAAAAATAGTTGGCGTAGGGCATGGGGGTCAGGATTACTCAATCGGGACGACGGCATGAACTAGATACAACCCAAACTTAGTACCGCAACTCAATCTTGTGTGCGTATCACCTTTTAGTGACCTGTGTTCGGCGCATCTCGCACGCTTAGACAAGAGACGGCGCAAACTATGATTACGTAGAAAGTATATACATGCTATTTGCTTGCTAGCTTCTGAGGGGTAAACACGAACGCACAAATCCCCTCTTCCGACTAAAAGACCGATATAATCTATTCTACACATGCGTCGCGAGAATGGAATAGATAATCTGATCTACATTGTATCGTATCGTCTCGAGTCGACCCGAACCTCTGGATAGACTCGATGATAGGATAGATCCATGGATTGGTTCCCAGACTCCGGGATAATCAACTTAGCCTACCCTTAAGTACATATCCTTGAATGCAGTTCCCAAAGTTTGGACATCCCATGTGCCGCATTGAAGCATAATAATGGTACCTACGTCGGAGGATTAAGAACAAGCGAAAATTCCATCCACGCGACAGAGTAAATGAATGTTACGTCATTGTAGTCGAGATTAAGAATATGAATTAACGGGAATCGACATGATCGCTGTGTGACGATGAGACGATCGAGCCAGGTCACACAATCTATGCATAGATCATAAGTTCGTACAGACAAACGTGCGATGATTAGGCTGCTAATGCACATTGAAAACCACTCGTATACCAACTATTATCAATGCATTCAACTGTAGGACAGGGCATCTAGAGAACAGGCCCAACTGAAAATCACACAAGGAAATTAAAAGAAGGAATCGATTATTATCATAAGGTTCACACGAGCAAAAACAATTTTCCGCGGGATGGAGCAGAACAGCGTCCGAAAGTAGCAGTAGAGGATAAACAATACAGAAAGAGACAAAGTCGCCGATTACCAGCCTTTACAAAGACGTCCAAATAAATTGACCGACAGGAAAAGAAAACATCACGGTCCGCTCATGGAATTTCTTTACATCAAGAGAGACAAGAGAGCACCCAAGACCGCGGTGACGCCCATCGAGGGAACGGCCATGTTGGCAACAGCAGCACCGCTGGAGGTGTGGGAAGCGGAAGAGCTGGTGGAGGAAGAGCTGCCAGAGCCGCCATCCATGGTGGTGGGGTTGGAAGTCTGGGTGCAGTTGTAGGTACCCTGGATGACGTTGTTGGAGCGGAGGCTGTCGAAGGCGCTGCAAGAGAAGTTACCGGTAGACTCGGCGTTGAATCCACCCTTGACCTCAGTAAGGGCAGGCAAGCTCACGCTATGGAACAGTCAGCTTTTGCATGTTGAATAGAGACATGTGTCAATAACTTACTTGGTGTAGTCTCCAGTAAGATCAATAGCACCCTGAACCTTGGAAAGCTTGGGGAAGGAGATGGTGTCGAGCTTGTCGTTGTTGGAGATGGCGAGGCCACCAGTCAAGGAGGAAAGCAGAGGCAAGTTGATCTCGGTCAAGTCGGCGTTACCATCAAAGTCCAAGTCGGCGCAGGTGGTCAAATTGGGGGCCGAGAAGTTGGAAAAGTAGTTGCCGAAAAGACCCAGCTCACCAGTGAGGTTGGCCAAAGAGGGGACGGAGATGGAGCTGGTGTTACGGAAGGTCAAGTTCTGGGCAGAGACCAAGTTGGGGAACTCAATGCTCAGCGAGTTTTTGTTGGCAGAGATGATCAAGGTACCAGTGATGTTCTTGATGTCGTTGACGTTGATGGTGCTCAAAGCGGTGTTGGCAGTCAAGTCGAAGTCACCAACGGAGGTGAGCTCAATACCAGACAAGGAAGTCAAACCGGTGTTGGTGATGCTGACACTGCCGGCCTTGCTGACACCCTTGGTGAAGGTCAAAGCCTGCAAGTTGGGAAGAGCCTGGAAGTTGATGGAGCCAACAGAGGTGAGCTCAGGGAAGTTGAGCGTGGTCAACAGAATGATGCTGGACAAGGAAAACTCATTGCCAATGGAAGTCAGGTCAGGAGCAGCGATCAAGGTCACGTTGGTGGCACCGGCAGCAGTCAAGCTACCAGTGATCTCCTGGACACCGTTGAATGTGATGCCGTTGGCAGCCTGGGAAAGAATTGCAACGTCACCCTCGACAGTAGTGCAGCTGGAAAGGGCATCGGCATCGGCCTGGGCGGTGATGTTGGTGACAGAGCCGGATTTACCGCAGCTGCCTATAGTTGGGCGTTAGCCATTTGTCCTTATTCTCTGCGCGGAGCAACTCACTGGAGGAAGCGTAGGCGGCGCCAGAGGCCATCAAGGCAGGGACAATGTACTTGGAGAAAGCCATTGCGTGTATACTTCGGTAAAACCGTGAAAAGAATCTGAAGAGGAGAGACCGTTAGTCGATGGTTCAAATCGAAGAAAACGTGTGCATGTGTTTATTTGCAATGTTTGGCCCTGTCGTCTGCATTCCAAGGCGACCTCGACACGGACGCGGATCTCAAGTGCCAGCACGACGTAACACAATAAAGTTCGGTAAAGGAAATCAACGGTATGCTGCTCTCCTTCTCGAGCTGGATTTGCGTGCTCGTCGTGATGTCGGTCGACCGTGAAATTGTGCACCGATGTGGGTTGAATAAAGAGACGATGGAACTTACCAGATGCTCGGTAATCGGTATGGTATATTAAGGGTGAGTGATGTATACTAGATCAAGAAGTTCGGTCAGGTTTGGAATCGATGAAGTGGTGCAAAGTCAAAACAAGGGGCTGACAAGAGACAAATACATACAGTAGAACAACACAACACGACACAACACAACAGCAACAAAGATGGGATGAACGAGTGAAGAAGAAGGAAGAAGAAAGCTTCAACGAGGGAGAAGCTGTGGATGGCTGTTTGGAATGTTGCCGGAGAAGGAAGCAGTGGTACGATAGGAAAGAAGGAAGAAGGTGATGACTTGGCGGAAGGCACGTTTTGAGTTTCTGTCGGGGGAAGAAAAGATTTGAGGGAAGGAGCGAGACATTGGACAATGGACCATGGATAACGGGGGGCGCCCCTTCCCAGTTCCCACTCTGCGCCGATTAGCAGGAATGGTGAGACCAATCTGGGAAGCCGCCAACCAGAGAGCTGGACTGGACGCGCTAAGTGGGGTTGGCCAGGGGACATACTGTGGTAAACAGGGAAACCACGACGGCGCATTCGAGATACGTAACGTACTGACCGTATATAATACGTACTTACCTACTAGTAAGTCACTAATAAGTCCTTAATTACTCCGTAGTTAATGAGTCTAGAGTCTAGCCAGGCATGTATCAATATTGACAATATATACGTAGCACTATAATATGTATAAGGTGTAAGCCGGCATGGCCGACAAAGCTCACAAATTGTAAAAGATCTGTTGAAATTCTGACGAACATCACAGCACTATGTATCCATCCTCTCGACACAACCAGGCCTATCAAGCCTCTGACATCAACGAGCTTATCATACTACGTACTACTACGAGTATGAATGTCATTTCAGCTACCGTGTCTGTGTACGTTGATGGGTACGTGGTCGCCGTCAACAAAGCTAGTGATTGGTTGCACGCGGCCCCATACCAGAACGGTTCCACGAATGGATTGATTGGATCGAGATAGCAACCTTGCAATTCCTGCATTCTGGACTACGTAGTACACTTTGCAGCATCTTGGAATACACTCATCATTGCCACAATCGATATTAATCCAGGATACAAGATGCTGTGAAGTGGTAGAGTCAGGGCTATATGACAATAGCTTAGAGTTATATAGCAGTAGTATTGACATGTTGCAATATGAAATCAAGATGACCAGACTACTCCGGACTACTATGTAGTATATACTACGTACGCATGTTGTATTGTATTGTATCAGTATTGAAGCAGGCTAGCCGGAATAGCGATCTTCGTTGGTAGCTGTCCGACGCCCAACCGAGGATCTTTGGCTTCCTGCACTGCGCCCGCCCTTATTAGTGAACCGGCCAAGCATCAATTGCTCGCTGTTTATCAATACCATCTCATACTATGTATATCTCGATGGCACAGTATTCACTATCTACTGGCTGGATGCCATCGCCAAAAATGCCAAGTTGCAAGAGATTAACACTACCGTTTCTGACCCACTTGCATAGCGCTAGTACGTGCTAGAGCTCGCTAGTAACTTGTCACTAGCCACTCCTTATTTCTTGACTTTTCCATGCCATATGCTCCGTTGTCTCAGTTCTGTCTGCTCATCGATATGATATCAAAAGGAAAGAATTGATTAATCAATTGATGTTCTACCTTTGACCCATATTGTATACAAATTGAGAAAGCACTCGGGCATGCGTATATATCTAGCGACAACGAAGCTAGCCATCATGTTGATTGATGGCTGTGATGATGCATACTTGTGACGCGGCCGCTCGTGGCCATCATTCATCAAAGTTTATCACAACGGCCGATAGTTCATGTTTAGTCTTCTACTAGTTAGTCAACACGGTGGCGTGGCTACTCAATTATCGCAGATCGTAATCAAGATGACCAGATTGGCAGGKCAAGCTTCACAACAAGCAGTCAAGCCTTCTCGGTATTGTTTCGAGGTTCACTGCACCGTCACTTTGCCAATAAGGGTCTTTAGTCTATTCTGCTGGAATACAGAGATTTCCATAGAGACGGCGACGAACTGGTACGATTGCAAAGTCAGTACTATTTCATTCCTCTTTCTCGGAGGGGTGTTTAAGAAAAAGTCAGGATATATATATCCTAAACAGGCTAGATTGACGTCTCTGGGCACGGGACCACGCGCCTCTTGGCGTGCAAGAACGCGATGGCAGCCTGGACGACGGACACACGTCAGAGCCTCATTATTACAGCTTATCTTGATAGAATTTATTTCAATTCAGATAAGAAACGGATAGTAGATCAAGCTGGCTCTGTTCCTGTACTTTAGGGCTGCATATACGCTCAGACAAACATTTACATTACGGCGCTTCTCGATATACATGGCACCACGACGCTCAGCCAGGATCAGTAATGTATCCGATCTAAAGCCCGCAGAGGTATTGAAATCAACTGCAAAGGACAGCAAGAGCGCAGGTACAAGCAAAGAAAAGACAAATGCCAGCAATGGAAATGGCGTAACAAAGAAATCGAGAAAGCCACCGACTAGAAGAACGACTCGAGAAAAGCAAACCGAGAGAGACACTGCTGGCTCTGCTCCAGAAGAAGCCTGGGCAACGCCGCAAACACCATCAAAGCACCGAGATGTCACTTCAATAGCAGACAATCTCATACTAACTCCGCCTCAACCTCCAAGACTCGATCGACCCGTCGAACCTCACACGACAAATGCAACACTGGTAACACCACGAGGCAGTTCAGTCGTCGCCTACCCATCCATTGAAGACATCTCACCCAGCAAAACAGGTCTACCCCGACCTACAGCCACAACAGGAACCTTACTCGAAAAGGCACTTGAGCATTTGATTGCCGTCGATGCTCGACTCAAACCCGTTGTTGAACAGCATCATTGTCACCTGTTTTCACCGGAAGGATTGGCAGAGCAAATTGACCCCTTTGACAGTCTGGTAAGTAGTGTCATCGGGCAACAGGTTTCCGGTGCAGCAGCACGATCAATCAAGAATAAATTCTTAGATTTATTCGACACCGAAACTGGTGATCTGCAAGCAGATGCAACAACAAAGGCAAAAAGACGCTTCCCAACACCCGCTCAAGTAGCGAAACTAGACATCCCAACTCTCCGCACAGCAGGCCTCTCTCAACGCAAAGCAGAATACATCCAGGGCCTCGCCGAGAAATTCTCTAATGGTGAACTATCGACCCAAAAGCTGCTCCGGGCCTCCGATGAGGAGGTTATGGAGATGCTCATTGCCGTGCGCGGATTGGGTCGTTGGTCGGTGGAGATGTTTTCGTGTTTTGCGTTGAAGAGGACGGATGTCTTTTCGACGGGGGATTTGGGTGTGCAGTATGTCTTCTTCTTCTTTGCTCTGCGTGTCATGTACTGATCATTGATAGACGAGGCTGTGCCGCTTTTGTCGGCAGAGATGTGAATAAACTGAAAGCCAAAGGAGGTGGGAAGTTCAAGTATATGTCTGAAAATGACATGTTGGAATTAGCCGAGAAATTCCGTCCATATAGGTATGTTGCGCGTTGTCGCAAGAAAGTAGATCGTGCACGTGCTGATACCTTATAGGAGTTTATTTATGTGGTATATGTGGAGGGTGGAAGAGGTTGATGTTACAGTTATGAATTGATATGTAGACCATACGTGACGATGTATATAAACATATGAAGTCTCTTAAATACCGAAAATAGGTTTCACTATCAATTAGATTAATAACAAAGGAAAAGAGAAGGTTGATTCTTTGTACAGCTATGGAGTACACAAGTCGTCTTCTACGACTCTAAAGAAAAGCATATCTGATATCACATCTCCCCACCGCCACCACAACTACCACCACTATGGTGTGCAAGAGCAAATACAGTAATTCAATTCCGCAGACAACGCTCTATATTGTTTTTGTCATTCCGCCCGTTTTGTCGTTGATTTACTTTCGCTTCACGATCAGGTTGTCCAAATCCTCGCGTTCCTGAGCCTCCTTCTGGAGTTCGCGGATGATGGGGCTGAGATATTCGACGTCCTATAAAGTAATGGAATAATCAGTTGTTGTTCTATGGTAAAGTTCGATATATGTGGATTCGTCCTCTGAAGATCATCGTTGTATTCAATGGACGAAGTAACATCATACGATAAAAGCGATCCAACTGGAGTTGCACTCACCTCAGCAGGCTTTGTTTGTTCCTCAGCAGGAAGAAGAGTGTGGGAGATGGAGCACTAGCGAGTGAACATTAGTCCATGTCCGATAGAATTGAATATCCAGTCAAATGATGGCCTCACCTGGAAAGCGCGGCGGAGACGGAAGACACGGTCATAGGCCTCCTTGGGAGGAAGACGCTTGATGGCTTGCTGGACAAGTTCGCTCTCCTCGGGAATGAGGTCGTCGGCCCTGGATAAGCATTTATTAGCGACGAATTCGTAGGGACATGAACAGCCTATTTGTCCCGAATCGTGATATCCGGGCGGGATGAGGCTGCGGCGTAGCGACCCCGTGAAACCCCCCATATAGAAGCATTGAGTAATATCAAATTATGCTCTCCCTCCAGATATCACGGCTGAGACAATATAGAATCGATAATCGGGCGAGTTACCTCAATCCGAGACGGCGGTATCCGGCAGCGTTGGTGTACCACTCGGCAATGGGCTGGAGCCAGCGCTTGAGGTATGGTCGCTTAACGACGTAGCTGGTGAGAGAAGGGACAGACATGATGTAGACAGTCTCGATGGGGCCCAATTGATCGGTTGGGTGGATAAAGGGAGAAGGCAGCGACAGCTTAAAGCTTCAAGGATTGCTTTGTCGTTGTTCGCTCGACGTTTTGGCGTCGGGACGCTAGTGCGGGAAAAGTCCGTTACGGCCTGAGGCAGAAGCCAGCCTCTAAGGCATCAACTGGTGTGGCTTGCCGGGTCGACCCGAGTGACCCTAAGAGTAGAAAATTGACGATGATATACAGCAATTTCTGGCCGCCAAAGATCTTAGTTCGTATCAATTGAAACTGACTCACATGCTCGTATGTATGTCTACGTCTACTGCAGTACCTTGGACATGTGCTCGTGCATGCTCTGTCTGTGATGACCGGCTGTTCATGCTCTCGATGAACGAATCTCGTCTCACGCGTCCATTCTATACTATACGATGGAAATAGGAGAAAAAACTACAACTCAATTTATTGTATATATCAATATAGCTACCTGATATAAGAGCCTCGTTCAAAGAAGCCGTCAAACTGAAGAATGAAGAGATTCGGCGTTCCACTAACCCGTTTCGCCCGTGACGCTCGTCATTGGCCGAAAGGGCCGTGGCTATCGTGCAATTGAGGCAGCTGCTAAAACTCCGAATCGTCAAGGGAAGGAACGAAAAGCTAACTCGTTCACGAGACCATCTGCTGCAGATCCAATCCCTTCGATTTCTAATCTTTGTGCATCTCAGTTGACTGTGTCCTCACTCTTACTCCATCCCACGGACAACCTCCTGTCTATCGTGTCATTGCACAGACAAAAAGATAGACCCCGCGCTACGAAGACCTACCCGTCGTCTGCTTTGCATCAATCTCAGTCAGCGGCCAGCGGCGGACTTGCCGGTACACACTAAAAAGGCCTTACAACTAACGTCGAGCTCCACCGTGGATTATTCAGTCCGATTTTCGACCAATCTCCCCCTCGAGTATCCGTTTCTATCGACTTTTATCTCGTTCTAACAGATTCAGAGAAATCATCGGCTCCTATCGTTGCACAAAGTGGCTCTCTTCTCTAGTCTAGGGATATCGTGAAAGGGCATCACCGGTGTCAGCGTTCCGGGTTCGAGCAGTCCGTTATGCTCGAATCCGTGAATCGCCGGTGACCAAGACGGACATTTCGCCTGGCCTGCGCGCTGTACATCAGTCCGTCAGATTAGAAATGATAATGTCGTCCGACGACAGCGCACCCAGGCCGCTTGTTCGCCCCGAGCAGCAAGAGTACCATGAGCACCATGCCTCGACACACCTTCCCAGCTCGATGACGACGTCAACGCCTTACGGCAAGATGCTCACGCGCCTCGAAATCGCTTCAACACACATCCCGAGTTTCTACATCACCCCCTTTTGCGGCGCAATGGCCGGCGTGGCCTCGGGCATAGTGACATGTCCTCTCGACGTCATCAAGACTAAGCTACAGGCACAAGGGGGATTTTTACGCAGGCGCGCGGGACACCGAGGAGACACCGCTCAGTTATACAGAGGAATGATCGGTACGGGAAAGACGATATGGCAGAATCAAGGAATTCGAGGTTTATATCAAGGGTTGGGACCAATGTTACTGGGTTATCTACCAACATGGGCCGTCTACCTTACTGTATATGATAGTTCAAGGGCGTTTTGGGAAACAAAGACAGGTAGGTTCTCACTCGCTGAGAGAGGTCTCATTGACTGATGGCTGATTGCGTCCAGATAATTGGTGGCTATCGAGGACATATGCATCTGTTACCGCTGGGTCATGTTCAACGATAGTAACGAACCCTATCTGGGTAATTAAAACGAGGTTAATGTCGCAAAGTGGAAATAGAATGTCTGGAGACGGATTCATTCCGTGGCATTACCGAAATTCATGGGACGCCGCGCGAAAGATGTACATGACGGAAGGTGTTCGTGCATTTTATTCAGGCCTCACACCGGCCCTACTCGGCTTATCGCATGTCGCTATTCAATTCCCGCTGTACGAATACTTCAAAATGGCGTTTACAGGCTACGGGATTGGTGAGCACCCAGATGAAGGTGACTCACACTGGGTCGGGATTTCTTTAGCAACTTTCCTCAGCAAAGTATGCGCCAGTACCGCTACATATCCTCACGAAGTGCTGCGCACGCGATTACAAACTCAACAACGACATCCTCCCGCATCATCTCCCGAAGAAATCGCATTCCGCGGCGGACTTGATCACCCAGCCGATCGTGGACGACCACCTGGCGCTGCATCATCTGACGGCATGCCAAATAGACCCCGCTACGCTGGTGTCTGGCGTACATGTCAGACTATCCTTCGTGAGGAAGGCTGGCGTGCCTTCTATTCGGGAATTGGCACCAATCTGATACGAGCCGTTCCTGCAGCCATGACCACCATGCTCACATATGAATATCTCCGAAAGACGATCCATACGCTCCAGCACGAAGGTCAGAAGAAACTGGATGATGTAAATGTGGAAGGTGATACCCTTATCTAGCTTCCTATCTATCCATAAACCCAATGATGATTTTCGCGACTTAGAAAAACTGGGTTTATATAAATTCCTTTTCTCCCTTTTCCCCTCTCCATCTTTCTTTTAATTCGATATGCTCGAGATGCGCAGTCTAGTCTATATCTGGTCACTGTCAACCCAGGCGTTTTTTACCTCTTGCGATTCGTGTTATCTTAGAACGATCTTTCATGCGTCTTCTCGAGCTGTTGTCATTGTAGATTATGATGATTTTTGTCTTTTGTCGTTTCCGGCAGAGTCATGATGATTGGTACATACATATATACATACACACAATATATACACATACAATGATATATCATCCGAGGTCCGATTTGAGCTAATCATTCATTCTACACGCTTCGTGCAAGTCGTCTCTGTCAACAAACGCATAAACGGCGAAACGCACGTGATACGCCGTCACGGTGGGCCGGCCGCACTAGCTCGCTAGGCGGGACCATTGGCTAGTGGGGATTAATCCTAAGGAGGACAACTCTTGTGTTTTTATATCTCTCGACGACACAGCTCGGATGCCAGCTGGCCCTCAATAATATCGAGGTATTTTTCAAGCTGTTGGTTGATTATTGTCAGAGTCATGAATTGATCGGCAACAAAGATCTCGGCCAATTAATGTGAGACGCGATTGATATGCTTGCAATCGGAGTTGAATATCAAGAATAACAACAAAGATATCAGCTGCTATGATTCATTGAGCGTTCATTGGCATTAGAAATCATGTTTTCGTCAGCGCTCAAGTCATTTAGCTCCAATATATCATCTCACTACCAGATTTCTCCCGAGCCAGCTTTCATCTCGGGGCCCTGGAAAGTTCATGATGGAACTAAAAAGTCCACCGGCACTGCAGCCTCTATCTTCATCTTTGAGCGCAAGACAATAGAGCCTAGGACAGGTGGATTCGGTCGGTCAGCTAGTGCCTCGTCACTGAAAAAGATCCATGAAGAGGTGGTTGAGAGACTGAAACGGGAAGTCAGTAGTCTGACGCGTCTACGCCACCCTTCAATTCTTCAGATTCTGGAGCCGGTTGAAGAGACTCGTAATGGCGGATTGATGTTTGCCACGGAGCCGATCACAGCGTCTTTAGGTGGCTTACTAAAGGAGAAAGACTCCCAAGAAGGGGGAGGTGGTGGTGGTGGTAGCGGTTCAAGAGCTAGCCGCTATATGATAGAGTCTCCAGACGGAACAAGACGGCGCCGAGAAGTGGAAATAGATGAGCTCGAGATTCAAAAGGGCTTACTCCAAATTGCCAAAGGATTGGAGTTTTTGCATGAATCTGCCGGTCTTGTTCACGGCAATCTGAATCCGGAAGCAGTTTATATTAATATCAAGTCCGACTGGAAAATAGCTGGACTGTCATTTGCTGGCCCACCTGATGGCTCGACGACTCAATCATCGCTTCCACCTTTAGCGCTCTCGGAAGTGTTATATCAGGATCCTCGACTTCCGCCCTCTGTTCAATTAAATATGGATTATACCTCACCGGATTTTGTGATGGATTCAAATGTGTCGCCCGCAGCTGATCTGTTTTCTCTCGGACTGATTATTGTTGCTCTATATAACTCGCCGCACACTTCTCCTCTACAAGCGCATTCTAATGCCACTGCGTATAAGAAGCTTCTCACCACTCCTTCCACCACGCCTTCTCAATCGAATAGCTTCCTTTGCACGCGTCCCATTCCTAAGGATCTTCTTGGCAGTGTCTTGCCGAGACTGATAACCAGAAGGCCCGCTCAACGACTTACTGCGCGCGAGTTTCAGCAGTCAGCATACTTTGACAACATTCTCGTTTCCACTATCCGATTTCTGGAGTCGCTACCAGCAAAGACCCAGAATGAGAAATCTCAATTTATGCGAGGTTTGCAACGGGTTATACCCGAGTTCCCTCCGTCAGTACTTGAGAAGAAAGTGCTGGGTGCGCTTTTGGAAGAAACAAAGGACCGAGATTTACTCTCTCCTATATTACAGAATATATTCCACATTTTGAAAAAAGTGCCCAATGGACGACGTGTCTGTCCTGATTTGATTATTCCAAAGCTCAAAGAGATTTTTCTGGCTCCGGCAGGTAAAGGTGCCGCACAAGAACGAGACACAACGAGAGATGCTGGTCTCATGGTCGTGCTTGAGAGTCTGAATGTCATTGCAGAAAACTGCACGGGCAAAGATTTCAAAGAAGGTAAGTTGCAGTCATAGAACCACTTTCATAGCGATGTGCTGATTTCTGTGTAGATATTCTTCCCCTAGTGCAGCTCGCCATGGAGTCTAGTACACATTCTTTAGTGGATGCAGCTATGAAAACGCTGCCTGTCATGCTTCCAGTTCTCGACTTCAGCACCGTCAAGAATGACATATTCCCTCCAATTGCGTCTACGTTCAGCAAGACTAACAGTCTTAATATCAAAATAAGAGCTCTGGAGGCATTTGTTGTTCTCTGCGGTGGTATTGATGAAAAAGATGCAGAGCCCGTGGACGACTTAACGGGCATAGTCGAAGATAAGAAGAAAACGAAGAAATCATCACCATCTATACTTGACAAATACACCGTGCAAGAAAAGCTCGTTCCGTTACTGAAAGCGATCAAAACGAAGGAGCCTGGCGTTATGATGGCTGCTTTGGGAGTGTTTCGACAAGTCGGGAAAATTGTTGATACTGACTTCATTGCCATTGAAGTACTTCCAACGCTGTGGGCTTTCAGTCTTGGACCGTTACTGAATATCCAACAATTTGAACAATTCATTGCACTGATAAAATCTCTGTCTACGAAAGTTGAGCTAGAGCAGTTGCGGAAATTGCGAGAGCTTTCCTCAAGAGAGGATTCGTCTATGACCCGGCAGACGATAGGAGGTGCTCTCGAAATCAGTGCATCTTCCGGTGTCCAGGAAACATCGAATGATTTTGAACGACTTGTTCTTGGACGGAAAGGTACTAGTAATGTCAATGGAGACGGTAATTGGGATAGCTTGACCGCCGGCAATGTACCAATCAAATCGGCAACACAGATAACATCGCCAACATTCTCGTGGTCATCTAATATGTCACCAACTGCCAACAGGCCTAGTATCAGTGGCCTTGCATCAACAGGCCATACGTCTCGTTCTATTACTCCAGATAGCAATGTCGGAGTCTTTCCATCGCTTGAGCCAAATCGCCAGAAGGCATCAGGGACATCAGCCTTTGGTACATTGCAGCCACAGCAGTCACAGCCTTCTCCAACGTCTTGGAATACGTCTCCACAGATCAATCGACCGTCACTCGCACAAAGTCTCGGTTCTTCTCCTTCGATGATGACTGCAACCAATACAACGGCGTTTCCCTCACCTGGAGGAACCGCATCCAACTACTCGGCATTCTCTATTCCCCCTCCTCCTTCTACACAGACACAATACCAGTCGAAACCCGCGTCAGTCGTACAGCCAAATCCTTGGGCGTCTGGTGGAGTACCGAGTACTGCTCAAGCAACACAACCGCGACCTCCTGGGGAGCAAAAGGGTGGTCTGGACAAATATGCAAGCTTGTTGTAGATGAGAGGCTCTAAGCAATTAGTATGATTTCTGTATATACCATATATATTAGAGTGTTGGCGATTCATAGGACAATTAGAGTGGATATTATCTGTACCTGAACCTCAAGCAGAAGCTACCCGGCGATAAGCGCTGCTGTGCGGAACAAACAAACAAAGCAGCTTCTTCCCCCACATACAAGCATCCCTCCTCCTGCTGCGTGACATCCAATGACCCCTCTTTATCGAGCTTCTCTATTGGCGAAGAAACGACCTCTTCTCTCATCACCACCAGCAGTATCGTCATTTCTTCGATTATTGCAGCTTATCAATCATCCAACACCAATTACAAAGACTGCCACATCTGCTACAGCTCCAACTTCTCCAGTGCTTGCGAAGATGGATGCTCAGACGAAACAACACTATCTAGCTGACTCTCCGCCCAGCGTCGTGAGATTGGAGATTAAGCAACATTTTGAAGCTCTCAAGGATGAGAGTCTGAAGCGCTATGCCCATTTTATGAGCAGGTAGGTCGTCCAAGTTTTGGAGCCCTCGAATTACTTGTCTGATAGCGTCAGATGAAAGCTAACACGAACCTTCGTATAGAGCCGCATTCCAAGGTACTCGAGTTACCCTGCGTCAAGTCTCCCCCGAATCAGAACCTATTTACGATTTGATCCTGTCGCTCTATAAAGCAGTCGGCGGAAACTGGCACTCGCTCACAGAAAAGACTAGCGTGGAACCTCAAGACTTGCAATATTTCCTCGAATATTCAGCTCAATTCCTCGGTAATTGCGGAAACTACAAGGGCTTTGGAGACTCCAAATTCATCCCCAGACTTAGCCCCGATGCTTTCAAGAAACTTGCATCAATTTCCCCTGAGACACAAGCAGCATTCGAAAAGGCGAATAGCACTGGTGGTGGAATATACGAAACAAGCGATGTCGGTTTGATGCATTTGGGATATCCTGACAAGGGCCATCTGACTACCTATTATCCTGAGTCTTCCAGCATCACTAAAGATGAGATCACAGCTGTAGGGGACTTTTTGGAAAAGAAGGGTCTGCCAGTCGAGAATACAAGATTGCGCAAGACTGCACAGGGTGATTTCGAGCTTCTGATTGCTTCGGGTCTTTCTTCACCTCCGTCTCGGGATCGGGATTTGGGAGACGAGGATTCCTGGACGCTTGAGGCGGCCCCTGTTGCCGGAAAAAAGCTTAGTTTGGTGTTTGGTGACTATCAGAATGAAATGTCCAAGATTGCTCATAGTATCAAGCAAGCAGAATTAAACGCTGCCAATGATACACAGAAGAAGATGTTGGAGCAATATGCGAAGTCCTTTGGTACCGGATCTATTGAAGCGTACAAAGAGAGCCAGCGCCTTTGGGTCAAAGACCAGAAGCCAGCAGTTGAGACCGACTTGGGCTTCGTTGAGACCTACAGAGATCCACATGGGGTTCGAGGAGAGTGGGAGGGATTCGTTAGTATGGTAAGTTCAAAAAATTCCCTGTAATGATACAGATGCTGATGTGTGTAGGTCAATCTGGTACGCACTAGAACATTTAGCGACCTGGTCAACGGCGCATCGCAATACATCGTTCGCCTGCCCTGGGACAAAGAGTTTGAAAAAGACAAATTCTTGAGCCCAGACTTTACATCCTTAGAAGTCTTGACTTTCGCGGGTTCTGGTATACCTGCTGGTATCAATAGTCCCAATTACGATGACATTCGACAGAACCTCGGATTTAAGAATGTGTCGCTGGGCAACGTCTTAAGTGCAAAGGCACCAAACGAACCGGTCCCGTTTATTGCCGAGAAAGATTTGGAAAAGTTTCAGAAATACCGAGATGAGGCATTTGAGGTGCAAGTAGGCCTTCACGAGCTTCTTGGACACGGTACCGGTAAATTACTTCAGGAAACAGCGCCAGGAGTCTACAACTTTGATGTTAAAAATCCACCCGTCAGCCCTATTACAAAGAAGCCGGTTTCCACGTGGTACAAGCCTGGTCAAACCTGGAGCTCGGTTTTTGGCGCTATTGCTTCTTCATACGAAGAGTGCCGTGCAGAATGTGTGGCCATGGCTTTGAGCTGCGACTTTGATATTCTCAAAATTTTTGGTCATGGCGACGGCCAGACTGATATCAACAATGATGCCGGCGACGTTCTTTACGTAGCATACTTGCAAATGGCGCGAGCTGGAGTTGTCGCTCTGGAATTCTGGGATCCCAAGAGTCGCAAATGGGGACAAGCACATATGCAAGCCCGCTACAGTATTCTGCGCACCTTCCTTGACGCAGGAGACGACTTTGTCAAACTTGTCCACACGAAGGAAGATTTGTCTGATCTCGAAATCCACCTGGATCGGTCGAAAATCCTTAGTCATGGACGACCAGCTGTAGAAAATTACTTGCAGAAATTACACGTCTATAAGTCTACAGCGGATGTCGTTGCTGGCACGCAGTTGTACAACGATATCACATCTGTTGATGACTGGTGGGGAACTAAGGTTCGAAACATCGTGTTGCAAAAGAAGGTKCCCAGAAAGGTGTTTGTCCAGGCAAACACCCAAATTGAAGGTGACAAGGTGGTCTTGAAGGAATATGAGCCGACGCTCGAGGGCTTGATTCAGAGCTATGCTGAGCGTGATGTTTGAGATTTATGAAATTCAATGCAGCATATGTAGTTACATTTCAATGAACGTTAGGGCCATAAGATTCATGATGGAGAGCTCTCTTTCTACCTGATCGTGATAAGTATCAATGCTCTCAATTTTTATATAAATAAACATGCAAGATGCGCTCCAATGAGACTGGGGCTGATGGATGAGGCTAGCCTTGGTCGATGATTTGTGGTTCTCTAAGCGCCGACTTGGCGTTCTTATCACATCAACAGCACCACCAGCCTCATCTGCTTGCCAGCCCAGTATCCGAATCACTTATTCATGTGTGCTGCGAGAACACACCAGATGAACGCGACTTTCTGACTGTTCTCTCCGGCCCTTTTTTTACCAGGTTCCAGCTTCACGCCACATGGTTTCCTCCAACTTGCGCCAACCCCGATAGCTCTCCGTCAACCTAACCTTACTCACCCCTTATCTGACCATATCACGCAAACTCGACCGACCTCGAGTTACCTGACCTCTCCACGACAGCCTTGACAATTTCATACGAGATCGGTGGCGCGCCCCCAACGGCGCTGCCTTCAATAGAACCTGCTGCCACCGTGGAGGACTTTTCGTACATCTCTCCCCCAGCTCACCCTCCTCTCTCTGAGGCCTCCTCGTCATCTCACGCCTCTCCTCGACCCCCGCCCTTTTCGTCGATATATTCTGCACCAGACCCGGAAGTCGATCGTTTCAAAGCAGCTATTACCGAGGACCCAGGTGCCTCGTCCTTGCCCGCGTTTGCCCCGCCGCCCCCGTCACCGTCGCTCTTCCTACCGCCGCCAGAAGATCTAGACGAGTCCTCTTCCGTGGTCGCGGAAACCAAAGCCGCGCTTGAGAGTGTAGAGAAGAAGGGTGAATCTTCCGGCAAACCCCCTGACGACAGTGAGCCTCCGCCCCCTTATACGGAAGGCTATAGTCCGCTTCAATCGTTCTCGTACGTCATGGCAGCCGCAGGTGGTGCTGCGAGCATCATCACCCAGGTCCAACAGACGGGCGGTCCTCCGATAAACACTCTAGGAGGTAGGCACTAGGATGCAGTTTCCGCTGTTCGTAAATTTACTGACGTTTATATGCAGATGTCAATGGAGACGAGCACATAACCTTAGATCTCAGGTAAGCTTGAACACCAAGCACTAGATCTTTACGAGGCTGACAAGCAATTTGTGTAGGGGCACTCGATTCACACTCTCTCGAGATGAGCTGCTGACCCTTCCGGAGTTCGTGTTGCTCTCGTTGTTCCCTAACGGTCTACTACCCGATGGTCATATGGGTGGCTTCCATGATGGTGATATCTATCCTGTAGATGTGAGTATCTGCAGTAGCATGTGATTTTTATCCAGTCGGCTGATCCAATCTGCTATAGTACGACCCCAACTCGCTCCAGTACATGCTCGATTTCTTTCGCACCGTGGCGCAATCAATTCCATCTGCATCACCTTCTCCATCTGGTTCGCCCGATATGGACGCGAGTGATTCGATGTATAGCTCGACGCGAGACATGCTGCAAGATCGGGCAGGCATAATTGTGCTTCGGGAAGATTTGGATTTCTACGTTATCCCGCCACGACCGAATATAGGACAAGCCGAGATGATGACAGTCAAACGGGCCGCGGCCCAAGTCCTCCTGAGACAGGATGGAATATTCTCTGGCCTCCGAAAGAGTGATGAAGTGGGCAGCACAGAGCAGCATTTGATCGAGATGTTGACTGCGGGGTGAGTTCTCACATATCTCAAGCCAAAGATTCTTTCGTTCATCACTCACTAATGTTGCACACCAAAAGCAGTGGCTTCAACCATGAAGATTCTTGGGGCCACCGTGCTCCAGAGCCCAATAAAGCAGTGATCTGTAGTCTAGCCTTGGCGAAACTGCGAACAGATATACGGGGAGATATCAACAGCAATGCTTCGGTTGGGATGGCACAGAAACTATTGCTCTTCTGGAGGAAGCCAGCTCGACGTTGCTGGTGGGAAGGTATTGAACTGGATGGTGTTGATGGTGTGGAGGGGAAACTAAAAGTTTGGATTCGACGAGTATGGACTCTTGAGATGGTAGGGCTATTCTTCTTCCTCAGCCTGTGAAGATGCATACTTGACTGACTTCGTGTACAGAGCGTCATCGGTCTGAGATGATTATCCAAACTCAGCAAAAATAACCCAATTTTCCTTTGTGCGTATTCGTGTTTCTTCAGCCATTTGATCATATCAGATATCGACAGTCGTCTTCGTGTCTCTTTTAGCGCGCTCATTTCATTCGTCCTCCGTTTCATTTATTTACCCCAGAGCAAAGCCTTCCGATATCCGAGAATGTTGCGTCCATCTTGTTTCAATTCGTTCAACCAGCTTAAGTATGCCCCCCGTGGAGAAAATGCCCTGGCGTCTTGCGAGTACATACATTGGCATTTATTTCTCTATAATGTACTGGATACATGTTTATACTCATTCAACCTGTGCATTGAGCAATGCTAGTCTGTCAGTAAAATCATCGACTAGACCAGTCAGAAATATTCAATTGTACATTTGTAATAAATAAGTTGAACAATATATTCAGAGTCAATACTCAATAGCAGTAATTTAATAGTATTTGATACACGTGACCGCTAAGCTTGCCGGCGTCCGACTGGCCACTCGGACCCACTCGTGCTGTAAGAAAACACGCGCGGTAACAATGAGGAAGGAGGAGTCTGAGATTATTGTCGACAATTAATCCTATCACTGATCCATTGCTGCTGTCCGAGCTTGCGTGCCTTTTCATCAGGGATTCCTTTCAAATTGCGTTCCTCTGCATAGAGTGGTGGTCTCCGACTTGCACATTCGCGGAGCTGACAGTACTTTTGCTGCGTCTGGCAAGCTTCTATCCAGGAAAGGGCTAGCGACCACCAACCACCAGCTCATTGCGCAACAACGATTCAAGGCCACAACAGCATCAGTCACAAACTGATTGACCCTCAGGATCATGTGTTGAGTGACCTGATACTCGCTCGCTATTCATCATGTCTACCGCATCCCCCATCAGAGGCTATATATCCTCTTACGCTCCTCGACTCCGACAATATAGCAACGCGTTACTGACCCCAATTATACCCCCAACACAAGTCGGACCGTCGCGGACTACGAAGCGTGGTACAACAGCCATCAACTACGCTGAAGATGGCTTTGACGATGATGACTTTGACGAAAGCGATGGACCGCGACGACCTACAGGACTGCGAAGTCTAAGACGAGAAGACTCGAGCTTGGACAGAGTCCCGTTGTCGGAGAAAGTAGGCAAGGAAATATTTGCGCCGGTTGAGGTTCAAGGCATATTTAGGGATTGGATGGTACGGCGACTTTTTCGCGCTGAGTAAGTATTCGTTCCGAGCTAGCAATTGCTATGCGATGCTGACTTTCTCTCGTCCAGTAATGCAGACCAGTTGCAAGCGCAGTCGCATTTACCTTTAACCCTCGTCCCAATCCGAATCGACCTCGAAGTCCCCGCGCATCAACCACTTGAACCATTCCCACTACCGCGAAATGCTGCAGACCCTGGTCTGAACTCGACTCTTCCGGGTTACCGTCGGCCAGAGCCTGTTCCAGCATATCGCATCAAAGACACTTTTCTGTGGAATCTACATGAGGCACACGCAACTCCTGACGAGTTTGCGATCAATTTTGTCCGTGAACTGGATTTGCCTGAGCCGGCAAGGCTAGCTGATGCTATCTCCACGCAAATTCGATCGCAATTAGAAGAATATGCAGGCGTGGCATTACATCCTCTATTTCAGCAAGGTCAAATTGCGCCGAATCCGACAGATCAGATTAACGGACTCTCGAGAGACGTTTCTATTACCCCCGCGCCAGTGACTGCCGTCACACCTAGTACCCCTGGCCGAAATACTATCGTGACTGCTACAAAGGATCCTCTTGTGAACGATAGTCTCCTCAACCCGGACGATGCTTATCGATGTGTGGTCAACCTGAACATTAATTTGCAGAACAAACTTTACACTGATAAATTTGAATGGTCATTACTCCATCCACCTGGAATGGCCGAGGAGTTTGCCAAAATCACTTGCGCAGATCTAGGTTTGTCTGGTGAATGGGTGAGCGCAATCTCGCACGGTATCTACGAGGCGGTCTTGAAACTCAAGAAAGAAGTCTGTGAAAGTGGTGGTATGATTAGCGGCGTCGGAGCCTATGGAAACGAGATCGACAACCAGGCCGCCAATGGCGCTGAGGCTGGATGGCGATATGATCCTGAAGGTCTCGGTGATGAATGGGAGCCCAAAGTCGAGACCTTATCTAAGGAGGAAATCGAAAAACGCGAGGGAGACCGAGAACGCCAGATTCGACGTTTACGAAGAGAAACTGCTCGATTCTCATCGACAGCTGGCATCACACCAGAACTATCTAGAACGAACTACTTCGACGTCGACAGCGAGACGCCTCTCGGAAGAGGTGAAAGAAGCAAGCGAAAACGACGCTTCCGCAGTATCAGTCCGGTGGGCCGTTCTGGGACTCCTGGAGGTCGCGGCACTCCTGACACGGGCTCCGGGGCAGGATATGGCGGCGGKGGTGGAACGCTGTTGGAAAGGTACGTTATCAGATCAGCTTGTGCTGCTCAAGGCTAACTTGCTGCTAGTGAACGTGCTCATTGGCGGTGCTTCAACTGTGGGGTCTTTGGCCATGCAGTCTGGACTGTACGAGATGGACCTGCTGGTCCAAGGGTGAGTATTGTCTTCTTAGTCTATGGCGCCACTAACTGACAATTATACAGACACTTTGCCCTAACTGTGGTCTTCTGTACGAGCGCGACAAGGTTCCACCCGAATGGGCTAGAGGTCTTCACAGACACGACGTTCCTCTCAACCGACATATGTAATTTCTTCAATCGCCTCGTTGACCCGCGATAGCGCCATACTTATTCATTCTTCAACGTCGGTCTACTACACTATCCACCAGTTCCTTTTTCCACACCTCTCGAAATGATGTACGACTGGGTCAGACTTTTCCATATTCTTTTATCTTCTTCATCTTTATCTGGTTACAAGAGATCTTCTGGTGCTGGCGTTTGATTCATCTAAAAAAGAGGGATCTTTGAATATGTCTTTTTTTATTATCGTCTCTTGTATTATTTCAGAGGGTTGGAATCTATCATTCATGTACAACAGCAATCGAATATCGATATGCGCGGTGTAGAGCACTTGTTTACCTCTTTCTGTCAACTTTAAGAATGTAGCTAGACGAAAGTTATCATGATCAAATCCTCATCACGGATGAATGTATCCATGCATATGTATTCGCTTGCTATGTTCACATCGCTTGCAGCTAGATGCAGTGTATCAAATATTACTACATAGGACATCAAAAAATATCGTCATATGGTATATAAATGCAATTCAACGGAGAGAATGCTCCTTGTTCTGAATGACTTGCAAAATCCACAGTCCCAGGCTCATCCGCGACGACTGGGACTGGACGAAATGACGAAATTGAGGGTATTGGAATAGTAGAATCGCTCAAATCGACTGTTGTGGGCATATTTTCTTGCGATGCCATGTTGCTTGCGGCAAGACCACTGGTATGTTTGCCGCCAAGGTCTTGACGCTATTCTGGACCTGTAGGCGGTGTTAGATTCTTGAGCACCTAAGTGCACGTTGAGCAGAGCATCAGCTATCAACGTACGTATTTGATCCGAGTCAAGGCCTCCAGGCCTGCGCTTTCCAGGATAATCCTTCCCACCCGGGTGTAAGGGCTGTTGCGTCTGTCAAAAGCATTAGCAGGGCCGTGGACGACATAGAAATCTGAGTTTATACCGGCGGCAATGCCACTTTTCCGAGGAAAATGAAAACTTTCATTATTATATGAAAATTACGGAAGGGTACTGACTTCGCGAAATTCGTCGCCCTCGATATGTACTTCCCGATCTCTGATGCGACGCATTAAAGCGAGAAAGCTGCTTTCCTTGAACTTTTGACTTGTATCATGACTCAGACTGTCGAGAAGATGGCCTGCGGTTCGTGCTAGTTCATCGGGGTCTTCTTTATGTTCTTGAGCGGTCGATTCTTCGGTGGTCCCGATTAGATCGGAGCCTATTCGTATTTGTTCAGCGGCTTCAGCTTCCAGTGTAGGTTCAACTTCTTTCGACTGAAGGTCTTCTTCGGATATTTGATGTTGTTCGGAAAGTGCTATCTCTTGCTCATGCATATCGGCTTGGGCCTGATTAAATGCAGCTTCGAATGCAGATTCGTCAAACGCGGCTGGCGCAGTAGATGTCGTTTGCATTAATCCTTGATCTACCGGAGCAGGTGCTGCCACGCCATTCATGCCTTGATAGCTCGGCATGAAAGAAGGCTGAAAGCTCGTCATCGGACCTTGTCGGAATTGAGGCTGATCACTCTGTTGCTGTTGGGGTTGTTGATGCTGCATAAACTCATTTTGCCAGCCGTTCATAGCAGCCGGACGAAAAGCCTGATTGGGCATGGCATGGTTTTGTTGTATATTTGCAGACGGGCCAGATACTTGCAACTTTTGAAAATCGGACGCCCAGTCGGCTTCAGGTGCAGTAAATCTATGTAGAGATTGAGAGTGAACCGGGGCGGCAAAAGCAGGCCCGCTTGGGATTAATTGAGGGGGCGCATTTCCAACAAAGTTCTTCTCGAATGCTTCAAACTCGGGATCTAGGACGGCGGCGTTGTGATGTTGTGATCGGAAGTTCTAACGAAGTGAGTACTTTGCTAGCATAGGGACAATGTATAGAAAACATTACCTGTGTAGATGGATGGCGATTTACTATGCGATCCTGCTGTAGTGTTCGATCGACTGCAGTATGTTTTTGAAAGTTCTGCAGCGCATTTGATGGACCACATAGAGCGTCCGCCATGATGACAACTTCAATAGCCGATAGTCTTCAACGTGATGCTTGAATGCGACGAAAGCCAACGGTAGAACGTAGTAGACAAAAACAACGGCTATAGGCTCGAAGATGCGAAAATCGAAAGCTGAAGGAGTGATAGCAAGGGTAACTGTATCAAAAGCGAAGTTAAATCCCAAGACAACGTTGTATTCGTGGATCGCAGTTGTTATAAATCATGTGTAGGCCGAGGCAGTGGCATGGGATGGAGACCGAGGGGCGTGGGGAAGAATGCCTTGTCGCCTTGTCGCCTTGTCGCCTTACAACGCGATAAGATAAGGGGTGCATTGATGCCTTATTATTCAGGCGCGGGACCGGAGACGGTGTTTTGGGCCAGTGCGGCCAGGTTGCCCGCAAGATGCTATGCATACTTGAGTATACCCACCGCAGCTCAATTTCGACCCTCCCAATTGTTTGCAATACCTACGTGTAGCTTCAGAGGATCTGCGGGAACTGGAAATTATTTGATATTCGAATCATGGTTCGTGTGAAGCTCTACTGCCTTTGTGACTCGATTGTGATTGAAATACTCGCTAACCACCACGTGCAATTGCAGGCGCAAGTTATTGCCAACTCCGGCCATGATGACATGATTGTACGTGCGCCATTGTGATCTCGAGCTTCCTAATCAGCTTGAAGCTTCCTTGGAAATACGCGCAGCTCGCTAACTGATGGTGATTGGTTTAGCACGATGCCAGTCTCGATTATTACGGACGACGACTGGCGACATGTTCTTCCGACAAGACAATCAAGATCTTTGAGGTTGAAGGAGAAACACACAGACTAGTCGATACTTTGAAAGGGTGAGCGTGGGAAATTATCCTTGTCTAGCCATATTGGATTCTAATGCACCATGACAGACACGAAGGTGCAGTATGGTGTGTGGCTTGGGTACGTCAACTGACCCCGTCTAAATGCGACTCTATGACTGATACGATCCTTTTAGGCGCATCCCAAATTTGGCACAATTCTAGCATCCTCCTCCTATGACGGTAAAGTCTTGATTTGGCGCGAACAACCTTCCAGCGCCCCCACCAACGGCAGCCCGTGGACCAAGGTCTTCGACTTCTCTCTTCATACCGCATCAGTGAATATCGTGTCGTGGGCGCCACATGAAAGCGGCTGTCTTCTTGCCTGCGCCTCATCGGATGGTCAGATCAGCGTGTTGGAGTTCCGGGACAACAGCTGGACTCATCAGATGTTCCATGCTCATGGCATGGGCGTCAACGCCGTGAGCTGGGCACCCGCAGCTTCTCCTGGTAGTCTCATAAGCGCAAATCCCGGACCGGGTCAACAAAGAAGATTCGTTACTGGCGGAAGTGATAACCTCGTCAAGATTTGGGACTACAGGTAGGACAACACTGTTCACATCAATCTAAGCTTAGATGCTAATCTTAAAATCAATCAGCCCCGAGTCTAAGACATACAACCCCGTTCAGACATTAGAAGGCCACACCGACTGGGTTCGAGACGTCGCTTGGTCACCCAGCATCCTCTCCAAATCATACATTGCCTCCGCCTCACAGGACAAGACCGTCCGAATCTGGACATCCGACGCATCAGCCCCCGGCCAATGGACAAGCACCGTCCTCGAATTCGACTCTGTCCTGTGGCGCGTCAGCTGGAGCTTGAGCGGCAATATCTTGGCTGTGAGCGGAGGTGACAATAAGGTGACATTGTGGAAAGAGAATCTCAAGGGCCAGTGGGAGAAAGTGAAGGACATCGACGAATAGGTCTAGAATCTTTGTAAGTGGTGCTGGTGGCTTTAAAAATGATCTTACGTCCATACACTTTATTCTTTTCTTCGTTAGTGTCCCTAGAGCAGTTACCTTTCCTCATTCCCACTCTGCTAGTCATGCTACTTCTGGCTATTGATTCCTAATAATGCATACTCTTGTATACCAATCTGATTGATTCATCTATCTACTCGTAATAACTTCCCCCGATAGCATTAATTTCTAGAAGCGAAGCCATCAGATCCCTGTCGAGTGCGTATCATCAATCTGCCTGCTCGTGATAACCTCTGTAGAATATTCTAATCCAATACTTCTTGGAATAGGTTCTATCGAATCCTCCCGCGATACCGATGAGTAACGTTCCGCAAACCTGTAACAACCAACAAGCCATATGTCCGCCCGCTAATGGCATCACTCAAGCTTGCTCCTCTCTTGGGGGTGAAAAACAGGTAAGGAAAGGGTCCTTGATGCTCTGAGAAATAGTCAAGATATCCAAAATATTCCCCATCGAAGTATGTTCCCAATAGATGCACGGTCCGCGCTCGCAGTCTTCCTCACCCTCAAACTGCAAATCAAAGTACTTTCCCAACAAGATTTTCCCTCCCGGCAATAGAATCCCCTCAAAGCCGTAGATCCGATCGAAGTCGTTGTAGATGTCATAGGTCTCCCAGCTTGTGGTATCGGGCTCATCCTGGCCGTCACGCTCTTCCGAGAGGAGATAACTAACGAAGCAGACGCGCATCCAACCATAGATACCGCCCTGGGTCTCGGGGATATCCTGGTAGAAGCCTCGAATGTGATAGTGGAGGGAGTCATCACCCTCGAATCCTTCACTGCCAATGAAATACTTTCTGGGACATAGCAGATCATGTTCGGGGAATTGATCATCGAATCTTTTTGGCCAGATCGTACGATTGGCATCGATGAGAATCAAAGACTAACAAACACAAATTAGCTTTTTTGAAGTTGATTGAGGGGATCCGGGAATTTAACCATCAGAGTTGCATCGTGTTCACTTACGTGACTGGCACATGTCTGCCATTCCATCAACGTATCAACATCTGTTGGGTAAGGATGAATGCAAGCTGGTAAGTATGTTAGTTTGAAGTGCACGCCACTAAGAAGAGAAGGAAGTACTAACAATAATAGCCGTGCCAATAACCCATCACAGGGATCGGGTCTTCTAAAGGACGAAGCCATTCCCTCGGCTTTCGTTGAACGTTCTCTTCGTATGAGGTGGCGAATGATTGCTCTCGAGTGCTAAGAAGATGTCTCTGCCAGAAGTTGCGTATGTGCAGCAAAGTGTCCAATCTAATTTGACCATCCTCCACAAGCGATTCATGGGCCTCTTGACCCCAGGAGTAGACCTCCGTGATATCGTAGTTGCTTCTTAGGCATGGTCCTGGACCATTTGGGTCGAAACACAGATGACTAAGGCACTAAGATAGGTTTCAGTGACTTGATGTGAACAAAAGCTGCAAAAGTACGAGGAGAATAACCAGTTGTACTGCACAATAATCATCAGATGGATTCATTTGACCATTGTGATCTCGGACCATGGGTCTGTTGAGAAAGTTGGTTTTCTTGACTGCTTCAGCAATCCTCAGAAGATTCTTTGATCGTGGGCTGCGCGGCTCGCCACGTTTGGTCACGTATGTTTCTGTCAACAAGGTTGAAATGACCTCCAGCCAAACTTGCTCGCGTATTGTTTCATTGGGTTGAATGTAGACTGGCTGACCAAGAACCATGGCACGCATTTGATATTCGACATGCAGTGTATCGGAGGTGTATTTCCATCCTGCGTCGTATTTGTCGTTGAACCTTGCTCGCCAGACCCCTGAAGTAGATGAAAGAATGCAATTTGCTACCCCACGACATGTGAGTGCAAACGAGAGCATGTCATCGTCAGACTCAATGTGAATAGCGATGCGTTCAATGAGCTAAGTGAAAGAATCGTCAGATGGCATTGAACTTCAACTGAGGTGCACGCACTTGAGATGATTAAACTTACTTCAACTGGAAATTGATAAATGACAGCCATTTGGTCTGAAATTGGAAGCCAGATGAAGCGTCAAATGATTATATCTGACAATGGATGCCAAAGTGATATCAGGTGAGCTGACGGATAACGATCGTGTGAAAAGAGATGGAGTGATTCCAAAATGTGACGACAGGCTGCTGAAGACACGATAGAGATAGTCTCTAAGTCTAGGAGTGATAATGTACGCTGGAGACGTCGGTAGGAAGACCGTGTGAAGCCAGGTAGTCAAAGAAAAGAAAGCTAGTCAAACAAATGTGCGGATAGTGAGGTCTCCTAATGACGGAAGTTTCCTGCGAAAGTTATTAGTTCAGTCACTCAGATAATAGTCATGTCATATCACAACACGCACAAACAGTCCAAACGCGCTACTATCAGAAATATGGTTACCATGCCCAAAAAACTCTGAAGTATATTTGATCACATATAGTACAACCAGACCAAAACTCATGTCTCTCGAGTTTGGTGTCTCCTGACACTATCTTTCACGCCCCAGCCATCACTCAAAAGATCTTTGACTTCCTCAAGACTCATGCCACTCATTTCTGGATATACGAACCATACACCGATCCATCCAAGGACACACACCAACGCATAAATGACAAATGTCCATCTTGGAGTCAATACCTCCATCATAGGCAAAAAAGTCAGACCAACGATGAAGTTGGAGCCCCAATTCGTAGCTGTAGCAAAAGCTGATCCAAGAGAACGAACAGAAAGGGGAAACAGTTCTGACTGCTGCCAAGGGACGTTTCCAAGACCTGATGCATATGCAGCCGTGTACACAGTAAGACAGATCAGGATGACCACAGGCATAGAAGATGTACTCGATAATGGTTGTCTCTGGTCATTCTCAAATGACAAGAGTGAGGGTTCCCATCTTAAATGTGAAAATGCCAAAGCACATCCAAGCAGCGCAGCAATCATAAACGGGATCGAGTACAAAAGGATACGACGGCGACCTATATAATCAATCACCGAGAAGGCCAGCAGTGTAAACAAAAAGTTGGTTCCAGCAACTGCCAAGGACGTGAGAGTCGGAGAAGAGAATGAGAGGGACTCGAAGATCGTCGCTGAAAAATACATCAAGCTATTGAAGCCGCACAGTTGCTGAAAACCCTGCAGCATCATCGCAATGATTAGGGCTCGCCTGTTGCAGTCAACGCTGTATAGTTCAGCCATAGTTTGCAGAGCTCGACGAAAGCTATTGTCTGCTTTATTGTAGAGCTGTGCCGCTTCATCGGCAACCTCTTGTTCGATGTCTCGCAGCACGGTGCGGGTTTTGTATGCGGCCTGCGAGTCTGAACCAAATACCTTGGTCAAGACTTGCCTCGCTTCCACAAAGTAGCCAGCTTTTACAAGCCATCGAGGTGACTCAGGCAGAAAAATGAGAATTACGAATTGCATCATCGCTGGCACTGCGCCTAATCCGACGATCCAGCGCCAGCCTCCCGGTGTTGATGAGAATAGCCAGCCAGTGATGTATGCAACAACCTGGCCGCCAGTGATAAAGAGAGCGAGAATAGTGACCAGTCTTCCTCGCAAGTGTGAAGGTGCTAGTTCAGATATATATCTGTCATGAAAGTCAGGATCTTGACCCATACAGCGGTGAAGGTCGACTTACAACGATGATACCATGCTAGCAGCCCCCACAGCCAATCCAACGAGACTACGCCCAATGACCATGCCAAAAACAGTAGACGTAAGTGCCTGACACAATGCACCTAAAGTGAAAAGAGCATCTGCCACCAACATCACCTTCCTCCGGCCAATGCTGTCAGCATAAACGCCAGCCAAGGGACTAGCAATTAGGGCAAGCAGACTGGTACTGGAAGTAATGATACTTTTGTCCATAGTTGTCAGAAGCTTTCCCGAGAGATCTGTCTTGATGGAAACAAGAGTCGCGGAAATGACACCAGTGCTGTGATTACGGTTAGCAAAGAAACTATGAAGCACCTGATGTGCTGCATCGAGAAAACCTCGTACTCGTAACCGAAAAGCAGGCCACTTATCCCTGCAGCAAATGTAAGAGCCCATATGAATAATCCACCTAGCCCACTGGCAGATTCATCCGAAGACTCATACACCACATCTTCGCGGTTGTTGCTATCGTTCGCCAAAAGCGGCTGGTCCGCATCGTGATGTTCCATATTTGTCACCTGAAATGATATCCACTATATAACGACATGTGAATAAAAAAGAACAAATGACAGTACAAAAACCAGAAAGATATTGTCGCATCAAAATCTCAGCAAATGCTCACTGTGGAAGAATAGATTCGAGAAATTACTATGCTGGCGATCGATGTAGTTGAACTATCGTGGTTGTCATTGGCGGACAGATGACCCGCTCCTTCCCAGTGCTTATCATTGGCTGAAGCTTAACTATGGATCATTACTTCCTAGCGAGGATAATCGAAGACAACCAAGTAGTACTATCAGTATGTTCATTTTCTCATAAAATCTTATAAGTCTAGATCTAGGATTGTGCTCTGGCCACTCCCGCTGCATCTGCTTGCGCGGAAATCTTCTTCTTATAAGCCTTCACGTCTCCATCGAACTTCTCAACCCGACCATTGTCACAGACCCAAAGACTCGTGCACACGTTCTGGAGCATGGTTACGTCGTGAGAAACCATGAGAACACCACCTTCAAATTTCTGTAGAGCCTCTGACAAGGCATCCATAGCTTCGATATCAAGATGGTTAGAAGGTTCATCGAGAACGAGAATGTGCGGGTTAGTAAGCGATAGGCAGGCGAATGCGACACGGGACTTTTGACCACCAGAAAGCAAGCCGAGTTTCTGAAGACCTGTCATACCAGTTATACCGAACCTATAGTTGTGTGTTAGTCCGCTGTTGAACCAGGAATCATATACATCATGGGAAATGGGAAACTCACGCTCCAAGATGCCTACGGTACTCTTCATCAGTTTTGCCTGGGTAGTTTTTCGTCATGAAGCCCACAGCGCTGTCATTAAGATCCAAAGCGTCAACGTGGTGTTGAGCAAAGTATCCAACTCTCAGACGCGGGTTTTGAGAGATCAGACCACTAGTAGGTTGTAGTTGTCCGATAAGCAGTTTCAACACAGTGGTTTTACCAGCACCGTTGGGTCCAACGATACCGATACGGGAATCGAGTTGGACATCCAAGTCAACATTACTGAGAAGAGGCTTGTCCTTGGTGTAGCCAAAGGCAACTCCGGTCATTTGAATAATAGGAGGAGAGAGCTTTTCAACGTCGGGAAATTTGAAGTGGACGACGTATTCGCTCTCTGGTGCTTCGAGGATTGGCATACGTTCCAATTTTTTGATTCTTGATTGTGCTTCGGAAGACTTCGCCGCATTATATCGGAACTTGTCGATAAAGGCTAAAATGTGTTAGGCGATAAGTTGTGCCGATATGTGAATGATACGTACCTTGCAAATGTGCTCGTTGTGCCATCTGGTTCTCATATTCGCGCTTAGCGGTCTTCCTTCGCTCTTCCTTGGTTGCATAGAAAGAATCTAGAAGCATGTGGTATCAGTAGATGCATTTAGCCACAAATTCATGGAAAGGTGGTGGATAATACCGAAGTTAGCTCCCTTATAGTAGTCAAGTCGTTCCGAGTGTTGATGGATAATATCCGTGGCGACCTCGTTCAAAAATGCACGATCGTGAGAAACGACCAAGACTGTACTTGGATATGACTGAAGATAGTTTGCTAAAAAGGTAATGGATGGAACGTCCAACATGTTTGACGGTTCTGGACTGCTATCAGCTTCCAAGTTCTAGAAAATTTCAATGTTCACTCACCATCAAGCAGAAGCAAATCTGGTTCACAGAAAAGTGCACGAGCAAGAGCCAACCTCATTCTCCAACCACCGGAGAACGTCTTGGTGGCGAACTTTTGACGTTCTGCTGAGAAACCAAGACCGGCAAGAATACTGGCAGCACGAGACTCGGCCTTGTCTGATTCCATTTCGGCAAGTTTCGCGTGTATATCACTAAGAGTTATGTCTAGGCCGTCTCTTTCTTTGTCCAACCTTGCAGCATCCTTGGACGTATCTGCCATGGATGATCGCTCGACATCAATATCGGCCAATTGTTTGGTGATTTTCTAGAAATCAATGAGCTATGTACTGTAGTCGAAACTTAGAATTAGAATAGCAGAACTCACCTCTTGCTCTTGAAGTAAATGTTTTCTCCATACGTCGGCATCTAGGACAGCTTGAATTGCAGGAGTATCGTCACCAGTGATCTGCAACATTTAATCAGCATTCCGTAGTCTATAGACTCACTGACGCATGAATTTACCTCTTGTTCAACGTGTAAAATCGAGATATGCGTTGGAACTGCCACCTCACGACGACTCAATGCGCGAAGAAGTGTAGACTTTCCGATACCGTTCTGACCAACCAGACCATATCTTCGGCTGTAAGCCATCGATAACGACGCATCGGTAAGAATTCTCTTTCCACCAATAGTTATATCTATACCATCGACCTTGATATCCTTGCTCTTGGACTGAGCATCCGCGCCCAGTTGAAGGGGGTTAACAGCCATGAAGAACTCCTCATAGGATTGAGTGCTATCCGGTTGTTCGAGCAGTCTTGATGCCTCATATTCGACATTCTTCACCAACTTCTTGTCCTGTTTGGCCCTAATCTTTCGCTCTGCCTTTTCAAGTTTCTTCCTGTCGACGCGAGACTCTACTTTTCGTGTAGCGGCCGACTCCAAGTCCACAGATGCGCCTACCAACCCCAGCGTTGACGACATGTTTCTCTGTGCGCCGACATTGATCGTTTGGTCGAGCTTCTTGGCGGCAAAGGGGATTTGCCGCCGTTCTGCGTCGATGCCATCCGCGGCATTGAGCGATGAAATAAATTTCTCGACTAGGTTGCGAATAGCCAGCTCATTCTCCGATGAGAAGTCGCCCGAGGCCGACACGAGGATTTCGGTGACGGTATCGGCGGCTTCAGCTAACGGTGAGAGTGCATTTGCGTCTGCCTCTTCAACGTAGGCATGTGAGGCGTGAGTCAGGTAACCCTAGGATGCCCTGTGTCAGTGTGTAAAAGCGGTCAATTTCGGCGGTTTGCCCAGTGGCCAACGCACCACAGAATATTCAGAGATCACACGGTCTATGCCCGGAATCTGTGCCTGTAGTTCCGCCTCCATGGTTGTGTTCTTTAGCCGATGTTGTCTGGCAAGCAATGTACAGGGCCGTCTGTCTGTTTCGCGACGGAAGTCAATCTGGAATAAATTCGTGGTGGGGTGTGGCTGCGGAGTACACCCTAAGCTTCCTATTGGCTGGCTGGATTGACAATACTCGGAATTGGAATTCTTCTACCAATTGGGACAATCAAACCATCTAGAGAAGCAATTTTGAACTGGTCTTCCAGGAAAGTTCTCTGAACCCGTGAAACAATAGCAGTACACAGGTTGAAGAACTTGGGTTGGGATCAGACCGTCTCTGTCTTACGATACCAGCCAGCTGTACTGGCAATTGTAACAGAGTAGAATACGTACTACTGCGTACTATGCAACGTTTCGACGAAATCGAGAAGATGGAAGCAATCGAGTTATTTCCATGGCCATGATGGATCACGGCCTGGACGAAAAAACGCTGCGTGACTTTCATGTTTCTTACTCCGTAGTAAAGTTACTTTCTGAGAAAGTTACTCTGTAGAAGTTAGAACAGCCAGCCAAAGTCACAATTTCCACAATTGACCCACCGGCGTGACGCAAGTGAGCGATCAGTAACCTGATGTCGATGAGAAGATCTTACTACTAGATTGCTCCATCTGCTCAGACACATGTTTGGCCGAGTCGTGGGTCTGTCCGGAGCTGCCGTTTCGGAAATTTTTTCTCCTGCAGAAACCTGGAAATTTGCCAGTGTCCAATTGATGTCGTGCCGTTGAAAAATAAAGTGATTTTTTTTTCTTCCTCGGCTGCGGTTGACTGAACAGGAGTGATTATACGAAGCCAACCGGGAGGGCGTGAGATGAGATTAGAGCAAAAAGGGCTTGGGCTTCCGAGAGGGCTGAGGTTGATAAATTACGATAGTAATGTTGGCCGAGCGGGTCTCAGCCCAGCGCATCATCATCGACATGTCGAGTCATCAAGATTCGACAATAATACGTACTGCTAATGTGGCCAGGCCACATCCACCACCTAAGGTCGGTCTGAGACGAACCTTTCCAGTCAGCACAGAGTAGCTAACTAAGGTGCCACTCCGTACTTACTCTCAATACTTACCTACCTAGTCCGGAGCGTACTGTCAGTCTTCACTGCTCACATCGTATTCACCCGTCCAGCGGACTCGGGACTAGCGTGATTGGTATATCTCAATCAGGAACCCACTCCTGGCTGCCCCTGCAAATGCGGCTACGTTGGCAGTAAGGAGACCTGCTGAATCCCGCAACGAGCAATCCTATGTAATCAGCAATCAATAATCTCAGCAGGAACACCGCCGGCACGATTGGCTCTCTTGTCGGTCGATGTCGCTCGCTGCACGGGGATGCCAATAGCCGCTGTTGGCTGGCTCCATTTCCGATCTACCAGTTAGCAGTTGCTGTTTTTATTGAACCATAAATAGACGACGCCCTTGCAAGGTAATCTCGGGTACATTTCTTAGAATGAGTGCAGTAAATACATAGCACTGTAATTCACAGCTTGCGTAACAGAAGAAAGAAGATTGATTGATCGATGGTGGAAGGCCGCGCCTGCCTCAACAGCGTTAGCCTGTGTAGCTAGAGTCAGCCAGGCCCGCTCCTGCCCTCGTTCCAACTTCCCTGCCTTCCTTCCTTTCCTGTTGTTGTGTTGTTTTGTCCGTCTGAGTTAGCGCGAAATTTCCCCAGCCTTGTTGCTTCTCTCTCATCCACCTCCATTCATTCTTCCTCACCACTGCCTCTCTATCTCTGTCTCTCTCTCTCCCTCTCCCTCCCTCCCTCCTGCTGTTGCGTCCTCGCTCACCCTGCAACTCTCGTCTCTCTCTTCCCGGCTCTGGCCCCGTTTCMCCTGCCACGGCATTCCCATCTCCTTCCTTGTTGGCCTGCCCCGCCCCGATTCGTTCGTTCTACGCACGCATCGTCTTCGAGTAACCCAGGAATACGCGAGCTACACACCCACCCCGTCGCTCTTTTGGAATTGATCACAATGTGGAAAGGATTGGATGCGTGGGAGCGTTCAATGCTTATTTGAGTCGGCAATCTCGACTCGCTTCGTGTCAGAATGGAGCACGTCTCTACAGTAAGTGACCATATATCTCCATCGCTCCTGCACTCTGGTGCATTGACCCTAGGCTACCCGAACGTGGATATCCCAAGCCTATAACGTCATGCTCCAGACTGTATAGCATGAACTATTCTGTCATCATTCCGCTCCCATAAGTTCGGTATGAATTCGTGGATTCCATGGGCTAATATCACCCTAGCTGTGTGCCGTAAGTACTGTTGGTATTGCCGCAACTGGGTTCGCTTTAGCACGTCGAGAGCAACCTACCGGGCTCCAGTCAGTACCCAGCTCTAGGGACTCGGCACTTCCACGCAATTCATCATCCGACATCGTCAACCATAAACTATCTCACCATCAGGGCGCAAGCGAACGGTCGTCACAGCAGCGATCGGGGTTTCAACCGGTTGCTACGCAGTCTGGACAAAGCTTGGTGCTATCACAAAGGAGGAGGGAACGGCGCCGACGACAGACAGTGACGAATCCTCTTACCAAGGCAGTAGATGAGAGCTCTACGCAAGACAGCGGTGCAGCGAGCAGCCGGCCGTCGTCTTCGTGGCTCAGACGGATATCCATAATATCTTCTACCACAACCAGTTCGCTATCCAGCCCCACAACGGCCACCTCATCTGTGAATATATCCCCGACGCGGGCACACACCCGACGTGATTCAACTGTCAAGGCACCGAATAAACTTGTCAAACGTTCGAATTCGCAACACTCTATAAAGCAGGCCGGAAGTGGTACAGGGCGATCCAGATCAAATACACTCGGTTTGCGTCGCCCCGCTACGAGCCATCAGCGCTCTGGTGATATTGCTCGCAAGTCAAGTCTCGGCCAGGAATCAGACTTGTCCATTCCACCTGCCTTTCTAGAGAGCTCGCTGGCTAGGGAAAACGATCTTGTGGATTTGGACAGTCAATCCTGGAGGCCTTTTTTTGCCTCTACTTTTGGAAGAAGACGGCAAAGCTCGACAAGCAATGCTATAGTAACCATCAAACCGAATCGGATTTCTCACCCGCGATATCACATCAATTATCCAACTCTAATGCTTTCAACCTCGGTGAAAAAATTATCTCATGCTAGCGATATGGCAGCAAAGCAAAATACCTCTCAATCACCATCGACAGACGCCGTTCCTTTTATTGACCCTTTCTCACGACACACTGATGCCTCTAATCCCAAACTCACGAAACACACGACCCAGGAAAAACGCAGAACGGTCCGATCTTCGTCTATTTCAGATCTGTCTGTGGCTAGCCGCAAACCCCGAGTTAGCCCAATGAAAGGCGATGTTAAAGCCCCTCTATCTGCAGCTCGTTTCCATGGAAAAGACAGGATTGTGTCAAATCCGTTACCACGAGATTCAGGCAAAATCGGAAGCCCCCGGCTGCGACGCAAGCGAAACTTCACCGAATCCGATACATTGAATCGACCTCAGACTGCCCCCAGTGCAAACTACTTCCATAATAAAGATCCACATATCGATGAACAATTTCCCCCCGACCTTGCACTTTCAGTCGACTTGCTCAAGTCAACAGACAGCTCGCTAGCTTATAGGAAGGGCAGCTATGATAACAAATCCTTTCCGATCAACTATCCTCCGTCTGGAACATCACCACCGATTATTCGGTATTCCCGAAACAAACGTCTTTCTGGGGCTACGTCCGATTGGGCATCGACTGTTATAGGCTCAGACGACACCCGTGTCTTCACCTCAGCAGACGAAGATGATCAGAGTGATTCGGTATTCGACTCCTTTCGCACGAGGATATCATCTAGCAGTCAGACAGGTCGTCGTGGTCCGAACATCGAGACAATATTTCACGATGCTTCAGCTGATTTGAATAAAGGAGGCTCTGTTGCGGTTGAAGAACTTGATTTTGAGAATTTGCGACTGTCGCAGTCCACCCCGAGATCGTCCTTGAGTGACCTAGATTCCAATATCACTCCTGTGGCGCTATCCATTGCGAAGAATACTGATGCAACTCCAACACCGCCTGCGAAGAATTCACTCAAAACTCCGCTCCATTCATCCCCTCTGAAGTTATCCCTGGCTCCTCAGACTGAAGAACTAGTTTTCAGCTCTGATGAAGATGCAGTGCTGGAGGATGGTGACGATGAGTTCGACACATCATTTGGAGAGAATCTCAATTTCTTCCACCCCTATAGCGATCCTGATGCGAATTCCCCTTCGTTAACACGGAAAAGCTCCGCGATCGGTATTAAGGCAAGCGTCTTTGACTGGTCAGAACAGACATGGACCGAACGCGACCCTCAAGCCCACGAGGTTCGCCCAAGTACCGTACATGGAAAGCAAGGCCCCAATGCCAGAAGCACCCGTAGGCCGAATCGGAAAGCGCCAAGCGCCATACATCTACGAAGCCAGAGTGTTCCAGTCTCTCGAGAGGGTCCAGTGCCAACTGAGAGTCGACAGCCCTCCGCCAAATTCGGTACATGGGGCTTGGGTCAGAAGGGAGTGAGTGAAGACTGGGACGGCGACTTTGACTTTGGCGACGAAGATGATGGTGATGATTTGGGACTTGGGGACGGCACTGATTCGGTGATGCGGATACAGACTATGAAGGTACCACAGGCTATCATGGAAAGCCAAGCCAGCGTTCATGGACAATACGGACAAGTTCAAGAATTGACCCTCTTAGTCGAAGAACTGAAGCGTTTGCGGATACAAGGGAACACGCTACAAGTCATTGACGGATCCGCCAACGATCTTTGGAAGGAAGCAGATGGTATTGTTAACCTGGCAACATTTGAAGATGAAGACGCCAATTGGCAGATCCCCAATTCCCCGTCTTCTTGTGGGAGCTTCGATGATTTCGAGAATTCGCCGTCTCCGCAACAGAAGCCATGGAGGAATAATGATAGTGACACGAAACGACCACCTCTTACACTATGGAGCGATATGGATCACAATTCAAAGAGCTCTAGTAAGAAAGAGCCTACAGCTAAAGCCAAGTCTGTGCTGGAGACCATCTATCAGCAACGGGAATCTTCAGAAGCTCCATCGGTCGAAATTGCGACTCAGCCACCACAGAAGCTACCTTTTGATACACAATCTCTCAAGGAACTAGTCGCACGCGCCGGTGTTGTGACTCGGGCATTAAAAGATGTTATACGGCGAGCTGAGGGTGTCACAGCTGGAGATGAGTCTATTCCATCGTCAGATCCTCCGTTCAGTCAAATATTCGCTCAAAGATCATAATACAGACAACTGAGCATGACGACTATACGAATTCTTCCTGCAGAAGCTTATGCTATATGCTTCTTTAATTCTTTTCTTTCACACTTTCTTCTCATACCCATTCAACGGAGTTACGACATTGGTCTGTTTAAATCCTTTCAATTCTCTGTATATTTCTTGTTGGAAAACATGCGCCCAGTCATCTGAGACGAGGTTGGAGTCCACACTGGCGTTCGGTGGCTTTTTGTGTATTTTCCGTTCTCGATTCCTTATATTGGTATCCTCTCTATTATTTCTTCTGTTCTTCTATTCTTCTATTGTGGAGAGCAGGTCTGTCTATAATGGCTTGGTCATGGCTCTCCATCGAATTACGAATGATGTTATGACTCAAAAGTCGGGACTGAGATATTCCCATTGTCAACTTATTCTTACCTTTCCTCTTTGATGAGCATTACTTTTATACGAAACTCCCCTGCACAACTGTCAGAGTACGGGCACGACGAGAGACAAAAGTGATATTTATATTCTTTTTCTGTGGCTTTTGATTCTGTCTATACTTCGATTCATCAATATATGATGATGGACCTGCATTCTTCATGTTAGAATAGCGTCTGACTCGTTTTGATCACGTTGTTTCCTTCACAGTCTAATTCTACTTCTTTTGTTGATACAATGTGTTTATGGAATTATGAATGATACAGGATAATATTTTTTTTGCGGATCTTGTAGTAAAGCTTGTATAGTACCAGCACCATCGGTTGAGTTTACCACCTTCTTGGGTGGAATATACAGTGAAGCCCGACTATCTATACGCGAATAATTGACATCTGGACGGCCCTTTCCGTTGCTCCAGTCGATTCTCGATTTTGCATCTAGATACAATCCAGACACTTCCAAATTTGACTCATTACAGCCGAAGTCTACCTTCATGTAAAGGGTTGGCAATGAAGCCAGAATCATACCGAGATATATAACAGATATCGTAGGATATTGGTGTTTTCGGTAACATGTTTGGGACATCGATCAAGTGGTCGTTATCCATCTCAGAGTGGGTATAAGCTTGGAAATACCACTCGTTCTAAATCTTCGCGTATATACATGTAGGAAACGGAGGTAGATCCATGGACATATTATGGGTGCTCCAAGGTCAGCAGGTACTCCTAAGATTGACCAGTGACCACCCAAATGTACATACAATCGTCTCTGAACGTTACATGTTGCTTCTGTATATGTATGTGGCTGGGTAATAGACTTGATTATGTATGACCCGACATTTACACGTATCATGCAGGTAATCAGGCAAGTAAGTATGTATGTATGTACGTGTTTGATTGACTGCAACCACCGAGACCCATCCCTTCCGAAAAAACCGAAGGTATCAAAGGTCCTACTGCTCATCCTCCTCAGCGGGTCTCTCCGGCGCAAAGGTAGGGGCGAATTTACTCTTTTCGCGGATCTTGTGACCTCTCAAGTAGAAGAAGATGGGGATCGGGACGAGGAGTGCTGATATGCAGCCGAGGAGTGTTCCGGCCCAATTGATGCCCATGCCGTTGAACTGTTAGGACGAGTCTTGTCAGTTAAGATGACTTGGGAGGTAGGAAAGCTACGTGTACGAACCATGTATGTTGCGAATAGTGGAAAGACGGCACCAGCCAGGGATCGAAGGAATGTGTTTGCGGCAATGGCGGAGGCGGCGCTGTAAACAATGTTAGCCTTATCTCCAATAGAAAATGTATGAGAAGACGCACAAAAGAAGATAGGCATCGACAAGGTAGTTGAGACACTGTAGGAAAATCGATAGAAGACCAAAGCCTGTTAAGAGCCCTGACAGTGTAGGCACAATCCAATGAATATCAGCTCTGTAACCCGACCAGCCGAACCAGAAAAGACCTGCAGAAAAGGAGACGCCGCCGATAATGGCCGGTGGCAATCTCCATTCTGGGACAGGGATGTTGTTGTTGGCCTCTAGCTTCTTGTTGTATGATGGTTGCATGGCGATGATAAATATACCAGCAAGCAGCTCGCCAACGGCCATTCCGAAATATGGTAGACCGCCGATACCCTTGTTGAAACCGTGGATTTGCTGAAAGACAATTGGGTAGGCAGTCATGAAGAGATAAAGCAGACCATAGATGAAAGCCATGTAGATACTCAACAGCAATACGATGGGCTCTGAAATTAGGATTTTGATGGGACGACTGAAATTCTTCGACACCAGCTCACGGAAATCAACTTCGATTTCCTCCTGTTTTGCGTGGATACCCCAATTCCTTGTGCGGCGACGAAGTTCTGCAGCCTTTTCGATGAGGACAATAGGTGGATAAGTCTCATCGAGGAAGAAAACATCTAGAATGAGCGCTGCAGAAGCCATGATGGCTACCAGGTACTGAGTCCAACGCCATCCGAGATAGCTATCGACGATGAATCCGCCAATAAAAGGTGCAAGAAGAGGTCCCATGAAAACGGTGAGCGAAAACACGGTAATGGCCACACCACGGAAACGGTTGTCAAACATGTCGGAAAACACGGCGGCAACTACTGCAATAGGGCAAGCACCAAAGAATCCAGCAAAAAATCGACAGATCAGAACGGTCTGCAGGTCCTTGGCTGTTGCTACGGCGAATTGAAACAGTGTTAGGCCAGTCATACCGATAATGATGGGCAATTTTCGACCGCGAAGTTCTGAAAGAGGGGCCCAGCATATAGGTCCGGTGGCAAACCCGAGAACATATAATGACAAACCGAGAAGAGTAACTTCGGTGGAGACGTGGTAGATAGATGCAAGGCTCGTTGTAGCATCAGCGAAGATACTGCTTCCAAATGTGGAAACCAAACTTGTGTATGCCAACATGACGCTGGTTAATACCCTGGATGGAACTAATTAGCAAAGATATGAGCAATAGAAACAGAAGCAAAATGGAATACTTTTTCTTGGTTGGCCAGTTTTGCGGATGCAAAGGGTCATCAGGGCCATCGAATTCCACTACATAAGCTTCCTTTGCAGGTAAAGCCGGCGGATAGGACTTTCCACCACCAAATGGCGGGAGAGGCTTCTTTGACACGCGCGACCTTAGAGTTGCACCGACTGTACCGCTATGTTGACTGCGTTGTGTAGCAATGCGACTGAGGGCAGTTGGGTGTCTTTCTAACGTATACGAGGTCTGTATTCTTGACATAATCGGCTCAACGGGGACTTCCGAGGACGAGCTGCTCGAGATAGACCCCAAGGAAGACGAGGTACGCGATGGGCTGAGAGCAGGCTCATCGCGAGCCTCCACTGCCTGGCCAGGATGGCTGGCATCGATCTCGGCTTTCTCTAGATCGCGAGAAACCTCATCCATGTTTCTGCTGGATTGTGTTTGTACAGTGCAATTGAACCCACCAACTCCGAAACTACTTGGGCGCAAACGGTCAAAGAAAAATGTAGCACCTAACAAATCACGATGCGACTGGTAAAATTGAGCATCGAACTAAGCTGAGGTCGCATTCTCTCCCGTGAGTCCGTATCGTTGGTTTATGCTTTGCGGGGCTAAAGGCTGGTCTTGGCGCCAATCATTCCAGCCCTGGTGATGTAATCGGCATCTTGGTGCCGACAGCATCTTCAGCAGTTCACTCACTTCAGCAGTTACTATCAGTATATCTCTGAGTCGAGGCTGGAATGCACAATGTAGTATATTGAACAGAAATGATGCATGTATATTGTCAGCCAATCAGTCTTGCTTTTGACTGGCGCCATGTCAATCATCTGACCGCAGGCGTCTGATGTGCAATTCCTTGTTTCTAAAACACGCCATGATTCGACGCTGAAGATGACTCGCAGACACAAACCCCCATTCGCTGATGCGATGGGTTTTCATCGAGCAACTCGACATCCTTACTCTCTTCATTGTACTGCACATATTCAGGACTCGTTTGCCATGGGCCCTGTTAGCACCATATCACAGCCGAATAATCGAGGGATTCGTGTGCGATGGCGGTCTGACTGAGCATATTGGACGGTCTGGAACACCGCGGTATTAAGCATCCGTCTGTGTCACTAATAATAATAATGATAACAGGGTCATGTATATTGAGGTCTAGGTTTCACAGACTCATAGGTTATATACAACAGTATCAGGTAAATAAGCTGTTCGGGGGAGTGTGTATTTGGTACGCATTTGTGTAATCCGAATACAATACAGAGCAACAGAGGAAGGAGCAGTGGGGTCACAATAGGGTACAGTGATTGGCTATCGCAGATTGTGTTCCTGGCACTAAGCCTGTTAGGGGCTCCTGAAACAAGCCTCCTTATCATCTCTCCGTGCATCTGCCATTTGCCTGCGTCTTTTCCTTCGTACATAGTATTGTATTGGATGCTCTACGGAGGACACTGCTAGAACCGCTACACAGCTGGACCTATGAACCATGTCCTCAAGGAACGCCGACAGTATGGACAACGTGCCCGAAGAACAACAGGAACTCGTTGTCCTCCTTTGGCCTGTTCAAGGATCCATGGCCCAGACCGTATCTTTGACACTCCACCCTGTAAAGTGGACATTTCATTGCAGCAGCAACTTGCGGTCGTCTTGCGCGTCCACTACCAAACGGGATTACTATGGTAATAATTCAATACAGCAAAATGACAGAGCTGAGTGTATGCGCTTGGAAGAACGGCGCCTCCACTAGTGGTCCTGCCTAACCAGGTAAGTACTAACCCGTCCTGCCGCATCCGCATCAACTCATTTGCCTGCCCACCCCCCATTTATGATCCTCCCTTCTTTCTTTTCACCAACGGCTTCTCTTCTTTTTGTCTTTTCTGTGCGTTGTGTGCTCTTTCGCTCGATTCCTCTCTTTGTTTTTGTCCTACAGGGGAAACTGTTCTCCAAGTCGCTCTTTAACCACACTCCTTTTCCATCCCCCACGCTCTTTCGAAATCGCTTCTTTCAGGGGAACTCAACCGCCCCGTCTCCTGATTCGCCGCTTGTCCAGTCACTCTCTTCAAAATTTGTACTCGCACGAGCTCGTTCTATAACTTGCTCCGAGTCACCATCAATTCTATATATACTCGGGTTTATGTTGCTACAATCAGATCACTGTTTTACGATCACCGGTCCCGTATCGATCCCAGGTCGAATGTCCTCTATATAACTGGCTACAATTACATCAGAATCAACCCTGCTGGGTCTTCAGGGCTCATAGCAGTGGAAGATGCCACACCGACATGGCATGCACCACCATGTGCATCGTCACATCCCGGAGAATCCAGCCCAACTCGAAGTGGTGCCTTTAGAGCCCGCTCCTACCGTATCCGAAGATCCCTCTATTGTTCGCCGGGCCTCCTCGTCCACTTCGACCTGTTCAGGCTCATCATGTGAAACATCGAGTAGTTCCAATCTCGTCAACACTCTACCTGTGGTCCTCGGAGTAGTGTGAGTGCTTTAAGTCGGAATTAGTAACTTGGGTCAACGCTAATCTATTTCAGAATTCCCGTTGTCCTCGCTATAGCCGTTCTATTATTTCTACACAGACGCCATGTCCGGAAACTTCGCCAAGAGGATGCAAACGACAAACACAAGTCCTTGGACTTCGGTATGGAGGTCGTACGGGCCGGTGGTGAAAATCCCAAACCGGAAATGGGAGAAAAGCCTCACAAACATGGCATGTCCTTGGACATTATCGGCAGCCCTTACCTTCTTCCACCAGGATTACATGGCTCTAAGGAATCTCTCCGGTCCCTCTCGAAAGTAATCAGTCCGGATGATGACAAGTACCGCCTTGCTGCTCAAAGCGACACCGCTTCGCTAAGATCATACCGATCTCATCCTAGAACGGGACACGATGATGCGTCCAGTTTTGGAGGATCTACCAGACACGGACCCTTGCCTGACGATATGAACCAGGGCCTCTTGCAGAATGCCTCCAGGATGTCACGATCACCTCCAATTGATGCAACATCACCTTTAAGTGTTAATGAAACCATTCACGAAGAGCAATTCGACCACTCAAGAGCCATGGGCAACCAAGACCCAAATCACCGAGCTGAAAGCCCACCAATGGCCGATTCACTTAATAATCATAACACCCCAGAGCCTTCCGGCCGGGGTGATGATTTGTTCTTCGGTTCTTTCCCTCAGCGAAACCCAAATCGACTGACTTTGAATCCTTCCAAAGGTCTCCAAGCCCCGAATGAAGCGTCTCATGAGCCTCATCCAAGTCTGGGCGGCTTTGACTTCGGTACAGGTAATTTTGACTCTGTGAATGACCACCACGATGCTCCTGTCATGCAAGAAACCTCTGCAGAGTCCCACCACGTTGGACTTCCTAGATTATCTCTTCCAATGAGTGAGACTAGCGACTACGGAGATGAGCCAAAAGCGCACGTGCCGCCCTCATTGAATATGCCAGAAGCCGAAGACTACCATCAAGAGTCGGAGGATTTCTCTCATCCACCCAACAACCGTATGACACAGTCATTCACGAAATTCGATGAAGGGTTTGACCCCCACAGGCTGACTGTTGGTATTCGCCCTCTTCCACCGGAAGATCCAACCGATAACGCCGAACAGCGAGCCAATAGAATTCGTTCTTTCTACAAGGAGTATTTTGATGATTCAAAAGGAGGCGGCCATGAAGAGTACTATGAGGATTTCGGCCCGGAGTTCTACGAGGATCCTGGAGTGTTCGATCCATACCAGAGTGATTATTTCACCGGTCCGCCCAAACCATTCGCTCAACCTATGGGACGTCGCGCAATGACACCACCTCCGCGCTTCCAAGGACCACCTCGCAATATCATGCACCCTGCTGCTGGTTCAAGAGGTGCCGGTCCGCGTGCATTCTCCTCGGCTTCGGGTCGAATGCCCCCTAAAGGACCCGCGAAACCAGCTCCTCCGCCTGAGCCGTTGCACGTCTTGCCATCGCCTCACTTGATTAAAGACGACATGTCAATCTTGCCCATCGACTATGCTCCTCCGACCTTGAAGGAACGTGTAGAAGGCAGACCAGAGAGCCCTCGTGGAGGACTACGTCCTTACACTTCGATGAGCCGTGCTCATACTCCCTTGGTCTCGTCCTTCGACGACCTTGCAGCTATCCCGAGTCCGTAAGTGCTACTTTACATCTTATTTGTTCTTTTCATGATTCTGAACTAACATGTCTTGCCTAGTCACGCTTTGCGAAAGTCTGGAATATACACTTCTCTGGACTTTGCTCCTCCTGCCCGATTCAAGAATGATACGGGAAGCGATGCCGGTAGCATTCGTAGCAACCGTACCGGTATCTCGAGGGTCCACGATCACAATATCCGTACAGGAGCGTACCGCGTCAGTCGTTTGCCGACGGACGTTGTGGGCACCAAAGATGATCTCTTTGCAAGCCTGCGACCCACCATGGATTTGGGCCGCTAGAAAGAACTACATGCATGTTTCCTTTCGCTGCGTTCATCGTACGATTAAATCATTTTCAGCATTGTTCCTTAACGATGGTTCCTTCTTATCTCTAACGGTCGCCTCATGATTCGTCTTCACCAGCATTGTTTTGCTCATCGACCTGACCTTATTATAGAATTTTGACATGGAGTTTTGGGCTGTTTTGAAATCTTGAATCTTGAATTTGGCTCAAGGTGCTGGTCCTTGGACATGTGCTGTACTATTACATCTATTTTTCTTTCTTCCCTGTGGATCTCTTCTTGGTTCACCTTGACTTACTAAGCCAATCATTGGCATTTTTCACTCTTCCCTTCCTCGATGATGGTATCTATTCTTTCCACCTTGCAACTTTTCTTCAATTTCTCTTTCATGGTGTGCCATGCACCTGTAATGTACATAATAGGCCGTGTGCGCTATACAGCCGTCTTGCAATCAATTGATGACGCCGTAGCAGATTCTCCGAGTATCTCCTATTTCCAAGAGTGCATTTTCGATGGTCGAGCCAGGTGATCGTAAGCATGGTGTGGCTGTGCAGGTGTGGCTGCTAGTCCCGCAAACATCTAATCTCAGCGACCCACTCTCATACAGTTTCAGGGCATCCACCGATCGTCAGTGCAGATTCATTCCCATGCGTTGCATTGCCAACCTTGCCTACTCTAATTTGCCATGCAGTGCATCTCGATATCATCAAATCTTATGATGTATGTCTCTCATTAATTATGAATCATGGTGTCTTGAATTAGTTGGATAGTCGATGATCCCAAGTCGGCCATTGGCGGGKGTGACCGTCGTGACCCAACCCGGAAAGGTACGGTGTCATTTATGACACGAGTATGCTCTGTCTCATTTCGTCGACAAATGAGTCTATGCACCGCAGAAATTGGCTAGTGTGACTGTGGCGTCGCATACATTAATACATTCGTATCTCTACTCGTAAGGACTTACTATCCCTCATCCCTATCGATTGTAGGGACTGGTCTCAGGAACTGGTTAATGCCCTGATCCGGCTATGTCTGGTACCGACAAGCACAACCGACGTTTTCTGCGTTTCAGTAACATCACCCGTATATCATACGTCAAGACCGTTAGTAAATTACTCTCAATACAAGACAATCTCCACTGCATCCTTTAATTGGCAACAGTCGTCCCAAAGCGGCTATGGACTGCTCCATTCTCAGCCGAGCAAGACCAGCTATTGGTTGTAGCCAATACGAGTCTGGCCTAGTCTGCCAAGTCTAGAAGGCGGTTGTGACAGTTGCACCAATCAGCAGGCTCCCTTAGTCTTGTTGCGTAATTACGCTGTTTTTGCCTCCCCCATAGCCCCATGTACGGCTGTGTAGCGATACCAATGAGCGTGCACTATTGAAAAGTGAAAAAGACGAAGACTGGGACAGCCCCGTTGCGCTGAGACTGCTCTGGAGTCTCTTCTTTCGTGACGGGCTGGGCAATGGATTGACTCTGGTTTATAATTTCTTCATTCAAGGTGTCTATCCAAGAGGGGGGATTGAGTTGACTTGTCTTGGATATTATCATAACCATCTTCAACATATGTCTAATCATTAACTTCTTTTATCGTTACTTTTCCTTTTCTCCTGCCGAGATACGAGTCTCAGGCCCCCCTAATCACGACTCCGTACCGATCCGTCGCGAGCAGTCTGTTCTGTCTCAGGTGCCCGATCGCAGAGGAACCAACGTTAAAGATCAAAAACACCAGAACTTACCACTCAGGAGGGAATCAGCTTCGTGATATCGCCGTTCTGGAAATACTTCGGCAGAACCTCGACTTGTGTGAATATTGCCTATTCGACTTGCGCCCCGAAGTTCATCCGGTTGCGTCCCGTGGTCATTCTGAGACTGTTGTGAAAGAACAAAAGTCCAGGCATTGTCGATCGCTTGCTTCTTTTTTCTTTTAGTTTACATCGTCATCACAGCACTCATATTTGTGCTTAGAGTCAAAATTGCACCCTCTCTATATGTCCAACTAGTCATCCATCCCAACATCAACCGCGTGTCGACGATAACCATTTTGTGGAGTCGTTAAGGAAAGTCAATCGCTCGCTTGCGATAGAAACATCCGAAGGATTTTTTACAAGATGTCAGCTCCTTCGACGTCCGTCGTGCCAACGGCCAGCTCGACTACATCGACTGCCCCCTCCAGCACTTCATCCACCTCATCTGCCTCCTCAACCTCGACATCCAGTTCTTCCAGCACAACCAGCTCCTCGACATCGTCATCCAGCACAAGCTCCTCGACATCGACAAGCTCGACATCAAGCTCCACCAGCTCTTCGAGTTCTACTTCTACAACAAGTTCGTCAACCTCAACGACAGCTTCTCAGACAGCACCAGGGCAAACGACAATCTTTGTGACATCTACATCTACGGCTTCTCCAACCTCAGGGACCGAATCATCAACAGGCACTTCTACTATCAGCTCATCGACCAGTACAGCCTCTGCTACACACACTGGTGCCGCATCCTCTGGATCCAGTGGACTCTCCGCGGGAGGTACCATCGCGGTCGCCGTTGTGGTTCCCGTGGCATCCGTCGCTCTAATCATCTGCGTTCTACTCTGGTGGTGGCGACGACGTAAGGCCAACAAGCTCGCCGAGGAGGAGAGGCGAAAGGAAGTCGAGGAGTATGGTTTCAATCCCAACAACGACCCCGGTCTTGGCGGAAGTGTTGTCGGAGGTGCCATGTCATCTACTACGTACAACGACCAATACCAATCGCAGGATGGCAATTCAGGATACCGCGGCTGGGGCACGACATCTCACCCTCGCAAGCCTTCGACGAACCTTTCCTCTATTCCACTCTCGGAAACCAGCGCAATGCAATATAATGATGGCCCCATGAGACCCGATTCCGGCGAATTAGGCGCAATGGGAGCTGGTGGTGTAGCGGGGGCTGCCGCAGGAGCTCAGACTGGTGACATCCGTCGCGGCGCATCGAATGCTTCGTCCGCTTATTCCGCCGGCGTTCACTCTGAAGGATCGGATGATGCGCACATAGGCGGCCCTGGACCTAACCAGTACTACGACGAAGGCAACCCCTACTACCATGACATTCACAACCAGCAAGCCGGAGGATATGGCGATCCTGCTTACGGCTTGGGCCAGCCCGTGATTCGGGATGTGCAAGCTCGCCGCAACACTCGCATCGAAAACCCGGGTGTCTACCCACAACAGGGCAATGCTGGTATCGCCCAGAATTTTTAAGCTTGAATGCAAGCTACATATTCGCTTCTCATGCTTATTCTAATCATTCTCCGTCTGGATCTCGATTCAGCATGCATATGTCTTCCATCCTGTAATATCCATATTTCACATTCGCTCTATTTCATGTAACGTCTTTTTTTTCCCTAGCAACGGCTGCATGTACCTTCCCGTTTTTTTTTTCCTCCTGTATCTGTGAACATATCCGCTTGGCTTCTTGATCATAGCTTGTCTGTCGACAACCACTATTCTCATATTATTTCTCTCTCGTTGATACTCTTTCTCTCATCGACTTGTGGTTGATGGCGTCTTGCAGTGTCCCACAAAAGCGAACCTTTTCTGTTTCAGGTTCTCCTGTATAGTCGCAGAGGCAGCTTGTTCCGAAGTGTTGCCGGAACTGCAATTTCTTGAGCTCCTATCGTTTTGTCTTCTTTTCGATTCCCCCAATGTATGCTCCATCGGAGGAGAACAGTCAGGTGTCTAATACACGAAAAGAATCATTTCGTCAGTAAATAAACCAGGGTCACTGCGTAAGTACATGCTCCGTCGCAGTGTCATCGATGAGCCTCGGCGCTCTAGGCTGTATAGCGTTAGCTCTGTACTATGTAGAAGTTACTAACTAATCTATCTGTATGGAGTCGCATATAGAACGTGCTCCCCTTCGAGCCTCCAATTGGGCGGTCCAGCTCTGCAAGCTTGCTCTCCGCAGGCGCTCCAGCCAACCACACGATTTTCCTTAACAAAGTTCGGCAGAATAATAGTAGAGCTTACATAGTACACTTACTCCAACGTACTTACTACAGTACAGTTTGACATCGCAGTACTCCGTCTTACGTATTGTTTTGTCTTCCGGCCTGCGTCCAGCCCCGCACTGCAGCTAGCAGAAACGAGTTGTTCCTGAGGCATCATTCCAACCGCTCCTGCCCGCCGAACAGAGGGGGCAACCAGAGCAAAAAGGAACGAGCTGTCTGCTGCACTCGTGGCTTCTCGTTCTGTCTTCTCATTCACTGTCGACTGCCTCTGTCAGACTGTCACATTCCCCAACCGAGTATGCCGCCACCTCTTTCTTCCTTTCTACTTACTTCCTCGTGAACTACTTCCATGTCGCTCCTCTGACTAACCCGATGCAGGACGATCATTCTATCTCACCCCTCGCTTCGAATCAGCTTCCTGCTATCAGCTGTTACTGCTGCACTGCACTCACTGCGCTGTTACGAACAACTCATGCATTAGGCTTTGGGCTGTACCACTCGTTGCACTAATAGTCCATACCCATTCGCTGCTTGTGTCCATCTGTGAGTGCCTCGACCGCCTTCCATTTCCTGCTGTTCTCTCTACCTGAAGAAGGCTCAATGCATGAGCACCTTACGCCATGCACCTCGGGTTTCTTCCGCTCTGATGTGGTCCTTTCTCCTTCTATCAACGGGACGGCAACTAATCACACCCAAGACAGAAAAAGGGAAGCTTCTCTTGACCTTTCACGATCTACATCGTCATCGTGTTCGTCCGACCATCGTCTCGTCCCTCCGGCGATCAACTGTCTACTCCCGGTGTAAGGCTACGTTATTGAGTCGCAATGTTTATATAGCAAGAGATCTTTATTTCTTCGCCACATCACGCTCTCATTGCTTGGGTACGATCATCTACCGGACAGACATGAATGCCTTTGCTCACATTGATGAACACAGGTCAACGACTTCCTGCAGTGCCATTTGAGAGCACACTTGATCCCACTTACCAGTGTGAATACAGCTACTCTACCATTGCCCCGCTACTACTCCCCCGTGTAACATTTCAAGATGTACGTATTCTTTGATGTCGGCTCCGGCATCGGAAGACTATGCGAATCTCACTTTTGCGACGATTTTCCAATCGCGCCTCTTGTTCTTCTCGCGGCCACATTCCGGCATCCTAGCTTGCCTTGCTCTCAATAGCTGACGTTCAGTAAAGGAAGTTCGGAAAACAGATTCAGCGCAGGCAACTCGATCTTCCCGAATATGCGGCTAGCTTTGTCAACTACAAAGCTTTGAAGAAGGTGAGACCTCGTCAAGAAGTTGTCATGCGACTATCACTAACTCCGGGGCTGCCGCATAGCTTATCAAACACCTGAGTGCTACCCCGACGATTGCAGCGCAGGGTGCCCCTGCTCCCCCGGCCGATCTTGATCCTCAGTCAGCCTTGCGCGCCAATAAAGAAGTGTTCTTCTTCCGTTTGGTGCGTATTACTTCCGTGCGAGACCGTTCAGGGCTATATTCATTTTTATGGGACATGTAGGAGCGCGAAATTGAAAAGGTCAACGCATTCTACGTGCAAAAAGAGTCAGAGGTACGGAAAACTTTCCCCGTGCTTGTCAAAAGAAAGCCGGGCTAAGATTTGTTTAGTTTTCTACGCGATTAAAGACGCTTTTGGACAAGAAACGTGTCGTGCAGTCTCGTGCTCATGCAGACAAAAAAGCACCGACGTATTTCGTCTCCCTGTTCGAGGGCTTTTTGCAGTTCGATAGTGATTTGAATAAGCTGCAGGTGGGTTGAGGACTCGATATGCCGGTGGTCCAATCTAACGCAGTGAAATAGCAATTTGTGGAAATTAATGAAACTGCCGTTTCGAAAATCCTCAAAAAGGTATGTCTTGTATCAAATACTATTAGCATAACACAGCTAATTCTTTGTAGTGGGATAAAACATCAAAGGTGCGGATTATTGCGAAAAACTGTCGTTCAGACAAATAACTGACCGGTGAAAAGTCTCGCATGAAAGAGCTGTATCTGCAACGCGCCGTCGAAGTCCAACCATGCTTCAACCGAGAGGTTCTCCGCGATCTATCAGACAGAGCGACCACGGTGCGATTGGATTTAGAAGCCTGGGCAGAGGGAGAAAATATCCGCTTTGACGTTGCTCGAACAACTGAGCGGACAGAAACAGCGTTGAAAGATGAAGACGAACAAACAGACCTCCAGGTCCTCCACATGGCGGCTGCAGGAAACATTATCGCACTGCAAGAGTGGATCACGAAGCTTAGAACTACCCCAGATTCTCGTGACCGAATGACTCGTTTGTTCTTAGCCGCCGTTACCGACTTCTCCGACGAAATTCTAGGAGCCATTTTGGAAAGCGGTCTCGTGGATCTGCACGCAGAAGATGACATTAACGGGCGGAATTGTCTTCACGAGGCAGCTATCTCAGGCCAGACTTTTGTTTTCGAGGCCGGCCTCAAGAACGAAGTTGATATTTCTACGCCCGATGTCTACGGCAGGATTCCACTACACTATGCCTGTATACATGGACGCGTGGATATGGTTCGAAAACTTCTTGCTTCCGCCCCGGATTCGGTGAACAGTCTCGACCACGATAACTTCACCCCTCTTATTCACAGTATCGTGCGGAATCGGTTAGAATGTGCGAAATTGGTGCTAAACAACAATGCGAGAATTAATCCTACTTCCGACACGGATCACATCCCTTTGAACCTTGCCTGTCAGCATGGAACTGTTGCCATCGCCGAAATATTGCTACAGAAGGGAGCTACTCTGCTTCCAGATGCCGAAGGCCTTTACCCTCAGCACCTTGTCGCACGCTCTGGACGAGCTCCAGAGATGTTGGCGTTGCTCAAGAAGCACGGCGCGGACTTGGACCAGACCGACAAGCTCTATCAATGGACTCCGTTATTCCACGCAGCTAGTGAAGGTTGTGTGGATTGTCTACACACTCTCCTTGAGCTTGGTGTGGATACCTCTGTCCTTGACGAAAAGGGTTTGTCCGCTATGTATTACGCTGCTTGGGAAGGACATCTTGAATGCATGGCTCAACTCTGGTCAAAGCGAGATCCATCCCTACCTCATCGTCCTCTTGTAAGCCATCAAGTCGTACCCCAGATCGGTGGCTCGACAACTGGGTATGATGGTTTCCGCACCGACACTGGTCCATCGGCATTTAGCTCTGAAGGTCCCGATGGAATTCCTGATCTTGAACTTCCTCCTCCCATAATCCCGCTACGACGCTACGGCCATAACTTCTTGGACACTAAAGCTTTTGTCCAGATCTATTTTGACATTTCTAAACGTGGGCCGATTGTTTTCGATCAGAGTGGACGCTACCCGGCTTCTCGTCTTACCATGTCTTCCAAACTTTCGGATGTGATACCTCGCACTATCATGCTACCAGTTCAAGAGGACTCCCGGATCGTTACATTCCAGGTTGACACCCTAGAAAACTTTGTCATTGAGTTTGAGATATTCCCTACCTTTGGTTCCAAGGTGATAGCAAAGACAGTGGCTCTTCCATCACTCTTCTCCGCAGAAAATTCGAGTGCAGGAAGCTGCTCCCTGCCATTGTTCGACCCAAGATTGCGCTCAATTGGTCAGATTCGCTTCGACTTCCAAGTGATCAAACCTTACTACGGTGACCCGCTGGAAATCACACATTTTGCTACCTACTGGAAAGCAACCAATGCAATTGATGCTGACCACAATGGTCTGATTACAGGCTCAAGTCTATCTGGAGACTATGTGCAACTCTTTGTACAGCTTACCAAGGATAGAGTACCCATACTGTACCCAATGTTCTCTATCAACCACTTTGGCATTGACATACCCATCTGCACGATCACCTACGAGCAATTTACAACAATTGCTCGGGAACGTGGTATTGATACTCAAGCAGTACTCGAGAGTTTGCACTCGAAGACTGCAAACGATATGGCTTCCATTCACAAACAGCTCGCCCATTCCTTCTTGTCTTTACAGGATGTTCTCCTGCATCTTCCTACCGGTATCCATGTCAATCTCACCGTTCTCTACCCATCGCCCGCCGAAGAAAAGGAGCTCAGTCTCGGCTCTTTGGCAGATATCAACACTTTTGGGGACTGTATTCTCCACGTTGTTTTCGACCACGCCAGAGCATCGCGAGAAAAGAGCCCAGACTTTATGCGGTCGGTTGTCTTCACTTCGTATAACACCAACATCTGCACAGCATTGAACTGGAAACAACCCAATTGTAAGTCTTTCTCTTAGCTCAGGATACTTATATGGCTAATTATTCTTTAGACCCGGTACTCCTGTGCAACGACCTGGGACAGATTGGAGACTTTACTCGAGAAGCCAGCACATCTACAGCAATCAAGTCTGATGGCCACACTTCCATGTCCATCAAGGAGGCTGCACGTATAGCCCAGTCGAATAACTTCATGGGTGTGATTTGTCGGTCTAGTCTATTGGTAAGTCAATATACACCCTTTTTATAAGAGGAAATGACTAATGTCTGTATAGAATGTCATGCCAGCCCTCATTGAGACAATCAAAGAACAGGGTCTTGTGCTGATTGCCGACACCTCCGATGAATCAGCAACCTCGTCATTGACTACAACTACCACAAGAGCTGCCACAGATTGGGCATATAGAGCGCCAGAGGGCGTCAACGGCGTAATGAAAGCAACCGGAGTACTTCGGTTCAACGAAAGTATTGATATGTGATAACGACTTTCTGTAATACGGCTGAAGATGTTGAGCGAGGAGAAAAAAGTGTAGTATTTCCTCTGCAAATCAAATGATACCTGATGCCTTTGTTTTTTCTCGATAGATGACGGGAGGGTGGCACAATTGCTAGCTTTTGCTTGTTTCGTTTCTTGCTACATACTAATCAGATCATATGTCGTGAATCAAGTTGTCATAGAGCAATGAGTTCATCATGTTATTCGGCGTTTTTTCTTGTGCCGCGATCTCTGTCGGAAATTTGGAGGTTGTGTAAATTTCTATAGAATTTGCAATGAGTAAAGTCTCTGTAAGACTGAGGAATTTTTCATATAGAATACATGTAAGTTGAGTTTGTAGCTTAATAGGCGATGTAATACACGAGAGGACCTCCTCCTTCTAATCCAATATCTATATCAGGTGTTTCGTTCAATATCTGTGTTAGTGATCATATGAGCCTCTGAAAGGGTAAAGCAGGGGGAAGTAGTACAAAGCAGGCTAGATCGAGACAGGGTTCAATGCAGGTTGGGAGATTGGTCGATGAATGAGTGAGCGAGCTAAATCTATTTAGCAGCCTTGGGAGTCTTTTTGCCGATATTCCAGCCCCAGCTTCGCAACGTTTTGACGACTTTGGGCGTCACGGCGGCTGTGAGCGGGACGCGGAAGAAGATTAAGCTCTTGTGGACTGCGTATGCTATTGCGAGTTGTGTCCATATGCCTAAAACAATTAGTATGAATGGACTAATATTTAATCGATGATATGAGAGGGAAACATACTAGCTCCTTCATCGCTAAGTTTCTCCCTAGCTTCAGCAGCATCAGCATCAGCAGTCTCTCCCTCTAACGTCGCCCTCTCAATCGGCACAACAGAATAAAAAAGCTTCTTCGCCTCTTCGACAACTACATGCTCGTAGTGCCCAATTCGCTCGACGCCAAATAATCGCACAGCCGCGAAACAGAAAGGGAAATCCAGCGCAGAGAGCGCGAGGTAGACGCCTAGTGCTGMCCAGCCGTATTCGCGGGAGAGGGTTTTCATGCGCTGGGAGAAGGATTGGGATTGTTGTTTTGTCTGTTGTTGTTGGGATTGGTGGTGCGCGGTTTCATTTGTGCTGGTGGATGACGAGAAGCGTTTTTGTTTCGGTTGTTTGGAAGGATGATTGAACGGTTTCCGGGTATGTAATGAAGGTCTGGATTGGGCGACTCGTCTCGAAGATTGAGAGAATTGCTGTGATATTATTGTGCGCTGTTGCTGCTGGAGAAGCGGTTGTCGCACCAGGGATCTTGTTGTTATGGACTGTGCCTGTTGTCGCAACAGTCGGGATATGGTTAGAGCGACTGGCGGCATGTTGCGGGTCGAGGGTGTGATTAAGAATTAATATAGTAAGGATAACAAGTCGAAATAATGATACAGATATTTGAGAAAAGGAAAATGTGGTCAAATCGTTAGAAGAGGCGTTCAGTCATGGTGAACCGCTGTCATATACGGGTGATGATGATGGAATGAATGTCTTCCAGGATCTTCTGAGGAATTAAAAATTATCTCCGGCCACCGAAACGCCGGCAAGCCGGTAACTTACACGGCTCTTACAAAAGTTACAGTACACCACTAATAGCTGGACTAACCCTTTTCTGATCTAACTTTGACTTGCTTGGATTATTTGTCCAGCATCACCTCCGTCGCAGTCAACGCAATCAATCGACCATTGGGAAAACGCTACATATTCACATCATCTGATTGATTTGTAACATACAAAGGAGGATGCCGCCCAGGCTTCCATCCGAGGCATTCTGCCTCAACCGGTCCAGCTGGACTGCGCAATTTCTCCTCGATACAACTACCAAACGCTTCTTCGGCATCAGATCCCTCACTCCCCCCAAAAGCACCAATTATAATGCCGGTCCAGATCTTCCTCTCCTCAAATCCACACCGCAAGCTGCCCTCGAGCGCCGACTAAAAGCAAATACGATGCCGCTACGGACGGGGCTGTTGGCGATCAAGAAGGGTATGACCGGTTTATACGACCCTGAGACCGGCAAACGTACCCCGTGCACTGTCCTACAGCTCGATCGATGCCAGGTGGTTTCCCACAAGACATTGGATAAACATGGATACTTTGCGGTGCAAGTCGGTGCCGGTTTCAAAAAGCCGCAACGATTGACGAAGGCCTTGCTGGGACACTTTTCGGTAAATGAAGTCGCGCCCAAGAGATATGTACACGAGTTTCGAGTCAAGGACGAAACTGGGCTGCCGGAAATCGGCCGCACGTTGTCGGCAGATTGGTTTCAGGTGGGACAGTATGTTGATGCGCGCTCGAATACGAAGGGTAAGGGATTTGCGGGTGTCATGAAAAGGCATGGTTTCCATGGTCAGGATAGGAGTCACGGTGTTAGTTTGACCCATCGTTCGATGGGTTCGGCTGGTCCTAGTCAGGGTGGTGGTTCTCGTGTCTATCCTGGAAAGAAGATGGCGGGAAATATGGGCAATTTGCAGAATACACTACAGAATTTGAAGGTTTTGGAGATTGACGCCGCAAATGGTATTATCGTTGTCAATGGTATGTGCTCTCATCATGACGTTTTACAGTGTAAGAATACCCTTTGCTAATTACATTGCAGGCTCTGTCAGCGGACCCAAAGGCTGTCTCGTCCAGCTCCAAGATGCGCTCAAGAAACCATGGCCAAAGGTCGAGTCCACACCTCTACCGCAAACCATGGATAAATGATCCAGGGGATATCAATTTTAATTTCATGTCTATAAAATGTACTATTATACAATGTATTTTGAGGTGGGCGTCGGGCTATCAAGAACTCATTTTTGGAGCATGCTCTCAGTTCATCACCCTTATTGATACAATTTTTAAGGAATCCGCAAGTATGGCGCTGTATGCTGTGTGACTCTCTTCGCTCGAATTTAATCGGACAAATTGAATGGGTCTTGATCCGTTTCCAGTAGTTGGATGATTTTTCCGTCCTCGGTCTCAAGACTCCATGCCTCTGTGCGAAACTATTTTAAGGCCAGCTATTAGCAGCTTTCACGATTTCGAGCATTGAGTTTTCTAGATAGAGGTCAAAGAAACTTACATAACTCGTCCGATCAGGTCTAATGCTCTTGAATCGCATCTTGCCCTTCGACTTTGTTCCCTTGACCCAGTAGGATATCTCGATCCGGCCATGCAACTGATCCATCGTCCCACTGATCCAAGGAATCTTATGAGCAAAGTAAATCTCATCTCCCAGAATCTCACGAGCCTGCTTCGAAGTCCTCAGGGCGTACAGCGTACTGCTCACAACGCTAGATGACGACTTTTGATAGTTGAAGATACCGAACATGGCGGCCCCCACGAGGACGGCGAATATAGGTAGTGTGCGAGCCCATCGGAATTGTGATTCTAGCGCTGGTAGTTCTCTGTCGGCGCGGCGGTCGAGGAGGGGGCCTGAGTTGGCCGATGGTGCTGGTATCAATGAGCGTCGTTGGTTTCGGAATGGGCTAACATTCTTCAATGGCGTGGTGCGGCGGGTGGAGGCGCGCAATGCGCTTGGGAAAAGAACTCTTGCGGAATTCATTTGATATGTAATTGCCCTTTCTCTGTGGTCAATTATGGGTTGGGTGTACTCGAACTTGGCTACTGACGTTGACGGTTAGAGGGTGATAAAATTGACAGGCAATTGGGAAGTATGCGGAGCGCCGGCTTGGCGCTGCGGAGCGGAGACTAAGTCATCCAACATGCATCATCAGATGTCAGTGCCGCCTGCTTTTCACATTTCAGTACTTCACAGCAATATGGCTGCAACTTTAAGGAGGACGTTTCGCTATCCGGGTGAGGATGATCGCCATGATGGTGAATCTAGGGAAGAGCTAGATGAACAAGGTCAGATTTCCCGGCCATTATTGTGCAACCCTAGCATAACAAATTTATATGTTGCCTTTAAGGAATTAGTGTGCTGATTTCAAGATAGAGCAGGAGGATATAATCAAAAATCTACAGCAAAGGAATGAAACGGACAACAGGTTCTATCAAGTACGAATTCGCCAAGTAACACGAGCTGCTAAACATGTTCTTACCATGGATGTTTCAACAGACAGTATTCGCGGTTGTGCCTCTCATTGCTATAATCGCCTATATCCCCGGATTATTTTCATCTTCAGCAACGGCCGGACAGAGAGTGATCCATGTCATATGCATACTGTCTCTTACAGCCACAGCATATATTATGCAAAGCAGTTCCTTTTCCGCATCAAAGGATAGTGTTCGACCTATCCTAGCGACAAGCGATCGAGATACATGGTCTTCGAAAGCTTTGAGTGGGGAAAACAGACAGTACCTCGTCCTTGTCAACTCCGTGTTGTGTGCTCTACTGGCTCTGGCATCGCGGTATACAGTTGACACGGTGTTGTGTCTTCTCCCGGGTGGTAAGCGTATCCCATGCAAGGAATCTAACCGTTATCAGACACTAAACAGAGCTACATGTGCAGCCTTCCTAGCCATCACATCTCTGGCTAGACGAGTCATCACTGAAGTTGATGTTGGCGAACTTGAGAAGCTCCGATACGAATACAAAGGAGCATAGGAAAGGTATCAATTTGGTAATGGCTGAAGATCGAGTTGCGTGTTCTGTAGTGACTAATGTATATGAATCATGGTCAGCATTAGGCAACAGAGTTGAAATATGAATGCGATCTGTCATTACGCTATTTAGAACAGTGTGGCAGTAGACTTGAACAACCATTATTGACATATGGGCCATTAAAGCGAGATGGTATCCTTTCTAGCTAGCTCAAAGTGACAGGAAGTAAAGGCCCCATACAACGAGATAACCAAATCTAAACACCGTCCGAGAGTTCCAAATCTGAATTCTCATAATAATTTGCGATTCTCACGGCCCTCCGTCGCTTGTCACCATTCTCAGGATGATGATCTGTCTCCAAAGTCTGCGGTGGGTTCCTGCCCTTACGCCATACCTTAAAATCGTCGTCTTTCTCACCACGACGCCGTTTCTTCCTCGAGTTTTCGGGGGTCGGCAAGGGTTCATCTTGGAATGGAAGAATATCGGATGTGATGATCGTGGCAGCATTGGGGCTCGGCTGATCCTTGTATGTTTGTGCTATAGCGTGCATGTGCTCTTGGCCCAATCTTAAGCGGACAACCAATTGACCTTTATTTTTCCGAGGACGTGATTTGCTCTGGACAACTGGTATGTGGTTTGCTGCACGTGGAAGAGCACCATTTTCACCGCCGATGGTCGTTTGTAATAGGCCTGGGTCTATACCATACGTTGCGTTGCCATCCGTGGTAACGTCCTGAGTGAGATCTACATGTAGCCTATTGCCAGAAGGCATCTCAAATCGAATTGCAGCAGCGTCACGGAGAATTTCCTCCTCACTCCTCGTCAAGCCATGCACGGCGCTTGACTGAGTTAATTGGTGTACTCTTGCAGCAAGCTCGGGCAGGTGGACTGAAGGATCATATATGTCAAAATTATGGGATGGCGCAGCGGGTGGTCCACCGAGGGCTGGATCAATCGGAACACCATCATGAAAGGTAGATTCTGTATTTGAGTACCCATTTTGCACAGGTTGTTCAACGAACAATGCATCATCGTCTTGAACTGCGAAAGCTTCCTGCATCTTCGCTTGCTCTGCTTCTGCTTGGTGTCTCTGTAACCGCCGGGTCGAGTCGGAGGTACCATCTCCGGCTTTCTTCAGCCAGCCAATATTTGAGTGGCTGAAATTGACAAGAGCTTCGACACTTCGTGGATCGGCTACTTTCCTCGTATCGTGGCCTAGTGTAAGACCCTTCGGTTCGTATGGCTGGGTAGTGAATTTCCGGCGACAGGCACCGCAACTACATATTTTCCGACACCTTGGGCATTCCCAGCGATACGTTTGCATCACCTCCTGAGGCTTGATCTCAAATGCCCTGAAAAGACTACCATAACAGTAGTGCAGCGAGCAAGTAAGACAGAATGCGAGCTTCCAAGTAGGCTCAAGAGCTTTGCATATGTGACACCTAGCTTGTTCCTTGGCTAGCTTGTCCCTGGGATGAACTTTCCTCTTCTTTACGCGCCGTTCATCACCACTACCTTGGTCATCCTCGTCATCTTGGCTATCGAGTCCTTCTCTTTCGTCGAATGTATGCTTTGTAATGTCAACCCATGGTCTTCTCATCAATTCCAACTGACAAACTTCGGCTAGTGTTCTGTGACCTAGATGCAAACGTTCGGTAGACAGAGATACGTATCTATCCTCTTTGGGATTCTGCATTTTGAGGTTCTGCATTCTGCTTATTTGCTTCCCCCAAGTTTCGTGCTTCCGAACCAGTTCCTGCCATGGAAATTGCTCGACCCATTGGAGGTTGGAGATGCAGCCACAGCTTCTACCCATCGCGTAACATTCCATGCAAACATCGTAACAATCATCTTCGCCATTTGCAAACTTCCCCACGCAATGTGTACATGTAAGAAACCGATTGAAGATATTGCATCGACAATAAGAACACGTAACGTTGCTATCATAGGGTAAAAATTCAACCTTGCTCTCTTCAGAAAACTCGTTCGAAAAGCTTTCAGAGAGCATGATGGCTGTAAACATCGCGTATAGTTTTTTAAAGTCTTTCTGTAGGTGGCGAACTTTAGTCGTCTTGGTGTTGAGCCTCTCGGCAGCAGCGAGAAGTCCCGAGTATTTTTCCAATGTGAAGTAGATGATTGACTTGTTTTTGTACTGCTCATCTCGACAAACAGTTCTTGCACGTGGGAGCGCCTCCTCGAGTGCCATTTCTAGTGTTTCAACGGTCGTACGATTCCACGCGACCTTCATTGTCCGAGTGCCTCGATTCCACACCTGGTGGGGCGCCAAAGGCGGAATGAGTATGAAATCGCCGGCTCTTTGTTCAACAACGTAGGTAGTAAATGGGGCTGCTTTCCAAGCACTTATTTGCGCAAAATGATCTTCCAAGTCGATGTCATGACCAAGGATGGAAGACCAATATTCGGAGACTAGATGGTGGTCCTTAGTCTCGGTCATGAACCAGATCGAAGAGCCAGGCTTTGTCCGTTTTCCATGCTCGAAGGTTCCTGTCGAGGTTTCCACCATGATATTATGTCCAAGAGTCGCGCACATTTCTTGATGGCAAGGGGTATATGTGCCTTCATGACCGATGTAACACATAAGATTTTCTGCCCGCATTGGGGTTGGAAGACTGCTCATTAGATCGCCAGCTTTTGCAAAGTCTTGTGACAAATAGGTCGGATCGAGCGTCGATTCGTTCATGTAGAACAAAAAAGGCGGTATGATATCCCTCAGCTTTTCATGCCAAACATCGGGACAATCGATATCCTTGAGATAGATCCGCTGGCGCGTTGGTTCAGTGAAATTTTGGGGGGTAATTTGCTCCGCCAACATAGGCATATTGCTGAGATAATGTCCGATGGAAAGAGGGATGTTGGTTTTTGCTGTGAGGTTTCTCGCAACCTCCGCTACAACATCCAGTTAATTTAAACGCCTTTATACGTATAGCATGAAAGTGTCAGGAAGAAGCTAGTACATACACTTCGAAGAAAGATTGTCTCTCAGCCATTGCTCTGCAAAAATCCACTTTTCGAATCTGGTATCGTAGCCCTCCACGACCAAGGGCTTCCCACCAGTTATCACATGCAAGCGGACAAGTTTCTCAAAGTTCTCTAAACCTTGCTCATAGATTGCATCGCAAGGTATTCTAACAACCCATTCAAAGTTTGGTGTCGATTCGACTAGCGCGGGCACATCGATGTTTGGAGGGATCGGCTCGAAAGCCGCCTGCGGTCGCTGGGCTGGCATGATGTCACTTTCGCCTGTTTCCTTTCAGAAACCAAGGCCGTTTAATTAATTAACATGTGGGCGCCTGTATTCATGCATGCGAGTCTCGCAGGTGGAATTTCGGGTCTGGGAGAAGCGACGAGCGCGAAGGAATGCTTGTCGCAATCTGAGTTGTTGGTGATAGATGCTCGAGTAGTGACAAGAGTCGCGCTAGGATGGCAAGCTGATAGAGGGTGGCGTGCCCCACTCGGGCACAATGAATGTCGCCAACCCTGATCCAAGATGTTGTGAGGAGGTTGTAAGAGCGAGCAATGGTCGAGGCTCACAGAAAAAGAGCGATGAATGTACATATACATAGTAAGAATCCTGTGGAGAGAGCTGGTCGCAGCTGGCCAATCACAATGCTCTGCGGAGAGGGACCCACCCATCGCGGAATAATTCAGTAGCTTCGTCGCCCATTCACCTTGAAGTTGTTGACATGTGTATTACTTATTACCCGTGACAATGAAGTCGTGTCCTTGACAAGCTGACTACAGTTTTCTTATACTCTCACAATTGAGTAAAGATTGATCGAAGAAGCCATTGGCCGCGACGTGAGGCTCCCAGCAAGCTACGATGCCCCTCCTGGCTAAGCACATGCCGATGAGGAGTCCTCTACACAATGCAGTGCGGACGCTACGGTTTCAATCGACACGATGTCCTACCAACTTTTACTATAAGATCAGATACTCTGCTGCAGTGGCCGCTCGCCTTCATTGCACATCAGATCATCGTCACCCGAGATTACCGAGCCTCGAAGCACCGACATCCTACGGGCCGAATACGGTTGCGAAAATCCAGACACGAGCTCTCCGTCAATCTTCATATAATAAATCATCAGTACAGTTAGCAGCGCCAGCATCTGCGCCAGCACTGTATTCTCCACCGCAGACCGGCCTCCTGTCCTACCTCCCCAAATCTTGGATACCGTACGCCGAACTCATACGTCTGGATAAACCTACCGGAACGTACTATCTCTTTTTCCCATGTCTTTTTTCGACGCTGCTTGCCGCTCCACTAGCTACGCCAATGGCATCACCCGCAGAAGTACTCGCATATTCAGGGCTTTTCTTCAGCGGTGCGTTAATCATGCGCGGGGCGGGTTGTACGATCAATGATCTTTGGGATAAGGATTTTGATCCCCACGTGACACGCACGCGCTTCCGACCTATTGCACGAGGTGCAGTGACTCCAGAAAAGGCCATCGTATTCACCGGAGTACAACTTTTAGCAGGCCTAGGAATACTCCTTCAATTTCCTCTGCAGTGCTTATACTACGGCGTTCCAAGCCTGTTATTTGTCGCAACATATCCACTGGCCAAAAGAGTTACAAACTACCCACAGGCAGTCCTTGGATTGACATTCTCCTGGGGTGCTGTCATGGGATTCCCAGCTCTCGGTGTGGATCTACTGAACAATACCGATGCTCTACTATCTGCCGCGGCTCTCTATAGTAGCTGTGTGGCCTGGACCGTGCTATATGACATGATATATGCGCATATGGACATCAAGGATGATGTAGCTGCCGGTATTAAATCTATAGCTCTCCGACATGAACACAATACCAAGACGGTCCTCTCGGGGTTGGCTGTCACTCAGGTATCACTACTTGCACTTGCCGGTTGGGCTGCTGGTGCCGGACCGTTATACTTCGCAGGCACTTGCGGGAGTGCTATTATGTCACTTGGTATTATGATTTGGAGAGTCCGTCTAAAGGATGTCAAGAATTGCTGGTGGTGGTTCAAGAATGGCTGTTGGATTACCGGTGGAGGTATAGCATTGGGTCTGGCCGGAGAGTACCTTGCCCAATATTCGGGGTACTATCAGAACGGGGACGATGCGAGGAAAGAGGTTGATGTGGTGCGCTCTTAGATCATCATAGACTCTAAGTGGAGCAACTGTAAGATACGAGCGTATGTACATAGAAAGGCTAGCATAGATGTATCAATAATACAACAAACATATATATACTCGGCACGCAATTGATGCCAAGCATCGACGTAGCTCTTCCGCGGACTGGCGGAGGCAAGAAAAGCTTCCCGTACTTGGCCTATCGCATCCAAGATTATTAATCCCACCCTTTCAAATTCGCAAAACAACAACTCACTCGAGCTTCTGATCTCGGAAGGCTTCTCATCTCAATCATATTCACAATGTTCTCGCGATTCGCTTTAAGAGTATGTACACAGGACTAGTGATCATTCTGACCATCGCTCGACTCACATGACTGACCTCTCATAGCAGCCATCTCGCGCCGTTACGGCAGCGACCAAAGCAGTCAGAGCCCCCAGTCCATGGTCTCTGGCATCCTCGAGTCCCGCCGCTATTCAATTTCGTCGTCTCCTATCCACCGAAACCAAAGCCGCCATCGACAAGGCCGTTGAATCGGCACCGGTCGTGCTGTTCATGAAAGGAACCCCCGAAACACCACAATGCGGTTTTTCGCGAGCAAGTATCCAGATTCTGGGATTGCAGGGAGTTGATCCCAAGAAGTTTACGGCGTTTAATGTTCTTGAGGATCCTGAACTTCGGCAAGGTATGCACGCAACCGCTTGTAGGCGGCTCGTGGGTCATCGACTGACGATTTATACTTGATACAGGAATCAAAGAGTACTCCGACTGGCCGACGATACCCCAGCTCTACGTCGACAAGGAATTTGTGGGAGGCTGCGATATCTTGATGTCTATGCACCAGAATGGTGAATTGGCAAAGCTGCTCGAGGAGAAGAATGTCCTCGTTGCGGCTGAAGAGTAATTGACATATCCATGTATAAAGCAAATATCATAATATTGTATAACAAAGTTTCTGGAACTCCAATCATTCGTACTCTTCATACATCATGGTTCAAGTCCAGACAATGGACCAAACAGTAGTCATTGAAGGAAGGTCAAACGCCAATATGCTATGCAAGCTAATTCTAAAACCTATCCCAGCAAACCACCTAGAACAACCCTGCTGACTCCTCCAATTTCGCTTTTGGCGCCACTTCTACTCGCATCTTCAAAGTCTCTGACGACACCCGCAACCATGACCTTGCGCAGCTTTGCATCCGTCTTAGTAAACAACTCGCCCAAGGCTGTGGTACATACAGCAGGCGAAGAAATCAGACTTGTAAGTCTATTATAACAGTCAATTAATACATCGCAAAGCGTCACGAATGTTTCGAAAAAGTCTGGATCAAATGGAAGTGATGGCGTCAAAAGATATGTGTATTCCTCTCCCGGAAGTAGATCAGAAGAATCGGTGTTGGGGAAAGATGTAACCGCCGATGCAGCAGTCGCCGAAGATGCAAGATTACCCGTCATCGCTTTGACGTCTGATGAGTCACTGAAATGCATGGGTAGACCGATTTCGTTGGCTGAGCTTGCTCGCCTGGCTTTATTGCCGGTGTATGTTGCCCTTTTGAACATTTGAGGCAGTCGTGCGCGCACCAGGTTTGATGAAAAGTTCCCATCTGGATTATGGACTTGTTGAAATGTTTCGAATTCGAGTAAGAGGGCATGGAGAGCACGGAGGTATTCCATAGGTGTTGAATGTGCGTCTAATATAGGTGGGAGGGAGAGGCCGAGGAGGAGGAAGTTGATTGCGCGACGAGAGAGCCTTTTGGGATCAAAGTAAGGCATTCGCATGAGGTCGTGTCGAGAGAAATGTACAGTGTTGAACCAATATACCCGTCCTTCGTGGCTATATTGGAAACGGAATTAGCCGTCTCGGACTGGACATTTTTACATTGGACGGATGGTAGAGTACTCACACTTTCCGTAGATAGCCCAGGGTAGAGACACGTTTGGCAGACATGTCATGAAGATGTTGATATATCGAGGACGCACTCTGCGGACCGAGACCAGGTCCCGCCCCCGCGGGTAAAGGAGGCATTCCACTCATTGTTCAATGACCTGTCCCATGTACTATGAACTAGAAAGAGAGAACGAGCGGTGGTCATGCAGCCATGTTGGGTCAGGAATTTGCAGCGTGCAGACAATTTCCAAGCTCAAACAGTAGCTATATCCTTCGATGGATTGCGACCAATATCCACTCCCAAGGTAGGCGATTCGCTAAGTCGTGCGGGGAAGTATAAGATGGTATTTGATGCTGAAATCGAATTTGGCAATGTGTACGGCAAATTGAGTAGTATCTATTGCAATAAGCTGGTGAGCGTAAGACTGTGTCACATCAAATGTACAAGCGTTGACGGCGTGCTCTTTGTTTGACCGGAGACTTCGCAGCGACAGGGGTAGCAGATTGATAAATTGACTCCTTAAATTCTTATCGCATTGCCGATTAAGTACGGGACCACGCTAGACCATTTCCAGCCACTGTGACCCCACGTCTCTTTTCCCTAAAAGGGGTACTAGCTCCAACTCTTTGCCAGGACATTATATCGTCAAGCTTTGCTTTGTACGATCATTGATACTTTAAATTGATCTCAGTTATTTATTGTCTCGAGTCACTGCGATCCAAGTATACAATATAGACTGATGTCTGATCCCGAGGTCCCTCTGCCCGGCCAATGGCCAGTCGATCCCCAAGAAGATGTTCCCATCTCAAAGGACCGCATATGGGTTGATGGATGCTTCGATTTCAGCCACCATGGTGCGTCCTTTCCTGAAGTGTCGGTGGACATGAGCTAATGCTCTAATGCATTGATCAGGCCATGCAGGTGCCATGTTGCAGGCGCGCAAATTGGGAAAAGAGCTCTACGTTGGCATTCACTCGGACGAAGCGATTCTCGAAAACAAAGGCCCGACTGTGATGACGTTGTCCGAACGGTTAGCCAATTAACCTGTCCACCGGAGATAAAAATGTACTCGTGCTGACTCTTCTTTGTTCCGTTGCAGTGTTGCCGCTGTCGAAGCATGCCGGTGGGCTACAAAATCTATTCCCCACGCTCCTTACGTCACAACGCTGCCCTGGATATCACATTACGGTTGTCAATATGTCGTCCACGGCGACGATATAACATCCGACAGTAACGGTGAGGACTGCTACCGCTTCGTCAAAGCAGCCGGTCGATTTCTAGTCGTGAAGCGAACACCTGGTATCTCCACAACTGATCTGGTCGGCCGAATGCTTCTATGTACCAAGAACCATTTCGTCAAATCCGTCAAGGATATCCTCGAGGGCAACGAAGGCTCAGATAATGCTGAGGACAGAAAGGCGCACGGTGCAGACCTCATGCAGAGACTGCGCGACTATGCGACAGACGAAAGCGGTCATCGACCTGGTCCCGAGGTATGGCTATGGAACGGCAGTGATACGGCCAAGATTAATCAGGTTGTCGAACAAGCCGGGAAATTTGAAGCGTTGATTAATGGTGTTGCGCCGAAACCGGGGCAGCGTATCGTGTACGTTGACGGAGGGTTCGATCTATTTTCCTCGGGACATATTGAATTTCTTCGACGAGTGTGGGATCTTGAAGAAGCCGAAGGTCGTAAGAGTGGTTGGTACGAAGAGAGTGCAAAGCAAAAGAGAATCGAGGAGCAAGGCACCGACTACGGCCCAGCATATATTATTGCAGGTATTCATGATGATTCGGTCATCAATCACTGGAAAGGCCTGAATTATCCTATTATGAATATATTCGAGCGAGGACTATGCGTTCTACAGTGCAAGGTACGTATTGCTAAATCTGCCGGTGCGACCATGACCGCTAATTACCGCAATTTAGTACATAAATACAATCATCTTTTCAACACCATTCACACCAACCGAATCATTCCTACAAGCAATGCCATGGGGTGTTCCTGACGTCGTCTACCATGGACCCACAACCTTCATCCCCTTAACATACGATCCTTATGTTGCCCCGAAACAAATGGGTATCTTCAAAGAGGTCGACAGCCATCCATTCCAGCATGTTAATGCTGGCGAGATTGTCGAGAGAATCCTCAAGAGCCGTAGTGCTTATGAGGAGAGGCAACGAGCAAAATTACAGAAGGGTGTTGTGGAGCAAGACGCCAGGGACAAAGAGTTAGCCTCGCAAGAAACCAACCCCGGACCGCAATAGTGAACTCTGGATTCCCGATAACGATTCGAAGAAGATATTCTCATCATCCTCTGCAAAATTGACTTTTACATAGACAGTCATCGATTTGCGAGCTAGAAATAATAGCTTTGTGAACATAAATTCACATTCTCATTCATTGACGCGGAGTCGAGAGGTCAGTAGTATGACATTCAGTAAACCATCAAAAAGCAGAGTAGGTGGCTTATTGGGCCAAGTCTCGCACAAAAACACAACGCTTTTATCTATTGTATGTACAGTAAGTATATGCTGGTCACAAAACTGGCTCATCAAGTGTATCAAACGCCGAATCAGTATCCCAATGCAAGTCTATAAAACAGATGCATGCAATCGCTCAGTCGAGTAAGGTATATCGAGAAAACAAATGAACGTGTCGTAAAATTCTATGGTAAAGCGCGGACAAATCGGTGAGTCGACTTAAGAAGTTTGCAGCTGCTTCTCGAGTTCTTTCTGTTCGCCAAACACGCGCCGACTCATTTCAAGGACGGCCTCGAACCCTTCGCGGCCTCGCTTGGCATTTTCCCTGAATCGTTCGACGCTAACTTCTTCCAACTTGTTCTTCATCTTCTGCCATCCTGTGCAGAGTGCGGTGATCTTGGCTTCTTGTCGAAAGTCGGTCTGCTTGTCTGGCAATGACTGAGACGGCTGGTAGGTGACTGTCTCTCGGACATTAAGAACGTTGGCCCATGTGAGATTGGTTGAGCACATGGTAACTTTTTTGGTGATCGGGTCGACGTATGAAACTTCATAAACATATGACACTTCGCTGCCTCCAAAGAGATTGAGGACCCATTTCGGCGCGGACTGATAACAGGTTATGAGACGCTCAGTGCGTAACTATAGCAAGCAGTTGTTAGCTTATCATTCTCGGACGGTAAACACGGTAGATGGGTAGTCATACAATGCCTGTTGATGGCTCGATGGCCCTCGAAAGGGTATCAACGGCCTTCACGTGCGTCGACTTGTCATTCCAAGGGCAGTACTTGCGCCAGTTTGCCGTGGAAACTTCACCCCACGAGTAGTCGAAAGTGCAGTCCGAAGAAAATACTTTCATCTTCTCTCTTTCGCTCTCTTTTCGCCTTCCCAAGAAGTACGATCGGCCGGATGAGTGTATTCAGATGCGATGATTCACACTTTCAATCGTGTTTCTTCAAGTGGATTTAGGTTGGTGAGTCACAATATTTTAGCAACGCTGACAACGGACTTTTATCGAATGAAGGTGTGATAATCACACTGACGTTGAAGCAAACATAAATATACTAAGCAACAAGGATGGCGAAATGTCGACGGTGACAGTGAATGTGGGTTGGAGATATGGAGGAATGATGTGAAAAATTATGGGTCTGGAAGGATGATTTAATGTGAAGTCCTGAACCGCTTCGGGGCAGCAGCGGGTCAGGGAAGGCACGAGCCAACCAGAATATTTTTTTGCAAAATTTGCCGCTCTTGCCTCATCGCCGTCGGCCCGTCTGATTCGCCGAGCCACGCCTGACTTCCCGAGAAGTCCCGCAGCGAGAGCGTTTTCCCGTATTTTCACTATCTTTACGCCTCTGGGACCGACGGGTGGCGGTATTTGCAGGGGACAAGGTTGGTGCTTCGGTATTTTTGCGTATTGCTAGTGTATGGCTTACCATCCACATCGATCTGATTCGATTCTGACATGTGAAAGCGACTTTTACATCATACGTACTCTGCTGGACAATCAACTAACTTAGTATCCAAGCATAACCTGAAGCACGTAACGATATACTCAGACTGATGACTTGCAATGCTCTCCTATTAAATGCAGAGCACGCCCTTATCGCAATGCATGACCCGGCATCCAAAACTGGCCTGGCCTGGCCGGGGCATGGGTGAGCGATTAAGGCTAGGAACGCGTCTGCGATGTCGCGATGACCAATCGCGCTCCCTTCCCCGTAAAATGGCTTGCTTCAGCTTGTGTTGACAGCTTGATATTCCACTCCCCTTTTTCCACCACCAGTCTCTCCTTTCAATAAAATATACAATCGCAAGCGCCTGAAAAAAGCCAACATAACAATATATTCAATTAATTCTTTACATATCAACATGCCCGTCGAACTAAGAAAGCGCAAAGCGGCTCCAAGCCAGCCGGAGCCTGCGCAGAAAAAGGCAGCCACAGCCAAAACAACCAAGAAGGCTGCTCCCAAGGCCGAAAAGGCCACTGAGGAAGTTAAGAGCAAGAGCACCGCTGCTAAACCCGCAGTCCCAAAAGTTGGCGATGTGATTTCCTTGGAAGGATTTGGCGGGGAGTTGCAGACTCAGGACGGCGCATCGACTACTTTGCAGACTTTGATCGCTTCGAGCAAAGCCGGCGTGGTTTTGTTTACATACCCGCGCGCGTCAACCCCAGGATGTGAGTTCTTCAGATCTACTTTCGTTGTCCGGATCATCTGTCTAGCAAATTGCTAACGACGTTTCTTCAGGCACCAAACAAGCCTGCATGTTCCGCGATGGATATGAAAATCTCACCTCGACTGGTCTCGCAATCTACGGTCTGTCCACCGACTCTCCCAAGGCCAACACAACTTTCAAGACCAAACAGAACTTACCATACCCGCTACTTTGCGATGTTAATGCCACTTTGATTGGTAGCTTGGGTTTGAAGAAGTCGCCAAAGGGCACAGTACGCGGTGTCTGCGTGATTGACAAGGCAGGMAAAGTTCTTCTCTTGGAGCCTGGTAGTCCAGCTGGAACCGTTGAGGCAGTTGAGAAAATTGTGCGCGAGAGCCCGATCAAGGATGGGGATAAGGAAGAATCTAAGAAGGAGGCTGAAGAAGCTGAAGAGGAAAAGGAATAGGCATTGTGATGAGGTGTGACTTGGATCAATCAAGACATCCTCAGTGCCAAATATGGGCGGCTGAGTCTTGTAATTTTATCAGTGGTAATTGTACGTAATAGGAAACACGAAATTGGTTCAACTTTTATCTTCCAGTAAGTGCTATTATTTTGGTTGAAGCTTGAGATTGATATCCTGTCGGTCCGGAAAAACGTTGTTCCTCCTGTACCGCAACCTTCGTTCCCGAATCGACTCCAAACACATACGACATCGAGACATAGACTCCATATTCAGCAGACTCGTAAGTGACCAACCCGCTCAAGAGTGCAAGTTAGCACACCAATTAGTCAGTCTACTAACACTCCCACACAGAACATGTCTCGAGAAGTGGCGAAAGCGGCTAAATCCGCGTCGAACGCCATCGCTATTCACAAGGTATCACCACCTTGGCAAACCTGAAATCTAGTCAACATACTGAGTATTCTCGCAGAAATACACCGTCCAGTCGACTGGTATCTGGGAAGTGATCCGACGCACACTGGCCGTGGACCCTACCCGATCGACTGGTGTCCCATTGAACCCTCAATTCCGTAACCCACCACCCGGTGCTCTACCACCTCAATCATACGACGACCCCGTCACTCTCCCCGCCGCCGACCTCGCAGACAACCCTTACTGGAAGCGCGATGTCCGCCGCAACTACCCTCAGCTCAGCGTTTTCAGCCAAGGTGACGTTGCCGGACTTTTGACCTTTGGAAACAAGCAGGCGCCTAAGGAAGATGTTCTCCAGCTTGGAGAGGCCGGTGAGAAGCAACTAGTTGCTGCCAAGCAGGAGGGAGAAGATAAGGGATTGGCAGCATACTTTGAGAAAGATAAGAGCAGTGTCAAAAGCATTTTGGGACCTGATGGTTTGCCACCTCTTCCCGCCAGACTCAACAACTCGGCCAAGTACGAATTGGGATCTGGTCAGGGATACCCAGAGAAGTATGCTTTTTCTGTCACTTACATCATTTCTATATTGGAAAGAGACTAACTTGATACTAGATACCCGTGCCGCACATTTGTTTAGTTTCTCGAAAGATGCGGGTTTCATTTGATAGCTGTCTGGGTGTTCCTTTAGTGTTTCTACGTCCTAGACTAGAATATGTATAGCACGAATCAACAAGTTCATTATTTTCTAAATGCTCATCAAAATCTGCTGCCGATGAATTCTTCGTATAACCACGGATCTTATAATCTTGAGATTGCGTACGTCAATGTCTTCTACGATACTTTACGGATGTTTACTTTGATTCATTACTTTACGAACGGCTACACGCCGTGTTCGCTCATCCTTATCATCATCGAAGCTCAGTTGCTAGATTCTCAAATTATAATACATTCGGATTACGGATCGTCATATGGAGAGCCATGCCGGAAATTCAACACGGATCATTTAACAAATAACACATGCTGAAAACCTAGATCCCTTAGTCGAAAGGGTTGGTGCGAGTTCCCCACCATGTCAAGAACAAACTGAGACCGACAGTCTCGAATACCCTGCTGACAGCGCCAATGGCGACGGTATCTACGGGGCGCTTTTCGGTGATAATTGCAGAGATGAGCTGGTAGCAGTTAGCATGATTGCCGATGCACTCCGAACTTTGTGCGTGTTGGGAAAACTTACGCCAGGAGCAGAGCTAGCAAAGAAGATCAACGATCCGAGGTAGGCAGCTCCCTTGTATGTCAAGGTACCGGTAGCATTAATCAGGGCAGCAACACCATAAGTCTGGAGCGCGCTTCCGACGAGAGAGCTGCCCCAGGCAGCGACAGCACCGCTGGTCTCCTTGGACTTGAGGAATTCTTCCTTTGTGTTGGCGGCTTGGGCGCGGTGGTAGGCGTCTCCGAAGACAGGGGCAAGGATGCCGAGAGAGGCAGTGTGAGTGAAGACTGTGCCGAGGGCGATCGCCGAAGGCTTGACGGGAGGGAGATCTGGTTCTGTTAGTTTTCTTGTCATGTCTCGTCTCGTGACGACCAGAACGTACAATGTAGAGTAGCCATTATGTGGGTGTTGTTGTGAAATGGAGTGATGTAGCGCGAAGTAGAGTCTTTCTGTATGTATGTTGCAGAAAGGAGCAATGTCGAGGCCGTCACATGGCTTATATTCTGCTGGCAAGGAATGATGACGTCTTGATGACAGGCTGTGATGGCCCGCCTCAGCCTGAGGTCATGACTGGCCGGTACCCCATAGGAACCTGGGAAGCCCGCGTACTTGCTAGGCGATCGATGTACAGAGCAAGTATTGCGGCCAGACTCAGCAAGGAATGGAAGATGACGTCAATCATCGACGGAAACAGAGCAAGCAGAGATCACTTTGGAGAGGCTTGCACGGAACAATATTAGCGTGTGGAGGGGGGAAAGTACTAATACGTACTACATAGACTACTACTAGACTGATTTGAATCAGGGAATGAATAGTGTGGCTTGATTGCGCGACGTGGGKGGATGTGTACGTTGTCTGACACTGGCAAGCGGAACGAGAAGCCATTCAAACCCGGTTTGATCGATCTAGAGCAATTCTAACGCTGCGTAATTACGGTGTAACGTCGATCAGAATTACATTCAATATACTTGGATTGCCAGGTCCTGTCCAATTATTGACCATAATTACTAGCGTATTTCTGTATCGACTAATACATGCGGGGTCTCAATAACCGTCCGCCAGGGCAGGGCTTTTTTTTAAACCCCACGGCGTAAAGTCCTCAACAACGACAGGCAAGTAAACCGATCTGGCCCGAGGCAATCTATGATGGAGGGATCCAACTTGGCAAGCCTAGCGCAGCAACGAATCCCGAATACGATGGACGATGCACAAATAACACATACGTACTCTTCCTCCACCGAATCCGGTTCCCCTGCAGACGACTCCGACAACTCGCAATTACTCATTGGCGAATCGTTGATCCCCGTACGAGAAAGGAAACATGCAGGCACCACCGTCGTCACTATCGATGGATTGTTGAAGGAGCCGCTGCGACTCAAGGAAGACTTGAAGCAAGGATGTGGTGGACAACTCTGGCCTGCAGGGTTGTTGCTGTCGAGATACATGCTGGAGGAACATGCCACCGATCTCGTTGGTAAGACTATGTTTGTGCACCCTCCTTCCGACGCAGAGGCAGATTCTATCATGCGCTCTGGGGCATACATACTGAACTCGTTTGGATGACTGACCGACGACTCAACAATAGAGTGGAGTTAGGAGCAGGTGGTGGTTTGGTCGGCTTAGCTGTCGCACGAGGCTGCCAAACCGATAAACCGATATACATCACCGACCAAGAACCTATGATGCAGTTAATGCAAGACAATATCTCACTGAATGACCTCTCGACAAAGGTGAAACCCGCTCTGTTAGACTGGGGCACACCATCCCCAGCAGAGATACCAGAACACCCTGAGATTGTACTCGCCGCAGACTGCGTGTACTTCGAGCCTGCCTTTCCTTTGCTGATATCTACGCTACAGGGACTCTTGGGGTCAGACACGATATGCTATTTCTGTTTCAAACGGAGGCGACGCGCCGATCTGCGTTGTATCAAGATGATCAAAAAATTGTTCAACGTGACCGAGATCAACCGTTTCTCGACGTGTGAAGGATACAACAGAGAGAATCTCTTTTTGTACAAGATCCAGTCCCGTCAAAAGAGCAAAGAATAAGCTCAGGTCTAAGAAACAAACAGAATCAAGTGAAAAAAAAAATTGTAAATCAAAGACACTGAGAAATTTTTATTTTCATCTCACAATACAACTATAATTTTAAGCTATCACTTTGAGCCGCTGTGGCAGTGCCAGACTTGCGACGCTCATTGAGAGACTGCAGCTCACCCCCTTGTCCAACCATCTGCACGCCACCCTTCTTGAGATCAGACAGAATCTGTTGCCCTTCATCCGTCTTCTTCTGTTTACCGGGTTGTTGCGATGTTGCCTTGAATTTCTTCTTCTCATTTCGCCTTCTCCTGGACTTTTCTTCGCGGCTCATTTCATCCTTGGCCACAGATACACCATTCTTCAAGACAACTTCTCCTCCAAGACCGGCGCCATCCTTGGGATGATATACTTCCTGAGGAGCCAAAGTTCCTTGTTCTCCCACAACTGCACTGCCACCAGGTCGGGCGTCTTCCATCATCACTGTAGCGACATCTGTAATGACATTGATATTGGGCTGAGGCACACTAGGCTTGTAGTGCCAGTTTGACAATGCGTCAAGCTGAGAGCTGGTGCTTTTCCATAGCTGTGTGATCTCGGCATGTTCTTTCTTGAGTTTCTCGTTCTTCTGGTCCACATATGAGGGGTCTGTTGCTCGTAGATGGTCGTTCTCGTATATCTCAGCAAGACTCTGTTGAGGCTTGGTTTGGTCTACTTCAACACGTCCTCGACTAATATCATGCTGTCGAACAGAGTCGGGTAAGCGTCGAACGACCTCGTCAAATTCCTTGGCAATGATCCTCCGCTTGATGAGTTGTTCCATCTCTTCCGAAGTCTCACTGGTAACCACGGGCACCGGTTTGCCGATACGTTCGAATTCGAGGTCCTCCTCAATCAGTGAATTGAGTGGCCGCTGCGGTGCCCTAGCTTCACCAGCGAGCATCCACTCCTTTTTCGCGACATTAGCCATTTCTAGTCGACGGATCTCATCCGCTATTTTGGCTTTCTGCTTTTCATGTGTTGAGCGTCCTCCCTCGGCCTCTCCTGCATCCATATCCACGTCAGAGTCTGCTTGATCCGAGATATCCTCAAACAGATCCCGGCGAACATCTGAAATAGCACGTTCGATATCGTCATCAGTGGGTGCTGCTGTGGGCTGTGTCTTTGGGAGTGGTCTGGCCTTCTTTTTGGAGGCTTTGCGAGGGGGTGGAGCGAAGAAGTCGTCGTATTTGATGTCGTTGGTGTCTAACCAGTCCGCACCCATTTCGTTCTCTTCTAGTTCCTCATCGCTATCGCCATCCCCGAAATCTCCATCGCCAAAGGTCGGGCCTGCATCACTATCCTCACTATCTTCAATCTCATCTTTGTCCGCAGAGGATTTAGACAGTCGGGCGGTTGATGTTGTTGCTGAGGTTGGGTCGGCGTGCCAATCGACTTCCTCTTCGTCGCTGGGTTCGTCTTGATCGCCCCTTGTATCCATCCTCTCGAAATATTCACTTTGTTTATTGAAGTCGTCGATAGAAAAGAACCCGTCATTTAAGCCGAACTTGTCTTCGACATATGTCTCCGAGGTGGCATCTTCCGAAACTGTAGATCTTTCTTCAATATCCGCATCTGATTCATCCTCGTCGGATACCTCTTCGACATCCTCCTCCATGTCATCTTCCACGTCCTCTGAATCAAGATTGGAGTCCTCGGCGCCAAGTTGTGAATCTAGTTCCGATCGGCTGATATCGTCTTCGAGCGCGCTATCATCTTGGTCGGATGCGATGGACTGCGGTGAATGAAGCCTTCCCTTGCCGACACTCTTCTGCAAAGATTTTTCGGTTTCTTCTATGTCGTTGCTCAGTTGATCGTTTGTCTCATCTAAGATTCTCACAACCTGTTCCCACACCTGCCCAACGGAGAAGCCATCGAGATAAAGCTTTTGTACGCGGAACCGGTTTTTGCTAGAATTCTTCTTGACCCTTTGACCGTTGTTCTGAGATTTGTGCCATCGGTCCTGTAGAGTTGTCAAACTGGATGCGAGCGGGTCGAGGAAATTCTTCGTCGCGAGTCGTGAAGCAGTATGCAATTCATTGGAGGGAACCAGGAAGCCATGCGGCGAGCCTGAAATCGCATTGCATAGCGAGGAAGCATCCATGGCTACTTACTAGCAACAAAGTGCGCAAGTAATCTCTGCTTTATAAGCAGTCTATTTGAACTTTGACTGCTTCGTGAAACACAGTAGAGTTCACAAATTAGCAGTCGTCGAAAATATCGTCGAGGTATAACTCGCAGATAAAAAAAGTGTTTAGTACCTACCAATACTAGTAGTATCAGTACGGTAATGCGTAATTTTCCGCCCCACCCAGCACTTCCCGCTGGTGTCTTGGGAGCCACGCTGTGGCGGTGCATCATATGGAAGCCTCATCGCTGAGGCTCACCACAGAGCGACATTGAGAACCTTTTTGTCACGTATATGTCTCAAAGCAGCTGGCTGGGAGGGCCTGCCGCTCACTCTCCAGGGGATTGTGATGAAGGCAAACGGTGCTGTCATTGTGTCAGCGGATTACGAGTATGCATTGCAATGTCATCGGTCGTCAATGCCAAGTGCACACGCGAGCGTAGACTCTCAAAGCACCATCGCATCGCATCAAGGTGGGTGAAAGCTGTAAGGATTCCCAGATTCTGGCCATTCTATGAGCAATCAACTGATATGGCTGGKGGCTTCTCGGCCCGGCGCTTGACGTTTACTGTTCGGCCCAAGAAACGTCACTGTGACGAAGGGTTGCCAGCATGTTATATATCCAACACGTAGAAGAATTTACAATCATGTTGCTACTCACCTTGTTCTAGCATCAGATTTCATTTCTTGCTGCTTCTTTCCGATAGACAGATATTTTGCACATACAATCGCCAATATGACTGACAAATCCCAATTCGAACCTGGTATGATCCATCCTCCACAAGAACCGGGATGCCAAGCTCATACTAAACTGCGTGAATGAAAGGGCATCAAATTCCTGTGCACCACCAGGATCAGCCAGGCTGGCAGCACAAGATTCCCGACCCTAAGCCAATCTCGGACATGCTCCCAACAGACGAAGGCGGGTATCAATTATACAAGGCTGCCGGGAAACTGAAGGGCAAACGTGCCGTAATCACAGGCGGAGACTCAGGCATTGGCAGAGCCATTGCCGTCCTCTACGCAATGGAAGGAGCCTCGAGCCTCATAGTCTATCTCGATTCCGAAGAGAAAGATGCACAGGATACAAAACAACATGTTGAGAAATATGGTGCCAAATGTTTCCTCTTCCCTACGGATCTTCGCAAGAAAGAGAATTGCAAGGCAGTCATTGATAAGGCGGTTGAGCAGCTTGGTGGTATAGATATTTTGGTCAACAATGCAGCTTTCCAGAATATGCTCCCAGACATCAAGGATCTTTCAGAGTACGTATAATTCCCATCCAAGACTTGGTATGGGATCTTAATACTAATTCCTCTTCAGAGAGCAATGGTTGAAAACTTTCGATACCAACATTCATCCTTACTTTTATCTGGCCAAATATGCATTGCCGCATCTCAAACGCGGTTCAACCATTATCAATTGTTCTTCTGTGAACCCTTATATTGGAAGAGGAGACTTGCTTGACTATACCTCTTCCAAGGGTGCCATTGTAGCCTTCACCAGAGCATTGTCCAACCAGCAAATCAGCAAAGGAATTCGAGTCAACGCCGTCTGTCCCGGACCGAGTATGCATGGCCCATTCCTTGCCTAGTTATTAATGATGGACATATTGCTAACATGCTGGATAGTTTGGACGCCTTTGATCCCATCAACAATGACAACGGAAGCAATGGAACAGTTCAGCGGTGTCCCTATGGGTCGTCCAGGGCAGCCCAGCGAGGTGGCCACCTGCTTCGTGTTCCTGGCAAGTGCTGATAGCAGTTATATGTCTGGACAGTCCTTGCACCCCAATGGAGGTGTGGTTGTTGGTAGCTAGATCACCCAAAAATACCTAGAAATACAATAATATGCTTGACAGACTCATTTGATATCGATCACATGTGGACAGATAGAACTGCAAACAGATTTAAATACAAGCGCAGTTAACTTCAAGTAGAAGGTATTGATATTCAACAGAAACACCAAAGTAATATTGTCGTCTGTGGAAAGTAAATGATGAACGTAAAGTACAGCTCAGGTCTCCGATTTTTTTCGAGGAAAAAAGCATCTATCAGACTATATTTAAAACACAAATTCGATACAAAGAAAAGACCAGTCTATCGTCGGTACCACATGCGTGTGATTTTGGTGTGACGCATCTTCTTCTGGAGTTGGAAAATGCCGTACATAAGAGCTTCGGAGGTTGGAGGGCCTTGAGACATCAGTTAGCATCAAAAACTCCACGGTGTTCGTAGAAAATCAACTTACATCCAGGGACGTAAATATCGACGGGGACGATTCTGTCGCAGCCACGAACGACAGAGTAACTGTAATGATAGTATCCACCACCGTTGGCGCAACTTCCCATACTGATAACCCAACGAGGATCGGGCATCTGATCGTAAACCTGTCGCAGAGCGGGGGCCATCTTGTTTGTCAAAGTACCGGCAACAATCATAACGTCGGACTGTCGGGGGGAAGCTCGAAAGATGATTCCGAGACGATCTTGATCATAACGAGGGGTAGACAAGTGCATCATCTCAACAGCGCAGCAAGCCAAACCGAAAGTCATGGGCCACAGTGAGCTTTGGCGAGCCCAATTAGCAATCTGATCGAGCGTAGTCCTTTTCCATCAGTGTCAGCAACCTTCCAATTTCTTCAGTCCTCGTTCTAGTGTCGCTGTGCTAGCACTTACAATGCATATTGCATTGCGCCTTCCTTTTTTTCCTGGCTGGGCAAAGGAACCTCGCGGCGAACCTTTCCCGACGCTGTCAATGATGACGAGGACTCCGTTTGTCGTTCAATGGCAGTCGCCGGCATCGCTGCTGAGCGCGAAATCCATGCTCGCTGTTCTAGTTGCTTGGTAATGCCGATTGAGTGGAGGGATGCTGCTGCGAGTGAGCAAGATATGGCCTATGAAGGAGTGGCAAGACGAGGAAACTCACGGCGGATACGCCCAACCCGAGCCAGAGGGTTCATCTTCGAAGGTCTGAAGAATTTCAATTGTTGAATTGCCTCCAGAAAAACTTTGAAGGAAGACGACACACGTCCTGTGTTTCGAAAACGTCCGAGACGAGTTACTGGGTAGGTCGGAATACGATATCTCGGAGTTGAGAGGTTGAAGAACTAACTGCAGCGTGTGGCGGCATCGCTCGGGCGGAGTGTAACTCTTGAGTCGTATTACTACTGTATTTTATACGGCATCTCCTCGTAGTTCAGACCCCTCGGGTATTGTAATTACATAACCTATATTTCCCCAGTCTCCATCTATGTCAATACACTACTCGTCAGCGAGCACGATCAGACACCACACATAACAATGGCCCAGCCCTCTATCGCCTGTATCGCTTTCGTAGCGAAGGATGTAAGAGAGAAGCGAATCAACAAGGAGAAAATCAATGTTTCACGCGACTGACTTCTCCGTCTACAGGATCATCCTCTCCATGTGACAGTATTCCCACCCTTTCGCGAGTCTCGCCTGAGATTCCTAATCCTCATAAATTCGTGTCTGGACATCCTCGACCTACGCACGCGAAATACCTTTATAGATCAGGATTTAGGCCTACTACAGGCTCTTGACGAGCGACTGGCGGTCTACGGATGGCTGACCAACACTGGGGTCAAGATCTTGGTCATTGTCGATCTCGCAGGTCGACATATCGACGGTACTGGTCAGAAGAAGAATATCACACCCGTGACAGGAATGAAGCATTCAGATTTGAAACCTGTATGTGCTCAAGGATACGCAATCTGCATTTGTTCCTAATATGTGTGTGATAACAGGCCTTCAGAGCGCTCCAAACCGCATATATTGGGCTACTCCAGAATCCATTCTACAATCCGGATGATCAGAACGAGAGCTCTCGAATCGAAACAACGAGTGATACACCGATGGGCATAAACGACAAAAAATTCGTCACCGAGGTCAAACGAATTGGTGATATGTGGTCTCCTAGTCTTACGATCATTTGAATCGCGTTTCGATCTATGACCAAGAAAGATATTTGAAGACTTCGAGGCTTATCTACCATCGTTCGGGTCGCTGGCAGACTAGCTTCGTTACACGAATAAGAGCAGTACATCGTCCATCGTGGTCTGACCTAGGCTGCACGGTGGAAACCCTTTACACCAGAGGCGAGCCGGTGAAGTCCAATTCGAGATTGTGCGCTTCAGCAGCATGGACTCTTACTTCGATCCCCCTCTCAACTTCGAGTATTGAAGCAAGTGGCAAGCGAGATGAGATAAGGATGATGGATAGAATAATTATACTGATGCAGCTAACACATTTTGATATCATGCAGAATACCACATTACCATGAACATATTCTCACAAGACATGTGTATGGATACGGGCTATCTTTGACTTATCAATGTCAACACAAATGATACGATGTATATATCAAGACCAACTATATCGAAATAAGGAACTTTCCTCTCCTTGAAATGTGATCAAAACCTCAAGGAGCCTCGCTTTCAGATCTTTCGAGTGATTTCAAAGTATCTACCACATCTCTGGGATCACATATGGCCCAGACGCCTCCTCCTTTAGCAGAAATGCGGCCAACTTCTTTCCCCACTAAATTCCTTCCAACCTTTCCCGGACCAATTCCCAACCATCGCTTAACACCTCGTTCCTGATGTAAGTATTTGATGCTGTCCCACCACCTCACGGTTTCGACGCACTGCCTAGATAATAGGTCCTTGAGGTCGTCTTTTGATCTGAAAGGGGCCGCAGATACATTAGAAACACACAGTATGGCTGCTGGAAATGTAATATCGGCAGTCTCTAGGCTTGTACGCATGTATCGGGCAGCAGGGGCCATGATCGGGCTATGAAAAGGGCTATCACTCTTCAACCTCACAGCACGTGGATCATGGCCACCAAATTGCCGAAGTTGAACAAGGAGCGTCTTGATCCTTTCCAGACTTCCGCTCAGAACTATCTGGTTCTTGGAGTTGATATTTGCAATGAGGACTTGCTTTATAGATCCCGATTCATAACTAGAGTCGTCCCTAGAGCCAGCTGACCCAGGCCCAAGAAATTCTTGTATGGCTGCGATCATCCCCTCCAGGTGATCTACTTCACAGATCAAAGCGACCATCCCGTAACTGTCTCCGGACTTCTGTTGAGCCCTACGGGTACACTCCGCCATGACTTCTGCACGTCCGCGAACCATTGTGAGAGCGGATGCGAATTGCAAATATCCTCCAGCAACCAGGGCAGCATACTCTCCCAAGCTGTGCCCGAGAGTCACGTCAACCCGGTCCTGTGTTTGAAATCCAAATTCTTGCTCCAGTATCCTCAGAATTAGTATCGAGGTTGCCATGATCGATGGCTGTGAATTTGCCGTCATGTTCAGTTCTGAGCTGGGACCCTGGGCTATCAATCGGGAAAGAGGGAAACCCATTGTACTGTCCATTTCTTCTAGAAAAGGCTGGGCAGTTTTCGGGAATGCTTCTACCCAGGGTGTTATCATACCAACACGTTGTACTCCATGGCCTATGTACAGTCAGGTTGGCTCTTCAAGACCTATGGTTGAGCAGCAAACTAACCAGGGAAGAATAGAGCGGTTCGCAGAGACGGTTCAGCCGATTGCGTAGTGAACGACCTGCGAATGGCGTTTCGAGCGCACAGAACGGGGGTGAAGGCTGAGAACATGGTGGATTGATGCGATAGCCGGCCTCATTGTAAGATTATGGACTTCCTCCTATATCAGCAGAATGCGCCCAGATTTCTAGAAACCGAAGGCATCATTAGAAATGAACATGGAGCCGTTCACTGTATGAGGTGGGGAAGCTCCCTGCGATCGGTAATCGGTCTCTTGTTCTCTCTGCCTATCGTCCTGATGGTCCTGGGTCCGATAAGCAACAGCGAATATAGCATCCGAGTCTACTCACCACAAGCAATGCCGCGCATCATCGCAGGTTCATCAGTAGGACGCAGTAGTGTCAAGCTCTGTCGAGGATGTTGTCGTTAGGACGTTGTCCCGATAGCCGAACTAGTGCGTCATGGAAGGAGAGCCTAAGGCCACAAGGCAGCCAAGGGAAGCTCCGGTCTTGGCAGCGCTGTCTGTATTTATTTAGTTTATTTATCCAGTTAGAACTGCTGAACCTTAGCAACGCATTGAAAGTGTCGACTTCTCACAGACGAACGCGAAGCTCTGTCGTCTTCAGCAATCCATTTCTCACGCGATCCTTACCGATAGATTACATCCCCTCTACAACCTCCTCGCTGCCACCTCGATCACCCGCGACATGCAAGGTCGATACTGAATCCTCCCATTGCGACCGACTACTCACTGTATTCAGCCACTGAACCTACCACCAGCTTATTCGTCGCGACTCATCACTTGTTCATGTTACAACTTTAAAACATGTTTGCGCCAGGGTCAGGAGGCCAGGCTGCCAGTTCCCTGCGCAGCTCGCGAAGACGCCAGAGAACAAGTCTCGAAGATTCCGTGAAGCCCCCAGCTGCTAAACGTCAGCGATCCTCCTTACGACGAGAGCCCAAACAACCTGCAGCCGACAAAAATGTCACCACCGCCCAAGAGTATGGCAACAAGCCAAGCGCTGTTACCAGAGACTACGGAGTTGAGACAGGCCCCCAGAAAGAACGGAGTCTTGCAATTCGAAGCTCAGAGAAGACCAGCAAAGCAACGTCTCAGACTGATCACGCTGTTGTCCTGGTAAGGCTGTCATTGCTTGATATTTACCGCGATTATATGCTAATATTCTGATAGTCTTCCAACGATTACTACACCGTCACACAACTTCCATCTGGGTCAGATCAACCTGGAGAGACAATTTCTGGTGAGCTAGTAGCCCATATGACTAATGATCAGCCTGCAATTCTAAACTCCAGAAATTAGGTCCTACAAGATGCATATTCAATTCCGAGAGCGGCTTTGCACTTTTGCTAAGCCAGTCACGAGCTTTGGTCTGGCCATACCACACTAACGTGCCTTCACCAGGCGGTGGTGGGCTTCTGTCGGTATCGTTGTCGGAGTGGTGTACCAACGATGGGGAAGCCCTGATGGGAACACTAATATCAAACGCTACCTGTACAGTGCCAGGACTCTTCATCATAGTACCCGCTACCGGTAAAATGATATACTGGGAAACTGCCTCAAATGCGACGTTCATGGGTATTGCCAAACAAAAACAGAGCGGTCTTCAGGGATCAATTACCGGCCTATTCTATGGTGAGAAAGTTACCGATGTTATAAATGCCGAGCCAGCTGGGGTTATTACAACGTTTTCTAGTGGGAGGGTCGCGCAAATCACATTCCGAGACCCCCAAGGGAAACCCGCTTTGTCTGTGAATTTTTTCCAGAGTACAGCCAAACTTGGGGCGGGGGGACTTTTCTTTGGTATCCGAAGCGTTTTGGGAAGCTCGGCGTGGCGCAAAGATATCGCTGCAGTCAAGGCTGGGAACTCATTGTTTCGAGGCCAACGAGATATTATTGTTCTTTCCACATCCGGCCTGCTTGAGATCTGGGACTCTCACTGGAATGGCGTCAATAAAATCCGCGCTGAGGTCGATTTGCAAAAAGAAATATGCTCGTACTTGGGCTTTGAATCTAACGGGAAACCTGAAAACTGCCTCAAAGTACACGATTTCGTGGCTACTTACAGAGAGGCCAAGTCACCTTCCAATTCTGAGGAACAGCATAATGAAACGTCTCTGTTTATTCTGATCGATATATCTCGCAATACGCCTGCGAAGAGTCTCGCTGTTATCAAGGCACGGATACAAAATGACAACTTTGAAGTCCTCTCTTTGAACACTCTGGAGAATATGACACTCGCTCAAGGCTTTGAGAAACAGAGACCCAGGCTACACGTAGTGGAGCCTTGGGAAACAGCTTTCATTCTCATGGGACGGAAATTGTTCATCATGTCACTCCAGGAGATAGAGGCATCCCCTTCTGCTCAACTTCTGAATGGCATTGTCCCGAAACCTTTTCAAGATCGGCTTCAGTTCCAGGAAGGTGACAAGTACGAGATACTTGGAATTGGGTCCGAGGAAACGTCTTCAGAAACACAAACCCCTGGGTGTAACGTTATGATTCGTGGCTTTGGCCTAATTGGTATTTCTGCTACATCACCAGGATCGGATACTACCGAGTATGTCCGCGTTACCGCTAAGCAGAAACTTGAGCAAGCTGTGTTCTTTGGAACAATGTCGAATACCCCGCTTAGTTTTAGCAGTGACGGCGAACCGGCATTTGCACTTGAGGAGTACGAGCAGGCGGCATTAGAAATCTGTAATGATATTCTTCGTTCCACTTCCCAATATATTCCTCGTGCAGGGATATCACTAGACCAAACTTTGCGCCGACGATCAAAAGCCTTGGGTGATCTGGCGACCGAACTAATCCGTCGAAGACTACCGTTGTCGAAAACTGTACGGTGGGAGTTGATGTGGGCTGGCGAAAAGCTAGCCGCTCAACGGTCTATGTGGAATTTGGAGGAAAATTTTCGAGAACGATGGGCTTCTGAGACCTTTCTCTCTCGGGTTATAAGCCTGATGACCGACAAATACAAGACTGAGTACGTGCCTTCTCATAATGACAAGCAAAATGATCATGTGCGCCAGTGGTTCGACTGCGATACATTTCAGATGCAACACATTATTCCATGGATATTCAATGCGATCCGTGGATTAAAAGGACCATCTGCTCGCTCCAGTCCCGAGTTTCTCTCCCAAGTATACCAAGCTAGCGAGTTGTCACTCACGGTTCTCGAGGGGGCCTACAAATTCAGAGAAGACCATGCGCTGCAATACGGTTTTGCCGAGGAGGACTTTGATAATGGGGTGTTGCTAGGATCGTATTCTGATATACCTGAATTCTGGACGTCGGAAAACATGGTGTACAATGAAACCCTTCATATGTTAGATTTCGAACTTGAAAGTTCAAGATGGGTTCACCAATCAGTATCTGATACGTCTGCAGAAGATCATGACATGATAGCGAGTATTGGGGAAAATAGTTGCCGCAGGCTTCGCGTTCTCAATATGATGCTCACCGAGAGGGTTCGCTGGCTAAATGCGCAGAATGACCCAAAGTTTGCAGATGAAGCCATCGCACTGAAAGATTCAAGTGTCAAACAACGAAAGTGGCAACTATACAAGATGGGTGGAATCGGTCAGCTTCAAGGGGCAATTGACCTGGCAGAGGAGTTCCGTGATCTAGAAGCACTGGTCGAACTCATGGTAGAGCTCCAGTACCTGGTCAGAAACAAAAGTAGCCCGGTAGAAACATCAATCACTATTAACTCATCGGGTGTGCGTGATGAATCCGGGTACAAACAAAAGATCGCGAGTTATTTCGATCACTTTGGCGAGCCATTCGCGGACGCCTTCTTCTCGCGGTATATCGGCATTCACCAACCTGGTGTTTTGTTGACAATGAAGGATTTTCAGAACCATCTCACCAGATTCTTGAGAAAGAGACCTTCATATGCCCCATTGTCTTGGATCAATGACATCGTTGGAGAGGGCGACTATCAAACAGCATCATCTGCTCTCGAACAGCTTGCCCTTGATCATGATGATAATTTATGGGATCAGCGGGTTCAACTCTCTTTAGCAAAGTTGACGAGACTGGCCTCTTTGGAAGAGAGCAATGTGAGCGACGATGCAACGCCTACCAAGCTACAGGAGCTTGATGACAAATTAGAAATAGGCAATTTACAAGAGCGTCTATATGAACATGTGTTGCCGGCTTTACATAGTGCAATCGATGAAAAGGCGGAGGTGGAACTAGCAATGGATCAATTTGGAGGCCGCGTCACCGATCAGCCTGCACTCAAGGATCTTCTTGAGGAGTTACTGACACGATTGATACGCCGACAACCCCTTGATGCCGAACAACTCATCAATATCTTAACGTTGATTGACGACGTGCGTTTCTTAGAAGGAGACGAGAGCTCAGTCTCTGGGCGCGAATTTTACAATGCTCTTCGAGTACTCCGCCTAAGTGGTTACGCATCAAGCGATCCTGTTAAATACGATTTCTTAGAGAGGTTGATCTGGAGGAGATGCTTCATACGAGACGATTGGCACAGCATTTCAAAAACCGAATTTCGCTCAGACGATAAGAATAGATCTCTATTTCTGAACACAACGCTCGCAAGGACCTTGCTTGCTTGTGTTGAGGATGGTAAGTTAGGCTTGTCGCAATCTTACACCATTTCTCAACCAAAAGCTTACAAGACGACAGAAACTGAAGAGAATCGAGGTCGAGGAGAGCTATACCCCGTTCCGAATATATCCGACGTTCTGAGTCTTGGGTCCTTAGAGCTTATTAGAAGTCGCTTCCGACCTGAGCAGTGGCCTCATATTGAGCGTGACCTTCGAACTGAAGTCGATTCATTGGAGCGCCTCCTGGAAGGTACAAACCTGAAAGAGTGGCTTTCAGGTCTTTTGTTGCATGCTGAGGAAGAGTTTGGGGGGACTAACGTGAAGGGGGAAAGGTTGGTACCGGAGTCAACAAAGGCAAAGTTTAGCTGGGTGTAGGCCATCGAATCACACAGCCTTAGATGGCTAATTCTTTTTGCTATTTCGGGTTTGTTCTATCGGTACAAGTGGACAGCTTGGGTCGGCCAGTCTATGTATTTTAGTACTAGGGAGTATGTTTTTTGAGGGGGGGGGAGTTTCAGGATCAGCAAGCATCGCACACCCAAGAAAAAACTCTCCAAGGCATGTAATCTGTAGTTTCGTCGACCTGAAAAACCGTAGTGTGACATTTGGACGTACGTGATCAGACTGCGAACAGGTCTAGCGTCATTTTGACTAGCACATATAGATTCGCCGCCATTTCGTCTGGACTTATTATCCGCCTCTCATCATCATATCATATTTCGTTACACTACGTTTCTTCTTGTGCTTCGCATACCAAGCTAATTTTTGATTAATTTTAGCTCTTTATAAATAGATATTAAATCTTTCTTGAATAAAAACTTCAAAATAGTTGAATATTCAGCTTAATTAGGTTAGAATTTCTATAGAATTATATTAAACGTAAACTATATTAAAACCTACTAAACTTTTTTAAACCACGGCTGGCCATCTTTTCCGGGTAACCCTTGCATACCATCAACACCGTTTTGTCCTCTCGGTGATCATCGTACCTGGACGTCCTTCTGCGCCGTTAATATCATCCCGTCCGTCCCGTCCATCTCGTCCAACTCCAGCAGGTATGATCATATGTTAATTAATTGTAGAGAGCGAACCTACAGGCACTGATAATGAATTACGATAGGAAGCTCTAGCAAAGTCTCTTTTGACATTGATAACATACTCTCCACCCGGTGATGACAAAGATAGAAGTGAGAAGATCAGAGCCCGAAGTGACAGCATGATCCTTGAAGAAAGAACTAGATACAGGAAGTGATTGCAATATTGTAAACCCTTATTCGACTCCCAGAAAGCTGACTCCAGTAGCTGCAGGAATCATGCCGCTACTGCTTAGGATAACCTGTCTGCTAAGAGTTTTTGAACTAGGAACTGCTGAGGACGGTGACATTGACATTGGCTGTTTGCACGGATGGCTCATTTGATTCCTAGAAGTAAAACCTGGTCAGCTTATTCATATCAATTATGGGATAGATGACACATACCCCGACAACCTGGAACAAAGCCACGCTAAGAAGAGCAGGTCCTGCAGGGAGGCTTGATGGTACTCTGACTGTGACATTGGTGTATAGTCCACCCTGAGGGTAGGCAAATCCTTCAATACTCCAGTTGCCTTGATAGAGAAGCCATTCTCCCAGCTCTAAAGTGGAAACGTAACCGGTGTCCCAAGGCTGAATGCCAATGGCAGCCGCGATATCTTGGTATGGACTAGCAGTATCCTAGATATTCTTCCAGATTTAGCTTTTGCTTATCAGAGAGCTAGCAAAGGATGAATGGATACAGTACCTGTGATTGAACTTCAATGACAAGATCACTGCCAGCTGTAACTTCTTGGTTGAGGCCAGGGGCCTGAATCCAGATTTGTTGAGCAGCTGCTGTGGCAGCAAGTGCGACAAAAGTGCATAACTTCATGGTGTATAGCGTTATTTAAGCCCAAAAAAAAAAAACTTAGGCAATAGAAGTGATAATCTGAGGACCTGATATTCTCTTGTGAGGAGGACTTGTCGGGAATTTATATCTTCGCTATCTCTACTGGGTCCGGACTATGACATGATTTCATACATGTAGTAGAAGCTACTCAGACCAACAATCGATTTCATAGGGTTGCATTGCATGAATACATGGCTGTATAAACATGAAATTTATCTGTCTATAGTGGCTGGCACTACCAACAGCTGCCAGTCTTTAGTTCCCCTTTGAAAGCCCTTTAAGCGAGGCCGCACTCTAATTAGCTAGATTAGTCCTGTGCTATGGCTATATCTGGGTTCGGTTGTTTTGTTGGCTGATTTGTTGGTTTTATTTGCGGAAAGGCACTGACTGTTCCATGTGGGCGATGTAGAATAAGCCTAAATGGTAGTTTCATTTGCCCTAATGCTTGTAAGTGTTACTTTTACTACTGATAATATCACAACCTAGATCTATATAGTGGATCATGTAGTATCAAATAACAGATAGACTTTTTTTGCAGCAGGAATAGTACACGATAATTGGTCAAGGCGGTTTCTAGATATAGTAATAGGCATCCTTGTATCGTACTGGACAGTTGGCAACCTTTACTTAATTGCTTCTTGCACGCATAATTTCGCAATTATGGGTCAAGATTGGCACCTTCAAGAGCGGTAGGAAATCTCTTTGGTTCATCCAAAATCTACCCTCGAAATGGAATCTATGGAAGTTGAAAGAGAAAGAGTCCACTCGCGGCCTGCCCACCATGACATTGGAGACACAACTCTTTTCCTGATCCTGTTGTACAGCATATTTTAGCCGGAGAGTATCTCTTAAGTATATCAGTAGCCCTCATTGAAGTGGATGGTGCAATGTAAGTGGGAACAGCTACGTGGTACTAGCGTACCAAGTTGCTCATAAAATTGTATATGCAGCCCACAAGAAATGCCTCATAATAGCAATATAGCATTGAACTCGTACTAGTCAGCTGTAGTATAATAAAGATCACAAAGAGGTCACCGATTGCTTTCAGGGAATGAGAATGCTTAAGCTAGCCTGCCAGCAAGATACAATGTCAACATAGTCAAGGCTGCCTAGGTATGTGAGGCGTGGATAGCTGCATGCAGGGAGCAAGAAATTTGTAATTGGAATATCTCACCGCTCTATGAGTTATTTGTTTAGAATAAATTACTAGTTATGTTCCCTTCTTCTGTATATACTCACTTCGCATTTCCCATTTCATATGGGTGGCGGACTGGATTACTTAGGGATCCGCGGCAGAGACGACACTAGTTTAATATGCCATCCTGACACGATATTGCTTACCAAAGAACGAACTTCACTAATAGTTGTCATCAGGGCAAGGCAGTAGAAATCAGGTGTTGGTTTTTGGCGCTGTTGGAAGTTACTGCTACGATCATGTTAGCTGCAATAGGAATTCGGTGAATACAAAGAACTCGACCAAAAAACGAGCGGCTTCCTATCATCGTAGCATATTATGTTGAAGCAATATATTGGGGGGAAACTAAATGTAGCTAACGGAAAGGACGAGGCAGAGAGCCTCTGAGCTAACTAGGTAATATGTGGAGCGAGCACAAAATGTGGCGCGGATTGCTAATCAGGGGACCAACATATTATAACAATGCTAGTATATCCACATTAAACCTATTCTTGTGCTTCTAATGGCCTGGACTCCTGGAGCCTAGAAAGTAGAATGCGGCACTGCGCAGCATAAGGTAGTATGCCGTATGTGGAACCCACCTGACCAAAAAGCTGCGCGCCTACTAGTGATCTAGTACGGTAATATATAGCTAGCGAAGAGGATCTTGTGGTATGTGTAAGGCCAGGGAGACAGTATCCAACATAGGATGTATCCGCACCTAGCTAGTGGTATTTAGATACATAGCAAATGAAGGGCATAATAAGCAGGTAACCATTATATTGTTAATCTCGAGGTTTCTTCCAATAGAGAACCAACCTAATGCAAGATTGCCTCCACCAGCTACAAGTCAATTGGTCTTTTTTGGCTGATATCTTGTGGTGATGTAGGCATATTAGGCAGCAGATTCTTAATACATGCAGCGGAGAAGACTTGAAACGGTCAAATCTGTCCCAGCCAAACTTTCAAGAAATGGAAAAGAATCTAATTGTCCTGCAGCTCACTTCAAAACTAGGTTGCAGCATGCATTCTGTTCGAGCTGATAATCGCATGTGGCGCCGTTCTATATCAAGCATTAGTACTATTTATTGCTACGAAATAAGCGATAGAATACCAACAAGACAGGGAGGCCACTCATGGACCTGGTTGTTGAGGTTCAACTAGCGACCAACGTCAAAAGCACATGTTTGGATCGATGATCGAATTTTACGATTGGATTAGCTACATATACAAGCGGTCTAGTAAAAGATGCACTGCAAGTCAAAGGGATAGTAATAGGATTATTTGATAGCTAGGCCAAATGGGTAAAATACATCAGTGACTAGGCCCCTAGGTATGAATAGCAGTAGCCGGCTGTGGTGTATAACCTGGAAGGCCTCCAGCTTGTACCGCAGCTGACATGCTCCCCTTCTACAAGGACAGAACATAAGTCGATTTGTTTTTATCTATGAATACTTGTATCAGGTAGCATCTAAGTTCCCGAACCGGAGCAGTGGTTCCCATCATTTAATCACAATCACAAATACGGCATGCATATGTAGTAGCGAATTGCTTGAAGCATACTATTTGTGTTTACGGAGTACTACTCACATGAAGAACGAATTAATTCACAAGTAGAATTCTATCTTTACTGGCTATAGGTATGAGATGCAGAATCTATATCATTCACTGCCCTAGGTCAAAGAGCTTCAGGAAATGATCAGCCACAGAGCGAATACAATAGTAATCAACAACAGAGGTTCTGCAATCCGACTTCCTGTTGACTGAGTAGTGTATCCAAAGTTCGCTGAATTGTTATTGTAACCAACGGTAGGTACCCAGGCTGGTGTGTTCGTATCGTTCTTAAGAATATCAGAATGATACTTGTCGATGACGCCAGAGAGTGTCAAGCTGAATTCTCCCCAGACTACTGTCGATCCCGACGTCGCAGTAGACCCCGTTCCGTAGACGGCACCGGCCTCAGCGTATCCCTGCAATGTCAAGTTCGCAGTTGAGTCGTCAAACTGAAGATCTATCGTTGGATTCGTGAAGTTGGTACCGTTGACCGGGTCACTCCATATCAAAAATGACCATTGGGAGGTCTCAACGCAGGGTGTCGAGGCGTTGACGTGAAAAACGCCAAAGCCCCTATAGCGATCCTCGATAGTACTGGACATATTGTATGGCGGGCTTGTGGTGTTCTTGAGGGACCAGATCCAATTGTTCTTTGGGTCACCACCATTATCATACAAGGGGCTTAGCGATCTCAGTTAGACATCGAGCGTTGATCTAGAATATGAGGTAGGCCGAACTCACTCGGAGGAAAACAGTCCGAAATCCAAATCAGGTATATATGTTATCTGCTGTCCCAACGGCAGTTTCGTGAAGTCATAATCAAGGGGCCACAGTGTTAGAAAAACATTAGCTAAGTCACCAACTGAATCGTATGAGCCTGGTTGTGTTATTGCTAGTCGTGCGCTGTAGTTTCCGCGTGCGGTTTGGTTGCTGAATGCTGGTGGACAATTGCTTGGTATAGAAGCCGCTAGCCCGCCAAACGGTATGAAGTCGACTTGTGCGGTGGCATTGTAATACCTGGTTGCCTGATGAGTACTGTCTCACGTAGCTGGGCTCCAAGAAAACTTACGATCCAACCCAGAGATACAAATCTGTAAGGTTTGCAGTCACGTTACTGGGTCGATAATTGTTGGAAGTAGAGATGTTTTGTGCCGCAATGGCAGCAACGTAGAGAGTCACGCCCAAGGCCGTGAAAACTTTTCGCATTTTTGCGGCGCAGGATTGCAGAAATTAAACACGGGCAATGGCTCGTCGTAGCTTTTTAAGTCGCAGGACTTAGGAGCCAGGGGTCTCTCATGGTTACACCCACACCTGGCGCCGGAGCGAACTACAACCACTAGTAGTTCCGTCGCGCTTCCTCGATCCTGACTGGAACGAATCTAGAGCCTCAGCTAACTGAAGAGCTAAGCCTTTGGTGCTTGATTGAAGAAGGCTAGCGCAGATAGCCTGATCCTTGCACCAGGATGATTAGATTATAGATAAAGTGGAATCGACTCGAGAAAAGTGACAGCAGTGCTGCTAAAACGATACGATCAAAATACATATGATTCTATCTTCTTCAACCATTTGAATGAAATCACAGGTTCAATTCAATCATATGTCATTACCAAATCACAAGCCAAGAAAGGATTAACGTCAGACCGCTGGGTCTTCCGCCAAAATAGGAGTCCATAGAAAGATGAGTATCTCCGGATGCTCCAAATGCACCACCTGATTAGCGGCGCACACTAAATAATAATTCCGAGATTCTGAGACAACGAAAGCCTAACTAATATACCCAATCGGCTTTTGACCCAGGTTCAAAGAGGCCAGAGCAAGGTCCATAGGAACTGCGCCGCATTTAATGAGGAGAAATACTACACGAGTTCATGGAGACCACGCGCACCTGTGGATCATTACAACAATTGGTGTGATCGTATTATTGACAAGATTACTTCACCGCTATCCCGAATATGGGGAGTGTTCTCTAGGTTACGAAATGTGAAATGGGAGACTTAGCGCGCTACGCCAGGCCTGACTTTCTAACATAGGTATAGCGGGAGTAAGCGGCTATCTACGATTCATCACAAACTAATATGACAGGTCTCTAATCGACCACCTGGGCATTTTGTCCAGACTCCAGAGATGTATGTAACGTGCGCCGTGGGTCTACAAGGATCGACAAGGCCAGGGTCCACAGGGAGGCAACGGAACGAGAACCTAAAAACGCTTAGCTACTGCTAATTAACTACTGTGTAGTTAACTAAATTAGTAGTTCGGGATGTTTAATTTAATTGGTAAGCGAGCCGCCGGTTCACATCCGTATGCAAAATGACGTTTTTTCATAGCCTAATAATTCAAAGCTAGAAACACCTGTATGAAAAACTCTGTGTGTTGCTCCACTGCAATGACTAGTTTAATTTAAGATTGAGACAGAAAATTATTGCCTGACGCTCGATCAGAGATCACCAATCGGACAACTGTGTAAAGGGTATCTAGGTGCGTGCTCCAAATTTTGGAGAAAAAGCAGACACTGGAAACGCTAGCTATGGCTTCCAAGACTAAACCAGGCACTACTGCAGTAATGTAGGATTGGCTAATTCATTCACAGAAACGACCCTGAACTTCCAAGGGCAAGATGGTTACGGAGGTAGCTGAACAGGTATATAAAGGTTGGTCCAGCACTGCGAGAATTGACATTTATCAGACAAGTCACTCTTTTCTTGACAACATCCAAGTCGTCTCCTGTACTTGATAACCCTTTTTCTTTTCCTTCCCACCTTGTTTCTTTCTTTCATCCCTAGAGCCGAGTAATCCTCGACCCAGACACGTGAAACGATCATGAGGCTCCTGGCTCCCATCCTCGGGGCCTTGACTGCCTGGTTCATTGATCAAGCTTATGCTACCAGCCCTCCTGCACTGGAGAATACCTTCAACTCTCCAGCTAATATCTCTGCTCATGCTCAGGTTCAGAAGCCCACTGCATGCCCCAGTCAATGTAACAGCTATAACACCTCACAGTGGTTTGTTTACTCCGGTACTTCAAGAGTTACTCACTATAACAAGACTATGCTATTGGACTTCACAGTTCAGAACCCTTTGAATGATACCAATAAACGGCATACAGTCCGCAGTTGTGTGACAAGTCAATCCGAGGCTCTGGATACCGCCCCTAGAGGTACTTCGTGCCTCCCAGTCTCTTTATAGTCCGAGAGTGCCTATCAGGCTAGACTATAAAGTGGCGCGGATTCAACTATATCATATAGCTCCAGTAAGGGCTCATCTATATTAAATACTATCTTAGTATACATAACAGGAAACTACTAAAAATCCTTGATCTTTGTATTCTTGGAGTCTATACACATAGCAGTAGACATACATATCAATGGTAGTCTCCACTATCCTCAGAACATTGACTCTGCTGTTAAAGAAATGACTAGCATACTTCAAGACTAAGGCTCTTATTAAAGTATCACATTACAGCACTGTGGGAAAAACATAAACTTTACTCTAGGTATTGCTGTGGATCTTAGCGGCGACCTTGCAGCTGTTCAGCGGCATGTACAAACTTGGAATGATAGCGATTATGTCTCAGGATTCACTACAAGCAATAACGTGACCACAACCCTATCCTCAGCTAAATCATCTGCATTGTCTATACCTGCAGGATCTAATACAACACTGAGCAGGAGATCTTCCCATAAAAAAGAGTTTCAGCGTCGCTCAACCTGTTCGTATGTGCAAGTAGTTTCTGGAGATTCATGCGGTTCCCTGGTAACTGAATGCGGTATCACCTCTGACGAATTCTATTAATATAACCCCACTTCTAATCTCTACTCAGCCCTTACTATAGGAGAATATATCTACTGCTCCATAAACAGTCTCCCAGACCTAGTACTGGCCCCCTCCACAAGTAGAACTTGCTACGGGCTTACAGGTCAGCTGGGGTCAAAAAAAGTTCAGCTGGGCTTAAAAGTTTAGCTGGGCTCAACATAGTATAAATTTGACGCAACTCTATAGAAAGCCTAATCCTTTTTAGCTAGTTCTTTAAATCTTTTAAATTTTTATTTAATATAGATTCAATATCTCTCTATAAAAGAGTTAAATTTAATTAAAAACTAACTTAGTTTTCTACTAATAAGATAAGAAAATTTTTTTTATTTATATTTATTCTATATCTAATTTTTTTTTTTTTTTAATATCTATTTAATATTACTTTAATACTATTCTAATAATATATTATAATAGCTATAATCTATTTTATAGAGATATTTCACATTATTTTAATAAATATTAATAATATTATT